TCTTAATTTTTTGTTTTTCGTGTTGGGCACCCGTGGACTGGAACAAAGAACTAGAATACGGGGAAGAAAAGAAAAATAAATTCATTGACCTTTTGGTACCTACGCTAGTGTGCTAGTCTTTTAGCGCTATGACTAGAGAATAACCAGTTCCAGTTCCTCGGAATTGAGTGTTTTCCTTAGGTCTTCACCACGGGTAACAGGGGTCAGGGGTTGTTAGTGGGAGTTTTCCTTTTTATTTTCAGGGGAGAATGAAGAATGACACTCCCGGGAGCGTGGTAACTGGTTTACGTGGCATACATAGTGGACTAAAAACCTGGAGATTGTGATACATCCATATGCACTCCGTACAAACAATTAGATGCCAGTGATAGTATTGGATGTCGCGTAATCCGTATCCCGTATGGAGTACAAAGTTTGAGCTTCCAGATTTGGTCGAGACCCTCATATTTAGCATTCTCCACTGTGATATCTTGTTATCCGCGAAACAACATAAGGGATGAGAGCACGCGTGACGGAGTTTCTTAGGTATCGACAAATTCACTGCAGAGTACACATCCCAAGCCCCATCTGGATCTAATCGGTGGGGTATAGGGGGCCGTCGCCAATCTACTGCTCCGTGCCTCGCCAAACTACCAAATTAAATCCTCAATCACTATGGAGTATACTCCATACGGAGTAAAGTGTACGTTGAAGTGCGAGATTCTCCGTACAGTTTCTCCTGTACAATGGAGTCTGTGAAGTCTAGTTTCAGAATTACTATTTCTTAGATTCGCCTAGGCACGGAGTGCTCGTACAATGATACTACAATCTGCCGCAGCTGGCCGAGATTTCAATTTTTAATTTCTATGTCGATCCCCAAGAGCCTCTAAGGCCATCATCCTGGTAGTATTACCACATTGATCATCGCCATTACCCAGGTGGCCCCCTGGGGGTGAAGGTGAAACTAAATTAAAAATGAAAGTTAAAAATTAAAAATCCGATTAAAATGAACAAAGAAAAAGAAATCCTCAACCATATCCCCCTGCATACTTCAAGTTCCCCGGGCGCTGTACACGTCAGGGTACCCAGGTGAAGGATCAAAACCTTGAAGGCAACCTTGGAACCTTGAAAACAGGGGTAAATCCTGGGTGAATCCTGTCTGACTCAAGGGAACAAAAAACCTGGGCGGGATGCCGTGGATTGCGGTCCGATCCTTGAGTCCACGGGCAACCATGTGGCGGAGAAGTTGAGTTCCATGTGGATACATTCTAGGGGGTTGGGGGCGCGAAACCTGGAATCTAATGTTGCACAATTCAATAGTATTGAGATCCTCGCATTCCAGGTAAGAATCAGTCTGTAATTTCAAGTTTGTGCGAGGTTTGACTTGATTCAGAATACTCCCTATGCACATGTGTAGATACTACTCCAGGTTCAAGTTACAGGTTAGACAAAGATCTCGGGGTAGATCGGTCAATTAAATTACGGGGTACGGAGAATATCACGAGTACCGAGATTCAATATGTCACAACGTTCAAATTACATAAATTGAATACTTCATGCATCGAATATTTATCACATGAGATGAAAAAAGAAAACTTCAATCTATTTCACTTGAAAGTTATCCGTATTATACCCTGTCACTCTCCCGTCGTTGCAGATTTCCCTTCAAAATTTCCATTCTAGATCAAATCCTGCACCTTGACTGTCATCCAATGCAAGGCTTGTTTGCTTTTCACCCCCCAGCGGTTACGGGTGCAACCGAGCGTGCCTGGGCGTCACCCGAGTACCAAAGCGAACCCTACAAGAACTGTATACGCCCAATCAAGAATATGGACTTTTCCCACTATTGACGCAAGATAAGCTTCAAGTCGTAGAGGAACGAACCTCTTTCCCACATCGAGCCATCAGGATTTTGATCTGCCTGTGGTCAATCCTCGCATCGACTATCAGTCTCCTTCCTATTTTGTACTCACTTGGCGCTTGACCTGCAGATAACAGTCCATACGGAGAACTCCCTACAGAGTATGTGCTCCGTACGAACTCCGTACGAACTGCGCTAATCGCAGGAATCTGCCAGTTTGGTGTTGATCGGAGGTCTTGCGCTTGAGGGATTGGATGATCGGGTCTAGATTTGGGAGCTACTTCAAATCGCCCTGGTGTTGGTGGTAAGTTAATCTATTTTATTTGATTTTCCTTGTCTGGTTACATCATCCGAGATTCGCATTGATCGACCTACAGAGACGATCCCCGGGTTTCGTGAGGGGTGTTGCGTACATACTCCGTACATGTACCGAGTTTGTACATCCGGTGCGAGGTGACTGGTTTTACATGCATGAATGGAACCTGGAATACGGTGAAGATCACCTTGAAGATGAGTTCAGATTAATGCTAGTCATTGCATGCTAAGGTGAGGGATGGGATTAATTGTGGTTATTCAACTGCTATGGAGGATGTGATAAAGAGCTACCCGGTACATACCACGGCATGAAGTACAAGATAGGCATTTCCGAAAGCTCATGTGCCGAGTCTTTAGTGTCTACGCCCGGGCGTAGTTCGCGCCACATCTACCATTAGGTACTTTTGGGACTAATAGTACTCCGTATTATACGTGGTAATCAATACCCTTGACATCAAAACAGTGTAACCAGGGCCAAAGAGAGATGAACGCCAGTTACACGGTGGTTCTACGAGTTGAAGATCCAGGAAATCCTAAGCGATCTTTTGAAAACCTTGTAAACGGTATAATGGAGTCGGGCTTGAATGGTCCCCGAAATGAGAACCCCTTGTGTATTGATCCAAGCGTGGAAAAGCACAGACCAGTTGACCAGAAACGACTGGGATCGTGATACGGAGTGCACATGCATAAACCATTATAGTATTATGCCACCTGGGTGGCTTTTGAGCCAATGCTCACGGGCAGGTTTCCGTAAATGTATCTAACCCCGTGGTCAGATTGCTTGGACGATTTGCACCTGGGCAGACATAACCTCTTCGGATGGGAGGGATCTACAATATTGCAGGTAAGCTAAAATAAACTAGTGGTCCTCGGACTGTTGTCACAATTATTTTCTACATCACTTCAGAACGGTAGATTTATCCATCATATTCCAAGGGTTGACATTGGACCACGATGATTAAACCTTGGGTGCAGACGCGGGATCTCGGGAAGTAGATTGCATAAGCGCCAAAGATCGACATTGATGGCTTCGACTTTCTTTGTTGAAAGTGATGGCTTTTGGATTCATCACTTTTTTTTATTTCTTTTGTAGATTCCCACCGCACGTAACTTCCCTCCGAATGAGATCTCGTGTTGGAGTAATTCGGAGGAATCCCCTCCTAAGTCCCCGCGTGGATACCATACGAAATAAACAAGCAAAACCAACCAAACGAGGGTATAACTCCCCGGAAAAGCAAAACCCATCAGAAGAAGAAACAAAAGAGAAAAAAAAAATTCTGTACAGATCCACTACGGAGATGTCTCCGATTTAGTTCTCCTCACCTCCTCACCTATTCGATCCGAAAATCTCGTAGATGGTGTGTAAGCGGGGGAATGGAAAAGAAATCATCTCCCGTACCAAAACATCAACTCCAACTTGAACCCAGCCGTGTGGCACAGTTGCTAAAAAAGATAAAAGACGCCGGGCCCATTCCTCCATGACTCCACTAGAAGGATAATACTCAACCTATGGGGGACTAGTCTTATCATCCCCGAGATGACGCAGCAACCCTGTCTACGATCGGTCAGAGAAGTCTCCACATATTGAGGCGATGTCTTGATCCACATCGCGATTATCTTTTTTTTTCTTTTTGGTTCTGTGCCGTCATTCCTCTTAAGTCGTGTGGGTGTCACGGCATCCGTTTGCTACATTGGGCTTTTTTTTTTCTGGTCTCGTGGCTAAGGTGGGTCAACTCCGAAACTCCGGTGTATTGTTATGATGGTTTGGGATACTGCGACTGCCTCGCTTAATCTTCAAGGACCGGGGTACGAGGTGAAGAACGGGGTCAATTGATTGGGAGTCTAATAATAAGAATAAAAATCATTTTGTGGCGCGACGTGGTTAGGATGTCAGTAGTGGTGGGACAGATTTTCAGGACAGCATACAGGGCACAAACTCGATAGAAAGTGTAAACAATCAAGGAACATTTGAATTACAAGGAAATCTCCAAGATCAGTGGTTACAAACCTGTCAAGACTTGGAAATTAGTAACAGAAGATTTTCTGCACCTCAGAAAGTCGAACGTGACTGGCTGACTCGCATATTTGATGCTTTTTACTCGGATTTAGGTTCTATAGCTCTGGTGATCGATGTGTTGTCTGCAGCCTGGGCCTGTCGATGTCTCTGCAGGGTCTGATCTTTATCCTGTTCAGGTCTTTTGGAAGGATCCGGACCATCCGACGGTCGATCCGGTTCGAATTCGCGCAGTAGATCTGGTTTAGGGCTTTTTGATTTGTTTACACACTCCCATGTGCAAATCTAATTGTCAATCTACGCTCGGTACGGATACCGGGAGATGAACGGAAGAGTATTAGGTGCTTATCGTGGAGATTTGTGGATGAATATTCTCCTCGTGAGTCCATATTTGCCGATTTTGCCCATTATAGTTTTCTGCAACGGTATCCTGCAGTGAGAACTTGAAGGCTTGCCTGAGTGAGAGCAATGGGTGCCTTGTTTTTGTCTGATCAACCATATCAGATTTTGTCTCCGCGTTTGGCGATATCAGGTTAATTGGCGGTCTCCGCTGATTCGTAAGATCTGAGTCTGGAGATGGATCTAGCACCATTTATTACTTGATATTTCAACATGATCTCCAGAAGATCAACAGCATAGGGAATTTTGATTTGGACCGGAATATAGCCGAGACTCTTGGCCTATTGCATCCAAAAGTTAACTTATTGAGACTCAGATAAGACGCATCAAGGTTCCATATACAGTTTACAATTTACAGTTTCACTGTCCACGTCGCTGGGTACCCAATAAAGACTATTTGGTAGATCTAGAATCCTTGACTCTGACAGATAGTCACATGTGCACAGAGTTCAGTGCTCCTACAGGACCAAAGTCCGTATCGTGGTCAGAATTGATACTGAGACTACCATGCGCTTCGTAGCCAAGCCGAGAGATCAAATTCGCTTTGGCCTTAATTCCAGGGGTATATGCTGTGTAACTGCCATGGGCTAAAGCGTTATGCTGATCAATTGATAATCATCACAAATCACTCATGGAAAGTAAGCTTGCAATTCAACGACGAAAATAGAGATAAGTAAGATTTCTAAGCATGAAGATCTTCATCAGTGAGTTCTCGGATACCCGAAATAGACTACTGAAAGAACCTCAGAGCAAGGATAACATCATCTCACCCGGGCAATCCTAGTTACATAGACATGATTCCGGTAGAAACAAAGCTAAATTGGACTCATAACATGATTTGAAATCAGGAAACCATACATTGCGTCGGAAATAGTCACCATATGTCGCATCATCACTGAACCAAAACATCATCGTTGGACAAATTCACTACTAGTCTCAAGACTCTTAACCAATCCAGCACACCATATTAGACCATTCAAACTTCGGGGCAAATCTCACTCCAACCACATGAAACCAAAACCAACTTGAAACTATAGCACTGAAGCAAACCTTGGAAACTGGTATCAGTTCAAGTATACATAATAAATATACTGGTAACTCCAATATTAAAATGATAGATGCCCAGGTGAAGTCCCGGGATATCACCCAGCACCCAGTACCCGGGCTCTAGCGTCACGCAAACATGAAGCCACCACCTCGTGTCCTACGTCGCACACCCCAACCTTGGAACCATTTGAACCTTGGAAACGCAAGATGAGATCCCGATCCACGGGGAGCATAATCGGTGTGATACCCGATCATCGCCGATGAAGCTCCCTGCATGTGTACGACCGGGGATGCCGTGCGGAACTTGACTTGTTTATTGCGACCACTGTGAAACGATGATACAGAGGTATCACGAGAGGTATTCATGTAATTTTTCAAAAACAGTGGTTGCCAACTACTAATGTGGACTGAGAGCTTTAAAAATTTGACGTTTTTGTGAGTGATTAATTTGTCGGAGAATACTATACTTGTAGTCTGATATGACAGCTGTGGATCCTTCACAAAAGAACTGTTGCAAAAAGCAACGAAAAGAACAGAGCAAACATTTGTACCAAATGATATGCAATAGCGCAAATAGGAAGTTAGTAGCGAGTGGCTAGTGGCTAGTGACTCGGAGACCTGGAGATAGCACTTGAGGTAGTTGATATTAAAATGATGTCGCATGTCACGAACCTTGTAGATTCCACCTGGGCAAGGTTGTAACATTTTGAAATTTTCCAAGGCTTGCCATTAAAAGCCTGAGCCTCATTCGGATTGACCGAATACAGGACTGTCAGAGTATTCTGAAATCAAGTAACCGGACAATTTGGAGCAAAGCATCTAGATTGTATCCAAACATTGAAATCGCCGTGCACTGGTGAAATATCATGGCAAATAAATGATATTTCCTAAGTATCGTACAATGAGGCATCTGGAGATATCTTACAGTGTCACATATTATTCTCAAAAAAGCAAGAAGTCCGAGATTCCTGAATGGGAATCGACTATTTTGCCTCAGTGTGTTGCACCACATTGTGTGGATTCGTGGGCGCGACTGGGCCATAACTAGGCTGGACTGATTCTGAAACAAGGGGGGTCTGTGGATGCTTTCGCCGCGTGATCTTTGGTGAGACCACACTTTAATTGTAGGCAGAGTAGAATGTGGCTTGGACGGGGTTGTAGTTAATTTCTAGCTTGGCAGGACACAGTCAAGTGCCTAGGGCAAGCGACTACTGTGGTGTTGGAAGGCCTTGCTAAAAGATTGACTGTTCAGCGATTAGGACTAGAGGTTGCCCGAAGAACTACCATTTTATTGGGTATTGAGGTCCACAGTTAAAAAGGTATCTGAATATGTATGTACATAAAAGGGAACTGAAAGTGTCATAAGACATGGGATAGGATGTTGTCTCTGCCTGCACAATCAGGTAATGACAGTCTGGTTGTAGTAGAGATCACAAGCATGCGGGTGCTGCAAACAGTACTTGGGCATCAAGGCGCCGGCCATAACACCATTCGCGACCAGGTACTCGCGGAAGTTCAGCAGACGCTGGGTAAGAAGGGTGGTCCGCTTCTGGCCATTGGCGTCACGGTTACCGGACCAGACGAGTTCAGCCAGTGCAGCAGCCCGAGGCCAGAACTCACTGGAGATGGTCACGTCGTCAACTTGCTCAGACCAGAGAGGAGCCTCGGCACCCAGGACATGCTTCGCTTCGGTTTCTGTGAGGTTTGTGGTGAAGTCGAAGTCGTAGATGCGCTGCCAGGTCTTGTATGGTGCACACCAGGAACCACCGTTACCTCCGTAGTTGAAGTCAACGGCACCGCTTGGGTTCGACATAATATCGTAGCGAGGATCGTTGCCCAGGAAGCCACCGTGGCCACAGTCAAGGTACAGGAAGTCGGAGGAAGACACAACGATATCATATCCTCGGGCTGTGAGATTCTGGATGTTGGTCAATCCATTGTTCCAGGTCTGCAGAACAATGTCCTTGGGCACATCATGGGCAGCCTCGGTGGACAACGCAATATCCTCCCACATCATGATGCGGCGTTCTTCACCAGCGTCGCGGAAGATAGGCACGGCGTGGTCAACCCAGTATTGAGCCAAGTCATTGTAAGTGCGCGAAGGGTCTTCCAAGAACCATTCAGTAACGTAGGTGCTGAAGTTATAGCAGCCGGGCTGGAGCTCATCGGCTCCGGTGTGGAACCAGTTATCCGTGAAGATCTCGGACAACTCATTGTACACATTGCGGACAACCTCGTAGGTGCCATTGTAGATGATATCTAGCTGACCTGGGTTAGGCTCCACGGAGGTGTGGTATTCATATACATCATTTGACCACCACGTGTTTGCGCAGGCCACAATCTCTGGGTCAACTTGTTGCCAACCAGAAGCTGAGTGCCCTGGCATGTCAACCTCTGGGATGATGCGAACACCACGCGCACGACCGTAGGCCATAACTCGGCGCATGTCAGCCGCGGTATAGGTCTCGCGGGGAGAGTATGCATCCTTCGTCATTTCGGGGTAGACTTCCATGTGCATAGGCCAGGACTGAGCATCGTCCAAGTGCCAGTGCAGAACGTTGAGCTTGGATAGAGACATGCCATCGATCTGCTCCAGAATCTTGGGAACAGTGATAAAGTTACGTCCGGTATCCACCATGATACCTCGATGAGGGTAGAGGGGTGCATCCTGGATATAAACTGGTTGCTCAATAATCAGTCCTCCCTTGCCATCCGAAATAATGATCTGCTGGAGCGTGGTAAACGCGTGTAGCGCACCCCAAACGGTCTGCGCGTGGATCTTGACACTACCGGTCAATTCCTTCACCTCCAAAGTATAAGACTCGTCGACTCCGTGCTGCAAATCGGCGTCGCTATCAACCACGGTAAGCTGGACGGACTGAATCGCCTGGGCACCACGCTTGGTCAACCCTGCGCCGGTCGGGAATGGTGGATATGTCGCAATTGGAGCCTCTATAGCAGCGGGGACCCATTGTAAGGTGGTGATAGTCGACCAGGCGCGAATCCAGGCATCGGTGAGGACGGTATGGGTATGGTTTCGGCTCTCGTTGGTGCGGAGGATGAGCTCCTTAACAGCGATCGGGCCGGATGTCCCCCAAGTGATGTTGCGGGGCGCGGGAAGTGGGTTCACCTTAACGGCCGATACGGTCGCTGTCAAGGCGCCCAACGCACCGATAACCAAGGAGAATTTCATGGTGACGACAAGGGTGGAGAGGAGTAAAAGAAGCTGGACAAAAAGGAGGCGATGGGGCTTATTTATGTCTAGGAAACCACACATGCCGATCGGGATGCTGATCACCTCCTGGTATGTACCTCATGCATAATCAAATGAGGATAATCAGGGCCTCAACTGCGGAGCCATTGCAATGGCATAGATCCAATAAACAAACCCCTTGATGTTCAAATGTGTGTTTCAGTTGTAACTTGTTTAATGGATCAAGGTTACATTTTCATTTACTCCACGCGATTAGGGGAGTTACTACTCCGTACTAGTAGTAGGCGGGAGCTCAACCGTCAAGTGCGACCTCCACATACTACATTGGGGTTATGCAGCTAAATGTACACAATGCTTGAGTCTTTGGAAAGTACGAATGAATTTGTTTTCAATTTTTGTATATGAGACTCGTATAGGAAAATACTCTCAATTGCTTCATCCTACTCCATATTCCGTACAGCTGTCAGTGCGAGTACTACCGTTTCATACTAAGTAAACAATAAACACCGTGACTCGGTGGCTGGGAAGGCTGGGACATGACTCGCCTGATCAACTTGAATGTACTAAACATCTCGCATGAAATACCACAGTCACACTGGCATCCAGCACTATTTCCCTTGCACCTTTGAGGAGACAAGTTCTATATCTTATCTCCGAATCACGGTCCTCATTTTGCACCAAGCCTCAGAGCTACCCGAGTGTGGGGTATGCTATACGTAGCACCAGATAACAGCGGGGCAGCTGCAAGTTAAGTATTAGGAAACCTTCAAGGTATCATTTATGTGTACTTTGATATTTGTACTAATTGCCAATGAATATTGCTTCTATGCCTTCTCAAATGACTTCTCCGTCTCCATACCCTCCCGGAATTCCTCATGAATGGCGGCAATAGCCTGGGTTGAGGGTACAACGCATGGGCGTCGAGGCAATCCACCATAACCACGATAGGATTGTAAAGCGCTCTTCACCGCAACAAAGCCACCATGAATAGCACCCCAATCCGTACGCGCGACAATGGCTTGTACTTTCTGCGCCTCGGCCACCTGACCACTCTCGTATAGCTTCATCACTTGCACGCAGGACCGAGGAATGAGGTTAGCGACACCACCAATGATACCGTCACCACCCGCAACCAGTGTCTGCAGAGTGAAATCAGCTGATCCACCGAAAGTCAAAAATCCAGCCTTGGAAGCGGCAGCGACCCGAGCAAGCTTGCCAGTGTTACCACATGTGAGCTTGCATCCGATGATATTGGAGTGCTTGGACAGCGCAAGGATGTCGTCAGAAGATAGATCCAGACCGGAGGAGGCACCGGGGAAGTTATAGATAAGAACAGGTACAGGCGATGCATCCGCAACGGCGTGGAAGTGTGCGTGGAGGGCCTCGTTGCTAACAAGAGCTTTATAGTAACTGGGGGGCAGGACCAGCACGGCATCCGCACCTGCCTCGCCGGAGTCCTTGCAAAGCTGAATTGTCTCGCGGGTAGATGCGGCACCACAACCAGCAATCACCGGGAGATTTGGATAACCTGCAGCATCGACGGCGCGGCGTGTGGCTGCTGTGATGGCCTTGCGCTCCTCACGGTCCAGATGAACTGCTTCACCGTTGCTGCCCTGAGTGACCAGGCCTGTAACGCCACTCTGCGCTAGGTATGCGGCGTGTTTCTCGGTGGCCGCCAGATCAACCTCTTCATCTGGCTTGAAGAATGCCACCGTGGGCACATAGACACCTCGTGGGAGGGGGTTCCGCCTGGTTGTTCCGTTGGCTGTCATTGTGGATGTGGATGTGGATGTGTATACTATGGTTTTCAATTTGTTAATCACACGGACAAAACACGAAGAAGCAGAGAGGTTCCAACTAACGATCAATGAGTCCGAAAGGTTATAAGTAAAAATCATTGCCAAGGGGCGAATGGACCAGCTAAATAACCGATGGAAGTTGTGATCTTCACCCCCACGTCCCCCACTGCGTCTGATATGATTAGCCGTTCATGTTTCCACCGATTATCATCCGCCATGTACCACGCGGGGCAGCGTGGGAGATGGAGACGTTTCTTCCGTTTCTTCCGTCATGATTTTCTTCCTCCCCCACGCCATATGCGGGGTTGAGAGCTCAGTCTTTATAATGAGCGACCATGATTGGGCTTGGATGTCTTAACTGAGGGAGTCAGGAATGTCCGTGTATGAACTTGGCGTCATACATGGTCACGCGAAGAATCTGTGCAGATGAAATGGTCAATGCCGAAACCAATTCTTGAAAGTGCTTCTGTACTGAGATTGGACCATCGTTTGAGGTGGTAGAGTGCTTCCCCGATGTCCCACAGAGTTGAATGACTCCCCCACTTCAGGACGTGGGGGTGCGTAGGTTCGGGCACTGAACTGAACACACGGTTGCTCCAAGGAGTGATCCCCTCATCATTTGTTCCCCACACGACACTGTATAAAATCGAACTTCAACAAAATCTCACCGCAAACCGCCTCAAATTAAGTAATACCCATGGCTCGGAGGCGATTGATTCAAACATGCAGTTACGGAATGGTCTAAGCTTACATACCCACATCGAACTCTTGTATATGAATGCAACTTTGACCAGATACTATATCCCCCCCCCCAAATTAGAAGTTTTACATGCTGTTTCCAAGTTGTGGGTTTATATGGGACCAGTAGGTGATGAGAGATTAAAATATTGACTATCACGTGGCCACAGGGTGCAATAAACAACTTTGGAAAGCCCAAGGTCTCACCTTCTCATGATGAGATCACCATAAATACCCGCTTCCAGACAAGCAAGGAAGAGTACTGACAAGCATGAGTTACTATGTAACTGATTTGATGTGTATGCTCTGCTCAGGCGTACACGGCAAGAAGTCATGGGCAAGGGAATTCATTGCTGGTAAGGTGTTCACGTCCGAATAATGTTCCAGACTTATACTAACAATGTGGGCTCCTCTCAGTATTGGCAAAGCATCATGGCATCGAATTGGGGAGAGTTACACTTCAAAATGTTGTTGATTCCCACTGGCCAGTCATAATTCAAGCTATTGGAGCATGGAACAACTCAGGGAATGAATACATTGGTCAGTTCAAGATACGAACTGTGGCAATTACCAAAACTGATCTTTTCTTGTGCATGCATCCTGCTATACTTTCCTAGAAAGGGAAATTTGTTTGGAGCTCAATCCCGTCAAACTTTTCAAGTTATGCCAGGCCCTTCAGTCTGAATGTTATAGCTTCGGGCGTCGTGGGGACTGGGAACTCCTGGGTGAGCAAACATGCATTGAATTCCGCTTCTCTCAAGGATACTGATATTCACTCCAGATTGCCCAAATCCCTTGGGAAAAGAAACTCTCAAGACCCCAGATTATATCATACTGATCAAAGGTTCTTGCTTCCAGACCTCTATGTTTTTCCAACTCCCATTCGAGATATTGATCTTTATTCTCGAGTTGCTCTCACCCTCCAGTCTTATATCCTTCTTTTGCTCATGTCAGACAGCACTGTCCTTGATGTCAAATTCAAGCTGTTACAAGAGACTTCCACAGTTGACAAGCTGCATGATCCTTACAGATACCCTCATATATGCATTGCGCAATCTTCTGGTTACGGGGATATTTAGAATCCAGGACTATGAAGCAATGAACTTCCAATGGAGAATTATCTCCAATTTGACTCAAATTCAGGGTCTGCTTCCCCTAGCTTCGGATGCATACTCTCGGTCAACATCATCTGACCCACGCGACATGATAAAATACTGTGATCATGAATTTGGTCTTGAAGAGAAATTTTCATCCATCGTATCTCTCTACCCAACATCCAACTTATAGGGCGCAGATGCAGAGAGCCCTCATTATCATGTGCTACCATCTTAAACCCCGATATCTGGACAATTCACTTTGTTATTGATGACCTAGGGATATGCAGCATTAGATTTGGTGACTCGTGGTGGTCTAACGGTGATCCCGCTATCTTAAACCGCTGGGAAGGACTTAGCAGAAAACAGGCGGGCCTGGATCAGATTCGTGTTGTTCAAGACGTACGTAGGAAAGTTGAGTCAATTGCTCCTTAACATCAAAGAGATCTAGCTAACACAGTCATCGTGAAGGGTGTTAAGTTTCGGCATATTTCCTGGTCAAAAGACATTGACTTCAAATCATTCGATGAGCATTTGCTACTTCAACCAACATTTGTCATTGCCTGATATCGCGGCAGAATATTTTCGGCATTCGCGAAGAGAACATGCCGCCTCATGGTTATTTCTTGATGGAGTCAGCATGGCTCCCAAAAGCACCAGCCAGGTTAATTGTCGATGATTACAATAATTTCAACGGAATACTCCATGTGAAAGATCAGGACGTACTGAACCAACTAGACAATCGCCATCCTTTTCAGATACACGGTCCAGATGAGTTTATTGATGAAGTGACTATCTATGACGGGGATACTAACATTTCCTCCGGGTATCATCCTACAGTAACATTGAGTGTTGTTGTAAGTAAAGCTGCTTAAACAGGAATCATGGCTGGGACTGATTTTCAATGTGGTAGATCAGCACTAACTGGGGAGGAAGATATCGCCTGGGCCCACCCATACCAGGAACATACAATGTTGTCACCTTGAAGCCGGAAAAAAGTGACCATATAACAGGCTTTGTGTTCACATCTCGAGGGTCTCGTTTTGGAGTGGTCTTTGCTTATGGGACCAGTGGGAGATGCTGGTCAAAATGAAGCTGCAGGCGGACGGATTATTTAACCATAGCTCAAGGAAATGGGATTATAGTTTAGCCCATGTCAAGCACTAGAATTATGAAGCTATCCCGAGATCTGGAGGTCGAATCACTCTGAGCCTACTATTCCTAATAGGTATAACTTCGGCCAAAAGTAGTCACTGCACACCACCAAGTACCTTGACCTGAGGACTTGAGTTAACCCTAGAAAACACTCACTGCCAATAAATTTCAAATGGCAGCGGAAAAAAGGATATCCAGCAGGATTTGGGATCGAACTCGAAGGCTTGAAAACCAGAAACCACATGGTTGACAATTGACGTAGTTATTGATACATCCACCCCCGTCACAGAATCCCTTCTATCTCCATCAATTTTCATTATTTGGATAATCTGAAAGTTCTAGTGGGAAAAGGGAAAATAGAAGTATCATTGATTAAAAATCAAAAAATTAACAAAAGGATTGTCCCTAGCAAATGCTAGATTCCCAGCCGCCCATTGGTCAGCACTTCTGCCACCGAAAGGGACCCAATAATCCCAATCAATACCTCTATCCCCTGACGAGTCGTAGGCCGCTTGAGCCGTTAAGCCAGCTGGGCAGATCCGATCCTTAGAATGCTCTTTTAAGAAATATAAGGGAGCATTCGTGGCCATATTGTGGTTCCTCAAAAGATGTTTAACCAGTTCCGGTTCTAGTTTCCAGGGTTAGCCTTCCGTCTTGCCTCAAGCCCTGGAGGGGTTAAAATCATCAATCTGGCCAATGGGAATGACTCACGTAGGTAATCCAGTCAGTAGGAAGATGACACGGTGGGCGATAAACTTCTTCAACACAGGCCATACCAGGCCAAAATCATTCAACCATAAAAAGACCAAACTCGGGTCGTAAGCCACCATGGGCAGTTCCCAGTCTTCGTGGATCACAAATTGGTGGTGGGAGATAGGACTTCTTCTTCTTCTCGCAGGTCGCTGGTCCTTTCATAAATCCAATTTCGCAGTATTGGCCGAGTCACCCAGCACCTTCCTACACGGAGGCATGGCCCAGGTCTCCCAAATCCCTGCCGAAATGATATGATGGCTGCCACACGCCCCTGCGTCGGACACCGGATGATAGGCTAACTTCACACACACACCAAACAACACGGAATCAGCATCATCGAGGGAGGAAACAATAGAGGCCGTATAAGGATGAAAAACAGTGGGTAAGAGATGGTTTAATTTCACGTATCAATAGCTGCTCGTTTTAAGTAGATTGAAGTCGGGCATATTCTAGTAAACACGATAGTATTCTGCCCAAGTTCACCGTCTCAGCGCCCCAGCGCAACTGTCTCTATATGATACACTGTATGAACTATGTAAATCGGGTTTGGGGTAGTATAATTAGACCAAATTTATGCAAATATTGCCAGGTAGAGCACTGGAGTATACTGGGATTGAACTTGGAGCCCCTATCAGCTCCAATTACTGCCCATATGGGGAACCCTATTCCCCAGATGGCAGTGACATATTCGGATACTCTTTGGTTGAATTTATACAACTGGTAGTACGCTGGCCTTCAAGCTGAGGTGGCAAGTGCTACTGTAAGTATGATTGGAAGATAGAATTAAACTTGGAAGACGTTGATCAGAATCTTGACATACAAATCAATACCTATTAGTATCTTGATATCAAATTCTAGATACCATTGATTGTATGTATCATCATCAAAATGTCGACCGGTTCAAGTTGCCAAGAACATCATTCTCCCTGACCACCGTCCCCTTCCAAGTTCCAGGCTTCAATCTTTCCTTTCAAACATCTGTTTGATTCCTGGCAGAACTCTGGTATTTACTTACCACACATTATGACAGACGACTGAGATCTTTTTTCGCACTCCCCACTCGAGCATGGCCATTCTGTCGCGGCCGTCGCTCCGCGGTCCTGTGCGACGGAATCCCGACAGTCGGTCGGAGAGCCATGGCCGTCCGCCGATGAAGAAACAGCGCACCCTGGAGGACTATGGTGTTCGTCGCCGGAGAAGCTCTCCAGACTGCCTGGACACCACTGCCACACAGGATATGAACGCGGTCGACAAACCTCGATCTAATCCTCCCTTGAAGCCCGCGCGCCCGCGGAGTGCGACAAAACGCGCCCGCCGCCACTCCTCCTCATCGGTCGACTCGATCGCGTCTGCGACCCAATTGAAAACCCCCAATCATTCTCATATTAATGGCAATGGCTCCGCCAGAAATGTCAGAGTACCTGATCGAAATACTCCCTCTGCCTTACAGCGCCTACTTGATGACCGTGACTCCCCGGACCCATTGGATACCATCTCTCCAGCACCCACTACTCCTATCTCCAGACCGCGCTCTCTTGCCTCCACCAACGCGTCTGAAAGTGAGAACAAACCCTCAACCTCTACTGCGACAACCAATACAACTCAAAAAGATGACTCCGATCCGACCCCAGAACCCAGTGATGTGGTTAAGGACGAGAAGAGCGGGGAAGAAGGCCGAAAGGCGGAGCAGCCAACCGTAACGAGTCCTGCTGCTGCGACAAGGTCTCAGCAGAAGCGCAAAAGCGAAATCGTAGAGAGCGAACAGCCTGCACCTGCACCTGCACCTGCACCTACGCCGACAGGGACTGAGAGAAGGTCGTTACGCTCTGCCGACACGGGCTCTCGTTGCAAGAGCGATTTGGCCCAGTATTTCTACAACTACGAGCAGATTATCAGTCTCCAAAACCCCAAGCCTGGTACGTTCAATCCTAATTTTACAGTTGTGACGATCATTGAATTGACCTCCAGATGCAGTTGAAACACTTGCAGCGAATACCAGTATCACAATAGTCGATGACCTCTCCGAGACATTGCCTTTTCCTAAACCAGACCCGAATCCTTTTGGCAATCCACTCGAAAAACTTTACGACTGCGAGCCAATATCGCTCCCAAAAGTAACTCGCCATTCATCAGGGCATGATCCCCTCAGTGAAGAACTGTACTTCAAATCACATCGCCGCTTTGAACGCCAAGAGAAGCAATTGCGAAACATTGAGCGCGATCGTGCGCAGCATGAAAAGCAGCAATTAGATCGACTGCTCGAAGAGCTGCGCGGTCAGGATTGGCTGCGAGTTATGGGGTTGATTGGTGTCCACGAGAATGAGAAGAAGCTCTACGAGCCAAAACGAGACATCCTCATTCAAGAGCTGGTGGCGCTATTGAAAAAGTTCCAAGCCTGGAAAGACGAGGAGAAGCGACGAAAGCTAGCCAAAGAGAAAACAACCCCCGCAGTGGACGCCGAAACCGAGTCTCGACGCTCACGGAAACGATCCAGACCCGCTGAAGAGATTACAGAGGAAAGCTCCCTCTCACCTGAGCTCGCAACGCCTAGTACGCCTGACCCCAGTGATGTGGACGCATTGGCTGCACGTCAGCTTCACCAAGAAGCCCGCTCAGCCTCAGATTCGGCAGCTAAAAGCCGTCGCAAATCAATATCCGGTCCTCGAAAGCCCAAGCCCAAGCCCACTGGAGCAGACGAGGACGAGCAAACCAAAACAACCGACAAAAAGGCCTCTCAAAAGCGCCAAAAAACCCAAGACATTCCCGAACCCTCGCCCATCCCTCCTGATCCCGTTCCTTTTTTGCTTCCTCCCCTCGACGATAAACCCTTTACCTCCTTTTTCTCCGATCCTCATGAGCGCGAAACAGCCCTGTCTGCAATAAATACAAACCGCGAGGAACGCACTCATATTATCCTGGCATTCGGTCAACCTCTGGGGGAAGTAGAGGAGAGAGAGTTTCAGCCACCAGATGAATTTATTACCGAAGAAGCTATTCAGTCTTCACGTCGTCAGCGGCGATTATTGAAGCGACGGAGCCATGGCTGATTCGGGTGATCTGTTTGATCTGACAAACATTCATTTTTAATCTTCTTTTATGTCTTTCTACGCATCTTTTGCGCCGTGTATGATTTTTGTATGATAGCATTGAGGCGTTTGTGGCATGGCATGTTCGTGGTCTGGTTGGGTCGGCGTTGCTTGTGAGATGAGGTCTATTATTTCTATTATTTCTGTCCACCTTGTACAGCTGGTGGAAGCAGAACATTTGAATGAATGAACTGTGAGAGTAATTGAAAAATTGCACGTACTTTACTATTTGTAACTGGTAGTTGAATCTCAACCTGGAGCTTGTTCAAGCGGTACGTTCTACCAATTATCCAATCGGTACCTACTCTAACGTAAGAAAAGATTCATCGTCTGACATAAAAGCCTCCATCATATCAGTCACTGTGTCATGCTCTTAGCACAAATCTCGAGTCATCTTGTTATGAAGGCCTTCAATAGTCCGGGAATTGGATTGTTATCTCCACCTCTCACGAACTCGCCGAAAACCGCCCGATTCCTGCATATGCATCAATTCCTTTGGTTGGTCTGTATCGTACAACACGGCAAGCCTCTCTATCGAAAAATGAAAGACTATTGCATTAGCTTCATAGCCGAGCAGCCCAATGACTAGAATAGTCAGGCTAGTGTGGAAGAGGCGAGGTTCTCGCACTCTGTCGTAGAATATCATCGAGATCTCCCCAGTTGAAATTCTTGACAACAGGGCGATAAAGAGTGGAAACTAGAAGACCTGGCATATGTGGACTTCCAAAATTGGGATGCATAGCAGAGATAGATCATGTACAACTGAAAGAAGCTCTCGAGATTATATTTGCTAAAGAGAAATCCACTCGTCTAATGTCTTATTGCTCCCAATTTCTGACTCTTCTGCTACCTGCAATATCGACTCTCAGAATAGTAGAAATTGCACTCTTTGACCCGTCCAATTTAGAGAAAACAATGGACATGTGGGTGGCTATTGGAGAGACAATGCTAAAGAGAATTGAATAGCTCTAGATGGTTCCATTCTGCGAGTTTTATCTACTATACCAGGTTAACGGAGATTTCGGACCACACGACGCGTATTAAGTCTTGCACCGGATAAAGATAACTAGAAAATGAAGCCAAAGAAATTTCAACAGCGTTCTCATAAGCGATAATCCAAGGTACTCGCGCGTATGAATATGGATCCTATAGATCTGACCTCGTGGCTAACCGCTCAGAACCAATAATGGGCTCGGGAACTCATCCTCGCTGGATCCAGGACCCATAATTATAGACTGACAGGGCTGTGTTAGCGTATAAATCCTCATCTCGGTGACATACCAAATTTGGCCACCGAGCGAATCGGAGCTTGATCGCAGCAGTGTAGACGCCGGCATCCGACTTCGCACGGCAAATCTACGGACTAAGCATATTGAAAATGCTAGTATAGACACTAAGGATGTAAAAGTTTTTTTGTGTTAATAAAATGATAAAATTTTAATAAAATTCTTCACGAAAATAAGTGGCTGAGCTAAAAAAGTGGCCAGACCCTGCAGATGAGATCGGCATAAGCTAGCCGCCATGTGGGAAAAATCTATCAATCTGAATTCCAGTTTATACTATTAGTACTGTTGAACCACTGGAAAGGAGATGAAAAAAGCTTTTTGGCCACGCCGGCATCGGCGCAGAAGTTTTTTTTTCTTCGATTTCCCCGGTTTTTTAATGAGTCTGAGACTGTGTTGCAGAGCTTTTTTCTATGGATTCTATTACGTCTCGGCGCCGTGATTCGTTCTATCGGGCCGATGGCCGATTTTGACCCACTCCGAGCCGCCCATGTTGGAATACTTTATGCTGAAGAACTTTTGACTCAGTTTCTTTTAAACATATTTTTCTTTTTCTTTCAACAGTTTCTTTTCGACAAAATATTCGAAGTTTTTATTATACTCACTTACAGCTTCACGTGCTTTTATACGTGGTTGTTTACTTGCGTCTCATCGGTGGGAGCTATCAGTACCTCCTCGCGGTCTTATACAGACCAGCAAACTTGTTTTGAAGATGGGTGCTTCTATGGAGAGTTCATCTCCATCTGGAGATATGGAGTACAATATTCCAAAGACTGCGGATCAGGTCAATCTGGAGGCCGACGAGAAGCAGGATATCGCCCCTGCATACAACCAAGATGCTTTCGGTAACGAGGAGTTCGCGGAGGTCAAATACAAGGTCTTGAAGTGGTGGCAATGTGGTCTGCTCATGGTTGCGGAAACTGTATCCTTGGGTGTTCTTTCTCTGCCTGCAGCTATCGCTACTATGGGCTACGTTCCCTCTGTTATTGTCTTGGTTGGTCTTGGTGTTATCACGACATACACCGGATACATTATGGGTCAGATGAAGTTGCGATTCCCGCAAATCACCACTATGGCTGATGCCGCTGAGATTGTGGCAGGAAAGTTTGGTCGCGAGTTCGTTGGTGCTGCTTGGAGCATCTTCTTCATTTTCATCATGGCTAGTCACTTGTTGACCTTCACCGTTGCTATGAACACCATCACGGATCACGGAACTTGCACTATCGTCTTTGGAATCGTGGCAATGGTCGTCTCTTTTATCTGCACCCTCCCTCGAACCCTGGAGAAGATGTCATGGCTTTCTATTGTGTCATTCATCTCTATCTTCTCTGCTGTTCTGATCACCATGATCGCTCTGGGTATCGAGAGACCCGGTGCTGGCCTCACTGCCGTCACCCAGACCAACCTCTACAACGGATTCACTGCCGTCACCAACATTGTCTTCGCTTTCTGCAGTCACGGTGCCTTTTTCGGTTTGATGGCCGAGCTCCGCAACCCTCGCGACTTTACCAAGTCCCTTTGCTTGCTTCAGGGTCTTGATATGACTCTCTACCTTGTTGCTGCTGTGGTTATCTACCGCTATGCTGGAGCTGATGTTACTTCCCCTGCTTTGGGATCTACCTCGACTATCGTTTCCAAGGTTGCTTACGGTATTGCTTTGCCAACAGTATGTTCCCAACTTATACCCTACTCTCGTATAAAAGTTTCTAATTGTTCATAGATTGTCATTGCCGGTGTCATCAACGGTCACGTTGCCATCAAGTACGTCTACGTGCGTATCTTCCGCGGTACCGACCGTATGCACAAGCGCGACTGGGTTGCCATTAGCTCCTGGGTTGGTATTGCCGCCTGCATGTGGGTCCTCGCCTGGATCATTGCCTCCGCCATCCCTGTCTTCAGTGACCTCCTGAGTTTGATCGTGAGTGCCCTTCATATACCTCTTCATATCAATCATGGTACTAATTATAATATAGACTGCTCTCTTTGCCAGTTGGTTCTCCTTCGGTTTCCCTTCTATCCTTTGGTTCCACATGAACAAGGGAGTCTACTTCTCCTCTCCCCGAAAGATCGTGTTGACTATTATCAACTTGATCATTGTCGGAATCGCCTGTGCTCTTTGTGGTATGGGTCTCTGGGTTTCTGGAAAAGCTATCCATGATAACCCCAGCAGCGCGAGCTTCTCGTGCGCTAATAATGCTTAAACACTATTTGAGGCATTGTATAATATGGGGAAAAGGCGTTTTGGCATCTCTTGTTCTTGATCTACGGTGTGGACTTGATGAGAGCTTCATTTTTTATCAAAAGCATTTACATACTACTAGTACAAATATTTACTAGCATGGATTTTTTCCATGTTCATACTTGAAATAATATAATCAAACATTTCAATATTTCAACTTGAATACTAAATATCATCAAGTAGCGATAAAAGTGACCTTTTCCTTGCCACTCCCGAGGTCCAGTAGTAGTGCTAACTTGAAGATGCATATCACTGGCATCAAATTACTTCTCTATGGTTCGTGGATCAGATAAATGCAGTGATTCAAGTTACTAGTACGAGATTGCGCTATTCCGCAAGCTCGCCAAATTCTGCCCGTATACTCAAGGGAGATTTAGATCTAAAATAATAATCTTTCTACTAGTACTAGAACCCATCGGGACGGCGCAACCTTGGAATGCGAAACCGGATACGGTACTCTGGAGTCGTTACAACTTGTTCCTATTACACGGTCAAGGAAGGTTATCTGGTGCATTGGGTAGATAGACTGAACACAAGAGGCAAGGAAAGAAACACAGAGGAAAATTCGTCAACCTTGGAAAGACGCGTATGTAGTAGCCTAGAGCTGTGAATTAGACTTCGCTCTTGTCTAATTTCTGTATTCCGATAGGTCTGCATAATGAATAGTTCGTGATAAACTCGTGTGAGCATGTACTTGGAGTCCGTATAGTCTGATCAACCTTGCATGGAACACGAGGAGATTTAGTACGTGGGTTCGCACTCGCGTTCTGTGTCAGCATATAAAAATAGGGTAAAGAGATCATCAGATCATGTGTGACGCACGGATGGACGCGAGGGTGTGGAATTCCTCGGACGTGGATCATCTTGGGCTTCAAGGTAGTAGCCTTGCAGACGATCTTCTGTGTCATTGGTGAGATGCCGAGTCAATTACCGCACGAACCCCTCGAAAACCCCTTGGAGAATCATTTTTTCTGGAGGTTTCTTAAGTTTCTTTCTATCGGTTTAGTTTTCGTGTACTCGGTTAATGTAGCATATACGAATGCTCTCTCATGTAGTACTACATTCCTTGAGCCCTGTAAATGGGGCTTTGTGAACCTCCGACCGGATGGAAATAGTATATGTGGACGATTTTGAGTATTTAGGTATGCAATGATTTACAGTCATTCTCGTGTGAGTGACATGATCTACTCATGATCTACTCATGATCTACTCTGTCTACGTCAAGGAAAAGATTTTCCGTGGGGGTCATGCAAGTCCCGGGGATTCCGTCATTCGCTCCACCCCCAAATCTCCACCCCGGATATCGCGGAGATGGACAAACGGTGCCGTCATCATTCTCGAGGTTTGGAGGTCTGGAGCATTGGAATATTCAACTACTTTGATATAGTATATCAGAACTGATCCACGCATGGACGCAGTCTGGACTCACGCTGAGTCAGAGTTTAGGAATGTCTCTGATTGAACGAGAGTCCCCTGACCCAGCACCAGACTTCAGGGATCAAGCTTTTTGCCCTGGTTCGCAACAAGGAACAGGCGGCGGACCGTTTAACGGAATAAGTAGGCTGCATTTCGTGCATATAGCAGCAATATGCTAAGAACTGGAGTTCCAGCATCTCCTGTCATCCCTTCCTAGCTGTGTGTCACCAAGACAAGCATGGACCTGCGACTACCCCTACTATCCCATGCAAGGGCTGTCCCGGATCATTTGTGATTGTGGTCAGAGACTCGAGAAAATGACACCCAGCCTTGATCATGAATGTCGTGAATGTCATGATTGGAATGACCTGATCAGGACGATGGCTGATGGGGATAAACCGGCGCTATTGTGACTAGCGGATAAGCTTAATAGTGCACGGGTCATCGCGCCTGAACCAGGAACAAGAACCAAGCTTTTTTCTCTTTCTTTTTGCTGGACGTAGTTTCAATGGTAAGATGAGTAGCGAGAACCTGGGTTCCATGCTAAGGGACATCTATTGAATAGGAAGTCCGCGGAATAATCTGCGTCATAGTAGAAAAGTGGTTCAATGCAACTGTGACTAAGCCTAATAGGGACTTTTTACACCAGTCCTACAGGCCACAGTATATGGACTAACAGTTAACAGTTAACATGATTAGAGGCAATTACTATTTAATCCTTTATATTAAATAGTAATAAGAGTCATGTGAATAAATGATATAATATCCGAGGTTGAATGGCGTTATAAAATTGCCTCCATGATATCACTGAACCCCATAGAACTAATCTCGATGAGGGAAGAGTGGAGTATGCGACTCTCCCTATAGAGAAAAAAGTCCCCCGAATGTACCATAGTGTACCAGAATAAACTTCCATTCTACGAGTTGCATACGCAAGTCGTCACGTCAGTGTCATAGTGCTTTCCATTAAAATCCGAAATTCGTTCCTCCCTCACCTACTAAGCTGATCCGAGCGATCTCCCGTGCACAATAGGCACCGCCCCACCGCATCTAGTACGGGCTTCCAGTACGGGCCTCCGAGTCTATACTTATACCGCGTGACCCTCGAGACGCCCCCCAGAGTTTTTTTTCTTCTTCTTCTCGTATACCCCTCACTCTCAAAATCATCCCACAAAGAGAGAAACACATCCAATCCAATAATTTTCAAATGGCCGCAGTGGAGTGTATGTCTATGGCCTCGCGCCATCACCCCCACCATCCCTACAACCAACATAGCCTTGGACGCGCCGGTAGTGTGGGAAGCAGCAGCAACAACCCCTACGCACGATACATGTCTCCAGTCTCATCTGTATCCTCTCGTCACTCAATCTCCGAATACTCATCTCACGTTTCCGTACCTTCCGTCTGGTGGGTCGGCCACACAGAGCATCATCCGGTCGAGCCGAAACGCCGCCGTGATAGTATGGCCTCTATACCAAAGCGCAGTCGCTCAAAATACTCCCGAAACTCGATGCTCGTGAACCCTGATATAATCGACGAGCTTGACAATGTTACTTCATACTCTTACCACCATGAGGGTCCCTATGATGCTATCTGCCCAGAGCGAAACCGAGTCAGCCAACACAGTCCACTAGAGGCGGTTCGCGAATCCAATGAAGAAGCTCTACGCGCGACTCCTCGACACAAGATCATCGACTCAATCAATAGCCACAGACCACTTGATGGCACAGCATTTTATCCGCCTGGCACAACAGATCGGGATGGACAGTCTTATGACTATGAGGAAGGCTCAAATATGATGAATGACTATGGAAATTTTATGCGCCTCCCTGGAAAGGTACATGACTTGCTCAGACCCTGGTATGGTTTTGTTACTTACACTGAATTAGAAATTTACCGACGACGACTTCAAGAATGATCCATTCTACAACCGACCTCTCTCAAATCCGTTTACAACACTGAAGAAGAAATTGAGTCTCCGTCGCAACAAGAAACGACGAAGCACCACTTAAATCGACGACTCTGAGAATTTGGACAATTCTCCTCTACTTGTACACGACTTTACGACCGGCTGAGCCATATCTGCTCTAATGATATCGTTCCTTTCAAATGTTTCTTTTGTTTCTTTGGGTCAGGATTGAATGATACCTGTTATATGGAATAATTGGCGCCAGAATATTTTTTTGTTCTCTTCTTGTCCTTTCCTGTTAGGACTAGAATTATCTTTTCAATCATGTATGGTGTTTAAGACCGGTATGGCGCCTAGGAATGGGTTACTTTGTACTTACGACTACCCAAAGAATGAATGTTTTTTTCAACCCACAAATAAAGTCAAACATTAAAGACCACGTGCTACTAGATTGGAGCTTTAATCACTAGTGTCTTCGCTAAATGATGCCTAGGCTCAACTGAGAGTGTCAGCAGACACCACCACGCGGGGTGAATGTGGGGATCTCCGGTTACCCCACACTACTTGAATCTTCCCCTGAAAGCCTTCCATGTCTATGATCTGAGACACTGGCAGGGCTGAAGCATGGAAATTTAATGTATCTAAATAGATAGTATCACACTAAAGTAGCATATTTGAATCCAAGTATTGGTATGAGGAGGGAGGTTGATTGGTATACGCAAGAAGCTTTAAAGTTGAGGCAATACCTACACATACCACTTGGGCAGCCTCGGCGTTACGTGCCCAGTACGAACTGAAATGACCACCTGATCTTCGGCATTTGAAAGGGGCAATGACACGTCTGACTAATTTGTTCTCTTCTTTGGCCTTCAGGGCCTCAGGGTTCCCTAGCTGAGGTAATCTCTCTAAAACGGCAAAACCTCGGTATCCAGATCGCGCTTGAGCGGATTCTCAGCATTCGGATACTTTTCCTGGATAAATGCGGGGAAGATCTGCAGATTCGGTACTTGAATCTTTCACCTCCTAAGTTCTATGAAGACTAACAGCCGGACTGTCTGAGAATTCGGATATGGATTCGGGATGTAGCGATGAATCGTGAGGAACTGGGGTCGATAAATAGAGAGCTGAGACACGATGAACAATGCATGAAAAGCATCAAAACTTCAATTGTCCCAAATTACAAGAATCCTCAAGTCATTTATCCTTACCGGATAGTATTCAGACAAAAGAAATGAATTACAAAACCCTGCTCACTCTCCTCTTCACCACCCTCCCACTCTCACAACCCACATACGCTTCTGCAACCCCCTCCAACCCCTCTCTATCCTTCCTCTATACAGCTTACGTCCTCTGCTCACCCAGTATCTACGAATCCCAAAACCCAAACGGAATCCAAAAAGCAATTCCCATCATTGGAGGTAACTTCACCGGCCCGAGACTAAGCGGCAAGATCCTTGATCTAGGCGCCGATTGGGGCTCCACGGATCCCCAGACGGGTATATTCTCCGCGAACACGAGATATAACTTACAGACACACGATGGAGCCAATCTGTTTTTACAGACCTCTGGACCAGCGCAGGAGAATGGGAATTTGCATTTGAAGATCGATATATTGACTGGGGATAAGCGGTATTATTGGTTGAATAATATTGTTGGTAGGTACTATCGACTCATCTGACTTTGCAGAGCAAAATTATATTTGATAAATTGGGTTATGTCTGACATTTTCAGCTTTTGGAATCTTGCAAAATGTTGGAGAGAGTGATGAGGGGGTTTCTACTCTACGGATTGATGCTTGGCATGTACGTTACTTGGTATAACTGACTTTGGGTTCAATTATGTGCTAACCTTGGAATATTTGATTCTTGAGATGACGAACGAGTACAACTCAACTACTTTTGTGAATGGCACTACTTACCAGTGAAGCTAAAACTGGTATCATTACGCAGACTGGAGGACTCCAGTGGCTGTTGCAGCTGATGAAAATGCTTTGAGTATGTTGAAGGGGCGGATACTCGTGCGGAAGGACGAGATGATGAGGCTTATGGGGCATGAGAAATGAAAATATCTACATGCGTAGGATTGGGATCTCAGAGAACTGTGACCCGTGAGTTTCTTTTTGGATAACTTGGACGAAATTGGGTTATTCCAGCCTAGTTTGAGTAATTTTTTCTGAAGATGGGTCATGGTGGACCATGTACTCGATCATCCGAATGCAGAACTTACCCTTTCATACTGAGAAACCATTATTCCAACCCAGAATGTGATCTCGTCTATATTTTTGATTTAATGATAGCTTCACACTTGGCGAACGTTATTCTCTGAAAGTGTAGTCGATGAGCACGGACGGCATGGGCCAGAGTCCATTCCTTTTTCCTATGCATCTCTCTGATAACCTTTTCCGCGGACTTTCAGCACATTGGTCTATTCGCTGTGTTCAGCACTCCCCGGCTCTGGTATGACACCTGGAAAGGGTGGTGGTGCATTGAAGCCAGGTAAACTATGATGGCTGTCTGTCATTACAATCCAGGGAGTCTCTTGGCTTTTCCATCGCAGTGAATCAAAGTTAACTCCAGAGTTCTAGCTACCGCGGAATATTTCAACAGGGCTGGAGCTTAGCATATGAAGCATGCTGGGCACTACTAGGGAGTTGGATCCAATTCAAGCGAATATTCTCTGCCAAGATGGCCTTGAGAAGTCAACCCCGTATCCAAGTCCATACGAGTCATTTCAGGAGGCTCTACAGAGCGCACACAGTGTACGGAGTATTCTGTACAGAGCATGAGACTTGCACAGCCATCCAGAGAGTTGCTCAGCCCTGAAGGTGGGTAACAGGGAGAAAATTTTTAAAGGGGTAAGGCCAAGGATGTTGGAGCGGCTTGATACGAGTGCGACTCTTGCTCAATGACTCCGATGCTGAAGCGCTAACCTTGATCCGGTGAACGCAGATGAAACGAAAAGTTTCTCTTTGTAAGGCAGTGATCTAAGCGCGGCTCTGAAGGTCAGGGTCTGGGCTAATTGAGGTTATTTTATGGAACTCAGATCGTATTCAAAGTGGATTGACCTTGTCGATCACTGTTGATCGTGCCCGTGGGTTTGTTAAACTATGGGACTTGGGTAAAATTAGAATCACTGACAACCATTATTCTGAGGAGTCCAGGGGAGGTGAAGTATCGAGAGAGTTTTACATTGAATAAGCGGTTCAAATGGGTTCCTGGGCCCGTTGATTGCGCAGAGATTGACCGATGAAGTGAAAAAGATACGAGATGGATTACTTCCATACTAAAAAGACTTCAGCCCCAATTTTAGACCTGGCAGTTGGCGTTGATAGGCTAAAAACACTGCTTAAACACTGTGAGTTTAATTTGGCTCGTATCAACGATATTTTTCAGGGTCTAATTTTGGTGATGCCACGGTGTAGTCCCTATCCTAGTACTATACTTTAGAAGCAGCCAATTTCTCTCTTTAACTCTCACTTTCCCTAGCTCTCAACACTATCCATTTTCTTTGCAACAATACACATTCATTTCGCAATCATGTCGTCGGGTCCAAACAGATCCCGCCTCTCAAAGTGGTATCCCATCAGCTTTGCCATTGCCGCTGTCGTCTTTTTCATTATCGGCGGTGCACTGATAGGTACCTACTTTAACTCTTCCTGGTCATCCTGCGACAGCTCCTACTACTATTACGATAGCTATTACAGCGGTAGCAGCTGCCTCGATGGAAACAATGGCGAGTTCTACGGTGGTTACGCCTGCATCGTGATTGGCGGTATCTTGAAGCTCACTGCTTGGATTCTCTTTATCATCTGGTGCGTCAAGCGTCAGCGTGGAAACTCAACAAACATCACATACGTCAACAACGCCCCCATGGAGCCTATCAAGCAACAGGAGCACTATGCAGCCCCTCAACCAATGTACCCCGCCCAGGGTGCTCCTTACGTGTCTCCATCTCCTGCTTCCTCTGGTACCATCTACGCTGAGGCAGGTGCGCACTCATCTGTAGGAACGCCTCCACCGAAGGAGGGCCTAGCGACGGGCACCGGATACAAATTCTGCTCTCAGTGTGGAACGGCTTCGAGTGGGCGATTCTGTCCTCAGTGTGGAATTGCCGTCCGAGTCTGTGGATGAGAGGAGCGATTGTCAAGACCTTCAATTGCGCAGTCTAGATTGTTGAGATATGTTGCTGCCTATTGATTTTATCAATCATCCATATTGGTTCATCGCTGTGAGGAGTATCTGCTCGAAAAGGAAGAGTAGGTGGACAACAGCGCTGCAAGGGGCTCACATTGCTTTCTCTTGGACCACACTTGTGATATTCGCATCGTTTAATTGGAGGTATTCCTCATCCAGACCAGGTCTAAAGAGACTGGTTTATTTCACGCAATATGACCTCAGGGAGAGATGGTGAGAAACGATCAAGATAGGCAGGAGCTTTTGCCGGAATGGGCAGGATAACTCTCACTTTCAATGTTCATTTTTTTCTTTTCTTTTTCTTTTCTTTTTAAGAATCAGTTTCATCCCGAGTCGCTTCAAGGCTCTGCTACACGTCAATGATCAATCGAGATCCAGTTTGTTTGCAGAATAGAATCACTAGCGCAATACTGTCTTACTCTCATTGATATTTCAAGAGACCTTCAGATTTTTTATCTGGCTTCTGTGAATGGTGTGGTGAAACGCGACACCAACATTGTGTCTTGAGCGCCGGGTGGGCCGTGGCTGAAGCACGGTCGAAACGGGAAAACCCGTACTCCACACGCTCGATAATCATAGGATCGCAGTAGATCAGTAGTCTGTACGGAGCACGGGGGATTAAATGGCGTACTAGTAGTTCGAATTTTGCCCAAGATCGAGATCATTGACCCGAGTATCTGGTTCAGGGTAATCCAGGAGCTATATAATGACCGATAGTCTCCTAAATCTCATAATTCTAGGTACCTTGCATAACCGAAGGATTCCTGTCGTTATTGAATTTAAGTAATTAGTTGTGGGAATGATTGTTAAATTATTGATTAAACTTGATCATGATGTGCGTGATAGGGTTGCAGTTCGTAGGAGACTATGGACCGAGACCGAAATTGCATTAGAACGTGCCAATCTCCACGATGCATTGATCTTTGTTCACGTTCATGTTCAAATGTAACCCCTGCAAGCTTCAGGGATGTGATTCACTAGTCAACATGATTGGCATCAAAAGGTTATCTGATTGGCCATATAGAGAATTTGAAATAGTGGGGCTTTTAAAAAGATGTTGGTATAAACAAAGCAAAAAACAAAAGCACAAGCCAGTAGTTGCCCAATAACTCCGTCTAGCTTCCATGTCGACGCTCGCATGTTCCAATCCATTCCCCCCAAGCCAGAACATCGTGAGGTTTCAATTCTCGTAGTAACCAGTCCTTCGTCAGGGGCTTATTTCCCAGCCTTGTCACCAAGTCCGCTTTTAACGCAATCACTTGGAAAAAATATCGGTGTTCGCCATGGGCTAGAATCGGTCGAGGTCCACTCCAAATATTCTGGCCCCAGTTTGTGCCGTATCGGAATCCCCCCCGCGAGATGAGGAGTTTCACCGCAGCCACGTTGACCTTGTGGGATCAGTAAGGGGCGAAAGTCCTTCGCGACTAGCATTTTTTTGTGTGGAGAGATGCCGTAGTATAATCCAAGAACCACAGGTTGGGGTAATGGGGCGTCGGGGTCTTCAATAATAATCATATAGCTTGACACATAATCTTCAAGACCAAGTGGGAGGGTCCATGATAAACTTGGGAATGTGTTATCGCCGAGCGGGGTGTGTTCTGGGGAAATAGATGAGCCTGAGGGACCGAGAGATGAAGTGACGAGAATAATTGAAGGTTGTCGAGAAATAGATTCAGACGCTCGGGTCAATAGAAGTGAGTCGCGACCCCGTCTGTGTGCTAGACAACGGCCTAGAATGGCCTCGATTGAGGAAGGGAGGTGGTCCATGATCATTAATTGTCAGAGCTTTGATGTAGGTTTATTCGAAGAATAAGTACTTCGCGGGTTGTGATAAACAAAGCGAAATCCAACTTCCACTAGCCCCTTACGGATCATGATCCAAAATCACGCCCTCGAGTGTAATATTCCAAATTTAAGTCATCACCCCTCCAATTGGGTATCCATCGCGTCTTTGTGAGCTATCTACAGAGTTGGCAACTTTGTCACTCTGTGATTTGTCTGACAAATGATCGTGACGGAGGACGGAGCACCCACTGGCAGTTTAGTTTGTTTTGCTATGGCGTGAATCAGATTGATCTTCTCCGTACCCGCTCGCTGAATTATGTGACAAGGTCTGATATGGAGAGAACAATTGATGGTGCTCTGCAGTACTGATATTTAGAGTATAATAATGGCGACCATTGTCTAGCACTGTATAGCGCAGCAATGGGTATCAAAGGTTTCATTTTTCATATCTCAAGATCTAATCAATGGAATCACAATGGAGTGGAGACTGAATTTTGAGAAAAAGCAAGGTAATCCTAGCAAAGTTTGAATTCCGGGGATTTTGAACAAAGCACGAGCCCAAGAGGCACTAAGGATATCAAATTCACCCAGCTCTCTAACACTAGAGCCACCCTACTAGTTGATTCCTTCCATTGTTTACTTCGCTAGACTCTGTGATTCACTAAATACTGATTATTGCGAAGTTTGGCCTCATTGATTCAACAAAAGAAAAGGAGAAAATTGTGAATTGGTCTCATGGGTATGTGATGAACCTTTGCTTGACTTTCCGAGGTTGTGTGAGTGATCAATTCAATATTTGAAGCACTTGAGGTATCGAAGATTCATGTGAAACCTGAAGTAGTTAGAGATATTGGGAGGCTGGAATAAGAAAAATGCCGATCATATTGTTCTCAGACTACATACTAGTAGACTGCGAGTTCTGAAGTGCGAATAAAGAGAATCGCCATTCTAACATTGAAGGTTTCAGTAGAAAAGAATCAGAGATGTACTATATATCGTAGATCTTGCTCACTGCCCAGGTGGCCATCTTATAAGCATGGCAAGGAATGATGGGAAAGATCACCTATAAGAAACGGTATGAAACAGTACCTAGGTGGTCTTTCAACCATATTGATCCTGAGAATGAGTCCAGAGTGGTGACCATGGGTCCATGATCTACCCAGGTTTTGATTTAGCTCGCGACTTGGATTGTATAAGCAGGATTTCAGTTCCTGATATTAATAGCCCGGATGGTCTAGTGGTATGATTCGCGCTTAGGGTTCACCCAAAGCATAATTGCGCGAGGTCCCCGGTTCGATCCCGGGTTCGGGCCTATTTCTTTTTTGTTTCTATTTTTTTTTTGTGCTTTGCAGAATTTTCCCAAGGGCTACAAGGTGGGTCCGCGGCTGAGCCCATTCCAACATAAGCAGTAAATGATTTCGAAGCTGCTACTTCTTAATTGACTCCGTCTTTAGTGCATAGTTATACCGTTGAATCAGATGATTTTATTCACAAAAAATGGAACGTCGTAAAAACTTTTGATGTCTGGCCACATCACCGTACAAAGTACTCACAATAAGTAGGAAAATACGTTGCCACAAGCTGGTATCGCGTAACAGGCTCCCTTCTTGCGGAATGACCTGAAGCTAAAGCGGCGGGCAGGTTTCAAATTGAAGCGGGCAGAAATATGCGCGTGCACTTTCATTTCTGATAATAAATTAGCATGAATGAAATCACATTTCAGCAGATGGGAAACAAGCGTATGTGATGACTTACTATCACGGGGGTAGAAATGCGGTTCTAGTCCGAGACTGGTTTTAGCCTCGTAGATGTAGAAGTTCATGAATACCTGATCTTTGGTATCGGAAAAGACCATCAAATCTGTGAAAATAGGTTATGTGATAAATGATTTCAAGGCTGCTGCCTTTTAATCAATCGCCTTTTCTCTACTACATAGCTATACAAATTGAATCAGATGATTTTATTCACTAAGTATGGAATGCTGTCACAATGTCCGATGTCTGGCCACAGCACCGTAGAAAGTACTCACAATGAGTGGGAAAATACTTTGCCACGAGCTGGTACGGTATTGCGTCACAGTCTCCTTTCTTGCGGAATAGCTTAAAGCTATGGCGGCGAGCAGCCTTCAAATCGAAGTGGGCAGAAATAGTCGCGTGCACTTTCATTTCTGATAATGAATTAGCATACATGAAATCACACTGGCATTTCAGCGGATCAGAAACAAACGCATATGATGACTTACTATCGCGGGGATATAAATGTGGCTCCAGTCCGAAACTAGTTCTAGCCTCGTACATATGGAAGTTCATGAAGACCTTGTCTTTGGCGTTAGAATAGTAAATCAGGTCCGTGACAATAGGTTGATTCCCTTCGATGGAGTTGAACTTGAATGGAATGAATTTAGTTCCAGCGTAGTTGTACGGAGTACTAACCTTTGTAGTATCAAGCCGTGCCACAGCTGAATAGGTCGTACCAAAGTCAATGGAAACGTTGATTTTCTGTCTAGGAGGATGAGCCATGATGAGGAATCAGTGGAACCGTAAGTTGAAGAAGGAAAGAAGGAAAGAAATGTGCGATAGCCAATTCAGTCTATTTATACTATCGAGAGTCGGTATGAGACGCCTGGCTTGTATGTGGCAGAAATGTCCATGGATGTAAGAAGTATGTGCAGGGTGCAAGGGAAATTATTAATTTCCAGAAATATTCAAGGTGATTCGAAGGTGGGTTATTCAAGTGTGAGGCGGAGGTGAGAGCAGGACTGTGTCAGGTTTCTCTGACTGAAAACTTTTTGAAAGTAAAAGTGCTGAGTTGTTGGCTGCGGAAATTAAAAACTTCTCTCACTCTTCTTCTGCCCTTCCATATCTCACTCTTACAAGTGCGGACTTTTCCTTTTTCTGCTTCCCAAATTCGAGCTGAACTAATTTGGCACCTGTCATTCCAGGATTTCATCACTCCTTCCTTCCTTCTCATCTCCCATATTCATGATCGGAAATGGTCCATAACCGGCTTTCGTCGTCCATGGGATAAAATATCGCTGACTACCTTCGCAGATTACATCCGCCATCATGGCAACAATGCTGGTGTCTTTAAGACAGCCGGATGATGCACCGCCTCCAATTCAAGATTCGATAACCATCAAATCTCCGACCATCGATGCTAGCGAGGAGCTGTGGGATATCGATCATGGTATGAAACGCACGAAGAACCTCCCAAGAATATCTCTTCGGAACAGAGAGAGCCCTGGATGAACTGGAAGAACGACCAGCTCGGAACACAAAACTTAGAATTCGCGGCCAAAATCCGCTCTCTTCAAAAGCGACCAACGATTGATCAAGTGAAGATTGCAAGTGATCTCAATTACCTTCGCCAGGTGATTACGAGCTGGGTGTGTTGGCTACCGCCTTGCAAACAATTCTCGCAGAACTGGCAAGCAGTTAATCAATACTTGGTCAAACTGGAGGCTCCAAGCCTGGATGAAGCGAGATTCCCGGAAATCATTCCTTTGATCCCTCTGGAATTCCTCATGTTTGCGATATCGAGCATTATATGGAAAGTTCTCTTCAGCCCGATCTTGACAGGGGCATCGCCACAGGAGCGCGAATATCTCGAAAAAATAGAAAGAGCAATTGAATCGTTCAAGCGCAAGAGAAGTACTAGCCCAAGCCCTTGGAAATGAATTCATTTGAGTTTTGCTAATAGATTGCTCTGTAGGCCCAGAGTCCATCGCTATTTGGAGATCGGACACATGCGAAGCGATATCAACATTCGATGGACACACTGAGCACCTCTCTATGAACTGCAAACTTGCTGTGAATCGAATTACCGAGATATTAAAGGTTGCGGGTTTCAGCGAAGATGACCTCGAGGTTGGAGAAATTGGAAGCTTGGAGAGGAAAGTTACACAGCCCATGGCGCAAATTACCACAAAGTTACAATGTTCCCCTGCAAATTACGCCTGGCGCTGGAACTTTCCCTCTCAGATCGTGCGGAAGCGTCATCTGAAGGAGATTAAGCCACATGATCCTAATGTCCATACCACGGTTTCTCGTCCCCTTGTGAGCTATGCCAACATTGCCGACGAAGACATCATTGGATATTCAATGTTCACGATTTTTCAACATTGGTCAAGGTTGTGCGGCGAGAGGTCTTTTGAGAAGTGGGATTTCGTGACATTGAACACATAATCTCGGAAGGCTGGGTGATTCTAGATCTTGATGGAGAGTATCCCGGTATTGGTGAGGATGAGCCCACAAGAATTGAATTTCCTTCCACACACATCATCTGCGCCCAGAAAGCACTTCTAGAGGCAAAGATAGACACTGAAGATTTCCCAGAGGCGGGAGACAATGTGGACGAAGAATGAGACCCCGACTGGAGCTTTGGATATGCTGGAATGGAGCGATGGATCGCAAGGAGTCAATTAAATGATCTGGCAACGCGAGGTTTGGGAAGTAGGATCAGCGCGCAAAAGCGCTCAGTCCTGAAGACACTGGAGTCTGTAAACTTCCAATCCTTTCCTACTTGTATCTACTCTCCAGCTCGAGCACCCGAGCTTTCAAATGAATCGCCAGTCTTGTATTTCACTTCATCATAAAGCCACCTCATGCATACTGGAGGTAAAGAAGCATTTCCATCTTATTAATATAGTATTACTACTCACGAGTTCTGAGTTTCAGGGGATGATCGGTTTCAAACATCGAAAATGATAGAAACCCCATTTTTTAATTTCCGCACGTGCGTGGCCAGGAGGAAATGACCAAGAAGATTTTGGGAGTGCTGTCAACGTCCTCTATTTCAGAAAAAAAATCACTTTGCCATCGTTAGCGATCGACAGCCGCATGTCCTATTTGAATCCACCTTCTACTACGCTCTAAGGAGCACAGGCCAATTCAACAATTGGCAACCTAGGCTTGAGGGAGTCGTCCCCTCTCCTAGCTCATTCAATTCGATCCCAACTCGAGGCATGTTGCTTTGATCATCAGTTCACAAATTAAATGGCTCCGTGTCAGGTTGCCATACTGACTTAAAGAGTCACCAGGAAACATCTAATCTCTGAGGCGGGTTCGTAACCCACTTGGTGGCCACAGTGGAGATCAACGGCGACGTTCTATCCGTACCCACTGGCGAACTGGTCCCTCCCGGTCCCTCCGGCAGATATTTCTGTTTGCTGCTGGCATGTGCAGCCAGATGCCTTTAGTAAATGCTGACAACGGAGTGTCTACCAATCTCCGGGGACCACCTTCTCCCCGGTCCCCGGCTGATCGGCATGATATCCTTGCTACATTATGGCAGTGGGTTTTTTCGGAAAGCAGGAGATCTTCTCTCAATGAAACTGATTTTGGAGTTATGCTCAGTCTTGACAAGCCACATGCGACGACGGTGGAGATTCCCTGTACTCGATCATCCCGGGATTCCAACAGGATGAACAACGTGTTAAATTAGCTCTGGCGGGTTAATCCCTCTTATCGCTGCCTGGAGACCTGGTCAAAGCTTCATTCGACGCTAGATTGCATGCTTTCAAGTTTCTCTGTCTCAACCAAGTGGGGCGCAATGAAAGGAGAGTCTTCACTGTTCAGTAGGATGTGGATATCCGATAAACCCACACCTTCTCAATACCGGTGATGGATTCGAGTCGATGGGGTTCTGTGAACGTGTCCACTGTCAGTGTGCTCTATTCTTCAGAGAATTTCATATTAAACGATGGTGGGGAATTTGCGTTCATGCCGAAATAAACTACGTGGGCGTTATGATTTGTGCATTATCGCAATTTCTTCTCATCTCTGACATCTTCAAGATGGTTGGCCATTAGCTGCAGGTGTGTTTAGCTTCTATACGGATCCGGAAGACTCTCCTGATACACAGCACGAGAAATACACAACACTTCTCGTGCGTCTGCCAAGGGGGATTTAAGAAATATTCATGCTATTATCGATCAGTAGCCTCTTTCAAGTTGGAGTCCTCGTGGAATTTCCATCAGATATAGGAGAACCACAACGGTTTCTATAGAACGATTGGCGATTTTCACTGCAGATACTTGCTCCTGTAATGCCCCTGTCAATCCTTTCTCCAGGGCTGTGGACCCTCCCGCGGTCGGAAATTCCAACGGCCATGTGAGGTCGATCAGCTACTACTACTGGTAATTACTTCCGGCATTGATAACAGCTTCTCACTCAATACTAGTGAGTCCAGTAGGTAGTACGGAGTAGAGAGGAAGGTCTAATTGTGCAAAGGTTTGAAAGAATTATTGATAATATTTGGACATAAGAAAATATTTGATCATTAGAATAGTACAGCCATATTGATACATCCTCAGAGACCATCCATATACTGGTCACGAGGAACAGAAACCACCAGCCTTTTGAGTAACACCCAGTCCATAAAAACCTCCATAAACACCAGAATCCAAAGCCTCATAGTCCCTCCATGCATTTTATTAATGAGTTGAGAATCGACTAGACCACTCTTTCGGGGGTGTCGTCGAAGTCGTCGAAGGGACAGCAGGCTCCGGCTCACCAGCCCATACCTCACTCCGAACAAAGGTCTCCGAAACAACGGTGATATCCTTTGATGAAGAGTCGGGCTCAGCAAGAATATGCTCATCACTTCCCCATGCAGACACTTGCATAGTGTGCGGTGCTGCAGAGCTTGCTTTGCTTTTCTTTGCATCGCGGTCGCCGCGATTGGTCATATTGGTTAAGCCTCTGCTGGAAAGCGGGTATGTTTGTCCTGATTGCTTTCCTGAGGAGCTGAAGAGCTGTGATAATCCGATCTTCTTGAATGCTTTACGGATAAGAGGTTGAATGATGGGTAGATTTGATACGACTATTGAGACAAATGTCTCACGACAGGCCCATTTTGAGCCGGCAGCGGCGCCGTCCATACCAGCCTGCAGATTTATGTTAGTCAATCTGTATTTATAACTGTAGGAGGCTTTTCATTCATGGTGCTACTCACAGTGCCGATAGTAACAGCTCGGATGATACCAGCTGCGATCACGAATGCGGCGCCCGAGAAGAGAGCCATCAGTGGGATTTTCCGCTTCAAGCTGATGTTCACTTTCCAGAGGAGAGGTAGCGGAATAGATAGAAGATAAACATCAGTAAGGATATTAAGGATCACCACTACCAGAACGTATACTGGAGAGTGAGTCGCTTGGCAAACGACTGGAAAGAACTAGGTTAGTTATGAAGTCCGGATTTTGAGGGCCCATTAGCACTTACTTCCAGGATTGGGGTTGATTTGCCAGAATGCATGAAAGGGCTGGCATGATAGTAGAAGAGATAGCTCTGTTGCAGCATAAGTCACTCCAAGAATGATATAGGCTATGCGAACTCGAGTTGCAAGACCTTGAAGACCGGTTCTGGAAGAACTTTTAGAATTTCCATTCTTATCGTCAATGAACTGGGTATGGAACGTACGTCAATCGTGAGTAGAAAACAGTTAAACTGAATTTTACCAGCCAGAGAATAGTCACATATAGAGACCATCCTGCAACTTGAATTTTAGATCCAGCAACTCGATTGGCCCACTCAGTGGATTTTGGGTCAAGCGTAGCTCGCTCTTCATCCGTCATGTAGCTATTTGTCAGTCCTCCGTAATCGGCAACGACAAGATATGCCGCTACTGTTTCTGCAACAAAGACAAGCTATTCCAACATGGCATGTTATGTCAGTATGCACAATCTTGCATCTACCCATTGTTATGCAAAGGATCAACTTACACCAGCTAGTGGCATGAGGTAGTCATCCAATTGGAAGTTGCTTAGCCCCACGAGTTTACATCGTACTGCAATTCGCACAATAATCACTGCCAGAGCCAAAGATAACAGGGTCCATGACTCAACGTTGTTGGTCATTTTTGCATAGGATCTATACCTCGAAATGCAAAGGGCAGATTGAAAATGAGCGACAGGGAGCCGCTGGGTATTAAAGTAAGACTCCAAACCCAGAAAAGGAAATCATCATCGTCGACCCTCCTTGTCGGTAAGCAAAAGATCGTCGGCGGGCCTAGTAGAAAAATCGTACCCATTTTTAATTTTAAGAACCGCCTGGCAGACGGAGCATTCCGTCCGGTCAGGGATCTACGTAAGCCAGACTGTTCTAACGACCGGCTCGTTTTAGCTGCATTTGAGACAATCCATTGTTACCATTGTTTCGGACCGATAATGGGCTTGTTATTAGGTTAACGTTCATGCTAAGACTGATGTTTATTTATCCCTGTCGACCTCTCACAATCCTCTGTTGGAGTTATTTGTAACTCAATCGTCCCGTCTGACTTCTCTCGGAGTAATTCCAGGGGAATTTTCGTGCAAAGATCGACCAAGTCAACCTCCCGCTTCGGTCTTATGGAGACTCAACTTGTAGACCCACCAATGAATGAACCATCTCTACTGGGGCTGTGGATGTGGCGCCAGTCCGCCAAGAGTAGCCGTCTCAAGTTCCGGCGGTGGCGCTGTGGGGTTGAACACGCAGAATAGGAGAAGAGTAAACGTTGTTCATCCATTGAGAGGGTTGGCAATCTTGAGTTCGGGGGCCAAATTCAGGGGCACGGAGAGGGGTAGACTTTCTAACGGTCGAGGCCGGTGTTTTTCCGACAGAATATTGCATGAGTAGTGGGATTGAGAAATGCTATATCTTCTGTCACATCCTTTGACTGAATAGTTGTTTTTGAAGTTGCTGGTCAATCCACTCACGTTCAACTTGAAGGTCTTTTTGTTTCAACTCCGAAGAACCCCACTATCCACCCAAAATGTCGACATTTGATTTTATTGTTGTTGGAAGTGAGTAGCGTATAGCCTTTCGATAGTCATGTTGATAAGGTTCTTGGCTTTGGATATCTCAACCTCCAGACTCTCAATACGAGAAATGCCCAAAAATTGGGAAATCTGGTGCAACATGAATAAAATATTGCTGATGGCTGACTGGTGATTCGGATATAGGTGGTCCCGCCGGTAGTGTTCTCGCTGCGAAATTGGCCAATTCCACCGCCAAGCCTAGTGTTCTGCTTCTGGAAGCAGGTGACAGTAAAGAAGATCGTAACCTCCGTGTGGACGGGCAACGATGGATCACATTCCAGAACCAAGACATGAACTGGGGTTACAAAACCACCCCGCAACCAGACTGTAATGACCGGGAGATCGACTATAGTCGCGGTCGGTGCATGGGCGGATCAAGTGCGATCAACTTCGGTGTGTACAGTGTTGGCGCACGCGATGATTATGAAGAATGGGCGCGCATTGCAGGCGATGACAGCTTCTCATGGAAGAACATTCAGCGACGACTGAAGGCGTTGGAAACCTTTCATGGAGAGATCCCCGAGGGTATGGATAAGAAGTATGCTGCTCCGAAGCTCGAGGATCACGGTAGCGATGGTCCATTGCATGTTGGATTTGCACGCGAGTGGGAGAGAGATCTTCCAGAGTTATTGGATGTCTTTGAGCAGGCGGGATTTCCCTTGAACCCGGATCACAACTCTGGCAACCCGATTGGAATGTCTATTTTGATTAACTCAGCTTATAATGGCTTGCGCTCTACCTCAGAAGATTTCTTGAAGGGCGACAACAAGAATAATTTGAAGATTGTTACTGGCTCACCAGTGCAGCGGGTTCTTTTGGAAGGAAAGAAGGCCGTGGGTGTTGAGTCGAATGGCACTAAATGTGAGCTCATCTAGCCTTGTTCCTAGATGGGATGTCTGAGGATGATTTTGACGATGCTAACATTTTTCGTATAGACTATGCTTCTAAGGAAGTGATCCTCTCCGCTGGATCGCTCAACGACCCTCGCATTCTTATGCACTCGGGTATCGGCCCTGCCATCCAACTGCAACAACACAACATCGATGTCGTCCATGACGTTCCTGCTATCGGGCAAGGCCTTCGTGACCACTGCTTCGTTCCCATGGTAAACTCCCGCTCAGACACCAGCACAGACCGAAAAGCCTTCTATGGCGATAAGGCCGCCATGGATGCCGCGTTCAAGCAGTGGCAAGAGGACGGAACTGGGCCTTGGGCGAAATTCTCCTGTGAATTGGGTATTGGCTGGTTCAAACTGACCGAGAAGCTGAGCTCCTGGCCTGAGTTCAAGGATCTTCCTGAAGATGAACAAAAATATCTCCTTCAGGAAACCATCCCACACTACGAGATCATCACTCACTTCCCTATCCACTGGTTTATTCCTGACTTCCCATCCGAGGCTCTGAACTATTCTTGCATGCTCGTCTTCTTGTTCAATGCACAGACCCGTGGTGAGGTGACTCTCCAATCTTCTGACCCCGACGCTCCGCTTCTCTTCAACCCGAAGTTCCTGGCTCATCCATTCGACCGTCGACTTGCAATTGAGGCTCTTCGTGATTCATTCCGTGTGGCCAAGCATGAAGCATACACAAAGGATAATATTGCCGAGATGGCAATGCCTAAGGACGAATCCGACGAAGTGCTACTTGAGTACTGGCGCCAGAACATTTCTTCCAGCTGGCATATGACTGGAACAGTGAAGATGGGCAAGAAGGGTGACGCTGATGCTGTTGTGGATCCTGACTTTAAATTAATCGGTATTGAAAATCTGCGTATCGCTGATATGGGTGTTGTTCCTGTCTTGGTCAATGCTCACGTTCAGGCTGTGGCTTATGTTACTGGCTCAACATGCGCAGAGAAGATCATTCAGGACTATAACCTTGCTTAGTTTAATTCACCTTATAAAGGTTGAGGTGGCCACCAGCAGCCAAGGATTTAGGGCACCTGGGAAAAGCCGTCTTAGGTCTGTGTCCATACGTTGTTCGAAAAATAATCCAGACAGCGAGGGAGATCGGGGAACCAATTTTGCCAACTCTGCCCAGGTGTACTACTGCTACTATCAATAGCTTATTATGAATAAATATTTTTTACCTGGAGTAATCCAGACTGGTACTCATATTGTTTCATGCTAGTGAGGCTCATGGAGCTTAACATAACTGACACCGGTCTCATCATTCCTGGGACGTTCCATTTACATAGTAGACTAAAGGTTGGAAAAGACGGTGCTGCCCACTTACCGATGTCATCGCTCATATATTAGGTGTAAGACTGAATAAGCTCATTAAGCTATCCCTAGTAGCTGGATTTACGTGGAGTAAACGACTGCGCTGGTACCAAACTAGGTTTCTCGTATCCACGCAGGACGACAGCTTCAGCCTGCAGCTTCAACCCCGCGAGTTGGAAGGACTCCGTGTCCTGTGACCAGACGGCCAATGCCAGGTAGTTGATACCATTGTGGTTAAGGATCCCCTCAGGAATGGGAAAGTGAGATTGCGGCCCAATGTGATTCACATACTTGCCAAATTGCCACCCGTTGACGAAGAGCACACAGCGGAAGCGCGCCGGCCTAGAGAGCGATGTATCGGTGCCATTGGAGAGAATGGTTGTGTTGGATAAGACGACACTGGTGGGAATGTCATAGTCTGCGGGAAGACTGAGGTTGAAATAAGTGGCCCAGAAGCCTAACCCAGGCTGGTGGATGGGGATCTTTGTTGGAGCGAGAGAGGAAGTAAACTCTTGAAGGAGTGGCGCGCCTGGGAGATGATAACCTTGGCGCTCAGCAAATGAGGCGCCCTCGTTCAAAGGACCCCGACTGTGATCGAAGTATTGTTCTCCTCCAAGGTTTCCAGTGATCTTCCATTTGACGGCTTCCTTGGCTCGGCCGTTGAGGCTGTAATCCACCAGTCCCCGCGGATCTTTCAGGAAGGATGCGTTGGCGGGAAAACTCTCGTCGTATCCCATGTGATCAACGAGGACGGTGATTATGTAGGGAGTGCCGGACTGCAGGCCCCCGTGGGGGAGACTTAGAGTTTGGTTGTGGAACATCTCGGTCGAGGTGCCCGGCCACGAGCCTAGGTGCGTGTCGTTCAGCCAAACCGAGTGGCCGTAACCATAACCACCCTCTGTCAGAAGATACAACGCGTTCTCGGACCCATTGGCGATGAAATGACCCCGGTAGTGGAGCGAGCCGGAATGGTACCCATAGTCAGTCGCATAAAGGGAGAAAGGGGTTGTCAGATTCCGGGGATTTGTAGAGTGGGTGTGATTGCAGACGGTCCACTTCTGATCGTTGTAGTTGGCCTGGACCTCTGGAAGTGAGTCGATATAATGCCAGCGTTGATCATTCAAACTGGGCATAGAAACCGAGGGGGGGATTGAATATAAGGCTCCCAGTCAACCGTCCGGCGGTCCGCTTGGTTTCTACATGCTTCCCATTGAATGTGACCACATTGATGTTAGGAGGAGCGGCTATAATTTCAAGCTCGGTGGTAATATTGAGATCGCCCACCAACTTCAGTGTCTCGCCCACAACGTCTGCCGTCCTGAGGAGGTAGCCCGCCTTCACGATCACCGAACTATTGGAACGTAAAGAAGAGGCGTGGCGCTGGAGGGAGCCCGAGATGGGAAGATCTAAAACCCAGTACTTGTATGCCTCGTTGCGCCATAGAAGATGAACCTCAAGCTGCTCCCCAAAATGAACTACCCGACGCTCTGGTTCGACAGACCACTTGATGACAATGGCGTGAGAGGAGGCCGCCGAGTCAATATCCAGACCAGTTCCTTCGATGGTGGAGGGCTTTCCCAATTCTCGCGGGATTGCAAACTCATGCGTCTCATCTTCCCCTCCGTATAAAACCAGAACTGATTTCAAGCCTGATTTCTTCCAAGAGAAGACTTCGGCTGAGGAGTAGATCAGGTTGATGCCACCCACATCGTAGTCTGCCACATGGATTTTCGAGTCGCGTCCATGAAGGCTGAGATTTCCTCCCAACTGAGGTACACTGACATTTCCAATCGAGGTAGCAATGTTTAGCCTGTATAAGACCGTGCTTTCATCTGGCAATTCCCCATGTCGGACAATATAGAAGCTTGTAGCGTTAGAGGTCAACCGGGTGGTCGCCAAAGTCGTACTGTCAGTGCAGACCCCGTAACTACCATTGTCCGGTTGTGAGGTAAGGTATGTAGCGGAGGATGCTTGGAGAAATCCCGCCTGTAGCTTCAGCTCGCTGTACTTCTCCCGAATCACCTGCCGATCTTCGGAGATAGCCGCGCCCACATCATACGAGCTGTATCCTCCTGGATATCCCAAGTTGCCCCAGTTGGTACCACCGAATATCTGTTTGTGACGAAGCAAAGTCAGTTATCAGATTTACCTGAGAGTTGATAGATGGAATTGAGGAGGTTACCATGTAGAGACTTTGGATTGCAACCCGGTAGCCGTAGTTGAGCTTATAAAACACCCGTTCAAACTCAGACCCAATAAAAGCAGCCGAGGCAGCTGCCCCTACTCCACCCCTTCTAGGATTTAGCAAACACTTCATTTGGGGTAAGAAAAATGATTAAAACCTACCAGGAGTCAGGTGCTCCGCCTTGGAATTCGGATATGGAGAACGGGGTAGTTGGGCTTTCGGCCAGATGCACAGTGTAATTATACATGAGTAGAGGACTAGTCATTGCCGACCAGTCCGACGAATTCGTAGCTAGGGGCAGGTCAGTAGCCGAAAAGCAGTCACGTGTGCATAATGAAATGTTTCTTCTTTTAGAAGAGGGAGAACTTACGTGCTGTACTCCATCCTAGAGGATAAGCGTCAAAGCTGTAGATGTCGACGGCTCCAGTGCCGGAGCCGGGGGCAAAGTTGCCCTCAGGATATGCATCATTGAAAATGAAAGGCACTACCACGCCTGCCTGACGGTATTGATGCTCGACGTAAGCCATATATTCTTTCTCCAAACACGAGCTATCAACAGAGGTGATAGTCATGTTATTCATTTGCGTATATCCATCTTCGAACACGCACAAGGTATACTCATTCTCAGGCTGCAAGAGAATGATAGAGCCACCATTGGTGATCTGGGCCTGTGCCATGATCTTGCCTATGGCGGCTATATAAGGGGTGATGGCCGCGAGATAGGCTGGATCTGTCCGCTTCAATTGACCATCCAGGCGCCCTAGCCATCCTGGGAAGCCTCCTCCCGAGACCTCTGCATTGATATATGGGCCGGAGCGGGCGATGAGGTAGATTCCAGCTTCCTGTGCAGCATCGAAGAACTGCTCCAGTGCAAACACTCCAAAGGGACGGATGTGCCCGGGCTCGCCTTCGACCAGTGCCCAGTCCACATAAAATGAGACGCCGGAGAAACCAAGAGCGCGAATCTTTTGGAACACATCGAGCCAAAGTCCAGGCGATGGGAGACGGAAAGGATGGAATTCCCCAGACAGGATTATTACACGCTCACCGCGGACAAAGAGAGATTTCTCATCCCAGGTCACTATATCTTGTAGACTAGCGGTGGTGATGTTATTTTGGAGCTGAGGCACTGAGGAAATGTCTTTCTTAGCGGACGTTGATGTAGAAAGGAGGGCAAGGCTAATCCCAAAGATTTGCCAAGCCAGGAAAAATAGTGAAAATGCAGCCCGCATCGTGTGCAACGCAATGAGCCTGAGGGCGTGAAGTTTCCATGGGAGGCTAGATTCTGCGAAGGCTGGCTTTATACCAACTTGAAGTTTCCCCGCGTTATGTCTAGCTTCCGAGGTCCCTTCAAAATAACTTTTTCTTCAAAACGTCATTTCATTTATATCACTCGGAGATTCCGAGGTCATACATAACTCACGCATAGTATGGATTTGTCCAACCTTCTTGCCTCTAGTCAGCGGTCTCAGAAGAGGGGTCTTTCATTAATCCCGTCGATCCTGTCGATCTCTCGACAAAAGTATGCGGGCCAGGATCCTGTACACGCAAGGCTCTTCTCTCTGGCTACAGCTCTTGCAGGCTGAGCGGCCTTCATCACAGTAAACATGGCCCGGGCTAAGCATTCTGCACTAGCTTTGGGAAATCCTATACATACCTTCACGATTCTTCGTTTGTAGTTGAAGCAGTCAAAGACGCAATTTATTGTGTGATCTCCGGTTGATCCTCGGATGGTCTCAGCCCCGAAAAAATTGGCTTAGTAGAACGAATAGGATAACTCGCCTCTAATGGCAATCCAGACGTAACATCTTCGGGGCTGGAGGTGTATGCTCCCCCACAGAAAACTCCGCATAAACATCGGAATCAATGCATACGAGTACGGCCAGAAATAGTATGGCCAGAAACCTTGAAATGTGGGACTCATCGGGGTCGGACACCATCCCGATCGCTATTATCATCAACGTTACCGGATAGTGTCCAGAAACTGTTCCCTTTTATGCATCTTCGAGGCACATTTGGACATTCAATGAGAAATATGCAATTTTCGAAGAGTAAGGGGGAGTGTTTGCCTTAGTCGCACTGAGCGGTGTTGGATTATTCATCGGAAATACACAATAGGTACGCGCATCAAGTTTCGAACTGAAGTCATGGGTATTTAGCCTAAATGATATGTAACCCTAGATCGAGACTCAGAGCTGCAGGTGCCCAGATGAGGCCTTGCTGATTACTAACTTCAGTAAAGGTAAGCAATGATTTTAGGAACATGGCTATTGTAAGTACTTCTTACCATTCCCTTGTGATGTGGTAATATCAGTTCAGAATATTTAACTTTTCTATTCCTAAATAGAAGGCTGAGATTGGAAGTGCCTTCCCCGATGAAATACAGCTGCATTCTCAGATAAGGTACGCGAAAGTGTCTGGGCCTTATTTTGTATGGCCCATCTGACGCATCGGCCAGTCTCTGGATGCAAGGAGAAACCGCCAGCATAGGATCAGAGAATTATCATTCAATAAGTCTCGATGTGCTCATTCAGGCATCGGCGTCAAGAAAACGGAAGGAGTTCAGGCGAATAGTCCAAATAAGCAAGATATGAATGCGGCAGAGCGATACCTGAGGACCCTCTTACAACTCTATCAAAGACCAGACTAGTCAAGTTTCTCACGCCACCTACCTATGTTGAGTATGCTAGGTTTTCTGGTGAAAAGAAAGAAGAGGAGAGCCCCAACGCAGCTCTGTTGCGGGGCTCCACTGGGGGCTCAATTCGATTTTCATGAACTTTATAGCAGACTGGCCCTCAATCAGTACAAAATCCCTCTTCTTCTGTGCTCACCTTAGTCGAGACCGAATTGCCAGCTGACGACGAAATCAAAAGTATTCTTTTCTCCTGATGTTTGCAGGACATGAGACAGCGGCTAATAATTTGCGACTCTATGGTCCCGTCGTAGATTTTCTTCGGAAAATCCTGCCTCACCAAGCTCAGCCGCTCATTGCACGTCAAGGTGTTGAAATTATGATACCTGGTAACGTGCCCAGGTGAAAATCAATTTTCTCACGATGGCACTGCATACAAACCCAAAGCGCTGGGGCAGATGCTGAGAGATTGAATCCCAGCAGGTGAATAGCCACAACACAGGATGGACTGCAAGAAGAGATCGATTAGGTGAAAGTTGAACACCTTTTTGCGTCGTCCGAAGGTCCGCGGGCTGTTTTGGCAAGAGGTTCTCCCAACTAGAAACCATCGCTGTCTTGGTGAATATTCTAAGGAAATCAATGGTGCAACTCTCACCCCGACCAGGTGTGAGTGCTGAGCAGGCTCAAGTTGCCGCACTAAAGATGGTATAGGAGAGTCGGGTCCACCTGACATTACATACAGATGGAAAATTCCCATTTTGTTGGCGTGCAATAGATTCCAAAACGAAATGAGGCCTCCTCGCTGTAAGACATTTGAATGTGATCATCTCAAACGGATTTCTGTCAGCCCAGCTTCCATCACAGCCTCTACATAAGGGTATATCTCCAAACGCGCTTGGGGACCATAATGATTTAATATATCATGATGTTATCATTCAAGTTGTGAAAACTCCGATGTCGGAGTGACTCGAGTCAATAATGAATCTTTTTGTAGTTCTTCCTGCCTCACCTTCTTGTGTGCGATCAGATAATGCGCACGACAGCACTTGAGCCCGCGAGCCTGCAGGGTATTTTCGTGGCTCGGTAAATCCCGCAACTTGCAGTACAAAAATAGAACAGATCGGCAGATGTGGGGAACTCTCACTGTTGACTTTTTATCTTCAGAGGATTCCAATTTCAAATAATAAATTCACCATGCTGAAAATTCGAATATAGAGTTTTTGTTTTCGCCTAATAGCTTTCTTCCAAGTCGCTGGGCAATCCTGAGGTCTTATCCAACTGTGCAATGTGCAATGTGAATGGGATGATTCTCTGTGATCGTATTCGACATAAGCAGAACAAGGTTTAGCGCTTATTTTAGGTATGATTCTGCCCTATTGCTTCATAGTAAAGACGCCACGCCCCTCCGGTCGGTAAAGGGTTCTCAGCCGCTCTCTCTTGGGTAGCAACAATAGTTCAGCTTGCCAAGGATAAATATGACACGATGGCCCCGGTGCGGGTTGAAAACCCCTCAATTCCCTGTGGCCTTTGCAGAGAAAGACCTTCTTCTTCATTGGTGACAAAAAATCCCGTCTGTTTGAAATAAGCTGCTCTATGTACCATTAGGTATATCAGCGTCATGTCTACCACCGAGATCAAAGACGATTATAATATTCAGGATGCATGGAATAGGGCATGTGGAGCATTCGCGCAGACAGCTAAGGCTGATCTTACCGCATCTCCCAAATTCACCGTGGATGAAGTCCTGGATCAGATTCGGTCAAAACAGGATGCGGATGATGAGAAAAATGCCAAATATAAGGTTGCAAAAGACGCGATCTCGAAGACCCTGACTTTCATCACCCTACTGGGTGGTATAGCCGCTCAAGGCGCTAGCATGGTGAGTTCATCCCAACATCGATAGGTGACCCTGGTACTAACGGCTGTGCTTTAGGTTTTTGCGCCCAGCAGTCTTTGCTTCAATGCCATTTCCTATCTCATATCTGCGGGAACAAAGTATAAGCGCATCTTCAGCAGTTTGGCAGAGCTCTTCCGGAGGATCTCCGATGTATTAGAGCGATGCAAGATCTACATGCGTCTCCCTGCCGATGCAGTTGACATTTCCCTGCGTAAGATCATCAACGAGGAGCTGGTCTGCTTTGTTGATATCTGCGCTCTGTCAATCAAAGTGCTTAATGGGCACAAGATTATTACTGCCCTGAAAGTGTTTGCTTTTGACAGTGATGAAGGTGTTAGTGGCCAGCTTGGCCGTCTAGCTTCACTGGTCGAGCGTGAGTCTCAAATGCGCGCGACCTTGGGATTCGAGTCACAGAAGACTAGCGAGAGAGTCATTATGGAAACTCGTGATGGCACCAAGAAAGTCACTGCGTCTGTTGACAAGCTTCTCACTTTCGAGAAGAAGAGGGATGCCGATACCCTCGCACAGCGGCTTCTGGCTACCATTGATTCGAATCTCGATATGCCCAGTGAGACTTTCAAGGAAACTCAGGCAATTTATAAGCGTTACCTGAACGACCAAGTTCCAGGTAGTGGAGAGTGGCTTCAAAATGACTCTCAATACACAGGATGGGTGAATTCTGCTCAATCGGGATGCTCGATTTTGGGAATTGCCGGGGATGAGGGTTACGGAAAGTCATTCCTCTTCTCAACTATTGTCAAGAACCTGCAAGGAGCAGAGACCGAGACCGGAGAGGATATGTCACGTACCTCTGCCGCCTATTATATTTTCGATCCAGAGAAGAAAGATCCATCTTTGGTCAAGGCACTTAAGGTCCTTGCATGGCAGATTGCTAAATTCGACATGATTTTCCGAAAGGATCTGGCGTCTGTAAAGACAGAGGGAGTCAACCAAATCGGTGCTCTATGTGATCAACTATTCGGCAAATCATATAACAGCGACTCAACATTCTTTCTCTGGCTGGATGGCATTGACCAGCTGGAGAAGCAACACCTGAAGGAGTTTTTGGAAGTCTTGGGAGAATGGCAGGAAAAGGCCACGACATGGCCTCGATTTTCTTTGCGAATCCTCATAACTGGACGAACTGAAACGATGGATCGCATCAAGACTGTTCTTGGAGAGGGTATCTCAGTTATTGATGTGGCATCCAAGAACCAGGATGACATGATCAAATTCATCAACAGTCGGATGGATAAAATGGAGAACTTGAGTGGATCATCTGAACAGGTAGTCGCTCTTCGCAGCGAGATCCTTGAATCACTCATCGAAGGGACGAATGGTGATTTTGTCAATGTTGGTCTTCTCCTGGACGAGATCAGTAGCAAGCAGCGTCCCGGTGAGATCCGCGATGTTTTGTCACGGTCGGGAGAAAACCGATCTGACACAATTGTCCGCAAAATCGAATATCTCAACGAAACACTCAGTGATGAGGATATCTCCGACCTGAATGATTTACTCACCTGGGTTGTTTTTGCACTTCGTCCACTTACTCTAGAAGAGCTCGAGGCAGTTCTGTTCTTGAAATCTCGCGAGTCTTCTCTCCGACCACTAGGTCAAAAGATCAGAGATCAGTATTCTTCTATATTCCGCATCGCTGCCACAAGTGTCTATCTTGTCTCTGACTCCATCGCAGATTTCTTGCGTGAAAAGTCAGATCCAGAAGAAAATGACAATTGGGACGAGACTGGTGATGTGAGCGAAACGGAGGTCCGAATCGTCAGTCGATTCTTGGAATCTGTATGTGACGAGAAGCTTTTCAAGAAGTTCGGATTTGATGAATTCTTCCAACGAAAGTTAAAGGGAAGGGCTGTTCGAGTTGGTGTGGATTCCGAAACTGCACATCTTACAATAGTGTCAGCATGTCTCGAGGTCATCTGCACCAAGGATTCGCCTAACCTGGACCCTCTCCTCCCATATGCAGTTTTGAATTTTGGCGAACATCTTGAGCTAGTCGATCCCTCTTTGACACTTCCACGCCACAAAATCGCTCTTGGTCCACAGCTGGTGAAGACTTTCGCTGACCCTGAGATTATTGACCGCTGGTGGGCACTGACCGGGCCGTGGATGCGAGCTCAGTGGATCTATCAGGATCAATATCCCGATATTCTACTCAGATGGCTGCAGGACTCTGCTGTCACTAAGAAGATTTCAGAGGATCAGCGAGACTGGATCAAAAGTCTGAGTTCCAAGTCAGACCTCGACGCAGATATCATGGAGCATGTTGTGACAGTCCTGGCTCGCAGGTGGCTCCAGGGAGGAGTGGAAGATATTGCATACATGTTTGATGCAATTCATGGATATACGACAAAGGTAGATTTCCCGAGGAAGTATGCCGATTTGCTTGAACCATATAGCTAACATTTGTTCAGATTGAGAATCGAAAGGACTCAGCTGTCGAACGGCAAACCAGCGACCCTGACGCAGTGGTTGTTGAGGCCTCCCAAATTTTGGACGCTGCGAATTGGGCTCAGAAGCGATTCGGACTCGAAGCATTGGGATATGAAGAAAGCCGAAATATTGCACGAACACTCCGAGATTATGGCAAGTATCCCGAGGCCATCGAGCAATTCAAGCACACATCAACTCTTTCGGAGCAGAATTGGTTCTCACAATGGGGACTGTCTCAGTGCTATGTCGCTCAAAAGGAATACGACGTTGCCATCGAGATCATCGAAGCCACAAAGAAAGCAATCGAAAGTGGAGAGATGGGGGAGTACGATGGATTTGAGAGTGTGTTGCTTGATATGAATAACGATCTGGCCACATTAAACAACGAGACGGGCCGAAGTGAAGTGGCCATGGAGATATATGAGAAACGACTCCGGGAGGTGCCGCTCGACCACCCCACAGCTCTTAATCTCATTGTCTTGCTATCGAAAGAGGGTCGATTCGATAAACTATTTGAATTCCTCCAGTCCCTAGCTGAGTCCATGGACGAGGACAGTGGCTACCACGCCCGCATCCAGAATTTCCACGTACATTACAATGAAGATGAGTATCACGAGGCTCTCTCTGCCTCGGTATCCGGCGAGGAGCAGTTTGAGGTCATTCTCAAATACTACGAGGAAGCTCTGGCTGCCGCCAAGGGACAGTTCGCCAAGCAGATCAAATCCGGCAATGTTGTCTTGGAATGGGCATTCCAGCTCTGTCAGATCGAGCTTATGCACCGCATGGCACTTTTGTGTCGCAAACACGGCGCGAATAACCCCGACCGATTGAAATATGCAAACGATCAATGGGTTCACATTCTGGAGATCAACGGCAGCAATGACGAGTTTATTGAAGCCAAGCGAAGAATAGCTGCTTCCCAACTAGCGATGTTCTACTTTGAAAAGGCTCAAAGTGAGCCCGCGACTGCCGCTGAATCCATCAAGCAACTTGAGTGGGTCTCAAATACAAAGAGGGAGAACAATGATGGGGCGATTATTGGAGTTCATCCAACATGTCTCCTCGCTCGCTGGTATGCGCTCCAAGGCGAGACTGAGAAGGTCAAGAATCTCATGCGCAGCAACATCAAAGTCAGTCTGGACTTCTTCTTGGACGATGATCCTCTCAACGACTGGCAGGGATATAATTCTCTGGCAATGTATTTGATGTTTGCGGGCCAGGATGAGGACGCGCTTGCTGCTTGGTCATTGGTCACTCCTACTAGTGATGTAGATCCTGAAACGGAGACCACGGAGGAGTCTGAGAACGACAAGCCGGAACTCGAGGGGCCATTGCCAGACATTTGTGATGGTGGTTGTGGCACGAACTGGACATTTGCAGACGACTTTCATGTGTGCAAGGTTTGCTGCTACCTTTCATACGACCAAGCATGCTTGGACAAGGTCCGCGATGGGTCATTAACAGTGGGCGCATGTAACAAGAACCATGAAATGCTTCACGTTCCACCATACGATAAAGCTCGGAATGATAGCATTGGTATCGGATCTGGCAAGGTTAAGGTCGGAGAGGAAATCATGTTGGTTGACGATTGGCTCCAGCGGATCCGCAAGGACTGGGACATCAACACAGTTTGAACCATTTGAGAGGGGTTGATTTTGCAAGTACACTGTTCAATGAACCCTTTGCCACTCTCCATAAGCATAATTTCAATTCTCAATATAATTTGACTTATTTTACCAACATTTGAACGTTTGAAGTTTCCCGATATTCATCGGGATTTTGAGATGAGTCTGACCCACTAGACCCACTTAAGCATTCCAAGGTTGATTCTCGGACAAATCCGAAACCTCTCTCAGATTTCCGATGCTTGTATACCACTCTAAACGAGATTAGAAATTCTCAAACTAAACCCTGGAAAGGACCATGTCATATTATAAATACTAACTTAGACACTTACTTTATTAAATTCAAGGTCATGCCGCTAGCGTCCTTATCAGTTCGCAGCTCTGCATTCCCTGACCTCGCAAGGTTATTGCAAGTGATCAATGGCAACTCTTCCAACACCCTCCTCCAACCAACGAGTCTCGGTTCCTAGTGGCCCTGTCAATGTCGATCTGCTTTTCTATCACCCACCTACCGGCGGATCTCGTCCCTTCACCTATGTCGGCACACCACCTCCCGGTGAACCGAAGAAAAACTTCCAAGAGCTCCCAAACAAGGTCGACCTAATCGATATACGGAACCAGGATTACACCTCCTTCACACTCGATCGTGATGCATTCCAAGTTCTTCAGCACTTCGATACAGCCGCCAAGTATGAGACTTACAACTCAGACGATGAAGTCAAACGCCTCATCTTTCCCGAAGTCGACAAGCTCATCCTGAAGAATGTACCAGGAGCGAGAGAGGTGATAATATTCGATTACACCGTCCGCCGACAGAACGAAGATGCGCCAAGAAAGCCACTGTATAGAGCTCATGTCGATCAATCTGCAAAGGCGGCAGCAGAACGTGTTTTATTGCATGTACCTGATGAGTCAAAGGCCAAAGCCATTGTTAATGGTGACTGTCGATATCGTATCATAAATGTTTGGAGGCCGATCAACGGAATTGTTGAGTCCAATCCATTGGCATTTGCCGCTGTTGATAGTGTGGAGGAAGAGGATCTTGTGCCTGTTGAATTTCGCAGTTCTACCCGGACAGGCGAAATTATGCTCATGAGACCCAATCCCAACCAGAAGTGGATGTACTTATCGGGTGTACAAGAAAGCGAAATATTGTTGCTGAAGTGTTTTGATAGCGAGAGTCAGGATCAAGGAGCTGGTATTGCATCAAGGCTCCCCCATACAGCATTCTGGGATCCCAGGACACCAGAGGGAGCGAAGAAAAGGGAAAGCATTGAGGTTCGAGCGCTGGTTCTGGGATAATTTCTATTCGATAGTATCAAAGTTCTTGTATAGTAGAAAATAGTCCGTCACAATAGAATAACACATTATACCAAGATTTGAGCATATCAAGGAAGCTGTTTTCACATGGCAAATGCATCTCATTTGTCAAGAGTAGAGCAGATGGCAGTCCACACATCACCGAACAACTTTCCATGTCGCCACTTCAATCCACACGTCGTAATTATCGCTGTACATTTGATCAATGCATTCGGCCAGCTAGAGGATATTTCCCATCCCATTTTGACAGCAACGACCAGCGCGCACCCAGCTTTAAATGCCCGTGACGTTTCAAACAAGGGGATGACAAATTTCTGATCCTGAATCACTTCATTGTAAGTAGATTCAATGATTTGAAATGCTGCCTGTAGGACTTTGAGTCGAAGATACAATAGGTCTTGCGAGAGATCTGATGTGTTTGATGTATTGACGTATCTGGCACATGATGGAAGAAAGAGCAACCAAGTTTCTTGAATGATCGAACTGCGGGCGTCAAAATGGCGAATTTCCTTAATGAGAGACAAGAGGTTGTTGTCAATTGAGGTGGACATGTTAGAGGTGGTCGAATCAGGTCCAAATATATAAAGACATGCCCTCGTATACATGTTCATGGCCAGTGATTCCTGTACATCAGGCGTCAATGTCAGACTGTCCATCATGCTTGGCCGATTAAACACCATCTTCAAAGATCTAAAAAGTATCAGCATTCTTTGATACGATTTGAGATGACAGGATTGAGTTTCCATACCTATGCAATGACTCTAACAAGGAAACGATTTGAAATCGGGGCGATAAAGCCGGATCGGAGTTTGACAATATGAAAGGCTCTTGGCGCGAGGGGCGATCATCTGCATTCTGGAAGCAGTGCCAGCCTAACTCCAGGCATAACCGGACACTCGAATCATATAAATCCCATAGTAATCCGCGGCTGGGCTCTGCAAGTTCGTATAGTAAAAGTGACACAGTGGCAGCCAGTGCATCTTGACTTGGTGAGGCGCAGATCAATTCACTCAGCTCACCCGCCCAATCACGGCATATTCTGGAAATTGAGATCCATTCTGTCTCATAGTAGCCGCGGTGAGCTGCAGAAATTGCGCAACTCGCCAAGATACTGAATCTAGGCATCAAAAAACCTTGATCCAATGAAGTAAACTCGTCAAATAGTTTCTCATGAGGAGCCAAGGGTAGTGGATATCGAGGTCTTATAACTGAATTATAATGTGACATCAGAGAGCGGACGACTTTGGCTGTGATCAACCCTTTCCCTGAATTCAAGGGTAGGTGTAGGTTGTCCATTGGCAGTGATGGCCAAGGGGATTGACCAGTGTGAGATATTGAAATGTTGAGTTGGTTAATGGTGAAAGAGGCAATCAAAGCTGGTGACGACATAGTGAGATAGAACTTTTGACCAGTCCGATCATCAAATATACGGAAGGATATGCTTTCGGGCTTCATAGAATGCACATGCATAGATTCACCCCGAGAATTTGAAGACGAAACACAACAATGAGGTCAACATTGGAACCCCCAAATAAATTGATCAAAAGTCTATTTTCTTCCAAGATGGACATGACTCACTCTGGTTGGTTTTGTTCTTGCGATTTGAGGATTGTTTTGAGTTGCTCGATTCGACTGTATAGTCCTTTAATGTAACTAATGGGCTTTTTAATATGACTTCAAGTTCCTCTTTCTAGAATGACTCGACGGACTTCCGGGAGACAGTATCTCCTGTCACAGTATCTGTGAAGGTACAATCGGTATGCGCAGTAGAGCAACTTGCGCATGCTGGGAGCTGGTTATCGCACTGTATCGGCTGGAGTCAGATAGGCAAGGGATAGATAGAATGAGATAAGGAGTCAACCTTTGTTCTCCTCTCCTTGCAGCGATGACACGTGCGTAGCATGATTTGAGAGTAAAGGTGATCAAAACGGGTTATTTTCCAGTCACTGATGTTGAGCTGATGTTGACCGGCAAAAGAAACCAGAGTCCAAGGTCGCCCGGGCGGGTGAAATATCTATTATATAATCCACTGGCATCCATCCACTTCTGACGCAATGAAAGCCTAATGCACCTAGCAAAATGAAGAAAAATTCGCTGGAAACTGAAAGAACTTTGACTTGAGCCTCAATGGCCCGAAACCTAGTCTTGGAATAGTCTCGAGGCGTTCAACCACTTAATTTGAATTTTGATCTTGCCGAATATTTTCGATGAATCAACCCCGCCGCCAGGCATCACGGGCATGCACCCGATGTCAAAAACGCAAACAAAAGGTGCGCGTGGGAAATACAAAATATGGTCTTGAGTTTCATTGACTTCTTACAGTGCGATTTCAAATTCCCAAAATGTACCCCATGTCTGAAAAGCAATGCCGACTGCCAAGGATTTGATGCCCAAGCTGGAAATGGTGTACCACGAAGGTCAGATATTTAACAAAGAGTATCATGGATTCATGGAAATGGACTCTGGAATAAACTAAAAATCCTCACAGCTTAGCAAAGTCTCTTGAAGAACATATAGCTCAACTTGAGACGAAAATCAAGAGTTTTCCCAATGCTGCGGAGAGGTCCCACGATGTACCCTCCAAAATTGCCGAAGCCACTCTCTCAGTCGGCATGTCCGTTCCGGGTTCCTTCTTTGCAAATATAGGGCTTGCAAACTTTATCAGGCCTTCTGCTCCACCTTTGATCATTGTCAGGACCATGCACTTGGAGACAGAGCAAGAATTCCAGCAGTTCAATGAGCAGCAGATCGCTAGGAATAAACGCTTTCAGTCACACCTCGAATCTCCTCGTTTGCCGATCGAACTACGGAGTATTCCCATAACAGCATTAAATCGCCTGGTCCATCATTACATGGAAGGTCTCCAGTGCTTCTATCCAATTATTCCACATGAATGGTTGACGAGAATATTTCGAAGCATATCTGAAACTCAGTCCGGACTACACCTGAGCCACTATGAATCATTTATTGCACATATTATACTGGCGATCTCGTCAGTATCCTTATATTGGAAGGGTGGCCCACAAGCAAGAGCAGGGTCCCTCTCTTTATTTTTGTCTGCAATTCACCACTTGCAGCAAATTGTGGAGATAGATGCATTAGAACGATTGCAGGTTGTACTACTTCTCGCCCATTATGCACATTTGAATCCCGAATTGGTTGATATATGGACATGCGTTACTACTGCTACGAAGATTGTTCTTGATCTGGGCCTACATATAACCATGGATGGAGAAAATGACGATCTACGTCAACGGTTATTTTGGGTGGCTTACAATATGGATCGGTCGCTTTCTGCAACTCTCAAGCTTCCCATCTCATTTCCAGAAGAGTCAATCTCAACAAAGGTCTATCCATCACCCCTCATTCCAATCGCCGGACAAGAACTAACTGCTCCCTTAATATAGCCCGACCAACGTATCTGGGAGACTGCATCTGTGGGCTACTCCAATGACATAACCGTATATCGAAGCATTGAAACTGAAGTGCATCGTGTCTTGCATTTAAAAGAAGATACTCCAAAATCCAGACAAAATATCTCTGCCACGTGGGCTCCAGACATGACAGCATGGGTCATCAACATCAACTCCAATCTTGAGGAATGGTACATCGCAACGTCACACCAAGAAATGCCAGATGTGGCTTCACTATCCAGACGCGTGATATACAACCACCTCAAAGCAAAGATCTACCGTCCGACTCCTCGCCTCCCACTTCGTACAGCAGTGGAACTCCAATTATGCTTTGAGTCCTGCCAGAATGTTATAGAGAGCGCAAATGTCCTGTTGAGCCTTCTCCCTGGTGCGTTTATAAATCTATGGAATATCCTCCACATCACTTTTGAGTCTGCTATCGTTTTGCTTTACATTTGTTGGCAATATCGCTCTCAATCTTTGATGAGATCAGCGGCCTCTAGTGCTCTCTTCAGCGAGATACCCAAATGCCTTGGAATGATTGATGAGATTGGTCGATGGTGGGGTAGGGCAAATCTCTGCACAAATTGCCTTCGACCAATTTTGAAACAGGTGAAACGGCCCTATTCTGATTCTTACCTGGAATCCTCGGATGATTTCTCTATTTCTGACGCAGCGACGACTGAAAACCTTGAGAATTTGATGTTTGCTGATAGGATTCCCTGTCCTTTCTCCTCAGACCCGATATTTTCGGAAATTGATTCTACTTTCTTTGACGATGCCATGTACAATTTATATACTGAAGATCTGGAATGGGGCATTTATTGAACATACTTTATGTCTGTCTAGGCAAACATTTCTCTAATTACATGACTTTGGCTTCTCTTTATAGCTGGGATTCCCTTTGCCCTTGCGCATTAAGACAGCCAGCCCTTGACCCTCACGTTCATCAGTTGGTACCTGGTATTGGTGGACCTCCATTCCCATCAGCTTCTTATAGAAAGGAACAGATCGTTTCCAGTCCTCTGTAAATAGCAAAGAGCGCCTCAAGTAAGGCATGGTTTCAATAACCTCTTGCACACATTCCACGAGCCATGTCCCCAACCCATAGCCTTGGTAAAGTGGCAAAATGAAAACGTCGGTTAGGTAAATGAACGTTGTGAAGTCTGTGATGCATCGCGCAATGCCGATAAACTCAGGGTCATTGGGGCTTGCCTCACTACTTTCAGGTGATTGATCATTTGATTTGTATAAACCAAAGCAGAGGGAGTTGTGAAGCGCTTCCCGGAGTACCCGGGCAGGAATTGGATTGGCCCAATACACTTCTTCAGTAGCAAACCATCCATTCAATGTCGAGATGGGAATCAGATTTGGGTCGGTCGAAACGAAATATGGTGATTTCGTCCAACTTTGATGCTGAAGTTTAGATGAAGAAGTCGTCATTTTTGAACTGTATAATGGAGGTTAGAATAATGGATAACAATAGGTAAGCTGGATAACTTGAATAGGAGATTTACATAGATTCCAAGGGTGATAAATCATGCGCTGATCTGCAGGCTAGGATAGAAAGAATGGTTAGAGATCCGAATGGGGATTCCAACTTTGAATCTTTTCAAATTTGACCTCAATCCATTAAAGTTGAGTCATATGGGCCATTTAAGCTTACATTGCTGGTTCTCACATCTGATTTGTAGAATCATAGAGTGGGAGTGGAGTTTTCGGTAAAATCCGTATTCCTTCGCAGAATCCCGATATCCTAGAATTTGCGATGTGAACGCCTCCCATACCCACCTGGGTGGATATTTACTGTCTTTTCGTAGATATTATCGGGAATAAATGGTGTTCATTAGTCAGAAGATGAAAAAGTAGCCGATTCGGAGTTCTTAATCCCACCGAACCTGTCCATGGGTGAGCAATAATCCCATCTCACGAGGGTATAAATGCCAGATCTAGTGCCAGTATTCTGATGTGCTGAAACTTGGCTCCCGCTACAATATTCCAGCTTCTTTAGCCCGATTGACGCATTCTCATCTTCGTTGCCAATTCTTTTCGCCATCGAGAATTTATTATCAATTTTATCGCACAAAAATGACGACGGCAGCTTTCCGATACATTGATCCATCTTCCTACGATCCATATGCCACCAGGCCTTTCGAGAAACCTTGGAACAAAGTTGATGGGCCTGGTTCTTCGTTCAAATTGAAAGAGGTAGACTGCCAAGTGGAGAACCTTCGTGGCCAGGAGACGGAGTTCTCTGTGGACAATGCCGGATTTGCCATCTACACTGCCCCTGCAAATGAAACTTCCTTCACAGATGAAGAACAAGTGACATCATCGTACTTCGCGGAAGTCGAAAATCTTCTCCGGGAGAAGCTGCCAGGCATCAAGCAGATTGTGATATTTGACCACACAATCAGACGCAGAGGGGTAGGATCGGCTCGCAACCCCGTTTGCCTGGTCCATGTGGATCAAACGCCCGCCGCTGCCGAAGCCAGAGTCCGTCGACATTTGCCAGATGAGGAAGCCAGAGAACTGTTGAAATGTCGTTATCAGATCATCAATGTTTGGAGGCCGATTGAGAATCCGGCATCGGACTTTCCTCTTGCTGTCATTGATTGGAGAAGCACAACCCCGTCTGACTATGTCAAGGTTAACCTCCTCTATCCAAAGGAACATCAGGAACCGGGGGCTGTTCCCTCTAGCCCAAGCTCAGCGTCTACAGAGGGCTATGAAGTCAAGGGGGAGCAATATGCCGTGGCTCCAAACAAAGGACACCGCTTCTTTTATGCCAAGGATATGAGGCCAGAGGAAGTAATGCTCATCAAATGTTTTGATTCAAACAGTCATGCTATGACAGACGGAGCGACTGATATCGCTCATGGGGCATGTCATACGGCATTTGATGATCCCCAGACACCGCCTGGATCACCTGCTAGGCAAAGCATCGAAGTTAGGTGTTTAGTTTTCTACGACTAGCCACATGCATGTGCATTACCTTTTTTGAACGGATGCCCATGCTATTATAAATGCCAGTGGCCACAAAACTTGGGGGTGTCTACTTATAATAATCGGGGCGTTCATTGAACAGGTTTGGGATTAAATCTCAAGTGCTCTTGGAATGACGACGCATTGATATCAAAAGTCTATTTATCCCTTTAATGTTTGAATGTTTCTTTCTCAGTCATGAATAAACAATACACATGAATTTCAGATAAATTTGTCCAGCTCCTGGGCAACATGAAGCATGCTCTTGGGCCACCAATCTTCATTCTTTCCCCATACATCCATTCGATCTGGTAAACGCTGCGTAAAAGAGACAATGTGTTTCAACTCCCATATGCCAATATTTCCAATCCACCAAACATCGCTGAGCAATGTGACTAAAACAAGCCAATGTGCAAATATGTCAGGGGCAAGCTGGTGAGCCAAGCTTATCGTAGAGCAGAGCAAAGGTGATACGCTGGGACTGTTTGTTTCTGTATGAAGAAGTCCCATCATTTCTTCCACCAAGGTGAGAAAATGCGTTGGTACTTTGTGAACAAATGCCATGATGAACCTGCGCGGTAAGTTCGATGGCAACATGGATGTTATGTTTGCTGTGTATCGGTGAAGCCAAGGTGCAATATCCAACACTCGGCCTATTGCATCGACATTAGTAGGATTTTGATTCCAATGGAGAGAGCTGCTAGGTGACGTTTCTGAGTCCGAAGTGCGCAGTCCCACACAAAATGTCTCAAACACAATTGGTTCCAGAATTTTCAAAGATATTTGACAAGCCTGAAGATCCAAAAATTGTCCCTCTTTTGCCTGGACCGTCACTTCAAGTTGGCGTTGAACAAAATTATCCACTCTTCCGATCAGTGAACTCAATGCCGATTGGACTGTGGCAGCTATTATGGGATACATGAGATGATTGGACATGGGCTTCGATGGATTAGCTGCGAAAGACGTGCAATATTCATAAGAAGACTCCATGTCGTTTCCAGATATTGAGAAATCCAGTAGAGGGGGAGAGGTCTGCTCTGGCGTCTTATTGAAGCCATTTTAATTCTGGAGTAGCCCAGTATATGCCATAAAAACAGCTCGGAAGAGTCTCATCCACTGAGCCCCTCTAGGATTGAATTTCCTTCGCGACTCCTCGGAATCACTGGTTTCAGATAACCAAACTCGAACGCAGTGGCTTCCTGAGCCATACATTCCCATCATTGCTGCATTTGCAAGGACATGGTCGTATTTACCGATCTCAGGAAGTGCAGCTTGAATTTTGGTTAAAGACTCCATGTGATACTGGTCGGCGATATTGAGCATCCCGATGACATTTTATCGAGCTTCAGGATAGTGTACCGATTGCTTTATAATATCGGAGCATTTGCATATAGCAGATAGAGCCAGAATTGAGCAAATGAGAGCTCGGCTTTGGAATGCCAATATGGGAATGCCGATCTGCAAGGTAAATTGTTCCTGGCTGTCAACAGTAAGGTCCCTGCTGGTATGCTCGATGTAGTGTTTGAACAGTGTGTATTCCTGAGCATTCAATTTGCAGATGGATTCTGACTGTACAAATGACTGCATGTCCCGAATTTGAGGAGGCATGATTTGTGGTTCACTTGAACAAGCAACCTTTGATGGATAATTGCATGCTAATCCTAGCGTACTGCATCGCGAGCATTTAGGCCTCAGCTCATCGCACTGTAAATTGTCACCACATGGCCAATTTGGGTGAAGTTGAGGCCAACTCCGATCCATATCCATGTGATCTTGCATACCTTGATTCTTCGATCCTTGCACTTTTGGCAACCATGTCGAGACTTCCGGTGGGATCGACGAGTTTTGTACCCAATCGAAATGTTCTCTGTATGACTGTCACTCATGTTGACGGTCTAGAAAAATGAAAATGTGAGAACTTGAATTAGATAGTCCTGAAGACAAGGAATAAGCAGGAGCTTTGAATTTAAAAGACTCCGAAAATTTTCATTTCTTGAAGTTTCAACATTCCAAATATCGTACCCGTGGACACTTACTGCCATGGATGGATTGAGGCTGAGGCTTGGCATTATGGCCTAACAGCCCCAACAGAGCATGGAATTTGTCAATTTGTCAGAAACTGAAGTTAGATTCTTGGAGCGGATTTGAACTACAGAATCAAAAGAGTGCCCGGCGAGATTTTGTCAGCTTCAATGTCATCAAAACTTTGAGCGATGATGGCTTTCAATGTTGAAAATGGTACCCCAAACACGGGGCACCGGGGGCTGTGCCCAGCCGCTATCAATGGGCACAGCAACCTTGGAATACACTACCTAGTAATATGATATTTGTCATTATTCAAAACCTTCTACTTTGAAGTTCGCACACGTCAAAATAGAGACATGAAATGTTTAGTCTTTAATTCTAGCTACTCTTCAAGGGTTAAACGCCTAAGATGAAGGTAAAATGAATCTTGTGTGGACTCGGAATGCATCATTATATTCAAGTCCCAAGGTTGTCGCAAAATATCCAGAGAAGATATTGCAGTTCAACCAAAAAATCGACAACGATGTGAACTTGAATGAAACAAGACCAAAGCTCGCAATTATCATCTCATCAATTGTCAACCAAGGCAAAGCCACCTGGGGGCCCGTTAGGTCCACCCCCACCCTTATGCAAGTGCGTATTCGCTAAAGCTGACAGATTACTATCAACGAATTAGTAGCCTCAAAAGTATCCATTACTCATTTTTTCAGGTTTAAAGTTAGGCTATGTCTTCTCGAAATGATCTTCATCGGACGCTGTAGTATGTCCCCAAACCTGGTAAACATGTTTGAATCGGTTTAGTGAGATCTCCGGCTGGATTTCTCAAATCGTTCAATCTCAGACTCGGAGGAGAGTTACTTTTGACATTCAGACGATGTTGACCCTCATAAATCTCAAGTGTCGAAGAAGCTGAGTACCAACCTTGGAAGCACAATGTATCATCGATCATCATTATTCAGGCAGTGGGGCCCTGGACATCTGGAGAAGGTCAACTGGGCGGAGTATGACGCGCTCAGCCTTACGATATGCGCGCGTATCGGATACGCCTTCAAGCTTGGCTTCCATGCTCCCTGGAATGGGATGGGATTACAATGCCCTGGGTTTTTTTTGAAATCTTTGCCAGGCTTGATGGGTATATAAGCATCCTGGGCCATGCCATTATCGTAATCCGAAACCATTAGACAAAAGTTCTACTTCTGAAAGCAAAGTTTCTATTTCAAACCACATTTGAGCTCCTAAAAAATCACCAACAGCATCCAGTCGCTTGTGGAACCATGAGAGCAACTATTCTCACTTCTATTATTCTCTCATTTTCTTCTACCTCGTGGGCATGGCCTGCTGACTCTCATTTTGGCAGGCTCCTAGGCCTGAAGACAGTAATATACCTCACCACCCTCACTTGAGTGACTATTCATTGAACCTTGACAATATTAACTCAGAATTACAGGTCGATCCCCCTGTCCCGGTCTAAATGTCATGGCAAATCATGGATGGCTTCCTCGCTCCGGAAAGAACATCGACCTGGCCACGCTAAGACACGCTGTAGCTGGTGCTTTTGACTACGAACCTACAAGCTTCGACAGCGCCTTCGCACAGGCTCTTGCTTTCAACCTCACTACTACCGGAAACAGCTCAACAATCCATCTTAGGGACTTGGCACGACATGACGATGTCGAATTCGACGGGTCACTCTCGCGCAACGATATCTATTTTGGAGACAATTTACATTTCGATCCAATTGTCTGGAAAACTGTCGCTGAGAACCTCCGCCTCTACGAGACATTGGGCTCTGAGGTTGATAATTATGTTACTGTGGAACTGGCTGCAAAGGCTTGTGCTGCTCGTGTTAAAGAGGCGAAGAGAGTTAATCCCACATTCAATGCTTCAACAAATGAGATGGAAGGAAGTCCTGGGACTGCTGGTCTTTACTTGACTATGCTTTGGGATGCCGATTTCGTTGCTGCACCAAAAGCATGGGTTAAAGCGTTCTTTGGTAAGTCGACCAACTTTTTTAAATATAATCGAGGATCTTGTCAGACTTGGAGATACTTGCAATAAAATAGAGGATGAGCGTATTCCATTCCGTGAGGGATACAAAGTTCCGCAAGTTCCAAGAAAATTTGCAAACGTGACAGCAATGACTTTGAGAGTGTCCGCTGTCAAGGTCTAGATATTATCTGCATTTACCGCGAACGAAATTCAAGGATTTGAAGCTCGTGGGATCTCACTCCAAGTTGAAGCTTGTGCGCGGGGTATACTTGAATTTTTGGGCAGTCGTCCATTATAACTGTGGGAGATTCGAGGAGATTATTCCAACTCCAGGATAGAGATTTCCTTGTAAATTGACATATATAAGGTTTTGCGCACATCATACCCTTTCTTCATACCCTTTCTTCACATTTGATAAATCGCTTTAAACTGGCTGCAGCATGGCATGCGCCATCTGGTACTTCTCTGAAGCCACAATCCTCATATCAACCAGTCTGGAAAGTACACGTATAGTCCAGCCTTGACAGTTTTCTGTAACCAATCGTTGACTTGGAGCACGCGGAGGGGGCTCACTCTCCGCGACCTTTCTGATCGAAAGAGCTTCTTCTTCATTAACGACAGCAATGTGATAAATATCCAGGCAGATTTCAGCGCTTGCAATCTCTACCGGTCCTTCTGAGGGCTCGTACGTCATGTATTCGGCATCCCCTTTGACCTGATAAACATAACCGGGCTCGTTCTCCCGACCAACAAAGAGAAACCAGTGACGCGGCTCTCCCTCGCCCTGATCTTCCAAAACGAGAGAAAGGTTGATAGAGGACAGAGACGAATCGGGTATTTCGAGAGCTGAGCTATGCTCAGTCCACTGTTGTGTACCTCTTAATCGAGTCAAGGTGCGTCCGTTGACTTCACATATCTCGCGGAGACCGATGATCCTTCGAGGGGTTGCTGATGAGGGGTATTCATTCATTCTTGGCTGGTCAAGGAAACGAGTGTATGATTCTAATCTTGCCGATGATCACAACGAGGCACTTGTTGGCTGTTCAAACATGACTCATTTGTGAGAGACTAGGAATTAAAACGGCCTGAGGCTCAAAGTGCTCACCCCGCTTCATTGGTTTCAAATTTATTGGGCGAGAGCATTGAGATGTTGCTCAGAGCGTTACTTCACCAACCACATTGGGAAAAAACAATGAAAGAATGATAATAATTGCAACTTATTTGGGATTCAGGAAAATCAAGGGTATCATTCACAAACTCCCATCCCCCATTTTTCACCGAACCAAGGCTTCATTTCCCAAGACCTGCGATCCCATGAAGGCCACTCCCCTCTATCACTCTTGCTCTTCAGCGCAAGGCCATTCCGAACATAGATATCCAGCTTCAGATCCCAAAGATCAAAGACCTTTGGCATTGCAAACGAAAGCATGATAATGCGATCGCGCAAAAGTGGCAGTGGAACTAGATCTAGAGCAGCATGATGCGGAACGAGCATCTGCGCCATCGTTGGTTGCAGATGAATGGGCATCGACAGGTTGAGTGTTGTCGCAATAATTTCATGGGGATTATCTGTCGGTGATATTGGGCGGTAGAAAGGTGAGAGGTCATTTTGATGACAGTCCATTAACTTTCCGATATCGAATCCAAGGCATCTTGCATTGTTCAAGATCGCAAGAAGGGTCTGTGTCTGAGAAGTTTGTAATGTGTTGGTTTTGGGATCTGCTTGAAGATTTGATATAGAGAGGTCTTTATCAAATGGTCAGACTTCGCTGATCTGATACAGGCCTTGTAGTTGGCGACAAGACAGCAGCTGGGGAAATTACCTTGATTCGAGTTTGATGGCTGCTCATCAGAGTCAGGCGACGGATAAAATTGACTAGGTCGACTAGACGCTATGTCCTCCACAACACGTTGTCTCACATCTATATCTGAGCTTTCATCTGAATTTGATGTAGATCCCGGACTAGTTTCTTGACCAGAGTCTTGTGGTGTCTTTACACCTACCCGACTGATCGACGATATTTCCAATCGCGGACGCGAAAGCTTCACAGCGCGTAAAGCCCCAGGCTTCCCAGGCCTGGCAGCTTGCGCAGGTCTGGAGACCTTTTCATGCCTTTGTCTTTCTCCTACAAAACGTTATTAGTCCGAGGCACGACTAAGGGTCAGGTCAAGTCCGATACTCCATGCTCTTTGTGCAGCGCGGTTTTGGTCTCTCCTGGCCGCAGTGATGACCCGCTTCTTAGGTGTCTTCTTTTCCGAGGCTGTGCGTGCTTCAATCGAGGCTACTGGGGTAGGCATCATATCGTGAATCAATTATCTCGAGTGGCTTACTGGCCATGATGGCTTATGTGCATTCAGATCGAACATCGCCGCTTGCTTAAATCCGAGTGAAGTCCGAGCCAATCACATCTTTCTTCAAATATCAACCAATGAAAATACCCCATTCTTCCATAAGCCATGGCTTACACTTGACCAATCAGAAGACCTGAACAACACTTTCTACAGGCATTTGATCGAGTATATATTCAGCAAGAGTCGTCGAGGGAAAGAAATGTCTTTTTTATCAGACGAATTACCATAACTTCATCACTTTATCCAAGTTTCAAAATGTCGACAAAGAAAATCATTGCGGTTGTTGGCGCGACCGGCACACAAGGCTCATCCGTAGCCCGCGCATTCCTCTCTTTACCGAACTGGCATGTCCGCTGCTTGACCAGATCGCCCTCCAGCAAACCATCTCAGGCATTGGTCAACGAAGGCGCGGAGGTTGCTCAGGCCGATCTCAATAAGCCAGAATCCCTACGTGCAGCCTTTGCTGGCGTTCACGCCATATTCCTTAACACCGATTATTGGGAACCATACAGACAGGCCGTCAATTCAGGCAAAGACGCCACAACAAGAGTCAAATTTGGCTACGATACCGAGGTACAGCTAGGAAAGAACGCCATCGATGCTGCATTGGAGGTGCCAACCTTGGAGAGATTTGTCTATTCAGCACTGGGTCCTATGCACGCAGCTTCTGGGGGCAAATACCCGTACTCCTATCACTGGGAGACAAAAGCGCATCTCGTCGACTACATTGAAAGTACCAAGCTGCGGGATGTAGCCTCCTTCATCTACATTGGAGCTTATCTTACCAATCAGTTTCTTTATCCCAAGCTTGACAATGACACTGGCGAATACGCCCTTGTTTTGCCGGCAAGTAAACGAACTCGCTTCCCAATCATCAACACTGCTCGCTCCACAGGCCCGTTTGTTCGAGCTTTGATTGAAGAGGAAGCAGCTGGGACAAAGTTGCTGGCATATGACGAGTACCTTTCATTCGAAGAGATTATCAACACATGGTCCAAGGTTACAGGAAGACAGGCAGTGTTTGTTCAAATGGGTATGCAGGACATGCTTGAGAAGTTCGGTGTACCAATTGAAGTTCTTGGAGCTCCCGCGTATCTTGATGACTTCAGTTACTGCGCTGGGGTTTCAAATGTCATCGAGCCTTCTCAATTGAAGTCTCGTGTAGCCGTGAGAAGTTTCGAGGAGTCGCTGAGAGGATTGGAAGCCGAAATTCTTCTTGGGACTAAAGACTGGGCTTACTAGAGTTGGAAGGACATAGATTCAATGTTGATGAAGTACTCCTTACTAGCAGTGAAAAATAGTACCGCATACATATGACACTTCATTTTTGTAGATCGCTAGCATTCCACGGTAGAAAATAAGCAATCGGCGAATTTTAGTGGAGACTGGAGAGTGCGGCTCATCCCTGAGATTTCAACTATTTTGACCACTCAAGTGTTGGGACACATATTACGACTCAAATTGACCCAAATCGCTACTATTTCTCACACAGAAAGGGAAAATGGATCATTATTTCATATGTGGCTATTATGAGGCTGTTTAACTATGTTAAATTCACTCAATAGCGCCCCTGAGCTATGATTACGTGATAGCCCCACAATGGGCCAACTACCAACCAAACGGGGGGGGGAGCACAGCCCCCTTAAAGAGCGCTAATACCCTAAAGCGCCCCTAAAATCCAGGGTTCAAGGGTTCAAGGGTCCAGATGGCCAGATGGATACCCGCTGGCTAACAAATTAATTCGCCGAACCAACTTCGCCATATTTACTATGTTATTGCCAAAGATTAATTTTGATCAAGCTTTTGATAAGGGGTGACATCCTTGGGGGAGCCATAAAAGTCAGGTTGCCGAGGTTGCAGCCTTGGAAATCGAATTGTGATAGTCAAAGCCCAAAGCGGGGATCAGGGATGGAAGTCAGATATGACATCAATTAATCCACCTGAGCCGAATAATATGATCATCACCCTCGCCACATTGATTCATATTGGCTGTTTTCTTATGGACTAGACCCATGACGGAAATTCATACAAAGTCCGTGAATCTGACAGTCATTCACCCTGAGTGCCAAGATGCCAAGTCTAATGTCTCATGACCCCCCAGATTTCTTTGATGAATATTTTATTCTAAGGTGCTGTCAAAGATTTATGGGGTATCATTTATCTTCTCCAGATTCTTAAACTCTCGAACAGTTACTACTAATTTTCGTATCATTTTGTGTCGACTTCATTTTATTTTACATGGTTCATGACCAGGATATGGAGCGCCAAGATGAGGGGCCTGGAGGGCAGTGCAGGGATCTATAGCCTCGTTCCTTACGCCGTACTTCAATGTACATCAAAGAACTGGCCCCTTTACTCCGTATCCCCTGAAACAATTGAAAGTCAACTTCGAAATCACCTTGGAATGTTACCTACCCATTATCATCCCCGGTACATTTGATCTGAAAATTCCAAATGCAGCAGAGTCATGTGTCTTGGCACGGCTATTTTAAGTGTGCCACAGGTGGCTCGACTAGCCGCATAGTTCCGTAGAGAGATTTGACACCCGAATCTAAGATTGCTGTGGAGTTTGATATTCAAAAGGATTTCAAGGATTTAAAAGGATTTTGTAGATCTAGAAGTACACTGGTTTCTGAAAATAGAATAACGAACCAGAGTGTCATAATCGATGATGGGCCCTTGGGCACACCTTGAGCGGCGCTCATATTGGTACCAGATTGGCTCCCCGTACTCCACTTTTCAAGGGTCCCATCTTAATTTCAAGACTGGCCAAGACGTTCTGCGCGAATCCATGCTGAAACTGGGCGGCTCTGGCCTGGTACCACACTGACAATTGAATATGGCTTTTCTCCCGCCCTTTTCCCCCCGAAATCTTTCCCATCTCCAAGACACCTATCGCGCGTCTTGGCGCATTATCTTCTTTTTTTTCCAATGCTTTATTTTGTTTCTAAAGGGCCATACCCATACAATTTCAGACATCAAGTCTAGTCCCCTCGCTTATTCCCCGGATTTCAATCTTTCTAGTACTTTTCTTTCTTTTCTCACAGCCCGTGGCCATATCCAGCCATGCGGTCCAACTATGTTGCACAAATAGCTACGGTTATTTTACCGACTTTACTATTTCCCGACCATGTCTCGGCTATCACGTTCAACAGTCAACAGGAGGGTAAGTCTCGATCGAAATCCTGGTCATTTCTGGTCGCTGGTGTTAATGTGGCGCAATGAATAGACACGATTAAGGCTGCCGCGAGCCAACAAGCATATGCCATGATGAGTTGGTATCATGGCAACGAAACCGGACAAACCCCAGGAGCTTTCCAGTTTAGTTGGTGGGAAGGTGCTGCGTTGTGCAACGCAATGCTGAATTATTGGCACTTCACCGGCGACGATACCTACAATGACGAGTTAAGTGTTGCGCTGCAGTGGCAAGGAGGCGATAATGGCGATTATTTGAACGCCAACTTCAGTCAGTATGCAGTAAGTATAATCATATCGTGGGGTATGAGCCTGGAACTAAAACTGACGCTGTTCTTCTCTAGGGTAACGACGATCAAATGCAATGGGGCGCCGCTGCAATGACTGCCGCCGAATATAAACTTCCAGATCGTTCATCGGGTTATTCATGGCTATCTCTCGTTCAAGGCGTTTATAATAACCAGAAGGACAACACAGAAGGTTGGGACCCGAGTTCATGTGGAGGTGGATTTCGCTGGCAGAAAACACCATTCCAGGGAACCGGTTACAACTTGAAGAATGCGGTTTCAAATGGTGGATTCATGATGTTGGCTGCTCGGTTAGCCAACTACTTGAATGAATCTTCATATGCTGAATGGGCCGAAAAGACCTGGGACTGGTCTATGAGCGTCAAGCTCGTCAACAACCAAACTTGGGATGTGGGAGACAGCGTCGATGGCTCAGAGGGCTGCAAGACTGTTGACCAAACGCAATGGACATATAATTATGGTGTTTATATGATGGGTTGTGCACATATGTATGCTTATGTGAGTGGTGGCCTTGTACAATTCTGCGCAATGTTTCGAAGTTTTCGACTCAGCTAACCTTGAAACTCTTCTACAGTCCAATGATACCAAGTGGCTCACAGCGTTGAATGGTTTACTGGACAAAGTATGGTCGACATTCTTTCTTCCCAAATACGGAGACGCGATCGCCGAAATTACCTGCGAGGGTAGTGATACCTGTGATAGGAACGGCATGCTTTTCAAGGGTCTTACTGTGATGTGGCTCTCCAATATTGCGCTGATCGTCCCTTCAACCTACGACACAATTCTGGCAAAGATCCAGTCCTCAGCTGTAGGTGCCGCCAGTACATGCACTGGTTTGGGCAATGGCACCTGTGGAGTTCGCTGGTGGGGATCATACGACGGACAAAGTGGAATGGAGCCAGATATCAGTGCTACCAATGTGTTCAGTGTGGCCATGTTGCCATTTGTTGATAAGGCAGATGCAACGCCAGCGACACAATCAACGGGAGGAAATAGTACTAGCGATCCTACTGCCGGACAGGCTGACGATGACTCCACGAAAACTACTCCCGTTTCGAGCGGAGACAGAGCTGGTGCTGGCATCTTGACTGTTGGTCTCGTCGGGGGTGTTGTTGGAATGGCGGTATTCATGCTTATGGGTCAATAAACCATGGGTAGAACAAATGAATCTCCGTTCTGATACCCTACTGGAGTCTGTGCCACTGAACGATCACGGACTTGACTTCACTACCTCAAATTTGATTCTTGTATTAGCTTTTTGTATATTATAGACCCCTCATTTGCACATCTGGGAATTTGCGGTGTATCATATGGATTTTATTTATTTTCAAATTCTTCAATTGATTCAATTTTCTCAATCTATACTCCGTATTGACAGAAAGAGTGCAGGATAAACAAATATGACGTATGTAGGCAAATGAGTTGACAAGGACCTCGAATGGAGTCATCGCGTCAAGTTGAAGCTAACACGGTAAAAACTTGAAAACTTGGATAGATATTGCTCATGATCGTTGGCGGTGTACAGGTATCTGAAGGGCTTGCTGTGGAGTGAGCCAGCTCTGCCACTGACGTCGCCATTCAAGTTTCCACGTTTATGATGCACTTGAAACAGGGTAAGTGTACATAGACCCTTTGCATCGCCCCACTTTTCCAGGGTCCACAAAGCAATTCTTAGGCTGTCATTTCATAGTATAGGCCTGTTTAATTTGTTCCTCTAGAATCAAGTGAAACATTGTGGACGGGAACAACGTGGTGGCACTTTAGAGTGTTATGGTCCGTCGTAGTCAGATCTCGTAGATTCCACTTTAAATACTGCGTTATCCACTATGCTCTGTCTTCAGCCTGGAATCTGATCAATCTTTCACAAAGACTTGGTGGGGTCATCAGCATATACTTCAGGCACCATGAAAACATCCACCATGGCTTGCCCAGTCATATTACAGACTCTACTCCTCTCATTGGCTTTCGCTTCCCCAACTCATACAGCCTTGTCTAATTCCTATCCTGATATCCCAAATGACCCCGTCATCACACCTTCACCAGTGCAGCGAATACCGTCTCAAATCATTGAACGAAATATCCTAAGTGATGTTGACTCAGACATCAACAGCATCGTTTCGGGTCTCGGTTCTGACATACCATCGTGGGTCGCATCAGGAGTTCCCAACTTCTTCCAGGGATTCCCAACCGGAGAGGCGGTCGTCAGCTCTCTTGGCCTAAATAGCGCGGAACTGGCAGCGTTACCAACAAATGTGTTGAATATCGACCCATACGCCAACTGGACAAACTCAGGATGGAACGTCCGCTTCCACGGAAACGTTTATAAACAACCAAATACATCCGTCTCGGACTTGAACAAATTAGCCAATGTCTTCCTTGTGAATACTAGCATCTCGGATCTTCCCGAATCTCAACAAGATCAGGCCCGTAATTTGACTGCGGAGATTTTCATTGTCCAGCAATCCAATGTTGCTGTGGACACTATCCATATTGAGCCCGCCCTAAGTCAAGGGTCTAGTGGACAGTCTGGTGGTGGAGGATCATCGAACACCACAGGAGGGACCCAGAACATCAGCTTGCCATCTAACACAACAGTGGAAGGTGATTTCGACACATTTGTTACAATTGATAGCAATGGCCTAGACGCGGGAAATGAGACTTCGGCGATCCAACGATTAAACACTTATGTCGATGGCGCAACTATTGGCAATGGAACCGCGTATCTTGTGCCTCCAACGGGACTTACCGTTGTTTCAGATATCGATGACATTCTGCGAGTCACTAAGATCTACGAGCCGGAGCAGGGGCTGCTGAATTCATTTGCGCGCCCTTTCACAGCCTGGGAGAATATGCCCGACATTTATCGCAATTGGTCAACCAGTCTTCCCAACATGCATTTCCACTATCTTGTCAGTTCTCCCATCCCACATTCAGGATCATGCTAACAGTAGAACTATAGACTACTACCCCCGAGCAAATCACCCGAAACTACATGCAATTCATCTACGACAACTACCCTGGCGGGTCCTTCGATACTCGCCCTCTTAACTTCAGCGATGTCTCCGCTACTCTATCAATCCGCAAGTTCTTGCTGCAAAAAGTCTTCGAAACCTTCCCAGACCGCAAATTCATCCTTATCGCGGATACAAGCAACAGCGATGTCATGCGTGACTACCCAGAAATGGCAACTGATTTCCCTGGTCAAGTGCAGTGTATATTCCTCCGCAACACCTCTGCGACGGATCCAGGCGACAAATTTCCGTATGATACGTCTGGGTTCAAGAGCTTGAATCAGTCCAATTACATGTTCTTCTTGAACCCGAATGATCTTACAAACTTGGATATTGCAAATGGAGAGTGCTACAACCAGTCTATTGCTCAAAACTTGACCTTTGGTTACCAGGGTTTACCAGGAGCAAGTACTTCTGCGGTGAATGGGTCTGCAAATCATACCGGGGCCGCTAGTGGATCATTGACCAAGGGGTCTACTGGGCTGCAGAGCTTGATTCCATTGGTCATTGCTTTATTCTTGGGCATATTTATGATGTAGATAGATCTTTCAGAGTATAATAGTCAGGCGTCTTTTAAATACAAGCTGCCACTCAGCATTGGATATTAGCTCGGCATACAAAATAACAATTCGATCAACTGCAGATGAAAGAATCCTCAAACTTGCTATCAAGAGCTTCATGGCACAAATTACAGTAAGCCGGTATTCCACCAAGAAAGTACAAGCACTCTCTCGGTTTCCCAGGAATATTGGAACCCATATACCACGAGTCAGCCTTTGACACAAGCGTCATGTTCGCAATCGCATGAATAAGACCCGTCCAAGCCTCTGCCGCCTTGGGATTTGGCTCCAGAGATCGAACTTCATTGGCTTCCATCTTCTTCACAACGTCGCGAATATAACTGGCTTGGAAAGCAATAAAACGAGGCCCATTGGTGAATGGAGTCGGTGCTTGAACGCCGTATGGAAAGAACATGTTTGGAAACCCTGGGACCATCATTCCGAGGAAGGTCGAGACACCGTTTTTCCAGCGCTCGCTGATATTCACACCATTCACGTCTTTGATTCCCATTCGGTTGAGGCTACCCGTACTCGCATTGTATCCCGTGGCGAGCGCAATTGCGTCCACTTCGTATATAGTGCCGTCATCGGTCATGATACCGTTCGGGGTTAATGCGACTATTGGATGCGCTTTTGTGTTGACAAGATGGACGTTAGGCTTGTCCATTTGCTCATAATAATCTTGTTCCAGAGATGGGCGCTTCGTGCCAAATGGATGAGGTGGCTCCAGCGGTGCCAATAAATCACGTTTCACTGGATCTTTGATACGCGGACGAGTCTTTTTGGCCCAGAAGTCGTATGCTGCGCGGTTCGCTACTGGGTTGGTTCCTAAATCGCCATACCCACCAGACCAGTATCGGAATCCACCAGTATAATATAGGTTACTGAGAATTTCCTCAATCTCCTCGGCCGAGTAATCATCGAAATTCTTGTCATGCTTTCCCCAAGGAAGTCCTCCAGGCGTGGTTTGACAAGCGGCGAACAAGTCAGGCGTGTCCTCTTTTATCCTTTCCTGTGCTTGTCTATCCAGCTTCTTTGGGCGCATAGGTATGGCTATATTCGGTGTACGTTGGAACACGAATGTCTCGGCTGCTTCCTTTGTCCATTCTTGGATGATTTGAACTCCTGTAGACCCGGTGCCAATGACCGCGACGCGTTTTCCTTTCACGTTGACTCCCTCACGAGGCCAGGACCATGGATGGTGAATCTCGCCTTGAAACGTTTCCATCCCTTTCCAGGGTGGTATGTACTGCTCGCTAGCAAATCCAACAGCCGGGATAAAATATTTTGCCTTGATTGTCGTGTCATTATTTGTTTTTAAAGTCCATCTCTCACCATTAAAGGTGGCTCCATTGACTTCTGTGTTGAATATACAGTCTTTTCGAATTGACCAAACCCGATCCACATGAGCGAAGTAAGCCCCGAGCTCTGCCCGACTGGGATACATCTCAGACCAGTCCCAGTCCTTCCATATCTCTTCTGCGTCGAATGCATAGGTTGGCACAGGGCAGTCCACACGAGCTCCAGGGTATGCGTTCCAGTACCACGTTCCTCCAATATCCGAGGCAGAGTCTATGATTTTGACATTCAAGTTCAATTCATCGCGAAGGTAGTGTAGAGTCGAAATTCCTGAAAATCCAGCACCCACAATGACAACATCCACGTCAAAGTCTTTCGTTTGAGGCATGATCATATTGCCAGATAGTTGAGCTAACCGTCTTTGTGCCGTCATGAGGGTAAAATCTTTCAGTTTCGACATTGATGGGTAAGCGTGATCTTTTATACGACAGGGATGCGGGGCTGGGTCTTAGTCCCTGTAGATCAACTTTCTTCATCCCTTTGTAAAGAGGTCGCCACTTCCCGATGATCATCACTCCCTTAACACAATCATTACTCCAGACCCCGAAAAGTGACTGTCTGTAAGGCCCCCAGCAGTCAGCAGCCTCGGCAGGATACTTGGGATGGCCAACCTTGGAAGCAATAACATCCATGGATAACACCTGAGGACCGCATAATGCAAAAACGGCAGTCCCGCACACTCAAACCTAAACTTCTTATGCCCAGGTCAGAGATACATGAACTGGTGAGAGTTGTTTATACCTTCTAGTTTATACCTTCGAGCGAGAATAGATCATAACTTGAAATCGAAACACTCTGATACATCCCTCACATACTGTTTACATATGGGCTCAATCTTCCATCTCATTAATTACTACGTGTCAACTTTCCAGTTTGCATACAGGAGTTTGCAGCTAGACGCAAGGATCCTAACCAGTGCTTGGAATCTTGGAACCTCGGTCAAGGATAGGTACTTCTATTGGACTTCAAAATAAGATGGAATGCACAAGATATAGTGCGTGTAAGCTCATTCCAGCAGCCTCATTCATGAATCATTCAATGTACCTACAGGTGGGCAGCCATGCAGGAGGACTAGGAATTCCGAACACGCCCAAGGCAGACTGTTAAAACAAATGGAAAAAATCGAATATGTTTTTCCCCAGTAGTAATTTTGATACCAACTTGAAGATGAACCACCTGAGCAAGAGCTGCGACACATCCATATGAATAGCAGTCATGATTGGCCTCTCGGCGAGTCCAAGCGCATAGCCCCATCGGTCAGCGCATACATAGTGGACTAGACAGCTCAGCTATGCACCTCAGCGATGCACTGCCTCTCTCATTCACGCGGAGCCGCCAGAGTCAACAGAAATTTGTTAGCGCCATGAGATTATTTGCTTCTCCGAGAAGTCTAAGCCCACTCAGTCTGCAATCAACCTGATGCTTGTTTTGTTCCTTCATCTCCTCTCATCATCTTCATTTCCTTTTCATCAAATTCCACCTTGTTTAGGACACCATAAACACCATGTCGGATCCTTTTTCTGTTGCAGGCAGTGCAGTGGGGGTGATCTCTCTTGCGCTGTCTATATGCGGAAAAATCGTTGACTACGGTCGGGCATACCGTGGCTATGACGAAGATATTCACAATATCACGGCAAAAGCCAAGTCTTTAAACGAAACTTTGGAGGCTTTGGAAGAGGCAATTAAATTTACTCAGGCCACTCAGCCTAAAGCTACCACTGACCTGTCAACCAAAGTTATTGGTATCAAGGAAACTATCGCACGACTCAAGAGTATGCTCAAACGATACCGGGCCTGTCGAAACCACTGGCGGGGTTGCCCAAAGAACGCGAAATCATGCCAGGAGAACTTTTTATCCCTTCCGGAAAGATGCCTTACGAGGCATGGCAGCAGATTTGGACAGCCTGCAGACTAATCTACAAACTGCACTATTAGTGTACGCTACAGCTATGTATCACCTAGTTATTGAAGATCGAGATGGAAAGTTGACCAAACATGCCATAGACACTCCTGGAGGCAAAATTTCCAAGCTTTAGAAGAGATGAAGCAGATGATGGTAAGGCGGTCTTTGTACTTTATTGATCAACTTTGGCTCATATCACCAGCTTCTCGCCCATGCAAATGGAGAGGAAAAGTGTCAATTTGAGTCGACGAGCAGCAACAATGCCTTGTCAAAGGTATATTTGAATCGACAAGAACAGGTTTCTATAATGGGGAGATATCGCTCCTACATCCGGTGGCTTGGCCGCACAATTGAATTCTCGCTCAATATGACGACTGGAGCTGGCATTTTTAAAATTTCCCCCTCACTGAAAGTACAGACAGTTTTCTCCTATGGAAGGCCCGAGTACCGGTACGTGAGTGATCTCCTGCAGTCGCTATGGTTGGGGCTGGATTTCGACAATGACTTTCAGAGACTGAAGAATTCGCTCTCGGAGCGAAGGTTCGCTCTTTCGTGTGCCGTACAACTTGAATACAACGGAGGTACCAAATCATTGTTCGAAGTATATTTGCCCAGATCCTTTTTTAATTCAAAGATGGAGAACTAACCTCAACTAGGAGTTCTCCACGATTTTAGCGAAACATGCGATATTAATGAGCAATGACTTACAACGCCGCAGAATTGTGGAGTTTCTTCTGGCTGTTAGGACAGAGTCAGACAATTCGGATTGTCCAATGACTTTGGGAATATCGCCACACGTACTTCTCAAAGCAGCGGATATTCCAATCATTGCGCATCTTGCCAAAATTGGCTTCAGCTTTGACTTCTCGAAAGACTGGCACTGTTACACAAAGGACAACTTGGTACTTTTGCTTCCTCTACTCGACTCAGGTATGACTCTAGAATTTGAATATGCCTCTTCTATCAACCTTAAGGTGGAAGATAGTGATACAAACACCGGAAGTCCTAAGGCTCCTTTGTCGCGAAAATGCTGCGGAGCTCAGACTAGCTCTCCAAGAGAAACGAATTTCGCCCAACGGATGGGTTGAGGGGATCTCAATGATCGAGTGGGCAATCGGTTGGCCGGAGGGTGTGCAGATCCTTCTTGAATTTGGAGCAGATCCAAGGCAAACATATGACATGTTGTTCCTCCTTTATCCTGGGAAGGGGCGTCAATCCTCGGCCGAAATATTGTTAAAAGCAGGATGCCCCATTCATCCGACGTACCTCCAAACCAGGTTCGAGTTCACTGGTGGGAAAGAGAAAATGATATTACTGGTCAATCAACTACCAGAATGACGGCAGAAGATACGATGCTTTGCGGAAAGGTTTTTGCCTCTGGATTTAATACCTGTCTCGGGGGAAAATCAACTTCTCGATGGATCAAATTGTCGACAAGTCCTCGAGTTACTGGCTGATCACAAAGTACCCCTGCCACATCCCTTTACACCCAACGCTGAGAAATTCTTGGGGCTTCAAGGTGATATGACTGTTTACCATGGTAAATGGTCAAAACTGTGTGCCGAAGCATTGTATCAAGTGGGGTTTCTTGACACTGACAGGCTCGACTCGAACAGCTACTCGCCCCTCGAATCCCTTGGGTCAAACAAGTTATGGGATGTTCTGGAACGGTTGACAGAAATAATTTACTGGCACATCTCCAAAGGTGCCAACCTTCACCGTACATTGGCTTGGGCCAGCGAATCGGTTTCCCATGTCTTGATTTTGGCGATGATTGAACGAAGCTGTTATAGTGATTGGATTGGTGAATCGCTTCAACTCGCAGAGGTTGAAAGATATTTACGAGAGCTTGTCGCAATGGGAGATGAGTTCTTTGCGCCGACTGGAGTTCCAGATGGGTGCTCCTGCCCTTGCTCTCCAGGAGGATGCACGGCAGTATCGGCCATTCTCCGAAAATTGACTTCTGGATCTTGGAGATGGCACTTCAAATGTTATAGCAAGTGTCAAAGAAGAGTGTTCAATTTTGTTCACGAATGGGACCAGTCTTACTGGGAAAAGCCCCAAGAAGTCATCAGATCTTTGACCTTCAATGCATTGGGTCTGACTCACACATGCTTTGCCAGCATCCACAAAGGACAGGTTCTCTGTCAGCCTTTGAAAAAGCTTTTACCCGAATACTGGTATAGGCGTGTCAAAGATCATCTATTAACGCGACATCCCGACAATGAAGAGCATGTGAAAGGTGCAACGAGCGTGGGGGTGGAGCTCGAATTCTGTGGACTTTCTGTCCCCGATTGGATGAAAAACTGCATTGCAAGAAAGGTGGAGGAGGTCAATGATGAGGATGCGGTTGATGTGTAGCGTAATTAGCATCATCCATACTACGGAGTACTTATCTTTACGATCGTTGGAAGAAAGTGAAAAGGGTGCTGAGGGAGCCCATGTTTGATTATGTATGGTTTCTGAAGCTGCGCTGCTAGATGTTCAGCTAGGTGGCACAATTGCGAAAACCTGTTAAATATGTTCAATGCCTCAGCTAGATCATTTGAAAGACCGAATATGTGCCTAGAGACCTCTATTCAGACCAAACAAATCAATTGCCTAGGTGCGGTCCACAGGTGTTTCTTGCTCCATAACCTACCAGGGCTCTGTGCTTTTGGGCATGATATGTCTAGCTACGGCCTACTACCGGTATGTAACCTGCCTAGGTAAATATAGGATGCCCTAAAGAGTATACGAGGCAAAGAGCTCTACAGAAAATCTCTCAAATCCACGGAATATTTGAGGCTAAATCGACTTGAGACGGAAAGCCCGCCCATAAGGTATTATTTCAGGATTTTTGACAATCCTGAGAAATCATGGCACATTTAGGACTCGGAGGCTCATATTCTGAGTCAACTCATCATCGTAAGATTTCCGTCTGTATGTATAAGCCATGGGCACCCCGTGGACATATGCGACCTGTGGCACCAACATTAGACTCTATCTCCAAATAATGAGAATCAACACTGTGACTAAAATACATCAATCAATGGTCCGATTCATTCATTTCTTTGAAAGGCGTAGACACTAACGCTGATTTTGGGGGGGGGGGGTTTCATAAAAAAACCCTTCGTTCGCATCATATGTTCTTTGTTAGGCTGTATGAACCCGTGGATAGCCTTTGAAGATTGAGTGGGAATGGTCTGAGTTCAAATTTCTGGAGATTTACATAGATCACTATGTATCATCTGCCCCCATACCTTAAATTAAAGGAGTATGATGCAATCATTAATGACAAGTCAATAGGTATACTTCAACCTTGAAGACTCTGACTATCTCATAACAGAACCCTCAAATGTTGATACCTATGACTACTATCACCTAGTAGTACTATTAGTAGTAGTGCTGTTACCCCTATGTATTACTTTTTCATTTATCCCTTTCATCCAAAACTTCGAACCATGACATTATATAGTCCCGACTCGGAGTCATGATATGCATTGTCATACCACTGGTGGTTTTTTGTGAAACCAGCCCCGTATGATCAACATCAGATCTATGATCTTAATTATGAAACAGAATCTGGACAATTGTACAATTTGTACTACAAAAAAAGGAGCTTGAATGGATTAAATAGTTCCAGACTATTTATATACGGAGACCGGGGACCAATCACCATTAAGCAGTCAGACCACGTCTTGGCATCGATCGGTCCGATAAAGCATTCCGCCACTGAAGGCCAGACTGTCCACTTCTTCATTGCTTTATAATCGTCATTTTTTCTAGTATACGTGAGATCTTGGAGATTTCAATTTTGTCTACGCGACGCTCAATCAACCGTTACTTCGCATACCCCGTGAATTCTGCTGAGTTCGCGCCACCTATCTACCGCGTCCTCCGAACCCTCCGCTTTTTTGCTTTACTCCCTACATACGGTGATTTTTGATGGTCCACAAGATGCGCTCGGCGGCGAAGCTGTTTTATACAGCTGTTTTCGCCTTTATCAGTCTGACAGACGCAAGTCATGACTCTCAACAACTGGACACCGCAAAATGCGCTGTAAGTCAGATCTCGGAGAGTGGGGAGCCATCGCAGGGAACCAATTTGCTAACTTATGCCGTGCTCTGCTATAGTTTGATTCATCTAGTATGGTCTCGGATGCCTGTGTATCTTACGGCACAATCAATAACCTCAATGACGAGGTCTACGCTCTTCTTCAATCCCTCACCGTCGAAACCGATTTCTTTTCCTATTATCGATTGAACCTGTTTAATAAACAATGTCCGTTCTGGTCAGATTCCAGTAGCATGTGTGGAAACATAGCATGCGCTGTGAATACGATTGACTCCGAAGAGGATATTCCGCCGACTTGGCGTTCAGAAGAGCTGAGCAAGCTGGAAGGACCAAAGGCCAACCACCCACCGCGGAAAGTACAAGCAGAGCGACCCAAGGAGCGACCGCTTCAGGGTATGCTTGGAGAGGGTGTTGGAGAAAGTTGTGTTATGGAGTACGATGACGAATGCGATGACCGAGACTATTGTGTGCCTGAGGACGAGGGCTCCGCAGGAAAAGGCGACTACGTGAGTCTGGTTGACAACCCTGAACGGTTTACCGGATACGCCGGAGAGGGCGCAAATCAAGTATGGAACGCCATCTACCGAGAGAATTGCTTCATGAAGCCAGTAGAGGAGGAGCTGGAGGAGCAATCCCTGCATGTGCCATTAAGCGGACTCCAGGCTGTTTCCGACTTTCGGAACGTTATTCAAAAGGAATCTCAGCGTCTCGATGGCTTGCCATTAGACAATGAGTGTTTGGAGAAGCGGGTCTTCCATCGCCTCATTAGCGGCATGCATGCTTCTATCTCCACTCACCTTTGCTGGGATTACTTGAACCAAACCACCGGTCAGTGGCAGCCCAATATGCAGTGCTACAAGGACAGACTGCATGGCCACCCCGAGCGCATTTCCAACATGTACTTTAACTATGCCCTGGTTTCCCGCGCCGTGGCGAAACTGCGCAAGCACCTCCAGAATTACACCTTCTGTACCAGTGACCCTGTACAGGACTTTGATACAAAGCAGCGCCTGAATCAGCTGACTGATATCCTGGCGCGCCCTCCCCGCATCTTCGATGAGGAGGCCATGTTCCAGGACCCAAGCGCTCACGGCCTGAAGGAAGATTTCCGCAACCGATTCCGCAACGTCAGCCGACTGATGGATTGTGTGGGATGTGACAAGTGCCGCTTGTGGGGAAAGCTACAGGTGAATGGATACGGCACTGCCCTCAAAGTCTTGTTCGAGTACGACGAGACCAAGAACGGCGAGAACCCACCTCTGCGCCGCACAGAACTTGTTGCATTAGTCAACACGCTCGGTCGCATCTCCCACAGTCTTGCCGCTGCTCGCAGCTTCCACGAAGCCCTCGAGGCTGGCCAGGAACATGCTTACCCTCTTCACAATTACGCTCCGTTGGCACCTAAGCAGGCGGAGGTGACACCTGATGGGAAACAACCTGCTCGCATATTCCACGATGGTGCTGGTAACCTGTACTATGAGAATAATGATGAGAGCAATTGGCATCATGGACGTCAAAAGATGGAGGGACGTAAACCTTGGGAGTACCCGCGTCGCCCTGACAATCCTGGCGCGTTTGATGAGCTTGTCACCGAATGGACTGTTATTAGGGACACGACCTTATATGTCCTGAAGAGTTGGATCAATGCTCCTCGCACTGTGTAAGTGTTTCTCTCTTTCAACCATGTGATGACATCTTGCTAATTTTATGTATAGTTTCGAGATTGTCTATATGGAAGTTCAACGGCTCTGGGCCTTCTGGTTGGGTTTACCTGTGCCCCCTCGTCAATGGAAGATCAGGGCACCAGGTTCAGATGATCCCCTGGCCCAATCCGTTGAGCAGCAGCATAGAGATAGAGAGCTGTAATTGGCTTTTTGAATTCGCTACTTTCATTGTATATATGCGACGGCGTTGGATATTTTGATTCAATTTAGGGAGGGACAACAACTGGGATTTGCATCAGTGATACTTCACTGCTTTTATGTTTTTTCGGCTACAGTTACTCGATTCGGGTATGGGTCTTGTCTTATACTTGCATGTAGATTTTCAAGGGACTATCCAAGCGACAGACTTTGTACAATTTTCTATTGCTCACATCAGACTTCTTTCATGTTAAATATACATCTAGCATGTTCAAACAATCTTGAGAATCCCAACGTTTGCACTTCTATAGTTTTCCTCGGAATTCGGAGAGGCGATAGGTTACTGGTACTTTGTACACAGTAAATAAGAGTGCGAGGATTTGCCACCTAACAAAGACTCGAGTTTTGATCGCTAAAGAAACAATAACAATATGTTTAATCAGATTTTTTGAATGCATGTGAATGTGCGATTATAAACGAAGTAACTTTGAGAGTCATCAAAATCGGTTTTCTTTGACTCATTCTATACTAAGGGTTACCTAGTAGGCTACTATGTACTCCATAAGAGCCTAGGCGGTAGAACAAGTCGGTAAACGCCGATGTCCTCGGCTTCTCCACTCCCGACCACATGCGACCTCTTTGACTTTTCCCACTCCCTTTCCCCGTCATCTCCACCCCCAGTTTTCCTCCATCATCTTGACCCGATGCGATAGATTGCGCTATATAGGTTGCAATTATGGCGTCGGTGTCACCACCAAAACCCTGGGAAAGAGCAGGTGCTAGTGGTGAGTCTTAACTTCTGCCCTTCTGCCCCAAACGGTTCCGGGCCTCAAGTGGAAGCGGTGAAATCGCCGCTGGTCACGTCTCGTCACGTCTCGTCACTACGATCGTCACTTCCTGTCTTTACGGTCGCGAATAAGTACTTATTGTGTAATTATATAGGGAACGCTTTATCGTCTGCGCCTATTGCTGGAAATCCTGTTGCATCTACCGCGATGACCTCGCCCTCTGCGGGCAACCCCGCAACCGCCTCGACTACCTCCGCCCCCGAATTACCCTCCCGCCCCAGTGCTCTTAACTCTGTGGTCAACACAAATGCTTCCAACTACTCTCCGTACGGCGCATCGCGTTTTGGAACTAGCCCTTACGGAGGCTATGGAGGTATGAGTGCATACTCTTCTCCATACTCTCGCTTCGGCTCTATGGGATCAATGTATGGTGGCTACGGCGGCATGGGAGGCATGTACGGGGGCATGGGAGGTATGGGAGGCATGTATGGAGGCATGCCTGGGCAGGACCCAAATGACCCCAACAGCCTCACCAACTCTTTCAGCCAGAGCACCCAAGCCACTTTCCAGATGATTGAGAGTATTGTTGGAGCATTTGGAGGGTTTGCCCAGATGCTGGAAAGCACTTATATGGCCACTCACAGTTCATTTTTCGGTGAGATTCCTATTCACATTCAATTAGATTCCAAAAAACCTTCTTCTAACTTATTTGCACAGCTATGGTCTCGGTCGCAGAACAGTTCGGTAACCTGCGAACCACCCTCGGCTCGGCTCTGGGGATCTTCACCATCATCCGTTGGTTCCGCACATTAATCGCCAAACTCACCGGTCGTCCTCCCCCAGCCGATGCTACTGCTCTGACTCCTGCTGCATTTGCAGCTTTCATGGGTGGACGCTCGGCGCCTATCACCCTCCCAGATGGCTCGCCGGCTCCCGCCAAGCCTTCAAAGAAGCCGTTCTTCATGTTCCTTGTTGCTGTTTTCGGTCTCCCTTACCTGATGGGCAAGCTGATCAAGGCTCTCGCCCGATCGCAAGAGGAGCGTCGCCAGCAACTTGCTGGTCCCAATGGTGAACCGCAATCAGCGTCCCTGGATCCGGCCAAGCTGGACTTTTGCCGTCTCCTCTACGACTACTCTCCCGAGACCCAGGAGAGCAATGGCATTGACCTGGCCGTGAAGAAGGGTGATATTGTTGCTGTCTTGAGCAAGTCTGACCCTATGGGCAACGCTTCAGAATGGTGGCGCTGCCGTGCTCGTGATGGACGTGTGGGTTACTTGCCTGGTCCTTACCTGGAGACTATCCAAAGACGACCTAATCAACAAGCCATTACATCTGGCAGTGCGCCAGCCTCCCGTACAAACTCAATTAGCGGTGTCATTTCTACCGATCGCACAAAGAGTCTCACCTCAGTCCCCAAGTCAGCTGGTGATCAGCCGCCCGAGCTGAAGGGCAAGATGGGCGACATCTCGCCTGAAAGTTTCCAGAAGAGCACCTTCTATTCTTAATAAAGGGGAAAGTATATTTTGTCCAGGGACGGGCTTCCTAGAGATTCTTGTTTGATCAGCGACAATCATGCGGGTATTCTTTTTCTTTTCTTTCCTGGGCGAAAAGCAACCAACTGCCCTCATCTCACATGACACATCCTCCACCTCCACCCATACTTCACTAGCGAGCGAACAGCACTCGGATTGGCATATTTGACGGAAGTTTGATTTGAATTTACGATTTGTTAAGCAGCCAATCGGTGTTGCTGTCTATTTCGCCTCTGGTGCCCTCGATGTGGCACACATGCACCCATACCCCCTTTCTCTTCACCCATCCAATCCTCTTTTCCTCTATGGTTGGGTCATCATGCTTTTTGATTACTTATTCAGTTCATTTCATGTTCATCTATATTTTTATTGGCCCTGGAATGGGCCCGGTTTAGCGACGGTATTCGGTCTGACAATCTATATTTTTATATCTTATCTTTACGGCGAAAATGCATATGGATCTATCCATGTTTCACAAATATGAGGCCCCTGGGTCCGACTAGTATTGTTCCGAATATTGGGTGCGTGTGAGACGCCAGATTTGATCAATCGAAAATATCTTCCTCGGAGCTAGATGGTGTAGTTCATTAGTCATTGTCTGCCCTATCATACAAGATACTGGAAGACTACTGAATCCGGCTTGCTTCAAGACAGATGTGTTGGTCAATTGGTACTTTTGAGCAATAAATACGGAGTACCTACTAAACTTCCTGCACATGTGCACATGTCCACGGTGTGATCATCCATCTGATGTGGTATTTCTCGTATTCGACAATCTTGGAAACTTGAGCAAATGGTCTTAGTGAGGCGCTTGTAATCACATGTGCACCACCTGAGCAACGAGCACTTGAAAGTCCACAATAGCTAAGCCCATGTATCATGTATATGGAACCTTGCAAGTACTGGCTGGCCTTGACTTCGGTGACTCCGAGTCAACTTCGCCTCCGATATTTGTGATATCACATTCTCATCCAATGCTTTATATTGAAGGTACTAACAAAATCTTTGGACTAATATGCAATTCATGATGCTAGACTCGAGAGGCATGGTATTGAATCTACTAGTAGAGAGCTCGCTCATAATTCCACTTACTAATTTGGAACATACTCAAGTGTACACCGTATACTCCGTATTATCAGAAGGAATATGCAAGCAGCCACCTAGCTGTACGGACTCGAAGATGTTGCGATTTATTGGTTGCTGCAGTTGACTGCATATGTAATGTCGTAATTCTTGCATTCGAAAGTGGCTGCAGTCAAGGTACAGAGTACATACCTCAAGTTTGAGCGATGATCAGTTAATAAAAGCCTTAGGGAGTATCCATCTTTAATAAAAAGTCCAATTTCAGGATGAAAGCATCCGATACGCATTTGTCTTAGCAGAAGAACTATAATCCTCAGTAGTTGCCCACTCCGTTCACTTGAAGTGTTGAATCTCCGAAGTTGAATATGGACATGATGATGCATGTAGTACATGTACGGGGTACAAGATACTTTCTAGGTACTTGCAATCCCCTCCTACTAGTATCCATGTGAGGTTACATGCTAACTCACTAGCGGAGCGCACTAGTCTGATTCATCCCGAGTGCTTTGTGGGAACTTGAAGATCTGGGCCCCCCTTAGGCAGGTCGACTTTCTTTTCCACTCAATGTTCACGCTTCCCCTGTTTGGAAAGCCCTCTGTGCTGATGACCAAAAAGATTCCCTTTTACCACCATCGGTAATGCTATGACCCACTGGGATATAGTATTGCTAAGGACTTCTGTGGGCATTCCATGACTCGTTCTTGGAGACTTTGGAATTTGTCATTCAAGTTCTTCCTTCTTCCGATCAAACAGATCATGAAAGATGATTCAAGACTCCATCAACTACTAGTAGTGTTACTTGAAGCCAGATTATGACCTAGACAATGTACCTCAAACAGGCATCTTTGCAATGAAATGTGAGAAACTTCAAATGGATTCGATAGGGATAAACGATTACCCATATGCCAACGGAGGGTTAATGATGAGATTCAGGGACGGCGTTTGAGGGGGAGGGCCGAAGTTCAGAACAGATATTTCAAATCGGGCTGCCTGGGGAAACTGCATTCAGCATATAATGTCCCATTTGACTCAGAGCACTTAATCCCAGTAATTGTCGGCAATCATCTCGGTAATCAGGAATGAGGAGAAGACAACCCCTAAAAACAAACCTTCCGCAACCTGAGTTTGGACGATATACCCCGTCCATGAGCAGAAAGACGCTAATGAAATGTGCAGTATACCCATGGTGTGATTTCGAGTTTGATTGGAAGATCGGTCTTCGACGCAAACACCCAGATGCACATCTGACTAGCGGAGATCATGACCAGTGGTATGTACTCCGTACTGAGCACGGGCTTAAGGCAGGCAATAATAATGCAGTCGCTGGCATTGATCTTTTGGCTCTTCTCCACTTAGGTACATGAAGCGTTCTTTGTATCCTACCTCTTGCTCTCTTCGACATTCCTCTTTCTCTTGTCCCCTTCCTCATCCACCCTATTTATCCTCCTTTCAATTGTCGTATGACATTCCAGAGAGTACCTGCACCCCAGGTCGGGGTGCCCCAAATGCTGGAGGTGCGAAGGTCCGCTTAAGGAGATCTCGGTAGAACTCTTCATCTGAGTATCAACACCAGTCAGTCTCTGGCTTCATTCCCAATTGCAAACTATTGCCTCTTTGCATTCTTCTGCATTATCCAGGGTTTTGCTTACCTGAACGATTACCCTGGAGCTTCTTCCGCTCTGCCCAGATCTTCTCCGCTGACCATTCCCAGGCTTCATCTGTCTTTCTCGTCCCGAGAAACCTCCAATGCAAGCATACTAGCCATGTGCGATTCCTCGTCATGTCAGGATCATGCATAGAGATATGCTTCTCTACATATAAGGCAATGTTCCGTATTATTTTGACTTCTTGTGGGACAAGCTCATGATATTTGGGGTCTCCGTTGATGGCCTTGTCGACCAAAGGATGTTCATACCAATTTACGCCTTTCCCTACCGATGCAAGGACGATTAGTTGGTGACCATAGAATGGGGTATGAGATTAACATACCATCTTCGCTCGGGAACTGAGCAGTTCTGTTTGGAGGGTGAGGTGATACTTCTGGACAACGACTGAGTCCCATTTTAAATGGAGCTTGTCCAGATGGATTTCTTCTCTTGTGACTGGAATGCAAATGGTGTTGGGATTTTCTTTTCATAATTCAGTGCTGGATCTTGGTTCAAGTTGACCCAGATTTATACTGATTCAGGGAAACGAAGACTAGACACAAGTCATCTTTACTAGGCTACTCTGCCCCCCAAAAAAATCGATTGTGTTGACAGGCAACTAATCAATCGGTAATTTTTCGGACTTTGGTACCTACCCCTGCTCTTGTTGGGCGGCGCGGCGGCCGTGCTGTCAAGCTAGCAGGTCTTCAAGGCAAAAGCCAAATCAACTAACAAGTTATTCAGAGCTACTACCCCTGTCAAAACTCTCGGCGAATTTTTCTCTCTGCTATCCATTCTTTCCTTTGTCTTTCAACGCCTTTGTTTCTCTCGCCCATATTGTCTTGCTGCTTTTTCAAATCAGAACCTACTCTTCTTTCCAATTTCCGAGGGGATCTTCCGCAGGGGCCACATGAATGATCTATCAGATTTGTGATGAAAACGATCTAGTCTATTCCTGTTTGTGATAACTTGCAGGCGACTATTGCCGATCGCATTTAACTCGGTGCCATTTTCCGCGTCACCAATCACTTACGATCGCCATGATTTGAGTCATAAATACGGAGTACTAGCTAATCAGCCATAGTCCAGGCTGGTGCCTGCAGTACTGACTCATCTGAAAAAGAACTAATGGAGATATTGAAATGGTGGGGTTTGAAAATGAAAAAAGAACACATTTTTGACAAGAATGCACCGAGGATGGAGTATGGAGCCCGAATGATCAATCTACCTAGTGTGACAGCAAGACAAACAGTGCAAAATGAAGCCACGGTCTTTCAAAGTCGCAATATGGTGTTTTGAGCATATCCCCGCCTCAATTATCCTCCCATGCGCTCATTATCCAAGATAACCTTCTTAATATCATCAATTATGGGCGCTATTCCCTTCCGTGACACACCAATTTTCATTCCCCGTAACGCCATGTCGAATACAAGCTTGACCGACGGGCCCTGTTCGTCATCATCAAACCATTCCCAAAGACGGTCGATGATCTCAAAATTCCTCTCCTTCATTTCTTCCTCTTCTTCCATTATAGTACCTCCTCCTAAACAAGATGTCCATTTAACACTACTGAGCCAAGGCAAATTCTCGCTCAAAGTATCAGGACTAAACTTGATGAAGAGCTCTTTCCAGGTTGCCCCTCCACGGCACGGGAAAACACATTCGGACCAGAGAATTGCAGTCAAAAGTATCTTGACTTTGTCCTCATGTCTGAGTTCGGCATAGCAGACGTCATACTCTTTCCTACTGTTCAGGAATCTCTCGTCCATGAGATACATCAGCGTGTTAACCTCCAAATGTCTATATCGATCTTTAAACTTTGTGTATGCGGACTCGAAATGATCTTTGTTTCTGAGCGCTGAATTCTGAATAAGGGTTTCCAATAAAACTGGCGTCTGCAGATTTTGCGATTTTAGAAATTCATGGAATGTCTCGAAAGGTGAGTATGACAGGCTCTTAACATTCCACTCGCAGTCCTTTTCTTTGAGTACCTGTTCGAAGAATATCCGCAGCTCCGAGACGCTGGGAAACTCTTCATTTTCCCTCAAAACGGTTTTGAAGGAAAAGGCGTTTTTGCGCATGCTGCTGTAGATATTTGAAGAGTTCGGGGTTTGGTAACGAGAATGATAGAAGAAGCAGAACTCTCAATGGTTTGGCAAGTTCGAATATTGAGAAGAACTAGGTAAATTGGTGTATTCGAGTTAAGCACTTGAGGGTTGAGCTGCGTATGGTTCAAGGACGATTTCCAAATATCTGATGATTCTCAACACTAATATCCGGGAAATAACCAGCTATTTAACAATTATTCCATGCATATAAAAATATAGATAACCCAACTCTCGGAAAGCAACACCATACGCTCGAAATAATCACAACCAAAAGGCGGTATAAAACATGAACTGTTCAAGAGCAGGGGTTCTACCAAATTTTATCCTGATGGTGTGAACGAGAACAAGGGCTATCAGATGAATCGGTCAAGTTTTGAAAGCTCATTCGTTACCAGGACATCTTGTTAGAATCACAAACCCGGGTCCACGGGTAGAGATCTGCAAGTCAGCCGTATACAATAACATAGTTTGGTACCCGAGATGCTTCAAGTTTGTCTCGATCTCTATGATAATAGGCTTGAAGATCTGAATGGGGGTGACTTGCATATCTAGTGCTGATTTATGAGGCATTCGAAGCCCCCATTTGCCCATCATGCGGCGCCAACGCATGTCTGTGCCCGGGTGCCCAGGTGCCCATGACCATGGCCATGTGTTCCCTGTTTCTAACCAAGACTATGATGGTGCGATCTCACAGTTTGTAAGAACTTTTGCTTAATGTGATAGATCGTCTTATATCTCGCACCTTAATTTGTACTGTAGTGTAACTCAACGACGAACTATCAATAGTCAATTCTGCGGCTCTATATGAGACAAAGCGGGGTCACAGTATTGAAATGTGGCTCATCGAAAGAGCAAGGAGGGGCTATTTTACAAGGCCAGTAAAACTCGTCATAACCCGATGCTAGTTCCCATCCCAATCATGCTCAACGTCGCTCGGGCCTGCCGTCCTGCGCTTTGGTATTCCAAATATCCCATCTCCGGCAGAGCATTGTATCTGATTAATTATTTCTTGCATGAGACTAAGAGTTCACTAGTTGCATTCCATCTCAGCCTTCAACTGGCCTTGCTCTTTCCTAGTACAAAATAGAACCCTTATTCGTGCCTGAAATTCCTATCTGTGAATTGTTTTGAAGAGATATCCGTGCCCAACATGGAATCAATAGAGTACATTGAATTCTTTTGGGCATGTATCAAATAGTATGAGGATGCACAGTTCTGAGTCTTTGAGTGCCCAAGAACAGAACTTTCTCTCTACAGTATTAGGCCCGGATTAATGTTGCTGAGCCCAGCCTATCAAACGTAGACCTTGTTGTTGGCTGGTTGAAGCCCACCTCGGAAAGACCGAGAAAGATACCCTACAATAGCCGCGCACACCGCTGGATTCAGCTCATGAAGAGGTACAGGATTTCTATCTAGTTCTTGAGATGTGGCTCCAATCACCATGGCTGTCTGATGCAACAATGTGTTGAATCTTGTAGGGCCAGATCCCCATTTTTGGAGACTAAATAAGACCAGATCGAGTTCTAGCCCGCTAAAACACCGGGGCTGTATGGTACAAAGTTTATCTGTCTGAATCTTTGCCATTCTAGATTTCAGACTAAATGTGTAGGCCGACACTTGGGTCCATCCCCGATTTCACGCAAAGTGCTGGCGAAATTGAAGTTTAGTATAGAAGATAAGTTGCTCTATATGCGCTGAATATTCTCATATATATCGACATGCTGCCACTACTCTGAGATAAATCATTCTATCAGACCAAAGCCACGGTTCTGTGGTCTCAAGTTCATTATGCGATAGTACACACTATGCTATAGAACCCTCTAGCATTTCCACTCCAGGTATCAAAGGGTCTGAGAAGATAAAGTCCATCAATAGTAAACTAGTTTAAGAAAAATATCATTAGCCTGATAGTGGTTCTAGTAATCTCATCAATAATAATATGCTCCAACTTGAGTCATTTCATCCTACGTAGCCCGAGGAATTGTGGTCACACTATAGGAACTCTGAATGGCTGCAAGATAGGGTTGGATGCAGGTTGCCGTCGACTGCCGCTCGTGGCCTCAGGCGCGGCAGATTTAAAATATAGCAACTGAAGTACTTTATCAATCCTATCTTTCAGAGACATTTTTCAGATTTAACATTCCAATCACTGATTGGCTTCAATAATTTCATCTATATGAGATTAATTGATACTCTCATTCATTGATAGGTTGTAGATATCTGGAATTCTCAATGTTTCCAAGGTTTGACACAACCGTGGAACCAGACGCACGTGGCCATTGGCATGTATAATCGGGCCACATATCAATCTAATCGCTCGAGGGCTTAAATCAACCGATACATTAATGAGACATTAGATTATACTATAACTTTAACAAATGCGTATGAAGATGTCATCCCAGCGCTCATCCCGGCATTGCCTTTTAGCGAAACCTTCACCCTGTACAGGTAAGACATGCATAAGGCAGGTATAAAGCAAAGTGAGACTTGGTACAATATTGCATATCAGTAACGACTTGACATACACACTGGCATGCGTATGCCTCAATTGACTCAAGAGATCTTCCTTAGTCGCGGATTTGTTTACCGTTGATGTGGCAGGCTGCGTAAGATGATATAGGATCCCATCACCTGAAGTATCACTGACCGTAGATAGCAAGGATACAAGAGAGAATGAGTAAAGATGGAGGTATTGTTCTGATGCTTGTTCCAAGCTAAAGCGTACCTCATATTAATTCAATGTTTCAAGGTTCCAAATGTTGAAGATTGCCGCTTTCGTAGGCTGCGGCAGGTGGGGGCGACAAGTGTCAGGACTCGGATGAAGACACCAAACTTTGCAAGATAGGAAGGGGTATAATGGGTGCACGAATCATGATCTATCTACTAGTACAGCACCTCCGGGCATATAAGGAATAGTAAGAGCCGAAGTACCAATAATATATCAACATAGAGAGGGCCTCACATGGACTCCGTGATCTAAAGTTCAGAGGTCAAGAAAAAGACAAAGGCAGGAGAGGTCGATGCCAGGGACCAGTAATAAAGGTAAGATAACGCCCATGCTATGATATTTTTCCTCTCCTTTTTGATGCGTACTGAAGAAATGGAGTGGAAGAGAAGGGAAGGATAAATCCAAATACACATGCGCTTCAGATGATTAGAAACAAAGGTAGTCATTTACATAAGTGTGAAGAAGGGAAGGATCGAATAGGCATGAAAAGAAAGGACGTGGAAGCCTGGAATGTGGAATTCGAATGGATCATAGTCCGAGACCTTCGTGGTGACTCATTTCTTGGTTCGAATCTGGGGCATCCCATTTGGACATGGTCCGATCTAACGTATACTGTAGACCTTCTAGACGGGTCTGGAAAGTATCGAGGCGATTCCACTCATCATTGTGATGGACGACTTCACCTGGAGCATCGATATCATCGTGGTGGGTCGATACATGGGTCGATACATGAGATGCTGATGTGGTTGTAGCGGTCGTAACTGGGGGATGTACAGAGGAGTAGATTGATGGGCGAGCTGCTGGAAGGGTCTGAATTTGTGGACGGGGTGTTGAATGTGTTGAATTGATTATCGATTGAAGCGATGGATGAGTGTGAGTTGGTCGGGAGAGTTCTGATGGGTGATATGGGTGGCGAGTAGGCGGATTAGAGTGCGAGTGCGAGTGCGGGTGCGGGTGTGAGTGCGAATGCGAGTGCATGCCCATAGGATAGGATTGCTCATCACCAATGACTAGGTCGGGCATAGTCGCGATATTATTTGGGTCTGCTGAAGGACACAATTAGAATCCCAATTTTCTTCTCTGCTTTTGTTGCTTTTCTGGTCATAGCTCGTCTGGGGTCAAATACCGTAATTCAGCGGGTATGGCGGAGTCTCTCTGGTTGGTGAATGCACATCTAGCGGCGATACTGGTGTTGGAGTTTCATCTTCGGGTTCCGGTGTATAACAAGACATGTCGGATGGGGTCTCTGTTGCTATTGGCATAAGTATTGGTGTCTCTGATGGGTTTCGAATTGGAAATGTGATTTATTATATACTAATAAATAGAACGTACTTGGCTCGGGACTTCCCAATTCTTCATCTTTATCTCGTGGCTTCACCCATGTGTGACCATATCGACGAACGAAACGAGTGAGTCGTTTTTGGTCCACTTCTTGACCTGCTCGACGGAATGCTGTAGCCTTGCCTCGGGCGGCACGTTTGGCTTTTTTGCGAATCAGAACTTGTACCTCGGCGGCTTTGATATTTTTTCGGACATTCCAAGCGGCGAGTCGATCCTTGTATTGTTTTTCTCTGGAGTAGACAGCGTTAGGCGAGCTGTTCAAGTTGCGGATATGCGAAATGTTTCAAATGTTTCAAGTTATGGATAGTATGAAATGCATAGCATTCGATCAAACAAAGCCAGCCATATTCAAGCTATACATGAAGTTTATATAGAATAAAAATGAAGGGATCAAAGAGTAAAGAAAAATGGTTTGATACGAGGCGATAAATTTGTAATCTCGCTCCATGATGCGTTTGACATCTCGCAATTTAAGCTGATCGCTGCGGTAGAGTTGTTCAATAACCTCACGATACTCGTGCCAGTCATCAGATCGGCGGGGTCGAAATACGGCATTGTTAGCGGTTGACCCGGTTGGTGGTGATTGGGGCGAAAGAGTCATGGGAGGTGTATAAGGGTCCATTTTTGGAGAGCCTATGCATTCAGGAAGAAGCTGTTGAAAGAGAGAATCGAGGATAAGGTAAATAGAAAAAAAAAAAAAAAAAAAAAGATAAATACAATCTCTAGGGGATCTAGGTGGAGAAGGAGGGAAACTTCAAGATAAAAAATGAATTGGCAAAAGATCGAGAAAGATTTCAAGAATTATAATAGAAAAGGGAAAAAAATAGTCATTAAAAATAATCAAGCAAAGAATGCGATCACCAGGCAACTTCTCAGATCAGGGCCGGGGCCAAGGAATCTCTTGACTACTCTTTGCGGCGCTCCGCAGCAGCGCGGACGCACGACCCCCTGCTTCCCCGGCCAAATCAGGTTGCTGACATGGGATCCATTCAGGTGCAGGCGTGTCAGTGTCATGATCGTCAACGGCGAAAGGTGCGTCAAATCGTGATCTCCGAGGTCGGCATTTGAGGGGCACGAGCTATGTGGAGAGGGAAGAGATTACAGTATGCATGTATGGAGTTAGTAGATAGAGTAATATAAAGTACCTTTAGGTATGAATTATTTGAATCATTGAACCTTGGAAATAAGTAAATGTTATTTAAGTTAATCTTAGAAGTTCCTAGGTAATGATTATGGATTACGGGACTTTCGATAATATCAAAAGTACGGAACTTCAGGAGTACCTATGAATCTATGATAAAATAAAAAAGAAAAAGAAAGAAAAGTGCAGATAAAATACCCTCATTGATACCTAAACAAACGATTTGTCCTCTTAAAGTGGAGCTGAAATCTCGTACCTTTGTTCGCTACTGTACAGCCTAACCGAACTATTACATGCAGCGCACTGGCCGCAAATTGGATGCATTTTCCGTTGCCTATTCATATTGAACTGGGATTTTTTTAGTTTCTTTTTTATTATTTTCTTTTTCTTTTTTTATTTACTTTTTCCCCCTCCCTTTTCTTTTTTATCAAAGCTTCTGCGGCTTACTTGAATGAATTCCGATTTGCTACTCCGGAAAATAGAGCCTGAGAGATGCTCGTAATCGCGAGAAGTGTATATACCTGTCATGCTAGATAATCATAATCATAACCTAGGAGATACGTGAATCATGAATAGTCTCTATATCTATATCTCATAATCAGTTTACCTAAATCTCATCAATATCTGAATGTCAATCTCCCAAATCCACTTATAAGTTATCCCTCTAAAGGGGGTCCAGCCCGTGCCGGGAGCGGCCCGAAACCTCCCTGACAGCTCTTTGTCCTTTTTTCTCTCTATTGCGACACTAGGTCCCAATACTATGGTTCTCAAGCCACGAAGAGAGAGTGGCAATAATACCATCTCTTACCTTTTTCGTTTTATTATTGACATTGAATTACTCCCATTAAAAAAAGAAAAAAAAAATATCAATGCAAATAATATTTCATTTTTCTTTTATCTATCCCTCGTGTCCTAGAAGCAAGGGAAATTGACCGTTAGAGGTATGTCTGGCCGTTGAGAGACAAGTGTCATCCCCAGAATGTTACCTACATAAAATGTACATTACTAGGCTCTCGCTTTATGTACATTTGAACTTGAACTACCTAGGTAAAATACTAAAATACCCAAGGGGGATCAAAGGTTCAAGTTCCCCTGGTCTTATTACGGTTCCTATTATTACGCTAAGTGATTCATTTTTTTCTTTCAAAATTCGTTTAATAGGAATTGATCATTCTTGCGCTTTGATCTCCATGTGTACGTATTCAGAAACTGGGGCCCTTGGCCGGCCGAAACTCAGGCCTCTCGGGTCAGCTGCGTGTACTCAAAATTACAGGGAACTTGAATTGAAGAGAAGGAGCTGAAAAAGATAATGAAACTACATAATTCTTTCAAGTTATTAATTTACTACTCGGTACTAATAGTAATATATGTACTAGTTCGGAATTCGCCTTTATCATAACTTGATGTGCTAGGTTTACGGAGTACTCCGATACCTAGGTACTTCATATCATAAAATATCAATTCCAATCAACTAATACCATGCTTAGAAAATATCGCGATTAAATTAATTTCATGACACTAAAAAAGACACGGCCAGAAGTGGACCATTTCTGTATGTGGACCAATTCTGTAACGCCCGCGTGTATGGAGTACCTTAGGGTGATCCTCCGGCTCGTTCACGATACATACCTCCACTTAAGTACTGAGGTCAAAGTGCAGGCCTAGGTACTCTGTGCGTTTCCCTAAAAGGAGTAGCCTGCACTAGTTCAAATCCCAACGCCTAGAACGCACGGAGCGAGAGAGATCGATGAGGTGGCAAGGCGTCGCTGCAGTGATCGACGCGCTCGGGGACTAGATTGCCGGTCCCCGTCCACCAAGGAAAGAGAAAAGAAAAGTTAAAGGTTATGATATTTCATTTCTACTCCATACAAGAGGATAATCTTCTATCCTCCGTAGTGGCAAGAGTGAGGCATAAGCTCAAGGGGGGGCGTGGTGAAGCGATAGTCGGGCATCCGTCCCTACTTCGTGCATGCCCCGGGGACTAGTACTGGAACAGGCATTGATCGGAGAGTTCGATGCTGAAATGCGGGGCCGAGTCGTGTCTAGCTAGGTATGTTCGTCTCTGTGGATTTTATTTTTTTTTTGCTTTTTTGAGTGGCTTTCTCTTTTTTTCTGGGTGTCTCATCCTAGGAGCTTACAGATGACGCTCTTGTGGAACTGTCCCCTCCTGAAATATGGCACAAAACGGCAGGAGGAGGATTTCCCGCGTGGAGCAGGGTCCACATTGCGCACTGGACCAACCCACGGAGAAATCTACCGCGGTCATCACCATAGGTCCACGGACCACCGTTCACCGGGTCGGATCGCCTGCAGGTACTAGGATGTAGCGCGTAGAACGGATAAGGGAGCGAATCCATGACGACCACAGCATTCATCTTCCGGTAGAACAACGTATCAGAAGGGCGCTCATTCTTCCCCTTCGCCTTTTCCCCCGGTAGGTTCAGGCCGAATTATAATGGAAGGACTAGATCCAGGAGCCCAAGATGGACGGCTGGGTCATTCCGGCGGATGACAAGAGGAGATTGGGCTGCCCGCTGTCGATCGATCTGGGATCCAATAAGATCAAAGATTTGGCGAGACAGATGCTGCATAAGGGACATCCATCACAAGCTGATCGTCAAAAGTACTGTGATGATGTCCTCCGTATCCGCAGAGTACCAGGGGATCCGTGCATCGCATGGGGAATGATAATCATTCAATAAGAAAATTGGGGAATTTGAGAAAAAAAAAATAAAGAGAAAAAAGCAAAAGGTCGCTTAAAGTGAGGCTGTGTGAAATTTCTTTACAACCCATGATCCCTGTTACTCCGTAATCTTTTGCACAAAGACTCGCGTCTAATCTTCAGGGTCGGCTTTTGGCGGGGCCTTGTCGAGCCTGTTCAGCAGCTGCCACAGCTGCAGCCGCAACAGCAGAATTGGTCGAGCCCGCGCTGGCGACGTTACTCGCATGCGCTAGTAAAAACTTACAGCACGTCAATGTATATTTGCAGGCGCGAGTCCAAGTCTCATCACTTTGGTTAAACCCAAGCTTGATACTAGAGTCATTGATGCGATCCCGCACAATCTCGTATGGCAATTTTAGCCCTGGGGCCGTGGCACCGGTCTGGCCGCGACGTCCAGCTGTGACTGGGGCAGGGGTCGATTCGACAAATTCACCGAGCTGGCGTAGACAGTCGAGGAACGCCACCATACCTGCATCAAAGCGGCGATGCAGCCAAGGGAGATTGAGTGGCAGATCTCCGGTCGAAAACAGGTCTAATTGGGTGACTTTGGGCGTCCCCCGTCCAGTGGCAGCTGGTCCGCTTGGATGCACGGGATACTCAATCTTGTCGATCCGAGAAGTGGAGCCCAGTGGTTTCAGCCGATATCCTTGGAACTGAAAGCCGAGACGCTCTGCGATTGTAGCCAGAAGTAGACAAGTTTGGCCCCAAGCGGCGTTGATCTCGGGCCACTCGACCGACGGGTTAGTGAGGCGGCCTAGTCGCAACCCGTTAATCGTACCAAAATATCCGTCATGACCAATGCAAAACGCGTCATTATAGACATTCGTTCTTTGTAGTCGTTCCAGCTGCTGCGAGTCATGGTCGTACCGCATATTCAGCGCGTCCCGTTCGGTTTGAAACTCTGCGAGTGTCAGAGCAAAGCCATTGCGAGCCCTCCAGAACGCCTCTTCGTCTTCGTCCAGCTGTTGCGATTCCTCTTCCAAGCCGGCAATGTCCTTGTCCAGGGCCGCCTTTTGTTGCTCAAGCGCTTTCAGCTCTGCAAGGGCCTCTTTTTCAGCTTCCAAGCTGGCTTTGAGTGATTCCTCGGCTGATTCTAGCTCGTCGGCGGTTGGAACTGACCCGTTCAAGGTTCTGAGGAATGATATATAGGCATCACGCTCCTTTGTAGCACCTCCTAGGCGTTTCTGTTGTGCTTCTACCAGCATATCGGTACATTCTACACAGATGGGGTGGTCGATATCCGAGCGTGCAGACACAATCTCGAAAAGGCGTGTAGTCCGTTCAATTTGATTGGAGAACGATGCTTCCTCATGAGTATGATCCTGGCCCTGTCCAATACTCGATTGCTTGGGGCGATGAGACAGGGTCTCAACTGGAGGAGGAACAAATTGTGATTCTGTAAGCACCACGAACGACATGTTTCCGCTATCGCCTCGAGGCAGACCCGGGAGTTTTCCATGGCCGTCCGACCGGGGCCCAGGAATAGATCTCTTGTATACTGGAGCCGAAGCATTCTTTGTAGCACGATCATAAAGCTCTCGTCGTTCCGGAGGATAAGATGTTCTCGTAGCGGGTGACACAGCGCCATGTTCGGGTATTGTTCTGCCTGTGGAGTCTAGAAGCTTTATTAGGATCATCATGTAGCTAGGCGGGAGATAGCGTAAGCTTACTTATGAGTAGCTCAAACGCAGCTGGATTAAGTGACTCAAGAGAGCCATCCAGCTTTAAGGGCGACCTGCACTTCTGGCAATACATAGTGGGGGGGAGAACGGGGCGGATCAGTTCATGCTTGGAGATGGAGATGGAGATAGGATGTGGGGAGGTTGAACTTGGAGCCGCGGGAACGTCATGTTTCCGTTTGTTTTTCAACTTTCGCGCTCCGCTGATGCGCGCATCACTACACCTGCATTCTCGCCAAACAAACAATGTTATCTTCTATGGGATTCAATGAAGTTATCCAACAGGCTGTTTGAGGCTTATTTTCTTCCTCCGAGCAAATCATGCTAGTTCCAGCTTCGTCTCGCAAATGAGCTCCGATCCGACCGCGTTAACAATCGACCGACGCGCTATTACTCTCTATCCATTATAGTTTGCGTCTACGATTCCCACCATGGAAAGACCTTCGAAAAGGCCCCGCCTATCCCCGGAACTTGATCATACGGAGAAGGGAGTGTTAGAAGAGCAGGATGAGGAGATAGAGGAGGAGTGGGACCTCCAGGCCGCGCGCGCCCATAATGACATGCGACTCAAATCGATATTCGAGGGAATTTTCTCAAAGTACGGAAAGGACTTTACGGACATTGCTGACGAGATTGATCTACAAACTGGGAAGATTGTGGTCGACAATGGCCACCTATCGGGGATGCGCCAGGAGGATGACGCCGGGGAAGCAAGTGAGGCGTGGCTACACGAAGCTGCCTTGTCAGATGGGGAAACAGATGACGATAGAGAAGGAACTGGTCTACCAGAGAAATTACCAGAGATCTCTGTTGAGGGTGAAACAGAACTGGTCAAGTCGCCATTGAACAACGCATTGGTGGACACGGGTCTCGACTCCAAGATGACCATCAAAAAGCCTGTTATCAACTTGGCAAACGTCCCAGACCCTTTTTACCAAGATACTGGACCAGTAGACCCTGCTTGGCAGGCGCCGGCCTTGCCAACTCAATTTACTACGCCTTCGGCCGAAACAAGATACAAGAACGTTTCCCCAAGGTTGCCTGGCTTCAGAAGAGACCCATCTCCACCTGGTTCTGGATCGTTATGGAGCATAAATCAGCCAGCACGACGCCCCCGTACAGAAGGCAAGCCACGAGCCACACCGAGCAAACGCCGGCCCCGGGCGAAGCGGAAGTACCATTCCAGCCCTATGGTGCACGACTGGTCATTTGCAGCCACACCAGATGGAGATGAATCAGACGACCCGCTTCAAGAATTTGAACCTTCGCCTTCAGCAAAAAGGGGCAAGACACAAAACCTACGTGGAAAATATATGCAGCCACCGGATTATACAGACTCGCCTCTATCTCGCCAACCATTGCCCGATACACTAGTTCCGCGTGATGATGACCAATCGGCTAATGAAGCTGAAGTTAATCTTGATGAAAGCCACACGAGTGGGAATGATACGCAGAACCATGTGGCATTTGACGAGACGCCTAATCTACAACAATGTGATTCATATGCCACCCCCCACTCCCACGTTGCCGATACCACGTCCTCGGATAACACACCCACCAAATCACCCCGAGGCTTGGAACCTGACGAAGCCAAGCTCATCGTTCGCATGAGACATATGCAAAAGAAAAATGGAAGGAAATTCATGATTGTGTACCTGGCCGTACAAGGGCTGGTATTTATCAATGGAATATACATCATTGGACCGCCCGTCGAGAGTGTCCACCACCACTATCGGCTCCCTGGAGCAAGTCTGAGATTCAAACTTTACATCATCTAAAAGATGAGACAGGTTTATCTTGGCTTGATATTACAGACAAATTTCCTCATCGCACTAAAGCTGAGATTGAATTTGAATTGCTGCGACTCTGGGTGGGAGATGAAGTCTGGTTAGGCGAAGGATACCGTGCACCTGAGCAGTCAATTCAACAAGATGAGGAATATGATGACGAGCAATCAGATGTGCCGGAAGAAATTGCTGCGCCTGATGAAGGCCCATCGCCAGAAAGCCCCGGAGATGACGATTCGTTCATTTTTGCCAGAAAGAAACCTCAGGAACCTCAGGAACCCATCCGTGTGTTTGAGGATCTCGTTGATGAGAGTGATGAAGAAGATGATGATCCACTCGCTTCCTCGCCATCCAAATTGTCTGCCATCTATATTGATAGCCCGTCTGTCAGTCGACAGGGATCTAGAACCCCCAGAAAATCTCCAGCTAAGCGCTTTAGCTTCATAATATAACACAGCCCAACATCTATGGGAGTTCTTGGTATATCAAAGAAGCATTTTGAAGTAGACAGATCAGTAGATTCCATCATAACTGCCAGTGGGACCCATCTATTGGAAATCTTCATCCCGGGCATTTAGGACATCAGTAAGCTTGGTATCAACCGCACCACCAACGTCGCCAGCCTTAGCCCAGAATCTAGACAGGTGTCGCGAACCAGAGTCTGATAGCATCGTCACGATGCGATGACCAGGCCCAAGTTTCTGCGCTGTCTTCACAGCCGCAAAGCAATTGACCGCACTGCTGCTCCCAACGAAGATACCATCTTTTTCAACAAGCCAGCGCGCCATAGCTAATGCCTGTGCATCTGTAACGCGGACCGCATCATCGACGAGCTCCTTACCCACTTCAAAGTTGGCAGTGACACGATTGATGCCGATACCCTCAACAATGGTATCAACCTGACGTCTCCGGCGCGTGCCCTCTCGCTCCTTCAGATCAAACATCACGCCATATCGAACGCGGTTGTATAATCCACTGCCCTGTGGATCCGCAAGGACAACAGTGATATTTGGTAAGAGGGGCTTCAGGTACCGAGCCACGCCAGAGATAGTTCCACCGGTTCCAGCGCCTGCTACGAAAGCATCGATCTTGCCATTGCATTGAACATAGATTTCCGGACCACTGCCACCATAGTGGGCGCGCCAGTTGGCTTCATTTTCGAATTGGTCTGCGAAGAAGCCGCGCCCTCTTGACATGCGCTCTGAAGGTACTACTTCACCTTCTTCAGTTGAGATGGCACTTGAGGCCGTGTGAGCAAGTGCTAGGGCTCGGGCACGGTTAACAAAGTTTTCTTTTTCGACAATTGGCGCTGGAGGCACACGGTCTACGATTGCACCCAGCTTCAAAAGAAGATTGGACTTCTCAATCGCTTGGTCTGAGGGCATGCAGCTGGTTTGATTATTAGCCATTGGGTTCACTTCTGGCACATAGGGGTAAGGTTTACATATGTGCCAAATATCCTTTTGCTCGTGCCAACGATGCTAGTGATATACCGGTTGATCCTGATGTGCCCTCGTAAATTGTATCGCCTGCGTAAGGCGTCAAGATACCCTCTTCCTCTGCCTGTCAAATGATTAGCACTGGGTCTTTACGGGAGTGCTCTGATCTCAGCCATACCAGTTCAATCATGCTCAACGCAACACGGTCCTTGGAACTTTGACCAGCTCCATTCAGAAACTGCAGAGTATATTGGTTAGTTTAAAAGTAGTCTTTTTGGTGCTTGGGTTTGCATACTTCTGCCTTGGCCAGGATCTCACAGCCGGTTTCGTCTGACAATGATTTGATCCTAAAAAGAGGTGTATTCCCAATGCACCCTTCAATGCCCTCTACAATTGCGGGGGGCCCTGACCGAGCAATAAGCGCACTGGCTTGTGGCTCTGAGCTTGGGGATTTTTTATGACGGCGTGAATCGAGTACCTCTTTGCATGCGAGAGTCAAACAGACTCCAGCAACAAATGCTGTGCCAATGTATACAGCGGAGTGGTCTGGCATTGTGCAGAATAGCCTATGGCTCTCGCTATCCTTCCAATGATGGTTTTATCAAGCTGGGAATGTCGTGATGATAGGGCGCTCGGGCCACTTATTTGAACCTGCAATATGCGAAGTCAAGATGGACAGATTGACTTGAATGTAGGTTCTGGATGATTATGTCAATCAATTCAGACCCATTTCCAGTCCATTCCCAGATTCAAACAAGTCAGGTAAAGAGAAAAATATAGAAACTCAAGTAACGTTTGCGCTGATGCCGACTCGGCACGTGCCTTGGTGCCTGAGGCAACACCAGTGCATCACCAAATCGCACTTGAGCTGTCTCCGCAACTTCCAAGGTTCTTGCAGCTTCCCAGGCATCATGGACTCCCTTGTCCTCAACCAGCTGTTTCGCCAGCTGTTCCGACATCCAGCATGTCAATCCATACGTCGTTCACCATCCTCATTACCACGTAATCAAACTCGTTCATTCCTCACACGTCGCACACCCGCGAAACGTAAGGTGCAGGATGATGGCATGCTCTGGGTCAAGCGAGGAGATATCTCCAAGAATATCGATGAAGAATATCGGACATACCCCACTGTAACAGCGAAGGAATTGCGCAGTCGGCGCGAGCGACCTAGACAGGTGAAAATGTTAACACGCGAATTCATCGACGGTATGTTTGCGGAGCCATTGGGTTATGAACTCTAGTTGCTGACTCCATATTTACAGATAGTCTGTATAACCCCCATTACGGTTACTTTTCGAAGCATGCAACTATCTTCACGCCTGGCGAGCCATTCGACTTTAACCGCATTGACGACGGGCCAGCCTTCCATCGGATGGTGGGAGAACGATACATTGAATTCGAAGACCGACTCGACGAGATAAAACCAGACATTGCGCGTCAGCTGTGGCATACACCGACGGAGCTTTTCAAGCCGTACTATGGCGAGACTATTGCACGTTACCTAGTTTCAAACTACAAGCTCACCCTTTACCCCTACCATGACTTGATCATTTACGAGATGGGTGCTGGAAACGGTACAATGATGTTGAACATCTTGGATTTCATCCGTGATACCGATTATGAGGTCTACCAGCGTACCAAGTTCAAGATTATTGAGATCTCGCCTGCCCTTGCAGATCTGCAGTACAAGAACCTGACAGATGCCCTCAACTCCCGCGGCCACCGAGACCGCGTTGAGATCATCAACCGGTCAATCTTTGACTGGGACACATACGTACACTCTCCGTGTTTTTTCCTCGGTCTTGAGGTCTTTGATAACTTTGGCCATGACACAATCCGCTATGATTGCCAAACTGAGATGCCACAGCAGGGTGGTGTCTTGATTGATGCAGGCGGCGAATTCCACGAATACTACAATAATCAGCTAGACCCTGTCGCTGCTCGATTCCTGCGCGTACGCCAAGCTGCTGCTCGGCGTCCCTTCCCCAGTCCCTTGGGCCCTCGGCTCCTTCGTGGTCTTCGCTCAACGCCTCCCTTCGGCAAGGCCCATTCTCTGCCTGAATACATCCCAACGCGACTGATGCAGTTCTTCGACGTTCTGAACCAGTATTTCCCAGCTCATCGTCTCGTGTCTAGTGACTTCAGTTCTCTGCCTGATGCGGTGCCTGGAATAAATGCCCCTGTTGTACAGACGCGATACCAGAGACAGACTGTACCGGTGACTACTCCATTTGTAAGTTTATATCCACCTCAATATAATATACCAGGCTCATGCTCATGATAATACAGGTTCACCAAGGTTACTTCGATATCTTCTTCCCTACCGACTTTAACGTCGTTGAGGATGTCTACCGTGCCGTGACAGGGAAATTGACTCAGGTTATGAGTCATGAGGACTTTGTGAACCGCTGGGCTTACATTGAGGATACAGAGACTCGAAACGGAGAAAATCCGTTCTTGACTTGGTACAAGAATGCCAGCATGTTGATGACAGTGTAAATAGACCTACAAAGGACCTAATGTACAATATTCGTATGAAATGAGGCATTCCACCCCTGTTCAATTCTCTACACATGATATTGCTTCCAAGGCTCAGCTGCTAGCATTGAAACATCAAAGCTTTCATTCAAGGAATAGTCTAATATTCGGCATATATTGGACCAAACATTCCTAATGTCGAAAGCCTTTGGAACGTACCTAATAGCACTGCATTTATCAGCAGAGATGGTCTTATCTCCATTTATGCCCCCGTCAGCCAAGATTAACTGATCCGGTTATCATCAGGCGGTGCAAGTTACCCTTTTGGTATGACCCCTCATAGTTTAACCCCAATTCCTCGGGTCGATAAGAAAGAGGGGAAAGACTCGACTCACATTCGGCTTATGAGACTCGATCCTGAAGAAGAAACACTATTCATCCCAAGTACTCAACTCCAGTTATCTTTACATCAATAATCTCCAATAGATCTAGACATCTATAAGCTCACTGCTCTAACAATGACCACCATCCCACATTGGAAACCCGCTGTTCTCGCAAAGAGAGCCGCACAGCATGAACTTATTCCCCCAGAATGGCGTCTCCCAGACTCAGTCCTCTCTAACTCACCACTCTCATGCGTAGATGTTATCCGTTCAAGTGGTATCCTCTCCTCAGATGAACTAGCATGGACTGAGACGACCGATATCCGGGACCTGGTGTCGGCAGTGACTACGCGCCGTGTTACGAGTCTTCAGTTAACGACGGCCTTTTGCAAGCGAGCTGCAATCGCGCAGCAGTTGACTAAATGTCTTACGGAAATCTGCTTTGATAGGGCACTTGACCGGGCACGAGAATTTGATGAGCATCTTGTGCGGACGGGAGAGGTCGTTGGTCCTTTGCATGGAATTCCAGTTTCCATTAAGGATCGGTTTAATATTGAGGGCTTGGATACTACAGTTGGTAAGATGCCTGCGTCTATTTTGTTCTTTTCTTGAATTGGTGTGTTCGTGGATCTAATGCTGCTATGCCTATTAGGTTGGGTTGGTTTGATTGACAAACCGGCGAAGTCGTCAAGTGAAATCGTGCAGCTGCTTGAGTCCATGGGAGCAGTTATGTACGTCAAGACGAATGTTCCTCAGTCTTTGATGGTATGTTTTCTCATCATATGCTAGTTTGTCTGGGACTCCACTGATATTCTCGTCCGATTATTAGATGGCTGACTCCTACAACCATGTATTTGGTCAATCTACCAACGCCTTCAATTTCAATCTCATCTCCGGTGGTAGTTCTGGTGGGGAGGGAGCCCTTGTTGGATGTGGAGGGAGTATTCTTGGGATTGGTACAGACATTGGTGGCTCGATTCGTGTTCCCTCGGCGCTACAGGGTCTATACTCGATTTTCCCGACAACAGGACGGGTGCCGTGGGACTGTTCCTTGTGGGTATACCTAATGCTCTTCTTGATGCACTCTCATTGACATACCTCTTCAGCCTGCATCAGCATTATCTTGTTCCACCCGTCGCTGGTCCAATGGCATCATCGCTGGCAACAACTGAGTACTTTATGGAGAGACTTCTAGCGTCAAGTCCTTGGAATTTGGATCCATCTGCTATTCCAATTCCGTGGAGAAAAGAGCTTGCAACTCCGCCTATGGACCGAAAACTGAGAATAGGTGTTGTGATCGATGACGGGGTGGTTAAGCCACAGCCTCCTGTGACGCGAGCTATGAACGAGACTATTCAAGCATTGCGAAAAGCAGGACATGAGGGTATGAGATTGTCAATCTTTTGATTTCAAGACTAATTATTTCTTAGTGAGAAGATTGGATATTAACGTATAGCTTAGTGATCGAATGGGATACCTCCCTGCACGTCCCTGCAACAGAGATGTGGTACAAAGCCATTCTCGGCGAGGGAGGCGTTCATTGTCGCAAATTATGTGAAATGATCAGCGAGCCTCTGATTGAGGGTATGTTAGTCGGAACAGAGAAGGACATGTTAACGCTTGAAGAGCGAGAGAAGGTAATTGAGCTCATTCATGACACCAATGGCAAGAAGTTGTCAATATTGGATCACTGAGACGGATAGTCTAAAAGACATTGGACTAATTTCACTTCAGATTGAACAAGACAAATATGCACTTTCCACGGCTATGCTCAAACAATGGCTAGCCGCTGGTATTGATGTCCTGCTTATGCCCGTTATCCCATGGGTTGGATACAAGCCCAAGGACTGGGTTCAGAGTAAACAGTGGGTTGGATATACTGGTATGTGGAACTTACTCAACTATGCCTCAGTCACAGTACCAGTTACCAAAGCAGATCGAGCACTCGATGCTGTTGGGGGCGGAAAGAATGTCGAATGGGAAAGTTATGAAGCTCGAAATGAGTCTGATGCGTTTAATTATTCGCAATGTGAGTTGGCAAGTATCAATCAGGCTTGACCATATGCTGATAATAGTGGCTATAGATGATAGTGAGCTCGTGCATGGAATGCCTATCTGTGTACAGATTGTGGGTGGGAGATTCGGGGAGGAAAAGGCCATTGCTACCGCAAAGGTTGTGGATGACTTGATGAATCCGACTCCATTCCATCCATTTCGCTAGTTGTGAAGCTTCAATGTCACAATTAAAATAGCCCTGGGGCTCTGAAGGGCTATTCGCAGTAAAAGATTGATCATCAAATTCTATTTAGAAAATCCATGCTCTCGTAATGTCTGCGCACGTATATGATAAAAAGAAATGCAGCCAGGCCCTGCTGGCAATCCATCTCCACCATAAAATAGATACAACCTGAGAAAAATACAGAAAGCCAAGTCATGATGTTGCGGGGAATAAAACTAGAATTCAAATTCCTTGCGGAAAACGTTCACATCCATACCGGCCACCACCTGGTCAGCCAGATCACGTCGTCCCATCTGGCTGAAGACGCGGCGGAGTGTGTCATATAGGTTCGTGCTCTGGTTCTGGCTGATGTGCAACATACGCTCAAGGCGCTCATCATCAAGGCCATCAGGAGCACCACCACCACTGATAATCTCGCGAGCACGTTCACGACCCTCTTGCTCGACCACACGGTGCATGGATAGAGCGCCCAGCAGGTGCTGTGCAGCCTCGGGATAACAGCCGATATTAATGCAAGAAACGCCGAGGTTGTAGCGGGCGCGCACAAAGTTAGGGTTAATTGTAAGAGCTTGCTCATATGCTTCAATGGCCTCCTCGGAGCGGCCAGAGTTGGCCAGAGTGGCACCGAGACGGTTCCAAAGTAAGTGGAGCTGCTCGCGCTGGTTGGTGGTACCAGACTCGGTAGAAGCCAATGCAGCAGAGAAGCAGTCAACTGCCTTCTCGTACTCCTCGGCGCAATAGAAAAGCACACCCAGACCAACCTGCACGTCCGGGTCCATCTGGGCTCCGGAGGGGGAAAGTTGAGCTGCTTGAATGAAAAGCTCTGTAACACGATCATGAAGTAGTTGACGATCTGTGAATCCGAGGTCTGCATCACCAGAGACCTCCTTAGGGTCAATGATTGTCGGGTATTTGTTAGACAGCCAGCGCTCTAGTGTTCTATACGCAGTCGAATCATAACCCTCGTTGGTGTAAGAAACAGCAAGGCCCATCAAGGCGTCCAGGTTTCCAGAATCGATCTTGAGTGTCTGTTCCAAAGCCCGGATTGCAGGCAATTCCTTCTCATTTTGAGCCTGTGCTGAGCCCAGCATTGTCCATGCTTGCACATGCTGAGGGTCCTTCTGGACAGCAGCCTCAAAGGCAAGGGCTGCCAATGAAAGATTGCCACCCTCTCGCATGATTTTCACTCCCTCCTCGAATGGGTTATTGACTGATTGATAGACATTTTCCTCTTCAAACATGTAATCGCCCAGCTGGGGGTCGCGGAATCGTGTGTTGAGGCTATCAAAGCCTTCCCAGTCTCCTAGGTCACCAACGTGTACGTTATCTGTGACCTCGAAGTCATCTTGCTCCGCCAATTTTCTACTCGCCGCTGTCTCAGCTTGAACTCGCTCCCAAACGGACTCAAAGGCATCATCGGAGGTGGGCACTGACCTATCCAGCTCATTCAACTCTGCCTCCATCGCTGCATTTGCTTCTTCATCCGTCTGGGTCTCATTGCCAGCGGTCTCCATCTCGGCAAACTGGGCTTCCCAGTTCTCATCGTCTAACTCCACCATTCGACCCTTGCCCTTATCTTGTGTAGTACCTTCGACGGGCTGTTGTTGTATCATCGGTCCACCCATTCCACCCATGGGACGCATCATTCCCATACCACCCATACCGCCGTACATGCCTCCCATCCCCATTCCCATCGGCCGCTGGTACCCTGCCATCATGGGCGGGGTAGCCGTGGTAGCGGGACTGGATGTTTGAGGCATACCCATACGACTCTGCTGCTGGAACCGGGCAAATTCCGCTGGTGTAAATCCAGATCCATTGTTCATCTGTGCACCAGGGAATGCGGCTTCCATACGAGCCTGCTCGCCGGGATCGAACTCGGCCGCCCAGGCGGGGGTCCCTGTGCGGGGTGAGGCAGTTTGGAAGTTCTCGAGCTCACGGCGCATTTGCTCCATCGCGAAAGGTTGAGGGGAGGGTCCATTTAATTGCTGTCCTGGTTGTTGCATGAAATCATCCATCATCTAGAGAGTCCCCGGTAAAGGACATGATGGTTAGTTATCTTCGGAGGGTTTTCGTCACTTTCGGAAAACAGTGACTGATTGTTTTGTACACGCACCTGGTCTTGACCGCCCATCATACCACGGGAACGCATTCCTTCTTGCATACCGGGGCCACGGCCAACCAGCCGATCTCGCTGTAGAGACTTATCATCTTGGACGTGTTTTGTGAACTGTGTCAATGGGTTTCCCGCCGTAGAGCACTCCGCGCCACCGAGGAACGACATGGTGTAGATGTGTAGGTGTGTTTTTCTTTTCCAAATCAAAATGGATGTTGAAGGGAAGGTTGAAAAACGTGATTCTATACAAAATTGACGGGAGCAGGAGGAGATGGAGAAGCAATGCCCGGATAATGGCGTGGGGTTTGATCGACTCTCTGTAAGCCATCAAAGACGCTAGGACACTTTCCGTCTGCCGAGGTTCCCCGGAAGGGTCACGTGGGACTTCAAACAGATCTATAAAGAGCAGTCTGATTGAAGTATCTTCTTGAACATATTCTATAAAGTAGATATTTCATATATGGCTTTGTATAATGATCACTTCTTTCATAATATTGTGCTTCAATGAGTTATTCAATTATCCCTCTCATTTGTCTCGCTAAAGAAGGGACTCGACACATAGAACGGCCGTTCAGCAGGTGCCTCGTCACTTACTCCACTTCCTTTCGATCCCAAAAGTGACTGTATTCGAGCCCGAAACACTTCGTTCTGAGTCAATTCTCCGACTGGCCTCACCTTATCATTTTCTTTGTCCGCAAATCTGGCATCAGGCTCCCCTTCCCATGTCGACTCAGGACCATCTATCCATGTCCTTCCCGTCTGAAGACACTCATTCTTCATTTCCTCCGAGCTTCTATTCATCATACTCTTCCAGAATTTCCCTTATCCGGGAGAGACAAACCCCGCATGCTCAAGCATTGCAACAGCACCAGCAACCCAGTCTTGGCAGTTTCCGATCCCAAACTCAGGGATGTGAGAGTCGTCGTTCCCAAATGCGGAGAGCAGGCCAGCTACTTGTTGACTTTGTTCAGAGGAAAGAGACGTAAGTTCGCAGCGACCTTTGAGGACTGGATCATCAAGAGGCTGTGTTCGCGGATCGTAGAGAAAGTCTTCGTCGGTGGGATTACGAATATGGTGCATTTCGCAGGTTGAGGAGCCCTTTTCATAGATTGCGATTCCCATATGCGAGGGACCATCGCCAAGTTTGGCGTTGCCGCGGCCGTAGATGTTCATTGAAAGTGCGTGGGTGGTTTCCATGGCTGAGAACAGTAGATGAAATTCAAGGAATTGTTGAGCTGTTAGTGGTAATGCAATGATATGACTCTTTTTGGTCTGACCTTTACTAGTACTTCTAGAAAAGTTGAAGGCGATGACTGCCAGGTGGTAAGCTTCAAGGATTGGCGGGGTTTATGCGCTATTTATCTTCAGATTCTCCTGGGAGATACTGAGGAACTATTGTGGCTATGGATAACTCAGAAAACGACGCTAGTCATGGTCTGCCAGGTGGCTTGCAACTAGGCACTGAGCCATCAAAATAGATGCCTAAAATTCAGACCAGAAAATAGCGGTTGTCAGGACTCAAGCCGACTGGCAGTGCCATGTGATACATCTAATAGCGACTAAAATACATGCGACCAATGACATAATAATCCGTTCATGTGTTCAAGTTGGTGATGCCAACCTTGCGGAGTGCCTCGACGCTAAGCAATTCATACTGGGCGCGTACTGACTCGGTAGTAGGCAGAAGTGATTTAGTCCACTGGCATTTACTTCAGGTTGTTCCAATTTATACTATGGATGAAAGTTCATTTTTAAACCAAATGTATCCAAATGTTCCGAGAAAGGCATATATGACCATATTATCAATCAGAATAGTTGTTTACCTAGTAGAATTTCCGGATACTAACTGTTCTTTTTATACTATCTACTAGTAGTATTCGACATGGCCGGATTAAATCAGATGATACTAGTAATCGAACAATTCCCTCTATGCATATGCTTTGATCTGATGTTCTTTTTCTACTATTCATCAAAAGATTAATGCTATAGACTCCGAGTCGGATCTAGATGTTGGATTATGCCAGTAGGGGTATCTCGACGGGCCATATGGTACATAGTAGTACTTCAGCAATTATGGTAGAACTGATCTACTAGCACTATGACTCCATGCACATGCGAGAAGGTTTTTTCAATATACAATTGATAGTAGTTGATATTATACAGTCTATTTAATCATACATGTCCGATATGGATCTCACTATACAGCTCCTCGAGTTTCTTATTTTTCACCAGCACCTTCAGGTAAAATACCATTTGGAGCACCCACCTCCTTAATCGCCGCCAACCTAGCAGCAACTCTCTGGTTAATGCGTTCTTGCTCCTCGGTGTCGGCCTTCTCCACATCCCCTCTCTTAGCATTTTCCTCCCACTTGCCAATCAATCGTTCCGAATGAAGCATACCCGCCCTTTTCACAGTAGCAAAGCAAACCTTCATTTTCCGTCCGTACGGCTCCTTATTAGCCAAGATCTCAAGTCCAACCTGCGCAGACTTGATATCCAGAAACTCGACATGCGCAAAACCACGTAGAGCACCGGTGCGTCTATCCACGGGGATTCGGATATCAAACACATTCACCACGTTCGAGAAAAGATCCTGAAGATCTCGGTCGGTCATTTCGTAGGGTAGACGGCCTATGTAGAGCGTATGACTGGGTGTCATAGTCTCTGACTTTGTATTGTCGCAGATATCATTGCGTGCGTACTGTAGGACGACAGTGCGGCCACTGAGAGTCTTCAGGTTTTGTTCATCGATTGCAACCTTAGCTTCCTCGATCGTTGAGAATTGAACATATCCGAATCTAAATAAAGCCAACGATCATTAGTACCAATATCGCGTTTTGGTTCTGGCATAGAATGAACTCTTACCCTTTACTGATTCCGCGATTATCATGGACAATGGTCGTACCAACAACCGTCCCAAACTGCTCAAAATGCGCCCGTAAATCTTCAGCCGTAAGATCCCAGAACAAGTTCCCAACATAGACGGTCTCGCTCCGGAATCTATCATCCGCTACACTCCTCGATACCGTCTCCCCGGGTACTCCTTCACTCTGTAACGATTCATCCGCATCCCTGCCTCTGGGTGTATTTCTTCCCCGAAGGGTTTCATCCAGCTTCTTAAGACGACGTTTCCTCTTTCCTTTTCCCTCTTCTAATTCAGCGGCTCGAGACCTTGCATATAAGTCCACGTAATCGACATCCTCTTGTTTATCTTGACTATCTTGTTCTGGATGTTTCAAGAGTCCCTCGTTTATAAGTTCTTGTTCTTCGGATACAAGGTCATAGTCGGCCTCGAGCTGGTTTGTATACCGAATTTTTGAGTCAGCGGTTTCGTCTGAGTGCGAGATCTCCGCATTTCCGAGTCGGCGTCCTGGTCGATTACTTGTGGAGTTCCAACGGGCATGAGGAGTGGAGATGGAGGGTGTTCGAGGGGAGGGAGTGATTTGATGGCATTGGAGTAGCTTGGCGCATTGTGACTGAGATATCACGACTGAGCGACATGATCTTGAGGGATTGAGGAGCCGTGATGTGTTTCGACGGAGGGAATGCCTAAGAATGACCATGTTAGCACTGCTTTTGTTGAAATGGATTTCCAAGTAAGATTGGCGCATAGAGAATAAAGAGAGGAACATAATATAAACGCACATTTTGGAACACTGCTCTTGCACCGAGGATCCTCGCGCGATTATGCCAGAATTCAAGATGGGCTCTAGACAGCTGAATCCGCGGACTTGAGCGCATCAAAAGTTTCGGGGAGCGATAACGTCACGTGGCGTGCGATAAGGACTGTCAACTGGACAGATCCTGCTCAGCATACGAACACTCGATGTGATACCACTTGAGAGAAAGAAATAGATCGGGAGTTCTATTATCCAGGAAATTTCGAAATATGATACATTAGAGAGAATTCATGCACCGTACAGTCATCCCATAAGACCAAATAAATCCCAATGTCCAGCCAATACCTAGGCCATAGAGTACTTTTTCAGACTGAGTCCTTCAGCCGCATGTATCAAGCTTGCAAAGCAAAAGGGAAATCATTGGCCAATGAATTTACCGTAGTCCGTCCAGAAAACCCAATTTTGAAAATAACTTAAGAATATATCGATAAATGAGAGGAGATAATAAGTAAGTCTCAAAAAATCCAAAGCACTAGATCATACTAAATAGATCCTTGACTCCGGCCGTTACTACTTCCCTGTGACATGGGTGTGTATACAGGCACCGAAGACCCAGTGCTCTCACCAGTCGAAGAAGGTGAGAACATGCTCGGGACTCGACCAGCACCACCACCATTCTGCATTCCATTCTGCATCGGCGGTATTCCACCGGGCATCCGTGATTGTGCAATTGGGCTGTTTGAGGGGGGCTGTGTCGTCAACCCAGCAGGCTGCACAGTCTGTCCAGAGGGGTCCATCAATGGCCAAAACTGTGTTGAGGAGTCAAATGCAGGGTTTTGGATATAGTTATCCCAAGCATCCTGAAAAAATATCATATTAGTGACTGGCAACACATCAACGTCAGGTCCTTTTGAATTAGGAAGCCTTACCCAATCAAGGTTTGCTTGCATGTCCGGCATCTGACCGAACATGCTGGAAAAGGGCGACAGGGCTCCACCTGGCATCTCAGCCGAGGTGGTCGCGCCCATCGTGCCCGCGGGCATTGGTGAATCGTTCATTCTCATCATTGAATCTGGGAAGGGCGATGGTCCCGGGTTCATCGGGCTCATGCCACTACTCAACAAACCCAGCGTCATAGCAGCGTTCTGCTTCTCATCCTGTGGCTCAAACATGGTGTTCCCAGCGCTGTTCTCAAGGTTGGGTTGGGTGTTACGCAACTTGCTGAGCATCACACCAAGAATGCTACTAGCTTTATATGCCTCCATGTTCACATCGCGCAATTCGTCCCAGATCTCTTTCGAGCGCTGCATTGCGGTAGTCATCTCGTCGCGACGTTCACGGCCCCAGGTGTAGGTATCACCAGACGGTCGACCCGATGCTTGGAGTTGGTACCCATGGTGTAGATCAAGACTTACGATTGTCGCGGCCAAGAGGAAGTCTCCAGAGCTTATCGAAGTGACTGGATTAGAACGACCACGTAATCGCCCACTCCGCGTTTCTGCGTGCAAAGTTGCCTGGATCCCAAGCATTTCCATAGCCGAGTCGATACATGTCCGTCGTGAGTACGTGAACCGAGGGTTTTCGCGAGCACGGACGAGATAAGGCCTATGTAACACAATCTGAGCCTTGTGATAGACTGTGTTCACCGAGTAACGAGACATAACGAGCTGCCACGGATCCAACTGACAATCTTCCATTGGGCGAAGACGCAAGTGTTCAGGGATCATATCTCTCGCACGTCGGAGATCGGCATCAATCTCCATGGTTTTGTCATATGAGGTATTTGAGCTGGACGAGGCATGCTCATTGACACGACCAAAGACAAGAACAAGACGAGCCTTGCTGATCATGTAGGCGATCGGCGTTGGTTCACTCAGTGGGCGAGATTGTGGCAGCTCTTTACAGTCCTCATCAAAATCATCATCATAAAGGTTTCTTGGGAGTTCTGTGTCACTGTCGGCAGACCGGAGCATGCTCGGCATGCCGACCTGGAAGGAGAACAGCAGATCTAACATCCGAACAAAAGTCCATACACGGCGACGCATCTCGCCTTGGAAAGGGCTAATGTTGGGAAACATCTTTGAGTCACGGTGGTAGCCCATTCGCATGGCTAAGCGGGCTATCACGCCCGTCAATACCCATACAGACACATCTGCTTCCCGAGACTGTGAGAAGTCACCGTGTAGATGAAAACCCAGGCACTCGATTAGATGCGGATGTGGCTTTGTGTAATCTGCCAATGTGAGGCATTGTGCAACAGAGTTCCTGAATGATCCAGCCATATCCATCGCCTTACCCTTGAACTCAGGCGGTTCATCCCTCTCTCGAAAGAAGGAAAGCATGGCCAGTCTCATCATAGCAAACAGCATCGCAATCCAGACAATCTCAGTTTGAGAGGGGTCCTCCCAATGCCTGTTATACTGTGATTGGAATGTTGGGCCATGAAGGATGTGTGTCGCAGGATCGTAGCTGTTGAAATATCGAGCAACTAGAAGGTCGGTCGTATATTTTGAGGGTAATGAAGCCAATATTTCTGCCCGACTCAGAGGTTTCATCACTCCGAATAGTAAAGTCGACCCAGGAACATCTGTCTGTGGACGAGCCGCGTTGATCTTTTCTACTTGTTCTTCAAGCTGTTTCTTATGCGTCGAGAAAAAATTCCGCACCTCGGTGATCTATTATTTCAAAGCACGTCAGATGCTAACTCCTCGAGTAGTTTCCTTTTTGACATAAAACTTACATCATTTAACACAGATGCCCAGTGAGCTGGACTGATATAGTAGGATTTGTTATTGTCCACCTTCATCACGCCAAAGGACTTTGTGACCTGCTCTGTATCACTCTCCTCAGCGCCCTCAGGAATGTCATCGTCGAGATCAAGGTCAAGGTCAAGGTCAAGGTCATTAGAAAGCCTCGTGGACCCCACACTACTCTCTCCGGAGATTGCTGCCATGGCTGCCGCCGGACCTGCAGCCTGGTTTCCATTTGTCATTAATGATAAAACCAAGCCTTCTAACCGATCAATTCGGTTTTGCATATCGTCTGGTGAAGTTGGCGCTGCTTGCTGTTGAGAGTTCTTCTTCCGCGAATTTGTCTGCGCATACGAACATGAGTTTGCATCACCTCTTTTGACGCAGTTTTCGCACGGATGGGATCGATTACACTTTAGTCTATAGATTGGGTGTGCCATTAGTATTGGGCTATATGAAAATTTTGTGGGCGGAGATGGAGCCATGTTCGCGAATACTCACTTTCTGTGACGACAAGGGGCACACGATAATGGCACTCGATTCCGTTTCCTGATGACCCTGAATTCTGGCGAGTGCATGCTTGCGCTAGAGGAGGTTGTAGAGGGGGGTGTGGGAGTCATTTGTCTTGAGTGATAAGGGAGATGGGTAGTTTGTGTTGGTGTCGGGGTAAGGCGGTTACTGGCGCACGTAAATGTCCAATCGATGAGTCTAGACTTGTTCTTTGTGATATCTGGTGTCCTTTCCAAGATGAGTGTAGTCGGTGGTGGAATTTGCAAAGCCCACAGTATTCCCGAGAGCTTATCACAAGCAAGGTTGAAGCTTTGCGCAATTTTCTCACCGACTATTCAGATAAGCGGGGTGCTTCGATGCGCTCCTTCTGCCTGGCTGACCCCTGATACTTGGGACTAGGCTAGGAAGTTGACGCGCAGCTCCTAGAAAGCCTCACTGCGGTATAAGGACCCGGAAGATGTTGCGCAAGTCTAGGGAACGGTTTTTCCGAATGTTCCAGAAGATATTTGGATGAAAAGTATTTTTTTGAGCTCAAAGCGACTGCTTTTTTTTGCGTCGCAGGGGTAAATGAGACTAGCGCGCAAGCTCGAGACAGCGCAGGAGGGGTTGGATGACGTTGAGTGCTAAGTTGCGTTAGATCCTTCAGCTTGGGGGCCAACAAGGCTAGAATAATCAATGGCAGGTGAGCTTAAAGTAGTACCTTCTGATAGTCCCTTTTATAATTTGCGAAATATTAGGGAAGCAGAGAAGAGCAAAGTTCAAAAAGCTGGAGAATTGGGGGGGCGGGGGGAAGAAGATGATTAATCGGTCACTATCTCCGTTTTTAGAGCCTTATCACCATGATGACCTCAGCGATCGTGGTAACTAACTAACTAACTATTTTATTGAAGGTATGCCAATAATAATTCTTCTTGAACAAGCTTCTGGCTATCGAATTCTAGACCAGATTTATTATTCTCTATTCATCTCCTTATTTGGATTTTATGCCTGGATTTATGGGACAACTCGGTCATGTCCAAATTAATATGATCATCGCACGTAAGGTTTCGTGTTGACTACTAATTTCATTGGTGCAATCGGGCTAAAATAGTGTGAGTCATATCATCTCAACTTCAAGTTCATAAGTCCCATTAGTGGGAAAAATCCGAGAATTTTATATGTGGAATCTGACCATTCAACAGTACCCATGGGCTTCTACATATGCAAGTACGTATATTCCTTTACCCATACCAATACTACTTGAAAATATCGCATATGTCTCCAGGGCTACAGGTGGAGGCACTGTGGCACCACATACTATATATTAAAAGTCCCGCAGTGCTGCTCTCTAGGTACATCATGATACCAAGGGCATTCAGTTCTAAGGTTTGTATAGAGCTCAGATCAACATAAGTTCAGCCAGAATCTGGAAATTCGATGGTGCAGAATGCTCGATTAATCCAGAAGATATCTTCAACTTCATCAAAATGTGGCTTCAACTTGAAGGACTCGGAAGCACTTCAAGACGAACTACATTCAACACGTCTCAAGTGCTCTCTGGAACCCATCTTCACGGCATCACAAATATGTCCCGGCCACTTCTACATGTATTCAGGCGAGGCTCGAGAGGACTTGCGAGACCGTGAGGCCATTTTTTCAACTAGAGACGAATTTCTACCGCTCTGGTTTCTTATGGTGCAAATGGCACTGCTCGTGTCTGGGATGTCGCTGGTCCCTAGTATTCGACTCAAGGTCATGTTATTAATTATGACGCTACAATCTCCGGAATTGATGTGTCCAACACTGCTGCTGGTTCCTTCTGGACAGGCAAAGAAAAAGAAGGGCAAGGAACTTGAAGTCATGATTTTCTATTCAAACTTAAGATGATTGCTACTCCTTCTTTCTTGCCGCCCAATGTACGCCTCTAGCATGTGAGCCACAATAGCCCTTAAGGTAGGCACCTGAACTTGATCTAGATTTGGATCTAGATATTACTTCAGATTCAGCACTAGAAGAGCTAGTTAATCCTTAGCTATCTCTCACTTCAGATATCTCTCACTTTGAATACCTCTTACTTTAGATATGTCTTACTTTAGCCTTATATACTATTATTAAAGTTCTTATATCATGATGATAAAGATAGTAAGCTAAGCTAAAGCCTAAGGCTGAGATAGTTAGTTAACGTAATCGGTAAACGAGCGGGCCATGTAAGCGAGCTGCGCACCCAACCAAAGTTATTAATTCTAAATGTATTTTTCTTAGCCGAAACGTTATAAGATTAATTCAATAAACTAATTAGGTCTATCTGGACATGTTTCCCTTCTACGCCCTGGACGTCTACATATTCCACATCCTCGCTGGCCCTGTGTACATGGCTGTAAACCCTCTGAAACCTGCTCACGGTAGCTATTGATTCGCGCTACCTGGGCCTCGAATGGCTCCGAACGTAGCTCACGAACCTGTTGAACTGAAAGATCCCCTTCGTAGGCTATCTGTCTAGTTGATCGAGTTCGTTTTTGCTTTTCTTTCTCGTTGGCGGCGCGTAATTCGCTGTTTTCCTTTCTTAAGATTGCAGCGCCTTGTAACGCGAGTTGACAGCCTTTAACAAGTTGGTTTATCGCACGATCTGATGGGCTGGGGGGACTTCGAGATCATGTACGAAGTAAAGCTTTAATTGATGAAGCTTGCCGACGTAGTTGTTTCTCGGTAAATGGGGTTTTTGGTGCGAAATTCCGGCTTGATTCACTATTCTGGCTTACAGGAGGAGTTGGGGTTCGAAGGCAAATATTTAGCTTTGAGAGTACCTGATTAGGACAAAAAGGTATTAAGCCAGCAGCTGTAAAGCTATTTTTGATATTCTCCGATTTAAATGCCTCAATTCTGGCAAGGGGATATGCTTCAAGGAAATCAAGTTTATCGATATGGTTAATCCCAAGCCGCATTTTCATTTCAACCATTTGACCATATGAGCGTTTCAACACCGCAAAACAACCAATATTAAGTGGTTGTAAAAGATGTGATGAATGTGTAGGTATGCAAAATGGTATGATTTTGTTTTTTTCACAAATTTCATCAAACTTTAGGGTTAAATGACTTCCGTGGCCATTAAGTATTAAAAGTCGATATTTTCCAAGTGTACGTTTAGTTGTTGCTGGAATAAAGTGTTTTTGAAGCCATCGAAGTCCAATTTCATCAGTTGTCCATCCATTTGGACTAGTTTCAAATCGCCAGTCAAGTGGAAGGTTTGTAAACCATCCTTCAATTAAAACTTTGCCTTTGAAAATAATCACTGGTGGAAGGGCCCATCCAGATACATTAATTGTTTCAATAGCAGTTACCCATTCACGATTTCCAGGCTGTAAAAGTGATCGTCGACCATAATATCGAGAACGAGTAACAACCTTAGCAGTTGCTGTAAGTCCCATTGCAAATCCAGTCTCATCAAAGTTATAGATATCCTCTGATAGAATACCATTCTCTTGAATTGTTTGAAAAACAAGATTAAACCATTCTTGAACAACTTTTGGATCCTCCATCTTCGCACGTTCATAATTATATCGTCGAGAGAAACGTGTAGTAAGCTCTGAATGTCGTTTAACAAAGTTTGTGACCCAATTTTTGCCAACAGTTTGAGAAGGGGTCTGGCCACGTGCTAAGAGGAGAATATTGGCCATTTCTTGAACAGTAGCAGGCGGGGGGGCAGCTCCACGTATATCCATAGAGATCACCCACTGAAGAAGTGATTTCTCTTGATTCTCAGTTAATTTATGGCTGTTGGCGCGAGTCTCAGAGCGATTGGTATAGCCAGTGAGCCGACGCTGTAGTGTAGTACGAGGTATATCAAAACAGCGTGCAGCTTCACGGATAGAGCTTATTTGTTCAGCTTTAATAGCCTGTATAGCAAGTAGGATTCGACCCTCTTGATTACCATTTTTTTCGGCCGAAACAGTACGTTTTGGTGGCATGATGGGTGGTTGAAGATAAAAGAACGCGGTCGCGACGCGATTTTTTGGTTGGGTGGCCCACTCGCTTGGGTGGCCCACTCGCTTGGGAATCACGTTAGTTACTGCCCACCTGGGCAGGTGTATACAAATGTACTAGCAAGTACTTTAACCTCAGGCTTGGAATATTTGAATCTCAGTGGCACTTCAGCACGGAGTAATTTATTCCTAGATACCGGGTTTTCCCGTATGCAATGTCTTTCAGTTTTCAGTCTTTCAGTCTTTCAGATGTCAGTGGAGCAGCGGGTACAATAGGCGGGCTCCACTATTCAGGGTACGCTAATTTGCCCCTTCATTATGGTTGATTCAGTCTTACAACACCGCTCCAAAATGATTCTAGTATTAAAATAGTCGTCTTCAGAAACACACACCTCCTCTTCTCCTACTTCTTTTTCATATGAAATATTAATCAGAGGGGGGAAAATAAACGAAAACCCAAATTCAAAAATGACGTTCGTATGATTAAGTAACGGAATTCATACGCCCAAAACCTGATTATAGCAGGCGAACTGACAAATGAACCTTGGAAGTGAACGACTGCCGAATCAAACCCGAGGTTTCCAAGTACACAGTTGTCCAACCAGGCACGTAGCTTATTCGATGGTTAGAACCTGATCCGTCTTTTTGATGTCAATCCACGTCAATGTAACCAGAGTCTCTGAGAAGCCGACGCATATCCTCAGAATTCTAGAGCTCAATCTTAGATTCTTCAACCATTTGAAGGATATTTCATTCAAGGACTTGCATAGCCTGGGAAAACATCGTAAAATATCTCTCAGTTCACCATACAATGTCGAGACTCTCCTCCCAATCATCCGGTGACACTTCTACGATTTCCCGAAGTACTAGTACTTCAGCATCCACACCATCAACCAACAGATCCAACAGTTCAGGGCTCTCCGTCGCCGATCTTCTCCAATCAACACCTGAAGAGAGCCGTCAACCAACATATACAAAAATACAAAAAAAAAGAGAAAGAAAATCACTGGCAACCCTCATCACACTCATTCTCAAATGGAAAAGTCCCTATTCCGCGCCAACGAACAAACACAGTATCAAGACATAGCAGAAGAGTTCCACGCGCCTGTGAACCTTGTCGTCTCCGAAAAACAAAATGCAGTGGCGATAGTCCTGTCTGCAGATTATGTCGAGATACAAATGCAACATGTGTGTATCCGCTTGCCATCCGCGAAAAAACAAATCGGTAAGTAAATAGTATCCTACTAGTTCACCTAGTAGTCCTGCACTTGCGAATTAAGAGAAGAACATACATCACTGCGCCTGGTGTTAACTTCGCTTCAGACAGGAGCAGAAAACTGAATCTTGGAATTGCTTAGAACGATCTCTCATCTCTCGCGTCGATTACGGGAGTATGAGGAGCTGTTAAAAGAGGTTGAGGCTCTTGTGCCGAGTTTTATGGCTAAGAAGATTCGAGCTTTATTGGTATGTCCTAATATTTGAACATTTTATACTAGTTTGACTAGTTGAGGTTTGGCTAATGAGTTTGTCATAGGAAAAGGAACCTGGCACTCCCTTAAATGAGGCTTCCATGAATGAAGAGTCACATCATGAGGGAATCGTTCATTTGAAAAGCCGCTCATTATCTCGGTTTGATTCTTTGGAGTCTGTCGAGATCGGAAGTCAGGATATCAGTATGACTGCTTTTTCGGGTGAAGGATTCACTCAGCATATTCAATCCACTGTTAGTCTTGATTCGAGATCCGTACAAGAGAGCAGAATGGTGCAGCAAGATACGAGTACCAGCGATTATCAATTCTCTGAACTACCCAAACGACCGGTCTCACGATAACCTCCGACCCCTTCGTGCTTTATTACGTGATTTTTCTGGTGCCGAGCTTTTAGCGGTTTCGTTATACGCCCAACTGCGTACCCTTCATTGAGATGCTGCCCATTTTGCGATTGCTCGGCATCAACAGATTGTACGGACCTTTATACCAGTCATCGGCCGGAGCAATGGGAACTCGTTTCACAAATACGCAATGACTCGAGTTTCAGATTGGTCACAGAAGCATAAGAGGGAAAGCTATGAGCAACGCGATTTGAAATTTATCCCGAACCAGCACTTGAAGTCATTGACACTGTTATGACAAAAGAACACGACTGCAGTTTACATATACGATATATTACAGCGAGATTATCTGGATGTTGGATATTATCATGATGTAAGATTGGACACAAGTTGAAGCATACATGTCTACGCATTTCTATATATGGAGTACGGAATATTCGATGGAAGTTTAAGTAAAATAATCGGGAGTCAATTTGTTGGTGGCATAACTTGAATCGACAAATCCTCGCGCTCATAGTGGTAGTCTTGTACAGGAAAACAAAAAGCAAAAAATACATGGGTGATTGGTCAGAAGGAAGTCCTAGGAAAGACCTTGCAGACGTTGGAAGAAAGATAGAAATGAAAATGACAAAGAAAGGCAAGGTGAATATCAAAGTCAGGACCCACAACGTCAGAACCAACACTAACCATACCAAGCTACGCCCTAGCTTGGCTAGTTCATAAATTGAAGGTTCTCCAAATACAAGCAAAGAAACTTGCGGTGTCCTTGACTATGAGCTCCATAGTTTTTGTTTTTTGTCAGTTTTTGCGGGGTATCAGTACACACACACGTCGTTCATGATCAGGGTAATCGGCCGTGTATCTTCATACAGCTGGATCAAATAAGCAAAAATAAGATGAACATTAGTCTCATTCGGCCTGTATGTAGGCCAAGTCCGGTTGAGCAATAAAACCACAGCTCCTAGTTTACTCGTCACCAAAGCCCCACGATGGCTGGTTGTGGTGCAGAGGATCGTGCAGAGCTGTCATGGTGGCTCGGGGTCCAGGAGACTCCGGGCCATAAGGGTCCCAGTGAGACTCCATCATCTTGATAGCCTTCAAACGGTCGGAAGGAATAGGCTTGTTCTCGGCTTCAACTCCGGTCGAGTCGGCGGACTCATCATCGAAGTGAGATTCGAAATTCTTTTTGCGGTTAGCGTTGGAGCCCACCACGGAGAAAGGACGAGATTCCTCATCCTGCTTCTCCTCGTTCATTTCAAAGTGCACATCCGCATCGCGACGGGGCTTGAAGACATGATTGCGAGCCGGTGGTGTATCAGCCTCCGCTGTATCGCTGTAGCCGAAGTTACGTGCCTGCTCGCTGAGGGGAGCTGAAGTTTTCTTAGGCGTAGTAGGGTCGGTATTATCGTCACCAATCTGGAAGTGGCTGAACCGGTGAGGGTTTGACTTGTATGCGGCACGGTCTTGATCTAGATTACCCCCAGCTTCGGAATCATCACCAATCTCAAAGTGGTTGAATCGCTTGGGGTTTGACTTGTATGCGGCACGGTCTTGATCTAGATTACCCCCAGCTTCGGAATCATCACCAATCTCAAAGTGGTTGAATCGCTTGGGGTTTGACTTGTATGCGGCGCGGTTTTGGTCCAGATTACCCCCAGCTTCAGAATCATCACCAATCTCAAAGTGGTTGAATCGCTTGGGGTTCGACTTGTATGCGGCGCGGTCTTGGTCCAGATTATCCTCATTAGAGAAGATTCGGTTTACCTGGGGCCTGCCAGCACCAGACTTGGGAGTGCCCACATCCTTCTCCTCGAGTTCAGAGTTATCGGCACCAAGCTCGAAGTGGTTGAACCGCTTAGGGTTTGACTTGTATGGAGCACGGTCTTGGTCCAGGTTATCCTCATGAGAGAAGATCCGGTTGACCTGGGGCTTGCCAACACCAGCCTTTGGCGCGACCATTCTCCCGGGCTTGGATGGGGTAGCGGGGGCGTCATCCTCAATGAACAGATCGGAGAGATCGCGAGTAGGAGGCCTCATAGCGGAAGGAGCGTACGGGCGCACAGGCTCGGGACTAGCCTTGCTGGGCGACAAAAGCTCAGTCAAGGACTCGGCGGCATAGGGATCTCTTGTGTGCTTCTTTCCGGGGGAGGAGGATCGGGCACGAGGTGCGACGGATCCATTTTCGCCGTCAGCTTTATTGGGTGACAGGAGGTCGTACAGGGAATCGGCCGCATAGGGATCCTTGATGTGTCGCTTTCCGGGGGAGCCAGGTCGCGCGGCGGGTTCTTTTGTGCCATTCTGGAGTGGGCGCTCTGGCGCAGGAGCGGATTTGGCGGCGGCAGCAGATCTCAGGAGGCGAGTTTGTTCTTGAGCGGCGCGAATAGGCCAGCCTCGACTGCGTGCGCCAATCGCTTCAACTTCCTTCAAGAGCGAGCCCTGGTCCCAGTAGATGCGAACCTGTTGGATTTCTTGTTCTGCGTTCCATTGCACGATGTGGAGCTGCAGGAAGGCGCATTAGTATGGACTAGTCCTGCAGGTTATGCGCGGGGAAATATTTACCGTGGGGATGGTCACAACGCGGTCGGCCAGGAAATTATCATCGAAAGAGGGGAGATAGGCCCCGCCGCCCTCGAGAAACTCCAATGTTGTCTCGATATCCAAAACCAACGAGTCAGAACTCTCAATCGCACTAATAATCTGCTCGGATTTCTTCTTCACAATGCCGGATTGGCGCGACAGATGGGTAAGCACTGAGTCGCTGCCTTCGAATTTGGTTGTAGACGCGACATAGAGTAGTGAGACATTCGCGGCGACCTTGGCTGACCTGGAATTCGCCAGGAACTTGCGATACTCCGTGTGGAAGTAGGTACTCATGATGATGATCAACCAGTTGGCCTTAGGTTGTTTAGTACGACGTAAGGGAAAGGTTTCAGGAGAGAGTGCGGGCGTACACAAAGGAAGATGTACAGTAGAGTACAGTAGACAAGTGTACAACCAGGGGGGGGAGGAATATCAGGGGCGGGAAATTGAAGGGAAATTAACAGTTCTCTTCAAGGCCGAGACTCCTTGCACATAATAGTATGAACTACTCTCCTCTGCAAGGGAAAGGACGATCCACTGAAAGCGAGATTACTGAAAGCGAGATTGTTATTTTGCTAAACTACGCGTCTATATCCAGTCCAAGCTTCAAGTACCAGGTACCAGAAAAATAGGCAACATTTTTATGTAAGAGATAGGTACTAGGTACTTGATATTTGATCTCATCAACCATGAAACGAACCAAATAAAAGCAAATCAAACACGCGCACTGAGGAAAAAAACACGCCAGTGTTTCACCTTGGCCCCAGTAGAGCCCCCCTCGGTGCCACGGTTTACAATGACCGGGGACCCGCGTCTCTCCGGCAACTCTTAAAGTTCACCAAATTCTTGGAAATTCGGAATGAAGTTACTGAGATAAAAGGTAAGGGAATCGGTAGGGAATTGAGATAAATTCTTCATATTGTACATATCTCGCTGGAAATTTCGAATTCAAAGCATTGGCAATGTGTATGGACTATGCCAAGCGCAAGGTGAAGTTATCCCATCCTCAAGTGGATTGCTGATTCCATTCCTTCAATACAATCGGAGAAGGGAGAACATTCTAGTATGGAGGCTGAGACATAAGATACACTCGAGCAACGATTTTGACATCTGTTGATGCACTCAATGTAGCCCAGTACTGAGATCAAATCCTAATCGCAAGATCTTGGATGGGCATAGATGCAAATGCGGAATGAACTCCTAGAAACGCCTTGTCCCAGATGTCTTGGTTCTCTTTTTGGTGTGTGTTCCATGGTTGTAGTATATGCAGCGAAATTATGGTGCTGCCGGGAGATAGGTGGGCATTGCCATCCTCAAGATAAGCATGGTGAAGAAGGGGAGGTAAGCAGGTGGTAGGTAATGGGGTATGTAGTATGTAGTCCAGGTGCAGCTCGTATGTCATTACAGGGGTCTAGATGGAGGGGAAAGCAATTGTTAGCATATCGATGCGACGCGAAATGATCGAGTCCACTTACCCTAGGTAGTCCTCCTTAATGGTGCCAATGGCATTGATTGCAGCCACATCTGGCTTGACACCAAGAATCTTGAGTCGCAAGCTGGTACCCTTCTCAATCACTTGGTCTGCATGGTCGGTGTATTGCGGAGGCACGGTGTTGGGCTCCCATTTGATATCGGAGGGAATGTTCTAATATGCTAGTCAGAGCTGATCATTAAAAAGTGAGCCGATGTAGTCAAACCTTGCGCGCAATGAAAACAGAAAGGGGTCCTGCCAGTGTGAAAATTCCGGTCGGCTTCACAGAGGTAACAATAGCATCAACCTAGTAACTGGAGTATTAGCAAGAGCATAAAGATGGGGAACTACACCACACTAGAGCTCATGGATTACTGGAGCCCCAAGTGTGAAGTATGCGCACATACCGTCTCCCCGCGGAAAGGTTTCCAGATAATAGCACGGTATTTTATTGTGTACTCCGCATGTCCACTTGAGGGTATGACTCGTCCCTCGCCGATGTCGACCATATCCATCACACAGATCACGAAGTGGTCTCCTGTACACCGACCTTCCTCTTCCTCATTCAGACGAGTAATCAGATACTCGCGCATGTTGGGTCCAAAGTAGGACGGGTGCAAGGTAATGACCTTTGCCTCTTCTTTCAGAAAGAACATTGTGAGGAGAGCGCGCGGAGCAAGCTCGAATCGTTAGGTGTGTGAAAAGATGTCGGAGGGGAGCGTAAGACGTTAGGTTTGATGTCTGGTTTGAGGGATTTAAAGTAATCTCTCAATCACTGGAAAGCAGAGATTATGATTCGGATGTTGGCTATCAGCAGTGAATGTCGCAGAGAGCGGTGCGATGCAGGGAATTGAAGTGAGAGGTTCGTTAACCAGGTCGCTCGCTCATGGCCTAGTAATGGGATAACAACGTAAAAATCTACGCGGTTAATGAGTGGCAGGTGACAAATGAGCAGGCGTGTGTTCTCTCGGGACAGGGAAACAGAGGTCGCAATATTGTGGGCACGCTGCTGAAGCTGCTAATGATTATCTCGGGCTTCATGGCGGGCAGACCAAGCTAACTCGGTTTCAGGTCACGTGGTGTGCGTCGGGCGGCATTCACTTAGCATAGAAACATTGATCAAGTCTCCATGATATTAAGTTTTGATTGATCTTATCTCTGAGTATGAAATGATCATTACTAGTATGTATGAAAATCTTTCTTTTAGATGAAATGTTGCCTATGACTGAGGTATAACTCGTAGATGTCAGGTGTTGGAGGCAATACTCAAGTGCTACTATATTAGTATACTTGGTGGATATATCATGCCGACAGCGACCAGATCAAACAGCGCCTCGGAGTCCACTGACAAGTTTGTACTTCAAGTTCTACAATCACCCGTGCAAGCCTCAAATTCTACAAATGTGTGTACAACAAATCAATATCAACAAATAAGTCTTGTGTCCTTATCCATGGTTAGAGACTACTAGGTAGACCTTGACCAGTTGACGCCTCACATATGCTGCTACCTACTGGGTGCACGTGGAGTGGTTTCTCAATGTTAATTTGCTACCTTAATATAGTTATGCACATACATAGATCTGCATATTGAACTCGACCCTGTGGACTACTAGGAGAAGATATGACTTTTTTTCTTTCGTTATCATGCAATATTGAGACTGAGTTTAAAACTTGAAAGTTGGATGTCATAATGAGGAGGATCAGCGAGTTGCATATCGTTTACCTGCACATGTGAAAAGTAGTTTTGCATTGCAGGCACTCCAGTATGAATATAATCAAAATCAAGATCAGACTTCATTTCAGGTTATTACCGAATGTTCCAAGGTTACCCCACAAGAATGGCGTTCTTCCCATACCGTAAAAAAACCAGTTGACATGGCCCCGGTTCTAAAGGGTCCGAGGTCTCCGTTAAAGCACATGACAAGTATGTCCAATGGCACCACTCGCATTGCTGCCCATGTGTTTTAGCTGAGGATATACGTAGCTTCCCCAACATTTCAAATCCTCCTCAGCAAACCCCACCTTCAAGCAGCCCCCCAGAATGGCTCTTAACCTGGAAAGGCAGTTGCTCTTCGTAAGTGTTGTCTACTATTTTGATTCAGATTAAATCTGACCGTTGCAGTATGGAGCCTACCACAATGACCCGGTATGCCGCTACTCTCTCCAATTTTACAGATCAGAGGACGGTAAATCTTATCTTAATTTTTAGGTCAACATCGCAATCCACATCGTCTGTGTGCCAATCATCCTGTTCACAGGTATTATTCTGGTACGAGTGTCCAAAACGAAACTTGCACAGGTGATATATGATCATTCCAGACTAATCTTATTGTCTGGCCACAGGGCTGCAATACTGGACCACTCGTCCCGGTCCCCGAGGCTTTAAGCGTCGAGTATCTCCCCGCGAATTTTGGCACGATCGGTGCATTCATCTACACGATCCTCTATGTTCTTCTAGAGCCGGTCGCTGGCGCCTCATTCGCACCGTTTGTGATCGGCTCTGCAGTATGCGGCAACTACTTCCTTGAGCAATACGGATCGATTGTGAATTATTATGCGGGAGTTTTCCATGTTATATCGTGGATTGCGCAGTTTGTGGGACACGGTAAATTCGAGGGACGGGCTCCGGCGTTGCTGGACAACCTGGTTCAGGCGTTGTTTTTGGCACCGCTCTTTGTATGGATCAAGATCCTATTCTTCTTTGGATACCGGTCGGAGCTGAAGCACCGAATGGATGAGAAAGTTGCAATCGAGATTCAGAAATTTCGGAAGGAGCAGGAGGACCGGAAACTGAAGGGGAGGGTTGCGAAATGATTATGGGCATGAGCCATGTCGGGATATCTGGAGTTTTGCTGCTTGGGAAGAAGAATAGGAAGGGGAGGGTCATTTATTAGGAGCGAGTTTGCATGAGACAATGGATGCAGAATTCATGAATGCTATGCATGCGAGTTCTGTGTCTGCAATTTGGAGTTTCTTTTTTTGGGAAGGCTGATGTCATTTGGTGATACTATGCGCCTGAGATTCACTGAGTCCTAGATGAGGCTAGGATACGGAGTATCTGGGAAAGTATTGAGAGCGATACTTGGAATAGTCATGTAAAGTATATATACCTTGGTGACTCGGGATCTGTCATTTCAGATATTATAAAAACCTTAGAACATCCCCTCTGGTACCAAATGTCAGTGTCAATATACTTGTTGATACGTTCCATATTAAATCTGTGAGCCGGTTGCCGTGACGAAACTCATTACCTAATCACAGCACCTGACCAAGGATTCCGGCGACCCGAAGAGAAAAAACGGGAAGGGCTGGCCCGTCTTCGGAGCGGTCTCCCACAGTCCCAAAGGGGACAAATTTGAAGGGGAAAATTAGAGTCATATGAAAGGGTGTTTAGCAAGAAATCTTATAAATTAGAAATGAGAAATTTTCAAAGTTAGACTAGATATTGTAGAACATGATATGTAAGAGAAAGAACAGCGTGGAGGTACACTAGGGCCACATCGGAGGGACTAAACCCCCCTAAAACGGTCTAGCGCGAGACCTGAGAATCCAATCCTCCCGACAAAGCTCTCCCTTCCCACCCGTCCACAACCTTCTCTCTCCTCTCCGAACTCCTCTCCCCAATTACATCTCCCCCCTCAGAGAATTTATCCTCACATCCTCTGAACCCTTTTCATAATGTTCAGGAACGCTCTGCGGCAGTCAAGCCGCTCCGTTGCGGCCGTCCAGGCCACTGGCCGCATCGCCTCGGTGAGTAGTCCTCTCCAACCTGGTCCATCGTCCAACCCATCGCCTGTCCAACCTTTTCCATCTCGAATTTGAGCTCGATTGGTCCTCGGATCCCTGTCCTTCGCTTCGCCAACCCATTGAGCATGCTTCGATCACTCATACACCCTCCGAGCTCATCGTTAACAAACTTTTCGCCATATTATAGGTTCGCGCGGCTGCCGGTCCCATCTCCGGTGCTGTCCGCTCTTATGCCTCTGAGGCCAAGGCTGCCCCTACTGAGGTCTCCTCCATCCTGGAGCAGCGTATCCGTGGTGTTCAGGAGGAGGCTGGTCTCGCTGAGACTGGTCGTGTTCTGTCGGTCGGGTATGTCATTTCCGCCCTGGGCGGGTAAAGGGTCGCGAGGGAAAATTTCGGTCAACGGATATCATCTCGCCAAACGCGCCCACGCCTACCACCAAAACAACCACTATCGATCTAGAAACTAATTATGATTCGAATAGTGACGGTATTGCCCGTGTCCACGGTATGACCAACGTCCAGGCTGAGGAGCTGGTCGAGTACGTGAACCCCTGCCAACCCCCCCAAGGAAAAGTCTTGGCATTATCAACCAACCTCGGGAAACTAACGGAACTGCAGGTTCGCCTCTGGTGTTAAGGGTATGTGCATGAACTTGGAGGCCGGCCAGGTCGGTGTTGTGCTCTTCGGTTCCGACCGTCTCGTCAAGGAGGGTGAGACCGTCAAGCGTACCGGTGAGATTGTAAGTGGAAACCCTGTTTTAACACTCCCCGTTTTAACACTCCCCCCTGGATATCTGGATTTTGATATATATATACACATCGAATCTTCAAATCCTTGCTATGGTTGAATTCAATTACTAATAACCATCCTAGGTTGATGTCCCCGCTGGTCCTGAGCTGCTCGGCCGTGTCGTCGACGCTCTTGGTAACCCCATTGACGGCAAGGGTCCCATCAACGCCACTGAGAAGCGCCGTGCTCAGCTCAAGGCCCCCGGTATTCTGCCCCGTCAGTCCGTCAACCAGCCCGTGCAGACTGGTATGAAGTGTGTCGACTCCATGGTCCCCATCGGCCGTGGTCAGCGTGAGTTGATTATTGGTGACCGTCAGACCGGTAAGACCGCCGTCGCTCTCGACACCATGCTCAACCAGAAGCGTTGGAACAACACTGGCAACGAGGCCGACAAGCTCTACTGTATCTACGTTGCCGTTGGTCAGAAGCGTTCCACCGTCGCTCAGCTCGTCAAGACCCTTGAGGAGAACGACGCCATGAAGTACTCCGTCGTTGTTGCTGCTACCGCCTCTGAGGCCGCCCCCCTGCAGTACATCGCTCCCTTCACTGGTTGTGCTATGGGTGAGTGGTTCCGTGACAACGGCCGCCACGCCGTCATCATCTACGATGATCTGTCCAAGCAGGCTGTTGCCTACCGTCAGATGTCCCTGCTTCTGCGTCGTCCCCCCGGTCGTGAGGCCTACCCCGGTGACGTTTTCTACCTCCACTCCCGTCTGCTGGAGCGTGCCGCCAAGATGAACAAGACCCACGGTGCTGGTTCCTTGACTGCTCTGCCCATCATTGAGACCCAGGGTGGTGATGTTTCCGCTTACATTCCTACCAACGTCATTTCCATTACCGATGGTCAGATCTTCTTGGAGGCTGAGCTGTTCTACAAGGGTATCCGTCCCGCCATTAACGTCGGTCTGTCCGTCTCCCGTGTCGGTTCCGCCGCCCAGGTCAAGGCCATGAAGCAGGTCGCCGGTTCCCTGAAGCTTTTCCTTGCCCAGTACCGTGAGGTCGCTGCCTTCGCCCAGTTCGGTTCCGATCTGGATGCCTCCACCAAGCAGACTCTTGCCCGTGGTGAGCGTCTCACTGAGCTGCTTAAGCAGAAGCAGTACTCCCCCATGGCCGTTTCCGACATGGTTCCCCTCATCTACGCCGGTGTCAACGGTTTCCTTGACCAGATCCCCGTCGCCAAGATTCTCCAGTGGGAGTCTGACATCCTTGCTCACCTTAAGAGCTCTTACCCCGAGATCCAGCAGACCATCGAGAAGGAGGGTCAGCTCTCCAAGGAGCTTGAGGCTAAGCTCAAGGAGGTTATTGGTGCCTTCAACAAGTCTTTCAACGCATAGGTGAGCTAAGAAAACAACTTTGAGGGATCCATGGTGATCGTTCTGTTTTCCTGACTTCTTCTATGTGTATAGACAAGATAGCTTGTACAATTTTGAGTCCATTATTTCGTTCTGTTCCACTCGGATTCCTTGAAATTTCCCACGGCGAATTTCGATTTCACGCCCTGGATGTAGCGAAGTAAGGCTGTCTTCATCATGCTGTCTGTTACTAGTTCTACTGGTCCGGGGTAGAAGTTATGTTTCGTTTATGGGAAATTTCTAGGACTGGAGGGGGATTGCTCGATCTCTGGGCTAACAAAATGTGATTATATCCTGTACGTTTAGAATTTTTCCGCGCATCGGAGGGCGCATGATGGGAGAGAGGGCCAAAATCTACTTCCGTCTGGTCTCCATGTGTCTCTCCATGTTGGATCCGCAATTTTATTTTCATTTGTTCCAACACCTTTCAAGTAAAACAGCATATCATTCTTTTTTTCTTCTTTATATCTTTTTATACAGTGGTACCTTTATGTACTAGTACGTAGTAGCTCAACTCCATAAACTATGGTAGCACATTGTACTATCCCCATGGATCGCTTCAGCGGTCCCAGCCGGATGACAGATCTGACAGCTATGCTGTTCAATATTGGTACGGAATTACACTCGTACACAACAAGCATATTCCTGCACTTTTCTACACAATACCCACCACTTAGATCCACCTATTCAGTCTCAATTTTCTTCCTAAGCATCTACTAAGCCCACTAAACCAAATTGTCAGTCCCGGCAGCAGCGATCTCGGCAAGTGAAACCGAATGCGGCATCCGATCTCTTATCGATAAGCGAACAATCTTTTTCCTCGAGTCAAGCCAGTCTCCCCGCGTGTACTAGAGTCCTATATACCCAATTCTTGTTTTCTGAAGACTCAATCCTCGCCATGTCGGCCCCCAAAGATGCTGCTCCTTCTTCGTGCAAGGTTATGCTGTCCAAGCACGTTGCCAATCGTTTGGTCAGCGAGGTCCAAGAAGGCCTTAGGACTCTCGAGAAGCCGCCGCATCTTGTCGGTTTCCTCGCGAACGATGACCCTGCGGCGCTGATGTATGCGCAGTGGACACAGAAGACCTGTGAAGAGAAGTAAGTCATGAATCTCCTCCTTCATCAATCTTATCTTTCGGTTGTGGCTGCGATCTCGTGCCGTGGTGGTGGGGTTGGCGGGTATGATTCATACTTGCCCCTCGTCGCGCAGTCATGACAACCACCACAATTGGAAAGAATTGAGATAAGTATGGAATATAGAGCAGTTGCATATGCTCTATTTCAATTCAATATGTCCAATTATACTAACCCTCTCTCAGTGGTTTCAAGTACACCCTCCGTGAAGTCGGCCGCGACGACATCGAAGAAGCCATCCTTTCCGCCAACACAGACGCCGAAGTCGACGGTATCATCGTCTATTACCCCATCTTCAACAACCGTCAGGATCAATACCTGCAGCAGATCGTGGATGTCGGCAAGGATGTTGAGGGTCTGAGCCACCGCTACATCTTCAACATGTACCAGAACATTCGTTTCTTGGACCCGGAGACCAAGCGCCAAAAGTGCATCTTGCCCTGCACCCCGTTGGCCAACATTAAGATCCTCGAGCACCTGAACATCTACAACACTATTCTGCCCTACGGCAACCGACTCTTTGGTCACACCATCTGCGTTGTGAACCGCTCCGAGGTTGTGGGACGTCCCCTTGCGGCTCTGTTGGCCAATGACGGTGCCTGTGTGTACAGTGTTGATATCACCGGTATTCACAAATTCACTCGTGGTGAGGGATTGAAGAAGCACAGACACGAGGTTGAGGTTCTCGAGGGAGCTACCCTTAAGGACGTTGTGCCGCTGTGCGATGTTGTCATCACCGGTGTCCCTAGTGACAAGTACAAGTTCGATACCAGCTTGCTTCGTGAGGGTGCTGTCTGCGTTAACTTCTCAAGTGAGAAGGTGGGTCATTCCTGTTTTGATGTTCTTCGTTTGAGGACTGGGTTAACTGACTTGATATCTATATAGAACTTCGGTCCCGAGGTCAAGGAGAAGGCCTCCATCTATGTTCCTTCCATTGGAAAGGTGACTATCGTCGTGTTGCTGCGCAACCTGCTGGTGAGTTTCTGCATCTTTCTACAAACTATAGGGGGTTTAAATGAGGTTCTAACGTCTTTTACAGCGTCTAATTCAGAACCGCCGGGCGGATGATGTCCAGCCTGCTGCCGCTACTGAACGCCCTGGAACCCTTGAGGCTGCTTCCTAGGGTCTGGTTGATTGACGGAAAATATTTAAAATGATCGATGATTTGAGGACTGACACTAAAAAAACCCTGGATATAGACTTGTCTTAGCCCTTTGGAATATACGTTTCTTACTACTTCTACTGGTATTCTTCTAACCATATCAGGATTCGAAGGCTCTGATAGTATGATTGTACTACCTGCTCGTATCGCTCAAGTGCTCATTCAGGCCTCTCGTAGATGGTTGCACATGTCTCCAGGTGCATCATCAGTTGATGTGTCTACTACTAGTAGTACACACCTACGTAAAATCGCTCCTAGTCGTATGGTACCATGAGGCAACATTTGGATATCTTACTACCTCTGGGGCTAGGTGGTATGCAAATTCTATGTCGTAGAAGTTCAGACTGATCATTAATCCCAAAAACCAATTGATTGATTTGAACATATGCAAATATTGAAACCTCCAAAAGCGTGCTGAATGCATTTCCCAAACCAAATGAAACTATAATTTTAAAGAGCAAGTATAGTATGTTACTATTAGTCCCATTTCACTGCTTTCAGGTATTCAATGGAACTAACTTATCGTCCAGAGTCACTACCGTTCTTCTTCTCATTCTCCTTTGCCGCGAGTCTCAAGACATCCACCTCACTTGCCAGCCAGCGTCGGAAAGGCTCAGGGTGGAACACTCCCTCAGCCGAGAACCATGTGGTGAAAGGCGCTTCGAAGCGCTTGTCCTGCAAGACTTTGCCGGCGGGGGACTTATATTGGACGTGAAGTTTATAGGGGACCGAGTTCTTAATGCCAGATGAGGAAATGGAGATCTATGATTTTCGAGTCAGCTTCTGGCATATGCTTTGAGTGTCTTCAAATGAAGTTCCATAATCACATACAGTCTCTCCAGTCTTTCGTTTCCCGCAGAATACCTCACCGGCCTCGACGCCCCAGATCCAATATGTGAGGGCGGTGTTGAGAATGAAGTATGAGACTACCGCCGCAACAATCCAAGGAGATGTGGTAGCCTCCCAACCAAGAGTGCGGTCTGCATAGAATGTAAATGCCGCAATCGCAACTGCACTATAACCCAGTGCAAAGCGAACATTGGTCTTCGTGTAGCTAGGAGTGAAGGTGAAGGGCGCGGGGAGGTTGGTTAGGTAGGGGACTAGGGCGTCATCACTAGTAGACTTCAGGTCTGTGTTCAAGAACAGAATCAGCATTGAAAGCCAAGTTTCCTTCGTGTATAGCTAACAAGGGTACTGTATCGCGGCGGCTGGAGTAGATCTGGGAAGACGAACCATTGGTTGAGTAAACAGGCACTTTGGTGGTCGCCATGATTGTGATTTAAGAAATGTAAATTGCAAGGAAGCAGTCCCGTGTATATTTTCCGTTAGATTTGTTGCAACCTAGTAGTTTTGTGGTGCTGACGAGCGATGTTTATCTCAAGGACACAGTTGCGGGTTGGAGAAAGCTGGAGCTCGCGCGGGCCAATCGTATCCGTCGCTGTGAACCTCAACCACTTCGGTCCAACATCCCCTTGACCTCCCCCCACACCAGCAATCTACGCCACGGGAGTTCTCGCTGGGAGTCACTCCGCACAAAACCATTCTAGTTGGATTTACTTAGTTTTGGCATTCGTTCAGTATGGCTATTGAAGGAGGCGAACAGACCATCCTTCGGGATCCGGCGCTTTTGTGAGTGACATCTCTAATGCATATGCAGAGGACCCAGACTGACTTCTTTCTGTACAGCTATTGGATCTTGTTCCCAATCTCAATTGTTATGGTCTGATTTATCTGCCTGGAAGAAATATATACACTTGAGTCTAACCCACTTATCATAGATCTTGACCGGAATCCTGCGCCACTATGCAACCGTTTTGATGAACACGCCCCCCAAAGGCCCCTCCACCCTCCTCGAGTTACGCGAGCGACATGCTCTCCTACGTGGTGTCAACCTCCGGAACCATGCCTGCGCTGTCCTTGACCGAGAATCCTTCGAGATTCGCAAGAATTACATGGTTTCCGGTTTCCGGAATGGCTCGTTCCTCAAGGACCCTAACAACCGTGGCCAGGCTCCTGCAAACCCGATGACCGACCCCGCAGGAATGGAGCAGATGATGGGCATGCTGAAGGGAAATATGATGATGATGATCCCTCAGACGTTGATCATGAGCTGGATCAATGCGTTCTTTTCTGGATTTGTCATTTGTAAGTCATCGTGGCAAGATATGGTGTATTTGGACTAACCATGATCTTTAGTGAAATTGCCTTTCCCTCTTACCATTCGCTTTAAGTCGATGTTGCAGTCAGGTGTCATGACTCGCGACTTGGACGTGAAGTGGGTTTCCAGCTTGTCTTGGTACTTCCTTAATCTGTTTGGTCTACAGCCTGTCTTTGGATTCATCTTGGGCAGTGATAACTGTAAGTTTATGGATTATGTTCTTTTTAACTCCTGACGGACCTCTGACACGTTTTATAGCTGCCAACCAGATGGCTCAGCAGATGGCCCAGGCTAACCCCGCTGCTATGATGAACCCTATGCAGCCTGGCCAAGACCCTGATAAGCTGTTCTTGAGCGAAGCCGAGAACCTGGAGGTGATGGAGCACTTCTGCATTTTGGATGGAGTTGAGGAGCGGGTTTTGCGAAACTTTGCCCCCGAGGTGAATTAAATGGACGAATTCTTGGGTGAGGTTGGATGATAATGTACGGTATATACCAAAGAGCAGTTGGCTCTCAATAGAACAACTTGAAATCCACAGGCTATATGTATCGGGCTTATGCAAAAAACTATCGGAAATGGATACAAGTCTTCATATTAAACCAACCATATTAACTGGACATTTGCGTGATCATTTACCTAAAAGCCTTGAGCTTCTCATAAAATCGTTACTATCATCTCAATCAACGGTACCCTGGGTAGTTGATTACACTATTCAGTACCCAGACTTCTCCATTGGCCACTTGCTCTGCAATGCTGTCAACCTCGACGTTGCCAGGTTGAATCTAAGACCAGTCAGCCATCATTACACTACCATATCAACGCAACGGATATCACTCATGACTTACAAATATCTTATCTCCCTCCTTTGTCCACTTCAGCTTCTCACCTCCAAGTGTTTCCATCTCCTCGCCCTCCTTCCATGGACTAGCAGGAATGATATGGGCTTCTACAAAACGCTGTAAATTCCGCTTTGCCCGATCCTGTCCACTCTCTCCTGCATACGCATTTGCGTCACCAAACTGAGCATAATCCTCCGGATCTTCCCATGGCTTTCTTGGCAGCGCCTGGATAGCACTGTTCCGCGGCGCAAGGACGGTGATATTCTTTGAGGCATCATTCAGACGGGAGGCGATCGGGTCAAAGTCTCGAGTTAGTTGTGCGAAGATATTGATTCCCTTCGTCTTTGGTAGGACATCAGATATGACAGGTGAATTTGAATCCGGAACAGGAGGTTGCTGAGGCTTAACGAAGCCTGGAATAAGCTTATCCATAATAGGCTGCTGGCTTTGTGATAGACCTAGTTGATATTGACGGAGAGAATTCGGAATTGTTAGACCAAGTATGGCAGCTGCTGAGCTGATTACAGTCCACAGTAGAAATAGAGATAGGATCTGAGTGGAGTTCCTCATTTTGGGCAACCTGACAGACAAGTGGGAAGTGCAGCGTTCCCGTTACAAATCCAGCCTATGACGCAACGGTATACACGTGATATAGAGATAACGATACGATCACGTGCTTACTATGGTTATCGATAAGGCAGAAAATGGGATTCGACAGTGGGGGGATAACCTTGGAACTGTTCGTATCCTATACAGCATATCTCTGGGATTATTGGCGTAGCTGCTCCCTCCCACATCATGTCGGCCCTACAGACCTTCATGCTGGTTGTCGAACACGACAAAGAGGAAGCAAAGCGCATCGCTGATTCCGTAGCTCAAGGTAAATCCAGTCAACTGAAATACCGCCCCGCACTTTCGTATTAGGGAGATATGACTCTAACCTAGGTTTTAATGCAGATGTGGAAAGCAAGAAGGCCACCCTGATCAAAATTGTTCAGCAACTCGGTGAATACATCAATGACGAAGATCCGATTCTTCGTGGCAAAGCGGTTTCCTTCCTCACGGCGGTCATCAAGGCGCTGCCTCCTCGGTTCTTATCGCGACAGCAGATCCAGGTTCTGACGACATTCTTTGGTGATCGAATTGAGGATGGAGGTGCAGTTGCAGGATTGGACTACTTGCAAGGTTTGGACCGGTTCACCAAGGAATTGGCCATTGAAACCGCTGAGGCGTGAGTTCCGTCGTATCTATTTGGTGGGTACGGGGTTGAGACAAAATGCTGATTATGGTATATAGCTTGTTTGGCAATTTCCAAGATCTTCAGTCTCGTTCCCAGTCACAAAGATTTCAGGTCTATCAGTTATTGAACGAATTGATGTCCAAACACCGGTCAGCCCTACGTGATATGGGTGATGATTCTCTGCTGGGGACGGTGGATCTTATGACTGGTGAAAAGGATCCTAGGAATTTGATGATGGTCTTTTCTATTCTCAAGGTCGTTATGATGGAATGGGATATCACAAACCATGCCGAGGTAAGATTATCGCACGATGACCGAAGTTACACAGCAGCTAATTTCACTAGCTTCTTTTTGACTCTGTATACAATTACTTCCCTATCACGTTCCGACCTCCACCAAACGATCCATATGGAATTACGGCCCAGGACTTGAAGGGCCGCTTGCAGGAATGTATTTCGGCGTCGCGACACTTTGCTCCACATGCCATTCCTTCTTTGCTTGACAAAATGGATTCTACATCCCCTAATGTTAAGGTAAGAATGAAATTATTTATAGAAGATGATACAGTATACTGATAATTTGTTTAGAAAGATGCGTTGAATTGCTTGGTTGCTTGCATTAACTCATATGACCCGGACACAGTATCCCGATACTCTATCACAATCTGGGAGACCCTGAAATTTGAGATTCTTAATGCCCAAGAGGAAATCCTCTCCGAGTCGTCCTTGGAAGCTCTGTCAGCAATTGCCAAGCGACTTTCAGAAGGGGTTATTGAACCTTCACAAGATTTGCCGCTTGCACAATACCTGCGTCCTATTACCAAGGAATGCAATGAGCAACTGCAAGAGCCTCAGCACAAGCAAGCCAAGCCCGCTCAGCAGATTCTAAGCTCGGTGTCTTCTGCTTCAGCTGTGGCCTTTACCCTCATTGTCCAGACAGTTGTGGCCCCCATATTCACTATCTACCAAGAAGCAGATGGAATCGCTAAGCAGAGGGCTCTACTGGACACTCTGGCTGTCCTGTTCCAGTCTGCCGTACAGGTTTTTGGCCAATGGACCACCTGGGGAGGTGAAATCCTCCAGGAGAACCCGCTTTTGGAGTTCAAGGATCAATTCTCAGAGACTCTAGGACAGGCACTTATGGGCTCTGCTAAGGAAGAGATTTCTTTCCGTGTCACTGCAATGAAGGGATTCCTGAGGCTTTCGACCCTGCGGAACTTCTTTCAAGATAATGAAATCGGGTTATTCGTGCAATATCTTGATGAAATTCTTTTGAAAGAGGAATCCGTTGGCCGAGACGATCTGAAGAAGGAAGCCATTAGCGCGCTAGCTGAGATTTCCAAGCATAAGCCTCGGCTGATCATGGATATTACTTTCCCGGCATTTTCGGCGACACTGCCGGATGAAGATGATGGCACTAACACAACCTACTTGTCAACCTTGGATACTTTGGCGAAGATCAGCGTTGAGAGGGATATCTTCGAAACGCTCTTCCGTCGTCTATTTAGCAAGCTGTCTTTCTTAATTCAGAAAGAACAACCAGGATCTGCTGCTTATCCAAGAACGATCCTCATGACTCTTTTATATGTCATGCAGCAGAGGGATATGAAGGCTGACCCTAACGTCGAACTGTACTTCGACAAAGTTGTGTTGGGACTTTGTCGCAGCGTCGCAGAATCGGCCTCGGGGCAAAGCAAGAACCAGATCCTCAATGATCCTACTATCCTTGATACTCTTGGCCGGCTTTGCAATCTTCTCACCCGATCAGTATCCGTTCAAAAGCAAGCGCATGTCGCTCAAAATGTCTACACCCTTTTCTCTGCAGGGGATTTTGTGCCAGTACCTTTCTCCCAAGGAACGACTGTGGATCAGGAACGCACAATTATCATTTCAACATACCTACTAGCAGCTCTTTCAAAAGACTGCGGTAACCTCATTCCCCATGCAACCTCGGACACATCAGGTCTGCTAGCAGATCTCGTCAAGCGATCTGTATCAGATAGCGCAGAACCTGCGACTCATCTCGCTTTACTGCGACACTTGGCGTTATTGGTTAACAAATTCCTCTCTAAGGAAGATCTGAATATTGCTGAGAAGCTGTTCGACTCTTTGGTCAATTCCGAAGAACAGCCTTTCACCCCCGCCAAAATTCGCACCATCTTTTGGCTTGCAAAGGCTCTTGTACTTCGCATTGCCCCAACCACTACTCACATCCTGACCTCTTTGCTGGGTCTTCTTTCTTCTCCAGACTCGAAGACCAGCAGCCCAACTGCTCGTGGATTTGCCATTCTACTAGGAGACGATGATGTTCTCTCGGCAATAAATGGAGCTACTATCCGTTTACTCTCCAAGCAACGGGTCTTTACTACCGTGATTCCTTTGATCTCCTCGCGAATTCGTGAAGTGAACATCGCTGGTAATGACCAAACCACTCCAGTCGAGTCATCCGATCACATTAAACCAGCTCACCTTACGGCTCTATCTGGTATTCTCTCCACAATCTCCACAACCCTGGTTCTGCCCGAACTACCCACACTACTTCCCCTTCTCCTCCAATCTCTCGACCTTCAAACCTCCGACTCCGTGGCCGTTCGAGCCGCAACTCTCGATACGCTTGCAGTCATTATTCGTGACAACGGTGTGGCTGTGATAGATAAGTGTGGACACGTCCACAGTCTCGTGCAGCGACTCCTCAAAACAACTGAATCTAGACCTGGCACAGGGGTAGTGAACCCTCCTCGTCTTCGTGTCGATTCCCTCAAGTGTATCTACCTACTTGCCACAAAGCAGGCTCCTGTGGAGTCCGCTCCTAACGCGCGTATTCCACCGTCTATCTCTCCGCTCCTTCCGGAGAAGGCTGACGTCTTGCGTTCTTTGCGCGCTGTGTTGGATGATCCAAAGCGTGATGTCCGAAAGGCAGCTGTTGATGCTCGCAGTGCTTGGCTTCGGGGCGTTGATGATGCACCTGAGGAGGATGACTGAGGGGTACATTGCGCTTGACATCATTTAAAAGCCTTCCCGTCGTGAGATACTGCATATCCAAACTGCATTCACAATACATTAGAATACAATTTTTCAACTTGAAAGTTCATTTGAAAACTGAATTTTGAGTGTGCATTGAGCTCGACCTTGAAACGCTGCCTAGATTGTCCTATATGTAAAGCGTGAATTCGCAAAAACTAGCTAATGAAGTTTGCACCCCGAACTTGAAGACTCAAAATCTCAATGCAAAATGTATCAAAAAACAACTGATATGCAAAAACCGCGCCAAAGGACTCATCATTCTATTGCTCGAAAACCTGTAATGCCAATCAAAAACAACCGAAATGCTGGACCATGCTTTTCTTTCTCTCCTTTTACTTAGCACCTACCATTCTCTCTTCCGTCCGAAGTTCCTTGCCACCTTGGGCGCAGCAGGCAGTGGGTTTACCGAAGCAGTCCCCTCACTCCGCTTATCACCAGCATTGGGAGCCTTGTCTGCGTTTGAGGAATTAGCCATCGCCACCCCTGGACCACTATTGTTCCCACCAACGACGTCAATATGACTGACGACCGTCTCGGCCAGTCGAACAAGACTGCTGATCCCAGCTGAGCCGACAGACGCAGCAACGTCACTGGGACGAGCATTTGGGTCCAAGTCAGTCTTGTCAGAAGTCGAAGCCAAAGGTTTTGGCAGATTTTTGGTATCATCACCAAATAGATCTGCTGGAGTCCATTCTTTAGTCTGTTCACCCGGCTCAATATGCGTGTTCGTTCTGAGAACTGTATCCAAGATCGGAGATGTGAGAGATGCGCTCCACCATTGCTTGTTTGCTTTCGCCATTTCTTTCAGTGGACCACAATGCGCTCGAATGACTTCGCTGTTGGTGTCATGTACTGATATGATGAGATCTTGGGTCTCGGTGATATGAAGGTAGATATCCTCTTCAGCGCCTTCGCCATCCCTAGATTGGAGATGTCGGTGTTCTGTGGATCGTTTCATGAGAATTTTGTTGATTTTGAGGGCTGGATGCGTGCGAGTTGAAAGACGTAAGTGGGTTCGATCGGGCACAACAGATAGACTTTGCACGAGTTTTAGAACTGCTTGTGTAGTCTCTTCACTAAGACTTTGGACTTCATTCACCTGACTCCGCAAAGTGAGTGCGGCGTCCCATATGTGGCTGGGAAAGCTGAGGTGGACGGTCCCAAGGACGGTATCAGGTCGAGTCAACTTGTGCGTTCCATGCTCGGACACTATGATAATGAATTTCGATAATTCAGATTCGCAATGAAACTCGTAGTTGACTCTGGAGTAGAATGACTCCTGTTCAAAGAGACGAGAGCCAGTGACTTCAAGATTGATGATATGATCAATATCAGCAGGTGAAGTTGTTAGTCGATTGAAAAAACTCAGTTCTGGAGCTCCGAGTCCGTCTCTGTCGCAGTAAAATTCTTTCAATCCTCGAAGGCTCATCTTTTGAGAGTTCAAGCTTCTTGGTCCACTGGGGAGCAGAGCTAGTCCAAACTGAACTTCCAGCTTCAAGATGTCAGGGCAATAGGTAGCCGGTTCAAGAAACCGTTTGCAGAGACTGAAGAGGGATTTGGTCTGTTCAATACGCAGCCTCTTCTGACGTTCCTTCTCCAGTGCAATTTTAGTTTCAAATTTCATGGCATGGCTCGTTGAGTCTGAGTCTGAGGGTGAGACCCCTTCGGAGTCCTCTGTAGGCATGGAGCTTGAATCGCGGTTCAAAGTTTCTGAAGAATCAGCTTGAGCAACAACCATCGGTTGTTTGGCCATGTATGTCAGAAATGCAATCGCACTCTTCCTTTTCTGGCCACCGACAGGAGCCTGCTGATTCATCACAGAATGAAGCTCTATTTCCTCTTGATCGGCAAGTCGAGATTCAGGTCCCTTGTCTTCACCGATATCTTCGGTATGTGCCTGAGAGGCGACCCAATGCTGAGGTGGAGGAAGCGTGCTATGAACTTGAGAGGGAGATGGATGAAAGTTGTACTGATACTCCAGTGGAACGAATGAGTCGTTTGGACTGTCTCCATTGGCTTCCATAGAGTAATTTGGCATATAATGGCGGGTATGATATCTAGAAGTTTCATTCAAGACCGGGGAGTCGGTTCTTGATTCAGGAATGAACTCCTTGGAGCATAAATTCTCAAGCCAGTCTCGTCGTAACAGCATCGTTTTCTGCGGACTTTCAGGAAGACTAGGCGAAGCAGAGGGGCTAGGTGGGTTGGGGGAACTGCTTAGGCGGCTCAGAGCAGATGGGCGGATATTTCGAGTCTCAGTTTCCTCTTTTACATCTGAGAGAGCATGATAGATCCAAGATCGACCCTCGGGTTCACCTTGAGGAAGCGGTGGGGTATCTAAATTTAAGAGGAGAGTTTCCTTCGAGGGCTCAGCTTCTTGCTTAGATATGAGGGGCGCAGGGGTTTGATTCCTAGGCTCTCTATGCTCAAGGGGAAATTTTGGACTAAGGTATCCGGGCAATCGTGGAGATGATGGGTTATTTACCGAGTCTGCAAGAGAGACTACCTGTGGCTTGGCAGGACAAACAGGAAGCTGTATATCTTCCTTCTCACGTTCCCATTCCAAACCACTGAGCTCATTTAAACTCGACCCAACGTTGATTGAGGCTGTGAAGCTTGATTGAACCTTACCATCATCACCCGCAGATTTTGTTGAATACTCATCAAGCTGTTTCGCAGCTTGTGGTGTCTGTTGCGACGGTGCCTTTTCTTGAGAAGAGAAAGGAGCGATATCCAAGAGAATGCCAGACGTCGGGCCCGATTTGATAGAGTTCTTCACGCCATAATCGACTTCTGACTGTTCAAGAGACTTGATGGCGGGTAGGGTAGTAAGTGTCGGGGCAGATGTTGTCTCTGGCTCAATAACAGCAGACCTGGACACGGCAGTTTGTTCCAAAATCCTTCTCCTTCTAGTCCGGAAATTTGGACCTATTTTCTCCTCTGGAGCCACTCGAGAATCTGATTTCAGGACAATTTCACTGCCGACTGCAGGAGATCTATTCTCAGGTTCGAAAAGCGAAGCATCAGTCCCTGGTGAAACCCATTTATCACCTCCTGTGGCTTTGTGGGAGGGCAAGACTGGGTGTTTCGAAGGAGTCTCTGAGCCGGGCGGTCGAGGGACAGTAAAGTCCCGAGGAGAATATGTATCGATTTTTCCAAGCTCAGGAAACACAAAGCCCTTCCAAATCGCTGTGGTTTCCGACTCGTTATCTGCAGTGGCATGGAGACGGGGAGGGTTCTGGAAACGACTGAGCATGATCCATTCATTTTGATCTATGACAAAAGGGCAAGTGACTGGCGCTTTCATGGTAAGAATCCGTGAAAGTGGTGTCACTGCTGGGTCGAAGAGCAAGCGGCGAATGCAGAGAGGGTTGATAGTGACATATCCCATCATCTGGTAGATCGTTCCTTCAACCTCGGGAGTGAGTACCATGGTGGTAGAATAAGGCATTTCGGTCAAAGTCTGTAAACATCTGGGGTGAGCTATGGACTTGAGTAATTAAGCACGGAAACACTGCATACTCACCATGAATTGGTCAATGTTTGTCAGCTTTTCAACCGCTTTCTGAACTGCTGCTTGATAGAGCCCCTCAATGACAAGGAAGCCTTTCTCTGCCGCTTTATCATTGATGATTTCCGTTTCCGTGGACTGGGCAATGCGAGCAAGAAGACCAAAACGATCACGCTCAAAGTAGGCGCAGGGGGTACTCGAAGGACTCCATTTCTGAACAATCTTGCTAGAAGTATCCTCCGTGGAAGCTTCATCCCGAATGGCCAACTTGATATCATTGGGAGTGACAGACGTGATCTGACGGATGCGAGGAGCCTGTACTAGAATATTAACCGGGCGTTCGCAGAACTCAATCCCATTCATATGAATGTAACTTACATTGTCAAGGTCATCCGACTGGTGCTGCTCAATGTAGTCAGTGACTAGTTGTGCCAAAGCTGCCGCCAAAGCCTCTGTGATATTGCCTTCAGCCACGAGAACCTGAATGATCAACTTGAATTAGAAACAGTATACACAAGATGGGCAAGGAGAGGACTTGCATGCTGCTCAGGGAGGTACTGAACCAGAATGGAAGGATCGACTCCCCTATCATTCGTCAGTTGATACCCAAGTGTTACTAGAAGAATTTGTTAGAATACATACATCATTTTCCGCGTTAGCTCCTCCACCCCCAGCTTCTCGAGGCCCCATATTGAGGCAAACGTCAATGAGCGAGCCATAGGATGATCAGTTCGCATGAAGTTCAAGGCAGGAGTAAGATAGATGAAGAAAGAGAAGAAGAATTTAAATGAGAAATGGTAAGAAGGGAGATGAGAGGTTATAAGTAGTTGCGGTTAAGGATTCAGTTGCTTGGAAGGAGCAAATAGTCATTCCCACTGATTCTTTCCGATCACTTATTACCTTCAATATGGTTTTAGAAATGCTGGTTTTGAACAGGAATTGTATGATTCGCAACGCTGTTTGCTCTTTATTAACTGCATGGAACAGAGCACCATCCCACGTCTTGTAAGAATATTCCTATCATAGCGATCATCATATGTGAATGTCTAATGTAACAATGTCTAGCGCAAAACAAATCTGCCATGAATAGGGTATCGCGCTGCCCGAAAAAAAGAACGCCATACCGAGTGAAATGAAAGAAATTATGCAGAGAGAACCATATCGAGGGCAAAAAAAAAATCAATACGGCCAAGAGGTGTGAGAGCTTGAACTGATCAATCCCTGAAAGAGACCTCTGGAAGGTCGAAGAAGGTTGAAGGGTATATAGAGCAGCAGTATCATCGTCGTCCTTGTCGACAGTAGCTGCAGCAAGAGGCAATAGGCCAATGAAGGGGGCCCGTATATCAACAGTGACCTCTAGGTAGATCTTTGGATAGATCTGTAGATAGATGCTTGGTGGCTTATATGGTTAGAGAGAAACACACAAACAAGTTGACCTCAGTTCTGAACTTGGTTATTATTCAGCTGAATAGCCCACTTCATCTTGGCTTCGGTCTCCTTGACAGATGCAAGGGCAGCCTCAAGTTGCTTATCCTTGTCTTGAGCGCGCTCGATCAGCTTCCTTAACCCATCATCCTTGACCTTCTTGTATTCTTCATGGCAAGCCAACAGCTTCTCATGCTTTTCCTTCAACCCGTCCAGTTCCCGATCTTTCTCCTCAGTAATAGCATCAAGCCGATCAGCACAATCGCCCTGGGTCTTCTGTGTCTCAGCCATGGTCTGCACCTTCGACTCCAAAGTTTTCACTCGGCGCTCCAAATCGGACTTGACGCGCTTTGTTGAGGATGATAGAACCTCATATTGTGTCTCATAGTGTTTTGTGATCTCATGCGAACGCGCCTGCTCTCGATGGTGGTTTTCGCGTTCCTCGCGCATCGTCTCATTTGTCTTATTGGCATCCTCTTCGGCATCGGCTCGTTTGCTTCGCTCGCCTGCGAGTTCTGTGCGGAGCTCTTCGATCTTCCGGTCTTTGCGCGCGATCGAGTTCAGATTGGTCTCGTTGACTTGCTCCAGATTTCGAAGGCGCTCGTGCATATTCTGGTTCTGGATTTTCAGGGCTTCATTGGACCGTTGAGTTTCTTCTGCTCGGGATCGATAGAGGACGCATTCTCGGGTGAGACGCGCGATCTCTTCTTGGAGGTTATGGATAACACGACCCGATTTTCCTGTGGCCGCGTGACCGACAGCAGACCATTCGGAGGGGATTTCGCCGGGATTAAGATTGGGACTTGTAGATAGGAGTGAGGGTTGAGATGGGGATGCGGTGGGATCTGCCATGGTTGAAGGTGAGTTAATGGTTGGGACTTGATTTTCATATTGATTTTCGTTTTTCGTTTTTTTCTCTTGCTCTTTTGTCCGATAACTGGACCCAGAGAATCTTAGGACGAGAGGAGGGAATTCCAAGTTGGGACAACACATACCTATCAGATGATTACTTGTCCCATTTTCTGTCACATACTTATTTGTATGGATCTCATCCCCATCTGTCTCATTGTCGAAAAGGCTTGTGAATTGGTGCATGTTCAGCTGTGTATCCACTGGTGGGAGATTGACCTGCGGTGCCTCTGTTGTGAGAGAGGAGGAGGAGTCAGCACGAATGAGGTCGAGCTTGCGAGGAGAATGAAAAGCATCTAGACGCCTCATAACACGCCCCAGATGAGCCATTCTAAATGACGTCTGCGGGTGAAGATTGGGGCCAGAAGAATGACGAGAGGAAGTTCAGTGCAGCCTGCATGGCAAGCCTAATCTTATGCACAATGCGAGGGGTAGAGAAAAAGCAATTGAGTAGCAGGGAATGGCTCCGATGTTGATGTTCCGTGAGGTTCCGCACGTACCAGTGTGGTCAAATCGCAGTTGGGCAAGATGAGGCGTGTTTTTACGGCGTCTGAGCATCGCCGAGATGTGTTTCTATAATTACCGGGACATTCTAATGTGGGTCAGGATGTGGAGAACAATTCCCAGGATTCAAAGCGGATGGGAATTTGCAGATTGAATTCAAAAGCATGCGAATGGACTTTGTTCCCTTTTGTTTTTTTGTGAAAGGGGAGATTTGAAAGAGAAGCACTAGAAGGTGCAAGGAAGAAAAGGACCCAATGGTGAAGTTCCGTGCCTGGCGCCACTGCACCTAGCCTGACACTAGGGGATTATTGACTAACACATTGATCATGCTATACAAGTGTTTAAGTTCAATGTTTCAAATTTGAAAGATAAAAATGCGATTAAAATGCCCGTGATAACCAATTGCTTTCATCTATACTGAAACAGGGCTGGGAATATTACAACCATTACACAGACTACAGACAACAACTGCAGAATTGAAGACAAGACAGAACTGAAATCCATTACTAGTACTTCCACAACGACTAAATCCACCTATCAAGAATAATCAAGGGGTATGGAGAGGTATATACATCAAGGAGCTCCTAGTCCACATATGGAGAGCTAAAACATTTGAAGCGAGTGATTTTGCATCTCCCAAGCGCCAGCCAGAAATCAAATAACCCAAAAGAGACAAATGTGTGCATCTAAAAGCCCATGTAGAAGAACATAGCGATGGCACAAGTGGCCAGAATGACAGAGTACTGAGACACAGATGCAATACCAGTTTGGACATCTGCAGAGTCAGATGATTTCTTATCATCCATTCCAGACTCACTGGTTCCAAAGGGGGCCTCCGCTGTGATAGAGCTGCTCGCTTGAGTGGATGCGGGGCTGCTGGAAGTGCCAGTGGCAGAGGATGAGCTGATCAAAGGCTTGCTGCTGGTGCCGGTCTCAGTAGCTTGGCTAGTTGTACCAGCAGCACCAGTTGGGGCCGAAGTGGCGGTGCCAGTCTGAGACGTGCCGGGTGCTGGAGGGTTGGCAGGGGGACCAGCCTTAAGCAGAGCAGAGTAGTTTTCTTGTCCACCTTGGGACACCTCAAAAGCATAGGGTTCACCTTCCTTGATGTTCTCACCAGGAGTCCAAGTGAAAGTGCCATCTTTGGCTTGATCAGTAATGACTTCGACATCGTTGAGATCTCCAGAGGCACCCTTTCGCAGGGTCAATTTGACGGGCTGAAACAAAATTAGAACATTGTCCGAAACATGGTGTTTACTTTGAAAGGAATCTATTATCTACTGGCATCTTACCTGGTCAGTCACAGCACCTGTCCATGTTAGAGTCAGTGGCTTGCCGGCAGCAATATCCGAGGGCCAGCTGGTGAAGGAGAGAGGGTCGGCGGCGAGACCTAAAGACAATAGCGAAGCTGCTACGGCGAGAACACTTGTGAAATGCATGACTGTAAGATTATAATGGGCGATGCCGATTCGGAATTGAATAGTATGGAATATTAACGAAAGTATTGTCGTATTAAAGTCGTATATCGATGTCGACGAAGAGGATCGGGAGTAGCTTTCATGCACAGGATACCGGTGGCGCTCCACGGTTTTTTAACTTGCGGCAACAGATACCAGCCCCCACATAATGGGCTTGAAGTCTGGTTTGTTGTCATTCAACTGTTGACACTCTGGGCGCGCTGTGGGAGAATGTCACATTCCTGGGCTTTGGAGCCATCATCTCGATTTTGCGGGTAAAGTATGCTCTCTTGAGTCTCATTGGGCGAAGAAGTCCTCTGCAGCCAATGAATGGCATTCTCCACTGGATATTTCTGATGTTCAGAAATCCAGGCTTTTTAAAACTTTGAATTGGCGCATCATAAGGCCATATCGAGTGAGTAGCACCTACTAGTAGGGCAGATCACCGAAGACAGCCTTAAATCACGGTAATGATAGTAATTAGACTGCTTTCCCTTCATTTGGCCAACCCCAAAAAAGCTTTCATGACTCGCGAGGCCATTTGATCTCAAGTAAACAATGCATGGACGTGAGAATGGCGGCGGGACCACCAAAGAATGTTATCCCTTCCCGAAGTGCTCATCCACAGCCAACCTTGCAAGGCATATGGAGTAGAGTTCTGAATGGCCGATTCTCGTAATTCATACTGTCGAGCAAAGCATTCGAGCATTTCTCTCTGAGACCTTGAACTTGAATCTCATACCAAGGGGCATCACGATTTTGATGTAGAGGAGATCTAACGCAGATCGACCTGCCAAGCTGCTCTAGAGGTGGCGTGGTTGTCGATCATATAATTCGATCACAGCATGCACTCCCAAGGCTGGACAAGTTGTTCATCTCATAATGGCTACCAGGGGGGTTTCGATCAATTCTTGCTAGTCTCAAGTGCTCCAGGGCTAGGTTCTAAAACTTGATTTGGTTACTGGTCGCGTGACCATGATGGATCTCTGATTCTGGGACAAATCTTTTTTGTTTTCTAGACTTAAATCTAGGACATTATGTTCACATTTTACCCTCCCAACGCCAGCTCATGATAGTATGCTAATGGAGAAAACGAGGTGTTCTATTTATGAAAAGTCCCACAGACCACGCATAAAAGAAGCAGGACCAGAGTCCACACCGCCATCCTCCTCTAACAAACGGTCTGTGAAGATACGCTTGGGAATCTGGTATTCCACAACGGGGACCTTCCTCAATGGCTTCTCTCCAGAACCAAGTTCTGCTTCGACCATACCCTGGTATGTGTGGTCCAGGAAGTCCTCCAAATTATAGTGCTGTTTTGTGAACTGCTCTGAGATGATGCGAGCAATAGAGGCAACATTGGGGTGGAAGTGAGACTGGAGAGCCACAATTTCCCAGAGACAGCTTTCGATAGCACCGGTGCGAGTAGGATCCTCCTCGAGGGGATCGAACGGGTCATCCATACCCTCCGCTTCAATCTCAGCTGCAAGTTCCTTGTCACGGATCTCACGGTGCATCATGAATGAGCAGGTGGGGTGGTTCTTGAAGATGTTGTACATGAATGGAACAATAACCACAATGGCAGAAGGAGGCGCATTGAGCGCGAGGCGGGCGAGTCTCTTGATGAAGCTGGCCATTAAAGCAGCTGGAAGATGGGTCGAGGCGAGGAAGGTATTCAAAAGTCGGAAGAATCGAGAACGGTGCTTGGAGTGCAGTAAGTCCGCATCCAGAAGCGAGTAGAGCTTGGTGTAGAATTGGGGGTAGTCCAAATTCTTCTCTTGGATGAGGTAGAAAAGACCAGAGAGAGCAAGCAGCGAAGTAGCACCACCGACGTTGTAACAGTCTGTCAAGAAGTCCATGAGAAGCTCTGGGCGGCTGAACCAGGGCTCAATGTGGTGCACCATGATGCGCAGCAGGGACTTGCGTTGCGCCTGCGATAGGTTATTCCGCAAGATGGCCAACCAAGCCTCTTGTGCGCGCTTCTTGTGGGAATTCACCGAAGTGAGTCGCTTATTCTGGCTTCCAGGAGTCGCAAAGAAGTTCTTGAACTTGTGGTCGTCGCCGGGCACATCGTCACAGGCCGTAAGTATGGAGATCAGGGAATCGAGAACGTCGGAGCGTCGGCGAATAGCAGCGTATTCACTATAATAATTGTCAGAAAATGAAAAGAGATAAAACGACAGTTCTTGAAGGGGATTTTGACATACGCTATTTGCCCAAAAGCATGGTATCTCACGTCCTCAAATTCCTTCATGAACTTGTTGACCAACTCCGACTGCAAATCTTGATTGTCTCGTGCCTCAATCACAGCCTCCACGATAGCCTTGAAGTTTGTAGACCACACCGCATTCTCCGCTCCAGGAATATGTGTAATACGTTCTTTGATAATGCGCATGCTCAGCGTCAGAGCAGTAATCTGCAACACTTTACATTAGTTTAGGCTTCAATCCACTATGATCAAGAATCTCATACCTGAGAGGTAGTATCAGCCTCACGAATAATTGACAGCAGCGCCCGCTGGTATTCGAGACACCGCTCCTTCAACCATGCTGTAACAATCTTCTCATTCTCGGCGGCTCTGCTCGACTCGGCAAAATTTCCAGCAGCCATCAATCTGCTGAATACTCGGCACAGAGAGACTGCGACCGCAAGTTCGGGGTTCTTGGCAGATTTCTGAACATTGAGCATCGAAATCAGGGTTGCAATATTGTTGTAGTTCTTGCGCGACTCGGCGATCTCATTTTCGAGCTTCTCAATTGTAGATAGGGTCTCTGCGAAATCATCCTCTGCAACCGCACGGCGCTTGGAGGGCGCACCGGCAGTCTTGTTGCTCTTACGCTTCTTAGAAGCTTCCACAGGTGCTGCCATAATGAAATTTCTCCACAGTATTAACCTTGAAATTCCCTTCTTTCTCACCCTGGCGTGATCTCGGCAGCAAAAAAAAAGTTGTATGGAAGTTCGGAATCGGGTTTTTCCGCGCACACGGTACTAGATCCCGAAACGGTTAGCGTGTGCAAGCCCGTCCTACCCGTCCCGACCTCAAGTCTCCTCTCCGTTCACCCACCCTGTTCAGGATCTTTAAATCATCTGCAACAATGGCTTCGCGTCTCGCTAAGAGCGCCATTGGTATGTTTCACTTAAATCACGACCGTACGATTCGATTGCAACTGGTATTGACAAGGTTCCTCTAGGCGCCGCCCGGCTGCGGCCGACCGTTTCCATCCGCGCTCCTGTCGTCCCTGCCATGACCTCGTTCCGCGCGGCTTCCAACGTTACCGCCGAGGACCCCGCGAAGAAGGCTCAGTCTATCCTGGACTCTGTCCCTGGTAACTCCCTCGTCTCCAAGACCGCCGTTCTCTCTGCCGCCGCCGGTCTGTCCATCGCCGCTATCAGCAACGAGCTGTACGTGATGAACGAGGAGACCGTTGCTGCTTTCTGTTTGCTTTCCGTCTTCACTGCCGTTGCCAAGTACGGTGGTCCCGCTTACCGTGGATGGGCTGAGGGTCAGGTTCAGAAGCACAAGGATATCCTGAACGCTGCCCGTGCCGACCACACCAGCGCTGTCCAGACCCGCATCGACAACGTCCAGCAGATGTCCGGTGTCGTTGAGGTCACCAAGGCTCTCTTCGCCGTTTCCAAGGTGGGTTTACAGATTGCATGAACCATAATGCAATGAGAACTATCCAGGGAATTTTTTTGAGATAGATGTCTAACTTTTTGAGTAGGAGACTGTCCAGGTTGAGGCTCAGGCTTACGAGCTCGAGCAGCGTACCGCTCTCGCCGCCGAGGCCAAGCAGGTCCTTGACTCTTGGGTTCGTTACGAGGGCCAGGTTAAGCAGCGCCAGCAGCGTGAGCTCGCCGAGTCCGTCATCGCCAAGATCCAGAAGGAGCTTGAGAACCCCAAGGTTCTGCAGCAGATCCTTCAGCAGAGCGTTGCCGACGTCGAGCGTGAGTGATCCTTTCTATTTGTTCATAATTGTGCCATTTGCTAATAACCTCTTAGGTATCATGGCTACCAAGGCCTAAATGGATGACGGTGGCTCCGCCGGCAGTTGCCATTGTGTACAAAACTATAAGGGCTATTTGCATCTGCTGAGTTAGAATTACAACTCTATTTTCTCTGTCCAATCTGTATCATTTGAGCAAGCAATTTTTCTAAGTATCGATAGTTCATACTGGAGTAGGTAGTTATCAGTATGTTAGAGCGTAGTCATTATTCAAACTTGAATTTTGTAGACTCGGAATTGATGTCCGATTATCGGCCGACTCTGGGATGGCCATACATGGGTTGTATCTTCTGTGTAGTGCTTGTCGATAAATAAATGATTTCAATAATTTCCTTGACTCATTATTGACTCACTCCTCAAATTTCGAGAATGATAGGGCTGTGTAAGGCTATGTAAGGCTATGTTGACATCAGACCCCCCGCTAAGCCCTGGAGATGCAGGGACTGCAGAAACCCCAAGGGTTCACGTGGAGCTTCTGTCAGATCTATATTCTCGTTTTGGCTTATATTCTTTCAAGTTTTGATCTCCGACTCTGTTCCAGTATCATCTAATATTATTACTTTGAAACTCAACTTATTAATCTATCACATATTAGTATATAATTGGCCATGATAGGATTAGTTCATCCCAACCTCGTGTATATATTGTTCAATCAGATTAGCCGCCCACTCAATCCATGGAACGTTTCGGGGCCATTTTATCTGCAACACAGCCACCAGGGCACTCCAGGGCTTGTTTCTATTCTTATGGGCTGAACCCTTTCTCATCAGCGCAATATTCCAATACTATTTCTATCCCTCACTTTCATTCATTCTCATCTATTACTTCAAGTTGCTACTGCTATCAAAGAATATCAGTGGAACCCAGCCTCCCCGCAACCTCCGCATACCAGTCGCATAGTGCAGATCACCTCAGCAGGACACAACACAATGCCATCTCTTCGAAATATTCTTCACAAGCGCGAGGATCTAGCCAGCAGTTCCTCACAACAACCACCAGAGACATCCTCTTTCAAAGCTCCCACTCCAACATCCCCGCCAACACCCGAGTTCACCTTCCTGCGCTCAGATACTTTCGGACAAGAAGTGATCACACCTCCAACCCACAAAGATGACCCTCCTCAGTTTCAACCATATTCTCCAGATCCAGCAGAATCCCTAGATTCCCCGAGGACAAGCACAAATTCTTCGCGACGCAGCTTTCAACTCTTCACCCGAAACCGCTCTTCTCGCTCAGAATCTCTCTCTACTCCCTCTCCACCTCGTCCCCAACGTGAGCGTCGCCTCTCAAACCTCCTGCACCGTGACCGAGACGGGAAGCGCAGTCGCAGTGACTCCCGCGACTCTTCAGTGAATATCCCACAGGATTTACCACAGATCGAGGATGAGGAGGGCGGTGATATACAAGAGAGGGAGGCGCAGTGGGAGAAGAGAGCTACCGTGCTGGTACAGCGTAACCCACAGTTTGGATTGGGACTAGGGTCACCGCTGGCATCGGAGTTTGATGTTTCTGGTATTCGTTCTGGTCAACAGAGTCGAGCACACTCGAGGAGCTCAAGTCAGAGTCATGTTGCGGACGCACAAGATGATGTGAGTGATGGAATGTATTCGGCACAGGCTGTGATTGCTAACTTAGTTTCTTCCTATAGATCAATATCCAGGAAGCCATTAGACTACATGAGTGCGGCGGTGAGTTAATATGGGCTCTATGGATAATTAACCATAAACTAATCTGATTTGTATAGATCTAGAAAGATCGACCGAGATGTTTGGCCAGCTGGCGAATCCAAATGGCGCCAATAACCCATTAAGTCAAGTCCTATATGGTCTGGCCCTTCGGTAAAAATGATCCATATATGCAATATCTGTTTCACTCGGTCTAACATTTCTATCACAGGCATGGTTGGGGTTGTACCAAAGATGAGGCGCAAGCTGTAGTGTATCTTTCAGCCGCGGCATCTAATTCAGCCGCAGTTGAATCTGAGGCTCTACAAGCGGGAATCAAGAAAGGCGGCGCAGCGAAGGGAGAGCTTGTTCTCGCAATTTTCGAGCTGGCAAATTGCTTTCGTAATGGTTGGGGTGTGCAGAAGGACCCTGCCGCTGCGAGGCAATACTATGAGACAGCAGCGAATCTGGGTGACACCGATGCGATGAATGAAGTTGCTTGGTGTTACTTGGAAGGATTTGGTGGAAAAAAGGATAAGGTAGGGCGTCAAACGGAGTTGTCGTTTGAATTTGTGCTAACATGTGGGGGTTTAGTTCAAGGCGGCTAAGTATTATCGACTCGCTGAGGAGAAGGGTTGTCCTACAGTTGGAATGTCATGGTATGCATAGTGAACGACATATCGAAAGGTCTCATACTAACTAATCGATAGGATCTGGAAAAATAAGTACAATCCTCAATGAAGGGTTTCCAACTTGCGCGATGTATTATGATGATCTACATGCCTGATGAATGCCTTGACACGTCTCCTTGCATAATCACTATGTAATAATTTTCTTTGAACCTATTGACCTATTACAAATGAACCATGACGATATTGATGTTTTCAAATTTTCTACTCTGTATGGAGATCTGGATGTAGAATTACTACTAGTAGTTCCATCATGATGCAGTCATTCATACTACTACTTCATACTACATACTCACACCCTTGTAGTAGATTTCAAATGTCATAAAACCTCAGCCCTGGAGGCTGTCAGTGAGATATATCACATGCACATGTGCCAGTAGGCCCCTCAACATGCCCAGGTGCTCAGTCCTCCAAGTTCAAAGTTCAACTTGAACTTCCATTGAGGTTGAAGCTATCAATATAGTAGTATTTGCTACATATTCAAAAAATTGAATGTTATGTTTGATACTATTCTCGAGACGTTCACTGATAGTGGTACCAGCTGCCGGGGCCTCTTCAAGTTCAAATCCACATGTGGATTGGGAATGATCGCAATATCTGCGTCTAGGCGTTCCGCACATATGCAACATTTGAACTGGGCAAGCTGCATACCCAATGAGACTCGGAATGTCCGAGTCCATACTTGCGATGGATACCCTGGTGGCATCATGCCCAGATGGAAACTCCGAGTCTCAAAGTGGTATTGATGCCGGCCCTGGTGGCTGACTCAAAAGCCTCGGACCTAGTATCGTAACTTTCGATACCTTCTGCCTAGATCCCAGTCGTTCCAACCCTTGGAACCTCAAAAATACGCCAACATTACAAAATGAAATCAATAAAAAGTCGATCCATAGTCACCTTGGAAAAGACTTCATTGCAGCTAATGATAGGTCCTAGCTAGTAACAACTTGAATAGACCCATTTTCTCAATACTAAAAGCAAAACTTAACAAGGTAGTCAAGAGTAGGTCATGTCTCTCTTTGTGTGCAAATGTAGGTAGGTAACCTTGGAATAAATATCCCTATCAATCACTCATATGTAACAATATTGGTCTCACTGCCTGCGGACGATATATTAAAATCTTCAAGTTAAGCCATACTAACTCATTGAAGACTATATTATTCCAACTTGAACCTTGGAAGGTTACAAAAGACTACCCACTATGTATATATAACACTTATACTACTAGGCTGGTTCTATATATCAGGCTTTATAAACTTGAAAGGGGAAAAAATAACTATCAGATATCTCCGAGTCTCACTTTTACTTTGGATTCTCTTACTTTGACGATTCTCACTTCGGCCTTATATATCAATTCATTCAAGGTTTTCTGTGATGATAAAGCAACTGCTAGTGGCAGTGACTTGGAGCTAGGTGGCCAAAATTCATTTTATGTTGGAAAGTGGGATTTAGCTTCGTGGCCATCCATGATGGGGCCCCATAACCACCTCTTACAAAGGAACTCTTCTAATGGATTCTTTTACCGTAACCCTCACCTTGGAAGCGCTATTAGCTTAGACCTATGGTCTCCGTCACCATAAAAGTCTCTGAAGAATCTCGGGATGGTATATCTGGCCTCCGAGTCTTTGACACTTATAGTATTCTTCCTTATAAGCGAATATGCATCATGGCTATATCGAGTCCCAATATGCATATCAGAAGCAAGTAAGAATTATAAAATAATTATGTACGTATGGTTATAAATGGACTTCTGAGGGCAGTCCGGTCCAAATGTCGGCCTGCACTCGGCTGACGGAGACGGGATGGTTATATTCACTGGGATTTTGTATACACCGACCGGGATCTTAATTGCTTCAATGCCAATGAAAACCAAGCGCTCTGTTAGAAACTCGGAGGAAGATTCTCTGTCAGGCTCGGCCATAATTAAAGATAAGTCCGGGGCGGGTCATAGCGCGGGGAAGTTTTGTGGAGATGCCAAGTTACCCATGTCCGGGGAAAGCCTAGTCAAGGAACATTCCCGAGGTTGAAGCTGAAGCAAATGGGTTAGAAAAGCTTATCGAAGTCTATTGTCGCAGGTCGATTCAGAAATTTCATAAAAAGTGAATCCTTGAGCTGCGTTAACAGAAATTGGAAAAGACTATGATTAAGATGAAAATCGTTGGCTTCATAATGTGAAGTGAGATACCGAACATTAGCCGTTTGTCCGACTAAAACCGTTCGGTTAATGCCTCAACCTACTAGTCTATTTTGGGCTGAGTACTCAATACCCACTGGTAACAACTTGAACCTGAAGAAAACTGCGAGCGAACCCGGTATTGTAAAATTCAGCCACCTTTTCAAGGTTGCCTCCAACCTTGGAAGGTTTCAACATAGAAATGTCCAAGCCTAGGTGGATGACTTTCAAGGTTTTCGCATATGTAGCTTTTCGTACAAATTTCCGTATATGCAAGGTTCTAGTTCGAATATTCAAAGTTCAGTCAGAATGCAGAATGGACTAGTAGCTGACAATTCTAACCTTGAATCATTGGATCTGCTATCTGCAATCATATGCACCCTCAATACTAGCCGCATATCAGCTAAGGAATACCAAATAACTCATGAAACATGTGGCACCTGAAATTTTCAACGTTGAATGTTCAAGTTGAAATTGTATAGAGAAATGATGAATCACATGATGATGTCTCCTTCATACATTGAAATTGTGGGGATGAGATAAATTCGAAGGCAAGAAGGACCGAGCTATATGGAGCACTCAAGTGCTAGCTGAAGAGACATGGAGCATTGACAGCAGATTCTCCACTTATGCCAGTGCACTGCTTCCAGTATAATGCATATCGATGAACCGTTGATGCAATACACTCGGTAATTGTCCAGTCTAAGCATTAAGCGAGTATTCCTTTGCAAAGTCGGCAATGATCATCCCCGCATTCCATCCCACACTTTATGGATGGATCCAGGGACCCATCACAATCAAAGACGAAAACTTTCTTCGGGAAATTTCCCCAACGTTTGAAAATGTTCAGTCGGGTTATTATTTTGTGGCGACTTCAAGAAAGACGCGTACCATTCCTAAAAAGTTGGATCTGCGGGGGGCACCGTATAGCTCTTCAACCACTGGCATGCAATTTAAGAAAAGTTATTTTATTCCGGTTTTTAGATTCAGTAAACTAGGGTCCAGAATATGTGACAGAAAAGCTGGACAATTCATATCAATCTGCCAAGAATACGGAGCAGATTGATGTTGATCACTTTTCGGACTTGTCTCCATGACTAGAATGAGCGATCTCCCGATATGGCCCCGACAATCACTCCGGCTCGGGCCATCTTGTTGGGAATAAGACGTAAGCGAAGCACCAAAAAATCCGAGAAAGCCGGAGACTCCATCTACCTTGTGGGGTATCCTCGCTAGAAAGAGAAAACTTGAACTGGATCAGGTGCTATATACAAATGAAAGGGTGGGTGAAAGTGGATGTCGAGGTTTGTATTTGCGGGGGAAATGACGTACAAAGGACCAGGGTGTAATTTATTCAACTACGCCATATCCCAGGCACGGGGTGTATGGAAGTGCTAAATCAGGTAGCTATCCCCTGTACCATAGGTAAATTCTCTGTAACTGCGGAGATTAGACTCCCTTGACCCGGGGTCCCCACATTATAGACAATAAATGTGGTGGGGACCGGTTGAACACTTAACCCCCCCAACCTCCAACTCACGCACAGTCCGGGGTGACCCCGGATTACATACAGATCAAAGGGGTAGCTTGCTGGGGTAACCAGAAGAAGAAAAAAGATATAAAAGGGTCCAGAATGTCCTCGTCCAGGTTCAATTGTTCAGCTACAAGCTCCATTGACTATCCCCCCTAGCTTCTTCGTCTTCGGAATTGGGTAAAATCAGCCATGCGTTCCTCTCTTCGAAACCCGGCGGCCGCTCTCGCACTCGCGACTGTGGCTTCAGCTACATCCCTTAGCAGCATTTGCACAGACGCCTATGCGAAGCAAGCTTTGCCTGTTGGTGCCATTGACGGTGTTACCATCGATGAGTCCTCGGTCTCAACCAGCTTGGTTACCAACTATACCGCGACCTCGATTTTCTTCCCCACGGACACTTTCAACTACTGCAACCTGACTTTTGCCTATTCCCACAATGGTATTGCGGATGATGTCGTTCATGTACAGTACTGGCTTCCTGAGCCATCTCAGTTCAAGAACAGATACGTCTCTACTGGTGGAGGTGGTTGGGCTATCAACTCTGGAAGCTCCTCGATTCCCACTGGTATTATTGCAGGAGGGTAAAATTTTCCCTTCCAATTTGGTCTAGAGTTTGACTTATGCTAATTTATCACTTTAGTGTTGGTGGTCTGACCGATGGAGGATTTGGAACCTTCGATACCCAATTCAGCTCTGCTGCCCTCCTGGCCAATGGAACTATTAACTGGCAGGCGACTTACATGTGGGGTAAGCACCAGAAAACTTTTGAACTCCATTCTTGGACATGATTCTAACGCAAAATAGGCTACCAGGCACACAACGAGCTCGCCATTCTCGGCAAGGAGCTGACACGAAACCTCTACGGTGTTGCCGACAGCCAGAAGATCTACTCCTACTACCAGGGATGCTCCGAGGGAGGTCGTGAGGGCTGGAGCCAGGTCCAGCGATTCCCTGAGCAATTCGATGGTGTTGTTGCTGGAGCTCCTGCCTTCCGATGGGCTCAGCAACAGACCAACCACCTGTCTGGTAATGTCATGCAGCAGACACTCAACCACTACCCATCCAACTGTGAGCTCGAGAAGGTCATGAACCTTACCATTGCCAGCTGTGATCCCCTGGACGGCAAGACTGATGGTGTTGTTGCTCGCTCTGATCTCTGCCTGAAGAACCTCGACTGGGACAAGATCGAGGGCACCGCCTTCTCCTGTGCTGCCAGCTCTGGTTACGGTTCTACTACCCCCGCCGTCTCTGGAAAGATCTCTGCCAAGACTGTTGAGCTTGTCAAGACTTACTGGAAGGGTCTGCATGACTCTGACGGAAACTTGGTCTACTTCAGCTACCAGCCCGGCGCTACCTTCACTGATCTGGAAACCGAGTACGACTCTACCACCGGTGAATACGAGTTGGACATCAGCGGTCTTGGTGGTATATGGATTGCTCAGTTCATCGACTACATCAAGGATGCCGAGAACATCGATAGTCTTGCCAACGTCACCTACGACACCCTGCGTGAATGGATGATCTTCTCCCAGGCCAAGTACGGCGACATTCTCCAGACCACCTACCCCGACCTCAGTGAATTCCAAGCTGCGGGTGGTAAGGTTCTGCACGTTCACGGTGAACAGGACTTCTCCATCCCCACCGCTTCCTCTATCCGCTACTGGGACTCTGTCCGTCAGATCATGTTCCCTGAGAAGTCTTACCGCGAGGGTGCCAGTGCCGTTGATGACTTCTACCGTCTGTTCCTGATTCCCGGTGTGGGTCACTGCGCTACCAACGACTATGAGCCCAATGCGCCCTGGCCTCAGTTTACTCTGCAGACTGTCATTGATTGGGTTGAGAATGGCACTGCCCCTGCTACTCTGGATGGATCATCTGAGATTGACGCGACTATGTGCCGCTGGCCATTCCGTCCTCTTTGGACCGACAATGCGAAGAAGTTCCAGTGTGTCTATGATCAGGACTCGGTGGACAGCTTCACCTATGATCTTAATGCTTACTCTATGCCTGTATACTAAATGTGAGATTGGAAGAGTATTTAGTCTGATAATTGCAATTATAAATTTTGGAGTTTACTACAAATACTGACGTCTGCCACTCATCCTCTCAACTTTGGAACTTGAATTTGAATGGATTATTCAAACATTTAAAGGTTGATATGTAGTATGAATTTTACGTGTACCGAAAGTAAATCTGCAACTGCCTATGTAGAAATTCCCCGCTAACATTGAAACAAAAAGATCAACCAATACACCATATCTGATCACTAGATGTACATTGACCTTTAATGGTTGGCCTATCATCACGGAGAAAAGAGTACTCATCCTCAATTCCATAACTCTTCAGATCGAGTCGCCCTACCTGAACAGCGGCTATGAAGAGACTTTCAATGCATTGGTCGCTCACTATGCCCGTTCCAGAATACGGACGTTGTATAGCAACCAGCAGTGCAGACGCTATTGGTATATTTCGCTCTTGGAAGGAGGATATTGGGTGCTGGAAAATCACTGCCAAGGTGTCAAGACCGTCTTGCGGATAGTCATCTAGAAAATTGTATGATGGAGGGACATCTTTGAAAGACATGTGGAACAATACACCCTCTTCGTCAACTCCAATGTCGAGAGTGAAAGTGGATTCAATCATATTGACCTTGCCGAGACTTAAGTATGGGAGATCCTGAAGAATAATCCCTGGATATCGCCCAAAGGTGCAGAGGGCGTTGAATGTCCAGTTGATTGTTAGGTGGCGAGAATTACCAATCAGTGACTCGGGAGCCCAGCGGAAACGGGAACCTTAAGTCTTGGTCCACTATAGAACAGAATTTCTGAAGTAAATTTCCCTTGAAGAGCCAGCATGATCTTGTATTGATTTTGTTCATCCTCAGATTTGAGTATCTGCATGATATTCAATCCCAGAAGGGCAGACACAGATCACTTGGTCTTTAGGTTTGCTCGTTGTTCGCCAACAGATGCCGGTCCAACAGTATACAAGATGATCAATCTTATCGTCGTCATCACCAGTCTCTGACATCTGACTCCTTTTGTGGAACCCGGGATACATCATTGGAGTTTCTCGGTGTTTGAGAAAAATTTCCAGGAAATCCTTATCTTCTGCAAACTTCAGAAGTGCTTCAAATGGTGCGAAGATCTCATCCTTGAATTGAACGTAGAAGATATTCAGGCAAGCCTCTGAGAAGGTCCACATCCGGAAGTTCCAGGTCGAAATCAGAACGCGGGTGAAGTATTCGATTTCTCGGGCTTGCTCTGAATTTGAAGATGGAATCGGAGTCATCATAAGCTCAGCATCGAGTACACGAGTGAATCTGGCGTTGAGATAGGCTTCTCGCATCCGGGATATTGACTGCTTTCGGGACCGTTCCCATGGTCTCTTCTCTTCATCGGGCAGGTTTGCTGGAGGCACTGGGACACAAAGGGTGTCTAACCAGAAGTAAATGCGTCTATAGTTTTCCGGTGAATATGAGTAGAACTTTGAACACTGACCAAGTAGATTAGCTAAGTGGCAGAAAATAATAGCATTATCATGTGGATTTCCAAGACCATCAGACCATACATGTGAGATGGCTATATACTTTATTTCCGGTTGAGACTCAACAACGTCTGCTTCGTATCCATCCCTGAAAGAAGATGAGGGATGGAGACCACGGGGATACCACCATTTTCCAGAATCGCAATTGTTTGATTTTGCATTTTTTGAAACATGGTCTGGATGAATGTCTCCAATGCCTCATGCCCCCCAAAGTCGGGAGCAAACGTTTGACATATACAGAGCCCGTTGGATTGGAACACATGTTTTTGCTTGTAAGTTCTTTTATCCAGGTTGCTCTGGATACAGCGGCCCATAGAATAAACATTGTGACTTTTCGTGTGGCTTTGGAGAGGGGGGCCAAGCAGGTAAATATAGTACCGGGTCAGGACAGAAATACTCGTGGCCTGCAAAGGGCAGCGTCCTATGCTTACAAGCTCGTCTTCCAGTAGTAGACTAGAGCTTAATTGCGCGCCCGCGTGTCGATAGTGTATAGATTGATTAAAACTTCCCAATATTATTTGAATAGAAAGAACAAGACCAGAGGAGACAGTAGGGCTTCCAGGTAAATCGCAACTGTCATACGGTATTGAGCAACATCAAACTCCATACCAACGAAGCTGAAGAACACATCGATCGTGCCAAAAAATAGCCAACTTTGAAAGAAGTTCAAGAACTGCAGGGGAGCTGGTCTATGATATCGTGCATTATAGGCTCGTAGGGATGCAGGTAAGAAAGAGCCTGCCCAGATAGACTATCTGAAGGATAAAATGCATCACATGTGGCTGTGGGCAGACAACGACATACTACTAATCTAGAATGCATGATGCAGGGCCCTGCAAAGCTAGAGCGATTATCTGAAGATCTGGTTGAGAGTATTGCTTTTGTCAATCTCTGTTTTGCTCTGTTCATTGCGCTTGGAAAATTCATGTTCTATCATGCAGGCTGAATCTTATATAGTTGGCGTTTTGTGGTAAACATCTTGTTCTCCTTTGGCTTTCATGGCTTGAATTTCCCCAAATAATGGTGCTAGGAAAGCCAGTTTCTTGATGAAAATAGAAGCGTTCTCAATGAGACGATAATTAGAAGAACGCACTTGGTCTGGGTCGGTCGTGCCGAAGAACGGTGAGTCGTCTGTCATTTGACTTGGCAGTAATGAAAGAACAAACTGATATGCATTCTCTAGTGTCACATGCTCTGGACCCAGGGAAGGCAGCTGTCCGTCTCCCAGTCGCTGTTGGCCTGCTGGTACAAAACTATCTGGGGTGGAGTGGCAGATATCTGTCAAGATAGTGACAAATAAATCGCCAAACTGAATGACTTCCCATGAGATAGATCCTTCTGCATCATGACAGCCAAATTTTATTTTCCACCACAAAGCGCAAGCATCCAAAAGTGGCATTGACAGTCGGGCGTGTTTATCCTCAAATTCTCGAGCGTAGTCTGCCATGCGAAGAAATGTGCTTTGTTCGACGTCTATCTCATCAAAACCATAATTAATATGATGTGCTTTTCTCAGATGAACTGACTTTTCGTAATCATATTCACCGAAGCATGAAACCTTCATAGGGCGAACGGGGTTCGAGGGAGAATAAACGTGATCCTTAAAAGGGGGTCCATTTGGGCAGATACGAAATAGACGTTTGAAAAGGATGATCTGAGCCCTGGAGTCTACCTCCTGTAGTGGGGAAGGATGTCCTGCATTCCCCTCTTGACTACCCAGTCATCCTTTTGCGATTTCCTGGAAAGATTTGAGTATGTATTAGCAATAGGTACTAAGTTAGAGCCCTGGAGTCTAGACTAATCATGCTTCCACTGACGCGAATGGATGGCACGGAAAGTATAACAGAAAAGCCTCATAGCTCAGTTCAGATATTAAATTATGTACTTCCAAGTCCTAAGTACATGTGGGCTGGTTAAAAGATTCGACGACAGAAATCAATGAAAAATAACTGCAAAAATCTATACTAATGCAGGAGGTATCAAAACATGACTCGGCACCATTTTGGTCGACAGATGACTCTCAACACATGCTAGTGCAGGTGTTTCACATCTTCCAGGGGTATATCATCATCTCTTCTCACCTAAGCAAACAAAATCAAGAAAAGCAAAGACAAATCCAATTCCACAAGCTTAAGCCCACTTTCCAAGCAAAGCCATAATACCAGCACCAAGCAACAGCGAGCAGACCATAAAGGTAAGACGCTTGTCATCCTGGGTACGGTGGGGATCAAATAAGAAGTCACGAGCAAGGAGCTCAACCAGACCGGTATAGATCAGAATACCAGCAGAGACAGCATCTAAAACACCAGAGACAACGTTGGCAGTGTACGAACCAGGATTGTATGTTGTGCGCACGCCAAGACCAACAGCGATAGAGATGGGGGTTGTCAGACCATAAGCCGAGCAAAGAATCCAAGGCAACCAGCTCTCCTTCTTAAATGGAATAGAAGACATTCTCGCGCCGATACCAAGACCTTCGAAGGATTGATGGAAGACTAGAACAGGGTAAAGGGTAGCGAACTCGGAGCCGGTAACACCAAGGTTCAATCCGATGATAACAGAATGGAAGATAACACCGAACTCGAGAATCAAAAACGCAGCAATCTGTTGTCTGAACGAGCGCTCAATGCTCTCAGATTCGTCGTCAGACTGAGACTCCAACTCCTTGACACCCTTATCGGTTGATCCAGGACGCTCAGGGTGAACGTGGTTATGGGCAACACTAGCATCAACCTCAACACCAGAGGCCATGATAGGCTCGGGGTCATCACGGCACAGTCCATACTTCTTCTCGACGTAGCGCTCAGCACCAAAGTCCATAAGGAAGATCATCATAAGAGAGGTAAGGACGATAGCAGGACACCAGGAGTAATCGGCCCAGTGACCTGTCATACCGACGCAGCTGTCACTGCCGATTTCGGAGTATGCAGGGTCGAGAAGGTGGATAAATGCAGTTGCGATAATGACACCGGCACCGAAGTACTTGGCGAAGAGGTAGACGTATAGTGGAATGCGGAGACGTGGAGCACGCTTGGCGACGACGGGAAAGAATGTGGCTATCGAGGAGATGATTCCGATGACGAAGATCGAGGAAATTCGCGCGCCAATGCGTCCATTGTAGTCATTGCTTGAGGCATCGAGGTAGCAGATTACCTCAGTTGCGCTAGCAGTTGTGAGGTCGACATTGTGAGGGTCGAAGACCATTTTGACGGTTTTTTGGTCTTTTTATTAAGTATGGATTTTGATAGAAGCCTTATATTGAAATCAAGGCTGATCCAGAAAGTAAAAAAAAAGAATGAATTGAAAGACTGTGAATCTGGAAATGGTAGGATCTTCTCTGTCATTTTATAAATGGGAAATGTGAAAAATTGGTCTTCGGGACCCCCGTTACGGCGAGTACCTTGGGAGTTGGGAACCCTGACCAAACGAGTTTTGGCCCCTCATCATGTAGGTGCGCCAGTCTACGCTACAGTAATGATGGGTCTGCATTAGCTTCAAAGCAGGATTGATTGCATTATGCTAGTTTAGCTGGTTCCTGGATGATATCTCGTGAGCCGGTTGGACAAAGTCATGGGCGTGGAGGCTATCCGCTCAGTACGAGGCTGCACCCGCAACACGACCTTGGCCTCGAAGGGTGATATGAGTCCACTTCGTCTTGGAATCCTAGTCATATCGTGGAGCTCAATCTAAGCTCGGACTCCAGTTCCATGCAGTGGACCAGAATTTGTGGGCAAATCTGGAAGTGATTGGGTATTGCCAACTTGCCATGAGGTGACTTGCTCCCAAGGTCCTTCGGCTAACGCAATACACGTGGATAGAACCTTGGAACACACATTTGATCGGAGAATTGCAATAGATCCGTGAAAGATGGTGTCCTAGAGAAATAGAAACATGTTATTGAGATCTAAAAAAGTAGATAAGATGGAGGGTGAATGGAAACTTGAGGTCAATATTGAAGTAGAATTTGATATCAAGGTAAGATCCGGTACCCATATTCAAACACCCTAGTTTCAAGTTCATATATCGGGTGCTACCGCGTCAGCCGACCCAATTATAAATAAAACAATGTCATCATAATCAGATAATCGTATCCAGAAAAAGAAATCATTGCTCCAATTGCATCGTATCGTTCATAAGTCGTCCAGGGCGTCGCCGCCAATCCAGGGTTTAGATAACATGGTAATCCTCGAATAGGAAAAAAGAAGCTGAAGCCAAGAATCAACCTTGGGAGAAAGATTTGAAAGAGCCTCTCAGAGGTACAAAGTTTGAAACAAATAAACAAGAAAGAGAAATCATTAGGAGAAAAACAGAATCACACATTGTCGTCCCATTCCAGATGCTCACTCCAGGTGCTTCGTACGCTAGAAGAAACAAGTAACAAAAATAAATGAAAAAAGCAAAAGCACAAAGCTGATCTCCATATCTCGTATCGCATGTCCAATAATGATAAAATCCCAAGTCCCAGGTCTGTACACACCCATGTTTCATGTTCTTCCCACCCATATGTTATGAAAGATGAAAACCCCTCCCTGTCACGCTAGATAAAACCACAAATCCAAAAGCCGCTCCAAAAGAGAAATCGCTAAGACAAATCGCTCGACATCCAAATCAAATATGACAAAAATATGACAAACAAAAGAAAATCACAGAATAAAAAGGTCAGAAATCAATACAAAAGAGGTAAGTGCATGGTCTATCAAGGCATGCATGCACGACAGTGGAGAACCGTTGCCGGCACTGTACTCTGAGATTCTAGGCTCAGAACCAAGAAGAAAATTTTTTTGGACCATCTGCTAGGTTCAGAGCTAAGCGCCTCCGTCAAAAGGAGAGTGGATCTCCCAGTCAAGCGGACTGAAAGCTCATCTCCTGTTTAACAGGAGTAGCGCCATACTCATGAACCATGCGACGGAAATCCTGAATCACTTTCTGTGGGACTCGATCCCACATAAGTGATCTATTGTATACATTAGAAGTAGCAGCATCATGAATGCGCGTATGCTGAGCAGCATTGTTCCGCATCGCCGCCAGTGCCTGTTGAAACTGGGATGGCTGCTGAGGCTTAAAGCCAGAGCCGTCCGCTTCAAATGTGGTGAGGGAATTATACTGATCCACATTCATCGCGAAGACCTGAGCACGCTCCTGTTCCTCGGTTGACATCACAAGGGTCTCGTGTAATTCGTCAAGGGTCGAGGATGTGCTAGCACTGGGTCCCATCTGAGACATTTCAATCCCTGTCATGGCTTGTCCGGCCCCTGCGCTAGGGACTGTCGGTACTGCACTGTGGGTGGGGTGCGCGACATCCGATGGTGACGAGGCTAGCACCGCTTTTAGAACGTTGGCCGACTCGGCGCGGTACTCCTCCGATAATTGGGGTAGGTTCCGGCCGGGAAGGGCGCCGTTGTTGGAAGCGATGAATGCACCAAAGAGCAGACACATGTAGAAGGCGTTCCAGCTGAAGGGGGAGTCCGAGGTTGAGGACTTCTCGGATCTCTCGTTTGCTTGGACGAGGGCATGTGTAGGAGGAACTGGTGCGGAAGGCATTTGATCTTGCATGGAGAGACCGTTGGCCATGGAGAACTCATCCCATGGGTGTCCCTCCATGGGCATATTCTCGAAGCCAACAAAGTCACCCGCGTGGTGCTCGAGCATGCCAGGTTTGACACCACGCTCGAGTTTCTCAACGGTCTCCATCAGAATGTTGTTCTTCTTGCGCAGCTCGGCTGTTTCCAGCGTATGCACACGAATCAGCTCATCCTTCTCCAGAGATAAACTCTGAAGCCATTCGGTGACCTGCTGTTGCTGTTGTTGCTGTTGTCGAATGAACTCGTTCTTCTCGTCCAGCAACTCGGTCTCTCGTTTCTGAAGACTGGCAACAGCATCCTCGAGTTGAGTGATGACGTGAGTATAATGCTTCTTCTCTTCTTCGAGTTTTTCCGTATGGAGTTTCTTGCGCTGACGAGAGTCCAGTCTGAGGGAGGGAAACGAAGGGTTAGCGACGACGGGAAAAACTTGCGGTACAGGATCGAGGATCAAGTATCAGTAGCATGTTTAGGCAAGAAGTACTCACGCTGCCTGGCGATTACGCAGTAACCGCTTCTGCTGCTTCAGCTCTTTGATCTCCTCATCGTTGGTCGACTGGTTAATCAGTTGGTCGATATTACCCAGCGTCCGTTCAGCAGGGATCTCAAAGCGAGCATTCTTCTTTCGGATACCATCACGACGCATAGTCAAGGGGGATCCGTTGCGAAAAGCATTTTTCATCTGGTGGGCATCTGCGAGATCCATAGGCGCCGGCATCCAACCTTGGCTTGATTGCGGGGACATAGCGACCCCACCCGGCGGTTGGAAGGCTATGGATGGATTTCGATATGATACGGCACCCATGGGCATGGAGTGAACGGGACCTACAGCACCTCCCGAGAAGGGCGCTGCAGAACCACTCTCGGCTTCTGAAGGGTACTGGTCGTAAACCGTTGGAGTGCAGGATCCCGAAGCAGTTCGTGATAGCGCCCATGATGGTTGAGAGTAGTTGGTACCATCGACTTGCATGTATGATTGACCCGTAGGATCTAAAACGGGCTGACCCATATGCGTTGGACGAGACTGATCGGAACTGGCAGAGTAGTTGGACCAGACGGAACCCCGATGTGAGAAGGCTGTCTCTGTATCGTATGAAGACCGTCGCGGATCAGAAAGACCGGGCGAGGTGGGGTCAAGAATCTTGTCATCCAACACGTTCATTTCCTCCTCCTCTGACGGAGTCACATCTAATGTTGATGGAGATTGTTGATAAAAGTCAAACTGAGAATACCGAGCCATCATGAAGAGGCGGTGTGTGAGTGTGGGCGGGTATAGTGTGTGGTGTGTGTAGAAGAAAAAAGAGGGGCGAGAGGGGCGGGGCAAAGAGAATTTAAATAAAATAGATAGGGAAATAAGAAGATGCGAATGAGAATGAGAATGAAGGAGAAAAAAAAATAAACCTGAGATCAGGAGATATTTTTTTTGTAGAGCGAGTATATCAGAATTTGATGGTAGTTTCAAAGGAGGGGGGAGGAAAAGAGTGGCGCATATGCATAGAAATAACCATGTATGGCATTAGAGAGTACTAAGAACATGATAAAATAGAGTAAATCAGTATAGAATACTTAATGAGTCAAAGTATTCAGTACAATAAGCGGTCTACGCGGGACTAGAGTACTATTCAATGTCTATCATTGGCTGCTTCGCTCTCTCTTGGGCAGACGTGCAGTTGACTTACTCCGGGGAGAACGGATTAGGAGTATTTATTTTATTTTATTTCATTCTATTTATTTAGTACATTAATTTAGTATTTAGTTTTATTTTTGGTCTTTGATTTGGTACTTTTTCATCTTTTTCTCGACCTGATCGGGCATGATAAGATCGACACTTACTCATGAAACTATTATGTTACTTTAGTACTAGGTACTCTCTTACTACTATTATGTATACTACTATTACTATTACTATTACTAGGTACACTATTTACTGTTACTCTGGTGATCACGGGGATCATTATCAACTGAATAATTCATAGCCAACCCTTTACTCTGCTGAGACATTCCCTTGTGCTGCCCAAGATTTAGTACCTTCTTCAATATTCTCTCCTCTCCAATCATTCAATCTTACTCTCTCTCCCCCTCAAAGTCTCTCTCTTGAATACGGTGGATATTTTTTTCCCTGTAAAACGGGTCCGGCCCGCGTGGATCCACCTCATTTCATTTCCATGGTTCTGATTCCTGAACCGTTCAAGGAAAAACTCCTCGGAATATGTAATATGTGTGTCGGGAAAGCAGAGCGGATGCAAGATGCACGGATGTTCTGCACTGATCACTCGTCCCCCCCCCCAGATGACGCCCTTGAATCCACTAATCTGACGGGCGCATCTTTTGGTCAAAACTCCCCCCCCCCTGTCCCTCTTTTGGGCCTAGGGTCACCATCCTTGCGGGGAGGGTTATAACCAAGTTGATGATGCCATGATCCCAGTTAGTAACCTAGTTATGTTCCAGTTATGGATTGGTGGAGGTTCTTAAGAAACTCTCTCTATTATTCGATGCCTAGATACTTCTGTTGAGATCCTTTCGTTTCAGGCCTGCAAGATTGCGAACCACTCATGGGCTGAATCTCCCCCTCCCTTTATTCTTTGACTTTCTTTTGTTTGTTTATCCCATTTTTTAGAAGAGTGATTTCCATTTTTTTTTGCTTATTGTATGATCTTCTTACAGTGTGGGCCCATCAGTTCCTAAATCCTAGACTTCTATTCTACCGCTCAAAGCGCAAGTCGCAGTTCAAGTTCCAGTCCGTTGTACCTGTCTTCTGATACACACCCTACCAGAAGGTCCAAAGCCGCTTGGGTGCATCGGCCCCTGAATTCTGTTTGTTTATAGGATGCGGTATCACACTCAATGTGCCGTGATAGGCCCCGAAGGCACCCACGGCGACCCCGTGAGAAGGGGCCCGGCCGGTTCTCATCTAGCGGTGTAAAGCCCATGTTCATCCAATCGTAGATCAAGATCAAGATGGGGTTCCGCCTTAGTAAGTGAGAATGGGTTTATCCCACCGAGCATGTACTACAAAAAAGTGATGACCTCAATTTCTCGTGATGGCTTAGGCCCTGGTTCTGGATGACGAACTCGCGCTGTTTGAATGTTTGTAAGATTTTGATCTTTCCTGTTAATGACCCTAATCATATCTCATTGCTCTATACCCTTCATATCCTGTACAGGTACACGGACTATGTACTTTGAATCTATAATTTCAAATTTCCATTTATTATTCAAATGTTTCATTCCACTCCTATGAAGCCCCATACTGCGTAAATCGTATAGAGGAAATCATAGAGGAAATCATCTAGAATGACTCATTCATGATCTACCAGGAGTATCCCCACATATCCACTCAAGTGCTCAAGCCTATGAGAATATGGCAGGTCTAGGTCCCACTTCATTCCAATACTTCCAAGCCCACTTAGTTCTGAGAAAACCCGTGGAGCCAGCCACGCGGCTTATATCGTCAATGCCCAACCTGTCTGAAACGCCGTTCAGCCAAACGAGGGTCAACCGCCGCAGCCTCACTTTAGTCCGTGGGTGCTCCCTGCCTGATCTTCTTAGTTCTGTAAGCTCCGAGGAGCATTGGGCACATGTAATGGAGCCCGGGACTGATATTCATGGGTTGGATTGGTAGGGGCTCACGGGTACATTCCTATTCGAGGATGACTTTTTCCACTTTGCTGGCTGGCCCTGGCTCTTGTTGGTCTGTCTTGGGATGGAGTATTGGTCAAAATTGGATGATAGCATATACGGTGTTGACATGGCTGTTCATTCTTTGTTTTGATGCGATTATTAGAAATCATTGATAATCCTACCTGAACTAGAAGTCTAGCCATGATCTGGAAATGAGTCATTGCTAAGAGAATTCCTGTTTGTCTGAGAAGATGCGGTCAGGAATCGCTTTTCGTGGACACTGGTTGAAGGTACTGGGAAGTACGCTCACATCTAGGGAAATGCTGCAATGGATCGGGTCTTGATCGCTTTCTTCAATGTCCTACATGCATGCGTGGTCTAATCTGAAGTTTTTGATCGATGCAGCTTTACAGGACATCAAGTGACTCTGATAGACGTGCTCTGATACGAGTTCCTTCTCAAATTGTCTACAGACATCTAATTGTTGTAATATCCGTCATACAACACTTCAATTCACATGTGAACCTATGTAGAGAGCAAGAATTCAGATTGAAACCGTATTATAATTTTCTTTTCAAGAGTTCAAGTAGTATAGCCATGACATCAGTTGAGACAACTGTAATTTGTGCGTTCCTAACATGGATGGGATTGTAACGTGTTCCCCTGGATTGAATTCTCCAGATGTCCATAGGAAAGTATAGACTGCTCAAACTATTGTGTTCACCTCAGAACTGTCCTTGATTTTGACATTTCTCTATCTGCCTATTCATATGGATGGTCATCTTAATGAAGCCATTCATTCAAGTTTGAGCTCATGCGTGGGAACTGTTCTAGTCCACTTTCAAGTCCAAGTCTGTGAACTTCAAGTTGATACTCTCCCATGATAGTGACGCTCCTTCTGAAGAAAATAAGCATTACCACGAGCTGCCTAGTAAGACGTCTGAGACCAGATATGCTACGATAGGCACTATTCACCAGAACTTTGGAAGTATTATGGATCGAATTCTAGCCTTCCTACTGGTAACTAGGAGCCTTGCTAACCGGATACGATGATTTACCATTAAATTGAACTTGGATGCTAAGTGCGAAACATCATGATTGCATTATTTCTTTCTAGACAAATGCCTTAAATGCCATATGCTCAGGGGTATCACTGGTTTTTGCAAACCAACCAAAACCAAATGCACAAGAAACGAAAAGAATCAAAAATGAAAGGGGGAATCAACGTCAGCAGCTACAATAGCTGACAGTATGGCTGTCTCTGCGACAGATGCAATCTTAAAATTTGATAAAGTCATGCTGCTGAGACATTTCGTGGCTACCAGACCCTTCGATCAGTTGCTCAGGCGAATCGTCAAACTCATCCGAATCAATATCATCAGAGTCAATCGCATCATAATCTTCCTCCTCGCTAGACTCGTCAGAATCATCCTCTCCAGCCTCGGCTCTACTGGCAGCTGCAGCAGCTGCTTTCCGGATTTGACCAGCACGATCAACATGAGGCAGCTTGCACCGCTTCTTGTGGCAAATACCAGAGTTTGCATAGTCAGGGCATTCGTGCACATGACGGTCCTCACACTCAGCACCTTTCTCACAGTATCCTAAAGTTGCAAATCCACGGCATACAGGGGCACCCGGTGTCGTACGAACATGGGAATAGCGACAGCTATCATTGGAGCAGCGACCTTTGATGAAATGCAGACACGTGGGGGACCTATGGGGCGATGGTTCATGGGAAAGATCACAGCTGACGCCTGCATTGCAATTACCTGTCTGGAGGAAGTCCTTGCAGATAGCAACTTTGCTTGGGTCGTGGGTGAAGAGACACGATGGTCCCTTGTAGCATGTACCTGGAAGATTAAATTAAAGGAGTTAGTTTTCAAACAGGATGGGGTTAATATGGCGGAGCTGTATGGTCCGTCGGAAAACGAAATACCGGTCGAAGTAAATCTTTTGCACAGTTCGCCCCGTTTCTTGACGGTGCCTGGCTGTCTGTTGCTGGATTAATAAAAAGGTTCAGCTAGTTTTGTCGAGAGAGGACGCACATTTTGGTCGCAACAGCACCAAGTCGGTGAAGATTGCCATTCTTACTCCGCACAAAGGTCACACCAGCGACGGTGACTCGCTTTGGCGTAGCATTGGCAGTGTTTGGGTCATCTAAAAAGGGTGAGCCAGTTCCAAATAGCGGATGGTAATTTCAGAGACGACATACTCGACATGCGCACCAGCTTGCTACCGCCACGCATAATCTGGAATGGAACATCGTTGACGAGAATCTGCTGCGCGGCAGCAGAGACAGATGCAGCTGTATTCCCGTGAGCATAGCGGAGCACCTTTAATTGCTCTCGCTCAGCACGTCGTTGCTGCTTCATCTTGCGAGTTTCTTCCATAGCCTTAGCCCGAGCTTGCTTTTCTTTATCATACACCGCAGAGTTGATGAGTTGCATGTGACGATCATGTTTTGTGACCCACCCGTTCGAGGTTGATGGAGGACGTGACTCGGCATCATTATCGCTCACAGGACCAGGGGATGAGGTGAAACTAGGCGTGGACCCGGAAGCTCCATTCAAGACCAATGTGCGGTGTCGGTGAGGAGCTGCAGGGCGGCGACCTCGACCACCACGCTGATAAGGAGCCCATCCAGAATGACCATGCGTGTTGCGAGCGGCATACTGGGGCTGAGGAGGCTGAGTTGATTGGCTTCTATGGCGATTTATCTGGCCTATACTAGGTGAGCTCACTGGTTAAATCATAGGCTGTCAAGCGCCTTACCTGCAAGTTGACCAATCTTGGCCAACAGGTCCTCGTTCTCTGTCATGTGGGGTATTTGAAAATGCTTTTTGGTTAGATCAAGTCAGTTGTAAGTGAAAAAGAAGGTTTCTGATATTTCCAGGTTACAAAAAAGTGCGCTGAGAAAAAGTTGTGGAGGTGAGAGTTATTCTAGGAAGGAAGGTTGAATGACGAGTCGCGGTCCCAAGCTAGGCGCTGGTGGCGCAAGTATGTCACGTGACAGGCTTGGCGGCGCATATAAATCACCCTCTTGAAGCGAATAATATTCACACCTCAAGTGTTTCGCCGAATATGTGATATTAATATGTGCATGTTACTCTAGAGGCTGCCTAGTATGTATTCTATCTAGTTACCATTCTAGTGCACCATTGGTTTTAAGGCTTGAAAGAAAGCGGGGCTACATTAGCTAAATATTACAATAATGTGTTACCAGAGCACTACGTGCTTGTTTTGGAACGTATCTGTTGACGTTGAGATTTCTAATCTAGTAGAAATAGACATACGGCCTTTAGAGGCAAGTTAAAAGATCATCTCATCATGGTCCGTGGCCACACCCGAGGCAGTTGGGTCATCATCAGAGGCATCATCATAGTTCTCTGGTGCTGGAGCCAGCTCAGCCTTCGCATACGAAGTTTGGGTTGCATAGTTAGCTTGCCGCGCTTCTGGTTTCAGCTCCCATGTCATTGCAAAATCTCCAGACTTTACTAGGTGAGCAACCAACTCCAAGGTTTGCTTGAGATAAGCTTCTGGTTGTGAAGTTTTCGCCTTGAGAGCCTTAAACGGCCAGTATTGGTACTGTCGGAAGCAGTCGAAAATCATGTCCAGCAGCTCGTTCTGGGCAATACGTGTAGACTTGTTTTCTTGTGACTTGGCCTTGGCCAGTTTTGAGGCTTGCTGTGAGATTGTCAATAACCTGCTTGGAAAATAGCCTAAGTATTGTAAACATACCACAAAGTTGCCTGTGTCCACCGGAAGAGCATGACGCGACTGCAAAATATGAGTGGGAATCTTCTCGATAAATCTGGTTTCCTTTTTGGGCTTCAGAGCATCTAGGGCGCGCCTCTCTGAGATTCGACGGAACTCCTCATTTTCCACTGGAAGACAATTGAATTCCTCGCTGACTCGTCCGATAAGTGCAGTTTGCTCTGAGAAATATTAGAATAGTCCAAACAAAGTTCATCTTGCGCAAGAACGACATACTGGGCACTGTCTTCCGCATGTAAGGCTCCCATTTTTTGCCCTGTTCCCTTCGTCGGGCATCGCGCTTCATGGCCTCATATAGGGCCGAGCGTGTTTCGCCGAAGACTGCCATCCGGTTCTCAGCTCCTGGGACGTCCTTTTCCGTGAAAACAAAGGTATTTTGTGTCATATGTGAGGCATTTGTGGATGTGACGGTCTGTTGTTGCAGGATGTAATCTTTGGGGATGTCCTTATTGTCTGGGCGATCGTGAAGTCGCAAGCTGACCTGTAAGCCGAAATTCATGTTAGACTCCCTGAGACAATACAGGCATAACATTCCAAGGTTTGAATAGCGGTCAATGCAGTACATACCCGTTTCAGGTCATTTGGCTCCCCCTCTATCCTGATCGTTCCAATCTCAATTTCTTCATCATCATCGATCTGCGCCCAGTTTTCCCAAAGCTGACGGGGAAGTCGTGACATCCACACATGCTGATTTGCGGCTGCAAAGTCCAGATCTCCGGCGTCTTCGTAGAGGTCGTCGTCATCAAAGTCTGCAAGAGTCATTTTCTTGTCATCTGGGTCTTGCTTGATGTACATGGCGTCGGGGTCTTGCTTGACCTGCGCCATGGTGTGAAAAGATGAATGGATGTTGTGTTATTTGAAAGTTTTGCAAGTATATCAGGTATGCGATTAACTTGGAAAGTGGACAAGCGGTCGCTGAGGCAGTGATTCGATAAAGTTAAGGACAATGCATGAGCATGGATGGAGGCGACACTCTAGGCGGAGCTGGGGAATTGCCAAGGCGGTGAAGAGCTGACGGCAGTGATGACTTCACCGGATTAGAGAAACAGAGGCCCCGGAGGAACACTGCCCTAGTGTCACATCACTCAATAATATCGCAGATGATAGGAGAATCGCTACGATGGACTCTTGAAGAAAAGGTGATCCTATTCACATATCATCCTCATGGAATGTGATCCACACCAACTTGAATATACTCCCTTATTATGTTTATTTGCTGCTTGACTTGCATATTTAACCCAGGAAAACGTTCTTACGCAAACCAAATTGACCTTGTATATGAAAGATATTTATTTTACTATCTCTGAGTTCTCAAGCTTTATCAAGATCACAGAATGTCAAAGAAATTGCTCTTCTGTTTTCCAACCCGAGAGAAACGATCGAATCAAGCTTGTACCATTCAACCCAGTTCACCATGGGCAGTCCTTTCATCAGCATTCCACTGCTGAGATTTTTGCAAACATGAGTATGGGTCCTTGGAAGACAGCTCAAGAACTGGAATCAGCCTTCTATGATGGCCAGGACAGACATATACTATCCTTCGACAACCCCGAGTCCTTCGCATTTGCCATTATAGACAAGACACGCCCTCCATCTTCTGATGACAGTGATGGCGAGCTGGCAGGCACAATCAGTTATATCAACACATCAGTTGCCAATCTCAGTACTGAACTCGGTTTTGTTGTTGTTCTTCCGCCCTATCAGAGAAGTCATGTGGCTGTCAATGCGGCTGGGCTTATGCTACAAAATGCCTTTGACAGTCGAGACAATGGAGGACTGGGCTTGTATCAAGTGCACTGGAAATCAAGTATCAGCAACCCGGCAAGTTTTCGCCTAGCGGAGAAACTGGGCTTCGAGACGGTCGGAATGACTAAATGGCATATGCGATTTCCTAAAGGGGCGACCAAGGGGAAAGTTGGGAACGGACGAGTACTACCACCTGGAAGTGATCCTGACGATATATGGCGAGATACTGTAGAGCTTAGTATGTCATGGGAGGATTGGCAAAATGGTGCTAGAGACAAGACCCAGACTGCCATGAGTAGATAAAGCTGAGCTAAATAAGCTGTATAGCATCATAGCTCAATAATGTCAGTTATATTTGAACTCCGCTTAGAAATTCGATCAGACTAATCGATAGTATATATACCCAGCAATTTTGGGAAATTATTCATAAAAAAAGTAAAATCTAATGGATGTGGTAGCTGCTATACTTCCAACCTTGGAAGTTTCCAAGAGTTCCCTTCTCCGCCTTGTTGCCTTCTTATCGATAACGCAGCTGAATTCCCCAACTTGCACCTCATTGCATCTCCAACTTCCTCCCTACTTGGTCAAGACCAAACTGGCCACAGCTTCACTTCTGCAAATTCATCCAGTCCTTCCTTTATCAATCTCTTCACATCAATATGGCATCTCAAAAAGTTACAAGCGCGTTAGCAGCGATCGAATCCTCACCCCACCAGCCGACCAAGCTCCAAGAATACAACAACCTTCTTAATGAGATTGTGGCTACCTCATCGGGCGATGAGCTCGCCCAAGACATAGTCTACTTTCTAGACTCCATACTCAATGAGGATATTAGCATCGTCGCCTCCCGACCCCTCCTCGTTTCTTTTATCACCGTCCTCCAGAACTTCGACCCTGAGGTCAAAATCAAAGTCGGCCAACATGCCGTCACACTCCTTCAGTCCCGTGCCACAGCCGTCGAAGAACAAGACTCACAAATTCGTGAAATTTTGGCAGAGGCATACGAGTCACAAGAGGAATACACCGCAGCAGCTCGAGCACTACAGGGAATATCCATCGATAGCTCCCAGCGCTTGGTATCCGACGATGCCAAATCAAAGCTTTGGATCCGAATTGTGCGCTACTACCTTGAAGATGGTGACACTACCAATGCCGAAACCTTCCTAAATCGAATTAAGAGTTTGCCCAACAAGATTGAGGACCACGATATTCGACTTCACTTTCAGCTTTCTCAGGCCCGTATTTTCGATGCACGTCGCCGTTTCCTGGATGCCGCTCAAGAATACTTCAATGTCAGTCTGGCTGCAGGTGTAGATGAGGATGATCGCCTTACGGCACTATCAGCCGCTATTCGGTGCGCCGTATTAGCCCCTGCGGGTCCACAGCGTTCACGCACTCTCTCACGTCTGTACAAGGATGACCGTGCTTCTTCTGTGGACGAATTTTCGATCTTGGAGAAGATGTTTTTAGATCGGCTTCTTAATGCCGATGAGATCGCTGCTTTCGCTAAGAAACTTGCTCCCCACCAGCTTGCGATCACTTCAGATGGCACAACTGTCCTCGATAGAGCTGTAATCGAACATAATCTTGTTGCGGCCAGCAAGCTCTATGAAAACATCAATGTCGACGCTTTGGGCTCCATACTTGGTCTCCAATCCTCTGGTGAATTTTCAGCTGGAGAGAAGGCTGAGGCGTATGCTGCACGAATGGTTGAACAAGGACGTCTTCGGGGAAAGATTGACCAGATCGACGGAGTCATTTATTTTGAGACAGGCTCGACTGCACTTTCTACTGTGGGTCCAAACTTGCGTCAGTGGGATATTGGGGTTCAAGAACTTGCAGAATATGTTGAGCAAGTCGCAGCCCGTATTTCTGAGCAGTTCCCAGTATGTTCAATCACAATTAATGCCACCAAATGACCTGAACATTCTGCTAACACTTTCTAGGACTTTGCTACTAGTCAAATGGTGCAGTGATGGCTCAAGGATCTAATGACCTTTCTACGAAGTAATGCTTAAACATGCACGGTGGCCAGTCAACTCCTAGCTGAGATTTAGAATACACTCTTCAAATACCCAATTTTATCTTCAACCAAATACCCCTGATTCAAGTTGTAGGTTAACTTGAAATCACCGATATCATACTATTGCGTATAGACCATCGTCCTTCAAATGTTAGCTCTGAGAGTCTGACTTCCAGGATCCGGTTCGGTTGTTCATAGCGCTGCACATGCACATGTGGATGTCTTTTTGGTGAATGCTGCCGTCCTTTATCAATGGATTTATCACCGTGACGTTATACCTATTCATACTAGTACATACTAGTAAGTGCATATACTGGTTCCAAGTTGGCGGAAGCCTCTATATTAAACACCTAAAAAGCTTATCCACTAACAGCTCCCTTAGAATATGAATTGTCAAGCGATTAATGACTCAATCCAGCATAAGACTTGCTATGTTCCAAGTGTATTGGCTCAAAACTTGGATATCTATGCGAAAAAAGCCCTTCATATCCATTTCAAGCTGCTTGCTTATTATGCTTGATAGATATGGAGCTTGAAGTCTTCAAGTTTAAAATAGACATCGTGGTCTGTCTCTACTTAGGAAAGGCCCCTCTCGTCAACCCATTTCAAACCATGGTAGTTCAACCGTTCCAAAAAATGGAAGTACATGAAAATCCAGCATGTTGATATCAGATGAATCGCCGAGAAATGATAAACAAACTGATAACGCCGTAAATGAATTTACACGCCGAGGCTTTTCACTTCCACCTTCCTTTGCCTCTCTCCTCCACAACGGTCTGATACTCCTACAAGATACAAAATCACCTGAAACCCGCCAAACGACTCCTACTTCGATCTCAATATGGCATACACAATGGAGCGCCTTGCTGAGGCCAAAAGACTGTTTCCTCTCCCCGACCCCAACGCACCACCTAGCGAAGAAGTTATCAAGGCAGCCGAAACTCCGGAGCCCCGATACAACCTGCGAACTCGCCAGGAGCACCAAAAGGAGCCGACTCTCCACATTTGGTATGAAGACAAGGATGATGAAGACTACTGTCCGAGTCCAAAGAAGGCCAAGGAGGAAAAGCAGCCAAAGAAGGCAAAGAAGGCGAAGCAGCCAAAGCAACCAAAGCAGCCAAAGAGGTCAAAGCAGTGAACCTACACATGAAGTCTTTTGATTGCGAAAATGGCCGTGCTTAGTAAGTTGAACGTCACATTTGGAAGGTTGAACTTTTCTTAACCATCACACTCATTCAGGCCAATTTGCATGAACGGCGATCCTTCACCATAGGGATCAGGGAGCGTGACCGTATTATGGGTGATACGGCAAGGATGAAAGCCGCTGATTTGCTTTCCAGGGGGGTTAAATTCTCATAATGAATCTTCAGAAGTATCGAGAATGAAGAGTTGAGCATCTTTATTTCTATCTATGTAATGTTCTTTCAATCTTCTCAGTAGACCTCTCTCCAACCTCAACAGTTGAAGTTCAGTTAAACATATGAATCCACTGGATCCCACATGGGAGGCACTAATGCCTTTGGTGGCCACCCGGCTTGACTATCGAATGAGGTCTCAAATTCATACTTGCCAGATCCCACCCATCTTTCAAGTTCCATATCGACATTGTCAGGCTCACCGGGGAGTATAACCTTCGCACTTGAATTCGGCGGCACCACAAGCTCCAACTTGAAATGATTTCCATCTCCAAGAACCCAGCTACATTCCAAGCGTCCATAAGCCGTATCATACATGACTTCAGCTGAATTTACCGTGCCACCCGGCACAGGCTTCACAAGCACAGACTTCCATCCCGGTTCCAGCGGACTCACTCCTGCAACAGTACGATGTAGCCAGTTGATGATCGAGCCAAGCGCATAATGATTGAAGCTGGTCATTTCACCTGGATTGATACTTCCATCCGGACGCATACTATCCCATCGTTCCCATATAGTTGTCGCCCCCATCGTAATGGGGTACATCCACGAGGGACAGGACTTCTCCTGTAACATGCGATATGCCAGCTGAGGGTATCCCGCCTTGGTGAGAGCATGTGAGATGATTGGTGTTCCTGCAAAACCAGTCGAGACCTGAAAGGAGGATTTCCGAACCAGACGCGCAAGACGAGCACCAGCACCGGCAATCTGAGATGGATCATCGAGGAGATTGAAGAATAGCGCCAACGCAAGACCGGTCTGCGTATCGCCGACAAGGAATCCAGTTGATGAAACATACTTCTCCTGGAATCGGGCCTTGAGAGTATTATAGTCTTTCTCGTAACGTGCGGCATCGACAGCTTCGTTGAGGATCTTGGCGACATCGGCTATCGTGCGTGTAACGTGGACAAGGTATGCGTCTGCAACGAGGGTGCCGTCTGTACGAGAGTTACCAGGGCTCTCTGGTGGTGCAGTAGGATCGAGCCAGTCACCTAGTTGGAAGAGAGTATCTTCCCAGAGGTTATCTGGTCCACGGAGAATACCAATGTCGACCCAGGCTTTCATGCTAGAGTATTGACAACGGAGGATTTCTTTATCGCCGTAGCTTTGATATAGAGCCCATGGTAGGAGAACTGTAGTATCGTCCCAGACGGCTTGTGGGAATGTAGGCCAGAGAGCCTCGGGGATGATATTTGGAACTGTGAATGGTGGAATACCGTGGTCGTGGACGAGTTGTTCAGCTGCAAGGTCTTTGAGCCAATCACCTAGCATACCGGCAGTGTTGTAGAGGAAGCTAGCTGAGGGCCCGAAGACTTGGATATCGCCCGTCCAGCCCAGACGCTCATCTCGTTGGGGACAATCTGTAGGGATTGAGAGAAAATTGCCACGCATACTCCAGGTGGCGTTCTGGTGGAGCTTGTTGACCATCTCGTGAGAACAGTTAAACCACCCTGTTCGGGTTAAATCTGTGTGCATGACCTCGGCGACGAGACTGTCGAGTGTGGACTGCTCTAAGCCATCGATTTGGACATAACGAAAACCGTGAAACGTGAAACGTGGTGCCCAATCACGGATTTCGTCTCCAGCAGAAATAATCGTATCCGTACATTTTGCAATGCGGAGAGGACGAGTCCCCAGTTCTTGATTTTCGAGGACTTCGGCATGAACCAGAGTCACAATATGGCCGCTGGGTTTGATAATTGAGGGAATGCGAACTCGGCCGACAAGGTTCTGGCCGAAGTCTATGATTGTCTTGCCTGAGGGTGTTTTGATGATCTCCTTCGGCTTGAGGACTTCTGTGACTCTCACAGGGGGTGCATTAGGTGCCACAAGATCTGTTTTCGGGAACTCTGTCTCTTTCACAGCATTCCAAGACCCTTCATGAGGAAAGAACTGGCTAGTCCAACCTTCTTGCTCATCGCGGGCATCAAATACTTCTCCATCGTAGATTTCACTGGTGATAAGTGCAGAAGGATGAGTCTTCCAAGAAGCATCCGTGACCACAGTCACTGGCTCTTGGTCTTCAGAGGTAATCTCCAATTGGGCAATCAAGGCCATCTCATCTCCATAATTGAACCGCTTGCCACCTAAGAATCCCAATCTGGTGGCCCACCATCCTTCAGCAACCTCCACAGCTATGACATTATCATCATCCGCTCGTAACAAAGATACCACGTCGAAGACTTCATAGTTCAGTCGATGATGGTAGCTCGTCCACCCAGGTGCCATACAATGATCACCAACAGGGACCCCATTAATGTAGGCTTGAAACACCCCCAGACTGGTGATGTAGAGGCGAGCTGACTGCAACGAGGATGAAGGGATCTTGAATGTCTTTCGAAAACGAATTGGCCGCAAGGGACCCTCGGGCTGCTTCACTGGGGCTTTGATTGCGCGCGCAGTCCAGTCTTGTGGATTGAGTAGACCGCGTTCAACAGTTGACCAGGCAGACCATTCCGTTGGCTCGCTAGTTGGACCGCCGTATGAGCGAACTCGAACGTGAGCTATTTCTCGGGACTGGAGAGGTTTGCTAGGCCAAGGTACAAGCACCGAATCTGATGTCGTAACATTGTAAAGCTCTGAGTTTGAACCCCGGCGAATCTCAAGGTCATATGCTGTCTGTTTCCAATTTTTGATTGTTCCATTGGGTACCGCAAACTTCCAAGACACACGCGGACTGGAGATGCCGATCCCTAGTCCTGTGGCATGTTGTTCAAATGATACTGATGAAATGGATGGCTGCACAGACATTTTGAAACTGTGCTAAAAGAGGAAGATAATGAGTAATGTCTGATCTATTATCATTACTCTAGCTTTCTATCTCGTTGTGCTATTGATGCGGGGAGAACCTTGGCCTAAGTCAAGGAACTCGGGGTAAATGATGCCGACGCCCAGAGTCCCCGCACTTGGTGACATGTTCATTGTCTGCCGAAGTTTACCCGGACACTATGGCCGGGGATAAGACTCTTGCTCCGTCTTTGATATTAAGGGTAAAATTAGAGTTGAACAATTCATCGCAGGCCTAATCAGTGGATCTACTGTGTTCAAATGTTAAAGCCCGGTAAGCCGTGAAAGAGCGGAGAACAAGGTATGGGAGAAGTTAGTGTAGCCGACACCCGTATAGGCATTATTATTGGTCTAGCCCTGGAGGTTTCTGATTACACACCGCTAAGGCTAGAGTAAAGTTTGAAGGCAACTTGGTAGTATGTAGCCTTAAGTCCACATCCAGGAATCATGTAGATGACTCGAGTCTCCAGTATATGAGACGAGATATCTGGTATTAGAACTTCTATTGTCTTTCATGGTCCGCGGCCTAATTTAGCTCTATTGAGAGGAGGTGATTGAACCCTTGAGATTGATATCAATCGATGGTACTAGTAGCATCGGTGTCAAAAAGACCACTTCGTTTCCTGAATCAGATATGTAGGAGAACAGGTGAATGATACTTGGTCTGAGTTTCTCCATAAAAGCCATGGCACATTGGAAAAGACCAGAAGCTTTTCTAAATTGTGCTAATCGCCACTCAGTGAGCCTTTGCCATATTGGCGTATATACAAGCTGAAAGGGCTGGATAAACGGTGGTTATAATTGCCATTTTTGTGGAAGAACCTCGGACTAAAAGGTTCGATATAAGGGTAATTTCACTACTGTACCCCGCAAAACTGATGTCCCATCCCAACCCCAGATTACGCACCCCGGATTGATAGTCCATGACTGAGACGATGATCATCCCCAATTAGACTACCTCATCTGCCGTTTTTGTTCTCAAAATGATCTGTTGCTCTGTAAATCCATTTTCTAATTGTTCAAATCTTGATTTTCTGGATCCTAGGGTCTTACGACTCGTCTGAATCCGGATCTAGATCCATATCAGGGAAAGCGCCATCCGGGGTAAAAGGTTAAATCCTTGCACGTGGTTCGCCCATTTCTCAAGAATTGGCTTTTCTTCCGGCTTTTATGGCTATTCATCTTTCCTTGTGCGTTGTTTCACATTCATCCTGGCGGCTGCAGTTGCCATCCACAGGAATGCAGAGATAGCGGTGCAGCGGAGCTTGCATTCCGCTGACGAAGTTTGCCTTTGTCTGCGATAGCTGTCGTCTGATTTATCTAGAAAACATAAAACTCCTCCCAGCACCGATCATTTCTGCTTTCATCGACTTCGTCCATCATTTTTCCTTCTCCTGCGCATCTTCATATAAACCCAGTCCACCTCCAGAGGACGAGTAGACGATGGAGAAAGCTACTACAGATTTTATCGAAGATGTGGACCCTCAACAACTGGGTCATGTTGCGAATCGAGAAGACCATGAATTGAATAAATGGCAAAGTGTTAAGAAATACCCCTGGACCTTTGTCTGGTGTATCTATGCAGTTTGGTGCATCTTGCTGGTCAGCTTCGAAAACCAAGCCGCTAGCAATGTCACTAGTATTCCAGAGTACCGTAAAGACTTTGGCTCTTATTATGAGGGAAGCTATGTTCTCGATGCAAAGTGGCAGTCAGCCTTTAGCGGTGCCCCTGTTGCATCTGCGGTTATTGGAGCCCTGTGCTCAGGACAAATCGCTGATACTATCGGTCGAAGAATCACTATTGGAGTTGCTCTCCTGATATCTACCGCAGGTATCAGTCTTGAATTAGTGGCTACGACGAATCAAATGTTTTTTGGTGGCAAGTTTCTGAATGGGTTCGCTTTGGGCGCGTTGGCCTCTGTTCCCGTTACGTTTGTGGGTGAGGTGTGTTCATTCCATCATGATTCTTCAACTTGGCCCTATTATTACAGTTCTAACCATCATTCGAATAGATCGCCCCTCTCGCCCTTCGCGGTACACTTACATGTCTCACCGCCCTAGCCTACGTGATCGGTCCCCTCGTTGTGGCCCTCATTACCAACACAACAGGTAACTACTCGAATCGATGGGCCTACCGCGCAGTTTTTGTTGCGCAGTTTGGTTTTGCTGCAGTGGCACTTGGACTCATTGCATTCATGCCTGAGTCCCCGTGGTGGTTAATTTCCAAGGACCAAGAGGAAAAAGCGCATCGATCTCTCCAAAGACTGGGATATAGTGAGACGGAACGAATGAAAAAAGTTGCACTGATCAAGACCACTCTGGAAGAGGTGCGTCACGAAACGGAAGGTGCTACATACCTCGAGTGCTCCCGAAAAACAAACCTCCGACGAACAATCATCTCCATCTTGCCCCTGAGTATTCAGGCATTATCCGGTGTTGTTTTTGCCGCAGGCTACTCGACATACTACATGGAACTTGCTGGCTACAGCACACAACTGAGCTTCAGACTTCAGATCGCGCAGCAAATCATGTCTCTGGTCGGTAATGTCATGTCATACTTTGTGATTGACCGGGTTGGACGCCGCAACGTCATGATCTACGGTCTAGCGGTACTGACCGTTATCTTGATGTTAACGGGAGGTCTTGCCGTGATGGGATCTCAGACTGGAAACCCCAATGCAGAGGGCGCTATCCGAGGAACTGTCGCTTTGATTCTTATCTATTGCTGGTGGTATAATTTGACTATCGGATCCGCAGGATACACTATCTTGACAGAGGTCTCTACGTCCAGATTACGTATCAAAACGATTGCTATTGGACTAGCGCTGCAGAATGCCCTATATACCATGTGGTCCTTTGTGTTGCCCTACCTTTTCAATCCGAATGAGGCAAACCTTGGTGCTAAGGTCACATTTATCTTTGGTGGATTGAGTGTGATCTGCTTGGTTTACTTATGGTTTTTCCAACCCGAAACTGCAGGTCGGAGCTACGCAGAATTGGATGAGATGTTCATTAGCAAGGTTCCTGCGCGGAAATTCAAGGAATACCGCACGGATGCTGAGGCTATGGGTATTTCTGATAAGGAACATGCTACTACTGTTTAGGATTTTTTGTTTTGGGATTTGGTTTTGACGCACTATGAATAATCTGAATTACACATGTCCAGATCTCTATGAGTCTAAAATACCTTGGTGTACCGTGGGTAGTCATGATTAAAGTAATTTCACTGCTAGCCATACCATGAGAGATGAATTAGAAAATTAGGGGGCATGAGATCGTATTGAAATATTATAATGACAGAGGACTCAATGATGTGCCTGCAGCTGAGTTGTAGATTCATTATCCGACATAACAGCAATATCTGTCTGCACCTGGATATTCAGCGGCAGCTCATCCCCAAGGAAATTCCTCTTTCCACCAGCATAGATAGCAGACTGCATCTTCATATACTCCGGATCCGGCGAAAGCGGACTAGTCTTAGACAGTATATGTGTATTGCTGATATCCGTATTGATATAGTAAGGCGCATTGCTTCGGTTGGAACGATTCTTGAGTTTGAAGGCCGGGAACAGTCCACGAACTATAGGGAGACAAGAACATATTAATCCAACAGATGGCTCAATATGAGTCCAAAGCGTAGCTTGGTAGACAGTATAGTTTGGATCGCTGGGGCTGATCCAGAATAGAACCACAATGCGATAGATACTGGCGAAGCAGACAAAAGCGCCTAGTGCGAAGACACCATTGAGGGCCAATTTGTCTTGCCACGCACGGTGGAGGCCCCAGATCATTGGGACAGGGAGAGCGAGTATCACGAAATCCATTAGCACGTTGAAGGCTTGATTGACAATGAAAAAGAGATTCGCGTTGAAGCAGTGGCCCTCGATGCTTTTATCCCAGTATGCGCGCAAAGGTCGGCATTGACCGGCACAGGCTAAGAATATACCTGCACCCCAGGCAGCGATGAGACAGTTAAGACCAAATGTGAATCTTTGAAATTGGCATGTGGCGAATACTCGGCGGTAGAAGCAGATGATGGATATTTTGATCGAGGGACACAGTACGAAGTAGGTGAATTGATTTGCCAGGAAAATCTGGAGGAAAGAAATTGATGTTAGATCTTGCACATGTGTGCATGAAAGCAAAAAGTATATCATACCTTGTAATAGTTTTCAATCGTTTTGCTATCCAGTGTTTTGACATGGGCGCCATTTCCTCCAATTGTACACCCTGAACGGTATCGTTAGCCAAGAGCTCAGAGCAAGAGTTAAACCGCTGCAACTCACACAAAACCAATTCAATCAACATAGCCAGCATCAACACCATTGATAGCATGCTGAGATAGTCATCGATTCCCAGTCCAACTCTTCGACGCAGGCGAGCAAATACACGCAGCCCCACACAGATGACACAAAGAGCGACCAATACCACGACAATCTCGATCATCTCCCAGCCTCTCGCACTAGAAGCCATGGGTAGCAATAATCAACACAATGCGATAGAATCACAATGGGAGGCAAGGGAGCCTGAAAATAATGAATGAACGACGCCTGGGGAATCTCCAAATTGTGCTTCCGTCATGACAATTATAGGACAGGCGATAATTAACCCGACACACTGGAAACTTGGTTATCTGCAAATCGGTGGCTTGATGGCGCCTCTCCACGGTCGATCATTCACCCAGCTAGTACACGCCGCCGAGATGGGATGTACTTACGATGTCGCGTAGAGAGTGGATCCCACTAGATTCCAAGTCTGGATCGAATAGGCTCTGGCAGGGATTGACCCTGAGCGGATTTCGTTTGTGTGGTTCGCCGCGTATAGCGCTGCCAATCATCACCTAGAAAGGAAGGCTACGGCGGCGACGATTTGGAGAGACAATTAAATGACACATTCTTTCGTTGTGTACTTGGTTTCCAAAGTTTTTTGGAGTGGAGAGTGGAGGCCGAGAGATCCATATGTCGATCTTCCATATTCGATTGATCCTCAGGATATGGTAGTGGATCCCGGTACTACTTTGCGTAGTAATTTCAAGCTCAAATCTTCTGTGTTCTCTAGTATAATCGTGAAAAAGCGTAAATTTCATGTAAACAAACCAATAAAATGCCAACATTAGAACTTGCAAGCATATGATCCACGTAATAAATGAGACAAGTCCTCACGCCGCGCTTCGCGCGGCACTGTAATAGGTGTGTTCACATCCCCTCAGACAGGGAATTTTACTGGCACTTACTTAATTACAGGGCTCAGTCAGAAGCATCTAGAGGTGACTGATGACCTACATCTCTTTTTATGTAAGTACCTACGGGTTTACCTACGGGTTTACCTGAAGGTGAAGGAAGGTTAGCTGCTACATGTACATAGGTTGATATAGGCAACTGGCAGCCCTAGAGATAAGCTGTAGGCTGATTCTGCCTCTCTCCTTAGAGATTATGATAGGCGATAAGTAGAAATGCAGGATCCCAGGGAGTAAAAGAGCTCTATCTACACTATTCAACGACATGCTCATACATACGGAGTAGAACCTTGGAAGCTGCTCAAGGAGATAGAACTGAGATCTATCACCTGTAGAGATCTTGAAGCAAGAAAGAGGCCGAAGACCTTCTTTTCTCTATTTTGCTTGTCTTGTTGATTCAAAAATCCAGGGTTCAGGCACTTGGGTGGAGCCTCAGTGCTTCAGGTAAAGAGAATGGGTCCCATAACTGTGGGGCCGACTATTGAATGTCAAAAAATTCTTCACGGAATGAGAGCTGTGACCCCTGGTTCCAAGGTTAGATCTTGTATTTATACTCCGAAATAATCTATTGGGCTCAACGCCACCAGAGTCAATTTTATGTGAAGTATGTAACGTCGGTCAAGATATTCCGCAATGAAGGAGAGATAGAGTCGCACATGCATCATGGAGAACACAACTTGAACAGATTACCGTCGCAAATCAAAAGAAAGACTGAAGTTTGAAGTTAATGGAATCTTGGAAAGGATTTTCATGTTTGTTCATTTCGAGTAAAGAGAAACAACTAGTTTGTGGAAACAAAGTCCTCAATCAGAAATCAGGATAATTGAGATACAATTCTGGGTAACGATCACCGCCACGATCTACTCCAACTCCCTTATCCAACCAGAATCAAAATTGCCTAAAACTGGAGTCCAACATCTCCATTGTGGGTCTAGCCAAGGGTCAGACATCGCCGCATTGCTGGAGGTCCACGCACGCAGCTCCCGAGCTTCTTTCTCATATTCTTCCAGCTCCCATAACGAGAAACACATAACGAGAACCAGAAAGGATGGCTAATATCTCAGTTCCGCTAATTATTAATGGCAAAGAGGAGTTCTCCTCAACAACATTCGACGTTATCAGTCCCTACACTAACCAGCCATGTTGGTCCGCTGCGGCAGCTACCACGCAAGATGCAGTACGAGCCGTCGAGGCTGCAGACGCTGCATTCCCAGCTTGGTCGCAGACCAAACCCACCGCCAGACGAGATATCTTGCTTAAGGCGGCTGATCTCTTAGAAGAACGATTGGAGGTGAATGCGAAGTATATGCGCACTGAAATGGGTGCAGATGTGGGTGCGTCGCAGGAATTTGTTGTACCGTTGGCCATTCGAATGTTGCGCGAGGTCGCTAGTCGCATTACTTCTATTTGTGGAAGTGTGCCTGTTGTTGAGGCTGATGGACAGAGTGCAATGGTCTTTAAGGAGGCTATGGGTGTTATTTTGGGAATCGTACCATGGTGAGTTCAATAACAATTGGGAGCCAATGCGGCGATGACAGAGGGGATTCAATATTCACTCGATATTGAGATAGCCATCACGAATAACTCGCTTTCTTCCCTGGTCAAAAGAATGACGCTAATCCATACCAATGTCCTGCAGGAACGCACCTTACGTTTTCGGTATCCGATCTGCTGCATGCGCCCTCGCAGCTGGAAATACCACCATCGTTAAATCCTCAGAACTTACGCCACGCTGCTACTGGGCTATTGGTCGCGCATTCGAGGATGCAGGCCTCCCAGCTGGTTGCCTGAACATCATCCACTGTCGCCCTCAAGACGCACCCGAGATAGTGAACGCCATGATTGAGCACCCAGCTGTGCGCAAAATCAACTTTACTGGAAGTACGGCTGTAGGCCGAAAGATTGCGCGTGCATGTGGACAAAATTTGAAGCCTTGTTTGATGGAATTGGGTGGGAAGAATAGCTCTATTGTGTGTGCGGATGCGGATATGCAGACTGCTGTACAGGGAGTTCTTGCAGGTACTTTCTTGAATGTAAGTTATCTCCGGTCTTGCATTCTTACGTTCGAAATGATCTCTGTATTGGTGTCTAACTTTTGGTCTTGCTGCAATATCAGTCTGGTCAGATTTGCATGGCAACAGATCGTATCCTCGTTCACTCATCTATTGCCCCTGCCTTCATTGAGGCCTTACAAAATGCCCTCGCCGCCGGCGCAGATTCCTCCTCTCTTCCACCTACACTTGTCAATACTGCTTCAAAAACCCGTGTAGAGGCTCTCATCACCAGTGCTGTGACCGCTGGTGCACATTTTATTTCCGGCTCTGCAGAAACCAAGGTTTCCTCTGACTCCGGTGTGCGCATGGTGCCGTCCATCTTGGGCGGCATGAAAGAAGATATGCCTCTCTGGCAAGAAGAATCATTTGCATCTGTCGCTGCCTGTATGACCTTCGACAGTGAGGAGGAAGCTATTCGACTAGCCAATAGTAGCGGGTATGGGCTATCTGCGGCGGTCTTCACGGAAGATCTACGAAAAGGCTTGGCGATGGCTAAGCGGATTCAATCTGGGTAAGTTGAGATCTGGTTTTTCTGTGGATTATGGCTGATTATTTTGCAGAGCGGTGCATATCAATAGCATGACCATTCATGATGAGCCGGTGCTGCCGCATGGTGGTGTGAAGAATAGTGGATGGGGTCGTTTTAATGCTGCAGAGGGATTGAATGAATTTTTGGTGACGAAGAGTGTTACTTGGATGGACTAGGTTAATGGGTTTCAAGGCTCAAGTTGGAGCTATGTGGTGATCAAGGAAGGTAGAGCAGGTATTTTGGCTGCATTATACTCTCCAGCGTTTAATCTTTGTCAGGAATATTTGATCGATATCTGCTGAATATGATATTATAATATTTGGAATCCAAAGTACCATTCAAAGCAATTCAAATGTTTGGCGGTGTATCTCTTTCTCAACTGTGGAAGGTGGAGCCGCTGAAGGTTGTTCGTAGTCGTTAAATGATATGTGAATAGCTGTATTTCAAGTTGATCACGGTCATAAGACGCAAATTGGTTCCATTGGTCCTTTGTTTGGATTTTCTCATTTCTTGTTGTGTTTTCCTCGGGACTCCTTCGTTGTTTGATATCCCGATTGTGCTGAGCTCGCCATAGAGCTGTACTCGGTCGAGGCCCTCTCGGGACACATTAACCCGAGATTCGGGTTCCAGTCACCGAGAAGTAAGCCGTGTCTGCAGCCAACGCAGCATCTGGTCGCGAGAAGCATCAAAGTGGGGGGGGGAAGCACAGTTATATGGATTTGAGTATGAAATGTGTACCTGAATAATAAGATCAAAGAATGAATTCCGTCGGCAATTGACTCTTCTTTCTTCAGCAGATCAAATGATGTCATGGGGATCCACAAACAGTAATTCCGAACCCCGGATTTGTTGGACCAATTAAGCGTCGGTTAATGCTCAGCGGCATTTGCTTTTACCAGATAGGTGTGTTATAGATCCATAGTAGACATAGTAAATCTATTATAGTCTGAATATTCAAAGAATGAAACAAAGAAAATAACATGAAATTTTGATGGGTTTCTGTTCTTTATGTAAATTAGTATGGTATGATACCGCCTCGGGATAACGGGAGTACATTCTCGGTCCTTTTGGCTGTAATCCTGTTTGTAACCCGAGGCTCACACCCTCGGTCCAGACTCAGCTCTGCAGAATACATACTAGGGAGTAATAGAAAGAAAGATATAGATTACTTGTTCGATATGCAAATATTGAAGTAGAATTAGATAGCTCAGTCTATCTATACTCATTCTGAATCTCATGCAAGAATTCCACCATGATCCGTGCTCTCAGTCTCTTAGTAGCTCAATCATGATCATGAGACCAAATCTTGGAATGACGCATGTGAAGATGACTTACATCACTCTCCTAGCTCAGAGCTTGACAGTCCACATTAGTAGTAAAGTAAGATTTACCACATATTATCATATATTATGTACTCTCCATGAATATCTAGATCATCCACATGTGATTGTCTTTTTGCGGAGTATCATCAAACTGAACAAACCAGCGTCCTCCCATTACTGTAACCCCCGGATCCACACCTTTTCCCCCACGCTTTCTGCTTTCTGTGCCTCGGCCGATAGATCTTGTCGGCTTCTGAGTTGCTCGGTCCCGTTCCTTTTAACTCGTCTTCCCCCTACCACATCTTCTTCTCCTTCCACAGTCCATCTTATTTTCTCTCCCCCTTTCTCCCTTCCATATTCACAAACATGGCAGCCCCCCAAGTAATTGTGGTCGGCGGTGGCCGTAAGTTACCTTCCCCGCATATCATCATCTGGCAATCTTACCTGGAACAATGAACATGACTGATTTATTTTGTGTATTCCAGTTTCTGGTCTTAGTGCTGCTCACACTGTCTACTTAAACGGCGGTAATGTCCTCGTTCTGGACAAGCAAGGTAGGCTATGAACATCATTCCTCGGTGGCGAAGGGGCCGAAATGTTGACTCCTAGCGTTTCCCCAGCTTTCTTCGGTGGCAACTCAACCAAGGCCACCTCCGGAATTAACGGTGCGCTCACCCGCACCCAGACCGACCTCGGTATCGGTGACAGTGTCAAGGCCTTCTACGAGGATACCCTCAAGTCCGCCCGTGACAAGGCCCGTCCCGACCTGATCAAGGTCCTCACATACAAGTCCGCTTCCGCTGTTGAGTGGCTGCAGGATGTCTTCAACCTCGACCTCACTCTGGTCTCCCGTCTGGGTGGCCACTCCTTCCCTCGTACCCACCGTGGCCACGATGCCAAGTTCCCCGGTATGGCTATCACATACGCTCTTATGCAACGCCTAGAGGAGCTTGCCGAGACCGAGCCCGGTCGTGTCCAGATCGTCAAGAAGGCAAATGTCACCAAGATCAACAAGTCTGGCAACCACGTGAGTGGTGTGACCTACACACTTAATGGCGAGACCAAGACCGCCGATGGTATCGTCGTGCTGGCCACTGGTGGTTACGCCGCTGATTTTAGCGACACTTCCCTGCTGAAGAAGCACCGTCCCGATACATTCGGTCTGTCTTCCACCAACGGCACCCACGCCACTGGTGATGGTCAGAAGATGCTGATGGAGATTGGTGCCAACGGCATCGACATGGACAAGGTCCAGGTTCACCCCACTGGTCTGGTGGACCCCAAGGACCCCGGCGCCAAGTTCAAGTTCTTGGCTGCTGAGGCCCTGCGTGGTGAGGGTGGTCTCCTGTTGAACTCTGACGGTCAACGATTCTCCGATGAGCTCGGTCACCGTGACTACGTCTCTGGCCAGATGTGGAAGGAGAAGGAGAAGGGCAAGTGGCCCATTCGTCTGGTGCTGAACAGCAAGGCCTCCAAGGTCCTGGACTTCCACACTCGTCATTACTCCGGCCGTGGTCTGATGAAGAAGATCACCGGCAAGGAGTTGGCCAAGGAGATTGGCTGTGGCGAGGCTGCTCTCAAGAAGACCTTTGATGAGTACAACCTCATTGCTGATGGTAAGAAGCAGGACCCTTGGAACAAGAAGTTCTTCCACAACCTGCCCTTCAGCCTTGACGATGATTTCCACGTTGCCCTTATGGAGCCTGTCCTTCACTTTACCATGGGTGGTATCGAGATCAACGAGCACGCTGAGGTTCTCAACGGCGAGAAGCAGCCCTTCGAGGGTCTCTACGCCTGTGGTGAGCTTGCAGGTGGTGTCCACGGTGCTAACCGTCTGGGTGGCTCCTCCCTTCTGGGCTGTGTTGTCTACGGTCGTGTTGCCGGTGACTCCGCCTCCCAGCACCTCTTCCAGAAGTTGATCAACAACGGCTCTTCTGCTGCCCAGCACCGTCTGGGTCAGATCTCCCTGCACATTGATCCCTCCACGCCAGGAAAGATCTCAGTTGAGTGGGGTGGTGCTGCCGCCGGTAGCCTGCCTGCTATTGCTGCGGCCCCAGCTGCCGCTACTTCTGCTCCAGCTGCCGCTGCTCCCGAGGAGACCAAGGCCGATCCTGCCAACTTCCAGATTCCCGACAAGGAGTTCAGCATGGAAGAGATTGCCAAGCACAACAAGAAGGATGATCTGTGGATCGTCGTCAAGGGCATTGTCCTTGATGTGACCAACTGGCTGGATGAGCACCCCGGTGGTGCTAACGCCCTGTTCAACTTTATGGGTCGTGATGCTACTGAGGGTAAGCGATATCCCATATAAATTTCTCATTCAATGCAACATTTTACTAACCTCTTATTAGAATTCGCTATGCTCCACGACGACGAGGTCATCCCCAAGTACGCTGCCCAAACTGTCATCGGCCGCGTCAAGGGCCAGACCCCTAGCCTTGAGCTGTAATGCATGTCACAGCATACATCTGATTGAAAATCTTTCCGATTCTACGACCTCAACATACCCCACCTGTCTTGCCTCTTTTGATTGCTTGCGTTGCTATCATTCCATACCATACCTCATTAAATACCGATCTCAGCCTTTGCGGTCTAGATCTTCACTCCGGCGTCGCTGCGACCTCTGAGTCTGGAGTAATTGATGGTCTTATGTAACATACCATTTAGTTTGGAATTTATTCATTAGAATGATTTTTACCTTACATGTCCAATTCGGGATTGGCATCGCTTTTCACCTTAAATCACTACCGATGGAGGCTACGTAGATTTGGTCTTCATTTTAGATTTCTGAGATTGGAAATATCTCCCAAATCATAACAGAATGTTTAGATGAGGTCCGGCCGCTGTTTATCAGGCGTCGTAACAGGGTAGCCTTTAGACCAACATTGGTACTTCCACATCAATCCAGTCAACATCCACTACTTAACATTCTAGGCAGCCTTTTCAGCCTGTCACTCAACTCTCTTCAGACCCCTCATTATCTTCCTCTCAGCCCCCTCTTCCCTCACTGGGTTGGTGACGCCCGCCGCGCAGAGAAAAACGCAAAAGTTGATACCTTTTCGTACGGATGGATGACAGTGCCGGATAACCTGGATCGTTCATCATTCAAAGTGGTGGAAATTGCCTCCCGGATGTATGGCCATGACAACGCCCATCCAGAGTTTGAAGTCATTATGCGACCTCGGAGCTAATAACACCCATACTAGGTTACGTGATGATCTTGAATCAGGGTTATGAACCCACGCCCGAAGCCACGCCATATAATCATGAGGCAAGGTTTTTGAGATCAGAAATCTCTCTCACTTCTGCTTTAGTTATATCTCACTTTAGTTATCTCTTAATTTAGCTATCTCTTACCTGCCAGTGGGCACTTTAGATATTGATATGTAGGGCTGGCAGTTGTCTATATCCAAGTACTAGTAGATATCAGTTAGCCTTCCCCTCCAGGTAATCATATAGGTAACCGTGTAGGTACTTGCATACAAAGAGGTGTAGCTCATCACTCACCTATATCCATACGCTACTGACTCCCGAGGTCGGACTGAGCCCTGTATTTATGTAAGTATTTGGACATCCCTATCTGAGAGGATGTAGACAGCTGGCCAAGCACTCGCGTGCTGAGGACATACATTCCCAATTTCAAATGCTCGCTGCTTCACTGGCAGTGCCACGCGAACTTAGATACCCGGTGGCATGGATATTCAGTGCTTATCACAGATGACAACCTTGAGCAGTGTAATCCAACATTTGAATCATGTGCCGGGTAGATAGCTTCGGCAACGACGAAGTGATCCCTGGATTGAATCAGGGGAACGGTATAAGAGTGACTCGGAATTTGTATATCAAAGTAGTAATCTGGGTATAAATATGTGATGATACAGAAATACTAGCTAGTATTTCCGATAATTCTTCGAGTCATGTCCATCTAGTAATACATCAGATCATGGTTTCCAATATCAATCTGAATTAACTCATTGAGTATACATGAATCAGGACAATTTCTCAAGCCTTCATATGCTTCAGAATCATCTTCAACCGTCGAACAGCAGGACCATCCTCATAATCTTCCTCGCTTTGTTTATTTTCCTCCATCTCTGTCTTAGCAGCTTCAAGTGCCGGACGTAGATATCCCCATACCTCATCATGGTATCGCTCATGAACACTAACCCAATCTTCTGCGCCTGGAAGGTTCGCAAGAACATCATCACGGAGGAATGTGTTTACTCCTGCGGTTTTGATTCCGTGGGATTGAGTGTATCCAGCAGGATCATTTTGTTGGAGAAACGTATCGATATCCGGGACGAGACTTAAGGATGAGAGTTGCGGATTCGAGGACACAGGCAGTGTAGATGGAATGTTACCGGCGTTTTTCTCTTGAGCGATTTCTCGTCGGAAGGATTCCAAGAGCTTGATCTCTTCTGTCGTTAGAGGTGGAGGCGCAGCATCCGGATCCAAATCTAAATCCAAAACTGGATTAAACTCCGTAATGAAGCTAGCATCAAATGATCTATCAGATAAGAGCGATACAACTGCTGCACCGTCTGTGTCTGCAGTACTTGACAGCGTATCTACGCCGGTTTTCGCATTCGCTCGTTGCCATGCAGTGGTGTACTCCCCTTGTATAGGATCTTGTGCACGCTGTTTCCCTTTCCACTTCCCTGCGCCGGGGGACTGGAGACTCTCAGCACTCGATCGGGCACCGGTACCAGTACTTAGGTCTGTAGATTCCTGTGCTTGTGCCAATGCATCCTCATACCCATATTCATTCTGGAATTTCTCTGCGCTCAATGCTGGAATCGAAAATCCGCCTTGTACAGCTCCATCTCCACGAGGGTCATCCGTTGTATTACGGAACCCATCTTGGAGTGCTCCAGTACTAGTGCTTTGTCCCAATGCGCCAGAACCAGAGCCTCTGGTTTCTTGGCTGACTAGGTAGCCTGTACCTGTACTTGGCCCTGAAGCCGGACCCGAACCAGCCTTGCCATTTATCGAATCAGATAATACATGCGCTGCACCAGAATGTGGATTCTGAGCCGAGAATGCGCTGCGCGCAAGGCCCGTCGCGGAGTTCTGGACGCGTTGCGCAAGGGAGGGCTGTGCCGAAGTCGGGGCGGGATTCGAATTCGAGTCTAGGGGAATGGAGGGGGAATTGTTTTGATTCGATGGCGATATCGATATAGAGTCAAGTTGTGAGGGTGGGCTTATGGGCGCGTTTACGGGAGGGATTGAATTGGGCGTGCCGGTGCGGGTATTCGTGTTGCGGGTACCCCGCATGTTCTCCGTGGTGTCAGACATAGCTTCAGAGCTGTATTTGGTCTGGTTGAGGGTGTTGATAGTGTAATATAGTCCGTAGGGATTGAATTAATCAGGAGAGGAGGGTTCGGAGTAGTTTTGGAGTGGATTTAATGTAGGAGACATTATTCTGTAGGCATTTGGGGTTGAGTCTGACTAGGTAGTAGTAGTGGACTCTCGGATTAAGGGTTCGGACGAAGTAGGAAGGGGAGCATGTGAAGAGACGCTAAGTGGAATATGCATGTGGTTCGGATGAATGGGATCGCATAGCTGATCAGTTTCATATTGTAAGAGAAGAGAGATATATCACTTGGTAAGATATGCCCAATGTCTATAAGTTTGGTGTCGATTGGTGCACGTGTAAGAATGAGATTCTCTGCCCTTGGGCATCTACGGGTTCTTTCAAATGTTATCCACGGCCCAGTCGAGATCGTGATGGTAATAGTCAACTGACGGGTTATAATTGATCTGGAGATGATGGCATTCATGATTGGGATAAAACGTCCTATGGACACTTATCCATTAGATAGAAATTTATGGCGAGGTTAGGTAGAAACTTGAAGCACTGGCGTAAAGATATAATATTGAGCAGTTTGGACCATAAGGCCGGTCATCCCGAGATATATTACTGGATTCCCCATACTAGTACTAGTAGTATCTTCAAGTTTACTAATGGAAGTCATTTTAACCGACCGCTGAAACCCAAGATATTCTGAGATTCGAGGTATATCTGGATAATTTGTATAATCCAGATCGAATGAGCAGGTATGAGCGCACTATTTGATCCTTAAACCTTGGAAGCTCTGGATTCTTTGGCCCCGACAGAATGACGACAGAGGCGGGACATCAGCATTTGAGCCTGCAGCTTCCAGGATGGCACGCCCGCACTTCATCTATAATATAAGAGTTTCCAGAGACTGCAGCATGCATGTTCTGACCCCTTGGGCAATTGATTGGCAGCTTTCAATATTGTCAGTCCTTGCTAGGGACCTGCTTTGGGCAATGTTACAATCGCTGGATAAGTGTTGATGTCAGCATTGTCTGGATAGAGAACTTTTTTCTTTCTTTATATTTTCCCTTTGACTTACCTTTAGTTAGATATCAAAGTATTTTGATATTAAAATCTGCAATTTCATTCCGATGACCCAGAGATCATGATTAAATACGAGATATTATAAAAGAAATCCTCCAGTATCCGTGGAGCGTGTAGCGGTGGGAAACGTACACCGTAGGGTACAGCATCCCAATGATTCCCCACCTATGTCTTCTTTTTGGTTTCTTGGGAGGGGTAAAAAAAAAAGAGGAAGAAGAAAAGAAAGAGATTAATAGAATTGAAATGTAAAAAAACTAAAGAAGGGATAGATCTTCTAAGAATAAAAAAAATTAATCATGATAAAATCTCTCTAATATCTCAATGATCCCCTCTCAAGCTCTTCTGGCGGGCCCACTCATAACAACCGGGTCGTTTGCTCCCCTCCAAACCCATCTAACTTCCCCCCTCTCCTCCATCCCGCAACTTCCAACCACCTTTGAACTCTTTTGGCGTCAACTTCCAAAAGAGATACACGGCTCTTTCAGCCTTCACCTCCGTCTTCGGCTGTTACCTCCCTCTTCTCCTCCCACTATCGCGCTCTTCTGGTCATCGGGCCCCTCGCCTTAACCTTCTCCGATCGAAGTGTAGACCCGATTGCCTTCGCCAGTCTTTAATCGTCATTCCGGTCGCTTTCATTGCCTTTCGTCCAACCAGTCTCATTCTGTCACCCATATTAACTTGCACCAAGTGATTCACTTTTGTTTTTTCCTGCATCCACAAATAGAGCTTTCGGACTCAACGTTTTGCCTGCTCTTTTTTTCCTCTCTTCAAACCAACCATCTTCGTCTTCTTCCGTCTCTTGCCCTTTCATTTGCGATCAAGGGCGATCCTAGAACGAAAAGATGGTAGACAGAGATCCAGGAACACCTACCTGGAAGTTCACACAGTGAGTTGCGGATGTGACAAGAGGGTGAAGGTGGAAGTCCGGATGACTAGCCCGGCAGCCCACCTCTCTTGAATTTTCTAATTCAGAATACACAAGCTAACTTTTGTCAATAGATGCTTTGGTGATAAAGGTGATGTAGAAGATATCACAGAAGGTACCCTTGTCTTGCATCTCGAGTCATTGCCATGAGCTGATTGGCTGATATGTACTCTTTCTACAGCGGATATCATTTCGACCGTTGAATTCGACCACACTGGAAATTATCTAGCTACTGGAGATAAGGGTGGACGAGTGGTCTTGTTCGAGCGGAATGAGACGGTGAGTACCTGCTGCCCCAATCCCTTTTTTTCTTCCCGAAGTTTTTTCTAGTACCCACCCGGACGGCCTATTCTGATAACCTGTGTTTTCAACCACCAGAAAAAAACCTGCGAGTATAAGTTCCATACTGAATTTCAGTCGCACGAGCCGGAATTCGACTACCTCAAATCCTTAGAGATCGAAGAGAAGATCAATAAGATAAAATGGTGTCGCCGACAGAATTCATCACACTTCCTCCTTTCGACTAACGACAAGACCATAAAGCTGTGGAAGGTGTTCGATAAGTCCTTGAAAGTGGTCGCCGAGAACAACCTATCAAATGAGATGACACCTTCTGTCCCAGTGGGTGGCCTGCCTCGAGCGCCCCGGGGAACTTTCAAAGATGCATCCGCGCTGAAGCTCCCTCGCTTGACACACCATGACACTGTTGTGGCCGCTGTTCCACGAAGAACATATGCCAATGCTCATGCTTACCATATAAACAGTATCTCTGTGAACAGCGACGGAGAGACCTTCATCAGCAGTGATGATCTTCGTGTCAACTTGTGGAATCTCAACATCCAGGACCAGAGCTTCAACATTGTGGATATCAAGCCAGCGAACATGGAGGAGCTCACAGAGGTTATTACGGCTGCAGAGTTTCATCCAGTGAGCTGTAACTGGTTTATGTATGCCAGTTCCAAGGGTACCATCAAGCTTGCCGATATGCGCCAGCGCGCGCTTTGCGATGAGCACTCCAAGCGTATGTTTCGATTATCAGTGAAAGTCCTATTTCATTCATACTAACGCAACTTTTGATTTTTTTTTAGAGTTTGAACAGGAAGAAGATGCTTCATCGCGGTCTTTCTTCTCCGAGATCATCTCCTCCATCTCCGACGTTCGATTCTCACATGACGGCCGCTACATTGTGTCCAGGGACTACTTGACTGTGAAGATTTGGGATGTGAACATGGAGCGTCAGCCGGTCAAGACAATCCCCATCCATGAGCACTTGCGGCCGCGTCTCTGCGATACCTACGAAAACGATAGCATCTTCGACAAGTTTGAGGTGGTGTTCTCTGGTGATGCAGAGAATGTAATGACGGGCAGCTATAACAACAACTTCATGATTTACCCCACAGAGGAAGAAAAGGATACAGAGATTGTGCTGCAGGCAGACAAGTCGGCATTCAAGGCGAAGAAGGTCGGCGTGCCTACACCAATGAACAAGGGCAATGGAAAGAAGGCTGGTTCTCGATCTGGAAGCCCTGCAGGACCTGGTAGCCGGATGAAGAAGGAGACCGATGCAGACCAGATCGACTTCAACAAGAAAATCCTGCATATGAGCTGGCATCCATTTGAGGATAGCATTGCTATTGCCGCTACAAACAACGTAAGTTATACCGGACGCTCTCCCTTGCACATTCCCCAGATCTATGTACTAACTATATCCCTAGCTTTTCGTCTTCTCTGCCCTGTGAGCAAATTTTGGCAACAGGATCATACAAACTTTGTTTCTCTCTTCATGGACAGGCGCATCTTCGGAATGGGGTCGGGTAGCTGGTGGCTGGTGGAGCGGAGGATCTGGCAAGAAGAAAGAAAGAGAGAGCGCAAGAGAACAAGGACACCCCAAAATCAAAATAATGGCCATAGCAGCAAGCCACACGCTCCGTAATCTCATTAACACTTTCCATTTCATTTTTCTTCTCTCTTCCCCTGTTTCTCGTTTCTCGGTCCTCAGGATAGCCGACAGAGAGTCCCCATTTCCTATCTGTTTTCTTCTGCTGTTCTGTGAACCCGTTCTTGTCTTCCATTCCCTCTGGTGTGTATGCAGCTATTTTACTTAGGTACCTTGAAGGCGTTGCGCAGGGCGCTTCATGATAGAGAATGTCAAGTCCATTTAGGACATACTATCTGATCCAAGTTTGGTGGTGTTAGGGGTTATCTGTGGACATATCTTCTCCCGTAGATAGTTGTGGGGAATGCGAAGTCACTAAAATGAGGGCTCTTTCTTTCTTTCTTTCCAAATTGGAAAAGTTCCTTTTCATTCACGTTACTTAATTCACTACTAACACTATCATGATTTTCCTTTCCAGTGAATACACTATCTTTTGCTTGTGTATGACTGAGTGAATACGCAATAGCCTGCAGATTTCGGCGAGTTTTTTCTGCCCAAAGTAACAGCCGATGACGAAGGCGGAGTGTATCATGCCGCTGTCAAATTACCAAAATGGTACAAAAAAGACGAGAACGGTTCCATTTTCCCTCGGTGAAGCCCCGGAGTTTAGCAAACTTACCGTATTCCTGGCAATACTCGGATCATTCAATGGCCGATGTCCCAGCGGCTATACTGCATTAGGGTTAGTGGAAGACAGTCAAGAAACCCTTCACTGGATACAAGCCGTCGCGCGCGCAATCCTTATCCTCCATTTAATCAACCTTCTTACTTGCAATCTTTTGCACACTCCTCGCCCTCTCCTCTTCTCTATTACGATCCTCTTCGACCTTAACCACCATCTCCTGCTTTCCCTACCCGTGTTCATAATGAACACGGGGAACGATAACTGGCACCCGGCGGGTGGGCCACCGCCGCACCCCAACCTTGATCAAATGGGCCAGGGGCCTCGGTCGCTGGGCTCATTTGGGTAAGCATTAGACCCCATTTCATGAAGAGATCAATTGTGCTAACTATATGTGACAGCCAAAACCCACCGCAGCAAGGCCAAGCTAACCAGGCCTCCGGCCCTGTCCTCCCTCCTCCCTCAGGTTAGCTCTTTTCTCCACCCTCAGCACACTTTGAAACATCATTCAGAGAATGCTTTCGTCTGTTTGGAAGAATGCTTTACCATGGGATGTATAGACTAACGTTCGCGCTCGGCAATTTAGGACCGTACCCCGGTGGTCACTCCCTCCCGGGTCTGGCAGAGCTGAGCCAAACACATGGCGCTCCCCATCAGCCTCAAGCCTACGGCCAGCATGGACCCGCAGGTCATTCCCTTCCCGGCATTGGCCAGGCGATGCAACATGCATCCCCCCAGTCTTTGAACCGCGAGCGAGAGCGGGACTCTCGAGAGCGCGATATCATTGAACGCCAGCGCCACGAAGAAATGGCCCATCGAGAGCGCGAGCAGCGTGAACGGGAACAAATTGAACGCCAGCAGCGCGAACACCATCCAGTCCAAAGTCACCCGGGATCGATCCCTCTCCACCAGCCTGTCGCGTCGAAAGTTCAGAATTCGATCCACGGCCCCAACGGTCTTTTGTCTAATCTTGGCTCGAATGCTCCCAACGCTCCTCAAGGAACTGTGCAGTCTTCCGGTGGACCCGCAAGCCTTTTTGGCCCACAAATGCAGCATGGAGAAGGAACTCCTCGCTCATACATCCAGCACCCCGGTGCACCCCCAATGATGGGTGGTTACAGCGGCCCCGGACAGCAGATTCCAGGCAATGTTGCGGCTCTTGCCCAAGGACAACAGCCAATTTTAAATGCAAGTCACCCAGCGGGCTCCCAAGGACTCAATCCCGTTGACGAGAACCCTTATCTAACATATAATTTCGAGGTGCAGGACGCCCTCAGTTATCTTGACCAGGTCAAGGTTCGATTCGTTGATCAACCCGATGTGTACAACCGCTTCTTGGACATCATGAAAGATTTCAAGAGTCAGGCGTAAGTTTTTACCCCACCAATCCCATCTTTTATATTTTCCGTTTGTGCACCCAATCTGACTGTTTGTGTTTGATCATGCTAGAATTGATACACCCGGCGTAATTCAACGAGTTTCTACCCTTTTCAATGGTCATCCAGCTCTGATACAAGGGTTCAACACTTTCCTTCCCCCTGGATATCGTATTGAATGTGGTACTGAAGATAACCCTGATGCGATTCGCGTGACTACTCCCTCTGGAACGAATACCCTGAGTATGCCCCGCGCAGGACGCCCACTGGAACCTACCAACGATCTTGGACCTTCTGGGCTTGGACCTCATGGTCGTCAGGATTACTACGATCAATCCCGACCTGGCTGGCAGCAGACCCAGCAACAGCAGCCGCAACAGCAAGGCCTACCCGGATCATATTCTCCTGGTTCCCGAATGATGGCCCCCGCTATGTATCAGCCAGAAAGCCAAGCTTCTGCACCGGATAGTCACTATGGTTACCAAGGCCAAGAGGCCCAGGGTGCAGCTGCTTTAACCCATCAACAAGACCACCGTGGAGTTGCTCAGCTACAAGGTGCTGCCTCTGCTGCGTCTGGACTAGGAAGACCATCACTGCTACAAGTCTCTGGTGCCGCTCAAAGTGCTGCTCTCACTCAACCTATGAGTAGCTTGGCAGGTGTTGGAGGCATGTTGCAAGGTGGCCACGCCGATCTGAACAAGCGCGGACCTGTCGAGTTCAACCACGCCATTAGCTATGTCAACAAGATAAAGAATCGCTTCTCAGGCGCCCCAGAAATCTACAAGCAGTTCTTGGAGATCTTGCAAACATACCAGCGGGAATCGAAGCCTATTCAGGATGTCTATGCCCAAGTTACTCAGCTATTTAACACTGCTCCCGACCTTCTTGAGGACTTTAAACAGTTCTTGCCTGAGTCTGCGGCTCATGCAAAGCAGCAGCAGCAGCAGCAACAGCAAGCTCGACTTGATGAGGCTATTCCAGTCAGCAATATGCGAGGCGAGCCCATGGGTATGACTTCTCAGACCCCGAACCGCGACATGAAGAACATGCCTCCACTAGGCAACTTTAATGTCAAGGATCCATCCGCCAAGGAGAGCAAGAAGCGTCGAGGCGCATCTGGAGTAGCCGGATCTTCGATTTCAGGACCTTCTGGTGTGGATAGTTCCAGAATTCCAGAATCCTCTGTTCGTGCTCAGCCAGCTCAGTTCGGCCCTAATAGCAAGGTTCGTTCTCATCCTCGTTGTGATTTGAAAACGTTACAAACACACATCCTCTCCTTCTGGCTCCCTCAATTTCTATGTCACATTTTCTACTCCACTCTGAAGCGCGAGATTACTAACAAATTATCGTACAGAGACCTAAGCATTTCCACGGAAAACCTTCGGGCGCCGACATTCCCAATGTTTCTCCTACCCTAATTCCCGCTCTACCGGAGCCTATCCCTCCTTCCATGCTCACAACACCAAGCCAAGAGGAGATTGCATTCTTTGACCGTGTCAAGAAGTTCATTGCCAATAAGCAGATTTTCAGTGACTTCCTGAAGCTTTGCAATCTGTACACAAACGATCTCATTGATCGTTTCGTTCTTGTCAAGCGTGCTGAGGGTTTCATTGGATCCAATGCAGAACTGATGAGCTGGTTCAAGCGTTTCATGACTGTTGATGAGCCTGAGGACAAGGCAATCGACCCCAAGCCCAAGACTGAGGCTGGCATCGTTAACCTCGCTCACTGTCGATCCCTGGGACCTAGTTACCGTCTCTTGCCCAAGCGCGAGCGCCAAAAGGCATGCAGTGGTCGTGATGAGCTCTGCGTTTCCACTTTGAACGATGGCTGGGCGTCACACCCTACCTGGGCGTCTGAAGACTCTGGGTTTGTTGCGCATCGAAAGAACCAATATGAAGATGCCCTTCACCGAATTGAGGAAGACCGCCACGAATATGACCATCACATTGAGGCTTGTGTTCGCACCATTCAACTCATTGAACCAATTTGTCAACAGTTTTTGCACATGTCTGATGCTGAACGTGTGAGCTTCAAGCTGCCACCTGGTCTTGGTGGCCAGAGTGAGGCCATTTACCAGCGTGTCATTAAAAAGGTCTATGACCGTGTGCGCGGTGAGAAAGTCATTCGTGACATGTTTGAGCGTCCGTGCCAAGTCCTTCCGATTGTTCTCTACCGCCTGAAGCAGAAGCTGGAAGAATGGAAAGCTTGCCAGCGTGAATGGGACAAGGTCTGGCGCGAACAGATGCAGAGAGCATACTGGCGCAGTCTTGATCACCAGTCTATCACCAGCCGCGCAACCGACAAGAAGATTTTCGTGGCCAAGAACATCGCTCATGAATTTACGGCCAAATTTGAAGAGTCTCAAGTTCGACGGAAGAATGGGCTGACCGCACCCACTCATCAGGTTGAGGTAAAATTGGATGACCTGGATGTCCTGTTAGATACGACGCATCTTCTATGCCTGTACTTTGACCGCACCACATCTGGGTTCGGCACGGACCCTTCGCGTCTGATCAATTTCGTCAAAGACTTCATTCCCGTCTTCTTCGGTCTCGATCGAGAGCTGTTCCACGACTACATGGATGAGCTTATGGTTGGCTCTCCCTCTCCAGACGAAATGGATGACACTATTACTGCCGATGAAGCATCAAACGCCAGTCGAAAGGTACCTAACGTGCAAAAGCTGGCTTTACTGCATGATGGCCTCGAGAGAGCTATCCGCACTGGCAAAAAGAATAATGGTGTCACTCCTACCGTGAACACGCAATCGACTCCAGAACTTGGTCGCGCTGCGTCGGCAGCCGCGTCCGAACCTGAGGAGTCCTTCGATGTTGCTGAGCTGAAATGGATGGAGCACCCGGGTCAAGGCAATTTCAACGTTGAGCACGAGTACACTCTGAATGAGAAGTACAAAAAGACAGAGCATCACATGTACTGCAACCTTAACATTCTCTGCTTCGTACGAACTTTCGAGATTCTCTACTCTCGTCTTCTGCGCATCAAGCAACAGGAGGCTGAAGCTCACGAGCAAGTCCGCCGTGGTCTGCTGCCGAAACCCGCTCACGATCTCTGCCTGATTGACCGATTCCCGACCGACTTCTTCCAGGATGTTTCTCCTCACGCCAACTTGTACAAGCAAATTGTGCGCATGTGCGAGGAAGTGATCCGCGGTGATATTGACCAGATTCAACTCGAAGAGACACTGCGACGATTCTATATGCAAGGTGGATACCTGCTTTACAATCTTGACCGCATTTTCAGCTCCATTACGAAGTATGTCGCTTCGGTTTTCACGGGAGATTCTCGGGATCGTACCTCCGACATGGCCAACCTGTTCTTCAAGGAGCGCGAAAAGGACGAGACCACCCACCACCAAGAGATTCAGTATCGCAAGCAGATTGAGCGATTCATCAAGGAGGGTGACATGTACCGGGTCACATTCTACCCTGCCGACCGTCGAGTCACCATGCAAATCATAACCACCGAAGACTCTACTCTCGAGAACGATGACCTTAGCGCTGAAGCTCGCTGGTCATACTATGTCACAACCTACTCAATGCGGGATCCTACCGAGGGCGTGCAGTACTCCACCATGCGCGTTCCCTTCCTCAAGCGTAACTTGCCCGGCAAGCTTGATGAGGATGAAGAATACGACCGCTTCTACCGTCGCCTTCAGCACCACGATGGTCTCGTGATCCGTATCTGCGCCAATAACTACACCATCCTCTACCAGCCTTCCACCTACGACTGGTTCTGGCGCTCCACGGCTCCAGTACATGAGAAAGACGCTGATGCCGAAACCATTAAGGCCTTACAGGAAGAGCAAACCAAAGAAAAGACTACTCTGAAGGAGAAGCGCCATGATCGTTTCGTTGAGAAGTTCGTGAACAACCCTAACTGGGCCCGTGGTCTCAGCAAGGACCAAGTCGACGAATCTAACCAGCGTTTCCGCTCCTGGGTCAACGGTACACTGGATAACGCCGACGCCACCGGTGAGACTGAGCCATCCACTGAATCTGCTCCTGCGGTCAAGGAATCCTCAGAGCCCGTTGAGCAGCCTATGACTGCGGTCGAAGAGGAGAAGAAGGTTGAGCCTGAGGCCGAACCTGAGAAGTCTGAACCAGCTGACTCCGAAATGGTTGATGCCGAGATGGCGGACGCCGACCTTGACTGATCCATCCACATCTAATATTTCTCTGTTATTATTATTATTATTATCTTTCTTCATCTCCGATATTCATCTATTTCTTTTCCGCCAACGGAGAATCAAGTTATTAGGTTGTGGACCGATCATGGTCAAGGGGTTGATATGCATTCGCATATTGCGCGCATGGGACGGCGTCTACGAGAAATTGCGGTGATGAATTACGGGGTTTTGTTTGTTTTTTGACGTCCTTTTTGTGCTTCTTTATCTTTATTTTTTATTTTTTATTCTTATCTTGCAAGGAGTTTCTTCCTGCCATTCTTTTTTAGTAGTTGACATTAGTAAAATCAATCGTCAATTGATAATGGTTACTTCCAAGGTTTTGCTGACGGTTCCTGTTTCAACCTTATAATATCTTGTGGTCACGGTGGTTCGATTTATCATGTTTCAATTGATAAATTGAATCTCGATCCATTGAAGTACTAGTATTCAAGTGTCCCTACTCTGTAGCAGTTGAACTGCCTATGATTACACCTGCCAGTGATGACGTCCTTAAAAAGCTACTTAAAGCTGACAGATCATTCGGCACCTTTTCATCCGTTAGCAGATCCATATGTGATATCCGGATTGGAAGTGGATCGTAGGATGAAATACTAATTGCAAGTGAAAATTGGCATTAATGTATTCAATGTTAATTGTGATGGATGCTTTCCCCAGTCTGCCATGTATTCAAGCAGGAGAATCGAACCATGTACTCCATACGCGCTATTGAATCATGAATTGACTAGCGTCATAACATCAGGCCATTAATAAAGTATGGTACTATGTTTGTAGTACGTGGACATCGCGGAATAATATCTTGAGCCTGCAGATTTAGATGCCAGTGTAATTGTTGATTAATCTCGCAACCTAGTACTACCTAGTTCACTCTCAACCAGACCTATCAGGTGTATCAATGATGATAAAAAGCCCATCAAGCCACCCGGAAGCAAACTAGAAATTTGTAGATCAGATCTAATGATCTTGATTAATCTCGATTTTTCCCGCGCGCTTAGACAATAATAACTGATATACTATGGTTGACTCCATCGCAGCGGGTACCCGGCGGGCTGCGGTGTCCGGATGGGTATAAAATAGGGCTATCAGGGGCTCCGTGTGGCCGAGCAAGCTTAACCGATACAGTCCGAGACGTGGACTGATTAGGGGGTGGTCGGGCCGGATCCTCTTACCCAGATGGCCGATACGGCGAAGATAGAGATAGGGATCATGATAACGGGATCGAGATATGAAGTGAAGATTGAACTGTTTATTTTCTACGACTTTTTTGAGCTCTTTTCTACTTCCTTATAATCAATTTCGGGATATAATTCATGTAGATATTGTCATTTATGTGTATATTTCATGTTTTAATGTTGTATCATAATGGCCGGTTGCAGCATACCGAGCATCACCGAGTCGAATCCGAGTAAATTCCGAATGATGTCAGGATGAGATTATGACACTAGACCCAATCCGGGAGCATTGAGGCAACTGGGAACATCCATGTCAAATTGCAAGCAGCAGAAGACAGAGCAATAATGGGATTAAGGAGGATGAATTACCATATCAGCAGATATTATAGCTACAATTATAGGGTAATACCATATTCAATTGCCTTAAGATCCGGGGGTGCGGGGAATCTGCAAAATCCGGGGAGCGGAAGAGAATACATCCATATGCTGGCAATCCAGACTCTTTCCCTTCTCCCGGGTTCGTATCTTAGTAACTTTTGTGGAGCTTGTTCACTGTGGAGGAATTATTTCAATCCAGCTCTCGCCTCCCTGGCACTTCTTTTTCTCTTTCCTTTTTACTCTCTACCCTCTTTCTTCCAATTCCCCCTCTCCACTCCAAATTCAATCAGAATGGCTGCTTCTGCCCTCCTGAAGAGCCGCGTCCGACGCCCTTCTTACTTGAAGAAGTTGGCTAAGGCAGAGGATCTCATTGATCTGTTTCCTCATGGCTCGTATATCGGCTGGTCCGGTTTTACGGGTGTTGGATATCCTAAGTATGTGTGATGATCCACCTTTGTCTAGGAAGAAAAAAATTTGTGGAATGTTGGGGAATATCCCCAGCAGAAAACTGCGTCAATGATCCTAACAGATTGAATAGGATGGTCCCCACCGCATTGGCCGATCACGTCGAGAAGAATGGCCTCGAAGGTCAGCTGAAGTACACCCTCCTCGTTGGAGCCTCCTCTGGTGCGGAGACCGAGAACCGATGGGCACGATTGAACATGATTGAGCGTCGAAGCCCCCACCAGGTCGGAAAGGAGATTGCCAAGGGTATCAACAATGGACAGATTAAGTTCTTTGATAAGCATCTGAGCATGTTTCCCTCGGATTTGGTCTATGTATGTTTGTTCTATCTGTTTTGCGGAAACTTTAATGTGGCTGCAGCTGCGTGGGTTCGGGATTTCCCGCCGCGGAGCAACCAAAACGACGATCCCGATCGGCGAGCTAATCATCTTCTTAGGGTTACTACACATTAAACAAGCCAAGTAATAAGATTGACGTCGCTGTTATTGAAGCCTCTGCGATCACAGAATGTGGTGGTATTATCCCTGGTGCCTCGGTCGGCGCCTCGCCCGAGCTTGTCCAGATGGCCGATAAGGTCATTATTGAGGTGAACACCGCTAGCCCCTCATTCGAGGGTCTGCACGATATTGTCGGCTCCGACCTGCCTCCTGGCCGCAAGCCATACCTGGTTATGGCTCCTGAAGATCGTATCGGTCTCCCATACATCCCCGTTGATCCCGAGAAGGTCGTTGCGATCGTTGAATCCAACTACCCGGATCAGACCCAGCCCAACGCCCCTGAGGACGAGGGCTCCCAAGCTATTGCCGCCAACCTCATTGAATTCCTCAAGCACGAGGTTAAGCACGGTCGCCTCCCGCCTAACCTCCTGCCCATTCAGTCCGGTATTGGCAACATTGCCAACGCCGTCATCGGCGGTCTCAGCAAGGGCGGTGCAGACTTCACCAACTTGAAGGTCTGGACCGAGGTTCTGCAGGACTCTTTCCTGGATCTGTTCGACAGCGGCAATCTCGACTTTGCCACCGCTACCTCCATCCGCTTCTCCCCCGATGGATTCAAGCGTTTCTACGATAACTGGGAGAGGTACGCTGGCAAGCTGCTCCTCCGTTCTCAGCAGGTTTCCAACAGCCCCGAGATCATTCGTCGTCTCGGCTGTATTGGAATGAACACCCCTGTTGAGGTCGACATCTACGCCCACGCTAACTCGACCTGTGTCATGGGTTCCCGTATGCTGAACGGTCTGGGTGGTTCCGCCGATTTCCTGCGTAATGCCAAGTACTCCATTATGCACACTCCCTCTACCCGTCCCTCGAAGACCGATCCTACCGGTGTCAGTTGTATTGTTCCCTTCGCCACACATATCGATCAGACAGAGCATGATCTCGACGTTATCGTTACTGAGCAGGGTCTGGCTGATGTCCGTGGTCTGTCACCTCGCGAGCGTGCTCGTGTTATCATTAAGAAGTGTTCTCACCCTGACTACTACCCCATCTTGACTGATTACCTTGATCGGGCTGAGTTCGAGTGTCTGCGCAAGGGTATGGGTCATGAGCCTCATATGCTTTTCCAGGCTTTTAAGATGCACCAGAACTTCCAGGAGAAGGGTACTATGAAGATCGATTCTTGGGAGTAAGGGATCATAGGGATCTTTTCACTCGTTTTATTTCCTTTCTATTTGGTGTTGAGTATAAAATACTCTGGGATCGGGATATTGTACATATCATCAGCGTTCAAGTTTCTTTCAGGTATATCACTTTGTTAAATATCAATTTTCAATGTATCAAGATATGAAATCCATATGATCAAAGTTTTAATAAGTTGTTCAAGTTCAAGTTGATCTGGCACCTGGGAGATCTCCTCTGGTAACATTGGATGATGAGGTTTAGCACTGTATTCATTTCGAAAGAGTATATTAGCTAAGGCTCAACCTATCCATACAATAATTTTGAGCTCAAGAGGGTTCAATGTGAACGTAAATTTATTAAAATTGAGCTCTTGACCCTACATAGACCTTCGCAGTCAACTGGTTGGTATAAGTGTCGTATGCGGGCTGTGGGGTTGACGATTGTACTTCACTGAGAATCCGATAAGATAAGACCACGTGACCTATATGCAAAATTTTGGATTCCGAACACAATTTCTACCTCTGAGCAGTTTTTCGTATCGGAATATCTTTAAGCAACCTTGTGTATAATTCATCATGGCTGTTCAATTCTGTGAAGACTGTGGGCACTTGCTGCCAATTACAGCTGCTGACAAGATCCCCTGTACCCTGTGTGGAACAATGGCCAGAAGTATGTCGCGATCGCATCCCGAATCTCTTTCTTTTCTTTCGCAGCATTGAGCTAACTTCGGATTCCAGACGAACTCCTCACTTCAGTCCACGTCTCCTCCTCCGCAAACTTCCCCTCAAGACTCCGCACCAAGCTTCGTTCCCAGACCCAGGAGGTCAACCGCAAGGATCTCGGCGACGGCCCGATTACAGAAATCGAATGCCCCAAATGCTCACATCCCAAGGCTACTTGGACTGAGGCGCAATTGCGAAGTGCTGATGAAGGTAGTACTATCTTCTACTGCTGTATGGAGTGCAGACACAGGTATGGACGACAAGACAATCGCAACGTAGGTATGGAACCGAGGGTTAACATTTTATTAGATGGACCGAGAACAACTGATCTGTCCTGGAGTGGACATACCTTTTTTCGCCATACTTATATCTCGATGCTCAATTTTTTGGAGATCTTTTCATCTGGCTACAATCTGAATAGCCATTTTCACTTCGGCGTTTTGGGAATCTCTATATGCTTGGATGCTTGGACAATGACCGCCCCATTATTCACATACCTTGTTACACCTTGGTCCGTTCAAGGATCTTCTCCTTCATGCAACTTTGCCATTTATGGAGATCCCGCTCCCATGTTGCATACTCCGATTTTGAAGTTTTAGCGCCACGGCATGTCTTGATTGAATGCACAAAAGACTTTGGATATGTGCACTTAAAAAGTCCTTGGGTGATATTTTGGTCAATTGACGGAGTTATTTGGAGGGAGCTTATGGAAGAAGTCTTGCCGCAATGTCTTTATTCTGGTCCAGAAGTTAATGTATCTAAGGCAACTACTTTGATGGTCGCAATTCCCCAGCTTAACACTGGGGCACGGGAACAACATTTGAATATCCTAGCTGCTACAGAAAAATATCTGCTCAGAATCAATGCATATGTGAACTGGCAAGATTCAACAAGACTTTGAGCTCTAACTTGGTCCTGAGAAGCATTAATTGCTATTAAGTCCCGATACTGGAACTTGTTCAAGTTGGCGGACCTGCCAACTGCAACTAGCAAGCATATCACTAGACCAGCTCAAATCTACAACAACCTTTCAATATCAGACAGAGGGAGTTCCCGAATTCAACCTAAATTCAATTCGTCCGAAATAATCAATGTATCGCTCATCTTATTGGCTTATTCAGTATACTGGTTCGTCTCGCCGTGTACCCGATCATGCCACCACCCGCCCAGCATGAAAATCCTCAGCCACAAAAGTCCCCAGGTCACCCCATACAATCGGAAATTCCCGAATCGATATCCCAATAGCAGCTGTTTAAAATAAAATTGTATCTACCTGGAAACCCGGAATCTCTATTCCCGCGTGGTTCGGTCGTACCGCACCACCTGCGACGTCACAACTTGCCCCCAATTCCATCTATGGCCCAACCCCAAATCAGCCCCAGACGGAGAAATACTCAATCATATAATTATAAAATGAAATCATATCTATCATCTTACCACATGAACTCAGCTGGTTCATAATATCTTATCCAGACGAATCAAATCAAGACATTGAGACTGGTTATTCGACCTGAGATAGTATACTAAGTTCACCGAGAATAGACCCTCGGAACCGATACGTTCGTCCCAACTTTTCGACCCAAATTATCGGCACTTGAGTCCCTACTGAATGAACACTCTGGTACTCAAAATTTGGGTCCGGGTTCGGCCGTTGCGGGTGTCAGGCCATCAGATTGTCGTGGCGGTGTATTGACTCACTGGCAGTGACTTCCAATTTTGTTTGGTACATTGTTATAGATTTTTGCATATAAAGAAGTCGCTAGTATCGCTACAGGAAGGTTCTTCCAAGACACATACACAAACAAATATCTTTATCTTTCATATACTCTCCCTTCAATTTTGAACCTCTCCATTCATCACTCTCCTCTCTATCTATACTCTCTACTCTACTTACACGGTCGATCACCACTACAATATCTCGCAATGGCCAACCCATCCAAATCCTCTGACTCTGAGCATGCCCGTCTCCAGAATGACTTTGGAGCTGATTACTGGGTTCGCAATAAGCAAGAACATCGGGTACGTTATACACATACAACTTGATATTGAGGATATATCATGCACTGGTAGTCGGACTGGCATGCCAGTGGTTATTCAGCCGCTGGAATTTATTTTCTCTCAACCAGAGCCTGGATCTCATTCAAGCTTGGAAAATTTTCTAACTGTTCTTGATATAGCATGCTACTGCAGGACGCGGTCTCTTCGCCGGGCTTCAAGATGTGAAGCAATATAATGTGGACTCTGGCTGGGCGCGCCGAAAGTCTGGAGACGCGCAGACCGGATTCTTTGGGTCGATTTTCAGTCGGTGAGTTCTCATCATTGAGCGCTACTAGTGGTACTGAGCTGGTGCCAGTGCTGATATTCTTTTCTATTGAAGGTTCATTGGTGGATCCTACCATCCGCCCTCTTCTTGATTGTGTCACTTTATATCTCCAAGTTTTGGTCTGAGACTTCAAAAAATGGACCTACAGATATGGAATGGCACAGAAAGTAAAGTTTTGAGCGTGCGATGATCGAATGATTGTTTTGCAAATGCCTTTTGGAGTTATGCGTGCACATTGATTTTTTGAATGTTGATACTTGAGTACTACTACTGTTGGTGATAGTATTCAAACTTGTACTTTATGAGCTTGGAGTTGGGTTGATGGAGTTAAATGCCTGCGTGAATAGGAATCTTGGAATGCAAGTTTTATTCTTATATATACTTTGGTCTGAAGTCCTTTACTTGAAGTTCAAGTTAGAGACCGATGTCTCAACTCCGAGTCCGACTCGGAGTCGGAGCGCACTGGTAGCGTAGAGAATTTTGCCTCTCACATGGATGTGTAAGTCATGTTGACCTCCTTTTACTGTGACCAACTTCAAGTTGAAGTTTCAAGCCCTGCGCAAATATACTACTACTACCTAGGTAGTACCTAGCAGTACGATTGAACCTGTTGCTTTTGGCTACATAGAAACTTCGAGTTCATACGTATGATATTCAAGTTCACACCACCGAGGAAACCTGAAGCCCTGCACATTCATTCCTTTCTAACTAGGTGAGCGGTTAATCCACAGGTACACGACTTGAATAATTTTGACCCAAGGCTCATACAATCTATCCGCCCGGCGATGGCTTTAATCTCGAGTTCTTGCATGATTCATGAGCCCCTGGACATTTTGGGCATTGCAATGCGCGCTTAGTCAGCGATGTATTCATGGTTGATCTATTCTGAGAGCTCCAGGGCTGATTCCAAGAATCTTGGAACAATGGAACATTCTTCATCTGGCTGACCATCTTACTGACATCTGGATAGCCGAGAGAACATTCCGAGACACTGGTCTCACCGTCACATTTCTCCACATAGGTACATATTTCCACCAGGTCGAGTCTATACGAGGGGAGGCCGCCCCGTACTCCGTACAGGAGAGATGAGAATGAGACAGCAGAAAGTCTTAAGATACAGCCCCCGCCCCACTTAGACACCGTTGCAACAGAGGTGTTCTTGCAGGCCTGGTTGGTGGTGGCAAAAAGCCGTCACCCCTGGTCAGCCCCTGAAACCTCCATACACAACGTGAATAACCTCAGAATCAGGGTCTTGCCAAGCCTTTCACTAAATTCCCCATCTTCATAGACATTTCGGGGAGTGCCCAGATCGATTATATTGCTTGGCACCACATAGCGTCTCCGGATTTTGAAGAATCTGATGGTCCAGGCCTGTGTGGGAGTGGAGTCTTAGATGCCCAGGAAACGAGAAATTAAATACACACCGATGATGAGCTTTTGTTTGGGTGGGGAATGTTCAATGTTCCCCTTTTACCATGATTACCAGATTTTCAGTCTGATAATTCAGCATGAAAAGTTGGTACGATAACAGTGTATGCAAAGTTTACTAGACAATAATTGCAGAGAGGGAAACGATCGTTCATTATTGCGCTCGGATTTGGGGGGTCCAGAAGAGACTAGTGAAGCCTCAGGGGTAAATATGGTAAATATGACTTACCCGACAGGAAAAGGTTTCCTCCATGCGAATGGAGTGCGGCTGTAAGATTCTCCATAAACAAGATTATTACGGAATACCGTATCCAGTACTCCGCAAAAATGATAAACGAATGCTGCGGTATAACCCTTGAACAGTGCATTCATGCTCTTTGATGAAGCATACACCGAGTATAAAGGACAAGAATTCAAGTTCTTGAAGCTTGAATTCAGCTAGCCAGATCTAGGCCTTTGTAGCATTATGATCAGCATCTCTGGAGGCCTGAAAGGGGCCGTTCTCCTGTCCCACTTGCCATGATCGTCGACCGGGAACGTGCGGATACGTTGTTCACTGGATGGAGTATTATCTCAAGCCTTGACTAGTAGAACAATATTCGTATCAAAGGTGGGATAGGACTCGCTTAACTGGATAAAGTAAATTCCCCGGCCACGCATTTACGATGTAGTTCGCTACTTATGGACCGAGGATGATTCTAGTATGCCAGCTCGGATGATCGGCTATGGGAGAGAAACAAGTGCTTTGACAATTCAAGTTTGGGATGGAGTCAGGAATCGAAGGAGGTATGGCGATCTGTGTATGGTCTGAACTGGACTTCAACAGTTATCACATGTGCTATGTATACCATGTGCGTGCTCTGGGGTATTTTCAAGTTTCAAGGTTGTGGCTTCATTTTGACAAACGTCATAGTCTATTTATGAACCCCGGAATTCATGAAGATGACTTGATTACTCCGTACTGAAATTAAATTTAGATGAGAATTGAATTGTGAAGATGACTGGAATTTAGTAAGTTGTCAACTGGTGATACTTGTACTCTCGTATTGATTGTATAAAAAAGAGATGAAAAGAGAAAAGAGAATGAAGATCGGCAAACACGGAAATTAGAGTGGATATCATATCCAATGATAACTCGGATTTATGTATCTCAATCTCCACTTTATAGCTGCCACTTGACTAATTTGAGATTAGATCCAAAGTATGGAGATCCACATGGTGAGAATTTTCTTGTTTTTCTCCATGTTTTATTTCGTATATTTCGTATATTCCGTATTCATTCTTCCAGTCATGGATGGGTGCCCAGGTGATGATGTTATGAATATGATACCGAGTATATCTACTCCCTCCAGATTATGAGGATCTTAATTTATCTTAATGTGATTCTCCTTGACTCCTGCAACATGAACCAGTTCATAAGTTTATTCTCACTTAAGTTCATTTCATTCTGTGAGGGCTCTAGGGCTTCTTCACCCTGCCCCGCAGTAAGGGGCTGAGCTCTCTCCGTCTGCTCCGAGAACATTTGAACTTTGCCTCTCTTAGCCAGGAGGTCCGCCCCCCAAGTGAGACATGCTATTTTTGAAGAATAGAACATTTCACATTATTCCGTTGCCTATTTAGCATCTACAAATTTGAGAAATTGAGTAAATTGAGTATTACTCTGTATTTTTGAAATGGTTCTAACAAGAATCTTGTACCAGTTGACCTTGGAACAATTGAGTCTCCCGAGCCGTGTGATCCACCATAACCAACATGAGTAATGATATAAACCAATGATAATTGAATGGTACCTGAGCATCTAGACCATAAGAATAATCTTGGAATCTTGGAAGGATCCAGGGGTAATTTCATTGTAACCAAATATACATTAGCTCAGGGTCTCAGTGCGTTAACTAGGGTCTTTCAGGGTCATGTCAGGGTAAACTCGAATTCACGATCGGTGGAGTCGTAATTAATTAATCTTCCCAATTGAATCCAATTGAACTGCAATTGACCCAATAGAGTCATTTGGTTCCATGTATTTTACTTCTTTTGGTGAAGTTGGGCTCCTTTTTTAGATGGGGATTTTCCTCTTTTCCTTCCCCCCCCCCCCTAAACTCCACTTTTTTCCTTATTATCAACCTTGGGAAACCAACAAAAGGCCTTGCGTGCCCACTTTCTCTCCTTTCCTCTCTTTACCCACGTTCCTTGAATTTCAATTGACCACCGCTTCACTCGTTCAGCGGGCATTCATTCTTCGGCACGCAAAGTCCATTCTCATTTCATCATGAAGGGCTCTGTTTTCGCGGCCGCCGCCTTGGTGGGCTCTGCTCTCGCCGATTCTCACCTTCACCGTCGCCACGATGCTCTGCACCAGAAGCGCTCTCTTGCTGCTTCCGGTTCCGCCTCTGCCTCGGCCTCTCCCTCATCGGTCGCTCCTGTGCTCCCCGGTGATGAGACCTGTGGCTGCACTACCAAGGTCATCACCTACTGGGGTGAGCCTACTGTTGTGCCCGTCTTCGAGTCCCCGTCCCCGTCCTCCTCCGAGGTCGAGTCGACTACCACTCTTACCAACACCGTGCACCGCACCAGCACCAGCACCATGACTGTGACTGTCACCCCATCTGTGGCTCCCTCTGTCGAGGCTACTTGGTCCGCTACCCCATCGCCTTCGACCTCTGAGTCGCCTCTGCCTACCAACGGTGTGACCAGCTACTCTTCTACCGGTGTCTACACCATCCCGGCCACCACCATGACTGTGGTCGACACTACCACTGTCTGCGGTGCTGCTGCCACCAGCGTCACCAGCGGTACCAACACCATTGGTGGTCTCACCACTGTTGTCAGCACTGGTACTACCGTGACTTGTGGATACGCCACTACCTCTTCCACTGGTACCACTGTCACTGATATCATTGCCTACACTACCTACACCTGCCCCGTTGCTGGTACCTACACCGTGGTTCCCGGTACCACCACCGTTGTTCCTAGCGACACCACTATCATGTACACCACTGCCTCCACCATCACCCCCGGTGTCTACACCAAGCCCGAGAGCACCGTGACCGTTACCGAGACCGATACCACCTACTACTGCCCTTACGCCACTAGCACTGGTCTGGCCAGCGTCCCCACCGTTGCTGCTACCACCACCGCTGTCCCCATCCCTGCTGCTACCTCTGCTGCTGCTGCCACCAGCTCCGCCGCTGCTGCTACTACCGGCACTAGCTCCTCTGGTCTCACCGGTGCTGGCCAGTACGGTATGACCTTCTCCCCCTACACCTCGACCGGTGAATGCATGACACAGGATGAGGTCACCCAGAACATCCAGATCATCCACGAGAAGGGCTTCGATCTCGTCCGTATCTACTCCACTGACTGCAGCGGTCTGGAGTTCATTGGCAACGCCTGCAAGCAGTTCGGCATGAACATCATCCTCGGTGTCTACATTGAGTCCAGCGGTACCTCCGGTGCCCAGGAGCAGGTTACTGCTATCAACGAGTGGGCTCAGTGGGATATGGTTGAGCTGATCGTCGTCGGTAACGAGGCCGTCTCCAGCGGTTACGTCACTGCCGCCGAGCTTGCCAGCTTCATCTCTTCCTCTAAGTCTTCCTTCGAGTCTGCTGGTTACACCGGCAAGGTCACCACCACCGAGCCCATTGACATCTGGCAAGAGTATGGTACCTCCAACCTTTGCTCTCCCGTTGACATTGTCGGTGCCAACATCCACCCCTTCTTCAACTCTGACACCACCGCTGAGGAGGCCGGTACCTTCGCTCTGAGCGAGTACAACATTCTTGAGGGTATCTGCTCCAAGGACGTTGTCAACCTCGAGACTGGCTGGCCCACCGCTGGTGAGTCTAACGGCAAGGCTGTCCCCGGTGTCTCTGAGCAGGAGATTGCCATCAAGGCCATTGCCGCCAAGATCGGCTCCAAGTCTATCTTCTTCTCTTACGCCGATGACGAGTGGAAGAACCCCGGCGAGTTCGATGTTGAGCAGCACTGGGGCTGCAAGAACGTTTTCTAAACGTGATGTCCCTAGATCCCGTTTTTAAAACCTGTACAGGAGGATCAGGCGTTTTATTTATATCCTTTCTACCTTTCTGAGTTTTGAGTCTTGTCAGACTTCCATCTGAGTGCTTCCGGCAAGCTCGATCTTTTGACTTCTATTGTCTATTTTATTGGACGTTTCTGTGGTAGATATACCTTTTTATTTGATGTTGTCTACTGACCTGGTCTCATCCACCTGATCTCTTTGTCTTCTTACTTGATGCTCTTTGCGTTGTCTGTATATCGTATTTATTGCATGCATTTTATGAAACAGGAATCCTGCTGTAGTCCTTCAATTTTCGTACTTTATCACCTACCATTCCGTAGTTAGGATTGAGACCATTATGACTTGGATGTATCTGACGGCCAAAAGAACATTTGAAGGAATTGATTCTGGCGCAGTAATCGCACTTAGCGCTGCCAATCACAGGAAAACTTTGCAACCCATCACACAGTCGACATTTCAAAAGGCTTCAAAATTCCCTAAGTCTCAGTGCTGCCTTCTAATTCCTGCAGGAGACCCTCCGTCGAAGGGCCACAAGTTCAGCAATCTCAGTTGTAACGAAATATATACCCCGTCCCTCCCGTATACTATCGCTGTCCGGCATAACCAGGCCAAGCCAGAAATGGATGTCTGAATGCTCAGCGTCGGAGTATGCTTCTGCCTTCCAGTTGAACAGCCAGGAATCGGCGTAGCTTTTGTTAGTGGTGGGATTCCGACCTGTCAGTGCAAAATATCTTCCAAACACAGGAACCCATTTGATGCCCTTGCGGCGGATTGTCACTGGCGAGCCACGGGGTTTGCGGGTCCATTCCATGACGCCCTTGGAGTTAAGGTCCTTAGACCATTCGACGCCGCGTTTCTTGTAGCCGTCCATCACAGCGTGTAGAACGCCGTTGTCTGGTAGACTTACCCTGGTAACGGTCACGCCAAGGTTTGTCGCTGATTCGGCTTCCTTCCAGTAAGGGGGGAAAGTCTTTCCGCGAGTCTTAGTGGTTGGTGTCCATAGTGGCGGTAGCGACAGGTCTTTGTCCTCGCACTTCCAAGATATAGCTTCGTACCATGCCAGGTAGCGTTCTGAGCCGATGGGACCGCATAAACCACTGGCAAGTGGTCCATTATTGAAAAGAGGAGGTGCTCGTGGAGCTGCAAATAGTGTCCAACGCACCAAGACAGGCCTCCAAAAATGAGGGTAGTTTAGGTTTTCTCGCGCGCGGATGGTAGGAGTCAAGGTAGGTGATGACTGGTCTGCGGCTCTTCGTAGGTAGTCATTGCAGGGAGCTGAGGGAGGACCTGATGGAGGGTTAGGGAAGATATGCTGCTCTGTGCGGGGTGTAGGAGTGAAGGAGGTGATATCTCGATGAAGGATCAGGTGGTCTACACCTGCTCTCAAGAGGAGCTGCCATGACTCGTTGGAGTCAAGCAGATAAAGCGTATTTACTGCCACCCAGGTGTGCAACATATAACGTTCAATGTGTTATAAATGGTAGTAAAGATGCTGTTACAGGCCTCTACCTATGAATGCATAAATCTTTCAGGCCTTGTATATCAAGTTCTGAGTCTGAGTTCAGGATATCAATTACTAGTATCTCTCACTGTTTATTTGAGAAATAAGGTTAAGACCATCATAAGGACCGCTGTGAGACTATGGCAGGTGATAATGATCATAATCAACTTCCCATTCCCCCTCGAGGTCGTACCTTAAAGGACCAGGATACTGGATATTTTGACCTAAAAGTGAACTTATCATCAACTCAGACAGACTCGGAGACAAGCACTGGCAGCGGATCTATCAAAATGTATATTTCTTCCCTAACCCTGTCGAAGTGATCAGATTTATGGTAATTATCAGAGTGCTTATGTTTTGAATTTATTTTTGGAAGAGCTTTTGGTATTCCTTGTAATCCGGCCTTTAATTTTACTTGATTATGTTTGGATGGTAGCTCCAAATGTCTACCCCGTACTTATAGGAGTCATTGTTGCATTAAAGTAATGAATGTATGTACCATTAATCGAAAATTACAATAGGTGATAATGACAGACCTAGCATATCAGGGGATCAATATAGTACAGTCAAGCTGAACGTCCCTTGCATAGCCCTGACATCCATACCCACCTGCGCGTTGAATAATTATGTGCATGTCATTCTACCCCGCCGAATGTTTTCGTTTCAGACAAGACAGTCTTAGTTTTGCTGGACATCGTCCTGCTTGACACAGGTCTTCAAATAAGTTAGTAGATGTATGAGGTTGGGCCGTGAGGCAGTACTTACACCCATAGTGCTGTTTGACTGGAATCCACCCAATGGTTCACAGACCATGTTGCTGATGCAGCATTGATTGGGACTGGAGTAGGGAGCGTTCACTTCACAGGTGGAGAATTCCTATCAAAATTTGTAAGTTGAGGTTTTGGAGCTGGAGACTAAGCGAAGGTTATTTGTGGTGACTTACGTTTTGACATGTGGTCTCGGTCATTGGAGCCGGGATTGCGGAGACAAAACTGGCGAGGAGGCCAAATATGAAGATTGAAGTTTGCATTTTGATGGGAAGTAGAGGTCGAGTGGGGGAAGGAATGGTGTTTTGTCTGATACAATGGTTAGTATATGGAATATAGATAGAATATGGATGGAGATGAGTTGAGAGCGAGGTTGGTTATTGCGCTGCTTGAAGCTACAAAGACCGAAGAAGGAATTGTAAAACGCCTGGTGCAAGACAAGATAATTGACATATACCTGATTTTAAGGAAGGACAGATATTGGTATTGGATGATAGCTAAAATCGAGAATGTCAGGTCGTCGGGAGAGACGTCTTATAGCATTCCATTCATACTCTGCAAGATATGGGGCTGCCATGCACTCGTGGAGACACTGCCGATCTATGACCACTGTCACTGAGACAGAGCCAAGGGATCTACAGGGGTGTACTGGAGTGTGCTGGGGCGATTGATTGAGGTGGTTGGAATGATTGGTTGATGGCTGGGAAACATTAAGAGGGATATCACCTCGCGTGCATTCTTTCTAACCCGCTTGTATGCTTGGACAAGTTTAAGGTCGATTTCTGATAACTTGATTGATAAACATCCTGCAAGTGGCCTTACTCCGACGCAGGCTAGAGTCACAAGATGTGTGCATGATAGTTGAACACTGGCAGCTATATCGCTCCTTCAAGAAAATCCGAGCAGAGAGCGTTCATCATACTCGATCTTAATACAAGCCGAACTGATGTTTCTCCTATCCAGATGAATAGGTATTTTTAGAAGTACTTAATCTTGATTATGGGGACGTCATGATGAACTGCTTTAGCCGAGTTCTTGTCGTGGGGCATCTCTATCAGAATCTCGAATCACGCGTCGCAAGGGCGCGGATCAAGTGTCTCTTGTGGCTGAAAAACAGGGCATAGTACTTGGCTTAGCCGCCGATTCCACTGAATGTTGCTTGGCATCGCTTGATCATCCTGCTAGGGATTGTTCTGTATGTACGGAGGATGCTGCAGTGGGTTGGCCAAGAGGGGTGTGTTTTGCTGGAGTTTCCTAGTTAAGTAAGGATCGGTGATAATGAAGAGGTGGGTCAAGGAGTCCGCGTCTCTTCAGTGAAATTTCCAAATGATCAATGAAAAGGGGCAAAAAGAGAGCATAATATTTTCCTCAATGTTCTGCAGTTAAAACTTATCGGAGGATTTAGGCATTTCCGAATGTCGTTGACGAAGTGATTTCATATGATCAGGAGATGGATCCACAATGTTGAGAACATTCAGAGTATGTCAAGATATGCAGCTTCAGATATCGGCAATGAGATTGATTTAATTCAGCCTTGAATATGCCGAAACTGGCCACTGTGCTGTGAATCTAAATCCAACGGGGTCTCCAATTGGAGAGTGAAGAATGACACCGACCAACCCCCTCGAGTTCCACTGCCTTTCCCCACCTGCTTGCATCCTCAGGCACCCACGCATCAACAAGTTCAGCCTGATATCCTGCGTCATTCCTAGGCCTGTAGGCTTCTCATGACAGGTCGGATTTTCTCGGTCGGAGTTGCCATTACACCAATATCAGCGTTGTTTGGTCCCGATATTCAGCCAGCCGTCGAAAACCACCGATGTTGACTTCGTGCTTCGATCAAACTGCATAATCAAACTCTATTGATCTGACACTTCGCAATGCGCCAACGGCATGACCGAAAATATGACAACTAAGGTCATTGACTTTATAACCTCATCCATAACAGGGCGGTGAGCTGGTCTGCTCCAGTCCGCTTCAGCTGAGCAGACCCAAGCCACTGGGAATGTACACAGTACGGGATTATGATGGGTCATAACTCGGACTATCACTTCGTATTTGTGCTTTCTCCACCTGCTTTCAAGTTGCATGTGGGTGGGTAAGGTTATTCCAAGGCAAGCTTTATGCCCTCATTGATGCCAGTGGGTGCATATATGTGGATATCTGGTGAAGATCTATGTGTATCTTTTGTATGGGAACACCATACAGACGATAGATGTCTGATCAACATACCAGTATGATGCGATATGGTTAGAGTGGAGCTGAACAGCACAGTCACTGATACTGGTAGTAGTTAAGTTTACATACAGACGCCAACTATTGGAATCCTGCAGACGCATTATCCACACCAGAACCCAAGGATGTCTGAAGATAATGCTCCATTCACAGTCTTCAAATTTACTCTGTGAGTTCCCAACTACTACGGAGTGCCCGTTGTTTGCTTGTCTCAATGCCGCTATTCGACAGCAGATAGCCGACCCCATACCTCGATGCCAATGATTAGTGGCTAATTTATGAGAAATCTCTATAGACACGTAGTACTACCAAGATTCTAGTACAGATACAGTTCTGCAGTAGGATCTTTTTCATAGCTCAGCTGAGATGTCACATGTGCAGTGCTCTCAAAGTCGGCATGTCCGTGGGGACATCTAGATTTCTTCAGTCTAGCTATGCGTCATGAACCCCATTGTGCGTATGTGAAAAGGTGCATCTGTTCCCCACTACTGCAGCTACGGCAATGGACTTTCACTTGGGCTGTAAAGGCTGTAAAGGAGTGGAACCACAGCCAAAAACTTGGCATCTGGGAATGGTCCTTGAAGTGCAGAAAGTACTTAAGATGCCACTGGAAGCTAGACCGGAATCCAAAAATTCATAAGGGTCACCCTATGCACACAGAGTGTATCATCCAGTCTGTGTCGTCTGTGCTAAAATGTTTTTTCAAATTTCTCAGAATATCCAACCAGATCTGCTACACATCTATTTAGCATGGGTGGATGCTTGGATATTAGCTTCTACAGAAGTGAAGGCTCCCTGCCAACCATATTTTAGCATGGATGAGCTCACCAAACTGTTCATTGAGGGCAATCTTCGGAGTCTCATGCACCACGACCAGCTCATGGAGACTGTTCATTCCTTCAAATATCACGTGAGCAATGGGAGTGTCACATATGGTGGCTCAAAGCCTCCATCATGTGGCGAAACAGATCTTCTTTCAGAAAGCTATAATCCCCAGACAAATTGCCGTTGTGACAAAGAACCATACTCGAAAGATGGATCCATCACCAGTACTCAACTCTGTGGTGCTCACCAGGACATGCTGGATGCAATGGATCGAGTGATTGATCGCCAGGAAGAGTGGAATAGTACCGATCTTTTCACTGCCGAAAAGTTGAAGGGAGCTGTTACCGAACTGTTGTTCGCAAATACGGAAATAAAATATGCTTCAGACACATGTCAAGGTGTCGGAACAGCGCATCTGATACCAGAAATCGAAGCACCAGACCGGCGTCCAAACCCCGGCGTCGATGGGAGCAAGTTTATCTTCAATCAATTGTACCCCACGCCCGAGCAAATCAAGATATGCGCCGACGCAAAGTACTACGGCGTTACTGCCTGTGGAGTCGGTCTCTGTGACGAGGGACTAGCAAGAGCTATTGCAGACTCCTGCAACGATGTTCTGATTGGGGACTACTGCGAAGCGGCCGATGCGAAGGAGTTAAGGCTCCTGCAGCAAACTGGCGCCGCCGCAATATCATTTCTTAAGCTTTGCAATATGGCTGGCCGTGTTTCAGATTGGCAATTTGAGAATCTTGTTTCGTATATGATTCAATGTCGCGTCCTAGGTTTCTTCCGAGATCATTCACGGGATCGTCTTCCTAGTGGACTATTCGGTAGTCGGATGACAGGGCTTGCAGCTCATCGCCATATAGATATTGCCGCATATCATGGTGTTATGACTGCATCGATAGCGACAGGGCAACAGATGACGGAACAGGAATTTATGAAAGTTGTCGAGGCTTGTGTGTATATCAACGACTTTGTCGACTTTCGTGGCGACAATATGCGCAAGCAACGCGAAAATCCGATTCTGCGTGGGATAGAGGGGAATATTTGCGCATATCTCGATCGCATGATCGCAAAGTGTCTGGATACAATTAATGAGGTCATCGAGTCCTCGGATGTTGGCGCTTTGGTGGCTATGGGATACTGCAACTGGGCTCTTCTGGGATCTCACCACAAGGTTTACGAATTGCTCCATGGAGTAAAGAGAGTCCAGAGATGGTCTCTATGCGAATATGAGTCTCAATCCAACACCTCTCGTTATGATCGGTTGTTGCGTGCCTTGCAACCATACGGTACTCTCGGTAGTGATGGCCCACAAGTCACTAAAAAGCGGATTGAGATGGACAAGATGTATAGTCTATGTCGGTCAGACCCGAAGATGAGCCTTGCATGGCTTGCAGATGCTACGAGAAGTTTACTAGACCCGTTTGTGTTGAGGCGAATTGTGGATGTGGTACATTTTGAGTGGTGTGGGGATATTGGTGCTAAAGATTATTGTCCTTGAGATACAGCGATAGATTATAATGTTGAATTTTGTTATTTTAATTTTTTTTATTTAGTTCTGCTCCAAATTTCTGTCCAATTTTGGTGGTTATAGCCAATTCCTCACCCATGGATGGTCAATTTCCGTGACTAAGTAGGTTTTTTGCCTCATTCACCCTTTTACTCCACTTGAACCTTTCTTCCCTCTTTCTTACCCCGGATTCTACTACATACCACTGTCAACGGAAATATTATGGAAGAACCCGGCCCTTCAATATTATCAGATACAAGGCTTCCTGAGTCTTTCAATGGGACAACTTCGATCTTCGAAGAGGAAGCTTTTCTATCACCAGGAACATTTTCCAGTGCGGATGAGTACGCTGCTAATCCACGGTTCTTGGAACTACAAGAAGAGCTACGATGTGTACTATTCAGTGCAGTCGCAAGCCTTGAACCAAGCAACCACACATCACCGGTGACTTCAGCGCCCTTGGAGGGCCCTGCACCTCGAGCATCACGACAAAGTCTAGATTTCACCAGGGTATCCATCCCAAAAATTCGACTGATATTTTATCTCAAGAACTGGATCACCGAGTGCGCTCCTTACCTAGACAAGTTCGACGAAGCTCGACACTTTGGTGTACATATCCCTATTCTGGCACAACAATCGCCAACCCTATTCTATGCTATTCTGGCATTTTCCGCCCGACAAACAGAACGGAAGGCATGTCTCGATAAAGCGTATGATAGCCTGGAACTCTACCAAGAATCCATTCGTCTTCTTGGTCCAGGTCTTCAGGCAAAAGATCCTAATGTCTTGGTTACTGTTTGCATCCTCGCAGTCATGGAACTCATGTCTGTGAGCCCGCGCGATTGGCGCCGACACGTCGAGGGCTGTGCGGCGCTTTTTGAGTCTTTCAATGTCAACGGATTATCTGGTGGTCATCTTCAAGCCGTGTTTTGGTGCTATGCGCGTATGGAACTCTGTGGTGCGATCATTTCCAATGGCGCGGAAAGTACCGTACTTCCCCTGGAAAAGTGGGTGCCTTATATGCCTGAAACTGCCACCCCAATAGAACGAGATGCCATGATTCGTGATCTCTTCTGTGAAAAAGGAGCCGTCTCACCAGACATGCATGCGAACTGGGCGGTATACCTATGTGCAAAGACTTGTGATCTGTCCTGTCGACAAACTCGATACCTTGAGCTGGGTGAGATGATAGATGATTCGCGTCCGTTCGCCGAAGAATGGGTTTGTCTTTGGGATGAGTTGCAGTTTTGGCTGGAGCAACGGCCGCCCGCAATGCTACCGATTAAGACTACGGGGATAGGCGGGGGACAAATCTTCCCTGAAATACTTTTCGCACACTGGGCTGCGATCTCTGGGAATCAATTGTATCATGCAGCGTGTGTGATGATGCTGGATACGAAGCCTCCTGGAAAAATCATCCCTTTGGCCAACCCGCATTACTCGTCTATTTGGCATGCGCGCCGCGTTTGTGGTATTTCGCTTACGAACCCACACAGTGGCAATTTGATTAATGCTATTCAACCTCTTTACATTGCCGGGAAGCTTCTGAGTCACCACAGTGAACATATTGAGGTTGCTAGGCTTTTTAAAATTGTGGAAGAGACGACTGGATGGGGTGCACTTTGGAGATTGAAGGATTTAGAGCGGGCGTGGGGTTATGAACCTGGGGAGATTCTATCTGCGATTTAGTTATGCTGTAACCAGATATTATTGTTCTGGCATTGGATTTTCAGAAGCTCAAAAACTGTGATAATATTTGAATATACTACATGGAGCTGCAAAGAAATCACGATGATACTATGTCTAGCTCACGTTCGAGATATGAACGATCCCAGAAAATATGTGCAAGAAATATTGGACAAAATGACAGATGCCTAATTCAAGTCGGCACAGGACTTGGGATACTGAAGAGCGTGCTTGATACGCTGCTTCAGTCTGTCTTCGTCGACCTGGAAGACAAAGTTGACTTCTCGAATACCAACAGGTGCGAGTGCCTTTTGGTAGACGTGGATGTTACCATAGTTGGGACTGCCATAAGAAGTATCCACGTCAAGGTACACTAAGTGAATTATTAGAATTGATCTTTGCATTTTGCGAATCACCAAAACGTACCTGAAGTTTGGTTGGTAGCAAGAGTTGGATCAACCATCAATGCTGCAGCGGTCTCATCCCAGAATGGGAAAGACAGATCGTAGTACTCATGGAAGAGCTTGCTATACGGGTTGGGCACCGAGTATACCTCATCGGCGAACTCCTGGCTGGGGAACACCTGATTGGCGACATTTCCAGCGAGAGTAATATTGGGGAAGTCGGCCGTCAACGCGATTTTGGAGGCCTCAGGGTCAATCATCAAGTTGATCTTAAGTCCAAAGTTAGTACTTCAAAGTTGTAGATTGGATAATTGAACTCACATCAGACTGAAAATCAGCAAGGAGAATACTACCAGTAGCTTGGAGCATATTCAAGTCAACATATCCACCCATGATAATCAAGTTCTTTGCAAGAGATGCGAACTGAGGATCCATTCGAACAGCCAAAGCAACATTGGTCAAAGCTCCAGCAGAATAAATTGACACTTGACCAGGATACTTGTGTACCATCTCAACCATGAAGTTTGCCGCCGAGGTCGAGTTGTTTGGCTTGCCCTTGGGAAATCCTTCCTTGAAAGCCGCCTTCACAATACGGTTCGGGTTTCCCGAGGTGGGATCATTACCCTCAGCCTCAGCGGTCTTGTTCTCTGGAGCGAATGCGCCTTCCCAAGGCAACTTACCGTGAATGGTTTCCCATGCTTGGAAGCGCTCAGGGGTGTTGATCAACGGCCAAGTCGCACCTGGGTAAACTGGGATACAGCTCAGATTGCCAGCTTCCAGAGTTGCGACAGCGTGCAAAGCAACTTGAGGCTGCCAGGTGTTTGCAGTATCTATCCATGCAAGTCAGTAACCTCCTTAATGTCATCATAGATTCAAGACTTACCAGAAGCGAGACCGAGAATTTCAACATCTCCATCGAGCGCAATTAAGTATGGTACAAAACCTGCCGTATACCAATCATTGTCCATGATGGCATAGTGCTTCTCTGAACGAGAAGCCTTTGGCAGAGCCAAAACACCAGTCACAAATGGCAACAAGGAGCCGCATAACAACGATACTGAAACAGAAAAATGCATATTGACAATTTATACGTATATCACCGGCACCTTCAACAGAAAATGACAATCAAGTCGTTATCAGGACTACCTCGACGTTCTTCATTCATTTTTATAACTGAATTTCTTGTTGCCTATCATCAACAATACTACTTGATCTGATCAAAGATCCCCCACAACAAGAGACATTTACGTCAATCTCATCTCCATAGTCTTGGTCCTCTCTTGGAAATCTCCAAAACTCCACGTTGGACCCGCATCGAACTAACCAAAAGAGCAAAACCCTGGCTCTGCTCTCCCAATTCGGAATGTCCTGTCCGAGCCCTTCATCCTGCAGAAATTAGCGTCTCCACTGGAGCTAGGGCTACCAAAACCTCATCTTACTGGATCAACTCCGCGGAATCTTTGGGTCGAAGTCCCTGATTTCTCCTTCTTCAACCGAGTGGATCCACCCGATCCCGAATCTTTTGCTCTAAACAGTCAGCGTAGCCTATAACCTTCTGATTTGGGTTTAATGTGTCTCTCTCCACACTTTTGCCTCCACGTTTTTTTTTTCGTCTTCTGGGGTGCACGCGATTCGGGAGACCGAGACTGGGGTAGAAGTTTAACTTTTTGTGGGTTAATGGTGTCTAGATTACATGGGACGGGAACTAAATCATGGAGAAGGGAAAAAAGATGTATATATGGTCTCATCTCCCGCCGAGTCTTATGCTTGGCCTTCGCAGATCTCGACTTTTCTGAGTGGAGGTGAAAATTTTCAATCTTTGTCCTTTCGGTTTGAACTTGGTGTTGTACCTCTCCAAGGTTCTACACGGAATTATCCCAGTTCCTTGAAATTTGTTATCTCGCTTCTCCATACATCTTCCTTTACCTTCATCACTTCAAGTTGATAGACCTTGAGGGTGTCCCAATATGGAAGACCGCAAATCAGTGGATATGGAGGTTGCTCCACGTACATTGATTGCGAAGAAATCGATGTGGCAGTCTATTTTTGACAATCCCAAAGTGCTCTTCATCGCCTTTTTCGCCTCGTGAGTAATTTATACATGAGCTCAAAGAGAATGAGAAATCTAACAGAGTTTGCAGATTCGGTGGTTTCGAATATGGTTACCAGCAGGGTGTTCTCGGCCAGTCCTTGGTCATGACTCGATTTACAGAGAACTTCCCAACAGTCGTCGCCTCATCTACAGCAACAGGCTGGTTAACCTCAGTTCTCCAACTGGGAGGAATTGTCGGATCTCTAAGTGCCGGTATCCTTGGTGAAATCTTCTCTCGAAAGTATACCATGTTCTTCGCCTGTTGTTGGGTTATCTTGGGAAGTTATCTCTATGTTGGAGCTACCGCTGGTAACCCCTCCTTGCTTTATGCAGGCCGCTTTTTCACTGGTCTTGGTGTTGGTCTCTTCAGTGGTGTTGGTCCATTGTATAATGCCGAATTGGCTGCCCCCGAGATGCGTGGCCTTCTTGTCTCATTCTACCAGTTTGCCACTATTCTGGGTATTATGATCTCTTTCTGGGTTGGTTATGGAAGCAACAATATTGGCGGAACAGGCGAAATACAGTCCGATCTGGCTTGGCGTCTTCCTTCAATTATTCAAGGTATCCCTGCCGTGTGTCTTGCCTGTGGTATTTGGTTTATGCCATTCTCGCCCCGTTGGCTTGTGAAGCAGGGTCGCGATGAAGAGGCACAGGCTACTTTGGCTTGGATGCGAAAGCTCCCTGTTGAGCATGAGCTTGTTCAGGTCGAGTACCTGGAGATCAAATCCGAGGCCCTCTTCGAGGAGCGAGCTTTTGCCAAGGCGTTCCCGAAATTGGCTGAAACTGAAAACAAGAGCATCTTCATGAACCAAATCGCGCAATATGCCAATTGCTTTCGGTCTATGGATAACTTGAAGCGCGTGGCGACTGCTTGGTTGATTATGTTCTTCCAGCAGTGGAGCGGTATCGATGCCAGTAAGTTTTCGATGATCTCTTCCCTTGATACGCAAAACTAATTCTTCGGCAGTCATCTACTACGCATCAAATGTGTTTGTTAGTCTTGGTTTGACTGGTGGTACTATTGCTCTTCTTGCAACTGGTGTGACTGGTGTTGTTTTCATCATTAGCACAATCCCGGGAATGGTACGTGGCAATCCGAATATCATATTTGACGCAGATACTAACTCTTACCCAGCTTGTTATTGATAAGATTGGTCGTAAGCCAATGCTTCTGGGTGGATCCGTTGTGATGTTCTGCAGCATGGTGATTGTCGGTGTCATTGTGGCGAAATTCCAACACGATTGGCCATCCCATGTGGCGGCTGGTTGGACTGCTGTTGGTAAGTGGCGATGCATGTACCTGCCAAAGAAAACAACTAACCAAATCTTTTAGGTCTCATTTGGCTCTATATCGCAGGATTTGGAGCTACCTGGGGTCCCGTCTCATGGACCCTGGTCTCGGAGATCTTCCCTCTATCTATTCGTGCCAAGGGCGCCTCGATCGGTGCCTCAAGTAACTGGATCAACAACTTTGCCATTGCCTTCTTTGTCCCTCCTATGCTGCAGGCGTGGGAGTGGGGCACCTACATTTTCTTTGCGGTATTCCTGGCTGTTGGTATTGTCTGGGTTTGGTTCTTCTTGCCGGAGACCAAGAATGCTTCTCTCGAAGAGATGGATCGTGTCTTTGGAAGCAATACCGGTGAGCGAGATGCGGAACTTATGCGCGAGGCACAGCGCGATGTTGGTTTGATCTCCTTCGTTGAGCGCATGGGTGCTGCGACAGGTCGTGACTTGGAGAAGAAGGATGGAGCTCAGTACATTGAGGCAGTTTAAGCTAGGCGATAGCGAACAATAGAGTCGCTTGAAAACTTATTTTATTTACTTTGAAATTGATGAATAGTTTCCCACGAATTTGAAATTCTCATGCATAACTACTAGTATGGCCAAGGCCTCGAGTACAGTCTCAAGATAAGCAATGCCATACTTCTCTATAGATCCACAAAAATCCTAGATTTCCCCACACTCTCACGAAAACGTGGCTGTGGATCAAACAATATTCCAATAGATCAACCTTTATCTCAAAAGACAATAAGAAAGAGTACAAAGATCGATGTCCGATCTTCCGATCCCATCGGGTGGCGTCCGAACTTGAATGTTTGAGCAAATTATATGGCGCGGCTCAACCCGCACTTCTCCTTCCAGGTTCTACTCTCCTCTTTGGGTTATTCCACTACCACTGCCCCACATAACGGCATCTCGGGCTCGGCGGACTCCGGGGAAAGACATTTTGGGCCCGTAGAGGCTCCGTCAAATCTCTTTTTGGCCTCTTTCAACATTCTGGGGTAATGCACACCATACAACATGCCGCGCAAGCCTACACCTGCAGGCAAGCAAAGGGTCAGGACCGGTTGTTTGACCTGTCGCAAGAGACGACGAAAATGTAAGTCCTGCATCTCCGCTGGTTGGACTCTGAGCTGATGATAAAATAGGCGATGAGCAGAAGCCGCGATGTGCCAATTGTGAAGTCAAGGGTTTCTCTTGTAAATATGGATCTGACTTGGCTTTCGTGCCACCCAAGTCTGGCCAAGCTGCTGGCGGGACAAGGCAGGCCTACAATTCGATCACTGTGAGTGATATGAGTCGCTCTGTTGTGGCCACTTGTTGCAAAACTAATCCTGGGATATCTAGTTTGTCGATGACTCCCCAGCAGCGCGAACTTCAGCCAACAAAGAGAAATCAAGATCTAGACAGTCACCTCTCTCAGGTGACCAGTCGGATTTGCATGAGGGAGTCATTCAACCAGTTAAGGCGCAATTTGGAAACGATGCTACGTTTAATAATATCCTCAACTCGAATGAGCCAGTTGATTATCCAGGCCCATCGAGCTTGGAACATGGGCCGGAAATGCTGCTCAATACGGAAGAGCAACGGGTGTCTATTCCTTATCATGGCTATCTTGGTTTCGCTGCAAGCTACCAGAGGCTAGTGCACAGGCCTACACCTGCGAATACCAGCTATGAGACAGATCTGCTTCGACATTTCCGCTACCATGTTGGTCCGTGGATAGACACTGGGGATTCCAATTGTGCCCTGGGGGTTCAAGTTCTTCTTCACAGTCGGACGAACAGGAGCTTACAGGCTGCTGTACTTGCACTCTCTGCAGGGCAGAGGTCACTCATCTCACTTATGAATAGTGATGATATTGAGAATATTCTCCGCTTTCGAAAAGAGGCGGAGGAGGAAGAAATTTCACCGCAAACAGATGTGGAAAGACATGCAGGAAAAGCTTTACTATTACTACAAGAGCTATTACCTGCAGGGCTACAGCAATGGCGGAGTATTATTGCCTCTAGAGTTGAGTATGCAGGAGGATTCATGTCACCAACTGACCTAGCCCAAGGACTTGGAGATGCCCTCTTTTGGTTCTATTTCCAACTTGGTGAGTTAATGTCCACAGAAATCCAACCATAAGACCAATGATACGGACAAATGGAGAAGTCATATACTAATTGTATGATTAGATCTTGCAGCTTCAATCTCCGATCTCAAATCACCGATAACTCCATTTTGCTCATTTGTCAAGCGAGATGGAACTCCTCTACACGACTCGCATTTTACCACCTCCAAGAGCTCCGTGATTAAGGCTTATCAACACATCTTATGCCACCTAGGACATTGTTTAGCGCTGATATATGGGAAATCAGACGGATCATCTCCATATGCAGCTGGCTCTCCAAGGCTAGCAGCCTTTTCATCTTTACGACAGTCTCACTTCCTCTCTCAATGGGCAATCCTGTGGAATGACTGCCAAAAATGGTATCACGAGCGTCCCGTTGATGTCCAGCAAATTGTGGATGTTCGTGGCAGCGAGGCAGATCAAATTGATCCGGATCATGACTCGTCATTCCCGATCTTGATATACACGACACCTGTAGCGCTGGTCGCTAATGCTGTTTACCATATCACCTCTCTCCTTCTTCTCAACCACAAACCCCGACTTTTGAAATCGCTCCCTGGTCCAAGGAGCTTCACTTCACATATATGGCATGCACAATCCATTGCTGGCATTGCAGTCAGTAATGACTCACCTGAGCAGTGGGATCCGATACTGGTTACAGGCCTGTTATTGGTTGCGAAAGAAATGACACATCACTCCCAGCAGAAGGTTCTATTGGAGAGATTGAAGATCATTACTTCAACTACGGGGATGAACCTTGAACGTGAAACTGAGACCCTCCAGGCTGCATGGAGGATGGCAAGATATGATGAGGAACTTGAAGCGGAAGGAAATGATGGATAGTGCTTTCATTCTGTATCAATACCATAACGCCAGTTTCATTGCTCTATATACTGGCTGTCTATCAGGCCAGATAAATTATTCTATCATATTCATTCTCTCACTCCATATCAAAAGCAAAGGGAATACTTTGCATCGCTCCCCTCCGCTGCACACATTTGGCCGCAGCGGCATTAGCCTTCTCCACCGCAGCTTCAATGTCACTATCGAAGGCTTCCAGCTCAGCGCCGGTAGCAAGAAAACGCGCCAAAGCTGTCGAGAAATACCCAACAAAGGTATCACCCGCAGCAGTTGTGTCAACAACCTTGGCCACTTTCACCCCCCCCACGCATCCTTTGCGACCACTCCAAGTCGAAAAATAAACACCCTTAGCCCCAAGAGTAATCAGCACAATCTGAACCTGCGCCACCTCGTGAAACTGAGGAGCCAGGTCTTCAGGCTGTAAATCACCAAACTCACTACTCTGGCCCCCAGAAAGCGGAAGTCCAGCAATAGATCTAGACATCTGCACCGCCTCTGTCTCATTCATAATCAAAACAGAAGTATTCTTCAACGCAGCAAGAGAGATACCCTCTGGAAAAACAGGAGCAGGATTAAAGGCCACATGTACTCGATCTTTCGCTGAGAGACCACCATTAAAGTACTCAAGTAATCCCAGAGTCGTCTTTCGGGGAATCTCACCCTGCAATACAACAACAGCAGGACTGATCTTCTGAGCTTTTACAGCAGCCACAATCTGAGTCACATCATTCATGATTCCAGCGTGATTAGCACCTGGAACGACCAAGATGCGATTCTCGCCGCCAGCTGCATCTTCCACAATGATACTCGCGGACCCTGTTTGTGCCTCCGTTGACTCTTCAATGTCTGTGGTACTGACACCTGAATTCTCGAGTCCGGGTTTGAGTAATGTGTTATAGTAGACGTCGTCGGCTCCAACAGCGCCGATCATGCTCACGGATACATCTTGCTCTCCCTTTGAGATGAATGAGGCGCGTCCAGCTGCTACGGCTTGGTTCCCGCCCTTTCCTCCCGCTGTTACGGTTAAGGAGGTGGCGGTTAGTGTTTCGCCTGGACCGGGACAGCGAGGTGTTGAGGTAACGAAGTCGATGTTGAGAGAGCCGATGATGCAGATGTGTGGGTTTGAGGATGTGGTAGCTGGAGTAGTTTTGATACCCATTTTGAAGTATAGTTTGTGGTGATTGGGTGTGATGAGTAAGTTGTAGGATGATCAAGTTTATGAGAAGTGATAGATTGTCAAATCAATAGTCTGATTAGAATTTTATAGCTTTCATCAGATGTTCCAGACATTTATTTCAAAATGTTACACATTTTGATTTTATTTGATCGGCTGATTGAGTCTTGATTTGCGCTCTTCTAGTTGTTTGTCGGCTTGTTCCAAATCAGGAAGGCATAGCCTACATGTGTCCCAATCAGGTTAGACCCAAGCATCTCAGCCGCTCAATTGGGCTAGTGGAGTACTACGAGTTAACCCAAAATGGAACACGCAGCCTACTTTAAATCATAAGAAATGAATAGATAATGATGAGACTAAAACCAAAGACATCAATTCATATTCATATCGCATCGAAAATGTTCAAATTTTCCAACAGTACTAGTATGTAGTCAATATTGGAACATATATACAGCATTAAGAAGTCTCAGAGACTCCAAATATCAACACGCGCCCAGATCCACACCCAATTCCAACCCGACCAGGGAGAATTGTAGAACACCCAATCTTGTATTCAGATGGAAGTCTCAGACACTTCTCACCACGGAAAGTAATCCACAATCCAGTATCATCAATACCATATCCCATAGGAACAACTGGCTCAGAACTAGACACCGAGTCTTCGGAACGAGAGACAGGGTTAAGATCAAAGGTACCAATGTCAGTGTGCAAATGGTAAGGTTCGGTCTCATCGAGTTGGGTCCAGAAGACCTCACGACGGAAATTAAGTGTTGGCAGGACTTTGCTCTGGTCCGTCACGTCTCGGATCTGGATACTCTTGTGAAAGTCTGATGTAGACACAAGAGTTCCATCCTTGGACCACGTCACTGGTCGGATGAAGAAGCTTTCACTGGGAAGATCGGATATGCAGTTGCCTTCAGTCGTCTCCCAGATCTTGATGGTTCCATCGCGAGAAGCTGATGCAAGTCGAGTTCCATCTTCGGTCCAAGATAGCGAGCCGACACAGTCCTTGTGGCCTCTGAGCACTAAGGCGGGTTCACCGCCGTCAGGGTTCCATATCGCGATGGTATGATCTTCAGAGGCCGATGCAAGCTTGAAGCCGTCTTTGCTCCATGATACCGAGCGGACTACATCATCATGTCCCTCAAGTGATGCGATACAGGAGCCCTTCTCCATATCCCAGATCTTAACGAGTTTGTCCTTGGATCCGGATGCAAGCTTCGACCCGTCTTCTGACCAGGCGACTGAAACAACACCCTCAGTGTGGTCGGCCAAAGTCCATAGACATTGACCACTGCTCGCATCCCACACCTTGATGGTATGGTCTTCAGAGGCTGATGCCAACTTAGTCTTATCTGCCGACCAGACCACCGCGTTAACGGCGCGGCTATGGCCCTGTGGTACGAAAGAATCTTCGCGTCTGGATACATCCCAGATCTTGATTGACTTGTCGCGAGATGCAGAGACAAGGCGAGTGCTATCGGCTGACCATGATAAAGACCAGACTTGATGACCATGACCTTCCAGCCTGGAAAGACATTCAGAGGTGACGGGATCCCAGATGTTGATTGTTTCGTCATCTCCACTTGCAAGTCTGCCATCTGCAGACCATGCGAGTGCACGGATCCACGTGCTTTGTCCATCCAGCGTGGCAGTACACAGGCCTGTTTTGGTGCTCCAGATTTTGATTGTGCTATCTGTTGAAACAGAAGCTAAACTTGAGCCATCGTGTGACCAAGCTACTGCATAAACCAATTTCCGATGAGCAAAAATAGTCTGCACGGGCAGAGGAGTTTTCAAATTCCAGATCTTGATAGTCCCGTTATTGTCCGCTGTTGCAAGCAGGCCACCACTGGACCAGGCCATGGAATAGACCGGTGCTTCGTGACCGGTGAGCTCCAAGGAATGTGCGTCACGAATGTACTTCCAAACATGAACATTGCCGTTCATCCCAGCCAGTGCCAGCTGATCCTCATCGGACCAGGCTGCTGAAGCAAAGGATTCAAGGGACTCCTTGAGGTTGCACACTTGAAGTCTTCTTTCAAGTCTAACAACACGTTTTCCGTTCAATGTTGGGAAATGTTTGAATGCAGGCTCCAATATACTTTGACTTCTGCGACTCAACACGCACTGGCCGAGAGTATTCCAGAGTCTGATAGTCCCATCAGCAGAAACTGTCGCGAGCATATTATTCGATTTCCATTTGACGGATGAGATTGGAACTCCGTCACTCTTGAATATGCGGGTACACAGGCCTGTGGAGGGGTCCCATAGTCGGGCCGTGCCATCATAGCATGCTGAAACAACCTGGCCATTTGGACCCCATGCCACAGATTGAACAGAGCCATCGTGACCTTCGAGTGTCAACAAACAGCTACTCCAAGTGTCACTCATCAATGGTTTCTCGCTAATCCACTCAGACTCTTCAGCAGCAAATTCGCGTCGAATCATACTGTTGACAGGACTGAATACCAGTGCAGAGGCATACACCTGGAGTGGACTTTGCTCGATAATTGACTTGTGATGCTGGATGAACTGGCATGCATCGCGAAGACGGCTCATCAAAGAGCTGGAGATCTTCAATGTCTGTAATGGAGTTAGAAAGAGGACTTTTAACCTGAATGGTGCTTGACTTACTGTAAGGAAGGTCTCTAGCTTTAGCATCTTTAATGCCCCAAGTGATATGCTTCTCATAAGGCTGAGGGCCTCAAGCCAGTGAAGATAGTCTTGTTTTAGGAATTTGTCGATCAAACCACCCTCTTCAAGATCTTCCTCATGGGGGCCGCCGGCGATCAAATGGTCCACCCAGTAGAGACAAGAGTATTGAACCGCGGTCAGTTCGCTAGATTTTGGTAGCTCAGTCTCACCAATGGAATATCCAGGATCTTTGAGACTACAGACATCACGTCGCAATTTGCTAGATATGGCTTTCATCGATTGGGAGAATAGGGAATGGTGGCGATTCTCCTCTCCGGTCTCGAACATCTCGTCGTGTCGCTCTTTCATCATAAATTCCTTTGCTGTCTGATGAACAAAATAGACTGGGCGCTCCTCCTGCTGGGCTAAAAACGAGCCGCATTCCTCCAAGATGTCCTTTATATCTCCTTCATCTGGGGTCGCAGTTCCGAAATCGGAAAGAATTGCAAGCTCACTCAAGGTAAGTGGGTGGTAAGCAAGCGAGACGGTTGAAAGGACTTGATAGCACACTCCTTTACGCTGTGGTCGTAATTGATCAATTTTCTTCACCATGAGATTATACAAGGAATTCAGATCCTTAGGGAATTTGCTTGAGATCTCTTGAGCCTCCAAATCCTTTACATTCTCAAGCTCCAAGCAAACTAATGCCGCCCAGAGGAAGGTATCCTCAGCGCGCTCCGACAGGTTGTGGCTGATGATAGATCGAGTACTCTCTTTGAAGGGTAAATCTTGAACTCTGAGCTTGATGAATCTTTCAACTGCGGTCCTGACCTCTTGAGTGTTCAAATCTAAGGAAAGAACACTCGGGGACATTGCCTGGTTGCGTTTTTTCTTCATGTGGACCCAGTTGCGACTGGAGACAACCCACTTGACCTTTGAATTCCCGCATGATGAATATGCGATAAGATCCAGTAGACCATTTAAGTTATCCACACACTCATCCAGACCATCCACAACGAGGTAGGTGGTGCCAAGATTCGGGTCATCAAGAATAGACTTAAGAATCTTGCACAAGGCTGTCCACGCATTGGCGTCGTCGAATCGTTTAGAGTCATTGAAAGGCTGCTGCAGATGTGAGAACATTGCTCTTTGCTGTTTGACAAGCATGTAAATCAGACCGCGTGCTACAGCTGCGGCGCTATTGATCCGTCTATCGCTTTCTTGGCAGAAAAAGTATACCACATTCCCCTTTTCGCGAACAGTCTTGATCAGTTCATTGATGATACCGCACATTAGCATGGTTTTTCCTTTGCCGGGGTCACCCTTGATCCAGAATAGGTGCTCCTGGTCGCTTTCGAGCCATCTCTGGTAGTCCGGATTATCCAGAATCCACTTGAAGGTTGGCTCATCCCAAATAAGTCCGCCCTTCTGCTCTTCAATGCGCGTCTTATCATCGCAGGGATCGCTTGCACCGAGTTCCTTCACACATTCCCGGTGCTCGCTAGTGGAAAGGCGTCGCTCCATACGCTGAGTCACGTCAAGAATGCTAAGAACAATTTTAGTCAGATCCTGCCGCGACTCCTTCGCTTCTTGGAGGAGTTCCTTCAGGTATCTAGACTTCTCAAGTGACAGGGTAGTTTCCAACTTTCGCTGCATGCTGTTCTCCTCTTTCTCAATGTGAGATCTTTTCTCCTCCCAATGGTCACAGTCAACAATCGCATTGAGATAGTTCTTTGTTCGCTTGCGATAGAACCTGATCACGCTCTCCATCTGGAATTCGATCACGAGGCAGTATAGCTCCTCCAAGCGCTCAAGGAGGTCGGATCTTGTGGCAGGATGAATTATGAGCAGTTGAGTTTCCATTGCATTGTAGAATTTCATTTGGGAAGTGACGTAAACAAGACCCTCACGATTGGCTTCTTCAACCATCGCGGGATTCCTCAGAAGCGGCAATAGGAGCGAAATGCCTGCCATTACAGCAGGGCCGTACGGAACATCTTGAATTGCGTCATTGACATACTCCGCAGCCCAATCAACAGCCTTCGCTGTACTAGCCAAGGCATCATCCAAAACGATCTTATGTCCCAGGACAGTTGTGCTCAGCTTGTTGTCCTTCATGTGCTTTAGACCAAGCTCAATGATTTCCCTGAGCTTTTCACGTCGCTCCGCAATATTGTCTTGTGGGATCTCATTTTCGCATGGTACTTCTTCACCCCCCTAGTTCAGGAGATGGAGGCAGCGACTTGTCTAGATAAATTTTCAGTATAAGGAGCAGTCAAAATGGGGACGCAACTGAACGAAAAGCTCGAATAGTTCTTACCATGAACGAGTGCTCGAGACAGCAGTTCTTCATAACTTGAGACCAATTCTCCGTTCTTCTCTTTCAGGTTGTCATATGCCTTGTCCCAGAGCGATATGGTCTCGGTCTCGGTGGACTTCGTGGTGGATTTAGGGCTCTCCGGTGGGGCTTCAGCTTCCACAGTTGATGGTAGTACTGGGGAATCTCCTAGTACGGTCGTCCCAGTTGAAAGCTCGGCGGTTGAAATCTGCGAGACAGACCGGACCGATAAATGATCTGATTTTTATCGTTATTACTGTTCGGACGGATGATGTATTACCAGACTGGCTCAGACATCTGTATAGAAAGTCAAAACCTACTTGTTGGCGGACCAAGATAGTCATCTTGAGTCGTTGTAGGAATCGAAAAACCCGAAGATGACCTCCGGTTCTTCCCCCAGAAGCTATCCCAGCTTCTCCGAATTGCTTGTCGCTTATGATGTTTCTCACGCTTTTCACTCATGGTGACAAAGGGGACGGCTCCGCTAGGCCCACGTCTGCCGAACTGGTCCAAGTATGAATAAGATTGCGGGCCGCACAACCCGACTCCCGCAACTTTCAAGGATTCTTGATGTGCAAGCCCGAAGACCAGAGAATAGATGAAATTGTCGAGAAGAGAAATTCTCCGTAATACCATGTGAAATATGTTGAAAAAAGAACTTTTTGTCTGCCCGTGCCCGATCGCGGCGGGGGTGATGAAGGCCCCGCAAGACTAGTTCAAATGGACGGGGCTGGGCAATTCAGCTGTTTGTTGTCAGCGATCTTCACACCGCAGGTTTCTGGGCGGCAACAACTTGGAGTATCACCTTTCCCATTTGTTATTCGTGGGCGGTTAAATTCTTCATTTTTGCTGCTTCTGAAGCTTGGAAGCTCGACAACTTTCAATCCTTGCCAATAAATTGATTCTGAGACAGCGTACACCTGGCCCCTGGGTACGAGCAGGAAGTGGATGTACATCGGCAAGAGAGGTTCGCGGGATAAGACCCGCTAAACTAGATGGAGTCATAGCGTGTGACTATTCCAAGGTTTGAGTGGATCCTCTCTTCGGAACATTTGATTCTTCAGATGATGTCAACCGATATTATTCCGAGTCGGGCTGTTGAAGACTCTAAGCTGGAAGTGAGTAAAGGACACAGGGCTACTTGAATGGGGATTTCATATGTATCATTTGATTCTTGTACATACCTCAGTGCCTCGGTTTCAGTCTCGATGACCCCGAGATCTACAGGTTTTCAGGAGACGCTTGTATATCAATAGCAATTTCATTTTCTAACTAATAGTGCCAAGGTATCAAAAAAGCAATTTCTTTTAGATCAATGCAGATGTTGAGCGAGAAGAATAAAAGTTGCACAATCTCTTAACTCCTCTGGCTATGAATGTCGTAAAAGATGTCGGGTAAAAAGCATTAAACCGCACGCCACTGTACCACCACACCACCGCACGCCACCGCACGCCACCACAGCTAGAAAAAAAAGGAAGCAAAGGGGGGGAAACAAAGAAAAGGGCTCACGTTCATTCCTGAACTCAATCCCAATTCTGCTATGAATGCATGAAAGAGTAAAAATGCAAAAGGATCACCAAAGGATAACCATGCGAAGCATCTGACCCTTTCAAACCCTCGGAAGATTCACTCCATCTGAACCGAACGCAACCGCACGCCACCGCAGCTAAAAAAAGAAACAAAGAGGGGAGGGGGAAGGAGGAAGTGGAAACAAAGAAAAGAGCTCAAGTTCATTTCTGAACTTCATCCTAATCCTGCTATGAATGCATGAGAGAGCAAAAATGCAATAGGATAATCATGCGAAGCATCTCACCCCTTCAAACCCTCGGAAGACTCACTTCATCTGAACGTAGAAGAGATAACGCTGCCTGATCTGAGCCACATCATAGACAATGTACTCATTGTACTGCAGGTATGCTTTGCCATCATTTCGTTGTCCAGCTGTCATGTCGGGCATCTTGACCCCCTGCAGATTAGCGTTTAAGACGCTTGCATCCTTCCATCCGGCAGGAACAGTTCGACCCTGTCCCAAAGTTGCAACTTTTCCCGCAGCACGCGCTTTCTCATCGGCAGTGTAATCGCCATTGTAAAGCTCCAGCATCGGATCACCAAGTTCAACATCACAAAGCAAGAGCAATCCCTTATTGCCGCTGGAGTGTGGGCAGCAATAGTTCGCAGACTTGGTGGAGGTGTCCGCCAGGTACACTCCTTTGCCAAACATGTAACCATTCACGGGCGCTTCAGGTGGAGCGATTCGAAGACCTTGACTCAGGATACCACCAAAGTTCGTACTACGTGAGCCATGCCACAGGAGGCGGCGATCACTCTTCTGCATAGCTGAGTAGGGAGACGACTTGAAGCGATCTTCCTCTCCTTGGCGTTCCATGCGGAAGATATCGATGACCTTTGACGGATAAGCATTTCAAATTTTTTGCGGAAAAGGAATGTAGACATACAGTGTAGTTCAGAGAATGGGTGGCACCACGAGAATTAGTCAGGTAGTTTGTCAGCTCCTTGAACTCAGTCGAACTATGCTCCACTAAATAAGGAATCATGAATAATCAGTGGACTATATCTATATCAGGATTACAATAGATGAACTTGACTCACGTATCGACATTTCCTTCATGCCAAGACCCCGGAATTGCAGATCTAGCTCATGGACCGATGTGAGCTTAGAATCTTTCATAATCTCATTGGCGACGTCCATGTCGGTCAAGGCCTCAAGCAACTCAATCTCCCTTCTGATAAGTTGATCGCTGATCAAAATAGGAGGCCGCTTACGGCCAAAGTTATGCGGGATTGTAGTGAAGTACTGATTGCTAATGCGCTCAATATCGGCTTGCCATTGCGCACTGTGTACTGTTTCGGCATGGAGTTGAGCTATTTCCTTCAAAAGAGCAAATCCTGTTTTCAGGGTTCGATCACTCAGCTTTCCCAGAGGTAGCTTTTGAGAGTCATAGGACATTGCTTCCATTGCGGACTGGAAATGGTTGGCATTGAAAATGAAAGAGATCAGGTCCTGCAGAGGCTTGTCCAGGGTACATTCAACTTTCGGCGGCAGGGACGGGGATTTCTGTTCCTCCTCCTCGGTCGGCTCCACGTTTTCATCGGTAGGATCCTCTGAGTAGCTGCGCTCGATGAAGGTGTATTTTCCGCGCACAGGTGCCTTGATTAACCGTTGTGTCCATATCATTCCGGCCTTGGCTTTGAATTTCTTCTCAAAGTGATCCTTCGCCGATTTGAAGTCGTATGAATGTCCAATCTGCCCGCTAAGTACGGCTGACTGACCACCCTCGCCGACGCGACCCCAATGGGTCCAAGTCAAATACTTCTTCTCTGCACCTGGGTATTCCAAGAGTTGGATTCGGTAAAACTTGTTGCGATTCAATACTGAGTCGGTTTGGTTGAGCGTTGCATCCCAGATCACGTCGTCTTCTTCGTCAATCCAGACTGCTGGAACTGCAAACCTGGTAAGCAATCTTCAAACGAACTGGACTGACAGAAATTACCTTCAGAAGGGAATGGGTTGTTTAGGAAGAATTCTGGATCAACAGGAGCTTTCGGCGGCATGGCCTTTTGTCTCTTGTTTGAATCCTCGAGCTCGGAGTCTTCTGAATTCGCTCGCTTGGTTCCCTTTGGGGTAGGAATGATCAGAAAATTCTCCACAGACACATTGGTTCCCTGCTCTTTACATGCCAAGAGCCAATCGATGGTCACGACATGGCATTTGTAAGTTAGAGCATTCCTGTCTTTTATTTGAAGTCAGCAAGATATGACTAATGGTACCCGAAAATCCAAAGACAAGATATACATTTGATGATCTTTTTGTCCACTTCTTTTTGCGTAGTGATCAAGTGGGTAGTTCTTTTGGTGACCGGTGCGCTGTATGCAGCGGATAGGCACTCCGCCAGGTTCTTCACTTGATCTGTGATGGTAATGTATTAGCTTCATCTGGATACGTTTGAGAATGGTCAACGGTCCACGCGGTGGACCAATTGAGTAAGGCGTTGATGGAGGTCGCGTACCTTGAGTATGACCGGGAATCGCTCCGCCGGAGGAGATCACGATGTCCTTCCCACGGAAAGGAAATTTAACCGGCATATTGAATGGAAGTCGAGAGCTGAAACTTGGGAAGACCGAACGGCAAGAGAAAAGAAGAGGAAAACCGGAGTGGAAGAGATATTGAAGGCAGTTCAAAGGTGAAACCCCATGGACGAACGGACGGAAAGGGGAAGGAGGAGAAAGAGTGGACGGGAAGAGATATCGAAGGGAGTTCGAAGGTTAAAACTCGAGGGAGAAAGGACAGAAACCTTGAAGAGAAAGGAAGAGGAAGAGAAGGAAGGGTAAAGGATGAGAGCGTGGAAGTGGTGGAGAGGGCAGCTGACTGAATCCAAGCACTTGAGATAACACGGGCAGACAACTGAAACACGTAGAGAGATGAAAATGGGAAAAGAGATATACAATGAGCTCAAGAAACTGAATTTGAAAAGCGTGGGGACTTGAAGTATAAGAAGTACGTGAGATGTGACACTGTTGATTTTTGGCCTGAGTGACGAGGCATTCAGTGGGCTGTTGCCTGGATTAAAGTCAGGCAGCACACCCCTAAGTGGAGACGCTCTCAGGCTACAGACTCCATCGGTTACGAGTCTTACGACTTCCAGTTAGTAGACTCATACGAATCTTGGCACCGGGTCCACGGGTTTACTGATTTGCTTGAACTCCGTATTATTGATTGCTCCTCGGTACAAATTACCTCCTGGATACAAGAGAAAATCATTTTGGACCGGCATCTCTTCATAGCACTTGAGATTTCCATGAGATTGAACGCGGAAGCTGGTGAGAAATTTCAAATCAGTGATCAGATTGAGGAAGATAACAATGGACTCCGGCGGGCCCTGCACATGTGGAGGTCTTGCATATAGGATGATTCATTCATGGTACAGAGCGAGGTTCTCAGAAACCAAGGTCATACAGGCGAGGCCTCCAGCTTCTTTGCTTGAATTTATTTGACCGCCTGGCATAATTCTGCCCCCTCCAGATGTCCTAGTCTAATGCAGGGGCTCTGGTCTGGTAATGGGAAGGTTCCAAGGTTAGAACATCCGTTTAACATTTGAATATAGTACCTATGGTCCACGGGTAGAGTGGTAACTTTAATGAGAGAGTCCACTGGCAAATGTTCAAAAAAAGGTAGTATGTATACACGAGCATTCAATACTACTCAATAGTATAGACCTCGGGATCAACCTGATATCATGATATTTCGATCAGATATTATGAAGACCTTCGAAACTACAGTAGGTTCTCACGCCCGGCAGAGCTCTGAAGCCGGTAGACTAAGGCCTCTTCAGCACCAACCTCGCCCCTGCACAGTCTTGTCCAACCACCTTCAATTCCGCGGTCACCTGAAATTCCATGGCCCCATACAATCTTCATGTCAGGAGCCCATTTATGGCGCTCATTGAGCAGTTCTTCCCAACTGGCACTGATGATCTGGAAGAATGTCTCTACTCCGAGAGAATCGATAGCGGAATCTTGCATACCGGAAGTGTTGCATTGGATCTTACCGAGTCTTGTCATCTCGGAGCTAGCTGTGCCCAATTCTTCTGCAGTTAAAGCCTAGAAATTTTCTCATCATGAGTCTGAGTATCCTCAATTGTGATACAGCCGATTAGCAATGAGTTGGTAACTCACCTTCTGGGGACTGCCAATCTTGATAATGACGGGCTTGACGGAGTCTAATCCGTTTTGTTCGAAAGAGTCAAGGAACTTTGGCAAAACGTCTTCTCGAGCACCAAATTCCAAGAAAATGACCTTCGATGGCTCGACCTGCTTCATCCACTGAACAACTCCCCCAGAGGTGACATCTGCGTAGGTAACAGCTTTGGATGAAAAGGAAGGCTTTGCAGTCTTGCTAGCTTCTTCGAGAGCCGAAACAGCAGATGTGACCTGTAAAAATCCAAGTGGCGCTGCTTCTTCTCTTCGCTCGAAAAAGTATGCAAATGTACGAGCTGTCTTTGTCGATGCACCCAAGCTCACCACAACCGCAGAGGAGATATCTCCATCCTCTTCGGACCATGGTAGATTAAACCGACTACCTAGGGGATGTATGCCCTTTTGTATCTGGGAGTTCGTGGGAAACACGTACTCGTTAAGATGATGGCCGCACTGCCATATGGCACGGAATACGGAAGACCAGGCTAGTCGATCCAATACATCCACGGAAACGGGAGATACGGCACCGGGGTCGGCGAGCGTGTGGATTGGAATTGACAGAGGTGTTACCATAAATCGATTGTATAAAGGCATCAGGGTTTGACGATGCTCGCTAGTTTCAACCCAATGGCCATTCGGAGGTGACTGTTCCAGTTTCAAGTCGACCGGTGCTGCAGATGTTGGCCAGAATCCGAATAAGAGTGTTTCAGGAGCCAAATTGGGAATATTGGTTTCCTCAACGCTTGCAAATCCCCAGGCAGGGGCAATCCCCCATTTAGAACTATCATTGTAGGGCGCTGGGCAGCTCTCCTGTACTGGATATGCGTCCCACCTGCGACCAGTGGATTAGTCGTCTTATGAATTTATCGTTGAGGGATTTGATCTTACCATTTTATGAGGGTTCCCAAAGTGGCGTATGTCAGGTTGTTAGATGTCAGACTGACAAGTTGAGGCCGTATGCGAACGGAAGATGGACCTAGCTCTCCCAGTTCGGCACTGACTGGGAGTGTGAAAGTCGCATGCTCAGAGATGTCTTGCTTCGAGACAACATGAATTTGTGTCATGGTGAATGATAGTAAGAAGCTGATCGGACTTGAATTTCTTTGAAATTTCTCAATGGGAATGGGAATGTTCCTCTCTTAAGGCTCCCAGCGGGACAACACTTTCCCACTTGCACTAAGATTACTGAACCGACCATGATGTGTCCGGCCCCCAACAAAATGCCCCGCACAAGGCGTGCAACGTCTATACAGATGTATGCAGTAGGTAGTAATTGATTCTGTAAAATATTGCGTGGCCTTGGTGGCCTTGGTGGCCTTAGATCAAGGATAAAGAGCCCCATCTATAATGTCCCATCCAAGTCGACAACGCTAATAGTCACAGTGTTGTCATCACCACCCAATGCTCCACCACCATTAATGACCAACCAATTTCCATCTCCTTCCGACAAAATTCGCAAGGATCGAGAATAGCTCGCGCTCTCGGGAGTATCTATCGTCGTCCACTCGCCTTCTCCAAGTGCCTGGTTGATATACACTGCAGAAGAGGACTCTGCGCTCACGATGATCGTTCCATCTTTGCCTCCATACGACGTCCACACGACGTAAGGAGCTGACGCTGGCTCCGTTCCATCAGTTGCAATAAGTTGAATCGGTTCTGCGGAGTTGAATTCTTCTGGGTTGGAAGCGATGCGGTAGGTAACTGGGAAACTATAATCTGCCGTGTCGAAAAAGGAACCGTGCTCGTACGTGATGATGTACTTTCCGTTGGGGAGCTATTCAAAGTGTCAGTGATACTCAGCTTCTTGGTTATAGTTTTCAATTCCAAGGACACAGTTGCACTCACCTTCGCAACTGTTGTCATTCCCGGTCTATCGGTATATGTTGAGTATGTGCTAAAAGTCGAGTCAGTTTAACAGTACACCATGCAAAGATTCAAGTTGCCATACACATCATCTACAACAGGTCCCCAAGTCTTCAATGAGCTCGAGACTTGATGAACCAGCTTCTGTCCGTAAGTGGCGTTGTCTCGTTGATCGGAGTAATAGCAGATCAATTTTCCATTACTATAGAGCCAGTCAGTGGATCCAATCATGACAACAATGCCACAAATAAATCATTCAAGGGAAAGAAAGAAAACTCACTAAGCCATCAAGAAGGGTTCCCAAACAGGAGTCAACCCATTATCTGGCTCAGCCTCTCCACCAGCCGCAATATGGCTAACAAACTCCCACTTGAGACCCTGATCGAACGAGGCATACAGATCAATCTGAGTCGACGATAGATCCTCAGGGATACTGTTACCCGCCAGTAACAGGGTTCCCTCCGGATAATCACCAATCTTCTCAGGGAGATAGTACAGGAATGGTTGATATCGTAGTCCCCAGCCATTGACTTGGTCGGTAACATTGGAATACGCATTCCAGGTCTTACCGTAGTCTGTTGAGCGGTAGATTGGGAAGTAAACTAGTGGTGGCTCTGGGGAGTAGTTTTCCCATGTTGCGAGTAGATCACCGTTTGGGAGCTGTGCCGAGCGGGCATACAGCGTACGGGGAATGTTGTAGTCGGATGGTGGGGTGAAAATGGTGATTTCATCTAGGGATTGAGGACTACTGCTCTTTGGTATGGCTTTTGCTGTGACTTGGGCTGCCAATGCCAGCAGAGTATATGAGAGCTTCATTTTGATCGATGCGGGGTCTTTGCAATCTTATTTTCCGTTTTGATCCTCTGCAACAACTTGTCAAATGTGATCTCAGTGCACACGCATTGGCTTTTATACTAAGTTATCTCTCTGCCTTATAGTACGATGTTAGCAATTGACTTCAGCTAAACTCATCCCGCCGGAGTTGTCCTGTTTCTGGACTCGTCATGGCAGAATCTCGGCACACGCCATTTTGTGGGGTTATTTCCATCAATAGCGATTCTTCCGGGATGTTTGATGAGTATTCCGAAGTAGAATCACGGAAGCCAGAGAGCAAATGTGCTCATTAGTAAAGAAACACTGTTATTGCTCCAAGACTCCATATTGCGGGGTTGAAGATTGAAAGTTGAAGCTTGGAACATTGATCGATCCCCGCACTTTCTCCGCACATTGCCAAATACTATCCTTGCAGTGTCTCGGATGTTGACATAAGGAAAATAATAAGGATTCTCTTCAGGTCGATCACCAGTGGAATCAATCTATCCCAAGGTTGTGCCATGTTTACATTACGCACCTAGGTACGGGCTTAGTACCTACAGGTGAACTCTTAGTCTATGAAATCTGAAGTTGATAGATTTGGAAGATATTTGCATTTGCAATTTCAAGCAGAAATAACCACCGTAATGATATTATAGGAATAGAATAACCCGTAGGTATGAAAAGGAAGGAATTGAAGATCCCTATGCTTGGGGCAGTACGTGTACACCCCATAACGATCGCGAACCATGAATGCAAAAAGGAAAGAGGTCATCTTACTTCGACAAACGCTGAAAAAAATGATCGAGGGGACAATGACCGCCATGGATGCATGAAACAAAATACCGAAAACAAAATACGAACTTGAGCCAGAGGAGGGAATCAAAGGAATGGAGCGCTATACAAGACGTTTCAGGTCATTAGATGGAGAAGATGAGTAAGACAACATGCGTGAAGGGAATGGAAGGCAAAAACAATATCATGAGTCACATTCCCATATTGGTGAGATGTGAGATGCAGATTATGTATTAACTGGAAGGGGTTGAATATGTGGTTCAGATTAGATCGGAGGGTGGTATGTTGAGAGGTGAATTCAGGCGCTGCCTTTCGTGGGATATCATGGGTGAGAGTAGTCGAGAGAGGAAATGAGAGTGATGTTGGGAATTATTTCAAATGTGTTTTTATGTTTGTGCTCGGTGGGGGGAATTTTCGATTAAAAAATGGCGAATCGTTTTTGTTTGGGCTTATTGTCATCTGAAATGATGTTTGTCAGTATTCGTGTGATGTCATATTAAAAGTCCCCATCAAATATCATGAGAGAAAAGGGAGGATAGTACACTTGAGCATACCTTGAGCTTGACTGGGCTTCTGTCTTGTGTTGCGGCCTCCATTCCGACTTTGCCCAGAAGGAATCTTGCCATCAGCTGCAGCTTGGATTCTGGCAATACGCTCCTTGGCTCGCTCTTCACCTTGGTCGGCAGCTTTCACGTACCAGACGTTTGCCTCAAGAGGATCACGTCGGCATCCCATGCCCACCTCGGTGAAATAACCAACCGCGAACTGCGCCTTGGGGAGACCTATATTTGGTAGACATGTTAGATACAGTATATCATAATTCAGGACGAAAGTGCTTTACTTACCAAGATTTGCTGCACGAGATGCCCATTCATATGCTTCATCTTCGTCTCTTTCGAGAATAGGCTCTGCTCCAACCAGATACCACGCGCAAAGGGCCATCATGGCAAGTGGGTGTTGTTTCTGAGCCGCTGCGGTGTAAAAGTGGATGCTGAGAGCAGGATCTTTGGGGCAGTTCAGTTTACCACCATGTTCATATGCATCACCCAGTCGGTAAGCGGCCTCTGGATGACCCAGCTCTGCTGACTTGGTAAACAGTTGTGCTGCGTAGGACTCATCGGCAAAGACATCATCGCCGAATCCTTTCACATGAAGTAAACCAAGTTCATATGGAGCTGAGTTGTACTGCGCATCCGCTGAGTCGGCTGCAAGCTTCATCCATTTGACGCCCTCTCGATATTTCTTTGGTTGTCCCAAATCACCCGCCAAACAAACTTCAGCCATACGCATCATTGCGCCGGGGTGGTTCTTTGATGCAGCCTGTCGAAAGTACATAATAGCTTGTTGCGCATTGGGAGTGGTTCCCCAGCCAAATTCTAAGCACAGAGCTGCGCGGTAGCAGGCCTCTACATGACCGTGTCTGCCGCTAGCTTTGAAGAGTGGAAATGCACGGTCATAATCCATTTTGCCCTTGTTGAACAGACCCGATGCAAAACCATCGCCGAGATAATACTGCGCGAATGGGTAGCTGCGTTCCGCCAGGCGTGTAAGAATGGACTTGGCCTCTAGAAGAAGCCGGGCGCGCGTAATGGAGTTCGAGTCTTCGAGGTCAACCTGGGGCATCTCATGCATGGAATTAATCATGAACACCGCAAATTCGTACTGCACTGCCGGCTCATCCGTCTTCTTCACATTCCCCAGGTACATTTCGAATGTTTCCTTGTGGCTTAGAAGGGACGCATTGTTGCCGACCGAGGACCTGAGCTGCGAATTATCAAATTGCGCCGCACTTGGACCCGGCTGGGGGTACGACGTATTCAAGAGATCCAAAAATGAGGTTGAGCGATTGTCAGGTGATGCGGTTGAGTTTCTCGACGTTGATCGTGGATGCATGTACGGCGATGCAGAGAGATTACGTTTGTGAGTGTTTGCTCCCATCTCGGAGCCGGATGAATATGTCGATAATGGACGAGAAATTCTCGATCGCACAGCTAGGTTGCCGGTGGAAGAGGATGTTTTGTCCGTTTGCTGCATACCCAAGGTTGAGCGCTTAGCTGCCAGCGCAGCTGCCTGCGCAGCTTCCGGTTGATTATGGTGGTATTGTAGTGGCTCGTAGATATCCGAGACCTGGCGTATGCTTTCCAGGCTCCCATGTGAAGAGCTGTTATTGCTCTCCGCAGCTCGATCAACCGATCCACGCTTTTTACTTCCATTTCGGTTTGCCTTGGGTTGTGACTCCTCAGCCGACCATGAGCCACTGCTGTTGGGCGTGTGGCTGTACAGTTGTGTCTTTGGATATGCCATCATTTGCGGGGAGTTTCTCCGTGGGAGATATGCAGGGTCCCAAGAATGTTGTGGGGGTGTGGGGTCTTCTAGAGACAAGTGCGCGAACTCTGGAAGACCGGGTTTCGGTGAAGCTGAACCATGGCGAATATTTTCAATTTTTACGCTTGATGCCTGGGGAGTCTCCACTCTGTTGATCTTCACTGGGGAGCGCGGCGCGTTTTGAAGCACGGCTTCTTCGGATTTAGTGTTGATGGCGATTTGCTTGCCGATCTTTCCGATAATACTCAAGTTATTTGGTCGCACTGGAATCGTTCGAGGAGTGGACTGGGCGTTGGAACTGTGCAAAGCTAGTGGTGGTGAATTTCGGAGATATGCTGGAGGAGGTGATGGGACCGGGTGGCTGTTTGCCACTGATGAGGCCATTTTGAAGTGAGAACGAGCGTCTCAAGCAGCTCTAAGCGAGCAAGATAGAAGCGAAGGTGATGTTTGCGCGACCTTGATCCGAATGCAATTTTACATGAAACAGAGAGGCTGTCGCCACAGCAGCTGCTTCTTCCCTCTTTGTATGTAGAACTGGACCGTAATCCAATAAGAAAGCTGGAGTGGGCCGTAAAGACAAGGGTCCAAGGGTCCGAAAAGGTGACAAAAAAAAGAGTAGAAATGGAAGAAGTACTCGGAATTAAACAAAGTTCATTCACTTAACCCATCACCAAATGCATAAGAGGATCACAAAGAGAATAAAGAGGATGTCATGTTTTTTTGTTTTTCTTATGAAGCGAGGGGAAAGGGAGTATGTTTCATACGGAGAACAAACCACTCAAACCACCTAAACCACCTGGTTCAAGGGTCGCCTCCACTTTTTCTCCACCCGCCATCGCTAGTTTACTCCTTGAAGGGGGTTTGATTCATTACTTCTTTGTATGATTCATGTTTATTACAGAACTTCCATATGGCATTTCCATCTGGGCATTCATATATCGGCCCCGAGGTCTAGGTGACTATTTCAAGATTACTTACCATGTTTAACAGACGGTCATTCTCATCACCTCCTCTGAAACAACACACCTCGCTTGGCTCGTATTAATAGATGTCAGAAAAACAAGAGACTTGGAATTTGCCCATCAGCCCGCCATCACTACCCAATACTGAACTTTGGATGCTGTACGACGATCCACCTACTCCACTCCAACACGCGGAGACCGAATCACGATAACCTTGATTGATTTTTCCCCCTCAAAGTGAGAGAACTGACAACTGCATTTGACGGGTCTATCCATTCTGACCGCTTCGAAGGTCGAGAATGCAATGGACAGAAATAGAGATTATTTATACGAGTCAAAACTGAATCAGGACCCTTAAAGACCTCGTTGCTTTTTTCCCCTCAGCCGCCTCCCTCTCACCTGCAGATGTAGGGCCATGCATTTGGCAGTGGAGCCTTCGGATGATCGCACCCATCGGGACACTAGGCTTACAGAGCGCTGGAGCTAGCGACCAACGAGGAATGGCATCTTACGAACTCTCCTTGACGCCCGGTATTTCCGGCCCTGCTGACCCGTAGTGACTGTAGCGCCCGTGAAAAAAGGTGTTCGCTTATCTGGAACCCGAACAATCAGAGCTCGTTGAATTCGGAGGGATTGCATCCGTGTCAATTGTGGTACTATATTTATTCTTTGGTGCTTTGTATCACTTTATGGCGTCTTCCAAGGTTCATGTTTTTGCATGTGTATTTTAGTTTCAACTCTTTTGATAATTTACCATTTGTAATTCTATTTGAATTTCTCGGCATTCAATTGACTTTTCATGGTGCTCGCACGGCCCGTCGTTCAATCCTTCATGTATGGGGAATATTGGGTATGATACTCCTTGCTGTGACCCGCACTAGCGACTATCATTATACTACATCATCCATATCATATATGACGAAGTACTGTGCACACATGGACATCTGGAGAAATTATTATGAGAGATGACGACGTTCAGTCTATGTTAGAAGAGAAGCACCCCTTCCATTAACCTGACTCGGTGTCTTGAACAGTGCACATGTGGAGTTGACAGTCACAGTCAACTCTTCTGGGTTTTACTGCCAAGTAGTCATATAGTTAGGCTGCACACCTGATAGAGAACTGATAGTCCATGTAACCACATCGGTGTAGTGTACAACACAGACCCAAGACTGATCGATCTCTGATGCGCGAGCTGCATTCCAGTACGAACGGGGACGTGGGCATGGCTCCCATGCCGCCGCAGTCCTCGCACAAGGAATAGTCCGTTGAATCCGTAGATTCCTGGGACTCTGGGGGTTTCGTGTTAGTCTGATATGATGCTAAAGGTGAGATGATTGAGACATCGCCAGACACTTCCAGCTTGAACCTCGCTTGTCATGTAGATTTTTGGGATATGGATATGTTAACAGGTAATCCATACTTTGTACACCGTATAATACTTCGTAGCCAAGGCTTGCAAGGCTCGTTCTATCATTCCAAGTTTTCTTTGATTCTCCATGCATGACCGCCTGCCCGCTCATGCATCGCACTCCCGGACTCTCTAACCCCTGATCTAGTACAGGGATACCCTGCTGTCGATTCTCGGATTGAAGTACGCGCACCTGTTAGTATACGGCTGTGTTGCCGCATGCCCGTTGTTTGTGCGATCATCACGTTGCTTTCAGAGCGCTCAAACGTCACTTCGGAAATCCGGTCTTGGATTCGTAATTGCAGCAAGGTGAAAATATAGATTGATATAAGATCATATCCCCTTCGGTCGAATCTGGTTTATTGATTAAACTCTCGGACTAGTCAGTGCAGAGTGTGGGGGGTGGCGGCGGAATGTGATAGCGCACACGTCGAGTCGGGACGATCGATCCGAGCTTTTCTAGGATTCTGCTAGAAAATCACTCAGCTCTCAGGTACTGGAGGAGAGCACGTTGTCATATTGGTGTTGACCGCGAGTTCTGACTCAAGATGAAGTCTGCCCAGGTGGATCGACAGTGCTGCGTTAGGGGCACATGGACTATTGTTAAGATCGGTACTAAAATGGTGGGTCTGCAGATATCAGTTTTGAGATTCTGTATGTTGGTCCCATTCAAATGTTCCATGTCTTGGATAGATCAGACTTGGAATCAGCACGGTTTTGTGCAACACTGTGGGAGGTACAGAAAATGGTACTCCGTCAAGCCAAAAATAGAAACCCAGAAGGTGAAATTGAACCTTGGGAACGAGTAAAGAGGTGCCTCGGTACGGGAAGACAGAAAGTGAAACTAGTGTGAAAAGGTGGAAAATGTTCAATGATCTCGTGACTTGTTGGAACTCCGCACTTATGAAATCTTCGTATATTATTCGTATATTACCATGGGTACGTATAGTAATACAATCTAAGTGCTTAAGTGGAGTTTAAAGTGATTGGATTGAAGTGAGACCCCTATTCTTTAGTTTTTTTATGAATTTTCCTAAATTTTCCTGGGCATTTTGGATGTATTTTCCACTATTTTCTACTAGTATTTATTCCTAACCTAAGATTCTATTACCTCTTGCTACGGAGTACGGAGTACAGCCCATCGGCTTGACTTCCCTTCATTCCCAATACACTAGATTATGGATATTATTAGGTTGCATTCTGAGATCTGTCTATAATGCTAAAATTTCATAATATTTAATTTCATATTGAATAATGCTCACACCGAACCTTGGAATAATTGTCATAATAATTAGTGTAAAGCATCCAGAGTAGCCCCGAATCTTATATGCGTGAAAAAAGGGGAAGAGGGGGACTGTGTCAGTGCTCTCGGAATAAAATCGTGACTTCAGGCCCCTTTTCAATCCTTAATCTCTCGAAATTCCCCTTCGCTTACTTTCTTTTGAACCCTTCGGACCCTGTCACTCGTTGATTAGCGCTTGGACGTTCTCGACCCGGCTCATAGTGGGCCTTTGTTTATTTCTCCACCCCGACCCTCGTTGCACCGGCCGACCGCAGTCGCTACACCTGTGACGTTTCAATCCACTGAGATCGACTTCCAAGGCTCCCCCGAAAAGGACTAAGAAGCAAACGAGAAAGAATTTTTCGATCATTCACGCGTGGTCTCCAATTCCACGCAATACCCACATTCCAGAACTACCTGCACCAGAACTTGCTCGGCGGGGACTCGGAGGCTACCGGCCGCTTGTTGATCACCGGACATGCTCTAGTCGACTAGATCTCACGCCCACCACAAAGAAAATTTCGGTCCCTTTACGAAATAAAGACCACACATCGAAGGGCGAAGGACTGGGGCTTCCAAGGAGTAAGTGCGACCGTATCATGTAACGTACCTCGTCTCGAAAAAAAAAAAAGAAAAAAAGAAAAAAACCTAATAAATCAAACAGAACTTGGAAAGCAAAAAAAGGGCTCCGAAAGAGCTATGTCGCTGCCGCAGAGGCCGGGTAAAACCTCGCCGCGGCGCGAAGAGGTTCGAGCTTTTCGGGAACCCTCGCGGCGCCGCCGAAGAGACCTCGACTCGGGAGGCTACAGCGACAGCCCGCTCACCACCTCACCCCCTCACCGCCATCGTCGCCGTCATTCACATGGCCACCGGCGAGGGACCGACACGGAAGATGACCGCATGGAGCGTGGTGGGGATATGCGGCGCAAGAAAAGTCTGGTGAAACCTGAGCGACATCGGGTCGAACCAGACCACCCGAATTATCACTATCGCCAGCGCTCTCATCATATGAACACTCACCCGTCGGCGACAGGTCACGACCCACTGCTGGATCGCGATGGTGAGGCGGAGACTAATAGCTCGAAGAGCAGTGACCTGAAATCTAAAGAGCTGTATGGAAGTGGAAATAAACACATGGAACGCACGCCGAGTCGACACCACTCAAAACGAAAGAAGAAGCGGTCTTCTTCACACCGCATCTCGAAAAAGATGACAGCCAAGGATCAGGAGCGACAGCGGCAAAAAGCCATGGAGCAGGTCCGTCCACCAGATCTTTGGACGACGTACTGTGCTCTGGTGACCTGTTTGATTCCAGATGTTGCACTGCGATGCTTTGGCATGCCGCAAAAGGAGCAACGTACAGCCTGGAGAGAAAAGATTGGACTCATTAGTATCATTCTCATGGTCGCCGCCTTTGTTGGTTACCTGACGTTCGGATTCACGGCAACCGTTTGTGGAACCCCAACTACACGGATGAAGATCAACGAGGTCGGAGACGGATACATGATCTTTCATGGTCAGGCCTACAACTTGGAGAACTCACACCACCCGGCAGCTGATGGTATCCCATCAAACTCAAACGTTCTCTACGATTTACCTCATAAGTATGGTGGTCAAGACGGCAGCTTCTTCTTTCAAGAAGTCAATGGTGCTTGCAAGGGCCTCATAACGGCTGTTGATGGCGGCGGTGTGCCCACCAATGATAATGGTGACTTGGGATGGTACTTCCCCTGCAATGCGTTCAACCAAGATGGCTCGACTAGCCCAAACCTGACAGAGCCATACTACGAGGGATGGGCATGCCATACAAGTTCGGCAGCGCGGACACCCTTTTGGAAGCTCAAGCCAACTGGTGATGTGTATTTCACATGGGATGACACAAAGAACAAGAGCCGAAATTTGGCAGTCTACTCAGGAAGTGTCCTCGATCTTGATCTTCTAAAGTGGTTCAATACAAGTCAGGTTTCATACCCTTCCAAGTTTGACCAGCTGCGTGAAAACACCGATGTTCGAGGTGTAGATCTCACCTATTACTTGCAAGGCGGGGAAAAGGAAATCGGAAAGTGTTTGGCGCAGATCATCAAGGTGGGCAGCATCGATACAGACACCGTTGGATGCATTGCCTCCCAAGTGGTGCTGTATGTGGCATTGATTTTCATTCTGTCCATTGTCTGTCTCAAGTTCGCTTTCGCTGTCTTCTTCCAATGGTTTTTGGCGAAGAAATTTGCACCCGAGAGGACCAGTATGGGCACCGATTCGAAGGCCCGACACCAGCAAATTGAAGATTGGACCAACGACATCTATCGATCAGCGCCTCGCGCCGATCCGCCTGCTCCTGATCGAATGAGCAAGCGAGCAAGCTTCTTACCGAAAACATCTCGCTTCTCAAGTCCGTATAACATGGGTGCTTCAACAGGCGGAGGCAGTGGGAAGCAGCGTACGAACTATGTGACCATGGCGACTCAAAACTCAACCTCTCGACTCATGCCAAGCTCTACCACCACCGGTACCATGTATAAGACGAGCCACAACAGCAGTGGCGGCTCTTTGAGTGCCGACCATTCTCGGAATCCAGATGCCAGCAGGACCAGCTTGGTCTCACCCGGAGTGCATGATTCTGAATTTGATGGTCCTGGCCCTGCTGGGTTTATCCATGAAGCAGTTGTTCCTCAACCGCCCCCTGATTGGCAGCCATTTGGTTTCCCCCTAGCTCATGCCCTTTGTCTGGTTACCTGTTACTCAGAAGGTGAAGAGGGAATCCGCAGTACTCTGAACTCCATTGCCATGACCGACTACCCGAACAGCCACAAGACGATTCTTGTGATCTGTGATGGTGTCATCAAGGGTAAAGGAGAAAAGTATTCGACTCCTGATATCGTTCTTGGCATGGTTAAAGACTTCGTGATCCCGAAACGAGAGGTTGAGCCATTCTCATACGTTGCCGTCGCTACAGGATCAAAGAGACATAACAAGGCCAAGGTTTATACCGGATTCTACGACTATGGTGATGAATCCGACATCCCGCTAGGAAAGCAACAACGGGTTCCCATGATGGTGATTGTGAAGTGCGGTACCGAGGAAGAGGCCAAGGCCTCCAAACCTGGTAACCGGGGCAAGCGAGATAGTCAGATCATTCTCATGTCTTTCTTGCAGAAGGTCATGTTTGATGAACGAATGACAGAGCTGGAATTTGAGATTTTCAATGGCATGTGGAATGTCACTGGTCTTCCTCCAGACTTCTATGAAGTGGTTCTGATGGTAGACGCCGATACCAAAGTATTCCCTGACAGTCTAACACACATGGTTTCAGCCATGGTCAAAGACCCAGAGGTGATGGGTCTCTGTGGTGAGACGAAGATTGCCAACAAGACGGACAGTTGGGTGACCATGATCCAAGTCTTCGAGTTTGTCCCCCCTTCCCTCGTTTTTTAGTAGTACAGCACTAATTATCTCTAGGTACTTTATCTCGCATCACCAAGCCAAGTCTTTCGAGTCCGTCTTTGGTGGTGTTACTTGCCTCCCCGGTTGTTTCTCCATGTACCGCATCAAAACCCCCAAAGGTGGACAAAACTACTGGGTGCCCATTCTAGCTAATCCGGACATTGTGGAGCACTACTCCGAGAACGTGGTTGATACCCTGCATAAGAAGAATCTTCTTCTTCTCGGTGAAGATCGATACCTCTCGACCCTTATGCTGAGAACATTCCCCAAACGCAAACAAATCTTCGTACCACAGGCCGTCTGTAAAACAGTTGTGCCAGACAAGTTCATGGTGCTGTTGTCTCAGCGCCGTCGCTGGATTAACAGTACAGTGCACAACCTGTTTGAACTTGTCCTCGTCCGCGACCTCTGCGGTACATTCTGTTTCAGTATGCAATTCGTCATCTTCATCGAGCTGGTCGGCACACTTGTACTCCCCGCTGCCATCTCATTCACCATCTACGTGGTTGTCTCATCGATTGTCAAGAAACCCGTGCAGATCATTCCTTTGGTTCTTCTTGGCTTGATTCTGGGTCTCCCCGGTGTTCTCATCGTCGTTACGGCGCACCGCCTCGTCTATGTCCTTTGGATGATCATCTACATCTTCTCCTTGCCTGTCTGGAACTTCGTTCTCCCCATGTATGCGTTTTGGAAATTCGATGATTTCAGTTGGGGAGATACGCGGAAGACAGATGGTGAGAAGGATAAGGGACACGGTGCTGCAGAAGGTGAATTCGACAGTACGCAGATCACGATGAAGCGCTGGCGTGATTTTGAAACAGGTAAGCTTTCTCCCCCTGAATCCCTGAATCCCTGATGAAATGAACTCATACTAACGTCTGGTTAGAACGTCGGCGACGGATGAGCGCTTGGCCACAAGCCCCGGTGAACGGGTACTCCCATTATGAGATGTACTAATGAGCGTTGTGGATGATTATTTTCTTCTTTTCTAGCGCATTTGTGCTCAATGTGATTAATTCATTTAACATTTTAAACACCAATCCCGATCTCTCGATGGGCGTCATTGGGGGTTCTTATTTTGGGTCTTGTGTTGAATCCCGTTGAATATTTTGGGATCTTAATTACGGTGCACGAATTCACGATATTCCATCTGTGTATGTATACTTATGGTATTCATGTATATTTAATTTGAATTCAAGTTCTCCATATGTACTAATTCAAGTTGATTATTATAACTTCGTTCAAGGCTTTCGTGCAGCTCAAGGTTATGACTACTACCCACTATACAAACTTGAACATTTGAAGTTCGCACCGGATTTCTCTGACGACTCTTGGTTTACCTTTTCATCTCAAAGTTCACCCCTCTCGGACCTAAATTCCATTTTTGGGATTTCAAAACTCGCTCGAATCAGATTGTGGGTGTGTGAATGAAACCAAGAATGTGGGGATCTCGGCTTTTAACCGTGCCAAGTATGAGCTTGTGTGAAACTGGCTTTTGGAACTTCGTTTATCCCTAGCCCCCGACCTCAATTATCTGTTCTCGGAAGCTCTTCATGGCTTAACCCTGAAATAATTGCCTCTGGGTGAAAATTCAGCTGCAGATTTCGCGGGGTAACTGCGGGGCGCAATATAGTACCCAGCTCTGAAGTGGTTTCATATCGGCCAATCCACCAGGTTCCCCACCGATGTACAGAGTAAATACTAGATTGATAAAAGACCCTTTGAGACGAATACTACCTGGTGATCCTGCACCGGAATAGGATTTATCCCTCGAACAACTTGCAATATTTGAATTGCCATGATAAATATCACAATTGAGCCTGCACAGATGTTGGCTTTTCTACTATATCAAGTTCAAGCGGTTATAGCTTCTACCTCCCAGCCAAGCCTGGAGATAGAAATCCACGTGTGCTATTAACAACGCCTGATCCATGATTTCTATCTTTGATCTACTGGTCTGGGCCTGTTTGGCTCCTGGCATCATAGCCACTCTGAACCCTCGGGCTTTGAACTCCACTGCTCCAAAGGTGAAGGTGAAGAATGGTACCTATGTTGGCTTCCATGATCCTGTCCTCAATACAGACAACTTTTATGGAGTTGCATATGCGCAGCCACCTCTCGGGGATCTGCGTTTCCGACAGCCGCAGTCTCTCAATACTACTTGGCCTGGTAACCGCGTTGCGGTAGACTGGCCCAATGAGTGTATTGCATCATGTAAGACTTCTGTGTGCACTTAGTTTCATGACAAGGGTTAACTCGAGACTTCTCTAGCTTACAGTGCCAATGTAAATATCCCTCTAATGCAATTTCCGTCCTTTCGTTTTGTTTCCTTGTCTCTCCGAGTCTTTTGAATGTATTGGCTGACATTTGCAGATGTCTGAAGACTGTCTTTACATGGGCATCATTCGCCCTGCAAACACTACACAGAAAACAAATTTGCCGGTAATGGTAAGTCTAATCACTCTGGCAACCCATAACATGTAACGGCGATGTAACAACTTTGCCAGGTCTTTCTGGAGCAAGGTGGCTTTGATAATGGTGGTGTTGGCTTCTTTTCAGACTTCAACCAGACATGGATTGTTCAACGCTCTTCTGATATCGGATTCCCCGTCCTCGGAGTTGCTGTCAACTCCCGCCTAGGTCCATGGGGCTTCATGTATAGCCAAGAGATACAAGACTCACTCAACACCAACTTAGGACTACGAGATATGCGAAAGGCGCTTGAGTGGATCCAAGAGAACATCGCTGCTTTTGGAGGAGACCCTTCACGCGTAACCATTCAAGGACAAAGTACTGGAGCACAATCTGTGGGACTTCAACTCCTCGCATATGGTGGAGACAACGCCAATCTCTTCCACGGCGCCATTTCAGAAAGTGGTGCCCCCGTCTGGTATGCACCAACGGCAGATGTAAGCCTATGGCAACCAACTTACGACGGATTTGTCAAAGCAGCAGGCTGCAGTTCTGCAAAAGATAGCCTACAATGCCTCCGAGACGTATCCAACACGACTCTCATCAAAATCTTCGGCAACACGACCCTTGACCCCTTTGGTTCCAATGCACCACGTGAGTTCATGATGGCCGTAGACGGCGACTTCATCCCAGAAGCAAACAGCGTTCTACTTCAATCAGGAAAATTCGCGCGCGTTCCATATCTCATCGGTACCAATTTCGATGAAGGCACGACCGTCGGGCCGAGGGGTGTTAATAACCTCAGTGATTTCAACGCATACCTCATCGACGAGATGATGACCATCGATAGCGCCAGTTTGTCTACTATTGGCTATCTGTACCCCGATATCCCAGAAATTGGCATTCCGACCACTTACGACGGCCGTCCTCCGGCCACCGATGATTATGGACTTCAATGGAAGCGCTCATGTGCTGTTGGGACGGACATCATCATGGATGCACCTACCCGTCTCACGACATTATCCATGGCGTCATACAATTCAACAGTGTATCGATACCACTTTAATATCGTTCCAAATGGATATACCGATCTCCAAGGAGCGACTCATGCAGCGGAGGTCCCGTTAACGTTTTATAACATTGCTGGGCTCGGTAGTACTGTTCCGCCACTTGGTGGACAAAATGGTGCTAAGCTACTCAAAATGGCACAGATCATGAGTGCCATGTGGATTGGATTCGCTTATGGTGGAGATCCGAATTATGTTATTCAGAAACTTGAGCCGGAGGTTCCTGAGTGGCCTCCTTATACGCTACCTGAGCCGAGGAACTATGTTTTCACGATTAATGAGACGCTTTATACTGAGCCGGATACATTTCGGGCGGAGGGCATTAATTGGCTTATGGATATGATGGTTGCTTCGAAGAATAGAAACTGTACTAGTATTGCGGCGTGTGGAGGTGCTGCGGATGCTATGAATGGGGAGACTGGGGGTATTTATGGTTTTTAATTAGTTCATTTTACAATGTGATGTATCAGGTGGTTATTGGAAAGTACGCAAGATTAATCCGTGTTATAATTAACAGACTATTTTGGCCAGATGCGTGATACTGGGATGCATACACTAGACTCGAATTGATCCATCCATGCCTCGGTCTAAGTAATCAATCAGTCAGCATTATCACATCAGACCCCGATGCACCAATATGCAAGTTAAGCTTCTTTCACAAGGAAAATCATCACCTCATCCTCGTACGGAGTACATAATCAGTGTAATGCGGTTTTGCGCCGAGACGCACGGAAGGGCGTCGCATGGATCCCGGATTACTGCCCAACTAGATCAATGCGCAGGTCACCAGGCTTCGTCCGGGGGATCATCTGCAGTGCGTCACTCCCTGCATTTACGGTGATCAGATTCCAAGGTTCCAAGGTTATCTTTATTCCCTATATTAATTTTCCTCTTTTCTACCTATTATGTGAGGAAGATTTTCCTTTTTTGCTTTTTCGCTATCACTAAATTCACTAAATCCGCACAAGTTTTCCGATGAATACGATGCGATCTGAGTTTCTTCTTCTTTTCTTTTTTCTATGATAACATCATCCGTTATTATAATTTCCCTTAGTCGTTATGTAGGTCCATGTGTTAATCTGACTACATGGTATAGGTGTGGCGCAGCGGCTTAGTTTCCGACCATACACTGGCGACTCGTCACTACTAATACCTAACTGTCAACTCTTTTGGATACTTACATACTACAGGTGTCAAATCTATGGAATCTTGGAATGTCTTTGGAAGATCATCTGAATTCTCGGCCCCATATTTGTTGTTCATGCTAGGCGCCCAACGGAGATGTTCGGTCCAAATTCCTTGTAATGCCTCGGAATTCCCCCAATATTTGATGAATGTTAGGATAAAAGTACTATGGAATTCAACAAAAAATATGCAAAAATGAGTAGTAAATTGGGTAACACTTGAAGATATTTGATTTATGATGGTTTTTATGATCAATTCATTTAATTCATAGCATCTTCATACCGGATATAAGCTATGGATAATAGCCTCAGGATAAGAGCAAGGTTATTCGTCCTATACTAACTAGTACTTCCAATGCAGCCTGAGGCTACTATTCATGTTTATTACTTTACCGAATAGATGATCATAGTTATAGATCCACTAGGGGCGAACATTGGGCTTGTGTACTTTTGATTTCAAATAGTATACGGAGTACTCCGTAGAGTATTCATGATAATATGAAACTTCAAAATGTTGAGTTCAATCAATAATTTCAAGGTTACTATGGATTCACTTTGTATCTTCCATTGGTAGGATTATGACATCCTACATATGAGTTTCGATTTCTGTCTAGGGATGATACTAGTACGAGGAATTCGCGTGCAAGATCTTCATTCGCTATCCCTTTTGTTCCTGCAGATCAAGAATTGTGGCGAGCTGAATTATATTGAGATTGAACTGAAAATTGGATCTAGTTATCTGTAAGTCCTCCCATCAGGTACTACTGTACTCGTACTCCTTCAAGACGCCACTCCCGAGTCAAGCCCGAATCCTCTTGCTGACTAAATCCGAGAATTAACCACTTGGGCACCTCACTGTGACCATGGTGTGGCAGAGGAATTAGCATTAATTCCCTAATATTTGTCATTTCCTTTCAACGATTTCCATCTTAATACCAGGGTTGCCTTGTCGCCTACAACTTTATTCGGGCTCCTGCAGCTTGACTGGCGCCAGAATTTCCCCTGTTGGGTGCCGTGCACACCTTGACTTGAGCGATTCCCCACCAATAACTCCCCCTTTCGTCATCTTACATCCCGCTTATCAGCCTCGCTTTTTTTATCCTGGGATCAGATCACCTATTTCGAGTCTCTCTTACTCTATCTCTGACATTGGCCCACCAACGTGTAAAAGGTCTCCGGGATCATTGGTGTCATATACCTTCCCTTTCCCCGTTTTGCCAACGTGGCGAGAAATTATCTTGCACATCATATTGGAGAAGCCCGCCGCTAATCCCGAAAAAAGACTTCAGTGCTCCAGAACGGGCTCCAGCCGTGCTTGGTCCTCATCCGTTACTCCGTAATTGAAAATCAACGGTCAAACCCACTTTCTTTCCTCTTTCCAACCCCCCCTTCCTTCTTCTTCTCTCTCCAACTTGACGTTCCTATCCCCGCGCCACCCTCGTGCCCGTACTTTGTACTCCGCGATCTGATCGCCGTCTCCAACCGTCGCCTTGGCATTGCTGTCTTGCCTGCATCAACCATTGCAGTTGCAGTATCGGCGGCTGGGGCCGAGTTTACTGTTGCGCCACGCAGAGTGGATCAGTGCGAGTCAGCTGCAAAGCGATCACTTGAGAAAGGAGCAAGGATCTGTTGATTCTAGGATACAGTACTACACGTTCTACGGAGTACTTCGGTCTGTGTAACCCTTTAGCTGCCAATCATTCTTGACACGCCGTTTGGGCTTGGATCGACTTCGTCTTGTACTTCTGGTTCCTGGCACCTCTAGTACATTCTTCTATGATTGGTGTAGCTTTAGTCTTCTTTTTTTCTATTTTACTTTCTTTTGTCGTTCGGAAACTTGATTTGCTGCTGCATCTGCTGCGACATTTCACTAATCTCTCATCCCGAGCTGCAGCCTTCAAATTTGTGTTTCTTTTTTTTTCTTCGGATCCTCCCCGCTTATCACACGTACGGATTTTCCTTCCTATTTCATGTCGGGCGATGCTCAGTGATAGCAATTCTATCACTCGTTCATCACTCTTGCATTCAGGCTGCAGCTCTGATATACCTCACCATGGGTCATGTGATACAATTGGATTGTCAGCACATTCTGGGGTTATGAACGATCAATCAAATTCAAGTTCAACTAGCAGGCACGAAATGCGGGAGGAGGATGTCTCATCCTCAAATATGGATATTCCACCTGCTTCCAACTCATTCAATAACCAGTGGACTGGCATGGCCTCCGAAGATGATCGCCCGTTGCACAATGTGGGGGTTGCCGCTCTAGCCGCTGTATCGCAATATCCGCATCCTGTGGATGAGAGTGATTCGTTCTTGGTATCACAGGTTGTCACTGCTGTCACTGCAAGCGGTCAACCACGTTTTGATCAGTCTGAATACAGGGGCCTGGAGGCAGACGCAGATAGCTCAGGCACCGATCGCCCGCGGGAATTTACGTACCTGGAGGCAGACAGCAACACACTATCTGAATCAGACCTTTCTTCCAGATCCCCCGTCTATGAAGGTGAAGATGACCAAGTAGATATGGAAAGCATCATACATGATCTGATTGGACGAACCTTGAGCTGGCAAAACACCGCTACTATTGCCAGCTCACATGACTACAATGCTTTCCAGAAAGATATGGTGAAGGATTATGAGCCGGGGTTCGAAAATTATTCATCGTCGCCTTCTTCTGGGTCAGATAATGACCTTGAAGAGATGATCAAGTTTTACCCCGACGAGGAAGAATATCTGCACCAATACAACGCGTCACTCTCCCCCGATACTCCGACTATGCACGATGTGGATCTAGACGAATTCTATGATCGGGTCACCTACGAGGAGCCCCAACTGGAGGATCCCCAGCCACCTGGGGATACTACACCACCTGGAGGACCCTTCCCCGACGCAGTCGATGACCCGGAAACCCAACACGCGTCTATTATTCACACAACCAGTAAGTTTTGCTGCTGATTTTGCGATTCGTTTACTTCATTCTTTGACATCCACAGCTTACGAACGCAACTACACGATCGATGAGTTCATTCACCGTTGGATGGTTCCACCCGTGGTGGAAGATGCGACCAGTCCTAGAGGGAGAATGCCCGCGCAGCTCCGCCCAATCACGAAAATGCTCGACTGGAAACCGCTTGATCATATCTATCGACCCGCCCGATTCAGACGCGAGTTCTTTGACTTGCAGCAGATCCCATGGAAGGAAATTCTCAAAGTGAAACGAGTCGATGCTCGAATCCTCCGCGATGCTTGGTATACTTCATACCATAATGTAAACAACTCGCACAACAGTCATGCAGCACTACTCCCACACAGCGAAACGTATTTCCGCGCGAAATCAATGCATACTGCACACAAGGCTTCGATCGAGCATTTCCAGCTCCGCAATTTAATGTCGGTCCCAGCATACAATACTGTCCACTTCGCCAGTCGGTCGAAAATTCATTCGTGGAGTCCCAGTGTCGAGGATTTCCGCCCCCTCATTGACCTGAGTCAACCAGATCCAGATGTGGGGATCCGCGGCCCAGTGAAAATCTCAAGCATGAAATCCGATCTCGGTCTCGTTATTGCAGGCGGGTTCTATGGCGAGTATGCTGTGCAGGCTGCGGATGGAGGGGGAACTGGTGCGCGGGGATTAGTGACGCCCGATTACAATGACGGTATCACAAACCACGTGGATATTATTCGCAATCGGACTGGCCGATCGCCGATCTGCGTGTTCGCATCCAATGATCGACACTTACGGATTCTGGACTGCGAGACCAACACCTTCCTCTCTGATCAAGAACTTTCCCGCCCTATCAATTGTACGGCTACTTCGCCTGACAGTCGTCTTCGCGTGGTTATCGGTGACTCGCCAGATGCATGGGTCATCGAAGCAGATACCGGTCGTCCGGTTCATCCCCTACGAGGACATCGTGATTTCGGATTCGCTTGTGCATGGTCGCCCGATATGCGCCACATCGCGACTAGTAATCAGGACCGGACAGTCAATATTTGGGATGCTCGGACGTGGCGCGTTCTCACTAGCATTGATTCGGACGTTGCGGGTTATCGATCTTTGCGCTTCTCTCCTGTAGGTGGTGGCTCACGTACCTTGCTCTGCTGTGAACCAGCCGATCGGATCTCTATCATCGATGCCCAACTTTATCAGTCTCGACAGGTACACGATTTCTTTGGTGAGATTGGTGGCGCGGACTATTCGCCAGATGGTAGTAATATCTGGGTTGCGAATACAGACCCCCACTTTGGCGGGTTTATGCAGTATGAACGTCGTCAATGGGCTGCTGGGTATGGACTTACGGATCCGCCGAATGAGTGGGTTCGGGAGAAAGATCTGGACGCGGATGATCGGTGTGTGATGAATTCTCGCGAGAGAAAACTCCGATTCCTGCGTAATTTGTCTGATCGGGAACATTCTATGTTTTCGCCTTAGTCAAGTTTGAGGTTTTTTTTCTTACTTGTTTTTTTTTGTTGATATTTCTTCGCATCTGATACCCTGGGTTTTTTTTGGCGTTGTTGGATGTCTGAATTATTTATTTTCTTGTCTTTTCCAGATAGAGTGTTCCGTGCTGCATGGCATATCGGACCTGTCACACAGAATAATCACAGGAATCCTCCGCTTCTGAGTTCATGAAGTACTGTCTATTGAGTACTCTGTCCTAGTCTGAATCAAATCCAATATTTGACGCACTTCCAAGGTTGAGATGTAGGTATTTCCTGCGTAGGAAAATAAAGTAAACCAACTTGTGTATACTAATACTAGTCGGCAACAGAACCCTTAACTAGACACCACTAGATAGCACTAGCAGTTACTAGTTACTTGATGAATCCCAGTCTATTCGCAAATAGACGAACCACGTAGCACCACCAGAAAACTAGCAAATCTGAATCTGATCTGGATCGGCTCCACCCGACCCAAAACAAGCACGTAAATAAACCCCGCCCCCTCCATCTTACTCTTTCACCTCCCCTCAACCACATTTACAATACACACCATTATCCAAAATGTCCGGCGCAAATTACTACGATCAATCCCAATCCTTCGAGGATGAGCCCCGTCATCACCAGCACCACGGTGAACGCGGTGAATCAAACCAGGAATACCGCGATACCCGCTACCAAGGAAACGATAACTACCGCGGTGGTGACGATTTCTCCTCAGCCGCTCAACACGCTTCTGAGCACCATGAAAGCTCTAATGGAGGTTTCTTCCAGGAGGCTCTTGGTTTCCTGAATGAGCGTAAGAGTCAGTATGCTAATACTGATTCTTATGAGGTTGATGAGCAGCATGCTGTTCAGTCTCATCAGAAGCTCTATGGTGGTGGTGATCCCTCTAATGAGAGCCATGATTCTGGAAGTGTTGGTGCTGGTGCCGCTGTTCAGGCACTTAAGCAGTTCACTTCTGGTGGATCCAGTGATGGTGGCTTTGATAAGAATAAGTTGATTGGTATGGCTATGGCTCAGGCTGGAAAGCTGTGGGATGAGAAGTCTTCTGGTGGTGCTAGCATGGTGAGTTATTAATCTGGATTTTTCTGGTTTGGTCTTTGCTAATATTTGCGTTTCCTAGTCTGGTGATAAGCAGTCTGCTATTAACAATGCTGCTGAGATGGCCATGAAGATGTACATGAAGAGCGGTAGCGGTGGTGGTTCCAGCGGTATTCCCGGTTTGGGCGATGCTGGTGGCCTGATGTCCCTGGCCTCCAAGTTCCTGGGTTAAGGATAAATTGATGGAATAAGAGACAGTTCATCTAGCTGGATTTTCGGGCCCTGCGGAAGCTGAGTGGCTTCAATCCCATTCATTTGGATACTGTTCTACTTTATCGGGCTGGATGATATTCATATTCACTCGCTTGTGATACATACTAGTACTACTGAATAAATTTGTTTCAAACTTCAACTTGAACATACTAAACTGATCTGATCTTGCGTGGACGGTATATATTGAACTTGAACTTTCTACTCTGCACATGTAGAGCCTACCGAAGCCCTAGAACGAAGATGGAACAAGAATAAAAGGGGGAGTAAGAAACACTAGACACAAGAAAAGATAAACCCGCGAGCCCATGCCATAAGACAGAATGACCTATCCATCATATCGAAACCTCAATGAATTCACGCATATGCCAGGGGTTCTTTTCAACAAAACGCAGAGGGGAAAAAAGTCACAAAAAAATACAAGAGCCCAACGCTAAGCGCAGAAAAGAAGCACGAAAAGGATAACCAGACTAGAGAGGGGGAAATGATAATCTACCAGTCATCGTCTTCATCATCGTGTTTGCCTTGCATCGCACTCTGGCGAGCACGCAAAGCCTCGGCAAGATTACCAGCCAAGCTGATATTGGATGTGCTGTTCGGTGTACCGCGACCACTGGCGCCGGATGAATCGCCAGAGGCCATGCTTGCAGTGCTATCGCGAGGGGCTGGGGGAGGTGCAGGTTTCCGTCCTGCCATGTTAGGTCGTTTGGCAGGAGGCATTGGTGGAGGCTTCTTTCCGGCGATAGCGGCGCCGACTCCGTTGGGCACAGGACTGGGAGTTGCCCGGGCTACGGGCGGGGGAGGAGGTGGTGCGGGTTTAGGAGTCGCAGCCACTTCTTCTTCGAGATAGGCTTCGGGGGTCCAGCCCTGAGTAGAGGTTGTCGTGTTCATGCACAGCCACCATCCTAGGATAATTAGTATGAGTGATAGAGAAAAATGACAGTTTATATGACATACCATTTCCTTCCTTCGAGACGATCTGCAAAATTTCACCAGTCTTGATAGAGAGTTCGTTTGCTCGGTCGCTGTTAAAGTCGTACAGAACCTTGGCCGTAGGCTTCTTGGGAGCGGGAGCTGCGGCGGGAGCGACGGGAGGTGGAGGAGGTGGAGCTCTAACAGAGCTTGTAGATGAAGTATGAGAGTGTGAAACCGGAGCCGGTGCGGGCTTGGGAACAATTCGAGACTGCACCGCTGGCTGGGGAACAGCTCGAGGAACAGGCGCAGGTGCAGGAACAGGCGCAGGCGCAGGCCTGGGAGTCGATTGAGGCAAGGGCTGTGCCGCAGGTGGAGGCCTGCGAGCAGCAGCAGAGAGCTTGGAAGGACCACCACCAGGACCACCAGGACGCAGCAGCTTACCCTTCGTCACTGGTCGAGCGGCGACTGGCTTGGGTCGAGGGGTCGGCTTAGAGACAGAGGAAGCCGGCTCACCAGCGGTTGTGTGGATGGTGCTACTCTTGTAGCTATCGATATTGCTAGAACCGGGGTCTTTGGCGGTCTTTACAAGGGCCAGCTTTCCTGGCTTCTTGTTGTACTCGATGCTGTCTCCTACCTTGAGGTTCAGAGAACCGCGCAGAACATTGCTCAGATGAGTGAAAAACTCGGTCTTGAAAACGCAGTTCAGTAGCGGGTCCGGTTCTTGAGCCCCAATCACCAAGGAAAACCAGTCATCCTTCAGGTTAGACGTGCTGACCGCTTTGATGGCTCCGACTGGGACAGTACGCTCTGAGGAGATGACAAGCTGGTTATTGACAATGCCTTGCGAGACAATAAACACATGACGGTTTGTCAGTACAAGAATCCGAGGCGCAGGCTTGCTGGATCGACCAAACTTGGATACCAGGAGCTCGCCACGGCAGGAGAAGAGAACCTCCTCTGAACTGCTGATGCCGGCACCATTACGGATCATCTCACCTGGGCCTCCATTGTTGCCCACACCAAGATAGTCACCGAGGAAGCGACGCGAACCCAAAATACTCATTCTGCGTCGTTCCTTGCGGCCTTGAAGTACTTGGTGTCCCTGATCACGCAACTTGATAAACTCCAAGCCTCCTGTCATACGGCGCCAGAACCGCTGGATGCGGATGGCGCACTCAATACGGTATCGAAGGTAGTTACGCCAAGAACGCTGGATACGAATAGCCATGTTATGCCAGTAGCGGTCTCGCATGGCCTCAAGAGCGAAGAGTGTCTCGGGAGTCTTAACGAAGACCTTAGTGATACCCATTTGGTACTCCTCCGCAGGAATACTAGTATCTCTCAAGATTTGCTTGGCACCGGATTCCGAATCGCCTGTCCATGTGTAATCACCAGCGTACGATGTCTTGGGGGACAGAAGATAGAATCGCTCGACAAACTTGTCAAAGGTCTGACGATAAGCGAAACCAGCACGACGAATACGGACGTTCTCCTGAAGACCGAGATACTTGATCTGGTGCAGCACGTTGCCAACGTTGTATTCCTTGGGGGACTTGTTCTCATTGGGCTTGATGGTTCGGATGTAAGATGGTTGCGCCTTCATCAGTGTAGCAACAAGGTCATTGGCCGAAGCCTTGATCTTATCACCTGCAGTAGGTGGACGGCGCTTGTCATCCTGGTTCACCTCGTTGGGAAACAGGGTGTGAACGAACTGGTTGCTACTGGATCCAGCCAAGTTCAGCAAATCCTTCAGCAATTGGTCCTTGTTCTTATCAGTCATGCCCTCAATGGCATAGCTGACATCACCGGCATAGTGCTTGATGATGAATTGACCTTGGCGACCCTCGAAATTGGGGTTCTGGGAAAGGAAGTTGAGACGACCGACAAAAGTGTTGTCAGCCGCGCCAGAATCAGCGTGTGCTGTGGCACAGGCATCGTTCAGTGCGGCAAAAACACCGGGAGGACGCTTGTCTTCGATCAAGGAGCACACAACCTTGTTATCAAAGTACTTGATGGGAGTCCATTGAATCTGTTCGCGAGCGTATTCATCCTGCTCAGCCTTCAGCGTTAGCTGGATGAAAATCTGCTGTAACTTCTCATTGACATAATTGATGCACAGCTGTTCGAAAGAGTTCTTCTCGAAGATCTCGAAGCCGTAGATATCCAAAATACCAATCGAGTTGCTAACAGCCCCGCGAGCAGTCAAAGACTGATTCACACGCCCAACAATCCAGTCAAACAGGTTAAAGTAAATTCCCTTGGCCAATGCATCCCGAACAGCCACCGCTTGCACGGTGTTCAGAGGTACTTCGTAGACGGAACCCCTGCGTCCTCCACGCGCGGTCTCCATCAGACGAATAGTCAATGCCTTATTCACCTGGGCGGCATCGACCTCCATCAAGTATGCGACAAAGTCTACCACAGACTGATCCGTGATCGAGGCATTGCCAGAGTCATCTTCGGAAAACTGAACATTTCCAATCCACAAGATCGCTGCCAACATGCGGAAAACGTTGTCCTGTTCTCCCTCAGTCATACCAATCATCTGCATCGCATCCAATGTATCCTTGAACTCGGCCACATCGTCGATTCCGGGGACATCGAAACACTTCGATCGGCTCGTGTAGAGGTAGGACTGCGGTTGTTGAATGCCGAAGTTGTCTCGGTACTTCTGGGGCGCGCCCTTGGTGAACTGATAAAAGATATGGAAGTTTCGCTCGTTCACAATCTGACCGACGACTCGTGTCTTCTCCAACAAGTAATTTGTAATGTTGGCCCCGACTGGCTCGCCGCTCACATTGAACTCCAACTCGAGGTATTTACCGAAACGGGAGGAATTGTTGTTGCGCAATGTTTTCGCATTACCAAATGACTCCAGTAAAGGGTTTGTGGCCAGCACCATGTCCTTAGTGTGCTGAATTGACCCATCGCTACCTCCTGAGACACTAGCAATGTATTGCATAAGGCGCTTGGCAGCCTCGGTCTTTCCGGCACCGGATTCTCCTGAGATAATAACACATTGGTTGTCCTTGTAGGATTTCATGTTGTAGTATGCTGATTCTGCGACTCCGAATACGTGGGGAGGGACTTCGAGACGGTTCTTTCCGCGATAGGAATCGAGTACCTTTTCAGTGTAAATGCCCACTGGAAAGCAGAAAGTAATGTGTCAGTAAACAGCATCTCAAATTGAACATCTGATTATCACATACGATCTTGGAACGGATTGACTGAGACCAACACATGGCCGATATAGGTCTGTTCGAGACAACTGTTAGCCTGGTACTTCTGGGCGCATCACTCGCAGCACCCATTCTCCGCGATCGCCAGTGCCTTACATAAATCTCGCCATGTTCAAATCGCAATTTCAAGTTGTCATTGATCGCCTCGTTAGAGATCTTGCTCAATAGTGTCAAGTCCGATACGCCGATCTCCTTCTTCTTGGTAGATTCAAAGGTGGCCTTCTTGACTTGTGGCTTTCCTGCTGACCGACCGTCGCCAACATCAGCAACGGCTTTATTACGTCCGAATCGACTCTTCTTTTCCCCGCCTTGGGGGCGTCGTGAGTGACCCTAAGATACCGCAAGCGCGGGGTCAGTGGATGGCCGAGTGTCAACGGGAGAGGGGGTGGGAATAGGAGGGACTCAGTTTGAAGGCCTCTTAAATTAGACATACCATCTTGTGTCAATCTCCCTGGGGGAATTCTCGCGCCCAGGCGACAATGAGAAAAAAACAATCAAAGAGAGAATGGGGTTATGTTCACAAGACAAGAGTTGGGTGTCTAATCCGTGAATCTCAAGGGAGAAAGCGGACTTACGTACAACAGACAAACCCAATCAAACAAGCTGCGCCACAGTAAAAGGGTCTAGGGGGGCGAATTTCTCATCCGCCTAATATTACTTGAATTTCTCCGGTAATGTAACTGCCTAATATTCAATTTCTCTTATTTTATAGATTACCAGATTGTATTAATTATGGTTAAGTGTATCAAGTGCTCCATAGTATACGTCAATTCGGGCATGAGGCTATTGTGGCTCGTGCGAGTCATAAATAGAAGCACCGACGTCATTAGGCATACGCCATCCATATATTTCAGGCCATCTATGATGTGAGCGCCCAAGTTCAAGTTATTATATGTTCATGCATGGTAGCAGAGACTTTCAAATGTTCGAATAGTATTCAGACCCTGGAGTTTTCAGAATTTATCTAATAAGTACCATGTAGCACGGGCCTCTCGGGATTCGGCATTCAAGTCATTATTAGTTGATACATAGTATGATATCTACTTTGTGTAGTACTAGTGGGAAGTTATTAAAATTTGTATTCAAGTTACTATGTACAAGTTGTAGTAGTAATACATGGATATGAGCATCATGGATCAGTATGACCTGCGCAGTCATCAGTGAACGGGCAACGGGCAACCTCGGAAATGTCAACTGGTTCAAGTCAGGCTAAAACGAATCCAAGAGTTCCCGCTGTGTCAAATCACTCCCCCGGCCCAGATATTCCTTAATTTCTCTCTTGCGGTACTCAAGTTTGCGCTGATCACTACCTGCTTCGTCGGACGAGAGAGATTCAAGCGAAAAGGACCAAACGACAGCATCATCCTCCCCAAGGGTATTCTGTAGGGTCCCATCTTTGTCGAAAGGGCGAAAATATTCCTTTGAGTAACTGGCCTTCAACAGAATATCATGCATCAGGAATTGGGGTTCGACGAGAGGGATGACCTGACACATGTTTGGATGATCTTCGAAAGCAAGACTATCGTATGTAATTAGTTAGTCCTCCATGGCATTCCAAGACTCATATCCGAGTCGGGGTTACTCACAATAAACCCAGGGTAAAAAGGCATTCAGGCTGGAAGGATTTATTCTCATTGTCACCTGCAAAGAAATAAATGATCTTCTTCTCGTGATCATTGATATCCAGGAAGTTCTGAATCTTGCGACGTGTTATCACTATGTTATCACCGTCGAGGCATTCCGAGGTCAGAATAAGGACTGCGAGGTGTGCTTGTGTGGTTGGAATCGAATGATCCACGGTGGGTGAATTCTCAAATGCATAAAAAGCCAAGTCAAAAGGAGAATGGTTGTACTCCAAGTCAATGCCAGATACAGCGGGGTGAGTGGGAGCACTCGCATGCGCAGTTAAGCCTGGGAGACAAACACTGGGAAACACAAATGGGTTTGCTGCCTTGATGCTTGACTTGATTTGTGGCCATGCCGGGTGCGATTCAAGCTCTAATGGATAATTGCCACGTAGGTGGTGACAAAGAGGGGGACGAGTCAGGATTGGTGGGTTCATGATGGATTGATGATATTATTGTCAGAATGGGAGATGTAGGTAAGCTGGGGTATGTACAGAGATTCGTGGAAGGTGGGAAAGGAGCAGGGAGAGGGGAGAGATAGCGTCAATACCAAGCACCGTATGTATGAGTTTCTCACGTCCACCGCAGCCCTGGAGGTCTACCACACAATTACCATTGGTGACTCGTTTCGCATATCAACCACACGTCCGAGTCGTAGTCTCTCATTATGGATAGGGTAGACCCACAGGTACTTGAAATAAAATCTATATCTATGTAAACATTATCAAGCCTGGGACTTGGAGGTTTGCTGTTGTTCAGATGTAGCCAACTGTTTTGCTGGTAAAGTTGGCATATCTTTCGGATCTTGTGATGACGATGATGTCGGAATTGGTGTCATCGGTTGAGAAGTCTCCAATGTCTTTGATGTCTCCTGGCCAGTAGAGAAATATGAGGTGATACTCGACCACCAACTCGTGGGAGCTTCGATTTCTTTCACATCCGAATCCTCTTCCCAGACGGCTCGAGGTAATATGCGGTGGGACAACTTGGACTTTTCCCCATGCTTAGCCTGAAGCGTTAAAAGTTCTTTCTCCAGTGCAACCAATGCCTCGCGGGCTGCCTTTTCTGACTGTTCCAACTCAGCAAGGCGGTCCTCAACGCCCTCTCGTCGAGTGCTCTCCTTCCGACGGGATCGCCATGACTCAAATACGATCAAGCCGCCACCGACCAAGAACAGAAAAGCTTCACTGATAAAGTTTGCGCCGGACTCGATAGCTTTGGATTCGGTCAACGGGCGGATGCGATATGGGCGGGGCTTTGCAGCTTCCTCGGCTGCAGCCTTGGCTTTAGCAAGGGCATGTTCCTCTGCTTTTGTCTCGGACTCTGTCTTCGCTGTCGGGGATGTTGGCACATGTTTCTTTGCCTCTGCTTCCGCAGCGGCCTGGCGCTGTGAGGTGGTGCTATCACGGATTGTGCCTAATCGTAGGCGCATGTCGAATCTATGGAGAGCTTGTGCCATCGACACGCAGATGTGACGGAAGCGCTCATGTTCACGAGCTTGAGCTTTGAGTTGATTCTGCAGATCCATGTCAGCTTCTCGGGGGTACCCCATGGGTTGCGTTGCACAATAGACATACAGCAATTGGTTTTGAGAGTGTCTTAATTGCCAGGGACGACAGTTTAAGAGTGAGCGACATGATGTCGGCGGGCCGGGATCAAGACAAGCTTGGAGAGGAACTTGGAAATTTGACTTGAGCTCGAGCTTTTGACTCCGTGAGTCTGTGACGTTGGGTCGGGTACCTGAGCCCCACTCCAGGGCTGTGATGGAATCGCCTAGTTAAAGGTGACTCAGCTGATCCCCACCTGGACAGCCAATGAGAGACTCGGGTTACCATACTTTTGCTCCATCGAGTACAAAGTGAACTGAAAGTGAGCTCAATTCAAGTCACATTTGAATTGAAATGATCAGTGATATGAAAGAAATATGCCCAGCTTTCTATTAGAAATTATACGAGCAGATCTGCACCCAGGTGGTACAAGCACGTGAGCCCTGAGGGCTGTTCAAGTTCCCAGGGAAACTTTTAAATCTTACTCGAATATTCAAGCTATAGCTTGAGATCCTCAACTTGAAGGTTCAAGTTCTTGATATTGCTCATATTCCAGCCTCAATTTCAAAGTTCAAAATTTGAAATTTCATGATCCATAGTATGGGGAACTCGAGCATGGATGCCCAGGTGACCCACACTGGAGAAACTTGAATATATAACGGCCCGGTTGGAAATTTGAATATTGATCACTGTGCACGGGCATGTGGGCATTTTGTCAAAATCTGGAAAATTTGGTTCATCGAAATGTTCAAACTTCAAGTTGTTCGAGTATGAAGGTCTCTTGAAATGCTAATATAGAGCTATAGAATAAAGGGCATATACATGTAGTATTGAAAGTGTCTTCAAATGTTGTTATCGAGACATGCACGGATGTAGATCACCTTGAAGGTCAGCTGCCAAAACACGTGACCATTACCTCAGCAATAGTAGTGTTTATCGATTTCCCAATCAGGAAATCTATTATGGCCCGGCTTTCTTCATTTAGCTTCAATCTTTCCCATCCAAACTTTCGGTCAAGTTTCGCTCCGTGGTTTTGCTGGGAGTTTTGTACAGTTTTTGTTTCATTAGCGCATTGCATTCTGGTATTATCTTCCACCCACTTTCCATTCCTCCCGAGTTTCCAAAATCGCCTCGGTTTGCCGACTAGGTGAAGCTTAATCTACGCTCGTGATGCTAACCTTCGGATCGCTGCAGGGATACCGATCTTGCTACACCTTGATACCCCCATCTGCTCAGCAACACTCATATTACCTGCCTTTCATGACCTTTACGCTTGCTATTTGCTTTGAAAAAGTTTGACCGCAATTGACAAAACAACCGCGACGAAAGATAACATCGACTGATACGCCAAGTGGAGTAAAAAAACATTGGTCTAATACACATTCATAATGGAAGCTCTATCACCGCGCTCAACAAATCAGATGATTAAACCAAAGCCTGTCATGGACCGGAAAATCGTCGACAAAAATGCTGCCGCTGCCGGACAGAAGGCGCCATCAAAAAACCACGCAGATCCACCACCACCATTAGTCCCAGAGCCAGAGGATGGCGGAGAGCGATATGCAATTGGCCAGTTTTTGGGGAAAGGAGGATTTGCAGTTTGCTATGAAGGGACGTTGGCGCGAAATGGTCGCGTGTATGCGATGAAAGTCGTCAAGTCACAGATGCCACAAAAAAAAATGGAAGAAAAGGTAGGTAGCTATGCCAACATGTGCAAAAAAACTTCTGCTAAAAGGGTCTCTTTTCTAGTTTCGAACAGAACTCCAAATTCATTCTAAAATGCGCCACCCATTTATTGTCCAATTCTACCGCGCTTTCTCGTTCGAGCAGAGTACCTACGTGGTATTGGAATTATGTCCAAATGGATCAGTGATGGATATGGTTCGAAAACGACGACACCTTTCATTACCCGAAGTCCGACGATTCATGATTCAACTTTGCGCTGCGGTGAAGTATCTACACAAGCGATTTGTTGCACACCGTGACTTGAAGATGGGCAATTTGTTTCTCGACCACAATATGAATATCAAGGTCGGCGATTTTGGTCTCGCTGCCATGATTCTCTCAGACAAAGACGCGAAAAGGCGAAACACCCTGTGCGGAACACCAAACTACATTGCGCCCGAGGTTCTGGATAAGAGCAAGGGCGGCCATACACAAAAAGTGGATATTTGGTCTTTGGGTGTTATCTGCTTTGCCATGTTGACAGGTTACCCACCGTTTCAGTCGAAGACACAGGAGGAGATCTACACAAAAGTGCGCAGTTTGACCTACGTGTGGCCCAAGGATTCCGAGAACCATAACCACATCCCGGAAGAGGCAAAGGACCTTGTCAGTGCTTGCTTGAATCTCGTTGACGAAGAGCGTCCAGATCCAGATGACATTGTCGAGCACCCATTTTTCAACATGTATGATGGCTGCATTCCTCGCCAACTGGATCCTGCTTGCCGTTTCAACAAGCCCCTCTGGCTTAGAGATCAGTCCCCACGAGGCGATGTCATGGTCAGTGGCTATAGTCTCGACGCGGATGAGAGATTGCGGGCGTATGTTTACCAGGTGGATGACCCTAGCCAACGCTACCATTCGTGTAAAGCTGCCTTTTATTCGCTCTGTGGAGTTGGCAGGAAGCCGGATGGAACTGCCCGCAAGTCTGTCGGGCGCAACTGCTCAAAATCGGCATACTCTGAGTGCGAGACGGAGGATGCCAGAGGCCTTCGTCCGCTTGTTCCATTGCCCACGGACGTTGTCTACCAATGGCCTCATGACATGGAGGGTGACTGGTGTCTGATGGAAACCTCACGGAAAATTGTTCGTCTTGAGAACTCTGCTCATGACAGCAGCACTTTGTCCCAGCGTAGTGTGTCTGTTCGTACAAACCCAGTGGCTGCTTCAAGAACGAATGCAGCGCTCGCGGCTGCTCATCAACGAAGGATGGAGCCACAGAGTCACGCAGCCACACTTCGTCAGCAGGGTCGACCTGGCGCCAATTCCCCTCGCAAATTGTCCGCCATGACTGAGTACTCAGAACCGCCGAAACCTTACCGGGATGTCCAAGCACCTCCGATTGCGCAGCCTTCTACCACAGACTCGCGCTCAGGTGGACTCGCGGAACGTCCCATTAGAACTCGTCGCATGGCATCCAGCTCTGAAGCGCAGCCTGCTCGGGAAGTGGAAAGACCTCAGTTGACCAAGTCTATTAGCATGCCCTCGGGGCTGACTATTGGCAAAACTCGATCTCAATCACGCCGCTTAGAGGCCGCGAGCCAAGGGACAGCTGTTCCAATTGTTGAGCCAAAAGTACCTGCGAGACTAGAGGAGCGTCGAGCGATTAGCCGGCAGCCATCCCTGCGATCCATCCCCCGGCCTGACTTAAGAGTCAGCGCGAACCGAGCCGAGCGACCGAAGATTTTGAGTCCTACCGACGAGGGCTTCGCATCTAGCACACAATCTAAAACTGCATCCACCTCCCATGGAATCAGCCGAACCAATAGCAAAGGAGCTTCCTCGACAACCAGGGCTCGGTCAAGTCTTGGATTAAGTCCTCTTTTCCACCAAGAAGATCTATGCGAACTTTTACCTGGCACCTCTCTGACTGAGGTCAACACTGATTTACGTCTGATGTTATCAAACCTCGTTACCATTGCACCTGCTCGTCGTCGAAGTGGCCCTCGGAAACAGCCTCACGCATATGTCATTAAATGGGTCGACTACACCAATCGCTATGGTATTGGATACGTCTTGGATGATGGCAGTGTGGGATGTGTTTTCAAGGGTGAGAACGGTCGACCCGCTTCTAGTGTCATTGTGCGCGATGGCGAAAGACACATTCGACGCAAAGCACGCAGTCTCGACAATGGCCAGGAGAAGGGTATCCCGTATTCCGAAGCTGAATACCTGATTCCTCGAAATGGAAGCCCCGTTGAGTTCTACGAAAACCATGATGATGACCTACTTGGCTGTCGGGGGATTCGCCGCGGGTTTATTTCCCCGTCTCTGTTTGACCCTCTGACATCCAAAGTAATGCGACTGCGCGTTAACACCGGGTCCGAGCCAGAAAGAGCGGACATGGAGAAAGTCAAGCGAGTCAAGTTGGTGGATCAGTTCGGAAAGTATATGATCGGGTCATTGGGTCGCCATGGTGATGAAGGAATGGCAGATCAAGTTTCCAGTCATACAAATGGACAATTCGTCAAATTCTACCAGCGATTGGGCAATGTGGGCATCTGGGGATTCGGTGATGGTGCTTTCCAATTCAACTTCCCTGATCACACCAAGCTGGTTATCGCGCCCGGTCGTACTCGTAGCTCCTCACCTTGGATTGACTTCTACCACCTCTCGCCGTCTGCTGCCAGATACTTCACAGCCAAGGGGAAAATGCATCCCTCTGGATTTGACACCCGTGCTGTTGCCTCGGACGAAGCGGCTACCTTCTTGAGCATTATTAATGGCCAATCGGTCAATTCTGTCGAAGACCGCATCCGCGACATCTTGGATGCAAATTCATTCCTGCAAAAGATCAGCTTCATCAAGGATGTTCTCAAAGTTTGGATTAAGTATGGTCGTCTTGGTGGCCGCCCAACCAATTTCCGGGCTGCTGGAGATGACTCTCCACCCCCAGAGATGTTCTGGCAGGGTACTCAAGAACGGTCGCAAACTAGCAGTCAAGGGACTAAATTTGTTTGGGTCACTGTTGGAGCTCCTGATGGAGATGGTCAATATTGTTCGGTTGTGCTCAAGGAGGGCGAGAAGCAAAGAAATGAAAAGCAGGCTGCGATGAACGTTGATAAGGAGATGGGTATGCTGAAGGAACGGCTTCAAGCGATGGGAAGAGGGTGATCTTCTTCTTTTCTTCTCAACTTTTGATATTTATTTTGACAAAGTCACGACCTTTTGCTTTCCATCGTGTTTCTTTTTTCTGGTGTAATGGTATTCCAACGATTATGTTTCATGTTTTATGTTTGATACTCTCAGCGTCCTTTAAAGGAAGGCTTTTACTATTTTCCAATGACCTTCTATTCTTTTAATCTAGCCTAGTACGTATGGTACTTTGCAATCCCTGTCATTTCTTCATACCGTTCTTTGCCTAGTACATGGCTAGTCTCCCCACTCATTGACAGGGGGTATGTAATACTTTCCACCTCGAAGACGTCAACCCATGCAACCTCCCCGAGCAACCCCGCGGATTTCTGTCCTCCGACCTACATCGCCCGATTCCTCAGAAAAAAGGCTATTTTTCCGGTTCGTGAAGAATTCTAAATTTCATTCAGGGATTGTTTCTGATCATATGATGATCTGATCCGTTTACACTCTTCCGTGGCATCCCAGCATAAAACTGTTTCATTAACGATTCCGGTCGTTTTTACACCACCTCATGATCTCCCCCTCAAAGATGCAGAATCCTTCGTGTCTGCTTTATGGTCCTGGAGATGCCCGATTCGAAGATCAGCCCCTTCCTATCATAGAAGACCCTTACGATGTGATCATTCGGATTGCTTATACCGGCGTGAGCGGAAGTGATGTGCGTATGCCCCCACCTATTTCACTGAATCCCAATATGCACGACATAATTCCTCGTACCTAACAACAACAATTGAGAGAGCAAGAGAAAATAAAGCTAAACTCAATCTCAGGTCGATTTTTGGTTTAATGGAGGGACCGAGAAGTCTGTCTCGGAGGATGATCCTCTAATACTGGGTCATGAAGCCTCGGGCATTGTACATGCCATTGGTCCGGGAGTATTAAACCTTCAACTAGGCGATCCTGTCGCTATAGAGCCCGGCGCTCCATGCCGACTCTGTAGTCGCTGTAAACTAGGCAAATATAACCTCTGTCCTGAGATGAGGTTTGCCGCCTCGCCACCTTTCCATGGCACATTGACAAAATATTATAAAATTCCAGCAGACTGCTGCTACAAGATTCCGCCTAGTGTGGGAATATCCTTTGGCCTTGACGAAGCGGTGCTTATTGAACCCTTGGCTGTGGCTGTACACTCAGTTCGTCAGCTTGGCGTGCAACCTGGTGATAAGGTTGTTGTTTTTGGTGCAGGTACCATTGGATTACTCTGTGCAGCTGTGGCGCGTGAGTTCGGTGCTTCGACTATTATGTCGGTGGATAGAAATCGGGATAAATTGGATTTCGCGCATTCGTTCGTTCCGAATGGACGATTGTCTTTTTCTACTGCGATTCCTAATCAGTCCCTTTCGTCGGAGGAAAATGCGCAGTGTCTTAGAGGTATGCATCGGAGTTCGCATTTTACTGAGTCTGATGTCCCCGGCTTTGATGTTGCAATTGAGGCTACGGGTGTGGATTATTGTATTCAGATGGCGATTCATTCCTTGAGGGTTGGTGGTTCCTTTGTGCAGACGGTGTTGGGAAATACGAGGAATGTGGTCTTTCCTATTGCAACGGTCTTGGAGAATGAGATTAATGTCAAGGGGTGTTTCCGGTATGCGGCGGGTGATTTCAAGATGGCGCTTGAATTGGCATTTACACGGAAAATTGAGTTGAAGCCTCTCATTACGAATGTGGTGGATTTTGAGAATGTGACGGAGGCTTGGGAGACTGTGAGACTTGGTCATGGAATCAAGACCTTGGTTCGGGGAGTTGGGTATAATGACGATCTAGAAGATTTCTTATCTCCCACATCGCTCTACATCATGTAAATATGTAGCTCAGTATCTTTGAAGAAGAGTGTTTTCATTATATCCAAATATGTATACTAGCGAATTAGTACTGAGTATTAAGAGGGATTAGTTCCCAAACCAGTGGTCTATACTTCCAAGTCGAAATGTCGTCAATCATCAAACAGCAATAATCATCAAAACAGTTCCATCTATCATGTAACAAGATCCAAAATTACCATGCCAGAGGCGCATTCTGCTCCTCCATTGCTTGTTCCGCGCGAGCCTCAATATCCTTCTCTCCTGGAACATCCTCCTTGCCATCGCGAAGACCCTGAGTGGTCTCCAAAGCTCGGTTCAAATCATAGGCCTGCGTAAAGAGAGAAAGCAGCAGCGCAGCAGCGGAGATACCACAGCAAACCACCCATACAATCCGAAGACTATCTGTGTATGCCTCTTTGAGATTTGTCTTGGTCGCACCATCCGCCATATTCTTGATGACTTGAACCAGTCCTGAGGCATCCTGGCTATAAGCGCTAGCCTGCGATGTCAGGGCAGGATACTTGAGCAAATTTGAGTACATGCGGTTCTGGAAAACGACACCACCAATCGCAACACCGATAGCTTGACCCAAAGCACGGAAGAAGCTAAACATGGCCACTGCAATAGCCAAATTCTCAGGCTCAGCAGAAGCCTGGACGGCAAAGCCAATGGATGGGAATAGAACACCCAGCCCCAACCCCGGAACAATATTCAATAAGATCCAGCCGTAGGTACTGGTTTCAACCTTGATCAGCCACATGAGACCCAGTCCAATTGTGGAGACTGTCCATCCGAGCCAGATCGCCCAGCGGTAGTGACCAGTAACCGTGATTAGAATACCGACTACCATTGCGCTGGGTGCGACGGTGAATGTTTCAGGGAAGAGTGCCACGCCGGAGAGAATTGGGCTGAACTCTTTTACTGCTTCGTAGTACAGAGGTAGGTAGTACAGCGTGCACCAAAGAATAAGACCTTGCAATACACTTCCAATGTATGAGACTGTCGCTGTGCGGTTTTGAAAGATCACTGGTGGAATGATAGGATCGGTGGCAAAGCGGTATTCGTAGAATGCGAAGACGAGTAGACCTACAGCACCGACGATGAGGGGGACGAGTGTATGCCATGAGTTCCAAGCGTAGGAGATTCCACCCCAGGAGAGAGGGATCAAAAATGACGAGAGACTGCCAACAAACAGTATTGTGCCGAAGTAATCGATTTGCCTGAGTTTTTCATTGATAGATCCGGGTAGAACCTTTAGTGTCAAGAAGAGAGCGACGAAGACGGCTCCAACGGCGACGAATGGGAAGTTGATATAGAAGATCCAGCGCTGAAGAGAGTTAGCTTGAATTAATCCTCGATTTCGCAAATGCGATTTCACAAATGCAATCATACCCAGGTAACGTTTTCAGCGAATCCACCACCGAGAATAGGTCCAGTAACAGATCCTAGACTCCACATTGCACTCATGATACCAAAGTATTTTCCTCGGTGGCGCAAAGGCACGAGATCGGTGATAATAATCTCACTCAATGCAATGACTCCACCACCCCCCACACCTTGAATCGATCTTCCCACAAGCATATATGTGAAGTTCTTAGCAACGGCGCAGACTATGGCACCGACGCAGAAGAAGAGAATGGCTACTAAGACCATTGGGCGACGACCGAAGATATTGGATAGCGATGCGAAGCTGGGTTGGAATACTATGATTTGTGAGTAATCTGCGCAGTAACCGGCCAGCTTGATGATCATTTCAATACCTGTAGAGGATAATAGAAAGGAGGTACCACTCCAGAATGCCTCAATAGCGGTTCCATGCAAGTCGTCTGAGATAGTCTGCACTCGTAAGTCTTAATCCTTCTATTTGATAGATTGTTTGAGCCACTTACTGGTAATGCAACAGAAAGAGAGGTACCATCCAACGCGGCCATCAAGGTAAGTACAGCCAATGTGAAGAAGACCAATTGCCCACGTCTACCAATCTCAAACTTATCATCTGATGGGTTCACAGTTGTCGAGATAGAAGATGGTCTGCTATTGGAATTGCTCTGATGACCAGGCTTCTCCGACCCGTGGGTCGAAGTGCTAGTAGAGAAAGGCATATTCGGAAGATGTCGTTCAATCCAGTATATCCAGTGTTGATGGATGATTAGTATTCAATGTTTGAAAGTGCAGCTATCGCAGATCTTTATCTCAGCCCTATACTCAAGTGCTAGTGCAAGACCATGCAGATATCCTGATTGTTTTTTTACTGAAAATAAAGAGACCCTGAGAACCATGCAAAGGCTATATACATTACAGCGGAGTTAAACAGTTTAAGTAATTCCAGAAGTCGGGATATTCCCAGCGAGTGGACCCATACAATTTTGACCCTCCAAACCACTATATTCAAGTCTGACACCTACATCTCGCATCAGAAGGCCCGACTGGGATAGTCCATTAAGCCGCCGCTATTCCACAATAGCTTAGACGGGGATAAGTGGGATCCTATAATATCAAGTGAATGGTGTTAAAGCCTTCTAAAGTGGATCTCATCGATTCAGAACCACGCCAAGAATCGGCCTAATTAACACGCCGAACATCTCCCGTCGGCCAGCGGTGCAATCCCTTGCGACCGCGGGTCCGCGGACTTCATATTGGGGCTCTGAGTCCGATCGGAGGTCCTTGTTCATACCTAGTCCGATTCAATTTCAGCCTTATGACATACAGTGATTTTGGGCATCTGGAAGTATCTCAGGATCATTATGGTTCATGGACATGGAGGTTGAAATTCTCCCGATCAGCCACTCTAATATGAGCCAAAGTTTTGTCAGACCCTTTCAAGTTGCTGACGAATGTGGAAACTCCAGTGACGAAAAATAGGTCATCAAGTTCGTCATTTAATTCTTGGGTTTCATTCGGAGATCTGGTTATGTTGGAAAGAGCAATCACTGATGCTGGGATTTGCTGGTTACTGACATAGGCCCCTCTGCAACAAACGGGAAGGGGGAGTATAAGGCCCAGGAAGATCTCCAAACAAGATTACACCGCAATTTCTGGAGAAACATCTCGCAAGATCGACGTGGGCTTTGAAACTGGCCAGCACTGTTGTTGCATCATACTCAGAGAAAAAAAAACATGGCGAGTCTAGCACCTGTCATGGTGTCCAATCATAACATGGAAAACAGAAAAAAGAAATCCGAATTTCTACTTCTGCAGACTGATTCACTCAGACTGAACAATTTTCGGCAGTTCATCCAATAGACCAGGTCGCGAGGGATTCCAGCCTAAAATTTCACGCGCGCGATAAGCACGTCCACGAGAATTCATTCCCCAACTCAACGACTCAAAGCCGGCATATTTCTGTGCGCTTTCCAAATCGATTGGCTCAGCTGTGGCTTCTGACAAGTACCCCAGTTTTGTGGCTGCTTCTGCTGTTGACTTGGATAGCTCTCCCCAAACGTGCTCCCCGTTCTCTGTAAGATAGTAAGCTCTAGGACCCCAGAGCCCATCATCAGTCCGGCCTGCAATCGCCGCATCAACAAGCAGCGCATAGACGTCACTCAGATCATGGATATGAACATTGTTCCAGATCGACTGGCCAGCACCGATAAGCGGTCCTTTCTTCAACTGAAGTGTTACCTTCGCCAACTCATACACCTGTCGACCACGCTGTGAACACGGGCCCCGACCTCGACCTGGGAGTAAAATAAAATGTGAGTTCCTGGTTGTTAGGTATTAACGTGGGGAGTCTGCAGGGATTACCGTAGATCGTCGGTGGGCAAACTAAAGCGGTTTTAAGCACATCTGCATGTTTTGCAGCAGTTTCCAGCACAAACTGGTCTACATTGCGATGGAATGCATGTTCTGGGAGTGTAAGCAATTCATCAACTCCGTTCCAATCATCGTAGACTTTGTCGCTCTTATTCCCATATACCCCGCTGTCGCTGTCTTCGAATGTTAAGATTCCGGTTCCTCCTGTGTGTAGCCAATATCCGGGGTTTTCTTTTGTGTGGCCTGCGATAAGTCCGGTGGCAATTGCTTTTGCTGCACCCACATGGTCTGAAGCATCTGCTGCGTCTGGAATTTTGAGTACACGTTAGACTGGGGTGTCAAGTTTTTTTGGATAGTGTGTTGCACCTACGCAGCGCAATGTCGGCCGCTGCGCTCTCCTTCTCGAGAAGAGCGGAATCATCGAAATCACCGAGCACAATGCGGATATTTGGGTACTTGGCTTTCACTTGCTCTGCTTTTTCTGGGCTGCGGACTAAGGCAGAGTAGGTGAAGTCTGGATGCAAAGCAACAAAGTGGCTAAAGCATCACCGGCAATATAGCCAGTAACACCAGTCCCTGAAATGGTTAGAACACAGATTTCCAGGTTCAAGAATCGAACCTTACAGAAAGATCTTGGTCATAGTGTCAACGTTCGTGGTTGTGAACTTTCAACCGTGTGTAACTGTGGCGAGGAATTGACTGGAAGTTTCAAGGTTTTACAAGAGAAATTTTATAATGATCCGTAGTATATCAGACAATTGAAGGGAAACAAAACCTGTTGCGAAAACAATAATCTATATGTATTTGAGATGTTGGGGTCGAACTATTGCTCCTCAACCCCGCGAGCGGAACAAAGCAGTAATTTGTAAGCAGGTTATTGAGGGTCAACTGGTGAGGACATGATGTATGAGCAGCCTCATTCCAGGACTCATGGAGCTTGATTTTGATACAAAGGAGCGGAGACTAAACCTTTCTTGTCACTCAGTGGAGCAGCCTGTCAGCAAACATGCTGATGCAGAAAATACTTGAATTCTTCATAGGAAAGAGGTAAGTAGTTCGTTCGTGCTCTGGCGATGATGTCAACTGGTCTTAAGGAATTTCTCGACTTTTGGAAGCAGCAAGCTATAGGTCTGATCTGATAATGAGCTAGAGCTTGCATAACTGCCAGTGGCGATGCAAAACCCACCACGAAGCTTAGTGGATCTTACTCGCTTCTCCGCATATGTATAGGCCATTTGTGCACCTCAGCGACCGAGAAAACTATACCGGTGGGTTTAAATTAGGAATTGACAGCTTACGGGACTGTGGAATTGGACTTGAGCAGAAATGAAATTTCAAATTTAGACTTTAGACTTTACGCATTCCATCAAAATTGTTGATAGAGCACTTGAGCCCATGCTATTTTAGGTTCTGATAGCTAACACAACCATCGAAAGTTTTCAGCACTTGTGTTCTATAGAGTTCTTGAATCTCCGTGTATTTTAGCTGAGTAGATTAGTCGATTTTTTCCCTTTTACCATGACAACTGTTCTTTGGCGAAGATGCCTAGAACTAAGATGCCTGCTTCTCCCTGTGCATCTAACCTGTTCAATTACACTGAAAGAAATATGAAAAATCAATTCCTTCTGCACTGGGACTTTTGATCGAGCTGGTTTGAATAGATAGCATTGTTCTCAATCAAAGTTTAATGCACATCAATCTGAAGTATATCAACCCAACATGGGATCAATATGTGCCAAGTACGGAGTAATGATCCGTAAATCCGAGGTTCCCCGGCAACCGAATACAGCAATATCAGCCGAATTTTGGCTTTAACAATTAAGCTGCAGCCACTTCATCAACTGCCCAGGTCTGTCTATGCTTGATAAAGCTGACCCAGGGAAGTTGGAGTATTTGGAAAAAGTTCATCTGTTGATTCTCGTCTTCTCTTGGGAATTAATTGACTAATTCCCCTTGATATAAGGGCCCAATCTCCCCACTCCTGTTAACGGAGTAGATTGCGTGGCCCCTCCAACATTTAAACTAGTCCTATTCTATCCAGCTATCACTGGTGGACTCATAAACTAGCCAATCAAGTCAGCTGCCCCGGAATTGAATTCTCCCTTTGTCTCCATATCCGGTCTTCCGAATCCCGCTACTCCTCAGCACAAGATTCTAATGCATGTCCTCGGAGAATGGAATTTCGGTTTCCGTGACCAGTTACTCTTATCGAATCATCCCACTGGATAGAATTTCAGTTGCTAATAGATTCCCCTCTCTCAAAATGCTACCTTCACAGCACTAGGTATCTTAAGTGTTAGTCTCTGCTGCAGATGTGCTCATCATGCCTGATTAGTCTGTTGGACCGCATCTGATAACCTATCATGGTAGCGTGACTGTTTAGATCTTAATTTCCCCGCGGAAGTCTCCGTATACCGTGACAATTCTCCTCTATACTCGCGGACGACCTCTCTTGTCCCACCCGCCGAAGTCGGGATTTTTCTTGGCGTCAAGAGAGCTAAGCTTAGTGGCATGGTACAAGAAAAACTTTTTTTCAAGCCGCCTTACTATGTTCTTGTAGACCCATATATAGTGGGGCCGTTCCTTGACCGAAGTTGATTGTTTTTTTGTTTTTCTTTCTGAAGAATCTGCATATCATCTGCCAGTGACACAACCGTGGTAGTATCTCTTGCTGATAGTATTCAAGATGTCGAGTGAAGACGATTCTATAAGACCACACAGGAATGTCGAGGCACAAAGTGCTTTCGCTTCTACTCTTGTGAACGATGTTGAGAAAGCGGAACCTTCCAAGTATGGTGTGCGCTCTGAGCAGGAGCATAAGAACCTGCTTGGTTTGAAGATCAACACCCCCGAGACCCATGCTGGAACTGATGTTGTCTTTGCTGCGAAGTCCCAGCTGCTCAACCAGGCTATGCTTGATGTTGGCATGGGCAAGTATCAATGGTTTTTGTTCCTGATGACTGGTGTTGGATGGTTCCTGGATAGCGTGAGTGTCTAATAATTCCTTCGACAGGTTTGCAGAATACTGACATTCCTAGTTCTGGATGATGTCTTTTGTGGTTATTGCGCCTTCTGCCAGTAACGAGGCGCAGTTTTTCTTCTCCGGCAACAATGAAGACTACCTGTTTATCAGTATGTTTGTTGGTCTGACTGTTGGAGGCACGCTTTGGCCAATGATGTCCGATGTGCTTGGTCGTAAGTGGATGTTCACAAGCACCATCGTGCTCATGGGAATGGGTGGCTTGGTTGGCGCAGGAATGCCTTCCTTCACTGGACTTTCAGTCGTTGGCTTTGTTGTTGGCTTTGCAGTGGCCGGCAACAAGAGCGTTGATGCGATGATTCTATTGGAATCTTTGCCTGCGTCCCATCAATTCCTCGTTGCTTTCCAGGGTGTCTTCTGGGGATTGGGACAACTGGTTGCTTCGGCGGTTGGCTGGTAAGAAACAAAACAACTTATTCATCAATAAATCTAATACTAATTTTTCATAGGGCCTTTATTGCGTTGTACACTTGTGGTACCGGTCCCGCCGAGAAGAGTAGTGCATACTCAGTTAGCAAGCGTGCCCACTCTAGCAGCACTTCTTCTAGCTCTTCTAGTTCCTCTACCGCATCCTGCCACTACGTGAGCAACAAAGGCTGGCGCTATGTCTGGTGGACGTCCGGATGCATCACTCTGTTCTTGTACCTGTGCCGATTCGCACTGTCTTTCTTCGAGACACCCAAATTCCTTCTTGCCCGCCGTCGTGACGCGGAGGCTACCCAGCTGGTCAAGGACATTGCTCAGTACAACAAGCGCCAGACATGGATCACTGAGGCCTCTTTCGCACGTATCGACTCTACCATCGATGGAAGCGAGGACGAGCTGCGCGCCAAGTCCCGGACCAAGGCCCTTGTTTCTTCTACCGGCGCTATTGGCACTCTATGCCTCACTCTTCTCTGGTCTGTTATGGGGTTGACCTTCATCCTCTACAAACAGTTCATCACCAACTACCTTTATGAGCATAGTGGTGTAGCCAAGGTTAACTCCACCTCTGTCAACACCCCATACCTTTACAGTCGCTATGTGTATATTGCCATTTGTGCCATCCCCGGTCCACTAGTGGCCGCATTCCTTATGGAAGTCAAGGGCATCGGACGCAAGTTCACCGGCGCTGGAATCGCTATTCTCATTGGAGTTTTCATGCTCATTTCATCGGTTTCCAAGTCTCGGAATGCTCTACTCGGTTTTGAATGTGTCGTGAGCTTCTTGCATGCCGCAAGCTTGGCTACCTTGACTCTGTACACCGTTGAGGTCTTCCCGACTCCCACTCGTGGATTCTCTCTTGGATTCATGGGATTCTTCTGGGGCCTCTTTGGAATGATTGCCTGCATCATCACTACTTTTGATAGCGACGTGGTTTCTGGCGGTGGTCCGGTTTGGTTCTGTGGTGCTATCTGGATCATTATGGCTGGTGCCTGGGTTGCCTTGCCAGAGACCCAGGCTACTGCTGCTACTTAAGTGCTGCGATCCTGCAGTAATATGATACCCTATCACTTACCTGTCGTAATAACGGGGTTATGGAAATGAGAAAATGGTACGATCGACGATTATGCCTGTGGAATCTGGTCTCTTGCTGAGACAACTAATTAATATCAATATCTATCAATACAAGAATGGTTCATAATGACAAAGTCCTCCTCTATATCTTCGCATCGTCAGTTTAGTGCTGAGCCGGCCGAATCATATCAAGCTGCTCATAGCCCGGAAATGGGGAAAATGAGTCTAGCGATTCAAACCCATTTTTCTGGTATACCGGTTTTCCCTCCGGGGAGCTGGAGAGATAAACCTCCACGCTCTCCTCATCTGCACGCGCCAAGCCCCATTTCAATAACTTGGACGCAAGACCTCGTCCTTGATGCGAGGGATGTACGCCCAACATCTCCAAATCTGTAATTCGTTAATAAAGTGAAAAATGGTCAAGTAGTGGAAACTTGAAAATATGTACGAGTAAAAAGTAACATACAATAATGAGGCCGATCACCCATCAATCTATGATGATGATCCTCCATAGTCCCAAAGAACAATTCACAAAGCCCCTTATCACTGCTGATAGGCCACACGCGAACTTCTTCAGGGTGTCGATCTCGATCTGCAACCGCATGGAAGGGGCGTACCCCATTTCGCAAATGCCACAGTCTCGCCGGAATCAGTATCCGTCACCTTGAGAAATATCTCGTGCTCGGATTCCTTGTTCTTGCCGTTGAAGAGGTTCTCTGTTGCCCATGCGCGTACATCCGGTGTGAGAGGGAACATGGTTCTGTTGAAGGGATCCGAGAATGCCGCTAAGAAGATCTCAGTGAGATCTGCGGCATCGGATGAGGTTGCTTCATGGATCTCTAAAGTCATGGTTCTTGCTCTCTTTCTCTGTAAATGTGTTGTGGATTTGTGATTTTTTTTTCTTCAGCTTGTTCCGAAACTGAGCTCCCGCCGGTGGCCTGAATTTATCACGCGAAGTGGCGCCGGAATTAGCCTTGTGTGAGTCATGGAGAAAATTCCATTAGCTTTGACATTTTCAAATAAACATCGTGAAGAATTTGATGCGAAATTCATCATTAATTGAATTTTTGCAGCTTTTTTGGTTAACGAAGTGCCCGAGTGGTTTTCATGTGTCTGGATAACTTCTCAGGCTGCAGTTTCTGCCTGATTTTACTGTCACTTTGAAGTATCGAATTCTCATATTCAAATGTTAGGATAGGACCCTAGTACTATGTTATTCTTAACTTGAGGGGTCGAGCATGGTAGATTGATCTAATTATCGTAGCCCTGGGGAGAATATGACTATAGAGCCAAGTTGGAGATCGCACCGTTCCAATCTATTACTAGTACTAGTAACTTCCATGTCGTGACCTGTGTCGTACCATATAACATCTACTCCGTGGCGTGCCATCCAAACCCTACTATGTATGTAGTAGATTTCACACCTTCAGAATGTCGTTTTAAACTATTTACTATTTGGTGCTTGTTTAGATCCGGTTCCAACCGCGTCCCAAACCAGAAAAAACCTATTCCATTTTTTCGTCCATTGTGTCATCTTATAATCGAGCTACTGCGAGTGACAGCTGGCTTCAAGTTGTATACCCTTCAAGTTGCTGTCAGCTGCATTCAAATTTACGTACTTTTGACGGCACTCGGTAGTACTGGTATATGCAAAACAGCTGCAATAAAATAATTTATGTGGAATTTTAGACATTATGATATGTATGCAGTATAGCTAGCGTAATATGCAGATGCGCAAGACCACATGAGCGCCTGCAGGCATCCAATTGACTTCGTCGCTAACGTCGGCCATCTTTGCCGTGATTAAGAAAAAATAAAAACCTATCACCGTATCAATATTGAACCTTGAAATTCATTCAAGGCAAAGATTGAAGTTTCAGAGCTTCCCATTCGCTAAAGGGTTTTGTGTTGTGCAACTCGAACGCGACAGTAAGTATAATACAATATTTGACCCGCGTACTCGCACAGGAAGAAGCAAAGTACATAGCTTAGCCCTCTTAGGACTTCTCCAAACTGGGTCCGGGAACTGTAATCGGGCTAACGGGCTCGTGTTCCTCTCGAGTCTGCGGATGTGACACCTCAGAACGCTTAGCCGGCGTTGTGGAAGCTCTTTGGTTACTCAACTCATTATGCGTCGGAAGGAGAGAACGACGGATTCGCGGGTCATCCGGCTGTTGTGTTTTTGTGTCACCGGCGCTTCTAGCCGTTTCCATTTCCGACTTGAGGCTTTGGTACATGCTTTCCACGATAAACACTTCTTCCTGCACATCAAGATCACATCCCACAAGGCAAAACTCGCGCTCGCGTTGCTCGATGTATTCGCGAATATGTTTCCACTTATTTTGGTAGGCCTTCAGACGATCTGGAAGACCCGATCCACGCAGATAGGTCAGAATACCGGCTATAATGGTGTTGATGGCGCCGAAAGCTGTGATGGCAGCGTGCGGGCCACTTGCTGCGCCGAGTGCTGTCAAGGCTGCGGCAACAACGATCTGGATTCCCAAACATATGTTGATCATGGAGTTGAAGGTACGATATCCGCGTGCGGCTTTGGCCTCGTTGCGGACAACCCGTGTGTAGATACCGACGTTGGGTGCACTGCGAAGGAGATAACCACCTTGTGTGAGGGCGGGTACACTGTCAATACCAGTCAAGGCACGAAAGATGACGAGCTTGTCGTTGGGTGGGATGAGAGCTTCAGGGTGACTTAAGCCGATGTTCCATCGTTGGCCTTCTAGGTCGGTACCGTTCGGCTCATGGGTTGTATTTTTTCGTGCTGCAGCAGCTGTCGCGTGAGCTGCCATGGGCGGATAGTTATTTTCAGGGCGATTAAGAGCAGCCTCAACCATTCTTCGTAGGAAGCTCTTGTCTTTTGGTAGCTCAGTCATGGTAAATGGTGTGTGTAGACCTGGGAACTAAAGGGAAAAGCAATTCAACAAGCGTCAAAATTCAAAAATGAGGAAGGGGGAATCGATCTAAATTTGTAGCTCTGTACAAGCCGCCCCTCGGGACTGATTCTTTGCTCAAAGACGCAGAGTAAACCGTGCTTACCACCATTTTGGACTAGATCGTGGGCTAGAACGAAAGCCAAGATGCATTTCAGCGAAAGGGTTTTATGATAGACATGATTTGCTACTCAAAGTAGCTAAGGTGATAGGGAAGAGATACAGGGTCTGACAGGTCGGGAACCATGAACAAGTGGATCTCGAGCAGCACTGCACGCGGGCTGAACTCTATGGGTTGACCACCCGAGCTGTGATGACCCTGAAACAGGAAGAGAGACTTTGGTGGCTCGCTGTGGCGTCGAGTCCGGTGGAGATCTGCAAGGCCTGTCGGCGCAAAGAGTCAAGAACGGTGGGGTGGGCTTAGCTGCGATGGAGGAATCACAGGGCGAGATCAAGATCCGAGCATAGAGGGAAAGTGACGATCCATGTCATGTTCTGCCCATTCTCAAATGTGCAGCAAAGGCGTCGGGTATCCGAGTCAGACTTGGGCTGTGACTCCTGTGAGTACTTGGTGGAGTTGAATATAGATTCATAGCCTCAAATATCACTGAGGAAAGCCCTTCAATTCAGCTATCACGCACATGCGATATCGAGTCGGAGTATTATTGAGATTGGCATCCTGCAGATACTCCATCTCGGGTGAACCGTGCAAGTGGAGCTGCTTTACGGGATGGAAGCTCCACACACACCACGATGTAACTGATCCTCCACTTCAAGTTCTCGTTCTTTCTCTGGGAGCTCCATATGCGTAGCTTGAGTACTGGAGAGTCTTAATAATTCAGTGGCTTTTCGCATAATTTTACTTACTGGAAATTAATTTGAGTTCAAATGTTGGTGTTGCGAGTATGCCAGGTGACAGGTCTAGGTATCAGCGTATCGGCGGCACGGGTCCCCCACTTACGTGGGTCCCTGAAGTGCACATGTACATACTTGTCTTCGAAACGGCATAAAAGGGGCGTGGGCTTTTTCGGTCGCAAATGTCATGTTTCACCAACTGGAGGCTATGAACTAGATTGTTTGCATTGTGATTGGACTGAGAGCCACGCGCTAAGCTTAGGGCTTATTGCCAAGTATCTGTGGCGAGCTGATTAAGTAGAAGAAGACAGGGCTTGATTAGATTAACCTTGGATTACTATGTAGTAATTTATCTCGTGCATGTGAATATTTGAATACTTTACCAGTTGACATATCTAATCTTGGAAACTGTGCTAGTCCTGAGTCCTATATATGTTTATAGAAATTGATAGAACCATACAGGTTGCTACTTACACTCTGCCACCTACTAGTATGCTCTGCATAACTTGAAGATAGTAAGATTTGTGCCTAAGAACCTTATATGTAGTACTAGATAGTACATAAGGATGAAGAACTCGGAATTGGTAGCACATAATGACTACATGTAGGTATTTGCTTCTAGTAAGGAAGTCAGTATTTGAACCATTGATTTGATATCTCAAACATACCTCAGTTTGCTGGAGTTTAGGTAGTATTCCATCCCCGTCTCTTATGAAGACTTCGAGGATACCCGAGACCCGTGGACTGAACTACCTTAATATTTGGTCCAGCTGATAATCAGAACGACCTTTATTAGGCCATCCCCGCCCACCAATATGAGATTCATAACGTTGTGTAGATCATCGATTGAATCATTCCTCACTTACGCTAGGACAGTCCCATTGCTTGCCACAGTGTATACATCAGTCTTCGGTATATACTCTTGTTGAAATACCTTTTGGTAAGCGATGACATAGTGTATTCCAGCCTGCTGTAGCTATAACTTTGGAGTTGGTATATGCTATGGACTAGGCTGGAAAAAAGGTTGATTGTTTGGTAGACTACCTATATGGGCCATATTTGAAATCAAGGGCTATATAAATTAGCTAACAGCTCCTAGACCTCCTGCCTACGTATTTAGATAAGTAGTCTATATAATTCAACATTTTGAATGTTTCTTTTTCTAAGGTTGACTCTTAGGTACTTAACTCTTACTTAACTTTTCCTTAACTCTCACTTGACTCTCACTTCAAGTTGACTCTTATTTTATTACATATAATAAATTGCAAGGTTATTTGATAGGTACTCTCATAAAGTACATACTTTAGAAGCTTGATACATATGGAATTATAAGCATTTGAATTGAACTAGATAAATTCAAGCGTTACTAGTATGCGTCGGGGCGTTGTTGATTGATTCGTCGTCGCCTGAGTCGGAGTCAGAGCCGGAGTCAGAGTCGGTTGAAGTCAGATGTGCCCTAGTAAATTAATCCTTATAAAATATAGCGATCTGCATTGCTGATCTTGGAATAAGTCCTCAGCTGTGAGAGGTTTCTCTGGTAACTTGGTCAGTTGCATGAACCGATGCTCAGTGCTCAAGGGGGTAAGGTTATTTGATCCATCTTCTAGTGCCCTCCGAAGAGATGGGAATGCTTGTCACTTGTCAGATATACTAAAGCAATGAGAAAATACATTTTTTTCTTCCGATAGAAGAAATAATACATCAACTGGTGGATACATGCATTTTGGACAGACGGGTTTCAACCTTCGAAGCTCTCATCAGACCCATGTCCAATAATCAGTAGGACAAACATTTCCCTGGTACGACCACAACATCAAGCATATCAAAGAAAGGATGCATCTTGATTGATAAATTGCTATCTTCTCATTAAATCATCCTTAATGAGGTTATTAGAAGCGTACTCCATACTCTATGCTCTATACTTCCAAGGTTCTTATTGATCCACTTCAAAGCTTATCGGTCTACAGAGTATTCTTATCAGCTTATCAATCCAGTTATCAGCTCCAATGACGCAACGAACCCACCAAGCGTCTCCAGTGCTGACAGGAACCACTTTCAATCTTACCTGCTCTTCCTCTTCTTCCTCGTATTCTTACCCCTCTTCTCATTCACACCTACTCTGAGCCAATATCATAATGGCTCCCCGCTGTTTTATCGTCCGTCATGGCGAAACAGAATGGTCCTTAAATGGTCGACACACCGGAACAACAGACCTTCCACTTACAGCGAACGGTGAAAAACGTATAAAGGCAACGGGGAAGGCACTGGTTGGTAATGACCGTTTAATTGTTCCGAAGAACCTTGTTCATGTGTAAGGCTTCCCCCTAACCACAACGAGGGCAGATCATCACCGGAGTGATTAAGATTTCCCGATACTAATTATCTTAGATATGTCTCTCCCCGCCATCGTGCCCAACGAACACTGGAACTCCTTGAAATCGGCTGTCGGGAGCGATTACCCTGGAACGCGGCGCGGAATGCGGAGGATCATGAGCCTATTCGGACGGAGGCGCGGGTTGAGGTTACTGATGCGATTAGGGAATGGGATTATGGGGATTATGAGGGGTTGACAAGTAAGCAGATTAGGAAGATGAGGGCTGAGAAGGGGGAGAGGGTTTGGAATATTTGGGAGGATGGGTGTCCTGGTGGAGAGTAAGTTATCCATTTGCATTATTTTTGAAGTTTCAATTCGTGCTGGCACTCTGGATCCATTAATAATGGGTTGGGAATTGTTGTATGATTTTATTTTGCTTCAACTCATGATATCATGTCACGACCATCATTCTTGTTGAACATATTTATGCTAATCTATCCTTAGGTCACCGGAAGATGTCATGAAACGTCTTGATGCCTTGATCCTCGATATCAGAGAGAAATACCAGCGTCAATGCTTTGAAAATCCCGATTGCCCGAAAGGTGATGTCCTCGTTGTTGCACATGGTCATATTCTTCGTGCGTTTGCCATGCGTTGGATAGGCAAGCCCTTGACGGAGACTTCGTTCATTTTGGAAGCTGGTAGTGTGGGAACACTTAGGTATGTCGACCCTTGTAGCAACGATTGCAACGTCAAGCAGATCGTATCTGGAACACTGCATAATGGACCTGGGCTGACAAGTATCCCAGCTATGAGCACCACAACATCGATGAGCCCGCGATTATTCTGGGTGGTCAGTTTGTGGTGGAGTAGACGAAGTCAATATCTGAGACCATGTCGAGTTCGCATAACAGGCTAGACCTATGTGTACGAAGATCTATCGTCCAGTTAGCATATCAAGTCATGATACCATAGAAACTGGAACATTCGGCTCCAATAAATGAAACTCACATTGTAGCCACACTGCGTCCTTTCTCATATTCATAATCGTCCATAGCGATACCCAAATGCGGAATGAAGAGAAGACGGAAGTATAGTGTAGAAGATAAAGGATCACTCCTCCTCACTATCCTCCTTCTTGACACTCTCCTGACTCTTCTCAATCGGATCCGCATTTCCCTTGACACCTTCCTCCCCCAGAATCTTCGCAGACCCCATAAACATACCCCCGATATACCCACCCAAAAACCGCATATCACCCGCCTGGACGGCTGTCATGCGCAACAGGTTCTCCGTATCGGCGAGATTGGCGTTTAGTTGGGCGAGCTGCGAGTGCAGATGTGCGTATTGACGGCTTTTAGCCGCGGACATGGACGGTGTGCTTCCTGCATGCGGGGGGCCCATGCTCGTTGTGGTCTGGTTGAAGGTGTTTTGACTTGGCATCATTGAGGAGCGGGGGTAGGAGGTTGAGGGGGTTTTGCGGTGGGAAGGTTGGAACGGCATTTTGGCAGGTTTTGATGACTTGGAATTCGTGAAATTGGACTCGATTGATTCGGGGAATGAGATTTCTTAGAGTTGTGTTCAAAGCTAAAGAGTCGCTGGTGTAAGTGGGGATTTGTTTACAATGGACTGCACGTGATGGACCCACTGATATGAGATTGTCCAGTTGGTGATACTTAACGCAGGTCAACGAAAGTTTTTGAGCAATATTTCAAATGTTCAAATTCGAGTCTAACCCTCTCTCTGATGGGTACGACTACAATTGGTTACAGCTACACTCATATATGTGGACTCAAGACTTTCATTGACCAAAGCAACCCCAACGGTATAACGGAACGGTCTATCAATTCATGCGCTCCAAAAGGATGCGATTCTGTTCAAAGGGCGATTCAACCATCGCACCCATCATTAATTCCAGCCAAGCGCGAAAGTCCAAGCAGATCAAGACAACTCAACCGAATAAATCGAATCCCCGCAGTTCTGCAATGCGCCAGGGACCAGACCAGAAATTAGACAAGCCCGCAGACCAGCCAGATGATAAAAGCAAAATGAAACATTGGGCAAAGGAGAGAAATGCCAGGAGAGATCGAGATACGGAGACAACAAAGAAAGGGAAAAAAGGAAAGGCAATTCAAGGCGACGTATACGAGCCCATATAATGATGGTTTGGTGGGGGGGAAGGAAAAGCGCCGGATCACGTAGTGTACAATCATGCAGTGAGATGAGAGGTGCGGCTGATTGACTGAGTGGACTGGACGAGAGGCGGAGGGCGCTATATCAACAGGATTTGAAGGAGAGGGAGGGAGATAACGGATGAGGTTGTCCGAGTCTAGACGCGCGCGAGCCTCAACAAAAATGAAAGCAAAACAAGCAGAGACGGGAATGCCGTAGGGAGATGATGAGTATGAATGCAGAGAGCAAAGACGAAACGCAAGAACAGACAGATGGAAGATAAAAAGCAGACCCATATCCCGACCACTCCAGAACGAGAAGCACACACCCAAAAAAGAGTAATAACAAACCCCTATGTCCCTCATGTATATGTAAAGAAGCGAACAGCAGAGTATTAACCAATACTTGATTTGCACGGGGCCATAAGATAAGCAATATTGTCCCCGAGTCGAAAGCCAAAACACGCACAAACGATGCAGAAAGAGTCCAAACATGACAAGAATTTTTTTTCGAAAGCGGACGGTGGAAGGGTATTCGTCCCAATAATAGGAGATAGAAACGTCACGGAAGGAAAATTCAGTCGGCCATCAATTGTCCGCTTTGTTTATAATCATGGAGTGAGAGTGGACAGGAAATAAAATAAAATGTAGGATGAATCTCCATGTACGATTATTCGCAATTTCAACGAACAGGTGCCGCCGCAAGATGGCGCTGATGTTGCTGGTCACCCAGACTAACCTGACTGCTATGAGCGGACGCTTCAGAATCAAGATTGGCACTGGCGCCACTATCACCACTCTCAGCGCTGGCGCTCGCACTTCCAGTCAGACTCTTGTTCTTGGGAGGGCCTTTAGCGGGATACGGGTTGCTCACCCCATAGTGTTGCTCAATCTGTTGTGGTCCAACCGGGCCTTGATTTGACGGATGCCGGGGGACCGGTGTCCGCATGTTTCCAGGGGGCGACGGATGGCCATTGTGATGAGGTCCACCAGGATGCCCACCAGGAGGCCCAAGGTTCGGGTCATGGGCGGTCATTGGACGTGCCATGCGAGGTCCGGGTCCAGGGGGGTCCCCCGGGGAAAGGAACAGCAGGCGACTGGCTGTTTCGTCGACTCTGAGGGTGTGGGCGAGGAGGGAAGTCTCCCATGTGGCTGGCCGTCAGGGAGTTGGCACGCGATTCGGAGTGCATCTGATTCCGATCGACGGCTCCGTATCTGTTCGATGAGTAACTCATCATGGGGTGATCCATGAGAGAATCATGAAGTCCAGGAATCTCCTGCATAACTCGGTCACTGGCACGTTTCCGCCCGAAGTATCGACCAAAGGCGGACGACGAAGGACGGCTCTGTGGCATGCCAACACTTCCAGCACCGAATTCCGGGTTCTTGCGGAATTGACTATGGCTGGGCGCCTTGCGGGCTCGACGCGAAGTGATGCTCATCATATCAACACTATCCGGATCGACGTGGGGGATCTGAATATGGTCCATTGGGTCGAAGTAATCTTCATCTTCTTCGTCGAATGTCGATGGGGGCGCACGTGGTGGTGGTGGTCCCCGTCGTGGGGCAGGGCCAGGGCCGCGACGCATACCCATCTCCTGCTCTCGGAGCTGCAGCTCTCGCTGCCGAAGAGCCAATTCTCGCTCCCGGAGTGCGATATCGTTTGGACCAGGGCCGTGGGAAGCACCATCGGGGAAACCATTGCCATTAGGATGCGGTTGACCACCATCTGCTTCGTCGCTGTATATCATCAGATGGCTGAACTCCTCGAGACCTTCGAGTGAAGGGTCACGGGGCATACCCCCGAGAACCGGGGGGCATCGGTCCACCGGGTGGGACCCGCATCATGCCTGGAGGTGGGCCACGTCGAGACTGGGGGACCCCCATGCTTGAATTTGTACGACTTGATCGCATACCGGCTCCGTTCATGGGTGGACGTTGAGGTGGTGGAGCAGATGACATCCGGGGAGGTGGCTGGCCCATTACGGAAGCAGGCGGAGAATCGCCGTGCCTGGGCTTGGACTGGTTCACAATATTTGCGTGGTGAAGCATGGCGTACATGGCCTCGATTCTGGGTAAGGAAACGTTTGTCTCGGAGGCTAATTTGATTGGAGAACCCAAGAAGTTCTCGACCTCCATGGGGCGTCGAGCCTGGAAATCTTGGAACATGGTGCTCGGGGCATCCGAAGCAGTCATTTTTTCAATTGTCTTTTGCCGGAAATCAATGGGGAAATCACAGTCCAAAGCAGCAGCCAATTGCATTAGTTCATCAATGATACCTGTGACCAATTGCCGCACTCCGACTTTCTCTAGTAATTGTGTAGGATTAGGGGATTCGAAAACGATGCTAGCAGGGTGGAACGCGATCGGACTTTGAGAGAAAAGTCAGCACCATATCGAAATTATCCAAGCTGAAGAGTGATAGAAGAACTCACCCGATCATGCGTTCGAATTGTTCCTGGCGAATATTCGGTGACACTTTACAGTCGACCTGACCACTGTTCAGCGTCGCAGAGAGAGCTACAGCCATGTCCTGTTGAATTGAGACCGGGATAGGCGATTTCCTGTTGATCGTTCCCACATGGATTTCACTGGAGTTTAGATGCTCAAATTCGCTGGGCCCAGTCTGGGAGATTTCCACGTTGGAAACCAGGGAGAGGATGACGTTGGTCGGGTATCGTTGTTCGAGATGGGCTTCGATGCCCAGAGTGTTTGTAGTGTTCACCAGGATACAAGTGTGTTGGGGTGTTACAACGGATTCGATGACCGATGCCAGGTCGTAGACATCAGGCAGGGCCTTGATGCAGAGAATGACATAGTCGTAAGCGTTTTCACGGGATGAGGCCTCTTCGGGCGATCGGACAACTAAATGGTAGAAACGTTAGCCGCATCATCCGTATACCACGGTATCCTTCTCATTCTGCCTTTTTTTCTTCTTCATGGAGTTCATTGATTGGGCTGGAGTGGACGCCCAAGGGGCGCCCGTCAAGGATCTCGTACCATGACGGGGTTTGAAACGTTCATTGCCGAATGCTTTTGATCTGTGAAAGCATAACGTTAGGACTTGGAGTTTTTTTTTTGGAGGATCTTGAGGTACTAAAAGCGACGTACTTGAAAGAAACACCATATTGTGAGACTGCTTCAAAGCCTTGCTTCCACACCAGTGTCACATCACAAGAAGTCGTAGCCTGAAGTCGCCAGGACAGAAAGGCTGAGATCGCATTGCCCCCAACTGAACAAATCTTAGTTAAGCCCATGATGATTTGAGAAGCGAAGACTCACCGGAGAGAATGCGCAATCGTGGAGGGGGAGCCATGATCTGAAAGTGGCAAGAAGTGATGGGCGGGAAGGACCCAAGTCGAAAGGTCGGCTCGAGGCCGATAAGATGATCTACCACGAATGATCCAGGGTGAGGAAGGAGGTCGTAATAAAGAACCACAAAGGGGAACTTTCTGCAGGGTGAGAAAAGGGGGTAAGAACAGCAAATAAAAAGAAAAAAAAGAAAAAACGAAAGTGACGGGTAAGGGAGAGTCGAAAATAGTAGAAGAGTGAGAGAGAGAGAGAGAGAGAAGGTTGGGTTGGGGGGGAGAGAAGTTCCAAGTTGGCCAAAGGGTTTAGATCAGCCTCAACTCTCTGTCCCTGTTTTTTTTTTTTCTCCTTCCACTTTTTTCCCCTTTTCTTTTTTTAATGATAGGTTTGCCTTTTGCAGCGATTGAATTGTACTGCGAACAATTGTTATTTTTCCTCTTCCTCATTCTCTATGGTCTTTCCAACGGTCGAGGATCCCCCGCTTGGATCCGGAAACGGAAAACGATAAGGGAATCCAAATTGGTTGTGACCGGAAGATCCTCTGAATGCAGTTTGTTTTTAATGTACTATGTAATCTAAGTAAATGGAGTACGGAGTACAGAATAGGTCATTTGTACTCGTATATGAAGTATGAATTGATATGCTATGAGTCCCATCTGCCTAAATCCTAGTTCCCGCGCTATCGCCGTTTCGTGACCATCCACGCAATCACTATCCAAGTGGTACATGCATAAAACTGATTCGTACTGATTCGTACTTCTTCCCGATTCCAAGATTGCCGTATTCCCGATGTGTAGTACAATATCTGAAAAGAAAAAAAAAGTGAAATAGTGGCTATGTAGTAGTAGATCGAGGGAAAGACTATTGATATGGAAGCTTCAATGTTCGGTATGTTAATCTCCAAGGGTATTTAGAATATTTAGAATCTCGATTCTATAATTAAAATCCATTATTAATTTAGATTTTAGAATTTATTCTTTTTTTTTTCTTTTTTTTTCAAACTAAAAGGAGCCACTCAAACCTTTCAAGGCTCCACTCGGGACCAACGTCTTCTTATTGATCTGCACCATTGTGTAAGCTCTCCATAATTCTGTGACGGGCTATGGAGTAATCAAGTGGACATAGATCATGAAATTGTCAGTTGAATATGTTGTCAGGGAAAGATAATCCTTTTTTTTAGATCTTATAAACCCTCACTAATACTATCTTAGACATCTGTACCAACCTGGTTCCCCATCTATAGTACTCTCGGTCTTGCGATGGACCCGACGCGTATGGTGGCCACGTCCACCTGGTCACCCCATCCACTGGCGCGAGAGCAAAAAAACCACCCCCACTTGAACCACCAAAAAAGAAAGAAAAAAAAATTCATTAACTCGGGCAGAGAGGAGATAGGTTGGGCTTCAAGGGTTTTTATCGAATCAGAACCTTGGGAAATAACATTGTTTTCATATTGTTTATTTCAAATGTTTGTTAGAATTTACCTAGGTACTATGGCGCGTACTATGTAGTACTAGTCATCTAGAGAGCCCTTATACTCCGTAGTAAAAATTATCTGTAAGTTTCATGGTTGTCTTGAAGACTTGTAAGACAATCCATCTGGACCTGGCTTGGTCCTCTCGTGCGCGCCAATGTCGTATTGGACACATACTCAAGCCACCGAGACGCACCAGCATGAATCACAAATCTTTGCCGATCGTGGCGCTGACAGGTACCGGATGTACTAGTATGTGGTTACTAGGGCGTATACGGATATAGTATCATCCTCTATGCACTTCCCTGTATATAAGATGTGGACCTGAATAATCACATAATCGCCCTCTTTTCATGCCTTCTGATTCGACTATCACCAAATCAACCTGCACATGTGCATCTAACTACAGTCCACCATGGACAACTCGGGATAAGATGGACAATCCAATGCCTAAGTGGACACATGTGTACAAAAGTAAACATCGTACCACCGGATAAGGAGAGGGGCCCCCCCACACCGCTGGTATCCAGGCTCAACTTGAACTTGAACCTACAACTGCATAGCGATAAGAACCAACACGACAAATACTGTACATCTTGATCTATCCTGACTATTCTACATGGCTTCAGACTAGTCCGAACAGAACCTAGTCCGATCGAATTTGACCCTTTCTCTAACCTGAAATTATCCCCTGGCAACACAGGGACAGGTACAGGTACAGGTACAGTACACAGCAGGCAAACTCACTAATCCTGTAGCTGTGTTTCCTTTTTTTTCTCAAGCGGTCCTAGTCTCAATAGCTAGACCCCAGGGGTACAAAATGATCGCCCTACGGGATGCCAGGAAGGGGGAGGCGGTGTTAGGAGCATGCCAGAGGGATCGACGCGCGTGCCAAATGCCTCCAGGTGCAGCTGTTTGCAGCTTTGATTCCAGCAAGGGATGTGTTTCACAACCTAATCGAGTATGATCGAGCATTATTCGGCGATTTAGGGGCACATCTGGATAGAGAACGGAATCTGATAATGCTTTGGCACATTGCAGACATTCTAAATCGGTTGAATTACCCGAGAGACAGAGTCCCTAGATAGCCTAGATAGGGTACTATCATCCTGTACATAGCTTTGTATGCACATAGTTCCAATATCGTGCATACTCATAGCTGATTTGCAGTATCCAGTTCAACCTTGGAAGTACTATACGAAGTCTCTTCGTACCTGCAGTTCGGAGTTACTCAAGCTCAGCTCTGTCGATCAGTCCAGAATCTCTCCCCAGATCACAATGTCCAAAGCTTCAGTGGGGAGACCCGCTGAAAGTTCTCGGGAACACGTTCTTTCTTATTCGCGTCAAATCGATATTCACGGTGGAACCAGACCGAGAAGGTTCCCCGGGTGGATCTCACCGGGAACGAAAACATTCGCAGCAAATACGCGGCCATGCCGACCGGTGGCAGGGGAAACGCGTGAACCACGTTTGCAGAATCTGCCAAAAAGTCCCCGACAGAAACGGACATTTATTTACATGTCAGATATTTGACAATTTACACGGTTGACTCTGCCACAATATACCATTTCTCTAAACTTGAAGGTCATGTCGATCAATGACATGATATGATTTCATGATTTTCAGGAGGTTTGCCACAAGTGACATCTACGAGATGTTTATAGACATAGGTGGCTATACTCACGTCCGCACCCGATGATACCTATTCAAGATGTCTACGGACTCGGAGTAAATTGATGAGTTCTTAGACTGAGACATCACAATGCCAATAGTCCGATGCCTGCGCTAGCGCACAGAATGGAGTGATGGCCGATTCTGACATCTGGGATAGATCATAAGAACAATCAATGACACCTGCATAATCATTCCAGTAAACAATTATACTGGTATTAGCAAATGGCAACTCATATCGACAACCACTGGCATCCGGTTCAAGTTAATGTACGTATGCACATGTGGTTGTGCTGAAGATCATTGCTCGTAGTGCTGGAATATACAAGCCTCCTAACGCCCATTGGCTCCAAAACCCGACTGACCCAACATTGTCTCACTTATATCGGTTTTTACAAATCACAACTACCACCCGTTGAGTCAGTGGCGGCTGCCACTCACGCCGGTGGAGGGTCTAGCGTGATAAAAGGGAAAAAAAAGTAGGCAATCTGCGGAGCGGCCGGGAGCCAGTACAAGCCGAAGCACTATGGGCCTCTCCATAGTGAAACTCTGTAAGATCGAGAAATTCGAAGAGAACCACGATTTCCAAACCCAGAAATAAATACGAGTAAAAATTTTCAAACCACAATTTGCCGCGAAACTTGAACCACTCAGCCATTTCTATTTTTCACGCTAAAGAGAGACAAAGGCCCCAAAAGGCCCCAAAAGGCCCCAGGACCCTTGTGGACACTTGGCAGTGCGAGGTCCGAGACAGGGTTTTGGGGGTTTCGGTTCCGTCGCTGCCTTGTTTTTTGATATGCGTTACTGGGAGCGATCGTTCCATTGCCCGCGTGCCAAGAGGGTTTTTTTTTTCTTTTCTCTTTTGGACCTAGTCTGGATTTAGCGGTTTTAACATAAAATTGATGTAAGCTTGATTATGATGGTCGCTTATTCCATTATGCATCCACGGAGTACATGTGTGTACTTCCAGGGTTGGTATATATCCTATCAACTCATGAATGAAGGCGTCTTGGCCAACATGTTGTATTTTCGTTTTTCTTTCTCATCTTAACTGTTTCGTTCTGGTCATGCCGTTCTATCTCATTCGGATTGGCTTGTAGGTCAACGGTGGGTGCTTATGTCCAATTTGGCGCCCTGTGTTTTCTGTTTATCTGATTCTGATTGACCATTGGTGATTTCATCAACGAAAGTTTGGCAGGCGCATCAGAAGATTGTTGAGTCTCTGGTAAGAGTTGTTGATTCGGTTGCGGACTTGCATGGACTCGACAGTCATCACCCCAGGGGAGAAACGAAGGATGGCTCTTGTACACGCTTGGAGCATGAGTGCTTTCCACCGTATCTCTCCTAGCCATCTTCACCACAGTCACTCTGTCCCTCATTATTTTTTGAGATGTCCGTGGGGTGCTTCATCGCACAGGCTCGCAGACAGTCGGCATTCCATGAGTCACTGGAAGAATATTGCCTTTGAGTCAGTCTCCAGTTCGGGCTGCTTTGAAGTGTAGTTGCTGCACCAATATGGCCCAGACACCTGGTGGCTGAGAGTGTGTTCCTACAACGATCGGAGGGAGCTGCGATGGATGTTCGTAATTGATCTGCCCATTATTAGAAATTGCATCTTAATATTGCGATGTTGGAGCTGGGGTGTCTTGACTGGACATGACGATAGTATTTTTGAGAACAGAATATTGTGATGGACGCGGAGCTCTTGAGCATACGGTCACTGAGTGCGGGTATCCGATATTTGGGAAGCGTGAAGAGGGGAGTTCTTATGGGCCAGATTCGGGGGCTAACGTAAACAGTGCAAGTGGTCTGAAAATTCGCGTTAAACTGGCAAGCTACATCTTTTAGGACCAACGCGCACCGTTCGTAGCAGATGTTGTGCAAGATGATTGGGGTAAAGAAGACAGGTCTTGAGGAAAGAAACCAACCTTCATTATTGATAGCACGTAATTAAGAAGGTGGGATAGATTTAGTCCACGGGTATGTATCATCAACTCGAAGCTCATAGATCAAAGTTCAGGGAAAACGCGAATGGGGTCTAGTGCTAGTAGCTCTTGCGCTTTTAAACATACCTGCAGCCCAACCATACATAACGAATGATACTATGTATTGAATAACTTTAATCAGATAACTTGAAAGACCTGAGTACTGAACTTGAAGCTATACATAGAGCCTGAGACTAATAGTATGTCATTCAACATTTGAAACATTGAAGGTACAGATGTGATGTGAATTTGATGCACAGGTATACTACTTATGTACCCCGTGACCAACAGTATCGCCAACCAGACTCTTGCCAGTGCGTTTGCACCCCATGCATATTTATTGAATCTAGCCAGCTTGTAGGAGCAATCATTATCCTTGTTTCTACCTTGACAAGTCGACAACTGGCCTTGCATGTGCATGGAAGCATGTAGTCCAAGAAGGGACATCCGGAGTGGGCTGTATGCTTTTAGGCTTATCGGGTCAAGGCTGGTGGGTTGCCTTCCCACCTATCATTAATCTTCACTACTACGCAAAATCGGACACATCTGATTGAACCGCACGAGTCAGAAAATGAGCTAAGATGGTCAAATATTTCCGGCTTAAGGTTGGCCAATTGGAATTGGGGATTAAACAAAGCATAAGCTGTGGATTTGAAATCATATATCGTACAATATGACCTGACTCCCGTGCTTTATGCAACTAAGCTTATCTGTATACCGATCCTGACTAGTGGCCAATTTTATGCACGCGCTTGAATCTGAAGCGGGATGGGCCCAGCTGAATATACAAGCCGGCATCTGGCAATGATCAGAGCCATGATAAGAACTACCGAGTGCAATCACCCCGATTCAAGTCAGTTTTCCCACTAGCCTTAGCTGCCAATCTCATCCAACAAAAATAAAAATTGCAGGATTAGCAGGATCCTAAATCTTGGTGACCAACACGGAGTAGTACATAGTGGGGTCCCTGGCTGTATATGTACCGGCACTTCAAGTTCAAATGGTCCATCTGAATTGCCGTTTGGGCTAGGGAGTACGCAATAGATGCGATGTAATTCCTCGTGATGGATAAGTGAGAAGGCAACCAACTCGTCAGAATGAGTATATTTGCTTCTTTGGGGGTTGACTACCACTGGCAGTGATTCCCATGTTTACGGAGCGGAGGATTTGGCAAATTAACAGGGGGAGTTTAACAATGTTCTGGACATTGGCAAAGAAAAGAGGGAGATGAGGAACACGTTAAGGACACGGGCCAGAAGTTGCTTGATTGATCTGACTTATAACTGGGGCCTAGAAGCTGGTTTAATGAGATCGATTGAATCGGGTTGTTGTGGAGTCCTTTTCGGCTTAGTCCGTTTATAGTTGATTAATGGTAATTTCCTTCAGGGTCACCCCGGGGCTTGATATCAGGGTCTGAATCCTTTAATCTGACCAAGTGGATAGAGAATTTTTCTTGGTTGGATGGACGGAATTAACACACCTGTGCACTCTCTTCCACGATTGAATGTCGACTTCCAAGGTTGCATTCCAGACGCCAGGCAAAGCATGCGCCAACTGGTCAGACATTTGTTAGTGGCCTTAGGCCAAAATGCTTAGTCAAATATTATCGCACCGGATATTCGGGGAATCTACTCCGTACCTAGTATGGGCGTAGTAGTCGGCGCTAGAGGGCCTGATCTTTCCACGTAATATTCTTTAGTTGACACATGATTTGGAAGATCTAGGAAATTACCCATGGCGACATTGCGAAAGAATGGTTTGCCATCATCGTGTGAACCTTGCCGTAACTCGAAACTACGATGCGATCATCAACTCCCTGTATGCGGGCGATGTGCTCGTAAAAAGAAGTCGGAACAATGTGTCTACCGCCCCTCGATAAAAGCAGTCGATGGATCTCATACGTCACGTTCGGCAACTGTAGAGGTGAATCCGCAGGCAGTGTTGGATTCCTCAGCACCTCTAGACCCAATTTGGGAGAGTCGATCGGCCCCCAAGAGAAGACGGTTGTCACAATCAGAGTATCTTGGAATGACAAGTCACTTTGCACTTTTCAAAGAAAGCGCTGATAACTTGGCTGTCTCACTTCCACAAGATACCCAAGCGACCGACCAAAATGTACAGGATCCTGTCGTGAGCGCCGTGACTATCGAAATCGATGAAATACGACGTGGTGCTCGAATCCTTCGATTGTTGTCCAAAGATCTATCCCTTTTCAAGCAAAACGCAGACATCTGGCTAGAAAAGACAGGAGAGTGCGACTTCTGGTCTCGACCCCTTGTGGAGTTCACTTTTGAATCCCTAGAAAAAATACCAGGCCTGCAGTCATGCTCTGTTGACGATAACTCCTTGTTTGCTCTCTCGCGAGAAATCTTCCAGCTGTCTTCAAGGCAAGTACAGCTGAATCCATCCCTCACATTTACTCAATTCATGTCATCCATGTCCTACAGGTGGGAGATAATTGGATTGGCCTTCGCGAGTGTCGGAATGGGCGTTGCACTTCCTGGAGATTCGGACTCAACAGTCCAGACCGACTACAGGCCAGCGAGATCGAGGAAGGAGCTTGGAGAACTGGCCTTGTCAGCAACAGAAACATGTCTAGCATTCTGCAATGAAGCTGGTGTATTAAATGACGTTGTCAGCTGGTTGAATTCCAAACGGACCACGCTCACCACGTTGATCTACGGCGACAAAGGTAAATACAGCAGGTTCATATCCATCCACGGGGCACCGGATAGCTAAAGAATTTAGACTACCGTTCATGGCGAGCGTTGGGTGATCTTTCAACGATAGTCTTCTCTCTGGGGTTTAACCAACCTTTGCCGGACCCTGACACCCCATTTTGGCTGTCGGAAACACGAAAACGACTGATGGGCCATGCATTCAGTACAGACAAGCAGCTCGCGACATTCCTCGGAAGACCCCCACGCATTAGCTGGCGGTTTTGTAATATCTCTTTACCGCTGGATCTCGAATTCAAAGACATTATTGCAGAGCCAGAGGTCCGAGATTTGGCAATCAGCAAATTGGATTCAGACGGCTGGAACAAGATCGAGAATAACAAACAGGCCGTTTGGTTGAGGGTATCTCTTATTATGGGCCCTGTGCGAGAGAGTGTTCTAGAGCTATCGCTCAACCATCAAGTCGAAGACTTACCAGCAAGGGTCAAGTGAGATTTCTAATTCGTTGTCAAATCTAGATTTCTGCTAATACACTTTTGTTAGAGAGCTATTACAGCAGTCCGAACTGACCTGGGCTAGCCTGCCATCATTCCTACATCGAAGACATGACCCTGAGGCTCCGTCAGCTGCAGAGCTCTTAACGTGTGAACACAGTGTTTATCTCCAGTTGCACTTGGACTATATGTACAATAAATTTATGCTTCATCGAATCCTCTCAAAACGGCTTGATATCTGGTCCCCCGATCTTGTCAAGGTCTCGCAAGAGATACTGGAAGACGTGCTCTTGCTGATTGACACTCGGGTCCGCAGTATGAAACTTACACCGGAGCTTTCTTGGGTGGTGAGTACTGGCACTTTCTTCCAAATACGAGAAAATATTTGCTAACTAAAGCACAAAAATCAAGATATCTTTCTTCGGTCTTTCATCAGCTGGTGTTCTATCAATAGAGCTTGTCCGTCGCGCTTCTCATTTGAATATCGATGATTCTTCAGTCGCCGTGACAACGCCGTTCCCACGATCTCGAGTCATCCAGGCTCTGAGCAATTTCGCATCTTATCTTCAAACGATTGTTCAGCCTCACGAAGGAAACTATGATATATGCCAACAGGCCCGAGAGACGATTGGGCACGTGCTTGACTTTGTCTTGACGGATGTCCCTAAGCCGGAAGTTTCTACAGCAAAGCCACACTCTCCTACGAATGCCGAATTTCCGGATGCCATTGGAATTCTGGACTACAACTACTATATAACACATCTCGATAATTGGCAATTCGAGTTGCAGGATACGTTGCAGATGTTTTAGAGGAGACCTAGCCTTTCCCAGTTACAAATATTAGCCGAGACAAATTCCAATCATACGATTAATATTGATTCATGGTGTCGCCGTATTGAAGATTAGGTATGCCCTGTGGCAGCCTAGAAGGTGGATACTCCGATGGTCGGGGTCGGACCGTCGGGGTCGGAGTACTAAACTGAATTGGGAGTATGGACGACGGACTGCGATTACGAAGGATTTATGCACCAGGTCAAAGCCCGTCTTTGATTGGTGTTTTCTGAATATTTCCAGGCTAATCCATATTACGCATGAGCTTACTCCGTAGCTCTCGAACCCCGAGCTCCACCCCGACATCTAGATGAGTCAATTCGAGTCAACATGTATACGAATGGCGAGTCATCACAAATACGAGTGAAAGAAAGTACTCCGTACTGTTGTCGGAGTACATCTAAGGTTTAAGTGAGCCCCGAATTGGATTCAAAATGAAGATAATATCGAATAGTATTTAATCAGCCTTGAGCCTAGGGTTTTCTTTTTTTTATCAACTCAGACTCTCTCCATTCTCCTGATCATTATCAGTCTCATCGAGCTACAAAATAATTCAGCTTGCATCCATCAATCTCAAAGTCCCGAGACATCCTTTGAGTTCCTCAAAAATCCTACTCTCTATTGAAAATTGCCATATATTCCTCCTCTCACATCGACTTTATTTGTCAACTAAAATAATGGCACCAACTACATCTCTTCAACGACCTGCATCGGCTCCTCACCCTCAACCCTCAGATCTCCTCCTTCCCATCGAGGCCTTGGGCTACGTCTGGGGAAAAGTGCGAAAGCTTCGCCGACAAAATCCATCGAATACCCAGACCAAGGAAGTCGACTACGATTCAAGTTACGAGGAATCAATCATCAGCAAAGGGGAAACACTGTGCGAGGCCGAACATAAAGAGACAACAGAGAAGAAATGAATCCTTCGTTTCTTGTTCATCTACTTGTCTTCTTTGACTCCCGTTTCTTCTTGAGTGCTGGGTTTAGAATTTTGGGGTTTTTATCGGCGCGAAATGGACTGCGATTATGAATACCAAAATGGGCACTCGTTTTTGTTTTTGTCTAATTTTTGACTTGTTCATTATGTTCAATTTAGATTCTATTGAAATAATGAATGGATTGGGATTCCTTAGAGACTGTGCCTGATTAGATCTTTCTCTACAAGGTTCATTTCTGACTACATTTAATTCTCCTGGAATGAATGCTTTTTATTTATATGAATACTGTAGCCTTGAGTATTATGCTTATAGTATGTATATTCATATTGGCCTTACGGGTTAGGCAGTTGACTGCGTACGTAGTGGCATGCATAGGTGGAGTCAACCCGTGGACTGGGTTGAGTATTGAGTAGACTAGGTCAAATCCAAGTCTTCACGTTTGGTGCCACAGCAGACTTGGGGATTATTTGAAATGATAGTATTGATCCATTAGTTGGAGCTTATATGAACTTTCCTATTTCTTCAAATATTCAAATGTTGCAGAAACTGAACGAAGAGCCGAGGAAGGGGGAGGCGAATGATATCATTCATTCCCCGCAGTCGAGACCATTTTCCAAAAATAGTACCATATGAACAACCTCCTCCCAACAGATTGATTCAATATATGCAGGGAAGTCTGGGAAATAAAGGAGAAAAAACACTACATGTAACCAAGAACGTAGTAATTATTCATATGCATTTCTCACCGCAACACGCCGTCTCTAATGAGAGGGTCAGATCCCTCCGATCCCTGCAGTTCTGATGCAATAGACCAATCACCTCTGTTACATGGACACACTCAATTATTCCTCACCAAACGCCAATCATCTTATACTTCTCTGTGGAGAACCAGAGCTACCCCTCCTATTTAACCCCGCGATTGTTCATTTCACAACTATCTTTCTTCATCACATCTCCAAGCCTAAAGTTGAATCTGCAAGCTCCAAGCATTCAGCCATCACAATGTCTTTTGTCTACTTCGACATTCTTTATCAAGATCCTGCGGGCACTCGTACGAGATGACACTATTCTGTATGAATCTTCATGCTGACATCCTCCAGCCGAGTCTTGGGGCCGCATTGTCTTCAGACTCTTTGACGATGTCGTACCCAGAACCGCAAAGAACTTCCGTGAACTCGCGACTGGTCAGCACGGCTATGGCTACGCTGGCTCAAAGTTCCACCGTGTGATTGCTGGTTTCATGGCACAGGGTGGTGACTTCACCCGGGGCAATGTAAGTTTTTTACTCGACCCCGGTTGGCGATACAAAATGAAGGACTGACTTGTTATTTCAAGGGAACCGGTGGCAAGTCGATCTATGGCGAGAAGTTTGAGGATGAGAACTTCCAGTTGAAGCACGATAGACCTTATCTTCTCTCGATGGCCAATGCTGGTCCCAACACCAACGGATCTCAATTCTTTATTACAGTGAGCCTCTCAATCCTGCTCCAAATATTGCGTATATATGCTAAATGTTTAGTTCGTTCCTACTCCTCATTTGAACGGAGGTCATGTGGTCTTCGGAGAGGTCGTTGAAGGAGAGGAAGTCATTCAGAGGATGGAGTCCAAGAGTCTGAACCAATCCGGACAGACACATGGTTCCATTAGCATCGCTGCTTCTGGCGCTCTCTAGATCGCATCTCACGGAAGAGTGAAGGAACCTTGGAAGTGCCCGGGTTTAACTGGACTTGGCCCTGTTATGATGAATACAATGACATTTCCACTGCTCAATGCGGGCTATTATTTGCACGCGATCAATGATATACATCCTCTCAGTAGTAGTAGTAGTAGTAGTAGTAATAGTACAAATTTTATATTAGCGCTTCATCGCCGAAAAAATGGAAGAATTGAAGGGTCAGCATTGAATGAGAATGCCAGTATGACGCCCTTTGCCCAGTGCTTCTCATGCGAGTATATACAAAGTACGGCAACATATTGATATGAGACATACTATACGGTATGAGTTCATACATCCTGGCAATAATGAAGCTCATCTATGTTGCTTTCGTTTTTGCATCAATACCGCTAGTGGTACGTCGTCCTCGTCATAGAACTCCACATCTTCGTCGACTCCAAAGTCTCGGAGCCGCTCACCTTCGGCATTTCGCCAAGATTCTTCTCCTTCATCGGATTCGTCGCCGTAAACCGGACCAGATCCACGATCTTCGTCGCTTTCGTAATTATCCTTTTGATAACGCTCGTGGAACCTCTTGCGTCTTTGGATATCAGAAGTCCAGACACGTCGATTAAGGTCCTCTGATTGGCGACGATTGAATGCCTCAACAGTGTCTCGGGCAGATGAATATGATTTGGGGAGTTGTGAATCATCATGGAGAGCCTGACTTGCAGGCAAAGGAATGCGATCGGGGTCAGGTGGAGGCCAAGATGACCCAGGATCTATCCATGAAGCGTATGAGCATTGTCCATATAGATGAATCGAGTGTAAGTACCTTCAAAGCCATTTGTTTCAAATTTCCAACCAGTGCGTCGGTTGGGAGTAGCTGCAAGGGGCCAAAACCAACTGATGATCTTCAAATGTGTAAGCGGACTCGGCCATCTTTCAACTTGCCAAGAGGTTACTCACATTTGCGCTCCCTCCCATTCCTTCTTTGATATTTGTCCAAAGACCGATATCATAGGGAAACTCCTGCTTCTTGATCTTGATTTTGACCCCACCTGGACCCTCCAGGTGGCCGCCAAGAACACGAGCTCGCCGGACGAGAGTTTCATGTCGCTCCATCTCCCAGGATTCAATCGTTGTCATATTGAATAACATGGAGTATAAACTTCTGACGAGGAGAATGAACAAGGCAAAAACAGTGAAGCTGTTCACGACCAACAAAATGAACAGATGTGCCAGTTGTACAATAGAGGGGCCCATATACTAGAAAAATAAGCGATCGAATACTGGAGGAACTTAGGAATGAACTTACACGTGGTAGATCTCGATCGTTCCACACAATAGATGCTCGCTCGTAGAGTAGAGTCTCAAGGTACGACATTCCAACTACAGCGTAGAAAAGGAAGCGGATGAAGTGGGGAAATGTGAAATGAGAAACACAATTTGAGGTCCATGGGCAATGATGATCCATTTTTGGGATACATCTAGATCAACGTCAGCGGGAAGTGCAAATTTTTGATTTCGATATTCGGTTCCTATCAGACCTTTGACAGGTCTTGCAATGATGAGAGCGCGGCGGCTTGTATGCCTCACATCTACGGCACCATCGCTGCCGACCCGTGGCATGATCCTTCTCCGGTGAATCGATATCCACGGACTTGCGGTCTGATGGAAGTTGACCGGGATTTATGTAGCAAGCTCGGAAATAGCAGATCCATATGCAAAGAGCGAAGATATTAATCTTCCATATCTCATCTTTCCGAAGTGGTGCGGATTCGAAATGAAGGAAAAAGTACTGCGACGTGTACGCGAGAAAGCTAATCAGTACGCTGACAGCTGGAACCGCCAGCTGAGATATTGAAAATTCATCCGCCGGCATCTTCAGCTCTGCCGACCTGTTGTCACCTAATGATAGGACAGGAGACGAAGATGCTCAAGTCCATGGACGTGTCCACGCCCGGGCGTTTGTTTATCGGCGATGACTAAGCGGCGTTCTGGATCGCCGATTTCAAACTTGGAATGACGTTCAACTTTGTCTGCATCAATTATTCACCCAATTGTTGTTTTTGATCAGACGAATTGTTGATTCCATCTTGAATCCACAACTCAGACTAATCACCGTTATGAGAACCTGAAGTTCGGCGCCCAGAATGCCAATTGAGGCCCTTCCGCAGGCCACAGTCAGGGCCATCGGATCTACATCTGTCATCTCGGACCCTTGCTCGGTGGTCAAAGAATTAATTGACAATGCTTTGGATGCTGGGGCATCTTCGCTATTCATCGAAATTTCATCAAACACTGTGGATGTAATACAGCTCAAGGATAACGGTCATGGTATTCCCACGGAAGACCATCCTAATGTTTGCAGACACACATTCACAAGCAAGATCCGGACAGCTGAAGATTTGAAAAATGTGGGCGGTTCATCATTTGGCTTCAGAGGTGAAGCCTTGGCCAGTATTGCTGAGATGTCTGGCGGCATCACTGTCACCACCCACGTTGCATCCAGTGTCACGGGGTCGTGTGTCAAATACCAGAGGGACGGAGAACTCTTACAGTAAGCAAAAATAAAACCCCCTTGTGACCCAATAAGCCGGCGATTAACCATTTACAGGTCTACATTGATATCTCATCCGGTCGGCACGACGGTTCGTGTTGTGGACTTTCTAAAACACATCCCCGTCCGCAAGCAGGTGGTATTGAAAAGTGCGACCAAGATTCTTACCAAGGTCAAAAAATTGCTTCACTCATATGCCATTGCCCAGCCTTCAAAAAGGTTATCGTTGAAGGTTCTCAAAGCGAAGAATGAAAACAACAATTGGGTCTACGCCCCTGCTAGCGACGCAACGTTGTCTGATGCGGCTGTGAAGGTCTTTGGAAGAGACTTATCTTCTTCTTGCATCTTTAAGACCATGTCATCAAAATCTTTAGAAGCCCAAGTGGACGAGGGAGAATATAAATTGTCTTGTCTTCTTCCCAAGCCTGATTCAGGTGATCATCGCTAGTCTTCCCCGGAACTTGGCATATTGACTAACATGGAAACAGACCTCGCCAAAGTCAGCAATTCAGGGCAATTTCTTAGTGTTGATGGCAGACCCCTATCGACTGCTACGGGCATTGGCCAAGATATTGGAAAACGCTTCAAATCTTACATTCGTACGGTTGCGTTAAGAAATGAAGCGACCAAGTCGATCACCGATCCGTTCTTATGTCTTCAACTCAGTTGTCCACAAGGATCATATGACGTCAATATTGAGCCCAGCAAAGATGATGTGCTGTTCGAGGACCGGGATATCGTCTTTTCTTTAATTGAGGCTTTTTTTGAGGAACACTATGGCCAGCTTGCAGATTCTCGCAAGGGTCCAGTCAAAAAGAAGAATCCCAAAACTTCCCAAGCGAATGGCGACTTCAACCTGCTCTTATCCCGAGCGCGTCCCAGCGATTCTTCGGAGGAGTCAGTAAATACAGAAGAGCATCCGAGTGAACCCATTGCCACTATTTCCACTATCCAGGCCACCCCTCGCTCTCAATATTCTCTGGGTACTTCAACTCCCGGATTGTTGAGACGGGATAATACCAACGATGTAGTACATGTGACAGCTTCCCAAATCTCTGCCTCGATTAATCCCTGGTCTGTCTCAAGAAAGGGTAGCACATGGCGAACTCCAAGGCGTGAGTCTAATACTCAGGCTATCAATCTAGCAACTTCCTCATGCGAATCAACCCCGGGAAATGTGGGAGGCCTTTCTCAATCGAATGGCAGTCAGCAATCGCCCGAAAGTCCCGGCTTTCCAAGCCCTCCTATTTCACGAATTACATCAACTTCGCCTATACACAGACGAAAACAGATTTCCTCATCACAGCTTTCTTTGGAGCCGACAGACTCAATCCGCAGTGCACAAAAAGCTGCGAGACAGCGAGACAAGGAGCGCTACGGTAGTGGTGCTCTTGATACATGGTTTACCCGGACGACACAGGCTTATATGATGCAAGAATCAGCAAATCCTGTACAGGACCAACATGATGCCGAGCCAACTCTTTCCCAGCTTGCTGAGCAGAGATTTGGAAGGGGATCTCAGACTGCGCCCGAGGTCACAGCGAATGCTAATGCCACTCAAAGTGGAGAATCCAGCCTAGAGGGCCAAACTCACCTTTCTCGGCTAGACGATGACACGATAGATGAGGTCGAATATGAAGGTTCCATGGATAGTGGTCGTGGTTTTCCTGTCCTTGAAAGATGGGCTGCTAGTCTCAGGGAAGGCTTCAACCCAGACACCCAATCGGAGCTGGAGAAAGCCCTCGATTTTGAGAAACGGAAGAAAGAAGCTATGCAGAGACATCGCAACCGCACGGTTACTCATTCTGTTCCTTTTAGCTCCCAGGCTATCACGGCAGTCTCTCACTCACCACATCACAATCGATTTCTCAAAGCCAAGGCTGCTCTGGCGTCAGAAGGTTCTTTCGCGGTAGAAGCAATTCCTAAGAATGCATTTTCTCCGAAAGACCCCAGGGCATACCTGATTCGCTGCTCCAGTGGTGATGAAGCTTCGACAGATAGCACCAAGTCTCGACGGGCTCATACACGCCGCTTGCCTTTTGAACGTATACCGGATGGGCAGGATGTTCATGACTTGAGCCTGACGATTTCCACCGACTCGCTGAACACTAGAGAGTCCTTCGGAATGACGAATTTCTATGATTCGTACACGCGCGACGGATCAATCCGTTGCGCTTTTGCTTCATCTGATGTGGAGTCCCTTGCCCCGTTCTGGAACGAGCGACTCCGTACAATGATCAAGCAAAAATACAAAGAAATAGATGGATCCCAAGCCCATGAACTGATGTTTGACACATCTTCCCTTATAACTAATCATCTGAAAGAGTTGCCTGAGGCGTCATGAAGATGATGATATAACAGTTATCTTGCAACGGCGACAATTTTTATTTCTTTTTGCGACATTATCATACCCTATGATCTTTCTGCTCAATTTTGCAGCTGCTTTGATGAGAGTCTCGTCTTCTATCTTCACGCAGTGCTAATATTATGTTCGAACGTCATGATTTTACGGATTTTGCATTACAGGAGTCATATACCCAAACGTATACTATCTGTGAGATAATTATTTGAACTCGAAATCTCGTTCAAGATCTTCTTATCTGCCCCATTTTGCTTGAAATCTCTTCTTAAGAAAATCTATAGATCTCGAGCGGATGCATCAGATATTTAGAAGAAGCCCGAGGCTGATGAATATTTGAATAGAATGCCACTTTGTACATCAATCTATACACATAAACGCACGCCTATGCCGCTGATAAATGCCAATGTCCAATTCAGTAGCCATTTCCTCGTTTGTACGCATTGATCAAAGGCAGACCCTTCTTCGTCCGATCAATGTTAATCCTAACAATCTCAAGCGATCGCGGGATATACTCTCTACCTGATCCGCTAATATGAGGAGTGATTTGAACATTTGGCGTATCCCACAGGGGGTGATCAGATGGCAAAGGCTCAGGATTAGTGACATCGAGAGCGGCTCCACCAAGTTGCTCAGACTTAAGAGCTTCAATCAAGTCATCCTGATTAAGTACCTTTCCACGTGAGATATTAGTCACGTAAGGCTTCTTCGCGGGGTTTGTGCTGTGCTTAGCCAAAAGTGCGAATTCTTCGGCACCGAGCAAATTGGTCGTTTGCGCGGTTAGAGGGACAGACACGACAAGATGGTCTAGACCCAATGATAGAAATTCATGAATCGCCTCCTTACCTGTACCGTGGTGCCAGGATACGGGAATTGTTCCTTCTGGGTCTCCGGTGCCTGGTACAATGAAGCCATTGTCGTGACGGGACTCCGGGGTTGGACGGGGCGAAGCAGTATAGGCGTAAACCGACATACCCAGGGCTTGTGAAACTCGAGCAACTAGTAAAAATTAGCGATTTCCGTAATCTCAATCGCGACGATATTGTGGAACATACTCTGTCGACCAATGCTTCCATATCCGAGAATCCCGACTTTCTGACCAACCTGGTCATAACTAGTCTCCATCCAGGGGGGTTTCTCGGTCCCATTTGTGCTCCTTTTGGCGTTCGTGGAGGATGCTGTATTTCCTCGCTGATACAAGCCAGTTCATGATGGTCCACTCGGCAATTGGTGGGCCATGAATGCCGGAGCTAGTGGTGAATGGGATCTCGCTGTACTTGAAGATCGGATTGTTCAAGAGATGATCAACACCCGCGGAGAGCGTGTGAATCAGCTTTAAACTGGAAAGAAATAACTCGTTAATGCAATCATTCATGAAAAATAATCATAGATAAACGCACTTGAATGAATCCTCGGGTTCGGGAAGATCGTTGAATGTCACTAGGATTGTGGCATTGTGATAGAGCTCTATTATCCAAGTCAACCTCTCAATTCATCCGATTGCCTTCTAAAGACCAGCTCCAAACTTACCCCGTGGCGTTTTAACGCCCCTGATTGACTGATAGAGGGTGAGTTCGATATCGGAAAATCTCTTTTCTGCCCATTCCTTCACATGAATAGCGATTTCTTGGTTAAAGATGACGAGCAGGTGCTCGTTTGGTAGCGGTGCTTCACCCATGATGGCGGTGACTTTTTGTAAGTTCGAGCCTGAGGTTATACAAAGTGATTTCTTGACAGATGCAAGAGCTTCGGTTTTTATCGCGGATGTCAATGGCAAGGCGGGGATTGAGCCCCACCTCGGATTTAATCGATACTAAATCAAAGCATCAATTGCGCAAGCGATAGGAGAGATAAGCACCATGATTCGCTCTAGAGCGTATATGGAGGATGATAATTGGTGAGCGCATTATGGTGCGGGATTGCGTCTTATCAATCCATCAGCAAATGTTGATGTCTGACAAATCCAACTCCTACCACGCCCACCTGCCCAGGTGGACATGTGCAAGGTGGAAGTCATCTTCAATGGATACCCTGTGCTAAATTTGTTTATTGTCCAAGGTTACAAGCCCCCATACAAATACTAGTATTGAAATATACACGTACCTATGGACATCTGGATATACTACTTGATAGAAGTTCCGCCACCGAAAACTGACAGCAACTCAATACTACTTAACTAGATCCACTGGCAGCAGTCTTCAGAGCTCGTCATCCCTGGCATTAGCTAGTATCTATTTCATACAAAATAGAAATAGCCGATATACACTTGGGTAAAACACAGCATTTAAATTTTGAATTAAGAGTTTCCCGGCTCTATCATTTTGAAGTCTAGCCCTGGACATCATAGCGATTCCTGCACTTTCATTCACCGCTTGTCTTGGTACCCGAGGATAGCCTACATCTTATCCCTAGGGCTACCAGTTGCCTATATCCAACAATATAACAGCTAACCTGAACCTTCCCTTCCAGATAAACCTCCAGTTTACCCTGTACCTAAGTATGTGAACACACCTGGTCAAGCACTTCAGTGTTTGGGGACATATATTTCCAATTTTCAAATGCTCGCTGCTATGTACAGTGACAGTGCCGCGCTTCGCGCGGCGTGAGGACTTGTCTACCAAGACAGGGATGAACACTCTTCAAATGTTATCCCAAGTTCTTATAGCCACAGCCTAGAAACTATTCTGAAACACTGAATAAAACATAGCTTAGTAAACTTTTAGATGTATGCTATCAGAGTATAGGAAAGACGATGCTTGTTGATCAATTTCAGTAAACCAGAGAAAGATGAATCGATGACAATCTGGAAACTCGTGCATACCACCATGTAATTAATCCCAGTTCCTGGTCACAATTTGTTTCCTGCTCAAGGGCTCTCTGTGCAACTTCAAGAGCTCTCTTTGCATCCTCAACCTTAATGATTATCTCATCTGTCAGTTGTATGTTCTGCTCGGCCTCGGACTTTTTTTCTTTCTCCACCACGATTGTGCTCAAATCTCGTATGATGCCGTCAATCTGTCGAGAAAAATGCAAACTCCAAAATTCGAAGTGCTTCTTTAATGCATTCTGATAAGCTCTCTTTGTAAGCTCCTCATACGTTTCAAAGATTTCCGAACTTCTGGGGTGTTTCTGCATAGCTTTTTGCCGTTTATTATGGCTTCCGCGTCCTAGATCAAGAAGTGAGAAAGTGAAAGCCTCCTGAATCGTGAGGGTATCTTTGTAGTAAACTTACCTACTTTGCTGGCGCATTTTAGATACGCAGGACGCATGGCGCTCTCCATGAAAGAGCTTGCATGACCTTCAAACATATCCATGGATAGCATTCTAGGTAGTATTATTAGATATTGCCACGAAAGTGAAACAATGAAACTCACTCTATGTTCTTAATCATTTTGGTCAGGGCCCTGTCAACATGCTGCGTGAGAGTCACCTTTCTTGTTTTAATAATGGGAATCATATTCCCAATGGAAATGGGTGCATCGTCTTTGTGGTTTTGAAGCACGATGCACCCCTCGTCCAAAACTTTCGAGATCTCCTCATTGAGAGTTTCCTTTTTGGAATTGAGCCGAGAGATAACTTTGTCCATTCTTGGCTCCAAGTTTTGCCGCGGACCAGCGGTAAGGTCCGTATTCCAGCAATGTTGTTCCTCCCGGCCCTGATTTTTCTTTCTGTAGGTCCCATTGGCACGGCAAAATGCAGCATAGGTGGCATAGTGCCACTATATTTATGAGTCAGTAAAGCAAACCTGGGGGTTAAAGAAGGAACTTGAAGGAACTTGAAGGAACTGAAGTGTCTCACTGTCGCCCATTCCTGACCAACTCTCTCGCAACCCTTTGTCCATGATCTCCTGGATGTACCTGATTTCGATTTAGAGTCCAACCCTGGATTTTATTGGAAGAAAAAAACTCACGGATCGGTCCGAGAACCTTTTTATTAAAATATTTCTTCAGTTCATGCCTGGTACCTTCCACACACCCGTCATCAGATAGAAGGCTCTATTTTCCTAGAATGCTGTGATAACCAAGATAGTCATGTAGGGTTCCAAGGTTGTTTAGCTTATTACCTGACGAAAAGCTTTTTCCACCTCATCCAGCGATCTCTGGAGCGCAGTAGCTTGCTCTTGTGCGACAACATCAGAGCCAGCCAGTGTCCATTGGCAGATTGAGCCCAGGAGAGCCGGAACCTGATTCTGCAGATATTCTGTCAAATGACGGAGCTGGCTAGCTGCTGGAAGTAGCTGGCAATGGTGTCGAAGCTCACAAATCCCACTCAAGGCAATGTATGGGCTTGTCTGTTCTATGCAATATTATGAGTAAAGCTTGTTGCTCACACAGAAGACCCCTATATCGTTATGCTTTTTCTTGAGTTGAGTTTCCACGCGGGCATTTCGATGATTGACAAGATATTCAGTGCGTCTGTAGATCATGGCTATTATTGAAGTCTGAACTGCAATTAAAATGAATCTTACTGAAGTTCCAGCTCTTCAAGCTTTGCTCTGCGACTAGGTGTAAGCTAACAATGTTGCAATATCTTTTAACGAAGTACCATTGATGCTTCACTTACGTCAACTCTGTCTGTTCAATCGCAAACTGTGACCTGTCGCTTGTAGAAGGAGCTCTTTTTATACTGATTTTTGTAGCTCTGATCTGGCATTGAATGTCTCTTATTTCTGTCTGCCCGCGGGCTGCCTCTTCTGGGATGATTTCCTTTAACCAAGCGTTAGAATGAGATCGTGGATATTTTTCAGTGAACTTGCCTCGGATCGGGTACAAACGATCTGCTGTGGCTTCATTGAGCATCTGCTTCTAATCTCCGTGATCGACTGATCAGTGACGCAGCGACTGATGTCTGAGACGTTGAAAACTCCATCGCACTGATGGAATAGATATCTTTCTGTCGCTCGAACTCTGGCAAAGTTCATATCGCGGAATCCTGTAAGGAGTTAATATCTGGTCATTTCGCCAAACTCCGCTCTCTTCAGATCGACATACCAGGTAGGTCAGCTACGACCAAGCCTCCCTGTAAGACAGGGGACTGTATATAGACACTGTGAAAGTTAGCTTTTTATATGCCTCACATGCGGAAGAAGAACATTACCGTATAAGGTTAATGAAAGGCCACAGAACAAGATCCCCATTCTCATGTGAACTGGCCATCAAATAGTCCAGATAATCCCTGCAGCCTTGTAAGCCATCGGTAGTCACCGCCATAACAAGACCCTGTATTTGATCTGATCGTTGAGCCAATGCCTCATTGGTCCACGTTTCTAGCGTCTTGATAATGGCATCCCATATTTTCTCAGACTTGTCCTCAGACTCCTCATTGTCTTCACTCAGGAACTCATAAGTCAACTCTTCTCTGTAATAGAAAAGTGATTCCAGTGTCTGCCAGGCACGTTCAGCTGCGAGCTTTACATTTTCTCGTCCGTCGGAGGGGACTTGGGAATAAATTGAAGGACAGTGGAAGGCATGGAAGTTTCGAAGCAACTCCTCCAGTAACTCTTTGATCTCTTCCGATTCCATGAACTCGATCTCGATTGTGTATGGATCGGGATGAGTAATATCGGTGCTTCGGAACTCTGTAACTACCGAAGTGCAAGCAGCCCCATCTCCGTTCTATATGAGACTGTTAGATATCATCATGAGTAAGAAAGGGAACATACAGAAGAAGTTCAAATACCGATCGTGTAAGTTCAGTTTGATCGAGCAATGAGTTGATGACTGAGCTTTTGCCTATTCCATGATTAGACTCCGTCTTAGTTTGAAAATCATGAATTGAACAAAGCCAACTTACCAGCGCCAGAATCTCCAATGAATCCCACTATATGGGTCTCAGAGCATTGGAACTCCCAAAGCTGCTCTGCCTCCTTTGACAGTTTGTGTAAGGTTGAATTGGGGTTTATGATGAAGTCTGAAAGACCCATTGAGAGGATGAGACCAGACATCCTTTCCTTCAATTCAATCAAGGCTTCTTGAAGAGTCACATCCCCTTGACGCAAATTGTAGGATATGAGATCAAGACACTCTTCTACCTCGCCTTCCTCTCTCTTGACGCGCTTGTAGGGCTCGTCTGGATCCATTTTGGATTGAGATATGGTGATGCGAAAGTTGAGGCTCCTGTGATATATGCGCTCGCAACGGTTGACTGCAGTTGGATTCTGGGAAGTGACTGCTTGTTTGTTGGAGGGGTCACTATCGAGAAGCGTCCTCTGGTATGTCAGAAAGCGAATATAGGGAATCCGGGAGTAGTTGTAGAAAGAGAGATGTAGAGAAGGGGTGAAGAGGGTGAAGGAGGAGTGAAAAGTCGAGGTCAGCGCAGAAAACGCTCGAAGCCTGCGGTATTAAATTTAGCTCTTGAGCAAATGGTTGCGAAAGAAACTTCGTAGTCGAGACTGAGCTGTGTGGTTTTAGAGGAATAGAAAAACCTCTTGGGAAAAAGAGCGCTGTTCACCACCATCAACTGGAAGTGGTGTAAGAGGATGGGTAGTTGTAGAAGAAGAGATGTAGAGGGGTATATGAAGGAGGGAAATTTTAAGGAAGGGTAGAGGGGTAGTGAAAAATCAGGGTCAACACAAATAAAGCTGTTCTCCTTGGGTAAATGGTTGAGAAGAACAGAGCGATTTCTCGGAAGGGAAAGCAGACTGTTCACCTCCGTAAATCGGAGGTGGTGTAGGAAGGGATCTAGAGGAAGATAATTTATAATCTTCTTTTATTTCCTAGAGTTGAGGGAATTCTCTGGGGCTTCAGCAAGTATCTCCTGGGCTTAGATCAAGGTCGACTCAGTGCAATATAAGATGGCCAAGTATGATTTGAAGTGGCTTTGAGTCGATTAAATTATGCCCAGGTGTTTACTATATCCCTCCATTACGATGACTAGAGGATTTCCTACACAATACAAAATTTGAGATTCGAACCAAGATCGGTTGTCTTGTGTGTCCCCAGAGGGTAACCGTCTTCGAACATGACATGGTGCTCAATAGGCCCTGACCCTAAATTTTAGAACATCGATGCGTGGCCTCGAGCCCGCCATGAGAATAATAGTTTTCCAAAGCTAAGAATTACCTAAATCGCAAGGTTCATAAGTCAAGTCAAGTTTGGCAGGAATTCCACTTGCAACGGTTTTGAGTCCGAGTACTCTCGAGGTCGTCATGAGAGTTTTCCAAGGCAAATGCAATTTTAACCTTGGGCCTGGAGCATCTTCCAATTCAGCACACCTTTTTTGTGCCCTTCATATGTAATAGAAATGATCTGCTCCAGGCTTTTGGGCGGGTTTAAATGGTATAGACCCCCACCTAACTGATCAAACAAATAGATTTTCCCTCCACTCTCAAATAACACTCCGCCACCACCGGAACTATCATCCTCGCACATGATTGGAGTGCACTGCCCAAGCCCGTAAATCTTAGCAATATATCGTCCTGGACCGTCTTCCGCAAGCCAGTCATTTTCGTAGTCAAGCCCTGGAGCTCTTCAGGGTCTATTGTCCATCCGGGGTGGGGCGTCAACAAGCGACTCACCTAAGCGTTATATTAGTGCGCAGAAATATTATCAATCTTGGATATTCTAGTGAGCTTACCAAAGATACTATGTAGTCCTGGATCTGATATTGCACATACAGGTAAGGCAAAGACTCGGAGGAGGATGTAGTTGATAAGAAATTTGATCCATATGACCGCGGCTGTGTCGGGTCCCCGTTAAAGTCGCAGAACACAGAAATATTACCAAACCAACCTTGGAACATGGATCCATGGATGGATCATCATGATTAATATAGCCTCGGTCGTACTCCAGGGCTACGCCGTATTATCTGAAACAGTAATATTGTATAAAAGATGTATTCAATGCTGTAGGAAGAAACGAGAAGAACATTTGAATAACCTCTCCTGATTTAAGAAAGTCACACAATATCAAATACATAAACACGACTAGTATTACGAGCATTGAACCTTGAAGCTCTTGATCTTCCTCTTCTTTCTCCACGGGTTGCATTTATTCGTCGTATAGGAAGATATAGTCTCAACGCTCTCGCTCTTTGAGCACTTCTTGTCCTTGTATATAGTGACCACACAGCTAGGATCAATATACGCCCTCAGCAAACCTTGAGCACTCGTTTGGATGTCAGTTCGACAATCCGTTGTGCCAGCGCCAGAGAATACTGTTGCTTTGCCGCTGCATTTTCGGTTGGGGTAGAGGCTGAAGTTCCAGGGAGTGCCTGTTGGTTGAGGCGATGTGTTTGCCAAAAGGGCAACCGTGGGGTTTGGAGCAGGCGTACCCAAGACAGCTAGAGGGTATGAAAGGAGAGTGATTGCAAAAATATAGAGGCTTAGAAGGTTCATTGTAGATGTGTTTCTGGTGATTTCTTCGGGCTTGGTTCTTGCTGAGAGTTGGTTGAGCGTTGGTCAAAGGTGGTGGGTTTGTAAACTAGGATCAGGGTCTCATGTAGGAAATAAATAGACAGCTGGATCAAAGATCTCGGATACATCCGGATGAAACCTCATCGAGCTCGCGTTTTCATTTGCTTCTTTGCTGTGTTTGCGTCGTTATGACAGATGCGCCCTGGTGGTTTAGCTTCCGTGGAGCCCCGGATTTTAATAATGACAGAAAAATCATTATTCACGACAGAAAGAACCTTGAAAGGATATAGTCATACCATGAGGCTGTATAGGTCTCTTGATTCTGTGGAGTTCAATTTCATTCTTTAATATGCTTCGTTTGGTAACTTAGAGGTCCATGAGTTGGGCCTCCGTTGGACTAGAACAGATGTTCGTCCATATCCGATATGATAGTGTCAAACACCATACGGAATCTTTATCTCCCTGTAATTTCCACACTGAAATTTTCGTGTGGAGATGAGAGTTGAAACTCGAAGTCATGGGTCTTTGATTCAAGTCTACTGTGGTTCATGGGCATTCTCGGCGGTAGAAAAAGTGGGGTGTCGGGCATCACAATTCACGATTCACGATTCACGGCTGATAGCATAAAATTACATTATTCCAGGTACCGAACTCACGACCAGTCCTACGTGTAAAGTGCTGATTGTCTCTTATTCAAAATTCAGATTCGAACCAATCTAAACCTTTTGGTTCCAGTTGGTGTGGCAACAGAGGACATTAACAATCAACTCTCCCAGGGTGAAGACCAATTATTACGCGACCCAATCTCAGCAAATACCGATGAATGATATGGCAGGAATATCTCTGAACGGCAATACCATCCCCCATGAAGTGGTCCACAATACATATCTGCGTCTGAAGAGCCAGTATGAAAAGGGGCTATGTGACCAGTGGCTTGACCGAACGGAGCCCGTCAAGCACATCTTCCAGGATCTCAAAATCGCCGCATTCTTGATCGAGTTATGGCGCGAGATATACGGCGCGAGGCCAGCATCGGAATCCATTAGTGATACAGTCAGCCTCACTCGGTTTCCAGGCTTTGTTGATATCGCATGTGGGAATGGTGTGGTCGTCTACGTGCTTCTTATGGAAGGATATTCAGGCTGGGGATTCGATGCACGTCGGCGCGATACATGGACTTATTTCCCAGCATCAGTACAAGAACGACTTGAGGAGAAAATTCTTATCCCAAAGCCATTCATGGACGTCGTGGATTCTCAGGAGATCGGAATGGAAATTTCAACTGGAGATTTTCCACCTGGTACTTTCGTCATCTCTAATCATGCAGATGAACTCACCGTGTGGACGCCACTATTGGCAGCCCTTGCATATCCTAACTCCCCACTCCCCTTCCTAGCGATCCCATGCTGTTCTCACTCGCTTTCTGGATCTGCTTATCGCTATCCGACGCCTAAAGATGCCAATAACCCAGATGCAAGCCAAGATGATCACCAGGAACAAAACTCACAGCCTGCATCTGGGGACCTGAGGGCCATGCGAGCAGCCAAGCAAAGGGAAAAGACTGTTGAAGGCAAGATGTTTTCACAGTATGGCGCTCTTGTAGCGAAAACCACCTACATCGCAGAACAAGTCGGTTACCAAGTTGAGAATACCATCCTGAATATCTCAACTCCTCGTAATGTGGCTATAGTGGGGGGGGTCGGCAATTGGTCGCAACGGAATGGAAATCAAGTACTCGACACGGAAACTCGGCCCCCGCATCAGTGGATCATCAAGCCGATAGTCTACGTGGTGCCGAGCTAGTTCGAAAAATCAGGGACCTGGTCCACCATGAGTGTTTGAAAGATGGTGGGATTGAGTTCGCTGCTCTGGAATGGCTTCAACGCGCAGTATCTGTTCACCGTGGAGATATCGGAAAATTACCACACTGATGCAAAGGAAACTTCATTCCGAAAGCTTGAAATTATCTTCAGAAGCTTAGGTGGAGAAATTTCGGGGATTCCTTCTTCAACACGGACCCTAGAGTGCGCCACTCCATTCCCGACATTCCGCCGGCTAAAGCCCCGTGGGGACGCGGGGTATACAATTCTTCCCTACTTAAGTGGCACTTGATCTCCAGGGCGAATGTTTTTCTGTCCGACATTCTATTCTTTGCCAAAATGCGGGTTTCTGCTCTCTTTCTGGCCATTGGCCTTGCTAATGCGTTGGAAAATGGACTTGCACGAACTCCACAGCTAGGATGGGTATGAGCATTGTTTGTTTTGATTACAGAAATGAAGCTAATAAATCTTCCAGAATACCTGGAACTCATTCGCCTGTGACATGAATGCGACCGTCATCATCCAGGCTGCAGAGAAGATTGTTTCCTTGGGCTTCAAAGATCTCGGATATGAGTATGTTGTTATGGATGACTGCTGGTCTGCAGGCCGCAATTCGTCTGGATACCTCATTCCTGACCCGGATAAATTCCCCGATGGAGTTGCAGCTGTGGCTGATCAGATCCATGCTCTGGGATTGAAGCTTGGTATCTACTCCAGCGCAGGCACATTGACCTGCGCCCGGTATGCAGGTTCGCTGGGATACGAAGAGAAGGATGCTTCTCTATGGGCTAGCTGGGGAGTAAGTCCCTCTCACAAAGTAATTTTCCTTTAAATAGCAAATTCTTACTGTTTAATAGATCGACTACCTCAAGTACGATAACTGCTACAATCAAGGAGAAGAGGGAACTCCTAAGCTTTCCTATGATCGCTACAACGCCATGGGGAAAGCCCTCAACGCAACCGGCCGACCTATTCTGTACTCCCTTTGCAACTGGGGTGTAGATGGTCCATGGAACTTTGCTCCCACGATTGCAAACTCATGGCGAATGAGTGGAGATCTTTTCAATGTCTGGGATCGAGAGAATTCGAACTGCCCTTGCTCTGAACTTCTGGGTTTGGACTGCAAAACTCCCGGATATGAATGCTCAGTCATGAACGTTCTCAGCAAAGTTGTGTACTACCCATCCAAGGCTTATGCTGGTGCCTGGAATGATCTCGATATGCTCGGTAAGCTGCTCAAGCATCATCAAAAGAGGATAATTTAACTAATGAAATTTCCAAATTAAAGAGGTCGGCAATGGAGGTTTAACAGATACCGAAGCTGTCTCCCATTTCAGTTTATGGGCAGCTCTCAAGTCGCCACTTCTCATGACAAATGTGATGACTAGTGTCGATGCACAGACACTTTCTATCTTGCAGAACACCGCTGTTCTTGCCGTCTCTCAAGATCCCGAAACATCATCTGCTGCGCGCGTCTGGCGCTACTATGTTGAGGGCGGCCAGATCCAGCTGTTCAGTGGATCTTTGAGTGGAGGAGACCAGCTTGTCCTGTTCTTGAATGGTGGATCAACGGCGAGAGATATGAACGCTACTCTGACTGATATCTTCTGGAATGATGGGCCTGGTGGTACTGCATCGGAGATTCAAGGTACCTGGGATGTATATGATCTCTGGGCGAACAGAATGAGTAACGCGACAGCGGATGCGATTATTGATGGGTCGGGAAATGCGACTAGGCCGATAAATATGACTGCACTTGGTGGGTCTGAGAACGTCTACTCTCAGGTGCCTTTGCCGGCTACTAAGGCCCTCATGGGATCTAAAGTCGGAACCGTCAAGCCTAATGGCAAGGTGACTGCTAAGGTGCAAGCCCATGGTGTTGCTATGCTGCGCCTAAGAGAGGTCAAGACAAATGATGAGCTGTGAGAAACGCAGTGGAACTGAGGCTGTCCAAAAGAGGTGTGATTGTTTTATTTTAGTCAAAATCCATATCATATGATATTGACATAGCTCGTATCTGCACAAGAGTGCTGTACATACTGTACATAAAGTGGAGACTCAGAGGGAAGGGGACATTAATGTACAAAAAGAAAACGAGGTAGAAGAGTGGATCGGAATTCTCTTAACTCCGTGTATGTTAGTTGAAGATCAACTAAAGCCCATAATGAACCGGAACGCCGTGCAATCTAACGCAGTAAACCAGGTATACTAAAGCAGTGCGGTCAATGAAAGATAGTAATCGCGATTAATTCTTGCCGAGCCCAGACTCATGAAGATTCTCTTCGGGCTCCTTCTTGCGTTCAGCATTCAACGCGTGTTCGAAGACGGAGGAATTCTGTGCTGCAGAGAGAGCGGCAGCCCTGGATGCAGTTGCAGCCGCATGTTTAGATGCAGCCGCCGCAGCATTATCACGGAGTCTTTTGATACGTTCGGATCGTGCCTCGCCAGGGAGGCTACCCCAGACAGGTTCAATAGAATCCGCACGCCAGTTCGAGCGTTGGCCACCGATGGCGCCGTGTCTGGTGGTAAGAGGGGTTAAGGATGCACCGCCAGCTCCTGATTCGCCCCACATGCGAACACGCTGAAGCTTTCGTAATTTGGCGAGTCCGTACACACTGACGATACCTGTGAGGGCGAAGCAAATAACAGAGACACCACCAAAGCCAAAGTCGGATTCTTCGATGAAGTTCTTCAAGTTCATTCCGTAGAGAGCAGAGAACAAAGTTCCGGCAGCCAGCGCGAGGGTACCAATGCTGAACTTCAGGTCAAGAAGCATCAGAGAGTTTCGGTTTGCATCGAGAATCGCTTTGACACTGTTTTGCGTTAGAATGGGGCCGCTTAATCACGATAAAAACAAGGACTTACACTTCTTCTGTGTTACGGATGTTTGTCACGAGATTACCGCTGGCTTGGACGATTTCATCGCAGACCTTATGGTATGACTCTAGAAGCATTTCCACCTCTTGGTGGTCATCTTCATCTCGTTCTTTGCCGGTGCCTCTTTCGGTCAAATACATAGCAGCAAGATCATCGTCCGCTTCCAGTAAGTCATCGATGGCATCCCTAACCAAACGAGCCTTCTGTTCAAAAGTACCGAGCTTCTTGGAGTAGATCAGGAGGTGTCGAAGCTTATCACGGTCGATATCCTCTTCGAGGGCTCTGAGGACTCGCACAACGGGATCCCGTACACCATTAAACTCTTCTTCAAGTCCAGCAGTGACGCTGATAAGAACCGCTTCCAGCGCACGGAATTCGTACGGCAGAGCTTGGCCGGCCTGCGCCTTCTGGCGAAGTTTCCCTTCCAAGTCATATATGAACAAAGATTGCATGTATGAGTCGGTTGATCCGTAGGCATCAAAAACAAGTACCCGATCGGCCTTGATGAGGACTCGCAAGTGTAGAAGGTTGATCAGGATAGCGCTCGGTCGGACAAGGATATGGGGTAGTGTTGATGAGTCGATCTTGCGTAAATCGCGAGGAAGAAGGCCATACTGCAGGACAGAAGAGTCAATGTCTATTCAAAGCGAATGTTCACGTGAGGAACAAACCTTTGCAATTAATTCCAGTTTTCGGAATTCTCCATTGACCAGTGTTACGTTCCCGTTATTGTCGAACTCCGTGCATCGAATGCGTAGCTCATTTGATGCTTTGGCTGACAATCCACGGCCAATGTTGAACATCCCCTCCGTACCATCGTCCATTAATCCTGGTCCTGTGTTGCGAGTATTCTTGTAATCGGCATTTTTGTTTTTCTTCAGATCAAACAGGCGTTTAAGGAACGATCGTCGGGTCGTAGAGGAGGAGCGAGTCGGTACTATTTGCATTGAACAGTACGAGACTGCGTCAACTCTTGGTCTTGGTGTCGATGAAGCTAGGAGTTTCTGAGTCGGTAAGGTATGCTGTTGCTTGTCAGAGCATAACCAAGTCGAGGATCTTCGCGAAGACCCTATCGCGAAAGCGTCATGACTCGAAGCTCGAGGTCTCGGGGTAGCGCATGCCAACAGACCACTTCCGAGTCCAGACTGGCCACGGAGGAACCTGAGAAGGGTCGCTGATGGCGCGGATGGCTTCAACGGAGACAACATGTCTCTGTTGGTGTCAACATACGGTCAACTAGGCTGATGATATCAATAAGGTGAAAAAGCCGCGTCGGATATACAGTTGGCCCGGATCCGAAGTATAGGTAGTCACGCACAGGGAGTTGTGACAAGAGAAAGTACCCCGGTATTGGAATTAATTGGCTTTGTGCATAAGTGCACAGGAGCACGGTAATTGTTTTAAACTAGTATTATGTTCAGGAAAAGGGTAAGCTGTTAACTATAGCTAGAACACTCTATATCAAAGATCAAAAAACGACAAAAAGTTAAGCGTCCCCGGGAAGGCTCGAACTTCCAACCTCCTGATTAACAGTCAGACGCGCTAGCCAATTGCGCCACGGAGACATCTTATTGGATAACGGACTAAATATTATGCATCATCATCACAATGCTCTTTGCCATGCATATCATTGTGCTATACATCGTCCTCAAGAGGCTCATTATTCACCACACTGCTTCAAATGTTCTTTCAAATATTCCCTATTCTCAAAATGATACTATAAAAACCAAGTTCGTGGCCCTCTCTAAATTTCCATATGACCCACCAGAGCGCGATATGCTCCAATCGAGTTGAATCAAGCCTTTTTGATGAGTACACCCTGGATTCGAGGCAGTAAACTGAGTGGCTCCTCAGGTTCTTCGATCTCGTGTGGGTTTTCCCATTCTCCACTGTTGAGAATATCTCCCAGCACATTCTGGGTCAAATTGCATCCGACAAATGTGCTCCAGGCAGGATTGCAACATGCTAATATTGTTTTCAAGTTAGCTAGAGCCTAGGTAGAAGCCATCAAATCGAATTGACCCACTCCGAGTCGGGATTAAATATATAACAGTCCCGACATCCCCAGAGGGCCGCAGTAGTACATCCACACCGTGACATGCACCTGGGCACATGAATGCCAGTGATCATGGAAGGTACTAGTAAAAAAAAAAAATAATAATAGTAATAATGGAGACATACCTTGTGTCACCCTTGTCAAACGGTCTCTACTGCATCCATGTTCCCAGAATATAAATTTACCTCTGGGTTTGAGCAGTTTCCAGATCCCCTTTATCACATTCTTCGGGTCCTTGACCGCACACAGAACCTGAATACACAACACGGTATCCAAGCTCCCCTCCGTGATTCCCTCTTCTCTCAGAATATCACTATCCTCAATGCCACAAATGACAACCTTATACTTATCCTGGAGGCCATGCTTGTCCAGTTTGGCTTTTATGGCGTCTTTGAATTGTGCATTTGGCTCAACACCATAAATGCGTTCGACAAGAGAGGTATCAAAACGATGGATCTGGTTTCCTGGTCCAGGACCCAAATCAATAATAACCCCGCTAGCGGATTTTACCAGTGAGGGGACAATGGTTGTATCTTCGTAAGCGATGAAATTGGCCGCTATGCATAATGGTCAGCCCCAAATACATATCAGTTTCATGAGAGAGGAATTACAGGCGATATTGAATAGCTTCGCTGAAGCTGCATCTCGAATTTGTTGTGGGCGACTAAGTGCCACCAGACCGTCTCGCCGAATTGCTTGAGTCAAAACTTCCCAGTGCACTATCCGAGCGGGGTCATTAAAAGAGCCGTGGAAGTTAGTGGGTGATAAGACTCACGACAAAAAGAGAACCAGATCATGCCCAATAGGCGGATCAAGGGAGAAAGACGATCAGGAGTGGGAGGCATTTTATTTGAATGAGATAGGGGGGGGGGGGTAATGAAGATGTCAAGTCCCTCAAAGTTCAAGTTCCCGGGAGAGAAGGAAGAAAGAAGTGGGAAGACCCGATGTTGGTGGGGAGAAGAGGAATTTATATTGGGAAAAACTTATTTGCTAAGTTTGAGATTAGTACTGGGTTAGGCGAGCATGAGATGGTCGCGCATAGTATAATACAGTCAGCGATCTACAGCCTGAGGCTGTGTGACTAGTATCAATCTATACTAGCTCAGTTCAAATGCAGGTCGAGTTTCACGGAACCTAGGAACGGTTTTTTCGTCTGTTCAACGCACCAGGAGCCTTGGAGGTTAGTTTCCACTTCAATGCTAGGCGGGTAAGGCCATGTGGGCTTGTGGCGCAATCTCGCTATTGATAGCCGCAAGTTTAAAAGGTTCAAATGTTGTCAGTCGACATCATCCCCTTCCAAGGTTTTTCGTGTAAAATCAGTAAGCAGCAACTTCGCTTCACTAGAAGATGAGAATCAGACTCCAAGATGAGTTGGATAAAGAAAGGATACATGTTCAAAGCTAAATAAATTTTTTAGAGAAGATAAAGTGCTGAGAAACGCTCCGAGTTTCAATATAGTGCCAGATATCAATTCTGTCCTTAGACTCTGAATCGCGTCTTTCGTCATCTTTAACATTCTAGGTACTGGCATTTAAATAAGTTCACGATAATCCGATAGATCGATAAATCCCGAACGATGCCATTAATGCCTCACCTCTCACTACATCAGTTCTACAACGAGACGACTCTCTACGTAACTGGGAGAGGAATTTTCGACGCTGGCAGGTTCCAAAATTCAGGCTCGGATAATTCTATTGGAGGGGCATCCGTTCGATATAGTTGTTCCAGAGCTATACCATGTTCAAGTTACTGGACATGCATGGTATCAAGGAGAAAGAGTCGCAGTGTTGAATATGACAACTTAAAAGAGCAGTCCGAGGAATCAACAGATGAAGCTAAGGAGAATAAGGAGGACTTTATTATTGACATGTATCGCTTAGGACCTTATAATATTAATGCTCCTATGATTTGAAATTACAGAGTAGATTCTAAGCTAAAATATAATGGGTAAAAAGTTGACAAGATAACACATTCCCAGTAGATGGTAAAACCTCATCTTACCTCTTATGAATCAAAAAGTATTTCCAAATTCTTCCAACTGCGGTTGACTCATAGAGCCGCAACTCTTCTTCAAGCTGCGACTGTGGCTAGAACAGGATCAGTTTTGCTTAGTTTGGACTCCGCCCACTTGCCACGCTCATCAGGTATTTATCCCTGGGATATAAGCAGTCCCTTTCAAAATGAAATCCTTTCTGACATTTCACTCAACCACAACCATCTAAGATCAACAATCAAACATCAATATGGCGTCGACAGCCCCCACTTTTTCTACCTTACCCGTCGAGATGCAAATCGAGATCCTCCAATACTTGGACCCCATCGCCCTGAATTCCTTCAGTCAGACGAATCAACATTTCCGATACATGATTTCCCCGCAGCGATGTCATTTCGTGGAGAGACTTCTTGCACTTGAGTGTCGGGAAGAAGAGGGTGGAGTTACCCCCATTTTCCGTGCCAGAGATAATCAACTCGTTCCAGACTGGGATACCCCAGACTGGGAATCCATGAGATGGGCTTGTTGCAACTGCCTTCGCCTTCTACCCCATGACTCTTTTGATAACCACTCTATTTTACGTCTTCGCTATCGAAAACCCATTCCTGGATCACCCGCAGCTAATCACGTCACGAGCTGGGGAGTTCTTCCGCGATCACGGGGCATGACCAAAGAACAACGTGCGAATAAGATTTCCGATGAGAAAGTCCTTCGAAATCGATATGGGACAGCAGCCACTCGTAACTGGGGACGCACTCGACTGCGTCTTATGAATAACGTTGGGGAAGCACAATACCTACAAATCTTCTAAGAGCTGCAAAACATGGACTGGCCCATATTCCAAGAGATGACGTTTGAAAAAATACCGCGGACTCAGCCCCGATGAAGAACACAAAATTATGGACGACGAAGCACGTGCAATTGAACTAGAGCATTGTGGCTCGAAGCGCGGGTTGCGCAAATGTAACGAATGTCGGTTTAAGCGAGGTGAGCTCAAGCCACGCGAGATGGGGACTGGTAAAAAAGGCGGCACAACGAAAGTGCCCATTCTCGCTAGCCGTCGGTTCTCCGCCGCTTTTGCCTTGCACCGCTACTTTCCGGGCTTTTCGGCAAGCCTGGGCTTGAAGCGGTCACCACCCGATATGCCTATTATTGGGGTTTACCGTGAGAATCTTCATGAACGCAGTTGGACTATGTACATTATTCGATGCCCCGAATGTGGTCAATGGCAGGAATTACGAAATTTCCGATTCGGTCATTATTATAAACATTGGCAACCAGCCAACGGTCATAACCGTGACTTCGATCCCCCTGAGACGGTACCTGGAGAACAAGCCATAATAACATATGAGTTTATTAATTCCTTATGTTGCAATCGATGTTTTCTTAATGAAAATGGTCGTGATGCTCTACGCCAGGAACTTCTACGGTGGTTTGGGAGCGTCTATCTAAGCTATCGAGTCTGTGTACAGGATGACTTAGGCTTGGGCTGGAACTGGGCAGAGAAGCAAGTTAGTGAGTGTCGTGCTGAATATCAGCAGGAATTGATGCAAATCTTTGAATCACCGTCCACAATATTTCAACAGATTAAGAATCGTGCACGCGAACACAATGAAGGCTATTTGAGTCTTACGGAAATCGCAGTCCTTCGGCAACACTTTGACCAGTTGAGCGAATTCTATGAAAGCACGGAGGGGATGGCGCCTCCTGACTGGTCCAAAGGCCGTGAATTGTTCAAGAACCCCGACTGGATGAATCACTGGCTTCGTGATTATGACGTTAAAGAAAGTCATTGGTATTGGCTCCATGCCGTGCAGACGAAGTTGGAGGAGAAGCCCGAGGCTCTAATTGAGTGGGCCATGGCCGACTCGGCTAGAGTCGTACCAATGAGACTCTAGGAATAGTTAATCGATTCATAAGAGAAACCTTCTGGAAATGAGATTCATTTAATTCAAAACCTGAACCGGATATTTAGTGTACTATAAGGCTGCATTTAATATGGAGAACATTTTGAATATGGAGTAATGAGAGAACGGAAGACCATCGGGGTAGTCCGTACCTGAACCAGATAAGGCCAATCATCGGGTAGCGTGGGGTCCATGTGGTATTCGAATGTAAACAACACGCATTTTTGTTATGGATACTATCACTTGGTCAGCTCTGGAGTGGATCTTTTCAAAGTACGGAGTACGGAGTAGAAGCCTTGATATAGTATATCCGAGTACGAACATAGAGAAAAAAAAAATCTTGGAACCATCTATGCCCCGTGGGCCCATATAAAATACTCCACATCCGTGGATATAAGAGTATAGTGCGTGTACTTCAACATCAACAAGCCCAGACTAGCTTAATCTTACAGCCAATCGCCCAACTATCCAATTGCACGTGTGGAAGCTCACCCACCTTATCAGTAAAAACAACTCCCATACAGCTAATGCAGCTAATGAAGCTCCAACAGATAAAAACCCAGCCGTTGCTGTTCATGGAAAATCACGGCTTCAATTTTCTTTCACCATGAAGGCTACCACTGCTTCCGTCTTGCTGGCCCTGTCCGCCGCCGTCAATGGCCGTCCGACTGTTGACACCAAGTACCCTTACAAGGGACCTGCTGTCCCCATCGGTGACTGGGTTGACCCGACTATCAATGGTAATGGGAAAGGTTTCCCCCGTCTGGTCGAGCCGCCTGCGGTTAAGCCCGCTGTCGCAAACCCGACCAACAATGTCAATGTGATCTCGCTGGCGTATATCCCCGATGGTATTCACATTCACTACCAGACCCCCTTTGGACTCGGTCAATCGCCTGCCATCAAGTGGGGTACTAGTCCTAACCGGTTGATCAATGTTGCGCGAGGCTTTTCGCACACGTGAGTACCTCCACTCTTCAATTGAGATTCATTGAAGGAGAATCTATACTAATTACATCCCATTTTAGCTATGATCGTACCCCATCCTGCTCGCAGATCAAGGCTGTCACTCAGTGCAGTCAATTCTTCCACGAGGTCTCCCTTCCTCACCTCGAGTCTGGCAAAACCTACTACTACCAGATCCCTGCCGCCAATGGCACCACCGAGTCCGAGGTTCTGAGCTTCACCACTGCCCGCAAGGCTGGTGAGCCTGGCGAGTTCACCGTCGCTGTGTTGAACGATATGGGCTACACCAATGCCCAAGGTACCCACAAGTACCTGACCCAGGCTACTGATGAGGCTGCCTTTGCTTGGCACGGTGGTGATATCAGTTATGCTGATGACTGGTCCTCTGGTATCATGGCCTGTGAGGATGACTGGCCCGTTTGCTACAACGGTTCTAGTAGTGAGCTGCCCGGTGGTGTCATCACTGAGGCCTACAAGACTCCCCTCCCCAAGGGAGAGATCGCTAACCAGGGTGGTCCCTACGGTGGTGATATGAGTGTTATTTACGAGTCCAACTGGGATCTCTGGCAGCAGTGGATGGCCAACATTACCAAGAAGATCCCTTACATGGTTCTTCCCGGTAACCACGAGGCCTCTTGTGGTGAATTTGATGGCCCTGGTAATGTTCTGTCTGCCTACCTGGACCACAATGAGCCCAACAGCACCTGGACCGAGGATGACCTGAACTACTACAGCTGCCCTCCTTCTCAGCGGTAAGCTTCCTCTTTGATACACGCATTCTTTCTATTCTTCGAATACTAATCAGTACTATAGAAACTTCACTGCTTTCCAGCACCGCTTCCGCATGCCCGGCTTGGAGACTGGTGGTGTCGGTAACTTCTGGTACTCCTTCGACTACGGTCTCGGTCACTTCGTCTCCATGGACGGTGAAACCGACTACGCCAACAGCCCCGAATGGTCCTTTGCTGAGGACCTTACCGGCAACGAGACCCACCCCGAGGCCTCCGAGACCTTCATCACTGACAGTGGACCCTTCGGTGCCGTTGACGGCAGTGTCGATGATACCAAGGCCTACGAGCAGTACAACTGGTTGAAGAACGATCTGCAGAACATTGACCGCGAGAAGACTCCTTGGGTTATCGTTATGAGCCACCGTCCCATGTACAGTTCCGCCTCTGCCTCCTACCAGAAGGACATCCGTGAAGCTTTCGAGGATCTGTTCCTGGAGTATGGTGTTGATGCTTACATCTCTGGCCACATCCACTGGTATGAGCGTCTGTACCCTCTTGGCGCCAACGGCACCATTGATACCGCGTCCATCCTGAACAACAACACCTATGTTATGAACCCTGGAAAGTCCATGACTCACATTATTAACGGTATGGCCGGTAACATTGAGAGTCACAGTGTACTGGATGATGGTGAGACTGTCACCAACATCACTGCTGTCCTGAACACCAAGGAGTATGGCTTCAGTAAGTTGACTGTTGCCAATGAGACTGCCCTCAAGTGGGAGTATGTTAAGGGTAGCGATGGCTCTTCTGGTGATACCCTTTGGCTGCTTAAGCCCGAGGCTCTTGGTGCTAAGGGCAAGGGCAAGGGCAAGAGTCCCATTGGTAAGAAGCCTGTCTCTGTTCACTGGTAGATATATTGTGGAAATGAGTGTGGCTCTTCTGAAAAGGATGATTGTATACATATGTAAATCACTCAACTACTGACCTTGTGTTGGCTTTATGGGTTGATGATTGATTGTAGTTATGATATGACAATGATACTGCACGTGTGGTAATGATAATTTATGCAGTTCCTGTCTACTTGAACTATGAGTCCTAGTCTGCTTCATAGAAAAATTGAACCCTTCCACTCAAGCAAATTGCTTCTAAAGTTCAAATGTTGCTACTAGATTTTATATATACCTAATAAGCAGTCCTAGATTCACAAGTTTAAAGAAACAAATGTGAACTGGTGCAAGGTACTGGGGATGGCTGCCTGTAAATCCTGGCGTTGATATGGTTTCTCGGTTATAGGGGTAAATTTGGGAGTCCAGATAACCATCCGCATCCTAGTAGCTCAGCGGGTTATCGTGTCTGTCCTGATTTGATTTGATACTATGATACCATAAGACTAGAATGCTGGGACTGAGGGTTGTTCAGTAGCATCAGCGAGCGTGAGACTTGCCTAAGTGGAACACCACCGTGAGAAAGCATGCAGCGGACTATGTGAAAGACTTCTGCGGAGCCTTTTTCTTTTTGCTCTTTCTTTTGATATTGCTTTTATATTTTTATCATTTTTATTAGATTTGTTATGGTTTTTTGAAAGTTGAAGCTTTCATCGTCTTCTCATTTTGAGGCCTCACTTCGTACAAGCATCGCGAAATCTGGAAGTCCGTGGTTCAATTCCTGCTCACATCATTTCTTTTTATTTCTGATACCTATAACTACATAGTGCTTATGGTAAGATACATATAGATGTCCAGAGCATATCTTGATATCTTATTCAAATGTCCGTATCTATGAACCATCCCTAAGGAAGTCCATGAATATAATCTAATATAATGATACTCCCCTATATAAGTATACTACTCAAGTGCTACTATAGGACTCTTGGCCCTGACCACTGGCAGAATCCTTTATACAGCAGATAAATTCAGTCTCGACCTAGGGATATTTACAAAGCACACAACTCTGCTCCCATATCAATGCTCGAATCCGAACTTTTGAATCACCATGCAAATCAATCATAGAAGCAAATGCTACAAGTTGGGAATATGGATGCTGGAAGACGCAAGGAGGCACACTGGTATCATCAACGAATAAAAAAACCGGCCCCATGCAGAAAAGACAAGACTACCAATCGTCATCATCCTCTTTCTCGTCGTCTGGAAGTTAATTAGTACATATATCAAGATGAAAATTAACGGATAGAACTTACCACTTCCGCTGACTTTCTGCTTCCGCTTCCTCAATGCATCCTGCAAGGCACCCGCCAATCCACTCTGTGGAGGGCCCGAACTAGAGGCCGCAGCAGATGACTCTGCTGCAGATCCGGGTACCATCGCGCTGCTTCGGTCTTTCTTGTCTGAGTCCCTGACCTTCCGCAATCCTCCTCCACCCGGACCGCCAGAGGCTCGGATGGCTGCCAAAAGGTCGTCTCGGCCACCCCCACCAGACTGGGGCAATGGTGGAGGCGGTGGTCCAGAGTCCCGCCCAGGAAGAGGAGGTGGGGGTGGAGCAGAAGTTGCTGAACGCCCCGTGGGAGGGGGGAGGGGGAGGCGGAGGCGGAGGTGGTCCTCCTGGTGCTCCAGATGTAGGAGGGGGTGGAGGTGGTGGGGGAGGCCCTCCTGGTGCTCCATTGGTAGGCGGAGGCGGAGGAGGTGGAGGTGGCGGCGCTCCTCCTGGTGCTCCAGATATAGGAGGGGGTGGAGGAGGTGGAGGGGGACCTCCTGGCGCTCCAGATGTTGGAGCAGGAGGAGGTGGTGGCGGAACAAAAGAATTGGTAGCAGGAGGTGGCGGAGGGGGAACTGAAGGCACATTACGGCTTGGGAGTAGCGGCGGAGCACCTGCTGGCGCGTGCGAGGTCGGTGCTGGGGGAGGTGCAGGCCCTCGAGGAGGCGGCGGTGGAGGTGCAGGCGGCGTAGATAGTGCGGGTACTGGCCGAGGTGCTGGTGGAGGCGGAGAAACAGGAGTCCTAACAGGAGGAGGGGGAGGAGGCCCAGGAGGACTAATGGTGTTGGGAACTTTGGGAGGAAGTTGAGGCGCAACATCTGCGCGAGGCGGAGGACGTGGCGGCCCGCCAGGCAGAGGACTGCGACTGGGAGGTGCAGGCGGCGCCGAAACTTTGCGCTCGCCTGAGAATGGAGGAGGAACTCCAAATCGAGGTTGGTTGTCATCCATCGGCGTCTTTGGGGGTCTTGGTGGTGGCGGCGGAGCATTGGCGGCGTTGACATTTGAAATCGCCCGCGGCCGTCTACGCTCTGCAGGTCCTTCGGATACGGCAAACTTGCCCGCATCTGCGAGAGGAGGCGGCGCATTAAATCTCCGCAGCGGAGGGGATGGCTCACGAGGCGGCGTCGGAACAGACTCCTCGGCAGTATCAGGCCGCGACTTTCGAGTTGGAGGTGGCGGTGGAGGACCCCGTCGGCTTCCAGAACTGCTTCCAGTATCTTGAGGGCTGATAGCATTGATCTTTGGAGCCGGGGGTCCTGAAGGAGGAGGGGGAGGAGGAGCTGCTCTTGGCTTAGGCTGATCATCAACAGGAGCGGGCGGTTGAGGAGCTAGCTCAGGTCCCTGGCTCTGCTTGATAAAATCCTTGATAAAATCGGTATTATCGGCAATCTGGTCCTCTGTGATACCCATTTGAGAGAGCATTTCCACCAGCCATTTCCACTTGGGATCCTTTGGATCAAATATGAACTCCTCAGATGACGACGGACTGGGTGTTTTCGTCGGGAACGATGCTGGGGGTAGAGAGTGCGAAGGGTATGACGCGACAGGTGTTGGCGACAGAGTGGCTGATTTCATTGGGAGATTGAATTCCTTGAATGGGTTCTTGGTAGTCTTCTTGTTCGCCTTCTTCTCGCGATTCAGGATTGCATTGAGGAAGTCGTCACCCTCGCTCTCGTCGGCGAACAGTAATCCATATAAGACCCCTTCGAAGACAAAGGAATGGAAAAAGCTTCTCTCCTTAATATAGTCAAAGTGCTCTTCAATTTCCATGTCCCAAATGACGCCACCTTTGCCGGAAGGCTATAAACCAAGTCAAAATGTTAGTCTCTCAAGCGCTTATCTTTCCGGGGGTTCGGTCACAAACCGAGATGTCCACCATCTTGAGCCAAAAGCAATGACCGATCTTTTCATCTTCGCAGAGCACTATTACTCCCTGCAAGCCAGTTTTCGTCCATTGTCCAGGATCGGGATAGGCGACCAGGAGTTGTGCAACAGCTCTCTTGTGATGATGATGCACATTGTCGGGGATATGTCGCTTGACCGCGGACTTGTCAGCCCTACTAAGGCTAGGCATGGTACTCCGATGGGAATTCGAGGGTTTCTAGGAATAGGAGAGGTATAGGTATAGGTGATCGTGTTTTAAGCTGGTCGAGCGCGCATGACAACTAAACTGCAGCTGACAAGAATGGCCCCAATCCAGGTGTTAGATCAGGGGTTGTAAGACACGAGGGTCGGGAGGAGGAGTGAGGATTCTGAATTATGCACAGAGTAGTCAAAGGAAAGAATTGGAAAGGAGCCGACCGGCGGTTGCCTTAGAGGAGAGTGCGGAAGAAGGTCAGATGTTGGCGGGGGGGGGCGGAGTACCCGGGCGGTACTTGATACTGGCGCGTATCTGCCACTAGGCACGTGGTATCTTGTATGTACTGTGTAAGGAGTTGCGCACGCGACAATCTTATATGGAAGAATTTGATAGTAATGGATTATGTTATATATGAGTGTTAGCAAAGGTGAATTTTGTGTAGAAGAATAGTGTAGTAAAAACCTAGCATTTCAAAACTTGAAGTTATGAACAAGTGGAATCCGCCCCAAGAGCCCCATTGCTAGTAAGGAGTATCAAAAGACGGAATACGGAACAATATTAATAGACTGTAGGTAGCAATTTATTCTTCATTATATCACCAATTTTGCATAATTCTTGGTTTAATCTAGAATCTTAATATACATAATAAAAAAACTAGGCATCTTCATTCCCAAGCCGGCTTTGCCTCTGTGCGAGAAACGTCGTAACCGACCAACGACGTCATTCCAACAAGGATCATGATGTATAAGATAGTCTATTGGCGACAACTTCTTCATCCTTACTTACCTTCAACATTTCAGATATTCGAGTTAATTCAAGACTTACTTCAAAACAAAGAATATCCATTTGAAACACATTTATTTACAGCCAACATGCCTGTCATCCCTGATCCAGCAGACTTCCCCTCGGTTGCGCAGAAAGGAGATAAAGAAACTCAGCACAAATCAGAAGATCAAAAAGCCACAGCCTTTGACCATATTTCCAAGGGTCCTGTCATTCCCAAAGGTGGGATATTTTATCAATATTGCTGATCTGTCAACTAATCGTCAACCAGATATGCCACCTGTAGCCTCACACGAGGAAATCGAGGCCCGGAAGAAGGAGTTGAACAAGACGAAGAAAGATTGATGGCCTCAACTTGAAAGACGATATTGGCCACAGTGACCATACTAGGATGATTTTTTTGGATTTTTTTGTCTACCCTTGTTTTTTTGTTCCATATTAGTATAATATACGCTACATCTTTGCAGGTCGCAAGTCTCCCTGGTGCATATCTACACTTTCAAGCTCCAGACTGTACCTACCATGAATCCTCCAATGCGTTGATCTCAGACTCCAATAAAGATCATTTGTCAAAATTCGATGCCTTTTTGATCGAAATATTCACCATTCAAACCAAAGCGGGCAGCTATAATGTTGCCCAGGTGGGTAGTCAAGGCAACCAAGTTCGTACTTGCCTTAGCACTCGAGGCTCATGAAATCTTGAACATCTAGTCCCAAGTTGAACCTTCTGGTTTTGGGTGAACCGTCAGGAACTAGCCAAGTAATCACACCGATATACTCGAACCCAAATGCAGAGTACCACCGAAATTTTAATCCGCACTGGTTAATCTCAGCGTGGCTGGGTTCTGGCTGGGTACTGGGCGTGCCGATCCGCTCACAAAGAAAGGGCACGCAAGGGTCCACCAGACCCCTGAGTGGAGTACCTTCAGACAAGCCTCGTTGAAAACCAATCTCGCAGAATCCGAGTCTGGTTGTCTGCAATCTTCAACCATGAAGTTCACGACAATCTTGTTAACCCAGGCCCTGTTGCTGGCAGTTGGCAAGGCCAGCAAGAATGCACGCAATGTCGAGCCATGTGCGCAGATCACTCAAATGTCTTCTGATAGTACTAGTCAGGATCAAAGTATGTCAATGGCACCTCTTCATAACAATAAACATTTGAACAGGACTCGGACTAATCTCAATTTTTGTAGCAACCACTTCGCTTCCATACGAGCTAGCATACCAATGCCTCATGTCTATGCCGTTCGATACAAATCGTGCAAGTATCTTTCTGAATCAAGTTCGCAAAATCCTGGAGTTCCAATCCACGATTGACATCCTCAAGCGTATGAATCCCAGACCTTGTTCGATGAATCAATACTAAAAATTTATCTCAGAGCCCCCTTCAGGTTACCAAATGCCAGCCACAGATATTCTGGGTGGAATTGATTCTATCATAGACAAAGTCAACAACACCAGCTACTCCAGTCAGTTTGAGATGGATTTAGACATTTCGAATGTGATAAACTCGGCACATGATGGCCATTTGGTGTTTACCCTGTGCTCACAGGCAATATTCAACTTTGAAATTGATCTACCTATTGTATCTATATCGTCAGATGGACTTTCACTTCCAGATGTGTACACGCTGAGTATGAAGCTTTCTACCTCCATTCCGTCCTATGTGCTAACCGTCTGTCAGGTGATGCAATGCACCAGTCAAATGACGTGAAAACTGTTTCACCTATTGAGACAATAAATGGGACTGCTGTTGCGGAATATCTCGAGTCATATGCCTTCAGCCAAAGTCTACAAGATCAGGACGCCCAGTAGGTTTACCACAATCAAACGTTCATCCTTTTCAATTACTGAAAATCCCAGGTACAACCGTGTCTTCCCTGCGCTAGCTCGCAGTGTTACAAATACACCGATAAGTCCAAACGGTATATGGGCTACCAACGGAGCTTGGACTGAGGGCTCTGAGCTCCCTATCAAGTACTCAAATGGCACCACTCAGACCGTGAAAAAGACAGCGATCCCCGTGGAACGATACTTCACCTACGACAGTGGAACAGAACTATATAGCATCCACTGTCTTCCGCAATCCCTATCAACAGAGACTTCCTCAGACTCCACTGCCGGTGCAGAGCAGGCATCCGAAGTAGCTGGTTTTCCCGACCCTACATTGGGCGATGCTAGCTCAATAGCTGGGTATTTCTCGAATTTGACGGGTCTGGAAGATACGGCAATCATGTTTCTGCCTACTTTCGCTGGCAATCCATCCCAAATGGCACAGGTAGCCATCAACTTTCTGAAGAATGCCACTGCAGAGGGGAAGACGAAAGTCCTTATCGATGTCACCGGTAACCCAGGAGGGTACATGTCAACAGGAATAGACATGTCTCGAATCTTCTTCCCCGAGTCTACTCCGTACACTGCAACACGATTCAGAGCCCACGAGACTGCGAGGTATTTGACTCAGGCATATTCTCGCGACTATACGGACGATTCGAGCAACATCTTTGCCTACAAAGAAACAGTTATGCCAAACCAGACAACCAGTTTTTCATCTTGGCAAGATCTCTATGGACCTCATGATATCCTAGATAGCTCTTCGTCTAGTCTGCTCGCCAACTTCAACTACACATCCAGCTCCACAAAGGTATACCCGATTAATGGTTATGGATCCATTCCACTTAACCCTTCAAAGGCTCTCTTCTCCGCTGAGAACATTGCCATTGTAAGTTAATTATCTTTCTAACACTGTGTAGCGCAAAGCTAATGCCTTTCAGATGACAGACGGCGACTGTGTCTCTACCTGTGCCTTCTTCGTCAAGCTGATGAAACGCCAAGGCGTGCGCACCATCGCATTTGGCGGTCGTCCAAAAAATGCACCCATGCAAGGCGTCGGCGGCGTAAAGGGTGGTCAATCACTCAGCGTCGGCTACGTAACTGGCTACATTCAACAAGCGAATACCTTGATCCGCAACGCAGCTAATACATCTTCTCCACTTCTCACTACTTCTCAGTGGAAGGCATTCAATGACTCCAGTCCTAGTACTCAGGAGACTTATGAGTGGAGCGGGAATCTGAATCTGAGGAATGAGTATGATCCAGAGGATGATGAAACGCCACTGCAATTTATTTATGAGGCCGCTGAGTGTCGACTTTTCTATACTCTGGATAACTATTTGAAGCAGGAGACTACTTGGCAGGCGGCTGCTAAGGCCATGTTTGGGGATTTTGGATGTGTGGATGGGTCTACTGGGGGTGAAGGGAGTTTGGACTCGTAAGGGGTTTAGCCTTTTCTTTTCTTTTATGTTGATCTGAGTCTTTGTTATTTCCTTCTGCTAAGTATCATATTGATGCTTTGCATTATGGCACCTGATGTCAAGTTTTGCGGATCGTGTAAACCATTTTGGTAATGGGATGAATAGTCTCTACGGAGAATCAGGAGGTCTTCGCCTGGTCTCAACACTTGTCCCGCCATCAAGTTGCAAGACAGCATTCACAACATGTAGTTATAGCCCAGAGAATTTCTCTATTTTGTGAATTGTTAGATAGGAATGACAGACAACGTATCTGTGTTTATAGAGGTATCCGTTCGAAATCGGACTATATCCGCTTCATCGCGGTCAACGGCATATCGGGTACCTACATTTAGTGACTGGGGAGAAACCCTGCACATGATTAGGCCCTTCGTTTTCAAGGTTGTGTTTTTTATCTTTCCAAGCCTGAGGTCTAGGTCGAATTCAATCTTCGAATGAGTTATTTTACATATGTTACAGTACTGTAAATTTGTTAGCTGGGCTGATCTGCATCTGTGCCTGATCCCCAGATTGCTCCTCTTCAAATGTTTGCTCTCCAAGCCCAACCTTCAATGTTGGAATCTATCTCAGATCATTCACATATTATTCCCTCATTTCAAATCTGAGGCCAAAACATCTCAGCCTGTAGCTTTAAGTCCATTCAAAAACCAATATGAAGCTACCAACTCATGTTATAGATCCAAACGGCGAAGTGGTCATAGTATTGCGCAATGCAGACTGTGCTTTTGCCCAGCCGGTCGAGAATATGAACACTGCTGGAGATACTCATGACCATCTGGAGATGCGTGATAGTTCTCAAAGTCCTTCAGAAGCAACACCCGCACTGGAACTCTCTTTTGAATACCCGCAGCCGACTGTCAGGGAAAAGAAAATGGCAAAGAAGAATAAGACAAAGAAGAATAAGAAGAAGGGCAAGAAGGGATGGTCTGGCGGTGATTTGAATGAAGAGCCTGCTGTCGAGGGCTTCGCTGCCGAATATCCTACCCCCGAAGAGCCTGCTGTTGAGGATTTTGCTCCCGAAGAGCCTGCCCCCGAAGAGCCTGCCCCCGAAGAGCCTGCCCCCGAAGAGCCTGCCCCCGAAGAGCCTGCCCCCGAAGAGCCTGTCCCCGAAGAGCCTGCCCCCGAAGAGCCTGTCCCCGAAGAGCCTGCCCCCGAAGAGCCTGCTCCCGAAGAGCCTGCCCCCGAAGAGCCTGCTACCGAAGAGCCTGCCCCCGAAGAGTCCGCTGCAGAATATCCTTCCCCCGAAGAGCCTACTGTCGAGGAGTTTGCTGCCGAGGAGTCCGCTGCAGAGTATCCTACCCCCGAAGAGCCTGCTGTTGAAGACTCCGCTGCCGAAGCAGATTTCATCGAGGCTTCGGATAGTACTTGTTATCGTATTCAAGTCTCTGCGAAGCATATGATACTTGCCTCCCCAGTCTTTGAAACCATGTTGACTGGTGGTTGGAAAGAAAGCATTACCTTTGCGCAAAAGGGGTCAGTTGAGGTCGATGCAGAAAGCTGGAACATCGAAGCACTCTTGATTGTGCTGCGTGCTATTCATGGGCAGCACTATAATATCCCACAAAAGCTTACCCTCGAGATGCTTGCCCAAGTTGCTGTCATCACAGACTACTATAAGTGCAAGGAGCCTTTGCATATCCTGAAGGATATATGGATAAAAAATCTGGACGAGGCTTTACCCATGACATTTTCTCGGGATTTGGTATTATGGCTATGGATTTCTTGGTTTTTCCAACTTCCTCTCCAATTCAAAGCATCAACTTCGATTGTGATGTCACATAGTGATGGTTGGATTGATAGTTGGGGACTCCCAGTATCGTACCAAGTTATAGGTAAGGGTGAAAGATCTTTCATAAGTGATTTAGAACTAATTGAATGCAGATTCAATGAATACCTGTCGACAGGAGGCTATCGACAACTTAATTACCCTTCTTCATGAAACCCGCGATGCCTTCATACACGGTACTCGGGGGTGTTGTTTCGAGTGCCGTTCAATCATGTATGGGGCTTTGACGATTCATATGAATTCATATGATCTGCTTTCACCGAAACCGGAGGCTCCTTTTATGAATTTGACTTACCATTCTCTTGTTCAGAGAGTCCTGGCATTTCAATCACCCCAATGGTATTCTCCACTCTCAGGCTATTCAGACTATTCAAGTTTTTCGAGTTATCGATCCAACTCTCGTCACTCTCCACATGCCTGCTCCAACGCATCCTTTAAATCCATTTTCACGATGCTGAAGGGCTATCTTGAGGGCTTGGAATTTGAAATATAATTGTTCCTTTGCTTATAATTGTTTGATCTTAATATGGTACCTAGCACTCACGTACAAGGAAGCAGGCTTGGTATCTTTCATTTCAATGGAACTATGGATGGAGGAGACTGTTTGATGGAATCAGCGTTGAACTGCCTGCTGTGATGAATGTGCTTTTTTTTAGTTACAATATCATGATGGTGAATAATGGATGTATTGGTGATTTTTTGGGGGGTTGCAGGTCAGTAGTAGTTCTAGACAGGGCATAAGCCATACAATCCAGATGTCATAATACGATGGTTATTTTTGGGTACCACTGACAGTCCCGAAGTATGTGTGTTTAGTTAAATTGCATTGGGATACATAGAGGGCGTCCATTTAATAGAGCGGAACCCCTAGCCAAGTGCATACCTTCCCTAGATTCCTTGTTATAGCGCCGCATGAAGCGCGGTGCTAAGACTTGATGTCATACTACGAGCCTATGATTATTGCAACTCATCAAGCAAAGACTATTTTCAATTCTCGCGACCTTTTTTCATAATTCTATGACTAGAAAGGAATGGAAGGAAAGCAAGGCTAAACAGAGCAAGACACATAGCATGCAATGCAATGCAAGGAAGCAAACACGCAGGGTCATCATGCGCGCTGCATCCAGTTTTCTCTGTAGCATGGGTCCGGATGCTTCGCATAGACAAATAGGGAACTGTAAGAGATACAATGACTCCAGAAACCCATACCCGCCAACATACAAATTCCGAAACCTTGGCGTCGATTGTTCCATGCCCTGATACTTGTCGATGCGCCCAATAAGGGTAGGGGAGGCCGTTTATCCTCATACATAACTGTGGCGGGAAAAGTGCAGCATTGAGGAGTGATTGAAGGTTTTACTAGTGTCTGCGCGTTTTGAAAGGTGAAACGGGACGAACAAAAGTGATCGTATGTCGAATACCTCGTGAAGTTCAAGGAGGAGTTCAAGTCTTGATCGGGGGCAATAAATCCAGGTGTAGCTGACTACCACCAGCGGCAGTATAGAAGGGATTTGTGGCGGCACATCTGAAGAGCACTATGCAGAATAGCACTCTTACAGGGCATAGAGCATCGAGCTCTGGGGGTAGGAAGGGGTGAGCTTAGAGCTCGTCGACATCGATTTCCTTCTCGTCCTCGCTCTCGCGGTCCTCGTCGAACTCGACGTTGTCCTCGAAGCCCTCAGCGCCGTAGGTATCGGTCTCGTTGATCTTGGCGTGCTCGGGAAGCTCACCGTAGGCCTTCAGGGAACGGGCCTCGTCGGCGGTGTACTTCATGATAACATCACCCTTCTCGTCCTGGTAGTCGCGCAGCGAGAGGAGAATAATGTCACCCTGGTTGATCCAGACCTTCTTGCGGAGCTTGCCACGAATGTGAGCCAGACGCTTCTCGCCGTCAAAGCAAAGAGCCTCGAGGCGGCCGTTACCGAGCATCTTGACAACCTGGGCGTACTCTTGGCCATCCTCTTTGAAGACGAGCTCACGCTTCTCGTTGTCGTTCTCGTTCTTTCCACGACGACGGTTCTTACCGCCCTGTACAAAGTTGTTAGAATTTGAGTCAAAGAGAAAAATGACGCGGAAGGTGGTAAAAATGGGATCATGAAAGAAGTAGACACCCTCTGCCATGCTCACATCCTCATATTTGGGTAGTTGGCTACCCATGAGTGAGGGTGGCGGGGTGACACATTCCAAACAAGGAGGGGCTGAATATTTTGCGCACGTACTTTTCCCTTGTTCTTGGGCATAGCGGTGGGGTGTAACCTTCACTGGACTGGTGTCTGGCTATGTGATGGTACTCTTGGTTCTTTTTCACCGTCGATAGAAGGGAAAAAGAGAAGATGATCCCCGGAGTGGTCGAGTGAGAAGAAAGAGAGTTGAGTGGGGGATCTGTGCCCAGATGGATGCCCTGCTCAAATCTTCTGCTTAGGTAACCAGGCACCCAGGTGGCGATTTATGCCTTGTTTGTTAGGCCAGTGGCGCCGAAGTCTTACCGCCTATTAATGTACTGGCAGAAAAATACAGGAAGCAGCACGCGATAACAATGTTCAGTAACAACTTCTGGACTTTCCAGTGCCTGGGTCTGGAGAAGCTATAAGTAGCTTGAACAACTCGCAAAATCAATATTTCAAATTCCCATCTACTTTCCAGCCCTAGAGTGGACCCGGGACGCCCCAAACTCTGAACCACTTGGCCGCATGAGTCAACTCGTGTCATACTGCATGGCTCTCGACTTGGATTCATAATGAGACAAATTTACTCATACCACAATTCAACCTCTTGGAAATTAGTCCGGAATTTCACAGTCTTCATTGACTCATTATGAAGTGGTTGACCTCCTCGACCTTCTCGTCCAGCCTCCTTCTCCGATACTGCCCGCAAAATGTCATCCCCCCGGTTGCGCAACGTTACTTAGGCTCTCCTTTCCATCCGATTCACCCCAAAATTGCACACATGCATGCGACCCGCGATCCAAATACTCTATGGTGGCGGGCATCAGTAGCGCCTATCGGGGACCTCAGGCGGGTGGTTCGCTCGTGGTGTGCCCGCAAAGCACGCCTCGCATTTCAACAAGCGTTGAGGAATCATGGGTTTGACGACTCGGGGAAGCCTCTATCTGATTTCCCGGTTCCTCCAAAATATAACTTGACGGGCTCTTTGGAGGTCGTCGTCCGCCCTAGTGGTGTTGGTCAGAGCTTCGAAACGTTCCGGGACGATGCGGATCGCCTTCTGGGGAATATACTGAGACTTCGGTCCGCTCATCTGGAGCGTGCATCTAAGAAGCCTGCGAGTCATTTGAAGTCTTCCAAATCTTCTAAGAAGCCGAAGTCGAAGTCGTGATTGGACCTGTATCATTCATATGTATTATATTATCTGGCCAGGTGCCTGACTACATACTTCAGCACTATAGCTTTCTTGTACACTATTGCATTGCGACTTGCTGCATGGCGGCGTTGGGTTTCAAATTATGAACAATTTATTGCATCTCTACTCGAGACTAACCAATGAAAACAAATATTATCCATCAAATGTAAATGGTTCGAAGTATGGAACTAAGTAAATATCCATGTCGAACAAAGCCGTATCTTAGCTCCCGCCGGGCAATGTCAATGCCTGGAGCCTCGCTAAAACGCCGATCTGGCGGAATCAACACGGGACTTGTCAACTACAACTCTTCCTATCTTCGACCACCACTTCCGATACCCTTCTTTCCTCCTCAAATTAATTCAGAATGCTGGTCTCCTTGACTGTTGGCAAGGTAGATGCCGGCGTCGCCGTGCTCCTAACCAAAGACAATCGCCTCGTAAGCTTTCCAGCCCCTGGTCGCCTCAGGCGCCGCCCAAACATCAATGGAACTTGTCAATTGTGCCGAGCGCAAACAAATACCCCAACATCAACGATACATAACTAACATGAAACTCACTAGATTGAATTCCCATCTGTTCTACTCCCGAACAATATTTCTTCTGGCAGCATTGTCGATATCACAGTTGCGCGTAACCACGCCGCCGAGACAGCCAACGCAACAGCCTTCCAGTCCCTTCAGAAGCGCATCCTAAACACATACGGTGTGAAGACTCCGTCGCCGCCTATTCTTCGTCTCCGAAATGCTACTCAGACCTCCCTTGTCCTAGAATGGGACCCCATCGACCTGGCTACCGCGTCCTTGAAATCCCTCTCCCTCTACCGCAATAACTCCAAGGCTGGTTCCATACCCCGCCCGCTCGAGACGCGCAGCACTAAGATCAGTGGTCTGGCTATTCACTCCGAGTACACATTCCACTTGGTCTTGCGCACGACAGCCGGTACTTACCAGTCAGAGAAGTTGACATGCCGCACGCACAAGATGACCGATCTATCCGGTATTACCGTCACTCCTGGCATTGTGGACCCGGCGCGCAAGGAAGCATTGGGCGAGACACTTGAACGTATCGGTGGAAAGATGATTGACTCCGTACGCATTGATACCACCCACTTTGTTTGCACAGAGGGCCGCGGTCCTTTGTGGGAGAAGGCTGTCGAGATGAACATCCCCGTTGTTGTACCAGAATGGGTCGACGCTTGTGAGTCGGAGGGTACTATTGCAGGTGTCCGTGGATACTACCTCAATGCGGATCCCAAGGCCCGTCAACTTAATGTTATTCATGGCTCTTCGCATCAGCGCACTACTTCGACTATGTCCGCGGCTACGACTACCCAGGGTAGACCTAGCACTCAGCCGCAGCGCACTGAACAACCTCAACCTGCTGCTGAGCCGCCTCTGACGCCTTTCCCTGGTGGGGAAACTAGTATTCAACCACAAGCGCAAACACAAGAGGTTAGCTCAGAGGATGATGATGTTGCGCCCCCACCTCCGCCAAAGGACGAGTCCGAAACCCCCGAGGAATCTCCTCAGCAGAACGGTGATGCTGAGCCTGTTCCGGTGTCTGAAGAGAAGCCTTTGGATGCAGATGATGCAGAACCCAAGGCAGATGATGCAGAACCCAAGGCAGATGATGGTAAAGAGGATAATAAAGAGACTACACTACCACAAAACAGACCTGACGAAGAGCCCGAGTCACAGGATGAGAAAAGTAAGGGTAAAGGCAAAGAGGGCGAAGGCGATTTTAGTGAGGTGACTCTTTAGTGTGCTTGTTTCTTTTCTCGTCCGTGATCCATATATTCTACCGTGACTTTTTCTCTTGTGGGCGCTCTGACTACCACTGGCCAGAAATAACAGTTTTATGTCTTTGCGGTTTTATTTATCAGCAGCGTGTTTTAGTAATGAATGCTCGATGCCCAATCTGTTATTTGATTCTGTGTGGATTCTTCATGTACAGTAGATAGCAGTCCCTTGATCAATTTGATATTTTATAGCATGATAGTTTCACGTGTTTAGTATTTACTGAGCGAGAGAGTACTGGTAGTATAGTATGAACCATAAGATGGCTGTCATTCAAGTTCTCTATGAAGTCTATCATCAACAATCGTAAGTAGGTAAGGACAGTTAGCCCTGCCTAATGCATCTCATCACATCTTTCAAAGGTATCTAAATGACTGAAATATCAGGGGTCGTTCTGATAAATGCAGACCGAAAAATTCGACCAAATGTTCAAGCGCAATCGTATATGCGTAAATCATCAAATTTAAAGGACGGTGCGAATAACATCGTCAATGGCCTGAGCCACGTACTTGACATTCTTCTCACTCACTATTGCAAAAAATAGTTACTATATTGTCCAGGATGAGCACAGAGAAACACTTACAGCCACTGATAGATGCTCGGCCAGACTTGAGCAGGTAGATGTGGTACTGGTCCTTCAGAGCGTGGACTTGCTTGATGGTAAGACCAGTGTAGGAGAACATGCCGTTCTGTATGATATTAGCCTCTTGTTGAAACTTCACTCAAAGTATAGAGCCAAAACTTACCTGCTCGATAATGTGCTCCCAGGTACCGGGGGTCTTCAAGCGAACCAGCTCATCGTACAAAGCCTTACGCATAGACTTTATACGAGAGCTCATAACCTCCAAATCCTTATGCCAATCGGCAACCAACTCATCATTAGTCAAGATCTTCTTGACGATAGTGGTACCAATACGGGGACCCATGGAGAACTCGCCACGAATAAGATGGCATAGGTTGTTCACCACAATATCACGGATAGAAGTGGCACCGCGGCTAGTCACGTAGTGGAAAGCACCAACACGCTGACCGTACAGACCAAAGTTCTTCGAGAAGGACTGTGCAACACACATCTCCATATCCGGCTTGTTGTTGAAGAAGTATCGCACAGCCCAAGCATCCTCCTCAACGGAACCCGAGGCGAAACCCTGATAGGCAGAGTCGAAGAAGGGGAACAAATTCTTACGCTCACACAAATCCGCAATAGCCATCCATTGCTCCTTGTTAGGGTCTAGACCGGTAGGGTTATGCGCACAAGCATGCAGCAGAACTGCATCACCTTCCTCCGCCTCAGACTCCAGCGTGGCGATCATGCCTTCGAAATCGAACGACCGCGTCGCAGCGTGGTAGTACGGGTATGTCTTTCGGGGCACACCGGCCAATTCCCAAATCGTCATGTGGTTCGCCCATGATGGGTTCGACAGCCACACGGAGCGCGGCTTCATGTGGTGCGCCAGGAACAGGGAACCAAGGTGGTTTGCACCAGTTCCGGCGACGGTCTGCACGGATGCAATGCGTGCCTTGGCCTCGACGTCACCGTTGCCGCTCTCGAATCCAAACATCAGATCCCGCGCCAGTCCTAGGAAGGGAACGTCGCCCTCGATCGCGGTGTATTCGTGTCGCATGAGGTCGTTCTCGGCGGCCAATTCCTTCTCGGCTTTCTGAACAACTGGCAAGGGCCATGGCTTTCCGTCATCTGTACGGTAGACACCGACGCCCAGACTAACTTTCTGTGGGTTGGTATCGGCGAAGAAGGCGGCGTTCAAGGCAAAGATCTCGTCACCAGGGACGGGAGCCACATTGAGGCGGGTGGGGACTGGGGCCATGATGGTTTATAAAAATTGTATATATGAAGTTTTTGTGTGCAATTGGAATTGAATTCTTTGAAAATAGTGCAGTAACCTTAGGGACAATAGTGTAATGTTCAATGGGGGGAATTCACGGAATAAAACCCGAATGTATGGGTCTGAACTGGGGATGCTGAGTCAACCCGATATCGCATTCAAAGATCTTTTTTTGCCCGCGGGAACTATCGCTTAATGCCGGTTTCCCCAGATCTTTCATCGAACCGGATCTTCAAATTCATCTTTTGAGATGTCACGAGGGTATATTTCCCATTGTTAACCGATATGAAAGAAACCTTGGTTTCAAATTTGAAGGTTTCGGTCCACCGGCACGAGTCTAGTGATACTGTTATCGGCGGGGGACGTCATCAAAATGCATGCTGACTCGCGGACTGGTGAAAGGTTAGATTCGTTTGAATAGATAGGATCAAATGACCAAGGATGCAAGTAAAGACAAAATAGGCATACTTCCTAGTATAGATCTGTGCACAGACAGGCGTCCGAGTACTACTACTAGTACTAGTAAGATCACCTGGGCAACTTGGTGTGAAAGAGATCCATAGTAGAGATATATTCCAGTCTAGGGTCCCATACCAGGTTCCACAAGCACACTGCTGACAAGATGAGGCTATTTGCATCTTGTAAACTTGAGCCCGAGGCGTCTCGAGTGTCTGAGACGATCAAATATTGAATCATAACAGTGATGTGAAGAAAAGATTGATGGAGAAGTGCCTATCATGTTGATGAAGTTGGGATAAGATGCACAGGCGGCCAAAACCCCGCGTATCACTCTATAAGCCAATCATTGCGCAATGATACTCCCCGACTTTAATTTCCCCTCACAGTTATAAGCAGACATCTCAGATGCGTTCCAGAATTATTACTACTCAATAACTTATTTTATCTCTGAAATCAAATTTGAGTAAATTGGTCCTACAAACATGTCTCAGCAAGAGTATCTGGTGGATAACCCGGCTCTCCATAAGCCGCAGTTCAATGAGATTCAACAACCACTACACAACAGTATTCCCGCAGAGTTGGTTGATCGATACGATCCGGTCTATGTGGAACATTACAATAAGCACAATGCAGGGCGTTTACATACTCACGAAGTTCCAATTGAAGAGTTTCGAAAGAACCCTGCCCGCTTTCTAGTCGCCTATGGTCGTGCCCAGAGTCCCGACATTTATCGCATCACTGAGCAAAAGTGCCCAGTGAAGGGAGGCGAGATTACTATTCGTATCTTTGAGCCTCATCCAAAGTTAAATGAGCAGGGCGAGCAAAAGAAACGTGCAGCTTATATCAACTTTCACGGTGGCGGATGGGTATTCGGAAACCTCAGTACGGACCATGATTTCTGCAAGACCCTTGTCGATGGCCTTGCCGGAGACCTTGTCGCCTTCGATGTGGACTATCGCCTGGCGCCTGAGAATCCCTTCCCAATTCCAGTAGAGGACTGTTGGGCGGCTTTCAATTGGGTATGCAGCTTCCTGACCTCGGGAACTACTGGTGTCCGATTTGTCAAGGCTAACATGAGTTATCTGTAGATTCGCACTGAAAAAGCCACAGAATTCAATCTTGATACTGGCAGGTTTGCTGTAGGCGGTGCATCCGCCGGCGGTCATCTTGCAGCTGTTGTTGCTCATCTTTGTCGCAATGAGGGAATTCCTCTGGGGCTACAGGTATTGATTGTGCCCGTGTGCGACATGCACCATTTCACGCCCGAAGGAGAGTTCGACAGGGATAATTGCCCTTATGAATCTTATCGAGAGATGGAGTTTGCTCCAGCATTGCCCATGGCCCGTATGGCATACTTCCATCGGCACTTCCTCGGCGTCCCTCGACCCCCACCCTCTGACGAGGTGAGTTTTCCAGCCAATTGTTTACATTGGACCCACCTGACTTGTTTTGATCAATTTGCAGGACTGGAAGATCTCCCCCATACTTGCCTCTAGCTTTGAGGGACTAGCTCCAGCTCTGGTTTCTACTGCCGAGCTTGACCCGCTGCGTGATGAAGGCGAAGCGTATGCAGCCAAGCTGAAAGCTGCAGGGGTACCGGTAGAATTGAAGCGGTTTCCGGGGGCTCCGCATACTTTTCAGGCTTTAGATGGAATACTTCAGATTGGGCAACAGGGCAATGCAGCTGTGATTGCGGCATTGAAGCGGGAAGTCGGGACATGAAGATGGATCAAATCAGATAAATAGATGATGATCTATCGAGTTCAGGGGATGAACGTATAAGCGCACCGGGACCATACAATACAATTAGAATACCAATATTACTTCGTCATTATCTTTATTTTGCCTGTCACCGCTCCACGGCAGATCGGCCCAGCGGTGTGGTATTGTTATGCCGATACCGGGAAGAGTCGGCTCTACCAAGTCGGAGTTGAATGTTTCTTCTTTTCTTCTTTTTTTTGGTTGCTGTTTATAAAGGGAGACCCTTGTCCTCATCTTCCGCGATCTTCTCCACCCGAGCAAGCCATTGGGCCCTTTTTCTTGACTTGTAGCACAGCTTCAAGCTTCCACAAATCACAATGAACCCTGTTACCTCCCGAGCCGCGGTGCGCTCTATGGCCACCTTGACACATGCGGCCAGAGCTGCCAACCCCGCAGCCCGCAACCTTGTGTCGGTTGCTGCTCGTTCCAGCCGGGCTTTGAGCTCCAATAGCCGTCTCGGCCAGTTCCCCCGCCTTCAGCATGTGAACAGCAAGCGCGCCTTCAGCACAACTTTCAAGATGGTAGGAACAGAGCTTGGAATCTACTCAAAGAGCTAGCCCTATTAACTATAATGCAGTCTTCCGGTGTCCGTGTTGAGAGCGATGCATTTGGTGAGATCGAGGTGAGTTTGAATCCTGGAACTTGAAATCGCTGAATGCAGAGTGCTAACCTGAGTCTTCATTACAGGTCCCTGGTGACAAGTACTGGGGTGCGCAGACCCAGCGGTAAGCCGAACCAAATCGAACACCCATTTTAGATAGCATATATCGCAAGAGATACTGATGAGATATGGGGAATTAGCTCTCTGGGCAACTTCAACATCAACCAGCCCCAGGACCGTATGCCCGCCCCCGTTGTCAAGGCTTTCGGTATCCTGAAGGGTGCTGCCGCTGCTGTTAACATTAAGTACGGCCTCGGTAAGTGATATGGATCGAAACACAGTATCTTCATGTTTGGAGAAGCTAACTTAATGATCTATAAAGACCCCAAGATCGGTGAGGCCATTCAGCAGGCTGCCGCTGAGGTTGCCGAGGGTAAGCTGCTGGACCACTTCCCTCTGGTTGTCTGGCAGACTGGCTCTGGCACTCAGTCCAACATGAACTCCAACGAGGTCATCTCCAACCGTGCCATTGAGATCCTTGGTGGCCAGATGGGTTCCAAGAAGCCCGTCCACCCCAACGACCACGTCAACATGTCTGCCTCCTCCAACGACTCCTTCCCCACTGTCATGCACATTGCCGCTGTTCTGGAGCTCGAGAACACCCTCATTCCCTCTCTCAAGAACCTGCGCGACGCTCTGCAGGTCAAGGTCGACAACTTCGAGCACATCATCAAGATTGGTCGCACCCACTTGCAGGATGCTACTCCTCTCACTCTGGGCCAGGAGTTCTCTGGCTACGTCGCCCAGCTGGACCGCAACATCGAGCGTGTTGAGGCTAGCATCCCCCACCTCCGCTTCCTCGCTCAGGGTGGTACCGCCGTCGGTACTGGTCTGAACACCTTCAAGGGCTTCGATGAGGCCATCGCCGCCGAGGTCACCAAGATGACCGGCACCGAGTTCAAGACTGCCCCCAACAAGTTCGAGGTTCTGGCTGCTCACGACTCCGTTGTTGAGGCTTCCGGTTCCCTGAACACCCTGGCTGGTTCTCTGTTCAAGATCGCCCAGGACATCCGTTACCTCGGCTCCGGCCCCCGTTGCGGTCTGGGTGAGCTGAACCTCCCCGAGAACGAGCCCGGCAGCTCTATCATGCCTGGCAAGGTTAACCCCACCCAGTGCGAGTCCCTCACCATGGTTTGCGCCCAGGTTATGGGTAACCACGTTGCTGCCACCATCGGTGGTATGAACGGTCAGTTCGAGCTGAACGTTTTCAAGCCCGTCATGATCAGCAACCTGCTCCACAGTGTCCGCATCCTCTCCGATGGTATGGACAGCTTCCGCAAGAACCTCGTTGTCGGTCTTGAGGCCAACGAGACCCGCATCAACTCTCTCCTGCACGAGAGGTATGTTCAAACCCCCTTTCACTACTAATTTATCCCTTGCACTTACTAATTAACTTCTTAGTCTGATGCTCGTGACCTGCCTGAACCCCGTTATTGGCTATGACATGGCCTCCAAGGTTGCCAAGAACGCCCACAAGAAGGGTCTCACTCTTAAGCAGAGTGCTATGGAGCTCAAGGCTCTCAGCGAGGAGGACTTTGACAAGCACGTCCGCCCCGAGCTGATGCTTGCTCCTAAGGAGTTCAAGTAAACGGACAGCATAGCTGTTCAAAATGTGCCACTATCAAACTAGTTTAATAGGGCTTGTATAACTGAATCAGAAAATTGTATTTCTGCACGAATAAACCTTGGAATTCATGACCTTAATCTTGCACTCCTTATGTAGATATTGTGCATAGTCACTACTATAGTGGGGCTATGATGGGTTATAAATAGGCACCGAAACCCCTAGACTGAGATCTCCATATGATGAATCGAATATAATCCGTCAGAGTAGTGCAATGTCTGAATTTAATGCAATAAGAGCCATACTTAATTCACCAAAAGCAAATTCAGAGGCAGTGCTCCAAGAATCCACCAGTGGTATGAGCCAAGTATTAATAGTAAGAGCCCCAGGGGCAATGTCTCACTCCCGATACTAGTACCGTGGTTGTTGATTTCTACTGCTATTTCTGTCACCATTTCTCCTTCCTCCCTTTTTTCACCTCATCAATTCTAGTATATTAGACTAGAAATTAGAAAGCGAATTCTTGGGAATAATCTCCAAAAAAAAGATTCATCCCATTAATTAGACACATATTTCTTCGTATCCGTCGATCTCCCTTGCGCTAAAACCCCGCCGACTACCAATTCGCCCCCCCCCTGAGATCAAACACCTCAAAAAAACCCGTCACGGTCTCAATTCTCCTTCCGCAACCTATAACTGCTGCTATACACAACTCCCAATCTCACATATTCTCTATTGAAACAATGGCAACACCTACAGTCACTCAATCCACTATCCCAGTCACCGATCCCAAAACAATGTCTTCAACCATTACTCCCGTCGACATCTCAACAGATGGTCCCCTCTTCCCTGCCTCCCTCATCTCTCCTGATGTGATCGCCCTTCTTCCAACAGATTATACCGTCCGCCCACTCCGCCGATCAGACTACCAGCGCGGATACCTAGATGTCCTGCGCGTGCTGACAACTGTCGGCGAGATCAGCGAGGAGCAGTGGAATAAGCGGTATGAGTGGATCGCATCACGAAATGACGAGTACTACATGCTTGTTGTCTGTGATGGCGCAGATCGAATCGTTGGAACGGGCTCGCTGATTGTTGAGCGCAAGTTTATTCATGAGCTTGGCATGGTTGGTCATATTGAGGATATTGCCGTTGAGAGTGGTCAGCAGGGAAAGAAGTTGGGTTTGAGGATTATTCAGGCTTTGGATTTCGTTGCCGCTCAGGTTGGCTGCTATAAGGTATGTCTCATCATCTTCTTTTTCTGTGGACCTAGAGGGTTGAGGAGTGTTATGTGTACTGGGTTAATTCGTTAATAGAGTATCCTGGACTGCTCCGAGGCCAACGAGGGCTTCTATGTTAAGTGCGGGTTTAAGCGCGCTGGTCTGGAGATGGCTCACTACTACTAAGCGTGAGCTTTATTGGAGTCTTCGGTTCTCTTTCTAGATTCTGTGGTCCGTGATCTTGGGCCTGGCGTTCATGACATATTTGGAACTTCAAGTTGGATAGGCTTTCAATACTGGGTTGTCCTTTTTTCAAGGAAGATTCATACACGGTGCTTGGAGGATTGTTTTGTTTAGAGAAGAACCGGCCCATGTCCTTGCATGTATCCCTGGGATTTCGTGAACCCTGATTTTGGACTGGAAAGTGAGCTCAAGGCAGAGTACTATTCTCTTGCGTTATACCACGTCCGAGGTCACAGCGTTGGGTGTGGAGAGGACAAGCATTAAATAGTGTAAATTTATAGAAGTGCATTCAGACAATTCGAGTCATCAATACCTAGTGAATCAAACTTGAACATTTGAAGGGCACTGTATACTTCCATTTTGATTTAGTCTCGAGTCTATCATTCTTTGTACTCGCTGGAGTTACACACTACATCTGTGATGACCACTTGAAGACAACCTTGGAATCAAAAAGGTCATAAGTCATTGGCATACAATAATTTCCTATAAACCATATGCAGACATAAACCATTTGCAGACAGAGTATGAGTCTGTCGAGTCCTTCATCATGGATGAGACAGGTCCAACCCGTACAAGGCTCATGACCTTGACCATGACAGATCACCTAATGATAAGAACCAAGACATTGCGGTGGGTGAATAATTTTAATTGGAGATTCCTTGTCCCATTTTCTGCATTTCATAGTATTGCATAAATAACAAGGTTAAAAAAATTTGGTCCTAAGCCTTAGTCCTTACAGACAATACTCCAGCCCATTGTCCGCAAGTGCCATCATATCGCAACCGTCAAAAAGAATCAACCATCCAGCTTTTTATGAGAGGGAAATTTAGCGGGACTTGGCGGCGACCTTGGGGGCAGAGCCCTTAGCACCCTGCTTGGAGGCAATGCGCTGAGCACCACCCTTGGAAGCGGCGTTCTTGGCCTTGTCGGCCTTCTTCTGGGCAGCGGAGGCGGCCTTCTTCTCCTTGGCGTCAGTGATGGCCTGCTTGCGGGCAGCCTCACGGGCCTCGGGGCGCTGAGAGCGGCGCTCCTTGATCACATCGAGGGAGGCACCGACGATAGCACGCTGGTGCTTGACGGCACGGCGGGTACGCTTCTTGGCAACTTCCTGTATATCCGAAGACCGATCAGTATTTTGGTTTTTAATATTGCATATGCTGTGCATCATTCCAAAATGAAATGTGATAGCAATAGTCCTCCTCTTGCGCCGTTTATCAGGAACCACAGAATATTGTCGATGGAGTATTTGATATTCCACGGCCTTGTTTCCACATAAAATCGAACAGATAGACGAAAAGGGATTTGGTAACCGACCTCAGAGATACCCTTGCGGTGCTGGCGACGGTACAGGACGGTCCAAGCAATGCGGCGGGGGTTCTTGCGCTGGAGGAAGAGCGACTCGGACTTGCCGTTCTGGAAGCGGAAGATCTTGCTGTCACCACGGATGAACAGCTTACCCTGAAACAACGAAAAAAACCAATATTAGCAATCTGAAGGTGTTCCCACATCGAAATCGAATCCCCGCATAACTGTCTGCGCAATAAAGTCCCGATCGAATGGCGGATACGTTGTTCGAATAATCGACGAGAAAAGGAGGTAGCTCGTAAAAAAGGCGCCTTGGTGATATCTCATAACGTTGTGGTGTCGTAATCAATTGTCGAATCGAATCCGCACATTCTTTCATTTTCCTTCTCGCGCAGACGGGGTTTCGAGGGACAGGAAACAAAACGCACCTTGCCGGGGTAGATCTTCTGGCCGCTGAAAGAGTCGTCGTAGGTACGCATCTTGACGGTGGCGGTTGGCGTTGGTGATGGTCGAAATTCGGGGTTCACGGTTGTAGCGTCGCTGGGTCCAATTGTGGTGCGCCTCGCTAAAATGCGTCACGTGTTGCACTCTGCCCTTTCGGGATCAGATCACATGATCTTATCACAAGCTATCTTATCCTTATATTATCGAGGCTTATCGCGATTAGGTTCTTATCTTATCATTAGAAGGAGTATATACAATGACTCGTAGGATTCGTAGCATAGGAGAGGCGGGGGAGAGTATCGAAGGCAAAGTACGGGGTATGAGGTCACGGTATAGATATGACCTCTGGACTGATCATATGACGAAGGAGAGCTTCACTAGAAGTATTCATTCATACTTGCAATTTTCTAAATTTCAGATCCTTGGACTTTGTGGATGAAAAGTAAGTAGTGCCCGTTGAGTGAGCTTTGGACTCGGAGTATGGAGTACACTGTCTGCAAGGTGCATACTATGTGCCGCCAATCCTCTGATCCTTTCTCAGGGTCCCCCTTATGTGCATGTGCCATGTGTCAACAGATCCACATAGCCTTACATGCATCCTTGGTCATTTGACCAACTGCTGCGGAATGTTGGAAGGACTCTCAATTTCCAGACTTAAGCTCACCTACATGACGGCCCCATGGCTGAGCTGGCTATCTTAAGCTGAACCGTTTCTTTTTTTAATCAAACACGGCGGGAACATTGAAACTGCTAGAAGCCTTCCATCCAACTATAGAATTCGGAGGATGATAAGGCCAACCCAACGGGAGTGATGTTGCAATGCATGAAAGATTGTCCTGGAACGAAAACTCATACTCCATCCAGGCGCAAGATTTAACCCTTTTTGTCACTGAGCAACCCTTGGGCCAGGAATGAAATGCAGCCCACCATGAATGGATGGGGCTGGAGGCGGACTGTACATAGTCACTGTCAGTGTTTCAGGGCTAGTCGTTCAAAATAACATGATCCCGAGATCCACTGAGCTACCTTCTTTTCCACGTGGATTATCTTCATAAGTACGACAAATACGAAATTGATGCGTCTTGAGCCTCCAATTACGAGCCATCCAATGGCGGTATGTGTTATACATTAAAGGCTTTACATTCAATTAGCGGAAGGGACGGATGAGAATGAAAATCAAAATAGAAATAGGTAGAATTTGAAAGTCTTCACTTAGGATGCAGATCTCTGTAAATGATGTTTGCAATATCTGCAAAAGTCAACGAACTGTCGAAGACTAAACTGTTTAAGGTGTTCAGCTCCCCACTATAACGGACTCCGGAATTTGCAGGTCCGAGGAGTGCTGGAGTTGTGAAATCCCGATCTCGATATGCCGGATCTTTAGTACGAAGCTGTTGAATAAGGGGGCGGAGTTCTAATTTCATATCCCAGAACGCGGGATGTAAGGGTGTCCACGTTGTTTCCAGGATACCCTGCATGCAAGATGAACTAACTTCCTTGACAAGGATGAATATGATGAAAGTCATTTGTCGGAGATTCTCCCGAGATGAACCGATGGATTTTTAGGGGGGTGGACTCTTTTGTGGATCCCTAAACTACATTTACTACTCTTGGTTAACAGTTCTCCTAAGATCGGGGCGGGATGTTCTTTTTTGTGGGGCTGTGTAGTTCTCAACAGATGACATCGATTTCAATTGGTCATCGTAGTCTGGAATGTCAAACCGTACTAAAATTAATAGGTTATTTCAGATCAGCGGTGGCACGGAGAAGATTATACGCGAATCGACCCGTTCAGGCGCTTGGGGCAGAAATGACATCTGGATCAGCGCCGTCGTGCAGCTAGCCTCTTTTGGTTTAACGGTATGGAGCACTCACATCTCCACTCACGATGGCTCCAGAAGAACCAACTAGTTTAGACGACTCAGCCAATCAAATACTATTATACGTTATCTAAATCGAGTTAACGCATCAACATGATTCTCGCTTGGATACTTCCGTACTATTTCGCGATCTACTCATCTCCATACAGAAAGTTGTAGTCCGTATGCGGCTTAAACTTCATACATTGTTGGGGTTTTCGTAGCCACTCGTAAAATTAAGGCCCATGTCAATTACGTCAGAATGCATATACTAGTAGACGAGCAAGTACGGAGTAGTGGCACAAGAAAAACCCAAGTCGGAATTGGACAAATTTTCAAATGTTGGAATTTCAAATCTTCATTACGGATTTCGGATCGGATTTGATGTCTCCAAATCCGAGGAGAACGGGGTTCAAGTTGGAGGAATAAGGCAACTTTAAATCTGATTACCCCAGTAAAATTTGATGGGGTCTTCAGTCTTGAGGATGGAAAGCTTGTCAATCCATCCATGCCAGTGCGCAGGGGTCACTGGCAGGGCTGAACAGGGGTAAGGCTGTTCGACGTTCCAGACGTACTTTGACCCCTTGGATCTATTTTCATTCAAGTTTAGTAGCGGTGTTTGCTCTGTACTTTCAGCTTCTCAAAAAATGGGGAGATTTGAATAATCCGTAAAGCCATGTCACTCCGTGGTCCGTTCTAAATCAATCGAACCATATAAATCTGTAGATAACCATGTAGATCAGTAATCTGTAGGGCTATGAATACTCCGTGGCCCGTTCCAAGGGTAAGTGTAGCCCTAAAGGCTAGGGCGGCCCCCGGGGCGATCCTCAGTGCGAATCCATAACTCGCGCAATGGTCCCATTCCGGTATAGCGTCCGAGTCATCTTGGCAAAGACTCTTGCATCATTTTGATTGGTTTTGCCGCCTAAAATCAGTTAAGTTTGGGTCTGTGCTTTGATTAAACTTGACTCCATGTGGTCTGTGGAGAGAAGCACTGGCGTTGGGCATGGGGACGATCCCCCTACGAGTCACAAATTGGAATAACGTATTTTCGTTTAACGGAAAACAAAAAGAGAGAAAGAAAGAAAACAATATTATTTTATCTCTTACTTAAAAAAAAAAATCAAAAAATATGATAGAAAAAAAAAGATGCAATACAAAAATGAAACAGTTGCTTTTGATCATGTGACCGTATATCTAGTGCATCTACCAAACTGACTTAGTATTAGTCCCGTTCAAGGATCAAGATGCTCCGAAAGGTCCGCGGACGTTTCTTTGCCATCAAGGTTTTGAATTTCAAATCTGGCCCCACCATTCCTTTTTCGATTTGCTTCAATCCATATCGCGGGCGAGTCCGTTGGTGGGGAGTGGGTCCATCCAAGGTGCTTCACACTGACGCGTCAACCACTAAGGAAAGGATCTTGTTCTTCCCTCCACAGCCCCTGTAAAGCGCCTAACGATAAAAATTAAAATTATAATCAAAAAAGGATAATGTTCCAAATGACCCTCGTACCTTTTACCCGAACTAACAGGGCCAGTGAAATGATCGACGCTCATTACTGTTTCGGGTACACTGGCAGTTAAGCCTGGTGGGGGCACAGGGGAGTATTAATTCTTCACATCCCCCGCCCTCTGAATCATGTTCTTTCAGAAACAAATCACTTACTTCCTATCTTCACTTGATCCAATTCTTGACAATAAATCCCGACGTTGACTCTCTTCAAAATGGGTGGTATACCATACAAGTCCCTTGGATGTGGTATGTGCAAGAAGCGCAAGATTAGGGTTTGTTTGTCCATCTATGAATTCTTGAATATGTACACGATAACTGACCATGATCTTCCCTTCCAGTGTGATCTTGGACAGCCAGAATGTGCTCGCTGTATCAAAAAAGGAACTCCCTGTCCTGGTTACGACAAAGGCCGTAACTTTGTCCATCATACCATGGTTACCCGGTTAGAGCACCAAGGCGTCACCCAGCGGCCAATTGCTCAGCTTGTGGGACACATTAAGCCTCTTGCGCTGCCTGCTTCTTTTGATATGAGTGCTCAAACTCGCACACAGCTCTTCTCTACTTTCTTGAACTCGTTCTTTCCTATCAATCTTGGCCAGTTTGGCAAATCAGATAGCTGGTACTACCTGATGACCCGGTTTCCCTCAATGGCGGGCGAATCAGATTTGCTAGATCGATCTATTATTGCACTTGCAGCTGCATATGTGGGGAAATTGACCAAGGATAAGCAATTGAAGCGCCAAGGAGTGGAACTATACAATAATGCCATTTGCTTGATGGCGCGCAGACTCAGCGGTGGGGATCCCCCGACCCTGGATGTGCTTTATGCGGTTACGGTATTTATCAAATATGAGGTTAGCTCGGAGTATTCTATCTTCATTTTGTTCACAGCTGACATTTCTTTTCAGATTTTACATACCAATGGCCTGAAGAATTGTTTGACTCATATCCAAGGATCAAGAGCTCTTATGAGGAACTACAAATATGATCACAGTGATCAGATGATCCGCGCAATGATTACCCAACAAAACTGGGCCTCCGTGAGTCCATCCCAGACCAATATACTGCATTCGATAGCTAATAATTATTTCAGACATATTATGTTACCGATATGTTATATCGAAAAGAATTGGACTGGCAAGCAGCTAGCGAAGCGGATGGTGACACACCACTCAACGAGCTATTCCGTCTAATTGCAGAGACATCATTTCTACTGGATGATCTAGACCGGATCGGTCAATTAGAATACATCTACTTGCCAACAGCCTGCGAAGCGCTCCTGCAACGTTGCTATGAGTTCGAACACAAGCTCCAAATGCAATGGCTTGCCGGAAAAGCGCTAGAGCTCGACGGAAAGCCTGTCCCCTGTTTAGCTGAGCAGCTCCAGAGTTCCACCAAGGTCTTACCGTGGGACCCCTGCCTCAAACCCTACGAATTTGAATCCTTGGAAACCGCAAAGACATACCTACTCTTCTGGGTTGCATCTATCATTGTCCGTCGAATCATTTATCAAGTTGAGGGCTTCTTGGCTCCGAATCCGGATCCTTCAGCACTATTATATTATGCAAGTGAGATCTCGAGGACCGCAGCCTACTGTCTGCAACCGAAGAATCGAATGTGCACGGGACAGGTACTCCTGCTTGCGATTTCACAGGCTAATAAGGGGTACGTGGACTGCGGACATGTGGAAGGCTTTTACTGGAGCCAGAATATGTACCAGGTTTTACAAGACAGGGGTTTCGATGTTGCGCCGATCGTGAGTGAGATTGAATGGGCTTCTTGGAATGAGGCTAGGATACGAAGGGAGGATATGGAGAATCTTGCCTTCTTAATACCCCAGAATGTGTTATAATAGAATTCTATCATTTATAAAGACCATATACATAATACAATAGCACTTGAGAGCTTACATGAATCTTAATCAGCGTCTTATTTTCTAAACCAACATTTGAATGTCGAATCTTGAGAAGAGAACCTCGAGTATCCCTACATAATAACAGGAAATTCAAAAAATATCTGTAAATTTGACTCTATGCAACGCCTCCTGGTAGAAACCATCTTGCTAGCAAGGATGGAGCAGCAAGGACTAAACGCTCAAAAATAAAAACACAAGCTCGCCTGCCCCAATGATATCCACCTGGTTGAATGCCCTTCCTATCTTTTTCTATAGTCACATCACAGTTGTTATATCAAGTCATGGCATGTGTTCGGGTCCACTCCTTAGCAGTCTGGATAGCCGCGGGCTCATCATCCTTCCAACGCTGGGCGACATCGTTGGCAAGTGGGTCGTCAGGATTCGGGGCACCGAGGAGAGCCTGGATGGAGAGAAGAATGGTACGGATCTGGAGGGCAGGAGACCAGTTGTCTGTGTGTGGAGATTTGATTAGTATTCGAGTCATTATGATTGCTTGGTGAGGGGAATCCGCTTACTCTTCAAAACATCCAAACAGATACGGCCAAGACGATCAATATTGGGATGATAGATCTTTGTAAGGAAGCGAATCTTGGGAGGAGTCATAGGGTAGTCATCGGGGAGGAACAGTTCCAGGCGAAAGATACCACCTAAGGGAATAATTTAGTTATATTGATATTTACGGTGATTGATAGTCTGCAGTTGATACTTACCCTCGTAAGGCGACTGCGCAGGACCGTGGATGGAGACATCAAAATAACGCAGGTTGTCTTCGTGGGGCACAGCGTTAATTCCAGGAACGCTGCAGCCATGAAAAATACACAAATTAGTCCGTGGCATGATATAATCAATTCGACTAGACTCACGGCTCGGCCATAAGCCGTTCGGTCTCTTTGATGATGCGCTTCGGCAAGGCCATGTTTGTAGACTTGGGAGGTGTGCTGCGGAATGCCGGGATAGAATGACAAAGATTGGGGTGTTGAGTGAGAGAAAGAAACTCTTATATACTGATTTCGGAGCCTAAAAATTGCAGTTCCAGTCAAGAGGTGGTGGTATTCAGGTATGAAGGTTCACAGACGATAAACCAGAGGGGCACACTTGCATCGCGGGGTTCTGCCGTATCCCGTAACTTCCAAGGTTGTACGCCACACAATAAAGCTAAGCCACACCAATTCAACGCCACACCCGTTATTCCTTATCGGAGCTCCCCCTGCACACGCGAGTGCTCATCTTCAAGCAAAGTCAAGATCTACAGCTATCATGGGATCCTAAGCTCCATTGCGAGCTTTGAAATTCTGGATGTTCCCTCACTGTAATTGTATGACATAAGCGACAATACCAATCTCAGGTTGTGTGAACTTGTTCAGATCGCTGACAAGATGTCGAGCTCCATGGAGCCACGGCCGCTTACGTCGGCCTTTGAGAGCCCGACCTTCGATGAGGACAGCTCATTTCATGTGGAACAACCTGTTGGGTCCATGTCGATATCCCCATGTGGTCGGGATGTGGTGTTGGCTTCCAAAGAGGGTCTCCATGTCATTGACTTAGACTCCCCATATTCTCCGCCCCGCTATCTGCCGCACCACACACCATGGGAGGTCGCCGACGTGCAGTGGTCGCCGTTCGCATCCAGGGACTATTGGGTAGTGAGCACATCGAATCAGAAGGCCTTAGTGTGGAACTTGGCCATGAAAACATGGCAGAATTCGATTGAGCATGTGCTGCATGCACATTCCCGTGCTATCACCGATGTCAACTTCTCTGCATTCCATCCCGACCTTCTAGCTACCTGTGCGGTTGACAGCTTTGTTCATTGCTGGGATCTGCGAACTCCATCTCGCCCGGTCATATCGTTTTCAGATTGGTTCACAGGTGCCACGCAAGTGAAATGGAACCGACAGGACCCGCATGTAATTGCGAGTTCTCATGACAGATTTCTACGTATCTGGGATGATAGAATGGGTGCTTACCCAATTCGGTCAATCGAGGCCCATGATACAAAGATCTATGGTATTGATTGGAATAGAGTGCGAAGAGGCGCTCTGACAACTTGCTCACTTGATAAGACCATCAAGTTCTGGGACTATACGTCAGAAACAGATGAGCCAGAGAAATTAATAAAGACTCCATTTCCAGTGTGGCGAGCCAGAAACACTCCGTTTGGATGGGGTGTAACCGCCATGCCGCAACGTGGCAATAGTGATCTTCATCTTTATAGCCGGCGAGTTGGCGAGGGGGACAACCCAGAGGATAATTTACCTCTGGTCCATAGTTTCCCTGGACACAAGGGTCAGATTAAAGAATTTCTTTGGAGACCTCGCGGCGGTGTTGTCGATGGGATTGATCACCGAGAGTTTCAGCTCGTGACTTGGGGCACGGATCGAGAACTTTGTCTACATCGCGTGAACCCTGAAATCTTGCAGCGGGTGGGATATGAGAAAGGCAAGTCATTCATATCGACGCGCAATGTGACTCGCCTGGGGGCTGTATATCGCAGCTTCAGAGATGTGAACTCGGATTTAGACCTGGAAGAACTTGAGTCTGCGTCCTCGATTCAGAATAATGCAACTACGCATTACCCTGGAGGACCTGGCATGAATGCAATCTCAGTACCCCATGCTCGTGCCTGGACGAAGACCGCACAGACTGATGCGCGCATGGGCATGCAGCCAAGATCCAATCTACGGGCAGATACAAACCCCATTGCATGGATGCGCGGCGTGAAGATATCGGGCTGGGACATTGAGACACTGGGAGATGAGATCAGTCACGTTGGAGAGAAGTTTACCAAGGTTGCATTTGAATCGGTGGATGTTCGCCAAAGAAAGATCTCCATATCTTTGAATGGGCCGTGGGGTGTGAATGCCGACTCTCTCTTTTTGAAAGTGGATATCAAATTCCCCGTCAGTTACCCGAAAACCGCTATCCCGACCTTCAACTTCCAAAAGACTGCAGCGGTTACAGATGAGCTCGCTAGCAGGATCGCAGCTGAGCTGAGAACAATCGCGGAGACGTACATGTCCCGGAAACGAGGTTGCCTCGAAGGTGCTGTACGTTATCTCCTGGGCGAGAGTTCTTTGGAAGACAGCATTGCCTGGATTCTGGGTGAGACTACCGAAAATATAAAGTCTCCGATTAATGGTGAATTGGAGGGCGAATCTAGCGATGAAGACGAGGTCGGAATGACACAGAGTCAGGAACTGGGCATGAGTTCCGAGTTGCTTCGTCCGGTAAATGCGAATGTCATGGTACCCGTAGCGAAAGGATGCGGTGCACTATGGGCCAACGATGGCCGTCTTGTCTGTTTTTTCCCACCCAAAAAGACCAAGTCAACCGCATTATTTGAAAACCTCAGTTTCAAAGAGATGGGCAGATTGTCCCGCACAGACAAGGTTTTTGAAGGCTTCGGGCGCCTGCAGACCACCTCCCCGGGCCCACGCATGACCGGTACTATCACAAGCACGGATGATGGTGCATCCGATTACTCCGACGATTCGTACTCCGAGGCTTCAAGCTTCTCGGGCTCTTCTGATAGCCTGTCTGGATTACCAGCCTCTCGTTTCCAACCTCCACAAACCTGGCGCAGTGCTGGTAGCGTGGGAATTTACCGGCCAAGGTCTACGGATAATTCTCAAAGATCTACAGGAGGTCCTTCAACATCCAAGTTGGGCGACCCAGCTCAAAATGTGGTTTCTATTCATGACTTCAGCGACATGCTGCCTGTTCAGCGGGAATTGGCTAGCAAGTATCGTATCTGCGGCAAGGGCACAGATGTGTGCGCTCACAATGCTGCCGTTGCGCTCGATGCAGGGTGCTATGAATTGGCTCAGATTTGGGGTCTTATCAAGCTGATCCTGCACGTGCGAAGAAAAACTGCCTCTCCTTTCGAATCAAGAATGGGATTGAAGAGGATGTTCAAAAAGGAGGGTATTGACCTCAGTTATAGCATAGAGAGAGATGGGCCATACAAAGATCTTGCAAATAGCGTCATCCGATGGGGTGATCATCCAATGGGCAGTCACTGGCTCGTCCCAGCTCTCTTCGATCACTTTGAGCGCATCGGTGATGTGCAAATGGTCGCCATGCTGTCTTGTGTGCTGTTCGAGCCACACGACGAAACGCGCCCCGAAAAGACAGAGGACTATACTGAGCAACATGTCTTTTCTCTTGAACTCTCTTCTGTCGCATCAACAGTGCAGATGAAATCGCAGGCTGCGACACCTGCTTCATCGATCCCTAGAGAGCCGCAGAACCTGCTTCCTCATCCTTCCGCACGATCTTCGAGTGAGCTTTGGCGAGCGGAATCTACTCCTCCTCATTCCACAGGCACCACGCCTCCTTACACCTCTCGCCCTCGTGGTATTGCCGCCGAGAAAAAATCGCAAAGCCAAAATGTATCGATAGCTGCATCTCCTGATCTACCACGAAGTGGATCTGGGCTTGGCTCCGTTCTGGCCTCCTCACTGTCGCGATCATTCACATTTGGGCCGTCATCGGCATCTCCACCGGTACCCCATCTGAGCAAAAAGAAGCAGATTCTCCCAGAAAGCCCGAGTGTGGCAACTACGACAACCATGGCAGCGGTTCGTATTATTCGGTTCTTGAAGATAAGAATTATCTACTAACACACATTCATAGACCCAATCTGATACAGAAAGCGATCGACCTCCACAGATAGTGAAACCTGCAGTACGATTCAAAGTCACATTCAAGAACCAAAGTGCATTCGATGGCGATGAAACAACAACGGATTCGTCTCTGCTAGACCGAAGTAAAGAATGGCTTTGGAAGTCATACCGCGCCGCGTATGCCGATATACTATCCATGTGGGACCTGCCAGTCCAACAGGCCGAGGTTATGAAGATTGGTACCGTGGCCGATGATAGAGAAGACATGCACATGAGCCACTATTGGAACAGTCACAGCTACAAGAGACCTTCCATCGTCGAAACATCAGCGAATGATGCTTTCAATAACCAGAACAGCCTCGACTTTCAACGTCACTGCGCCAACTGTGGCCACCCTCTGCAGACATCTATCTTCGCTCCAACGCCTGCAGTTCCTGATACTCCGTCTAAGCGTCACAACCAACCGACCTTCCAGCGATGCTCGAACTGTAGCCCGCGTCAACCTCTCCCAATGAAGCTTCCTTGCATTATCTGCCGTGAAGTTGTCGACGGGATGTTGGTACCCTGCCTTAGCTGTGGCCATGTAAGCTGCTTCGAATGCCATCAACAGTGGTTTCTTTCTGAAACAACCGATAAACCCGATAATATCACTCCCCCGTCTTGTCCCACAGGATGTGGCTGCAACTGCTCCGAACACATCGTGGCGAAGGTTTCCATGCCACAGTGGGAACCGACCTCCCCGCAACCCCAACCTCGCGAAAGTCCAAGTGGACCTATTAGACCTTTCTCTCATGAGAAACGTCATCGTCGCCGCCAATCTGAGCCCTCGGGCCATAATAGCTCGGGTGGAAATACTCCTACTTCTAGGAACAAACCAGGCCAGCATGATTCCGACCTGGATCTATGGCAAACTTCTTCCCCCTTTGCATCGCTTGCACGAGGAATGGGCGGAGGTCTTAGCCAGGGCCTGGGTGCGAAAGCAGACCGGAAGAAAAACCGGTCTGTTGCCATTACCACACCGAAGCCTAAGCGCAGATAGTCTCTATGTTTTAGTGGAGACTGTACTTGGATTGCGAATTTATTAGACGCATTTATCTGCATTTCTGTTCTTTTCTCTTATTTTTTGTATGATCTGATTGATACCCATGTTTTACTGTCACGATGCTCTTTTTACCTCGTTTGAACCTAGAACATTGAATTTATGAATGATTGATTCGAGTTTCAAGTTCTCCTATTTCGCTACTTACTATGTCGAGCAGCTTTCTCCATACTCAGCTCTAGACAGGCTCCGCAATCTAGCGGAGACACCATGTTCTACACGAATCTGGACGCCTCAAAACCTGATTATGCCCAGCCCTGGAGGTGTCGATCCCCCCGCTTTCGTAACTCCCGGATCTGATAAAAAAGTGATCGAGCCTCGCGGACAGACCTCTTGTTAAACCCCGCACCAATCATATAGAGAGGGGTACGCCTTAATTGGGTTTAATGGATAAGCATGGGACTGAATTCAATGCAGGTCTAGTTCTAATTGAAATCTAGTTCGGTAACTACGGTAAATACAAGAAATATGGAAAAAATAATAATTGATAATTGTCATAGCTTCATTAGGATGCATTCCTCTATGTTGACACATGCTAAAAAGGAGCGGGCTTTAAAAAAGCGGGAGCACGCCGAACTTTTCCTAACCATATCACCGTAAAAGTCATTCAGTCAGAATGTAAGGATATCTTTCTCGCCAGCCCGTAAAACATTGCGCCAGTCTAAGCGAACCCATTTCTAAACGATCGGTTTGATCGACGCAAAGCTTACAGCTGCTTGTAGATGTGCTCGGCGGAGGTAACCTCGAGAACGTTCTTAGCAGCCTCCTTAGCGGCGTAGGTGATCTTGCCGTTCTCAATGATGAGAGCGTAACGGTAGGTACGGCCCTCAGCATCAGCCCAGCCGATGGACTTGGAGAACTTGGCCTCGGGGTCGGAGAGGAAGAGCTAAAAAGATATACTTGTTAGTTCAAGATTCAATGGAGATGGGCAATGATCCACGTACAATGTCATCACCGGTAACACCGTTGGCCTTGCCCCAGGCGCTCATGACGTAGGCATCGTTGTAGGCGAGGACGGCAACCTGGTCAACACCCTTGGCGCGGAGCTCGGGGAGCTTGGCAATGTACTCGGGAACGTGGTTGGCGGAGCAGACAGGGGTGAAAGCACCTGAAGATGAGATGGCGGTCAGCGGACGGGAACCTTGCGAGAAAAAAATGCATCAAAACAAAAGGGAAAGAAGCGGTGACGAACCGGGCAGAGCGAAGAGGATGACCTTCTTGTTGGCCCACTCCTTGGAGGCGTAGTAGTTGATGGGGATACCGCAAGAGGTGATCTCGCTAGCATCCTCGGACCAGGGGATGTAGCTGTGGCGATTTGTTAGTTTGTCTTTCTTGAGGAGCAATTTCAGAAGGGCTCAAGGGATCGAGGGGCACCAAGTGGCGGGAGGAAAAAAATTGAAAAATTTCAGTAGACGTTACGTACGAGAAGACCACATCCTGGGCGAAGCTGTCACCGGCCTTGACGTTAGACATTTTGAATATGTGATTAAGATTGAGAGGTTTGGAAAGAGAAGTATGGAGATCGAGGGGAGAGAAGAAGTTTAAGTTTAAGTGTACAGAGATAAGAACCTCAGGTATATTAATATTCCGGCCTCCGGCGCTTACACATATCGGCCCATCGGGATTCCAATATGACGAATTAGTGGGATTAGTGGGACGCAATAATGGGACTCCATAAGGTGATCCGAAGCAGAAAGATACCGAACCGCATGGATTATCAAGAAAGACCGAACGAGAACTGTCCCCGCTGACTTATCTTACACATTTCCCGCCCTATACCCGCCTATCAGGAGGGGTAAGTGGATGTTTTGGTGCCTGAGTGCCTGAAACCTGCAGGTTTCTATCATTTCACTAAACTTGATTAGGAATAGCCTCGCCACATGCAGATAGGTCACATGATCTGCCACATGGAAAATGACCTCGGAATGGTGCCTGATTTATCAGAGATCCACGGGAGTAGATTCCCGAGAGATGGTCGGTTATCGCCATTATCATATTCGAACACAAAGAGTATTTTAGATTAGATTGTGGGATTTATGATATGAGAATTGCGGTGGATAAAGGCAATTGGCCATCCTAGGTTCCCTTGCATTCTGCAAGTGCAGGAAGCTGTGCAACAGTCATTCATGTTAAGCTTCATTCTATGGCCATTGGGAGGATTAGTAGATAGCACCTGCATAAAAGTAAAAATTGCATAATGAACACTCAAAATAGCCCAGCATTTCTTGAAAGAATCACTTGCACTCACACTATATATGAATCCTTCAGCACTTGAGTACGGAGTACTGTGAACAAGACTGTCCTTTAACGGCTCAGGCTGATACTACTGCCAGCACTTGAGTGACAATACTGCAATGGATTCTGAATGTATAAATAAATCAATCAATTGATATATGATGCCGCTTCAAGTCAATATTTGAACCCTGAGGTACATATAGTACTACATAGGATTAGATAAATTCAAGTTGCCTGTGCAGCAATCTTCCAAGGTTGCAGTCAACCCATGATGTTCGGATTATGAGTATGTATGCGCAAATTTAAAAAGCGCTCAAGTGCTGCCCAGCTGGAACAAATCAACATTTGAATAGTCTTCACAGGGTAACTTGAATCTATGTTCAATCATATCACATGTGCACATCATGATAAAACCACTGCCCAGGTAGCATGCATTTATGGTAAGGGTATCATGATGGGTGTAGTATGACGGTGATACTCTACCCACTTCTTTTTCCTATCAAAAGCCCTCACGGAAAAGATGTCCCCAATGCAAAAAAAAAAGGAAAAAAAAGAAATCGTCGGTGGAGGAATTCGAGCCCTCGACTTGGTTATTCCAATCTGAATGGTGTCGTCAGAGGTCATCGCCTCGATGCAAATTGAACGCTGATCGGTCTGGTAGAGCGTTGTGAAAGGGAAGCCAATGCACAAACACCATGCCTCAGGGCAGGAACAGAGGAACCATGCGTTTCCACTACGCCACACCGGCTAATTGTTATAGATGTTCTCCACTTTATGGTATTTCACCAATGAGAGTTGACGCTTTCGGAACATTCCATTTCAAAATTATGTTATACCAAATTAGGTTAGCTGATACCCATATGTGGACTAGCCTTGCCCACCTGCAGTACTGTATGTGCTCCAAGTTGTAAACACCTGGTCAGGTACCTACCCTGTACACAAATTAGACACCATAATAGAGAGCCACCTCTGAATCAGCCCTTCTTCTAATCAAAAATTCTCAGCTAATATACTAGGAGTTTTTTTCCCCTTTCAAGTCTCTAGGGGGAACTTGAAGTTATTTATGCGCACGAATCATTTAAATATGCACCAACAAACCTGGACAATTTGCAACCTGTCACAATGCCAATGGGCCAGTACCCCGCTTGTCAGGGGCTGCTTAGTCCAGAGACTTTACTCTCCCCAGATCAAATTTGGCCTTGGCCCAGCTCTGGTACATTCCACTTCAAATCAGCCAAGCTAAAGCGCCACGCCTCCCCCATCATTTGATCATGGCAGAAAACAGTCACGATGAGGTGACTGTCAAACTCAACGAGACCATCACAAAACAAGGTGCACCTCATAATGTCAAAGAGGCTTTGCCATCGACCCCGATTGCAGATTCTACTCACCAGACTGCGGAAAGAGCGTATTACCATCGTGGTAATTGCTTCATCAAACGAAGCCTTCGACCGACAGAATACATAACCACCATCCGAGGCACGAAACATATTCCTCATTTACCAAAAGAACGACTTCAGAACGAGGCAGCTGCTTTGAGCTATATTCAACGCGTCAGCAATATCCCTGTCCCTGCTTTATACGGGGCTTTTGAGATCGACGGCTCGTTCATGTTGATCACGGAATACATTGATGGTGTGGCCATGGCGCAGCTATCGGAAGATGAAAAGAGAGTTGTCGACGTTGAAATTGAGCAGCACCTAGCCACCCTCCGTAGTATCAAGTCGGACACTATTGGTGGGCCATCGGGAATTGTAATCCCACCGTATCGAGTGATGCATGAATCTGAAAAAGATGAATGGCCCCGAAAAGTGTCCAAAGATCAAGAATTTGTCTTCTGTCATAATGATCTTTCGCAGCATAATATTATTGTGGATCCGGAAACCTTGAAGATCCGGGCTATCATTGATTGGGAATATGCCGGATTCTTTCCTGCAAATTTTGAGGGACTTTTCTACAAAAGACCTGGGCCATCGGTGGCAATGAATGATGAGAAAGATGATTCTGCAGAACTGCTGCAATTCATGAGGGCTGATGAAGAGTGAGATAGAGTCGAAGTGAGAGATATCTGAGTCTGAAGTGAGAGGTATTCCAAGTGAGAGATACCTGAACTAAGAGGGATATATACAGTTTTCTTTCTTTCCTTTCCCCCCCTGGGTATCAGTTTGTATAGGGACTCGATCCGTTTAGCAGATCCCCAGAAGTATCGGCAATTCACCCGACACTACATCGAAGATAAAGGTAAAATAAGAATAGAGTCTCGGTTCGGCAGCGCTGCCGGTTGTCACCAGGTCTCCACTTCTCCACGATAAGAACACAGTGAACACTCAAGCTACGAGACCCCGCAGAAACTAAATAAAAAAAACATAGAGATGTTGATTTTTGCAAAGATACATTCGGCGATATGCAAAATACAATATTGACTGAGAAGTTGTGGGATAAAACACTACTTCATCAACTGCTTGGCGATCTCGGTGCTGCCATAGCATCTGCAACTTTAGTTACACCAGCTGTGACGATTATTGACAGGTGAGTTATTACAGAAGAATAGATGATTTTCGAAGTTGTGAGCTCTAATTTTGCCTAGGGCACTGGTTGAGAAGTCCTTATTAAACCGCCCCTTGATCCACGGTCTACGAAAGCATTCGGTCGCTGCATTGAAAAGTCCCTCAAGATTCATCTCCCAAGTACCATTCAGGATAATCTGGGCTCTTTATGCAGCAACTTTCACAGTCGCAAATGGTACCGATTCAATCTGCAATAGACTGGAGGCTTCCGCAACGGGTCTCATCACATTTGCTACGACAACCTTGGTGAATGTCCCTCTGGGTGTTTGGAAAGATATTCGATTCGCGCAAATATTCGGTGTGAACACCAAGCCTGATGGGGCTGAGACACTAAGACCAATCATTGTCCAGTCTCGTGGGGCTACCAAAGCAGCAGCAGCTATTTTCCTTATACGCGACGGAGTGACCATCTTCGGGTCCTTCACCCTCGCTCCGAGATTGTCATCGATGATTCCAGATGATTATACTGCTAGTCATCATCAGGCAAAGCCAGTCATTTCTCAGTTGACGGTTCCTGTTTTATCACAGCTGGTGGCCACGCCTTTGCATTTGCTAGGCCTGGACTTGTATACGAGACAGGGTGTACCTTTCGTGGATAGAATGGTGCAGTCGCAACGATACCTACCATCTGCCACTGTTGTTCGATGTATTCGCATTATACCTGCGTTTGGATTTGGATGTCTTGCGAATATGGAATTAAGATCTGTGTTTCATAGGAAACTTAATGTGTGAGAGCTGAGCCACGGGAGATGAAGAACCATTTTCCTTATAGTATTCATGCGCGAGGAGAGTAATTATTTTTTAAAAAAAGAATGTTCAGTATGCAGTTTTTGAAAGTTTGTTTTCCTATACATTCATATTGATTCAATGTCTCGTATCGTTTACATGCGTTTCGGTTTCCATCAAACGAGCCAACGTTACGGCTTCTCGGAGAGCGCGTCCAACATGGCCTCTAACGCCGGCTTCTTCCATAACCATCAACCCTCCAATAGTACATCCCTCAGGCGATGTGCCCTGATCCTTCAGAAGAGCTGGATGAATCCCGCTTTGTAACATAGTTGCCGTCCCTTGCATAGATTGGAAAATCATGGTGTGTGCCAAGTCCCGAGGAACACCAACTGCGACAGCGGCATCGATCATCGCGTCACAGATCACAGCGAAAAAGGCAGGTGTAGAACCCCCAACGGCTGTTGTCGCATTCATGAGTTTAGGCTCGATCTGAAGTGCGCGACCGATACGTTCAAAGATTGCCGTTGTGATTTGAAGATAATGCTCTGGTGGTGTGGGTTCGGAGACTTCAATCGCAGTAAGGGACTGCGAGACTTGCGCAGCTATGTTTGGAAGCGTGCGAATGACCCATGCGCGACCAAGCTGGTTAATCTCGGTTGTGTAGGTCCCATATACAGTTTCCTCCAGTTTTTGTCGAGTCCAACCAGCTGCAATGCTAATTAGGAGCTTGTTCTCCAAAGCCTCGCGCATGCCATCCTGTGTTAGAGCCCTTTGGATGTCTGCAGGGTCTACCCCGAGAATTATCACGTTGGATTCTTGCACAGCTTTGGCATTGTCTCCTCGAAGAATTGTCAATCGGTCGAGATGCTGCGCGAATCGAGTGGCTAGTTTCTCCTCCGATTGCGGACTGCGGACACACGCGATGAAGCGTGTGAAGAGGGGTTCTTCTTGTGGCGCATTGAGTAGGCTATCAAGAATCGCGGCTCCTAAATTTCCTGAATGCCAGTGATTAGTATCGAGTCCTGATCTTACTGAAACAGCATTGACTCACCACATCCCAACAAGCACAAGGTCTTCATTTCAGTCGCCATTTCGACAAGACGGAATCAGTTAATTTCTTTGAGCAATCAAGATATCACACCCTCACTTGAATATCAAATATCCAAATTGTACCCCTCGTTGATAAGATCTGGAAAATCCACATCGGCAACCCTCCCGGTTGAAGTGGGGGAATCCTTGTTCTATCTTGCAGCTCATTCCCCTCACTCCGCTCGGCACCGATACCGATGATAACCCGCCACCCGTAAACGTCGCAAACGATGCCGGAATCTGGAAAGGAAACACGACTTATATATTATTGGAATAAAAGCACGAGAAATGAAGAAAAAAGAAAGTATTTGAATTTGTATTCAGTTTATGTTTGATCATGGGCGTTTCAAAGTCTGATGCGATTATCATCGTTGGTGGAGGCGCCTTCGGTCTCTCAACAGCTGTTCATCTCTCTCAAAAAGGGTATACAAATATCTCTGTGTTTGAGAAAGACGATAATATCCCACCGAGATCCTCTGCAGCGAATGACCTCAACAAGATCGTTCGAGCAGAATATGAAGATCCGTTCTATACAGACTTGACCATTGTATGTCAGCCCAGGATAATACTATCTAGCATCAATGGATATGTGCTAATCAAGACACTTTTCACAGAAAGCGATTTCAGCTTGGAAGACTCCCCTATTTGCGCCTCATTTCCACCAGACAGGATTCCTGCACTGTGTCTCTGGGGCTGCGCCCGAGAAAGCCGTCGACACATTGAATAGATTCCAAGCATCCGCCGAAAAGCACCCAGATATCAAACCCCACGTCGTGCCTATTAAGAATGATAAGGATGTTCGTCAGGCATGTTGGCAGCTTGATGGAGAGCTACCAGGATGGCATGGTTACCTGAACCGCTATGACGGGTATGCCCACTCCGCCAACGCTCTTGCAGCCGTCTACCGCGCGACCCAAGCAGCAGGTGTGAGATTCTTTCTAGGCGCACAAGGTGCCGTCAGGGAAATCGTCTACGTCAGCACTTTGTCCGGGCGCAAGTGCGCAGGTATCCGAACTAAGAATGGTCGCTTCCACCCATCTGCGCTGGTTATTGTTGCCGCCGGAGCTGGAGCTGGTCGATTAGTTCCTGAGATTGGGTCTTCGGTTGTTGCCAAATCTTGGTCTGTCGCGCATTTACAGCTCACTGATGAAGAGACCTCTGCTCTTCGTGGAATCCCTGTGACCTACGCCCGGGATCTGGGATTCTTCTTTGAGCCTGATCCTAAGACAAACCTTCTGAAGCTTTGTCCTATGGGTGGTGGTTACATTAATACTGATCCCAAGACGGGAGTTTCGCATGCACCGGACACTCTTAGTGAAATTGCTTTCTTACCCGAGGCAGATGAGAAGCAGTTGAGACAATTACTGGCTCAGACTCTACCTTCTCTTGCGAACAGACCTTTTGTTCGGAACTCTCTGTGCTGGTTTGCTGATACTAATGACTCGGATTTCATCGTCGATTATATTCCTAATATGGCAGAGTCGATTATTCTCTTATCTGGCGATTCGGGACATGGATTCAAGATGTTCCCCATTGTGGGTTCCTTCATTACTGATTTGATTGAGGCTTCGGATAACCGACAGGCTATCACTCGTTGGCGCTGGAAGCAGGCTATTTCGGATGCTGGAAAAGAGGACTGGGGAGGCGATGTGAGTTGGAGACTTGGGCAGTCTAAGGAGTTTGCTTCTATTTTACCTCCGAAGGCATCCAAACTCTAAATACAAGTTTAGAATCCGAGGTTATGTTCAGCAACTACATTTCATCAGTACTATTAGCTTGGAGGCTTTTAATCTACGTCTTTCCGTTTCACGCGGTTTCCAATTTCATACCTTGAAATACTAGATGGAGTAGAACAAAGAAGGAGGCATCAGTCGATGTTCCTTAAATGTTTCTTGTGGCCTCTGCTCCAAGGCTTGGTGGATATTCAAAATGATACGATAGAATGAAAGAACAGAATAAGCCTAATCTAGATTTTGAGAAGACACGCTGAATTAAGAAAATATCATAAATAATTCATTGGTAGAATTGAATAATAACCTCATAAATAAATGCAACTCAACCATAAGGCATAATTCATAGCACATTACCAAATACTATGTTCAATCATAGCATTTGACATCCATTCAGTATCAATGCTCTCAATCGAGTCCGCAACAGCCATAATTTGGGCCGCCGTCAATCCCATCGTTAAACCACACTCATCATCCAGACTCAGTCCGGGATCCGACAACACATCATGAGCGAGAGGATTTGCAGCTGAAGGGGGAAAAGAGCTTGCAAGCTGAATACTGGTGCTATTATTATTACCGATGTTTGGAAACGAAACAGGGGTAGATAAGCATCTTGATGGTTCTTGCGGGAAACAGCTTAGAAGCTCGTCTAGTAGTTGAAGCTCCGATCGGCGGAATTTTGCAATGAGGTTTCCGCTTTCGATGATTTCTTCGAAGATAGTGTATGCTTTCTCAAGCCATACTGGGTAGGACCATCTAGAATCTATGGCGGGTGCCATGAGAAGAGCGACGGTTGATACGAAGATGGATTCGAGGTCGAAGGATAGGAATGTTTCTGATTTCGAGTCAGTGGAAATAATTGGGTAGGTTTATTGATAACGTACCCAAAAGATCCTCAGATTGAAGACAGTGGAGAATGTTGATCATTTGTTGTGAAGACTCGAGACACATTTGAATTAGGTTGCGGACATTCCGTGATGTGCTTAAAGCATCGAGGCAGTTTTCGGGGGACTCAAATCGGATTTTGAGGAAGCAGAAGAGTAAGGGACGGGTAGCGACAACAATGCACTGGTGATATAAGAGGTGAAGATAGGCGGATGTCCTTGAAACACCACTGCTTGTTCGATCTAGATGTAGGGGAAAGGTGTTGTGAAGCTCATCGGCCAGTCGGGCTATACTGGCCAAGGCGGATTTTGTGCGAAGTAAAAAGTTTCGATTGAGGCGGCCATCAATGGCGTAGACAGCTGTAAATATCTTTAGAAAGAGATTTTAATCGACTTAGAATGGAAATCACTTACTGCCGCTTATTTCTGCAATGATCCTTGACAGCTTGATATGCATGTTGATCCCTGCAGTCCGTTGCATTGAACCGGGGAATTCGGGGAGCAAGGCATCTACATGGGAATCACTGAGAGACTGGGGAAGTCCCATGAGGGAAGTCATCTCACGGTCTAGGATGTAGACTGTCCACCAGATTTTGCGACATCGTTGAACTGTATGTTCGCCGAGATATTCGATCGGCATTTGAGTATGCATCCCTTCGGCCATGGCCATCCGCATAGCTGATCCGATCTAACGAACTGATCAGTTAAAGTACTATCCAGGACTTCCTGAATAACTCACGTAGTTATGTGCTGATGACCTGTAGTCTAGGGCTTGCAGAAATAGTGCAATGCAGCATAGAATCTCCGCGGACTCGATGGGTTCTTGATGCAACACACTGATGTCGGGCAAAAGCTGCAGTGCCCTCACAAAAAACTCTCCTCCTGGCGGCTTATTGCCTTGCATTTTATGTTGTACAAACCCTTTCCCAAAAGCAAGCATGAGAAGGAAATGAACATACCACAGCCCCCCGGGCGAGGTTGATCGCGGTCGCGAGTAGAAATCGTGAAGACCCGCCATAAACTCAGTCTCGTCAAAGAGATGGTAAAGCTGTCCACAGCGGAATTTCACCGTGTTGATCAGATACATGGCGTGATCAAATGATGGAACTGTAGGAATATCGGTCCGATGTGGTGTTCGCAGCCCGCCCCAGCCTAAATCATAAATTGCACCGTCAAATGCCAATGCTCCCGTTGGAAGTGACTCCTGATAGATATGCTCATGTGTTAAGCTTAATACCCTGCGGGTGAATGACCAATTTGAGGATGTTCCCAAATAAACTATAACAATGTTAGGCAAGCCGCAAGAGTGTCTTTCCATTAGTTGATGCACGTACAGGTTCGTCCATTCTCAGCAGACATGAAAGCTGGTGGTCCCGTTGATAATGGGTTTGTTAAGCTTGACGCTGGATCCTCAAGTTCCTGCTGTATATGAGAGTCATCTTTCTCGTCCAATGGGGACGGCTGTGACAATTCTGAAGCGTCATTGTGGCCATTGGAGTCTGGCAAGGGTTAGTATTGGCACAAGGAATGTACGGCCAAATTATACACACGAGGTGAACGATCTTCCTGATATTCCGGACTGAGGGGTATGGGTTCTCGATCATTTTTTTGCAATAGAGCTATCTTTTGCTCCAGCTCCTCAAGATAACTGATTGAAATGTCAGCGCTTGTGAGATTTTCCAACAGAATTGCCTCATTCGCACCCTCTAGTCACAAGAATTTTCTGATCCCGATCATCGAAGATACATGTGAGTTTCCTTTTGTTACAGCTATCGCATGGTTGAGACCCGGAGCATTTGATCTTTTGCCTCCGGCATCGGGTGCAACTAGGGAATAGTTAGGAAGATTCCTGGTTATATCTGGAGAATTTCATACGCATTCAAAGCTCGCTTTGTGATCTTAGATGTATTTCTAGCCATTCTGAGGATTGCAACCGGTACACCTGGGCAAGTTCAAAGGTGAAGTATGTGTATCACGACTCACGAGCATTGATCTCGTGTTCAATGCGGGGGAATTCATAGTGGAGTCTGCCTAGATTCGGCAAGATAACGCGCCCGTATACTTTCAAGTTTTCGATAAGACTTCTATTGCCACTGAAACGAAGTATTGAAAAGATCCAGTGAATATGGAAATAGAGAAAAATTGATTCTGATACATGGGAGTTATGTTGCTCCTGAATAAGACAGAAGCATAATAGGTAGTCTTCTCTGTAGAGACCATGAGTATCTAAGATCATGGCGTCAGTGGTTCATCCCAAGGCTGACCCGATAATGCTATCCTAGTTCTTTCATCTGATCTTTCTCACTGAAATAAAAATAAATCCTACTATACTATGTGTCATATTTACCCCAGGATGTGGGGCAAAGTTCCTTTTGAAGATCACTTCAAGTTTCTGCTGTAAATAGGACCGGGAGGGGTTCCGAGGGCGATAAGCACACCGGGTTCACGACCCGATTCGGGTTCTGCACTCAAAACAGCGTAAGACTGATAATTGATTTCACTTTTATCAATGATAATGAAATGACGATATAGTGCAAAGATAAAGGTCCACGCGGTATTATGGATGCATGAAATATCAATAGAACCTTCCGTGCGGGAGGAATCTCAGTTTTGAAAATGTCCATAAAACGGTATGTAGCCTTTGTTAGGGTTGGTTCCAGCCCTGGAGGACATCCCAGATCTGGTCATCCTTGGTCATATTTTCCCCGCCAATATTCTCCACTATATGGATGTCAGGATTTGGCGCCTGGCGCTCAATCAGTCTCTTTGCTGATTCGTAGGGTTTTCTGATGACATTGGAGCCATATGCCCAGGTGTGAAACATGACACCTGCTTGATAACCAAGTTTTCCGGGGATACGTCCGGAGTCCGATGAGATGCAGATGAAGTCCCTCTTTTTGGATTCTCTTTCAAAGCCTAGATTAGGTGCAATACCTCCAGAATAGCGTTGGCCTTAGCTCCATCCTGCATCGATTTAGGCAGCAGATCTTATGCAAGATTTGATTGGCTCGCTAGTACCAGCTTTCAATGAGTTTTCATCTGAATACAACCCCCTATTTCGGGTCTGGGCCTATATCTATCTAGCACTTATTTTCTACATACCTCTTTGATTTCTTACACGTACTCTTCAAATGTTCAACATTCCAAGTTTCTACTACAAATTCCTACTTGATCCCCCATCCTCCCTCTTGCAGAGTCTTTCCTGATCCTCTGATCGGAGATTTTGTGAACGGTTTGCTTTTTACAGAATCATGCTTCCTGAAAAACCGGGGTTTGAAGTGAGCCCTGTCCCGACGACAGAAGAAGGAGCCCGCACCATCTGGGATATCGAAATGGCCGCGCAGAATGATAGCAACAAGAAAAAGAATAGCTCCATTGGATCCTTACTCTGGCCACCCCATCTGCAACCCAAAGTTGAGGCAGCAGCAAGACCATCGGATGGTCAAGACGACGACATCCGCCGCATGATCCCCATGCTTGGAGATCCCAAAAACACTTACCTTCTAGTAACCGACAAAGCAACGAATAAGGCCCTAGCTTTTGTCTGGTGGTCTCACAGCCAGGGCCAGACAAAAGCCCAGTGGGCAGAAGGCTATGCCAACCGATATCGCCCGCCTACTATGAATGGTGCACTGATGGATGCAACAGGCGGAGTGCGATATCTGAAGCGAGCAGAGCTGCTTGGGGAGAAGGAATATTTCCGTAAGTAAAGTCACTTGCCTTTACAAGAGACGAGAATCGCAACTGACAGTTTGAACTTGTCAGATCTGAAAGAATTATATGTTCTTCCGGAGTATCAGCGCCAAGGGCTAGGAGGTCTATTAGTAGCGTTTGGTGTTCAGAAGGCAGATGAACTTGACCTACCCGCTTACACTGAGGCATCTCAGGAAGTAGTAGAGCTGTATCTCAAGCATGGGTTTCAAGATCGAGTGACAGTTGACTTGGAAAAATGGGGTGGCTCAGTGGGAGATTTCAGTTCTTTATGGCCTTTTGTACAGAGATTCCAAGCCGGTCACAGCTATTGAATGATAGTATCATGATCTATCCAAATGAAACATTTGAACACTGTTAATTCAAGCAGTACATTCAAGTTTCACAGGTCTGAGTATTAGATAAACTCAATTCTTTCCATCACACAGACTAATAACTGATAGTCAAGCTCCGGCCACTCCTGCTCGAGCACGTTGATAGAAGGAGAGAAGTGACTGGAATGTCTCATCTCGAGACTGGGCGCGACGAACCACCACCCTGATTCCCGGAACAGACCAGGAGCTCAGCCGACAGGAGCTCACAGCTAAGAGAATGTCTGAGTGGGAAACATGGCTCATGGAATTCAAAACCCCTCATGGACCCGTGCACAAGTAGACGATTTCTTGGCTGAAGTCCAATCAAATCCTCTGCCAGAGCAGATACTGACATACCTGAACAAGGCCTTTTGGAACACATCGAGTGCAAATGTTTCATCACTCTGTCCTAGTTCCGGTAGCTTGTGGAATTATGATCTGTCCGACCACGTGTTGCCACAGTATCCTATAGATCACTGTTCAGCCAGAAGGTTGCTGAAGAATGCGGCGTCTTTTATCATCTGCCAATCGCCATTATTATGACTATTTACAGTATAATCAAACTGGGATGCATGTGACTCTTGCTTCGAATGGATCGTCGAGGTCTCATCCTTACATTGGGCGATGCGATTTCGACTTTTCTTCAACAACCAGATCAGACTACTAAATCTTGGTGCACCCTTTCTGCTAAAACAGTATCAAAGAGCGACGAGTCACTCTGGAGGAAAGGAAACAATCTAACCTCTCGTGATGAGTCCCGTCCAAAAGAGCCGCATCCTGATTTTCTCCCTTTAGTCAAAAAGCAGTGGACTAAGGCCAGCAATGTCAAGATCTGGTGCTGAACATGGTTGGTGCTAGTGCTTTATATCGCTATGAGCCTGCTGTTACCCGAGGCTGCGATCCAAAATCTGTCCACGCATGCGTCTCAAAGTCAAACTCCGTCAACTGCCATATGGCAGATCAAAGGCTGGGGCGATGTCCAATCTACAGCCTTACTTTCCTCGCTTGCCTCTTCCTTCACTGGCATGGTGTTTCTGTAAAATACCTTACTATTAGCAGTGTCAATACTAAACCTGTGTCTCAACGACACGATGACGAGGTATCTTTTTGCCGCTGATTATGCCGATTATGCCGATTATGCCGATTATGCCAGGAACCGGCGTCCCCTTCGAGTGTCCTTTCCCCGTGGCGAGCAACAGTCTACCCTATACCTTACGATACCATATCAATACGCGGTTCCACTCCTCGCATCTCATGTGTGACACTTGCCCACTGGCTTATCTCCGATGGTTTATTCTATGTTCAGATTCTACCCTATGATCTGCATGGTAACCCATATCCTCCGCCAGGCTGATTATATGCGGCGTGTCCACCATCCCTTAGATATGGCGTTATTCCTCATGATTATTGTTTGTGTGACCGTTTGTCTCCTCGGCTGCAAATCCCTCAAGCCATCCAGGATGCCTCTTGCATTGGGATGCAGCGTTGCGATCAGTGCAGCCTGTCATCCCCCTCCATATGACTTGGACGCAGCATTCAAGCCGGTCCAATGGGGTGCGGTGGAGGATGAGCCAGGGCAACTATACTCTCATTGTACCTTTACCTCAAAAGAGTCTAAGGAGCCTGAGACAAGTGTTCAATACGCGTAGTATCGACAGATAAACCGATAGATATTTTGAACGAGAAGCTCAATCGAATATCTGATTTAAATGATTTAAATGATTTTAACTGATGTCAGTTTTTATGCCTAAGATTTCAATTCTTATGGCCTTCTGTACCGAAAGGCCAAGTCAGTCACGGTTAATTGATGCGTCTGTAGATTGTTAAAGGTAGCCAACTGGCTAAATTTCTGCCAGGCGGTCAAAAAAAGAAAAGCATCCAATGAAGAAAGCCCAACCTTGGCCTCCATTTATTGGATTATGCTCAGCACTGGCAAGCCTACTAAGTCAACTGGTACGGGCATAATGGCTTCCAAGTCAGATTGACCAAGTGCCGATACACCATGCTTGTTTTCAAACATTTGAGTTGTTGTCTCGGCATCCCCGACACTTTTGTTTCTTGGCTCCAAAAGCCGGAGACGGAACCAATCAGCAAACCGCTAAAGCTCATATGGAGACCTGGCCCCGTCTATGGTTTATCGAGTAGTGCCACATCAATAGTGTGCCACAGGCCCACAGCCTCATCCTTTTGCGTGGCTATTTTGAGATTATGATTTTACAAACTGGTTCACAGATGACCCAATGCGCGCTAGCGCCCGACCTAGGGTCGGCTTTTCAGGCTAGATTTGTATCAATCCTAATAGAAATCTCGCTTGGGAAGTTCGGGTCGCTACAAAAGGCCGTTCATTTCTCATTGACGATGTCCGAGCTCTACGGATGGGCGGTAATGGGCGCCCCATGGCGGCCGACAACTTGTCATTATAAAGGCGCGATCCCACTTCAGTCATTTGGATTACTTTGAATGGTGTCGCAGCTACTTTTCGAACCCTGGCAAGTTGTGATGTTGAAACACTTTCTTTTGCTAGCGTCGGTGTATGCTGCCACCACGTCGGCTGTTCCATTTCCTCAACCTGATCCTCAAAACCAGGGTGAATCGTGCCCGGTCAGGGCGGTGTCAAATTGGCGCGAAGGTCCCCTGGCGGAAATTGGTCGCCTAGTTGAAAAATGCCCTGAAGGAAAATCTTTCTGTCGGGAACTCATTCAGGAGACCTGCGAGGTTGTGACCGAAACCAAGACAGTTACTCCTAAGCCGAATACAGTCACAATCACACATACCATCACCGATCATCCTCACCAAGTGACAAAAACAACGGAAAAGCACCTCACGTCGACAATTGTGAAGCCGCAAACTCGCACTACGACCCTCTACACAACTAAGACGTTATCCCGTACTGTTCCTTTGACTATTACGGATCACTCTACTCTGACCACCACTGATGTTTTTACCGTGTTTTTAACGGAGCCGGACTATGAAACTGTCACAGTGCCGGTGACAGGCATTGTCACTGATAGAGTTACTGAAGATATCACCGATTATGCTGCTGCCACAATCACCGAGTCCTTCACTGATACTACCACTGAAACATTTTTCAACACCATCACTGACTGGTCGACGGTCTATGTGACGGCATTCATCACCGATCCTGCAACTGCCTATGTCACTCAACTTCACACCGAAATTGAAACTGCCTCGGTGACCAATTATCATACCCAGACTGTGACTCTGTCTTTTACTGAAACGGCTGCTGCGACGGCTACTAACACCATATCCTCTACTACAACACAAGAGGTGGATGTTACATCGACCAATACACAAACTGAGACTGTTGTTCAAACCGGCTTTGAAACCTCCACCAGTACCATCCCGGCAACTGTGACCGACTACGCAACTTCAACATTTGTTACAGTCCAGACGGATGTCCTGACGCAAACTGCCACCGCCCTGGTTACCGTCGCCCCTGCTGACAAGCGAGATATGATCCATGATCGGGCAGGTTTGGTAACTCCATCTGCACTGAGAGGCATTCATGCAACCCAACTATCTTCTGCATGCTCCATCTTAATCTACGAGGAATGGGTCTCCACAGACTACATTACTAAGACACTTGCCAGACCTACAGTATGTTCATATCCCTGAATTACCATACCTGGAGAAGTACTAATTGATCTGCTAGGTCACTAAAACTCTGACCACACATACTGTGGCACCTGCGCATACCGTTTATGTCACAAAGCTCATCACCGACTTTGTGACTAAAACAGTACCTCACGTACTTACAACAGTTGAAACGAATACAATCACAACTGAGGTCGTGAAAACAGTTACTATTGGTGCTACGTCAACCATCACCACTTCTTCGACCACTACGGCCACTGAAATTTCCACAGTAACAGTGACAGTAGAAAGCTCTACCATAGAAACCGACATTGTTACCGCCACAGTGATTAATGACGTGACAACTTCTACTACCCTAGATGTGACGGCTCAAGTGACTGCTTCTGTGACCGAGGACGTCACTACCGACGTGACCACAACCGAGATAACTGATCTCACAACAACTCAAACTAATACTGAGACTGTTGATATATCGACCAGCCAGACAAATACCCAGACTTTCGATGCTACGGCTACCGAGACAACGTCAGTGACAGCCACGGAGACTTCTACGGCCACTGTCGATGTAACAGAGGTAGCCACACTTACCTCAACATCTTCTTTTACCGTCACAACCACTGTACCAGTCACAGTCCAAACCACAATTGCCAACACTGTCGATTTAACCAGCACCACCTTTACCACATCCACTATCGATTTGACAGTCACCGAGACAGTCTCATCGACCACAACGACCACAGTCACTTCGACGACGACTAGCTCCCCAACCTGCGGAGTAAACATTTTGTCAAACTCCGATTTCGCCGATGAAACACTCTCTCCATGGGTCTTCAGTTATACTGGAAGCGGAGAAATGACCTGGGTATCCGGCGACGACACAACCTATGCAATTAACCTCGCGTCATCGGGCTCTGGCAGCAGTACAGCTGTAATTCAACAGACCATATCTACCGTCTCCGGAGAGACATACACTTTCACAATGGACTACAATCCTATGAATGGAAACACCGCTAGCTTCTTGAGGTGCTCAGTCAACAACAGTTATACAACAACCTACTCGATCAGTCTTGGCACAAGTAGAAACGCTTGGCGCAGCTACGAAGGCACCTTCTTGGCTTCATCCTCGAGTACGATATTGACTTGCGAAATAACGACCTCGGTTATTGCGAGTGTGTATCTAGACAATATCTCTGCTGTTCTGACATGTTGATCTTGACGGATGATGCTCTCAGCTGGGATGAGCTGTGAATCTTACTAGACATAAAATTTATTTCCTTTGCATATATCAATTTAATCACTTACTTCTAATGATTTTTCACGATTTATATTCAACCCGAGCGATTGAAGTAAAGTATCTAGAATCTAGAATTAACTAGTAGTTAATACAGATGAAAGGGCCTTAAGAATAAATAACATCGAGTTGAAGGACTCGGAGGATACAGGAGGATGACCATTGAGAGTGGAGCTTACAGGATGACTCGCAGGTCTTGGGGCGCTAATATTGGGAAACTTGAGGCAATTCATGTGCAGGTACACTGGCACTGGCAGGTATACACATACTACAACATCTATGGATACATGCTAGGGCTACTGACAGACTCGGAATAATATAAGATTCAATTTTTCGAATCAACGCCGTAGCTTTAAAGAGCTTTAAAAATTATGATGGAATCAGACATCTTATCTCATTTGACCACTGACCACTTGGTCCAAAATTACCAGTGCCACTGGCAGTCGCTAATGGGGACTTCATTAACACAACCTCTTTAACGAACTACCGCCCTTCTCCATTAACATCCGGCCTAAGAAGCAGATCATTACCACTTATCATATGTTGATACATCTTCCCAGTCTCCTAATCAAAAGGCTAGTCTTCTAGCTTATAGTATCGACTCGTATGTACCAGTTGACCCCAGGACTGAAGTGCTTCAATTCAAAATGTTATTGGTGTCCTAATCCTCATTCGGGTAATGGTCTTGCTTTGACTTCAGGTTCCTTCTAGTATCGGAAAAGAAAGCTATGTTCTCTTATCTCTATTTGTTGAGAGACAAGGGGAGAACTGGTCCTACAGCGAATAAACTGTATGTTTGGGGAAGTGTGAGGAGGAGAAGTTTACTGAGCGTGTCGAGAGCTACTATCATCTACGAGGCGGTCTGATGTATCAGCTGCGGGATCTAACACTAAATTCCAAGGTCAATGTTCAATGTTCAAAATAAATATTCATAGCTAGTTATTGCAGTGAGCGTGCCTCTCCAACCGCTGAGATTTAGTGTCTGAAATATGACTACAATAGTTGATGCCCAAATTTACTCCTTCTTTGGCATATATTCGCCAGAATACTGCGCATCATTACTAGTATCAGGCTCCTGTCCCTCATCCATCTGATACACTACCTGCCTCAAGTCTTCGTTCGGCACTCGCGGACCTAGATACCTGCCCCTTTTAGAGAAAAGATAGAGTGCGAATACAGTGACCGTCAAACCAACTGACACGACAGATACATAGTTTATATTCTCCTTGGTCACTGGCCTCTCGGTCGGGAAGAAGCAAAGAATGTCAAGAAGAATAACCCATAGCACCGAAATAAGGTTGATGGCAAGTCCGAATCGACCGAGTGAGAAAGGCCGCTCAGGCATGATGTGGCGCCCACATCGCCTGTGGTAGGGCACATGAAGTTTGAAGGAAGATGATCGCGGCACCGACCATTGCAGAGAAGGCGGTTGATGAGCCAAGGAAGATGAGGCCGTATAGCTTGTAATCTGGGTCAGAAATGTTAAAGATCCATGAAATGACAAAAGCTTACCGAAACAACGGTGCCAGTTAGACAGAGTCCATTGAGCGGGATCTGGAAACGAGGGTTAATAGTTGCCCACACTTTACTAAATGGAAGCATGTTGTCACGCAAAACAGCCCAGATTGTTCTTGAGCATGTGGTGCCTGAAATACAAAAATGTTAGTATTCATGGAGTTTCTTCTTCTTGGAGACGGTGGACTTGCCATTGCCCACAGTGCACCCGAAGAAGCAAAATGCGAACAGTGCCAACGGAATGGATGAAGCTCCTTTGGACCCGGTACTTTGATAGTAAATCTCGATCAAAGGAACACCAGACGGCGAATTCAGCACTGCATCCATATTGGTGATGGCGTTCATACAAGCGACAGCAAAGGGAAACGCGGTTACCAAGCCCATGAGGATCGGGTACAGGATAATCTTGGGGGTGTTCCGGGTAGGGTCATGAATCTCCTCACAGACGTGCGCTCCGCAGTCTGTTCCAAGAAAGGCGTACACAGCATTACTGATCGCTAGTAGGAAGGCGAATCCTTCGCTTTGCCATCCTGTCCCGTTGGTGACATCACCGAAAGTCCACTTGGGAGCGGCGTGGTTGTTCCGACTACACACGAATAGTGTGATCGTTGTTGCGGTGAGAGTGATGCATGCGACGAGGACTGCCAATAAGTATTAGACTTCGTATCCACCAAGGAGTAGACATTGTTTACTTACAGTTGAAACGATTGTAGAGAGGAAGCAGCTGTGAGCCCCACGTATTGAGTGCGACTGCCAGCCACACTATCCCAATGTAGACGAGCCATTGTTGCCAGTTATGGATCTCATAGTCTGGATACCAGAGAATCACGATTGGTAGAATTAAGGATGCAATGAAGTTGCAGGCTGCACCGCTGGCTAGCCACCATCCCAAAATACTCAGCCAACCGTTTCTGTACGCTATGTAAGCATTGACCCCTTGGTAGGTATTGAGAGCACGGACATATCAGAAGCAAAAGCTCTCCATTCTTTGGATGCAAGACAGAATGTCCAGTAGTACTGAGCACCAGCGACAGGATAAGCCGATGCCAATTCGGCCACGCCGGCCGAAAGAATGGCCGTCATCAGAGCGGCCACTGGAAGCGACCATATAGTGCCAGCAGCCGATGCATCCTGCAGAGATATACCGATCGATGAGCCAGTACCAGACCATGTGCATGTTAAACTGAAGCTGAGGGCAACGAGACTGAAGGTTGAGGATCGCCGGGGCATCTCACGACGATACCCACGGGCTTTAAGATCCAAATCATCTTGGAATTCCAGCGACTTCATGATAAAATGTCTTGCTATGGACTTTATGTTCAACTGCCAGGTAGCACAGGGCATTCCAGGGGTTATAAACCCCAAATAAACACCCCTGGGGGGGTTTCCCTTGGCCGTAGCGACTGTCACTTTCAAAGACATAGTTCCAAATTTCCAATAAATCGAATTGGAATAACCTATCTTCTTCCTCCGCAAAATCTAAAAGATAATGAGAGTCAGTCGATATGGGGTTATAATCTTGATAACTTAAGATCTTGTGAATGATTGGCCAGCACTTTTACGCCCTTACCGCTCACTCGTTGATTGGTTCATCTCGTAGTTCAAAGGCCGTTTGGTTCTCCACCTTGAACATGTCGCCTCCCTCGACTCCCCTCGAGTCCCCCGCACGGTTGATAACATTTGCTGATATGAACTTTTCCCCCGTACCAATTCTGCACCGTTGGAGCCATGCTATTTGATCTGCCGCACCCAGGGGCTCTTGTACTGCCCATATAACCTGTTTACCACCATGCCTCCAACAGAAGTCGCTTCCTTCCCCGCACCCGAGCGAGCTTTCCCTCGGCGAGTGGTCAAGAGGCGGGGAACCACTCGAGAGCGCACAGGATGTTTAACCTGCCGGCAGAGGTGAGAATCTATATACTGCGTCTTCATCTTGGCAGTTGATACATAGATGCTTACTCCTTCCAGAAAGAAGAGATGCGACCTCGGCCAACCAGTATGCAAAGGATGTGTGCGATTGAACTATATGTGTCGGTGGGAGGACCTTAGAACTTGCGCCGGCGATAACGATACATCTGGATCAGTTCAGCAGGTTGCTCAACCAGTGAATGTCCCGTTTCAGCTCCTGCAGAATCCCGATCCAATTTTATTTTGGGTCGATGAACATTCTGATTTTGCCAACCCGTCTAGTCGGCGCCATTTTCTCCGCTATTACACTCAGACTTTTACTTTTCTCCTCACCAGTAACTTGGAAAATAATTGTTTCTTATCTGGTGGGTCTTGTGTGTTACATCGCACTTTTCTACCCCGGTGGTGCTGATCTCATCCTGACAGTATTCCTGCCCATGGCTATGCATAGCCCGCCCCTTTTAACCTCGCTGATTGCTTGGTCCTCTTCACATTTGTCATTACGTGACACATCGTTCCAGCAGGTTGCTATGCAGAACCGGTGCGCCGCTCTCCGGGACCTCCGAAGCGCCATCAATTCCGATCCGGCCAATATGGAGATCACCCTGGCCATGTCATTGGTCTTGTGCTCGTTGGAGAGCATAATGGCCGATAATGGCCATGCTTGGTATCTCCATCTGGTGGGCGCTGCTGAAATCATTAACTCTAAACTGAATACTCTGGAGTCATCGGGAGACTCAGAACAGGCTTCCAGACGCATGCTACAGCAGTTCGAAGATGCGTATGCGGGCCGCTGGCTTCTTCGCAACTTTGCATATCGCGATATTATAATGTCCGTTGCACGGGACCGGGCGCCATTGCTGAAATCTTATCACTTTCTACGACTAGAAGAGCCCCATCTGCCTGATTCGCATTTTGGGCTTGCGTCGGAGATCTTGGAGATTCTCTCCGTTACCAGTACACTAAAGGAGGAAATAAAAACTTTGTTCTCTGAATCTGAAACAGAGGGTGAATTTGGACTGGGTGGACTCGATGATGCCCAAAGATCTATTCGAATATCCGAATTTATGGCCACTCTTGCCTCGCTCGAGTCTCACCTTATCGACTGGACATGCCCTTCATCTCCCGATATGTTTTTAAGACTATTGGCCGAGTCCTATCGTAGCTCGGCTTTGATTTATTTGTATCGTGTCATGCTTCGGGCATGTCCGGATCGTCAGGACGAGCTTTTAGCAATGACAACTGGTCAGGTTGCAGCAATTGTGAGTAGTGTTGAACAGATACCGACGCGCAGTCTACCGGAGTGCACACTGCTCTTCCCTCTTTTCTTAGCAGGAGGAGAAGCCACTCAGGAATCACATATCAAGCCCATTCGAAACCGAATGCTTGACATGATTCGGTCGCGGGGTTTCCGTAATGTGGAAGTAGCACTATCTGTTTTGGAAAAGCTTTGGCGGTTGAGAATCGTACGGAAATTGACGGACACCTCCGTGCGAATTGACTGGCTTCATATTGTACAGCAAGATGAGATCCACCTTTCCTTATCATAATATTATTGACGAGATCTCCATATTTTTGAAGTGCGCAATAGCTATGAATTCAATAACACAAGATCTACCGCACGAACTGATCCGCAAAGCTAGCGCCCAGGCCAACCTCTTCGTAGTGCTTTCGCGCAGCCTGCAGTTTGCTGAAAACGTCCTCTATTCCCAATGCCTTGCCATCCACGTCCACGTAGATATATGCGCCCGTTACATGGAACAATGTGACCATCTCCTGAACTCCATCGGGCACCTCCAAGGTGTGAATATCGCCAGGGGGCTCGAAGGCGTATCCACCCTCCTCGGCCCACCAGGGGTGCTCGAGATAGTGCCATCGGCCCCGCAGTACTGTGGCATGTACTGGTCCTGTGTGTCGGTGGCGTGACAAAATTCCGCTCTTCCTGACGCGCAAAATGTTCACGAAGTAGCCGTGTGACACATTGAAGCAAAGCGGACGGAACCACACGTCTTTAGCTTGGGGCACCCACAGTCGCTCGTCGCATTCCAAGTCAAGAGCGCCGGTGACCACCAAGTCTTCGGGGACATTGGGGAGCTTAGGCCCCCGATACGGTGCGCTGGAAAGATCATCCTTCTCCATTGTGACTAAAAGGTGTTAGTGTGATGTGGGTTTATTTGCAATCCAACATTTGAATTAATACCTTGCAGAAATTTGTTTGGTGATGATAGGAGATGTTATAAAGGTGTTTTCGATTACATTGGAGATCCTTAGGTCTATATACACAGACTTCTACGGAGTACGTATTTGCCAATCCCCTGGCGTCAAGGGCGGCGAAACCGATCGATCGGACACTTCGACTGTCTCCACAATTGCAAGACTTCACTTGCTTTGAGACTTTGACCCATCAAATTGTGGAACCTCCTTATATCTGGTTGTGGGGTTCCCGCCCTACTTATTCGGCGTCAAGGGCGGCCTTCTCTGGCGTCGGTAATTGAAGTCGGAATTTGCCTTGAAAATCATATAAAATGTACTGCGATCGCGGGGCTTGTTCTCGTCTATTCTTTAGTCTTCTAGTGATTCAACAATAACCCCTCCAAAATGACCACCGACGAGTTCGTTCGCCGTTCCCACATCCTACACCGGGCTTTCTCTGAGCGACCTGCTAAGATAGTGGGCGGCGATGGTATTAGCACCATCTTGGAGAATGGCAAGAGAGTGATCGATGCCAGTTGCGGCCCCTCAGTGTCCTGTCTAGGTCACACCCAGCCTGAGATCTTCGACGCCATTACGAATCACCTTAAGAACGACATCGCTTACATCTACTCCGGCTCTCCTTATACTAATGGTGCGACCGAGGAGCTCGCCGATATTCTCCTCGCTGATATGCCTGGGGGCTTATCAAAGGCGATCTTTGTCAACTCGGGAAGCGAGGCGACCGATGCGGCCCTTAAGTTAGCTGTCCAGTACTGGTACGAACGTGGCCAGCCTCAGCGCACGCACTTTATTTCTCGCAAGCAGAGCTATCATGGAAACACTATCGGCGCCCTATGTGTCTCGGGCCATGAGTCGCGTAGAGAATTCTATAAGGACTTTATGTCGTCCAATGTATCCTTCTTGGATCCTTGCTATGCCTACCGCATGAAGTGGGAGGGTGAGTCGGACGAGCAGTTCGTTCAACGCCTGGCTCGCCAATTTGAGGATGAGATCCTACGTGTTGGCCCCGATCGCGTTGCGGGCTTCGTCGCTGAGACAGTCAGTGGCACCACTCTGGGCTGTCTGCCCGCCGTCCCTGGTTATTTTAAGGCTATCCGAGATATCTGCGATAAATATGAGGTTTTACTAATTTTAGACGAGGTAAGACGTGGTCGATGTTTTTTTTCTCTTTGTGTGGGCAGTGACTGACTATTGTCGCAGATTATCTGTGGCATGGGTAAGACAGGCACTATGCATGCCTGGGAGCAAGAGGGTATACATGGGCCCGATATTCAGACTATCGGTAAAGCCCTGGGCGCAGGCTTCGTCCCTCTGTCCGGTGTTTTGCTCCACCAGAAGATCTTCGACGCGCTCTCTGCAGGCTCTGGTGGTCTTGTGCATGGTCACACGTTCCAGGTATGTTACTGAAAGATCCGGAGTTGATGGCCGATGCTAAATCTGTTGTTCTAGGCCCACCCACTTGCGTGTGCTGCTGCCGTTGCAGTCCAGAAGATCATTAAGCGCGATAATCTGATCGAGCGGGTGGCTCAGATGGGTAATAAGCTTGAAGCATTACTCCTCAAGGAGATCGGTCCTCTTCCATTAGTCGGTGATATCCGAGGCCGTGGTCTGTTCTGGGCTATAGAATTTGTACTCGATAAGAATTCCAAGAAGGCTTTCTCGTCCAAGGACAACTTCTGCGGCAAGGTTGTGAAGAGCGCTCTCGGTATGGGGCTGAATATTCTCGGAAACCTGGGTCACACTGGTGAATACCAGGTTGATCACGTCCTGGTCTGCCCGCCCTACATAACGACAGACGCCGAACTCGAAAAGATTGTTTCGCTTCTTAAAGCTGCCATCTTGAAGACGAGTCAGCCATTTGTTCAGGAGGAGTAACCTACATAGTAAGACCCTCAATGGCCAGGTCAATTTGAAGGTTGCTGAGGTTGATCACCTCCATGTATGATCATGAGCAAATGAGATATATAAGACACACAGTAGAACAATCTGCTCAATGAAGAATCGCATGTACTAGTTTTTCTTTTACCGAAAAGCCTTATGACGAAGGAAAGAAAAGCAGAAGAGTAATCCATTTATGGAGTTAATTGCCAAATTCTCAATCACTTCTTTGAATCCCACCTGGGAATTCTGTGCACATGTGACATTCAAATGTTGATGGGTGGGGTTCGTGGCCCGTACTAAGACGTCTGGAATAATATAAGAATCAATTTTTAGAATCGGGACTGCGGCTTTAGGCTCAAAAGAATTATCATGAAACCAGACATCTTATCATTCATCTGATAATTGACCAAGGGGTCCAGGATCAGATTACCAGTGCCGGTCGCTAATGGGAACTTCATTGACATCAGTCCCTTCAACGAACCACCGCCCTTCTCCATTACCGTCCGGCCCGAGAAGCAGATCATTGCCACTCATCATGCGTTTACACATCTTCCCAGTCTCCCAATCAAAAGTCCAGTCTTCCAGCCCATAGCATCTCTTCCACCGCATCCCATCATCAATATCCTGATACTCGTACCAGAACTGGACGGCAATACGGTCATCACTGAACGCGAAGAGTTCCTTGCGCAGACGATAATTGTGTTCACGCTTCCATTTAGCGGTTAAGAATTCCACGATCTTCTCAGTTCCCGAAAAGAAAGTTGTTCGATTGCGCCAGATGCAATCTGGTGTGTATGCCAGTGCTACTCGGGATGGGTCCCTATATTGTCCAGTTAGCAGCACGTCCTCACTACGTCATCGTGTCACCGAGCAGAAGTCTTCAGGTCTGCTCAAATAACAACAGGAAATCAGATTTCCTGTCGTTCCCGTAGAGGGCATATACACATGTGTTCAAGATCCTCGCACGGACAAACATTGGGATGGAAGGAATGCAAGGGATATCGTTATTCGGCGCCCTTTCTTCGACCATGTGGTTGAAGAAAGGGTCTGGCTACAGGATTGGTTGAAACGTACTGAGTGTTCCACATATTCTGTGCGGCTTTCACTTTCTTGCGAGCTGTCTCTTCTGTAAAGGGGGGGCTTGATGTCTGCCATATTGGATTTTGTCGCGTGGGTGAGGGATGGTGATAGCGATCGAAGGAAATGTGAAGAGAAATGGATCGTAATTGAGTTTTATACTTTTCCAATGGTCCAAGGCTGGTTTTTGTATGTAGTCCCCCGAGTCTCCCGGAACGATGCAATGCCACAACTACTACTAAGATATATACTATACCATGAGCGGCGGTGTCACCAACCCACTTAGTAAATTCAAGTTCGGGCTTTGATCAATTTCGGCCTCTGGTTTCGGGGTCTGATTTTTTAGATTTTGCGGGAACTATAGATGCCGCAGCCAGAATTTGAATGGCTTTTCAGCACAAAAGTACATCTAGGAAGGCTGCTGGGCTACTAGTTCACTCGAAGGATGCGATGGACCCACACCTGGGCACCTATCTGCCCAGTTGCTTTAATCAGGATTGACTACTACCTACTAGTATCCAGATGTCTCCAGATGCCCAGGTGTCCAAGTCCATACCTATAGGAATGTAGCCCTAGAGGGCTCGGGCTCTAACTTCGAGTTGTACCCCAGCACTGAAGTGCTTCAATTCAAATTGTTGTTGGTACTATTGATATATCCTTCTGCCCACCTGGCAGGTGGGCCGCAGCCACTGGCACATGTGCAACAACTAGGTAGTTGAATGGACATCTGGATGTACCTAGTCACAGTACTACTACTACTACTATTTATTACTGCTACATTGATAGTGGTGAAACATTTGAATTTAAATAAAGAAACTTCAAGTTAAAATACTAGTAATATTAGAGATATTGATGAGAACTACATTTCGATTGGAAATCCTGAAATGCAAGTTGATAGATGTATGGAGTATTCTAGGGGGTACTACCCGGGATGAGCCCAGGGCATAGAGGGCAACTGGCTAATATGCACCATCAATTGATGTATGCACCTGATTACCTGGAAAATCGATATTGAAAGAAGCGATGGCAATCACAACATGGAGTGTTCCTTGACACTGCCTTGTTTTTCTACAATAATTACCCAATTGTTCAAACTTGAAATGATATGGCTCTGTATGGACTCTAGGGAGGGGAATGTGGAGGATAATGTGGTGCCGGAAAACCCCTTGACAGATAGACAACATTGCCCCTATCATCTGGATGGAATGTTGACTACACTAATTTCCTTCTCATCAAACACAAATCAGATTTCCTACTCCCTAATAAATTAATGATCAGCCGGCAGTGTTTCAAATTGTCGCCGAGGAGAGGCTCCGATTATGACTCTCATTGAAGTAGACTGCGATGCGATGCCTGAGACCATCATCATCGTTGCCCGGTATAGGCCGCGAACAGAACCGAGAAAAAAAAACCAGATTAACTTGAAATCCATAATTCAATAAGAAAAACACAGTCCCTAATTAAATACGTAATGCGAAGGAGGGTGAACAACAGAAGTTAAATGAGAAGGTAAGAGGTCTCTGAACTAGAGGCATTCCAGATGTGGGGTGACGTGCAATCCGATCTCTCCATTCCACAACAACAGTGGTGTTGAGGCATGCCACACAACCTTTTCACCTTTCTCTTTAGATATTGTCCTCTTCAGCCAACATCCCAATTCCTTCGTTCCTCGTGTTGGCTCCTCTTGCACTGGGTAGACAGCTCCCAAGTTGCGCACTTTCTTTTCGACCCCTCTATGTCGACTTAATCGAACACAGTCACTCTTTATTGTTCCAAACGTGGAACTAGCCGATCTTTACACAAACTTTCCACCTCCCACTCGCACTTAGTGAGTATCCAAGTTGTTCTTCTATCCTCCTGAATGTGAGAAACCAGATGCGGGGTTTGTTTATGTCCAATGTCTAACCCAGATTTCAGTTTCGACTAATCCCAGAAACAAACCATTCACTACCCAAAAAACTCCATTCAATCGCGATGACTACGAGAGCTTCACAGATCGACATGGATCAGATAATGTGGGACGTGGATGACCCTCAGCGGAGGCGTCAGCCTTTGACAGATGCATCAAGCCGCATCAACTATGCTCGATCACCCAAGGTTGAGACACCGCGTGTGCATGTTGAAGAAATCGACCAGCTCAAGACACCAGACCGAATGTCCATGGTTATGATGACCCCAACCCCTCGTGAAAAGGAGAACCAACGCTTGTCCGTGGTCACAGATTGGCAAACGGAGTCTGCCCGCAACTCAGTAATTTCGACAACCTCACTCCTCTCCAACAAAGGAAAACGAAAGACTCATGTGGGGCCATGGCGGCTTGGAAAAACACTGGGGAAGGGTGCAACGGGTCGTGTGAGACTGGCCAAGCATGCAGTCACAGGACAGACTGCAGCTATCAAGATCGTCTCAAAGAAATCGGCTGCGATGGTACAGAGCGAAAGTATTGCGGCTATGGATCGGAATATGGGAAACTTCTCAGGACTTTCGAATGCTCGACAAATGCCATGTGGGATTGAACGTGAAGTTGTGATTATGAAATTAATCGAACATTCAAATGTTATCAGTCTTTATGACGTCTGGGAGAATCGTGGAGAGCTGTGAGTATAAGGAATGGTGCCATTTGAATGAGTTCACTAATTATTTACCATATGACACAGGTACCTTGTCCTTGAATACGTCGAAGGTGGTGAACTTTTTGATTATGTCTCCCAGAACGGTCCACTCCCCGAAGAAGAAGCCGTTCGATTGTTTCGTCAGATCATCGCCGGACTGGGATACTGCCATCGATTCAATATCTGTCACCGCGACTTAAAACCAGAAAATATTTTGCTGGATGCAAATCACAATGTGAAACTTGCAGATTTTGGAATGGCTGCTTTGCAACCGGCAGGTCATTGGCTGAACACTTCATGTGGAAGTCCACACTATGCCGCGCCCGAGATCATCTACGGTCGCAGATACAGGGGAGACAGGGCTGATATGTGGAGCTGCGGAATTATTCTTTTTGCTCTGCTCACTGGTTATCTGCCATTTGATGGTGGTGATTTGGGAAATACTTTACGCCTTGTGAAGAAGGGTGACTACAAGATCCCATCAGAGCTAAGCGACGAGGCAGCCAACCTTATCACCAGGATCTTGCAGAAGCGCCCTGAAGATCGTATCCCAATGGCGGAGATTTGGACACATCCTTTGTTGACCAAATATGAAAAACTCCACAATGCGATGGCTGACTACTACATTGGACCTCCTCCCCTTTGTCAATCAAAGACTGTGGTGAGCCTGTGGTTAGCCGCCAGGAGATAGATATGGACATTTTGCGGAATCTACAGACCCTATGGCATGGTGTGCAGCCTGATGCTCTCATGAACAGAGTGATGTCACTTGAGTGAGTCAAATCCCTCAACACCTTAATTATCCTGCTAACAATAATCAAAGGCCCACTCACGAGAGAATGTTCTACAATGCTCTTGTTAAGTTCAGAGATGAACAGCTTGAGAACTACCAGGGACAGCCATTGGAATACTCTGCAAGTGATTACCACCACATCTCAAAGACTGGCGGCAAGGCTCGCAGAGGCCGAAGTCCAAACATGGGCAACAACTCGAGCAGACGTTCTCTTATCAAGGACTTACATCGTCGAATTGCCAATGTCCAAGAGCCCATGTCTTCTGCCAGTGTGGAAAGCTACGACCCATTCAAGTCTCCAAAGCAAAAAGGAATGGCTGCCGAGGCCAAGTATGCACAAATTACCATCCACAGGGCAGTCCCAGAGATCCCTGAGCAGGGCGAGATCACTCCCGTGATCAACCCTCCTCCATCCATTGTGGAAGAGGCAGAGCCTGAAGATGAAAATGAAAATGATTTGGAAAACTCGCCATTTAGCGTTCTTCAAAAGAGAAAGCATAAGCCCAACTCGATGAAGTCATTCCAGTCATCCAAGGTACCCCACTCTAGCTCTCGTGCTCCAGGATTATCTACTCGCTCTATGAGCTATCATCGAAATGTTTCCTTCCAACACACTCGCAATCGGTCCCAAGGATCCACCAAGCCGAAGCGTCGAAAGACTGCAGCTAATCAGCAATCCGAATTGAAGCGATCTCCCAGCACTGCCAGCTTGCAGACGATCGCGCAAGGTATTTCCATTCCGGATATGCCCAGCAGTCCCCCTCTCCCAGCTCAACCAATGGTGGTTCGACCTGGCGCCAACAAGGCGCAAAGAATAGACCCAGTGTGCCGAGGCCGCAGCATGGATCTGTTCTGGAATGAAGATACCCGGAAGGTCTCCAACGAGCTAAGCCAGATATGTGAAGAGGCATTCAATGGAAGCTCTGTTACGATGCGCACTGCCAGTACCTGTACTGAAGTGGGGTATGAGACTCCTGCGACGCCTGTCTCCATTGCCAGCCCAGAAGCGACCGAAAAACCACAGAGCTCTTCGGTGCAATACAAGACCTTCCCTACTCGGGAGTCCAGTCGCTCTTATGGTTTCCAGGAACTAACACAGACCCGACGCAAGCTCGTAGAGCATAGCATGGGTCGAAATGATAATATCTCAGCCCATCTTTCTGGCGTGATTGGCCACCTAGACCGACTCATTGAAGAGGACCAAGCAACGCATGCTACGCACGGATTGGGTGAACAAAAACCGCAATTCGTGGATCCTTTCATCACAACACCTCGAGATTCTTCATTGCCTGTCATTAGTGAAGAGTGCGCTAGCCCTGTTCGTGGGAATGAGGAAGTCAGTCCCAAGCGCAAGCCGAAGCTTCGTCACACAACTCGCCAAAGCGATAATAAAGCAACTATTCGGATGGTACCTCACAGCTCTCTCCGCTCCATGGAAGAGGTTAAGCCACTGATGATTCGAAAGAAGAACCAAATTGGAGAACTTGACTCCCACAAGACGATGGATCCCATTCGAGCATTCTCAGCTAGTTCCCGTCAGAGTCGAATGGAAAGTAGTCTCGATCCCATTGATGAAGTTCCAGGATCCCCAAAGAAGGCAGGTGATACCAAGAAATGGTCCTGGTTCAAGCATCGGTCTCAGATCTCGGATCCAACTCCCGCCGTTCCACCCAAGGACAACCCACAACCCATTATCCCCAGCAATGGCACAGTAATCGTACACCCTCCACAGGATCTATCATCACCAACCAAAACCGACCAAGAGAGAGAACCAGTGCCGACCCGAAAGTCCTCTATGGAGCGATTCGGTGGTGCTCTCAAGAAGCTTATGCCCAGGAAGCCAAGCAAGACAGTTCCTCCCCCTGGAGCTGGTATGTTCAACACCCTCAACTGTATGGCCCATCCACTAAGACCAATCCAAGGACAATTCGAACCCAAGGATATCCGCAACTCCGAGCTCCTTTGCAAGGGCTCTCCCGATTCTGATAGTTCTTTCGAAGCCCATGATCCACAGAATCCCTTTAACCAGAGACGCCGTTCGCTCGCCAGTCAGAACTGGTTTGCTCGCGTCTTCCAGATCAAGCCAGTATCTCGAGTGATTGCATTAAACACCAGCAAAATCAAGGGCCGCAAAGAGCTCTACAGACTTCTTCGCGAGTGGGAAGATTATGGAATGGAGGGCGTGCGCATGGACAAGGCTAACAGTATTGTCTATGGTCGTGTTGCAGAGTCTAACTGTATGTGTCTCAAACCTAGCTTTCAACTTCATGATACTAATGAAAAATAGTCCTTCGACTCCGTGAAGTTGCTTTCACTGCTGAATTCTACACTGTTCTCGAGCACGGACGTCAAGCGAACTTGAGTCTTGTACGATTCAAGCAAGTTCGCGGCGCCGCTTCTTCTTTCAACAAGGTCGTCGATACCGTGAACATGATGATGACGGCCCGTGGTTTCGTCGTCGAAGATCCCGCTCGAGCGAAGAAGATGACTCGAGTACTTGAAACAATCCCTAATGCCTAATTCTCAACGAAATCCCCTCATATCGCTCACCATAGTCTTTCGTTCATTTCTTCCGCATTGCTGCGTTCCAGCCCTGCCCACAACAATCGCATCTATTTCAATTCTCTCGACTCTGTCGCCCAACTACCTTTTCTCTATCAAATCCCCGACTCTGCGAGTCATGGTCATTCGTTTTCTGTCTTCCATCAACCCACCCAAACATTCGTTTCTGGCCTGAAGAGCCTATTCAAAATCAGTTTCCTCTCTCTTTACCTGCCACTCTTCTTTTGTCGTGTCAAATTTCGTGGTTTAATGCTTGAACACCAATTGCGGCGTAATGCATAATCATCGTGTCAGTTAATCTACTATTTGTCTAATCCGGCTCTCTCGTGGAGTCGGACAGTTCAATCGATGTAGTTAGTTGAAATCAATTCAAACAGTTCGTAACAACTCTATTCACAATCCATTATCAGGTAGAAACAAGTCTATCAACACATGCTAGACTAAAGAAAACAAAAAACCTCCACATCTATATGGTCTGGTAATTACTCCCTCAATCCAACCTTATAAACCAACTCCTCCTTCAATCCCCACCCAAGCGCAAATGCAGCTCCCGGTCCAAACGCACAGGTAGTTCCAACCAAACCTGTTATACCCTTCCACCAGGAAAACTCAGCACCCGATCTTTTCAACTCGCGGAACCTCAGAGCCAACCAGGTGAATCCCGCTCCCGTAGAAATAATCTGATCCCACTTGAAAAACCAAGCAATGTCTCCCTCAAACGAGGATCCAGAATTCATCAATCCAGGCCAGAAAATACTAAGCGCAGATGATCCAGCTGGGGCAGTGTAGCGCGAATAGAGGAATCCGAGGGCTGAAACTGTAGCAATAGATCCATATGCAACGCGGACAGCGGTGAGACTCTTCTGACGATTCTGAATTCGGGCCTTTGGTTCGGCGGATCCTTCGCTCTTGGGGTTCAGAAGAGTGTTCAATGGGAGTTGGAGGAGGGGAACTGTAATTGGGTATATTTGCCATAATGCGTTCCACCATTTGCGGCTTTCGAGGGCTGGTGCGAAGAAACTTGTTAGACAGGGGATATATTGTCCTGCTAGCGAAGCGAAGAGGAGGGTGTATGTTGTTGTGGGCTCGGTTTCGCGGTAGTTGGCGAATGCGGTTTCTAAGAGGGAGACTTGGAGGTATTGGAAGAAGTAGTAGACTGGTCCGAATACACCTATTCCTCCTAACTGAGACAGTGCACCCATTAAGATGGGACTGGGGCTTTGTTAGTATGATGATTGCTTTTGGTGGGAATTGGGTGAGCTTACAGTAATGGTGCAGGGAGTGTGTGCACTTTGCGGTAGCTCTCTAGCGACCAAATTGCGACGACGCCGTTGACATCGTTGATGAAAGGCAATACTTGAGCCCTGGATAGTACATCTGAGCCTGTGATAGCGGGAAGGAAGAATGTAATCATAGGTCGGACGAGCTCATCCAGCGTCTTCAGGTTGAAAAGGGGAGGCTGAAGATTGACGATTCCACCAGTGCTAGTTGTCCAGCTTCCCAATTTGGCAATCTCCTCCATCTGTGGGATCACTTTCATCACTGCAGGCACCATTGTTACAAACGCAAGGCCAGTGAATCCAAGAAGAGAAAGACCAGCCAGAACCCGCTGCCAGGTCTTTTCTTTGACGATGGAGGACAGATTATCATGGCACTTCCACGGTACTAGGCCCTTAAAGGATCTTTCTGGGAATGGAAGACATGAGACAGCCTCACCACCGGCAATGCCATCTGTCGTGCCCCTCTGTGTTAATGTGGTCATGGGCTGGATGAGATACTTCAATATCCTAAATTTTAGACTGGCCTGGGTCTCCAGTCGACACAGCATGGCGGCTATGTCCCAAGTAGGGATGAGTCGCTCTTTACGAGCAGTTTCCCATTCCTTGAAGGTACGGTCAATGTCCTCAGTTTTAGGCTCGGGGTGCTCCTTAAGCATGGAGGCAATGCTGTTGGTCAGGGCCACAGAACTTTCGATGGCTGAATTGGCACCAAAACCAGCATTAGGAGTCATCTAACCATTTGCATTAGTGAAGTTCCAATCTTTTCAACTAAACTCCGCACTGGGTTTTCTGTCACTCTGCGAGACATACCTTATGAGATGCATCACCCACGCATGCGAATCGATCAGTGGACCAATTTTCGTAAAGAGCCTCCTCCAATGGTACCCAGTTACGAGTCTCAGCACGCTTGTAGACCTCAGAGAAGCGTATCTTATCACTGACAAGTCGATCCAGATATGGAGCGGCATGCTGGTCCATTTCAGCATGATTAAAACGAGGGATTTCATGGCTCTTGTATTTGCGATCGAGCTTCGTGAAAAGGAAGAAGTAGACCGCGTCATGCTTGCCAGCAACTGTAAGGATACACCAGCCCTCACCATATGTACGATGGATATCTGGCACCTTGAGTCCTGGTACCGGAGATGCAATTCCGAAGAGACAATCGTACTCGCAGGTCATGCCTAGAAAAAGTCAGACCGTCGAACAAGGTCGGAAGAGTGCTTGATGCTTCGATTGCTCGAGTATTGACATACGCTCACGCTCTTTTTGAGCTTCCTTCTGGAGTCCACGAGTGTCCATATGGTCCCACATCTCCGATCTGATCTTGCTTCTCACGCCATCAGCACCGATGACGATGTCTCCCTGGAATGAAGAACCATCTTCACAATGAGCCACAACATGCGTGTCCGTATGCTCAACTCGAGTGACTCTTTTGCTGGTAAGCACTGAATTTTGTCTATCTCCAAGATGCTTATAGAAGATCTGGAGGATCTTGCGACGCTCCAAGAACGCATTGATATATCCATGGCTATATCAAACAGTCAGAATTGAGCCTTGTCTGGAGCAAACTTGAAGGTTGGAAACGTGCAACTTACTTCAACTCTGATAAACCAGGGGTAGTCAGATATGACAGAAGTTTCCCCTTGTCAGACCAATTGTATACATACTCAAGCGGCTCAACCTCTGCCAGGATATCATCTAATATCCCGAGCTGATCGACCGCCAGAGACGCATTGGCATAGATACTAATCGATGCACCTTCCTGTGGAGCAATTTCATCGCGTCCCTCTAGTACGACAAAGTCAATACCATGGTGTACTAGGCAATGTGCCAAGGTGAGGCCGGCAATCGATCCACCAACGATGATGACACGGAAGTTCTTTGGCTTTGTTTCAGCCATATTGTTCAAGTTCAAGTTCAAGTTTCTCAATGAACTCGAATACGCGAACAGGATGAATGGGTATTGTTAGCAATCGCGATGAAAACAAAGAACTTGGAAGAATGTGGAAAGTAAGCAATATTTAAAACAGGGTCAGCATATAAGCACACGAGGAAACAGTCATTCACGGAAGTTGACTTGTCAAGCCTTGCTAGAGTGGACCTTGCTCAGGACACGCATCGATGAATATCTTTCCTGTTTTGTTTACACGGTTTAACCAACCACATCGTTGAACTAGCTCATCCGTGTCCACCCTCCAATGGATATACATTAAGCCACTACAATTGTGGAATCCTTCCTTCACAAGAGTACTTTATTGGCCGTGTCGCTAATACTACCACGATTTTATTGGGTCGCACTTTATTGTATTTCGGGGCTGTTCTGGGGGCCAAATTCAAGTGCACATGCAAGTATAAATTAAAATAATCATATTCTAGAGCCCAAAAAATTGAATTTCCTTTCTTGGACTCGGATGATTGCCGCTTTTAGAGAGGTGCACTGGATCATCGTGCTCACTGAGTAGTTCCAAGGTTACTACCATAGTGTCAAATACCCTGAGCGGTCATAAGTCATGTGACAGTCGTGGGTAAGCGCTGGAGCATCGGGAACCTTGGGAGCAACTCACATAACAGATAGAGCCTTACCTAGTTTATACGACGAACCCAAATTGAAGGGTATCAACCAGCAGTGGTAACTCAGTTGGCTAGAGTGTAAGATTGCAAATCTTGAAGTCCCGTGTTCGACTCACGGCCACTGCTACTGGCAATTCTTTTTTTGGTCCTTTCTCCTACCGGGCTATTCCTGCGCTTAATTAGTAACCTTGGAAGCGGTTATTTTTGATAACTAATTAGATCCGGGTACATATACCTATGCTCAGATATACTCAGTGAGCAAAAAGCGGCAAGGTGTGAGCACTAAAGCGGAAAGTTCTAAAAAGTCCCAGAGAATATGGCTCGGGAGTGAAGGGCGGTGCCGCAGCTGTCTCCCCCCTATTATGGGTACCACGACTAAAGTTCTCATTTAGCGAGATTGTCAACGTGGTCTACGGATTACATTCGTACGGAGGCGTATCCGATCCTATATGGAATAAAGCCCGAGATGAATTGGAGTGGCTTGGACTTTTGATGCGTGGCTTTAAAAGTTGCCCAGGTGGCATCTAGCGCGGTCTTTTACCCGGTTGAATGGTATTGTGCCGATCTCAACACAATGAGATTATCCCTAAGTATTATCATCAACATTTAAACATTTGAAAGAATAAGGCTGACAATCAATGTGAAAGATGAGTTAATTTTATTTTACTATTCATAAGAACAAAAATGAAGAGGTAAAGAAAACGGTGAAGTATATAAGGCTGGCTAGCGATAGGTATAAATTTTGTGCATGTGGGAAAAAAGGTTTTATGGATCCAACGTCACCATGATGCCAGTGATAATCAGATATGTAGATACTATACATGTGAATTTCAAGTTCAGATGGATATCAATTAAAATAAGAACAATTTCAGCCCTAGAGGTATGTACAGATATAATAATAAGCAGCTGAGATATCTGGAATAAATAGAATATTTTCTTTTTAACAAGCCAAGAACATGGAAATATCAGCCATAATCTTGGAACTAATCCACTAATCCTAAGTCCACTCACTGGTGAAGCTCTGATGTACCTTTGCACATGCGGTATAGATATAATCGCCAAACGCGTCAATTAATGTGGACCTGGTACATTACCTGGCATATACATGCACGTAGGTAATGTCTGCTTACGACTGAGCATATGAATGCAATAAAGAATAAATTATACCAAACTCAAGGAAGTCCCATTATTTATAGAAAATAAAACTCGACGTCTAAGGTTTCAATGTTGTCGACTTCAACATTTGAAGTTCAAAAATGTAGTCCAACCAGGAGAATTTCAAGGTTCTCTCTTAACATTTGCTTCTTATGTAGGTATCCCATGAAGACTTGGAGCCTGAGACTTAATCTGCATACCTCATCTCAGGCTGCATACATACATAATGATGGTTGATTACTCAAATGCTCAATGTATTAACCATCGTTCTGGGAAACCATAGATCAAATACTGGAAATACTAAGTACTTCAAGTTTCTGGGTTGTGGTCAATAGACAAAAGTATTAGTAGTAGTATGAAGTAGAGGACGAAGGAGGCCGGAGATTTTCGTGTTCCAAGGTTATATTAAAGACATCTTGTATATGTGCACAGATTACTGCCGACTCGGAGCTCAAGATGGAGAATTCGGATATGGATATCAGTACATGTGTATCAATTGGATACATGGTGCTGGTGCATTCAACATTTGAAGTTTATTATTCAAATGTTCCTAGTATGATTGACTCGAGACGACAACCAACTGCATAGTATTCAAGTTAGTTACCAGGTTAAATCATACCCACTTCAAGTTCGAGTCTGACCTTATTTACCAGTTGATCAATTTAAGACAAGATAATGAATATACATCCCGAGATCTACTTTGAAGGCAGCTCTCAACTTGAAGTGGTCTGATCTAAACACGGACTTGGCCATATTATCATGTGACGCATAGTACTGATATCTACGGAGGTCGGTCCCAAAAGTTCTTGCCAGAAATTATAATTTCTTTTTCTTAATAATTTACACGCTGTTCTAGATATAGTAAATATCGAAATATATACTGAAATTGAGTTGTAAATTCAACCGAAATATAAACCGAAATATGTACCAAATATAGCACGTTACATACACTAAATATCACATATCTTCCCACCCGCTTTCGCTGTCGCTATCATTGTCGCTGTCGCTATCATTGTCGCCGTTGCTATCGCCGTCGCTGTCACTGTTCATATTATCACCTGAAATTCCACTAGGAGCTATCATTTCACCTGTTTTATCACGTCCCTCGCAGTACTCATTACCCCCTTCTAGTCTAATTACTTGCTGTATATGCCATGGGATACGCTCAATCCAAGCCTGACCTTGTGCTTGAGGTAGATCACGCCACGCAGCCTCCCAAACTTTGATCCCTTCCTTACGTGATTTAGGGGCGCCCTTCTTTGTAGTATATCTTTTCATCCAAGGCCATGCAGGCTCAATCATGTTGAGATCAGGTGAATTTCCAGGCCAAAGCATACGCTGGACCCCTGCTATATCAAATATTCGTTGTTGATAATGATGCGAGTGAGCAGGGGCTTTATCTTCTTGGACCACTGTTCTCGGCCGAAGTTGAGCACATTTAAGCGCAAATGGGACTAATTTAGGCCCTAGAATCACGGTATTATATCGATACCAATCGATTCCACCTTTTGAATTTCGTGCAAGCTTTCCAGTCATCTGATTCCATTTCCATTGGGGTGGTTTTCCAGGTTTGTTCCGTAGCCCTAAGCGACGTACGCCTGAATTAAGCTCCCATTCAGCACGCATAATAGGCTCTAATTCAGCGTTCCATTCAGCAATCTTTTCTTCTGATTCACGCTTTTCGGCAGATGTTTCAGGTACCCAGCAATGACATGGACCCTTCTGATCATAAGAGAAAGCACCCCAGAACATAAATTCAGATGAGCCCTTCCAACGTTCACGAATACAGCTTCGGATGAATCGTTCTTTTGAATTTCTCCAAACTCGATATCCACCCCGACGGTGTAGTGGAACTACAGCAGTCTCATCAGTCCAAATAACATTCTTCCAGTCCTCAATAGTCCAATGTGCATGTTTTAAACACCATTCCAAGCGTTGTTTTTTTCGCCTCAGCTGCTAGCCTGGCTTGCGTGTAGGCTTCGTCTTTCGCAGGCCAATTTTCTGTAGCACACGCCAGACTGTTGTCTTTGATATTTGAACACCTAGTATTAGTAAATATTAACAAATAACATATCAAATAACATATCAAATAACATATCAAATAACATATCAAATAACAACATACCTTCTTCACATGCTATTTCCAATGCTAATTGCTCACATGTTTTCTCACGCCCGTAGCGATCTACACGGATTTTGGTCACAAGTTGTGTTTTAAGCTCCTCTGTTTGCTTAGATGGGCGTCCAGAACGTAGCTTATCGGCTAACATTTCATCTGAAATATTAAGCTGTGGTTGATTCGGCTGAAAGCCTCGTTCTAACGCACGCTGCCATATAGCGTCGACCGTACGTCGTGGAATATTAAGGTAATCGCTCACATGTCTAGTAGTCCACCCTAGGTTCTTTAGGGCTACTATAATAGCACGTTGCCCAATATCTGTCTTCATCTCTGGATAAAAAGATAATAACCTGAGAAGAATGAGGATTAAATCTGCGGGGTAGTTAACGCTGCGTGTTCCATAGCAGCCGAATTACCCTAGGCAATATTTAGACTAGTATTTAACACGGTGATACACCCTACATACAGCGAGCTATACACCCTACGTACAGGGGCAGTAATTTATTAAGAAAAAGAAATTATAATTTCTGGCAAGAACTTTTGGGATCGACCTCCGTATTGAAGTTATCATATAAAAGTAGCCTGTGCTTTTTGTATCAAAGAAATACTAGTAATAACGTGAAGATCGGGGTCCATACAAATAAATCTCAAGTGTTGTAATTCCATTTAGGTGATCTCACTATAATATCTCTATTGTAGGAACTGCAGCGGAAGACAGCACACTAATCAAATTGATACGGACTAGAGCAGTAACCCTAGGTAAGAAATTGAACATACAATAAACAGCAACACTTTAGTACCAGCATAATCAAACATCTGAAACAAATACTAACATGATTGTATTAATAGTAGTGGTGCAGTGGCAAATCTGACTACATTTAAATGACTCGGCTCGGATCATATGACTCGGACAGGGCTGAATCTTCCCGGTCCCCGCAATCGTATCGGCATCTCATCGACGCGGATCTGGTAAATCTGCCGCTGCCGCTTATCGCGGGAGGATCTAATCTTAGCTCCATCTATTGCATTCTGGAATCTGGGGTGAAGATTATTGGATCTGCTTTTGCAGGTACTAGTTACCGAGTATGGTTCGGGCCGTCATCATAGATCTGTCGGATACTCTGCATGGTATAAATGAGATTAGATCTATATCAAGATTAGATCTCAATCCACATTCCTAGATACTAGTACTGATTCACTTACACAGATTACACTATAGATTACAATATTGTGACTAGTGGATTCAAACCGAGGAGAAATTGTAAACGCAGAGATCGAATGGATTATCCGGTCGAAGCTCCGAAAGCACTTAGCCGACGAAATATAGCTCAAAACGCGAAAAACAAAGAGTGATCAGACAGCCTATCCCAGTATAAAAAGCAGACATGCAAAACTTGAAGACATACGCAAAAGAAAAAAGATAAAGAGATGAACGAAACAGCTGAAAAACAACGAAAATTGACACAGCCGACCATCTTTTGTCAAGGACATGCGGAAAATTCAAGGGCTTTAAAAGAGATTGCCTTCCTCGTAATGTAAGATGTTGGAGAAACATAGCCATGCGCGCGGGAAAGAAGGGGAAAAAGAAAACAAAAGCTGCAGTAAACCAAACCTTAACGCAGGAGTTGAAAATGATCAAATAGCCGCCCGAAATTGTAAAAAAAAGTATGTGGCGCACCCTGCGATGTGAAGTGCGTAGGTTGCATCGCAGGGGCAGATAAGAAAAAAAAGAGTGAAATAAAAATCAAAAAAGAAGAGGGTGGTGAGGGGTGTGATGCATGAAGCCGAAACCTCGAACGCTAAGGTCTGGATATGCATCAATAGGGTAATCATTGGTAAGAATGCAGCTTTCCTACCCGATGAGACTTGGATTGCTGTATTTCAAATAACCACTGATATCACCTGCACCATCTGCAGAATGCAAACCTGCAAACCTGCAAACATGCAGAAGAAACCCCCGACTTCCCCGCCCCAAGAGTTTGGGCCCCTCTGCAATTAATCAAAAGACAAAATCGATAGAAAGAAATCGAAATGTATAGGTGAGATACCCAGAAAGAAAAAAAAGAAAAAAGCGTAAAGAAAATAAAGTGTCGTATGCCGAAAAAAATTAAAAAAAGGACCTCCCAAACCAAGTATTTCGATATTTCAAAAATTTCATGCGGCTCGTAAAGCTCATGGGTCCGCGTTTCGTGGCATCGTGTTTGGACCAGGTAATAAAAGCCCAGTAGAAACAAAATGTGAGACCGTTTCATCGTTGCCATGGCTGTTCCAGCTCAGATTTTCGTGGTTCCGGAATTAATCTGAGCGAACAACCCCGAGATTGCCATATCCCTTGCTGCTTTTTTGATCCCCGACATTTTTCTCCATTATCTCTGGCGTCAAGGGCGTCAAGGAAAATGAAGCCAAGCGTTCTAATTCGCGCGAAATCACGAATATCTCTCCCACCCAGAAACCAAGATAACTGAAAAGTGGGGAGAGAATTCCAAAGTGATCTTCTCAACAATAGAAAGGGGGCGAAAAATAAAAGAAAAAATAAAGACTCGAACAAGAAACCAGCCTCGATCCTACTGGATTTTTTCCGATCCAGCCACGATGCCTCTAGGTGACCATAACTCGACCTTTGGGAAAAAGAAAAAACACATGGGTGCTCCCATCTCAAAACCGTGTGGCCAGCACACGGATCATTCCTTCGCAATTCCAGGCATTCCTCGGCGCGTCTCCTTTCTAACCGTGCCCCTCGGGATTCTCCACCTCACAATCTCCTCCCAAAACTTAAGGAAAGTAAGGGGAAGATAAGGACCACAAGGACAAAGAGAAAGAAATCTCTTTATTGGCCGAGACCGCGCCGATTGAGCGCATTGAGCATGTCGCTATCGGTACTGGATCGACCATGAGAATCACCCGGGTTGAGCATATCGCGCACATTCAATCCTCCAGAACGAGCCGAGCCGCCGGGAGTCGAGGTTGGTGGAGGAGTGGGACCACCTTGTGGCGGCTGCAGGGGCGGATATGGCGAGCTGTGGGGCGAAGAAGAATGGCGCGTATCATAGGCGTAAGCAGATTGCGGCGAGGTGCGACGATCGTGAGGTGGCGGGTAGTATGGGCTGGATGTTTGGTATCCCGGAGTGGAACTGGACACAGGGGCCAGATTGGTAGGATCGGGATAATCGTAATGCGCGTTAGCGCCTGGAACCGAGTTCGGTTGAGGTTGTCTCTGTACCAAAAATCCTCCAATTAGATTTTCTGCGAATCTCTTCGAAGCGAGCAAAGCGCATTGGGGAGAATGGCGGCCTTACCGGATCCGTCGTGCTCGACGCAAGGGATGACCCAGGGTACGGGTGTTGAGAGTACATCCCTTGAGGCGGCGGCAAGGTAGTTTCGGGACCTTGCGGTTGCTGTTGTGGTGGAAGCGGTTGTCCATGGGCTCCGTAAAGGGTCACGCCGGCACCACCGCGGGCCCCACCTTGGTTGCGCAGATGAGGGTAGGCGGCATGAGCGGGAACAAAGGCTTGCGCCTGGGAAGAGACCGGGGTGAACATGCACTCCTGATTAAATCGCACACAGTTGGTACACCGCCCATCGGAGGAGCTTTCAAACCCAGAGCAACGAATCTAAAAAGTGGGGGTATGATGTTAGTATTGCGAGGGGTTTCTCGAAGTTGTATAGTGATAAGTGGGTTGAAGTTGTGTAGTTGGTAGTGGTGGTATATTTCTTTGTGCTGTTCCCGAGGCATCTCTGGTGAAGTATAGGACTCCATATTATCACGTACCTTTCGTCGGCGACAGTAACGACAGGCAATGGCAGTTCGCTGGCGTGGAGCTGCTGCTTGATAGACCACCGGCGCGGCTTGCGCATACACATCGGGACGAGGCGGGTAAGCACCTGGAGGAGGCGGCAAACGATGATAAGGATCTTGCCCTTGGACCTGATGAATAGCTGCCATGTTGGGTGGAGGAGGCGGCGGGTATTGAGAATTGGGAGGAGGATAGTAGGCGCGGTCGTGCTCTTGAGGAGGAGGATAAGAGGCCGGCGGATACTTGAAATAGATAGGTCAGCTTTGTGGAGGTTCCTTTTTTTTTCTTTCTTTCTTTAGATTCATTTTTGGTAAGATCAGCCGGGAGGGAAGTTCAGCTCCTGTTTCAGCTGCGCCTCTTCTTTTTTCCCATTCTCGCGATCTTTGATCTTTTTTTTTTTTTGGTCTCCAGTTCATACATACCGGATAGGCAGCGTGATCGTCAGACTGACCGTTCCACTGAGGTGGATACTGTCCCTGTCGATTAGGGTCGTAGTCGGAGGGATTGGACATTTGTGTGATTTTGAGGGAGGAAGAGAAGGAGGATGAGATGAGTCAAGGGTACAGGGATGTGACGTCGAGTTATGAAAGGGGGAGGAGTCGAATCACGGCGCCAGCATAGCGCGGTCACGCAGGGGAAAAAGGGAAGCCGATGCACCCAGGGAAAGGAATCGAAGAAATAAAATAAAATAAAATCAGAAAGAGAAAAAAAAAAGAATTATTTAATTTTAATTTTCTTTTTGGATAATTTTTTTTCTTTTTCTGAATAAAATAAAATAATAAATTCCAAGGGGGGCGAAAAGAGTAAAAAAAAAGGGCATTAAAAAAAAGGGAACAAAAAAGGCCAAAAAAGAAGAACAAAAGCGTTATGACGTGGGATGATTATATAGAACCAGTCACATCTATAGAGCCAAAAGAACCACTTTAAATATGATTTTTTAATTGGTCCCTATGGAGCCCGGGCAGAGCGGGCTAAAGCGGCGCCTAGTGACCCATCGGTATGGATGGGCCAGGATGGCGGACCCTACCACTCAGCTGAGCAGTGGCAATGAACAGTTACGGCCCGTAGTACGTCTTGTACAGACGGAGTACACACTAAGTTAAGCGGACTTATATATACTAAGGCACTTTGGAGGGGAGTGTTTCTTTTTTAGCCCCCATCTCTCCCCCACATAAGAGTCGGTCAGTATTCCAGAATAAAATTTAATTACATAGGGAGAATTACCGGAATTATCTCATTAATTAATTAAAATAAGATTTATTTTTTCTGTGATATGTAGTTATTATATACTTAAAGTACTGGTAATTAAATACATCATGATTCCTCTATTCGGTCGCACAACCGCAACCGGCCCCGCGGAACCAGGATTCTTTCCCACGGCGATGGGCGCGGCTCGGGGCGAATCTGCCTGCGTCAATCCATTGCAACCCAATATCCACAGAGCCACTAGGCGAATCAGGAAAAAAGTGCAGAAGTTGCATGAAAAAAAAAGATCTAAAAAATGTGAGCTATGAAATAACTATCACTTTTTTACATCAGTAAAACTTGGAACTGGGAATCCTTGATAAATTAAAAACAAGGTCGAGTAGGAATATCCTTGGTAGTGAACGTTTGAAAGGAGTAAGATAAAGGGGGGTGGGGGGGGAATAACGAACCTAGATACCGAGGTAATAGATTTCTGATTCCCTAATTCTTTTTTTCTCTCAAAAAATAAAATAAAATTGATAATAATAAGAAGATGATGATAATTTGAAACATTTCAATCCCTCAGACTACCCCGTACGAATGTACCCAAAAAACCCAACATTTTGAAAGTGGAGGAAAAGGAAAAACAAACCAAACAACCTTGGAACATGCATTGGCATATCTGCTCCGGGCCTTGTACATGGAGCTACTGCAAGTACTATCGAACACTTTTCCCCCCTCTCCAGTACTCAGTAAAAGAACGGAGGTACCAGAGCCAGAGCGGTGAGAAAAAAAAAGTGGCGATCAGACTTCAGCTGAAGTGAGTGGGGAGGGGGGGGCCTCTCTATTCGCCACCCTTTCCCAATACGAGTGTCTGGTGACGGAGAGCGGAGCCTAATACTCACTTGCTCGGCAGTGGTTGACCATAAAGAATCCCAGCTCTGTGGTACTGGAACCGGAAAGCCCATTATGAGCCAAGGTAACCTGCATTAGCGTCGGTAAGCTGCTGATGGAGGGGGGCCGGAGGGGAGCGGGTTCCTTGTTCTTTCTGGAGCCACAACCACGTTGTAACGGGGTGGAGGTGATCATTAACAGTAGGAATTGCATTATAGAAGAAATAGAAATTAGAGTATTCAATGTATCCAAGAATTCATATATAAGTATATACCTAGGTATAGTAGATGAGTTTGTGTATATAAGGAGCAAACTTTCGGGATCTGTAAAACGTAACGAGGATTGGTCACCGCCAATCCCGCGTGTCCACCCGAGGATTGGGCGTGTCCGAATCTGAATCAGACGGATGATTTCATGATATTTTCTGATTTTCTGAGATGAGAAAAAAAATGGGGGGTTTGCATAGGTATTATTAGAATTACTAGAATTACTTAGAAATTTAATCTATTTAGTATTCGGTATAATAGATATATTCTAATCTTTCTACATATTCGACGTGTCTAATTCTTATTCCAATTTCGATCTGTATCTGTATCTTCCACAAGTTTGTACACTGTACACGTTTTCATGTAATATGAAGAACTTTTGCCTCGGGGTACTTGTCCCACGGGCCGCTCCGGCCTTCCCGCTGATCTTATGCATGTGTGTTGCCATCACACAGGATTATTATTATTTTCTTTTTTAATTACCAAATGATAAAAGACCATCCTCGGGGAACTCAATGATTGGTAGTCCGCTGCCCTATGAACCATGCCGAAGGGGGGGGCGACCTTCCAGGGCTAGAAATTTGAGAAACCTGAACCTGGTGGGAATATTCCTTTGTGGGACGTTGAGGTCCTCGACATATCCTTACCTATTTAATAGTAATTTATTTTTATTATTCTTTTATTCTTTTATTCTTTTATTCTTCGTTAGTCTCTATCCACATTGATTCGACAAACCCTGGGTCTTGCCACGTTTTTTGGGATGTGACTGTTCCCTGTTTCCTGTACATTCCCGCGTCTTTCCGTTTCCGCTCTCTCCACTTTGTTCTGGCGTGGCATTGCTATTAGCGTACCAAACTTCTATGCCAAAAATGAAATGAAATTAAAATAAATATTAATAAATTTATAAAATGAAATCAAATTTCAAGGGAAAAAGTGGAAAATCTTTTCAGAGGAAAAAAAAGGGGAATAGACTCCACCATTTGACCCAAACTTCCTAGCCAGTCGATGCCTTTTGTTCTGGGGACGCGCTAGTCAATTTGGACCCAAGGAAGGACTGAGCGTAAGTACGGAGTAGGGGAAAAAATGTGTGGGCTTGAGGAACCGCCCCCAGTACTTGAGTCAGGCTACACTTTTTTTTTTCATTCTAGGCGTGCCATATAATTAATCTCGGACTGTATCTGGATTAGTAACATAAAATTAAATATCTATGATACACTTATTGCGGGGAGAGTGTAGAATTATCTCTGATTATTCTTATAACCCACACGGGAGCGCGTCTATCAGGATGGAGACCCGTCGGGCACTAATAGGCGCAGCCCGCTGCAGCCCGCATGGCTGTTCAGTCACGGGAACACGGGCCACGGACCTATAACGAGAAAGGGATCTGACGTGGCGAGTAATGGAACGCGAGGCAGTGCTGAACTGGGTCGTGTGATGGGTCGAGGGGCGGTGACACCGTAGGATTGGGATTTCGACTCGGAGTGAAAAGGGAAAAAAAAATAATACATGTAAATAATTTCATCCTTTGTTTTCTATGTTTACTTTTTTTTTTTTTTGGGGGTGATTTCGTTTGATAAACGTTGTCAAGTTTTTTTTTGTTTGTACTGCGGGTCGATCATATTGCTTTTTCCCTCTCTTTCTTTCCTTTTTTTTCTCTGCTGCTATCCGATGCATAACCGATCTGACACACCCGTGCTCCACTCGGGACCGTAACTTTGTGGATTCAAATGTTTCTAATATATTAAATACGTAGAAAAGACTGTTGAAAGACATACTTGTCCTTTACAGAAATCATCTTATTCAAGTGCTTATTCCTTGATCCTAGAATCTTCTCTGACGAACATGACATCACCCCGTGGTCCAATCAATAGATCCGACAGGGGTGTTCGGGTTGATAACAATGCCACAGGGCTGACAGAATGACCAGGGATCGTGACCATTCAATACCCTTGCGAAAAACCTAACACTGACGCCAACTTGGAACACTAACCGTGAAAGGGGCCACAAAGAAAACACCAACACCAAAAAAAAAGGAAAATCAAAAACCAAACTGATCCATCCCGAGCACAAATAACTCAAAATCCATCCGAGAACCGCAAAGAACCGCTCAGATCCCGGCCTTTGGGCAGCAAGGTGGTCCTCGGTTATGTGTTGCGCCTGCACGGGAACATCATCTGTGGCCCGTTGCAAGGGTTCCCCAGGTTAGTCTTAGTCTTGACGTGGCTTGCTGACTGGTGGGTTGGCCCTGGTAAGTTTCGAGTTTTCTTATTGGTTTAAACGTTGTATATTCCATCGTTGCCAATGCTCCATAATCCTCCCTGTCAAAGCCTGAGGTTATGTGTTGTTACCTCTGGATATCATGTGGGCAATGTTGTGGTTCGTTGAACGGCCATCAAATGGAGGGTTTTGTGGAATCAAAATCGGATGATATGCATGTTGATGTCATCTGAGTTTTCGTATGAAGCTGGATTTTTTCGAGTGAACTGGTCCTGGTCATTTATCCCACTGGATATCTGATAATTCTAACTAGTTGGCCCTTGATGCAGTTCCAGGAGCTACTACTAGTAGTACAGCTGATTCTCGAATTCTCACAAATTGAATCTGAACTCAAGCTCCACAATACGAATCCTGCAGGTCACCCAACACATGTCAGCGCACAGACAGGCTTGAAATTCAGATCTACTATCTTGATTAGCCCCATGTCTCCCTTCCATATGGGGTACCACTAGCGAGACAGACACCGCCAGAAAATGAAATTGCCCTCTCGCTTACTTGTGTTAGTGCCTTCTCGGCCAGGCTCCGCGTTAGAACCAACTCAGCCGCTGGTTCGGTTTCTGGTTGCCTCTTCGTAGGGAGTATCTCTCCTCGTCGATCTTAAGTAGGGATCCGTGCTTCACTATCATGTAGATCTACTCCACTAACAGTGCGTTCCTGACTTACTTGATACTTTCTACAGTGGTTGCTGCCGATGCTCATGGGATTATTGATATTTCCCGAAGATCAGGCATCTATGCCTGCAGAAGGAATTAGTTCTATGGATACTCAGTACGAATACGGGTTTACGAACTACCCACTGATTCACCGGCAATTTGTTTCTGCTTTTGTCTACTCCCAATATGGTCGGCTCTGGAAGCATTAAATCCGACGCCACGCACAAAAACCGTGGAAATTAGACCCTCATACTAAGAAAAAAAAACAAGAACTGAGACTAGTCACTGCCATCTACGCTAACCGAACTAACCACCTAGTCCCTGCTTCCACTCTCGCGTGGCAATGAGCTCGCGTGGCAATGGAGCCTGAAGTCTTACTCCCCACTGCGCTACTAACCCAGTACCATGAAACCAGGGTGAGCCATCAGCCACTGGTTCAAATTTCAGGTGAGCTTGGAACCAGCAAATATCTGATTCACAGAGCAAGGCCAGAATCTGTCTAATGTGTCTATTTGGTCATTTCATGGAAATTCTAAGATTTATTGAAGAAAACATCATCCATTCATCCGAATTGAACCATAACCAGAACCAACATCAGACGATCCACATGTGCACCAAATTCCAATGAATACTCCACTTATACTATACCAGGAAGGTGCATCGTCCCGAACCCAGAAGCTAACAAAAATCCGACCCAAACTTGAGATTTCCAAGGTTCACATTCATCTCTGGATCCGCGCCTTGCATCCATGGTACTACAGAAAAAGGTCGCCGTACGGAGTACTTTTCGGGGAATGGAGTCTATGGGAGCGGAGTCCTGACCCGACCCAATCCTATTACGCCAGATGGAGTCTTCCAAGGTTTTGCCTAGCGGGCTTGCCCGACAACGGGCCGAAGGCGGCGCGGGCGCTTGTTCTGTGTTGTTTTTGTTGTGGATTCTACGGAGTATTTTTTTTTCTTCTCTGCAGAATGTGGTTCTGTTTTTTTTTCTTATGGTGGAGTGTTTCAGATTTGGTGGATTGAGGTTTTTTTTTTTTCCTTCTGTGTTGATTCTGGAATGTTTATGGAGTTCTTGGTGCGGGTCTTTTTTTCATCATGTCGGTGGCTCCTCGGCGTTTTAGGAGTACAAGGAAAGGTATTCATAGGGATTCAAAATTTTGGAATTGGAGTTAGAATGAGAATGGGAAGTAGAATTGACTTGATTCCGAGTCTTCCAATGTTGCAGATACTGGCATTGCAGACTCATTGCAGACTCGGAGATCATGGAATTCGGATCCATCCCTCCTTAATGGCCCGTACTATAATCTACAATTCTGCATGCAGAACATGCATGCTTCATGCTGTACTCCCCCATGCCCTACACCAGAAATGAAAACTTGAAAGAACATTCAAATGTTTGAATGAGTAGACGGGTCTTATTCTCATAATAAAACCTACACCACACAAGGTTCATACCGTAACGCGTGGCTGTCTAGCGGGAAATGTGCCCGAATAAACGGTGTGTACGGAAACCATAATCAATACAGCCCTGGAGTCCCCAATGGAAAAAAAAACATTTCAAGCAAGGAAAATAAAATTCGGGTCAATGCATACTAAACTCGATACACCTTTTCGGGCTTCATTTGCTTTGGATTCGGGCTCTTCATGCAGCTAAATGTGATGGTCGGTGCAGTGACACCTGCCTAACTGCATGCGAATGGGGTCAGGAATTACGCTTATGTACTCGTCTATCTTGGGGAAGGAGGATTGTTGGTCTATGGGGGGGTCATACTGGGACTAAGATCATGATCTTGAGAATAGATTCTCTTCAGATGTCAGATGTACGTATTAGCTTAAGCATAGTTGAGAGATCGAGATCATATGCATGGTGCTCGGATGACAAGGGTATTCCCTAGGTGCATCTATACTTGCATGGCCCTAACTCCAATGTTGGGAAAAATAATTGGATGAGATTCAAGTTTGGATGAGACTATGATTCATCTAAGAAGATTTGTAATGGAGGATGGGAATTCTACTGGAATCTGTAGTCTGGCATCTTGATTTCTGTCCTCCTTCTACTGCATGATCGATATGGCATGTTTGCTTCCATCGTGTACCTATCGTCCAATCTCATTACTGATCGGGCATAACAACACTGTTGATATACGTCACCTATGAAGAAAGAGAAGCGGTCAGTAAGAAAGAAAAAAAAAGAACCAATAACCCGCTCCCAACAACGCAGCATGCAGGGAGCAGCTTTGTCCTGGCGGCGCTGATTCGGCTTGAAACGAAAATGGGCCCAAGTAGCTAGCTCAGAACGGAAATGGGCTAAGAGGGGGCAAATTCGGCGGGGACATGAGAGATCCGGGAGGGGAAGAGGGGGACACGCTTACGAAGGGCTCCATTACTCCAATCAAACTGACGATCCGTTCTTGTACATCTGCTGCCATGAAGTCGTCGTCCGTAATCGGTCGTCCAATTGTAAAACTGCGTAGACGGAGTAACTCAATACTATGGTGAGTTGATTCCCAGCCCTATAGTAGATTCTATTAGTATTATGTATCATTTTTTGGGTCTCTCCTTTGTTATGATTTCGTGGATATGGGGCCAAAGTAGCCCGTCTCTCTTTTTCCCTTTTCTCTTCTCCCGTGGAGACTGGCGCCAGTCTGAACCATGGAACCAGATGAGACGGCGTGAGAAAAAATCATTCGAGAATCCCACGAGAATCCCCACAAGAGAAGAAAAAAAAAGAGTAAAAGAAATAGGGGGAAAAAGAAATAAAAAAATATCCGTAGAATCATCGGCTCATTCCTCAATGTCCTGATCAACCTTGGTCTGTTGTGGTGCTGTACTGGTGCCATGCGGGACTAAGTTGTTGAACCCAAAACACGGTCCTCCCGGAGACACCCGTGCGCGGTCTTGTTTTCCGCCACCACTGTTGGGTTCTGATCATCCTGACTTACTCAGGTCGTGTTCGTCCCATGTATGAGAGATTCATGTCCTGAGGAACGAGCCGAGAGGGAAAAGGTATCCGAACCCTTGATGGATTCTTGGTCATTGAGGATGATCCATGGCTGGTGAAGACTGAGGATGTCCAGGCCTGATTCCAGATTCAAGATCGAACATGATGATGATGATGATGATTATGATGATGACAAAAACTGTGCTTATGACCATGAAGATCATAGTCACCTCAGATGACCCTTCTAGATGACCTTAGATGACCGGGTCCGATCGGCCGATAGACTTGGGCTTCGATCGCCTCCGCCTCCTGACCCTCCGAAGCCAGTACCGTGGCATCCATCATCGAGTATGCGGAGAATCAAAGGGTTGCACAAATGAACAATGCAGGATGGAAGAACAAAAAAGTGGCAGCATCAGAGCTAGGAGTAAATCGATGAAAGAAAGAAATCATCTGCACATACCTTGGGCTTGGTCTTCAGGGCTGACTCCTTATTATGATGAGCAAATGCCTTAACAGCAGCAACGTCATCATCGCCAACTCCTCCCAGAAACTCGCGGCGCATGTCGGGCGCTCGAAGTACCTCTTTCCATTGATCCACGTTTTGATCGATGTCCTCTCGAAGTGATGCTAGTGCATCAGCCTCTGGGTTCCAGAGGCCGCAACCTACATTGAAAATAAGCCTCAATTGTCTCCAGACATGGCGCAACCGAATGAAAAAGAAATGAAAAACGCAGGGAACAAAATGAAGTTGAGCTGCATACCAACAAAACTGGAGCCAGGCTGGAAGTGGACATAGTACGCTGCGTATGGGCCTTTTTTGCCAGTGCGGGACCTATGTCTATTATGAGTGGATCATGATCCTTGTTCAGCCACCCTTCCCCCCTGTCAGCAACAACGTACCATGCAGCCGAGAAATGAATCTATTCGTCCGTCAGATCAGCACTAACATCCATCACAGTAGTACAAGGCGCCTCGGCACCAGGCTGCATCGGCTTGGAGGCACGGAGGTACAGAGTACGGGATTCCGCATACCTTGTATGGAAGCGGGTTCTTGCTAAAGCGGACATCACGGTGGATACGAAAGATCTGGATGAGATTGGTCAGTTGGCTTTACAATGCGACAAATCAAACCAAAGCCCAAGCCTAGGTTAAGTCCAGATTAGAAGGTGACATTGAATGCAATCACATACCAAATCCTTCATGGGAAGCTCTGGGATAGTCTCATCCACTTCGGTGATCTTGCCACTCAACGTCTCCACAAAGGTCTCGAAGTCCTTCTTTGCCGCGCGGAAATCGGCATCATGCGCTAAGCAACAAAAACAGAGACCCTGTCAGCAAAATGCATAGCCGCGCCGGTGCCGGCTACCATGTGGGGAAGAGGGGACAAGGCGAAAAGCCAGGGGAGGGACCGGAGCCCATATGGAGCAGGGAACAAAAACCCACCTTTCAGCCATTGCCGGTCATTATTCTCTGCCAGATCCTGCAGGAACAGCTTCGTATTTGGGTGGAGCGTCTCATCTTCATACGGGATACCACCGGTACCTCGGGCCTTGGGTTTAGTGAAGATTACCTCCTCTCCAGGTTCTAGACCTGTGCGCACGCCTACACGCCAGAGCTCCTTAGCCTTCGGCGCGCCGGTTGAACCCGAATCCGCGCGGCCTCGTCGCTGAGTCTGTTTGGACTTGGTCTTTGGTTTCGAGCTCTCCTCTTCTCCGTCGCTCTCAAGTGCGGATTCACTCTCTGCTTCTTCCTCTACTTCACTCTCCGGAGTCGGCGAAGATTCCGATCCCGATTCCTTCTCTTCGTAAGCGGAGCCTGAATCCGAGTCCCCGCCCGTCTCACTCTCACTTGGTGATTCCTCCGGTTCCGCGGAGCTCTCGGGTTTGAAATACTTGCTTTTCTTGCTAGTGGATTTCGCAGAGAGCGCACTGTTTGACTTGACTCTTTTCACTTCGCTTGGTGTGGCGGAGAGTCGTGCTGAAGCGCGTCGTTTTGGTGCGGATTTCGCGGACCCTGGGGCTTCTGTGGGCCCGGGCCGAGAAGATCGTCGTGGCATGGCGAAATTGGAGATGATTTGATTTGTTGGAATTTGTAACTTACTGCAGTCTGTTTCTAGCGTGTATTTCGTAGTTTGTTGATATTAGGAGTTCACAATATCAATTCTGGTTGTTTGTTGATTTTTCCCTCTTTCCCTCCCGGTAGAAAAGATATCAGAAATTTAATCCAAATTATGGTCGAATTTCATTGGTGACACTCAGTATATGAGCAAGGAAGAAATTCTAGAGATAACTCAAGGGGTAGACATTCCCTTATATAGTAAAACCGGCTTTGGAGTTCGTACTGCGTAATGATTCTCCGCCTTTTTCTGCTCCCGAAATCCCTTCACGCCTTTTTTTGCCCCTCCTGGTATTACGAGAATTTACAACATTCTCAATATCAAAACCCTAACAATTGCTACTATTCAAGAAATTACCTGGGTTTATCTACATTTATTGGGATTCATTTTCGCAATCTCTACTCCCGGGTTAGTATTTCCTATTTCGGCCAATTAGCAGAATCCAGTACAAAGAATGTCTACTCTACCGCCAATTCCAGCGGTATTTGAATCGCGCAAGAACAAAATTGTCGAGGAATTGGCTATTCCAGATGAAGAATACACAGATGCATCGCCAAAAGGCTCAGTTGATGAGGGAGTCCGCGATTTGATCCGCGATATCAATGCCCTGCCTGGTCTAGTGACCACTAGTAGCTGTGCAGGCCGAATCAGTGTATTCTTGGAAGGACGAAAGAAGAGTTCATCTACTTCGCAGCTGGAGGAGACTCAAAGGCAATCAAAAGAACCAACTGAGTCCCTGGATCAGCAACAAAGACAGTTCGTCCCTACTGGCGGGAAGGGCGCTGGTCGCTGGCTTTATGTTTCCCATGACCCATTTGTGCGATCTGCCACTGAATCTGATGGCTCCGCTTCCACATCTTCTGAGAAGTCTCCTTTCCCATTACATGAGCAGTTTGGATTGACACCTGGAAATGGAAAACCACCTGTTGGAAAGGCGCTGCGACTTGTTCGCTTTCATTTCGATCCCCTGGTATGTACTGCCTAGTAATCATATTTTCTCTGGCACACCCTTTGTTGTGCTCTTCTTTCTCTGCCAAAGATCAGCATGTTTCCTCCGAACAAAGGACCCTGGTCCACTTTCATCATAAAGCAAAGTCAGCTAATACTAAACCTCCAGATCCTCCATATCATGACTGCCACTTTACACCACGCTCAACCTGTTCTATCGGCTGCATCTGCCTCTGGTTTCCGGGAAAGTGGTCTCCAAGGTCTACGTTGTTTGGAAGGCGAGGACGGACCAAGCCCTGTTGTTGCCGTTCGTTCATCTGGTCTATCATTGGAATCTGTGATTGGGTACTGCGATGACAAAGATGGGACTATCGAAGATCCTGTTATCCAAAGTCTGGTTACAGAAGAGTATCTGGATATGCTGATTGCGATGTCAAATGAACGCTTCAGTGTGAATGCCGAACGAAGAGAAAGATTCCGTGTCGGCCTTCTAGATGCCTATACGCCTGGTCAGACTGGAAGAGGCAAAGGCAAACCCGCAGACTGGGAGGATCCAGCTGTGAGACGAGAGAGGAAAAAGATGGAAGGATTAATGAGGAAGAAGCTTATCGAGGCCCAGAAAGACCAGGAATCTACGTTGCATAAATCGGAATAGAGATACACGATTGCAAGGAAGACAAGTATTTAAAAAAGGATTCAATTTGGTTGTTTTTGGAATTTTGTAAGGTTGTATGTGACCCCATACCCTGATATCAACTTGTCGACTGAGCTCAAATCACGTTAGTGAGAGCAGTTGACATAAAAGGTGATACCAAGAGGAATACCCCGGAGAAAGCATAAAATACATAACTTCCATTCTTGTTGCAAAGCAAAGAATACCAATATTGCATGCGCGTCTGCATCCAAAAACATCAATAAGCCATATGCGTACGCAAAATATCAGAAGGCCAACCCAGACTCTAAGCTCAGATTCACCGATCTCGATCACAGCCAGAATCACCAGTGTAACTCCGTGTGAGAAATACAAAATGAAATCAAAGTGGGACAAGCTGGGGGCAAAATCAAAAACAAAAACATAAAGGGTATCTTGCGCGTCGCTATGCCGGGGAGTCAGGAAGTTCGAAAGGATCAAAAAAGAGAAGGGGTATCTCTCGTGCTGTGCATGAGATTCGGGAAGATCAAAAGGCCGCACAAAGAAGTATTGACTCGCATGAATAGTGAAAAGACCAAAGGCGAAAGGCATTGACTGGAGCGCGTATTCGAAGTGCAGCATAGAAAATCCAAGGGTATCAAAAAATTGAAAACTTTCGCGCACGTAATGCGAACTAAACTGTCTCAACAGTCAGTATTTATATACAAAAACATCGAAAAAAGAAGTTATGCAGCTCCTATACAAAATAGGTGCGCCGCACAAAAAAATTGCGCAGTCGTCGTCCTGCACGGAAATGAAGTCAAAAAAAACAAAGAAAAGAAAAAAAAGAGTGAGCAGATTGGAGGAGGGTTAGAGTCGACTTACCAGAAAAAAGTGAGCAGAATGGCCCAAACTTGGCTTTTTTTTGATATCCTCATTTTAACGTTTTTTTTTGGAATTCCTTTTTTGACTTAGAGTCAACTGGTTCTATCTCAAAAGTTAGTATTGATATGCAAGAAAGTCAAAAAAATAATTGTGCAACTCCTATAGAAAATAGGTGCGAAGTGCCAAAAAAAATGCGCGGTCGTTGTCCTGCACGGAAATAAAAAAAGAAAATTGAAAAAAAAACTGATAAGTTAGTAGATTGGCAGAGGTTTAGAGTTGACTTACCAGAAATTAGTGAGAAAATGGCCCGAACTTAGCCTTTTTTTGGGTTTCTTGTTTGACTTAAAATCAGCCGGTCCTAGAAAGTCAGCATTGATATGAAAGAAAATTGAACAGAAATCGTTGTGCAGCTCCCAAGCAAATCGGCTGTGAAGCAACAGAAAACCACCGTCATTTATATGCAAAACGATCCACAGCAAGCATTGTCCAAGCAAACCAGTTGTGAAGTAACGGAAAACCGCCGTCATTTATGTGCAAAAAGATCCACAAAAATTACTGTGCAGCTCCCACACAAATTAGGTGCTTGAGCCAAAACCACGCTAGTCCTCTTCCTCTTCCTCGTCCAGTCCAGTGAAATTGCGGACTCTAGCGCTGGAGTTCTGTGCAGAGTCAATGGAAATCTGCACCTCTTGTCTCATTGTAGTAGCCGGGGGGGGCCCGGATGGGGAGCGTGTTGCGATGTTGGGTGGCAACGACGATTGTAACCGGATTTAATCAACTTGTGAAGTAGTCCCTCCTCGTAGATGATAGAATTCTCATATTTCCACTCTGAGTTAATCTTATCCACGTCCCACTCGTACCATTGATGGCCGTAGGGTTCCAGAAGATTGTGTCCATTTGCCCAGTGGTTGATCAACCCAACTTGAGCAGTTTCATCAGTTGGAGGAATTTCTCCATCGGCGATGAGACCTCCATAGAACTAAAAGAAGAATTAGACTATTCAGAGACCAGTTTATAAGTAGAATTAGAAGTGCAGCCACTCACCTGCAAACCGGAAGGATCTTTCTTCACCCACGTGAGGGTATCGAAAGGGAAATACGCAAGGGCCTCGGGCGATAGTCGACGCCAGGTTTCGTCTAGGTGAATCCGTCCGCCAAACTCAATCAGGCAGTACTTCATCCGGGGATTAAACGCCGGACAACGCAAACCCACGTCAATGATATCGCCTACCAGAGCCATATCAAGGCCTATCTCCTGCTGTGGCCTACTAATTTTATAAATCAGAAGCTCAAGCATGAACCGCATTGTCTCGAAGATATTGTTGCGCTCGCGCACTGTGTACAATTCGGTCCTGTGCCATGGGTACTATATAAATAGTGAGTAAGTGACATAGGGAAAAGAGGTTGACATTAATAAAATTGAGTTACCTTCGAGACGGCGCTGAGGAGAGACTCAAAGGTTCGTTGAAGAACCCTCTTTGTGAAATTGTTCTGTAACAAGGATAATTAATATCTGGTAGAAAATGCCTTTCGATATGCATAAAAAGACGAGTTAACTTACGCATTTTGGGAACTCAGCATATGATGACAAGCACCGAAGCTCTTCGTCGGCAAAAAAACCAGTGAAGCCGGTGGAGTACACCTCGTCGGGGCGTGGCTGACGGACCGTCGGCTCGCCCTCACTGCTCCAATCCACACATTTCGCGTTTGGAAAAACAGCCTTCATGAGCTCGCCTTGATTGCTGAGCGTCAATTCAACACGGCGGCTGCGAATGGAATGGACAACCTCACCGCTATTGGACGCTCGCACTGCCTCTGCAGCCACACCCGGGTTGGCCGTTTCGATATAACAATTCATTGTTTTACCGGTTGACCGTTCCATGATGACATGGACGGGAAAGCCATCCGCAACAGCATATCTAGCGGAAATCTCTTGTTTAAGTTCCGAACGAGTGATGGTGTATGGAATCTGTATTTGTGATGTGTCAGAGCCGGAGCATATCATGGAAATGGAAAATTTACAGGGGAAATACCTGTTCGATTCCAATCACCCCCCGCACCCTGGGATGGGATCGACGAATTGCAGTGCCAATCGGTTTCAGATTGATCAGACCCTCCAGTGTGGCTTGTTGAAATTCGGTGATTACGGCAGAGTGTGCAGCACTCGAGGGTGGGGGATAATGAATCCCCAAGCCCCAAGAAGCGCGAGGCTTAGACATCTTAGGCAGTACCTGAACAGATATTAGAATTGGAAGAGTTTTATTGACAAAGATGAGTGTATAAAGGAAACGTACCTTGAATGTCTGACCTCAATTCGATGATGCAAAAACGTTAATCTGTGAATATGAGTAGATGAAATGAGTTCAAGGCTGGGTAGTTGAAGAAGAAAGAAATTCCAGAAAGACAAGACGCTTAAATAGCCCTATGGTGGTGTCGAAGACGAACCTGAAGTAGAGGATGTTAGTGAATTGATATCACTGAATAGAACATTAAAGAACTAAGTGACTGTAGAAGGAATCAAAGGAATAGAGAGTTCAAAGGAGCAAGAGTTTGAGACAGGGAGAAAGTGTCCAAATAGCCCTAAGGCAGTGTTGAAAACGAACCTGTAATAGAAGATGCGTGTCAATTGATATAAGTGGATAGGATGTGAAAGAACTGGGTAGTTGGAAAACAAAGAACCTTCAGAAGGGGAGAAAAGGCTTAAATAGCCCCAAGGCGGTGATAAACAACCAGTTTCAAAGATGAACCTATAGTGGGAAATTGTTAGTGAAGTAAGTATGGCTAAGGGGGATCTAGAAGAGGGATAGATGTTGGAAGGAGAGAAAATTCAACAATGGGATACAATGCTGAATAGCCTGTAATGTGGGAGAGAACACACCTTGATGTTTGAGTTGAAGTCAACGGCGATAGTGTGTTAGTGTATTAGACGAGGAAAGGAAATGGGTTGTTGGAAAAGAAAGAAATATTGGAAGAGGGAAAGAGGCTTAAATAGTCTGAAGGCTGTGATGGAGACGGACCTGGAGTAGACGATGTTAATGAAACGATTATTCGATGGGGTGTTGAAAAACTAGGGAGTTGGAAAAGAAAGAAATCTTGGAAGAGGGAAAGAAGCTTAAATAGACTCAAGGCGGTGTTGAAGACGGACCCTGAGTAGAAGATGTCAATGAATCAATATGGCTGAACGGGATGGTGAAGGAGGAACCGATTCGAGAGGGAGAAAATGTGCTTAAATAGTGTCGAGGGATTTGAGAAGACGAACCTTTTGAAGTGTTTGACTTGAAATTCACTTAACCTTGAGTTAAGCTGTAAAGTGCAAGAAGATTAGCGAATATGAATGGAAAAAAGAATAGTATGAGGTGTCAAGTGGAGTAGGAGAGAAGTGTAAAAGAGGTAAGTGGAAAGGCGAGGAGGGGAACAATTTCAGTAAGGTGAGAAGAGGCTTGAATCCAAAGCGTGGTGGAATTTAAAATGAAGACCTTGGATGGGTTGGTGAGGAATGAGAATAGCGTCTTTGATGAGAAAGATAGCTAAGGGAGGGAGAGGGGAGAAGAGGTTTGAACAGGCTGTGCAATATAGTGAGACTGGCCTGAGATGCACGGTCTGAGGATGAAGAAGTGGTATGAGGAAGGAAGAAGGTTTAAAAGGGAGGAAGGTGTGTAAATAGTAGACTTACCAAAGATATGTAAGTTGATGATTCGAAGGTGGATGTAGAAGGAAGAAATTTTGAATGGGGGAAGCGGTTTAAATAGTCTGGGTTTTGAGGAATAAATACTGACCTGGGATCATGTGAGTTCAAATTGATGGTTCGAAGAAGAATGTAGATGGGAAAAAGTTTGAACTCGAAGAGTGTGTTTAAATAGGCTAGGAATCGGAGAAAGACTAATATAGGACGAATGAGTTTGGGAAATTTACCGGAATTGGCGGAGGAGATTGTTTCAATGAGAGAAGAGGTTCAAGTGAACCAGAAAAGTAGACGAGGATGAACCCAGTATTGATGGACTATGAAATATAAAGTCAATAAAGAACGTTTCAACAAATTGAGAATGTGATCACGCTGGCAGGCTCAATCATGCCGAAGGTATTGTTGGGGAACATTTTGACACAACAGCTATATATGACTTAAGGCGGGATTTTGGAGTGAAGAGTATTCGAAGAATATTCGAAGAGGAGAGAAAATGCTCAACCAGTTCAGAGTTTGAAGATGTTATCTTGGAGAGAGGCAATGGGACAAACAGGATATTTGGTCAACAGATAGAAGGAAAAGGAATAAGATAGTGAGCAGAGGGAATGATATAGGGCTGAAATGAGAAAATTAGAATATGTGAGCAAACATTTGAAATCCAGGGTTTGAGGACATAAAGAATGTTCTGAGGGAACAGAAAAGATATCAATGAATGATTAACGAAGGAAGAATGTTAAAGAGCAGATAAGAGTTGATCACAACTGAGGTTGCTAGGAAGAGAAAATCCGGATTGATGAGCTGGGAGAGGAAGACAAAGTTTGTAGAGAGTTACAGAATGAGGGAGTTGGAGTCATTGGAATAATTTAGACTCGCCTTATTTAGTCAATCAACCAATTCTGCCATTGTATGTTTGGACTTTCAAAAAACAGTAACCCGGCAACTCCTGAGGTCAGGTCCTAACATATTAATAGTGATAGAAAATCGTAGCTTGAAGTAGCTGTTAAGAAGTGGCTGGGCCGCGACTCCAACTTGGGTATCTTGAAAAGTAAATATCGCATGGATTTGGAGCGCGAACATGAAGATCAAATCTACCCAATTTTGGGTTACCGCTTGAAATATACACAGCACATTTCCGAGGTCCCAAGGGTTTGAGCTACAGATGGATGTTGCCCAGGTGTATCATGATCTGCACGCGTACACAGAGCGGCTTTTTCAGGTGAGCCATAACTCCTGCTATACCAGAATCGGTCGCGACTGCCAGGACAAATTCATAATTGTTCACGGATTTACTCCGTAAGCACCAGCACCGAATACTGTCAAGAATATACGGCCATCTGAGGCTGTATGAGTACTGTGGTAAATAGTGCCTGTGTGCTTTTTTCCATATTGAACCAAAAGCGCCAAGACATATTGCCTTCAATTGTTTCTGGTGACCAAGATATCATCATGAATGGGAGTGTCTGAGGCCAGGAGAGGGCCATGAGAGACTTGCCGGGGGTATCCAGAGGCTTACTTATTGGCCCACCTGGATATGTAAAGTCTGTGCAGGTCTAGGCCGGACTGTAAGAGATGTCAGCTCTTTGCCTTGTAGTGGTGTTTGTTGCACCTGATCATATCTGATTGAGGCACAAGAGTAGGGGCGAGAGAGAAAGACACCATTGGGGGCATTCCTATAGATAAAAGAAAAATTTCGACCAAGAGAATAAGTACCATAAGGCCAATTGAAATATAACTTATAGCTGGGAGAAAAGTATCGGATGGCAGATGATGTCATATAAAATATACGCACATGTGCAAGCTGTAGCCTAGGCTTGGCGCAGTCAAAATCGTGGAAAAGATGACGAATGAAATGGAAAGATATTGAATAGAAGCGCAGCCATCATCGCAGCATCCTACCAAATGTCAGTCTTACATGTTCGAAAAAGGAGCGAGGGAGGAAAATAAAAAGTGACAGGAATATATTGGGTTTCTCACCAAGACTCAAGGACCTCTGTTCAAAGCTCTTGGCCCTGATGATGGGTGAAATGAAGGGAATGCCGGTCATCTAGCCCACAGACCAATGAATGCACTTGAAAATTATCAAAGAAGCAATGATGGCATGATCTGCAAGGAAACCCAGATAAATTCTTAGGAACAGGAAACATTTGAACTCATTTTGATCACTGAAAGATTTCCAGTCCAGCCTTTAGTAGCCATAGTAGTTGATGAAGTATTGAAGCTGATGAAGAATGCATTTCTTACAACATTTGAAGATCTATAAGTTCTTCCAAGATTGGAATGTGTCACAAAGAGATGTATGGGCGGCCAGGTGGTCAGGGCGAATTTTGGTAGTTAGCACATATAACCCTACTACCTAGTGAAGAGGGGAACCGTTAGGCAGTGTATTCTAGATACACGGGTCGATCCAGCTAGCATGAATGGATAACACCAATCAACATGTACGTTGTGGCCGGACTACCCCGTAGGGGTGGGATGAGAGATGTGTAGGAGTGTGTATTCTAGACTATAACGACGGGCATTCTTGTACGTACAAAGACGGGACTGAAAACATGACAAAACAGAGATGTAACCAAACGGCAATTCTTAGCACGGTACGTGTAGTAGGGGACAGGGTACCCCACTACACTAGGTAGTTGTTACCAGTTCAAATTGTTATCACCTGGGCCCGCGGGACATGTCCATCCATGTGGGTATTAGTTTCAAAATGTTGGATTAATTACTAGGCCAGAGGTTATATTCTGGTTTAGCGCCATGAACGCCTGGGTAGTTTTTGGAATTGACTGTCCAGATGTCATTTTAGCTTTGTCCATCACTTGGGCAAGCATGCGATGAAAATAGCATCCCGAGGTCCAGAGGTCCATGCGTACGTAAATTTTCCAGATATTATTTTCGGTTATCTAGCCTCTGACACTCACGTTTATGAAAAAAAGAATTTCGGGATGGAGCCTAGAAAGTTGAAAGATTTAAGCTGCAAAATATACATAGTATAATGATTGATATGTATTTAGGATATTTATGAACATTTGAATAGTAAAGTTCAAATGTTGAAGCTACTAGTATCAATGGAGGTATATAGGAAACTTGAAGAACCAACACTGGAGCTGACATCCATTCAAGTAAGATGGAATTTTGAACATGGAAATTGCGGAATCGAAACAAAACAAAACAACCTGAAAACAGAATAATTTCAAGATCAAATATATCCGGTCCAGCATGAATCCACTCATTTCATGGTTAGGCTTTGCTCTCGAGGATCTGGGGAATAATTTTTCTCAAGGAACGGCTTCAGATCACCAGGGTACCAAATGCCAAAAACCACCATGCTTGCAAACATGGGAAGCGAGTCAAAGACATACAATGTCCATTCATTGCTCAAGGGATACCCTTCATTGCCCATAGCGTACTCCACAATTCGGAAGATAGATCGAATAATCACAAGAGTGCCAATGACATAGATGCTGTAAAGGTATTGTTTCCAGGGAAGGTCAATGTCAAATGCTTCCTCGGTAGGTTTGCGGCGCATACGCGTCTGAAAGACATATGCAGTGACAATGAACATGCAGAAACTCAAAACTTGTAGGCCTAGGCCAGCAATCACAATACCTTGCCCAATACTGGATAGACTGCTACTTACCATCATGCCGCATCCACCTGCTTGAACTAAGAACGTGACAATATCACTCAGGACGAATGTTTTGGTCACCCAGTTCAGTGGCAGTACAGAGTGTTTCTCTGCATTGACGCTGCGAATAATACGAGCAAGTACCATGTAGATCGATGCGGCGAAGAGGGCTGGGCCAAGAAGAATGAAGACTGCCTGGATGCAGTACAGCATCAATTTGCCGGTATTATCATGAGAGTCGACACGGGCAGCATAACCGATGATTTCGACGAAAACGAGACATGTTAGCATCATGATTCTGACTTCAAGAGAGTAAAAGCACGGATGGATGAAGGGTGACTCACATATACCACCAATGGCAAATGGTAGCGTGAATGTACTCTATCGCGAAAGATCTTCCAAAAATGGAAGGACGTTGCGAGAAAAAAAAGAATCAAGAAAATGACCGCCGCAGCGGTGGAGGGGACATATTGCCAGACATAGTAGCCAATCTTCAAAGACTCCAGTTTAGTCATTGTTAGTCATTATCAAATGTTGCTTGTGAGATTGTATTTGATCGGTGGATACTTCAAGGAAATGAATCTCAATCCCCTGGGGCCATTTTTATACTTAATAGAACACTTGAAGCACATTTAGTGTAGCGGAGATAGACAAAACAGTTGCAAAGTTTAATAGAGTTGACCAATCGCGTGACTTTCAGTACGCGTATTTGGATGAATGTCTCCACTTGAGCTCCACCGAGACCCCCACTCGAGAAATCAGGGTGTCTGTGATGTTCTGATATCCTATACGCGTATTGACGAAGAGATAATAGGCTCCTTCCAAGGTTGATTTACCCCTGTTGCTGACGTTGGGTACATAGGACATTCCAACTTGAAAGGTTGGATGCGACCACTACTACTCCATAGTGCGATGGGGAATGATCGGTCTTCAACATTTAACCGGTTTCATGGACCGCATTGTCAAAAATATCCATAGATCATTTGCTTTAAATGCTCCAAATCTTGGAAGTTATCTTTAGAGCACACATATGTAATACAAAGTTCTAATTTTCTAGGTATGTAATTTTCTAGTACAGTATTGATGATGATTGCTCACCGCCTGTTTCACCGTACTGGCATTTCTGCCCATTCTTTATTCTTCAAGTCCCTTTCACCTCTCTTGCCACTCCCATAACAACCAGCGCACTCAATATCGATGCAAGTAATATATTTTCGGATAAACATATATTGAGATGAGACGAAAATCTTAGGCACCATGATTCGATTGCCCCACATCAACCACAGAATAATTCACTGGATCCAATTTTGCAGCTTTTATTATACGCAGTGGAGTGGACTAGCCAATCAAAATGTTGACTATACGCAGAAGAAGGAGAATGCCCGGAGATTCTGATGATCATCATGGAGTGATCACTGCATGGACCCACCATCTTTGCCAGGGCTGGGATCTCTAGCGTATTCGTATTTATAACCAAATATTTTCGAGAAGTGCATGCGGGATTTCGGCCAACTTGCGCTAGTTGCACCATGTAAAGTCAATTCATATTTCATGATCCACCAGTAGGTCAGATCAAACTTTTTGATGGGTCAATAGGTCGAAGATAGTCGAGCCAAGCCTTGACCTTGTGGACCCTCAAATCTCAAGAAAAAAAAAAGCCATGAGTTTCGCTGGTTTCTGATTGGCGATCAGATCAGTAGCGGCGCAGATAAAATGGCCCAGCGTTAAATAGCGTGAGCCTAGGTGTCATAGCCTGTCAGGACCTCGCCAGCGTGCAAATCCCCGACATGAAAAACTAAACTTGTTAACCATTTTCTCCATGTGAGATCGGGATCAGTTTAAAAGGTCAGAAGGCTTCGACGCGGACGTATTTTCCGAGCAAAATTTTTACCGTGGCATTTCTTTTCTCCACACGATGGCCATGGAAGTCCCTGAAGATCAACCTCCGAGGTATTCAATGTTGGAGATGGCCGGTTGGCCAGATGATACTTGGTCTCAAAGTGGAGCAAATGTCAACGGTACGACTGACGTGGAATCTTCCTCCCAACTGATCGAATGCTGATGCCTGATAGACGATGGCCGTATTGAGGTTGATCTTGACTCTAAGGTCTGCAAAGCTGTGGCAAAACTACTTCCGATCCCGCAGGAGGAACCGATATCCACCCCACCTCCAGATTATCATGATACTGAGCCTTTGATTTGTGATGTGAAACTGAACATCGTGATTCAAGTCGTCGGCAGCCGAGGAGATGTCCAGCCCTTCATTGCATTGGGCAATGAGCTGCAACTTCATGGCCACCGTGTAAGACTGGCAACTCATGGAGTGTTCGAATCATTTGTCCTTCAATCGGGTCTAGAGTTTTACTCTATCGGAGGTGATCCGGCAGAGCTTATGGCATATATGGTCAAGAACCCTGGCTTAATACCTCAGATGAATAGTCTGCGACGCGGAGAAATCCAGCGAAAACGGGCTATGGTCGCGGAAATGCTGCAAGGATGCTGGAAATCATGTATAGATGACGATCCGGTCAGCAAGGCGCCTTTCGTGGCTGATGCCATTATTGCTAACCCCCCCAAGCTTTGCCCATGTTCATTGTGCGCAAGCCTTATCTATCCCGTTGCATCTCATGTTCACTATGCCCTGGTCCAGCACGCGGGCTTTTCCGCATCCCTTGGCCAATCTTAAATTCTCAACTACCGCGCCAAAGTTGGCTAATTATATTTCCTATGGTTTCGTTGAATGGATGACATGGCAAGGGTAATATTCCATTTCTGTATGACATATTGACTTTGAATTCTTGCTGACATCAATAATAGCCTTGGTGATATTATTAATGAATGGAGATCTTCGCTTGATTTGGAGCCTGTGCCCACAACTGAAGGGCCATGCTTGACAGAAACTTTGAAAGTGCCGTTCACCTACTGTTGGTCACCAATCCTCATACCAAAACCATCGGATTGGCCATCGAGCACTGATGTCTGTGGATTCTTCTTCCGTTCTCTTCCGGACTATAAACCACCTCCTGATCTCGATGCATTTCTTCGAGCCGGTAGCCCTCCAGTATATATTGGTTTTGGCAGCGTTGTTATCGAAGATCCAACCGCCATGACGAATATCATACTTCAAGCTGTGAGATCACTTGGCATCCGCGCAATTATCTCTCGAGGGTGGACTCAAATTGGAGAATCTGAATCTGATGACCAAGTTTTCTATCTTGGAGACTGCCCGCACGAATGGCTCTTTCAACACGTCGTCGCTGTTGTACACCATGGAGGGGCGGGCACCACAGCCTGTGGCTTACGCTTTGGCAAAGCTACAACGATCGTCCCGTTTTTTGGAGAGTATGTCTTCACTTACCATATATCCCAACTGATATTTTGTACTAATCTGTATCAGTCAGCTATTCTGGGGTAACATGGTCGCGTCATGCGGCCTGGGACCTCAGCCCATTCCCTTCCGATCTCTAACTTCACAAAATCTAGCGGAGGCTATCCAATTCTGTCTACAGCCAGAAACCCAGTCTGCTGCTCAACATGTCGCAAGTAGAATAATCCATGAGAATGGCGTTGCTGCGGCTGTTGCATCGTTTCATCGTAATTTACCAATTAATAAGATGAAATGCCATGCGCTTCCAACAGAACCTGCTGTGTGGCGTTTCAAAAAATATGCAAAACCCGCGATCCATCTGTCGAAATTTGCCGCTGAGGTTCTGGTTCAACATCGTCGTTTGAAACAAACCGATCTTCAACCGTAAGACCACATTCCAATCGATATCTGTGACACCGGACTATACTGATAACAAATAGCTACCTCGTCCAGCCTATCGTCATTAAAAATCAGCGCTGGGATCCAGTCACTGGCACAGCCTCCTCGTTATTACACACTAGCACAAGTATATTAAAAGCAACAGGTGATATTGTTTACCGACCATATCAGGAACTTCGCCGTGTCCCCAAAAGCCAATCAGACCTCACCGTACAAGGTCCCTCTGAATCAAGATCTGCTAGTATCGCGTCTTCGAGGAGCGAATCCTCTCTCGCAGTCTCCAGCATAAAAAAGCCGTCGGCACTCAAAGCTACGGGAGCTGCAGTGGGGGGGCTCAGCAAAAAGCGTAGGCAAGGTCCTTGGCTACTGGTACAAAGGTATGCTCATAGACATGCCTCTCGCAGCTAGTGAAGGTCTGAGAGCCGTGCCACGTCTGTATGGCGATGAAGTCAAAGACCATGGACCAGTCAACGATTGGAAATCTGGGGCTTCCTTTGCTGGCAAGAACTTCGTGCACGGAATGGCGGATGGCCTCAGTGACATTTTCACTCAACCATACAAAGGTGGACAGGAAGAGGGTGCAAAAGGTGTGGCGAAGGGAGTTGCAAAGGGTGTTGTTGGTGTGACAACCAAAGTTTCATCTGGTATGTTTGTTCTAGCTCCGAGCTCCGGAAACCAATACTGACCGACCGATCGTAGCTGCACTGGGGCTGGTGGCTTATCCTGCTCATGGGATGATGAAGAGTCTGTATGCTGCAACGCACGCCAAAACGCGGAAGCGGATTCTCCTGGCCCGAATAGAAGAGGGAAAGTATCTGGTGGAATGCCCAAAGGAGGGCCGAAAGGATTACCAAGCTATTATTCGCAACTTTGAGACTGCTTGCCTCAACACTGCGGAATCCTCTGAATCCTCATGAAATCGACACATATTATTTAACCGTTCTTCAGGCCCAGATGAATGAAGCTCTTTCTTTTTCAATGTTGGATCTTCGTTGCCTGGGTCATTCAAACTGAGAACAAGTTCCTCTCCTACTCCACATTCCATTGTTTTCCAGATGGAGTCCCATACGGCAGCAGCTTCGGCGAACCAAATTTTACACTGGTGGGGTGTTCTCCTTAACAGAATGGGGGAAAATTGGCCAGTTGAGATAGGGTCAATTGATGGACCGTTTAGGTGTCATTTGCCATGGAAGATACATGTTTGGATCTTTTTTTTCTTCAAGTTAGAGGGGATATACTAAACACATGCATTGGAGAGCACTAGCTAGAAAAAGAGGCTTGAAGTTAGAAGATTGAATATGAAAGTTGGACGAGCCCTGGAGCCCTGGAGGAGCTTAGGTGGTGACGTGCGGTCACATACATGACCACTTCATTGATCTCATACTAATAGTAGAAAATGGTGCCGTACTTGCGTGGTATCCAGAGAAACATTGAATAAGGATGTAGAGAGGATTATGAGATTACTAAGTACCTAGATTGCATTTATGAAGTCAATTAATTACCCATGAGTTGCGTTGTTAGATCGCCACAACCTGATTGGTCAAGTATCAAAATGTGTGAAAGATGCGTGAAAGCTTGATCTCAACTCCGTAACTTGGGAGTTTCATAGACTTTAGACATGGGAGTAAATCTTGAAAGCCAAAAATAGGCGATGCAATACGGGGAGCAAAAAGGGAGTGAGATACTGTAAACCACCTTGAGAGAAAGTTCGAGTTCGGAGAATTGAAGGAATACTGAAATCTGAATTTAGGGTATTCATCCTGAAGTTCTACGCCCGGGCGGATGCCCACCTGGGTTGCTGGGCTGCTGGGCCGGTGTCAGCCAGTTCAGTGTCGTGTCTCCACACGGCAGAACTGAGCCAATCATAATCCCACTGGAACAGAGCACGCTGATTGGTCGAACCAGAATGGTCACATGACCAATCACGTGTCTTGAGTCCGGCAGATGTTTATGTGCGATAGTGATAGGATGAGAGAAAATCAGACTTGTATTACATGCCATCTAGACCGCCTACTACGTACAGAAAGAGTCTGTTAGCCGGGGAGACTTCCTGAGTCAGCAATGAGACCTCCCGGACCCCGGACGCGGGCACCTGGGCACGACACCTGCCAGGTGGCAACGTTCTCAACTTTGAAAAACTCTGCCTCATGGGCGACCGACCCTTGCGATTCTGCTTATCACTCGCTCTCAAAGCAACTCTACATGTTAGGAGTGACTAGTCTCGCATTTCCATTATCTGTAATCAGCAAGGCAAATTGTGTCTGTATCGAGGTGCGGGTTAGGTAGGATGATCCACAGGCGCAAGATCCATACCAAGTCAAGAACCGGTTGCACTGAATGCAAGCGTCGCCATATCAAGGTATTTCGCTCTAGAGGTGCTCTAGATGCTAGGAATGTGCTGTCTTTGGGACTGACTTTTCCTCAGTGCGACGAGAATCAACCGACATGTGTCAACTGCCAAGTGACGCGGCGCGATTGCTCGTACGAGAGGTTGACGCCGAAATTACCTCTTTCGGTGAAAAAGTCCCGCTCTGAGCTACGGCCTTCTCCAAAGAATAATGAGTCTTCTGCCGACAATCTCTCGGCAAGTTCACCCACTGATGATGGTGCAGATCATAGTCCACCAGTCAACATATTCCATCTAGAATTATTCAACCACTTCATTCAGAATATTCCTGAAATTCTGGGCTTTGAACCTACCGCTCTAGGGATATCTGGTGAAGAGATGATGAAGTACACATTGACCTCGCCATTCCTTATGAATCAGATACTGGCTCTCTCTGCGCTTCATTTGAGTGTTACACGCCCTTCCCAGTACCCTCATTGCAAAATCAATGCTACTCAACTCCAAACCCATGCCATTGTAGGTTTCAATGCCATTGAATCTCTTACGGACAAGTGCATAGAGAATATATTGCCGACCTTCCTATTCTCTTCGATACTTGCGCATCAAACTCTCTGTGAAAGTTTGGTATTTCATGCTTACAGCTTTGAAGTCTTTCTTGACACCTTCAGTCAATCACTACGCTTACATCGTGGTATACGTGCTGTTACCCACAGGTCGTGGGACATACTTCTGGATTCGCCCCTTGGATCCTTACTTGAGATACAAGGCAAGGTATTAGAGAAAGATGCCTCCGGGCGCGAATGCCTTGCCCTATTTGCTCTTCTAGAGAACGACACGATTGATCAAGATACCAAGAATACTTACAGCCAAGCGATTGACGCTTTGCAGAAAGTATTCGATGCGGTCTCTGACCGTCCGCTACTGTCAAATAAGGTTGGCTCGATTGTTTCCTGGCTGGTCATGATACCCGACGGGTATATTGACTTATTGGTGGAACGCCGACCAGAAGCCCTCATTATACTTTCTTATTTCGGTACAATTCTACACACATACAAAGATACTTGGATGTTTGGGAATAGCGGGGAATTCATTGTCAAGTCCGTTGGCACATATCTCGGGGGTCCATGGGAACATTGGCTGCAATGGCCAAACAGAGCTGTCATGCAGAGTGACTTATAATAAACTCTAAACTTCAACTATCTGAAATCTTCCTACGCTTTCTTTCCTTGAGCAAACCATTTCGTTGCAACTCGAGGCAAACATCCTTTGAACATCCTTAATTAAAATCAGAATGCGGGAGGGTATATTTACTACCATAATATCAAGTGAATTTCTGGTTTTTTATTTTTTCTATCTGCGAGATAATTATTTCAAGTGCTTGCAGCAAGTCCAACTGGAACATGTCACGGATGCACCAACATTAAGACTAAGGATCACTATATAGGAAAATGGGATAGTTGGCAGCATTCCGTTTAAGAACAAGGACTAAACATGCGGGGGATACATCAGGCCACTCTCTCCAGCAAATGAGGTAAAAATTTCACAAGTACTAGAGTCTAGCTAAAATGCTGCCCAGAGGCGATGCCTCTTGATAATCTGTAGACTGCTGTCCGTTCGATAATTGAAGAGCTTCAAGTTCCATTCAAAGGCTGTCGATAATGGACACCGTCGACTGTAGTAGTCAAAGTACCGTTAGCGTAGAATTTGTTGTTCTCGATATCGATATCGAAGTGGAATGCACTAGGACTCGTTATTTTTGAACTTTCGCTGATGCCAGACGATTGCAAATTCGAAAACCAGTCCACATGTACTGACGTGATGTTTGGATAGATTCCTGACACTATTTCAGTCCCTTCAATGAAATTCTGGCCATCGTCGGAAAAATTGTGGTAGGTTGCTATGACGGGTTTGAGTGTCTTTCCAGTGCTATCGGCAACAAAGGAGACTTTCGCGTAACCACAAACTTGACCAACCAATGTGAAGTTGCCGAAAGGATTTGATATCAACTCGGGAAGCGCGCTTCCTGGCACATAAGGCTTTCCCCATAGAATTGTGTCAGAGACGATATCGACGGGTTTCTGCGGGATCGAATTACGTTTCGTCGATTTTGCCATCATGAACCGCGCGCGGCGTTGCCCGGGTTCTGTGGAATTCGGACACGGCAGTGGATTAATGCCTCCGCACTCGGGGGTTGTGACTAGACGCTGGAAGTATGCGATCTTGGTTCCGTCGGGAGACCAGCGAGGGCCGGCCCGGCCGTTCCAAAGAGGGTCGCCTATACCACCCGGTTGGTTTTCTTCGGCGCCATTGATTTGCTGGCCTTGGTAGTATCAACCATCTTCGTAATAGCGGGCACCGTATTGATCAACAAGCCAAGGCTGGAAGAATCCGCGATTTCCATTACTTCGAATGGAAGATATCGCTCCCGTAATGAGAGCATCGACCAGCGGGGGAATGCCTCGCATGCCTGCCAGGAACATCATTCGATTAGACGTTGTGCTATCCATGATCGCTACCCACTTGTCATCTGGAGATGTGTCGATGGGATCGACGTATTCTGGATCCCAAGTCACACGTACAACCTTACTAGTCTGCAAGCTCACACCCAAGATATCAATATTGCATGATTCGGCGGGAAAGCCAACATAATTGATTTGATTGCCCATACTACTGATACCTCGTGCTTCCCCTACTGTGATTGACTCTTGATTGATAGACAGGTGGCTTCCATTGGTTGAGAAGGTCGGTGTACCCGATGGAGCATAGAGCAACGTGACATTGACGAGGTCATACCTTGGTGTGCGAGGCTCGCCTGTCTTGGGGGTAGGATTGAATTGTAGTCGTGCGAAAAATGCGTGTTGAGATAAGCTTACACCTGTAGCTGACATGGCGTTGAAGGTTATGTTAACATCATCTGGTTGCTTGCGTATTTCCCGTATGGTACCTCCAGATCCATTACCCTGGGGTGAAGTATTCCATCGAATAGGATAGATATGGACCTTCTGCGGAGTGCATTCCGGACTAGCAAGCTGTGCGGTACCGCAATCGATTATATATGACCCTGCAAGGATTCGGCTCCCATCATGGAACGCCTGAGGATACTGATAATTCATTGTCGAAGTGAGTCCATATTGCTGGTTTTCTGGAACTCCGCAGGTAATACATTTCCATGGATCGCCGTTGGGAAAGTTTGTTCCATTGGCACGGACAATGATCAAATGAAGCCCATTGAAAACACTGGCAGGATCCGGAAATGCAGGGGCTCCTGTGAAGACTAAAGAGGCCGTGACATGTTGTCCATCGGGTAAAAAGCTCCCACTAAGCAAATTAGACGATGTCTTGCCAATGCATCCAGTCCCATGTGGATTGATCTCTCGTGTACAACTGCCTTCGGTCTCGTTATGGGTGACAGGGGGAAGCGGAAGTTCAATAATTTCGATGGGCTCAGGGTCTGGAGGTGGGGATATGGTGAAGTTGCTCAACCCTGGAGAATTGAAAGGGTGCTGCCGGGCAGTCGCAGTCAGAAACAAGATGAAAAAAAGCTATTCTCTCAAATCGCATAGTAATATCAAGAGGGACAAGAATGCGATTCAAAAAAATTTGGAGGTTTTCATCTTGAGTTCTTCACGCTTTGTTATTACTGCCCAGGTGGTAAATCGCAAGGATATTTTATATCCGTGGACAGAGTGTCTTCTGATTGGCCGGGGTTCCTCATTTACCTCTTACATACAATATATCGGAGCAGCATCGATCCAGGCTTCCATGATTTTCAAGAATTGTGCTCCACGGAGTAAAATATTGTAGATCTTCAAAGTTATCTTGGAATCATAGTTGGTTAGATTTAGTGTCACTTCAAATGTAATGTGTTCACAAACAGGACCCGCTACTCCACATCATAAGGAGATTCAACAGGGTGTGTGGGGGACTCGCTAACTTTCATTCGCGTGCCCATACTTTGATCCAGTCGGTAAGTGATGTCACATATTAATTACTCGAAGAATAATTAGGTATACACCTGTAAACGAAGAGCCTGGGATATTCAGCGGTACTTTGTACTCTGTACAGATACTGATTAATGTGACCACTGAATATTAGATATCCCCACTTTTTCCGGAATAATCCAAATATCTACGGCTCCACATTACTATATTGGTCGTATGCGTATGCACGAAGTATACGAATACGATTTAGGATCATGTGGAGCTAAACATTAATGATTTCAAAGTTGGCTATATTATCAAAGGAGTCCATGAAGGAGAGCTAATTTTCCATCATCTACGCACATGCGTGTTTCATGAAAAGTTGAACTGGAAACAATGTATTTATTACCGCCTGGGCCAGCGTCGAGCTCTGTATCAGTTGCCTACGCAAGTGACACTGAAAGCCAAGAACCGTACGCTTTTCCTCATAAAAATTTACCAACATGTGGTCATTCTTTCTAACAGAACATTTGAAACTGCAGATCACTAGAGTCGGCAAGAGTCAAAATCAAAGCAAGTTTCCTGATTGCACGCCCGGTACCAAAGTTTTCGCTTCAGCTCTCTTCAAAACTTTTGTTGCAGATTCAACAGCTCGACCAGAATCACCGACCAGTCCCAGTCCTTGAAATAAGACACCCTCTTCTCTTCAAATCGAAATTCACGCGGGGGGTTCCGTCAGGATGTGAAGTTGAGATCGGGCGATCTCTTTGCCCATCTCACTGAGGGCTATATCACAAGTGCTACTGTTGATAGAGATATCTCTCATGTGGAACAGCAGTCTATGAATGACAATAACATTGCTGCAGCCATGTGTCACAATGAAATGGATTCAAATATCTTCTTTCGAGATGCGCGGCACAGTTGGCAGGGTAGCGTGATTCAAACTGCTGAGCCTCATAAGGCCAAAACGTGCTACAGATTCACAATCAACGACGAAGAAAGGGATCCCGCGCGTCCAAGCAGGATTGTTTTGCAATGGGAGAAAAAGGACGAAGTAATTGAATCGGCTGCTTTGCTCAACGAAGAAATGTTTACCCTATTTTTGGTTGATAGGGGGGGCAAAGAGGAAGAGCAGAATTGCCACTATGACGAAGAATGGATTTGAGATAAATATTCGGAAGCTGTTTGTTATAGAGAGCTTGCAGGCCTGTTTTGATATGATGGATGATACAAACTCTGAAAAAGCAGGCCCAAGTCATGCTTTTGAGACGCGTCTATATACGTTAACTCTGACACTGGGCATGTGGGTTGGATTTCAAGAAGCATGGTTCAATTAGCGGACACAAATAAATATGATCTTCAATTCCCGGAAACAATTTACATTACTCAAACTTTGGAAGAAGCCACGATATTGAAAAGGCTTAGTTTTCTTGCCGTACATTTACATGATATGCACTGGTGATATAGTACTAGTAACGGGTCCTATGGGAAATTTAGGCAGCCTAGAATTGATCCAATAGCGGGCGAAGACAGCATTTGTGTGAATGACAACGTTGGAAAAGGTTTCAGCTCCGTACTCGTGTCAATATGAATATGATTGGATAAGTACAGCAAGGGATAGCTGAAAATTTCCTGCGAACCCACCTGGGTACAGCCCAGCCTCCACTCTTACACTAGCTCACCTAGGCAGGCTATGTGTATATGGTTGTCTGCATACCGGACAAATATTCCCAAGTACTGGAACTTGAGTAGTCAATTTGCCAAGATGTCCGGCCATGCTGTTATTTAGCCTATAAATAAATCTCTTGAGCACAAGAAGCTCCATCCATAGATGCAGATTAGTTTTAGCTTGAAACGCGGCTCGCCCAAAGAAAGATTAAGACTCTGTCATAGGAATATCCCTAGAGACTCAATATTTTACTTAAATGAAATCATCCGTCGCACTTTCGACACTCCTTTCGACGCTCTTTACTCTCATTCTTTTCTTTCTTCTCGTTCACTCCATTTTTCTTGCTCTCCTTCATTCAATCAAGCTGTCTTTGTGTTCAATACCCTCCCTCCTTCTAGCGGAGCGTTATCACTACAATTTCGCCATTATGTCTTCCAGTTACGTTCTCTATAACTATACACCATCAGTGGCAGCGGCAGCTATCTTTGTTATCCTGTTCATCGTTGCTACTTGCTGGCATATCTTCCTTGCTGCCAAGTATAAGCTCAAGTTCTTGATTGCTTTCATCATTGGCGGACTCTTTGAGGCCATGGGTTATATAGCCCGTGCAATTAACGCGAATGAATCACCGTCATATTCCGTTATGCCTTATGCCCTACAGAGTGTCTTTATCCTTCTCGCCCCATCATTTTTTGCGGCGTCAGTCTATATGATCCTTGGTCGTATTATTCGTGGAGTTGACGGGAACTCCAACTCTCTTATTCGTACCACTCGATTAACAAAAATATTTGTTTGTGGAGATGTTTTATCATTCTTTATTCAAAGTGCCGGTACGAACCTTTTACTTTTAAACTGGCCTTCTCCTTTCTAACATTTCATTTAATTAGGAGGCGGAATGCTTTCCAGTGCCAACTCAGCAAGTAGCCTCAAGTTAGGTGAAAATATCATTGTTGGTGGCTTAATTGTCCAGATTCTCTTTTTCGGTTTCTTCGTCATCGTTTCTGTTGTCTTTCACAGGCGTATGAATGCCCATCCAACCTCAACGTGGCTCAACTCTTCAGTCCAATGGGGGCGATATATGTACGTGCTTTACGCTGAGAGCACAATGATCATGGTTCGTTGCATCTACCGAGTGATCGAATATATCCAAGGATCATCGGGCACTCTACAGAGCCATGAAGCTTTCGCGTACATTTTCGATGCCACTTTAATGCTTTTGGTGATGGTAATTTTTATTTGGAAGCATCCTCATCAGATCATGACCAAACAACCTCAACAGGGAGATGAGACTGAGCTCATTTATGGACGCCTGGGCTGAATCAATCGACAGTCTTCCATGTTTTCCGATTGTTGACTCCGCGTCACGCACTTATTTGTACTTCGTGGGATCAAGGCGCTATCTACGGAACATATTGTACATGCTCATGGGAAAAGCCCTGGAGGTGGTCCTGCGCAGGTGTACGTCCACGATGGTATATTGCTAGGTTATGTCACACCGCATCATCCTGCCGATCTGGACGATACAATTTCCAAGCCTTAGGTTCAATGTTCTTGTGTTTCTCATGTGATTTCTGTTACTGTACCTACAATATCAATTGCAAGTTCTACTACTAGTAGTTCCTATAATGAGAGTTCTTTTGCCAAACTTGAAGCTACTATACTCTCCAGGGCTGTAATGCGGAGTCGTTTTCTCTCGCCCAGGGGGGGGGATAATGAACATCAATTCCTAAATCCTGAAAATCAAAACCTTTTTACCAACCTTGGAAGGCAACGAGAATCGATGAAAGTGGAAGATTTTCATGGCCCCACTGGCAAATCTGGACAACTTGAAGAATCAAGATAGCCTGCGCCTCCAGGGCTGGTTTGACCGTATGTATGGATATCTCCTGGCTATCCGCGGAATCAAAGAAACATGATTGGCTCGGACAAATACCGAATACAGTAATATCAGCCAATCAGCGAGCTAGAATTCCGCGTATACACATGCAGGCAACAGCCCTGGAGGCAACACTACATTCAATCTCTTCGGGACCTATCGATACAAATACGCGTACTTGAGCTATTTTGATTCGTGCTAAAAATTGAGCTGATCCAAATTCATTATGCTCACCCGAACCGTAAACCCATAAGCGTTCCACTATTTTATCCCTGTTGAGTCTTGACATTCAACATTTGAATGGATAGGAGAATTCTAAAACAATAACTCACCTGGGCAACATTTCAAAGAGCTAAATATTTCAATCTTTTTCAAGACCCCACATTGATGCATCACCACTGGCAGTTTGAAAGAAAGATACAGTTCTGGGATGTAGGGTACCCACTAGGTAGTATGTTGTACTCCGTACGCGATGTCATTATATCATTCAACGATCCATTCCAAGGTTGCCGCCTGGGCAGTGATTTTATCAATTTGAATGTTGGTTTTGTCTTTCAATAGACCCGGCCTTTTATCGACCTGTTTAGCAATCAACTGGCATTAATTGTGCTTCAAATGTTGGAGGTTGTATGGGGTACTATAGCATTTGGGCGACACTCACCCGATTGCCAGGTAGCTGCAGACAAGCTATGCGTTGGGTAAAAAAACACCCTATTGGGTAAGAATCCTCCAGGGCTTCTATGGCAATACCCGAAATAGAATTTTGTTCATATGTACTAGGAGGTACAGGTGTCTACATGAATACTACATAGTATTAATATGGATTCCACATCATACTACTACATCCTGCAACACTTCGGGTTGTGTCAACATCCAAGAGACGTTCAAACTTGCAATGGAAAATGATTTCCGCTAAGTAGATGTACAAAGGTACCTAGAACTGGGACAAAGGAGAATAATTCAGAATTCCTCGCCAGGAAGAATCGAGAAGAATCGGGCGCCATATAATTTAATCGAACTAGGAAACGAGTCAGTAAACTTGATGTTAGATGGGATTTGATGCTCAAACGAGAACTTACCGGAGTCAAGAAAGATTCGGCCACAAAACGGGCTCGCGCATTCAACTGCAGATTATGGATGAGCTTCCAGTCAATACGCCAGATCATGATTAGTCACTTACAAACAACTTCATCTCGGAGATCTCCTTGTCGACCTCCTCCATACTAAATAAGACATTTGGGGTTAACGGAGCTCAACTTGGAATAAAACAAAAAGGGTGGCATTGAACGTACAATTGGATAATAAAGTCCACCAACTTGTGCTTCAGCATTGCTTCAACGTGCACATTGGTAATCAAGAAAGAGATGTCGTATCCCTGGGTCGATGTCAGCAAGAGAGGCAAAATCAAGTAAAACGCATCCTGATCCGCCATTGACCAGCATAAAAGAGGGCAGATTCCCTATAGCATCAATACATACCTTAATAGGCTTTCGGCGAAGAATGAAGAAGGATTCGGCACGTTGTTGGAGGAAACGGGTGAACTTGTGGACCAAGACTGGTTGGGGCTGTTAGTTGGATGCGAAAGTTTGACTTCATTCCAAAAGAAAGTAACATACTGTGCTCGATCTCATCCGCTTGTTTGATTCTGATAGAAACTCGGACACTGTTTACAGATGGTTCTGGATAACGTAGGTCAGCATCCCAAGGTACGTCGTGTATGATCAGTTGCTTGATCAAGACCAGGCTCTCATACCGATGAGTACACGTTCTTCCGCATTGCGAGATACCGTCAAGGGGTTCAGGATAAGCTCCGGTGAGGTTTGCGCTTCGATTTCCGGGACATTATGACGCTCGGATGTCTGTGAAGCGAAGTTGGAGATCGCCAATGCTGCGGTCAGCGATGAGCGCACACTAAGTTCATCAGAAATATTAGTTGGTAATTCAATGCTAAATCTGAGAGGACTTTATGGAAAGTAACAAACCATTGAAGGTATGGACGAAGTGATTGAGACATGACGGCGGAGAGTGATGGCGGAGGGGGGGTCCCTGGTGATCCAAGCGCTCTAGATAAGAATCTGTTCACCAATGCACACAGTCCGTAATTCTGCAATATGGCTTGCAGAATGATAAATGATCCGGTGCTCGCTCCTGACAGCTTAGACCGTCGAGAGAAGTTGCTTGGAGCTTGCGAATCGTGGGGAAGTGGCTAGGCAGAGGGCAAGTTGATGTCCCGCTTCCCGGGGGGCGGTGATGATGACAGCAGAGTTGTTTGGTATGTTTGCAAGAGCAAGCGCCCCACGCCCTTCCTCCATCACTCAGAGCTGTTTACACCTCAACTCTTTCTTCATCTCTCTCGAAATTTTGAAATCCCCTCTTTTCGGTTTGTCACAATGGCAGCCATACCTAGTACGTTGCAAAATGAGTTTGCTCATTTTCGACATTGTACGTTCCTGCTGACAAATTTCCAGTTATCATCAAACACGCCGGCAAGCGCCACGAAGTCGAGCTCGATCCTACCTCCACCGGCGAAACATTAAAGTACCAGCTATTCTCATTGACTGGTGTTGAGCCTGATCGTCAGAAGGTTCTTGTGAAAGGTGGCCAGCTGAAAGATGATACTCCTCTCTCCTCTCTCAAAGCCAAGCCTGGGCAAACTTTTATGATGATGGGCACGCCTTCTGGCGGTCAGGATGCCCTGAGCAAGCCCAAGGAGGCCACAAAGTTCATGGAGGATATGACGGAGGCTGAAGTTGCACAGCAAGCGGGAGCTACACCTGCTGGCCTACAGAATTTGGGCAATACGTGCTACTTGAACTCTACCCTCCAGACCCTTCGTGGTGTTCCGGAGCTGCAAGAGGAGCTTCTCAAGTACCAGCCTAGTGGCCGATCTGGACAGTCGGGATTGTCAGATCTCAGCAGCTTCGGTCTCGGCGGCTTGAATGGCTCAAATGATCTTGCTGCATCGCTCCGCGATCTGTTCAAGCAAATGTCGGAAACCCAGGAGGGCATCCCTCCGTTCATGTTCCTCAACGCCCTTCGGACAGTATTCCCTCAATTCGCCCAAAAAGATCGCAACAATCATGGCTACGCACAACAGGATGCCGAGGAGGCTTGGTCTCAGATCCTCAACCAGCTGCGTGCCAAATTAACTATCAAGGACGGTGCCGAGTCGAGTAGCCAGACCTCCTTTGTCGATAAATATCTCGCGGGTCAGTTTGACTCTGTGACTGAGTGCGATGATCCTGCAGCCAAAGAGATGGGCGAAGAGCCTAACAACTCCTCGGATGTGTTCTTCAAGCTGGATTGCCATATTGGAAAGGAGACCAACCACCTCCAAGATGGTATTCTGGCTGGGTTAGAGGAGCAGATTGAAAAAAAGTCTCCCACGCTGGATCGCGATACAATGTACACTAAGCGCTCTCGCATTGCCCGTCTTCCAAAGTACCTGACTGTGCATTTTGTCCGATTTTTCTGGAAACGGGAGACCCAGAAGAAAGCAAAGATCATGCGCAAGGTTACCTTCCCGGCCGAACTTGACGTTGTGGAATTCTGTACAGATGCACTTCGGGATCAGCTCGTCCCTGTTCGCGACAAGGTACGAGAGATTCGCAAGGATGAGGTCGATGCCGACCGCGCTCGCAAACGACAAAGGCTAGCCATCGAACGTGAAGAAAAGCAGGCCAAGGGAGAAACCGAGGAACCCTCGGAGCCGATGCAAAAGAAGAAGGCTACAGAGGAGAACAAGGAGAAGAAGAATGACAAGGATGGCGACACGGAAATGGAGGAAACCTACAAGACCGATGCCCAGTACGAGGAGGAGAAGAATGCTGCCATCAAGGCTGCGAAGCTGGAACTGCAGGAGCTTCTCCAGAAAAACGGCTCTCCGGACAGCGGAACCAACCAGTCAGGTCTTTATGAGCTCCGTGGTGTGATTACGCACCAGGGTGCCAGTGCTGACAGCGGTCATTACACTGCTTATGTCAAGAAGCAGGCCCGGAAGTCCAGCGATGCCAAGCCTGGTGACAAGCGTCGCGACGATGATAACGACAATAAGTGGTGGTGGTTCAATGATGACAAGGTCACTGAGGTGGAAGCCGAGAAAATTGAGACTCTTGCTGGTGGTGGTAAGTACCGTTTTGAATTCTGATTCATTATTTTTGGTTTATCAGTAGCTAACAATATACTTCAGGTGAGTCGCACTCGGCACTCATTCTCCTGTACCGTGCCATCGAGCTGCCAACTTTGGATTGATTAGACTATTTGAGATCTCTAGTCTGTACGATCAAAAGACATGTCTCTAGATGAATAGAAATGATGAATATGAGTGGATGGTTTATGGTGACAATGGGTACGAGTTTGGGGGATTCAATTTGATCTCCAGGGCTTTTAAAATGACGTATTTAGCACCTCACAAATGCGGATAAACTTTGATTGAGTATTAGTAGGATTCCCGCCATTCTTTTTCATGCACATTTGCTACTAGTACCTAAGAATAGTACTAGTAGTATATCAACCTTAGAAGGGACATGTGAATTGATAAATGGTGGCTACATACTCAGTACTCTGTACTACATGTGCTGCGTGCATGAATAGAATCTCAGAAAAATAAGTCACGTGGTGATAAGCCATGTTGATCGCTTGAATTTCAAGGAGCTTCAACTTGAAGTTCACAGTTCTCGTTAGAATGCTAATATAATCACCATGAATTCCCGTTTCATACTACAGATTGCTCGGTGTGCGCCCACTTTAAGATCATCTACCCTCACGAGGTCACCTATCCGCAACATCTCTACCTCTACACCTCAAACCTCCAAGTCGTCACCGTGGACCCGCCGTCTGATTTACGCTGGGATATTTGGAGCGCTTGGAGTATGGAGTGGCTCAAGAGTCGATTCCTTCTTCTCGACACCTCCAGAGCCAGGGTCAGCGGAGGATCAGAAGGCATTGCAAGCAATCCAGAGGCAATTCGATGTCGCTGTTCCAATCGTGAGAGAACTGCGCCGAAATCCCGATTACGTGGAATCAGGCGTCTACGGGGACTTTGAAGAAGAGAATAAACGCCACAGGTTGACTTCCGGTCCTTTGGCTGGAAGCAGAGGTCTAGCACTTCAGGTAGGTTTCCGTAGTTCCCCAATCCCCCTAAACGGCCAGTGCGGCCAGTCCGCCAGGCTAAGCAAGTCATTCCCGAACCCCCCAAATGACTATACATCAAAATTCCTTTCTAACGTTCAACTTTTTGTTTAGAGGGTTTTCTCAAATGATTCCGAAAAGAAGATTATTAGTGTAGTCTACTTCGGCCACGCTGTGGAGGGATGGCCCACCATGGTCCATGGAGGTGCTTTGGGAACTGTCATCGATGAGAATATGGGACGAACTGCTCTGAGACACTTCCCTGCTCGCACGGGAGTCACTGCAAATCTTAACATCAACTACCGCGCTCCCGTTTACTCAGGACAGTTTTACACCTTCCATACACAGTTGGATCAGGATCGGAGCACAGACCTCAAGGGCTATGTCTCCTGTCAAGTGCGTGACCAGACAGGTCAACTTTGTGTCGAAGCAACGGGTCTTTTCGTAGTCCCGAAGAAGTTTCAACTTGCAAAGATTGGGGATCGTTTTTAAGTTATGGACATAGTAAACCTGACACAAACCTTGAGGTGTCTGGTGATTGACCATTTATTCTGGGGCCCATGTGGGGAAAATTTAGCCGATGTGCCACTTGTCATCTATGCTTTATGGCATGCAATGGTCAGGACCCTCCTTATTTTCATTTTTCTGTTTATTTTCGCAGATCGTTGGCCCTCCCGGAGAATCCCTTTCATGTATAAAGACAACCTTGGAACCATCGGAAAACCCGGGGGCCGTTTCAGCTTGCACATTATGCTTCCAGCACTTCTTCAAGTTATCCCTGTGCATATCTTACGCACAATGACATAGAATCCCGCATATTTCGTGTTCATCATTCGCCACGACTTAGTTGCATCGGCAAAGATTGGGCACAGACCTCCACACCCCCAGGCGTACCGTGAGCGTGGACCTATTCAACCTTGAACGAGGACTAGTAGAAAATGATACGGTTTTCGGGGCTGGTCCCTTTGTGGACATTGAGCCGGGATTGGATGATCGAGACTCGCGTTCATGACGCCCACAACAGTCCAATCGTATCCGACTCCACCTTCTCCACGTTTTCCCCCGCATTTTCCCTTGTCTAATTACTGGACTCCCCGCTGTCAAATGCGATGCTGCCTCGGTATTTTCTGGATTTCTGATTTATCCATCCGGCTATCGCTTATCTTCCCTCGATTCCAATGCAAGTTTATTGAATGACCCTTTCTATTTTTGTCACTGCCTCTGTTGATTGGTCAAATGCAAGCCTTCTATTATGCGGCCCAAACAGATGGATAGGGGCGATCGGAATCCGACGTTCTTGGCATTCATGCCGATTTCAAGGTTAAAAGGTAATTCCGTGTTACCCCGTTTAACTCAGAATTATATACCCTGATCTCCCCGCTTCCAAGGAGGTGGGTAGATCTAATATCGACCGTTAGCTTGGTGAGAATTGAAATTTACATCTCACCTTGTGACTTCCAAATGCGAAATTTTCCTCCAGTTCCAAGTTCTTTCTCTTCATTTTTTTTCCTTTCAAGGAATTGGGGACTTCTTTTTTCTTTTCTTTTTCATCACTGTTATCTGCTCACCATGGCGGTTTTAACTGAGGGCTCGGATCCTCCTGGCGACGAGAAGAATACCATTATGCCACAGGAAAGTAGCGATATGGATCGTCGACATAGTCATCAGGAGGTGGTTGATTCTGCCTCCAATGAAACAGGTCTTCCTGAGGCCGAGAAAGACATTCCGGTAGGATGCACATCTATACTATTCATCATGTGGTTGAGTGACTGACAACGAATATTAGATGACTTTTCGACGATTCATGGGTTTTACAGCGATGGCTTTCCTATGGACTGGAAGTCAGATTCCCGTCTATTTATTTGGTGAGCAACTACAATTTCTCATCTCGCGATCTGGTCAATATGGTACTAACGGTCCTTCAGGCGGTATTCCCCCGTATATCTACGGAAGCATTGGCGGATCAGATCGCTGGGTTTGGTTTGTATGGATTTCAAATCTCCATATTCATATCCACCTGACGCTAATCATCAGGTTTCTAGGTTCTAGCAAACCTTCTTAGTCTGGCAGGTGTCTGTCCATTTGTCGGATCTCTATCTGATTTAATTGGCCGCCGTTATGTCGCTATTATCGGAGCTTCTCTGATTGTCCTTGGCATGATCGTTTGCAGCACAGCCCATACAATGAATATTTTCATCGGTGAGTTCTTTGGATGAGCGTGTCATCGTACTTACTAATGGACTCTTAGCGGGTATGGCTATTGCTGGCGCTGGCGCCGGCGTGAATGAATTGACTGCATTGGCTGCAGCCTCGGAAATGGCACCTACTCGCAAGCGAGGTGTTTATGTCGCTGTTCTAATTCTCACCATCATTCCTTTTTGTCCCTCGGTACTTTGGGCCCAGCTCATCGCATACTATAGTAACTGGCGCTATGTTGGTGCGTTCAGCGGTGCGTGGAATGCTTTCGGTCTGTTGATCACAGTCATGTTCTACTTTCCTCCTCCTCGAGTCAACTCTGTTGGGCTGAGCAGAAGAGAGATTATTAGTCGCATTGACTTCATGGGTGGATTCCTCAGCATTACTGGACTCATTATTTTCCTGGCTGGGCTTCAATGGGGTGGATATATGGTAAGAACGATTCTGAGCAGATACCATTCTCGGTTTGACCCAAATGATTATTGATTCTGTTTGCATAGTATCCCTGGTCTTCCGCGCACGTCCTTGCACCTCTGATCATCGGCTTCGCTCTCCTAGTCGCCTTCGCCTTCTGGGAGATTTACGGCGCAAAGTATCCCATTTTCCCGACAAGGTTGAAGCAAGAGCCCCTCACACTGGGTCTAACTCTAGTCATTACATGTATTTCCGGGTGCAATTTCTTCTCCGTACTGATGTTCTGGCCTACTGAGTCGTTCAATGTTTACGGTCATGATCCCGTAGGCGTTGGGTTGCGCAGTCTCCCCATTGGACTTGGCATCCTCGCTGGTGCTTGTATAGTGCTTGTCCTGCTGAGTGTTTTCAAGGGACATAACAAGGAGCTTTTGATCATAAGCAGTGTTCTTATGACAGCTGGTAAGTCTTGCTGTCGATTTGACATGGGTTCCGCGTACTAATAACCCCCTTTCAACAGGCTGTGGAGCACTATCCATTGGACGCATCGACAATATGTACCAACTGTGGGGACTTCTGGTGTTAGCTGGTCTAGGAATTGGAGGCATTGTTGTTCCAGCTTCGATTATAACCACTATCATTTGCCCTGATGTGAGTAGGAGTCAATTGAGACATGGTAGTATGATTGATTACTGATAATAATCTGCAGGACCTTATTGCCACCATCTCCGCACTTACTCTTTCGATCCGTGTCGTGGGCGGTGGAATTGGCTATACCATCTACTACAACGTCTTCATTTCAAAGTTCGTTCCGAAAGCAACTGAATACATTGGTGGTGTGATGGAGATGGATCTCGGAATCACCAATGTTACGCTTATTACCGAAGTCATCGAACTCACTGGCGCCTCCTTACTCGATGATATCAAATTGATTCCGGGAATTGCAGGCAATGAAACTGCCTATGACATGGTCGTGCTTGCTGGCCAGATGGCGTACTCTGAATCATACAAGTACGTTTATTATGTGAGTATTGCTTTTGGTACGATCTCGATTATTGCGGCTTGTTTCTTGGGCAATATCACCAAATATATGACCGATCATGTTGCCGTCGTGATGTGAGCATTGATGGCTAGGTCTCGAGGTGAACATATTTGTACTGTAGTCTAAATAGTGGGCGTAATCCACATTTTCAGAATTCAAGTTCAAGTTCAACTTGAAATTAGTCCGAGTCTGTCATCAATAAAAATTTGGCCTATAGTATTTGGGGATTGAGTGTTCAAAGTTTGATTTTGAGTTTTGGATGAAAGATTTGATGTTAATGTATAATTATGAATAACTTGAAGATGGTTAGCATCTGTTGGTATCCAATGTAGATTTGACTTGGCGTGGAGAGCTGTATAACCCCGCGCCTCACCGCCATCCCTACCGCACTTTCTATTTCACGTTCTGATTGGACTCTATTGAAGCAAACGGAATTCTGCCGACAAATATTGCGGCTATCTCCACGTGATCCCCGTTTGTATACTGTTTTCCCATTTGCCATCTTCGCACTTTCATCTCACACTCTCCATGAGTTTGTGCCTCAATAATGGCTACATCCGCTCCAATTATGGGTGGTGGGAACTCTGGACCAATTGTGGAAGCACACTCGGTATATCCATCTTTTTGCCTTACAGGGACCTGCCAAGCTAATTCTCACTTTAGTTGATAACCCAGCTTTATGATCCTGCGAACCAACGGAACCCGACCACCATAAATGAAATCCAAACACGATTACAACACCTGCAAAAAGGCGACCATGCCTGGGAAATTGCGGACTCTCTACTTCGCGAACGGTCTGCGCATCATCGTTTTATGGGCGCCCTTACTTTCACTGTGAAGATCAATGTATCAGGGTACGTGTTGGGTCCGACACCTGCGAACATTCCGACGGACCATACCGAAGATTGCAGGACAAGGAACGCTAATGAAGCTCTGGGCACAGGAATCAAATCGAAGAGGCAACCACCTGTCAAATCCTGGAACGACTCATCAATCATTTTGTCACAATCGTGAACGAGGGCGAACAAACAATGGTGGTCAGGAAGCTTGCTTCTAGTCTTGTTGCTATCTTTCGGCATACGGCTAGCTCTTGGAAACGAGCTCTTTGGCAGCTGGCTGCAAGTCTCGCCCACGGCGGTTTTGTTTCGGAATCAGAATGCCAGACGGTAGACTTCCTGAACGGAGTTCTTCCAACATTGTCTACCTCAAAGGCCACAGCCCTGGTATTCTTTTCGATCGCTTTAGCCGAGGAAGCATCTAGATTGGAAGCTGAGCCTCAAGAATTGGTGGGCTCAGTCATCCAGCGCGTAGTGGAAAACATAGGAGATGCGTTCTTGCTCGTTCAGTATATCCTCAGGCAGATTGCGTATCATGCAGCAGAAGCTGGCAGTGAGTCTATGGAGGCTACCCTGAGCCACGAGGCTATGGGGTCTTGGAAGGTCAGAAGATCCTATACTTGGTATACCTATACCTGGACAGAATTAAAGGCTAACTTGATCTTGTGAAATAGACATGGCTTGGTGTTTATGGAAACCATCGCCATTCCAGTGACAAACAAACACAAGCTCTCGTCATCTCGTGTGGTCATGATATCATTGAAGCATTGCGACTACCGAGCTTCAGTGAGAGTGCAGCCTCTGTATTAACCCCAGCGCTCGAGACTCGTTCCTGGGCATTTGATACCCATTCCATTTTCACTATTGCACAGGTTCTTTCAGACTCCATTGTGACCAAGCATCTGCTCTCAGTTACAGGGGAGGACTATGATACTGATAGTATGACATTCATTGATCTCCTCGTTGCATATGTCTCTTTGGTCGGCTTTGATCTATTCAGTGATCCTATGAAACGCCAAAACTCTCAAATATTGGCTATTTTGCATAATATTTTCAAGATTCCAGGCTACGCAGCTATTGATGAGTCGGCCACAACACGCGTCCTGGAGTACTGGGGTGAAATTGCTGAGTGTCTACCGGACAAGTTGGAGTCTTCTGATTCTAGATATCAAATTGTCAAATCTCAGATGGCTGAAGTTGTTCTTGGCATGTTTAACAAGCTCCTGTATCCAAACCCCAGTGACATTGTTGACTGGAGTGATGAGGAGAGGAGTGAGTTCAATTCCTACCGTCATGAAGCATGCGATTATCTTCTTTCTGCGTACCCTGTTTTGGGAATAGAGCTCGTGAGCGTATTCCAGGAAAGCGCAGCCAATCATTTACAGAAGCTTGATTGGCGAGGCTTTGAAGTTGCTATGTTCTGTCTTGCCCAGCTTTCTGAAGCAGTTGATGAGAATGGCCATGCAGACCAATGCTTAGATTCAATCTTCGGTAGCGACGCCTTTGCCCAGCTATGCCTGGGTGGCGAGACCGGAATTCCACTGAAGGCACGTCAGACACTTGTCGATTCTTTTGGAAAATACGAGTCATATTTTGAACGACACAGCTACCTCTTGCCGAGTGTTCTGAACATCCTTTTCGAATCATTGAACTTTGAATCCTGTGCCCAACCGGCCTCACGGTCTATTCTGACGCTCTCAAAATCCTGCTCCCGGATGCTGATAACTGAGCTCCCGACCTTCCTTGATCGATTGGACCAGTTCCGGACAAGACCTACAGCAACAGTCTCTACAATGCCGAAGGTTCTCGAAGGAATTGCGACAATCATACAAAAATTAGAGTCAGATGAGCAGAAAGTACAAACACTGGAAAGAATCCTCGGATTCTTTGTCCAAGAAGCCAAGACAGCACGTGAAGAAGCAGCTGGCTCCGCATTCGAGATTGCACGGGCCCATGGACATCTGGTGCTCAGTTGCATTGCCAGCATTGGCAAAGGACTTCGGTCCGACGGAGATGAGGTTGTCATTAACCTGGATGCAGTACAAGAACAGGATCCATACCCTGCATCATTTTGGAATTCCGGGCCTGGATCGCCAGTACAGCAGCTCATCATGGAGGCAATGCGTCTACTGATTGTTGATTTCCCCGTTGATAGTGGCATCATTGATTCAGCATGCGACATTCTTAAAGCCGGTTACACCGAGTCAAGCGGACTCTTTGTCTTCCCTCCTTCGTTGACAGTGGATTTCATCAAAAGCTTCCCTCTCGGTATTTCGGGAACTGATGTCATCATGGCCACAGCATCGTCATTCCTCGCATCGCATGCTTCACATGCTATGAAGATCAGGGAAGAGACGGTGCAACTGATTGCTCACGTGTCGCAACTCTTCGCTTCGATGCTTGACAATCCCGACATCTATGACCCTGAGACTGCTAATGCGGGTATTGATTTCCTTGCGCGTCTCTTGCCAAAATACTACCCCATTCTCTTCTCTTTGACCGAGCCTCTTCCTTCTGCCTCTGGCTCAGAGTCGCAAGGAACCCCAATCTTTGCCCTCGTACTGAAATTTGCCCTTCGTGCTCTTACCAGGCCCGAGCCTCTCGTTCTTCGCTCTGGTTCGGCATTCTGGGTCGCCATGATAGATCTACGAGGCGGGTCTCCCGACGAGACCATCGCGCTGGATCAAGTTCTGGAACATTTCGTCCCCCCTCTATGTGAAACATTGATCGGACAAATCGCAGGTCGATGCGCGCGGTCTGATCTGACCTTCCTAAATGACGTCTTGCGACGACTGATGTTCAAGAAAATGGTACTGGCGCGGCCTAATCTAATCGCCGCACTCAGTGCTTTTGATGCCCAGGGTACCGATGCTAACGGTATTCAAACACCGGTTCTCACTGCGCAAGATAAGTCTAGATTTGTAGAGTCCCTTGTTGTTGCGCGCGGTGGGAAGTCACAGTCATTAGACATTGTGCGATCGCTGTGGTTAAAATGTCGTGGGATGACCTTTGATTATGTGCAATAGTCCGTCTGGAGCTGTTGGGACCTGGAGTTTCCAAGAGATTATGACTGAAATGATTTCATTTTATTGGGGTTTTATCATGTGAGGTTCAAGGGGCCTTAACACGCTCATCATGGTGCCATTGCATTATGGGTTTTCTTTTCATCTAGCACCCACCTAATTGCATTCCAAGGTTTTCATCGATTTTCAAATTCATTAATATCATCATTTATGCATAATCTCAAGAATGCCTAACTATGATCCTGGATGTAAGGAGTCCAAGGTTGCTTTTATGGTCTTTTCCTCTGAGATCGGACCATGGAAGGAGAACGGTAGGTACAAATCAGACGTCGCGATATATGCTAAGTCTACTGAACCATCAAAATATTGCCGACCTTTCACTTCTACGAGTAGTATAACCTTGGAATGTTAATGATAGGTCTAAGCTATTTCTAAGAAATAAAAGGAGTTGAACTTGAAGTTGCCACATATTGATCTTGTGATCCACAGGCCTTGGATAACCTTCTCATAACTCCAAGTCTCATGCATAATTCGCTATACATCAGACTCGGACCAATCCTAAAAACATGACTCGTCATTCTCGCTCAATAGGAGCTATGGAGCAGGAAAACAGAAACCTGTTGGAACCAATCATAGTCATGACGATCAGTTCACATGTTAATCCCTCCAGCCCTAGCCCCTCTTGATGTTCCCCGGACCACGGACCACGGTACGGCACATGGTGATCATGGGGAAACATGGGGGGAAAATATCATATAACTACACCATGAGGCTGAGAAAGAGTCGTCCACTATTCCTTTTACTTTTTGGCTCTATCTTGAAACCACATTCCAACATGGCACTGAAATCCTCTCGACATGGAAATAGTACGGAGTGTCACTATTGGGGATACTCCTTTCTATGGACTGACCTACATCGCTCGGAAAATGAACTCAGACCCATGGTTCATACCTATGATAAACTCGCTGATGAGTGTGTGGAACGACTGAATAAACTTCCCTCTAATGGAGAGTCCGACAAGCTTTTTCATAAGGACCTTTATACATTGCTGAAAGATCATGCGCATGAAGATCCGAAGTTGCAGGAGTTATGGACACAGGTGAATACGGTTCCTGAATGGGTAGACTGGGAGCAGATTCAGCGAGGCCAGGACACGTTTTTCCGCTATGGGCTTCCCATTTTGAATGTGGTGAGTGTTATCAGTCCGGCTAGTCGAAGGGAAGAAGACTAACCATGAGTATCCAACAGTTGAGTTTTGAAAGTTTGCTTGGTGGAATGTAAGACCTCATGCGCATACTGGAAGATTTTGACTAACTCTCTAGGGGCGCAATCCGGGTGGTAGAAACTCTTTCGCGAACAGGTGGCTTCGGAGCTAAAGTAGTACGTCGTCGATTACTCGAAACACTTCAGCATATTCTACAAGTGAATAGTTCAGCAGAGGGAATGAAGCCCGGTGGTGAAGGAAACATCTCATCCGTCCGAGTTCGACTCCTCCACTCATCCGTTCGTCTGAGGATCCTCAATCTCGTCGAGCAACAGCCAGATTACTATGATATCGCCAGATATGGACCCCCCAGTCAATGACTTAGACTGTATTGGGACGATCAATACCTTCTGCAGCTCGGTAGTTTGGATGGGTCTTCCGCGACAAGGTATCTTCTTGAGCGAGAGAGAGATCGACGATTACATTGCACTGTGGAGACTCGTGGCATGGTATATGGGTACACCAACAGAACCATTCGAGAATTCAAAGGACGCTCGAGCGATGATGGAATCTCTACTAATATCGGAGATTGATCCTACTGAGACTGGGAAGGTGCTGGCGAAGAATATCATTATCGGACTTGAGAATACCGCGCCGGCTTATGCTTCGAAGGAATTCATGGAAGCCATGAGCAGACTATTGAATGGAGATCAACTTTCGGATGAGTTGGAGATTCCTCGGTCGAGTCTTTATTATCAAATGCTTATATGGGGATATTGCTTCTGGGTTTCTGGAGTCTCGTATATTATTCCGCGAATTTACTTCATGGATAGATTGATGATCTCGGTAAGTTTCTTTGCATCGGTCGAGCACTTTTCACTTGTTTTTGAGGTTCTGATTCGAATAGCTGCGCCGAAAGTACTTCTACAAAATGATCCTGGATGAGAAGATCGGTCTGGGTCGTGAGTCTCGATTTGATTTCAAGTATGTCCCGACGTTGACACGGACCACACGTCTCGGTCAACGACGTACGACCAAGTTCGAAAGACCTGGAGTTGAAACTCTTGCACGACTAGGTCTTCTTGCAGCTCTGAGTGCAGTGCTTACACTTGGGATGGGGCTGATATTCGCTGTCCAAGTGATGCCACCAAATCAGCTGCTTAATGCGATAAGGGGTTGAGGCTTGCAATAGTACCTAGTAGGCTTTATACAGAAAGATATTATGTTTGATCTGAGAATCCACATAGTGTTATTTGAGTTTCTTTCAAGTTTCGGAGGCCAAACCGAGGCACATGAGCATGTTCCAAGGCTAGTAGTAGATATCATAGTTTTATAAACCTAGCCTAGCCAAGTGCACTACCTCAGGAGCGATCATCATGTCTCAGTTTGCACTCAGCACACGGCCAAGCATGCTGTCTAGCCAACACTTGAAGATTTGAAGTATTCTCACAGGAATGTCCATGTCATTAGCTTCGAATTCCAGCAAGCACTCGGTATCCTTGGAATTGGTTTCCTCATAATGGTTTCTGCGCTCTTCCAAGTGCTCCACTGAGCCCCTCACGTTAAAGAAGCAGCATGGGGGCATTTTGTCGGCTGTCTCGGCGCCCCGGGCTTTAGCGAAATCTGCTACCATCTTGCTAGCCATGCTCAAAGTAGCCAAGGATACGTTGGAGTCTGGGATAAGATTTTTGCGGAGCACGACTGGGCAAGACAGAACATAGCAACTTCAAAGCCTCGCCAATCAAGCTTCTGTAAATGATTGGCTGCGCTTTCCTGGAATACGCTCACGAGCTCTATTCCCAAAACAGGGTACGCAGAAAGAAGATAATCGCATGCTTCATGACGGTAGGAATTGAACTCACTCCTCTCCTCATCACTCCAGTCAACAATGCCAGAAGTAACCATGTGAACAGTCGTGAGAAAATTTGGGTAAAGGACTATAATACCTTAGGCAGCGGCATATGAGAACAGAAGTAGAATCTTGCGCTGCTGGATCCTCAGCTATTAAATTGGCAAGCACACCACAAATCTCAGTGTCAAGCTCCCAAAACTGAAGTGGAGGGCTGGTGGTATGTGTTTGTTGTGTATACTGTAGCACTCGGTCGAGAAATTGTACGACCTGGAAACGGTGCTTCTCCAGGCAATTCCATATATCAGTATTTGTGTTTGAGGGAATAGCCAAATTCACCAGGAGAAGATCTGAACGCAAGTGCAGCTGCGCTTGTTCACTGGCTTTCATGTGCTGCTGCGCGGTATCCAACAAAATAGCTCTGTTTCATGTGAGCAACAGCCAAGAAAATGATAACAGTAAACATACCTCTCTAGAAATAAGACTGACCATACAATAGCCAAACTATTCTTGTAATTATCTGCTGACGTGTATATCGTCTGGCCGGAAAGACCCAGGATGTGTGCTAGGCCAGTGCATGTGCGCATGGACACGTAGGCCGTCGCTAAATGCCGACAAGCATATTCACAGGCAGTTATAATGAGCCAGGCCTTGAGTAATGGTAGGGATGGACGGACAATAGTCTGGACTTGAGCGAGCAGCATTTTTGTAGTTTGGTAGAAATACTTGCGGCTCAATAATCGATTTGGGTCTGAAAGACCAGGCGAGTCGAGAGTCCAGGGATTGGTATTACGGTACACATGGCCAGAAGCAAAATGGAGACATCCGCAGGGCGAGGCTGCGCAGGTTCGACTTGAAACACATCGGCCGACACGATGGGCATCCACTGGTGAAAGCTATTCATGTAGGTCATGGTGATTTCAGCGGGATGCATACGTAAAACCGCCAGTATCTGGTGCATGCGTTGGTCGATCAGGAAATCTATAGAGTCATGTAGAGGGGCTTGGCCAGGGTGAGCTTCCAAATGGAAATCTGTAAGTGCCACAAAGTGCCGACCGGGGTTGATCTGGCGACTGCGTTTCTCGTGCTGAGGCCTATTGTATTCGCACTGAATGCCATTCCGAGCGCAATAACCACAAGCTGGCAACGTCTTGTCGCACGTCTTTTTCCGCCGTAGACACATAGCATACACATTGGGTGCGTATGGTATTGGTGGTCCCATGGCCCAGTTCTTAGAGATTCAAAAACGACAGCGAAGAAGAGGGGACTCCGGAATAGTGAAAATGAGTTTGAAGGCAGCGCTCCTAGGCTTCAAATGTTTTATCAAACCCAATCACTTTTCTCCAATGATAAGCACTGGTAGCACTAAGTGGTCCATGAGGCGTCCAACTAGTTGACGTAACGTAGTTCATAAAGTACTAGACAAGGCGTCTTATAATACCCATGGACCTATATGTCAATGTTGGCTCAGCCCAGGGGCCAAAGCGAACTTGATGCTCACTCTGAGCTGACACGCCACTCAAGCTTGCTTTCTGTAGCCATGAGCACAAAGTTTGAATTTTTGAGCCCCTTCATCTATTTACAGGAGTGGGATGGATGAAGTTACAATAAGGCGGATTACTTGAGGTGAAAAGCTCACAGAAGACGATAACAAAATTCCACATTTTGCAGGTGAGAATGTCAGATTTCAATGTTACGGGGCTTGTATAACACGTCAATTTGTGAGCGACCAGTTATACCCAGAGACTAATTAATCAAGCTCCATCGCCCCCTTCAAGCGGCCATTGGAGATTTATAGCCTATAGCCCTGGAGGTAAGAGTAGACGCAAATGTGGATATAATGATCTATGTGTTTACTAGCTTCATGCCTCACAGATAACCTACATTCGAGTTAATTCAAATTTATTCAGCATAGCGTTCAAGTGCTAAAAGATGGATAACAGGTAAGTGGTCCGATTACACACAATTATTAACCTAGGACTACGTACGATACCCCACTGTCACTGACTGTACCTAGTCATGGACTGGCGGCCGCCACTAACTCTTTATAGTAAGTAATACGATATGTATGGAGCGAATCAGTTATAGCTACTCAGTATGCGGCTGCTATGTCTGGATTGTAGATCTTCGGTTCGTCCGATCTTATTGTGTTGGCACGGCTTGAATGGCCCGTGTTGTTAGCTTCAGGCTTCCCAGACAACATAGCAATCGAGTGGACTATAAAAGGACACACATCGCTAGATGATAGCAGACCTGTGAACTTTACTCGCAAGTTATTGGCAACGAGCCTTGTCGTTTCAAAGTAAGCATGAGCATCAACGCAGACAACCATACCGCTGAGGCGGATAGATACTCATCCGCCAATTCTCCCGAGGATGTACCTAGCCTCGTCACTCGTATCTCCTCATTTGGTCCGGACATCAACTGTGAGGACAGGAAAGAACGATCAGAACTACTGGATGCAGCCAGGTCGCTCGTGGCGGCACTGGAGACGCCTGCAGAGACGAGCCGCCGTCATATCTGGCTTAATGTAAGTATCCTCTACACACGTATACCGTCTTTATAGCTGACCGGTAAGCCTGCGACATTTGCGGCTATTATGACAGCGTTGGACCTCGGCGTTTTCCCACTGCTTGCCTTGAACGGAAAGCCCAAGACAGCTCTCGACCTGGCCACTGCGACGAACTCCGATCCTGTGCTGCTTGGTAAGCTCATGTTGAGATTATGACTTTCAGAACCGCCATTTGACACTCCCTAGCAAGAATTCTGAAGCATCTTGGTGCAATGGGCGTCTTGTTTGAGACAGGCACGGATGAATATTGCGCCACGAACCTTTCCTCCACCCTGGCCGTAGACAAATATAGTGACGGTTATCGTCTTTAGTAAGAGCCAATTCCAGATGATGTCTTGGACAATATGGAGGTCTCTTTACTAATCCTTTGCAATTCACGTTGGATGCTCCCGGGATATCTTGCCTTCCCTGCCTTTATCCGCGACGCTGACTATCAAGACCCTTCAAATATGAAGAGATGTGCCTTCGGTGCGGCGCATAAGACAGAGAAATCAAGATCTTCCAGAAGTGATTGATGCCGTGAAAGAAGACCTGGATAAGTCCATTGAACCAATGGCTTATAATTTCTTCACAAGGCAGCGGGTCAAAGGTATACTTGCTAGTGTTTTCTTCTAGATGCTTTTGACCAAGTACTGATCTGGAATTTTGACTCTAGGTGCGCGGGCTTATTATATGCATTCCGTGCTGCATGACTGGCCCGATGAAACGTGTGTAGATTCTCGCTAATATTACACCCGCCATGACGCCGGGCTACAGTAAATTGTTGATCAACGAGAACGTGGTCCCAGACACTGGTGCCCATCCAGAGACCACCGCTCTTGACTTGAATATGATGACAGTGGGCTCCTGTGAGCGCACACAGGGCCATTGGACCCGACTTCTCGAGAGGGCTGGGTTGAAAATCCTCAATATCTGGACTGTGACAAGGGGTGTCGAGAATCTGATTGAATGTGTTTGTGAGAACTGATGGATCTATCTGTCGAACATCGCAGGAAATATTAGTTTTTTCTCATCTCAGATTGATGAATCGCTCATATCGGGCGTATTCGTTTCTCCTGGATGTTTTTGGTTGCCGTGAATTTACCTTTGACGTCGGACTATTTGGTACTTTCTTGCACGGCATGGACACCAAACCGGGGGAGTAGCGAGATGTCCTATGTTATCTGATTCAGTTTCGAATTTGCATTTCAATTTCAGTTGGCAATCCCGTGTAAAATCCATGAAGCAAATTGTGGAGTCTTTGAGAGCAATTGCGTTGGACCTACAGAGCCGTGTTGCATCGGAAGAAGTCTGCTGAAGTGGTTCATGGAAGGGTTTTTTTTTGGAAATGGAAAAACTGTGCTGGAGCAGAGAAATGCAGTGGAGTAGGTAAAGTGTGCTAGGGTGAGAAAGTTGTGCTGGAGTAGAAGAATTTTGTTGGACCTAGAGACCTGTGTTGAACCTGGAGACCCGTGTTGGAGTGGGAAAACTGTATTGGAGTTGAGAAAGTATGCTGGACTAAACGAACTGTGTTGGAGTGGGAAAGGTGTACTGTAGTGGGCAAAGTGTGCTGGAGTGGATAAATTGTGCTGTAGTGGAAAAAGGGTGTTGGAGCTACAGAACCGTGCTGGACCTACAGAATCGTGTTGGAGCTGGAGGGCCCTTCTGTTTTCAGATAAAGGATCTCGTGTGTGTGGTCACCATGACGCCATTTGAAGACATCTCTCTATCTCAGACAATCCTAATGCAATCTGATTAATCTATAAGTTCAACCTTGGAGTCATTATGATCAACCAAGACCTGGTAGCACCTTTTCTAGGTGCGCTTCAAGCATGTGTCTCGGTTCTACTAACTATGAGCTACGGCATCGCCGCACGTCGTCTAGGTCTCATCCATGATGCAGCAATCAACGACATGTCCGGTCTAGCAGTGAAACTATTCCTGCCCGCACTGATCATCGTCAATCTCGGCGAACAGCTTCATTGGGGTACAGTAATGAACTACATCCCTGTCATATGTAAGTCCGCCGAGCAAAGCTACACGTCCAGTTACCAACATTACTTGCCTTGACACTCAAGTCTGGTCAATCAGCTATACATGCGCTTCAATTGGAATTGTACATGTCATTTCAAGAATGTTCAATCTCCCTCAATGGGTCAAACCTGCATGTTCCTTCAATAACACCACTTCTCTACCTCTTCTCCTCCTCGATGCCCTCGACAGCGTTGGCTCCCTACGTCTGATCCTCCGCAAAGGCGAAACGACTTCAGAAGAAATCGATCGCGCACAAAGCTATTTCCTCGTCTGCGCAGTGATAAGCAAAACAATAGCTTACGTCGTCGGGCCGAGAATGCTTCAAGATCACAAATCCATATCCATACCCCCTTCGTCTGGCTATGAGCCAGAATCCAACCTCAATGATCGCAATCATACCGAAGAATCCCAGGACGAACTACTCACAGAAACAACATCACTTCTACCTCAATTAACACAACCACGAATTCGCACCTTGAAAGCACATATAAAAAGGTATAAAAGCCGTCTCTCATCTCTCCTTCCAACTCGCATGAAACAAAACTTCATGGCCTCCTTCGGATCCCCATTCGCAGATGTAGTAATCTGCTGCACACTTCTCGGGGCAATACTCGGTCTTGTACCTACACTCCATCGTGCTTTTTTCGCGCGTGATGAAGATGGTGGGATCTTTCATGCGTGGTTAACAACTAGTATACGGAACCTGGGACGATTGTTTACTACCTTACAGATTTTTCTTGTGGGTTGTAAACTTGGCGTTACGATAGAGAGAATGATTCTTGAGAGAAGAGGGCAGAGGAATGGCAGTAGGGATGAAACTACTGCGGAGTATTCTGAGCGGGATGGGAGTTCGGGCAGGATTCCAGTCCGCTCTATGGTTTTTATTTTCATCTTTCGGTTGGTCCTTTGGCCGGCTGTTAGTATTTCGATGATTTATGGGCTCGCGAAGACTAGAGTTCTTGGTGATGATCCTATGCTTTGGTTCAGTATGATGCTCATGCCCGCCGGACCTCCTGCATTGGTCATTTTGGGGTTGGCGGAGTTGGCGCAGGCTTCTGAGGGAGAGAAGATGGCTATTGCGAAGAGCTTGACGGTATGTTCATGTTGGAATATCTGGGTTCTTGGATTTACTATTTTGCTGATGCGTGATAGATTATGTATGCCCTCTCTCCAGTCGTGTGCTTTACTATTACTGGGGCCTTGAAGGCTGTTGAAGCTGTTTTGGATGAGGAATCATGACAGCATAGAGGAACTTGAAACGTGTCTGATATACATTGAGTAGCGATTATCGTTTTAGTCTAGTAATCTATCCCTCGAATAAACCGTGGTTTAACTCCACTCCCATATCTTTGGCCATGCCCTGCATCTGCGCTTCGATGTCATCTTCCATCCCTCCTCCTAACCGTAGAAGTTGGCGAATCTTGGTGAAGTAAAAGAAGACATCACTGGTAAAAAGAACAACCCGGAATACGACGTGGCGTCCCATATTTCGGATCTTCTCTAATAAGGGTAGATCGGGGGACTCAGCGAGAGCCCGTGATGCCCATGTTGCGGTGATTTTGAGTCGGTTCACTGGGGAACCGAGGAATTGATTATTTCCCTGGACAATACGCAAGTTACGTCCGATGAAGATTAGCTCTTGCGGCCACTTGGTCTCGTCACCCAACATCTCCCGGATAGCCTTGCGGGCAGCCTGCTGCATCTCGTAGTGTCGTTCCTGGCGTTCGGACTTGCTGAGTCCTTCGATATGACGCTGCGTTGACATATCGCCTCCGCGGTAGGGTCGCATTAAAGTTGCCGAGGCAAAGATATCAGGATTATTGACGCCCCAACTCCGCGCAATTTCAGCTAGTGTTTGGTTGTCGAATGTGAGAAGGGCCTTCCAGAAGCGGGAGTATTGGTGTCGGAAGTCTGGATCCATATGAATGTAGAGACCGTGATCAATTAAGACAAGCTCCGGTTTTCCGGATGGCTTGCGACGGATGAAGATGTTTCCAGGGTGCGGATCGCAGTGTACCCATCCCCATAAAAACATTTGTGCCGAGAACAGGTCCACCATTGTCGTCATGATATCTTTCAGAGATAGACCTAGCCCTCCACGACCATTCTGTCCTTTCCAGTGAGTCCGTTCAGGTTTTAGTTGTCCAGTTCGGGGGGTTTGGAGGTTTAGAGGTGCCTTGATCCAGAGCTGTGCCATGGCATCCTGGACTGCCTTCTCGCCAGCCGCCGCGCCATGACCGTGTAATCGATTCCTTGTCCCAAAGTCGCACGCCCTCAATCCATTCAGCCGTCATCACACGTCTAGAGCTCAGCTCACGGTACACTTTGGGGATGTATACTCGGTCGCGGAGTCTGGGCTCGCCGGCAACTAATCGGGCCATGGTCTCGGAATTGGTCGCTTCATTTTCGAAGTCGGTTTCAAGGGACAAGCGCTCGCTGATATATGGGACTAAGCTATTAAACGGGATGTCGAACAATTTGCTGTAAATGCTTGTGACAACTCTGCAGAAGATATTAGTGTTTATTGCGCGTCACACAGAGGTAGAAATTGGAACCCACTTGAACGCCCACAGATCCCACGCCAATTGCTGCACAATCTCACGTTTCTGGATCTTGATAGCCACCTCCCTTCCATCCGCTAGCCGAGCCCAATGAACTTGCGCAACACTGGCACTAGCACGCGCCTTGCGCTCCATCAGACCCTTGCCCGGTTCCCCGGAAAACGACACCCCAAAGACCTCTTCGGGGGACTTTCCAAAATCCTCTCGAATGACCTTCTCAACATCTTTCCAATCATTTTGTGGTGCATCATCAAACATGCGAGAGAACATGTGCTGGAACTCTGGAGGTAAAATAGCGGACTGCATGGCAATCGCCTGGCCCATCTTCAAGTAGAGCCCACCATTATGACGTAGCAGATCCGATAGGCGCTCTGCGTTGCGGGCATGCACGGCAGCGATAGAACTGGCGAGGGGCGGGTGTGGGCGGAAATTGATTTTATAGTCCAGTGCGACTAATAGGCCAAGGGAGAATGTGCGAGCGGTACGAGTCAGCGATGACGCATAGAATTGGTTGTCGATCCCGTAGACAATCCCCGTTGCGACCGAGGTGTAGACTAATCGCCTCAACCATTTTCGCGTGCGGGCGTATGTCTTTGCTGCTTGGGGTCGTCCTAGTGAGATGGGTGATGGTGGGATAAATGGTTGGAATTGACTGGAGTGAACATGGCGATGGAGGAGAGGGCGTCGGAGAGTTAGATGCGGTCGGAGAGACCGAAGGAGCGTCGCGTGCGCCATATGAGGGGATATCAGTGTAAATGAGGAGTAGATCAGCTCATTTTTGGTATCAGAAAATATTCTACTGAGTCTGAGGGACCTAACGGGGGTTTTATCTCGGAGGAAAGGGGAATGTTGGAATCGGAGTGAGATTGACGGAGTTAAGGTTGTTGAAGGTGCGGAATCGGTCGTGCGTCATCCGCGGTGACGCCGTAGTTCACCGTCGAATTCCCCGTAGAATCTCGGTCTTGACGATCTATAGTTTTACACGCATTCAAGGCCCAGCTTCAGCTCTTGTCTAATTTTCTGATCAAATATTCTGCCTCTTGAACAGCGATTGCGTTCGATTTAACCATCTCCGAACCTCCTGATTAGCTGAATGCCTACAAGCGTTGTGTTCTCCTCGGTATTGATAACCTGCCGGTAACCACAGCACTTCCTGATTTCAGTGAGACGCAACCTTGGAAGGATAGTATATATGGATCTTGATATTGTATTCTTACCCTCTCCGTCTCAAAGTTGAATTAAGTCTAGTCATTCACTCGGATTTTCGGTACTAGTATCAAGGAATATTGAAACAAGAACTTTACTCTGGTATTACTATATACTAGCCCTGGAGGTAGCAATGGATATTTAGATCCCTGAAACTCAGTATATAAACCTGTGGACTACTAGACCTGTAGTAGATACTTCTATATGTACCCCTGTAGCCTGAGGTACTTATATGACCACCTAGGTAGGTAAGTAGGTAACCATTCAAATGTTTAGTACTACCTCTAACCTTGGAAGGCTATAGATCAGACTAATAACTCAAGTTCCAACCTTAGAAGCCCTGGAGCTTGAATCTAATTGATTATTAAAATAAGTACTTGATTCTAAGGTTCAATCTCATACCTATTATAATAAAGCCAATCTTAGAAGTAAATACTTTTCCTAATCTATATTATTTTCCTCCTTGAAATATTTAATCATCTTCTAATACTAACTCCTACTCCTTCCCTTACTCCTATTTACCTACCTAGATATATACTCTTTCTCTTACTCTACTCTTACTTTACTCTTACTCTACTTGTACTCTATGCTTACTATATTCTTACTTCCTTTACTAGGTGCTAATATAGCTAAGTGTATATAGTATAACCTTAGAAATATAGCTACTTAGTTAAATATTCAGATACTATTAGAATATAATCTATTTATAGAGCTTCCTAGTAAGTATATTCCATTACTAATTTTCTTCTAAGGTTGCTATACTAGTGCTATAACTTTAAGTTATTACTAGACCTGTGCAAAGCCCATGGGTAAAACCCATGGGCCTGGCCCATCACAGCCCATGGTCCAAAAGCCCATGGGGAAAAAGCCCATGGGCATTTGGACCATGGTCCATGGGCTAAGACCGTGGCCCATGGGCACCCATGGGCAAAAAAAGTGGGGCGTGTATAATATGCATATTTAAAAAACATTATGCAGTATGAGAAGGGTATGAGAAGGGTATGGTATAGATCTAAATCATATACTTACTATTGATGAATCAAGTATATAAAGAAAGATCAATTTAAAAGAACAATTAAATTAAAAAGACAATAAACTAATACTGTGTAATGGTAAATCCTGGAGCCTGAGAAGGAGGTTTTCTTTGTCGTTTAGAGAGTCGATGATGATGATGATGATCATCATCATCATCATCATAGACACTCCTTCGAACCCGGGTCCGTTTCAGGGGTGACTTAGGTCTGTTGCATGGTAGACCTGGAGTTGAATCTCCTATGACTGAGGCCTCTTCATCAACCTCCTCTACATCATCATCACTGATATAATTAAATACATTATCCACTTGAATCTCTTCCTCCACTTCCTCATCTGGATTTTCAATTTTATCACTATACTCATAGGATCCAATAGCTGCTTGTTCCTCGAGTATTAAATCACGTAGGAACTGTAATCAATCCTCCTCTGTTTCAAACTTGGTTGAGCACATATACAACATTAGATCCTCAATAGTCTCCGGTTTTAGAGAACCTCGGCGGTAATGGTATAAATCTCGAGCATAATTGAACATACGCTCAACACCTGCTCCAGTAGCTAGGATACAGAGTGTATCACAGGCGATTTGGGCCAGAATTGGATAATCATCAGAGTGGTTCCGCCACCAAGTACAGGGGTCAGCCTCAATAATTCCACTCTGGAGATAGCGTGTAAGCTCATCCTTAGTATTTTGTTGAGTGGAAGATTGGTGAAGAAGCCGGTTGAGAAAAGTTTGGGGAGTTAGATGTCTGGAGGTAGGTAGATCAGGGCTGGTTTGTGTATACTCCGTATACTGTTCACGTACGAAGCGCTTATACTCCTTAGCCCAATTAGCGTTATCTCCACGCCATGCGTTAGTTTGAAAAGCTTATAGCTTGCGAGAAGGAGCTAAGATAGTTGCAGTAGCATAAAGATAACCTTGTTTCCCATTAGTCATTTCATAATATTCTGCAAGCTTTTCTCGTCCTGAAATAAGTATATTTTTTATTGCAACTTTCTATAGAGCTCTTTTGGAATTTAGCCGTCGAATAGATATGTCAAGATGGTCAAACAAACTGTTATAAAGGTCGAATATGAGGTGAATCGTAATAGTTTTAGATGATGACACAATAGTGGTAAAATTGAAAAATGGCTGAAGGATTGAAAGGAGATAATCAACATGTTTCCATTCCTCCGGAGTCAAATGGAAGATCTCGTTTCCATGTTGAATACAGTATGAATCAAAGGTCAATCGGAGACATTTCGCACATTGTAACATCAAAAAGGTAGAATTCCATCATGTTTTAACATCTTGGATTGGAAGGAGTGGGCAAGGTTGGTCTGTGTTTTGGAGAATGAGAAAATTTTGTCGGTGTTGTGCACTGGCTCGGATGAATACAGCGAATTGTCGAATCTAGAAAATAAAACATAGTTAGTATAAAGTATACTAAGGGGATTAAGGGCTGTTATCGATAGGGATTATAGGTAAATCAAATTTGGAAAAGAGGGGGATCAAAGGTATCTTAGCCAATATGTTTTGAATATCTGTTTCAACATCTCCCCATTGCTCACTTCGCCAAACTTTATCCACATCCTTATTCTCTGGAACAACCTGGAGCTTCTTCAAAAGAGATATAAGAGAGAGTTGAATCACATGGGCAAAGCATAGGTTTCGAATCATTGTAAAATCAAAGTCTCGACTAACTCCAATGTAGTTCAATAAATTATTGACTATTGTAGTATTGTTTGATGCATTATCAGTTGTAATTGCAATTACATATGATAGTATGCCATACTTTTCAAGTACTTGTCGAAGAACCAATACAAGATTCTCGCCAGAATAGGTACCATAGAGAGGTGAAAACCCTAAGAGACACTCCCGAAGCTCCCATGATTTATCGATAAAATTTGTAGTAATAGCAAAAAATGCCTGTCCAAATGGAGATTGCCAGCAGTTAACTGTAATAGCTATCTTTGCTGTAGGAGGAAGATTTTTGAAAAATATGTCTGCCTTTGATTTGACAGCCTCTTTGAGGTGTCTTGCGAGTGTAGTTCGGGTTGGAAATATAGGAGGTTCGGAGAAGGAACGAGTGGTGCGAATTAACTTCTGGAAATCGGGGTGTTCGATCATACAGAAAGCAATCTTTGATGTAGTAGCAAATTCTAAAATTACATCATACCATTGCTTTTTATTAAAAGGCCGGCGTGTTAGCCCTTTGGAATCCTGGTACCATAGATAATTCAGGTTAGAAATATACTCTAGACTAGTATGATTAGGATATGGTTCAACTTACCATTTGGTTAAATGTAGCTGTAAGTGTCTGTGGGCGCTGATCTGCCTGACAGCGAGGGAATTTGCTAAGATGTTTTCTGATGGTTGAAGATCCAGCAGGATTACTATCTTTCTTAGACCAATTTGGATGAGTAAATGACTTGAAACATCTTGTATAAAGGACCATAGGCTCGCCAGTTTCCTCATGGGCTACCTCCAACACCTTACTCTAATATGACCCTGTTCTGTTTCGGGTCTAGTCGAGGGGTGTAGTAGGTATGCTTTGTATAGGATTACCATATTTTGTATTCTGCTATTATTTAATAAAGATGCTCTTTGTTAGATCCATCTTTGAAAAAATAATAAAAGGTGATGTTGTATAAGGTCGAGGGAGGGTAGAAGGGGCTTTTAAGGATAGTATTGTATCTTCAGTTATACTATTATCATCAAAAAGATTAGATGGTGCTGGTGAGGTTGGAATATCCGAAAAAAACGATATCTTGGAGTGATATAGATATGAATGAAATAGGAACTAGGTATGTTGATATGGTATAACAGATATGGAGATGGAGGAGTTGAAAGACTGACCTTTAAGTTTTAACCTAGAGAGTAGTAGATATTAGGATATTTTTTAAAATAATAATCTATAAGAAAGAAAAAAATCCTAAATTAGATTAGTAAAAAAGAAAGGGTGATTTATTATAAAGTATAATTATTATTGGCTGGGAGGTATATGAATTGGGTATGAATCAGACCCACTTTACATATGAGCTATCTTTGATCTTCATAAGAAGCCCATAAAAGCCCATGGGGCCTATGGGCTTTTTGAAGATCAAAGATTTGGGGGTTAAACTGATGCCCCTAGGAAAATCAAAACTTTTTTTCGGATATTTTCAACATAACATAAGGAAATTTGAAGCCCATGGGGACCTATAGGTTCCTATGGGTCTTTTACCCTTGAATACCCCATGTATCAACTTTTCATTTTTAAATATATCTATGATTTTTTATATTTTTTAAAGAATATTATAAATAAATGAAGTAATATACTATTTTTGAAATTTTAAAGAATATTCTAGGAAAAAAAAAATCTGTAAGAAAATTTGATTTTATAAAAGTGATAATATTTTTGAATAGAATATAGAGATATGATTATATATTTTTGAACCTGATTGTTGTAAAATGTACTTTCAGGGTCTATTTTTTACTCTGTGATTTTGATTGGTAGGGGGTCTGATACTAGTATGAAAATAGTATAGATCAAAGCGGAAATATCTAATCCCGATTTCATATCCGATAATTTTCAATAAAATATCATTACCCCTATTATCTCTTATATATATATCTTTATTATTTCTTCCTTTATATCATGATTCAGCTCTATATAGTCCTTGGTTTAAACCAGAAACAAATATCTTTCAAAGATGAAGCCAACATCATTTCTACTAATTTCGTTTGTTTAAATACCCAACCTCAATAATTTTACTATTTACTAATAATATTCTATATAATCCCTAAGTTTCAAATCTATTCCTTCTTACCATCTTCATTTTCCATTTACAAAATACTACTTGAACCCTCTTGATAAAACTCAAAACCACCTCCGAAGTACCTCTGAACTACCTCTCAAACACCCCTGAACCATGGCCGCTCCTACTGCTGCTGCTCTCCTTGCTGGTTTAAACGTTATTCCAGGACCTCCAGAGCCTGCACCACCTCCTATCCAAATCCATTTTGTCCATCTACCACGGTTATCGATTTGCACCTGTATTCGATATCTTCATAGAGAAGTCTATAAGTTTAAACATACCGATCAACCTGCATTCCAGGCAGGAGGTCCAGCCCTTACAGTTTTTCGAATGAATTGTTAATATACCAATGTCAATTCAAAGAAATGTACTAACTGTATCCAGTCTAATTGCCACTGTACTTAGGTATGTACTACCCTTGGTTCATATATGGTTCTAAAACTAATTTTTTGTTTTTAGTGGTTAGAAGGAATGATAGGAGATTGGCTGGATTTTCAAGAAATAATTGGATGGGCAGAGGCAACACAAACTGTACCTGCAACTGCTGGTGCTGGAGCAACTCTCGCTACTGGATTCGCATGGGCAAACTATCCGAATACTACTGCAAAAGTACCTGAAGCGACTGGGAAACTTGCTTTAGCATTGGATCATGCTGTTAAAATGCATGCAAAGCAGTATGGTTTACATACAGGAGAACAGCCAGATGGGAATACTGAGAAAATCCAAGAGTATCAAAGGTTGATGGCTACACGACGGCAAATACAGGCTCAATTAACCGTACCTCCTTTGGTTCTAGGGCCAGCCGTACCTGCAGCACCGGTGAATGTCCTCCCAAACGGACCTGTTGCACCTAATCGGCGGTCATTTCTTCGACTTGAACCACACGATAATGGATATATTCTTTGGCAAATGGCTATTCGATCATTTTTTATGGAACTTGCTATAGATGCAACAACAGATATTGGTGCTAATCAAGCTGATGTTAATAATCTTCGTGATGCATCTCAATATTGGACGAGGGAGCTTTGAAACATAGGTCATTCATACTTATTTCAAGTAGGACACCAATCTTTTTTTTTATTATAGTATGGCTTATGCTTTAAATCTTTTGATCTTTTACAATTAAAATTTGAATTATTTTTTATTTTATAATTATAATTTCTGTAATCTAAAACACCTTTGTATTTTTCATAATTAAGATTACTAGATTAGGTAAAGTCTAAAAAATTATACAGATTAGACCCACCTATGGGTTACCCATGGGCTTATGGGCCCATGGTCCAAAAGCCCATGGTGATTTTGGCCCATGGTGATTTTGGCCCATGGGTTTTGGACCATGGTCCATGGGCCATGACCCTGGACCATGGGCCACCTTTTGCACAGGTCTAGTTATTACATCCATGGATAACTCGGTCCTTGTTACTATTTACATCATAACTACTACACATCCCATATTTCTGTTGCTGCCTAAATTCCTGTACATGGGTTGTGATGTTTCTTTGGCTGGATCGTGTCAAGATTCCTCCCTCATCTGTCTGCTTATTCTCATACCTCAATAATACCATTCCCTTTTATCGGCTTCTCACCATGTCAGCAGTTCAAAATTTTTCGATTACCACCGCTACGCCAAATTCAGGTTCATTCATGACTGTGAATTCTGCAAATCAATTTAACACAGAGGCTGCTTTTCAATATCACATCATCTCCTCCCTGCGTCAAGCTCAGGAATACCACGAATTTCTGTATACTGACGTGCCTCGATCCTGGGGAGAGGTTATCTTGCAGGTTATCGACGAGAAGATTTCATCCCGGTAAGTCAAAACCTGCGTCTTGTCTCCCTTAAGTGACTTACTTATTCTAGTTGAAAAACACATTGCACCAAGACATGTTCAATACGAATTCGAATCATGCCAACTTTGATTCATGACGTTGTTCAAACATGGCTTTCCGGCCAGCTGGTTGAGTTGTTCCAGACTGGAGATATTAACCAGCAAGAAAGAAAACTCCTATGCATAGGAGGTGTTATAAGTATGTCATCCCTATTATAACCTATCTAATCCAAAACGCTTCGAGCTCTAAGCTAACTCATGTAGCCCTCGAATTCGAACATGGCCCACACAGCGGATCCACAAAGGAGCCAGACTTCTACTTCCGAGTTCGAGGGCATATCCTGCCAACTCTCGCTGTCGATTCAGGCTGGAGTGAGACGATCAATGAGCTCTATAATGACATGAACCTTTTGTTGGTACGCGGGAATGGCGCAATAAAGATTGTCCTTATTGTAAAATGGACAAGGCATCAAGGAGGTTCTGTCTCAGGCACCATCGAGCTCTTTGAAAGAGATCACAATGGTATACCTAGGCTGCAGCAGAGTGAGGTGAGTTTCAAATATTAAATGAAGAGATCATAGTAGGCTCAAGTTCTATTTGTTGTATAATATCTGCTAACTGTAAACCTGACATCTGGAAGAGTTTAACTGGAATAATGCTGAGTGGTCAAAAAATCTCCAGTGCCCGACTCGGAGTAGTAAAGGGAGTCACGACCCCGTACATCTTTACTGTAATAAGATTAGCGCTGGAGGTATAAACAATCGAACGGATATACACATAACCCCGGAATACACATGTGTACTAGTATAGCTATTTACGGTGAGACTCGATGAGTCGAAACATTTAATGGGCTTGCAATCAGTGGGGCTGGCGGGGAGATTCATAATACTGGAGCCTATAAGCTCGTGTCCCGAGGTCTTTGCCGAGTCAAGTGGGCTCATCCCCTATCACAAGGCATTCAACAAAAAGACAACATGAAATGACATGAAATGACATGAAATGACAATTGTGGCATAAAACAAAGTCCGTGTCAACCTTCTGGAACTCTTCTGGTCGACGCCTCAAGCGGGGTTTTATCTCACAAGGTTCCTAAGGAGTCACCTTTTTAGACACACCAATGTGCTGCCTTGAATATAGGCTTTCATCTTAAAAGTGCTTCTTCCCGAGTTGGGAATCGGTCCGAGCGGGGATAAGTGGTCGGTACTCCGTAGTCCGTAGTGTTAGTATGGTTTTTATGGGCTTGGGGGCGGGCCGGACCAAAAATCGCGCAAAGGCTTGGTCCCCCCCGGTGAGTAGAGTGATGAAAGTAGAGTACATGAATGCAGGTCAAGTTGAATGGCATTTCAACACGGGACATGCATTGTGCATTTGTGCACGGTCCATTCCGACAACGTATTCTAGAAACGTTCCATACTAGTCATTTCAAGCAGCGTGGCTTACGTCGACCACGCTTGGCAATGATCAGAGAGGGGGTTTATTGCTTCTCTGCTTCGCTTAGAGGTGCCGTTTCTCTCCCCTGCATGAGTCGGGCGCAAATCTCACGCTTGTGATAGAACCAGTAGGGACTAGGCGGCTTGGAAAAGGAGAGTCGCATTCGGCATTTGACTTCAATCAGGGTTGGTTGGAGAAGTGGGCATGGACCATCACAGTCATTCCTGGTTTAGAGGGGAATTAGCGTGAAGTTAACAATCTCCGGGGGGATGATCACATCATTAGGATTGGTCCAAAATGATTGGGGGATGAAGCAAGCCATCTTTTTTGATGACAGGAATCGAGGCTTTCTCATCCTAGCCACTGGAGTAGTAGCCTCAGAGAGATATAGTACAAATTCCAGAAATGATTATGCAGGGTGCAGGGGCCTTTTGCGGGGTTGGAGTCCCCCCCGCTTTCCCCCAGATGAAATCATACAATCGATGAAACTTGACCTTGTTAAATTCCCCCATTATTCCCAAAATGTTATCTCGGTGTAGACCTGACATGCGCCATGCTTGACATTGTTAGGCCCTGAGTTGCTCAACTTGCTCATTCCATCCCGGAATCATGGATCCATCCATGCCTTCTCCAAAACAAGCCTGCGATAATTGCCGTCGTCGCAAGATCAAATGCTCACGCGAACTACCTTGCGACAAATGCCAGCGTCTGTTACTATCTTGCTCTTATAGCGATGTTTTACGTCGCAAAGGACCAAAGTTCAGAACGCTTTATCCTCTCGCGCCGATCCATCCGCTCTCCACACATGGAGATACAACCCCAGATCAACTGTACAGCTCAGCCGAGGGATTCAGATTGAGCTCGCCAGCTTCACCAGCCAGTGCCTTTCCTGCTCAAGATGCCCCTTTTAATTCGCATGACATCTTTGAGTCTTTTGCGCAGCTCCCTCCTTCGGAACTGGGCTCATCGCCGGACTCACTAGATCTCACTACGGTTGGTTCCTCGGTTTATGGTCCCATTGCATCGCGCGCATGCCGTCTGCCGCCTCAGATCCTATTGGCGCATGTCAATGTCTATTTGAAATATCTTTTCCCTATAATGCCTGTTGTGCGTGGGGATCAATTACGTATTGATAGTCACCAACCCGAACAGCTATCCCCACAACGATACGCGTTTCTCGCTTCTCTTTGCGCAGCTACGCATATTCAGCTCAAGCTTGACGGAGCTGATCCTGCACCAGATCCTGCGAGAATGTATAGTCTGGGAGATGGGCATTCCATTGTTTCGGGTGATAAGTTGCTTGAGGAGGCTGTAAGGGCGCGTCGGGAATGCGATGTGGTGGAGGATATCAGTATCGAGAGCCTGCTTACATCGTTTTTCCTTTTTGCTTCCTATGGAAATATGGATCATCAGACTCATGCATGGTATTATCTGTGTCAGGCTACATCGATGGCATTTACATTGGGTCTTCATCGCGAATCATCGTATGGGGATTTCCTCGTAGAAGAGGCAGAGGAACGACGGCGGGTATTCTGGTTGCTATTTATCACTGAGAGGTCAGTATTCGTTAAAAGAACTGGCATCCCCCTTTTTGTTCATTCTTTTACTGATATTTTTTTCAGAGGCTACGCCCTCCAACAGTCCAAACCAGTCATGCTCCGCGGGTCCATCCACAAACCACAAGTCCTCTGTTCAGAAGACCCAATACTTGCATATGGGTTCATAAACCTCATCAACCTCTTTGAAAAGCTCGAGCCAAGTTTGTATGACTGGCTCTCAGCCGGTGGTAGTGATGGACTCCTAGAGCGTCCGCCTACTTCAGTTATCCAATCGAGTCTATGCAAACCCATCTCATTAGAGGGTGTTCTTGAGATCCAACAGGTTGATATCCTCATTACACAGCAATGGCTTCAATCCATGATGTGGAAACTCTCAATGAATCATCCCACGCAGCCTGGTGCCAAGGATGATGCTGTAATGCCGTTCCATTTACCTGTCTTGGTTGGAAAAGCTGTTATGGGTGTTATTGGAACTGTGTCGCAAGGCGCGGTGGATGCTCATGGGATCGGAATGGTAAGTTAATCAGACTCAACGCTTTGCATGTTTCACTTCATACTCTCCTAGAGGAAACGAGCTGATGAAAGCAGGAGCAAAAGCTTTTTGATATGGGCGCTGCGGTAGCAGATGTCACCCGCTCACTCGGTTCAAAAGCCGTCCATCGACTTGTTGAATCAACAGTTGATCCACGCGAGCTTCTCTGGGGGATTTTACAAACACTCTCTCAGATCCGTGGATCACCCTCGTACCTATTCCCATCCCTATTAGAACGTTCCAAGTCGATCATCGAACTCAATGGAACCATCAATACAGGGAATTTTCTACCAGTGCTTGGTGAGGCAACTCCTGGCCAGTTAAGTTTCTGGGCTGATCAGCAAGGATGGAATCCTTCTGTTATTAATTCGGCACAGCGAAATGCAGCTCATGATGATGAGGAGCATAGAGGTCATGGTAATAGACCCCCGACGCATGGGATACAAGATTTGGGTCACCAAGGCATGCACGGGTTTTAAGATTGGTATACCTTCCCCTTCACCCCTTTTCTGTTGATGAAATTTTTGAACGATCCATTTCCTGGTTTTGATTTGATTTATGATACCATGGTGGCTATAGACTATTTGTTTCAAGTTTCATTTTTGTTTGCTGTACATACAGGATTTCGGGATCTACCCAGGAGGTAGAATGATTGAGTAGTAGACGACAGAGATGGAATACATGAATCGATAGATTTTCTTTCTTCTTTACTTTGAGCGATTTGACACTGTTTAGAGCGTGACATTAATTTTGAAAATAAAGATCCAGGTTCTGGGACTTGCTGTAAGGACGAAGGGCCTCGGCAATAAAGACTCGCATTCAGGTGGTAGGGTTTTAGATCAAGCAAAGCCCACCTAAGCAGTCAACTCGTCCATTGTGGAACCCGCATCACGCAACATTGAATGTAGAGTGATTTCTTTTTACATACTGAAACTTCAAATGTTCCAGGCGCCTTCAGCACTTGAAGGAACTCCTTATCTATTCTGGATTCTTTGGAATTGTTCAATGAATCTGGGATACCTCATCGTGAAGCAGGAATCATTCTCAAATCTATGTACCAGAAATGAAGTCTATATCTATCCTCGAAAGCAAAGAGTACAAATGGGTCATTAAGAAAACAAATATCGGAAGAAATAGAACATGGCGCTTAAATAGGCTCATCACGCGGCTCCACCAGAATCTCGTTCACAGAAACATAGTCCGGCTGGCACAGGGCATGAACAATGGAGTTCGCCACATCAGAGGGATCCAAGATCTTAGCACCAGATGGCTCACCATACTTCTTCACAGCCTCCGCATCCGTGGACATGTTCAGCAATGGGGTTGATGTGTTTCCAGGCTGAATACTAGTGACCTTTAGCCCACTACCAGCTGTCTCTAAGCGGAGAGCTTGAAGAGTGGCTTCAACGAAGAACTTGCTGGCCGAGTACACGCCCAAACCAGGGAAGACCTTGCGACCGGCGTCTGAGGAGATTGCCACGATGTGACCACGGCCACGGGAAAGCATGCCGGGGACAGTGGAAGAGAGGGAATTTAACAGACCCTTGCAGTTCACGTCGACGGTACGCTCCCATTCATCCGTTTGGCAGTTTGACATCATTGTGAAATACATCACACCTGCACAGGCGACGAGAATATCGACTGGGCCGAGTTCATCCTGAGCAGCTTTGAAGAGTTCCTCTGTTTGACTCTTGTTAGTGACATCTGTAGAGCGGATAATACACTTCACACCGAATGATTCAACACTACGCTTGACAGATTCCAAAGCATCAAGTCTTCGGGCACCAAGTGCAACGGCGCAACCCTTCTTGGCGAGAGCAGCGGCTACAGCGGCACCGATACCGGAAGAAGCACCTGTCACAACAGCGACTTGGCCACTAAGAGGACCGCGAGAAACTGGCTTGCAAGAGCGATCGACGGCCTGGTGACGGGATGGGGGACGAGGAAGCCAGCCTCGGGCAAACCAATGGCGAGCATAGGTTTCGAGCAGTAGGATATCGACCTTGGGTCTCTCGACGGCCACGCGGAATGGCCTTGTGACAGCGTTATCCAGAACGACAATACCACGCAGGAATTCCACAGTTGGCATTCCACTGCGGAGGATATCGACGGTGAAAGCACCATCTCCACCCTTTGTTGAGCCTCGCTTTTCGGTCCAGAGAGCGACCCATTCATCCCATGGCAAAAGTTCAGTGGGGTACCCAAGGTCCTTCAGGTTTTCAAAGACAGACCGAATATTGACAGGGTCTGGATCACCAAGGTGGTAAGTGGTTTGCTCAGCCTGTGTCTGTGTGGAAAGATGAACGATAGATTGACTGACAAAGTCAACAGGTGTCATCTCCGCGCGCCAGCCTTCAACATCCGGGGCATAACCAATTCGGATAGACTCGACCAGGAGTGCAGTGAGGAGATCCCATGCATTAGCTGAGCCGTTCAAGCTGTGACCACTAATCGTACCACATCGATGAATCTTTACCGGTAAACCACGCTGACTCGCTTTCAAGACAAGCTGCTCTGCAACCCACTTGGTCTGTCCATAACCATCCAAGAGCTTCGTAGGAACCTCCGCGATATCCAACATCGTGTCTTCAGACCAACCACGTCCACCGGTTGGGGAGGGAGGCAGAACACCGTTTGTGGATACATATTGAACGGTCGCACCTCCCTTGGAAGCTAAACGAAGAATCTCCCGGGTTCCACCAACGTTGGCTCCACGGAGGGCAGCGTAAGGGTAAACAAGGTTCACAGTTGCTGCAGCATGAACGATAACCTGAATCCGGGTGGCAAGATCATCGAATGTTTCAAACGACAATCCAAACCGGGCCCGAGAGAGATTACCAGGGAGAACTTCCAGGCGCTCCATGATTGTGTCACGCCAGAGACCCAGATCAAGAAGGTTGCGACGGATGCGGGCAACACCACCAGCCTGGTCGTCATCTTCAGGGTCACTGAATCGTACCAAGCAGATAATCTTAGCTGATGTGCTTTCGAGAAGATCATGAAGCAAGAAGGCGCCCAGGAAGCCGGTGACACCGGTCAACAGAATAGTTTCTGCGGTGGCAACAGAAGTAAGACTGGTATTTGGCAGAGATTTGATGTCTTCATCCAAGGTAGAGTCTGCCAAGAGCACAGCTGGGAGGTCTGCTTGAACGGCTGCGGTATGACCATCTCGGATCGCACGCACAGTGTCCAGGTGACCGGCTAGTGTAGTATTCTCCGCCAAGCGAGGAATTGGCACACGGAAGCCAAAGTGTCTCGAAATTTTGGATGCCAGATCAGCAAGAGACAAGGAGTGACCGCCCAGATCGAAGAAGTTATCTTCAGGTTTCAGCAAGGCTTTAGATGTCTTCAAAACATTAGCCCAAATAGTAGCAATGTCATTGATTCCAATGGGGTCCTTCTCTGTGGAAGAGTCGCTACCGACTGGACTACTACTGCGAGGTGGAGGAAGGCTCTTCAAGTCAACCTTACCAGACACATCGTTAGTGGGTATCTCCTGTAGGACAACCCACAGTGCAGGGATCATATAATGGGCGAGATAGGGCTCCAGAGCTCGACGTGCCGCTGGACTGTGGCCAGATTCATTGATTTCGACTGCAGTGCGATCTCCAGTCTCACTATCAGCCACCACATACGCAACCAACTGTCGCTCCAATCCATCACCGTGGGCGATGACGGCACAGTGGCTGACAGCCAGATGCTGACAGATATCACTCTCCACCTTAGCGGGGACAACAGAGTATCCACGAAGTTTGATCATGGCACCCACTCTGCCTGTGATTTCCAAAAGCCCAGAAGGCAGTCTCCGGGCAAGATCACCAGTTCGATACATCCGCGCGCCAGGCATCGATGTGAACTTGTTAGGAGTAAAAGCCTTGGCTGTTGTCTCAGGAAGATTGAGATACTCCCGTGCGAGGAGGTCTCCACCGATGAACAGCTCACCGGCCGTGCCCGTCTCCACTTGCTCTCCACTTTCGTTCAGAATGTAGATCTGTTCTGGATCAAGAGGAGGACCGACAGGACAGTAAATAGAGTCATCAAGCATGTCTCGAATATCTCCACATGCGATTTCATGGGTTTCACATGCGCTGTAGCAGTTCAACAAACGGGTATTCGGCAAAGCGGCAATTGCCCGACGAGCAAGGTCTGTTGTTACTACCTCGCCGTTCAGCCAAAGTGTGCGTAGCTCTGGTAGACGAGATGTCAGGCGACCGGCAGAATAGCGAGAAAGCACAGTAGCCAAGAGTGTCGGAGTCATCAATGTCTCGGTAACCCGTTTGGCTGCCAGCAAATCAACCAACGCGGCAGGATCATAGCTGGCATCGTCTGGGACGGTCACAACTGTCGCACCGCGCAGCAGCGGACGCAAAATCTCCCAGATAAAGAATACATTACACGCCACCCGATCTCCGGGCTGCAAATCCTGGACTCCAAATCTCAGGTTATAAGAAAGCACGGGAGCTCTGTGAGGGTTGGCAATTCCCTTGGGCTTGCCTGTGGTGCCTGAAGAATACGAAACAAACGCCAGGCGATCCAAATCGTCATCTCCTGGCAATGGAGCAGCTTCTTTCGCATGGCCGTTGACATCGGCCGTTGGCTGGTCCAATGCAATTACAGGGCATTTGGCCTTGACTCGCGGGGCCTCCACTTGGTGGGTAATAACCACAGCGGGGTTGGCATCCTCTAGCACATCGGCCAAGAGACCTGCGGGGTATGCCAACTCGAGCACCAGAAATGCACCGCCGGCACGAAGTGCAGCCAAGCAAGCAATCACATAGTGAGCACTACGAGGAAGAAGCACTCCGACCAGCGAGTCGCGGCTCACGCCATATTCTCGCAGCCGAAGAGCCAGAGTATCCACTTCTTGGTCAAGCTCCGCGTATGTGTATGTAGTAGTTCCATCCTCCAGGGCAGTCGCATTGGGCGTCTCTTGCACTTGTTTCTGGAACAGAGCAGAGAGATCCTTGGTAGTATCGATGAAAGACATAATCGCGTTCGGGATTATAAAATTTCTGGGGAGGGGCTAAAATGGGGTGTTGCGGGGAAGAAAACGAGGGACAGGGAGGAAACCGGAGGTCCTCATGGACTCGTGTTGAAATTGTAATTGCTTTTTTCCAGGTTTTGGTTTTTTCCAAGAGGGTGGGAGGGTTTGTTCCAAAAGGAGGTGGTTCCTGGTTGGAGTTGGAAGTAAACACGTCAATAAGGACTCGAGCCAAAAAATTCCATGGATATTGCGCCATGCGCGCCTATTAATAAGATCCTCGATTCATTCGAGTGCATTCTGGCCCACAATTTCTGTTGAGATGGAAATCAAGCTATGTTGCTGGCATGGGGCCTAAACACTGCCACTAGACTGGATGTCGTTTAGTGGGGGCACCCTTGGGCGTCGCATAGAGTTTCTTCCGTTATCACGACCAATGGGTTCCCCGGTTCTTTCCCATCCGCAGACATGGCGTGCAGCGATTCGATGCCCGGGATCGAAGTTGCAGTGATCTGACTGGTGAGCCATTCTGATCGACATGAATTTTGCAGGATGCCGAATGAGGTAAATTATCTCGTGTTTATCAAAACCCAGAACACTCAGTGACATCTGGATTCTGAACACAACTGTAGCTGGGGAGATGCTATGGAGATGAAATTATGGGGACAACTTGACTTCTTTCTCCACTTCTGGTCTTTTCACATGTCAAAAAGTGCAAAACTGTTGGGAACAGGTGACTTTCACATGTTAAACGAGTGTCACTCTCTCATTGGTCAATCAAGGGTATGTCAGCAGTTTAATTGGTCGAATCCTGTCCTTGCATCTCATCTTTTTTCTTTCACAAGGCTATCAATATCAACTATACTGGGCTATCCTAGTAAGATATACATAATATCTTAACTTGATCATCCAGATCAATCCTCCATTAATCATTTGAAGGTCATATCCATAAATCAGATGTCTTTTTAGCATTAAGTACCGTGGGTAATACTACTCCGCATATACCAGTTGACATTCAGATCACGCATTTGGCAATGTTTAACATTTTATGACTGAAGTATTGCTAGACTGTAGATTTCGATAACTCGAATGCATTGACTCATTTTAATTTCGTTCAAATGGATCCCTTCAATGGTTCAAGTTCAAGTTTGAATTTCGAGTACTAGTAACCTTGGAACTGCCAGTGCCTGAATGAGACCAGTATATGTTGCGAACTTGAAAACCAGTACCTAGTAGTAGTAGTATGCTTTTAATCTGAACCTTCCCAAGAGTGAGCATAACCGGATAGTTCCAAGCTCAGATTGGGTACTGAAAGCCATGCAGTTTCTCAAAACATTTGAACTTGAAGAACCAACAGCACTGCCCTAGAATTAGAAGCGTCAACTGGTGTGGGAGGTCTTGGCATGTTTGCTCTGTTTGTCTCGGAGATCTTGCGATCGCGGAATAGCTTCAACTTTCTTGCTACCCACTTACAGCTGATTTGGAGCCCTAATTAGAGGATTGGCGGGTCCTTCCGAATAAAAAAACTCTGTCTTCACCATGCCATCTATACGCCCGGGTTTCTTGCCCTTCCGTGCAATCCGCACACCTACATCCACATCCCGACCAGCACTATGCCGGTTCCAGAACACGTCTCGATCCTCGATCGTGCATCCTAAACAGCAATTAACTCGCAATCACACTACATCCTCCGTGTCCGCCGATGAGGTTTCCCACTTCTCCGGGCTGGCCAGCTCTTGGTGGGATCCTATGGGCCCCTCAAGAATCCTCCACCTGATGAACCCTCTCCGCCACGAGTTCATCGCATCTTGCCTCGCAGAAAGCCCTCCACCTTTCTCAGATTCTCAATCGCCTAGCTCAAATACCTCCGCAAATCTTCATTATCTTGATATCGGCTGCGGTGGTGGTATCTTCGCCGAGTCACTCGCGCGCACCATCCCACTCGATTCCTCCGCTCCTGCACCAACCCCAACTCGTGCAGCTTCAATGACAGCCATTGACCCTACCACTAGCCTCATCCAGATCGCCAAAGACCACGCTCGCAGGGACCCCACTGTTGATACACACCTCCGCACTGGCAAATTCCGTTACTTAAACACCACACTGGAAGACGTGCTTGCCTCTAAATCCGAGCCCGAGGCTCCAACATCTTCCCCACATACCACCCACCCTCAATTCGACATCGTGACCCTTTTCGAGGTCATCGAGCATATCGATCCTAAGACTACCACCCCATCAGCTTTCCTCGCGAACTGTCTGCGTGCTGTTAAGCCTGGTGGTTGGCTCGTTGGTTCAACCATCTCCCGTACTTTCCCGTCTTTCCTTTTAAACCAGGTTATTGCGGAAGCACCCTGGCCTATTGGTGTCGTGCCGCGTGGTACACACGAGTGGAGTAAGTTTGTCAACCCTCCTGAGTTACATGCCTGGGCTCAAGAGGGTTTGATGCGCGCGGCTGATACCGGTGTCACCCGTGCGGGCCCTGCTGTGCTGGAGGATATGCGGTGGAAGTGTGTTGGTACGATTTATGTCCCTGGTCTGGGATGGAAGATTGTCCCTGGGTCTGAAGATTGGGGTAATTATTTCTGGGCTGTGAAGAAGGGTGTTTGATTAGTCTTGATGGGCTACATTTGTAAGATATGGTTACTTGTATACTACAATATAGATTTTGTGGATTCTTGACCTTGCGCATTAGACTCGAGCAGTAGCTACATGTAAATAAAACATGCTTTTCGCCTTAAGGTATGAGACTACAAATTCCAGACTTATACTGCACGGGCAAATTTGGGCAAATTTTCTAAAATAGTAGCGAAGTAGTTGTCTCCACTAGCCTAGGATCAAGATTATTTCCATCAACGTAGGCGATTATTGCCATGACCTACCTAATACCCAGTGTAAAAATAAGTAATGGAGCTCCATGTTTTCTTTACGACTTGGACGCAAATGAATTCTATTGATTTTCATTGATTCATGACTTTGATAAGCTATCCTTCTAATTTGAAGGTTTATTTTGTAAATTGTGACCAAGTCTTACCACTGCTTCACAGTACGCTGGAAGCGAGGAGGCTCGCGCGTAAACTTCTCAGGTTCATCACGAGCACCCTCCTTCCAGTAGTCAAACTCCATCCAAGCATTCTCAGGCATCTGTGCCTCAGTCGCCTCAAGGAACTCACCCAAATCAGGGCACAATGGGATAACGCCCGTCTCTAGAACATACTGATCCCATAGCTTAAGAAGGTGCTTAAGCTTCTCGGGTTCTTGCTCTGCCAAGTCGTGAATCTCACCGGGGTCTTCAACGAGGTTGTACAGCTGCCACTTCTCAGGACCCTTAGGCTTGGGAATGAAAACAATCTTCCAGTCGGCGCAGCGGAGAGCCGCACGTCCACAAGTTTCCCAGCCCTGGATAAAGTCCTTCGGGTGGATACGCTCTTCTTGGCCTGTGGCCCATGGTTGCCAGCTACGGCCTCGCATGGAGACAACTTCACGGCCTTGGTATGTTGGAGCGGGGTGCTTCACACCCGCCATATCCAGAATAGAGGGTGCGAGATCCATGACAGTGGAGAATTGGTCGGTGATACCGCCCTGAGCAGGTGTTGCGTCACCGGGCTTGAGATTAATGTTCTTGGGGAAGCGGCAGGTGAATGGAACACGAACACCACCCTCAGTGGTGTAGGCTTTGTACAGACGAGAAGGAGCGGTAGAGGCCTGCGCCCAGCGAGGACCGTACCAGATAAATGAGTTACCAGCACCCAGGTTCTCGAGACTGTTGTCATAGTATTTCTGTAGATGGGGCATCACGCCGTTTTGGACCATAGGGTAGGCTTCGTAAGCGGCACCCTCTGCGCCATTGTCGGACATGAAGCATACAAATGTGTTGTCCAGTTCGTCGATCGAGCGCAGATATTCCACAACTTTGCCCACATTGGTATCAATGCATTCCACCATTCCGGCGAAGACTTCCATTGACACGCAGGACTTCTTCTTCTCCTCTGGTGTGTATTCGTCCCACTCCTTAATCTCATCGGCGACCACAGGGTGAGCCTCGACGTCCTCCCTGACCATACCCAGCTCCTTCAATCTTTGTAGACGCTTCAGGCGAAGAGCATCGGGACCCTCATCGTAGACCCCGCGGTAGTGGTCAATGTATTCCCTGGGAGCCTGGAGAGGCCAATGGGGCGCTGTGAAAGGAAGATAGCCAAAGAAGGGACGATCGCCGTTTCCATCGGGTCCAGAACTACCACCAGACTCTTTCCACTCGCGAAGGTAATCGATCATCTTGTCACCATAACCATCTGACGAGTACCAGCGTTCGGGAAGATGACGCACATACTCGCCATCCTCACTATGCAGACCAATGTAACTCGCCTCAATGAATGTAGGAATATCATCATTATCACGCAATTGAGGTTCGAAGGCGTAGTGATTGGAGCAGGCGGGAAGGTGAGCGAACGACCGAACAAATCCACGTTTATGAGGTGAGCGCTCTGGTGTTAGACCCAAATGCCACTTGCCAGATAACATGGTGTGGTACCCCGCATCTCGCAACACTTCGGGAAGTGCCACTACACGCTCATTGAGATACCCCTCATATCCAGGCATACCTCGCTGCGGGGCAGTGCTCATTGCAGATCCCTTGGGGCCATTTTGACCAGAGATGTTGGTCCATTCAATCAAGTTTCCTAGACCTGCAATGTGGTGGTCGGTACCAGTCATGATCATAGCGCGAGTTGGACTATTGGTTAACCCTCCAGTAAGCTCCACTGACACTGTTGCTCTGGGAGCTCCGAAGTAAGACTCACCTGCATGCTGCAGCGGCATGGAAATCAGTGAACCGCAATCCTTCCTCTGCGATTTTATCAATGTTGGGAGTACGAATCTCTCCACCGAAGCAACCCACATCGGAGAAGCCAAGGTCATCGGCGACGATAACGAGGAAGTTTGGACGTTTAGCCATGATCGTTACTGAGCTGAAGAGAGGATAAAACAATACAAAGCGAAGTTGAGAGAATGAGACAGGTAAAGTCTCTTGGAGAGCTGAAACCAAAACACAATGAGGGGAAGCTGCACCCCCAGCTCTTATAAAGCTCAAACCGGCGAATGATCCGATCCCTGCATCACATTACTTGTACATCCTGCGCCATGATTTCGTGCTCGGCTGGTATCAATCGCTACTCGGCCATCGGCAGGGGGAGATGGAGAAAATATGGGGCGGATCCATACATGGTGCATACATGGTCCGTTTGATTCTACCAGTCATGGATCAGGGGCACCTCTCCACACTGGTTTGCCAGTTGACTGATGACCTCGGACTTATCTTCTTTCTCGAGCTTCGGTTACTCGGATATCCATGGTCTCCACCGGGCGTCATCGGTCCGTGCGCCACTGATCAAATTATGATAAGAGCTTTGAGCAAGGATCTTAACGAGGAATCCGGTATTCTAACTGGATATCTTGGGTTCATACAGGGCCGGTGCTCGATAGTGTCCACGATCAAGGCACCTAGCGCTGACGTTCAATGAAGTCTTAAAATTGCACTTTTGCGCAATCGATACATTCCCCTTGGATTCTTCCTAGATTCTTCCTACTTTGTTCGATCACCTTATAACGGGGTAAATATTGTACATAGGGGCCAGGCTTGGTCTCTCTTCTCTTAAATAGCCCCTCTGCCGATCGGGGACGCGTATGGTACGATCGCTGTCGATTTTTTCTCAATGTGGTTCCCATAGACAAGTCTGAAGTGTTTCATCGGCCCGAAACCAAAGTTATAGAACTATAGATTGGCATAGATCGTGTTGATCTTCGAAGGTAAGCCTACAAATTCTTTACTTTTCTGTCATTTCTATCCTTTGGGCTCTGCTCTGGAGGTTTATGGAGTCTTTCAAATGCACACGCGGCGGGATACCGTTTTCGGCCATGTGGACGGGATTGTCCCACCGGATCTCCGCTGGCAAGCTCTTTCACTTTCAGTGCATCTCTCCCATCCAATGCGTCGAAATTCGAGCAGAAATCTATTATAGATCACGCTGTGGCAAAGGGGGACATCTCCAGATTATATACAGACCTGGTCTGGTGCATTGTCTCCCTTGGAGCACTTCCTTTATTCTCCCCTTGATTCCTCCTGACTAAACTCAAATGGAATGAAGAAGCATTGACGAACTACCAAGTCACCCACCTGTTGGATCACCATGATGAGGCCGAAATGGTACCAGGCCATTGTGGGAGGAATCATCTTGACCTTGGGGTTACTGTTCCTGGGATCTCGGCTTTACGCGCATTTCAGTCGCTGGAATAACGATCTCGGAATAACAATCTTCGACGGCCATCTACCCCCAGTACCTCAATACCAAGATACCGACACTGCCTCACAAAACCCCTCCACTTCCGATCCGGAAATATCGAAACCGTTACAAGATTCATCACAGGAGGATATAGTCGACAAGCCCTCGGCGCCAAGGCCCACCCCGACGGGACCTACGGGTGAATGGAGCTTAGCTTGGAATAATAAGAACACATGGCCGGACTGGTTGAATGCATCGCCAACTCCGAACGGGGCCAGCAAAAGCCTGCCGACACATTCTATATCGCACGAGGAGCTTTACAGATATGTTCATTCCATCATGCATTTTAATGACGAATGGCCATTCGAGCGCGTATCTTGTCCCTCGGGTATGGGCTCCAGATATGAGAAGTTAAAGAGCGATGCGGACGGCAGCGGCAAGGCGCGATACTTCTTTGCATTGAATCTCTTGGACGCAGCCGACGCCCTCCCTCGATTGATGAGTACCATAATTGAGACTATAAAGTATTTGGGACCCGAGCGTTGTGCGATCTCCATCGTCGATGGAGGATCTCTGGACGGAACTTTGGAAATCCTCACTGTGATAAAATCGAGGGTTGATGATTTGGGAGCGCAGTTCTTCCTTGCGACCAGCAGGGGCAGCTCAGATGATGCCCAGTCGGGCCAAAATGCAACACTTGCAGACCTCCGCAACCAGGTCCTCGAACCACTGAAAGCTAAAGATGTGGAACCACACGCTCTGTCAAGTGTGTATTCATCCGACACTGTGGTTATTTTCCTGGATGATATCGCCGTGTGTCCTGAGGACATACTTGAATTGGTCTTTCAGCATGTTAATCAAGGTGCTCAGATGACATGCGCATTTGATTGGGTTCTCAATGGGACTGTGTTCCACGACGTCTGGGAATCGCGATCACTGGCCGGTAATACCTTCTTTGAGGTTCCGCACGATGGCTCATTGACACATAGTAAAGATATGTTCTTTGATGACCCACCCAATAAGCGGCGTTATAAAAAGTCCCAGCCCTTGCAGGTGTACTCATGTTGGGGCGGTATGGTGACATTGAATGCCACGTCATTTGCTGAAGACACCTTGAAGTTCCGATCGACAGAGCAGACCGATTCTGATTGTTATATGGGCGAGTCAATGTTGCTGGCCAAGGATTTGTTTAGTCAAGGGCTTGGCAAAATTCTAGCTGTGCCTTCGGTGAACGTGGCCTACTCGGATGATGAGGCTACTAAAACGAAACAAACCAGGGGATATGTCAGTGATCATATCAAAAATGACAATCCAGAACTGGATACAAAGGAATTTGTTCAATGGAAACAGGATCCACCTGAGCTGGTCAAATGTCTTCCCCTTTCTGAACAAGTAGCCTGGACTGAGTGGATCCACTCTGTTTGAGGCTTTAGCTTGTTCCTTCTATTTTTTTTTCTCATTTTTCTCTACGCTTTTTAATGATCGGCAACGAGCGAGATATCCTTGGCGAGGAGTTAATGGCATTCAAGGCGCACCACATACAGGTGGAACATAGAAATTCGCACAACTTTTTGTGTTTTCCCAGTTGTTGATAATTTTTCGGATTTCTATCGAATATATACATGTTACACATATTGAAGTGCATCTCACCGAAAATCCATCGTCCGATAACTGCCAGTGTCAGTTTAGTGTCAGTGGGCCGATGTCGATTCAAGCTCGGATACGGAGTCCTAAACGCGGGGAAGCTTCACCCATCAACTAAGTTGGACTTAGACCAACTTCAGTTCATCTGGTTTCAAGTGCTCCTTACTGTGATCACCATGAACCCATAATCATCGAACCAAAAGAACACAGCATAATACCTACCCGACTCCATTTTATCTCTTAAGTGGTTGCCTACTGCATGGCGTGATCTCCCCACCAGGTTGCGCCCTCGGCTGTCGGCTGTATGAAACCAACCGGACCACCTACAAATCTCCAAGCTGTGCTACAGTAATGCAATTCCACGGTTTTCCCAGAGATCGACGTGCATGGGATCCACCGGACCTTGCGTTTCAGGAGAGCTTGATTCATTTAAGTCGTTTGATGCGCTGACGAATTTCGTTGTGGGATGATGCCATTGCTTCACCGCTAGAATGAAATAATTGAGCTGTTCTCATTGTCATACAGGCTAGCAAAAGATGTTCATGAAGATCTTTTACCAAGGTTGCCCCGTACCCAATTCACGGTTGAGGGTGTCACGCATAGCGACTTGATACACAGTCATCAGCAGATCAGTACTGGTTGCGATGCTTTCCATCCCACAACGAATTGACTGGCCAATATCGAATCTATGCAGATTCAACTTCAGATCATTGCGAGATAGACATCTGGAGCTTGAATGGCTTTCCAATATTTAGGAGACGTCCAGTTCGTCTCCAATTTGGAAGAATATACCCCCTGGATGATTTTCCTACGGTATTCCAAGTTGTGGTGTGGACTATACACAATAACACCGCTTCAATAACTGTATACTAGTCAAAAGTCTGAATGGACTCCGCAGGGCTTGCGGGTACAGTCTCAATCCCTATCCTTCATTTCAAACGTATTCTATCTGCAATTCAAATATTTGAATTAAACGGATTTTCATCTCACCATGTCCTCTATAGGACCTTTTGATCACATACTTGATGGTTTCACTGAGATCAATGTCTAAGAGAATGATTATCATTTGAATAATGAATGTTCTATATATACTATAGTAGCTACTGGTATAATGAGTTGCAGAAGAAAGGGCATAGTCTGATCCTCGGCTCTAGGTGCAAATCAGCTTGAAAGCAGCACGCCTGAAATTTCAGAGTGCTCTAAGTCCTTGCCACTTCGGTCATAGCTCCGCCAGCTACTGACAGATTTAGCTTCAGGGAGATATAATGCTTTATACCAAGCCAGGAACATGAGAGGGGGAAATGAGACAAATAATTCACATGGAGTTCGGACCGTGCCGCGGGAAATCGAGATTGCGGGGAAGGAGGAGTCTTGAGATCATAACCGAATATTTAAGAACACTTTCTGTACACCCTCAGAGATCGACTTGGAAATCTGGAATATATCCACTCAAAGCTCTATCATTACCAGTGTTCTGGAACTACTACTGGAATAGCACATCATGGGTCGAAATCCGATGGAAAATCCAATTCACTATGCTACTCCTCAACTTCGAGTAGGACCACCTGTTACTTATGCGGCAGCTCAACGTACTCTCAAAGGCTATGATTATGGTGAGGAACTCCTTCAGAACTATACTGCGAGGGATCAATCTCACATGGATACTCCTGCTAATTGACATGGCTACTCAAAGTGATTATCGGAGCAGGCGCAGCAGGTTGTGTGTTGGCCAGCAAGCTTTCCGAGGATAAGAACACATCCGTTCTCCTCCTTGAGGCCGGTGGAAACAATGAAAACGTTCTCGCAAGCAAAGTTCCTCTCATGTTTGGTGAATTGTTCCACAGTGAGCATGATTGGGATTACAATACCGTGGAACAGCTTGCTCTAGCTTCCCGTAAGCTCTACTGGCCTCGGGGACGCATCCTTGGAGGTTCCACTTCGCTTAATGCCATGATGTATCACCACTGTGCAAAGTCAGACTACGATGAATGGGTCTCTGTGCATGGGTGTCAGGGCTGGGGGTATGATGATCTCGTGCCTTATTTCCGCCGCATGGAAAAATTCACACCTAACCCTTCTCGGCCTGCCATTGAGGCTGGAAATAGAGGCGCAGAGGGGAAATGGAGTACGGGGTATTCCTGAATCAGAGATAGGAGAGAAGGGCTTTATTCCTGCGTGTGAAGAGGTAGGGATTCCGGCGATTCCAGATGTCAATACCAAAGAAGGTACACTGGGTGGTGTCACTCGTTTCCAGACGTTCATTGATCAGAAGGGACAAAGATCTTCCATGGCGACTGCTTTCCTAACACCTGAGGTACTTAAGAGGCCTAATCTCTATATTGGCTGTCATGCTCATGTTACCCGGGTGCTCTTTGATTGTCTCACAACTGAAGTACCCACTACCATCGGCGTCGAGTTTCGAAGCAGCAAAGACCCCAACAGTGAGAGCTTCCAAGTCCATGCTAGACGAGAGGTCATCCTCTCAGGAGGAGCAATTAATACACCTCAGTTGCTACTAATCAGTGGAATTGGTCCCGCTGACGAGCTGACTCCTCTGGGAATACCGATCATTAACAACAGCAGAGCAGTTGGCAAGAATTTGAAGGATCACCTTTGTCCTACGCCTATTATTTGCAAAGCAAATCCTTCATATACTCTGGATTATCTAAAGAGCCCTATCAAATCCTTACCGGCTCTTCTTCGGTGGAAGCTATTTGGAACTGGGCCATTGACGAACAATGTTGGCGAGGTGGCTGCCTTTCTGCGAACTGTTGACTTCAATTTCTCTGAGTCAAGCAGTCATCCGGCTGATTTCACATCGGGGTCCGTTGGACCGGATATTGAATTGATTGCTGCGCCCCTGAGTTTTATTCACCATGGTGAAGAGCCAGCTGCCGAAGGGGAAGGAATGTTTAGTATAGTGCCTACTCACCTCCGTCCACTTAGCACAGGAACAATCAGTCTCAGAAGCCGAAATCCGTTCGATCACCGTGAGTGGATATGATGTTTCCATACTGTATCACTTTACTTTATGTTGACAGAATGGTTATCTTCTAGCAATAATCAATCCCAAATACCTGTCCGATGAATCAAATAACGATCAAAAGGTTATTCTGGCAGGACTCCGAGGTTGTCTCCGCATAATTCGCAGCGCAGCCCTTCAAAAATACTTTGAGCCCGTCCCTATCAACGACGATCCTGCATCTAAGTGGTGGCCATATTCGAGCAGCAATATTGAAAAGATCTCAGATGAGGATCTGGTTCGCTTCATGAAGGAAAAGGCGTTCACTCTTGACCATCCGGTGGGAACTGCACGTATGGGTCCGGACCCAAGTAGCAGTGTTGTTGATTTACAGTGCAAAGTGCATGGTGTTAAAGGGCTACGTGTGATGGATGCCAGTGTTTTTCCTGAGCAGATTAGTGGGCATCCTACCGCTCCTATTGGTGCTATGGCTTTTAAACTTAGCCAGATGATCAAGGAAGGGAAAACACCAGGTACACCGCTATCAGCGCATCTTTAATGAATTTGACCTGTACTAGAATTTTACTATTTATTGCGGATGGTAGTTCAATATGGGAATGGAGTGGATTCTGTCAGATCGCTATCTTGTTCATCAATAGTTGAACTCTTGTCCAACAAGTGTTTCACTGAGCTTCCATAACTCTTCCGCATCTGTGGGATCTCGGGCCCAAGACTTATACCCTCTTATTTCCAATACTTGACTATCTCTCAGGTGTCTTCCGTTGACTGTATGATCGCTTTAGCTCACTTGCATCTCCAAGATACGGTATCTTAAGCTTACCCTGCTGTGTGATTGACTCGTGAAATGCTCCGAAGACATAAGTCGCGACTCCCTGCTGCTGGGTTTTGTAATCAAGACCTTCATAGCTGGTGAACCTTGGCAACCCAAGCTGGAATCCAATTCCGCCTATGAAGTACATTAGTGGGCGCTGACAAGCTTTAAAGATAGATTCAATGATCCTAGGACTCACCAAGCTCTTCCCATGCATCTTTATCCAGGTGGGAGCTGAGATTGGTGAAGACTGAACCTGGATGAAGGCTCACACAGATGAGTCCTTTCTTGGCCAATCTTGCCGCAAGTGCAACAGAGAATAGCATGTTCGCTGACTTGGATTGGCCGTATGCATACCATCGGTTATAGTACTGGCCATCCTAAAGGCATTCTCATCAGCCTACTCACTCAGAAAATCATATATGTTTAACGTACCTTGAAGTTATAGTCCTCAAATCTCACTCGTGATAACTCGTGACCAACGCTTGAGACGTTAAGTACGCGGCTACTCCGACTTCCATCTTCCGAGATTAATTTGCCCATTATCAGATTTGTGAAGAGGAAATGTCCAACATGATTGACTCCGAATTGAAGTTCGATGCCCTCCTGTGTCTGACTGTAGGGAACTGCCATCAACCCTGCGCTGTTGACGAGTACATCGATGTATGGGACATCTTCATAGCTGTTCACTTCCTGGGCCGCCTCGCGGATTGAAGCTTGAGAAGACAAGTCGAGCCTCAGGATACGGATGGCGATTGCAGGTCCAATTTCCTTGATTGAGGCGGCGAGTTCTTCCAGCTTGGAAGTATCACGGGAGGCGAGAATTATCATGGCCGGGGCGTGCACACTGATCGTCATGGCAAACTTTGCAGCAAGACTATTGGGCGAAGGTCCAGTGATAAGAATGATCTTGCCCAGAATTTCATCGGAACAGACGGAGGCTACCTCCTCACCAGTGGTATCGTAGTTGAAGTTTGACATAATTGGACATAGCAAGTAACAAGTCCTGGAGTTAGGAAAGGAAATTCGAGTGATGAAGCTTTGAAAGATGCGGAATGCTGCAAAAAACGCGGGACAATACCGGTCATTTATAGATTTCTCCAGCTTGAATCTGGTCTATAGAATCTCCATATATGATCAGAATAAGGGACATCGCGTAGAGACGATCACTTCCCAATTCGGTGAATTAGTTTGGACTGTTGCCCATACTGGGCTTAGCGTGGTCCTGAGATCTTAAGCCTCGGAGCTAAGACTGTTAACTACGTCCATTCTCCGCTACTAATACATCAGGGATTCCTTGATCTCTGACCTTTTTCTGCTTTTGCTAATTTTTCTTGATACTGACTTCCTAGTTCAGCCTCCAAGTGAACCATTAGAAACAAAATCAATGCATTCGTCAGCCGAGGTGATATTTCCTGTCGGAGTTCGGACTGATAATGATCAACCCTGCGTGTTTCCCTACAATATTGGTCCCACCGCGTTGAAGATAGCAAACAAGAGAGGAAGACCGAAAGGAAGTGGGTTCACCTATTTCCACCCTATTTGGGGTACCAAATATTGATCTTGGTACACAGGTACCAAACGCTTGGCTTTGACCGCAAATGATCACCTCTTAGCCGAAAAGAGATCGAAGCAAAATGTTTTTGAATTTGTCCACATTACAGGTCGATCGGGTATCCCAGATACTGAGTCTAGAAAGGCTATTCGTAGGCGGGTCATGATAAACCATTTCCAGAACAGCAGCAAGAAGGATAATCAAGAGCGCCCTTCAATTGTCAATACTCCGTGTCCTCAGATTGCGGGCGTGGATCCATTCAACACGTTCCCGGTTATTATCGAGCCATATATGCATGATCTTCTGAAATACTGTGAGTTTTAGAGATATCTGGACTAAATAAAAGACATACAGCTGACTCCTGTACTAGATGTTACCGTTGGATGGAGGAGATACTACTCGATTGAGAAATATACCACCTTAAACCCCATGACAGACTACTGGCTACCGATGGCCATGGTTGATGATGCCTTTTTCCACATTATCCTTGGCTGTGCGAACTCACATTTCTCACCTGACGAACCGGATAAGCCAGATCATAACTACCTGGTCACTATCAAACACCTGAATGCTGCTATCGCAATTGTGAATAAGCGCATCCAGAATGACAAGGTTCCCACTGCTGCCACTCTCGTTACTATCTCAACAATAGCTATGATAGAGGTAAGACTCTTAGTCTTGAAACATATTTCAAACACCTAAAGTTTTGGATATTGATACACGGAGCAGAAGAACAGGGGATCACATGAGAACTGGAAAATTCATATGCAGGGTCTTCACAAGCTAGTCACCCTTCGCGGTGGCTTGGATGCACTTGAGGCACAGCCCCTCGCAATAGGAAAAATATACCGGTATGAGTTAGACTATTTCAACTTCATTCTACCCAATCTTCCGTCTCGGACTAATTTTCCTATCTAAAGAGCCGATCTAGTTGGATCTATAGATGCGGTTCAGACACCTTACTTTTCCAATCGGACACTTTTGAGCCCCTTCAAAAATCACATACCGACTATCAACATCGGGTTCAAGGTGTTGCATGAGATGGTCCCGTTTGATGATGCATTGATCTCATATATTCAAACTGCAACAGAAATCATCGATTCGCTAAAGAAATTAAACAAAACGGCCGGCCACACTGAGGCAGCCCGTGTTCGTTACTGGACCACCGCATTGCAATACAATCTTCTTTTCACAACATATTCAAATCCAATACACGAGATATGTCGGCTTTCAATCCTCTTATTCTCGGAACTGCTTGTCAATCAAAGCTGTTCAAACTCCAGTCCATACGAAGTCTTGATCGCCAAGATCACGGCAATCTACAAGTCCACTGAAACGGCATGTACAGATTTCTCAAGCCCCAGCATACTTCCACCGCAGTTGATACTCTGGTCATTTTACCTTGCTACCTATGCCACTGCGACAAAGAAGACGGTTGACAACTGTTGCAGTATTGCTGCTTGCGCTGCAGTGGAGTTGGGTTTATCTACAGATGAAGAGGTGGTATCTGTCTTGAATCGATTCTTGTGGGATTCAGCTTTGGAGATCAATAGGCCATCAGTTTCAATTCAAAATAAGATGGAGGGAATATAAATCATCATGCTATACATACTGTTCCTGCCAGACCATATGACTTCAAGTTGGAGTATACTAGTATTCACATCACCATTTTTTCTATTCAAAAATTAGATTCGTTGATGAACCATTGATCCTTTATTAGCTCCATTATTTTTGCTAGAAGAGGTGGAGTTTTGTTCTTGTATGGAACAAAAAGCAAACATTGAGAAGTCTCAACTGCTGGATATCTGGGGCGTCTCATTTTTCTATAACCTCAGGTTATTCCATTATCCACTTTCTCCATTTCATTGCCACTGAGGTAAAAGTCGAACATTTCAAGATGAAATAAAGTCTACCGCTAAGGAAAATAAGATCTACTAACCCACATTCAAGTTTATGAATGGATAAATCATCCCGCATAACTACGATGTGGTCCCTAATTCAATTTTAATCCCCACCCGAGCTCGTCATCGCGACCCCGGAATTGCTCATCACCTTCACCTCGTTTTTTCTGCCAATGTGTGCCACAATTACTTTTCTTCGAGATATTATTCGCCATCTCTGAATCTGAGTTTCTCGGCCGGGAAATAGCATGATGCAACACCTTGAATTTATATGCGCTTGTTCTCGTATTGGGAATCGCGTGAAGCCCAGAATGGATGGTGTGCTTCAACGTTTAAAACCCATGCTTGTGCCTAGTTGTTTTGTCAATTCAGTGGCACGCTGATTTCAGCCCAAGATCTCTGGCCTCACATTTTGATCCTTGTGTGGGCATCATGGCTACTCTAGATGAGAAAAAGGATGTCGATACAGCTACAGACCTAACAAATGATGTTGTGCCTTCGCCTTCATCGAGTAGCGTTGCTGAGGCAGTCGGTATTGACGAAAAGTCACTGCTACGCAAGTTGGACTATCGATTGTTGCCGCCATTGACCTTGCTGTATCTGTTATCATTTCTTGATAGAAGCAATGGTTGGTTCTCAAATTCCTGCGCGATGGTAGCCGTATGCTGATGGGTTCGAAAGTTGGAAACGCCAAACTTGAAGGAATGACTACTGATCTCGGAATTTGTATGTTTTATTCTTATCGCACTAGCATATTCGCTATGAACCCTGGATTGACTAATTACCTAAAGCTGGGGATCAATATCTCAATGGTCTAACTCTATACTTCGTCGGTTACGTTCTATTCGAGATTCCATGCAACATCATCCTCAAGAAGGCTACGCCGAGAGCATGGTTGCCCACATTGACTCTGATCTGGGGTATCGTCGCCACGCTTTTAGGAGTGGTCCAGAATTACTCCGGGTATCTTGCCTCGAGATTCTTTCTGGGTGTTGCTGAAAGTGGCCTCTTCCCAGGAGTTGTCTACTATATCTCCATGTGGTATAAGCGGAATGAGCAGCATTATCGTGTTAGTCTCTTCTTCAGTGCTGCTAGTCTTGCTGGTGCATTTGGTGGCATTTTGGCATGGGTAATTTCCACTCCAGGACTCGGAACCGTTCAGAGCCAAATGCTAACTATGTCTAGGGTATCGCGCATATGAGTGGTACTGGAGGCTATAGTGGTTGGAGATGGATTTTTATTCTTGTAGGTCCCGGTTATGATTCTCAATCTCGGCCTTTGAGACTTACACTAATTCCATTGCTTCACTAGGAGGGATTGGTAACAGTACTTGCCTCCGTCATCGCCTATTTCTGGGTCTACAACTATCCCTCGACCGCAGAATTTTTGTCAAATGAGGAACGAGAGTTTATTCAGTTCCGATTAAAACATGACAGTGATGCCGCACAGGACGAGAGCTTCACCTGGTCAGCTGTTCTAGATGCATTTAAAGACCCCAAAGTGTGGCTATACTGTGCTGGCTTCCATACCATGTCACTACCTCTATATACGCTTTCCCTTTTCTTAGTGAGTCATCTCAAGCTTTGACTCTTACACACTATATTCCTAGTACTAACGCGTTGCAGCCTACGATCATCAAGGAACTCGGATACTCATCAGCTCAAGCCCAGCTGCTATCCGTACCACCCTATGCTGTGGCTTTTGTCATGACACTTACTGTTGCCATTGCATCAGAGAAACTCCGCATTCGTGCCCCTTTCATAATGGGCACATCGGCCCTTGCATGCATCGGATACATTCTACTCTTATCAGACCATGAAGCGGGTGTGTCATACTTGGGGACTATCTTTGCTGCTGGTGGTATCTATCCTTCGGTCGCGATTGTGTTATCTTGGCCTGCGAATAATGTTTCCGGGCAAACAAAGCGATGCATCGCTAATGCTCTGCAGATCAGTGTGGGCAATATCGGTGCTGTGATCGGAACGCAGCTGTATCGTACGGAAAGTAGTCCACGCTTTTTCCTAGGACATGGATTTGCGCTTGGATACCTGATTGCTAATATCTTCGTCGTGGGAATTTTGTGGCTTGTTTTACGTAGGGAGAACAAGGCCAAGGCTGTAGAGATGGAAGCCAAAGAACTGAGGCCGTTTGGTGGAGACGTTGGAGATGGAGACGGAGAGTTTCTAGGCGACAAGGATCCTAGATGGGTGTTCCAAACATAGCGAGGCCGCTCTACATGTACAAGCCAAACTTATCCTTCAACTAGCACAACTAAATCTACACAAGCAAAGAGGTCAACATCAAAGCATTGATATTACAAGAGAGAATTGGTTGTCATAAGAATGAAGAATCTTGAATTGACTAAACTAGGTTGACGAGCATGTATCTCCCACTTTTTGACACGCACAGCCCCACGTAGAGGAGCGGACGCAACACGAAGGAGTCTCCAGAAGGATCTTGTCCAACTGCAAGGTCTTACTATTGGCACAAATTTGACCTCGATAATCATTGAGCAATGGACGAACGAGACTTCGAAAGTGCCGGTATAAACCGGGAATTGTATTCGACGTGGAATCGGGATGAATCTGTTGATTAGTAGTACGAAAGTAGGTATTGGTGAGCAGCACCAGAGCCATGGCAACACCTCATGCGAAACGAGACATAATGATCCGCAAGGGGTCCAAGGACTGGCGACAGCTGCAGGTAGTTCTAGTAGGTTCATTCCCGCTGACAGTAGACAGCATAATGACTTCGTCGTGTGCATATTCGAAAGACCATGAACAGTCAATCAATAGACTGCGACGCCTGATGCAAGACAAAATCCAGAATTTGGATTCAGATTTGTGTGCTCAAAGCGAACCCAACCACCTCTGAAAGAAACAGTAAACTGCATCCAACGTCAAGGGTCGAGATTATAACGAGCATTGATCGCTCTGGGTCTCATGCTAAAATTTGCGATATGGAATGAGTTTCCGTCCGCAAGGGTATGATGGAGACCGTGAATATGTTGAAGAAGAGAAAATGGAAAAATCGCGAATTCGGGAAGAAAAACCACCGATGATTATGTAATATACACGTGATTTCAGTAGTCGCGATTGTGGATCCCAGCCATCTTCTACGGAGATATGTACAAGCACAGTACGGACTCTACAAAGTACTCCGTGAACATCGAAGATATCAATTTTTTTTTATTTTACCCTCGGTATTGAATAACCTTGAACTAATCACAGATGAAATATCAGACAAGACTCTTTCCGAAAAACTCCACCAACTTAGCTCCAGCCTCATCAACCTTATCATACAGATCCGCATGCGTGAGCCCATCCACCACAAAGCACTCCTTCGGCTCCTTCGCCTTTTCCACTCCATCCTCGCTTAACCACTTGGTCGCAGCCTTCGTACCAGTGATCATCAGTAATGGCCGCGGGCTAATCATATAATTGTGCGCAAATGCATCAAAATTGGCCATGATGTCCCATCCTCGAGCCAAGGTCGTATTAGTCGCACGCGGATGGAACGCTCTCGGTGTACGATAGTAGTTCATCAGATCTCGGAAAGCCTCCGGCATATCTTCAGGTGCATCCTCTGGTTTGTTTGGGAGCATATGAACGATGGGGACCTTCTCACCGTCCACATCACTGTTCCGATCCTTACCAGCTGCTTCGAGCTGGGTTTTCAAAATATCCAGGTTGGATGTATCTTGTTCGAAGCCACGCCGAGCCATCTCTCCCACGCAAACTGCTGCAGAGGTTGCGACGGCTTTGATGCGGAGGTCGGTCTGCGCGGCGAAGGGTGCATACCCGCCCGAGGCACAGATTCCCAGCACGCCGATCTTGTCAGAGTCCACTTCCTGTCGGCTAACCAGGTAGGTCACGGCGCATTTTATGTCTTCGACGCGCTGGTAGGGATCTTCCAGATTGCGAGGTTCGCCTTCGGATTCGCCTTGGTAGGCTGCATCGTAGGTCAGGCAGCTGAAGCCTGCTTGGGAGAGTACTCGAGCGTAGTTTGCGGGTGATTGTTCCTTGATGGAGGTCCAGGGATGAGCGATGATTATCGATGCACCGGCACGATCTGGAGATCCAGGAAAGGGTGGGTAGAAGAGACCGGCAAGCTTGTAGTTGCGGGAGAGGAATTGGACCTTTTGAGGCGACGACATAGTTGTAGAGTTTCAGGCTCAGAGATAGAATGGCTAGATAGCTATTTTTCAGATGAATTGATGTTCTTGTATATCTCTTTTTCACTGCGGATTTCTGCATTTTATAGTATGTTACTCTCAAGCTCGAGTCCGAAAATCATCGGACACGGTTGTGATCATAGTGGGGCCCATGTCATCATAGAAAATGCCGGTGGACATAACGGACATAATGACCTCGGGCTCTTGTTAACTGCATACTAGGCCATGTCAGCCTCCACATGTGCATACAGGCAGTAGACAATGTGCATCTTGAATTTTTGTATAGGAGAAATGCATGAGAATCTCCAAAATCTTAAAATTATTAAGGCATTATGCACCAAAAACACGACCAGTCCCACCTGGGCAGTACTTTAGTCCTAGCACGGAAGGAATTGAAGGTTACTTCATCCATACAGGTACCATAGTAGGTATCGAGATAGATGTACTTTCTCCTATGTACTCTATAATACCGCGACTGCAAAGTGAAGACATTTCTAATTGAAACAGTGAATTCATGTTGGATAGGCGTTGAGTGAATCCTCTCTTATACTACCCCCTCTGTTGGCAGTTGATGAAAAATTCGCCACATGATGTATCTATTCATGTATCCATCCATCCTCTATGTGTATATCCAATTCGCTAAGCACAGTCATATTCTCGTCAACTCCATCTATACCTTATCTGGCCAATACTTTTGGATCAGCGTCTTCTTGTTAACCTTGCCCATGGCATTACGTTCAATGCCATCCACAACCTTCAACACGGTGGGGACCTTGTAAGGGGCCATCTCAATTTTCAAGATGGCACGCAGAGCTGGAAGATCCAGTGGAGTGGCCTAAACCAGGTTAGTGATATCCAGAGATTCAGATAGATCAAACATACCCCATCACGAAACTTAACAATGGCAGCAACCTGCTGACCCCATTCCTCATTCTTCAGTCCAACAACCGCAACCTCTTGAATCGATTCAAGGGCAAGCATCTTTCGCTCCACCTCCAATGCAGAAATCTTATATCCACCAGACTTAATCAAGTCAACAGAAGCCCGGCCCTGGATAAAGTATGCTCCCGTGGCATCTCGCCTCGCCACATCTCCTGTCTTGAACCAGCCATCAGCTGTAAACTCCGAGGCAGTCGCCTCAGGCTTGCGCCAGTATTCACGGAATACATTGCCACCCTTGATCTCGATCATACCATCCTGATCAACTTCTTCAACAATCCGACCAGTCTCCTTCTCGGTCAATCGAACCTGAACACCAGGTAACGGCCAGCCCACACTTCCATCAACCCGCTTATCCAGCTCCAGACCACAACTAATCGCCATACCAATCTCCGTCATGCCAAATCGCTCCAGTAGGATCTGGCCTGTGATCTCGGCAAACTTGGTCTTGACAGGTGTTGGCAATGCGGCAGATCCACTAATAAGCAGACGCAAAGCCTTAGCGCCTGCTCGCGCAGCCTCTTCGTGATCGGTTTCACGGATGCTAGTATCGAAGTAATCGTTCAGTCGCGAGTAGATTGTTGGTACAGCCATGAACATGGTAGATGAACCAATATCTTGCCAGCGCTCCCAGATAACCTTGGGGTCGAACTTCGGGTGCATCTCCACAGTGGTACCACTCAACAGACTGGCTGTTAGGCCATTGACGATTCCGTGGATATGGTGGAGTGGAAGGACGTGAATGAGATGATCGGAGGGACTGTATTTCCATGCTTTCACTAGGCAGCTTGCTTGGAACTCGATGATCTCGTGGGTGCTTACACCCCCCCTTGGGATTACCGGTTGTTCCAGAGGTGTAGATCATCAGGGCGCGTCGGTCCAGCGGGAATGAAGGGACGAATGAGGGGAGGGATGGCGATTCATTGCGGCTGAAGGGTTCTAGTCCCATAAATGGGATATCGGTGGTGCATGCCTCGCGTAGAGCTGGTGCGATTTTCTCGAACGCGGGATGGATGAGGATCAATGAGGGATCCGAGTCGCCAATTGTATATAGGAGCTCCTTAACGGGGTGACTAGTGCCTGGTTCATTTTGTTAGGGACCAATGTCTGTAAAAGGGTTCATGTCTGGACTCTGGGTTTCTATCACATACAGAGGGGGACAGCCACTCCACCGGCAGCCCAGGTGGCCCATTGTGTGACAACATAATCATAGCCATTCGGGACTAAGAAGGCGATGCGTCGTTCCTCTAGATCGCCCGTAGTTGTCAACCCGAGGAGCTCGAGAATTCGCTTGCGTAGAACGGCAGTATCCTCAAGCAATTGAGTGAAAGTGAACGATTCTTTCTTGGTCGCGTCTATAATAGCAACCTTATTCGTATCATTCTGGGCATGTTGCTGTGCTGCCAAGAAAAGAGGAAGGGAGGGGAGCGGCATTGCGGCGGGGCGTGAATAGTGGACCTCGGGGTATCTACACAGAACAGATGAAAAGTATGAAGTTGATGCACGTGAAGAGGAATTGAAGGAAGATTACTATAGATTACAGAGAAGAAAATTCCCCTAAGCACCTCCCTTGCACGTATGTCTTAGCCGGGTAATGCGATTGCGGAGTTATTGGTGGGACTCGGAGTCCAAATGTAGAGATGGGATGAACTCGACGTATAATCGGGATTCAGATCTGGATCCCGTGTATATCATTTCTTTTTTCGTAGTTCAATCTGCGATGTGATTGGTGAGCAAATGAATAAGGCACTCTTATTGGGCCTTCGGGATCCACCGTATCTATGGCTAGTATGGTGAATGCATCAACCTTGGAAGGAGGCATAAATGTATCAAAGACTTCCAGGAGATCGGGGAATTACTAGGAATTCTCCAGTGCCCAGATTCAAGGCTTGCCCAACATTGAACTCTTCAAATCATGTACAAGTTCCCGATGTCAATAACAGTCTACTCTATAGTAGTTCTAAACGTATGTTTTCAAGTTTGGATGAAACCGACTTAGCAAATTTTTAAGTTCGTAGGATCAACTTGAACTTGAAATGAACTACTACTACGTACTAGTATCGCTCGTGATAAAATGCTCTTGAACTCAACATTTGAAATAAACACTGGTATTTGAAACATTAATTGAGTAATAGGCTTTCCTTCTAAGGTTGACTACTATTTTTTCAGCTGAATGTAGTTCTTGATAATATACTTCTTCCAATCCGTCAAATGAAGACTCTCATCTCCCCACGGCACATGCCCCTTAGGCAATTTCCTCATCCTCTCCTTATCCCAATCAGGAAGATGAAGATGCTTGTGGTTCTTATGGCAGGCATTGTTGTAGAATGTGCCACTCTTCACCTTCTCGTAACATTGGAATGTTAGGACCATGTTGATGCAGTCCATGCACCACCACATGTCACCCGGAGAAGTCCATCCCATTTCACATTTGCAGCTGCATTGAATGAGGAATTGGTCGCCCTCGCTGAATTTGAGCATCGCGAGAGCGGCAATCACGTTCTTCAAGTCGCCGAATGGGATAGATGCGTAAAGGATCTTCGTATAGGCTAATGTGTCATTGCTCTCGTCATCGTCCTGGAGAAGCTCAATGGGCATTTTGAGAGTGGTGTGTGCCATTTTTTCGCCCATTTACAAGATCATTCTGCTCCTTGTAGTATCGTGCGGAGAACAGGCGAAGAGGTAGACGCATTTGGTCCTCATTCACCTGTTCGGGTACAACACTAGACATCTTCTTTAATGTCTCCACTGCCAGCTCGGGGTTTCCGGCTCTCTTGGCTTCCACTGCTTTATCTAGATAGATTCTGCCAAGTCGGTAGCCCACTTGGAAGAATGCAACAGTGGCGTCCAGGGTAGTGTACGGGATATCTTCTTTTGCGGCTATCTCCAAGAGAGTTGTGATCTTTTCGAGAGAGAACTCGGGAATCACAGCAATTGCGCCTGCATAAGACTCTCGAAGGTAAAATGCACCATTGTAGTTCCGGTTCCTTGCCGCCGTTTCAATCGCATCAAGATAGATTTGATCCAAGAGAGAATACTTCTTGGTTGCAGTCACTGCGTGAACAACAATCACATGGAATCTTGTCTCATTGGCTAGGTTGACTACCATAGTTGTGAGATGGGATTTCGCACGTAGCTGTTCAAGAAGCTCAATGACGTTTTCCCATCGCTGTCCATCTTGGTAACGCCCGAGAATGTCTCGGGTGTGGGAATAATTGGCATGATCCTGATTAATGCACTGACTGAATTTCTCCACAGCCTTGTCTAGGCTCTCTGTACTCCAGTATCGGTTTCCCAGAATGAATAACATCTCGACAGAATCTTTGCTGTGGGCTTCCATTAAGCTAGGATCGGCCTCAAAGGGTTTCATCAGTTTCTTGAGGTTGTCGATTGCCTCTGTATCCGACTTGGTTACCTTGGAGAGGAGAAGGGCCGCCCTCCAGTACTTTTCGTCTCTGTTCAGCGCTTCACGACATCTTACTTCAGCTTGGGATGCATGAGAGAAACCATTGAAGACAATTGCCATTTGAGTCTCCCAAATAGCATCTGGGTTAGAAGCGAGATTGTCCGATTTACAAAGCTCCTCAACTGAAGAAATGATAGTCGGCGAGGTGTCTTGACTTTGGACCTTATCCAGAGTCCCAATCTGAGAAGAAGTTAGCAGGTCCCTTCGGTGTATTTAAACGAGTCATGGTAACTCACCTTGTACCAGTAATACTTCAAATAGCTGAATGCAGACATGGTCACTTCCACGTTTGACTCCTCCTTGAAACAGTACTCCGCCATGCGACGGGCGGCAGGTCTAACCAGTGTATAGAACTGGTGGCCTTCGGCTTTTTCAAATAACTGTTCAAGCCATGTCTTCTCATCCTCATTCAAATTTGCAGCAATAGAACCATTCTTGAGCCACCTACTCATTTCCTTTGCTTAAGTTTCCTCAAATAACCAGGGCGGGAATGTGGGGATTGTCTTGGTTGCCCAAAGAAGATTGTCGATCGACTCTTGATTACGGAACACTCTGACTAGATCAGGACCAACCTGACTCTTTAACTCAGGATTGATTTCTGCTAAATCAACTTGCGACATATGATTCAGCAACTGTCGAGAAGCGTATCCGCGGAGAGGTCTCAAGTTCTCTCCAGCCTTTCCGGCTAACGCATGGAGACAGACCTTGGCAAGCTGGAGGTGGGCAGTGTTCTTGTCTTCGCAGAATATTTTCTCTTGCTGGCTGTTCTTTTGATCTGAAGTTCTGCTCCATCTCCAGCTTTTTAGCGAGTACAGGCGGACAGACAGACTTGAGGAAGTGTCGAAGGATCTCGATCTCGCCAGCATTGACATCCTTGTTGGACTTCTCACGGTCCCTAGCGGTAGCAGCGTGCTCTGGTATAGCGCTCAAAATTTTATCTGAGCGGAATGCTACATATCCATCGTTGTCTATTTCGAAGAGTAGGAACTTCCTCTTCAGTCGGTCTCCGAGTGGGCGAAGGGAAGCTGCGTCATTCTTGAATCGCAGCACGGCAGTCATGATATCGACAGACATGTGTTCCTGTGCGAAAGTGATCCACAAGATAATCTCATTGATTTCGTGATTCTCTTTCTCGTTTAGCGACTGGTTGAGTTTTATCACATCGTCATTGATATGATCCTCGACACTTTGATTCGCATTATTAAGAGCCTTGTAGATGTCTTTATCGTAGTCCAATGCGCTAATCTTTGCAAGGGTCTTGTCTATCATATAGTAGTTTCCATGCGTCTTCTCATAGAGCTTTTCCTGGATTTCCTTGCGAAGCTCCAACACTCCATCAATTCTGGTATCAGATAGAGAATCAATGGTGTCCATGCGAACGTCGATGAATTTCTTCACATCACCCGCGTTTCGTGGATGGATCAAGATAGTAGGACAAATAATATCATCCTGCTTCAAACGGTTGATGGTCCCTTGCTTGCATGTGAACAGAACACGCACCGCTTGTCTCTTACATCGGGCAGTCTGCTGAAGGAACTTCACCACGGCGGGATGCACATGCTCATCCTTATCTCCAAGCTTGTTTATCACAATGAAAAAGGTAACAAGAACATTCTCGAGCTCTTCATGGTTCTCAAGGAGCAAGCGAGGCAGAATCCTGGCCGGATCAATACTTCCGGCCTTTCGACAGGTAGCAGCCGCTGATTGCATGTAAGAGGGATCACTTTCTGCGAACTGCCAGATCAAGGACTTGCCCAGTGCATCAATTCCTGCATTGGCCTTCTTCTTGTCAAGATATTAAAAACCAACAAGACGTCTGGATGTCTCAACCTGCTCAGATACATGGGTCCGCAGATTGTTGATGACAGTTGATGCTAGATAGCTTTTGCCCGCAGAGTCTTCGCCGACCAGTGCTAGAATTGGGGTATTGGTCATGGGCTGAGTCCATAATTTGAAGGAGCTGTCCTCAAGAAGCCACTTTCCGGTTCCTTCTACCTTGTGTTGTCGTATGTTCTGATAAGTCGTTGCCCAGGTTGTAATCGGAGCTTGAGCAGTACCGTCCCAGGTATCCGGGGTATTCTCAAAATTCAAGACATTGAGTAGAGTGTTCTTGTCCGTTGTTGCTTTTTTCTCCTCCGCTTGGTCAGCTTTATCCTCAGACAAAAGACCTAGAGTATTCTTCGAATTTTCCGCAGCCTCGGAGGCTTTTTGGTAGGTCTGCGCCAGGACAATTAGGCTTTCTTTCTGGGTAAGGCCATCCATCTGACCCATCAACCCTGCGAGGTTATCCTGGTCGAAGAAGGCAATCTTCATGAATGTCTTAAACTTGAAAGCTTTTGAGTGGCGCAGACCCATGGCATGGTCGCAGACATCCACAGAGAGTGTCAACACTTGGCAAGCAAAATCTGTCAATTTTGAATTCATCTTGCTGGCGACATAATGGTGAAGACGATTCAAAAACTGCCCGCACTTGTTGAATAAGCCATTCAACGTGCCAAATACAGCTTGGCAGCCTTGTCATGCGCTAATCACAAAATTGAGCGCATTGTAACACTGTCCTGCTGGGGCAAACACCTGCTTGATGTGAGCTTTCGAGCTATCACGGCCCTTCCTTCTAGACAACTTACCTGCGAGGCTGCATCTGCGACCATACCACCAACTTTGGCGACGGCAGTAAGAGTATTGCTGAACGTTTCTTTCACAGTTTGGGAAATGGCTGATTTATTCTTGCCATTCTGAATCTTTTCCAAGTTTCGTATCACATCTTCTGGTTGAAGGTCCTTTTGGTAGGTTTCGCCCCAAGACAAGTTTGCAAGCTGCTGTACTTGATTCTCCATCTCTTTCCAGGCTTCGGCAAGCTTTGCATTTGCTGCCGCATCTGTCCCAACAGGGACTAGACTATTTGGCGCAGCTTCTGCCATTTTGTTCGAGTGTTATACTCAAGCGTACAACGAGGTTCGAGAAAACTCATGCGCAGAGATAAAGTAATGAGGATTGCCATAAGTAAAGAAAGGCATTCAGCTGAACGCTAGGAGGGCTATAAATGACGTATGGAAACTGGCTGCGCAATGTGTGTTTATCCCGTCGATCGGCATCTCCACAGGCCCAATCCAATCTGTCATGCTCGTCCGTGGTGGATCGGCGTGCAATTGGCACGGCACGTTCGAGGTCATAGCACGATGGGAGAATTCCGTGCATGGAAAAAAAGAAAAAAGAAAGCTCTGACAGCGGGAAGTCATCAAAGGAGGTGTAAGGCCTTGCAAACGACTCAGTCAGTTGGAATTTTTGGAATATTTTCTTCATGAGACAAATATCTTTTGCTTTCTTTTTTATACAGACTGATATTGCAAGCAAATTTGCCCCACTGACAGATCTTTACCCAATATCGATTCAGATGAACCGTTCATCTAGGTTTAAACCAAATCATTGGTCCCTATTGTCAGGGATGCCGACAATACCAAGCCACTGGTCTCAAATATCAACATCATGATGGTGGAGTGCTTTCCTAGCTGAATTAGTGAAGAAATCAAAACTTGATATCGAACCCTGACCACATAGCGTCATCATGCGCCCGAACTGGATACATACAGCTTGTGCTCAGTCTCCCGACACTCGGAGGTTCGACGATATTTTGACAAAGTTGAGATCGCTGTAGAATCTGCAAGTAGGAGGAGGTGTCTTTCAAAGATGACATGCTCAAAGTTCTGTAATTGGTGCCAAATCAAAATCGATATCTCATCCATGTTCCAAAGATGAGATGTATACTTCCAGGGCTGGTGAACTCACGTGATTATCTGGCATAACCTCATGCAAGTCTTTGTTGACCTGCAGTTAATATCCCAGCAGAAACATCTACTAACTCAATGAGCAACCACCTTTCAGTTGGCCGGTTATCAAGCAAGGTGGAACAAAGCGAATCAGCTCTTACTTGAAAGGTGGTAAAGATATGACTTTCATTTTCTTTTGGCTAAAAATACAGAACTCACGGCAGGCACGCCGGCACGCACACAGGGCTCACTACAGCTCCTTGAAGGAGCAGCAGCTCACCTCCCATGCATTTGCCTCCACCACCCCGCCCATCTCGGGCACCTCCCACCAGTGCTTGCTTTCAATCATCTTGTCTCCTTCAAGGAAGGAGACAAGCGCCTTTTCCTTATCGATCTCCGTCCACTGCTGCCAGAAGTGGACCCAGATCATCGTCACTCCTTCGCCCACGCGGGGCACTGCAGCTGGGCGGGGCCACAGCTTGATCGCAAAGCGGGACTGCGACATGTGTCCCTTCCAGAAGAGGCGGCTTTTGGCCTCGGTCATGCCCTTCATCATGGACACGAGCTTGCGTTGCTCTGGGGTGAAGGTTGGGGGGGAAGCGGAACCAGAAAAGCTGAACCTTTGATTCTTTCAGCTGTGAGAACATGTTCGAGGGGCCATCAATTGATTTATGAGTGGCTCCCATGGTGATGCCGTGGGCTGTGAGACCCTCAGTGAAGAGCTGGGCAGAGGGGGATGCCAGGAAGTCACGATAGGCTGAGGCGTTCTTCCACACTACAGAGTAAACAGGTCAGATTTGAGACGAAAGCCATATTGATGTATGGGATGAAACTTACGGGTTGCTAGGATCATCTTGTCGGGGCGTTCAATGACTCGGGCCCACATGGAGGTTACATGGCCTGGTGCTTTGAGGAGGGGCATGAAGTTTCCTTTCCATTGCTTTTCATCATGCTCGGCATCCTTGGGGACCTTCAGTTCAGTCCAGACGCTGAGTGAGGGATTGATTCGGAATGGGAGATTGATTTTGATGGGACTGCGAACCATTTTGAAGATGGGATGATGATGGTTTTGATAGATTTGATGTTGTTGTGGAAGACTTCAGTAGGAGGAGGATGGTCGACGATGGTAAGTTTCGTGGCCTCACAACGTGTGAACTTATAGTGCACGAGAAGGCAACGGTCTCGGCGCTTACATATTCTCAGAATCGCATGCTACGAGTTACATATTGAATCTGCATCCATAAGGGTTACATTTTTCTAGTTTTTTGTTTTGTGATGAAATATCTTGTGGCTCTTTTCATTGGATTTTTCCTCTGCCCGACGATTTTCGAGGCAAATAGTATGTGTTCATCTTTGTGGCATGAGGCGGCCTTTTACCAAGGATTATGTCGACACCACAGTCTTTGACTTCTCTCTTCACATACTCCGTGAGTCTCATCAGCCTTTGTTTCCTCTCATCGATGCAATTGCATCAGAGCGTGCGCGGACTTGATTCCCATAAGCATCTGACATAGGGTTTCCCAACAGCCAGGAGGAGCATACCCAGTACTTCAAAATTTTGTCCGAAACTCCAATTTGTACAATTCTCTATTTGATCGCTTGGCTTTCATGTTGGGGACACAGCATGGAGTTGGATAAATTGATAAATTGTAGATTTCAAAAGCCGTATAATGTACTTAAGACAAAACTCTTTACAGATATGACTCGAGGGTTGGGATTGAAGTCGAATCACAAGATGAAAGAAACCACTCTCCAATGCCTTCAAGTTCTACAGAGAAGACGAGTTACGGAGAGAACCTTGAAAGAAATCCTAAAGTCCGAAGGGATGCTTCCACTACGTTTCTGTCAATGCTACTGTCACCAAGCTCAAATGGCTCATGGGCGACTCGAGTACAATCAAGTACAGGAGAGTGCTGAGCTAAGACCTTTGGAGCTCCGAGTCTGTAGGCCAAAAGACATGTATCTTCAAGTTATGAAAACCGCAAACCGTTCAAGTGTTCGAGGAACCCAGACCAAGACTGCAAGCCCGGAACCACAATACGGGTCCCATAAGAATGGAGACTAATCAGCTTGGCCTCGAGACTCGCTTGCATGTAGTAGTATACTCTTGGGGATGTCGTAACGGGGATCACGGTTTTCACAATAACCGGTCGGACTTTCAGCCAAAAGATGAAAACTCTACATCGCGGAGATGGAGCGATCGGTAAGCCGGTCCCTGAGCGCCAGGTAGGGCGTGGGACACTCGAGTATCCACCCGTCGCCGCGGACTGGCCATTTGACTCGGTTGTTTGCGTGAGGCTTGAACTTGCCGCCCTGTCGGAAGGGCTGTGGAAAATCGTGCCGACGGGATCACGGGCAGGTCACCCTCCGGGCAGCAGAGGAGAACCCGGAAAAGGATAGTTCGGGGCGCGTCGAGGAGGCCGCGGACGCAGGACCGGAACGTGGCCATGGAGAACTGAGCCTGTCGATCAGGAGCACATCCGTCTCGTACCACTGCACGTTGTCCGACCGGGAGGGGTTCGAATGGATCTTCATGCCGTACTGGTGAAGGTTGAGATTCTTGAGAATCCAGACCACGGGGGCTGCTCGTGTCGCGGACCATGAAGGAGTTGGTCAGGTGGTGGAACTCATCGCCCCAGGTGCCCCGAATAGCGAGAGACTGGAGATCTTGCTGCGGAAAGCTCAGTGGTAGACCGGTCGGGGGCTCACAATATCCACAGGCAATGGATGAGCTCGGGAAGAGGATATTTCTTGTTGAAAACCTTCATGATGACAAGCTTCATAGGCTTAGGAGCTGGGTTAGTTATCTTCAGCTTTCTTGGGCGGCTCTTGAAAGGCTGAGATTTGACATGACCTTTACGTTATCCATGGATGTATTTAAGAATACTATTCGGGGGTAGAGTGAGGGCTGTAATTCCTGGGAGTTCTGGTACTCATTAAGGCTAAGCATATCGCAGCGCTCACGGGTACGCACGACTCAGTACAATTAGGATGATTAAGTCTCCTCGCTGGGGTTGGGAAGGAATGAATGCTACTGATGAATTCCTTCACGAGAGTTAGTTGTAGCGGTGATAGCTTGCTCGGTGATAGTTGTCAATAGGGGATGGGATACGGGTAAGGGTGAACGTGAAGATGAGTGCACGAAAGACGGCGACTTTGTTCTCCCAACTCCAGGTAGAGTCGTCATTCGTATAGCCTTTATTGTATAATCTGTGCCAGTCTGAGGGGTCATTCTAACTTCTACAACTACACAATAGGACAAATTTTTCCGCTTCGCTTTACACAGGACGAGGACCGCTTTCAAGTTCGCATCATCATATTGAGTCTCTATACAGATCCTTTCGGTCTGCTAAAGTGGCATGAACGCTCTATTCTCATAGTCCATATTTGAATCCACACTCTCAATCCGCTCGCCGCATGTCCCAAAAACCCGGTCCCAAATCCGAGTCTGTTTTCCATAGTTTTGGTTCTTCCTCCATCCTTTCCGATGATGAAGATCATGGTCTTCAATTACCAACTCGACATCAAGCCTCTTCAGAAACCATGATAGCGGATTTGGCGCACTTGCATGTACGCGGACACCACTATGTCCGGCGATCTCGGTGTACAGTACGAACAGCTGGGAAATGTGCCATTCATATTATCCCATTGGGAATCCCATGAACTTCATGGTGAAGTACGCCATCAACGGAATACCTGCGATATCGAAGAACTCTTGAACCGAGTCGGCGTAGATCTTAAGAAGTGGGTTAGGATGCTTGGTCAAATGGTGGGTGCGATGGAATTTCCAGAGTCCGTTCACGTCGTGCATTAGGCAATGGTACCAGTAGAACCAGAAATCCACGATAATACTATAAACACCGATCTCCAGAGGTAACCATTTCCAGTTCAGCGAGGCCGGTGGTTTGTTCATATTGTATGAGAGGTAGATGGAGAACAAAGGGCGTAGGAATCCTGCGAGGAACACTGATAGTAGCGTCTTCCCCACTCCCGCGTCTGGAACGCCGTCCCGTTCATGTTGATCTCCATCCAGGAATCCGAATGTGTGCCCGACTTCTCGGATAGATCGAAGTTCACGGAATGCAAAAATCGGGCAGCTTGGTAGTAGAAGATGAATGCAATAACCGGGTGGAGTCGATATCCTGTCGCGGCCACGGATAGCTGGTGCACGACCAGTGGGAGACCAGCGTAGATTATGATGAAGCGATGGGACTGCCAGCTTGGCAGATATGGTATCTTGTCTGTCTTTGGATGGATGGGGACCTCTCTATCGAGGTCAACATGGAAAATATTCGCTGTAATGAGTGTTTTGTGAGGGAATGACCATTGACTCTCATCGCGGCGCCAGGTCGACTTCATGGAGTCTCTGGGGTTTTTAGGGGCACTCATGGTGGTTGAGTTCACGGCGATTCGTATGTTGCTGAGTCTACAGACGTGGATGCGCATGCGCACTGGCGTGGGTCGTGTCAAATATAAATTCCGGCGCCATCATTTATTTCCATATGTCGTCGGAATCGCCCAACCGAGGCTTGAGCTTAGGTTGCTGATCCATCTTGTAGATATCGAACGTGTGAATTGTGGCTCGAGGACTCTGATTGGATCGGTCCAGGACCCTCGCAATCGTTACCCAATAGGGATGGACTGCCTCAATAGAGATGATCAGCGCCGCCACTTCAAATGTTTCTCTTCGGATTTAGAAAATGGTATGCGAGATTCAATAATGAAAGAAACCTGGCGTTATAGAAAGGCATTTCTCATTGGACGCTCATATGTAGTACACGGACGCACTCGCCTGGAGCCGCAGCAGTTTCAAGTTCCACGGAGGATCGACAACCTCGGCATCAAAGACTTTTCAAATGTTGGCGCCAATCTTTGCCAAGTACGTCGCGCTATGTCCTTGGAGCTAAGGGAAACTACAAGCACCGAATTCACGCCTCAATGTATTAATCTAGTCAACAAGCGCCCACATCATTCAAACTTTTGCGTGGCTAGTTGCATATTTGATGGATCTCAATCAAGATAAGCATTGTCCTGACGAGTAGCTTATGTCTATTTATACGACCGGGTGATACATAGTAACTAATTGACATCATTTTAGTATGATTGGCTGCCATGTAAATATTGAAGATCATAGCAACCAGCTGCATATACGCTAGTGCGTACTACTAAGCCTTCAATGCTGAGTACAACTACTAGAAGTACTATCAACTTGAACTTGAATGATTCAATTTCCCAGAGGATGCACACATACCTAGGTGTACCAGTTAACTCCGAGTCCAGGCTGTACATATCAATGGTTCCTAGTACTAGCACTTAAATTTGTTCAAACCTGAAGTTACAGGTAGGATGATTCTCCAGTGATGCTACCATGTAAAAGCACCTGGGCAACCTTGGAACACTTCAAAATTTGAATATTGAACCTGAAATATTTCAATGGATGTTGCTTACTACCTACCACATAGGTAATGTTCATGCATTAACAAGCTTAGTATAGTCACGGTAGTAGTAGCACCCAGACCACTGGCACCTGGGATGAATCAATGACTATTCAGTATTTATCTATAAGAGAAAAGCACTTCTGTACTATTCCATTGTGCGAGTCATAAACCAATTGATTTCTGCACATGTGCACGTACTAGACTCATGAGCCCCACATGGTTGACGGGTGGAATTGGCGCCCAAAACCCCACTGTGACAGTCTGAGTATGGTCTGGACGATGACTATTTCTGTCCCATAATGCCAAGCATAAAAATTCCTCTACAACTGCGCACGTGCTGACTTGCCGAACTCGGAAGCTCCATCTAGCTCTCTCGCTTGAATTCCTGCAGCTTCCAATTTTCCCCTGTCTCCCTTTCTTCTATATCAGTCTCCCATCCTGACTTTAAACTGGAAGTTACAAGTGTCTGAACCCGGAAAGAACCAGCCAATTCCGAGGGTACGGGGCCGACAATTCCCGCGAGATTCAGCGGGTCAAGGAAGCCACAACCCGAGCGGGGATGTGTTTCCAGACCCAGAACCCCCATTTTGGCTGGATTTGTTAGTAAGCGGTGATTGTGTTCGCTTCTAGGAGGATTTAAGTCCTTGAATAAGTCAAGAAATGTAGATTCATCGGTGTGGTCTCAATAGTTCAGATGTTGTTTACCGATGTTCAAGCGCGCATATAGAAATATCCTGCAGGTGTAAGGGTTTAAGCCAATCTTACCATTTAGCCGTGATTGTCCCTATTGGACCGTTCTGGATGAGTCTAATTGCTAACCGACAAGCACTGTGGATTTGCCCCCCCCCCCCCCATCCCTATTCAAATGTTGCCCTCATTTGTATACGAGGGTATACGGTAGATTCTGGCATAATGCTTAAGTCTGTGGCAGTGCTAGTTAGTAGTAGTAGAGAGAAATCAAATATTCAAATATTGGTTATCATATTCAATGTTCAAATGTTAGCAGTAGTACGATATAATAAATTATATTCTATAGAATATATGCATCTACCAGATCAAATTGATCGAATTGATATGTTTCACCAGAGTTTTCCAGACTAAAACACCAATTAGCCTCTCAACGTGGACTGGCGACCAAGCGACAGCAGTAATGAGCGCACGTGCAGCCCGTAACGGCAGAGCTACTATGACACTAGTCCAAATACGGTAAAGGGCGGATCGTCGGTCGCAACTTCCCTCGTCATCAGGGCGGGGATTGGCCGGTCATTCAGCTGTTTCCTCTGCTTCTTCTGCTTCTTCTACTGCTCTTCTTCTCTTCTCTTCTCTCTATAACCCTACCACTTCATCACCCAAGACCCTCTTGAGAAGCAAACCCCGGTCCTCACTTACTCCCTTGTTACGCAATCCTCCCCCCGTCAATTCCAATTCCGCATCCCTCGAAACCATGTCTAGCCAGCCTCTTCTCCAGACTGCTCCCGGTAAGTGATTCGTGCACCTGGTTTCAATTGACAGGGACATCCCAGAGATGCAATCCCAAATTGGCCCAGCAATGGAACCGTTTTGTGATATCTCTGCGGTGAGAGCACCGCTAATCAGCTAGCGGAGCTCAAACTCCCGAGGTCTTATCTCTCGCCGATCATTCCCAGCTAACAACACTCCAGGCAAGCGCATCGCCCTGCCCACTCGTGTCGAGCCCAAGGTCTTCTTCGCCAACGAGCGTACTTTCCTCTCATGGCTCAACTTCACCGTTATCCTCGGTGGTTTGGCCGTCGGTCTGCTGAACTTTGGTGACCGAGTCGGTCGCATTTCCGCAGCTCTCTTCACCATCATCGCCATGGCTGCCATGATCTACGCAGTCGTCACATTCCATTGGCGAGCTCAGAGTATTCGTCGCCGAGGCCAAAGTGGCTTCGATGACCGATTCGGTCCTACTATCTTGGCCATCGCTCTCCTGGCTGCTGTGGTCGTCAACTTCATTCTGCGTATGCAGGATGATGAACTGAACTGATTGGTTTGAGTCATTCAATCTTTCTCGAATACCCTCATCATTCTGTGATGACATCTTGACACCTATTTCCTGCACCTATCTATCGCTGTTTTCCCTGCTTTCCCTATCTCTGAACCTATTTCTGAATACCATTGGCGTTGCCGGTTCCTTCGTCAGTCACGTATCAATATCTCTGTTGAAGCGTTCTTGATCTCTGCACTTGTGGGGCGTTTTGGGTTATATCCTGGTTATAAGAAAAAAAAGTTTGTCGCTGGCTTGGTCGTGAAAGGCGTCTCCTGTGAGACTGTTGCTCCCTGGTTACTCTGAATGTTGTTGCTAGCTACGATTCGATAGATCTTCCGGCAGAATTCATCCTGAACGGCCTGAACAATGCCATGCTCTTGGACATATTCCTATTTTTTTTTCTTGAACTATTCAGCGTGCAAGGCGCATTCATATGTAAGGTTGCGTGGAGGATATAGGACATCTATTCATTGCGCATGATCTTCCAGGTAACAATAATCAAAACTACCTCTCATATGGTGAAAATTGGATTGACTGCGTGGGCCGCTTACAGCAACGGAAACGCCATACCATCGCCGCGAGGATCACTTCCTGCGCTATACACAAGCTGCTCCTCGTCATAGTGCAAGCGAATGACCTGACCACGACCAAACATCGATCTTTCCCAGCCCTTGAGTACTTCGATCTTATGACCCAAACGACGCAGTCCCTCAATCGCCTCCTCGCTAATACCCTCTTCGACACACACTGTGCGATCATGGTCTTCCGAAGTTGGCGCCTTAATGCAGATACGCGGAGAATCCAAGGCTGCTTGGGGATGGTATCCGAATGCAAGCATGTTCAGCAACACTTGGACATGGCCCTGCGGTTGCATAAACCCACCCATCACACCATACACGGAGTTCAAGGATCCATCGGCGATATTGGTGATCAAGGCAGGGATAATGGTGTGGTATGGACGCTTGTTAGGTGCCAGAGCATTCGGGTGGCCAGGCTGGAGGGAGAAGTTGGCACCGCGGTTCTGCAAAGTGAAACCACAACCAGCAGGAATTATGGCTGTACCGAATCCAGCATAGTTACTGTTGATGAAGGAAATACCATTACCCTCTTTATCTGTTACAGCGAAATAAACAGTATCGCAATGGTTATGAGCTGGACTACCATGATCCAGCAGCTCGGCAACATGATCTGACGAGAACAACTTAGCCCGTTCGGCTAGATACTCGCGATTCAGAAGGCCTTGCGAGGGCACCTTTTCCACATCGGGATCAGTTACCCACCATGCGGCGTCGGCAAACGCAATTCGCAAGCTCTCAATCACGGCGTGGAGATATTCAGCGGAGTTATGCTGGGACTCTGTGAACTTGGGGATCTTGCCTGCTCGCTCTAGCTCCTCCATTATTCCCAGAGCCATCAGCGCAACAATACCCTGGCCGTTAGGTGGGTGTTCCCACACCTCAACGCCCTGGTTGGGCTCGCCGTCTGTCCCTGCGGCTTGCTTGGATGCAATGTCTTGACCGGTGAATTTGAGCGAAATGGCATCTACTTCCTGTGTACCGGCTGCAGCATGGTTCGCGAGGTCCTCGAGATCAATATAACTTCCGAGACTCTGAGCTACCTTTACGATTTCCTCGGCGATACGACCTTCGTAGAAACCTTTCTTTCCTTCCGCTGCGAGTGTGCGGAAGGTTCGGGCGAGAGTAGGGTTCTTCATTATATCACCAGGGAGAGGTGCACGCACACCATCCTTAGCGGAGGAATCCTTCTTCAACATCTCGCGGAAGTTTGGTGACGCTTCACGGATCTCGTTCTCGGATGAGTGCCACTGTGTGTGATGTTAGTGGATCATCTTTCAATCCCCAAATAGTGTCTAATTAACTTACGCCGTGCGATGAAAGCTCCGAAACCACGAAACCCTCCTCTCCCAGCTCAATCGCTGGCTCCAGAATCTGTTCCAGAGAGAGCTTCCCACTGCCAAACTTCTCAATGGTATCCACCCATCCAGCAGCTGCACCAGGAACCGTCGTAGCCAAGGCATTCAGCATGGGAATACTTCCCGCGTCCCCAGGAGCCAAGTTCAGATCCTTCCGTACTTTCTCCAGTGTACCTTTGCCGGGGTATCGACCAGATCCATTCAGGGCGTGGACCTTCTTCGTCTTAGCGTTGTAGAAGAGACAGAACATGTCTCCACCGATACCGGTTGAGCAAGGCTCAGTCATGTTCATGGCGGCGGCTATGAAATGGTTCCAAGGTTAGATTAGTCGTACTGTTAGGAGATTATTACTCACCCACAGCAACAGCTGCATCCTGTCATCAAGATGCGAGTTAGTCCCATAGTCAATTCAGTGAACGAGCCCGGGGTATCCAACTTACAGCTGCATTTCCACCTTGACTCAGAATCTTGTGTCCGGCTGCAGCAGCTAGTGGCTGCGTGCATGATACAATACCCTTCTTGCTATGCACAGTACTCCTGCGGCTAGCAAAGGGCATGTAATCAGCAGCTGCTTTCGCGTAAACAGCCTTGGAATTAAGCGGCATTTTGACTCGGTCTGGAATGGTGGTTCAACCAGAGAAATTTGTATGTGTCGCTTGATTGATCAACTGAGCAGGATGTGTTATGTGTCATTGAGGGGTTAGATGATCTTCTTATATGATAGATGTTACACCCGCGCCCTCTCTGATTGCGCTAATTCAGCGTAGGATACGAATTGATTTCCACCTGCTTCTTTAGGTCAAGAGCGGCCTTATACCCCGCTGTCCGGAGATTGGAGAAGTTGGAGTCATATCGTTCCCTTATCGCGGGGAGCGCGGTGACTTCTCCGATCGACCGCTCTGACCTCGGGAGTGATTGAGATGAATTAATTAGATGCATGGGTTTGATTTGATGCTTTTGGTGTTCAATTTCAAGTTTAGTGCTTATGACTATCACTCTCAAAAAGTCTTCTATATTAATACCGTGACCTAGGTACTAGTACTACTACGCAGTACATATGTAACCTTCAAGTTCAAGTTCAGGTTAACCGATGGCGACCCGCATAGTAGTATATACTTCAAGTTCAAGTTGTCCCGACTCGGGTTCCATGATCCTGCTTCCTCCAGAACTACGCCGCTATTTGGGCATATTTCTCAAGTATACAAGATGCATGAACTTGAAATGACGGGTATTGATCTGGGATATCAAATGGTTATTTTCACAAACATAGCTGGGTGTAATCCGACGATGTTCTATGCTTTTCATTAGTAAATCCCCTATACTTCTTATCTCCATGTGACCACATTCCTTATCGATAAGATCAATCGCAGCTTAGCTTAATTCCTCACTATCCAGCTTGATCTTCCAGGTTTTCCATCCACGAAACTACACCCCCAGCCAATATCAAACGAGACATGTATTATATCTAATTTCAGCACTCAAATTACGTCCGCCTGCAGGCTGTCTCAATCCAATCACAGCCAACATGGTCCGCCCACAAAACTGCCTCTTGCGTTCAATGCAGTCTCTCCGGCCTGGGCGGGTTGTCTACTCTCAAATCCTCCTCACACGAAACCTTCGAGCCACTATATCTTGGTCAAGGCTATACAGTACCGAAAATGATGCCCCGAGATTCAGTGATACCCCTTCCCCCGACGAATCTCAAGACCTCTCGCATTTGAACCCCGACCCCGAAGACTATTCGCGCTTCATCTTTCAAGACAAATGCACCGTCACTATGCATGCCGGCCACGGCGGACACGGTTGTGTCGCTTTTTTACGAGAAAAATATATTGAGGAGGGTGGTCCGAATGGAGGCGATGGAGGTAGCGGAGGAGGTCTCTATATCCAAGCAGTCGAGGGCTTGACAAGTTTACATAAACTTGCTCGGAGAGGAGTTGTCAGGGCTGAGCGGGGAAAAAATGGACAGGGAAAAAGCAAAGGTGGTCAACGCGGTGATGATGTCTTGATTCAGGTACCCATTGGTACTGTGATTCGTGAGATCGAGCGCCATGATCCAGTTGCGGAGGAGAGAGCCCGTCGTCGAAAAGCTTACCTGGAACCTGTGGATGAAGATGAGGCTGAATTCACTCCTATCCGTCACGATCGCTGGGTTCTGTATCCCGGATCCAGGCCTTCTGATTTCTTGACTGTGAAGTTTCCGCGACTCAGACCCCGTCGACAGGCTATCGCTGCCATGGAACCCAAAGCCCCGATATTCCTTGACCTCTCTGAAAAGATGGATAAGCCTTTATTATTGGCGGCCGGTGGTGCTGGTGGATTGGGTAACCCTCATTTCCTGACCCGTGGTATGGGACGACCGAAATTTGCGTCTCGAGGCGAGGGTGGAATGAAACTCGTGCTTGATTTTGAGCTTAAGTTACTGGCTGATGTTGGACTGGTCGGAAAACCTAATGCAGGAAAGAGTACTCTACTGCGTTCGTTGACGAATAGTCGCACCCGGATCGGAAACTGGGAGTTTACTACTCTGTCTCCTCATATCGGGACAGTGATTATTGATGATAATAAGGGTCGTCCGTTGGTGGAGACCGCAGGGAAACGCCGTCGTACTCATTTTACGATTGCGGATATTCCCGGCTTAGTTGAAAATGCTCATCTTGATCGAGGTCTTGGACTTGGGTTCCTGCGACATATCGATCGAGCGGGTATCTTAGCCTTTGTGTTGGATCTCAGCGCTGGTGATCCAGTCCAAGAACTGCAGAAGCTGTGGCATGAACTTGGTGAATACGAGCGAATGCGCAATATGGAACCCCCTGAGCCTACTCCTGAGGAGCCGGAAGGTGTGATCGATTGGAATCCATCTGAAGGCGGTGGTCTTCCAGAGCTGGAGCCCTTACGGACCTCGGAGCTTGAAGTCAATACATCTGAAGAACAGTTCCACCACCAGTTCGACAAACCGATCGTATCTCTTCCTCCTCTTGCTATGCCGCCTATTCACACCAAGCCTTGGTTTGTTGTCGCAACAAAGGCTGACCTGGAGGGTACGCAAGAACAGTACCGAGCTCTTCAAGAGTATCTGTCTGGGGTGGAGAAGGGTACAATTCCTCATCCCTCTGGCCATTCTGACGGCTGGAGAGAGAAAGTGTGTGCTGTTCCCGTCAGCGCTATCCGTGGAGAGGGTGTTGCTCATCTTCCAAAATTGGTGATGGAGTTTCTGAAGTAAATAGACCTTGCGTGACTTCGAGTCTGCATTTTGTACGATAGTCGATCATCCAATGTATAATACAGACGCAGCAAACAGTTGCAAGATATTCCCTCAGAATTGTATCTTCATTAAATTGACTGAATACATCGGATAATCTACACCAGCTGGTAAATTTACTGTAGCTCAGGCTGCTCAGTAATTACTCTTCATGCCTCTATGTCTCTGGGCGGCGAGCGGAAGCTTACCGCCCTGAGCACCAGCGTCATCGTTGAGCTGAAGCTTTGCCGATTGTCATTCGGAGTTAGTTTCGGCCATGCTACAGAGCATACAATATCGCGATACGATCTCAATCCAAAGAGCGTCAAACATGTGAGCTGAGGGAGAACGAATTTCAAGTGATCACGGATATCTTCACTCAACCGACGAATTTCGAGGAATACAGTCGCGCAACGCGCTGCAATTAGCTCCATGCCTCCGGAACGTGCCAATGTGCCCGTGAAGCTATCGCTACCTTTGGTGAGCCCAAAATGACTGCAGCTTATATAAGTTCTATAATTAACATATACCAGCAATACCAACAGGACATCTTCACCGAACTCCGCGCCGAGGACGAGCTAGTGGTCCTTGCCCGCGGCCTGGGCCTTCTGCAGCTGGTAACGAACTTCCTCCATTTCCACGATGTGGCCGGAAACAATTTAGTGTTGGTTGTGGGCGCGGATGAAAGAGAGAATGAGTGGATCGGAGAGGGTACAATACCTACACCTACACTTATACTGGACGGTGAAACTGGAGGCTTACATCTGCGTTCATAGCATTGTCGGAGCATAATGATCGTAGTAAATCCCCATTGGCCAGGGGGTTGAGGATTATCAATACTGAGAAGGCGACGGTGCCTGTGCGGTATGTCTGCTTGGTTGTTGTGCCGGTCGCAATGTACTGATTTGAATATGCGCCAGCGAAGGGATCTACTCCCGAGGCGGTATTCTGAGTGTGACATCCAGAATACTGGTTACCGATTTGCTTTCGAAATTGCTGGACCCGGAAAAGGTGACAGGCATGATAATTCTACATGCTGATCGAGTCATTGCGACATCGCTGGAAGCGTTCATCGTGCGCATCTACCGGCAATCGAATAAGAGGGGATTCTTGAAGGCATTCTCGGAATCCCCAGAACCGTTTACCACTGGATTCGCACCGCTGGCTAATATGCTGGGTAACCTTTTTCTTCAGAAGGCGTCTTTGTGGCCTAGATTCCATGTGACTGTTTCCGAGGCATTGGAGGGAGATCGCAAAGCTGAGGTCATTGAACTCGAAGTTCCGATGAGTTCCAAGATGCGCGATATACAAAATGCTGTGCTTGAGTGTGTTGAACTAAGCGTTGCCGAGTTGCGCAAAAGCAATACAGGTCTAGATATGGAGCAATGGACAATAGACAGCGCTCTGCACAGAAACTTTGCACCTGCAATTAGGCGTCAGTTGCAAACTATCTGGCATCGAGTAACCCCTCGCACGAAGCAAATCGTCAGTGATCTGGAGGCTCTTCAATCTATTCTACAGTGGGTTTCTCAGTTTGATTATAGAATTTGATGATTTTACTAATGTGATATAGTGCTCTGCTGACATACGACTCGGTGGCTTTTGTAAAATTCCTTGATACAATTGCTGCAGCGAATGCACCACCCCCTGGAGCTAACTCATACAACCACTCACCCTGGCTCTTTCTTGATGCTGCTCATGTCCTTTTCCAAACCGCAAAATCACGGGCATACGAGGGAAAATTTGATGCCACGTCGTTGGCCACATTCTCTGCGGCATTGCAGCCCGTCCTTGAGCCTCTGCCTAAATGGGACGTACTGGCAGAAATTCTGCAAGAGATCGAACATGATGCCTACCTGCACCCTGTCAATGCTGACGAATCTAATGGCACGATATTGATCATGTGCAGTGAATTAAAGACGTGTCATCAGCTTCGTGAATTCATTGACACTATGCATACTAAAATTGGCCAAGTATCAACCAAAAGTGATGAGGACGAAGATAAACTGGATGAGGAAAGACCTTCTGGAGAAGTCATGATGAGACGACACTTGCGCAGCTATCTCAATTGGAAGAGATCTCTTTCCAATGTAAACAAGAATTTATCTGGGACTGGAGATGAGTCGGCCAGTGGGTCAGCCAGCCCGGCTCAAAGACAGTCAGGGAGAGCACCTCCTAACAAACGTCGAAGAGTTCGAGGTGGAGGAGCAGTGAACTCCGCAGCTGCACGGGTACCGCATGCCAGTGTTCAAACAGAAGTTGAACAGCCGACAGAAGTTGTCAACCTGCTGAATGAAATCCAGCCTACTGAGATTGAGGAAGCACAAAAGATGGAAATTGAGATCGATGACCTTGAAGATATGGAAGACTATTACGAGTTTTACGACATCAACGATCTTGTGATTGTTCATCCATATGATGGTGATATGGATGAGCGCATTCTAGAGGAAGTCCGACCACGGTACATCATTATGTATGAACCTGACACTGCATTCATTCGTCGGGTTGAGGTTTACCGTAGCTCCCATTCAGGGAGAAACGTGAAAGTGTACTTCATGTACTATGGAGGGTCAGTCGAGGAGCAACGATACTTGAGTGCCGTACGTCGTGAGAAAGAATCATTTACTAAGTTGATCAAGGAGAAGGGTGTAAGTGATTAATGTCTTATTCTCAACCAAGTCAACACTAACATTTTCTCTACAGAGCATGGCCATGACTTTGACTCACGATAAGAGTGCCGAAGATCCACAAGAACAATTTCTCCGCACTGTGAATACGCGTATCGCAGGAGGTGGAAGGCTGGCAGCTACTGCATCTCCGCCGCAAGTTGTGGTAGATATTCGCGAATTCCGCAGTGCCCTCCCCTCGTTATTACACGGAAACAACATGGTAGTCATCCCCGTCCAATTGACAGTGGGTGATTATGTCCTCACGCCGGATATTTGTGTGGAGCGAAAATCCATTCAAGATCTCATGCAGTCTATGCGAAATGGTCGTTTGTATAATCAAGCGGAAACAATGCTCCAGTACTACAAGAACCCGCTTCTCCTCATCGAATTTGACCAGAACAAAGCATTCACTTTCGACGCGTTCGCTAGTACTGGCAATATAAGAACTGAATCAGGATTCTCCTCAACTGGTGCAGCGACTAGCTCCAGTAGCAGTTCCATCGCAAACTCATCGAATCCTAAAGGTGCTCAGCATTTACTTGTCCTCCTCACTCTAGCGTTCCCACGACTGAAAATCATCTGGTCATCGTCTCCCTATCAAACCGCAGAAATATTTGCAGAGCTTAAAAAGAACGCTTCAGAGCCAGATCCACTTCGGGCGGTACAATTTGGCCTGGATGAGGATATCATTGATTTGGGAGGATCTGGGAATATCATGTCTGCGACTGGCATTGAGCAGCGTATTTTCAACCAGCTGCCCCAGGATATGCTACGAGCTGTACCTGGTGTGACGCCTCAAGCCCTTGAACGTCTGATCTTGGAAACGGATAATATCAGCGAGATAGCCAATATGGAAGTGGAGCAGCTGGATCCATTGGTTGGGCAAGAGGCTGCTCGGAGGATTGTTGCTTTTTTTCGAAAGAGCGTTTTTGACTAGTGATTGAGCTGCATGAATGATTCTTGATCTTACATAGCCTTTTTTGGAACGATAATAGTGTAAATTCTTATAGTTAAGGCAACAAGATACTATAATATTTCTTTCTTGCCATGTTATTTTATGATTTTATCTTTATAGATCTCTTAGGAGACCACGTGATGTAACTAGTCCCGATCTGGCGATCTCGATATCCCATCAGCATCATTTTCCACCTCTTCATAAATTCGACAGAAAGACCTAGACACAATTCCCTGTTCTGTTGAGAAACTGAAATATGGCGCTTCCACCCGAGCAGATCAACATTAAGCGGCGTCGAGAGGAAGAACCCGTTGAAACACTCTGTATGTGTGACCCCTTGCTCTTCACTTTTTCTTCACATCCCCGTTGTGTGGTTTACCCCACAATTTACATCCGGCATGGAAAGTCTCAGTATTCGCGATGTGAAACAGCCAATGGCATTAGTTTACCACTGGAATCTTCTGTGAATTCATCTGAACCCCTTGCTACATGTTTCATCTTGATATTTTTGGATTATGAGCATTCTTAAGTGCCCTCGTGATATTTGATTCCGAGGGTCTCTCTTGTCAGATTCTCCGCTAACACAGTATATAGACATCCAATCTGCATTACACCAGACTAAGCGGCGCTTCACTGACTTTGTCTTCCAACGTGTGACTGTTCGCAGTGATGGAACTCCTGTTAACGAGGATAGCGGGCCTCTCCAGCCAACTCCCCAAAGAGTGCTACGCACTCCAAGGTCTGTGAGCAGTCTGCACATTCCTAACCCTCGTGCAGCGGCGGCACAGGCTGCTTCATCATCAGGGGTTCCCCGGGTCCGGGCGACTTCACCTGGTGCAGAGATTCGCGAAGCCCAGCGTGTTGCGGCTGCTCGCAAGGATGCCGAGGAAAAGCGAAAGCGTGCTCTGTACGGCCCACTCACCCCGCAACCTGCCTCGCCATCATTGACTCCCGTCGGGGATTTCTCTGAAGCAGGGAAAACCGTCTCTGACTCCGCATCTGTGGCATCTGCGGTATCTGCGGCATCTTCTCAAAGCCGAGTGCACGCAGTGCGTCGTTTCCAGATCTCGAGGTCCAGTGCCCCCTCGCCTTTGAGCTCTCTTCGTAGTGGAATCCAGAAGCGCCGACCTGATGGGACTGTCCCGGGAGTTGCAGTTCTGGTTGAGCAACTTCAACGCAGACCGCATTCTCGACAAGCTTCTTTGATTGACGACCTAGTTGCTCAAGCTGAGAGTAACAGCCGACCAAGCAGCAGACAAAGCAGCAGCTTGGGTACTTCTGTTCAAGTTGCACCTCAGCCGAAGCCCAGGAAGCGCCCAGTTGTCAATCAAGCAGAGAAGAAATGGAGAGAGGAACGCCAGGGAACGATTTCTGCTGCGAAACAGCATCTTTCTGACACATTAGAGAAGTCTGCTCAGACACATCAAAGTACCTGGGATGAAGAGTCAGAACGTCTGGCAGAGGAGTTTGAACGCATTGCATTTGAGATTGAGCGTGATATGGAGCGGGATGAAAACCAGGATGAGCGTTTTGCCCCTCCTGCATCTCGACCTCAAATACCCATCAGGTCGCCCCAGCCGTTAAAACACCAGCCGCGACCTCCTAAACAGCCCAGAGTGGTACAGTCCCAGCAACCTGTAGCTGCCGCGCCAGCACAAGATGCAATGAATGTGGCAGACGATGATGACAATGACTACGTTTATGATGTTTATATTCGTCGTCCGCTAGGTGAAAGCGATATGCTTTCTAACCCCTTGGCTGAAGCAGAGTCCGACCAGCTCAAGCGCATGGAGGCCTCTACTTCAGGCATTGGTGTCATCGTTATCACAGCTGAGGATGAAGAGTACTGGGAGCATTTCGTGGAAGACGATGAAGAGGAATGGGATAGCGAGGATGCTGATTCTAATGGTTTGTTTAGTCCCCTTGTTCAGTAATGAGAGTCTAGCTAACGACTTTGTAGCTGAGAATAATCCGGCCAATGACTACCCCGAGGAGGAGCTTTCAGCCTCTGACGAAGAGGATGATCCTACTGCAATCTACAGAAAATACCGTTACCGTGCGGCTTCTGACGATGAAGAGTTCGATTTTGATGCTTCCGGGAGCGAGAGTGGTAACCCATACGGGTCTAAGTTTACTCAGTGGCGCCAGGGAGGTAATGATTATTCGGACTCAGAGTCTGATTAAGACCTGGCTCTCATTATATTCATGAAATATATCGAACAGTTTCTTTTGTGAAAATTATTTAGCCTTGTTTACCTGACCATAGAATAATACCTAGTCATTTTTGTAACCGGGATAAATAGTACTCATAGCTCATTTTCCACCCAACATTAGCAAGTTCACTAATTCTGACTCCATATGAAGGTCAGATTGTCAGGATATTATCACAACCTAAGCTAAACTTCAGCGCTCTGTGTTCTCTATATTGACCGGACCATATACAAATATCTCACGTGACATGACGTTCACTTTTCCTCCGCGGCGCCCTGTGGGACTTTGCAATGCGACTCGAATCCTCGATCATCAACTCTCTTTCCTCTACCGGGCTGTGGGTTGCCCAGTTTCATCTTCACAATGTCAACCCAATATGCTACTGAGCCAAATCCAACCGCGTCAGCTACGCTGAATACAACCGTTGGGCCAATCCATATCTCTCCTCTTCGCCAATCAGACACCTCTTACCTGCAAGAACTTCCTTCAACACTGCAAGGACGGCTACTATACCGGAACTATCTTCCACCGTGTTGCGCCTGGATTTGTTATCCAAGGTGGTGACCCAACAGGCACAGGCGCTGGTGGTACATCTATCTACGAGTATCCGGAATTCGAATACGACCCCGAAGCGCGCGATCCCAATGAGCGAGTCGTTCTTCGAAATGAATTTCATAGTCGTTTACGCTTTAACCGGCGTGGGCTGGTTGGAATGGCCAAAAGCGAGGATGGAACCTACGGCAGTCAATTCTTCATTACACTCGATAATACCGAGCGAGAGATGAATGGGCAATGTACAATGTTTGGGCGATTGGAGGGCGACAGCATCTTCACCGTATTGAAAATTGCAGAGGCGGAACGTGTCGAGGATACTGAGAAGCCAGTGTACCCCGTCAAGGTGACGTCCTGTGAAGTCGGCGAGTTGGGGCCTTTGGCGGACAAGTTGAAAGACAGAAAGACGGTCTCGACAACTTCCGGGGGTGATAAGCCAGCAGCTAAAAAGAAGAAGAAGAATCCAAAGGCTGGCAAGGCTCTGTTGAGCTTTGGAGGAGATGAGGGCGAGGAGGAGATGCCCATGCGGCCGGCAAAGCCCAAGTTTAATACTAAACTCGTCGCTGATGTGCCCGGTGCAGCGCCTGAAGCGCAGTCTACATCAAAGCCACAACCTTCTGAGGCTAAGCAGCAACGAAAGCGGCCGCATTCCCCCTCTCCCACGCGATCCCGATCGACAGAGCGTAAACCACGCCCAAAGACACCTGAACCTCAGACACAGCTCCCTATACAAGACCCCGAATCGCCGGAACGATCACCTACACCTAAAAAAGAGTCCAAGTTATCCCGAACGAACGCCGAAATCGCTTCTTTGAAAGCATCCATGCGTCGCAATGTGGATGTGGGACCTGCGGTTACAGGTCGCAAGAAGACGGCTCTCGAATCTATGATCCCTGAGACTGCAATTCGAGGCCGTAGACGCCCTCCACCAAACTCTAGCAATGGTGCTGCATCAAGCACAGGTCCTCGAAATGCCGCTGAGAATGAAGCACTTCGCTTATTCAATGCTTTCAAGGCTAAGCTTGAAGGTACAGAAAGCCGACCATCTGCTCAAACGTCACATACCGAAGCACGAACAGACGAAGGAACAAAGGGCAAAGAACAAAATGGCGATGAAGATGACGAGGAAGCCCAGCTCTGTGATTTGCATTTTATCGCCAATTGCCAATCGTGCCAGTCTTGGGATAATGAGAATGCAGAAGATGGAGACGGAGATAATGCAGACGAGGAAGAAGGATGGATGTCTCACCAGCTACAATTTGGCAAGGATATGCTGGGCAAAGATCTTAATTGGAAGAAGAATAATCGTGACGATGTGGACTCGCTGATGGTTATTGACCCACGGGAGAAAGAAAAGGATCTGGCTGGTCCCAGTGGCGGTCGCAAGAGAGGTCTGCAACGAGACCGTGAACGTGAGCGAAAGCAAGAACGATCCGGAGATCTGGAATGGAGGCGATGAATGTCTTCGTTTATGGACATTTGATACCATTTTGGCTCCAGATATCGAGCATATATCCCCCTACTTAAAAAAGCATGGCACCATAATAATTGGAATCTTGTGATCGATATAAATACCCTTGAAAGTACTAAAATCTGAAAAGAATCTTACATAGAACCACTCCATGTCCGACTCTATATGAATTCGCTCATCGATAGCCAATCGACTGATCGACTCTCCAACCCCGTTGAGGGCTTTGTAACTTCTACACCATCGTGGAAAACGTCCATGGGGTCTTCTTCGTGGGATGGGACGCTTTTGATGCCTCTCAGGCTATGCAGTGCCGACTCGGAGCAGAGTCTATGGATGCTGGCCTATTCGCGTAAAGACTAATCGTACTTGAAAAACTGAAAAGAAAATGAAAGATAGTGCCTTCATTTATTCACCATGAAGATCTATCTGGAAACTAAAGTTTTGCAGGAGCATCATCAAAGCTTCGAACGGCGTCGACCTTTTGCTATCACCCGAGCATATGGGTGTGAGCTTAACCCTGGAACCAGATGGTCAACATCTCCAGTATGCACGTAGTCTGGAGACGCCTGATCCAGTGATGTGATTCCAATATTACGCATGGCTGTCTCTAATTCATCTTGCATGACTATGATAAGAGGCTGGTCAGCGAGCTAGCACGGATGAGAGTAAAAGAAAATGTTGCAGGAAGTACTCACTATCAATAAGATGCTCAACACCCTCTTGTCCATAATTCATGGCGAAAAGCATGCTTCGACCCATTCCCACAGCAGTGGCGCCCAAACAAACAGCTTTGAGGATATCAGTACCACGACGGATACCACTATCCACGTATATCTCCAATGAGTCGAGCACCTCTGGGCATCTCTTGTGAATTTCCAGCAAGGTAATGATAGAAGGAGGGCTAGTATCGAGATTACGACCTCCGTGGTTACTCAACAAAATACCATCCAGACCAGCCTTCGCAGCCATGAGAGCATCGTCTGCTGACATTACACCTTTCAGACACACAGGCTTATGCGTGTGCTGACGGACCCATTTAAGATCTTCCCATGTCAGACCTGGGTCAATGTACCCGGCCATCACACGTCCCAGACCACCGCCCTTTTTGTCGTTTTGCGCTTTCGATGGTGACATTGGGACGGAAATACCCTCATCAGCTTTCACGCGCTCATCTGCTTCACGCTTACCCGGCCATGCGGCGTCAACGGTAACGAAAATAGCCTTGATATTGGGGTTGGCCGAGCACTGTCGGAGCAGCTCAGCGGACTTTCCCCGATCACGGTTGACATATAGCTGGAAAATGAAGCTGGTACCAGGTGCGGCATCTCGCAGTTCGTCCATCGTGAATGATGAGTTATTTGAAATCTGGACTAAAGATTAGCATCTCGAACATTGACTGTTATCAGACTTCAACTCACGCCTTGAATGATTCCTTTCTTTTCACACGCTCGAGCAATTGCGCATTCTCCCTCCGGATGGATAAGTTTGGCCATTGCAGCAGGGCTGACAAAAAGGGGAAGCTTATAGTTCCCACCTAGGATTGTGGTTCGAGTATCTACCTCTCGTACATTCCGAAGAACACGCGGTCGAAGCCATATCCTATCAAAGCATGATTTATTCGCATCACGAGTAATCAGATCCGTGGAGGCACTGGAGTAGAAAGCCCATGTCTTCTTGTTTGCAGTTTTGGAAGCAACATCCGCAAAGTCGTGAGAATTGATAAGAGTCTCCAATGGTGGCTTCTCATTTTCTGAACCTTCCTTTTGAATCTTGCTAGATGGTGCCTTGGTCCACTCCTCATCGATTGTTGCCTCATCCAGTGCACCTTTCAACTTATCTGGCTGAAGTCCTGTTCTGAGAACGCTTGGAGAATGCACCTCGGAGTAAGCTTGCGTGGCATCCCGACCTGCATACTTCATTATGACTGTGCTATATGTCAGCTTTTGAGATGAGATGGGATGCGACGCTGATAACTTACCTGTTGATCCTCCAGGATGTTCATCGAGAAAATCCGTTACATCCCAAACTTGCTTGTCTACCACGATCCAACAATCCTCGGGCGATTTATGTCCCGAGACTTCCTTGGTAGATAACAACTTTTGGTCTACCATTTTCGAAATGAGAACTTCGAACCAGAGCCCGTGTCAATGTGATGAGAAGATTGAAAAGAATTGAAGGTGTGAGCTTGGTAGAATGTGGAGAGAAACTGGCCACCCAGAATGGTTTTAATACTCAGCACAGACTCAAATCACGAACCTAAAGAGCTAGTGCAGGTCTGATCCGTGCGGACGAGGTATTGCTCTACCCGGCAATGTCACCGGAGTTACCCCGGGCTGCTTCGAAGTACATACCAAGAAGGAAAGCAAAAAGCGATAAGAAGCATAATGTGCGAACTCTGCGTACAAACCGATGAACTTCAAACGATTTTGTACCTGCGGATAGTAGTACTTGAATTATACAAATTCATACATAGCTCTCATAACTTTTTATTCCTGGTAGTTGCATCGAATTTCCAAGATTCTACACTGAACCAGTTCTCTAAGAGTCGAATTGCCGGATGTAGATAATGTAGTTCAATTCGATCGCCATAACTCTACCTAGTATTCGAATGCAATCGGGGTTAAACTCGTTAAATGGCCCTCAAATGAAAATATTCACGGACCTTGAGATGGTTAGTACCTCCCTCGGTGTATAACCGACCCGAGCCCGGATTTCTCTCCGTGTGGGCCTGAATCCACAGTGATTATACACCAGATATGCACCGCCACATGAAGAGTCCACCGCCACATATGCCCAGGTGTGGCTAGTGATATCCGTTCGTCAACAGAACACTTCATGGCATTTCCTCAAGGTTTTCATCACAAGGCAATACTAGTGCATAGAATCGACCAATTTAAGTGAAAATATTGATCGAATGCATATCAGACCTCTGGGAAGTACTATCTCGAAAATCACTGGCCTTATCAGCTCCCCAATCGGGATAACAAGAACAACCCGAGGCGTCACATTTACGCGCCCTGCCTTGACTCACTCTCAGAGTTGGTTAAGTAAGTTTCACTGCATCGGTCAATATGACTCACCTCCCGAGCCTGATCGGCGTATCCACTAGAAATTCCTGATTTGTTTATCTTGAAGTAACAATTTATCAGAATCTTGTACCAATCCAAGCTTTCTGGGCTCTACCCAACGTACTCGAAATTTTGCCTCGAAGTGTACTACATCTGAAAATACACAAAATTCAGCCATGGAAGAGTCACCTAACACACTTCGATATGTTGATGTGCGTTTATCTATATTTTCCGTATGGTCCATTCCTTGTCCTGGAAGCTAATATAATTTCTTCAGATCGGGATCAACTTGAGTGATCCAATGTTCAGTGGCACATATCACGGCAAGAAAGCTCACGAGTGTGATCTGGATGATGTTATTCAACGTGCTCGAGATGTGGGCTGTGAAAAGTTCATGGTTACAGGCTCAGACCTTGTTGAGTCTGAGGAGGCTGTCAAGATCGCCCGCAACTATCGTGAGCTCATCTTCATCGACTATACTGGTTTCAGTAACTGACAATATAATAACAGCCGGTTTCTGCTATGCCACAGTTGGTGTGCACCCTTGTCAGGCCAAGCTCTTCGATGAGTACCCTGAAGGCCCCGCGAAGATGCTTGAGGAGCTGCGAAAACTAGCTATTGAGTCCAAAGAAGCTGGTCTTGCTGTTGCTTTTGGCGAAATCGGTCTCGATTATGATCGGTTATTCCACAGTGCTAAGGAACCTCAATTGAAATATTTTGAGGCTCAGTTGGACCTTGCCGTTGAGATTGGAATGCCTCTTTTCCTTCACTCGCGTGCTGCAAGTGAGGACTTTGAGAGGTTACTCGCCGCTAAGCTTCCTCAACTACCAAAGGGTGGATTAGTCCATAGCTTTACAGGTACAATGGAGGAAATGCAAAGGCTGGTTGCTTTAGGTGTTGATATCGGTGTTAATGGTTGCAGCATGAAGACGGAAGAGAATCTGGAGGTTGTGAAGGCTGTTCCCTTAGAACGTCTTCAAATTGAGACCGATGGGCCCTGGGTAAGCATGCAATCTTGAATAATTCTCTCACATGTTATATTCAGTTACTGATTGATATTCTATTAGTGTGAAATACGCCCTTCTCATGCATCAGCCAGGTTTTTGACTGGGGCTCCAGAGTTACCAAAGTCCGTCAAGAAAGAGAAGTGGCAGAAGGGCTTGATGGTCAAGGGTCGGAATGAGCCTGTTGCTATTGCTCGCGTTGCTCATGTTATTGCTGCAGTGAAGGGTATTTCTGTGGAGGAAGTGTGTGAAGCGTGAGTCTCACTCAACGACTGGTAATATCATTATCAACCTACTAATACTTTCTTACAGGGCCTGGAACAACTCAACCAAAATGTTTGGCTTGGGATTGAATTCCGTGTAAAAACTGTTGCTCTTATGCGAATCATTCATGACTGCATATCCTTCTTAGTATGATACCATGATAGACCTCTGTGAAATAATCAGATAGAGTGTGTGATACGGGAGTTGTGGCGCTCTTTGCTCTTAAAATTTACTCAAGTCCATTTCCCCCTAACTCATGCTATCATTATCTTGACGTAGAAGTATCAACACTTCTCAGATCTTCATGGAGTTCGCCTAACAATCTTATCAACCCGGTTTCACTCATAGCAACGGTCGTACTTGACACCGCAGTACATAAATTCCCACCTAGGCATGCTTCCCACGATACAGCATCCGAATATAGACCGCCAGTTTCAATCTCAACGGAGCCAAGGCTTCTCACATTACTTTACCGGACCGTGTGGCTTTGCAACAGTCCCCTTATCTCTATATTTCAAACCAGGCCCCAGACTCCCACGAATCACACACTTCATCTGTACATCAAAGTTACATGAGATGACTCGTTGATTGGCTATGAAGCGGCTCCGAGGCGCGGGTTCCGGATAGGATTATGCAGGTATGCAGTATGCACTGCAAGCAGTTTCGGGCCATGGGCCCTTAATATGCAAGACTCCAGTAGCTTGGAACCATTTTTAGTGACAATGTTTCAAAGCATTGACGTGATGTTTGTTCACTTGCTGCCTAATAAATCTTCCAGAAATCAAGTATTTGACCTTTCAATCATCGTCGAACATTTTTTTATTAATGACCTGCTATTACAATATGACCTGACACGCAAGACATGACGCTGAATTTTGCCTTGTTGAACCAATGAAATCAAGATTCGCTCATATACAAAGTTCTTGATCTTGTTTCGGAAGCTCTGAGATTATATTGGCCAATTGGTGACAAGTTACTAATCGATGAGTATTCCGCGAAGGTATAATCGCACAGCAGGGGGTTAGTGTCACTTTTTGTTCAGTTGTGCCCGGTCCTGCCTTTCGAAATCGTTGAATCTTGCATTTGATATATCGTGGATTGTTCAAGAATACACTATCACTTGACTGCTTGTTGAGAGCTTTTGACGACGCAAGGGACGTGCCGAATTGATTCCATTGCCATCAAGAACGTGATCAAATCGCGGGTCTGATGTTGTCCATTCTCAACTGCTGCTTGAAAATGAGAAGAAAGGCAAACAAGTGGAAAGAGATCGAAGGTAAGAGGGATACCCAGTTCCCCGTTCTCGGTTATGCTGATTCGTTTCTTTGCAAGGCTCACTGATATGCCTTTTAGATATTCACGATTCCGAAAAGACGCCCGAATGGATTGCTCCTCCAAATATCTTGATGATGCAGGGCTTCGAATGGCACGTCCCTGCTGATCATCGTCACTGGAAACGTTTGCGAATGGCAATGGCTAGTCTCAGAGATGTTGGAGTAGACAACATCTGGATCCCTCCAGGTTGCAAGGCGATGGATCCTTCTGGGGTGGGCTATGACATATACGATCTGTGGGATCTCGGAGAATTTCACCAAAAGGGGTCGCGGCCAACGCGTTGGGGCTCAAAGGAGGATTTGCATGAGATGATGCAGGCTGCACAGGATGTCGGTATTGGAATCTATTGGGATACAGTCTTGAACCACAAGGCTGGGGCGGACAAGACTGAGAGTTTCCAAGCCATCAAAGTTGACCCTGAGAGTATGTATCACTGGAAAGATACAAAAAGTGTGTGCTGGTTGACTGACACCATCTCCAGATCGAAATCTTGAGACTTCAAAGCCGGAGACTATCTCTGGATGGGTTGGGTTTGACTTTGCTGGCCGTGCAGGGAAGTATAGCACTATGACATATCACTATCAGCATTTCAACGGCGTCGATTGGGATGATATACATAAGGAGAATGCAATCTATAAGATTCATGGACCCCGGAAAGGATGGGCCAAGGATGTGAGCGACGAGCATGGTAACTATGACTATTTGATGTTTGCCAACTTGGATCACACCAACCCGGAAGTCCGAGCCGATATCTTTAAATGGTCGGAATGGCTTGGAACTGAGTTGCCAATCAGCGGTATGCGAATTGATGCTGCTAAACATTACTCGGCGGCCTTCCAGAGAGCCTTTGTCACTCATCTGAGGAACACGGTTGGTGCAGACTATTTCCTGATTGGGGAATACTGGCGTGGCGACGTAAATCTTCTCTTGAAGTACCTGAAAGTCATGGACTACCAACTTTCCCTATTTGATGCACCACTTTTAGGGCGCTTTGCAGTCACCTCGCAGACTGAAGGGGCAGACTTGCGGAAGGTATTTAGGGGGACTTTAGTGGAGCAGAGACCCAGGCATGCAGTTGTAAGGCGCCATATATCCCATGTAAATAGCTGATACTAAATCATCACAGACTTTTGTGGGAAATCATGATACGGTATGTGTTAGCCAACAAGTTGAATCTCTGGAATGAGTAGTCCCTGACAGTTCAACTACTTGTTAGCAACCTGGCCAATCACTAGAGGTATGTTCAAGTGAGATAACATAAGTGGACAACAAGTGATTTTCGTGATAGACGAACATTATACCTTTTTTCAAGCCAATTGCATATGCGTTGATCCTTCTTCGCAGTCAAGGTCAACCATGCGTTTTCTATGGAGACATGTATGGTCTTAAGGGTGGCTCAGCATCTCTGGCTCGACCCTCTTGCAATGGCAAGTTACCAATTCTGATGCGAGCTCGGAAACTTTACGCTTATGGTGAGCAGCGTGATTATTTCGACAAAAAGAACTGCATAGGTATGGACTTCTCACTCTTGAGTAATTTGAGATCAATACTAACCGCAGAAAGGCTTTGTTCGATACGGAACTGTTCATTACCCTTCAGGTCTCGCCTGCATCATAAGCAACACCACAGCAACATACAAGCGTATGTACGTTGGTGCTAGGCATGCTGGAGAGGAATGGACCGATATACTTGACTGGTGTGTTGAAACTGTTATCATTGATCATCGTGGATACGGTGTTTTTCCAGTTACTGCAAAGAGTGTCAGTGTTTGGGTTCATGATAAGGCAAAGGGAAGAAAAAGTCTCGATCGTCCTTTGTGAGTAGTTGATTTCGATGACTCGAATGACATCTGGGAGTGGCACTAACTCCCCATCTTCAGCGATACTGATATTTACCGATTTTGAACACATGGAATATTTTGACTTCGTTATGCAATATGGGAAGGTCGTGTCATTAAAGGCTAGGCACATTGGCTTTGTTTACATGCAGTAGATAGTATGGAAATTTCATACCCTCTGGAAGGATGGTTGCATGAAGATGACAAGCTGTGGACTTCATTTCTTCTTGTTTCATCTTGCGAGTCTCTGCTCATTTTTCATTCGGTTTCATTTTATGCAAACTCGTACTCGTGCACGGAGCCGTTGGATTTGAAGGTGATGGTGGTGGTGGTGGTGGTGGTGTTTCAAAAACCTCCACTCAGAAGAGAGGATTATCAACTCGGCAACATCAGCACATATTCTCGAGTGCTTGTCCCGAATCTCATCACATCTTTGTCCATTACTTCCACATAGCGGCCTGCCGGAATGGACTCCTTGTTCACAGTAGATCCGTTTGAACTCTCCAGGTCAATGAGGTATGGCTTCACCTTACCGATACGATCTCCATATTCATTTCGCTTCTCAACATGTCGAAATTGGAGCACGGCATGCTGTTTCGAGCAACTAGGATGATCGAGCGGGAAATCCACCACAGCCCTTTCGCGACCAATCAACCAGCAGCTCCGTTCGTTTAATTCAACCATCTCCAGAAGATCCTCCCCTTTGAAGACATAAAGTCGCCAAGCCTCCTTTGGCGGCGGTTTCCGTGCCTCTGGGGGTTCGTGGTATTTCAGCACTATGCCCTCGCCACCCTGTACTTGCACTGTGTTGCTTTCAGCCGCAAGACGACCGGATCTATTGAAATTGGGTTTTTGCTTTTCTGGTGGAGGAGCTTCGCCTGATTGTACTACCTCGTTGGCAGTGAAGGCGTCAGACTGTGAAGGTAGAGGGCCGCTCCGTTGTAATGCACGTTGAGGACTTGGTGATCGGCGTGGGGAGCGGGTACGAGGGCGTGGACTGCGATTTCTTCTGGATGACCGTTCTCCGTCTCGATCTCGGTCATCACGGTGTCGGTGGCTGCGGTGACTGCGGTGTCTCCGGCGACGCTCATCTGCAGAGCTCGTGGATCGTTCTCTTCGGTCTCGATGACGGTCTCGGTGGCGAGAATCTCTGTCATCGCGTGTCCTCCTTTCACCTGATCTGTTTCGGGATGATTTTCGACGAGGACTGTCTTTGCGAGAGCTCTCGCGATCGTCGTCTCGGCGTCGCGAGCTCCTGTGCTCTCGGTCTCGATCGTCTCGTCGCGGTCGCTCGGAGCTGGGTTCCGGCGATCGGGAGTATGTGCGCCGATTACGGTCACTGTGACCGTCTTCAGCTTCACCCATTATGACAGCCTGGTGGTAGAATTAATTTGCGGGGATGTATAGCAAGTGAGAGCTCCGCGAACAAAATGCGCTGGTTGGCTCGCGCGCACGTGACTCCCTGCACTATGGGAAACGGATTTAGAGAACTGGAAAGCTCGAAACATGAAAGAAAATAGTGTTGATAAATTAATCATACTATATGGAGCAAGTCTACAAATTTTGGAGTATCTGTCTTATTCCAAGATTTTCCCCTTCAACTACTAGCCTGAGGATCCTTCAAGTTGTTGGACTCAGACTCGGAGTCGGAATCGCTAGTATGTAGTATATTTATTCTTGGCTGGAGATACTTATCCTACGACTCAACTTCCAAGGTTGAAGTGCTGCAAGAAATTCCAAAATTGAGGTTTTTTTTCTCCAGGTCTTCCAAGAGTCAGACAGTGATTGGGCCGCGCATATTTGTCTGAATGTGAAGGCTACTATTATAGATAAAACAGTCAATGTTTTGGTTCTTACCTAGTGCTCATTTTGCCCATCACTGGGCAGTCTTAAACCACCATTTCGAGAATTTCAAGGACTTGCGACTTGTCTTTCAGCGGCACAGGGTTTGCCTGGCACCACCTATCATGCAGACTGTGTGTTGCTAGCCCATCGAGCTTGTCCCGACCAACCTGCACCTCACTGAGAGACCGCGGCATACCAAGTTCACGAATAATGACATCTAGTATATCACCAAGGTCTGAATTCTCCACATCCACTGAGTGTGATTGAAGCACTTCTGAAACGACTTTGTCACGGATCAGAAACTCGCGTACTCTCATTTGCTGGTCCCGGTTCGCATTATGTGCAGCGTTGAATTTACACACTGCTGGGAGAAGAATACAGCTAGTTTCACCATGTCCAACACCTAAGGGGCCGAGCTGGTTGATTGATTCAAAATCAGCTCTCACTACTAGCAATGCTCTAGCTGGATGGGTGATATACTTACTTGATGCCCGATTCCATGGCTTGCACCAAGTTGTACTGACCCGCTTGTACAAGCTGCCATCGCATCAACGGACCCAAGCTGACATTGAAGGTGTGCATCGGTGTTTGTGCGATCTTTCTTGCACTGTAATAGACTTGGGATCAATAGACTGAGGGCATGCTCAGCGAGGTCATCTGACTCCGGCGTTACTCCAACTATGGCGCAAAGTGTTTCCACACAGTGATCAACCGCTCGTATCCCAGTGCTGAGCCAAATGGAGCTTGGTGTGGATTGAACTAGTTTCGGGTCTAGTATGACAAGCTGTGGTCCGCGCGTGGGCGCCTGGAAGCTGAACTTGCGCCGTGAGTGATCATCTGTACCGCCTGCAAAGTCAGAATATTCCCCAGCTGATAATGAGGTTGGAATTGAGATGATAGGAATTGTTGGTTCATTGATTTGTGACCTTTTATGAGGGCCTTGGGCTAGTGTCTCTAATTCTTCAACCGTATGCACTTGGTTGGCAAGAGCCTATGGAGCGTCAGTATGTCTGTCATACACACGTATCAAAATGAATCGATAAATTCTTACCAAAGCAATAATCTTGGCACCATCGGTTAAGCTGCCAGCGCCGAGGGTAAGGAGGAGATCAGCTTTCACATTGCGTGCCTCTTCGACAATTTCTAGGACTTCCGACCACAGTGTGTGGCTTTGCATTCCGATACGACATCCCACAACTTTGTCTGACTCTAGTGCATTTTTCAAATCTTCCAGTGCATTGGTCTGACTTGCTAATGACCTAGAGGAGATGACGTAAACACGAGAGGCGTTGAAAGTCTTAGAAACATGATGACATGCAGCAGTGTGGAAATCAATGCCATAGGAGAGGAGGGGCCGGTCACGACCTTTGAAAGCTGACCGGATGATTTCGGATTTCTGAGACATCATAGATCCCGAGAAATATGATTTTGTTCACAATTGAGATTCTGGCAATTTCGACGTCTTTGAAAATGAAAGAGAATCAAGTTGTCTCATGAGTCACTGAAGAAAGCAAAGAGCTCTCAAATCTCGAGAGCTTTATGTGGAGAGGTGGGGTTGATTAGTATGCAACGATTGATAATTTGATACATCATACTGCATACATGTCAGTGGGGCCTTGTCAGAATAATAATAATTAATCTACAAAGATACACATTTGATTTAAAGACTTTGTGCGTATGTAAGTAGTTAGGAGGAATAATGTGGACTTCGAGTCAGTTGTAGTCTTGTAACATCGTGACCTGAGACTAAAGGACTTGTTTCTATAGTAGCTGCCAGTCACTCACTATACGGACAAAACTTTGAATACTTCAAATGTTGACATATGAAACACTTGATTTGAGCACTTGCAGTTATCTTTCAGGTTTCAGAAACTTGAACAGATTACATACCGTAGTTGGACATGATATGGCGTTAAAGATAAATGGATGGATGGCACAGGTTTGTCTCTCCTCGTCTCATAGAACATTTGAATGAGGCTGAATGATTCAAAGATTCTCTTCAAGCCCTTCACACTAAAAATACATCATATGTGCAGAGTCGAATACAGTTATTGAGTCCCAATGGGATAAAAAGTTCAAAGGATCTGGGTTTACAAAGTTTCTAGTCTAATTTTGGATCAATGTTCTACATGGAGAGCTTCATGTTGACGTTCGAGATGGAAACCATCATGGATTATTATAAAAAGGCCCTTCCCTTGTAAAATAGATGAAGAGCTACTTAGATCCCAAGCGAACTTTCAATCTAAGCTACCCATTTCAATTCAACACAGGCAGTTATTTCAAGTTGTCACTGAGTTCTATTACTTCAAGAGCTATCGTCTCTTGCCAGGATCTTGACGTCAAGGCCTTCTCCAGCGCTCCAGGGCTGTTATCCATCGATATTTTCAGCATTTAAGTGGCTCACATCGTTCAATATGGCATCTGTAAACACAAATATACAGACACCGTTGGAGGCATTCGATGAAACCTTGGACATTTTTACTACCTTTCTCGAAACTGAAATCACAAATCTGGAGGAGCACTCGGAGCCGCAAAATGAATTTGACGCTCGGATAAACCAAGCCAGTGCCCGAAACATTAAGGCTCATACATACCTGTTATTCGAGAGACTGAATAGGCGCTTGGAGGAGTACCTGCTGAACTATGTATGTGATCGTGGGGATTGGACTTGGAATCGTTAAGTTATGGGAAATTTCTGCTGTTGCTCATCGAAAGGATAATTCCTCATCCTTCGGTCATTCATTGCGTTATTGCTCGCTAATTTCTTCCTAGGTCAACCAAGTAGAATGTAGGATTTTATGAGTTGCGATAACTGTCTCTTCTCTCCTTCATAGAATTGCGAATTTATGGTTCTATTTGTCTGAAATTTCTGTGATACTATAATTGAAAAATATGAGATATGTGATGGTGAAGGTCAGCAGTAGGGCTGAACTACAAGTAACCAACCTTGGAAGTACTAGTAGATAAAAGATCTATAGATTTCCGTTTAAGTATGTAAGAAAAAAAGCCGAGCTGAGCTCTGGAATATTGAGTAGGTTTGCTAGACCTGGAATCGGATCATACCGCACGTACGTGACCTTCAAGATCTTTTCAGCCACTGTCATCTATCACTATTTCCAATGAAATAGTGATCCACATAAAGTAGATGAAAGATCCCCTGATTGTCATCTGGGTATGTGGGCAAGAACTGAGGGTGAATATTGAGTAGATTTAGCAGGCACGAGATCGGATTATACCTTCATCTCTTCAAATGTTTGACAATGCCACATGAAATTATGATCAATTCGGTCTCGGCTGTTCTCTAAATGACCTTCGGCTGTTCATGCTGTTCATGCATATTGAGGATCTAGAGAATTTAGACTCGTTCGTGTCCTGATCATTGTCCACCTGATGGTGTTCCCTGATTGGGTTTGGGTAATTTCTGGGGTGAGTTTTATGATGCAATATACTAAATACATAGCACAGCCCACTATCCAGACCGTGCAAAATTGTGGGGAAAATGGGGATTGTGGACAGGAACGATCAGCAAGAGTTGACATGGCTAACCAGATTGGGTCATATCTCTCCGGTTCTTCGCTGATAGGGACGAGACGTCAGGATGGTGGGGGACTCGGCATTTAATATGACTGGTCCCACGAAATGCAGGGGAGGATATCATAAGAATCCGAGAATGAACTGCATATAAGTTGAAATGAGAAGGTCATGGCGCCGGAGGGTTTCTACTGGATAGGGTGGAGGAAAGGGAGAGGGACCAAGGGGGCGATATGGGTCATCGCTGATCAGGATGGGCTCGTTGGGTCTGTAGCGACTGGCGAATGGGGCTGTAACTTCAACGGATCCCAAAGTGCCCACTCAACCCCAATTTTGTGACATTTGAGAGTTCCTGTTGACCACCCGGAGCACATGTATTTTTCTTCATTTGGCTCCTAGTGGATTTTAGTGTTTCAACTAGCCTGCCGAAAGGACCGAGGTTTCCCGCTCAACGACAAATTACTGGGAAATCCGGGGAACCTGTGGGCCTCACTCATCCTTGCCCGCGATCGCAATACGATCTTCCATAGTAAAGCAGGAGGGGTGCAGGGTCCTCAACAATTCTTCTCTCTTGGTTTAGGGCCGAGGCTGACGCTAGAAGAGGGGTTTCATGTGGATTGACGACGATCATAGTGACTGGCTATTCTTATATCGTTCCAAATAACCCCTCCAAGAAAGGGGTGTCAAATCTGACTTCTCTCTGATCGCAATAATTCAATTTGAATTGTTCTTCCAACACTCGTATATCCTCAAACACAATGGCCTCGGACGGACCTCGCCCTGGCTTCCTGGGTAACATCAATGAAGACCAGGAAGCCAAGCTGCAAAAGATATGGGCCATCTTGCTCCGAGCTTCCGAAATCCCTTCTGATGAGGATTCAAAGGGCTGCGCCGAAGAGCATCCTGCCAGTCCCACCCCGTCTGCACCTCCACGACGAATGTCGCTTCTAAGTCGCACTTCAACCTCACTAAGCAACAATTCCGACAAGACCGCACCGACACTTACACGGCCATATCAGCAAAAGTTCATGGCCTATTTCAAAGAGATAGGTGCCGCTCCACAGGAAATCAAAATGATCCAGAAAGCACTATCAGAGATTAGCCCCAGTGAACTGCGTCAGGGTGTACTGGATGTTTTGAAGCATGATAACCCAGACGCGATGATGTTGCGATTTTTGCGCGCGCGAAAATGGGATGTCTCTAAGGCTTTTGCCATGATGATGGACGCAATTGTTTGGCGAGTGAAGGAAATGCATGTAGATGAGGACGTGATGACCAAGGGCGAGCTTCACGCCTTGAAGCAGGAACGCAGCTCCAATGCTAAAGAGAAGAAGGAAGGAAAGGACTTCTTGGATCAGATGCGTATGGGTAAGAGCTACGTACACGGCGTTGACAAGCTAGGTCGCCCGATTGTGGTTATCCAGGTCCGCTTGCATAAGCCTGGTGCGCAGAGCGAGGAAACTCTGGAACGTTATATCGTCCATGTCATTGAGTCAGTGCGATTGACTCTGAATCCTCCGGTTGAGACTGCTGTAAGTAGTATACATTTCTTTGGAAACCGAATGAAAGTTTGATGATCATCCGTTAGTGTGTTCTCTTCGATATGACTGGGTTCGGCCTTTCCAATATGGTATGTTGATGGCATCAGAGTTGCAAGAACTTTGACTCATTGCATTATCTGTGATTCTGTGAATCTGTACCCATCCAAATGGCTGACAATGATAACCAGGAGTACCCTCCTGTCAAATTCATCCTCAAGTGCTTTGAGGCCAATTATCCTGAATGCTTGGGCATCATGCTGATTCACAACGCTCCCTGGGTCTTTTCAGGTAAGCGTCATCACTGAGAGCTTCTGTCAAAATGCTAGCATGGGTCTAACCATGAATTCATTCCATAGGTATCTGGAGACTCATCAGAGGCTGGATGGATCCTGATATCGCCGCCAAAGTCCAATTCACCAACTCTGGCAACGATCTAGCCAAGTTTATCGATCGCAGCAAGCTTCCGAAGGGTGTGGGAGGCGACGAAGACTGGGAGTATAAGTATATTGAACCGAAAGAAGATGAAAATCTCGTGATGGAAGATACCACCACCCGAGACGCCCTGATTCGGGAACGCCAACAGATTGGAGAAGAGTTCCTCGCTGCTACTACAGAATGGAATTCCGCCGCCAAGGCGAAGGATAAGACCAAGACTCAATCCGCAGCTAGTCAAAGGACATATCTGGCTGAAAGACTGCGGGTCAATCACTGGAAATTGGATCCTTACACCCGGGCTCGTCTTTGCCTCGACCGGATGAGAGTGATTCAGCCTGGAGGTAAGGTCGACTTTTATCCCAAGGAAGAAGAAGTCAAGGCGGAAGAAGCATCATCAAATGGAACGAGTAAGACTTTGGAAGTTCAGCATTTGGAGAATCTCAATGGTAACGGTGTTCAAACGACAGTTTCGGTCTAAATTGATAGTGGGTGTATTTGATGCTTTTTGATACCTTAGACGGTTTTATTTGTTATGAGAATTTGCTTGATGGATACAAATATCATCAATGAAAAAACTTCAAATAAATTGTGAGCCACCTAATCCGATAATAGAGGTAATCTTGAAATAGTTAGTATGGCTTGAAGGTGATGGTTTGGTTCTGTGGCTGTTGTTTATCGAGTTTCACCGCCTTTGGCCAGTTGACAGCTGCATTTCGACGTCATTTGATCTGCCGCATCTGCCTCGTCCCGGTCATCAACAATTATTTGTTGCTTGACCTCTACAGGGAACAGAGCTTAACAAGTCGTGCAGTAATCTGCATTAATCTCGACCAAGTCTGTGAGCTTGAGTAGTTCAGCACTTATTGTTTGCTCCTGAACCATGGTCGTTGCGTGTGTCTGCTGCAGTCTAGACGCGGCTGGTACAATCGCAACTTGCAACAGCAAGATATGAACCAAACTGATCAGAGCAGACTCGATTCTCCAAAGAAATCGAATCCTTCCTCCCTGCATCATTCGTCCGCAAACGATCCCCCCCAGTCCACCTTCGCAGTCTGATTATGGTGACTTCCCCAGCTTCACATCTCTTGATGGAGAACCTACAGCCAAACCCTCCGATTCACCGGAAAAGGGTCTATCTGCGACACCAGACAACCAGCTGCATGGTACCTCACCTGTCATCAATGATGATGTGCAACCCCAGTCAGCTTGGGCCATGCCTCCACCTCCCAAACCACCGATCGCAACGAATCCCCAGATGACCTCCGAAGAATACAATGCGCAGCTGCTCTCCGACCCACGGATGAGAAACTCTAGTGTCGTGAACCCGGAATTTCTACAGCAGTACTACCGAGAATCTCGACTTCATCACCTGTCCACTTGGAAGGCAGAACTGAAGGCTCAGCTCCAAGCAGCAACCAGAGAAAAGACCGAGTCTCGTGCGAGCAAGAAGAAGCAAGCGCCTGGAGCGAGGAGATACGTCCTTCACGTGGACTTCGACTCGTTCTTCGCGGCCGTAGCTCTTCTTCAGCACCCTAAACTCAAGGACAAGCCCGTTGCTATCGCGCATGGGTCTGGGTCTGGATCCGAGATCGCAAGCTGCAATTATGTTGCACGCGGGCGGGGTATCAAGAATGGCATGTGGATGAAAGGTGCTCTAGAAGCTTGTCCAGAGCTCAAGGTTCTACCATATGATTTCCCAGCATATGAGGATGCTAGTCAAAAGTTCTACAGTTCAGTTCTTGCAATTGACGGGGTCGTACAGAGTGTCAGTATCGACGAAGCTCTCATTGATATCACGCATCTCTGCCTCGAAGCTGGCGGCTCGGATGGACGAGGAGTATCTGAAGGCTCCATCTATCGTGAGCAAGCTAAAGCGGATGAGATTGGCCAGGGCCTCCGTGATGCAGTCAAGGAGAAGACTGGATGCGCCGTTTCTGTTGGAATTGGCGGAAACATCCTCCAGGCCAAAGTCGCATTGCGCAAAGCAAAACCAGCGGGTCAGTTCCAGTTGAAGCCCGATGATGTCTTGGAATTTATGGGTCAACTCACTGTTCGAGATCTGCCGGGTGTTGGCCATAGCTTAAGTGCCAAATTAGAAGAACTTGGTGCCACGCTTGTGAAGGACTTGAGAAATCTCGCCCGCGAAAGACTTGTGTCTGGTCTTGGTCCCAAGACTGGAATCAAAATGTGGGAGTATGCTCGAGGCATTGACAAGACTGAAGTTGGAAACGAGGTTATCCGAAAATCTGTTTCAGCGGAAGTCAATTGGGGTATTCGGTTCGTTAATCAAGAGCAAGCAGAAGACTTCCTCAAGTCTCTTTGTGGCGAGCTGAACCGCCGGCTGGTGGAAAACCTAGTCAAAGGCAAGCAACTTACGCTCAAGGTTATGCGACGATCAATGGATGCACCATTGGAACCAGTGAAACATCTTGGCCACGGCAAATGCGACACTTTCAATAAAAGCGTGATGATTGGCGTAGCCACAAATGACACTGAAGTCGTGGCTAAAGAAGCTATTTCAATGTTAAGGACGTTCAATTTCTCGCCGGGCGATCTCCGGGGTCTCGGTGTGCAGATGACCAAGCTTGAGCCTCTCAAGGCTGGACCATCATCATTTGAGAGTAGTCAACGACAGCTCAATTTTACGAAGTCTCCGTCTCGTAAGAGAGCTATCAGTACTGATGAGCCAGACAGCCCGTCGAGAGCCAGCAGACCTCCCATTCCACAAGACCAGCCAGCAAATCGCCATGCCACAACGACCCCTGAGATTCTGGGATCGCAATTCATTATGCCTACACAAGCCGACCCTGCTGTCCTTGCTGAACTTCCCAGTGATATCAGATCAAGACTTGTAGCACAGTCAGACATCCACGACGAGCCACGTTCTGTGTCTCCGACCCCAGATCCAAGGCCATCTGCGCCGTCATTACCTCCTCAGTCTCAGTTGGACCCGGAAATCCTGGCTGCACTGCCGGATGACGTTCGTAATGAAGTCCTAGGCTATTACGATCAGCAACCTCCCAACACCGCTCCTACTCCACCCGTAGTTCCTATGGCGCCTCCACCTCATGTGCCTGTCTCGCGCCCGCTATCATCCGGGGGCACGGGATTGAAGAGACCGTTTTCACCACCGAAGAGAAGACGAGGCCGTCCTCCAAAGTTCTCCAAGGTTGACAACACATCGCAGAAGCTCTCAACCTTTGCTGCCAGGCCGATAGCTCCTTTTCCCGCAGTGGAGCAAGAGGTACCTCGACATTCCTCGCCAATTGTTGAAGAGCAGTCCGAGGTATCATCAGTATCAGCAGAATTCTTAGCTGCATTGCCTGAAGACATTCGTCAGGAAATCTTGGAAGAGCAAAGGCGAACCCGACTTCAACAGCCTTTGCCTAACCCAGCTCCTCCAGACACGGAAGCAGAAACAGATCCCGAGACTTCGGTTGTGGTGCCCGCGCCCAAGGAGAAATTCCTGCCACTGCCACCCTTGCCCGAACGCCCAGTGTTCACTTCTCAGCGCCTTTCAGCATTACCCGATCTTCGAGAAGCTGTCGGAGAATGGCACTCTGCCTTTGCGGGACACGGACCGTACAGTGAAGATCTTGATGTCCTCTGCATATATCTTGGTCGTGTGATTGTTGATGAAAAGGACATGGATAAAGCTGTTTCTGTCGTTCGTTGGCTTATGTGGCTTGTTGAGGAGGATAAAATTGCGCATGGATCTATGGGCACTCAACCTCCTAGATCTGAGCAAGGCTTGCTAACATGGCCCGAGGCTATTGATACTCTACACGCCTGTATTCAAACGGCTTTGGAGGTGAGAGGGCTTCCTTCGGTTGATTTTGACTAGTTTCGTGATTTACTACATACTTCCAGTGACGATTAACGAGTAATGAGTAATGAGTTATTGCTATTACATGGGATGAATATCTCAGAAATAACAGAATCGGAATAAATCTTCTACCAAATATAGCATTACAAGTAGGGAAAGATGAAAAAACAAACCTTGGAATTGAAACTTGAAATAACCGAAAGTGATTCTCACAGTAGAAACTGGCTGATTTTATCATCCAACAATAGGGTATGTACAAAACTTCCGAAAATGCACATTGATGACAACATTAATTCAAACAAGACTCCAATCCTGCACATTATATGCAACGATCGATATCATCCGGGAAGTCAAGCTCACGACTGTAGCGATTAGGACTTATACTGTCCATATTGCGTACAACCTCACCGATGCGGTGAGTCAACGAACTATGTGGTACAAACTTTGTAGGTCGAACAGATTGTCTAATTGACTTCTTTGGACGAGGCCAAAATCCAGAACGGGGCGTGGTTGTGTCCCCAATTTCTTCCATGGCCTTCTGGTACTCAATCATCGCATTTGGAGGGATGGACATCTCCCGCTCGGTTGGAATTTTTGCAAGTTCAGGTTCAGGTGTTCGAGCTTTTTTCTTAGGCGTTGTTGATTTTCTTTTCTTTGGTGTGTTCGAGGTCTTTGATTTGTGTGACCCATCGTCTGCCAATGTGGAGGCGCGAGTAAAGCCTGTTTCCACGTCGTCGGGCATATGGAATTTCTTTGGCGGTCTCTTGGGTATGCGACCCTTGCGCTTGGGTTCTGGTAGTTCTTGCTGAGAGTTCTCCTGTGGGATTTCGATGATTCGTTTATCGGCTACAGGTCGAATGCCAGCGGGGAGAATCCGGGCGGATCGGTCGTCATGGAAGGTGAATCGAGAACCGCTTGCAATCATTTCTTGCATCTTCTCGTAGTTGTCCTTGGCTTTGGTGTACGAATCTTCTTCTTTGCCTTTCATCAAAAGTAAGGTGATGTTTCCGGCGCGCTTGCGACCAGTTCGACCCATGCGCTGCAGCATTCGAATTGGCGATGCAGAAGAGTCGTAACACACAATCAGATCGACTTCACCAATATCTAGACCTTCTTCACCGATGGAGGTTGCGACAATTGTATTGTAGGTTCCCCCTTTGAACTTATTGATAATCTCTAGTTGGGTCTTCTGGTTCATTTCCCTCCGAGCCCTTCGCACTGGATTGTCCAACGAAGATATGTGGTCGGATCATCGGCTCATAGCGCTTCAAGACTCGCGTGACCTCTTCTGCACTGTCTCGGAAATGAACAAATATCATCACTCGTGTAGCTGGATGGCCACTGTAACTATTCTCCTTGCCCTCTCCGGCGTCCATGAAGTGATTTAATATCACAGACTTCAGGTGTTCCAGTTTGGGATGACCAATGAACTCTGAATTTTTAGACCATGGGTCAACGTGCGCCATAAGCTTCCTGAAACTCTCATTTTGTACAATTTGCTTCTGGTATTTTCCGCCCTTCTGTCCATCTGTATTGGACCTGAAATGCAATAAATGACGATAGAAAGGGACAATGCCATGGTATTTCAATAAATCAATGCCATGGGCCAGACTCGCGAGAACAGTGAAAATGGAATTTACCATGCCCTTGAGTCCGAAGCTGGCATTTCGACCGGCATCAGAGCCCATCCATTGTTGTCTGGCTTTCGTAAGACCAAAGGCAGTCAGCATCAAGGGATCTTTCCCCCAGTACGCATTGAGTGTTCGAAGTTGGTCAACTTGGGGTTGCAAAGCCGCAGAAATCAGGTCTAAACAGAAAACCATTTCTTCGGAGTTCTCAAATGTCTCAATTTCGATGTTGCGAGCATGGACGTAGTCGCGGATATCAAGTGAATTCTCGGTGCGAATTTCCACTCGCGAAATATCCAAACCATCGATGACACCCTGCACTGCTTCCACTGTTGACCCAGGAGTGGCAGTCAATGCAAGGACACGGAAGCTGTTGCTGAATCGTCGCAAAAACTTGACGACCTCGACGTAAGCGTATCCTCCAGTGGCTCGATGAGCCTCATCGACGACGAGAAGCACAATACGCTTTGGATCTGCGATACCAGTCTTCAAATCGTTGATCAAAGTCTGAGGTGTCATGAAAAACACCCGTTTTGATTGCCACTCTTGAGCACGAACACCCGGCGGTGCACCTCCGGTGAGCATAGTGCTTTGAGAGCGTGGAATACCCGCGATATCTAGACATGCCGAGACCTGTTGGGATACCAACGGCTTTGTCGGCGCTACGAAAATTATTTGTGCATCTTGTGTCCAACGAAACCAGTTCAACATGACAGTTGCTGCAATGAATGTTTTACCCAAACCAGTGGGTAGAGCAACCAGTAGATTATGGAACAGGCCCTTCTGAGCTATGTTGAATTGGTAGTCTCGTGTGGTGCCGATATTTGTGGGATACCACCATGTGTCAAGGGCATCTTGGTTTAATTTATGATGGGTGGGTGCCTCGTTCTTTTCTGGCGGTCCAGGATCTTGATTTTGCTGTGATAAATTTGGATTTGTTGAAACCATCCCATAGAGTGTGGTCTGTCGAAAAGACGATGGATGCCGGGAAGCGTTTGTGGAAAATGAGGTTTGTACAGGGCGTGCTACTGGTGACAGGCATGGCGAAGAGTCAAAAGCGTCGTCTGGAATATCGTCGAATTGGCATGATGTGTTTTGTTGAGCAGGATTCGTTGCAGCCTTCGGAGTCTTAGGTTTCTCAACAGCGGGTCTAGAATCCTTGGGGTTTATCGGACTGCGAGCAGCTTTCTCGACTTCATAGGAATCCATTGAGGCGGCCAAAGCGGCCCTGAGCGCCTCATCGTCATCGGAAAAGTCGTCAGAAAATCCATCCGATGCTTCTCCGGGACCACTAGCCTGTGGTGTTGGAATTCGATTCGGTGGAGGCGATGGCTTCTTCCATCTCGGTCCACGTATTCGGTCAGGGCTGGAATGTGGCTGGGTCAATTGTGTAACGAACATATTCTCCTGCATATTGCTATGCTTGAAAACGACGCTCCGGGATTTTTGTCGTGCGACTGCTCTGTTGTGGCTTGTCGAAGCATCGTCGAAGGCGTCGTCTTCTATATCGGAGAAGGCGTCCGTGGATGAGGCGTCATCTCGGTTTTCATGGCGAGTGGGTGGACGTACACGAGGCCGCTTTGCTGGACGACTGGTAGGTAGGTCCTCGCCATCATCGGGGACTACAAAGTCATCATCATCATCAAAGTAGTCTGACTCGTCCTCAGACGAGCGCATCGCGTTGATGCAAAGCCGTAAGCTGCCCGTTGGTTGATGGTAAGTCTATCTTGGGTACAGAGGAATAAACAAAGGCGATGCCGGTCGCTTGACACTAGCGACCCCTTTATCAAGCACTCTGACTTATTTTTAGTACCCGACTTGTGGAATATGTACGGAGAAGTATGTATGCAGCGTCGGGGTCGGTATCCGCAGGCGCGTCGCGCGTCAACAAATGATGCAAATTTCTGTGCCTCAGGCAGATTTCAATATAAGCCAAATTAGGAAATAGATCTATGATTAGAGACAACGACTACACTCAATTCAGTATTGAGTTAAACTAATGTATTCTTCTCTCTAAGTATAATTTTAGACATATTTGTCTATCGAAACCCTTTGCGAGCTCTCTATATCATGAATCATGGTCGCATATTAAACTCCCAAATGTTGAATCGATCCACCCAGATGCCCGCAAAACCCCAATGCCTTTTGTTGAATCCAATGTTGAACGGCACTATGTTAAATGCCTGAAATATTTGCGAAAAAAATGAATGCAAGAATAGATGTGTCGGAGGATAGATCAGCTTTGATATTAAGCCTTTTTATCCGCAGCCTCCAGACCGTATCCGCCGATGCCACCAGCATCATAGGTTTTGGCTTGGTTGCCCCGGTTGTTTCGAGGTCCTCGAGCGTCTAGGTCCTCCTTCAACCATTTGAGAACCAACTCACCGAGTCGGCTATTCTCAGAAATCCACTCCGGAACCTGAGCATAGAATTGCTCTACGAGGCCCCAAGCCTTGACTTTACCCAAATGCATATGCACCAGGTGAGTTGGCCACTGAGCAAGATTATCAAGAATATGGGTAGCATAGACGATAGTACAGTCCCGGGTCTCAGTTTCACGCTTCAGGAAAGCGAGGAAGTTGCTCCGAGAAAGAAGATCAAGATCAACAGTAATTTCATCAAGGAGCAGGACTTTCCAAGGCCGCAACAGACCCATGGCAAGCTGGACACGACGACGTTCACCATCTGAAACGGCATGCATGCGCCAATTAAGGTCAATATCGAGGATATCTACCAGCTCATCACGTCGCTCTGGGTAAGCATTTCCGCCTACGGAGGCGAGAAGAGTGGGGACATCAATGTCAGTGCGAACGATAGCGTTGAGCACCCATTCGACACCGAGATAGGTAACGCCCTCTAGACTGTCCTTGAATGGGTCTTTCCCGCCAACTGCAATGGTATTGGTAGGAGCCAGGCGTTTACCTGACAGCAAGCGCAGCAAGGTGGTTTTTCCCGCGCCATTTGCTGCAGTAATCGTTAGCCACTATGAAAGTTCTACGTATATGCGGACAATTGCTCTTCTGGATTCAAATACCTCCAATCAGTAGTGTCCGACTGCCCGAGGGGAGACTGAGTAACACATTCTCCAGGCCATCCGAGCCGTCCTGGAATTTATAGGAGAGGTTTTGCACCTCAATAGAGGGAGATTGAATGTCGCTGGACTGGGACATTTTGGTAGAATAATTGAGGGGAAAAAGAGATGAAATGAGGAGAATGAGAAGAAAAGGAGAAATGAAATTGAATACAGTAGAAATGAGTCAGGGAGCGTAGATATAGACTCTTAGTGCAATAATGGTCTCGGATGAGGTAATGCCGCGATAACGCGGGCCCGGGGGCGAATTTCATCGTATCTACGCACAAGTCATTTTCTTCCCTCTCCCCGCGCAGGTGGATCACTATGTTGAGTTCCTCATGCTACGTGCCCTCCGATCAGCTTTTTTTGGTCGAAGAAAAATCATGGATCCCCTCATAGCCGTTGTTGGTGCTACAGGCACTGGCAAGTCGAAGGTATCACCAAACCCCGCGCGATGGTGGGCAGCTCTAGAGTGAGATCGCTAATAGCTACAGGTAGCTTGCCGTGGACTTAGCCTGTCGGTTTAATGGCGAAATTATAAATGGCGACGCGATGCAAATGTATCGCGGCCTTCCTATCATTACGAACCAGATCCCCGTCGAAGAACGAAACGGCATCCCCCACCACCTATTGAGCTGCATTGAGTTGGAGGCGGAGCCATGGCGCATCGGCGCATTCAAAAACGAAGCATTAAAACTCATCAGTGATATTCGATCGCGCGGAAAACTTCCAATCCTGGTCGGCGGCACACACTACTACACACAAGCGGTCTTGTTCAAGGACCAGCTTGTCGGCGAAGGGGTAGAGAAGGACGATTCCAGTGACAACGAGGCTTCAGAACCCACAACTGAGGGCCCCTCGAGTTCTGAAAAATGGCCCATTCTCGATTCACCCCCTGAAGTGCTCATGGAAAAACTACGCGAGGTGGACCCGGTCATGGCGGCACGATGGCATCCAAAAGATGGTCGTAAACTGAGACGGTCTCTAGAGATCTACTTCCAGACAGGTCGACCTGCGTCTGAAATCTACGCGGAGCAAAAAGCATCCAAGGCGGAAGCTTTGGTGGGGGATGAGGGCACTCTCCGCTTCAACAATACGTTGATCTTTTGGGTTCATGCGGAAAAGGAGACACTCAACAAGCGCCTGTCCTCGCGCATCGATACCATGATTGAGCAAGGTCTTATGGATGAAGCACAGCTCATGTCAGAATATCTGGAGAAGAAAAGGTCCGAGGGGATCGAGGTAGATCAGACCCGTGGTGTCTGGGTATCTATCGGGTTCAAAGAACTGGCCCCATACTTTGCCGCTGTGGATAAGGCCGAGCAAACCGAGTACGAGCTGGAGAAGCTCAAACAGGAATGCATTGAACAAATCAGGATTGCCACTCGTCAATATGGTGTATCTCAAGTCAAATGGATCCGAAACAAATTATGGCGAGCTCTATCCGAGGCAGGCATGGTAGAGCGTTTATACCTTCTTGACAGTACTGATGTCAGTCAATGGTCAGAGTGCATAACCAAACAATCTGAAAATATTTTCCAGGCCGTGCTCAAGGGAGAGTCTACGCCTGATCCCAAATCACTTTCATCGTTGGCAAATGAAGTTTTCAGTGCCAAAGAGGCCAAGGCACGCGTCCAATCAACAGACACAACTTGCTATACCTGTGAGCTGTGCAAGAAGACTATGGCAGGTGAAGAACAATGGAACATCCACCTCGTGAGCAAGTACCACCGAGGAGCCATTAAGTCCGCTGCGAAGAAGGCTGAGCGCGATGCATATTTTCAAAAACAAGCATCGGAATCCCAAGAAGCCGCTAAGGTGGACTCGGAACCTTCGGTAACCGGCTCTCGAACATGATGCGTTGTCTGGTTAAATAGACAACGTGAAATGAATATAAATCATATATCACCCCGTGATGTTTTCCCGCTGGATTTTTACATACTAGCTTGTTCACCACTTATGAGCATCCCTAGTGCCTCGTAAAATTTGAACTTAACGTATCTTTCTATGATAATTGGGGTATTTTCTGATCAAGGCCTCGGGGCCGTTATGTACATCCAGCCAAGTCCTACATTCCTGGTCAAGTTATGGGAATGTTTTTTGCTTGTTTACCAACACTAAAACATGCATGTGCAGCCCTACGATTTTGGACTGCAAGTGTAAACCAGGAATCCGGGAATTCATTCGTACAATGAGCCTTGAGCCTCAATCTCGTGTTGTGTGTACTCGGTTCTAATGATGGGTATGAATTCGAACACAATGCAACTCGGCAATCCCACATTCCGCGTAGTATTGCGTGGTAACTCAAGAGGGGAGTACTTAGACAGTCTATTGTCGATCACTGATCGAGCAAGCTGGTCAACCGCAGGAAGCAAACAAATCAGACCAAGTACTAGGACACAAGAAACGAATCATAAAGCAAATTGAAAGATAGTTCAAAACCACAACCAGGAATAAACCAGATCCGTAAAAAGAGGGGAACCCCGTGAGGATGTAGATGCAGCTGCATGCATCAGATCATCGTTTCGGTCTTTGCGTAGATTAAGAGATAAACCATGCCATATGTCTTGGCTTCTCGTGATTTGATTTCCCCGCGCAGCAGGGATCCCTCGTGGCTTTCTCTTCCCTCATTCGGATTTCCATGATAATCTCCATGACGCCTCGATGCAGTATCCATTTGTGTGGGGGTAATGAACCACACCCAATAAATTCATTTCGTTCCAATATTCTCCAACATGAATTTCCATATGTCAATCTGTCAATCTCGGGTATTGCCGGGTATACCTGACTCGTTTAATCAATTCTCCAACTCACTATGCGGGCTTCGGGACAACTTACCACTCGAATCATGCTCCCTCCACCGACGTTCCTATCAGCTTTTCTACTGTGACGGAATCCTTGTCTGTATGGCGATTAGCGTCGTTTAGGAAGCCATGGGTACAGGTCTTGAATTTACCCAACTTCCAATCTCTCGTAACATGTAGGGCTGAGATGTCCCTTCGGAGGAAGAGCTAGTTGGACTTGGTCATAGAATTCGTCAATCACGCCAGTACTCAAGTTGAATGAGAAATCACTCAAAGAATGTTGAGAAGATGGGCTTACCTGGATGCAGTGGAAGAAGTCTGGGCGTTGGACCCAGTCGTGGCGTTGGTGGTTTGTGTAGTCGGAGGGCTCGAGCTTTCCTGGGAAGTGGTGTTTGGCGGCGCGGTTTGCGTGGAACTCATTTTTCAAATTCAAGTAGAAGGAATGCTGTTAGAAGATGAGAGTACTGTCTCAATGAATATAAATGAGTTTTTAGGGTGGTTGGAAATGCCAGGATGAGGATATCAAAGTATGATCTGAAGAGAACTACCATGCTGGATTCGGCTGGAAGATGGCGAATCTTTTATAACCATCCCGCCTTCAAGGATGATCATTAAAGCGACGTCCATCTTCAGATCATTTGCTTCATTCAAAATCCATTCCATTAACACTGACAGGTTTGACAATCGAGTGTGGGGGATGCAAGATGCTGGCCGTTGGGCATAGAAATTCCCGTCTAGCCGACGACACAATAACGAACAACTCCGGACTTATGCCCAAGCAGAGCCTCAACCAGAGGTCAATGACCCCTCCTTTAGGAAATTACCTGTTGCCTTATGCTGAAAATGCGAACCACTATGCAGTTCGCATCCCCACTTCGAATTTCCCTTTGCTTTTGTTTTGCTTCTGATCAGCCACTGGAGGTTTCAACTGGACAACTAATTTTCGAATGGTGGAGCATTCAAGGATATCGCTTCTCTCATCTTAAAGCCAGCAATTCTTTGCACCCACTAGTAGGTTATCTCAGGTGCTCTGTCATCCAATACATGGAATGTGGGGTTTGTCTACATGCTATCATTCAATGGCATTGACGGAAAGCATGGTCCATATGGAATTACGATACCTATGAGTCCATAATATTGTATATTGGTGAAAGCAGAGAGCGATTCATTGGAAGAACTTGAAAAGCATGTAGATATTTTGGGTACAACGGCGATTCTGGTAGCAGATTCTCCTTTTATACCTATGTATAGGGCATTTTGAAAAGATGCGGTATGTAAGGTTGATACTATGTATCTGCAATCAAGTTCTCCCACCCGTTCGAATTTTGAAACTTTCAATAAATTGCATGTATTTCCTCGAGAAATGGGTTTAGTAATGGGTTCATGTTTCCAGAAGCTGCTTTATCAACTCATTTTGTTTGTGATCGCTCCAGGTCCCTAATTGGCGTCATTAGGAATAGAGCCGCAGCACCAGGTTCTATCCAAGGCTGCCGGTTAGTGTATGCATAGGACCTTCCCTCGACTCTGCCTCCTGGGTCTAGCTCAACCCCTTCCGATAGAGGTATCAAGCATGCATTCATACCACCGCTCCAAAACCTCAGGCGTGATACCGAATATGTTACTCGCCACTTCCATGACTAGGGATGATTAGCATCACAGAGTTGCACCAAAGAAAGAGGCAATGGCGAAACGGCCACATGGCAAGCTTACCTTCAATATTCCCATTGCAGAGATGAGCCGTGCAACCTTCAGCTTCAAGATCTCACCGCCATACTCTCGAGATTCTTGGTCATCTCTTAGCAGCGTAGCTTGTGTTGCAACCGCCTGGGGCTGCCCAGGAACAGCTTCGGGAATCATATCTCGAATTTCTTGCCAGATTGTTAAAGCAGTCGGTGGGAGCTTGTAGATCTCCATAAAATCGTTGGCTGGGATTGTCTACCAAATGAACGATTAGTCCCGGAGCTTCGGTGCATTCGGATTGGTTAAGGCGTACGGTTCGTGGTTGTGGTTCTAGATGAAATCTTGGGTCCCATGAAGCCCGATGTATCAATTCTTTCATGTTCAGAGGTGCGGCCTTCAGTGCGTCACTAATCAATCTCATTGTCTGACCAATTAGTATTTTGAAAAGAAATTGGAGCCAAAGCGGCGTACCTCGGGATTCTCAACGACAGCAAGAAGATGGGCTCTAGCCGTATCCACATTGTTGCTCTCGAGCAACTCAAGAGCTTCATTGCTGGCCGTAAGAATCCGAGTAGCGGCGTTTTTGCTTGCGACAATACCCATTCCTGCGAGCTCTCATGGATTAAGAAGAGATAGAAATTTGAACTGAATACCTTGGAATCGAGAGGGATCAGTCTCAGCTGAAGTAACTAGGATGTTGGTATCCTCCGCGGCTAGCGTCTCACTGCGATTGGACATACGCTCTACCACTGCAGGCCCCCTGAAACGGCATGTCAGCACTTGATAAATCACACTGCCATTAACTGAGCTTTGTTCGCATAATGAACCCTCGATTGTTATTATTAATGCCCAGGTGCCCATGGTGGGCACATTGTCTCGGGCGGCTAACTAGGCTGAGTCTATAAGCCGCTAAACTTTCATTACCGCAGTTTTCATTTATTATGGGCATATACCATCTGCCTATATGTATGCTCAGGTGTCTATAATACAGCACTTGAGTAGTACTGGATATGGTATTGAGGCGGAATATTCAGGATGAGGAACATAATCAATTCTGGGTAACATGTAGGAGTACCACTTGAGTAAGACCTCCAAAGTCAAATCGCATTCAAATTCTCACAATAGTACGTACTCAAGTGCTATTCATGGATGACAACAATGAGCCTTCGGTGCATAATTCATCATGATGGAGTAACTAGACTATACCGACTCGGAGATGATGAATATTGCAGCTCCCTCGGGACTCATCCAAGGCTCATTGGTGATGAAGACATATGAGCCTCCTTCAATACGGCCTCCAGGATCCAACTCAACATCCTTCGACAAGGGTATCAAATATGCAGTTCTACCACTCTTCACAATTTTGGTTCTTATTGACCAATATATGACTCGTCAAGTCCAGCCCTATGAATTCAAGTTGTTAGAATCATAGATTACAGATCAATAGATGAAGGTGCCCGTACAGTTTCGATTCCCATTTCAGAGATCAAGTGAGAGACCCTTTCTTTGAGATTCTCTCCACCATAGGTTCTCACTTTTTGACCGTCCTCTCCTATGAGCATCGCTTGGATTCCAGCAGACTGTCCAGAGGCTGTTTCGGGTATCAGTTCGCGAATCTCCTGGCGGGTCTTTTCTGCATCCGGGGGTAGTTGGCTCCATCGAGTATACTGTTGGAAATAGTCTGCAATCATTCATCAATATCCATGGATGGGGAGATCATACAACTGACGACACTTAGAGTATGTTAGAAAATATTATTTTGGGGTGATTCCCAGGCCCAGGCGCGGGGAGGAGGGGTTTAAGAGTAAAGAAATTGAAAGCCACAATAAATATTGATGAGTAGGTAGTGATGAGAGGAGACAAAGGATAAGCCGCAGAATGGGGGAAATTGGTTGGCTCTGGCTCTGTTTGCTTCTCACCTCCCGTGGCTACTAACCAAGCATGATTGGACTCGGCATTTACTTCAAATTTGTACATCTCAAATTGATTGTTCTTTGCTGCGGGGAAACTTGAAACGGGAATTCCAAAGTCAGCCTAACTTACTGCGCCATCGGGGACAGCCACGCATTAGCTTACTAGAAATAGGCAACACTTCAGGGGAACCCCATACATACTCAAAGGATTGTGAGAAAAGCTAGCCTGCCAGTGCCTTTTGAGAGGTCAGGAACCCTGTACAGACATCCTTATTAAGCCATATGAGTGCGACAGATGGTCATTTGTGCAAGTACTCGTATCCCCATATCCTAGAATACTAGCTACTAGTAGTTCAAACTTTCCAAGGTTCGATGCTGCCTTCCAATTCATCAAATATCATCAATTATTGCCCCATCTTTAGTAAATCAAGCTGTCCCCAACTTGAATTCCATGATCTGAATAAGTTCATTCAAGAATTACATGCTCAGTAACCCCTCAGAGATCCATGGCTCATAAAGCTTTCAATCGTATATTTCAGTCTCAATGATCCAGAAATGTATCCGTTCAAATTTCGCAATATCAAGAAATTAACACGGATCAGCTCAAGTCTGCGTAGTAGAGAGTCAGGGCATCATTCGCCGATATGATTGTACCATTCCATAACCCAAGTATAATACCTCCACCAAACACCTGCGATACATCGGGGAAGTCACCCTGCTTGTATTGTTGCTCCGCTCTGTAATCTGCAATGTGCTTTCTTCGGATTTCCGCACGAAGCTGATCATCGTCATCAGTTGGACCTCTCCATAGGTCAGCGTATAGCTCTTCATATGGAGGATGACCAGTGGTGAGCTCATATAGCGTTGAGCCTAATACAAAGAGATCGGAGGATACTGTATTCAGTGCCGCATAATCCCTTGGCAGGCAATTTGTGGCCTTCTCATAGCCCAGGGCAACGTTATTGGGATACTGCGAGGCGTTGAAATCGCTCAAGCGAATATTATCCTCACCATCAACAAGAATCTGCGCCAATCTAAGATCGGAGTGAATAATATCCAGGCGATGAAGAACAGCCACTGCTTCGATGATTTGCCCAAAACATTTGTGAATAAGCTCGTCATTCGGTTTTCCTTCCTTTAAAAGTTCTGCAAGATCGCCTTTTGAGTATTATTTAAGATCAATGACTTCTCGATAGCTCTTAAGATCAATGCGCCCCGAGTCTGCTTGTTCTGAAGCAACAGAGTTTGTTTGCCCTTCGGGCAATGATAGATATTCTGCGATCCGAGGGTGATTGCCTATCATTCTATAGATGGTTGCTTCGCGGGACATCGGGCGAGCATGCTCCTGGCTTTTGCTGAGAGATACCTTTCGGATGACTTTTTGATCCACTAGGTAGACCTCTACAAAGCAGCCTATTGTCAGAAGTTTCCAGTTACATAACTCTGGATCGTACGGAGTGATGGTGCGTGTGATAATATGTTCCTTTGGAGGGGGCAGTACATCCAGCTTAATGCAATCAGCACAGAGAGAAGAATAATGTTGAATGAGACATACATAAAAATCTTCCTCTTCTCCTCGAATGCCCTTGATGTCGTTGACGCGACTCCGAGTCGTGAATAACGACTGTAGAACATAATGGACTGGGAGGAAAAGGTATCGACACAAGTTCAGAGTCCGATACCAAAGGGACAAAGGCGAGAACAACTTCAAGTTGAACATCCTGAACAACGCGTGGGGTATTCGAGGTATCGGGGGGAAATCTAGGAGTAAAGCAGGATAAAAGGGGTGAGAGAGGTTGACTCCAGCTATCATGTGACCCTATATGAACAACCCTGTACTTACCCGTGGAGACTGTGTACCTTATTTTTGAATGAGCTAGCATAAGGGGTTTGCGATTTGACTTTGAACTCATTCTCAAGGTGGATTTGCAGTGGTTGTGGAGTGCAACCTTAAGAAGCCCTGGAGTCATATCTCAGGGACTACTCCGTGCTCCGTACCCAATCCCGAATTTCGGGGTAAAAAGGCCCCTTGCATACTTCGGTGACCGGCAATGGGCATCTGGACTTTATTCAATCATTCTATCACATCGACCCCTGAATGAAATGAGTGATGGGAATTTGTCAACTTGAATGTCAATTCCAAGTTCAAGTTTGAACATCGAACATTTGATCGGGAGTACTGGTCGTCACGGCGTCACTTAAATTTTACAAAATGGAATTTTCCAGTCACCTTTCGGACCTTTTTCCACTATCTTGGCTTCTATCTGGATCAATCACCCTCCGCGCTGTTTCAAACAAGCTGATTAAAGTGAAACAAAAATTATTCTACTGCCAGTGGTATATTCCAGGCTTTATTTCTGAGCGGATGATCTGGTGTTCAAGTCGACCATAAGGCTCAAACGCAATCCTAGAGAATGGTCGGTCCTGAACCAATATGCCTCCTTTGTGGGGTGATGTTGCCATATCCTGATGTCCTAAGTGTCCCGGGGGCATTGGCAGATCTTGGGGTTTGTTTCAGAGAAGTGCTCGAGCCAGCCGAATGGGAGAAATATTATTGCAGCAGGTATCCAAGTCATTTCCCGAAGCGGGCAAATGTCTTTGTACCGTCGGTTAAGTTGGAAAACGCAGTATTCTCTTCAAGTTATCCGACTATTTCATCTTGTTGCTTTCGAGCAGGTGAGTCTGTGCAAGCTCTCAGATATTTGGGGATTCAACTATGAGTCATACAGCTGTGAGGTCTCCTTCCAGCTCCGAATACCATCTCACCGGGATTGACTATATAACGCGGTCTGGGTGATATTATCCCCGGGTACCCTTCCGAGCTCCAACGAATATGAAAATTGCACGACTCGATGGAGAATTGAAACCACGATTGATGAGGAGAATATTTACCCCATTCCGACAAGAAAACCTCCGAAGGGAATCACAGACTTACAATCTGAAAGGGTTAAAAGTTGGTTACCTCTTCCATATATCCTGCTGGTCTATTTTGGGCCATCTTTTAGGTAAGGAGGTAATTGAAAAGAACCCTGGGAAGATCGTTCGAGCTGCAGAGCAGTATTGGAGAGACCATCAACTTAAGGGTTGGGGAATCTATGATAGAACAACCTCTTGTTTCTCTCCGAGTGCTTACGATAATGACAAGACCAAGGATGGGCATGGTCCAGGATGTGGGAATTATATTCATGGTTGCGATATTCACAGAAGCCCATGGATTATACTCAAGGTTCAGAGCGCGATCCAAGCTGCGCAAGAGATGAACTTTGCTAAACGCAGAATTACTAGTAATTGTCTTCATCGACTTCCAGCAGAGATCCTCTTGTGCATTGCAGAGCTTGTCTGTCCCCGTACTATGTACTCCGCGTCTGATCTGCAGGATATATGTAACATGTTGACTGCGTTCACGTTGGTTCTGCCAGTGCGCTTCTGGAATGTTCGATTCAAGTCTCAACATATACAACAATTGTTATTCGAGCTGGATGCGCTCAAGGAGGACTCCACAGTGGATGAACAGTTCCTGAAAACCTGATGGAACTCTTTGCGGATACAGTTTCTTTCAAGTGTGGCGGCCTAGGGAACCGTGAGCGAGTTTCCTAAAAAACTCAAGGGAATTATAGAAAATTACACCAGGAATGAGGAGACCTCGGAGACGAGAAGCGTGAACGTGCCGATGAATGATGTTGCTAGTGGCTGATTCCGAGCCAAGTTGGTTTCACATAATGGAGAGTGCTGGCAGATGGCTAATCTTGATTTTAGGAGATCTGTCGTGTACTCTGGTTGTTTGCTCGAGAATGGATGGAGTAAAGGATCGATGAAGTCCAATCATGATACGCCAATGGTATCCGATATGCAGATGCCTAATTTCCCCAAATCCGAGGCAAAATTCCTTTTGCATACTCGAGTGACCGACGATGGACTTGGCTCGTTAGATCTATCGTGTTCATCATCCCCTGAATGAAGTATCGATTTAAAATTCCGATGCTTAATGAAACTTTGATTGCTTTCTCCTTCTCTTCTTTCTTCAGGCTTGACGGGACGTTAGCCCAGAGCGATACCCAAAATGTGTCGGCAAGTAGCGGCATTTCGTCGTAGAATGACCATCTGCTATCCTCCATACTACCAAAGAAGGATTCGTATAACCCCCAGGTGCACATTCCAAATGCCTCAATTCCAGCCTCATCAAAGTCCAGCACACCGGTCACGTTCCCAACGTCATTAACAAGTATATTGACTTGTGAAAAGTCATTGTGAGTTAAAACCATGGGCAACGTGTCTAGCAGGTCAACATTCCGCTGTAAATTGCGGATTATCTCCAACAGCTCTGGGGCATGAACCTGTAGAGAAGAATTCCCAACCAGGCGATCCAACATTATTGGTACGTTTTTAGTCCAACTAGTATTTTTCACAGGCTTCTTCGGCTGCTCAAAAAAGGTCGCTCGTGCAACAAAGGAACCGAGCTCATTAACCGTCCGTTTTTCACGTTCAAGGGGAAGTTTCGCCGGGAAGGGTTGGAACAAGTGCAACTGCCCAGGGATCACGCTGGAGCTATAGGCTGGCAATGGAAACCCTTCGTGCTAAGTGACTTTAGGCACTAGTTCCCCGTAGATTGATTGGGCCAAGTCAAGAATATTCAGTTTGAATGGCTTGAGGCGAAATCGAAAGACGGTCGTTGAAGTACGCAGTGTGAAGCTATTGGAACCTTGGTTTCTAACAGGGGCGATATCGTCAGTTTTCGAAATGGCCTTTGCATATTGGATACAAGTATGTTCTGTGCAAGAAGACGCGGAAGTCCCGTTCCCCAGAGTCTCAGGCACTTTTTCGTGGAAGAACCGGTTGATGAATTGGCTTTCTTGCTCTTCCCATTCCTTTGTGGCCACCATGTTTTGGTTCTTGATGATTTGAAGGAAGTGGAAATTTTCGTTGGAGTGTGAAGGAATGAAGGAAGAAAGATGGACACACGCCTGTATTGCCCAAGTGTCCAAGAGATAGACCGCCTTCTTCGACTATGTATAGTCTAGTATGTGAAGGTACCACAGGTATAGCAAGATGTATTCCCAGGCTATACTGGACGACTTTCTCCACTAAAATATGCACCTTGAAATGGATACAGAGCACCATGATGTGGAGGTCAAAAATCGAACATTTTTATTTTGACAGCTTCACGCTGTTTACATTCAAATTTATTGAAATCAATCCTGGGCTACATTGCAAGAGGCACTGAGACCTAACTTTACTGCTAGCACCCTCTTCAACTCATCATTACTTTCCACCATCTGCATACCAAATCGCTTGCATACAACTTGGACATTCCCTCTTTTCCAATAGCCTGGTGGGCAAACAACAAGAGCTTTTCCTGGTACCCGTGCACAAAGACCAAGCTCGAGTAGGCTGATTGGCGCCTTAGTAGCCGGGTGAAAGTAAACAACGATAATGTCTGCAACTTCCTGCTTTTCAAGCTCCCACTCCACTTGCTCTCGGAAAGGTGTGTATTCGATATCCTCATCCCATGAACTGTCCCAATCTGGACGGTGCGGGTTGTAGATCGTGATAGATAAATCGGACAGGGAGGTTGTTAAAACATTCCGCCAGTTGTGACTGTCGTCGTGGCTGATCGAACCAGCGAGGAAGATGGATTTCTTATTGCGCGCAGCTTCGCCTGAAGCAGCGTAAATGACTTGGTTCCTTGACTGTGTCATTTTCACCCACGAAAAAGTGTTTTTGGGGGCGGTTTTAAGAAAACAACAATGAAAGTAGGGGCGTAGAGCACGGACTTGGTGCATTAACCTGCAGGAAGGGTTTCTTTGGTTTGATTTTTCAATGAGAAACCAGTTGACGATTTTGATCTCAGTAAATCATAAGATGAGGCAGGGTCTAATGATCGAATGATCAGCTCCGCGGTTGTTGGAGTGATTCACAATTTCGTCAAAGTGCTCGGTTTTAGACTAATCCCAAGAACCTTGGAAAGATTTCTAGTCAAGTCTTACTTGAACCTGTAGGCGTAGAGTCAACAAATATATGAGAGCTTTGAATATTGGATTCGAAATCTGAGGCTCAGGAGAAGGATATCATCAAAACTTGTAGCGGGAAGGCATTTTGGTGGGGGAATCAATGTGGCTGAGCGGGGGCTATACTGAAGAGAATTCGCTTATTAGGATTTACAAAAAATCATATATGGCTTGAGTTTGGTGAATTAATTTTAGCGTCAATGTGAGATTCTCAATAAAATTTGAGGAACTTGATAATCAACCATTTTCCATCGGCATGGTAGCTTGATTTGCATATTCTTGTCCTTAAGTGGGACCGTCACGGTAATTGTATCTACTATGCACATGTGGGTAGTGGTCAAGATATGAAAGGGACAAGTTAAATTAATTTGGCGAAAAGGACATGAGACCAAAAAGGATAGTGGCTAGTAGCATATTCATCTGCTGCAGGCTGCGATTGAGATTGGGAGAGTCTTTGAATTTGTCATTCTCCTGGCAAATATGATATGGCCCCATGGTAGGTAGATACAACCTTGGAGCATCTATCTGCTTACTCAATTTCATCCCCTTAGGGACGCTAGACTTTTCTGTATAATCCAATCTAGCTTCGTTCAATTGTCAATCTATATCATTTTAACATTTTCATCAATGCATCACTTCCACCATGCCAGTGATTGTAGAGGCCTATAGTACATGCGGAGGCGTATGCAAATCTTCTTGGCAAAGGCATGCTTATATACTACCGAGTCCCGAGATCGGCTGGACAATAATCTTCACACAGTATGTGAGATAGGTGGATGCTGACTTACACCCAGTCTTCTATATTGATATTTTAAAATAGGTTAATATCTCAAAGGGTGAGATAGCTCCTAGTATGTATTACAAGATGAATTGGGGAGAAAATTGGGAGTAGCACATGGATCTCGAACTCTTTAATACCTTCAAATTTTAGATGGGCATAAAACTATATTTGTAGTATCAATGGTAGCATAAAGTATTATGTCCATCTTTCTCCTTCGGAATTTCATCCCAGGCTTCTAAGCTTAAGACAAAAAGCCCAAGTTCAACTTGAGTTGTAATCTTAGACCAAAGGTGAACTTGAATTGCCCTCACTCGGAACATGACTCTCTCGAAGGCCACGTCGGCTATAGATCTTCAGGTAAAATTTATTGGTCTTACGTATGCTCTTCACTTGGCAAAATAAACTTTCCTCGAAATGTTGACAGAAGAAGATGGGATCAAACTGTCAATTCTCTTATAAAGTCGGGATGTGGAGATTTGGAGCTAGGGCTAGTGGTCCACAGGAGCTTCAGGTTCTTCTTCCGCTGAAGGATCATCTCTCTTCTTCTAGGGATTGAGCTTGATTTCCCCGGATTTTGAACCATATGCTTGAAGTTCATTTTCTCCACCCCCTCCCGATGCCTGACGGTTGACATCCACCTGAGTGGGTAATTTGCGGGGGAATTGAGAAATGCATTCCCCATATGCGGGCCCACATTTGCTTGGTCGAAGAGCTTTTGAATATTTAAACTCAATTTCTACTATTTTTTCCTGAAAAGACAGCTGAGATAACTTATTCAAAGGTTCGAATCCGATTGTCAGCCTGAAGATGTTAACCCGATCTCTCTTGTCCTTTCCCGCGCTTGCGCTGGCATCAATTGTCATCGAAGACCCATCGAATGTGATCAATCCCTCGTTATGGGGTTCTGACAATGCGATTGTGCCGGACTATGACATTTCTATGGTTAGCAGTCAACCGTCTGCAAGTGAGTGCATCAGATATCATGCCCCTGAAGAAGATTTCTTGTATACTAACGCAAATTCATCCACAGTCGAAGCAACTCATAAAGTTGACGGAGAGAGCTCGAGTGCGAATCATGTTACATGGTCCGCTACAGCCAACGATACCAGCGTACTTCTCGTGGCAAATGATGCCACATTTACTGGTTCCTACATCACGTTCGAAAAGTCCGGATACTCGACCAACTTGGACGATGCAAGCTTCTGGGGCTTCAATGCTGCTGTTAATGTTGTACGTTTTCCATGGGCTTGTGTTTGATCCAAAGTAGCATCTAACAAGTCCTCCCTTACTCAAAGGCCAACGCTTCTACGGCTCATTTCCGTCATGTCAATGTTACCGTCCACAATGGTGCGGCCCAGTTCTACTCCTACGGAACCGATACTGTCGTTCATGTTAACGATGCCTGGCTTTACTCCTCCGGTCCTGTAAGTCACGGATTATACGCATCGGGCAACGGAACCATAATTGGCCGCAATGTCCAGGTCTACTCTGGTGGAAAGCGTTCATCGAGCTTCTCGGGCGATTCCCCCGCAGGCTACATTTACGTATACGACAGTGTGGCACACGCAGCTGGTATTGGCTCGGCCAGCTTCTACGCCCTTGGTGAAATCCACGCAACGAATGTCGTCAGTCTATCTGAGAATGGACCCGTTGTCTTTTCGGATGGAGCACAAACAACAAACCTGCTCGATTGTGATTGCACGGCCGGACTTTTGGGTGGAGTTGCGATGTTCAGCAGTGCGGAAAGAGACAGCGGAGCCAAACTGAATTTGACCAACACCAAGTTCACTACAACTGGCTCTGTGATGCCTGGTCTCTGGTTTGGAAATGTTATTGCTGAGGCTACTTTGCAAAACTCCCAGCTAGTTACTAAGTCGGGTGTCCTTGTTGTCGCCAATTACTCTCAGATCACCCAGGACTTTGACTACTATGCCGGCTATGCTGATAACAATGACCTCAAGCCAGCTGAGGTCACTGTCACTGTCACCGAGTCTGACTTGACCGGCGACTTGGTTGCCTACAATGGTAGCTATATCAACTGGTCTCTTGGTAAACATAGCTCATGGACGGGTTATGCGTACTCTGGATACGGTGATGCGACCTTTGATGTGACTCTTGATTCTACCAGCACTTGGACATTGACTGGAGATACCACTGTTCAGAATCTTACTGATTCCCGATCCAGTCTGACCAACATTTATAGTCAGGGATACACGCTTTATTACAATGCCAGTGTGAGTACCTGGTTGGATGGGAAGACGATCAGTCTGTCTGGTGGTGGATCAGCCGAGCCTATCTCATCTTCGTCTTCTAAGCGGGCTAGCTCTGTTCGAGGCAGCGTTCGCAGACCCTGGAGAGCCTAAGCTGGAAGATGGCCAATTCCCTGATTGAGCTCTTCAGTTAATTTTGTAACTATCTGCACATGTGCGAGTAGTCTAGAGCTTTTAGTAGTGACGGTCTACCACCTAGCAGCTTGATAGCAGCCATATCATGAGATTTTTATATGAATGAAGATGATTAGGTGCCTCCGGCGTACTCCGAATCAACATTTGAAAGAGTGACACTAGTGGATGGAGCTCTGTATAGGGGATTGATTCACAGTGTAGCTAAGCCAAATATTCGCATGTTCCACAACTCAGGCTATCTTCTCGCTTTGAGCAAAACCTCTATAGAAACTTGAAGCTAGGAATGTCTGAGGGATTCATTTGCATGCTACATTCTAGTCTGATGTAGAATCTTTATTCACAGATCTGGCAGAGTACATACCCAAAAGTAAAATAATACAAAACACAGAGAATAAGGCCGGGCGAAAGCTAATAAGCTAGAATCAAGAAATAACCACCGTGGCTCCATGCCCTGATGCTTCATATAAGATCTCAAAGCCTCCCACGCCCATTAGACGCCATCCCGAAAATAAGCCAAGAAATAAAAAAGCCAAGTGAAATAACAAAAAATCAATACGAAGATTAAGACAACGTGATCTACCATAAATCAGATATTGATCAATGATTATGACGTTGAAGGTCGAAGGAGCGAGGTGTGTCGGCTGCTCCAGAAAGGTGTAGGAAAGAGGATGAGGCGGAGGTGGCATTGCTCTCAGCACTTCCTGAGGCGTGCAGAGTAGGGCTGCTGCCAAATCGAGCAGGTGATCCAACAGAGATGCCTGCAGCTCCGTTGGCCATCTGCTCCTTGAGTGCACGGTATTCGGCCATTTGGGTTTGCAATTGCTGCATGACTTCACCAATGGGCACGGCGTGCTCCTGGAGGCTATCGCCGGGCTTGAAAGGGCGCATCATATGCCGCACTGCGAGAGTATTGACAGTGGCCTGGGAGGTGGGTTAGTGTGAATGAAAATAAAATGGTAAGGAATGCTAGGTACTCACTTCAATTCGAGTCACTTGCTGGTCAACCAAGCTAAGGACTGTTGAATCATTCAGTTCACCTCCATGGTTCTTGACCATGTTGAAAAGAGCAACATTCGGCTCTCTAAGTTGGGGGTTCTCAGGATTCTCTAGAGCACCACAGATGCGTTCTAGTCGGAGTGTAACCTCCCAAAGGCGCCAGATCACTTCTGTCTTCAAGTCAAGTTCGGATCCTGGCTTTGGTCTGGCAGGGCCACTTGTATCATTGTTCTCTTCCTGGGCGGACATTCGACCTGCGAGGGTGTGCGGGTAGATCAGATAGAGTGGCTCGGGATTCTCAAGACCCTTGAGTTTTCGTTCACCCTGATCCTTGATCACGAAGCCCTGGCTATTGAGCTGTTGCAGTTCACGACGGATGCTATGACCTAGGCTGTCAACTCTTGGCTGGCTATCTGTCGAGCTCGTGGATGCGGAGCGCTCCGTGTCTGCAAAGGCCTCCAAATTACGCTGAATGTCGCTCATGAAGTCAGAGGAGACAAAAATCTGACCACCATCGGCGACGGCGGAGACACGAGACGCACGGTTAACCATAGGACCAAAATAATCCATACGGTTGGTGACTGGGTCCTTCTCGCAGACTGGTTCACCCCAATGTCCTCCCATGCGAACAGAGAGACCACGAAAGATGACGTTATTCTCCATATCCACATTAATCAGGCACTGGGGTTGCTCAAGGATTTCCGTCGGCCACTCTGCTTCGAGGAGCTGGTTCTGACAATTGAAGCACCACAGTAAGGCAGCAGTTGTAGTGGTGAAGGCCACCATAAACGCGTCACCTTCAGTCTTCACTTCATATCCACCAATAATACCAAGCTGTCGTCGAAGAATGTCGTTGTGGATTTGAATGGCAGAACGCATAGCGTCAGGACATGCCTCCCACAAAGCCGTTGACTTCTTGATGTCAGTGAAGATGATGGCGAGTTCTCCAATGGGAGCATCGACAAAGTCAAACCGGGCCAGACGCGAGTCGCCGGGAGTATCGCGAGGCTTCTTGCGCAACTTGGTTACGGGAATGAGGTGTTCTTCAGGGAATGCTGAAGGTCCCAAGGAAACACTCGGGCGCGGCCACTTCTTCTGTCTCTTTTGTAGCTCACTCACACCAAGGATCATGACCATGAGCTTATTGGTGGCACCGAATGAGATGGCAAGATCACGAAGCTTTTGGGATGCGAACATCAGATCCGGATATACAGTTCGAGTGATATCTACCACAAGCTCTGGGGCGACATAATCCCACAGTTCCTTTGACGCTATAATGATCATCTCATCTTGCTCTGTCAAGGTAGTGTGCATGGTAGACGGAGCAGCAATGACAGCAGGCATCATTGGGAAATGACCAAAGCACCTTGAAACAGTGAGCACGTCATTCAGCTTTCCATTGCGAGAAACAAATCCGCCAGCAGCGCGAATTCGCGCACGCTCACTTGCTTCAGCGGGATCATGGACCTTGGTAAGGTAGCGTAGAGAACCATCTGACTTCACAAGAATCGCCTGCGCATCACCCACGTTGGCTGCATACAAGTCCATATTGTTCAAATACAGGACAGTTGCAACACCAGCAGACTGAATGTCGTCCTGGTTAAGTTGTTTCGAGGCGTTGGATCCGCGATGATATTGTCGAAGCTCACGGTCATCGATGGACCTGTATGCCGATCCAGCCATATTCTTGTTCAGCCCAAGGAAAGCACGTCGCAATGCATCCAGTGGGGTTTCGCCCTGGTCGCGTTGGAGTTTCTTCAATTCGTGGGAGAAAGTGGGTGTGAAGTGCTCATGTAAGTATTTCGCAACTCGGGACCCTCCAGTTGACAAAGTTTGCCCATCAAACATACCAAGAAGAGTCTCCACATTATCTGGCTTCAGCCGGGGGACAATCATATCGATAATGGAAAGATGCTCGGTCCGGCCGAGGGTATCTGCCATTCCGTATGCCAGTGACCCAGCGAGCGAGGCGGATGTTCGCACACGGCGGTCCTCGGTCTCCTCTGGGATGGTGGGTATTGTGAGAGTGACATCCATCAATCCCAGTACCCGCAGGTGTGTGAGAGAAGTGAAGTCGGTGAGATCAGTACCATTGCCAGATGGTGGACCCAATGTCGTAATGTTGGGTTTGATCTCGAGACGCTTGTTTCCTGAAAAGTTCAGATACTTCAAACTGCGGTTCCAGTTCCAGTTCCAGTCATAGGGCCAGTTGGAGACGTTATACTTCAAGCCGTTGCTTCCAACATCCAGGATCGAAAGCTTGCTAACTTTGCAAAGTTCTGCAGGGAGGACCTGGAAACGATTGGCGTTGATATGCAGGACCTTGAGGTGATTGATTTCCTCGAGGTCGTCAGAAGGGAGAGATGTGAGTTCATTTCCGGACAGGTAAAGCTCGGAAATCCATGGCCAGCGTCTGAGGACACCCGGGGGCACCTCGGCTAGTTCGTTATGAGAGAGATTGACAATGCGCAATTCTGGCAGCCGAACCAATTCACGGAAAACTTCATCATCCAGTCGGTTATCAGCCAAGTAAAGATTCCGGAGCGAGCCCGCAAATGTGATTGTCATTCCTTGCTGAGAGAAGTTCGAGTCCTTTCGAGATGTTGAGCTGCCATCTGTATTGGCTGAGCGTGATGTTGTTGAGACTTTCCTCGATTGACCAACGGATGGGACGATAGATGGATTCCGATAAGAGCCCTTTGGTGATGATCCAGCGACCCCAAGGACATTTAATGGTTCGCTTTGACGACGAGTATCCACTTCGTTGAGAGGACCTAGTTCCTCATAACTAGGGTTGCCAGTCACTCCAGGCGTTGTGACTGGTGTTGGGGCTGGCTCGCCAGGGACCAAAGGCAGTGCTGCGCCATGTCTTGGAAATGTCGTGAGAAGATTTGTAGAAACGTTGAGTGTTTCCAACTTTGAGCAATGCCAAATCTCTTCCGGGAGAGACTTTAAATTACATTCTCTCAGATTCAAGTCTTTGAGTTCGGCGCAACATCCAATAGTGGCAGGTAATGATGAAAGAGGATTTTTAATGATGCTGAACTGCTCAAGTCGACGTAATTTGCCGATCTGTATAGAGACCGATGAAAAGTGGTTTTTATCCAGGATCAGCTTGGAGACATTAGGCATGTTCTCGTACATGCCATCACGGAACTGCGATAGTTTAGCTGATGCCAGATTCAGTGATGACAATGTTGGCACAGGGGCATCAATATCGAATTGCGTCAATGGACAGTGGTCCAAATACAAGCTGCGAAGCTTGGGGAAAGCGCCTTTAAACCGAGATACCGAGTTATGTCCGAAGAACACTTGCTCAAGTCGCGGAAGACGGGAGAGACTGTCGATGTTGGAGATTGCATTGAAGCGTCCATCGATTTCCTTCAAGTTCACGAGGTTCTGGAAGGAGTTATCCAGAGGACCACTAATGTTGTTATTGGTCATCCAGAGACGCTCCAAGGTGGTCAGTCGACCAATATTTGGGAGTGACTCAATGCCATTGAAACTGATATCCAAGTCCACCAGGCTTTTCAGGTTGCAAAGAAACTCTGGAAAAACCTTGAAGCCATTTGAGGACATGTTCAAACTTCGAAGGGACTGGAAATTGGCAAAATAGCTAGGCAGTTTCGTCAACTGGTTGTTCGCCATTTTGATACTGACCAATCCCGTGAGTCTATCAAGGCGTGCATGGTCCAGTTGCTCCAAGAAATTGTTAGACACATCGAGGTAGGTCAATCGGCCTGCCAAGCTGAAACTTGTTGGAAGGTATGTAGCCTCATTCCCAATGAACTTGATCTCCCGGAGATTGATGCAGCTTTGGATGAAGTCCTTTGGCACATCGAGCGAGAGATTTCGTGAGAGGTTGAGAGAAATGATCTCCGATGACTTTTTATAAAGAGTGATGGGAATGGTGACGAGGCTTCGGCCTTGAAGATCGACGTGGCTGAACTTCTGCATCTTATTGAAGCCAGGGTCTGCTTCAAGACTTGTGTATCCGCTGAGCTTGGTGGGAAGGAAGATGAAACGGCAAAGGTAGCTGTGGTCCTCGCGACCAATATCTTCTATCCTGTCCTTATCCGTGTAGCCGACTTTCTCAAGGAGCTGCTTTTGCATTAAAATTGGCCGCTCCCTATGATCGAGTTGTCGCGAAAGGTCATTCTTCCGCAAAACAATTTCATAGTTGTTGAGGTGGTCAGACAAGAAAGATTTCCGACCAAGCATGTAAAGAATCTCTGCAACGGTCGCGTCAACTCCGGCGGACAATGTCGCGAAAGTGTGGTCTATACGGAAAACTCGAATGAAGTAAGATGCTCCATCCCGTTCACGAACGGTGGTTGTCTGCGGTGCGCCCTCTGATGCTTCTAGGTCGAGCTCGGGCTTCTGCTTCACATGCCAACTGTCCGGTGCATGCCAGCCATCATTTCCATTCGGACCTGGCTGCAAATTGTCTGGATTTATGACGTCTTCCTGCGGTGTTGCTGTTCCATCTAAAATACGCTTCGTTTGGCCTTGAGAGGTTGTCTTGACAATGTCGTGCAGATCTTCGAGATCTGTATCCAGCTTGAAGACATGTTTGCCCTCTTCAGTCTGGTATGGTCCATCCTTGGCGAGATCTGGATTGGTGAAGCCACGTCGTGGATTAAATTTTCGACCGCCGATTCCCAACCCTTTGCCGGATTCCTTTTTCCGGTCTGAGTCTGCCGACTCCAAGTTGCGCTGGGGAGCACTCCCTTCGATGCTTTGCTGTCTTCGCCTACTGGGGGATTGTTCACGCTTAGACTTATCGTGCGGCTTGTGAGTTAAGTTTTTTCGGATCCTGCCAAGGATACCACCAGGACGCTTGGGTGGACCACCAGGTGAGTTTTGTCCACTTTCCCGGTAAATGGCACTTTGCACACTGGGAGTTGGACTTGTAGAGCGGCCAAGGTTGGTGGTTGAGCTCTGGGCTGTCGAAGAGTTGAGGTAATTGTCATTGTACCCTTTAAGCCCCACAGAGAAGTCATCTCGCCCACCGGAAGGACGATAGTATCCAGCCAAGTCGCCTGCATCTGTGCGCTTTTCCTCTTTACTTCGAGAGTGTCGATGTCCATTAGCTCCTCGTCGGGAGGAATCTCTGATACTGGATCGAGGTGTCACACCACGAGATGGAAGGCGCTGCCCATCAGGCCCAATAGGAACTTGACGTACGGGGGCCTCTCCATACTGCGGGATATCATTGAAACTTTGGTAGACCCAAGGGGTGATGTCACTTGATGGTAAAGGTGTTTCAGCTCGAGCTCGTGACTGGCGCTGTGCTGGATCCGATCCGTCAGAGTTCGCTCGCTCGCGGGCTTTTAACTGATCGATAGGTCCTCCTCGTCGGCTATGGGTATTTTGCTGGCCATCATCGGGCTCGTCAGACGCCGTGTATTCATCCGTATAAACACCTTTGGACTTTTTCCTCCAAGGCTTATGACTCAAGCTCGACTTAGATCCTTGGCTGCTGGTCATGCTTGCCGTAGATGGTCTCCGGTTGTCTCGATTGTAATCCAGCTCGGCCGGTTCGCTAGCAAAAGTTCGACTAGTCGTCGGGCGATACGTGCCGGTTACTGGAGATGCCTCATACTCGGAATTATCGTTCAGAAACGTCCCAGGTGCCTCAAGTCCGGTTGTTGTAAGCCATGGATCGACGGAATCCAATGCATCGCGACTAGAATGAGCCACATTGATGGGTGGTGGTTGTTGTTGTGGGCTTGAATTGAACGATCGGACGACATCGTCACCTGCGCCAAGGACTGCAAGAGCCTTTCGGTGGCCACTGAATCCGGAACCTTTGCGCTCTTCGGTTGGTGAGATATCCGGTGAGCTCCATGACCAATGTGAAGAGCCCCAATCGAACCTCTGACCCTGAGATGAGCCAGATCTACCCATTATTAGCTTGGTTCGGGGTGATGCCTGACATATATGGCGCGCATATCTTGCAGACGCAATGCAGCGAACCGTTTCGTTCACAGAACATGCTTACCTCGCCATCAGAGTACCCGGAAAGGGATCCGCATCCCGACCTTCCGATGAGGATTTGGTCAGGTTGCGTCTCGAGCCTTCTCTATCTCGCACTGTTTCTTGCGACACCCAACTTGTCCCAGAGCTTGCAGAACCCTGTCGGTCAGCTTGTTCATGTTCCCGGACAGGCATGGCTGGTCCGGGACTTGATGAAATTCCTCTTGCGCGATCAAGTCACAGCCAACTGGATTAGTAAGGATCGCGACTGTCCGGCGTATTTCACCATCAATAGCAGTGGTTCTTATCAAGAGGTACGGAAATATAAAGGCTTCGATATACAAGTACGTTTCGTAGCTGACAGTTACAACGTCGCAGAGTGTCGGGAGCTTGGCTCGAGGGTGGAGTGGCGTTTTCACCGAGGATATAGAACTATCTTATCGATCCACGTGTTTCTGTAACTTATAGGGCGCTACCAAGTAGATATCATCGGTCGGCGGAGGGTTTGAGGATGCAAGTCCCCAGAACAGGGCGGCATGCAGACCACGCCGCAGTTCTGAGCCTGAGCGGGGAGGGGAACACGGACACTAAAATGGTAGGGGCGCAGCGATAGTTCGAGGATCCACTAGCGCATAGTCTAGGACGAAGGAGCTATTGCAGGAGGGTAAGGTCCAGCTTTGGGGAGGCTGTGAAAGAAACGAGGATTGAAGAGTGGTTGGGGCGGTGGATTGAAGTGATCGTCGTGTCGTGTCCGGCCGCCTTTCACAGGGAATGATTAGCAAAACCGCTTTTTTTGGTCGCGGAAGCTAATGGAAGTCGGCCAGGATAAAATCGTAAGTCGTCATAAAAATAGGGCTATCAAAAGAAATCAAAAAAATCAGCCGAATGAGAAATGAGAATTATCGCTGATGAGATATGAGGGGAGGATGAAATCGAGAATTGGGGGGGACTCAGAGCTGAGCACTGAGTATGAGGCTCTCATCACTAACCAAAGCTCGGAGATATGATTGGCCCAGGATCTCGGTCGGTTCGCAACACGATTCATGGATGCAGGAGATCAATGGACATGTCCCATTTGCATGGACATGAGTGACATGGGGTATGGATAATGATGAATGGGGCGTTTTGGAGTGTGACGGGCGCACGGGCGCGGGTTTGCACTCTTTGCACGGGCCCACGTCGATCTTTGTTCTCTACTACACACAATATGGCATATACAGATAATGAGACTTAAATTTGGGCTTGAACTTGATCGTATCGAAAGTCCAGGTGAGATTATGCAGCTACTTTCTTGTTGAATTGATTCTTATTATAGATCACACAATATGAGTTGATACACGTCAACTCCATAACCGGAATTCCTCTTCTGGATATATCCCGCGAGCTGACTACATACTATGCAGTTGACGAGTCCATTCAAGTTCAAAGTATTCAAGGTACTAGCTACAGCTATGTACTACACCACAATTTCACCTTCGATACATCCGAAGCTCACTCAGGCTGGCAGTCGGAATTGTTCACTTGCTTTTACACTTCTCTCTCACTCAACTTTGAACTTCCTCGACCATCTAAAGTTCCTCACTCTTCATCACTCCAGGGATCCTTGTCTCCTGAGGGAAACACGCACGTCAAAATTCGTTGGCTTCACAAACCAATAATTCTCCGTGTCCATGGTCTTCCTCAGGGTTGTCAAATCATAGTCGCGTACTAATCTCGGAATCAACTTGGACATCTCGAGAATAGAGATATGCTTTCCAAGACAGGTTCGAGAGCCCAACCCAAACTATAAAACAGCAGTTAGATGTGAACTTAATACTGAGGATTGTGGTAGTACAGTTGCAGTACTACCCATTCCCATGTGGATTCGGGATGGACTTACCGGCATATACATCTGGTTCATCTCCTTCAGCTTCTCGGGCTCAGTCTCAGCCTCCAACCATCTCTCTGGTAGGAATTTCTGGGCATTAGGAAATACTTGCTCGTCGTAATGAGCAACCCATGAGTTTACACCAACTGTTGTTCCTGCTGGGAAAAAGCGTCCACTGAGTTGAGCTCCACCTTCAGGAACAACTCTCCACATGGGGAGGCCGGTGGCTGCATGCATCCGAAGTGCCTCCTTCATGACAGCTTGGAGATATGGCATTTCTTGGGTTTCTTTGAATGTGATTTCATGGCTACAACGGCCTTGCTGGGTAAACTCTTGAATCTCTTGACGAAGCTTATCAAGTGCCTCGAAGTTTTGTAAGAGATACCACATGATCCCTGACAGACTGATAGCGGTTGTGTCGGATCCAGCGGTCACATTTGACTGACCCATAATCAAGAGATGGTAATCCGTGATCTTTTCGGGATTCTGGTCGCGAGCCTGCATCATCTTGGATAGGAAGTTTTGTGGACCAGTTGTCTCTGTCATGGCGTCGTTGGTATTCTTGCGTTCGTGTTCCTGGATGCTTATCTTCTCAAGAACAAACTTGCTGATATAGGCTCTGCCTGCAGCGCCTGACGACTTTAGTTTACTCATCGGCTCAAATAGTAGAGGATGCCATTCGGGATAAACGCCGATTAGAGCACTGTACATCATGACATTGTGCACGGCACTTATTGCGCCATCAATATCCTCTCCCCGGTCCAGGAACCCTAGCAATATGTTAGTATGTCTGTGATTCTCACACCAGGGCTTCAAGTTGACGACATGATATTACAGTCATCTGGAAGAGGATTTACCAAATCTTTGACCGAATGTAATGTCTCCAATCACATCAAAGGCATAGCACTGGAACCAATGTCCTAGATTGAAAGATTGCTTCTTCGTTGCGAACTCATCTAATCTCGCAAAAAATATGTCGATGCAGCGATCAACGAATGGCTCGTAACTCACGAGCGAGCTCATGGAATATAGGCTGGTGAACCGTTTCCGTGTGTCGGCTATTCATTCAAAGTCGGGTTAGCTGTTTGACTCATCAAATCCACTGTATTTGGGCCCGCTGCACATGGAAATAATTTTGGATGGTTACGCACAATGTCTCTTGATATCTCGATCTGCAAACACAGTCCACTGCTGTGGATGCTTCCAGCCGTCATACCAAGCTGATTTAGGGAACTTGGAGCCAGACCCGTAGACTGTCTTGATGGCAGAGACATCGCTAATGCTGTACTGATTGGGGGCGATGCGGACGATGGGCCCATACTTCTGGTGGAGTCGGATATTTTCGTGCTCAAATTTTCCATTGTAAAGTTGTTTAAAGTACCACAATGATGTGAACCTAGTCCAGAATGGGCCTGGTATGTTTTTCAATGGAGAAAAGATGGCACGACCGAGCTTTAAAGTGACTTGAATCCCAACCCAGAGGATTGGGATGAGAAGTAGTAAATGAGTATACATGAGGAGAGAATATGTGAGTCGAATATTCAAAATGTTGGCAGGAGGCTGGAAATAAACTTGACTGGGATCTCAATCATTATATGTATTGTGTCATTTTATTTTGACCTTACTGTATTAGTATGTAGCTTAGTTCAGCGATGATGAAGTGCGAGGTGATCCCGACGATGTCCACGGCTGCCCACCCCCGCTTTCTCCAACTTTTAAGGCCCCCGGGGCATTCTACCTAATTCGATATGCCGAATTTCCGGGGAGAGCTGTCAAGATGCACTAAGACTAGTAGTTCTCATGGAATTTAATGAATAAATGATAGAGATTCTCGGAATTCAAGTTTCCAAGGCCATATCGGAGTTTTGGGAATCCTGGAATACTCCGATCTGGATAGGACTGAGATATTATGCGTTGAAATCGTCTCAATATACAGAGCAACCATGAAATAAGCCAATAATGACAAGGTAATTAATAACATATTTGAAACTTGAATCAGGCAAACTTTTGTGCCTAATAGATATTCTAAGCAGAATCGCGATGATAGCCGTGTGTAAGCAATAGCCACAAGAAATAATGCGAGAAACAACCCAGTGTTCCTAAGCGCCTAAAGAAAATCAAATCATAAAACTAGTGCCAGACTAGATGTACCCATTCGAATAAGGCCTCTCCTCCCAGGGTCTAATCACTTCTTGTCGCCCCAAAGACCAACAATTCCCATAGAGAAGGCAATACCAGCCATCCAGGTACGCGCACGCTGCAGTCGACGCTCCCGGTCCATCTCGCGCTGCACACTCTCTCCGTTGACATCCTCATCGGTTCCAACCATGACAAGGTCGTCATCCTTCTTTATCGGAGATACGCTGCTCAGGTTCAAGCCGGTGGTATCTTGGATAGTGACGAAAACCCAGTTCATGAAACCCAGGTGACGGTTGAAGAACAGGTCCAATCCATGGGAGCTCAAGGTTGAGGCCACACACATCCAGACAAGGTAGGGGTGTCTGCGGCGTGGAGAGGAGAGGGTGTAGGCGAATAAAATGCAGGCATTGGTTAAGCTGGATAGGCGTACCGCATGCCTGCGGTTTAGACGTTTCACCTCGTTCAGACAACGGGAGGCTGTGGTGGAGGTAGGCAGAAGCTTGAGCGATGGAACGGTAATTGCAGCGGTTGAGTAGGATATGCCCTGGATTCAAGATTTGGTTGTGTTAGTTTTCATTGTTGGTGACCTCATCGCGACTGAGCGCGTAGAGGTGTTGCCTCCTCGAGTTATGCTTACCGTGAGTAGACCGAGCGACACAGTTCCCACGAACTTCGTAATAGTGATTGGGCAAGCCATGGCGCAGAGAGTTTCAGAATTGCGCGATTTGGCCGAGGTGAAGAGTTATTGAGATTTGTTTTGATGAAGTGGAAAGAAGAACGAATCTGTTAAAGAAGAAAAAAGCACTTGGGCGGAGGTGACGCCAGACCCAACCTGTGGCCAATCAGCGCCTGTAAGTTGCTCATCCTTAATTTCTCTCTACGCTATTGATCTAGATCATTCAAATGTGCATTTAATAAATAATATATGATATGATACTATATCTATAATCGATTGGTTTATTTTTATATCTTCTTTCTTATATACAATGTAGTGCCCAGGTGGGTGAGGCTATCTGCTGACAAGCGCGACCTCATAACATGGCTATTCATAGCAATGAAAGGGATTCATTCAAGTCTAAGCTCTCTGGATATCAGTGCTATTTAATTAGATTTAATTAGGTTCAGTTTCAGTCCTATGAACTCGAATAAGTCACAGATCATCTTGGTGGATTATGCGCATGACTCCGTATGCGCAGGGACCGAGTGAGCCGAGGCCCAACTGTCCTTGTGGGGGTACACCGACGGTAAAGGGTAATCAGAGAAAGGAGAGACTCTGAGAGCCAGTCCCCTGGGTGCAATACATATTGTCTTAAAAAATAATCATCTGATAACCTACTCTGTATACTAATTATTCCATATCATCCTGAGTTGGCCCCATCCTCGCGGGTCTTAACACATAAGCTGCTTATAGCCCCTTATAATCCCTGCGGCCCCCACAGTCCATTAGTCTTGCATCATCTGCAAGTTGAAACTTGAACTTGAACTCAGACAACCACAACCATGCCTTCCAAGACAGATTTCATGAGTGACATCTGGAAAGATGGCCTCTTTGGTAATGAACTATCAAGTCCCCAAAGTTGCAAGTTGTCGAAGGTCTTGAACCTTGCTAACAAGTGTTGTAGACAACAAAGTGGTCTTCTGTACCGGTGGCGCAGGCACTATTTGCAGTGCCCAGGTCCGCGCCCTTGTGTACCTCGGTGCCGATGCGTGTATCGTTGGTCGTAATGTAGAGAAGACCGAGCGTGTCGCTAAGGATATCGCAACTGTTCGCCCAGGTGCCAAGGTCATTGGTATCGGCGCTGTGGATGTCCGTAAATACGATAACCTGGAGGCTGCTGCGCAGCGATGTGCCAAAGAATTTGGCGGTATTGACTATGTGATGTATGTTCCTGAGAGAATTCCACATCAGCAATCTGGACACTAACGTTCGTAAACAGCGCCGGTGCTGCGGGCAACTTCTTAGCTTCCATTGAGCAAATTTCTGTCAATGCCTTCAAGTCTGTCATCGATATCGATGTTCTGGGCTCATACCACACTCTCAAGGCTACATTGCCATTCCTGCTTCAGTCAGCTGAAAAGCACCGATATGATGCCAAGACCCGTGCGTTCAGTTCACTCTTTGAATGTCTCCATAATAGTATCTAACTTTTCTTATAGACACCCCATCTCCCCTCGGTACCGGTGGTAGAATCATCTTCGTTAGCGCTACTCTCCACTACCGTGCCATGCCTTTCCAGGCTCATGTCTCTGTCGCCAAGGCGGGTATCGATGCTCTATCGGACTCGGTCGCCATTGAGTATGGTCCTCGTGGTATAACTTCTAACATCATTACTCCGGGCCCGATCGAGTCTACTGAGGTGATTATCATTAAAAATCTTATTTGTCGGAATATTACATACTAACAGCGTATAGGGTGTGGATCGTCTCATTCCATCGCACCTCAAGGAGGCGAATATCCAGGCTCAGCCCCTCGGCCGCCTTGGACATGTACGAGACATCGGAGACGCTACTGTGTATGTCTTCTCTGATGCTGGAAATTATGTCACCGGTCAAACACTAGTTGGTATGTCTCATGAAAACTCGCTTAATAAGTAATCACAACTAACAGTCAGTAGTGGACGGCGCACACTGGCGTATGTCAGGTGCCGGTGGTACCTTGGACTACCCCGGTGCTCTCTTGTCTGGTAAACCTGTTGCCAATGTTGCGGGATCGAAGAAGGCGAAGCTTTGAGGCATTCCTTAATTTCGGAACATTTAATGACTTTCAGCGCTGGTCTTGGACTGGAGAAACCCTTTCGGATTGACTAACACCTTTAGAATCACATTTGAATCAATCATCGTTGATACTACCTACATGACTTAATATGAGTGTAAAGTAGCCATTCATTATCAAGAACACATATAGGAAGTGGGATATTGGGCAAAAAGAAAATTAGTGAGGTTTAGGTACACGTCTTCCATAGACATTCTCACAGAGAATCCCAAGCACGTCTGTTAAGAAACCATCTGCGCTTTCCTTTTGAAATCTGGAAACCAACCTTTCGCTCCTCCGCCAGTTTACTCAATGACTCATTCAGAAATGGCTCGAATGCGTCAGCAAAGAGTTCTTCTGGTATATCACCATGTAGTGTCTGTACCATCTGACGCGTCGTCAACCCTCCTTTCACTTGAACCAAAGCCTGATAAATCTGATGCTCGCGATGCTTCTTTTGTCGAATATAAAGTCGAATCGTTCTCGGTAAATCAACAATCTTGATTCCATGAGCCGGGTACCCGATTTCACATCCTTGTCGTTGCATGATCTCTAAACTTCTCATATACTCTGCTAGATCCTCGGCAACACTGTATCCATGACCTAGCACATTATCACCGGTGAAAAGAGCGTTTTCTTCTACCAGGTGGAAACACATGTGGTCTACCGCATGGCCGGGTGTAAAAATAGCGCGGATTGTGGCACCCTCTGTTCGGAAGATTTGTCCATGCTTTATGGGTAATTGTCCGGGACTGGGTCGATTCTTGTATACCCTTGACGCGAGGGACGGGTCATATTCGATTAAATCGGGTACACCACCTGTATGATCGCCGTGCCAGTGTGTGAGAAGAATATGCGATATTGTAAGATTGCGCTCTCGAAGGAGACGGGTGATATTGGTAGCCCAGGTGGGAACTCCCTACGGATAATGTTGAATTAGAGATACTGATCTTTCGAGCATCTTGATCCCTTACCTGTCCGGTATCAATAAGGATTCGAGAATTTCCAGTCCCAATGAGATATGTGTTAGTACCCTGGAGCTGCATTTCTCCAGGATTTCCACCCATTATTCGGGTCACCCGGTCTGTGAGATCTTCGATATCAGGGAGGTATGGCAAGCTTGCTCGTTGGGCTGAAAGGTAGTCTCCCCAGGCACAGCCTAGAATAATCGGATTACGAGCCATGATATGGTCTAAACGATCAATCTTCACGTTTGATTGTCAGGGTAGAAATGACTTTCAGTTGAAGATTACCCAGAATTTATAGATAGAAATCCGAGTCCTACTGGGAACTTGAACCTTGGAAGACCTAGTTTGGATGATTTGATTTATTTCATCTTCTTCATACATCCATGGAGAAGTATTTGATATTGTTGACTACATAGATTAGGTGGCTGTAGTGAGCAGTATTCGAACGGGGTATTTGCTCAATCTCAAATTTTGCCAGTGCACTCGGAGACCGAACTAAACCTTGAATGAGGACGGGCATCCAGATAGAGTATATGCCATAAAAAGTCGAAATTAAAGATCCGATGGAATGATCCGAGTCCATTGAAACATACACATGGGTCTGTTCGGCTCATTACCTACTTGTGCAGCGTGCTATTCCCGAGGCTCGGGTCGGCGATAGTCACCTGGGCAATCTAAACATAACTCAAGCTGGAAGAGACCGAAGTTCAAGTTGTACAGTTCACCGGGTGCCGGTGATTGAGTCAGATTCGATTATAATACATTTTTGATACAAGCATCCATCTACTGGATCTTTTCACTCTCCTCCATCAATTCCTCCACCTTGAAATTCTCCGTGTCTCCACGAGTGAACATGCGGACAAGCTCGCTCTTGCGTCCGCTGGCCTGTCCCTCAAAATCGTAGAAACGTTGCACACAGCTGACAAGCCATGTAGCCTCCGTAGTAGACACACCACGGTCAGGCACGACCTGTCCGTGCATCAAGACAAGACCCTTGTCATCTGCCAAATCCAAATAATGTGTAACAGTCGTGTGCGGCTGGGCGAAAGAACCGTGCATCTTGAATGCCCCAAGGTGGGTGAAGATCACCGTGGAGACATGGGTATTAGCTGTCTCTCCCGAGGAGGAAGTAATGACGGGTTCCTCGGCAGGGGGGTGGAATGCCCATTGTAGGAAGTGAATATCAGCGGTGGTCTCCTCTTGTTCCTCGGCGGTCTGTCGTGGGAGTGGGAGAACGAATTGGGGGTGCTGACGTGCGGCGTTGAAAATACGCTGGTATATTTCGAGAGGGATCGCCGCGCAAACGGTAGTTGGGTTGTTGGCGAAACGGAGACGCCAGAGTGCTTCGATCTCCTTGGCTGGGAGCTCGCGGATCTTTTCGACATCGACGTATGTGCTCAGAGGCTTAATGGGACTGGCTTTGTCGGTTGCTTTGCGGGCAGCATGTACGGTCGGAGATTGGGCAGAGGGTGATTGTTTTTCAGGTGTCTCGGGTTCTGGGGTGGTCGCGGTCGATGCTTGACGGCGCAAATCGTGGATCTTGTCGCTGTAGGCTTCTTTCAAGGAATCAACGGACTCATGGCCTTCTCTGAGTGGTGGAAAGATAGTTAGCCGAGGTCCTTGGCTGTGATTGATTTTCCTCACACTTACTGTTTAGCCTTCTGATCCAGCTTGGAACGATACTTGTCCAAGACGTGCTTGGGATCGTGGTGCGAGGCTAGAAAGCGCACATCGTGAACTTGAGCCCAGCGGCGCTGCTGGGTGCGAAGGGGATTCGCTTGACCCCGGAAAACGGAGCGTAATCCTTGAAATCGTAGGGAGGCCATGATATGATGAGGATGAGATCAATTAACCAGTACTGAATACTCGATCAATTGATATTCAATGACTCGGGCTTGTTCCGAGGAGATCACGTGGTATGAGTTGAATGGGCCAATCAATGGAATGGGATGTATAAAGTGGATCACGATAATATAATGATGAAATGAGCGAACTTCAAATTGAATTAGGTATTATATATTTTATACTGTTGATTAAAAAAGTGAAAGAAGTTTATTGCATAGAAGTATTTCAAATTCCTACTATTAACCACCCATACTTGGGCATCGACTATTTACCCAGTGGTGTTACTCATGCACTCAAGTGCTATTCATCTTAACTTTCACATACTTCCAAGGTTCCTGATGTTTACTATTTATACATATATATATGCATTTCTGCAGGCTACTAGTAATCCCTTTTCAAATAATTCCATAAATTCCAAGGTTATAAGCATCTCGACCATACCAATCAAAATACAGAATCAGACCAAAATGAAGTTGCCTATACGGAGTAATAGCACGTCTCCGTACTCTAAGCGCCCAGTGTGACTTGAACTCACCATCCAAGTTTCCCCTCACCAATCATCCTTCTATCTAACAACCCGGATGGAGTACCCCCTGAGCGAATCACAACCCCTCATCTACCATGCCCCGCCCTGCAGTCACTAAGAAACAATCACAATTAACTAAAACCTGGGCGCTTAGAGGGTTCTCTTAAAATAAATCCTTGGACTTCTTGCATCCTGCAACTTTGAATCTGTCTGATCGTCGTGGCCCCTGCAGCATGGATCCTGGCGACAGTCGTGCAATTCACCCTGATGAGGAGTTGTTCTTAAACAACTCCTCCAGGAAGACAAGTAACGCATCTAGGGTTGAACCTCTCAGAATTAATAAAAGAGACTCAACCATGTCAGTTGCGCCCGTTGCAAGCCCACCACCAACTGCGCCGCTGCCATACCCCGATGACAGACCTCGTCTTCAAATGCGTACCTCATCTTCTAGCGATGGGCGTCCCGCCGACCCAGCCCCAGCTAGATATGGGTCTCCGCCCGTAAGCTCCGGGTCTGTGAGCCCCGCCGATTATCCCCCGGCTTTGCGGCCGCGGGATGGTCGCGAGCCAAGAGTCGCGACACTAGCTGAAAGACGAGGAAACGCACCGAAACCATTACCTGAATCTCCGGTGACCGATCCAGGCCGAGAAGCTCTTGCAGCCAGACCATACCCTCGTCCGCCAGCGGTTGCGTCGGCTTCATCAGGGAGCGTACCAACGGAGAGGCAGTATGATTATCGCCAACAATACTTCCCGCCTCCTCAGCGCACAAACTCACGACCATCTTCCGCCCGACCTCCCTCTACATCACATGCGCCTCAACCAGGTGGGATCAATCGAATCAGCTCAACTTCCACTACTCGCGCCCAACGTGGTTCCCCGCCACCTCCAGAGACACCGATAGTAGGACCAGGGCAGCAGGCTACTTCGGACATCGAAGCGCGATATGCAGCATCTGGAATCGCTGGAACGGGCACACTCATCGGCCTTCGATCACAGAGTTCCGCAGCGCAATCACGCGCAGCTCAATATGCGGGGCAAGAGCCGCCTCAGCAACACCAGCCGGCGCCACCAAGACCGTGGACGCCCACCGAGCAGCCGGGTAGCCAGCCTCATGGACCGCCCACTGTTTACCAAGGCGACGAGGTAGTCAGCGATAGCCCGGACCTTCCTGTCCACCCGGCGTTTGCCAACAGCCCGCCGCTACAGCCTCAGCCGATAGCCACACCGACGCCTTCCAGGCCGCAACAACAACAATCACCACCGACCCCGCAAAGCCAACGACAGTCACAGCAGCTTCAACAGTCCCCGATTCCCGGTAATGCACTGGAACAAGATATGGACCGAATGAACCTTAGTTCCTCGCCTCCCCCCGCATACTCGACTGTTCCCCCAAACTCATCTGCAAACAACTATCCACCCGAGAAACAGAATGGTACACCCGGAGGCGATGCCGGACCGGCTATCGCAGGGCACCCAGCATTGCTCAATCAGTCACATGCTGCCAGTGCTGTATCCGCCTCTCCAGCACCAGCTGTCTCTCCCCAGGATCATCCTGCATTTGCCAATGATCCCCGACAACAACCTCAGGCAGGCCCATCTACACAGAATGCTGTGCCTAACGGACTACCAGCTTTTCAACCACAAGTAATCCAGCACGTTATGTCTCCTGGACCAGCTGCTGGTCTACCGCCGGCATCTCCACCACCCCTTCCAGAAGGGTGGATCGCTCATATGGACCCCAGTTCTGGCCAGTACTACTACATTCATCTACCCTCGCAATCTACTCAATGGGAGTTTCCAAAGGGACCGACCCCATTGAACCTCAATGATACGCCGTTGTCGCCCGTAGGAAGTGTTTACACGAACCACCCATTGGCCTCGCCAGGCCTGTCAGCTTTTGGAAAGCCCATGGCTTCCCCGGGACTGTCGGCATTTGGAAAACCAATGGCATCTCCAGGAATACCTATGACTCCAGGCTTTGAGAGTATCCAGTCTCCTCTTGCAGGATTTTCCGGTCCCCCGCCGAGCAGCGGAATGGATTTGTACAAAACCGCGCCGACGAATGGCGTTTACTTTGGACCTTACCTACGCTACACAAACATGGATATCGAGCGGGGGATTTGGATGGGCTCTATCCTTATTGTAACTGATGCTGCACAGCCACCAACAATCCACCTTCACCAAAGTGCTGATCTCTCTCCAAACCCGCGACAATTGAAAGCTGTCAATATTGCCGCTCACCAGCGGTGGACGTTCTACAAGTATGAGGTTGACATTCAAATGGATGATATGACCCCAGCTAAATGGACATATGCGATCACATCTCACCTCGGTTGTACTCGCTACGAGTTCCTTGTCGCAGGTCGACATGAGACCAACTGGCGTTTCATTGCAACATCTGGGAACGATTTCTCAGTAAATGTGAACGCCAATGAGCGAGCTCGCTTAGGTGGGGTTGGATTTATATGGAAAGACATCATGCAGAAGCATAACGAGATTGGTGGGTTCCATGCACAGCTGTGCCTTGGAGGACAGATCTACGCAGATCGTATGTGGAAGGAGATCCCTTGTCTCAAACAGTGGCTGGCCATTAGTGGGAAAGAGGCAAGAAAGAATGCACCTTGGACAGCGGCAAACCAGCAGGATGTTTCCCATGCGTACTTCCATTACTACACCAGTCATTTTGATCAGCCATACCTTCGAGAGTCATTTGCACAGATTCCTTACATCTGCCAGATTGATGACCATGACATGTACGCAATTCATCTTCCAACGGGGACTAAAAAACGTACTTATGCTAACTTTTCATAGCTTCGATGGGTTCGGTTCTTATCCGGATCATATGCAATTTTCAAACATGTTTAAAAATATCGGTCGCATCGGCATTGAGATGTACCTACTTTTCCAGCACCATACAACTTTGGACATCCTTCGGAATGTTAGCAGTGACGTTGATCTTTTCACTATCACTGGGACCGGCTGGCACTTTGTTAAATATCTTGGTCCTGGTGTTGTGGTTGTTGGCCCAGATTGTCGCTCTGAGCGTAACCCCCACCAGGTGATGGCTGGTCCAACATACCAAGGCCTATTTCCCAAAGTTGCAATGCTCCCACCGAGCGTTCAGCATTGTCTTTGGATGATAGCAGTCCCTCTCATCTACCCTCGATTAGAGACTGCTGAGCATATCGCCCATACTGTGACTACAGGAAAGCGTGCTGTAACTGGCACCTATAACCTGTTAGGCAAAGTTACTAGCTCAGTGGCGGGAGTAGTAGGCGCCAAAGAATTCGTGGGCTCCGGGTTTGATTCTGTGAAGCGTGCAGTTGGCAAGTCTGGCCTTATGGGCAGCATTTTGAGTCCTTTTGGCGAATTTGATTTGATGGATGAACTGCGCGACCAATGGACTCACGAGTCAAAGGTTTGTCATATATCCCTCGAATCCTATACAAAATATCTTTATCATACTAACATGTCTACTCAAGGACCTTGAACGGACTTACTTGATTCGTACCCTCCAGGGTATCGCCCATCAGAAATCACTTCGCATGACCTTCCTCTCCGGCTCGGTCAATGTCTGTGGTGCCGGTCTTGTCCACGATCCCAGCCAGCCATCTGATCACAAGACCATGTACCAGCTTATTTCATCGCCATCCGTGAATACTCCGCCCCCTTCATATGTCGTGAAAATGCTCCATAGCAGCAGCAAGCCATTATACATCCCTTCCAATGGCCACAGATCCTCATCCCAGCCTACTGATACCAAAGAGGACATGATGGAAATATTCCAGAATGACATCAATGGACAGGCCCGCGAGCATCGCAAGCTCATGGCGCGTAGAAACTACGTTGCCATTGTGGCTTACGATCCCGAGGTTGTTGCCGCAACCCCTTTCAGTCCTGTTGGCCCAGTTGCTGGAACCAAAAAGCTCAGCTTAGCCGCAGACTTCATCGTTCAGGGTGAAGGAGCTTATGCTAGTGTGGTTAAGTATGGGCCTGTCATCGTACCTAGTCTGGAACAAGGGCGATGAACCAGACCTTCACTAATGGATTCTATCGAGCATAAAACCTTTCCCCTTTCACGCTGCTAAGGTCATTTTATTGAGCCTTCGTCTTGTATCTTTGCATTCCTCTTACTTATTCCTGGTCCTTCATTCATTATTTAGCGCTTCCCTTTACGATTTGTTCTCACGGGTTACTTCATGCACATTTCTTTATTAGAAACGTTTAGCCATCGAATCAGACGAATTTCTTTTTGTACATTGTTTTCTCTATTTATTTTTTGTTCACATTTATGAATTGGTTAGAGCATGTGTCATTAGGCCCACCACGGAAAGCAACGGCATTTGACATAGCGGGACTGATTCCGCTATGAGAGATCGTTACCCCGGTATACATCAAGGTTTCATTGCGGCTTGAGCACCGAGGACGACAATAACAGGTACCATTATAACCATATGCTTAACCGGTAGAGTTAAATAGGATGATTAAATAGTGACTCTCTATCCAATAACTTGAATCTAGCGATAATTCTACTTCTACAGCCATTCCTCAAAATGTCCTCGAACGTAACACTATACACCTATTTCCGTTCATCCTGCTCTGCTCGACTCCGCATCGCACTTCATCTTAAAGAAATCCCATTTACTCCAATCTTCGTCAATCTTTTCAAAGATGAACAGTCTTCCCCTTCTCATAAGGAAATCAACCCATCCGGCCTTGTCCCAGCCCTGATCATCGAACGTGATAACGAAGCTCAAGTGACAATTACTCAGTCCCTAGCAGCTCTGGAATATCTACATGAAACATTCCCCGGACCCGCACTTCTACCATCCGATTCGGATTCCCGCGCTCAAGCACGTGCATTGGCTTCCATAATCGCGTGCGATGTTCAACCCGTTACGAACTTGAAGATTTTGAAGCGTGTTGCTCCCTTTGGAGTGGATCGTGCAGCTTGGTCGAAGGATTTGATCGAGGAGGGTTTACAAGCTTATGAAATCACGGTGACTCGGTCGGCGGGCAAATTCAGTGTTGGTGATATGATTACTATTGCGGATATTTGTCTCATCCCTGCTGCTTGGGGCGCTGAACGGGTTGGTGTGGATTTGGGGAAGTTTCCGGTTACAAATGCCATTGTTAAGAATTTGGAAAAGGAGGCGGCTGTTATCAAGGCTCATTGGCAGAGTCAGTTGGATACTCCTGAAGACCTTCGAGTGAAGCACTAGGAACACGGCTGGAGTATGAGATTAATCTATGTAGTGGAGCTACTTACGGGAAAGGATTTAGTTTGTTTAAGCTTGATTGAACATGATCATTGCATTGCATTCTTGCTGGGGATAGTCTAAATTGGATAGCGAAATTCAAGGAAATCAGATCAGTTTATATTTTTTTCATCGCAGATTCATGCTTAAAAAGAAACAGGTGGGAGAATGGTGCCGACACAGTCGCCAAATCCAACATAGCTACCCTCTGTACCAGCAGTACCACGCAGAATGATAGTATCGCCATCCTCCAAGAATAGACGCTCAGATCCATCAGCCAGAATCAGAGGTGTCTTGCCATTAGTCTGTTCAAGCAAACTACCCTGCGTCTTGGGCTCGGTACCGGAAATAGTACCCGAGCCTAGCAAATCACCAGATCGCAGATTACATCCGGTGATGGTATGGTGAGCAACCATCTGGGGGAACGAGTATAGAAGGTTGCGGGCATTACTGTGCGAGATCACTGTGGGTTGACCACCCTTGTTGGTGATCTCGACCTCCAGAGGAATCTCATAGGTAATCTCGGGGCGCTTTTGTCGCAGGTATGGGAGGAGGGATTCGCGATTTCCGGGCTCAATTCCAGTAGCACGGAAGGGCTCAAGTGCATCGATGAGAACGACCCAGGGTGTAATGGTTGTGCCGAAGTTCTTAGCGTTGAATGGACCCAGAGGGACGTATTCCCATGCTTGGATATCACGCGCGGACCAGTCGTTCATCAGAACGAGACCGAAAATGTGATCCTCGGCTTCGTCGATAGAGACGGGTTTACCCATTTCATTGGGCTTGCTGATGAAAGCTGCGAGCTCGAGCTCAATGTCTAATTTCTTGCATGGAGAAAAGACAGGAACCTTGGGGTTGGCGGCGGGGTTGGCGAGGATTTGACCACTTGGTCGGTGCAAAGGTGTACCTGAAGGAACGACAGATGAGGCACGTCCGTGGTAGGCGACGGGGAGATGTGTGTAGTTTGGCTGCAGAGCATTCTCATGTCCTCGGAAAAGAACTCCGACATTATAAGCGTGATTCTTTCCAGCGTAGAAGTCGGTGTAATCGCCAATCTGCATGGGAACGTGATTGGTCACTCCTGAGCGAGGCAGAAGAGCTTCCTTCTGCAGGGTTGCGTTGTCCTTGAGTATCTCCGGGTACCGGGTATCCGCGCTGAATACATTCTGTAAGTACTCGCGCACCTGGCGATGTACTGGACGGCCCAACTCGGCGAAGTCGTTCAGAGTTGTTTGGTTGAAAACGGCAAGATTCTTTTGAACCTCAGGCAATGGAGCGAAACCACCAGCAGTAGCAAAGGTGCTCAAATCCAAGGCATAGTCACCGATTGCAATAGCAGGAACGCGGGAGACGGATGATGTGGAGATGATACCGAATGGAATGTTGGCCAGGGAGAATGGCGAGTTCTTGGGAATCTGAAGCCACGAAGCCATGATGAATTGTCTTGTAATGAAGGGAGGATGCATGAACTGAGAGACTATTTTATTTTATTTTCTCTCTGCGATCTGCCCAACTTAACTATTGTTGACCATAGTTTCCCCTCGGTCTATGATTCCGGAGTGCGGAATTGATCCGTCCCCCGCATCCAAGCGGTGCGGAAGTAAAGATGAATGACGCAGGGTTAATCGCGGAGTTCTTGTTATTTACCGCTGAGTTAGTTACACACGGAATATGCATGAGTTGATCCTCGGTCGTTTGTCGAAATACTAGTACAAACTCCCCTCCTTTCATCTTGTTCTTGTTGAACTTGCTCTCTCCACACGCCATCATGCCCGTTACCAACTTTCCTCATCCTGATCCCTACAGTTACCAGACTGGCTTTGACTCGTATCACGAGTAAGTATTGAATCAGATCTGAAGTTTAACATCAATTAACTCTTATCCTTTAGGTCTGAGGCAGTCAAGGGAGCTTTACCAATTGGCCAGAATTCCCCACAAAAGGCTCCCCACGGTCTATACGCTGAAAAGCTGTCGGGAACAGCGTTCACCGCACCCCGCCATGAGAACAAACAGACTTGGGTCTACCGTATCATTCCTGCTGCAGCTCACGAAAACTTTGTCGCTGAAGAACGAGACTCATACCATACCCGCATGACTACCGAGACACACAAGCTGCACCACATCCCTAACCAACTACGATGGAATCCCTTTGATCTGGACGAGAAGGTGGACTGGGTTCATGGTCTACACTTGGTCGCTGGAGCTGGTGATCCGACCTTGAAACAGGGACTCGGTATCTTGCTTTATGCTGCTGGTAAGGATATGGGCAAGGAGGCATTTTACTCTGCCGATGGAGACTTCCTCATTGTCCCTCAGCATGGCGTGTTGGATATCCAGACGGAACTAGGCCGCATTATTCTGCGACCGAATGAAATTTGTGTTATTCCGCGAGGAGTCCGGTAAGAATATTCTTTGTTGGATATAAAAGTGCAAACACCTAATATTAGCATCGCATAGATACCGTGTCACCCTCCCCGATGGTCCTGTTCGTGGCTACATCTGCGAGCTGTACCAGGGCCATTATGAGTTACCCGAGTTAGGCCCCATCGGATCCAATTGTCTTGCCAATGCCCGCGACTTCCAAGCCCCGGTCGCATCCTTTGATGACGAAGAGGAACCTTCCGAATACAAACTCTACAGCAAATTTGCTAACTCCCTTTACTCCGCGCGCCAAAATCACACCCCATTCGATGTTGTCGCCTGGCACGGAAACTATTATCCATACAAGTATGACCTGGGTCGCTTCAATACTATCGGATCTATCTCCTTTGATCATCCTGATCCTTCCATCTTTACCGTTTTGACTGGTCCCTCCGATCATGTCGGCACCGCCATTGCCGACTTTGTTATCTTCCCTCCTCGCTGGTTGGTCGCGGAGAATACTTTCCGTCCTCCATGGTATCATCGAAACACCATGTCTGAGTTTATGGGTCTAATCGCTGGTAACTACGATGCTAAGACTGGAGGTGGCTTCCAGCCTGCTGGTGCAAGTTTGCATAATGTTATGAGTGCCCATGGACCAGATGCTTCTGCGTTCGAGGGTGCTAGTAACGCTGAGCTGAAACCGAATAAGGTTGGTGATGGCAGTATGGCATTCATGTTTGAGAGGTATGTTTTTCCATTTATTGATTTACTATTTCGGGATCTAACTTTCAATAGTTCCCTCATGGTTGGTGTCTCTGAGTGGGGCTTGAAGACGTGCCAGAAGGTACAGGAGGAATACAATGACCATAGTTGGACGCCATTGAAGCGTCACTTTAAGAATCCTGAGAAGGCTTTTAGTCTTTTCTGATCTGTATATATACATAGCAAATTTAAAATTGTCCACGATCTTTCGAGTATTTCAAATATTGAATTTGAATTTGAATTTGTCGATCTCTCAGCAAATATCCATGCCCATGCCTAATAGAGTCGGTGGCTTCGGGCTCGGCTACTGCCGGCTATTTTGCAAACCAGTGATCTTTTGGCTGCAGTTGGAGAGGTGCCTAAGGTACAGGCCATAGCTCTAGACTCAATTTCTTACAGCCTATTCAAGGTTTGACAAAAACATCTCAGTGATTGTGTCCCAGCTTCTCATGTCGAACGAACACCCTGTCCAGTCGAACTGATTTAGATCATATTCATGATCACTTGTTGGGAAATTCATATCAAAGAAGGAAAACACGTCGTCTGCCTCATTTCCTTGCTGTAAAGGTTGTACAATGCCTTCTGGCTGGCTCAGAAGAGAATTGGAATTCTCTATAATGTTGAAATCATCAGGGGGAGTCTTTGAAAACTCCGTATCAATTGTGGCCAGCCGGTCGCGGCCTGGAATACGGAATTTCTTCAGCATAGTCAGCATGGGCGAGAGTTTCCTCGATAGCTCATGGGATGAAGCAGGGTGGTCTCGATATGAAGCAATCAGGTCAATTGCTCGGGAAACCAGAATCTCTATATCATCTAATGAATGTGACAATGTGGAATCAGAACCAGTCTCGTCCAACGCGTGGACAATGCTCAGAATCAAAAGGACGACTGAGGACGATAGAAAGTGTTGAAAGGTTGCGATTTGGCGTCTGTATGTAGCGGAATTGATATCAAGGTCTGACAAAATGAATATGCTATCGGTTGCAAGCTCGAGCCCTAGCTTGATCTTTTCATCATTAGATCGAAGATGGGGTTTCCCCCAGAAAAATGGCCGCAGTAGGAGCCCACGTAGCTGATTTGCGCGGAGGTACAGTAAAGTAGGCACAAACTCGGGAGTAGATTCTTTCCGCTCTTGCGGGTGACAAAAGTTCAGAGGCTCCAGGGAAACGCGTCGCCAATCCTCAATCCTCTTCCCAAGCTTGTCAAAGAGAGAATCATTTTGACAGTCGGGTTCTTGTATGAAGCCTTGAATAAAGCCCGGAAGTTCGGGAAAGCCAGACACATAGGATACCATTGCACTCAAGCAGAGTGTATTGCACTACGGTAGAAGAGTAAGAAACCGTGTTATATCGCCATTGAGTGTACTGACCAGATCTGGAGAGGTTTTATCTAAGTCTAAATCCTGGACACTCCGCGGGAGCCCTGTTGCACAGCTCCATAAACAATCAAAAACATAAATGCTCCAACAAAGCCTGGTGAGCTCAGTTCGACTGTAGTCATACAAGCCGTTGACAGGCGTATTTTTTTTATGCAATCCAAGCTCCATCGCCAAACGACTTGCAATGCCGGACATGCGCCATGCGAGGCGCACGTCACCTTGGGAGAAATGATAAATACCCTAATGGCGTGAGTTAGTGAACAAAGATAGTAGCAAGGCCAAAGTGTTTGCTAACTGACTGTGAGTATGACCGTGATGATGTCCGTCACATTGCAGCCCGCGAAGAACGAATTGGATCGCACTAGCACCAGCACATAGGAAAAGAGGGTCTCCCTTAGAGAATCCTCGGGGCGCTCAATGGACAATGCTATAGCAAGAGCTACGCAAGTGACTGCCGCCGCTCCATTCATGTCAGTCGTACTCAACCTGGTTGAATTGTTGAGATAAGACTCTTCCACATATCTGAGAAGCCTGTTTCGGTCAATGAGCGGGTAAATTTGGCCTATTTCATGTTGATAAACATGTACTAGCCGAATTGCCTCGGCCTTTTGCAGGTGTTGAGTGTGTGGGGCTTTTGGGAAGCACGAGGCATGATTCTTTTCTTTTCCATCGAGCCCCGACCTGGCTTCAACCGCGTCTCCTTCGGTGTCGGTAGTGGGTGTCAATGCCTGGTTTTGACTGACTCGTTGCGCAGCCTTGTTGGCACTATACTGAGTACTTGTGGGTCCAAAGTATTGGATGTCAAAGCCTGGAGGAGACACTACTGCGGGTATTAAATTGCTATTGTTCGGCTGTGAGGCAAGCGAAACATTCTCCAAATTCTGGACACTGGAGATTCGCGACTTGAGTTCATCCAGATTATTTTGCATCTTGTCAGCCAAGTTTGTCATCAAGTCAAGTTCTCTAGTGGATGTAGCTCGGTTAGCCTTTGCTTACTAGTAGCTCCACCGCCAGGGGGTGTTGGGTGAAATAGGAAGGAGAGGTACAACACTGACTCATGATGGATAGGAATATAGTCATTAGACAGGGGTATATTATCTCCTATGTTGCGGAATCTGGACGCCGATTCAACAGTCGTCTCATAATGGCACTCTAGTGATTTTTGTCTGCAATAATGGCACGGCAACTGCCCATTGCATCGACCTTTCCGGCGCCTGCAGGCGTCACAGGCCACAAGGGACTTTTTCAAGGGCCGTTTGCGTTTTTTCGACTCCACAGGCATATTGAGCAACGCTTTTTCCTCTGTTCAAGACTGGTTCAGGAGTCATGGGCTACTGCTCAGCGAGCCTCGACCTGGTGGGTCATGGACGGAACAATGAACGTCCGGGCCGGGTGTAGATAGCGATGGCAATTGAAACGCAATCAACAACCTTCGAAGAAATCGCCTGAAAGTCACGGTAGATAGAGAAAAAAGGAAAGAGAATGGAAGGTTTGATGGAACTCTGTCAGCATTGGACGCCGTGACGAAAAGAAATGTCCAAACCCCCCGGAAGATTCCGTAAACTTGGATATAGTGCCATACCGGAACCTCCGTAGAAGGTAGCGGAGACTCCGAACCGGCCAGAAGTCTATAAATCCAGTTGCTATTTCCTGTCGTATGGATTTGTTTCTATCAACGCCCAGCAAAGAGAGCTTTAACTTTTTCTTTTATCTCGAAATGGAGAGCCTTATTGTGATTTTGGGTATTACTGGCAATCAGGTACATATATGACTCAGACTCAGCTAGAACATTGAGCATTGGCTAATAATCGCACTACAGGGAGCATCAGTTGCAGATGTATTTTTGAAGGAAAAAGGATGGAAACTACGAGGCATCACTCGAGATGTGACAAAACAGTCAAGCCAGACCTGGAGCCAGAAAGGTGTTGAGATGGTACAAGCTGATCTAAACAACCCCGAATCACTTCGAAAAGCGTTTGAAGGAGCGAAGGTTATCTTTGCAGTCACAGACTTTTGGACTCCAATGTATGACCTATACAACTATGGCAAGCTGCGTCAGGGTCAGAGCATCAGCGAGTTTTGTTATGATCTCGAGCTTCAGCAAGGAAAGAATGTCGCTGATGCGGCGGCATCCATTGAAACGCTGGAGAGATTTGTTTTCTCTGGTTTGGTTAATATCAAAAATACCACCAAAGGAAAATATACATGGGTGTATCACTTCGACGCTAAGGCCGCAGTAATGGAGTACATCAAGACTTCTTTGCCGGATCTGAACAGGAAATCCTCGGAACTCCAGCTTGCCGAATATGCAACAAACTGGCGTGTTTGGAAGTTGAGGCAACTTCATAAAGTAAGTCCAGGCTGTTTAAGATACTGCTCGACAATGACAACTGACATGGACCACGTATAGCAAGATGATGGTACCTTTGCAATGCTGCTCCCCGGTGATTCAATGGCAGGAGCAGCCTTCGTTGTACCCAGAATAGACACAGGTTACTTCGTGAGGGCATTGGTTAACCTGCCGCCAGGAAAGAAGCTGCTAGGCTATGGAAGCTTTCTCAATCATGAGGAATATGTTCGCATATGGACGGGTATTTTGGGAGTCCCGAATGGTGGAGTCAAAAGGATCACAGTCGAGGAAGCTGCCGCTTTTGAAGGAGGTCCCCACGGACGGGGAGTTGCTGAAACATTCGCAAGTGTCCTTGAAGTCAACTTTCTGGATGATAGTTTCATGCACCCCCGCCAGGTACGGCTTTCAATCAATATTCTTTCATTGCAGATTTTTATTAACATATTCTGTCAGATTCCAAACAAGGAGATCGAATGCCCAACGACCAACATCGAGGAATACTTGAAGAGCCAGGATTTCTCTTCAATGCTCCAGCGTACACCTTGACCTCGAATGACTATGGGATGTGTGTTTGTGATTAATTTGAGTGACGGTTGTCAAATGTGCTATTTATCAAGGAAGAGGAATTCAAGAGCAGGATCTGAGTTGCGATCAGAGGAAGAACAAAATTTGAAGGAAGGAAGTAGAAGCCTTGGAAGAGAGTGTGTGTAATAAATAAGGCTCAACTCCTCAATCGCGACCCGATGGCACTAGACATTCGAGTGGCTATATTGATTGTACTCAACATCCCAAGCTCTCTTAATAGTGATGCCTTCTTCTTCATTAATGGCTTGTTTCTTGACGGTCGATAATGGGATTCCAACGGTCGTGTCATTACACGAGCTGTCGACTGTCGAGTAATTGTGTGGTGTTTCTTCCGTATGACTCACAATAGAGAAAGGCTCTATTTCTTCTTGATCATCGGAGTTGGATTTGAGTATCCTTGTGGCCCATGACGGGCCTTGAGTACGTATCGGAGGCGTAGCTCCGGGTGGGTCTTCCGATTGGTTTGATGACTGGGAATCAAAAATTGTACGTCGAACTGCAACCCATACCGGTCGCAAGGTTGGAAGGCAAGCTTTGATGCAGTAAATATGATGAGCCATTCTGATCTTCACGATGGCACGCACCTGAGACAATTGCCAAGTCAGCTTCGACGGTCGCCCAAATGGCCTGGTTGACCCAGTTCCAACTGACGTCTGCATCAGTACCTTGAGTCAATACTGCGACGAGTCGCATTATCGAGGCGATACAGACACTGTTTGGTCAGTCACAGATTTTCAAAATTGGGAATGACAGGCCTACTCACAAACCGCCTAGAAAGAAAATTGAGATGATCGCTTTTTTCTGGCTGCTTGGGATGTTGAGTTTCATGATGTAAGGCACAGGAAGTATGAGAAGAGTAAGGTCAGTTAGAATATTTGGGATTGATATTGCAAACAGGAACTTTTGACTGTCAACATTGCAAGAGGCATTGACAGAACGATCCCAAAACCCTCGGGTTGGTATACATTGTAGCAGTGAGAGCATAAACTGGAAATTTAGTGTGAGAGCTCATCAATCTTCTATTTGAGCGCGGGAATAACACTTACTACGGCGATACCCCACATACAAACTGCTGTGGCAAGAATGCTGATGGGAATTTTGATGTTCGTTCTGTTGAATATACGCCAGTACAAGGCCAGGATAGACGACTTGACAAGGACAACGATGCCAGTGTATGTAAGTTCACAAGAGAATAGCCCGATAAATGCTTTCTCTGTCGCAGTTGGTCCGAAAGTCTGAATATGCCTTCCAAGAGCGCGAGGTATCCCTAGATCTGTGAATTTCCAATATTTATGTAATACCAATTGGAGGTCGCCTTACACCACAATAGTGAAGCTGTCAGGCCAAGGCCGCAGGCCTAATCAAACATGTTAGAAATTTTGAATGTTCCAGCCGGGAGGAGGCCTCAGAACGTACCAGTGAGCCTAGAATCAGCCAGTCATCAAGCCACAAGCCTGCTGCGTTTTTCCAACGGCTCCAGAATCGAAGACCGACACAGAGGCATGCGATGAATAGCGGTATTGTTGAAGAAGCATACAAATTGGGTTGACGAGTTTCGGAAAGGTCCACAGAGGTTTGGGGCATAGAATGAGGCATGATAGTTACAGGGAGTTCTCGGTTTTGGATGCGCAATGTGAAACAATTGCCTAGATGATTAAATAAACATCTGAATGTTCATATAAACCTGTTGAGAGGAAATGGTACTAGTATAGTCCAGTCACAGCTGGCAAAATCTCCGAGTCTCTGTGAGGTTCGTAATAAGTGCGATATAACTTGAAGTTGAATAGAGCAAGGCCCAGGTCAATACTTTCAATGTTGCTTCTCCAGTTCTTTTGTGACTGAAAGTGAGGCTGAGGGATTCCACGGTTGTACATGCAGAAAGGTAAAACTGAATGAGTACTACTTAGCACTGTATGGATGAAAGACATACTAGATAATAAGAAGTAGTCAGTGATACATATGCATGGATTAGGATGTAAAGTTCCAAGTTTAGAATGATTTGCATGTTACACCCCCTGGCCACATACCTATATTCACCCCCCGAAATGAGTAAGCTTACTCAACCCAGACTAGGTTGTATTAGCTTGTATATTCAAGCCAGTAAGAGATCTTGAACAAGATCACCGTGGCGTAAAACTAGATGAGACCTTGGGAGATATCACCAAAAATACTATATTGGTCTAAAGTTCTGAATGATTGTTCTAATTATGCACTTGGAGTCACTAAATCTATCTAGAGACTTGTGAGCTTTATCTGCCAGCATTCATTGGATCAAGAATAATTGCGCAAACCAGTACAAATTAGACCATCAGCTATTTGAAAATGTATGTAGTAGTAAAATAGTATATGGGGCGCGAATCCTAGTATAGGTTATAGCCTAATAGGCCTCTTTTACATAGAAGGTTCCGGCCCGCAGCCACCCGGGCTAGGCATCACTGGCACTAATCACTGCCCAGGTGGCTCCCAAATATTCAGATGTCGCCTTCTCCCACCAATTATCTTTTGATGAATACCTAACCATATGTCTCAACGGTTTAAAGTCAGCAACTTCCTTTCCAATCAAAATATTCATTCATCCTAAAAATTACAAAATATCTCAGTTTCAATTTTTCCCGTTGAATTGAATGGCCGTCACCTTTAACCTACTCAGTTCGGACCAAATTATTTCGCCCCTACGTTCATTTTAATTTATTGTGATAAACACGATTCACGCGAATTATAGTACCCACCAGCTAGCTCTATGTACTACCTGACATAGGTCTAAATTGATATTCGAGGGGTACAGCATCTCCGTTTGACAGGTGTGGTTACTTTAGGCCTCCACATGCAGGTCTACTTCCAAGGTTGCAGGTAGCCGTCACAATCTGACATGCGGCTGATTGTGATTGCGTACTATACACTCCATTTACTCCGTAGTGAAAGAAAAACAAGCTGTGACACCTGGAAACACAGCCCAAATCACAAACCTGCAGCCTTGGAGGGGTATGTTGAAAATCATACATGACTAATAGATGCCACCACCTGGGCAACTTCCGAGGTTTGCAAGCCTGCTCAGGTGAAACCAGCCACTCTCGCCTTCTTTAGCTTACTCCTGGTAGCACCCCTCCGGCCCCTCATCTCTTTTTCTTCTAACTAATAATATTCAACTTACCAAAGTCACAACTGTTTTTCAATTCAGACTCACCTCCAATATGTCTTCGTCGAATCTCCCGGTGATCATTATCGTTCCAGGTGCCTTTGGGACACCTGAAGGCTTCGAAAGATTGCTCCCGTATCTGAACAAAGTCGGATACACAACACACCCAGGATCATACCCCAGTTGCAACCCCTCTGATCCAGCCAGTGTGTCTGCTCTTCTGGATATCGTTTTCTTGCGTGACAACGTATTACTTCCTCTTTTGAACGAGCAAAGTAAAGATGTCGTCATCCTCGCACACTCATACGGCGGTGTTGTCGCAGCTGGTGCAGCAAAATACCTTGCAAAGGAGACCAGAATAGCCCAAGGTGAATCTACTGGCGTCATCGGCCTTATTTACGTGGCAGGCAATATTACACTTGAAGGAGAATCTCTCTTCACTGCTGTAGGCGGCGCCTATCCTCCTTTTATTAAAGTCAACAAGGTACGGTCTACTACTCAGAACAACGGCGACCATAAATTATAAGCATGAAGTGCTAATTATTCTTCCCAGCCATCTGAGGGCCTTTCTGTCATTGAACCGGCCATGGATGTTTTGTACAATGACTGCGACCGTGCCCTTGAGCCAGAATTGGCTAAGCTAATGCAGCCACACGCACTTCGAGCTTTTGAAACCCCCGCCACTGCGCCAGCCTGGGCGGAAAGCGCTTTTGATGGCAAGAGAGCGTATGTGCGTACCATGGATGACTGCTGCAACCCTTCATCTTTGCAGGATATGTGGCTGGAGAAGTCCAAGGTCGAATGGGATGTTGTGGACTTCAAGACAGGACACATGCCATTCGTGAGCCAGCCTGAGGCTTTGGCAGACCAGATTATCAAGTTCATCGAGGGTTTTATTGCAAAGTGAATGGTGACGTGTCCGGTATCCATATCATGATGCGGAACCCGAAATGCACGCATGTGCAACTTGCTCTATAAATTATTAGCAATCTTCTTAATGTGAGACGAGCTGGTCAACTTGAAAAACCTTCTAATAACGATTTCCTGATGAGTAAATTCCAAATATTCAATGCAAGTTTTCCTAATCTGGGTCTAATATTCAGGAGTACTTGGCGTGCATTTATTTTTCAAAAGCTAGGTCTAGACTCAATCAAACAACTCGAAATAGAGAAATCTATCGCTTCTGCTCCACCAACTCCTTACTCGTCTGTCATGTCAATCTTCTTTGTTACCCATACCAATTTTGGAACCATGATCGAAGCACCATTCAAAGTCTCTATCATAGCGTTCCGCTCCAATTTCCTGGATGCCTCCGGAGTTTTGAGTGCGTTGTCTGCAAATTCTTTCCACGTGCTCAGATATCTGTATGCGAGTTAGATAGTGCCATTACCGGCCAGTGTCGATGTCTATTATAACTCACACGTCATTCCAGAACCGGGCCATTCCCAGTCCGTACTCATAGGTATACAGCGTTGAGCCAGTGTATCCGTTTTCATCCATGATTTGCGTGAGCTCATATTTCCAGCTGTGAAAAATGTTAGCTCGCATGGAGTCTTTCAGCAGTGGCATTCCAATAAACTTACGTGTCATGGCCTTTGAGTTGGGAAAAGAGCGTATCAAGGTTACGGGCCGAAATCCCAGGCACGGTCTTGATCGAACATCCAATGGTGTCAACCTCATCCCACTGAAGATAGCCGCCGGGTCCTTGATTCAATGGACTGTCAGACAAGTCTCGTAATCAGTTGTGGTAGGTACATACTCAATAGCTTGTTCAAGTTTGCTAGGATAGGCGGGGGTCATTGTTCTTGACAACAACAGTGATCAGACGAACGTGTACAATGTCGAAGAAACCTACAAACTCATCCGGTACATCTTCAAAGATGTTCCAAACATGCATGTGTACATTCGCGGGTAGCCATGCTTTAGGGCCAACTTGGTCCAGGCTGATATCGAAGCCGTGAAGATCTGTGGAGGTTGGTTTTCCACGAGCAAAATCCTGAAGCCAAATACTGAAACAAAGTCAGATATGAGTGCATATTTCAAAAGTCGGGAGATCACGATACCCGTTGCCAGTAGCAACATCAGCGACTCTCAAGTCAGCGGCCCGAGTATCAATATCGGGATGAACCAGGAACCCTAGTAGGTCTCTCCAGAGATAATGCTGCGCGGTAAGTCTAGTTATGATATCAGTTAAATGGCCATTCACGGTAAATCAAACGAACTAACCGAGAATTTGCATTGCAATCGCGCATCAGAGCATAAGGATCCTTAGCTTTTATCACTGTCCCATTCCAACTGTTTGAAGCGGGAAGCTCCGGTACACTGTCCTGTTTTGGCACTCTGTCATCCACTAAGCGTCCATCTTCGCGGATTGAAGTTGTAAGGTTGCTGGTACTATCGGCCTCGCCCATTGTGCAATTTGTCCCGATGTATGGTATCCGAATAGGCAACTGGATTGATCAATGGCTTTTGGAGGGACTCTGTTCAAATATTGGTTCAGAGGTATGTCTTTATATGGGGACTCCGAAGGCTTAACCGTCAATAGGTAGGCAGACTGATATCATTAGCTCTAAGCATTCTGCCTTGGCCTGTTTCAAGGATCAAGAGATAAGCCTAAGGGTCAGCAATGTCTCAGGGGCTATTTGTGCAACCGAGGTCTCCGTCAGTGGGGACACTTGGGCGTCTCCGTTTTAGCTAAGTAGCTTCAGCAACCTTTCAAGTTTGCCACCCTATTCAGCTTGATCTATCCCGGCTATCACAAAAGGAATGTGAGCCAGCCACTTTAATTTCAAATTTTGTTTGCCGCTGCTAACGGCCTTGCAGCTTTCGTAATATGACCTGCATATCACATCCATGGATGCCAAGGTATTTATGAAGGTATGTCAATTAGCCTAGCCACCCACTGCAGTCTTAGAAGCCCAGCAAAACCATCATTCCAAAAGAGGACCGTGTACCTCCCAGGTGGGCAATTACGCGATGAGCTTGGGGAAAGATTTGAGCTTATGTAGTCGTTCCCGCTGGTGATACTTTTCGTAACCTACACGCTGCTCAGATGGGATTATATGGCTGTATCATATGCAGGCGAATGACCGAGCCTCAGAAACGAGTAGTACTAGTACCAGATCTGATCTTAGGTCAGATCCAATGTGCCAGGATCTTCATAAATACTCTGATTCCGTAAGCTTATTCATTCATGGTATGTTCCATTTGAAGCTTGATGATGACATGCATGATTCAGTCATTGGCTTTGGAGTAAGCCATTCCAAATTAAGGATCATATTAATTTAGTCTTCCTTAGACTTTGATCTTCCTCTTTGGTCCCATCTATAATAGAAATTCGGCTTCCACCACCAGAGAATGAAAAGAGAGATTGCATAAATGCCGTTCAAAATGGACTGGACCACTTGACCCCCTGAGGCAAAAAGGATCACTATTAGGAGAACCACGCTCGAGAGCCAAAATGCAATTCCGAACCAACTCCTTTTCTCACTTTGAAAGATTGTGAACAGTTGCAGTGCTATAAATGCGAGGAAGGGTATGAGCGAAACCCCTATCGGCGCAAGGAAGGGTGTCACAATCGAATAGCTATAGAAGGTTCGTTAGCAAGTCTCCGCTCTTTGATCATTGACTTCATAATATCTAACCTGACAACAATAGTGGCAAAGAAAAGACGCCACCAGATCCGTCCACGAGCAAGCCCTTGTAAAGTTATGCGGATAATGCTTCCAATAACAAGTGGGATAAATATAGTTCCAACCATGAGGGGCATTGCAATCTCGAAAAAGTCGTCTAGAGACCATGATTGATTGCCTCCAGAGTCCACGATAAGTTCGTTTGAATTCGTCCCATCGACTACCGTGACGTTGTGCCAAAATGGTTGAAGGGGTGTGTACTGGTTGAGATTCATGCCCAGGAAGCTCTGACAAATTAGCTGAGAAGTTCGGGTTTCAAGCAGTGATATCGAGGACTCACAGTCACAAATGAAAGAGGCAGGTATAGTGCAGCAAGAATGCCTAAGAGACTAGTGCGATGGACTTGGAGAAGGTCCAGATTCTGTCGGAGATCGCGACATAAATCCGATGCTCTTATTAAAGATGATTCAACTTCATCGTGTAGGTATTCTAGATCCTTCAGCACCAATTCAAGATGACTAATCTGTTTCGCCTCGTCGTCGCTACGAGGACCTTGAATAGAGTTTACTTTGTCAAGTAATAACTTCAAGCTGATTCCGTTTTCTTTGCAGCAATCTTTTGCAACAATATGGCAATCCTCTAGATGTTGGAGGTATTGTATTTTGCTCCCAGAGGGTCGAAGTCGTCCCTCATAAACCTGACTAAGTTAGTTCATGCATCCCATCTATCCTCGTGACTACGATGCCCACCATGTAATTAATCTCTTCGGTCGCTCGAGTTGTGAAAGCAACTAGCTCAGTGGAGACCTCCGAACACACGGCCGCAAAGAGGTGGAGGATGTAAGAAAGACTAAATGTGTTGTGCTCTAGAACCTGTGTGGAGAACTTGCCACTTCGCAGCTTAGTAAGGGTATTATGAGAGTTCACAACCACAATTGCCCGTCTCAACTGCTCGAATTGACTTGATGTTAAGATGACATCTAGGGTCTCCACTTGGGGATGTTTTCCATACGGCCGAAACACGTAGACTGAAAGGTCAGTCGCGTAATGAGGGGCAGGAATCCATTTGAATTCAAATTTCAACGGCATGTCAGGAGCAATGTTAAAAGGTGTATGGTCTTCTATCATTTCTGATTAGCGTGCATTCAGATTTGTAGATAGGTGAGAGTGTGTACCATAGGATGGTAATTTCGGACGCCATGATGAGAGACAAAGCTCCTTTGCGTGCAAGCTTTCCATAATGCTGGCCATGATTTCATCATCTAGCCTCCACTGACTTTGGAATATCCGTATGATTATTTCACTTAGTGAAGAGTACGCTTGCTGACGGCGGTCATAAGAAGTCAGAAATGCCTTGTCAATGAAAGAGAACGCACTGCCGAGGTTCATTGTATCGGTGGAAATGACACAGACTTCGAAGACAGCGGTGTCATTTATCTCTTCAGTAGACAGGATCCGCTCAAAACACGCAGCCCAGGTATCATGTTTGGCGAAGTGAAGATCATCCGCATTAGTAGCTTTGTACATAAGGATTCGTTCGACTGTGTGAAGGTTGGGTCGTCGGGCAATTTTGCGATAGTACTTCTTCAGTGCCTCGTGGCCGCAGAGGTTTTCAATGACCTTGTCCGAGCTTGTGCCGCGCCATGACTTTTTTTTTGTTATCACCATCCACAAGTAATTTGAGGCAAAACTTACATCCATCCTAATATTTTCTGCCATCCACATAGCCAGTCTTCGGCTCTGTTGCTGGTAGGGCCGATTTCTGCCATCAGCGGGAGGGCTGGTTTGGCGAGAAAGGTCTTCCAGGTCGATTTCCATTCCATGGGGCGATTCAATGAGCGTTTGTCTGGAAGACGCCGCCATAGCAACGCGTATCGTGCGAGGTACTTTGATGTGACAACCAACTCTAAACAATCCAAGTCAAAAAAAAAAAACAGCACAGTCCACTCAATATGTAGGTTGAATCAGTTCCAGGAGCTTTTGAATTCACCCTCCCAATTTCAACTCTCAAGTGACCATAGAAAGAGACGATGTCATCTGGGTCCTTATGAAGCGGCCCGTGGGGCCTCTCAGAATGGGGCTCAGCATGTGCAATCCACAATAACCCGGGGGCAGCTTCTAAGAGGGCTGCTTGTCCAGTCATAGAATCTACACGTGATCTGTAAGCTGGTGAGGCGTTCGTTTTCTGGAGTCATGAAAAAAGCGAAATGGTATCTGAAGTAAATATAAGCGACGCGCGACCAGCTAACCTCCCAACTCCAGAGTGGAAGCAATTTTCTATAGTTTGATACTCTACTTTGCATAGATAGCATACTCTGTAATCCGTCACCTGGTATTCACTTGATCATCAAATGGGCTTTTTACAGAGGATGTTTTCTAGTATCAAAGGGGTCTATCAAAATTGACCCAGGGCGTGATAGGCCAAGAACCGTAAATTTTGATTTTTATGGCGCGCTCTCTTATGCAGGTCTACGGAATCCGATAGCGGCCACAGCTCACATGCCTATTTTGGAATAGATTACAGACCGCCTAGGCTACCGCTCTTACACAGTTTTGAAATTCAGGCTAATCCTAACCAAGACCCACGCTCTCCGCGGCATCACACCTCACTGCTAGTGATGCCTGGACAGCATTACCTAGTCAGAAGACCCCGGTGCCTTAAGACATCCATGACTACCATAAAATTCAACTGAACCATCTTAAAATTATCTTAGACTACCTGAAATCCAAGTAGTTTTTTTTTTAGGCTAAAATAATAATCTCAGGCTATTGTAACCCTGAACTTGTACTATTATAGATCTATAGATGGATATAACCCAAGCTCCCCTAAACACCACCACCTGGGCACCCATAGAGAGGTTAAATAAGCTGCCCAGGTGATATTACAGTTACCTAGGTACCATTTCTGCCCATTTTAAACTCAGCTGGGTACCTGGGTAACCTCTTCTGCCTACCTATTTAGGAAGCGGTGGCGGATCATGGTAATAGCAATTCTGGTAACAATCATTTTCTGCCGCTTAAAAATTATTTTTTAATTCCCAAACAGACATGTGAGCTGTGGCCGCTATAGGATTCCGTACAGGTCGATTAAATTTTCCGATTTGAGATAAAAGGCACGCTTTCCTTTCCACAATCTGGACAGGCATACCCTATTTTACAAAGGCTTAATTTCATTACATAGATATCCAAGGTTCCAACCTTGGAAGGTTATAACGTGGAGTACAGGTAGACGATAGGCTCACTAGGCTGAAATAGGCGGGGCAGAGGCCGTTCGGGCGCGGGGTATAGCCTGGAAAAAATCGGGATGCAAGGTTTCTGGCGCTACTGTCGTCACATCTTAGATCTATAGTTGTTAATACCCTGGAGGTCTTGCTAGAAGCTCAGATTTCGTGAGATTGTTCATTCTCAGCATGTAATATGTACAACGGGTATAATATGCATGGTACAGTCATTCGCCAGGTCTCACAGGCCGTACAAAAATGGATAGACAGTGACACCACTCATGCAGTGCAACATTGGAGTAAGACTCGGAGCCACCGAATTCTCGAATATTAAATCTCTAGAGACACTACTGGAGATTGATCTGATAGTGCCAATCATCTGGTGTCCAATCCAAACCTGGACATTTCTCACTGATTATCTGGGTGATATCCGTATACGGGTATGGGTCCGTCCAGATGAGATCGTATCTAGTACGCGGTAAGTGAGTTTCTATTCTCCCAAAGCATTCGAATTCCTTTTCCAGGAATAATATCATGGAGCACATACCTATCATCAGGGTAATGGGGCGCATCCTCGTATCCCAGCTCTTCCACCAAATCTGTCATTCGATGATGCTCCCAACAAATCAAGATATTTCCTTCTCCATCATAATCATCGATTGTATCTTTCACACATTCTGAATCGTCTCGCTTGCATGATATGTCAACCTTGATGCCCAGGTCCTCGGCTAGTGGCTTTACGGTCTCGTATGGTCGATTTTGTTTTCCACCTAGAAAAACACTTCTTAGTTCGACTTCAAATGCTCAGATATTCAGATAGTGCAATGTTCCACAGTTGCCACTATATAGGAGGTGATTCGCTTCCTCTATAGTGGTTGCACTTGTGGCATGAAGCAAACACGAACATGATGCGAGGGGAGATGAAAGTCCTCTAGTACTACTCGGCACTCACTCTTCTTTGGCTTTTGAGCCATGATATAACCGATATTATAGTCTGAATGATCTCCGAAGATATTTCGAATGCATTCAGCGCGTTCCAGACCATCATCACTGAGACCTATGCCTCCATTATTTGGCTTCTCGCCATGGCGGATGAAATACACGTCTGGGCATGCTATAGAGAGGCCGGATAGGGCCAACAAGCTCAGTAAAATGCTATGCATGGTTGGAAATTATTGTATAGACGTGATCGCGTGACAATAGACGACTCTGAGTGATTTAAACTTGAAGAGTATAATAGTTTAAATTATTGTAGAAAAGGCGATTCATTATATAGAGCCCGCACTGACGTGTCTCGGGGCCGGTCTTGGGCACAAGGAGAGTCATTTGTTTTTTACTAGTCCTCCTTTTTTCTCTCCCGACCACACCACTCTATTGCCTTTTTTTCTATGTATAGAACTTTTCATTCGCTTTACAGTTATCTTTGTTCTCCATCTGCGGGGATGTGCACATGGTGATTATCTTCAAAATGTTTTACTATGAGCCATACATCGGGATGATCTACAGGGCATGGGCCTATAGTGGCTTGTGATTCGTGGAGGTGTGATCGAACGCCTGTCCGGAATCGGGCGAGTCGTGTGAGATTGTAAGAACCAATTATTTGATCAAGACTGTTCAACATTATTTTATAATAGTGTCATATGAGTCGATATAAAATATCCTGTGATACAAATAGAGGCTACTGACAGTGACATCCCTCTGTCTGACGCGATGCGAGGGGGATCATCAAGAACTATGTGATATGGATGGTATGTTAAGTTTATCGGACTTTGGTTTCATTATTGAAATAAATCAATAAATAATATTATGGACAGTCTGGGGACCTTGTTCGCAAACTAAAAACATCCTTTAGTCCGTAGCCTATCTCAATATTAAAAACTAGTACTCCGTAAGAAGTTGATAGTTACACCGCCATATTCTCAGGCGCATCGCACGTCATCGAGGGATTTCCAAATCTCACTATCCTAACTACTCAACTCATCTCTATGTATTACGTGGAAATGAAAGTCGTTTTGTCCAATAAAGTATAAGGGAGAGTCCACATCAATCTAAAGATATTATTATGCCCAAAAGCACCCCAAAGAGTATCTTCCGCCATGGCACATTCAACACTGAGGCTCTGTGTGCCTTGGCAACCAAATATCGCAATGGTGTACCTTGCTCCTGCGATCTCGCCCAACACCCGATGAATGGCAGTTTCAACTGGGCAATAACTGTTCACTTTGAAGACAGTATTGAATGGATCATGCGATCACCAAGATCCGGTTATGATCAATTTTCCAATGAAATAAGTGGGCGACTTCTTTCAAGTGAGGCTGCAACTCTGAAGTACCTCAAAAAATCTACAGATATCCCGATCCCAGAAGTTTAATAATATCAGTTAGATCGTTCAGCTTTCGTGTCTGAGTGGTTTTCTTACCTCAAATAGTGCTTCTTCCGATAATCCAATCGGCGTTCCTTATATCTTGATGAGCAAGGCGCAAGGGATGTCACTTCAGGAATTCTGGAAAATCAACCCTTCCATGGACGGTCTAACCTTAACAAAGAAAGCAAAAGTCATGTCGCAGCTTGATGAAATCACATGGAAACTGGCACAGGTTCGGTTTGACCGCATCGGCTCACTTTTTGAAGGCGATAGCGAGGCTTAGCTAGGAGAATGTATGTCTCGTGGGCATATTCTTCATGACTGCCCCTCCCTGGAGGAACTTCCTCGTGGACCTTTCAAGACAGAGTCAGAGTTCTATGATAGTCTCCTCACTGCCATGAAATATCATGCGGAGTCTCTTCCTATGACACCTCACTGCTTCATTGCTCCTGTACCTTCTCGTGAATATCATGAAAGTGACGCTGCTCTCAGTGAGGCCAACACTCTTTGGAACGGCTTTGTGGCGATAGGAGACAAGATTGATTCTGCAGAGAACTGACTCGACTATATTGTGGTGGTGGATGCTGTGAAAGACCTTATTACCCGTCGCGAATCTCTGAACCCAGAACTGCTTTCATCAAACTCGTTTCCCCTTTATCACCCTGATTTGAGCGCTAACAATATTTTTGTTGACGACGATTTCAACATTAAATCCATCATCGATAGGCCATTCTGTTCGTCGGTCCCACTTTCAGTGCTATTATCCCCTCCTGGACTTCCCCAGTCCCGGTATAAACTACCTGAGGAGCTTCATCGGGCCTTTAAAGAGGGCTACAAAGATGCATGTCGCGCAGATTCACCTAAAGGACACCATTCTCTCGCTTCTGATGCAGTTGCAATTCTTGAGGATACCGAGTTCACATGGTCTCTCATCCGACTTCTTACTTTTGATTCACTCCATGATTTCCGTCTGTTTCGCACCCTGTGGGATGAGGTTCACCGCCATGACGATGATATTGAGAATTCCAGTATTGAGCAAAGACTCCGACCTCACTATATGCAATTATATGAGGAGATACAGGCAGACGACAGACCTATCTCCGAGGTTCGCAAACGGGAGAAAGATGACTTTTCGAATGCCACGGATTTTGCCGTGGCGCGATATCTCACAGTCGTGTCAAATTGGGGGTCTATCGGTTTCCAAATTCGAAGTTGTTCCTGGCAGATAGAAAATTGTGGCAATGGGTTACAAAAGCTAAACAGGAGTGGGATTTCCAAGGTTATTAACTTTCAAGGTTGAAGTTACGATGGAAGACTAGTATGTCTATCTAGTAGTAGTAGTAGTAGTAGTAGTAGTAGTAGTAGTAGTAGTAGTAGTAGTAGTAGTAGTAGTAGTACATAGTAGAACTACATAGTCATATGTATAGAGTGCTAGTATTGACTACTATAAATACGTCCTGCCAGTGGCTATATAGATGGTATCTACATACTACTAATGGCTCGGATCATTCATGTTGTTTGAAAATGTTCTCATCACCTACATAGGTCATGGCATACTAACAGTAGTCATCCTCAAATTCTGCAGGCTGTGTTGATGAGATGACGCAAGCTGCTATACTACTCAAGTGCTAGTACATCCCCGAAGTAATTGAGCTCAACGGTCGCATAGGTAGCTTGAGTTTGGAGTGGTTTCACTAGTCTAACTTGATAGATACAGTTTGGGATCCGACCTTCTGCCCCTGTACGTAAATTGAAAGCTCCGTGGAGGCGCCTGACGGGACTATCTGAATAGTGTAGTTGAACTGCTTGTACTTCCGACCATCTTTGCCTTTGTGGTCTTCAAGATCATCATATCCCAGGTGCTTGAGGTTGAAATCAAGAGTGGAGTGCAGTTTCACATTTTCGGTCGTGTATCTTTTAGGCGGGGGCTCATGTTCGCTCTGGTGGAGTTCCACAGTGAAGGAATGTTGTGAAAAATCCTCTTTCTCGTTATAAGCCGCGTAGAAGTCATTCCGAAGAGGAGAGTCTCTTTCGACCTCCTCCCCTGATAGAGAATTCTAGGATGAAATGTTCTGAACAAGATATAGTATACAGGCAGGGTGGCACCTACCTTCCGGATACACCATTCCATCTGATTATTGGCCTTATGGCGGCCTTCAACTTCACAAAAATACTTATCCGTCTCGCAGTGCACCCCTTTTTTGAAAAGGTGACTTGTCCTGACACCTGAGACACATTCTGGAGATAGTGGAAAGAACACGAGGAGCATTCTGTACGGGGACGGCGATTGGAGCGTCCATCAGTCCCTTGAGAATAGCGCCACGACAAATAGCGGTATGACTTTGAATCCACTTTTAGATAATTTTATTGCATGAACATGGATGAACGAAAAAAGAAGGCATACCTCTGGTCGGGGGTTGACCGACAAATTTCGACTCAATGAATGAGATATTTTTTTCTCAAGGCACTCACGGATATAGGGGCTGGAACCTAGGCCTCCGACTAGAATGATACCCTTAATCCATGTTAGAACTATGCGGACAATGGCGCGATGACCTTACATACCTTCACACTGAACCCTTTGCTCTCGGACTTCTTGAATTGACTGTCAACTAGTTTGAGAAGACCAGGAACAGACCTGGCGTCAAAGGTTTTCTGAATGTCGGCGCTTGGATTTTGGTCAGTTAAAAGTAAGCAGCTAATACCTAGAGGATGGATAATACCAGCCTAGAGAAGTGGATATATCCTCCTTTGATATGGGGCTCGCGGGATGTGTCTTCTAGCTCTGCGCCCGATAACGGACCTCGCAAAATTGACAATGGCCAATATTGCTGCTGTTCTTTTAGACAAAGCTTTGGCTTGATATAAGACTCCCATTCCTCTGTTAGAATGGTTCTGATATTTGCAATGCTGAAGCTAGACCACTTGCGGCCGATGCCACTTTTGCATTGTACGATGAAATCTTCGTCGATGAAGATTCCACCACAGACGCTGCCTATAGGCTATTAGCATTTCGAAGCTTGCACGCCTCATTTTAGTTGTCACAATGAGCACAGAGTACCAGTAACTCACCGTTACCCTCGACAGCCTCGTGCAAACTGCGAGGCTCAGTGCTTTCAACTCTGTATGTGATTACATCCTTATCATCCCACCGGGGTAATCAGCTGAGGCCATACAACGCAGATTTGTCAAGAGATTGAGTGCCACTTACGACAGTACCCACCCCCAGCGTCACAGATCAGAAACACATTACCCCGTTCAACTTCCATGGAGTTGTCAACTGACCGGTCCAGCAGCGCTGCCAATCCCGCTGCCTCAGGCTCAGGTGCAAAGGTCAGGGTGGTCTCTCCAGCAGCGCGATGATTGAGAATCCCTGCTTTTATTGCAGCTTTTTTCATGGCATTTCGCGCATAGTCCTTCCAGATAGCAGGGACGGTGATAAATACATGGAATTGAAGAGCCTCAATCAGGTAATTAGGGTGAGTCTTGAGAATCATGGTCATGGTATGCTTCCAAAGCGCACCGAGGTAGTCTGCAATGCAATCCTCGGGTGTCTTTCCAGATTCTCGCAACATTCGCCTGGCCTGGATAATTTGCCGTGATTCTTGAAGTTCCTGCGACATGTCATCGTCTCGTAACAAAAGAAGATTGAACCATTGTAGACCTTCATCCGTGGTAGGGATTTGACAGCATCAAGGAGGAACTTCAGGCCCATACTCGTAGTACAGTTGAGTAGGCACTTTCACTTGTTCTTTGTTGGTCTCCGGCCATTTAGTGATGATATTGATATTGTCCTCTTCAAATCCAGCCACCGTTGCCCATGAGACACCTGAAAACCTATCTCCAGCACATTTCCTCAGCATTCAAAATTCCACATGAAGTTTCTAACGTTCGATCTGATGCGTCGAGACTCACATGGTTCCGAAATCAATACCGATAATCAAGCAATTATGCAAGCTCGCCTGCCTCTCCTTATTAAACCAGCCTGTGAACCGTTTCCTATAGGCTTTGGGTACATTGGAGGATTTCCTCAAGAAACCGCCCTCGTTAGGCATCTTGGTATATTATCCAGCGGGGGTTGCAAGTAGGGTTACGATCGTAAGGAAATCCACGGGAGGAACCTTGCCAAGGTGGAACGGTTACCCTGCTGAAAAGGTGTTCATAGTTTACCGCTCTAGTATTTGAACACCTGCTACCATCATGCACCTCAAATAATCACTCCAGTTCTTGTGAACGGATCCTGCACGCCACAGAATTGCGCAGCGGTTAAACCCGCTAATGTATAAGCACATATAGCATTTAACTTCCCTTAGGCGCGCTGCCTACAGGGTACTTGCATGAACCAATGACCTTGGAAAAAAAGACGCCTCATTTTAGTTTGCCTCATTTCCCACAGGATTGCCCTTTCAGCTAAGGCAGAATGCAATCCTATTTCTTGGGGGCGTCGCCACGTCACTCAGCTGAGAGTCGCTCGTGTTGGCTGTGGCATGCCAATTACAACCCAAACCCGCTCGGTATGCAAGCTGCTCGTGCTATCACACATAGCTGTTATAGTAAGGTATCCCATGAGCATGCGCAAGACTGTTCAATGTTAGGTTAGAGACCATCCACGCTGATACACGGCCATTCCTCAGAATCGAATTGCGCAATAGCTATCTGCTCCGTCCGAGTCTGTGACTAGCCCAGCACGAAATACCGTACGCAGCCTTTTTGGCAGGAAATACACACTTCATGGAGCAAGAACCCAAAGCTGCTCATCCGAGTCCTGCCCCAAATGCAGAGATAGCCGTTCCGGTTACTGATACGAGCGATCCTGCCCTTGAGCTTAGAGCCAGCATGCCCCACGGCGCAGCTCTATCGCCAATATATTGTATCCCACAGAGGGTACAACAGACCCCACCAGCCACTATACAGGAACATGCGAAAGAATCTCAGAAGGTCACTTCAAATTCTTCCAATACTTCGGATCATGTGGACCACTGGTATCGAAAATACCTTCAAAAGGAGAAGGAGCTGGCGGACCAGCATGCGATAAATGATCAGCTCCCGGCTGAAAACTATGACCTCAATGAAGAAACAACCTCATGGCGGGAAACAAGTTCCAGGACCGAAAAGTCCTTGCAAATCAAGCGACGAGAATATCATGACGCAGGTATTCTATTGGAAAAGAGGCAACAAGATGTTGATAAATTGCGCGGTCTACTGCAGGAGGCTAATAGTGAGAGAGCGAGGGCAATAGACCACCAGTAAGTTCGGCGTCAGCTAGAGGATAAGGCTCTTGTCGACCAAACCATGTGCCTCCGGGTGGATATCAGAAACTTTTCCTTGCAATACGGTGAAATCGACGAAAATGCGCCCCTGATTCCTTCCGACACATACTCGCTACTCAAAGAATATATTGAAGTGCCTGAACGCATCTTGCAATTCTATCTAGCGTCTATCTCGGCTCGTCCCCCCCCTAGTCCGTGCTTTAATATGGGCCTTCATATACAGGCGGGTGCTTCGTCGATTCAGGTGGGCGCCTCCAGAGGTTGGAAAATCAATGCTAGTTCTCCGTGAATTGATAGGTATTTTGCACAGCATGCTGGTTAAACATGATTTTCAAAGCTAACGATTCAATTAGAGCCACCGGAAGGATATTTGGCGAACCCAGACGCACGAGTAGAAAAGGGGCGGATAACATGGAGGGCCAAGACCATCGACCTGCTGCTTGAGACAATGGATAGAAATCAAGTTGAAAATTCTGCGAACAACGAAGTATTTGTTAGACAGGAGGCACGCATTCTCGCTGGACTGCTGGAACCTGTTGTCTGCCGGAGCATGGAGACCATTCTTGAGCCTTTGTGGAGGCTTCTGAACAACAGTTTGGCTCTCCATCGAGTATTGGACCAGCAGGTGGCGATGTGGTGTTGGTGCTTCCCCAGCGAGGTGCCCTGCAAGTTTGATCGAGCAATGCATGCATCTGTCACCCAGTCCCAGAAGGGGCAAATCGATGAAATACAGCTAGTCATTTCACCTGCTCTCATGAAACGAGGCAAATCTTCTGGAGATGGGTTTCTTGTGAATGAGGTACACGTCAAAATGGAGGTGGAGCTTGAGCTTTCTCGCCCGGCTAGCAGTAGCTCTCGTTCTGGTTGGAATCCACTCAATCATCTTGGTCGTTTCCGGTCCAAACCATAGGTACCTATGTAAAGTGTGTCTCATATGTATTTGGTTCCCCGCAAAGATCAAGCCTTGGGAGAAAATACTATTGGTACTTTCAGAAATTTCTCCATCTTTTCTTGCTGTCTGCCTTCACTCTTCCTGTCTTCGAAGGTTGCGACTAAAGTCCAACTAGGATTGAACTTGTGGACCCGTAGACTCGGACCAGTCAGTTCAGTGCTGTTTAGCTTATGCTACATGCATGATATGTAATGCAATGGGGCATGCTCTACGTATTGTAAAGCCACTCAGCAGTAAGACCAATCAATTACCTGCGGTAAATGCGGCCATTTTATTCAGTACGGGGTACTCTCGTACACTCACATGTGGTGTCAAACATTTGAATAAAGGGGCTTAGCTCAGAGACCGCCTTTTATTCTGCCACTTGTTTCCTGCCCCTTGTTTCTCAAGAAATTCATTATCATCTATCCGAATCAAGGCATCCAAGAGAATCCAGTATTGAGAAAAATGATCAAACGAAACGATAGGGACATAGCCTCACTTCTTCACTCGTTATTATTTGACTAGTTCGCACATTCAGTGCTAGCCTATATAGGCAGACGGGATCAAAGTTCTCCGCCTGGGTGTACAGGGGGTAAACAGGGATGCGGATCCTTGTACTCCTACACGAATCCTTTGCGAACATACAAGACCCTCTGGTTAGTGCCCACGGAGCGTCTCACTATGCCGCCTCATATTTGGTCCCAAATTAAGGCTAGTACGATGCGGCTCGGACCTCCACATTTACACATGCATACTGTCTACGCATCCCACACCACATGCGTCTTCATCTCGGGAGGGGTAAAAGCTGGACAGATTGGTGACGCCTCACCAATCTGCCAGTTTTAATTCGTATTCCTAGGGAATATCGCCTGTATTTGCCTCGCCAATACGGTCATTTATTAATTTGTATTTGCTTCCTAGCTGGAATTATGTCTTGAAAGCAGATAACAGTTGTTTTGACATGCCGAACCCAAGCTGCGAGACCAAGAAAGACAGATTTCTTGAACTAGTCTCTTTCTCAAAGTGGAAACACTGGGAAAATTCTCTCACGGCAGGGGGAACGCTGTAAACTTGAAGTACCGGTGGACATTTTGCAAGAACCATACACTTGAAAACAAGTCGATCGAAGCAGAGTTTATTCATATTCTGTGTTGACATCGTGAGATACCTGCTTCCGACCATCAATGTAGAATGTGAACTCCATTGAAGCACCTGGGGAACCATCTCTAAGTCGTAATTCAGTATCTTGCTGGTTTTTCGTCCGTCTGGACTCCTGAAGGGTTTCAGATTGGAAACCTTGACGTTCGGGGGTAAACTTGAGACCACATAAGGGTTTGACAGTATCATCTACTCGACGAGGAGGCTTGCTGTTGGCACACTGGACCATGCTATGAGTTAAGCTACCTTTGAAATTCGCTTTCAAATGACGTATCCACGAATGCCGCACCGGGTGGATTTTGGATACGTTGTCTCCCTATGATAGGCGTTAGCTAACAACAATTTCAGTCGCCGAAGGGGATTCTTCAGTACCTTTCGGATATACCATGTAACTCGATTGTGAACCACATATTGACATGTATCAGAATCCCAGGCGTAATCTGGGTCAGATTCATCATGTTCTGTGGGGTCGAATACAGAGTAATGCACTGTTCCAAGACTGTATCGAGCAATAGTGGATGTCACAGTAATTGGGAGTGGAATATTGAGAGTTTTCAATCTCATAAAGTCATCATCATCATCCTCTGCACCCATGCGTTGGTCTTCCGCAAATCCTTTGTGGACTGCCCCACGGCAGATTGCAGTTCTTCTGTATTATGTGAGTAAGTTCAACGGTCAAGCTTGCAATCCATCGATGAATATTTAGTTGCTTTTTTTACTTACGGTTTCATTCCGACAGATTGAATCACGGTAATCCCGGCCTTTGTATGCTGAGCTTTTAAATGGCTATAGAGGTAAGGACTTGACCCCAGTCCACCAACGAGAATGATTCCCTAACAAAACGGTTCTTCATCAGTTGCACAAAACCCACTATGCGAAGCGACGTGGTGATCAGAGACTACCTTTATACTTCTGAATGGCAGCCGAGGGTTATTGAGGCATTTCTTTGGAAGGTTATGGTTGGTCACATATTCGACAAATTCTGGTGGGCGGATATCAATCCCCGGGCCATGAGCGAGATCTATGATGACTTGGAAAGAAGTGAGACCCAGATTGTCTGCTTTCTATGAAGTTGGTAGAGAGGGCACTGACTGTATGTTGAGCTATAAGATTCCAAGGAACTGCGGCTGAGATCCAGACTTTCCAGATGTGGTCTGCCACTACTACCAAGATGATCCGCGATTCGCAAAAACACGGAGATGGTCCTTCTATCCGGAGGCATGCGAGGGATTTGGAGAATGTCATGTGGAAAATTTATGAATCAATTGCCGATTACAGCATCTCGACAAAGGCAAGTCTGACCAAAGACATCTACGAGATTCTAGATGCGGTGATCGCTCTGGACAAGGAGCTCAGTCAGCCGCTAGCACGGTTTGAGTGGGACTTCCCCAGCCCGGAATGGGAGTTCGATCCAAGCTGGATGCATCTCGGTGCGGGGGAGACTACTACTGAAGGTGCCGTCAGCATTGTGCTTTTTCCGGGGATCACGAAGCGTGGACAAGCTGGGAATTCTGACCAATGCGACTTTTTGGTAGACATCAAGTAGTCGTGTGCTGCCCCAGTCATGATGCCACATGAAGAGCCTGAGTCTGGCAGATCTCACGAATCTATCCGTGAACGGATTGTCAGCAAGTTTATATCCCGCAGATAGCCTCATTCAATGTTCGTATGTAGCCTGGACCATGAATCTCAAGTGCTATAATACTGAGCAATAAATGACCATTTTGTAGGGCAAAAAACAACTAAAAGTCAAGGCTATGGATATAGAGACCATACATCCAACCTTGGAAGTTCTCATTCTAGTGTGGACGGTTTTTACCGGATACAGAACGTCTTTTCCAAAAGCCCATGATGGTCCAACACACTTCCGTCCATACAGCCATCAAGAAAGCACTCTCCTACAAAAGTGACACTGTCTCCGGACTCGATATTCCGCAGTAAAACGGGGACATCACAACCAAATAGCACACAAATCAGGTCGCCCTTCATAGCTTTCTCCGATACCATGCCAATGCGACCGCCGTGACTGACCATGAGTCGCATCGATAATCTCACAACCGTGTCAAAAAATCGACCGAAGAATGTATCATGATAATACTCGTCTTGATTAGGGGCGGGACTTGTGGAGTCGCGCTGGGTCTCAGCTTGATCTTGACCCAGGCTATCGCGCAAGATTCTCTCGAGGCTGCGGCCATGGATTTGAAGCGATCTCGTCCACTCGAACCATTCCTGCAGCTCTTTGGCAGTGGAGCTGGATGAACTGGCTGGTGATTCCATCATAAGCTGCGCTAATAGATGAACGAAGTCTTGGAAAAACTCCATGGCGGGCATGGCATATCGCAAGAATCGATCATTCCGGTCCAACACCATACTCCTGCACACACTTTCAAGAATTTCTGTTGAGGAGTAGGTGGAGTCGGGAGAAGCTGCTAATTGCTTGGAGCTCCATTCGGAGCTTTGAAACCAAGTCGAAATGCCTATTTCCGGCTAAACCATCCACCACATCAACAATCACTCCACGAGCGTGGAGATTCGAACCTTCAAAACTGTATACAGCTGTTCTGTTCTTGGATGCTGAGTAGCTAAGAGAGCGATCGAAATCAAGTGCATGAGGTGTTCGTAAGTTCCCTATATGTGACCTGCAGCTTTGGCTGACCATGAGGGGAACTACATGAGGAGTTTTCCTTTGCCAGTGTGGCACCCAGGATGGCCGCAAGGAGCCGGGTGGCGAGCTGTAAATCGAAGCGAAGCATATAATGTCCAGCGACTTGTAGTGGGCTATAAAGGCTTGGGCGAAACGGAGATAGATCTCTTGGCTGGGGAGAAAGTAATTGACTTCCATAAGAGATGCATCGGTCGCAAGGGCCAGTAGGCCATAGAGCCGGTCTCGATCATCAGTTGCATCCATAGTACTCAAGTAGCCGGCCAATGCTGAAAGGGACAGGCTTATGTTTCCCCCAGACTTTCCAGCATTGTACAGGCCCCACACCCTCCTTCGATTGAGTCCATTGGTGAATCCAGCGGTCTCTTTGATACGAATCGTACTGCATCTGTTGGCAATCGATATAGCACGGGCAACGGCGACTCTGCCGACGCTTCCCGTGCCGCACCAGAAGGAAATACTTCGGGGGAGGACAAATTCCTGTACAGTCCAAATCCGAGACCACCATCTCCGAGCAAGGAAACTCTCCAGTGCTTTCCATTGTTTGTAATACTCTTCTATCTCCAACGTCGAGCGAATGTCATCAACGGTATGTTTCCGTCGGGAGAATTTATCCAGAGTTTTGATGAAGCCAATCGCAAGAGTGCTGTCGTTTGACTCCTCCCAAGCCAAACGATCACCCGTTCAGCCTCGCGATAGATTCGCTGTAAATGCTTCACCTGGTTACCCCTCTCTTGCAGGTTATCTTGGTCGATGCAGATGGAATCGATCCACCACCATCCGCCATCGTACATCATCCCCTTGGATCTCAAGGCTTCCAAGAAGGTGTACAGTGAATCTAAGACGGGGAACACTTGGTTTTCGATCTGAATACTCCAATTCCTTGCGAGACCCGATTCATCACAAGCCCATGCATACGAGATTGAACGATATTGAGGGAGCGGCTCGTCAATTGAGAAGGGCTCGAGAACGACTTGAATGGATGTACTGGCCTCATCCTGAACAAATTTCAATAGCCTCAGCTGGTTGGGCTGGATAGGCTTATATGAGTAAAAATTTCGTATAGTCATGATATGTGATAAAGACTATGAGAACTTGAGGTGCAGTAGCAAGTAAATGATATTTGAGGTAGGCTCCTAATCCTCCGATATGATGTATGAGATTTTGAAGGTGGGGGGGGCGGGGTATGGAATGTTTTACAAGGTAATGATCAGGCTGTGCTCTTCTGCACAGCCCCCGCAAAACGCATCAAGAGGGTGGGATACACTGTGCACTGCCCAGGTGGAGGCTCAGCCACGACTACTAGGTACTAGGTACACCAACAAGTCACAAGTCTGACACCAGTCTGGAAAATTTTTCAAGGCCCGGAATTGCAATTTCTCAAAACCATGAAGCAAGTGAGACTGTAGAATGAATTGACTATGTAAATATTGTACACAAGCCGTTTCGTGCATGATGGATATCACCGGAAGCACATCAGATCACTTTCCCCTGGCCTACAGATTACTACATAGTACAAACTTCTGTTTTCTTAACATTCTTCACATTCTTGAACAGTTCATATTCTGGAGACATGGCAGTACGCACAGAGCGCGTTTTGCTCCATTTAATAGTATTACGACGAGAACTCCCATCCTAGTCATCAACAACTCAATCAAGTGAACCTCCATACCAGGGGTCATAGACTTTGGTGCCGCTTAATATCTTTTATTGGTATAACGCTGATCACGATACTGCACAGGTAGTATCATCCGGTTGCGGGAGAGGCTTCTCTCTGGACGAGCCAACTGGCTTTCTTCGTATTCCAGGGCCAGGGTGCGCAACATCGGGTGAACCGCCTTTCAGACCGAGCTTGTTACCGGCGTCGTGAATGTTTGACATCAGATTTCCAGTTCTGAACCTCATGGGGTCATGCTCTTGGCCTCGGAGGCCTTGAAGGTGCTGATGAGCAGGGCTTTTAGGAGCGGTGTGGATTGGAAACTGGCGCCTGTCGATATGATTTGCTTCAAACTTATCTTCACTAAACTTTCCGGTCCCGCCTTGTTTATTTGAAACATCCAAGTTACCCTTGCCTGCAGAGGGATCATCACCATTGCTACCTGCAGCGCGGCCTGTCACCAATTAATAGGTAGCTAGCTGAGATGAGAACTAGACTTACTCCAGACTCCATTGATGGACATTTCTACTGCTCTCCAATGATGCTGGGCAGCTCTCCTGATTGATATGAGACACTTTTGCTGCCTATCGATGCTCATGGTTGGTAGTGGATCGAGATCCTGTGAGCTCGTAACGTTCGCCCTCTGTCTCATGTGCTGCAATTCAGTAGCCTGTTCTTCTGATATTCCTCCACGTGGGTCGCTGCAAAGGAGTTCGCTTAAAAGAATTAGTCAATGGAAAGTCCACCTCGGCCTCTCATAGCAACTTACGTGACGTGTAACAGTAGCAAAGTGTTGATTCCCTCCATGTATTTGTATACTTGGCTTTTCAGCACATCCAAACGTGGAATAACCGAGTCCATCAACGTGTCTTCCAATTGCGCAACAGCTCGTCTAGAATCAAAGGACCCCCAGCTATTCTCCAACCTGCTCATATATGGTATAGTTTCACTCTGAAAGTAGTAAAGGGGCTGCAAGACCACTTGGATCAAGAGATTGAGTTCTTGATGGTGTGTGAAGTACCCACTCTCGGGCGAACAGGCGATAATGCTCTCGAGCATTGATTGAAGACTGGAGCAGAATACCTTATCTGATTTCCACTTTGGTGTTTCATTTCTACTATTTTTCTGACAGACTTGTAAAGCTCTGGCCACCGTGGCGAGAGTGATGCGAGTGGGCTCGAGAATTAAAATGTCCATATTGAGAAGACCAACTGACAAGCAGTCATAAATTTGGCTGAACTGAGTTAAGACAACTGATTCTAGGATTGAATGGTTTCGAACTGGTCCTGATCTGATTTTCAGGTTTTTAGTTTCTTGATCTTGGAAACTTCCAAGGTTGGAAGATACGTCTTTAGGCCTCCCACCTGGGCAGTGAAGCTGCCGGTGCCCGGGCCTCTTGAGAACTGCTCCGCGCCACAAGGCTCCTGCCAGCACCCGGGCTAGCTTGGCGGGCTTGTTGAATCTTCAGCTTGAATCTCACTATGGATAAATACTCGAGATAGCATGCGGCTGAGTATTTGAGATTGACCACTCACGTCGAGACAGGTGGTAGACAGGTGTCACCGTGTGACACGTAATCGTGCCGGTGGCTGTACCAGGGTGACCATTTTTGTAAAGGCACATGGCGCATGAGCCTCCCGATCCTGCATGATTGATACCAACAGCCTCACCTGGGTGATGGTGTGTTGTCTTTGGCTCAAAACGCGCGCAGTTTCAAGCCCGCACCTGGCATAAGCACTTGCAGTAGATCCTTCGTGCAAGACAGTTCGCACCAGTGGACTACCTATGGATATTCCTGGAACGTATATGTATATACCCAGTAGAATTACCAGGGTTGTCATCCCCCTTTTTCAATTTCAAACCTCCCCAGAAACTCATTGTAAGGTTGATACTGCAAGATGGATCATGATAGGACCCCTCCGTTATCTACTATTACTGAACCGGCATCCATCCACAGAGTCTTCAACCATCATAGACAATATCCTCAGCTTCCAAAAGGATATGATGACTGGGAGAAGCAAAAAGAGCAATACTGCCCAAGAAGTCTCCTACGGCTTTTAAACGTTGAGGGGCTCAAAGGAAAAAACACAAGCCAGCACCAGTTCGGTTATGTCTTCTGTCATCGTGGCCTCTATGAACGTGCGCTAGGGATCATCGACAATTCGGCGGCCGCAATTGACAATGGAACAAAGCAGAGATTTTTTCTGCACGAGGTGGACGCATTCATCTGGGAAAGGCTAGATAAGGCATTCGTGGGCCATGACAAGATTCCACGACGTGTCACAGCTAAAGAGGACACATGGACCTCTTACTCGCTCCAGGAAATTCTCGACACATCCCTTGTCACGAGAGGAGTGAATACAGAGACGAACAAACCGGATTTTGCGAGCTCATACCTAGCAACCGATCAGAAGGTGATGGGTCTTTTGGCTACACTCTGGAACCAAATACTCGAGCCTGATGGCTGCACACTGCAGATCGACCTGAGGGATGAGGACTTCGCCAAAGCAATATCCTATTACACTTTCCATATTTCCAAACCGGATATTCCACGCAAATATCCTACGAGTCGAGAGGGGACTTTGCTATGGAGTGTTTTCCAGTCAACAATTCTGAAAGGCACTACTATGGGCTTCCCATATTACGATGATCTTTACCAAGCAATCAGGGCCCACTCTAGGAAAGCATATGGGGCAAGTGTCTTTGAAACGAAGCACCTAAGCTCGTGTCCGCCTTTGATCATAGTATTCTATCCCAAGACGCTGAAAACCCTTGCAGAAGAAACAACATCAGCGAGCTCGAGATATCCCAGACAGAGCTTTGAACCTCTTTACAATACCTTCATGAAGCAAGTTATGTCCTTTGTGAAGGTTGGGGATGGCAATCACTTTATACTTGAGATCGTTCACAGCGGCCTTGGACTGGGTTACGATAAGAAGACAGGAAAGGCAATAAACCCTCTGGATGGAACACCACTGAAGGACAAGGAAGTTATCTACGAGAGCTGCATCGACCGAGCCATGATTGATGTCAGTTTGGAACTGAGAAGGAAATACCCGCGTCTCTTGTTCTCATCTTGTACACGATTACCCGACGTCATCACACCCAACGGAAAGTACAAGGCGAGTTACGACACATCACGTTTGGTGAGGCTAGAGGATGGCGAGGCTGGACTTTCAACCAAGCTGCGAGCTATGCCTGGAGGGCTGTACCCGCAGTCTCACCTCGTTGTTGCCGATGACCCAGCAGCGGAAATTGCCGCGCGCACATGGATCGACCAGAGCTCTGGTTTGGATCGACGCGACTTACTCAGGTATCCTTACAACAGATGGCTTGCTGGGGCCGATAAATCCGTTTTCGCTGCTATGAACCAGCTTAATAATACCGACTTTCTGCCAAATACATTCGGGTATCCCACGCCCGTAGAGTCCACATCGGATACCGTGGACGCCGGCGATGATAGTCCAATAGACTACGGCGAAAGAGTCAGATCGTGGTTGGATCCGCTGAATGCGGTCAATTCAACGGACTTCGATGGCGAGTCTCAAAGAAGCGGAATCAACTATAGCGGGGAGGAAGCTGGATATGATCATTATAGCAGTTCTTTGGGCGACAGCCTCCACTTTTCCGAAAGTCAATTTTGGGAAGACTACCAGGAACGTACCACCAGTTATGTCAAGAAAGAGCGTGTGATTATTCCGGTAGCAGGCAGGACTTTCACATTCATGAGCGAAGCCGAAGCGAAACGTGCAGTGACCGGTTCAGCAACATACAAAGCAGCCGAAAATGACAATGTGGAGGTCCTCGTGAAACTTCTTTCCAATGGTGCCAACATAAACGATGTAACAGGACTTTATAGTACTCCGCTAGCAGTGGCATGTGCAAAAGGCCATGAGAGGTCTGTGAAATTGCTTTTGGAACCGGGGGCCGACATTCACAAATCAGGACCGTTCGGCTCGCCGCTGGAAATTGCATCTCAAATGGGCCATGTCAACATTGTCAAATTTTTATTTGCGGCGTCCGGAAGAAGAAATACGCATATCAAGCCTTTTGGGAAAGTATCCACCAGCACTGCGCTTCAAAAGGCGGCTAGAAACGGACACGATGATGTTGTCAAGCTACTGCTGGATAAAGGAGCCGATGTCAACTTTACCGCGGAAATGGGGGATTTTACGGCTCTGCGTCTCGCAATTTTAGGGCGCCATAGTACTGTTATCAGTCTACTTCTAGAGAATGGGGCCGACGTCAACTTCCAGACCAACATCTTTGGAAGTATGTTATACTTGCCATGTTTAACCGGCGATGTGACCACGGCCAAGCTACTGCTGGAAAGGGGAGTCAAGATTGACTTCCCAATCACAGGGGAATATAATCCCCAAATCGTCTCGCTCCTCGTGGAAGCCGGCGTAGATGTACCCTTGAATCAACCGAGGTTATATCCAAGGGAAGATGATCCGGCGCGGCAAGGGGTAGAGAGGACATTGAAGTCCCGAAAGAAATTGAAGCAAATGTGGACACGGCATTACGAGAACCCTGTTTCTCAACAACCGATTGTTCCATATGGAACAGACTGCGGTTGTCTCATATGCTTCATTGACAAAAAGGTCCAGTCAGAGATGGGCGAGAATCCGGTTCGCAATCTCCCATTCTCCCCTTGGACTACCCGAAGCCCCTCGAGGAGGAAGAATCAGGTAAGCAAAGACCAGGGGACAAGAGAGAGAACGAACGAATCGTATGGGGAGCGGAGAGGAGGGAGACGATAGGATTAAACAAGAGATGCCAGTGAGAACAACAAATGCCGCACACAGACCTCAGAGGGATTGACTAAGGCGGATGAAACACCTGGGTCGTGGAGAATTGGGTGAAGAATATGAGGACTCCGAGTCAGGCTTGACACATGTGCATATTCCAATGTTCAACTTGAAGTTGTTCCAAGTTATCATAATAGTACAGAATGTCATTATTATTATCACCGTAACGGTATCTGCGTTAGCATTCAAGTTTTCTTCTGCCCAGGTGTAATCACAAAACCTTCAATCTGCCACTGCCACTGGCACCACTGGCACTGCATTCCAAGGTTACTAGGTACTAGTAGTAGGTACATATGTATTCGGTAGCACTGGTAGTATGTATGGATGGATGTGGCACTATATATCTGGACCTTGCACATGAGTAGGTACTCCCTGAAGCGCTTCCAAGGTTGCTAGTAGTAGTAACCTCCACTGGCAAGGCTTGAAATGAACAATGGACCATTCATCCAAACAAGTTTCTTCACTTTATCTGACTTTTAATTATAGAATTAATCCAATAAATACCAGTATTTCTATTAATTTCTACATCAGTAGAGCCTCACCAAGTGTCGGATTTCTGTTACCCGAAATAAAGCGATGATTCATCCGCTATCGCTTCCCATTGGCAGCTCAACATCATTTATTGCCCCACTTCCAAAGGAAAAAAACGGAGCGCATCTTTTCGCGAATCGCGATATCGAATCCCGACGCGCTGCGCGCAGGATGCATGATGAGCAAGCGCTCATTCGAGGATTCAAGGGATGGGTTATCCGATCATAATGGTCTGCCCATCCAAGATCTACTCTCCCCTGATGAACAGGAAGCTGCCGCCACCGGCAATTCAAAAAAGCCCCGGAACTTCATCGCCACGGTGGTATGTACCTTGCGACCGGGAGTCCATACATGAAATTGAGACCGGGACTAATTTTTCAAAGGCGTGTGAGACCTGTCGGTTGAAGAAAACAAGATGTGACGAATCAAGGCCGAAATGTGGACTTTGCAAGTCCCTGGGTCTAGATTGTGTCTACAATGAGCGAAAATCATCAAAGTGGGTTGGAACTTGAAATTCAAGAACTCGAATTGGAAATCGCAACTCCAGCTAACCTCATCTAGACGAGACCAATCACTCACAATGATTATGAGTACATTGCATCGACTAGAGACTAAGTTGGAGAGCATTCCAAAGTCTGTAGTCAATGATCTTCAGTCTCTCCGAGGCCAGATGCGTCAGGTCTCGGGAAATGGGCTAGAATCGCATCAGTCGCCCGCGTTTGTGAGCAATAGTCGCCGCATTACGGCTATGTCATCTTCTTTTACCCCTGCTCGGGAGGAAGATGAATTCGATTGGGAAGATAGAGAGCCTGCTCCAGATCAAAATGGTCGGATCTCTATCTCATTCAGTCAGCACGGAGTCATCCTCTGGCCTGGTGCGCGCCAAGTTCTTCCCGATCAGCTACTGGGGGCCTATGAATTGCTGGGTAAGAACTACGTCGTTGAATTAGAATCTTCACGGCGACCATTGCCAATGTTTACAACGCCATATCCTGTGCATGCGGGGAGCCAATGGCTCGAGACCGTACCTTTTTCCATGGTCAAAGGCCTGGCAGATGCATTCTTTAGTGTCTTCAATCCCTTTACACCAGTTATGGACAAGAGCTTTTTCTTCTCGTTTACCGTTGGTACGGCCCTCGAAACAGGATTCGGGTATACGATGGAGAGTTGCGTTGTTCTATGTGTCATGGCCCTGGGTTGTTTGGCGGTTCTTGCCCATCAAGAAGGTAACTACCCTTTACCGGGAACCCAAAGTCATCGATTTGAGCCTCCCGAATGGATGAATGTGGTTATTGAAGAGCAGCCTGGTCTGCGCTTTTTCAACGAAGCCCGTCGACGTATTGGATTCATGATGTGCGACAATGACCTCCAAAGTTGTCAATTCTACCTCCTTTCATCGTATGTATACCTTTTCACTAGGCTTTTGTACAAAGCAATGCTGATTCTCCGCAGTGTATACTATGGCCAAATCCTACGTCCCATGGACTCTTGGGCAATGATTCACCGGGCCGCAACTTGTTGCTTGTCTATGTTAACCAAGTGAGTCAAGTTGCTGCTCCTTTTTCTATCTACGATTTCCTCTAACAATACGTCAGTCACAATGTCAATTTTGATGAGTGGGAAGGCGATATGAAATCCCGGGTCTACTGGAACTGTCTCATGAACGAGACCATTCTTGTTCAAGAGCTTCATCTCCCACCAAGTGGTCTCTCGAGATTGGAAGAGCAGGTTCCGATCCCAAAATTCATTGGCTTCGAGACGAATGGCTACGGCTCCAACCGTTATCCCTTATCTAACGTGGTCGATGATTCATTCTTCCAATACCACTTTCTCGCCCAGGTCGCGCATCGAATTATCCTCACCCGAATCAGGCATTCTCTCTATTTCTATTGTAAGTTCATGTGATCCATTTTCAGAAACTGGCATTGGTTAAAAATATGAAAGCCGACTCCGGAAATATCCCTCTCCCCGCTGTCAACACCGAGCTCCGCCATCAACTTGAGCAATGGCGTACCAACCTCCCCCCTACCATTCAATTCACCGACCATGCTCTCCATCCTTCGCATCCTACACCTGGGGATCACTCTATGCATCATCCGTCTCCTGGAACACCTGCCTCACCACACCCAATCTCCTCGCCACGACCCATGGATCCTAATCGACCACTGTCCCCCGCAGTGGCGATAACAGATGCTATGCTTCGCGGACGATATATGATTGCGCAATTCCATATCGGCCGCCCATATCTTTACAAGGCTCTCCGCATTCCGAACAAATTAACCGATGATGATATTGAGCAGATTAAGAGTGGATTGCGAAATGCTATGGATTGGCCTATTACGCAAGGTATCTTCCGAAAGATGACGAGCTGCATTCCGATTAAGTTTGCCTTTTGCTCTCAGTAAGTTATCCTGAAATCCCCATTCTCATTACCTTTACTCGAATGGTGTTATTAACAGTGTTTAGATTCTTCGGTCAGATCCTACTATTCTATTGCATCGCACACTCACCTAGTGCTCGCGTGCGTGATACACTCCCCTTGGGCTGGGAACGATGGAACGATGAGATGATGCGCTTTTTGGAGGACTGCGCAAGGCAAAGTCCGGCTGTTGCGCAGGATTTGGAGCTTCTACAGTCTCTGTGGCCTCAGCATGAATGAGATGGGCAAGGTTATCTATGAGTTTGGCGAATATTATATCCCTGGTTTTTGCTTTGGGTGGACTTTGTTCTACATGTTGGCGTTGGTTCTATTTTTTTCTTGCTACGGCTGTTTCAAATGTTTCGAATGTTTATATGTGATGAGGACGATGACATCAATCAATATTAATCCTGTTATACGGTGCTGCTAGGTGATTTTAGGTATACCATGTCACTGGTAGTCAACTATGATATCATAGTCAATTAGTCCTACTAGTTAGAGTACCAGTAATGCTAGTTAATCGAGCACCCCGGAATCAATAGGTACTCCGTAGTAAGACAGAAGCCCAGGAAACATTCCAAGGTTGACTGCCATGTGTTTGCAATGATGTTCTGGTTGCCCACCTGGACAGAGTATCCATGGGTATAAGCTGCTAGTGCCTTCTAGCATATGGTAAATCCCCACGAGGAGGGTCCACCAGTCAGAAAAAAAACTAGGAAAGGGGCAAGATCCATAAAAGAATCTCAAAGAATCTCCAAGCTCTGAAAAATCCAAATAAACAAAGAAAAGACACCCTGACCTCGAGAGTTCCTTTGTTCATTACATAGCCTGAATTGATATCCTAGTAATCCCTGCAATATCAATAAGACGGCAGTGCATAACCACACGATCACTATATCATTATTACTGTACTTTTTATTTAAATTATAGTTTCAATTCTATAAGAATTCCCGTGTGTAAAAAAACCCTAATGCGTCTCGCGACCCAAGAGAGAAAAAAAAAGAAAAGAAAAAAAAAACTCCTCTAATGCCCAAGTTTTTACCCAATCGTTAAGTCGTGGTCCCTCCACTCTAAACCAAATCAGGTGACCCCCCACCCCTGATGAAACTTTTTTTTCTTTTCCGCGTTTCTTGATCTTTTTTTTTTTCCTTCTTATTCTCCCCCACCACCACTCCTTTCCTTTTTTTTTCTTTCCTTTTTGTTATTGTGATACCCCTTGTGAGCCGTTTGTCTTTCTTGACAATTTGCTCATTTGTTGTCCTGCTGTCTCTACAAGAGCTTCAGCTTGGGACGTGTGCCTTTCTATTATCCATTCACGGATAAAAGAGAGAAGGCTGTGAAAGAAGAAAAATTAGGAGATTGTTTGAAACATATTTGCCACCATGGATCAGCAACGATTCCTGCAGCAATTGCAGATTATCCTGGATCGTATGTACCAATTGACATTGACAAGAGCTTGTTCCCTCAGCTAACATGATGTCTCCAGCCTCCCAGGGTAATGTTAAGGAGGCGACCGGTGTCCTGCAGAAGGAGTTTTACACCCAGCCTCAGTCCCTCGTCCTCCTCATCCAGATCGCCACCGCCCATGACGATTCCAACCTTCGTCAGCTGGCTGCCGTTGAGGCCCGCTCCCTGGTCTCTAAGCACTGGCTGAAGGTCGGTGTTAATGAGAAGCCCCAGGTCCGTGAGCAGCTTCTTCGCTCTACCATGGGCGAGAGCTCCTCTTTGGTCCGTCACTCCATCGCTCGTATCATCTCGGCTGTTGCTAAGATTGATCTGAACGATGGTGAGTGGGCTGAGCTCCCCAACATCCTGCTGCGCGCCGCGGACAGTGGCAACCAGGATGAGCGTGCGGTCGCTATCTACATCCTTTTCACCATTCTGGAGACTCTGGGTGAGAGCTTCGAGGAGAAGTTCCAGGATCTCTTCACCCTGTTTGGCAAGACCATCCAGGACCCCGAGTCTGCTGAGGTTCGCATCAACACCTTGCTGGCTTTGAGCAAGCTCGCTATGTACCTTGAGCCTGAGCTTCACCCTGGTCCCGTTAAGGCTTTCCAGGATATGGTTCCCTCTATGGTTGCCGTTCTCAAGAACGCTATCGACCAAAGCGAGGAGGACCGCATCATGCAGGCTTTCGAGGTCTTCCAGACTCTGCTGGGCTGTGACCCCGCTCTGTTGACCATCCACCTGAAGGACCTGGTCATCTTCATGAACGAGATTGCTGCCAACACTGAGGCCGATGAGGACACCCGTACCCAGGCCATCAGCTTCTTGATGCAGGTCATCCAGTACCGCAAGATGAAGGTCCAGGGTCTTCGTATTGGTGAGCAGCTTACTCGCACTGCTCTGCACATTGTCACCGAGTTGGATGATGACTCTTCTGCCGATGACGACATCACCCCTCCTCGCTCTGCCCTGGCCTTCCTTGACCAGCTCTCCCAGAGCCTGCCCCCTGCTCAGGTCGTTGTTCCTCTGCTCCAGGCTCTTGGCCAGTACTTCTCAAGCGGCGATGCCAACTACCGCCGTGCTGGTATCCTGGCTCTGGGTATGTGTGTCGAGGGTGCTCCTGACTTCATTAGCACTCAGATGAAGGAGATCTTCCCTATGGTTCTGCAGCTCCTTGCCGACCCTGAGTACAAGGTCCGCATGGCCTCTCTCCACACTGTTGCTCGTCTCGCTGATGACTTGGCTGAAGACCTTTCCGCTGAGCACCAGTCCCTCATGCCTCTGCTGTTCCAGAACCTCACCACTGCTATGCAAGAGTACAAGGGTGAGGAGGAGGGTCCTATTGTCGACATCCTCAAGGCTGGTATCAGCGCCATCGATGCCGTCGTTGACGGTCTCGACGAGAAGGATGTTGCCCCTTACCAGGGCGAGCTCGTCCCCATTCTCCAGAACCTCTTCAAGCACCCCGACTTCAAGATCAAGTCTCTTGCTGCTGGTGCTCTTGGATCTCTGGCCTCCTCTGCTGGCGACTCCTTCCTCCCCTTCTTCGACGACTCTATGCACTTGCTCCAGGAGTTCGCTGCTGTCAAAGACTCCGAGGAGGAGCTTGACCTCCGCGCCAGCGTCACTGATGCTATGGGTGAGATGGCCGCCGCTGCCGGCCCCGAGCGTTACCAGCCTTACGTTGAGCCTCTGATGCGTGCTACCGAGGAGGCTCTTAACCTCGGTCACTCCCGTCTCAAGGAGAGCACTTACATCTTCTGGGGTGCCATGTCCAAGGTTTACGGCGAGCACTTCACTCCCTTCCTCGAGGGTGCTGTCAAGGGTCTCTTCGCCTGTCTTGAGCAGGACGAGACTGACTTCGACGTCTCCCTGGGTGAACACGGCAAGGACCTCGTCGGTCAGGAGGTTACCGTTGCTGGCCACAAGGTCAAGGTTGCCAGTGCGGACGATGATGACGAGTTCGATGGCGAGATTGAGGATATTGACATTGAGGATGATGAGGATGCTTGGGATGACATCACTGCCACCACTCCCCTCGCCCTTGAGAAGGAGATCGCTGTTGAGGTCATTGGTGACCTGGTTACCCACACCCGCAGCTCTTTCCTGCCTTACTTCGAGCAGACCATTGAGCAGGTTATGCCCCTGGCTGACCACCATTACGAGGGTGTTCGCAAGAGCACCATCAGCACTCTTCACCGCTCTTATGCTATGCTGTACACCATCGCTGAGGAGAGTGGCCAGATGGCCAAGTGGCAGCCTGGCCTTCCCCTTCAGGTTCAGCTTCCTAGCCAAGTTGCCAAGTTCGGTGAGATCCTCATGACTGCCACCATCAAGATGTGGACTGAGGAAGAGGACCGGTACGTTTATAAATTCCCTTTTTTTCTATAGCACATTGCCCATTTCTTCCCACTTTACATGATGATATACATCGCTTAACCCAGCTCACTTTGACGTGCCAAAGGCACGCATGATGTGAACCGCGTTTATCACGACTGATATATTCCTTAACTCTTGCATTCTCATCTTCGTTAGACCGTTTATTGGAACTCAATTCACTAACGTGTTCATACTAGTGCTACCGTCGCCGATATCAACCGCAACATGGCTGAGAACCTCCGCTTCTGCGGTCCTGCTCTCATTGCTGATGAGTCTGTGCTTACCAACGTGATCCACCAGATCACTGACATCATCACCAAGAAGCACCCTTGCCAGCAGGAGTTCGATGACGAGGATGAGGTCGCTGACGAGACCTCCGAGTTCGACTGGGTCGTTATCGACACCGCCCTTGATGTTGTCTCTGGCCTGGCCACCGCTCTGGGCGAGAGCTTCTCTGAGCTCTGGAAGGTGTTTGAGCGCACCATCCTCCGCTACGCCAGCAGCAGCGAGTCTCTTGAGCGTGCCACCGCTGTCGGTGTCCTCGCCGAGTGCATCAACGGCATGGGCGGCGCTGTCACCCCTCTGACCTCCACCTTCCTCAAGCTGCTTCTGCACCGCCTTGGCGATGAGGACCCCCAGACCCGCTCCAACGCCGCTTACGCTGTTGGTCGCCTGGTTGAGCACTCCAACGCTGAGGCCGAGATGGCCAAGGAGTACCCCACTATCCTCACCCGTCTCGAGCAGTGCTTGCAGATGGACGTCTCCCGTCTGCAGGACAATGCTACTGGCTGTCTCAGCCGCATGATCCTGCGCAACCGTGCTGCCGTCCCTATCCAGCAGGTTCTCCCTGTCCTTGTTGGCATCCTTCCCCTGAAGAATGACTACGAGGAGAACGAGCCCCTCTACCGTATGATCTGCCAGATGTACAAGTGGGAGGATGCTACCATCCGTGAGCTGACTCCTCAGCTCTTGCCCATCTTCCAGGCTGTCCTGACCGGTGATGAGGACCAGCTCGAGGATGAGCGCCGCGCCGAGCTCATTGAGCTTGTGAAGTGGCTCAACCAGATGCAGGCGGGCATTGCCCCCTGGGTCAACCAGCTGTAAAAAGCTTTAAACGACGTATGTTTTTTGATGACCGTTCGGAATGGGTAATGGATAGATCGATGATTTGATATGGAACTTGAATTTCCCCCGAGATGACTAGACGATACCCTATCTCAGCGGTGATTCCCGCGATGAGTGATGCAAACTCCAAAAGTGATTGTACATAGTTCAATTTACCTCAATATTTTCAAATTTTCCCTTTTATCCGTAACTTGAATCTCGTATAGGTACCTGTTTCTCCAGGGCTCTGCCGACCTCCAGCTAATAACCCTTCCAAGCCGACCTGTCTCAATAGTCGCGAGGTTTAATATCCCTACCAGTTGACAAGATGGCAGATCTCTCTGACTTCATCCGAGTCTATGGGTGTGTATCCATTTACGCCCGCACGATGATCCGGGAAATGGTTCATACTAACTTTCAACCGTGACATTCACCCTTCAATCGAATTCCATTCGGCATCCATGGATATTCATGCTCCCGACTCGGAGAGCCCGTCCCGAGATCTCGACTGCAATTTGAACCTGCGCACTACTGGATGGATGGCATTATATGTTGTCAAGGCCAGCAAGTACCATGCTAGCACTATCACTTCACTTCAAGTTGAACACGCGTCGGGCTACAGTTGAGGGAACATCTCTTTTTTTTTCCTGGGCTGCCTGGATGCTATGATCAATATGTGAATCGGGCTAGTTGAACTGCAGGTCGTACCGCCTGTGCCGCGATGACCCATATTCCGGGATCATCCACTAACACCATCCATGACGATCCCGAAGCCCCTCCGAACGCGCTCCATCCGCTACTTAGCTCAGGCTCTTCTAACCTCAAGCCCCGGGGTCGGGGCTGAGATCTGATAATAGGATTCTTACAGTAATCATTTGGAAATTTCCACGGTGAACACGAGTTTTTCCGGACTCGTTGCCCGAGAGCCACCACGATTGGACATGATTGATCAGTCCAATGCAAGTTCCACATTTCATCTCCTGTTATTTGTGTCTCCGAGGCGGCCAAATCCGATAATGATGGGCATTGGAGGGGGCCAAGGTTTACTGCGCTCATTGTGATCCATTCACGTTTCAGGGTCTAGGTGGACCATACTTGTTAGACCCACTAGATCCTTTTCCCTGCGTCTGTGATGTCCTGCTTGCTCATTCTCAAGGTTCGCCACGCGAGATAAGATGAATCTGATTAGATCTTCTAGACTTCACGGTCATCCAGATCATGCCCAGAGAAATGCTTAAGTGCACCTGGGCAGTATGTTTACTATCCAGGTATGAAACCTTGAAATGTGGAATTGAACGATCAACAAGGCTTCATATCAACTTACATATCCATCTTCATCTCTCTCTTGTCTTTCCTTGGGCCGCTATACACGCAAAAATGCAAGAGTACTCGGGATTAATACTTCCATGATCTCGAAAAACAGGTTTCCTAATTCCGTTTCTTTTACGAAATACAATTAGTTGTCTGAGATTGAACACTAGACAGGACATCTTGACCCACCCTTCATCCGAACTTGGCGCCGATCAGTTCAGGTCTCAGGTGAACGAGCACGAGTCTGATTTTTTCGTTCAAGTCTTGTTAGCCCCCTGTGGAGTCGTGTACATGGTGTAGGGGGCAAATCGATCCATCCGCCTGCACCGAACAAATCATCAATCGAGCAGGCTTCCATCCCCGGTTCTTAATTAAACCTTTCGATGCGCGTGCTTCGGACTTTTTGTCCAAATGCTTCCGATTTCGGTGCTCGTCTCCTATGAGGCAGGGATTGTCCTACATCGCTGTTGATTGCTTTTAATGTATGAAATTTCCCGTCGTGGAATTTGTTTCTCATCTTTTGCTTTCATCTATGCCGGCCTATTCAGTTACTATTGTTTTACTGTTAAGACCTAGACATCATGGCGGTTACACAGATGCGCCCCTTACTGCGTAGGGCTCGCAACGTGTTTGGTCGCGGTTTGAAGGACGATGGTGCAAGAAGCTCCTCGGTTGATACTGGTTCTGTCGGTGCTGTTGATGCCACGGAGAAGAAAGATGGTGATGTTACCGACTTTGCTGCTCCTGTCAATGATAATGGTGCCGAGCTGCCGGAGCCAGAACTCCAACGAGGTGTTAGTGATGCCGAAGCCTTGACGTTGACCTGGACGAAGAAAACACTCATTTTGGTATTCATCAAGTAGGTCCCCAGTGGTCTAAAACGGTCGAGTGGTTAACTTGAGCTAAGGTTTTTATCTAACAGCATGTGGTTCCTCTACTTCGTTAATGCTTTCCAGTCTTCGGTTTATGATACTATTAGTCCCTATGTCGCGAGTTACTATGAGTATCACTCGCTCTCAGGTCTCCCCTCGGCTATTGCTGATGCCTGCTCTGCCGCTGTCTTCATTCCGATGGCGAAACTTGTTGATACATGGGGTCGAGCTGAAGGATTTTTGCTAATGACTTTCTTTGCTACCTTGGGTCTGATTCTGATGGCTTCTTGCAATGGCTTCGGAATCTATTGTGCTGGATATGTGAGTACCAAGTCACTGAATTGATATGAAATACTGAATACTAACGTGAACACTAGGTCTTCTACGAAATGGGCTTCATGGGAATGGAGTACTGTGTCGATGTGATCACAGCCGATGTCTCCAAGCTAAAGAACCGAGCCTTTGCATATGCTTTCACATCCTCTCCGTATATCATCACTGCCTTCGCTGGTCCCACAGTTGGTCAAGAGTTCTACAATCTCGCTGGTAATGGCTGGAGATGGGGATTCGGTACTTGGGCAATTGTCTTTCCTCTTACCGCTGCCCCACTGTTCTTCACATTGAAGTGGACTGTGAAGAAAGCTGAGAGGCAAGGTCATTTGATTCGCGAGCCTAGTGGTCGCACTTTCTGGCAGAATGTTTGGCATTGGACCAAGGAATTTGACTGTAAGCTTTCCCACCTTCTCTCACTACTTGGATATTTCCCAGACTCAGTCCAGTACAGCGATTTTGACAGAAGGCTAATTATACACAGTGGTCGGTGTATTTGTATTCACCCTAGGTCTCGTCCTATTTGAGCTACCCTTCGATATCGCCGATTACGCCCCAGACGGATGGAGATCCGGCTATATTATCGCAATGCTTGTGCTCGGATTTTCCATGCTTTTCTTCTTCGCTATGTGGGAAAAGTTCCTTGCACCGAAACCAATGCTGGAAATCTCATATATCAAGAATCGTACCGTCATCGGTGCTTGTCTACTTGACGCAACCTACCAGCTCTCCTACTACTGCTGGAACTATTACTTCACCTCTTTCCTTCAAGTTGTCAACGGGTTAACTCCTCAGGAGGCCGGATGGATTAATCATATCTTCGATATTGTTTCTGGCCTTCTCTTACTATTCATTGGCTGGGTCATCTCCATCACTGGTCGCTTCAAGTGGCTACTGTTTATCTCAGTTCCGTTATACATTTTCGCTCAAGGCCTGATGATTTATTTCCGTCATCCTGGAATGAGCGTCGGATACCAAATCATGTGCCAGATCTTCATTGCGATTGGTGGTGCCATCTTCATCATCGTTGAGCAACTCGCTATCCTGGCTGCAGTTGATCATCAACACTTTGCCTCAGCACTTGCTCTGTTGAATGTTGTGGGTACTATTGGTGATAGCGCCGGTCTGACCATCAGTATGACCGTTTGGGAAAATACATTCCCGAATGCCTTGGAGCGATACCTTCCAGAGTCGGCGATATCGAACTTTGATAATATCTATAATTCCTTGGTTGTGCAACGGGGATACCCACTTGGAAGTGCTACTCGGATTGCTATCCAGAAGGCTTATGGTTATGCTGAATTACGGCTGCTTGCTATCGGTACGGGTATTATGGTCCTGGCGATCCCGTGGGCTCTCATGATTAGAAACATTAACGTGAAGGACAAGCCCCAGGTCAAGGGTACCGTTTTCTAGTGTGCTGGCACCGGAATTGCCGAGGGTGGCGACTATTCAAATGTTTTGAATGTTTTGAAAATCGAGGAATGTGGCTAGGTTTGTAGATCATTGTGCACCTATAGGCTACAGCCTCACCGATGTCAGATAGAAGAGCCTGTTGACATCATTTTACATGCAGGCCTCTCCAATAGAACATTTGAATAGAAAGCTTAGAACTATACCTTGGTATCTACAGAAGAACAGTAAATATAATATCCACTTCTCAAAAGTTATTGCGACCGGTTCCAGGGTCCAAGGTTACTTCGTACACCTACTACATCTCTCATTTCATCTTCATCTAATATCGCATTACATCTCTCATTCTGCCCTTAGCTTACCTCCTACTAAATCTCTTACTTACCCTCTATCCATTTAAAATGGTCCTCTTCAAGTCCGATAAAATACATGCTTCAACTAAGACTTGAGGTACTTCCAGATGAGAGGGGCCGGTGCGTCCCGCGATAAGTTGAACTAGAGAACTCAATACAGTCTTCTGCATGACGCAAGGATCAGTCTAATTACATAAAACACTGAGCTAAAAACGCACTAAGACTTTTGTCATGCCGTCTCTGAGTATTGCATGTTCAAATGTTTTAATGCGGGGTTATGCACCTTTCGTGAGGAAATGCAGATTCCTTTTGTAGTCACCAAGCCTCAACTGCACATGTGGAATGAATCTATTCCGAGTCTCCATCCCTTGAGTATTATGAATCACATCTCATCATGTCAGATAAACCTATCACAGCGGTAGGTTGAATTATATCCATCCCTCTTATCCAAACTAATAGTGATCTCATCCACCAACAGGACCCTGAGTTCAATACTGACAATTCGGCCCCTGGTGATTATCAATCGTAAGTTTCACTTCAAGCTGTATCATATTTCTGATAAACTTCAACAGCTACCCTGTATAACATTTGAATATTTAGTGAAACAACTTCAATCGCATCCTCGACCTATCGAGGGTTGATCGAAGATGGCCGCCGATATCAGACTATGAGAGAAAACAAATCCTGGTACTCAAGCGCTTACTCCACTAAGGTATCTGGGAGTGATCACTGATGACAGTATAGGAGTCCTGCTGATGAGCAACAATTTGAGAGTTTGGAAGCTGGGTAGGTCTTCTTCTTCAAAGGTTCGAAGCTTTCGACTAATCTAACCCGATAAGCCATGCTGTTGCTATTGTGATGGATTCTGACAAGCCTAACCCGCTCTTCCAAGCACCAGTAACTAAGCCTTTAAGGGTATGTATTCTGCTGGGGATGTGACCCATCTTTAGGCTCACTCTTATTAGAATATTCTGGATTTGGGAACTGGTAATGGTTTATGGGCGATGTATGTCAGGCAATCAATTGTGACTCTCTTTTGTCCTGCTAATACCGTCTCAGTGACGTTGCCGACATGCTTCCCGAAGGTACAGGCAATAAGACAATTTTTATCAAGAAGTGTCCCCTAATTTCAGCGCAGCAACTGTCCGCGGTGTTGATCTATTCCCACCTCCAGCAGCATTGGTTCCTCCAAACTACATCCTCGAAGTAGATGACGTCTTGGAAGAATGGACCTGGCGCGAGCCATTCGACCTCATCCATTTGCGCATCATGCTTGGATCCTTCGATGTGGCTGAATGGAAGGTGGTCTAGAAGAAATGCTTCGAGTGCGTTTCACTTCTGCTATTCTATCAGTTCTGGTTTCTAAACACGCTCGTCATAGTAACCTCAAACCAGGCGGATGGATCGAGCAACTAGAGTTGGATGCGCATCTTGAAACCGACGATGGTAGTTTATCACAAGATAGTTTGGCTGCCACATGGGGAGACAATACCTTTGGCTGTGCAGAACGAGCCGATCGCCGAATCGATACGTTGAATACCATGCGTGCCTCTATCGAGCAGGCTGGATTCATCGATGTCCATGAAAAGAACTATAAGTGGCCTATTGGTGCATGGGCCAGGGAGAAGCACTTCAAGGAAGCCGGTGCCTTGAATTATAACATGTGGTCGTCTGGAATCGAGGGTTGGGGGATGTGGCTTGGTCTAGAGACCAGGTCCTCACATACGTTAGAAAGATTCGATCGGAGTTAAAGAATCCCAGAGTACATTATTATCAGAGGGCGTAGGTCATATGTTTCGATTTCTTTCAAGTTTCTTAGTCGATTGTTGCTGACCTGTTCGATCTCTAGCACTTGAGGAAGAGGGTCTGGGCTCAGAAACCTCCTGGCGGAGATACTTCTTAGGCACTGCGTCCATCTAGGCGGGCCAATCAAAAGTAGCAAATTGGACGCTGAATTTCTGGATTTTGTCTGGAGGATCGTGTACGGGAATGTCTCGCACTTTTTTACCTCGTATAGGGTCATGTTCATGATGATCACTGTTATATTGAATCCGAGTGACTCCGGTCATTAGAATCGGTAACATTATTCCTCCGACCGGCATATACCGTGACTCCGAATCAGTCGATTTTCTATTTCAACCAGGAAAGGGGAACTTCTTCGGTGTTAACGATTTTGGATGAGTGGAGTTAAGGGGATTGTTTCGGAAACGTAAATTCACGTAATAAGTTAGTGATGGAGTGATCCACTATATGGAAACGGGGTTAAGTTAATTGTAAACTCCGTGAAGAATTCGTCATTGAACTTGCCGCCTACACTAACATTTGCAAGTTCCAAGGTTTCTATGACTTCAGGGATAATATGATAAATAGGAGAGTAATGTAACCTTTTTTTACAAAGTTTTGAATATCCAAATCTAATCATATCTGATTCTGTGAAATTTCTACACACAAATCTATCATCATGCCCAGCTTCCTTTACTCCCAATTCCTCACCCGCCCACCTTACCCCAAGGGTTCCCTAGATGGACAAACAATTCTCATTACTGGCGCAAATGTGGGCCTAGGCAAGGAGTCTGCCCGCCACGTCGTCCGTCTCGGCGCCGCTCGCGTTATTCTTGGAGTACGCAATGTCAAGGCTGGAGAAGAAGCCAAAAAGGACATCGAATCCTCCACTAACCGACCTGGAGTCTGTGAAGTGTGGGAGGTCGATCTCGCTTCTTATAAGTCCGTACTGGCGTTTGGGGAGCGCATCTCCACACTGCCACGCCTTGACTCTGCTATCCTAAACGCCGCAATCGCAACACACAACTTTGAGCTTGCGGAGGGTTACGAACGAACTATTACTGTCAACGTCATTAGCACTCTTCTTTTGGGCTTGCTCCTTCTTCCCAAGCTCAAGGAAACAAAAGTCAAATTCCCTTCTAGCATTCCTCACTTGACATTCGTGGTCAGTGAAGTACATGGATGGGTCGAGTTTAATCAATGGAAGGAAGACAAGACTCTCCAAACTCTCTCAGACAAAGATCGTGCTGATATGAGCGCGAGATATCCCACATCGAAACTTCTCGAGGTTCTCGTCGTACATGAACTTGCCAGTCGCGTGCGTGGATCTGAGGTCGTTATCAATATGATAAACCCGGGTCTATGTCACTCATCGCTTGCCCGAGAGGGTAATTGGAAATTCACACTGTTCAAGTTGGTCGTTGCACGCTCAACTGAAGTGGGTTCTCGTACTCTTGTTGCGGGTATCCTTAATGGTACTGAAGCTCATGGTAGCTATATGAATGATGGATATGTGGATGGTGAAGGTATGTCGCCTTTTGTGCGAAGCGCAGATGGAGCTAAGGCAAGGGCGAAGGTGTGGTATGAAGTGACCTCAATCTTGGAGGGAGTTCGTCCTGGAATTCTGCAAAATATCTAATTAGTTTACTCTTTATCATGCAAATACCCGTGTCCGAGTCTTCATGTAAAATTAGCTCTTTGAATATCTCTCTGCTCTATCATTTTGGCAAGTCTTTGGAACTTTACTATGTCACGTTCGATCATGATAGTTATCGCAATTACATTTCTGATGCTCCTATACATAAATTCATATCTATCTCTTACAGACGTGGAAGAATGTGGTACTTGACTGCCTTGACCTGAGTCCAACCCTCGAGGGCTTCCTCACCCATGTCCCGACCGAACCCACTTTCTTTCACTCCACCAAATGGAACATTTGGACTCAACATAGCCCAGGCATTTACAGTAACTTGTCCTGACTCCAGAGCTTGGGTGACACGATGAGCACGGTTCACATCATTTGTGAAGATCGCAGCACTGAGTCCGTGAGCTGAATCGTTGGCTTTGAAGATGACCTCCTCCTCGGTGGAGAACTTGGCGATGCTCTGATTTAATTAGTTCAATCAGTTCAAATACATCAACGCAATCTTGGATCAGTGAGTCACTTACCGCGACAGGACCAAAGATCTCCTCTCTCATGATTGTCGCATCATCACCAACATCTGCAAATGCAGTGTTTTGCACAAAGTATCCCTTCTCGCCAATACGTTCTCCACCAAATAACAAACGTGCTCCACATTCCTTACCCTGTCGGATATAATCCAAGATTTTTTCATGCTGAACCTTGCTCACAACAGGTCCCTTGGTTGTTGACGGATCCAACGGATTTCCAGCAACGGTAGGTGCGTCAGCTGAAGCCTTCTTATAAGCCTCGATAAAGCGATCATAAATCGAATCTTGAACATAGATACGTGATCCAGCCGCACAGATCTGACCGTTGTTCGCTGTAATTCCGATACGGGTCCAGAGTAGGGCATTCTCGAGGTCACAATCATCAAAGACAATTGATGGACCTTTACCACCAAGTTCGAGGCTTACTTTCTTCAAGTTGGTCCTGGCGGCCGCCTGCATAATCTTTCGTCCGGCAATGGCACTTCCGGTGAAAGCGATCTTGCGAACCTCCATGTGCTCGGATAGAGCCTGACCGGCGTTTGGTCCGTCACCTGCCACAATGTTCACAACACCTGCTGGGATACCAGCCTCCTTGATTAATTCGGCCAGTCGCAGGGCATATAGGGGTGAGTTCTCGGATGACTTGATGATCAGGGCATTTCCAGCAACAATCGCAGGTGCCAACTTCCAGATTGTAATCATCCTGTATCATATTTCATTGTCAGCGTTCATCCTGGATGGATTTTATGTGGTTCAGGAACATGACTTACAAGGGCGCGTTCCAGGGTACAATGGCACCGCAGACACCAAGTGGCTCGCGATAAGTATACGCAATCCCACCATCCATACTCAATGTCTTCCCATCAATCTTATCGGCCCATCCAGCATAGTATCGTAGACAACCAACAGACTGGGGGATATTCATTCCCATTGAATCGGTAAAAAGACTACCGCAGTCAACGGCTTCGAGGGAAGCCAGTTCTTGTGCATCTCGCTCAATTAAATCAGCGAGGTTGAGGAGTAGGCGAGCTCGCGCAGGACCGGGGACTTTCTTCCATGCTTCGAAACCGGCTTTTGCGGATTTCACGGCAGCATTGATATCCTCTGGCCCGGCGGCTGAGATTGTTCCGTGTTGTTCACCTGTCGCAGGATTTTCTACGACCAGGGTTTGTCCTGTGATCGATGGCACAAATTCATTGTGAATGAACAGTCCAGTTGGCACTGTACACTTTTAGCTCTGGAATTCAGTTCCTTGAGGGAGGATTGTTTTACCAGTAATTTGTCGGCCCTGTATTCCGCTAATGGTTAAGGACATTTTTTTACCTTCCTTTGGTTCAATTGAAGGGTAAGAAGGGGTTCTTGGATGATAAAGAGCTCACTTTCAGGTGGGTACTACGAGCTGTTTTCAACTTGAACTTGCCCGCTATAAGTCTATGACTAGTGCGGGGGAGAGCCGTTCCGCAGTGTATTCCGCTTCCGAGGTTGGGAACGAGCTGATACGCCTTGGCAGGCTAGCCAAAACAGGTAGCAAAAGAGGTGAAAAAGGAGAAAGTTAAACTGATTTTGTTGACGTGGAGAAAACCTTCGCCAATCGTAAATACGAGAAGAAGTGATTATGTCCGGCAGACGAGTTGATTCGCCTTATCGGGGCTATTCTGAAGCCCGCAGACCGATGTGATTGAGCAGGTAGTCTGATAGATACTCATAGAAAATCTATCATTTTGAAATGGATACAAAATCACATATGATAATGGTGTTCCACAGCAGTTTATCATGATTGATGATAATTTGTCATGTTCGTCGTTGATCTGATACATAGATTGTGAAAAGTGTACCTCGGAAGGTTGTTCCGCAGCGGAACGACTGAGTGGTTCAGTGATCCTCACATCTGGGCAGCATTTGGCACTATCATGAATTGGGTGACTAGGTTAACCCATGGTGGTCTCCCAGCCCTTCTCAATCATAACATCCACCCAGTAGGTGTTTGTTTCACCAGCATCCATCCGTCTCCATACCTCCTTGACAAGCCTTAAACAAACGTTGATAGGTTTAGGGGGGTAACACATGGAGAAGTGAGGTCAGACGACCAAGGATAAATTTTCGGGATTGAGAAACTTCAATAGCTTCCATAGAGATATCGGGTGTCTCTGTGCCAGGTTGTTCGTTGTCATGACTTTGATTTCCCTCTGACTCATCTCTCTGATCTGCCGATAACCGTGGTAGGCGAAGCTCGCTGGATGATGCAACAAGTAGAAGTGGTTGAAGACAACGTGTGCGCGATTCAAATGGAATTGTTTTCAGACGGGAGAGAAGTGTGACAGCGAAATCAGTAAGCCATGCATCGTATAGACCAGTAGAGCTTTCTTCGGTTTCACATGTAGCCTTGTTCAGGGGTTGAGTAGGTAGAGGGAAGATATTAATATTATGCGAAGAAGATGAAACTGGGGAACCCCGAGTATCTTGGTTCGTATGCTGACTGAGATTCATGCTATCCAAGTCTATTGGGAAGAATGGATCACTCTGCGCTGTACTTGGGACATCTCTAAACTGGTTCTCCTCGGGGTTTGGAAGACGAGTTCGTAATAGGTCGGGGAAAGCGCGATATAATTGCAGCAACCCGGTGCAGCGATAAACCTCGGCCATTGTAAGCAGATGCCAGACTGGAGTTTCGTCATCTCCTGGACTAATGATCTCGGCTTCTGAAGGGTGCGCTACATTCAGTAGGCGGTCTTCCAGCTCGCGCGCCTTTTCGATGGCTAGCTGTGCACGTGTGATATCGTCGAGGGATGTGAATCTGCTAGCACGGATACGTTTGCGTTCGCGACGAACAAGTCTGCCAACCTCATGTACAGTGAATTGCGTGTCTCGTGCGATGCCAGTCCATGGATGCGGGACGCGCTGTAAGACAAGGGACTCTTCTGTAAATGAGGCACGCGAGTCATCCGGTAGAACGGAATGATTGTCTGCAACAAAAGACAAGAGCATCTCCCAGTAGATGAGGGCCTCCTCGAAGAACCGGTAATTATTACTGTAACTTTTAGGGAATCCAAATGGCTGCGGTGTGGAATTGGACCCTAGCGATTTAAGCTGCCTACGCAACAAATTGAAATGCGAAATCCCCAAGTCGGTCGGATCGTGCCAGCTCGCTGTCTGGCCGAGCATAAGGAGCGCTAACAAGGATTTATCATCCATCACCGCTTCACGGGTAATGATCTCAATAGCCTCATCACGCATCTTTCTACCAAGTGGACCAAATTTGGGAAAGTCGTTCACAAGTGTTGCGGCTGCCATACTTTGCATTGTGCGACACATGGCTAGTGATGAGCCCCATAGTCGAGAGACCGTCGTGCGGAACGGGTTCATCTGACTATCGTAGCTCGAAAAAAGGGCTGCCACCTCTTTGAAATAGTATTCAATGAGCGTCCATGATGGGTTGTTTAAGGACCGCGATATCGACATGAAATCGTGTGGAGGGGCGCGTTGTAATGCAGGCGGGTAACTTCGCACGATCGTTGAGGGTGAGAAATCCCGGTAAATATTGTTATCATGGCCATCTGGTTCATCCTGAGGTTGGCTTATCAAGAATAAAAGATCTGATAAATCAGCGACTGTGTCGCCAGACTGAGCAAAGTCAAAGACGGCAGAAACATCATGAGACAAGAAGCCTGATGATGTGGCTGCAGATGATGTGGCTGCAGATGATGTGCAGAGATCGGTCAATTCTGGGAGCGATCGATTGCCTGGTAGATCCCATAAATCCTCGCAGATACCATTGGAGTCATTTAAATCAAATTCAGACGAATCTGGCTCTTGATGTGGTCTAGAATCTGCATCATCTAATGACCCAATGTCCTCTATTCGGACCGATGGGTCTCCCGGTATCCTCGAAGAGCGGGCAGGACTCGGTGGCTTATACTCTGATACTGGATCAGGACTGGCCTGTTCAGGTTGGGAGACCCAGCGAAGTGACTGGACATATCCTGGGCAACGAATGCCGAGTCGCGTGCAGCGAGTACAATGGGGTTTCTCTTCTCCGCATTTAACCTGTTTCGGGTAAGTTGAAGAAATGGGCAACTTGGGGCAAATAAGTGAGATAACCCACCCGTTTGCTCTTGCATCTAGCACACCCATTGCGGGACTTTTTAACTCGTCGCATGATTATAGTTGGATTGGGATTTTCCAGAGTGAGATGCGAGATGTTCCAGCATGAAGATGATTTGGAGTAGAGCGGGGACCCCGCTTATCTTGAATGTTGATAACCGGGTTCTTTTGCCTGTTAGAGAAACACATGAATTTAATGTTCATGAAGTAAGTCATTATGCTTGAATTCTCAATCATTTTGTGCAATTTTCATCAAGTAGAATACAGTGGTTTATTCATCTTGTCTTGTTCTAGCAAAATCCCCATCATACTATGAACACTGCTAGTACCACACGCTCCAGACCAGTTGGCGCCGAATCTAACACTTAAATGCGGGAATTTACCTAGATTCAAGTTGGAAACCTTGCAATGCCACTGATCAGTGTTAATTTACAGATATTTCATACGAGCAATCGAATTCAAGTTTTTGCCGTTGCTTGACGTTTCCTGTATTCGGGTTCCCTGGGTGCTTCCCAGGGCTGGAGTCCAACTGGTATATGAACACCTATCAAGGGCCCCAACTTTGATTCATACAAACCATGGAGCATTCATCCCAATTTTGAGCTTCAATGTTCGATACTTCGTTTTTTCCGGTATGAATATTCAAGTCGGAAGTCCAGTAGTGCCCATGATATATCCTCCTTTTAAGATGTGTCCCACATTTGGCCGTCAGTGGGAGTAGGAAATCGATGCGCAGTTGGCGATTTAACCACTCGGGTCATTATGCGATTGAACTTGGCGCCAATGGGAAAATAAGACCTTGAGATTCATTGTCATAGACCAGACAAAAGTGCATCATAAAAATAAGTTGATTTATTGGTGGAGTTCGGAGTAATCGACTCGGACAGGAGTCACAGAACATCTGGACCCTGTTGATCGCCATGCTAAATCAAGGATGAATCAGCTTTATGAAAGATTTCAATGACCTCGGTCAATCTCAAATGCAATGATCTGCCATAATGGAATATCATTTACGCGTCCAGAGTCTTAATCTGCCCCACGCTCTACCCCGGTGGTAGTCCGACATGGTAACCCCACTGTCGCATCTCGGTGCATTGCTCCCCCGAAGTCTCGGATGACCCTTTCAGTTGCGTGTATTGAAAAAGTGTCAATTCCCCCACGTTCTTCAAAGTTTTTTTTTTCTCTTTTCATATATCCCATTGAATTCTCATTGAACTCATTTTGATCATATTCCTCAGCAATCATGGGTTCAGTATCGGAGTTTCCCCGCATTAAGGAGATCCGCACCTTCGTCATTGATGGTGTTGGTTCTGGAGGTGATTACCATAATGTAAGAGATGAAGTCCATCTTTGAAGAGGGAATAAATACTAACACATTCATTCAGGTCAAGGGAGGTCACTGGTTGATTGACAGCAATATCTCTACTCCCATGACCAAGTGGGCTGAATACCGTGGTTCTCGTACTTCCTGGGGTATCAACGTTCTGGGATCATTCTGCGTGGAGATTGAAGCCACTGATGGCACCAAGGGATTTGCCACTGGATTTGGTGGTCCCCCAGCTTGTTGGTTGGTTCACCAGCACTTTGAGCGCTTCTTGATTGGTGAAGGTATGGATCTTGCAACCCTTTATGGAGTATAGAAACCGGCATTCTAACATAAACCAACTCGTATAGATCCACGCGATACCAACAACCTTTTTGAGAAGATGTACCGGGCTTCCATGTTCTACGGTCGCAAGGGTCTCCCCGTGGCCGCTATCTCCGTTGTCGACCTTGCTATTTGGGATCTGATTGGAAAGATTCGCAAGGAGCCTGTTTACAAGATGATTGGTGGGGCTACTCGATCCCGCCTGAACTTCTACTGCACTGGTCCTCAGCCTGCTGCTGCTAAGGGAATGGGATTTATCGGTGCCAAGGTTGCTTTGCCTCATGGTCCTGATGAGGGAACCGAGGGACTGTTGAAGAATGTTGAATACCTTCGTCTTATGCGTGCTAGTGTTGGACCCGACTTCCCTCTCCGTGTCGACTGCTACATGTCTCTCACTGTTCCCTATACTATTCAGCTGGTCAAGCGCTGCGAGGCTATTGGTCTGGATATTGACTGGTGGGAGGAGTGTCTGTCTCCCGATGACTTTGACGGCCATGCTCTGCTTAAGCAGGCCCACCCCACTGTCAAGTTCACCACCGGCGAGCATGAATTCTCTCGCTATGGTTTCCGCAAGCTTGTTGAGGGCCGCAACTTGGATATCATTCAGCCTGACGTTATGTGGCTGGGTGGTCTTACTGAGCTGCTCAAGGTCTCTGCTCTTGCTGCCGCTTATGATATCCCCGTCGTTCCTCACGCCTCTGGTCCTTACTCTTACCACTTTGTCGTTTCTCAGTCCCACAGCCCCTTCCAAGAGTACCTGGCCAACTCCCCCGATGGCAAGTCAATCATGCCTGTCTTCGGTAACCTCTTCACCAACGAGCCCCTTCCTGTCAATGGATACCTTGATGTCTCTGTCTTGGATAAGCCAGGTTTCGGTCTGGAGCTGAACCCTGCTGCTCCTTTAATCCCTGCCTCTGCGCTCCTCACCCCTGCGCCTCAAAAGAGCCTTTGTGCTCCTGACGATGAGCAGGCTGCTAATGGTACTCATGCTTAAGTGATCGATTTTAGCGTTTTCTTTATTTTTCTTTATTTTTCTTCAATTTCTTCAATTTCTTCTTTCCACGAGGCTGTGACGTTACCTCATGATATTCATGTACATAAATAGCATCTTTACGACTCATACCAATAGAGTGACTTGTGGATGAAACTGAAAGTACTACCAGTAGAAAATATTTAGACAATTTTTTTTCTTCAGTTTGAGTATGCAGACTTGAACTTGGCAATCCCACTATGCCACATTGCCATCGGCTAGACATACTCTACGGAATTATTGTCGTGCGTGACCATCAAATGTGGGGGAAATTAAGAATAAACCCCACACTCGGTTCATCATCATCGCGAAACCCGAAATCTAATCAGCGGGGAATGCGAAATTGCCAGCGCGATAGAAAAATAATTAGGCGACGTGTTATTTTATCTTGCTTGCACTCTTGATCTTGCAACCTTTCAATCAGCTTGATATCACTAATTACTCAGAATGCCTCTTCCACAATTACTAGTTGGCAAAGTAGCTGCCATCACCGGTGGTCTTACCGGCATTGGACGGGTATGTTAGGATTCACATCTCTAGAAAGGCATTTTTGACTAACATTTGTGTTTTATCTAGGCAATTGCCCTTGATTATATCCGCCATGGTGCTAAGGTCTCGATTAGCCATCTGGGCGGTCCAAAGGAAGAGGATTTACTAGCATCGCTGCGTCAAAAAGTCAATGAGATCGAAGAGGGAGCAGACAAGACTCGTTTCCTCACAGTTGCAGGAGATATCTCTCAGCCTGAGACAGGAAAGCACTTTGTTGCGCAGACAGTCGAGGCATTCGGTCGATTAGATGTGTTTGTGAGCAATGCGGGCGTGTGTAAATTTGCAGACTTCCTTGAGTAAGTGGCACCTCCTATCAGAACGGAAGTTGGTATTCTAATTGGAATAGGCTCGAGCCCTCTCTTCTTAACCATACTGTCTCTACCAACCTCTCAGGTGCCTTCTTCGCTACACAGGCTGCGGCCAGACAAATGGCTTTAGCCCAGTCCCCGCCCGGTGGATCCATTATCGGTATTAGTTCCATTTCAGCGCTTGTCGGTGGTGGTGAGCAGACACATTATACACCCACCAAGGCCGGTGTCTTGAGTCTGATGCAGTCTTGTGCGGTGGCGCTTGGGAAATATGGAATCCGTTGCAATGCCCTCCTTCCGGGTACTATTCGCACCCAGTTGAATGATGAAGATATGGCGGATCCTGTCAAGAGGACGTATATGGAAGGTCGAATTCCTCTTGGAAGATTGGGTCAACCGCCTGACCTGGCGGGTCCTGCTGTGTTCTTGGCCTGTGAGGAACTAAGCAGCTATGTGGTGAGTTAAATCGCGGATTGATTGAAGAATATGAACTCATACTGACAATTTGTATCTGAGCAGACTGGTGCACAGATTTTGGTTGACGGTGGTCTTTTTGTTAATTTACAGTAAATAGAAGTGAGCATTGGAACCTTGGAAGGTGATTAATGAGACTTCATATAAAATAAATTCTTAAATGGAAATACCATATGCTTCAACTGCCACATTCCCCCAAACTCCCTTCTTCTCATCCTCTGTTAAACCCCTTCGTTCCAAAATTCCTTCAACCACTGAGCGCCATCTGCTCCAAGATACCTCATTCCCACCACCGCCAACATTACACACTGGCCAGTCTGAGCCAAACATCACGCGATCGGCACCAAATGTGTCGAACACTGCATCAGTCCATGGTTGAAGAGTATCAATCACAGATGGGAGATCAATTTCCGACTCGGTCAGTGATGGTAGCTCAGAGAATCCACCAGAAAGCTTCATATAAGTTCTGTTGCTCGCGCGAGCCATTCGGGTGATGAGATCCTTCCATTCGAGATACTCGTTATGGGTCGGCGTTGAATCAGAAGGTAGTCGCAAATTCGGTTTGCATAGATGGTCTATCCATTCAGTCAACAAATATCCATCATAACGATCAAATCAAACTCACTTATCACGATTGTCACTTGACTCTCGTCTTCCACCCCTTCATATACTCTATCCATCATTTCCACGGCCTCTCGTAGCTGGTGTAGACCTCCCTGTCGCGCATCAACTCCTAGATCAAAGACGAGTCCTTCTTTCCCCAAAAATCGCAAACTATTCACAAAGTCGGACTCGAGCATAACTCCCGCCGCTTTATCCTGGACAAGGTATCGCACACCTCGCACTTTGCGCCAGACCTCATCTGTTCTAGTTCGCTCTTGTACTTGGGATAAGTATTTCCTGAGTACATTCGGACCACCGGGTACAGGAGCCCAGGGTATTATACCGAGACAAAGATCGCGATCTATTGCTTTGTGACCCTCGCCTGGGATAGGTTCACCGAGCGCGATTCGGGTGAGGAGAGAGACCTCATCTAAAGCATGTTTCCATCCTGGATTTTCTGTTGATTCTTCTGAAATTGAAGAAATTCGGTCTGTCTCCAAGAATATAAATCCTTGTAGGTAGTGTTTTGTCTCTGGAGTTGCGGTTGTTGAGACGGATGATGAGGCATCACGATATTCGTTGATACAGTGCTGTGATCCCAGGGGATTGTTTGGTCCGTGCCAGGCTAAAGTTGGGAGATGTGATTCTGGGAAGAGGTGGATGTGTGAGTCCACAATTGGGGTGGACATCTTGATGTTTGTTTGGTGCTTAACTCGGTGGTGGTGATGGTGGGTGGTGCGGGGTCGTTCGCTTTGGTCAAATGCTCCAGTGCTGATGGAGCTGAGACAATAATCAGTTGCCAGTTTACCGATTGCCCAAGTGGTGATCGGGTTGTTAAGCCAATTCTTCGCGCTGTCATTAATCCCGTCATCTCATCGGGGGGCCTTTATCCCGAACCAAGACCTCGGGAGTGGGGAGTCGCTATTCCTCCGAACTTCAAGTTTTTCAAGCTACTAGAACTGATCAGAGCTAGATTAGGAACCAATTTGTCCATTAAAGTTGGATTCATATCCTCACGCATACAGTTTCAAACGCTCTGGTCCCTATTGTATGTAATGAACAGGGCGTCTCATTGATAATAGTACAGATTCTAGATCCCTCTCTATGTTAGTATATTTACAAGCTTTTGCCAATGTCTATGATAGACCGAGATTAAAATTCCGGTCTCTCCAGCTTAACAGCTTCCTTCACAACACGATCGCGCACACTCTGACGATAGTTCTCGTTCTCATCTGCGGCTGATCCGCCGGACTTGCCGGCTTCCCAATCCTGCCAGTTCAACCAACGCATGCGCGGGCGTAATATACCAACTACCCGCCCTTGAATCAGACTGATACTGACAGGTCCATATGTGTTACTGTCCAATGTTCGGCGTGGATCCTCCGCATCGCCCTCTAGCCAGACGTGATTGTATGGTACGATTTGAGATGGTTTCATGCATGGTTCACGTGTAGTAATGCGATCGCCTGGAAGACCTATAACGCGCTTGACGGCGATATTAGAAGCGTGTGCGGGTGATCTGCGAGATTTGAGATTATATTAGTCGCTTGTTTCATCTGAACATCAGGTCTGGTTGACCGAACGCCGGTTGATCCAACGCGAAGATCGCTCGTTAAGGGTATCATACCGAATTGCCACTACCATCCCTCTCTCTAGTTGTTTTGACCTCTCCCATGGAAATGCCGAGCCCCAGGGCCACATGCTCACCACGGCCATATCCATCTGTGTATGTGTCCTGTCGTAGTCTTCGTTCAGGTAAGGGGTCATCGAGGGCCCGCGGACCCATACGATCTGTGCGACATGTTCGGAAAAGAAAAGTCCTATCGGGAGAAAAGCTCCAAAGACTTTAAGGGCCCCAAGGCCGCGGCGTACGGGCTGTGGGAGGGAGGCGTAGCGTTGACGGAAACGGCTGAAGGTTGATGGGAGGTGCCACCTTGAGGTGAGAGGGGGTGCCGGCATTTATAGATTTTCGTTGTAGAGAGGCATATTGGGGCTCTGACAATTCAGCGACGGATTGGACTGAGTTCTTTGCGAGTCGTTTGGCATCTCTGGGGGTCAAAATGCGCGAGTTTGACAAGTCTGCGAGTTTGTTTGAGGGTGGCATGTTGATTTTGAGAGCTCCGTAGCTCCAATGAATATAATCGAGGGTATTAGAAGATCAATTAATGCCAATTAATGGGGAATAGTCTCCCAAGGCAAACCAGTATCAAACAACCTTGGAATGTTCATGTCAACGTCAAAGTGAAGCGGAGATCGGAAAAACCGCGATTCTGCCGCTTATCTCCTTCTCCACAATCTACTCCGTAACATCCAAGTCTACTTCCCCAGTGCTTGGATGGGAGCGCGATCATTGCATTTGTGAAACAATACTCTTAATATTTTAGTTTGATTCCCATATTAGGTTGAAAAGCCTTGGAGCTTTGAAATCCGTGAGCATTTGAGGGTCACCTCTACTACTACTACTAGTAGCCTACTACTAGCTCTGACCCCGAGCAAGGATACATATACAACCGAATGCCCGCATTAGCCTGACCACTAACTTGAAACTTGGGTCGAACTTGAAAATTTACCTCATTCCGACATTCGCATGTGCGAATCCTTTTCAAATTTATAATTCTTCGATTACTACAGCACCTGAGCAACTTACGCATATAAAAATACCAACCATGGAGCTCAATACGGAGCCTGAGGTCCTCATCATCGGAGCTGGAGTCTTCGGTATCAGTACAGCTCATCATTTGGCTAAACGATCCCCCAACCCCTCAAGCATCACGATCCTCGATAGAGCTCCGCCTCCATCTGGAGATGCTGCATCAACAGACATCAATAAGATTGTCCGGGCAGATTATTCCAGCCCTATCTATATGGACCTGGCATTCGAAGCTATCGAGGCCTGGAAAAATAACCATTTATTCGCTAATGTAGGCGTTTATCACCAGTCAGGCTGGATTGCCATGAATGAGCGGGGAAGCGATCTTGCAGAGCGGATTCGCCACAACTTTAAGACAAGTGGTCGCCCGGACCCTACAAGAGATATGACTGAAGAAGAAGTTCGTCGCAGCTGGGGTGGAATCCTCAAAGACGCCAATATGGATGCCTTTGAGTCATACTACTTTAACCCGTCAGCCGGCTGGGCGGATGCTGGTTCCGCCGTGAAGATCATGGCAGAGGAGGCGATTCGTCTGGGTGTCCAATATAAAGTCGGCAAAGCTCGTCGTCTGGTATTAGATGACCATGGTGTCAAGGGGGTTCAAACAAGCACTGGCGAGATATACACGGCCAAGAAAATCGTCTTGGCTACAGGTGCCTGGACGAGCCAGCTGATGGTTTCCACTGAAGATGATCTAGAAATGACAGGCAAAGCTAGAATGGAGAGCCAACTCACAGCAGCAGGAATCTGCGTAGCCCATTTTCAATTGTCCCCGCAGGAACGGTCACTATATGACCAACTTCCAGTTTATGTGTATGGTGAAGAAGGTAAGATTCGTTCAATTTGGTCCACCACGATTAGATCTGCGATTTTGAATCTGACAGTTACTGACCAGGTGAAGCATTTCCTCCCACCGCGTCGGGTCTGCTGAAGTTTACCAATACGGCTTCATTTAAGAACACCATCCAAACTGAGAGTGGTCACACCATTTCTGTGCCACCTCCAAAGGACCAACGAGATGTCCCAGAGGCATTGCGTCGAGAGTTCCTTGAGTCGATCCGGGGTCGTCTGCCCCAGCTGTTTACACAGGATCGCCAAGTGAATTATTATCGATTATGCTGGGACGCGATCACACCTGAGCAACACCCTCTAATCACCCAGCATCCACATCCCCAGCTCCCCAACTTATATCTTGCTGTCGGTGGCTCATTTCACTGTTGGAAATTCCTCCCTACCGTCGGCCACTATGTTGCCAATGTTGTCCACGGGGTAGGCAATGGGGCCGACCGTGACAAAATCTGGGGCTGGAAGGAGGAACAACAGGGCCGTGGGGTCCATGATAGTCTGATTCCAGATCGGGAGCTTCGAGATTACTAGATTCAGCAAATTGGCCTTCCTTCTCCGTCCTATGTATAGGCCGTAAGCCAGAGGGCTAAATATGCCAAGGGGGGCCAATTCCTATAAACGAATCAGCAATACGATGAAATTCTCGATTCGGACCGAGGTGACGCAATTCCGGACACTTCACAATAAATTTAGGTGTCTGCAGTATCTTTTAGCCCCTTTCAGTATCCTCAAAGTGCTTTTCTAGCCCCCAAAGCCAGTTGGAACTGATAAAGTGGATAATCCTTCATGGGGGCCGCGGCTTCTGTTGAGCCCCGCAAGCCGTTTGTGCCGAGGAATCTTTGCTCTTGTCGCAAGAGTTCATTACATTCTTACTCTCTCCTCTTTTCTCTCAATTCATTCACTCATACTCGAAATCGCATATTCTAATCTCAAGGAATCATTCTAATTTACATTCATTTGACAATTTCAACTTCAGGTGCAGGTACATCTTGTTGATCTGTCAACCCTCTACGTCATTACGCGTGTCATTTTAATCTGTATATCACATCGCGACATTTTAATCGCATTACAAAATGGACTTCGGTAGGTCATATCAAGCATCAATTGCATTAAAAATATATGTTCAAAATGGCTGACAGTTCTTAGCACCTGCAGCAGCAGCCCTGGCGGGTGTAACCGCGGCAGCTTATCTCAATGGAAAATACCACTTAATGAAGGATTTCAAGGTTATGGCGACCATGGTGAAGAGTCAGAAAACAACCGCGCGAGCCAGTATGTACAAAGATGGATAAATGATATGCCCAGCTGTGAAAATATACTGACATTTCCTAGTCGGAAAGGGAGAGGTTAATCTGTGGTTCAACTTTCTGGAAACGGCCGAGAAGTACCCCGACACAACAGCGATATGGACTCGAAATGGATCATACACCTTCCGCGATCTCCAAGAACAAGCATGCCAATATGGTCACTACTTCCTGTCTCAGGGAGTGAAGAAGGGCGATCTGGTAGCCGTGTACCTGCAGAACCGAATCGAGTTTATGGCCGCATGGCTGGGTCTCTGGAGCATTGGGTGTGCTCCAGCCGGAATTAATTTCAACCTGTCTGGCGAACCATTGGTTCACTGCTTGAAGTGCAGTGGTGCGAAGCTTCTCTTGGTGGATGACGATGCCACTTGCCAGGCGAATGTCGAGGGGTGCCGGGATACCTTAACTGGTGAACTTGGAATGACCCCCGTTGTTGTGGACGAGGCTTTCAGAGCCCATGCTCGCACCTTTGCCACAACTCCTCCTCCCAGAGACTTGGGACTCCAGATGTCTGGTGGCTTCCCAGGTATTCTTCTCTACACCTCGGGTACAACGGGAATGCCCAAGGGAACCGCTTTCACCATGTCTCGCTTGTACTCAACAAACACAGTTCGTGTTTTGCCAGTTGGAGATAAGCCCGGGCCAAATGGAGACCGTTGGTACAACTGCATGCCCCTCTATCACGGAACCGCCGCAACCGTGGTCATTACCGCTATTTTGAATGGAACAGGTGTCGCACTGGCCCCGAAGTTCAGCGTCAGCAACTTCTGGAAGGATGTCCGTGACTCGGAGGCCACTCTTTTTATCTACGTTGGAGAGACTGCTAGGTATCTTCTTTCCGCCCCGCCTTCCGCCCAAGACCGTAACCATAAGGTTCGGGGTATGTGGGGCAATGGTCTCCGACCAGATGTTTGGGAGAAGTTCCGTGAGCGTTTCAACGTTGCCGAGATTTACGAGTTCTTCAACAGCAGTGAAGGTGTATTTTCCTTGCTGAATGTGAACTTCGGACCGTTTACATCGGGCTGTGTTGGTCACCATGGTGCACTCACGCGCGCAATCCTGCGTAACACATACGTTCCTGTTGCTATTGACTCGGAATCTGGAGAGATCATTCGCGATGAAAAGACTGGCTTTGCCATTCGTCCCTCTTTGGAAGAAGGTGGTGAGATCCTGGTGAAGATCCCTAACGAGGAAGCTTTCCAGGGTTACTGGAATAATGAGGGCGCTACTCAGAAGAAGTACCTGCGCGATGTATTCGTCAAGGGGGATCTCTACTACCGTACTGGTGATGCTCTCCGCCGAACAAATGATGGCCGCTGGTACTTCGTTGATCGTTTGGGTGATACATTCCGTTGGAAGAGTGAGAATGTGTAAGTTTTTTATCTGATTGGTCTCATTGAGAAGTCAAACTAACAATATTTTTACAGGTCAACCGCTGAAGTCTCCGAGGCTCTGGGTCGATTCCCTGGTGTCATTGAAGCAAATGTGTATGGCGTTCTTGTCCCTGGTCATGAAGGCCGTGCTGGCTGTGCGGCTTTACAATTAAGTGCAGAGGATAAGAAGAACTTGGACTTTGCTGAGTTGGCACGCTTTACGCGCTCAAAATTGCCACGCTACGCAGTCCCTGTTTTCCTGCGCTTGGTTGATAACCCAGTTCACATCCACAATAACAAGCAGAACAAGGCGCCGCTCCGTCATGAAGGTGTTGACCCCGCGTTGATTGGTACTAAGGTTCCTGATGGACAAGCCGATCAGCTCTACTGGCTTCCTCCTGGTGAGGATGCCTATAAGCCTTTTGGTGAGAAGGAGTGGGTAACTCTGACAGAAGGAAAGGCCCGTCTGTAAACGTCTATCTTCAAGTTCAAGTCGTGCTTTTTTCTTTCCAACATTCGAACTCAAGCCTCTTTTTTTGTTTATATTTATAATACCTTGAATAATGACAAAAGATTTTCAAATGCGCATTAGCAAACATTGATCATCGTTAGCATCATAAGTCATAATATTAGCATGTTCGGGTAAGAATCTGAGAGCACAAAGCTCACGGTGAGATGCTTGATAGGCAGCAACCCCAGAGGAAAATGGCCAGGCCAATTATTGGAATGCTTCACGTAAATCAGAATCATACTGCACCTTGTCCTTTAATTTGTGCCTAATAACTTCATCTGTGTCAATCATCCAGTAAGGCGTGGTAATTTTCCAGAATGGCTGCTCATTATGATTCTTTGCAAACATTGGTTGGATATGATCGTAGAATAACGAGAATAATCCTGTTGGGCTCCTAAGGGCCATAGTACACCAAAATGTTCCCTTGTTCCAGCCTTGCTGTAAAACATCCGAGAGCTGGAATGGTAGATCGAATTTGGTTTCCTCCGATACGAGAATTTCCATGAATTCTTTGTGAAGCTCTTCGTACTTCGTCTTGTTCATCCCATCAATAGCTTCGTTTGTGAGCCATTGTGGAGGATGAATCATTTCCACTGGATGCGAACATGCCCACTCCAAATCAATCAAACAGGTTATATTCCATTTATCATCAACGAAAATATTAGATTGATTGAGATCGGTGAGATGAAGGAAAAATGGACATTGGAAGAACTCGCGACGGAAGAAGCACGACCAAATACTTCTCATCACCATAAGAGCAGAAGCCTGGTATAAACCATCTTCATAGTCGTTTACTGCATTTGGCTGATGGCGAAGGCGATTCTCATGACATGAAAGAACGTCATGAATGTAGGACTCAACGCGAGTGTGGGTAGACTGGCATGGTATTTCCAATGTATGCTCATTCTCCAATTCGTGGACATCAATTGTAAGGGGACGATTGCTCAAATTCAAATATCCGTTCTCATCCAGTGTGAATGAACCAATTCTTGGTAGTGGAACCCGTGCCAAGTCCAATATGATCCGCGAGAGTCCATGGAATAAGGTAGAGCGTAATTCAGGGTTCTGGCGTCCTTGCTCCCATGTCTCTGAAAGCATCTTCCCTTGAGATGGCTTAATATAATCAATCAGAATGTAGGGGTATTCAAGTATTGGCAGATCTTCTTGATCGGGGTTTTGCAGCCGATGAGGAACATATTGTGATGGAGTCGGATGGCCTAGCCAATAGAAAAATAGATGGCGTACACGGTGAGCGATTCGCTTGAGTATAGACAAGTTGTCAACAAAAGTGAAGGTTTGACCATTAATAGGCCAAATCCATGGAGTTGGGGAATAGGAATTGTAGGACAGTTCTCTTGAAGCCATGCATAGGTCGCAGCTTCGCAGCGGACCTTCTCGTCTGCATTTCCGGGGCAAATATTCTCTCCAACTCCAAAGAATAAGGGAAATCGAAGCATGCATTGTTTCTCAGGGTTAATCTTTGGATCATCAAGGTGGTTTCGGTTACTAGAGTCGACATCGATTCGAAGGCAAACGTTAAAGCTTCCGTGAATCCAATCTTCGATCTTGGCAATGTGACATCTGTCAACTGAAATTCCGAGATGATGAGCGACAGCAGTTTTGATCTCTTTCCGATGTCGATTAAAGTAAAGATACATCTCCAGCTTTTGATCTCGGTAGCCCAATGGGATGAGCATGTTGTTGTCGCTGTCAAGGGCCTGCTCGTACGTGATCTCTCCACGGAGCAGTTGACGTGTTTTTAGTGTGGCCTTGCTGTCTTCATGGTTCTCCTCTGTAGACATTCTTTGTTTTCTTTTCCTTCTTCGGAAATTTTATCTTGAGCAGTTCGAGCGATACTTGATGTTGACCAAATGAAAGAAGTATTAAGGAGTTGACCTCTCCTCCGTTCTCGATCTCAATTCGGCTTGGGGAAACATTTGTCCGCCAAAGCCCCTTTTCGGTGCATTATTCACACCATGAATAGCTTCAATGTGAATAATCTTTTCCAAAGAACACTATTCGCCTATCAGGGAGTGGGCAGCAGCAAATATGAATAGCGGGGCTCGTTTTGCTTGTTGTTGAGATCATTGATCTCTATCCGTGAGAATGATTCTCGGACGTGGGTGCTCATAGTATTCTCTTGAGTCTTGACTCGTGAGATGTAAAATTAGCTAGTTCCACCTAAGATAACCATGACAATAGCTTGCCTATCAAACAACTCTTTGGCCCTTAGCTGCAGCAGACCACGCTGGTTATCTTCCCGATCGGCGAATATGATCGTGCAGAGTAGATAAGTGGTGGGATCAGCGGCCTGTCCGACAGAATGAAGTACTAGTACTAGGCCCCCTCACATTCCAGTGCAATTTGGTTTTGCTTTTTTTATGAAAACAATATTCACCAACCACTGGAAATTAGATCATGTCGATCAAAAGTCTTTTAGCAAGGCTTGAAATTGATAGAGAAGGGGGACTAATACCTAATCGATGGATCAACAACGATATCAAGCCTATTGAGGCGGAGCGCAGGACCTGGAGTTTTTGGACATTTCATCATTTCTGTATGACTTCAGGCTACATCCCATTATCGCGTTTGAGGCAACGTGAGCTGACAATCAAAACTAGGGGTACTCGTTAGTTCTAACATATCCGGTTATATGACTGGAAGTTCCCTGATAGGACTCGGCTTGACGTGGTGGCAAGCGATTATATCCATTGTCATAGGAGAGATCCTCGCAACCATCTTTGTGGTCTTGAACTCTATCCCAGGGGCATATTATCACCGTATGTCACTTTCTCAGGCTCAGGATTCAGGTCTGACCAAGAAACAGGGGGATTTCCCGTTGTGAATCGATATGTGTGGGGAATGTATGGTAGTATGTTTGTGATTTGGAACCGAATTCTTCTTTCTGTTGGTGAGTAGCGCCGTGAAAAGGATTGAATACAGTGACTGACCTGATACTTTTGTTTGATATCTAGTGTGGTGTGAGTGTTCCCATTTCCCGTGCTGGAGATCCTGCTAACCCACCTTTCAATTTCCAGATGGCTTTCAAGCATGGATTGGAGGGGAATGTGTCTATGTGTGTCTCCAAGCCATATGGCCCTCTATTGAAGGGCGCATTCCAAACCATCTTTCTGCCTCAACAGGTACAACGACGGCCCACTTTGTAGCCTACATAATTTTCATGGTCATCTCGCTGCCCTTCATTTACATCCGCCCATATAAACTGAGAAGGTTTTTCTATGGATCGGCGGCAACTATCCTCGTGTTTGAAATTGTTCTCCTTGTCTGGGCTCTTGCAACTATGGGTGATAGTGGTTTCGGCTCAACTATATCAGATGCCGGTGCCAGTGGGTCCGGATGGAAAGTGGCATTTGGTGTCATCAGTACCATCGGTTCTATTGCAGCAGGAATCCTCAATCAAAAGACTATGCGCGTTTTACGCGTAAACCTACAAATGCGATTTGTGGTCAGTTGCTGAGTTTCCCTTTCTACGGTATGACGTGTTCCATAATTGGCATTTTGGTCACTGCGGCGACCCAAGATCGATATGGTAGTGCCAAGTGGAACCTTCCGAATCTTCTCAGCGCAGTAATTGAACATGGAAGCTCGCGCTCAAGAGCTGCAGCCTTCTTCGGTGGTGTCGCGTTGGTGATCTCGCAAATGGGTGTTAATGTTTCTGGCAATGCTCTGGCTGGAGGTAAGGTCTCATCTTAACTTCTTCTAAACAGTGTAACTACTTACTGAGTGCGTCGATCAGGCTTCGATTTGGCAGCTCTTCTCCCACGATATATCAACATCCGTCGTGGTGCCTATCTCACTGCTCTTGTGTCTATCGCCTCGAATCCTTGGAAACTTGTGAACACCGCCACCATATTCCTCACGGTGCTCAGCAGTTACTCTGTCTTTCTTGGTCCTATGACAGGACTGATGATTTCGTCTTATTTTGTGATCAATAGACAAAAGATCAAGGTCGACGACTTATACATAGGCAATAGTACCAGCCTATACTGGTATACCTGGGGAGTCAACTGGCGTGCGTTAGCAGGGGTAGGTTACCATTCTTTCTATTCAAGGGGAAGCCATATCATGGCACCAATTTATAATACAAGTCTCACATTTTTAACAAGCCGCTGACTATTCATTCATAGTGGATTTGTGGCACAGCCCCTTCTTTGCCCGGATTCATTGGATACATAAATTCAGACATTCATGTATCCCTGGGCCTGACTCATTTATATTATATCTGCTTCCTCGCTGGCTTCGTTATCAGTGCTACTGTATACTGTGCACTTCACCTTTTGTTCCCGGTGTCCGCCGTTCGGCACTTTGTCGAGAGCGCACCTCCTGTAGCTATCTTAATGGATGAATATAGAGATCGATGGGACTCCAGAGAGCAAGTGGCGACTACCCTTTCTGAGACAACTAAGATTTAGCATAAGGCGTCCACACATCATGACCACGTCACTGATCCTTGGTTACCCCCTTGGGCACCCAACGTGGAATAATACTACTACTATTACGAATAGTAGATATTGGATATTTGTCCCGGGAGGGTTGAACTTGAATGCTCAAGTTCCACCAAATTTCAACTCATATTCAAATCTAGTAATAATCAGCTTGCCTCTACTAAGATGTTCTTGCCGCTCGCTCTTATTTTTATTCAATGTCTTTCCTGGCGGCCTCCAAGTTAACAAGGTTATTCGCTGCTATAGGGTATCCTAGGGCTTATAGGTTTCAAATACTGTTTTACCCCTAGAGGTTGGGCATCGATACTTTCAAGTTTGTGCTGGCACTCAGGTTGAAAAGGGGCTTTCCCAGAGGCCTTATAAAGACCTGATCACCCCTCTCAGCGAGAGACAATATTATTTCTATCCTCTCCAAAAGACTTGTTGAGACTGGCTTTACTGAACAGCCCGATCCTCCGAAGGGATATCTTCTTCATCCTCACTCCTCTTCATCCTCACTCCGACGCACACAGTAGCATACTCCAGCATCTAGCCGGTCATCCAACAAGACTACTGCTCACGAGCCTACAACGATGAGTGAAATGTCCAAAAGACCCGGAACCACGCCTGACTGTGGGGAGACGGAAATGACGCCTGCTTCGGATCCTTGCCATGAGATGCATGCCGATTACACGGATTCCGATGATATCTATGACGATGAAATATCGGGCTTGACTGAAGAAGAAATCCGTGTGCTTGAGGGTAAAACAGCGGAATTGTGTCATGAATGAGATGCCCAGCGAGAAATGGAAAACACCCAGAGACAGCCTTTTTGGCTTGTTCGGGCTCATAGATATTCTCGAGAACCTGATATTGGACGGAATAGTTGGTTATGAATTTCCCATTTTGGTGAAAGACCAGACTCGCACCGATGCTGTGAAGGTGGTTCACATATCCTTGGATGATATCAAAGTCCTGGTATTATATCTCGGCTCCCAGTCCGAATCTGCCCGTCAGCCTGGAGCAATGCCAGAAGATGCCCACATCTCCCTCCACTCGATTTACGAACGTCTTAGCTTCTCATGCGTAGAAGAACATAAGAATTTCCATTTGCCCGCTCTCCACTCCAGCAGTCACAGAAATTATAATTAATCTGATATCTTTCTTTGGCTCCCATTTGTCTCGCTTTGATATCAATATCTGGGGAATGGAAATGGACGAAATTCCGGTGAGATAAGGATATTCCTTTACTTTCCAGAAGTTGGCTGGCTTGGACGGTCTTATCGGTCGTTCAGCCTGGGTGCTTGGATCAACCCAGCCACAGATCAAAAATGCTGGAGTGAGAATATCACTCACCATTGGAGACCTCGACAATATCTGGGGTGCTGTCTTTTTGGACGAGGAAAAGGAAGACAATGAAGCTCACTATCTTTTGTCGATGAATAGAGGATTCATTATTCAATCATCAAGCAATGAACACTCCCATGTCCTTGATTCGGAGACCGAATGTTATTGAGTGGCTGAACTACCTAATTCTATACCCGCAGTTGAGGAATTGAAATTTCTTGATTCCAGTTCGCGCATACTGATCGGTACCCACCATCACCTTGACTCGTCAGGAAACCAATCCTGCATGTGGATCACAAATTTATTGGCTTCAACCATGGATTCTGACGCGGGTTGGTTTAACTTTGTGATGCGAAGAATTCGGTCCCGGTCCATAGTTTCTTGATTAGGAAAGCTGCTCTGACAGTATATACAATATTGATGGGAGACGCGGGGGTAATAATAGTGTCTCTTAGCCAGGACGAGACGTAGAATGGAACTGCGAGCTGACTGGGACCTCGGGAGCTTTCAGAGAATTTGGAGTCTGATGTTTCTACAAGTTTTACTATTTTACAGTTGTGATTTATTGATTTTTCACTAAATTGTTGTATGAATTTACCGCATTTGACCTCATTTTCTTGTCAAACTATTATATTGAAACTCCCAAACAAAGGCTCTACGTATACAGTGTAAGCTATCCTCTCATCCGCACAAACACCCAGGTATAATAACCCAATGTAGACACTGTGGCTATGACCGATCCCAGGGTAATCAATCCACCAGTAATGATACCCTGCTCAAAGAATCCAATCTTATGTCCTGGTCGCTGATTAGTCGACGGCAATGGAGCAATCGATTCACGCCACAGTGCGTCAGATTTGAGAGTGTTAACACTGCTAAGAATGGTTTGCGTCGCAACTGCCGCTGCTGGAGAGGTAATCAATTGTGGCCTTGGCAGCTGAAATTGTGTTGTCGCATAACGTGTGGCCGTATTGTATGCTTTGTTTCGAGGAATTGCGGGGCCAACTATATTCAGTTAGCTGAGGCTCTGACGTGTTCAATCGCTGTTCCATACTTAGCATGTGGGCTGGTACATGGTTCACCCATGAGATATTAGCGTCAATGAACTGAGTCAAATACTTGGCTGAGCTTGGCGCTGCGAAGGCATAGGTTGCTGCTAGTGTTTGGTTGCTAGTTTTGTTAGCCAAGCGTATCCAGATAACTATCCAGGAAATTGGGACATACAAGTTGATATCAATCGCATCATCCAAGCTGGTGACTGAGTGGACCAGCAACACTTTCTCATCAATCTTCTTTTGAAGAAGAGCTGAGTTTCGATCTTGAACTTCAACAACACCCCAGTTGCTCCCAGAAACCAAAACCCGGGCATTCCGCTCCTTGTGGATCGAGTCTAATAATGCCGATCGTCGAGATGAACCAGTGGTTTGACGAGCCTCTCCATTCTCACCCGCAAGATATTTTGATGCATGCTGGATAACTGCCTCTACGAAAGGCTTCATCACAAATTCATTCACGAGTACAACATCTGGGGAGTAGGGAGACCGTCCTCCCAGTGCAAAACGCGCGGTCACGAGGGCTTCTGCAGCATCAGAAACACTGGCAGTGCGATCCACAACCGCTACTGTTCTAGAGGTTGCAGGTGAGATGAGACCGTTCAATGTCTCAGAATCATTCTGTATGACTAGTAGTGCCTTGCTCAGAAAGGAGCTATCGGGTCGTTGAGTTGTAACAGCGAAAGTGTCGCGGTCCAGGGCATCTGTGAGTATTTGACGAAGACGACCTGGCAAAGTCATAGTTGTTTGTGGGAGCTGTATTTTTTGCGTTAGCTCTAAATGCCCGTCCTAGTAGTAAAATAATAAGTTGCTTACCTCGAGAACAATGCAGTTTCCTGCAGCAAGTGCTGCAGCCAGGGCAGATACAACAGAGAAGAACAAGGTGTGAAGACATGGCACGATGTAGACAATACCTGCACCTCGTGCGCCATCAAGGTTATCTTTCCCCTGCGAGATCTGGTATTCGACTTCCAAATCCTTCGACAGACTCAGTGATCCATAGTGTGTCCTGATTTCCTGAAGGGCCAACACGATCTCTGCTCGAACTTCCTGCTGCGAATGACCGGAATCGGCGCGAATAGCATCTTGGATTTCTGCGACATGCTCAACGAGGGCAGATTGAAGACAATGGAATTGGGCTTGACGATATCGCGTGTTCTGGGTGCGGCCATCAATACTGGCCGTCTGTATACGGGAGAAGTCCATGGTGGCAATAATCGCAATAATGGACAAAAATTGAAAACTCGACCGAAACGAAAGCAGAAGTTCCAGCGATGAAATAATATGCTCACTCTACCTCCAAGCCTCCTCCGCATTCCCGTATCGGAGCTCAGCTCCTAAATCCCGGGCTTGCTCCATGATTCGGGATGTGGGGGAGAATGCGGGCGTGGGCGCGACGCGGAGTGCAACATCACACTTCATCACTCTCGGTGCTTGATATGCGGCGAATCCCAGTATGCTGGGCTTGATTCTTTCTTCATACAACTCCATCATGTCGCGTACTACTACTACCACCACTACCACCTCGCTGTCGGTGCTAGCCGATTATGAGGTACACCACAGCGGCGAAGAACAACCTCCCGCCCCTTCTGGCGCTTCAAGTCCATCGCAACCTGTCGACTGGCCCACTCATCATCGTCGCATGCCTGCATACCGTCCTGTGAACCGAAGTCTCGATTACAATGAGCGCGCAGCTGGTACGAGTGTGCCGGAGTACATTTTCATCCAATCTATGCTGCATGGAGTCTGGCTCAACGCGGTATGTATTATTATCTGCTTGAAGATGCAGGAAATCACTAACGGGCTCTCTAGAGCACTTCTCGACTTTGGAGGTTTACTGGGGGAAGGATCAACGATAAGATCTTCCACTATGAAGTTGGAGGAGAGTGGTAGTTCGGATCAATTTGCTGTGTTTATATTCAAGTCATTTCACATGAAAGTAACATCATTTTTTTCTTCTTTCTTTATTTTACAAATTGGAGTTTCATCATGATCACATATATTACCCAGTCTTTTCATTTAAGTGAACATGTTTCTTTATTTCGCATAGAGGAAATTGAATCTATTTTCCAACTATATGTTCCCATCTATCTGCCAGTGGTTATGTACATTAGGTGCTGGCCCGGACTCCAATTCCGTCGACCACCTCTCCCAACTTCTTATCCCCAATGAACATCTCCTGTGCTGGAGAAAGGACATACAGCATCCGCGCCCATTGAGGTGTCTTAACGCCCGTGCTTGGATCCACAATATCAGGAGTAACGTTTCGCCAGGCATGATTTGTACCCCGCTGTACAGCGACATCACCCCGTTTCAATACTCTCGTCTCGCCCGAATCCAGAACAAGCTCGACCTCACCCTCAAGCACAACACCATAGTCCAGGGAGACAGTGCGATGCATCGGACTCAGAGCACCAGGTTGTATGTCGACAATTCTGCACACGTTACCAGAGGAGATGGTGATGCCAGGAGGACTGGTGAGATAATCGTTGTATTCTTTGATGTCGGCATCATCGTTTAACTGAGCTGGGAAATGAGAGGATGTATATGCCAGACTGAAATCGGCACCATCCGCCATAGACTGGACTGGCATAGTCTCTGAGAGCGTATCGGAGAAGATTGCTTCGCCTGCGGCATTGTGTGTGGTGATAAACCGGTTGAGCGAGCGAAAGGTCTTGGGTGGTTTTTCGGCCATGATGAGATTGATTTTGGTACTGCTTGATTCAAAATGGGTTTATTGGGAGGATAATGATTATAGTGGTCTGATGTGATGCGGTTATGTCTAATCTATATGATTCGAGATTCCCCTCACTCGGGACCACTTTTGGCCACATCGGCTGTGGGGGAACAGTCCAACCATGCGGAGACCGGACGCCGGCATTTACGGTCGGCTTAATGTCAAATCTGGAAATCAATCACAAGATTTGTGATTCAATTTTCTGCAAGACGTCAGGGGTCAAATACTATGTCAATTTACTCGCTTTGGAAGTTGGAGATATCATTCCAGGTCAATCAGCCAGGAAACATCCATCCATGCTTCACTATACTAGTACCACATATGGGTTGGAATACTGCTAGTGAAGTGCTATCATAAAGGACCCTGCAAACATCAATTGTTCGATAACCTTGGAAGGGCTCTTGTACTAGCAGTAAGCATCGACAATCTACCTAGGTCCACGGGTCACGTTACCATCATGCTATGCACTACAGGGCTGGCAATTAAGCTACCCTATGTACATGCCATTAGACCCCAGTCTTCTTAATTTTTTAAATTCGAGGGGCAAAAATCAATATCCGTTATTTTTTGGTCGAAATTTTGTCTTGAGTGGGATCTGTCTTCCCGCATTGAAGAATATGCAGTCCAGATTCTTCAGGAGAATGAGCTAAACTAGTAAAACGTGCTAATGCACCCTTGCTTCCGATGACAAGGAGGGGTCAGGTAGTAGTACATATGGATAGCTTGCATATTGGGACCAATGGTTGTCAATCCGGAAAATAATTCAGTATGAAGAATCGAATTCTGAATAGAGAGTAGGTGAGGGTTTCTAGGAATCAACGCACTTTCAAGGATATTTTATTACTATCGCAACTTCCAAGTTTCAAATGCTTCATCCTTGCATATTTCCGAGTCATATTCGTACCATAACGTAGGTGTTTGCATAAACAAAGCTAGATATGAGGCAATGGGATAATAGGACAATAGCATAATTCAGACCAAAACCTTGGAAGAAGCTTCAGACAAAAACAATACCGGCTCATACCAGTGCTGGGGTCACTGGGCCGTTTCATTGAACTGCATCCTGATAAAACAAAGGTGCAGAGTCCACCGCAGTGGCAATTCTTGGGCCATTAAGAGCTAACCATTATACCCTCCAAGGCTAGGTATAGTAAGCGACTCGGAGACAAGGATGTCATATTTCCAGGGTTCAATTGTTCCAAGGTTCAATTGTTCCAAGGTTTTGCTATCACACCTGGGCACATGCATCATGATGTGCCGGTCAACATCAAATGGCTCATATGAAACTATTCTTAGAATCTTAGTACAAATTCTAAACTTATCTTCCAAGGTTAGCATAAAAATAGGACGGAGTATGAACTTGAAGTGGTCATAGTAGATCATGCCAAGGCCTTCAGCACAAAAATCATGGTTTTAATAAGATGACATTCCAAGGTTGGAATGGAGTAGTAATAATTTAATAATAGACTAATGATCAGTGATTTATAAGTTCAAAAGCACTACTAGTACGGAGTAGTACTGATGTAGATAGCCCTGAAGCGTACCCGGCAGCGTAACTTAAAGCAGATGGATGGAGCCTTGTTCATAAGACGAATTTTACTTTATCAGATGAATTTTGGTTTATCAGATAAATGTGGCCGTAACTTAATAATAAGCAGTCAATTGGCTAGACTCTAAGATTGCAAATCTTGAAGTCGACTCACGGCCACTGTTATGAGGTTATTTTTTTAGTTCTTTCAATCCATTCTCGTTAGAGTAATCAGCACATACATCATGATTTAATAAGATAATAGAGTGATATTCTAAATAAAGTACTATTAATAAAGTAATAATCAGCGATAAATTACAAAGTACCTAGGTACTTCTACCTATTCACATACATAATCCATAGATGTAGTTCATACTGTCTCATGGACCCGACACTCTGGGTAGAGATCAGCTGACCAACAAAGCTTCCAACAGCTTCAACTTTTTCTTAGCTTTACCCCTGCTAGTTCCAATCCCAGTCCATCCGTTATCGCTTGCTTCTTTGTGGCTGTCGGTCCTTCCCTAAAAAGGCATGCTGGAAGCGAGAACTGAATCAAAATCTGTGAAATCTCCGCAGATCGTGGAAAGTCGTCACTAAATAAAGACCTCGAAGCGCCGTGGCTAGGACATCAAGTGGGTCGGAACCAATAGCGTGGCCCTACGGCGCACTATCCACTTCAGAAGCACAGATTATGGCCGATCTGGCCTCATTCTTCCGGTCCCCGCACGGTAAATCGGGGAGGGCATGGATCCTCGCGGCCCGTTCGCTGGAACCAACCACCAACCCTGTCACTCTAAACGTCGTTCCCTTGTGATGGGACCGGTCCCACAGCTTACTTTCCCCCCACCTGGGAAAGTGGAAATGACAATTGGATCTGCATCACCAATCATAAACACGAGTTGAATGAGAGCCAATATTGTTCCCCAATGGGTGCCCATTCGGATACCCGGTTGTGTAACAGGGGTCATGAGGTTTACCCATTATGTTGGAAAACCTGGAGGCTGGGGAGCAAGAAATTGAGAGAAATGACATGAGTGGTGTTTATTTCCTTGCTCCACAGTGGACATCATGTAGTCCCATACGAACTAAGCTGACTGGGAATTCAATAATTTGACCCATATCAAGTATGCATGGAACCCAAGAAAGAAAAGAAGCGACGAAACGACGGGACAAAAAATCTATCCACTCAAAAGACGTCTGCCAGGAAATTGGGAACTTTGAAATATGATTGATCCAATCGTGCATAAATTTCCTGCAGGTGCAACGCAAAAAACGCAAGTTATTTTTGTCCCATCACTCCTCGGCGCTTCCATTCGGGCTGGCTAGCCGTTCCAGTAAGCCGTGTGTTAGGTGTCCCTGCCCCTCGGTGCAGCCCCCCTCTGCAGGTTCCTTGTGTGATTTTCATTTTTTTCTGTTTCTTGCTGATCTTGTCGCTTCTCTGCGTCTGCTTTCCAACCGAGTTCCTTTTCTCTTTTCCCTTTTCCCTCGGTCTCCACGTCCCCTGTCCCACGTTCTGCCCTATACGCCTCATGGGGCGCTTCCAGGTTCTTGGGATACCCACTTAGCGGCGTTCACAACTTGGGTTCTCCAACTTAAACCACCGTGATCGGACGTGGAGAAAGGAAAAAAAACCACACCATCATCTCACTCCTTTACGCTGGTGTTCGGTTCGGCCAGCCACCGGACTTGGAAAGTATAGTGGCATCGCGTGATTCTATAAATACATTTTCTTTTTTTACGACTGATCATTTCCTCAATTCTATCTGGGATCATTCACCTTGCATAGATTACCACTCGCGTATCCAAACCCCCCGGTGATTCCCCTTACGACAAGAAGATTTGCGCTCTATCGCAACCCCTCAGGAATTCCGATTAGTGCCGTGACCCGCAATCAACCCGTCTTGCACGTCCCCTCATCGAACAATCCTGGGTTGATTGGTCTTGGCATCATTGAAAGCTTCACCACTTATCGTATCAGGATCTTGCGCGAATTGGGTCCAGGATCATATAATAATACTTGGGAGGGTCCTTAATTGGGAACTGTGGAATTGGAATCCCCCGCCAATTTGAGTGACTTTTGTTCCGCCCCGCGGATGAGCGGTGTACAACTTGGATCTATTCGCGTTTTGGTAGACCAGGCGGAAACAGTCTTCAGTTATATTCAAGTCTCTCAATCACTGTTGACTTGAAAGTGACATCCACCTGCTGCTTCTCTCCTTATTATATACCTGCAGGATGTCGCTTAAACAAGTAAGGAGTGCCGAGGGCGTCAGATTGTAACCCAATGCTAATGACCTGCAGGAAATTGAAACATGGGTTGCCGCCCTGGATGCTTATGACAACCACGAGTTTGAACAGGCGCTGCGCTTGTTCAGTGAGATTGCCGATACCTCCAAGATTCTGTTTAATTGTGGAGTGATCTATGCAACATTGGGTGAACACGACAGAGCGGTAAGTGCATTCCCACCGATTCATATAGATGCACAAACGCTAATGCAGTATATAGGTCGATTGCTATCAACGGGCAGTTGGGTTAGACCGGTATCTAGCCATCGCCTACTTTCAACAGGGTGTCTCCAACTTCTTGCTAGGAGACTTTGAGGAAGCATTGGCCAATTTCAACGACACATTGTTATACCTTCGGGGAAACACATCTATTGATTATGAACAGCTGGGGCTCAAGTTCCGCCTATTCTCATGTGAGGTGCTGTTCAATCGTGGGTTATGCTATGTTTATCTTCAACAAATGGATCCCGGAATGAAAGACTTGCAGTTTGCGGCCAAGGAAAAGGTTACAGAAGACCATGATGTTATCGATGATGCCATACGCGAGAACGCAGATGTATGTGCCCCTTTTCATTAAGAGCTACGAAACATTTTACTCATCTCCAATAGGGATATACGGTGTTCTCCATTCCTGTCGGAACCATCTATCGCCCCAATGCAGCCAAAGTGAAGAACCTCAAGGCCAAAGATTATCTAGGGAAATCCCGTCTTGTCGCTCAATCAGATCGAAACCACGGCATCGAACACAACTGGAGGCCGATTGTTATTGATAAGACCGCATTTGAAGATCGAGATGGAATGTCATATGCAGCCACGAATCTAGTTCACAAGAATCTCAGCAGTCGAACTCGTCAACAATCAGAACCACCGATAAACCGTGCCGCTTTTCCACCAACACCACCACCCGATGATCGATCAGCCAATACTGGGGCTGGTTCTAGTAGCCAAACTCACCACCGAACAACATCCCTACGGAGTTCTCGGCCTCCGCGATTGGACCTCGAGCGTCCAGGCGCTAGTGTGGAACGGCGACCTAGTGTCCCCGAGGTTGTAGCATCACAACCGCTCGTACCAGCGCCACTTGCACCGATATCCACCGAAAATCCCCGAATAGGGACAACAAGAACAGCATCGGAACCTCGTGGGCCGTCATCTCGTCAGCAGAATCTTCGCGTCTTCACACAAGATGCAAACCAGGGCACTAGGCCTCAAGCGGAGGGCCATCGAAGAAACCTCAGCGAAACCGAGTTCTCGCCTGTCAAATCCCCTGTAAATGGCGACCTTCATTCCAATTCCCGTAGTCTACACAATTCAGGTTATGGACGAGGAAGCCGATACCAACCACCTCAGCTTATCAATGAAGAAGAGGAAGAGCATGATAGTCAATTTCTTAATGGGGAAAAACGTCAGAATGGAGCTGAGGGCGGTGACTCTTCATCACAAAATCGGCGCACACGCTCTCCTGCCCGATATTCCAGAAATGCAAATTCAAGACGACCGGAAGTTCTGAAATTCAGAACAAAGGTTCATGCGCCTGATGATATTCGATACATCATGATCGGACCTTCCATCGAGTTCGGTGAATTCGAAATTAAAATCAGAGAGAAATTCGGGTTCCACAACCCTTTGAAGATCAGGGTGCAAGATGATGGTGATATGATTACTATGGTTGATCAAGAAGATCTTGATCTACTGCTTAGTTCAGCTCGAGATATTGCTCGACGTGAAGGAAGCGAGATGGGGAAGATGGAGGTAAGCTCGTCCTTTGTTCCTGTGGTTTTAGGATTTTTGACTAATCTACTTCTAGGTCTGGGTTGAGGAACGCAAGCCCTGATTCTAATATGACGATAACGATTTCTTTCTGGCATTTGGGACAATTCCTTTTTGGAAAATTTTTGATTTTGTTTATACCCTTGATCTTAGCATATAGTGCATGAATGACGAGTGGATTTGATTCAAGATCTTTTTTTTCGCTTAGCAGCTTGAATCCAAACCCTTCAAACGAGGATATTCACTCGTCGGTCGGGCTGAAGTAGTAAAGTAAAGCATGGTGATCACTCCACATAGGACAATCTTCTGAACTCGAAGGCCCTGAAGGTCCATTTAGTCGCATTGGTTCCAATGTCTTGATCTCACGAGATCGTAGTCCTAGAGTGCCAACTTTATCAAGCCTATTCGGTGGGAATGGCTGTTCTCCGTCTACTGCCCATGTAAAACCAGATTCTCCGGGGCGAAGGGATGTCCAGGCATCCACTAACCCATTCTTCTCTAGAAGATCAATATCCTCATCAATGACTGGGTTAAAGTCACCTGCGACTAGCCCCTGTACTGCACTGTGAAGGAGAGATGAAGCAATAGAGATCTGTTGTGGTCGATGAGAAGGTTTTATTGGTAGAGAATCCAGGTGGACATTCACTAGGCGTATTCGTATAGGGGTAGATCTTATAGAAGATGGAGGCTTCTGATATGAAGGAACAAAGATGTCACAGCAGAGGGTGTCTTTAGAGAAATGACTAGGGAATTTGACCCTCCAGATAGGCCCTATAGTAGGATTTTCCGTTCCTTGGCCACATGCAAAGCGCGCGCCTTAGATAACAAAGTGATTGTCATAAAGGATTGACTGCCCCCCTCCGTATTATCATATTCGCTTGATAGCCACATTTCACGAACACGGTCGTCTTTCAAAATTTGCTGAAGGGCTAGCTTGGAAACTTCCTGTAGGAAAATAATATCTATTTGGTCCAGCCCTGTGATATACGTAATAATATCAGTAACGCGTTCTTCGGTACGAGCAGATGTTGCATCGATATTCCATGTCAAAAGAGCGAAATGTGATTTATTAGCTGCTTCGTTTTGCTCTGAGTCTGTGAAGTTGGTCGGACTCGTATCGGATTGAGGGACAAAAGGTGTCCAGTTTTGGACGGGGTCGAAGATGTACCAGAACTGGAATTTGGGGGATGGGATTGTAGATGGAAGCGGTGTTCCGTGCTTCCATGATAGAAAGCTGGATTAAGCACGTGTGAAAGAATCCATATTATGATACAGAAAGTGTTCCCAGGTTGGATGTAGTCATAGGGAAGTTTTTAGGCGTGAATCGTGATGCTGGAGGGGGTGCATATACGGCAAAAGATAGCGACCCTGACGCAGTTAATTGATTTCGTAAGCAAATATGATTTGGGCATCTAATCTGAGCATAGTGAGTGATCAGTGACCGAAATGATATTCAAATATTCAAATATTCGGGTGCCTAATCGGTGGAGACCATTGGAAAGTCTACGACATGATCCAGATGTCAGATGCTATACACAACATTTGAATGAGCGAAAAGCGGAAAGGGAACTCTAGACATGAAATTATGATAACCTGGAACTTGAACTTGAATTTCTCATATGCTCTTCAATCTTGAAACATAATAACCTACACATAAATCTCACTCCAAAACAAATGGGTCCTCCTTAACTATCTGATCATAGTAAGGCTGGAATGCAAGCCACATCTTACTCGAATTTCCACTCTTCTTATGCGTCATCTCTGCCTCCTCCTTATTAATCAAAATCTTCTCCCAACCAGGTCCAGTAGCAGCGTTGGCAAGGAGTTGCGCATGGCAGCACCGATCAAGTGCAATGAACAAGAATGCAGCCTCATCCACTGTGCGTCCACAAGTAATCATTCCATGATTCTGTAGAATCACACTTCGGCATGTCGGACCCAGAGCCTTGGCGATACGGGCTCCCTCTTCAGTGGAGATAACAGTTCCGCCATAGCGATTGTACACGGCGAGATCATTGTAAAAGCGCAATGCATCTTGGTATAACATTTCGATGGGTCGTCCGTAGCATGAAAATGCTTTGCCGTATACTGAGTGGGCGTGACAGGCGGCGTTTAAATCGGGTCGTGCTTTGTGGATCTCGCTGTGAATTGCGAATGCAGGCCCATTAATTGGGTGCTGCGCTCCTTCTGGAAGAACTTCGCCGGATTCGTTGACAAGAACCAGATCTGAGACTCGGATCATGGAAAAGTGCATGCTAAGTGGGTTGATCCAGAAGTGCTCTATAGAGATCGGTTAGTGGAGGTTTGTGATATAGGATTGACTTTTGGGGGTATTTTATAACTCACCTGGGTTAAGAGGGTCTCGTAGAGAGATATGACCTGCGACTCCCTCGTCGAATCCTTGCTTTGCAAATGTTCGGAATGCAACAGCCAAGTGTTGCTTTTGGTATGTTCGCTCGGCTTCTATGCTCTCGAACTTGGGAGGTGATCTGATCACAACACGACCTTCCTTATCTCCAAGAAAATGCACATCATCAAAGAATGAGTCTTGACCTTGGGGTTTCTGCTCTGTTGGTTTCACTTCCAGCGTCCCATTGCTGGTCACGGTAGATGTTGTTGTCGCCATGGTCGATCGGAATTGGTGATTCAAGAAAAAACAGGAAAGTTTCAATTGATTTGAATCGTCTTTTTTAATAGTTTTAAGTGAAACTTGAATTCAATTTGAAAATTGGAACTCATCGAGGCTTTATACCAGGTTCTTGGTCATGATCTATGCAAGAACGCCACAGCTGCCCCGCTGTACCCCACAACGGACAATGAGCCTCCGTGAATCGGTTACTACGCCCAAGTAGTGAACGGAACGTCATATCCCGTTGAGAGAATGTCGTGGATAACCTCAGAGACAGCACGGAAATGCCTCGGATTACCAGTGGAAGTTTCAAATCTTGGAGAAATTATCTCATCAATCGCAGAGTAAGAATCGACGGATAGTTGTCGCCGTGTAGTAAATTCAAGGTATGAGCGGGCTATTGGAGAGCGGATATTAGGACTCGGAGTACTCGGAAGAGTGATGATAGGTAGTAGTATGCAGTGTATTGAGATCTAAGATAGACATTATGATTTCTATTCCGATTCTGTCCTCACATTTTTAGTCCGTCCTGCGTAGGCTGAAAAGTCCAGGACGGTTCCGATAAACGTAGGTAGGGAGTGTGTCTCGAAGGACTCACATTCCTATCGTTCTTGCGCTTGCACCCTGTCAGTGGAACCGACAAGGGATGCCACATCCATCAACCAATAGAGATAGTTGGTTGGAGATGTGAGGAGCTCGAGTGCACAAAGGCACGTATAGATCTTGTAGCGCGTGGTGTATAAAGTCAATGCAAGGGAACAAGAAAAACAAAAAAGAAAACGGAGATTCATCATATAGTATACAGGTATGTACAGGTAAATGCATAGGTGCTCGCACTAGGCGAAATAAAAATACACAGGGAAACACATCCCTGGATCCTGACCAGCTAGAACATATCAGCTAGCCAGGTAGAAGAAGGAAGGAAGGATTACTCGGAGGCTTCTTGTTGGCCCATCGAGAGCTTTCGCACATCCCATCCAGCCCAGTCTTTCTTCTCACCGAGCACACAAGTGGCCTTGCGAGAACCATTCACGAGGAATCGATCAGCAACTGCATTCACATCCTTGGCAGTGACGTCCAGGACCTGCTCTCTCCAGCGCTGGTCCATTTCGTGGGTAACACCACTCATGAAGTAACGGGATCCCTCTTCGTCAACACTGACCGGAGCGTCCAGACCCTGGAAGATACCAAGCTTGGCCTCCTCAATCTCACGCTCTGACCAGGCACGGTCCCGAGCGAAGATACCACTATTAGCAAAGACCTTGAGGGTGTTCGCGGGGTTTGGATCACGGTAACTCATGAAAGTGAAAACACCCTTAAGAGGACCGTTGCTAGCTCCGGCACCGTATGCACCACCCTTCTCTCGGATTTCAGGATGCAAGTAGTTGTGAGTCAGAAGCTGTGAGAGCACGGTGAGAGGAGCGCTAGAGGAGTCGACAAATGGCACAGTCTGTGTAGCCTGACCAGAGTAGTAGACCTTGTATGGAAGATCATAGAATGCCTTGTCAAATGCCTGGAACCCAAGGGTAGAGGCAGTTGATTGCGGAGAGCGAACTTGAGGCAAGCCTGCCATCCACTTCTGCAGCACAGACTCATTCCGGGCGGCACTCTCAGGCTCGCAGACCATACGGACCCGAAGATTAGAGGTCTTCGAGATTGCGAATGACTGGATAAGACGAAGCTTGTCAATCAGCTCCTGGAGGCGCTCGGGAGATGACTCTGCGTCGCGCAGAAGGTTGGCGGTAGCTTGAAGTTGATCCAAGCCAGATTGCTGTTCCTGAACCCAGAAGCTCTTGGAAAGGCTGGCGGCGGCGGCGTTGACAGCAAAGCGATGGCCAGTTCCAGCAACGGAATCAATTGCTCCATTTGTGGTCAATCGCAACAACTCCTGGATCATAGCCGGTGCCGAAGGGCTGGAGAAATCTGTCTCTGTCACGAGGGTCGAAAGCATATTCAGCATTTCGGGGATGTTCTTGTCGATAGCATATCCAGAAAAGTTCAGACCTTCCTTGAACTGATCCAAGTGGGTCGCGGATGAGACAAGGAAGTTAGAGGTAGAGATACCTCCGGTCTTCAACTTGATGAGGTCCTCCCATTCTTCCATGGAGCGGTTCGCTGTGCCCAGTCGCATGATACAGTCGTTAAACAGAGGCATCAGCAAGCGAAGCTCACTAGGAAGCTCCTCAAATGTGTTGACGGCCTGGAAGTAAGTCAATCCATTGGTAGGGGCTTCACGCCAGACAACATCAACATCATCGACCTTGGACTCGCGCACGGGCTTGCGTTCCTTTTCACGGGAAATATCCTTGACGCGAAGGGATGGAAGACAGCTCAAGTCTGCATTGTGGGCAGCCTCTTGCACCTTGAGAAGCTGCAGCTCCTCCTCACTGAGCTTAGAAACTGCTTCCTCAACAGAACCATGTTGCTCAATAAGCTTGGCAAGCTTCTGCTCTTTGCGCACGACCTCTTTCTCATCCAATTCCTTGTTGAATGTCGGAGAGCCAACCATGGTGAAGGTCATGCAACGATCATTGAGAAGATACTTCTCAACAAGGGACTCGAGGTATCGAGGCTGCGAGTATCTCCTCTTGAATTCCTCAATGACATCATTCCAAGCAAGCTCCTTCATTGGGTTGGAGCCATTAAACCAGGAGGAAATTGTCTTCTCCATAACTCCAATACCGAAGTTGGCGGTCTTGTGACGCAGAGCAAGCTCCAGCTGGTGAAGGAATCCTTGCACCTTCTCATCACTGAAACCAGCATCGACAGACGCCTTGAATGCATTCTGGATCACCTGCTTGACAGTGGATGACTCAGCCTCACCCACACCAGTGACACCAACCGAAAAGATGGGCACCTTGCCAGAGGAGTCCAACCCAGTATTTGGTGTGAAAGATGAACCCAGGCCACTTTCGATGAGGGCGCGGTACATAGGTGAACCGTAGCCATCCAGAAGCAAAGATGAGACAATACCAACAGAGAATGTCTCCACAGTGTCAGTGGAGTCACCCATGTACCATGAAGTAGAGGTTTTGTGCTGCTTATCCTCGCTGGAGAATGTGTCGATCGGACCAGAGACGGTGACATTAACCGACTTGTTCAGATCCATAGGTAGCTTGACATCAGTATCAGCTTGACCCAGCTCAAATCCTTCAAGAACAGGTCCAATTTGCTCAAGGTGCTTGCCCAGAGGCATATCACCGTAAGTCAAGATCTTGGCATTACTTGGGTGGTAGTTGCGCTTCGAAAAGTCATACAACTGCTTGTGAGTCAAGTCTGTGATATACTCGGGGTCGCCGCCCGAGTTGTGGATAGCAGGGAAGATGCTTTCCTTGAATCGAATGTAGTAAAGGTAGTTGGCATCCGACATCTGACCCTTCATCTCGTTGTACACAACACCTTTGAATACAATATCCTCCAATTTAGCCTTCTGCTCCGGTGTGGCCAGAAGAGCCTGGGGATCCTCTGGGCCCAATCTCCATCCTTCTTGACGGAAGTCGTCCTCCTTAAGCAGGGGGTGCAATGTCGCATCGAGATACACGGACAACAGGTTCTGGAAATCTTGAGGGTTGGTTGTAGCGAAGGGGTAGGTAGTGTGGTCGGAAGAGGTGAAGGCATTCATAAAGTTGGATAGTGATCGCGGAAGCATCTTGAAGAAGGGGTCACGAATAGGGTATCTAAAAGTTTGAAGATTTTGGTTAGCATCCAAATTGATGCACAAAACCATGAATATGCTGCTTACTTTTCACTGCCACATAACGTGGTGTGCTCGAGAATATGAGGCACACCGGTCGCATCTTGTGGGTTGGTCTTGAATCCAATACCGAAGACATTGTTCTTGTCATCTCTTGCCACATGAAGATAATCGGCATCGGTCTTGTCATGAGTCAACCGCACCGCGGTAAGATGTAGCTCGGGGACATGCTTCTTCTCGCGCACAGTGAACCCATGTAGCTTCTCGCCGATCGCAGGGAAGCTTTCTAAATTGGTTACTGTAGAATTGAGTCTTGATGTAGTGCGAGCAATGCGGACGGCAGAGCTGAGCCGACCGGAGTTAGAGAGTGGTTGGCGCAATGCTGGCCGGGCCCTGCCCAGGCCCATGGATGAGCGCAACATGATAACACTTGAACTTTAAGGAGATGAAATATCACCTCAAGTTCCCAGTGCTCTTTTGGTTTGAGATTTTGAATTGAAAAGTGCTTAAGCTTAGGAGATCACGGATGCCAGTTCGATTATACAAAAGATCGGAGACGCGGATATCACGTGTTGTGCTTAGTTAATCACAGGGTCTTTCCCAATTAGGAAGGGTATCAAGTTTTCCAAGTGCGAGAAGATATTGTGTATTTTAAATAGGTTTTCATCGTTCGAATTGACGCTGCAAGTAAAAATTCTGGCTCACTTGGTTCTCTGCTTTACTTATTCTTAGTATAATTAAAGATGGGACAACCTTTTCAAGTATCACTCCCCAACGATACTACGTCCATGACGACTTCAAGTTGAATCTCAGTAGTATTATCACGAGAGGTTTGGATTTTTTTGTACAATAGCTGTCTATTTTTGCAGGTCCTTTTAGAGCTGATAACTTAATTTTAGATAAGAAAGGGCAATGCCCAGGTGAAGATATCTCATGTTTCTGAAGCTAATACTTCAGGTTTGAAATAAGCTCAAGATTCGAAGATGAAAGCTTTACGAGTCCGTGATTTCATCTTGAGTTCAACCGACGCATTGATTGATAATTGATGAGTTGAAGCTATAGCTTGGCCCTCTAACTTCGAGTTCAATTCTTCGTACATACTATCTATAATCAAGTAATTCCAAGGTTAAACTAGAAGTTATAGCCTCGGTTCTTCATATTCGAAGTAAAGCTCGAGTTCATTTCTTCAGTACCAATCGTCGGAACATGCCCACATGATCAATGCCCTCCTCGTCCCATCTTCCCAGTGATTCGTCTGTTTTAAACCCCATTCCAGAATACATCTTCTCCACATCTACCTGAGCATGAACAAGGACCAATCCATCCCATTTCTTGGGCTGTGCCTCTTTAGTATCAGCTGCCAATTCAGCCGCTGCTTTATCAATCTCCTCCGCATTTTCAGCGGCCCAAGCAAGCGCCGTATCGACTAGCACACGCCCGAGTCCTTTTCCTCGGTATTCGGGTACCACAGCCACGCGCGTTAGTTTGATACAGGGCTCGTGATCCCAGTCATATTGCGGCAGATTCTCTGTTGTAGTATCCGGATGTGTAAGAAGCTCATGCGGTAGTTGTGGAGGTGGAACAAGTCGAATCACCGCAACTGGTGTTTTCGGGTCTGAGTCTGAGTACAGAACCCATTGCCAACTTCGTGCATCGTCACTATCTATCTCGCCTTCTGGGGAGCACTTCTGTTCATCAATGAAGACACGTGTGCGCACAATCATTGCATCATTGAAGACTGGTGGGTTGATGGTTTCTTGATTTGGGAGTACTAGGTTTGCCTCCTTCCCAGGAGGTGGTTGGATTGATACTCCGAAGACGGTGTTCGGTGCCATTGTAGGTGACGAGTGATGGCAATGTGGCAGGCTGACAAATTTTTATGAACCCAGCTCAAATTTGGTGATCCAGAGTAACGTGTGAACGTACTAGTAATAGCCCACTGGCAGAAGGCTGGGGAGTAGTAGAGAGATGCGCAGGATTAGTTTGTGGGGACGGAGTGCTTATCTTCAAGTTGTATGTAAATAATGCCCGCCGAGCACTCGGATATGGACCTAGACATTGATAGCAGCATATCCAACTTGAATCTCACCTGCAAGCCTGAGAGTGTTATCATGACTATGCATCACAAAAAAAGGATTTTCACAAGATTATTACAACTTGGATATATCTATCAATGAACGATCTGTCGATCTGAATCTCTATCAAGCACATTGTGCCTCAGGCCTGAATTTTGGATACACCGCCCAACTATAGAGCTTTTTGATTCGTGAAAGCCCTGGTACAAACAGAGCAAACAGCATCATATCAGCGAAATTCTCGCTGCAAAAGATCATGATCAACAACGACCGCTCTAATGTCTCTCTACTTTGATGCGGTCAATATTCTGACCGAGCCAGCTTCAGGCGGCTCCTTCAAATCGCGTATCTACAGTGCTCGAAATTTGCGCGCCACACCAGCACAGATCTACGCCCTGATCATCGAGACATCGAAATGGGATCGCGTTCTCGCCGAGATCATTGACCGGTCTGATTTACTAAATTTGGAGCGCAAGGTACGAATTGTAAACCGGGCGTGACGCCAAAATATATTTGCTGACTGACCAGCTTGATTGATTTTTGTCTCCTTTAGCTATCACCTCTCCTTGCGCTTCTTCTCGTCCATGACCACCTGATTGCGAAAAAGGGCATCTCGGCCCCAACGGCACACCCCCTCCGACAAGCTGTTGAGAGACACAAGGTTCGATTAAAGGCGGAGTTCACGAAGTCCCGCGTGCGTCGTGGATGTGCATCGGTTGAACAGTTCAAGACTGCGGTCTTGCGGGAAAAACGAGAGGCGGATGGATCTGATGGCTTCGTTTACCCGCGCTGGGTGCGTGTGAACAACATCAGGTCTTCTCTGGAAGACCAGATGAAAACGACTTTTGCTTCTTATCGTCGTGTCGACTCATTGGCGGAATTGGCGCCAGAAGGGGATGACCGTACTGCTCGGCAGTTGCTGTATCTGGATCCTCATATCCCAGATCTGGTAGCCGTACCATATGGCGCGGATTTCACATCTTCCGCCGCATACAAGAATGGAGAGATTATTTTGCAGGACAAGGCATCTTGTTTCCCTGCTTATCTCCTGTTAGGCGACCGTGGGCCCGAGGACGCCTGGCAGGGTGATTTGGTGGATGGTTGCGCGGCTCCAGGAAATAAGACCACTCATCTGGCATCTCTGCTTGCAAAGCAGCAAAAGCATCACAAGAGACAAATGAAACAGGTATTCTGCATGGATGCTTCTAGAGTACGATCCAAGACATTACAAAAAATGGTTTCCTTGGCCGGCGCGGATCAGACCGTCACAGTGTTACCCGGTCAAGACTTTCTAGCCCTCGATCCCACGGACGAGAGATTTGAGCAAGTGACAGGTCTTCTCTTGGATCCGAGTTGCTCGGGAAGTGGAATCATTGGCCGTGACGATGTTCCAGAGTTCACATTGCCCAAAGCTGCGACATCATACGCTCCCAATACCCAGGGTAAGAAGCGGAAGCGTCAGGCAAATGAGGCCGACGAAGCCGGCGAGCAGCGCTCGAAAGGAAAACCTAGCGACGTTAAACCCTCGTCTGATCCAGCGGATGAAAATGATATCCCCACTGGTGAAGTTGACCAAGAACGGCTGGTCAAGCTGTCAAATCTTCAAACGCGCATTGTGGAACATGCCTTGAGTTTCCCTCATGCGACGCATGTCACTTACAGCACCTGTTCTATCCATTTGATTGAGAATGAGTCTGTCGTGCAACGGATCCTGGCCTCTGATGTCGCTAAAGAGGGCGGCTGGCGACTTCTGCGGCGCGATGAGCAACCGGAGGGAATGCGCAAGTGGACACATCGTGGAGTCCGGCGCGATCGGGATCCAGAGACCAAAGCTGAGATCGAATCTAGCTCAGTCTCAGTAGATGACCTTTCAGAGGAAGATCTCGATGCTTGTGTGCGCTGTTGGTCTGGCGATGCTGAAGGACTAGGCGGATTCTTTGTTGCTGGATTCGTTCGTGACCCCCGACTTGCGTCTGAAGTAACTGAAACCAAGTCCAAAGACAAACAGGCGGATGTTCAAGATGACGAACAAGAGGAGGAGGATGAGGAGGAGGAAGATGATGACTGGGAAGGCTTCTCTGATTAAATCAAATAAGAACCAATTATACGCCAATACTCCATATAATGCGCACACAGAATGGTATGAAATGGTAGCCCGAGATCGTAACTTCATTTTAGCTTAGAGAAAATCTCTATCTCGATTGCGAATTCGTGGATGGGTGCATAGATCCAACTTTACAGCTCCCATCATAACCTCGCATGGACCATTGGGATCCGCCTGGTGCACAAGCAAGCGCCAGTGTCCTTTGCGAACCACCCAAGGCCCTTCATCTGATCCATCCGTGCGCTGCCGTTTGGCCGGAGGTTCCTCATTATCAATTTCAGCATTAGCCAGTAAATTCGCGATTCTCAGTGGATCGCGTTCTCCATCAATTACTATATCAGTCTCTCGTCCCCAACGGACCTTGAGTGGAAGTGCGCCAATTTTGATATCGGGCGAATTTAATTTCTTCGCAATGACCTGCACCAGACTCGCCATACGAGACTTAGTTGTCCCAATGAAATCTGCTCGTTGTCCCGCACGGCTGATGATTGTTGAATCTCCGACGATTTCCAGCATCAGATCAAAGGGGTTATCGTCCACAAAGGGACGAGCATATGTTACCAATCCGCTAATCATTGTGGGATTCAGGGAGTTTTGGAAGACTTGAATGCCTGATGGTCGAACATCTTCAAGTTGGATGGTTATCTCAGAGCGTTGGTTGAAAGGGTTGGCGCTTATGTGATGTGGTATTAATCGCTGCTCTAAGCCTCGGAGGTGGAAATATCGACAGTCTCGTAGGAGCTCGGTGCGGTGTTCTGCGTTTCGAATATGTAATGGGTAGCCGTGTAGAAGGTGTAGGAGTTCTGCGAAGACCTCCGCCGATCGATTGGGGACACCTGGGGGTGTGATGGCCGGGGGACGCAGGAGTCCTATACGGTCGAGACCTGGGAAGACTTCTGTAGGGGAGGCAAAGAAAGCACCGAATCCGAGAGTGAAGAAATTGGGGGAGTCTCCAGGGGCCAGAGAATATATCGCGTGGGATTTGGAAGTGACGGTCGCCGATCTGGATGAAGATCTCAGATTCGAACAGTTGGGACATCAATCGGGGTACTGTTTTTGGTCAGTCAGTACCAGTTCTGTAAACCAATGGACGAGAGCTGAGATGGTCTCACAGGTATAGAATTGAGCATCCGCGAATAGCTTGACAAACTGCGCTCCATCTCGAGGTCGAACATGATAACCTGCTACGCATTAGTCCCCGTATCTGGAATTGTCACGGGGCAGCTTCTCTCGGTCACCTTGAAGGTGTCTTGCGATCTCTTTGAAAGTTTCTGGGTCGCGGTCGATGTAGAGGGTACGAATATTGGAGGGATCAGAGACGCGCAGCTGCTCCTCGAAGAAGCGCGAGAAGTAAGAGGGTGCTGGTGAACGGGTCAGCTTTGCGACCAGGCTATATCCCATGTAGGGTCAAGCATTCACCCACCATCTGAGGCAATTGAAGCTCCCGAGAGACGAAATAGATCTGAACCAATCTGAATAGAGAAGACTTTCTCGGGCGGCAAAGTGCAGGACTTGCGCGCAGAGTCGGACGCGTCGGCCATGGTTGAAAGGTGCAACCTTGAGAAGCTCCGCCGATCGGGAGATACGTGACTCCACTCTAGTATGAGCTTATGATGTTTACAGTTATAGCATTCTTCTATTTCCAAGGTTGTCTATTTGTCCAATTTTCACTTGATAGTTTAATACTCAGTCTCATAGTACTATATCACCTACTAATTAATGAAGTCACATATAATGACCTGCCACACTGCCAATGATCTACTAGTAGTAGTACTCGCGTGCGTAGTACTAGGTACGGAACAGTATACTAAAATATACATCCAGACACATTGGATACTACTCCGGATACTATACTACTACTACTAAGTAGTAATAAAATTTGATCTTCACACATAGCTTCAAATTCAATCTTGGAAGTTTCTCCTACTAGTAGTAAATAGACATTGATCATTAACAATTGAAGGAGATCTCTTTTATTTGAACTTCAATGCCCAAGTCAGACATCTGAGTCTATAAGGAGCCCTAATAGTATAAAATGATGCCAGTGGATGTTAACAACTTGAACTTGAAATCCTTTTAACACGAGGACCCGTGGACCCTCCAGGGCCTCAAGCTATTGCTATGCCCAGGTGTATAATAATAGTACTATATAGTAGGAGCACACATGCACTGCCTAGGTGGCATGTAGTACTCCAGGATATGTACTTTCAAGAATCTACTAGTACTATGTAGTGCATACCGTCTGGATAGTACATAAATATGGACTATCCATGTCATTCGAATATTGAATGATATTATTCATCATACTATTATGGAGTACTAGTAGGTAGGAGCTTTATATAGAAGCACTGGCGTGCTTCAATTTCAACGATGGCTCATTGGCTTCAGCACTTAAGGGGTGTGTTGAAGCATTTGTCCACCTTGGATATTCACAAGTGTATTTGAGACAAACCGGCGTTAGGTCTCAATTGAGATTGCTTCTAGACTGTTTTGTCTCATGAATTGTGGTCCTTATTCCTATTCAAGTTGGGTGCACATAGTGTCACCAGTTGACTACTAGTACTCTATTGAGCATGAACCTTCGATCCTCATTTCAAGTTGATATCGGAGTCTTGAGAACATAAATAATTATGTCAGAAGAGAGTGCTAAATCCTCGTTTAGCCTGAATAGTAAATTGAACTCCTACAACAACAATAGTTATCCTTTACCACGCGTATATCCGTGGATGGAGTAACGTCTCAGGTGGGGAAAAGGCGTTACTACTGCCAGCTGGCACTCAGTAGAATGGGTCAATCTAAGCGAGAGGGCGTTTGAATCAATTCTGACAGGCCCGCTAAGCCAGGATGACATGCAGGGATACAAATCTCGGAGTAATCCAATATCGTCCCTCAACATTTGTGTTTTGTCCCTTTCAAATGTTCCCGCAACATCAAACTTCCCCCTGGAGAATATTCAACCAATTTATTGTCGCCGAAACACCTTATTTCAGATGCCGGGGACTTCTTACCCCTTTAAGTAGCAAAGGAACCCTGAATCTCAGTCACATGGGGTCGAATCTCGGCTAGCATTTCCACTGAAGCCGGCCGATCCTCTATCATGCGGAGTGTGAGTGGCTGAACGTTTTATGACCCACTGCGCGGCCAAAACGTGGATCGACTCGGACTATGCCTGAAGCCGAGGCCCCTCTAGGTTGCTTCGATATAGTGAGTTTTGTACTGGTTCGTCCGTAAGAACTACATAGTGCGGTGGGGAAAGCTCAGGTTCAGCTCCGACTGCTCACCGTGAGGCGTAAGTGGAGGTATATCTCGGTCGTACGATTCTCCTTTGCCCCATTGATGAACTTTTACCAAGCCCAGGCTTTCTTCATACATACCCGTTGGGCTCCTACTAGTGAGAGTAAATCAGATGTGTGATATTTGATATCCTCAAAATCATTACTTCACTTTCATCATGACGGACCAGACCATGTCTACCTACGTCCCAAAAGAGGTACCTCTACCTCCAGCACCTGACACCTCGTTTTGGTCGGAGGAACAATGGAAAATACTCTTTGCAATCGCCGATGCCATTATTCCATCAGTTCAAGTTCAGACCGCTCCTCAGTCACCCAACACCAAAGTTGTCTCAGCGGCTGAATATGATGCGGCGCATTCGCAATTATCATCCATGATACCTGGCCCGGATTCAAATGAACTCGCTACAAAGTTCTTAGACGAAGAGGCCTCAACAAACCCCGTTTTCCGTTCAGTCGTACAGCGCATCATTGGAGTAGGCGTGCATGAGGAAGGTAAAAATGGACTCGGTCTGATTCTAAATGCTCTGAAGTATGATCCCTGAATAGTGCCATTTCCCTTGACCAAACGAAAATGACTGACCAATTTCTAGTACTCGAGCTGGATCACTGATTCTGACTGGATCTACTACTCCAATTCATCAGCAGCCTGTTGCTTTCCGCGAAAAGGTGTTTACAGGCTGGGATACATCTCGGTTACCCCCTTTGCGGGGGCTCTACCGGGGCTTGACCGCAATCATCAAGAAATCTTGGGTTTTGGCTAGCCCAAATCTCAATGAAGTTCTGGGATTTCCACGGGTTCCAATCTACGGTAAACCCACCGCTGGATTTTCATACGAATTCTTGCAAATTCCACCAGGTGACGAGCCTGAAACGATCGAAACTGATGTTGTGATCGTGGGCAGTGGCTGTGGTGGAGCCGTCACTGCAAAGAACCTTGCTGAGGCTGGACTACGAGTTCTCGTCGTAGAAAAATCTTACTCTTACTCCACCGATTCATTCCCCATGCTGCCCAATGAGGCATTCAACAACATGTATGAAAGTGCGGGCGCTGTTGTTAGCGAAGATGGATCAATGGTTGTTCTTGCAGGTTCTACGTGGGGCGGCGGCGGCACTGTCAACTGGTCTGCAGCCCTCCAGACCCAGGCCTATGTTCGTCAGGAATGGGCCGATGAAGGTCTTCCTCTCTTCACATCTTTGGATTTCCAACGAAGTCTGGATCGCGTATGCGACCGGATGGGTGTGAATAGCGACAAAGTCAAACATAATATCCAGAACAATGTCATTCTTGACGGCGCGCACAAACTTGGCTATGCGGCCAACACAGTGCCGCAAAATACAGGAAACGAGGAGCATTACTGTGGACACTGCACGATTGGCTGTGCGTCTGCCAGGAAGAAGGGACCAACGGAGACTTTCCTTGCTGATGCCGCGAAGGCTGGCGCTACTTTTATTGAAGGCTTCCGCGCTGATAAGGTTCTCTTTGACACCCAGAAGAGTGGTAAGAAGGTAGCCAGCGGCGTGGAAGGTGCATGGTCCTCTCGAGATCAATATCTTGGACTCAGTGACAGTAGTGCAACCAAACGAAAAGTGATCATCAAGGCAAAGAAGGTGATTGTCTCATCGGGAACGTTAAACAGTCCCTTGCTGCTTCTCAGGAGTGGTTTGAAGAACGCACAGATTGGCCGTAATCTTCATTTACACCCAGTAGTAGGTGCTGCCGCTGTCTTTGACAAGGATATTCGCGGCTGGGAAGGCTCCGCATTGACTACTGTGGTCACTGAATTTGAGGATCTTGATGGACACGGACACGGAATCAAGCTTGAGTCGGCAGCCATGATTCCTTCTATCTTCATTCCTGTTCTCCCTTGGACGGACGGATTAGGATACAAGATGGCCGCAGCCAAGTTCCGCCGCAGTACTAGTTTCATCACCCTGACAAAGGACCGAGATGGTGGACGTGTGTTCCCAGACCCCAATGATGGACGTGTTCGCATCGATTATACAGTCTCCAGCTTCGACAGACGTCACATTGTGGAGGGTATCATTGCCGCTGCTAAGATCGCTTACATCTCAGGGGCTAAGGAGTTTATCACAACTTCCCGTGAGATTGAACCATTCATCCGGCCTGATGCTTCTGAACTAGATGCTCCTGAGGGAACAAATGATGCCGCTCTACAGGCCTGGATCGCCGAGGTCCGTCGAAAGTCACCCTTGAACCCAGAGCGTACTCTGTTTGCTAGTGCTCATCAGATGGGTACTTGCCGAATGGGAAAATCTCCTAAGTCAAGTGTGGTAGACTCCGAGTGTCAGGTCTGGGGTACCGAAGGGCTGTATGTGGTGGATGCATCTGTATTCCCTAGTGCCAGTGGTGTTAACCCAATGGTTACCAATATGGCTATTGCAGACTGGGCAAGCCGGAATATCGCACGCGTTATGGGTCATTTAGTGAGTGACAATAGCCGAATGGCTCGCCTTTGATCAGGCTACTTGTATCAATCAAATCAGTGCTCTGCTTTCTTTGTTTTATATCCAGCGTTCTTACTCCACATGTGCACTTCTATCATCACGAAGTTTAGATTAGCCATTGCATTGGAGCATACTTAATGAATCAATATGCTAATCACTGAATACTCTATTTTTATCCTCTCCGCTGACATGATACTATACCATTACTAAATTATAGGGAAATAGGTAATTCCCCCTCGGTGTCTGGAGGAACACCATGTCACCATCCAATGAATTCTAGGAATCGTCTGATATTCACAATATCCGCACGTGATAATCCCCAGAATTCTGCCTAAAGAACGAAGCATTTTTCAACTTCGCGTTCAATAAGATGTTCGCCACCGTTCCTCTTCCACTCTCCCACCTACAGAACCCCGCAACAAGCTTTCCATCAAACCGTCATCATGAACTTTCTCGACCTTCCACCAGAACTCCACCTTTTGATTTTCAAAAGCCTAACAATGGAGGATATCTTGAAGCTGCGAATAACATGCACCCATTTCTTTCAAATGTTCCCACAAATCACCCATGAACAACTCTTAGAGGCCGAGTCGACAGCATGGGCTTCCGAAAAGAATCTCTACGCATGTCGCTACTGCCTACGCCTCCGACCGGCATGTCAATTTGCCGATCGAATGCTCGGACGCGGCCGCACGCGTTTGGGTACAGACAGAGATAAGCGGTTCTGCGTTGAGTGCGGTGTGAAACCACGAGATGGCCCGCCACGGTACGGCCCTGGGTCCCAGTTCACCTTCCAAGGGCAGGCATGCGTGATATGCATCCTTTGCCACCAGTTCCGTCCGGCGGCATTCAACTCAGACGGCCGTGGCACTCGGCACTGTGAGGTTTGCTGGAGTGGGCGCATTCGTCTCCCTGCTAAAGAGCCGCCCAGCATTACCTAAAGCTGCCCGCCATTTGATTGAACGGTGAGTTGAAGGTGAATTTGAAAACTTATTATGGTTGCTAATATTTGAGAAGAAGCTTGGAAGATACCGACTGAATCTCATCCCCATGAGCCGCTCAACAAATGAGTCCAAGATACTGGGCCTCCCATTAGCGACACCTCATTGGCCACGACTCCAGCAAAAGAAAGAGAAATGAATAATAACATGCAAAGCTGCAAATTTCGTCTTCTGACATATTATTCATTAAGCCTTCGCTGGCTCCCCAAGCCGTAAGTAATTCCAACATACTGTCACTGGTTAGCCAAGCTCTCAGTCAGGCAAGGGAAAGCTCTTACTGGTATTGGCCATATCCTTTCCAAACATCCCATTCATAAGATCCTCCGAAGCTCTGGTGCCCTCATCTGGAGAATACACAGCACACTTCTTACCAAGGGCAAGTCCGATGACGGATGGGAAAGGTGTCAGGTTCTTAAATGTTGGTTTCTCCCCTGTGCATTCGGCCAACATGTGCTGATGGATGTTCTCAGCAGCGTACTGACCCATATGCATTGCTCCACCACAGCGCTTGATCCCCGACCATGCTGCAAGATCACCGATCGCAAAATGATGCTCTGAGTTTGGCACATCACCTGAGAATTGGAGTCTAGACTCGCGTCAGATAGGAGAACAAGAGCTTGGATGGGCGTTAGACTTACGATGGATGGATTTTGATTAATCCTTCCTCATCCAAGGCCTCAGGTGAGAGATACGTTGATGTAGGAACAGATCTTGAAATGGCACTCAATACAAGCCCGGTTGTGAGCTGTTCGCCGTTGGCCAGAGTTAAACGCCATACTCGGCTCTTCCCTGAAACTACGGCTGTTGTGTCTGTAACGCGCTGTCCAAGAATAACCTCCACATTTTCTTCGCGAAGGATCTCGAGCGCTTGTTCCGCGAAGTCATCGGGAAGATCTTCTGATGAGAGCAATCGATTTCGAGAATGGATCAGAGTGATCTTTAGTTCGGGGTAGAGGAACTTCAGCTCAGCAGCCATCTCAATTCCGACCGCACCTGGATAATCACCACTAAGTCAGCCTTTCTGTTGCTCAAGAGGGAGGTGTGATTAATACGAACCTCCTCCAACAACTACGATCCCTTCTCTCGCAGTGCGCACATTCTCCACGTGTCTCTTAGCTTCTTCCAGAAACTCCTCTCGTCGTAAAGATTGCGGCGCAACAGGGAAGACTCGTCGCAGACCAGATGCCGCGATTAAATAATCATATTTCTCGGTTCGGTTCTCCTTCGTCTGTGTATCGAGGATATGTGCAATCTTTGAAGCACAATCCACCTTGCTCACGCTTCCTTGAATGATCTTGAAATCCGGCGACTTCAATGCAGGAATATCTTGGAATCGCGTCCATGATTCTGCGGCGTATTTTTCGCATGCGAGTGACTTGGGTGCTCCGATCAAATGAACTACCAGTTTGGTTAGCAAAAGATTTGACAATGCACAAATTAATTGGACGTCAAGCGCATACAGTAGCCATCTCGTTCATCCACGATCGTTATTTGGAGTGGAATTCGCCATGAAGGCGGCTTGTTATCGGGGTTCGAGTCGAACCGGTACTTGCGACCGTGTGCCAGATCACTCAAATTTAATGCTGCGGCTAAACCGCCGTATGAGCCGCCGATCACGAGGACTCGGAATGATCGGGCGACTGCGCGAACGCCGTCGTTGGAGGGCATGATTAGATTGACAGAGAGGAGATGGGACAGGACGAGACAATCAAAGAAAGCGACAAGGAAGAAGCTATAAGGAAGATCGCGGAGCAAAGGAGGGGAAATCAGAGTCTCTTAAAAAAGAAGTGGATTAACCCAGCTAATAATATACTGGAATATGATCCATACGAAGCTCGTAATTCTCATTGCGCAAATCAGAATCTTATCAGATGCGACATCGGTGAAACGTAAAATTATCAGATCCGATCCGGCCCCGGTTGGGACCGGTACATCGGACCAACCAAAATCACCGTCCGAATGGCCCTCGGCTTTAGTATTCCAAGGTTCGTTGTCTGACTATGGAGTGCTCGGCTTGGTACTTTTACAGCCAGCCTTGGAAAGACCTAGCCTGGTTCAAGTGCCGATATGTAAGGTTCACATAATAGCCAAGAGCTCTGAGGAATGGCGGTGCAAGGCGACCCACTGTACCGATGGTCCCGGATGGGGCAACAGGCGGTTCTTCATGTGAGATGCCATGACTAGGACTGTATGGGAAACTAGTTCAAATTTTCAGTTGAGCTAATGACAGGGCTGGGTGTTTTCTACGTCACTGAATGAATTGAACGTAGCTCGGAGTTCAAACGGCGTTCTTCCGAAATAGCTTCTAGAAAGACCCATTATCGGCGCATGTGTGGGTCTTCTTTCAATTGACAGGAGAGTCGACCTTGGAAAGACCAAGTGGATAGAAGCGACCGCTATGTTCCAAGGTTATCTGATGGGTATCTCAGCGGCACTTGCGTAGATGCGAGGGTGGGCAACCTTGGAGAATTCTGCTTAGATACTTCATAACCTACCCCAAGTGCTATTTTAGATGCCTCTTTGTCCTTTATGAGGGATTTCCAAGGTTAAATATGCACATGCGGCTTCCAAGTTTCTTTTTATATTAGTAATGGGGATCAAGCTCTAGCTTGAATGGTGAATATGAAGACTTGCATTTACGCATGTGTGCCCAGGTGGAGGTAGACTGTACGAGTAATAAGAATTGTGGCAGAATTAGGCAAATTTGGTGAAAACCTGCAGTAAGCTTCTACCAAGAAAAAACCCAGCCAAAATATGAAATTGTAAAGCTTTCTGATATAATTAATGCAGGCCTGAGCGAGCACAAATCCGTGGCACGATTCAGTGTCTTTCTCATGTTTCATAGAAGTGGAGACGGTGTATTAGCGGTAATTTTGGAATTAATCAAATGCAAGGAACTAACCAATCACCATCGCGAATTCGATCAGACAAGATCCCCATCTAATCTGATTGAGGGAATATGCGTCAGTGCGGTCACGCCACATGCAAGTCGCTAATGAGAATGGATAAAATGTCGCAATCTTTTCATTACTCAATTACTCCATAGTCAATACTAGTGCCTGTTTTCACGGAGAATTTCTAACACACTAAAAATTATTCAGGAAGTAATCTGCATCAATCCCACCTTCGTATCTGATAAGATTTGCTTACTATTACAGAGTATTCTCAGCCAACTTGAAAAAAAGCATAAATGAAATGAATCAACTGGGTATTCGACGAAATACTCATCTAAACTATACAATAATTACTAGTACGCCGGAGTTTCCCACCTCTTTTATGTTCACTGTGCATCTGCATTCTATACATCCCGGCTTCCCCTCACGCTTGGGCTTGCCTCACCCGTCTAGCCAAAGCCTCGGTCGCCATCTGCCGCAATTCCACCTTCCGGACCTTTCCGCTTCCCGTTACCGGAACTGTACTGGGAACTCCTTCCTCTCCAAACACAAATACATGCTGTGGTGCCTTGTGACGACCAAGCGTTTCGCGTGTCCAGCCTCGGAGTTCTTCATCGGTGGGTCGGGTCTGTCCCGCAGATAATTGAATGAATGCGCCGACAGTTTCGCCGTATTTCGCGTCGGGAATACCAATAACAGAGGCAAGGTCAATGTCTGGGCGCGCGGTTAAACGTTCTTCGATTTCGAGGGGGTAGATATTTTCGCCACCTAGAGAGAAACAATCATTAGTTGAAATTTGAGGTTGGATAAGCGGAGATGAGGCTTACCGCGGATGATAATATCCTTGAATCGTCCAGTAATTGTGCAGTAGCCCTGTTCATTGAACGAGGCCTCGTCACCGGTCTTCAACCACACCGTCCCGTCTGAATCTGTCACCAGTGTCTCGGCTGTCTTTTCCGGATTGTTCCAGTATCCTTTGGTAAGCTGGTACCCAGCCATGCAGAGCTCGCCGCGCTGTCCGATCGGAACGATATTGCCCTTCGCATCGACAATCTTCGCGCGCGCATGAGGGAGCACCTTTCCGACTGTCGTCAATCGGGTGTGGATGCTATCCGTTGTGAAGGCATTGAAGCAGGTGGGTGAAGCCTCGGTAAGTCCGTAGCTGCTGGTGTATTCGGTCATGTTCAGTTCCTCGAAGAGGCGCTTCATTAAAGGTCGTGGAACGGGGGCTCCGGCGATGATACCGGTGCGCAGATTAGAGCTGTCGAAGTTACCGGGCTTGGGAACGCTGAGGATAGCTTCGAACATAGTGGGGACGCCGTGGAGAGCGGTGCACTTTTCGTCGGAAATCGCGTGCATCACTGCCTTGGGATCGAATGTCTCACTAGGGAAAACAATCTTGGATCCGTGTGTCACTACTGCTAACATGCCTAGGACCAGCCCGAAGCAGTGAAACAGTGGTGGAGGACAGCAGAGGATATCGAATGAGGTGAGCTTCATTCGGTCGCCGATGAACCGTGAGTTGTTGACCAGGTTGCTATAAATTTGTTAGAGGATTTGAGCTTCAATGGTGTCGTTGAACATACTGGTGAGTCAACATAGCAGCCTTGGGGTTACCCGTCGAGCCACTGGTGAATTGGAGATTGCAGACGTCATCTGGTCGCAATTCAGCTTCGCGGTCCTGGAGAACATGTGCGGCTTGCGAGGCACCGCGAGCAATGACATCGTCGTAGGTCGGGAAATCTTGGTATGTGTTACGCAGAATCACGATCTCCTCCAGGGACTTTGAGGTTCCGCTCTCCATAGGCTTGGGGCCTAGCTCATTCAGGACTTCTTCCAGGTTGTGGCGGCCAATGTGTGGTGTCATGAAAAGTAACTTGCAGCCTATAGAGTGCGCAATGAGTATCGATTGATCGTAGTCGCAATCACTCGCAAAAATTGTAACCTACCTGAGTGGTCAAGAGCATAGTACAGCTCAGACGGGGTATATGTGTTGTTCAAAACCACCAAGATAGCACCAACACGGGCAGCAGCAAAGAAGACAGAGATGTACTGTTCACAATTGCCTGCCATAATACCCACACGATCACCCTTCTGAATCCCCATTGCGAGCATACCACGCGCAAGGCGTTCAGCTTCCTCCTTCAAGTTGGCATATGTCCAACGGGCTCCAGTCCATGGAAATACCAAACACTCATAATTGGCATACTGGAGTGCCTGAATTGTCAATAGTTCACCGAGGGTAATATCCAACAGTGCGGGCTGAGTTGGCCCCGCAACAATGGACCACTGAGTCGGAGCAGGAGCCGAGACTGGCTGTACATGCGACAGCGTCTGCTGTAGGCGTTGAACACTCCTTGGGGCAGCCATTGCTTCCGGTGGTTATGGGGACTGATTCGGGGAGACAGTTAGAAAGAAAAAAGGAGACCAACTCGGAGCGAGGAGTGTGGGCTTATAGCTAACGGCGAGAACCGCGGCAATTTATTATTTTTTTTTTAATCAGATCCGAACATACGGAGTGTGGCTCAATCAGATATGGCAGCGATGTGGAGCCGTGTATTTGGTTTGTATCATGGATTCATGGTGAAATCTAGAATTGCTCCACTCTTCGTCACGCCCATGAAAATTATGACAAGGATTTCGCGCGAAGACATGAGTCTGGTGATAGTATCAGAATTGTCGTAAATTCTGGTAAGTTTGCATAGCATATCTGAGCCCAATTCCTGATTTAGGTAAGTTCTGCATTATTCACTCTGACAATGGCCACGTCTGTCAGACTGCAGGTGCTATTCTGGAGTGAACACCCAAGCACCCGCCAAGCCACGTATTTCACGCCCTGAGCTTGGAACGGGACTCATCATGGCTAAGATCGTCTTTTAATTTTTTTCAAAAGCGGACGTTGGGTCCCGAATTTGTCTATATTTCGTCACAGACATGCTCCAGTCCGGAGTTCATGTACTCCATACTGTGTATTTCGCTTGCAGCATTGATCCACTGAAAAGGAACCGGGCCATTCCTCGTGGTACTCCCCACTGGGCAGGAAGAATCAGATAAATCCAGGCTTCTCCCGGAAATTACTCATAAAGTGGAGTTTCTGCCCATGTTTTTTAATGTATTTCTTCCCAAGTCTTGCAGATGTGGACCATTTTCATACCCGACAAAATTCCGTTCAACTTGTTTTTGGTTAGAAATATCCCAGTGGACCACGGACTGTCTTTCCGGATCAGCCATGCACCGATCGTCTGTGTCAGAAATGGACTTTGTGTTCTCAGACTCTCAGGGTCTGTGTGATACATTATTCCAAGGTTGCCGGTATCTGATCTCGGGATCTAATCAATCAGCCGGTATCGGACTTTGATCCACAATACACATGTGGAAGATGTTTCACTTGATACTTTAACTAAAGAAAATTCTTTCAAACTTTAGTGCTGCCATGTCATGAAAATATTGTTCTCTCGCTTGTTAGGCATATGTCGACCGGATTGAGGGTTGAAAGCAAGCCTCCATATACAAACTTTGATGCCTCGCAGCATCGGGTATTCTCTCGCAATACATTCGACATCTGGAAGATTCGAAGAGATCAATGAGCCTGATCTCCCGAAGCACTCGCTTGGCGGCTAGTATGAATAAGAAATTCGAAGTAGAACTCAAAGAGTGATAAGACTACACACATTGTTTATACTGTGTAGATTAGCAAAGGGATCTATTCCCCCAACCTGAAATGCTTGCGCATATCTCTCTTGTTGATTCAAACACCATAGCAATTTCTCAAGGTATTTAGTATCTCCAAACAATCAGCTCTCCACATCCCCACATCTCATACTGCATGTTCTGAGTCCCTGCATTTCGTCAGGCATTCGCGCTAAAATAAAATCCCTGCTATGGGCATCTGCATAATGCATCTTGCAAGGATTTGAGCCTACTAACTATAATTCGTCAGACTATACTCCATGCAGTAATGATGCAATTGTATTATGTAGAGCATCTTAAAAGCGGGGCCGATGAAATCGATCAGTCTGAGTGAGTTTGTCACTCTTTTGAGATTAGTTTGCCTCACAATCCCGTCTTGGTGATCACTTTTTGACTTGTTTGTCAGATAATTCTACCACCAAGCTAGATATTGCCCTCGTAAAATCTTTGCCACCAAGGCGTCCTGGAATGTCTGTTTTGTAGCAGCTTGCCTCAGAAACAGACTCAAAATGCGAACGCTATATATGGGATTTGCGAATTTCGCCGCATATCGTTGTCCATACTCACAGTAGATGGTCTTGATCGTCGTCATGAGAATAATTCTCACTGGAAAAGTGGCAGGTTTCTCAAAGGTTTACAATAATATCCAGGCATTTGGCTGAAAGCAGACACATAGCTGGATCATGGAATCATGTGTATGTGGAAGCTGACCTTGTAACTGGATTGGAGTTGGGAAGAAGGCATGACATACTTCAGCTATGGCCTTCAAATCCTGGCTGAAGTTTGAATCAATGTAACAATAATCGGTCTTTTATGTCATACTGACGCTGGGTAAGTAAATGAAATGGAACTGGACATGAAGTTCCTGATTAAGATCAAACAGTGATCAGGAAACAAGAATTATCAGCTTGATGTTAAGCATACAGAACAGGCTGCCAAAATTAGATGTCAAGGCAGGAAAATCTCAAACACTTTGGAGTTTTCACAACACAAACAGTAACCGAAATCAGCTTGATTCGTTTGGGGTAGACGATGTGCTTACTCCCCGGGGCACGCCAAGCTGGTTGCCACTTGGTGGCTTGACAAAAGTCAACAATGATATCATCTCATCGATAATCATGTTTAAATCCTCCACGGTAAATTCTCGTACAAGATTTTCCATCCCACCTTCGATCTCAGCAACTTTCGATTTGATAAACACCGGCATGTACCCTTGAAGCTCACGCACCAACAAGTGGAAGATGATCAGAGGATGGATGAGTCCCGCACCCGCACCCTTGTTGCTTTTTCTAAAACGATCGCGGATGGTGATAAGAAATTCCAGGGAGGTCGGGAAATCTGCCTTCTTTAGCCACAAAATACCATCCAGGGTCTGGCGCACCGCAGCCAGAGTAGTTGTATTGATGATTCGACGGGCGTTAAAAATGAAGGAATCGGCGAATTGAATATCATACCCGGTATCTCTGATCATGCCATAGATTTCCACGGACATGTTTGATACGAGCCATCTCTGCACATCTCGAGAAAGTATTATCCACTTTTGGGCTCGCGGGTGATCCGTTTTTGGTCTCAAGGAAATATCGAGAAAATTGTGAAGGTTTTGGGCGCGCAGCAAGTTTCTTGCGCACTCCAGCCATAGTTCGAAGTCCACTGCATCTTCTAATATTGGCTTCATCTGGTACAGAGTGTATGTACCAGGCTCCGGTGCATCAGTGAGTTGGTCGACGGGGCCTTCGGGGCTAAGGGAAGGCTGGAGCTGTTCGAATGCTCGGGTGTCACCGATCATTTCCTTCAGGTCTGGATGCATCGAAGTGCGAGATGATGCCATTTTGAATGAGTTTATTGATCTTGGAGATGGGATTTTTGGTGCTGGTATTGCTGGGAAGAGTGAGTAATGTGTCAGTTGGAGAGGAAAATGGATGTCTCAGTTTTGTCGCGTGGTTGCTTGATTGCTTACACTGATGGTGTCTTCTCTTACATGGATAAGCGTCAAAGGGATTGGCTAAGAAGTAGAGCTGATTCAAGAGAGATGACCCTGGCTCAAGAGGTTGAAAAAGGTGCAAATGAGGGACTGGCGACGCGAGGTGATCAAGGGGAAGTGTTGCCAGGTGAGGTGTCGTGGAGGTCAACCTTCGAAGTCACGCGGTAGCAGTAAAGGACAGTGATGAGAAGAGAAGCACAATAACAAAACGCAGTTGGAGGCTGACTTTATTCAAGTTGATTTTAATCGGTAACAAAAGGATTTTCAAACACAGCCTTGGAAATCGGAGTGCCTGAACTTGGTAGGCTCCAGGTATATAGCAAATAATTCCATCCTCGTCTCTCACGGCCATAGATCTGCCTAGAGCGCTCACATAGTGTTTTATTGCAGGTAGCTGATATTATCAAATACGCCTGATTAAATGGGGCATTATCGTGGCCTAGAGATATGGTGCCTGGAGTAGACTATGTAGCCGCCATACAGTTGAATAAGATCAAAAAAGATGTAGCACTTGAGTGTATACTAGGCTATAATTCTGTCAACTGGTCACTAGGCGGTCAAACCCTTCAAATGTTGAAACCCCTATTATGCCCAATTAGCAAGAGGGGTTTATATCGAGGCCATTCTTCAAGTTATTCAGAGATACATATTCAGGGTTCATAAAGTGGAGCATTTGAATCCGGGGAAGTAAAAGATTAAAGGATTGAAGGACAAGAAGGACAAGAAGGACAAGAACACAAAGAAGAAATGAACCTCGGGAATAAGGGGTCGCAAAGCTATCCTGATTTGGGAATAAGAGATTGCCGATCATTATTTGTTGGGACCGAGGTTGACTGTTCTGGACTATTGGAAAACATTGGAGTGTACTCCGTACCAATATTCAATATTGGATGTAGTTAATAGGAGTTCATAGGAGTTCACACTCCTAATATTCATGTTGATATAATGGTTCACAGATCACATGATTCTATACTCCATGAGCACTACAAAATATTGATGAATATTGCTAGAATTATGACTTTCCAAGATCTCATAAAGAATAAAATCAGCACAATGGACAAATGAACAGACCTCGGTTGCAATATTGTGAAATTATCAGTCATCTGGAGTACCTGTAGACTGTAACTGAGAATCACATCTCCCCGAACTCCCCGCATCATACGGTTCTCTAAACGAAGAAACGCCGGACATGCATATTGCATATTGCATATTGCCCGAGATATTAACCTTGAAAGTCATGCACAGACCATCTTGCATGGAGGATCGGGTCCCACTGTGATTCTGCTTATTTCTCCATTTTTGTTGATCTTCTTGTGCTTCATGGTTGATCTGCGCAGACCGAGGCATGTGAACCGGACTCTCTCTTTTTTATTAAACCATGCCGGGAACACTATTTCTTAATTTTCTTTTCTATCTTTTCATCTCTTTTGCATCTGTCTCATAATATAATCCATCATGAATGGCCGCGATAATGGTCACGCTAACGGCCACGCGAATGGGACAGACTCCAGCATTGATGTGGTGATTATCGGCGCGGGCATCTCCGGAATCAATGCCGCTTATCGTCTCCAAACCGAATGTCCCAATTACAGCTATACCATCCTCGAGGCCCGCGATGATTTGGGAGGCACATGGGATCTGTTCAGATACCCCGGTATTCGATCGGATTCGGATCTCTATACCTTTGGATTCCGCTTTAATCCCTGGACCCCTAAAAACCCGATTGCCGAGGGCCATATGATCAAAGGCTATATGCGCGAGACTGCCGAGAAGTTTGGAATTGACAAGCATATGCGCTTTCGCCATCGTCTCATCTCTGCAGACTGGTTCAGTACAGAAAACCTCTGGACACTCAATATCGAAAATGACAGCCATACCAAGATCGTCAAGGCGCGATTCATTCTCTTCGGCTCTGGCTATTACAACTACAAGGAACCCCTGGAGGCGAAAATTCCCGGTCTAGAAAACTTCCAGGGCCAAGTGATTCACCCCCAGTTTTGGCCAGAGGATCTAGACTACAAGAAGAAGAAGATCCTCATTATTGGCTCTGGCGCAACTGCTATCACATTGTTGCCAAATTTGGCTGCTCAGGCCGAACGGGTGACCATGATCCAGCGCAGCCCGACATACGTCTTTTCACTCCCAAATAACGGCAACACCTTGCTTCTCTGGTGGCTTGTACCATTTTCTTGGCTCCTACCCAAGACGTTATTCAAGAGTATCCAGCGCATGGCCTGGCTACTGGCTGCAAGATTCCTATTCCTTTTCTGTCGCAGTTTTCCCTCCCTATCAAGGTGGATCCTTAAGCTCCGAGCCAAAAGGCAGCTCCCATCCCATATCCCTCACGACCCACATTTTAAACCACGCTATGGTCCCTGGGAACAGCGTCTTTGTGTCTCACCAGATGGTGACTTTTATAAATCTCTGCGCAGTGGCAAGGCAGACGTGCGAACCGACACTATTAAGACCGTCACTAAGAAAGGCATCACCATTAATTCGGGTGAGACCCTCGATGCAGATATCATCATTACAGCCACAGGATTGAAACTTCAAATCGCCGGTGGAGCTGTCCTCTCAGTTGATGGAAAGAAGATCGATATTGGCTCGAAGTACATGTGGAACGGCATTATGATCCAGGACCTGCCTAATGCAGCCTTCTTCATTGGATACACCAATGCTTCATGGACTCTAGGTGCGGACGCAACAGCGCAATTTGTGACCCGTCTTCTCAATTCTTTTGAAAGTCGTAAACTTATCGCGGCTACTCCCCGAATGAACTCACAGTATGCCGGCGAGGTTCAAAATCGCCCCTTGTTGAATCTCTCTTCCACTTATATCAATGTTGCGGATCGCGTTCTCCCCATGGCTGCGGACCGAGGCCCCTGGCAGGCAAGAGATCACTACCGGAAGGATATTAAGTTTTCGCTTTATGGGAAGATTGATGATCAGATGGAATATGTACATGGGTCAGATCTGCATGTTCAGCCGAAGATTGCATGATCTGTTGTAATGACTTGACTTTGGGTTTGACCTAAAATCGGCGTTTTATTTGTTTCCAATGTTTGTTTATATGTAGCGATATCTCTTTTTTGTGAATAGTACTGTATATATCAATTGATGTGAATGAATGACTCACATGTCCATGATTTGTATCAAGTTTATTCAAAGTCTATTGACTATCTACGTTGACCTGGAAAGATGCACAATATCCAAGGCTTTGCAACATAGTATATTCGGCAAGTGGGCCTCTTTCGTCGCATTAAATACTGCTGGGCTTCACCTCCAACATTCCCAAGAGACGCTGCCAGGATCGACTAGCGCGCGCGGCATGCTCTCCCGGCACCGAAGGATTCTTATCTGCAAGAGTCCGCGAGAACATCTCCATACTAACCCATCCCGCATATCCCAACCCATTTAAGCAAGCATCCGCAACTTCTCGGATGGGAAGATAAGCACCCCGGTCCTCTTCAAATGGGAACAGACGCGCATTCCGCGACCAGGCCAGTAGGGGATGTAACCCAGACTTTGCAAGGAATGCCACCTGCGGGTCAACTCTCTCCCCGTCAGCAAGCTGAACCATCATGACGCGATCCGGATCAACCTCATTCACCAGACGAGCCAGGGATTTCTGCAGATCAATATCCGCACTCGCAGGACGTCGACCCGACAAACTCGTCGGATCAGCCCATACACGCGCCGCAATATTAAAGGTATCAAGACAGATCCCAAGATTCGGTCGATTCGCTTCTCGTACAATCTCCCAGCTCTGTTCCCATGTATTCACATATGTACCCCATGCAAGTGCCTCATAGGCTATCCGAACTGGAAGCGCGATATCCGCTGCTTCGGCTAGATCAGATACTAGACGGGCGCGATCTCCTGTGATCTGGGATTGATCTAGAAATGAAGATGGGATCAGGATGAAGAGTGAGTCTCCGAGAACTTTACACAATTCGACCCAGTGTCGGAGCTCATCAAGTCGCTTTGCGTGCTCTTCTGCATCTAGGAGTCCTTCGTAGTGTCGGAATGGTTGTAATGCGAGAATGCGTAGCCCGTTCTCGGCGCATAGATCGCGGATGACATGCGCGGCGTCAATCTCGTACTCCCGATCGGTGCGGCTTATGTTGGCACTGACGTTTCCATTGCTAGTTTCCTGAGCTTGGTAGCGAAGGGTCTGAGCGAGTTGGGCAAGGTCATCGTGGAAAAGCTCTAGTCCTTCTTGTCCGTTTTGTACGGCAGCTTCTATTTTGGTATGGATGGAGTGTAGATGTGCTGCGCCGAGACTAACAGTTGCGATGGCTGGTTTCCATCGTATTTCGGTTTCGGTGGGTGGAGTGGGAAGGGAATACATTTCGAGTTTGAGTTGCAACGTTGGAATCCTTCCTGCTTGGAAGTGACGTGAGATTCTGATATTTATCAATTTTCACTGATGCCGAGATTTATCAGAGTCTTGGTTTTGGATTCCTCCTCGTGAAACGGTGCTCTTTATATCCATCTTCCAAGATTTCTCTTGCGGATCCCGGGTAGTGCATTATGTATTCTGGGCTGATTCCGCTTGAACCGCCCGTCGAGTCATTTGTTTGTGTCGACCTGTAGGACTCAGGGGTGAATGCGTCGGTTTGTGGACACCGGATGCCGTCGCAGACCAGAATTCAATCTGATCCGCTGTATCACACGCTTTCCAAGGTTGAGGGGCTCCACTTGCTTTTTATAGTGATGGAAGTGACGATTGTTAGGAAAAGCAAAGAGATGAGATTGAGGGTGATGAAACTGTCACTCATAGCTTCTCAGATTATAGTTTCAAGGTTCGGATTAATACCACTTGACGATTGCTATGCTGAGTGTTCCTAGTAGCACCAAGTGTTTACCCTTGGCCGTGCTACATGGGCTATATAAGATTGATCAGTCATTGATTGATCATGTCTCACCTCTGTACGATGATGGAGATAAAGGAACGAGGTTCAAAAGCCGAGCTATTCTAGTTACATTGCACAGGCTCGAAGAGGCCACGGATTAATGAACATGGTAGGATTGAAGACATCTTGGTTGGCCCCAGGGAGAGAAGATGCAGTTCATATTTCAATTCTGAGGGAGCGACAATTGATGATATTTAGACGGGCTTCTCAATCGAATATAGAGGTCTGAGGTTAAACTCTGAATCGCGGGTTGTATTTCCGAACTCCTCCTCATCATAAAATTGGACGCGAATCTCTATATTTGAGGGAGAGTTTTCGAAGAATTCTCGCTGTGCGGCAGGTAAATGACACATCATGCTCTGATTAGGAAAGACAGGACTCTGAGATCAATTAGTCAAGACAACTCTAACTTATGTTTCAGAGATACATACCTGATACCCAAGCCCAAGCATGATACGATGAGAATCAGTTTCATTAGGCATACCGGCGTGCCAGAGTCTAATATCACGGATCATAATATCCCCAGCAGAGCATGTTTGCTGAATAGGAGGTCGAACCGATCTACGCGCGTCTTGTGCGTCTTGCGTAATTGCCGGCAGTGGCTCCCCGAGCTGATAATGAGCGGTCACCTGCTCGGGTTCTGTAGCGATGATCTGGTCTTTGTTGGAGGTATGTGCGTGAGATCCTAGCCAAAACTCTGTCGCTCCGTTTTTGATACTGGTTGAGCATAGAGGAATATTGGCAATGAAGTAGTAGGGATATAGAGGGTGTATGAAGGCGTTATCTTTGTGAACGCCTTGTCGCATGCCTCCTGTATTAGCGAGAGCTGTGTTGGCTGTAAGCCAGTTCCAAATCGGCTTTTGCCCGAGATAACTTTACACTTGGTCAGTAGGTCTTTTGAAACTTCTGTTCGTGATGCTTACGCGTTTGCTAATTGTAGAACAAATGGGTTGTAGTAGATGTCCTCATATAGAAGGTCTGGGCTAGTAACAGGGGGTCTCTGGAGGAAGTTGGCTGTTCACGTTAATCAGAATCATCGATAGTCGAGATCAAGCATGTTTCTCATCTGTATACTCACATCTGACTGCATGATTGTAGATTTGACCGGGATCATCTCTTTTCTTTTCGGCATCTGCACTCATCTGCCGATTCAAGGCTTCGATATGATCCAAATCGACAACACCTTTTAGCACCACCAATCCATCCTGGTGCATCGCTTCCAGGGCCCTTTGAAGAGATAAGTCTGAATATCTCTTCTTCTTCCTTTCCTCGCCCGAGAGATGCATTGCTCGAGCCTGAGTTTGGGTGTTTACGGTCATGGCGTCACGGTGGATTAGAAGTATAAGATTCAAATGTTCGGCTTCAGGAGAAATGATGTTTACTTTGAAGAGCTTGCAAATGGGAACTCTTGCTCACTATACACTTGATGTTCAGGAGACGGCTCATCCGAAGCGGGGGTATGAAACCGTAACTCCTTATCTGCGGGGAAACAGACTCAAAGTTTGTTGATAATCAAATAGAGAGTCAATTTCCTGATCATGAAAACGAATCCATAGGAAGCTTCAACTTGAAGATTGTTGCCCAGGTGACTCTGTGTTTCTCTGTGTCTTTTACTAATTGCACGTTTTGGATACACCCATTGGATGTTTAAACGCCCCTTTTTGTCTCATATCACCAACTATCAACCTTAACAAGTTAACCTTGGAAGCCTCAATCAAGTTGATGTTTCATCAGCTTACGCTATTATGTATTTATCGTATGACTAAAATAAGGCTTGAGTAGTTTAATCCATGTAGACCTCGATTTCCTGCATCATGATGACACGCGTCTATGCGCCTCCTGAAAGGCCTGAAAAACAAAGGAACATTCGAAGCAACTTCAACCTTCAAACTTACCTCACAATCATTCATATCCTTTCAATAGTGAACTCCTATCTCCTCAGGACATTACCTATGTAATATGGAGATTCAAACTTACCCAAACTTGAAGGATTTCACCACTGGCACCTGTGAAAGTTTTCCTTAGCCACTAGTACCCTCCATGTCAAATGGAAACCACTATTTCTTCGTTTCACAGTCTCTGCCCTGCATGTGTAAAAATGTTGATCTTCAAACGTTATTATAAATCAAACACTTGAGTGATGAGTCAGAATTTGGTCTAATGTGATTCATCACTTGATTTAAATAGTTGCAAAAATTTAATATGTGAGTTCATCCGACACAGACGCAAAGTCTATTTCATCTGTCTCTATACGTCTTCCGTGGGGCCCCGCTAGGTATGCGAGCATGATCATTGTAAATAATGCTTTAGCTGGATGTGTATTCTGCAGCCTTCTCCCCCTCGTCTCCATACTCTTGAAGTCAGCTGGGGTTGGAATCGGGACACTGTGAACGAGAACATTGTCGACTTCAAAATCACGCTCTGATGGCTCAAAGAAGGATCCGCCTATGTTATCGTCGCCCGTCCCGGATGTGAGCATTGGATCAGACGTCGGTAGACCTGTACTTCCAGATCTTTGTGGAGGGCCAGGAAGTGAGGGAGGGCTAGATGGAGGGTCAAATGTTTGAGCAGAGCGAGCCTGAGATGGAGAGGCCGCCCATCCGCCAAGTTCATCCATGGTTACCGGTGCAGGGCGTGAAGGAGTATCGTCACTCATATCACTGATATTCCTCCGAGTCCGTTTATTGCCTGCCTGAGGGCTATGCAGTAGATGTGATGGTAAGTCACGACTTCTGCCTTCACCAACCAGCGTTTCAGGCTCGGGAGTCCTGAAATTTGACGATATGCCTTGCTCTAACGACTGGAGTCGGTCTCTGGGGCGAAGCCCGCGCTCATAAGGTGCACGAGGCAACGCCTCTGGCTCTCGTAGAAATTGTGCAAGCACGAGCTCCTTATTTGTGAGGACGAATCCGAAGCGGGTGTTCAGCATACATGCATAGTGCTGTACTTGAGCAAGGTAGCCATTACGGCAGGAATCGGTTCCGTCGACAACCTTTGCAGAGCTTGAGCTTTCCTTCTGGCCCCCGACTTCCTGGCGGAGTAGTTTCGTGTCCCCGACAGCAATTATTTGACCATTTTCCTTCAGCTGCTGAAGCCGAGGGGAGCTGATATCGTCGAGTGAGTAGGTGCCTTCAATGACGATCCAATCTGGCAAGATAGTAGTCTCCTCACCACCAACTCGTTCAATATCGTGACTATCAAAGCAACCCGGTCCTACTACCACGGTAACACGTGGACGATTCGGTAGTATTGCATTTTGGAGCGCGATATTTACACGAGTAATCAACGTACTATGATATAAGTGTTCCAGTTGTCTTTCATTGAGTATGATTCGTTCGAGGTCGGGCAGCCAAGCTTGCCAGTTAGGTGTGATCTGCAGGCCAAGAATATTGCGCATCTGAGGACTTGAAATCATTCTACCAGATTTGGACTCGTCCCATGGTTTGATATTCCCCAGCACCTCGTACCGATCATCGTCGCTGGATTTTGCCCGATCTGCAACTTGATGGAAGAGCTCCTCGGCTTCTTGACCGTATCTTGATTGAAGGAAATCATCGAGTTTTGGCATATTTATAGTAATATATCTTATGTTTATGAGTAAAGACATGAAGAAAAAAAAAACCAAAAGCTTCGAGATAAGGTCAAAGAGAAAGATTCTCGGATTGCTCCTATTAATTTAGGCATCTCTGCACTTTTATTAGGCACCAACATCTCATCGTGGGGTCAACTATCGGCGCCTGAAGGCCCGATCTCCGATAAACAAACAGAGCAAACAGGACAAACAACTCCAAAGAAACAACCTTGGAAACTCTCCTTGGAACCTTCAACCACCATCCTTTACATATTCATCACATCCTTCCCTTCATCCAGAATGGAAAATTTGTCATTACAGGCAGATCAGCCATCATCCTACACAGCCAGGATGCCTCTAAAGTCACGTCCGCACCATGGTCCCAAAGATACGTCGAAGAGTCAACATAGTCACCATACAACAGCAACTGGCGCTATTACAAAGACTACAAACAAGACGAAGAAGAACTTTCTAAAAGCCAGCAGAATTGCAAGGTCGGGGAAAGATTGGAAGTGGTTACCCCGTGATGTTTGTTCTCACTCTCAACTCTCTAAGCCTAGCAACCCTTCTTAACATGGCCTCTAGTTTGCCCCTAGTGGTCTCACATCCTTCGAACACGAACATTCCGTGCTACTTAGAGTTTCTCAGATCAGTGGCTTAACGGTACAAACCCCAATAGTTGCCGAAGCAGACGCTCAGTCACATCGACTCGTACTTTGCTACCCCCGCGTTCAATGGAAACTACTATCACTGCGTGTCATGGTCTCTGCACTTGATCTTGAAACATTGCTACAACTGAAGGAGGAACTACGCTCCAACATAGAGCTGCTTTATGCCAACGGCATAGCATACTGCTTTAAGAAATCTTACCTTTTCCTCATCAAGTTGGTCTCCGGAGAATGGTTGATGTTTTTGGGTGATTGGACGACAGCTAGGCTATACACTGACCCAGATTCCAACGATAAGCTGCAGAAACTGAAAGTGGAACAGTTGAAGAAAATAGACAATCATTTTGAGGACTTGTGCGCGATTTTAACGAAAGAAAGGGGTCATCGGGATTGTCAAAACCCGATCTGGGAGCTTATAGCTCACCCTCATGATCTACATCCAAAGCTTGAATAATAAACAAGGGTGACCCTTTTTTCGTGTTTATTTTACGGCGTGAGGCAATTATACCCATATTTCCATACTGAGTCCACTGGTTGGACTATCAGTCGTCACGGTATCTGTAGGTGAATGGTTTATGTGTGTCAGGTACATACTTACAAGGTTACCTAGATGAGGCCTAGTGGGGTACCTAAAGTGGTAAACTAACCACTATATGGTTTGGATGAGAAAGAAAAATAGAAATATCCATACCTAGACTAACTGGAAATATGAACATGTCAACTGGCAATGGTACTGCGAACAGGCTATGGGCGCTAAACTGTCGGGTTTGAAAGAAAATCATTACCTCCCCCTCAAATCAAGACCATGGGCCAAGGGTTCCAACGAATCGGCTATCATGAATTGCACTGTTTGGGGTAGTGTTGGGGCCCTCGTCCAGATTGGGCAGTGCCTCAATAAGGATCTGATGTGTAGTAAGTTGAGCAGTCATCTTATGAGTCGGTGTGTATTTGATGAGTATCCAATGTTGCGACCTCGAAGCATTGAGAGGAGATGGTGGGGCAGTGAAGAATTAAAAGCAGATGAAATGTGGCTCAGAATAGAACTGAAGTCTTTGAAGTGATGAAGAAGTCGAAAGGTGAAGCTGTAGTGTTGGGAGAGGTAAAGTGCACTAGTACCTGGGGAAGGGAGAGAAGAAGGTGAGGCGTGCAGTGATATCTACAGGGAACGGGGACCTTTGGAGGTTCTAACAGCTTGAGGTAACTCAACCTTGGAAAGTACCTAGGTAACATCCAATACCTGAGTAGTAAAGGGGGTCTATATCACCTCACACCTCATCCTCTTCTCTTCTCTTCCTAGGTGCACTTCTCCATTCTTAACATATACCCTAGTACGGGGATCAAGCTGCCATGGATGAGCCAGCCCCTGAAAGCTATCAACCTTATAATTATTGACGCGAAATCCAGACAGGTAACCACCAAAATTGGGGATCCCCACCTCCTAGCGTGCATGGCATACGTTCATCGAGGCCGGAGGCTAAAGCCCGAGAGGGAAAGCATTGCGTATGGTTTTCTCATTGATTCTGTCGAAATGAGATTAACAAGAATAACAGGATTGCTCGGTGTGTACAGTTTACTCTAGATGATACCGCCACAGCAGCTTTCAACCAGAACGACTCGAGACGAATTACACTGCGCGGGGTCCTCCAAAGTAATTGCACCTTGATAATGAGCAAGTTTCCATTGGAGACGAAAATGGGTTACAGTCCCGTTTTGAGCAAGATTTTGGTCAGATCATGGGACGAGTGTTCGGCAGTGCCACTGGCAGCGATCATCAAACATATTGGCCCCGATGCAGAGAAAAAAGGATTCGCTTGATCTCAAACCTTGGAACAACCTGCTCCTGTTCACTCACAACATCGTCCAAGTTTCTCAACAGAAAAGAGTCAAAGCCAAACAGCTGCAAATTCAGGTACAGAGGGGCTGGATTTATGGGGCATTTGAGGATGAGGGAAAGGAATGGAACTTTAATTGAAGACCGGACTATGGCTTTTGGTATGGCCCGCGCGACGAAGTTGCCGTGAACCTCATTGTCGAGGCAAAACGAGTGGACTATGCAGCAACTGGTCTTTCACAAGCATTATATAGTATTCCAGGGTCCTCGGCTTTGTGGTTTACTATATGTTACGACGAGTATCCAACTTTCATCCCCCCCTGCATTCACCTGCGTCCTCTAGACATACACACATGCACACATGCAGAGTGGATCACAGGAATCGTCGTTCAGTACCATCCCAGGCTCTGATGATATGATGGATTTGGACGAATCAGCCAACTCCTGATGTCTTCTCCCGCAGCCCTGACCAAATTGATCGATGATGACTCAAAGTCTATCTTCTGCGAGTTACTTATTCAAGTTCTGATGTCGACATATATTATTATTTACTCTTGTGAAATTCATGCCAGTGCTGAGCACTGGCAGTTGAGAGTATTCAAAGGGTTTCCTTAGCCCCACTACCTACCAATAGGTATAATTATAGATTCAATCTTCACGGGTCACGGTTTCAAATATTATATCTCCAGGGCTCTCGTCGAGATGTACAGCTATATCACTGGCCGTATGGATTAAGTTCCACGGGTCGCAACCCTTGAATGCACTAGGAGCGTCACGGTACTACTAGTACTACATAAAGTTGAGCCTTCGAATACCGTGGAACTTATTACATGACTATGCATTGCGACGGATGGCATGCGGTCAGTGTTCTTCATTCAAATTTTGGACTTCGGAGTCCATAACTTGAAGCGGGCTACCCGTTCACATGAGCGGACTTCAAGTCATGATGTTACATAAATATGTATACAAGTCAAGGGAACGCAGAAACGTCCACATGTTCAAGTTGCCTCATGGTGCAAATGGTAAGGTGATATTCTCAAACTTGAAGTATTCAATGTTTGAACCTTGGTGCTGGGATTGAAGTCAGAATATTTGAAGATGCACATGTGGTGTGTGTGCTAACTTAAAGAACCACTGGTCCACTAGACGTATTCCAATTGTTTACAGGACTCAAGGTTCAAGCTTTCAAATGTTAATATTTCAGATTGATAGGATGGTAATGATTTTTCTACCTTCAATGTTTGAGAGCTGAGTTTGAAGTTGATCTGATATCAAGAATGATTTACTGTGGAATTCAAGGTCCACTCAAGTGTTTGAGAATTATCTGTAAGATGGCTCAATGATATAAATGATTGATTTTTCAGATGTTCGATATCAAAAAGATCATCCGACCAAAAAGATAAATTTAAGTTGGAATGAAATGTTTATCTGATTAGTATGTGATTTCGATGATATTCAATGTTTATTGTTGTATCGTGGGTAAGATTTGGTCCGTGGGGGACGCGCGTGCAAGCATCTGAGACATGATGTGCCAGTGGCATCGCAGAAACAACTTGAATTTCGCCTCTAAATTTTCATAAATGAATACCTATCAGACAAGTCTCCTTGATCACAATCACTGGTCACTTTTTTCATGTCAAGTCATGGGAAGTTCCAAGCACTTGAGGTTGTAACTTATTGATGCAGGTTGGAGCAAGCTCCACATCCCTTGGCACTAACGTTGGTGCCTCACGAGTCACAAGAGTCCAGAACATTTGAACAGCTATGACGGATTTCTCCAGTTTAACCCGTGGACTCATCCAATCTCTTTATCATCACTTGAATATAATTTCTGTCATCACCACCTTCAATTATTTCCTTAATTTTTCCGCGTGCTCTAGCCACTTCAAGGCTTGTCGACATCCAAGTGACGTTGTTTACACCCGTGGACGCCCGCGACACATTCCTAGCAGTGGGGATTGTGACCTCGCAGCAACCCCAGGTGCCGTTGTTGTCATTTAAAAACGCCCTACATTCCTGAGAAGCACGTTACGCACGCAAATCCCCGTGTGAAAGCTAGTTTCTTCCTCAAAATCCTTGTACGCTTGACTGAGTTCCATGAAGATCTGCAAAGCCGGAATTCTTCCTGCAGACCACTCACAACAATCCCCTAGGTCAAGCCCCGGAATTCCATGGGATTTATAGGACATGTAAGTAGCTGAGCCTCCATGTTTCGGATTCTTTCTCCCCTCGTTTATGTCCTCGACTTGCTCCTCGACCTTGAGCAGACGCCACCAACTGCCAACTGGAATTGGCATCCCAGAGAACGAATTTGGATTACAAACCAGAGTAGCCAATACACTCTTACCTATTTTCAATCGTTCTATTGGGTGTTGGGTCGAAAATATGGCATTCAATTCAGCATGGAAGGCTACAGCCTTGCTAACCTGGTTACTTGCGACAGATACTGTAAATTGTTTGCCAAATCCAGTCATTGGGAGTGTGGCAGAGAAGGTTCTTCAACAAACAGCTACAAGACCCACGGTAGCGTTTGAAACCCAGTATCCTCCAAATAATTCAGAGGATAGAATACTCATCCCTGAAGCATCGCCAGTAAGACTTTACCTGAGAAACTCCTCGTCTTTAATAAAAAAAACCAAAAGAAGATGCATGTATTGACAATGCGAATATTAGGTGTATCGTGTTGCATTGGAGAACGAGGGTCATCCATCGCAGTTTCCCTTTCCAGGACCTGACCTAGGTCGTTTCCTTAAAGGTGTAAATGGTTTGTTGGATGAAGCCGAACCCACTCAACATCCTCAACATCCTCATCACACTCAACATCCTCAATTGGTTTCAACTGCCCAGAGTGTACCTTCAGTAACAGAATCTATCCCAACAGAAGCACCGCAAACTGCGCCTGTATCTAACGGAGGTGTGTTATGATTCGAGGGATCATATGGTCGTGTGAGGAATGCATACTAACAGTTCACAGACCAAGCCCCAACTGGCGCTTCAGCTATGAACAACCAAGATATTTTCCTGCCAGTGGCGACGGAGGCTCCTCCAGCCAACATCAAGCGTCGTCATGATCATCCGGTGATGAACAAGAATGTAAGAATGATAGCCATGTGAACAAGAAGAGAGGATTGTACTAATTATTCTGAATAGGCCAACTCATCTGCCCCCATCGAAACAAACAAATTCTATGCAGGGTTGTTCTTGGGATCGCAGACCAATGCTAGCTTTACTCAGCCATACTCTTTGGCATGGTCCAGAGGAGGCGGAACTCTGAAGAGTTGGGGTGTGTCAGTTTCTCATGTTGAGACCAACGTACTGGCCTTTGGTCCCAAGAACAAGAAGATCCCCGGTGATCCTATTGAGTATTACATCAACCCGGTCGGACTTCAGCATGTCATTCTCTCCGCAGCCGAGCTGGATGAATCTAGTGTTCTGACTGTTGAAGAACCCAAGGCCTTTTCTGCGCATGCTGTTCTGAAGCGGTCAGCCGGGTCAGAACAGTCAATCACCTTCCCAATTGTCCAAGGTATGGGCTACTTGACTGGTGTATACAATGACCTGCAGCCATTGATTGAGAGTGGTGTGTTCATCCGCAAAGTCGTCAGCGCCGGTTCCCCCAAGCCGGGTATCTTCAAGTATCAAGTTTTGCTGGAAGACGACACTCAGTGGGTTTTGTATGCCACTCCGACCGATGGTCAGGATCCTAAGCTCAAGCTAGCCTCCAACTCTAGCCTTCGTGGTCAAGCTGGGTTTTCAGGTACCATCCAGGTTGCTAAGAACCCTGCCGGCAAGTCCGGCGAGAAGTTCTATGATAACTCTGCTGGAGTTTACCCTGTTGCAGGCCATGTCACTGGCTCTGTCACGGGAGACGTTGGTACATACAATCTTTCCTGGACCAAGGCTGGCAAGCAGGCTCAAGATAGTCCCCTCATCATGTTTGCACTGCCACATCACGTTCAGTCCTTCGATCGCACCACGGTCGGCCGAGTGACCGATATTCACTTGCGGACCACCACGAAGGGCAATGCAACTGCAGTCATTGGTGAGACCTGGACTATGACCGAGGCCAACCTACCAATTGATATGGGATTCGCCCCCTGGTCTCCTGTCCATGGAAGTGTCAATGCGCTTTCCACGACCGCTCAGCGTGCGATCCTCAAAGTAGCACCCACAGAGCTCACCCAAGATATTGATGCCCAAAGTGACCTAAACAGCATGTACTACAGCGGGAAAGCTTTGAGCAAGTTTGCCACGCTTATCTATACTGTCACGCAGCTTGGGAACAACGTCGACATCGCCACTGAAGCGTTCCAGAACTTGACTAGAAGCTTTGATCGCTTTGTACAGAACGAGCAACAATTCCCACTCACATATGACACCGTTTGGAAGGGTGCAGTATCTACTGCTGGGTACGCTGGCGACCTGAATGCCGACTTTGGAAACACTGCCTACAACGATCACCATTTCCACTACGGATACTTCATTCAAGCTGCCGCAATTATTGGAGCCCTTGATCCCAGCTGGCTGGCCAAGAACAAGGACTGGGTCAATATGCTGGTGCGTGATGCTGGTAACTCGGTGGAGGATGACCAGTACTTCCCATTCTCGCGTGGCTTTGACTGGTTCAATGGCCATTCCTGGGCGAAGGGTTTGTTTGAGTCTTTTGATGGCAAAGATCAGGAATCTACATCTGAGGATACCATGTTTGCATATGCTGTGAAGATGTGGGGTCGTACGACTGGCGATGCTAGCATGGAGGCTCGTGGCAACATGATGCTGGGCATTCTACGTCGCTCTCTTGATAATTACTTCCTAATGCAAGATAACAACACCAACCAGCCGGCTGAGTTTATTGCAAACAGAGTGACTGGAATTGTGAGTTTTCCCGTATCCACCTCTGGGCTGCACAGAGTACTAACTTTCTTACAGCTTTTCGAAAACAAGGTCGACCACACTACCTATTTTGGTAACAGCCTTGAATTCATCCAAGGGTAAGTAGTAATTCTTTATACCCATTTCTGAGTGTATGGTTAACATGAAGTCTCAGAATTCACATGTTGCCTCTTCTTCCCAACTCTGGCTACACTCGTCAACCTAGCTTTGTGGCACAAGAATGGTCGTCCATGTTCGCCGCTAATGCTTCTACCCCTGCTTCAAAGGTGGAAGGGGGCTGGAAAGGTGTTCTCTATGCAAATCTTGCTCTGATTGATCCCCAGGCTGCATGGGAATTCTTCACGCAGGATGATTTTGATTACAGCTGGATTGATGGAGGTGCATCTCGAACTTGGTACCTCGCTTTTGCCGCAGGTCAGTCTCTTCCCCATCAAGCTGAAAGGCCATTTTACTAATATTATGCAGGTCTCGGCGGCGGGTCTTGAAGCTTCAGAACTTAGATCAACTGTTTATGTTCTAGGTGTAATGCTTCTTTTCTTGACTATGCTTAGCTTTAACTATTTGCTTTGATGATGAATGTTACCCTGGTCTATTTCAATCATTCATGTATATACTTGCTTTGTTGGAGTCTGTCTTTACCTGCTTATCTATCAAGTGAGACTATTTAATATCATCTTGAAGAATGTTAAATGTCAATGAGAAAGTGTCGGTTTGTATCAGTATCGTAGTGTCGTCAAACTTCCAACACCCGTCTACTTACAGAAGTGGAAAATTCGGCCACATGAAGTCATGATCAAGCTAATCATCTATCCCTTTTCGCTTGAATCTCTGCTATCTCATCATATGGCTTTACTGCCCAGGTGCATCGTTGCAGTATAATAACTACACTGCATAGTACTGAATAGTGGATCTTCTCCACCAATCAAGGATAAATGTCGCCACATAGTGAACCGAAAAGATGAATAAGATCAATTCTGACTTGAAAAAGCTCAAAGACCACGACCTTCCCCCTGCAGTTGTTGTGTTATAATATTGTAGGGGGAGTATCAGTGGATTGTTGTTACCCCCTCCCCCTTCTGCTATGACAGCTACCAGGCGCAATCAACCCGAGAAACTCGCGACGCGACCAGATCAACTGCGCGCCCCAATCTCCGCAACAAAGATCCTCAAACCAGGCGCAACCAAGTCAAATACTTCCCAAGTCAACCCAAAACCGAAGCGACGACGTGGAAGACCCTTTAAGATGCCTCAAAAATCCCTTTTCACGGTTCAACCGGTCGATGCGACTCGCGACAATGTCACCCCTCTCTCACCTCCGCCCCGCCGCCTATCGATCCTCGAAGCCCTGCCCGTCGAAGTCATTGAACAGATATTCCTGTACTCCTTGAACATCAATTTCGCTCGCGCCTCTCCGGTTCTTGCTGCAGCAATCTCTAGTGAACGAATCTATCGTCTCCTCATCCTTCTCGCCTTTTGGGATGACCCCGGAGAGCACCCCGTCAGCGCCGAGATTAAACGCATTCTCTCTCCGGTCGACTATGACTACATAGGACGACTGCCCCGGGGGAGGCGCTCGCTTTTACAAGCCCAGCTCTTCTCCTGCAGATGGTGTACGATGGAGCGTTTACTGAAGCAAGTCCCGACACTCATGGTCCTTACCATCCATCGCAAATGGCTCGACACGGGAATTACAATGGAACCAAATGAGCTGAAAGCTTTGCAACGGTTCATGAAGCGCGAGGATGACTCAACACTTGTTTTCAATGCCAAAGGTCCTCTCATCTTCCAATTCGCACAATTGTTGGGTCCCTACGCACATCTTCGTCATCTGGATAAAAATCCCTACCATGTCTATAAGCTACGCATCACGCCTATGACTCAGGTAGAGATTATTTCCGTCAGATCGAAGATCGTGACTTCCACTCCTGCTCTAGATCTGTGTGCTTTCCCGGAGAAATTACTTCGTGGTCGCAAGTCAGGATTCACACCCCAGGATGTCGCTTTCCTCGAAATGTTGCGTATGACTTCCGATAACTACAAGCACATCGAGTCCCCAGTCGTTCCATGCACGGACACCATAGTGAATCGCACGGCTTTACATGATGGTGTTCGTAATGCGATCGAAACTCAAAACTTCAACGCTCTCATCTCCCTCCTCAAGATCGACGAGTTTCTCTTTCGCTTCAAGGCATCTAATCAAGGTGAACCGGTCTACTACACCTTCCCCTCGGAACATTTCGTGCAGGTCACACGGGTCGGAAGAGAGAAAAATCATCTCAATGTCGCTTTCTTCGAAGCTCTGCTTCGTGCGAGTGCTGAGTCTTTACCTCCTACAGCGCAGGAACTGGTACAATGGTCTGTTGATAATGTGAGACTTGCGGAAGAGAATCCGTCTGTTTACAACGAGATCAATTCGAAGTTCGCGTACTGGTTGTCGAATTTCATGTTACGTCTTCCGGCTCAGATTGATTATGCATGGGATGAACCCACTGGTCAACTGTTTACACTTGGTCAGTTGGATTTGCATGATCTGGAAGGTTGTCGATTCATGGATGAGGTTTTACAACCTAATCGAGAACCGTTTGGGAACTGGACAGCTGAGTCGACCTTTCGGTTGGAGGATCTTTGGGTGAAGAAGCCTGATTCTTCATAGAACATAGAATCACTAGACCTGATCGATTGTATGAGTCTTATGACGAACATTTACTTGTTTGATCTCGGTGGTGTATTTGATTTCTTGTATTGCGACCCTTTCCTTTCCTGCAGAATACCCTACATCCTTTGTCTGACATATTAAGAGATATCTACCTGTACATTATGATACAATACTGAACGAAAAATGTAAATTATTTTCCTGTCCATGATCCCTATGAATTTGACCCCTAGGAGATGCATATGCACATGTAAAACGACCCACCATGGCACGTACTAATCTTTGGTGATTAGAGGGTTGAAGTCACTACTGCAGCCTCAGCCGCAAAGCGCGTATCTATTGGGCATCGAGTTTCGGCTCGTTTCTTTTTCTAGGTAGACATACAAAAAAGTATGAGAGTTACATAAGAGACATCGATGCACTTCTGCGGAGAAATACCTAACCACAAGTCTATACGTCTATCATGGACTTGATCCCACTTTGCTGACCAAATCTAACATTTGAACATTGGAAGAATCATGTCTTCAACCCAACACACAACAACTCCGGTCGAGATAGCAAAAACATAGTTTTTTATGCTGCAAAAACTGGGAAAGTTGACAAGCTCGAAAATCTTCTAAAGGAGCACCCAGATTGATTGGAAATTCGAAACGCGGCCGGTGAGACTGCTCTTCTCGTTGCAGCCGAAGACAACAAGCCTGCGATCGTGGAATTTCTTTGCACTGAAGGTGCCAATATCGAAGCGCATGATTCTTGGAAATTCACGCCATTACAAAATGCGGCCTATACTGGAGCAACCTCTATTGTTCGGTATCTACAGGATCGTGGTGCAAAGTTGACAATTACGAATGCATGGAGCAGAAATGCATTGCACTTTGCTTGTTCAGAGAAGCGTGTCGAAATTGTGAAGATCATACTGGACCACACTCCGGCCGATCGCTTCAAAATGGCTATTTTGGCCGAGGATGCTCTCGGAGATACTCTTGTATGTGATACCATTACCGGGGATTGTACGGACATCGTGTTTGAACTACTCGGCTCGAACACCTACTTTCCTCGGATTCCTCAAGAATTACAAGGAGCTGTCTCTTCTGAGCGCGAAAAGGGCCTTCTTTCACAGTGGTCTTCACGCTGGATTGATTCGGTGACCTAATCACGCGCGAATCTATCTGACAACATCAAGCAGAATATCCGATCAATCATATACTGGGCTCTGATCCATAACAATGCAGAGCTTGCAAAGCTTGCTGTGCGTGCGGGGGATAACCCCAAATTGGATCACAAAGGGGATCGACAATATGCAACATGGTTGCATGTAATTGCAGGTCTAGGCAATGAACACTTGCTGGAGACAGATCCGAGTTGGAGGAGCGATGTTCTGTCAAAAAAAACAGATCAAATCATGCCATTGCATGTGGCAGCCAAGATGGGTCATTATGGAATGACATGGAAACTTATAGATACTCTTGAGCGTTCACCACCTTCAAATGATGCCCCGCGAAGCTCTGGTGTTGATAAGGTACTGCAGGCTCTGATTCAGGTGACCAACAAGGGGGAGGATATGATTTCACTAGCTTCGGCCAGAAAGGGAGAATCAGGCCTCAAGTTGAAAGAGTCACTTGTCTCAAAATTGATGAAAGTCACGGAGCCAAACAGCGACACCGATCTTGTGATCAACTTTGCGGCTAGAAGGTACGCTGCGGGTGAAAGAGAATATTCAAGAAGGCTTCTGAATCGTCTCAAACGAGTTCCTTCTCGGCGAGGAGAGTCGAAAGGGGAGATTGAACAGAACCCCTTGGAACTGGCTGTCTACAACAAATTCCCCGATACGGTCTCATATCTTCTTGCCAGTGGCCTGTATCTTGACCCAAGGCACACAAAAAAGTGCAAAGATGTCATGCGGTTTTGGGACAATGATCTCTGCGAGGAAGAGCAAAAGAAGGCCGATCTGATCAAAGAGCTACTGAAGAGCCCACCGCAGGTTGAAAAATGCCTGAGACGCAAGATGAGCACTGATGAATCATTTTCAGAGCTTTCAAATTCTCTTTCCAACCCAATCAATGGAGTTGTTGTTGATATCTCGGCTTCAAAAGACCAAGTCACCTACAAGGTGAAGCAAAGCACTATGGTGGAGATAATCTATCGCAAGGGGCCTGACAATGTGTTCAGCCATGGCCAGAACGGTAAGTGATCTAAATCATACAAGTATCGTTTGAATAACTAGGTACCATTATGGGATCTTTACTAACATTTGTTAGAAGTGACCGCTGGAAGTGCCAGTGAGAGATATACCGGAACCCTAGGCTACAACTTGAGGGGAAAGCCGAAGGAGCTCTGGTGGACCAGCAACCTGGGGATGAAAGCTTCAGCTTGCTCTGATGCAAGGTATCGGTGGATACATATCCTCACGAATGATGTATGAAAAATTCCAACTTGAATAGTTTGATGAGCTGTTGTTGGCAGATCCTACTAGGAAACTTTCACTGACTTCCAATGTCCTAGCTACGCTATGTTGAGGTTATTTTGACTTTATCTCTAGATGGTGTATCAATAATGACTGATGGCTGACAGGAGCTTATGTTTCGAATAGTGGAAGACAAAGGGCAAGATGGGGCCGCATATCGTGAGCTGGTTAGGAAGAGCTGGACGAAGATTGCCTCTGCAGGACCAGACTCACATCTGGAGACAAAGCCTCATTTCCAGATCGAGGAGAAAGCCGGGAGTGATACGCAACTCCCTAGAATGACCTCTATCTATGTGTGTCTGGCTCTGAGCTTCTTCGTGATTTCTTTTACTAACATCCCTTCATAGATGCCATATCTGGCGTGGAGATGGGTAAGTAAAAAATAACAAAAATATCAGTCAGATCACAAAATTCGACGATCCTATTCCCCTAACATTGAAGTACTTGAAAAAAACAAACAGAAGGAAGATTCAATATACTCTGCTGAAAGCATGAGTCATCCGTCTCTTGATTATCGACGACTGCATGACGGTGTTATTGCCATCCAGCGCAACGATCAACTCCCTAAAGACCTCGACGCCGCGACCTTGGATGATCCAAGGCATGAAAAAATCATCCATACATTGAGTCCATACGTCGACAAGACTGTAGGGGGAAGTTTCATTCATCAGGTTCCTGTCGTTAATCAACTGCGGTTGTGGATCATTGACGGCGGTATGTCATGATGATTGTTCACTATTGTACTACTATTGATACTGCCTGGGCATCTTTGACAATTTATCATTCCAGACACAATAATCACTTGCACATCCACAGCTTCAGATAATGACGACAAGTGTTTCCAATTTGATTTGTCCCATCCTTGACAAACTGCTAATGAACAATGCTTTGCCATTATCCAGCAGTAGAAGCAGATCTCATCAAGGATATGGCAACAAATTTATTCGACATAGATCCTGACTCAAGCAGGAATTCTACCGTTCATGGCACCTTAGTCCTTGGGAGACTTCAAAAAATGATAGAAAACATGGTTGGTGTCCAATACCTACCCCCGAAGTCTTGTCTATTATACTGATCACCAATTAAAAAACCGTGAAGCATCAAGAATATGCTCAATTGACCACTCACTTTCTTGAATCACTACCAGCAAGCAGAGCCACTTGAGAATATGCAGCTAAACGACTTGCGATTAAGGAAAAAGCAGTTCTTGGAGATAGTCGCCGCCCAGGCCATCAAGTCGCGACAAAACAATCTCGCCGATGTCTCACATCTCCGATTCACCTTTCCTCCCGCAAAAAACGCCCGGCCGAAGCGCTTGAGGAAATGGGGGAGCAAATTATTTGACATCATGCGCTTTCTACCAAGGTCAATGGGATCAGGTATACCAGTCAGCTGGAGCATCCTGTCCCTTGCAGTGCTTGAACGGCGTAATTCAAGGCGAATAGATTTCAAAAGCTTTGTCAACGCCCTAGGACTTGATGGGGGAGAGCAATGGAAAGCGTTGAACAAGACAGAGTCAAAGAAACTGCGTCGCTGGATGAAGCAGATATGCACGGAATGGAATCATTCGCTTTCAGAAAATCCCTACCAAAATATTTCAAATGAGACAACTCTGATGCATCAAGTGGAGAAAGCTGTGGATGAGCTCAAGATCTTACGTGACATCTTCTGTGACCAAAAGTATGTGGATGATCTCTGGAGAGGTGATGGGAAAGGAATACTCTGGAGTCGATCTATCACCATTACCGAGAGGTTGGAAACTAGTGAGACCTTGATTCAACAGGCCAAGTCCCTGCAAACCATCTTACAGGGGCTACTTGATCTTAAGCAGAAGCAAGCTTCCATCATTGAAGCACAATTCGCTCATAGACAAAGTGATACAGTGATGGTTTTTACTGTAGTTACAATCATATTTGTGAGTATCATTAATGATCATATCCATACAGCACAACCTTGGAATACTTAATATTCAATTTGATAGCTACCTGCTTCATTTCTGGGCAGCCTGTTTGCATTGAACGTGGATAAATTCCCTCACGAAGATGGGAATTTGGAATTTGGCCTACCGCGCGAAGTGGATTTTCCCTATAATATGTGAGCATTGGGCAAGTTCCAAGTTTCATACAAACGATTTTTGAAAAGTAATCAGAATCCTCCTTGCTCTAGTTGGCGTGTCCTTTGGGATATCTGGACTGTTTATTGCCCTGGCTTTTAGTGCGAACATCTTGAGACAAGTCTACCGCTCAAACAAAGCCCATCCTGGCAAATGGCATTTGTGGGAAATTATTGATACGATGCGAGAAGAGATGGATCCCATTGAGTTCCGAGAAAAATTAGATGAACTTGAAATAAAAATCCCTGTGATAGGTTTCCCACTTTCCAATGCTGCCGAGATCTGGAGTATACTAGTATGGCTACCCGTTTCAAGGACGGACTCCAGGGCTAGGAATTCTCATATCGATGACAGGAATATAAAGTAAAGCTTGAAGTAAGACGAGAGTGTGTGTGTTATGTGTGTTTTTGTTGTTTCTAGTAAGTGTGTGAGAGAAGAGGTGGGAACCGCACAGTAAGTATTCACATTAGAGAAGTATAAGATCTACTGAGACATTATAGTACAAGGCTTGGTGGCCAGAAAGGTATCGTTCTCACATATTCCTCAACAGTCGTGTGATACCAGCGATTCGTCCACCGATCGTCAATTGGTATCCTGTCTCGACAACACCCTTACACATTTCCCAAGCAGCAGGACCATCCTGACGTCCTGCACTACCCTCCTGCTTTTGAATCGGGTAATCCACACGGGGAGGGATGGCTGTACCAATCAAGGTAGGGAACCTATCAACGCAAATTGCCTTGGTGTTGCATAAACCACGCAGGCCCTCCTCACCGGCGAACCGACCATATCCAGATCCCTTGACACCACCAAACGGCAGCTGAACAGCGTAGTATGCACCAAAATCGTTGACAGAGACCATACCGGCCTCGATACCGGAAACACAAGCTTGGACTTGAGCGGAGTTGTGGCCGAAGACACTGGAGCCAAGAGCATACGGTGTGGAATTGGCAATGGCAATAGCATCGGGGACGGACTCGGCGCGCATTACGAGGAAGATGGGCGCGAAGACCTCTTCCTGTGCAATTCGCATATCCCGGGTAACATCGACGAGGAGCGTAGGCGTGAAGTAGTGACCCTGGGGATGGTCTGGATGTGCGTAGCGTGTACCACCTGCTAACAGGCGGGCACCTTCTTCAACGGCTTCTTGGATTAATATCTCAAGAGTCTGGAAACAGCCTGGTGAGATCATTGCGCCCATATCGGGTGTTGTGCCTTCGGAATCCGCGGTCGGGGAATCGAGTAGAACGGAACCGACGCGCATGCGCTGGATTCGGGGAGTAACGAGATCAATTAATTTGTCGTAAGAACCAGGGAGAGCGATAATACGCTCTGCACCAACGCAGTTCTGGCCGGCGGATTGGAAAACGCCGCGCATAAGGATCGAGGCCACACTGGAGAGGTTCCGCAGGGTACGCGAGTCATCGAGGACAACCGCTGGGTCTTTACCACCGAGCTCAACACAAACAGGGATCAGAGCCTTGGCTGCGGATTCGCAGACCTTGAATGCGACAGGACGCGAGCCGATAAACGTCAAGTGGGAGATATCCGGGTGGGAGGTGAGTTTATCGGCGACGGCAGGGAGACACACGATCGTTTGAACCAGGTCGCGAGAGTGGCCACAGCTGGAAAGGGCGCCACGCACAATTTCGAGGAAGAATGCTGTTGACCAGGCGGTTTGCTCGGAGGGCTTAACGACGATGGCGTTACCAGTGAATAGGGCGGAGATAACTGGGCCGATGAAGTTGTGGAATGGGTAGTTCCAGGAGACACAAGCAGAAACCACACCCAATGGCTCATAGGTAACCACGTTCTTCTTGTACATCATGAGGAAATTGGTCGGGCGGCGCGAGGGCTGTAGGGCTTTCTCGCCATGGTCGATGGTCCATTTGAGCTTCTCTGCTGTGACGAGGATCTCGCCGAAGCAGGCGTCCACCTTGGTCTTGCCGGAGTCCAAACAGCATGCGGTCACAATATCATCCTGGTGCTCGAGTACGTATTTCAATAGAGTCCGGAGTAGCTTTCTGCGCTCAGCGAATGTTGTCTTCGAGAATTCACGCTGCGCGGCTTTGGCAGCCCGTACAGCTTCGTTGACATCGTCGATGGTCGCAGGGCGAATTCCATTTCCAAGCACTCGACCGTCGGCGGGACAGTAGCTCATGATCAATTCGGGGTTCCATTTCTATAGAGACAAAGAAATTAGTTAGCTTCTTTCTACTGAGTCTCTCCCCTCATCGTGGTTCTAACTTACCCCCCGAGCTTGATCCTCCAGGACCTGTTTCTGCAATCCCTTCACTTCCTCCCACTTCTTTCCTGTGTTGCTCTTGCGCACTTCAGGGGGAACTGGAACATTGAATGCGACAGCGGCTTCCTTCTGGCATTGGAAGTAGAGGTACCCCACGTAGACGGCGACTAGGGAGGCCAACGCGACTCCGATCACGGGCGCGTGTTCCTCATAGAGAGGGATGTAGGGTTCCAAGACCTCACGAAGAGGTAGTGGAAGGCGCGAGAGTATGCAAGCCATGGGGATGGATGGAATTGGCGTGACCCCTGGCGTTGATGGTAGAATCTAAGATCGAAGTGAAGTTCTAATGTTTTGCGGCTTAATCCTCGTCACGCCACACGGACCAAGTTTGGTGAGTGGAGACTATTACTATGAAGTATACAGAGTATAAAGAAACATTGAAGGATATACTATTTTAATTGTTTTTTTTTGTTATTATAATCAATTGCTTGGTGTATAAATAATCAGTAACTCAGATATATAGGTAAATATGAGATAGATAGTTCTTTGTTATTATGATAATATGAGACACAGTGTTCGATTTAACATAGGAAAATAGATGAAAATAGATTCTTGATTCTATTCTTGGTTCTTGAATACAAACTCATCAATAGTCATTATTTGAGTAGTTTAAGGATATCACCCTGGATAGTTTGTAGTGGTATCCAAATACTACTAGTATCTCCTCAACGGCGACCCTGTACGCAGCTGAGTTGTGATTGAACGAATTCCTTCATCTTTCGAAAGCATCTCTTCAGTTTCGATTCTCCTACTCTTAATGGTGGGAAGCTAAAGTAAACATCGGTATCTCGACTCGGATCCTCATTATTCGTTACATTGCTCACCAAAGACGCACGAGCTGATCGAACAGCTGCCAGTTGACGTGGCGATTTAGTTTCAGACTTTGAATCTACCTCGGTGGGTGGATGAGAAGTGGAATTAGAAGGAGACGCATCCAAAACAGGGGATGAAGTCAAAATGAGAGAAGTCTCAGAAACATGTACAGGGGTAGGTGAAGTAGCAGGCGAAGGAACGGGCTTTCTCTTAATAACAGCAGTATTATCAATAACAGTCGGTTCTGGGGTAATAGTCTCACATTGGCGCAGAGTGGATGGTCGATATGTCCTCGTACGATCGCGTCGTCGGATGATTCCAGTAGGATAAGCAATCTCCTCATCACGAATTTGCTGGACTTCTCCTCGAGAGCGAATATGCTTATTACTAACAAAGCCATTACCAATAATCGAATTTGGGGCCAGATATGTGCTGATTTCACCGATATCCACTGTGTTTTGGTTTGCTGGTTCTTCGCTATCAAACATCCATTCGCCGTGGGATGTGTAGTGCTTAAAGCAATGATCAGCTGCAGCATGTTGTAGTGCAGAACCGCGCAGGATCAGCAGTGATGGGTCAATTTCTTCGTCGAGGCAAACAATCACAGGGTCCAAGTATCGGTAAGCACGTCGTAGAATCGATTGTACCAGATAGTTCTGTGTTGCTTCGGGGACTTTGGGTTTAGCAAGCATTATGGCGAGTGACTCCTCGGGCAAGGTGGTGCTGCGATGGGGGACGCCCTCACCTAGCCAATTAAAGTGATGAACACCTGGGTATTGCAGCATATAGCCTGCACGCCAGGCAAACTCATAGACGACCTGAGTTGCAAGAGATTCCAGATCCTGATTAGTTGGCTCGCGGTTGATTTCTTGGATGGGGGAAACACAAAATAGTTTCGTACCAGCATCAGCGTGTGTATCAGACATGATTTCATCTTCGTAAATGGTTTCCAGTGTAGTGATTGTATCTTTTTCCCTCCATACGCGTTTAGGGCTGTCAGAGGGTGTAGATGGTTCGACTTGGGTGATAATATCAATATCGTCAGTGTCGTCAGTTAGATACTCCCACAAGGGGCTGGAAGGACGTGTAATGGGCGACACCGTTTCTTGAGGAGATTCTTCACCTTCCACGTCGTCAGCCCAGTCAAACTGGTCGCAATTCCAGAAGTCGCTGCTTGAGGGGTCGAGTTTTGGAGACATGATGAGAGCTATGGCATTAGCTTGATGCTTGATGTTGTTGACAATGTCTTGAAAAATGTCCAGAGGTTGTATGTTTTATGGTCCAGTGTTCTGAGATTGAGTAAATAATAACAATGCCGGAATTCTCCTGTTATCTCAAGGTCAACACTGCCTGTGGATGAGCTTCGCCTTTTATCTACAGCAATGCTGTTTGTATGTTCTTTGTTCATTTAAGTCCTAAAAGAGTAGGGTGATTCTCATTGTTTGTATTGTCTTTGAATAAAATATAGATGATAAAATAGAGTATCATTGTTAGTATTATCATATCCATCTTTGTACACCGAAAAAAGCAATCATTGTTGAGGACGAAGTTCATTGACCGACTATAATTATAGTGATGGAGTCTCCAGATAACTCCTTTATGATCATTTAAATGTTCAAAATAACATGTTACATAATGTATTTTTGTAAATCCTTTTAATCTATTTAACTAATTTATGCTTTGTTTCTGTTATTTTGAACATTTGAACAAACAGTATTGTGGCTTTTTAACAGTATCAGTATCGGCTCCGCGGTTTGAGAATCCACCATTACCACCCACCCATGATCCACTTGCAAATTTCAAAAATTCCCAACTGAGCGACATTTCCGGCGTTGATGGACGCCACCATGGGTTTCAGACTCAATCTGTTTAGCCTTGACTTGAATTCTCCACTAGACCCTGCTTAGCGAGTACGCCGCTACGGCAGCTAGTCACTTAGTTGACCAATCATCATTATATTATGCAAATAGTCGGTGCAACGGGACGGGGCGAACAAGAAAGAGAAAAAAAAAGAGAGAAGAATGCATTTCCCAGGTTCAGCTTTTGTCAATCATGTCGCACAATGCATTTTGTGCACCTGGGCAAAGGTACCATACTACCTCGACCTTGAAAGGTGCAAAAATTTGCCATGATTCTGCATGCATACCTGCATAGAGTGTGCATATGACCAGCCTCTCGCATGACCTCTCATCCCTGGATGGCAATCTCAACTTGGATCCCCGCGTTTTTTCGGACTTCACCTACGAAAGATTTAGACCGGACCTGTGGATATTATCTGAAACACCGGGACTGTATGGTTTGCCGATCGATCTAACTATCTTGAAGGGATATCCACGCAAAAAAACGGAACCTTGGACCTCCATACTCCATACATGGAAGCGAAGGGGCCCGCATGAACTAGTTGACTCTCATTTCCACCATAGCGACCACACTATACACTGGTCTTGCCCCCCCTATCTGGGTCCTTTTGGGTCCTTTTCCCGCTCTAGGTTATTACACTAAGAGAGTTTTTTAGTAGATCTTTGTCCAATGTGAGTTTTTTTAATCTTATTCTTCTTGGATTCTACATTAGTAGCAAGGCTAAGAAGTCTAGAGTGTACCTAGGGGACGTAGTATCAACCATAGAGTGCTGAGAATAAGCCGGTGCCACCCGGGTGGAGTAACAAAGTACCCATCAATATAGATTTATAAGTATTGACCCCGAAGGTCCCGTGAGCTTAAGCAGAGCTGATGCAAATTTTCATTTAGTCCCTCGTTTTCGCATTGTTCTCTTCTTTTTTTCCTTCTTTATTCTTTCTTTTCCCCGGATTGAGTGGTGAGTTCTTCCCCATGTTGAACTTAATTGGTTTATTGACTGAGCTAATGAAACATTATAGAATTTTAGTTCAAGATGTCTGCCGAGAAAGTTGAGATGGATACTCCTAAGGAGACCACTGCCCCTGCGAAGTCTGGTGGAATTGCTGGACATTTCAAGAAGTGGTGGTGGGCCTACTTGGTTGTCTTGGTTGTTATCATCCTTGTGGTTGTATTGCCAGTGTGAGTAAACCACCCGATATTGCCATATATTGCCATGGTGATGCACCTTGAACAGCTTCTCATTGATCAATAGTGTCTATGTCGCATACCCTAAGATCGCTCAAAAGGATATCAACAAGTCCTCCCTCGAGGTCACTAGCATGGTGATCAGCCAGCCTACCGCCGATACTTTCTACCTTAACCAGACCCAAACAATCATCAACCACGCCTCATACCACCCTAAGCTCTATGCCTTTGAAGCTGCTGTGTCTATGCTGGGTCTTACTTCCACCGTTGCTAAGGTTCTCGTCCCTACTTCCCACGCCAACAATGGCGCTGAAGTTCACATCGCCCAAACCGTCAACATCACCGACTCCACCGAGTTTGATCTCTTTGCCGCCTACCTTCTGGGCACTGAGGAATTCCCCTTGAACATCTATGGCAAGCCTCATCTCAAGGAGGGTAGCATGCCCAAGATCTCTGTTACCTACAACAAGACCGTTGTCATGAAGGGTAAATCAAAATCTCTAAATTCTTCTGTCCAGATCAAAGTATTGACTTATTTTTGCAGGTCTGAACCAGCTTGAGGGTTTCGAGGTCACTGACTTCGCCATCTTGACTACCGAGCAGGATGGAAAGAACATGAACGGCACTCTCCTTATCCCTAACCCCTCCGTGGTTACCCTCCACATGGTATGTACAAAGAACTACAATTGGGAAAGTGCCATTACTGATTTTTTTTTTTTTGCAGGGCAATGTGACTCTCAACCTTGGTGTTGAAGGTGATGCCTTGGGCTACATCTACCTCGAGGACCTTGTCCTCGCCCCTGGCAACAACACTGTTCCCATGACTGCCACCGTTAACGAGACCTCTATTATCGAGATGCTCTCATCTAACTCCTCCGCCCTCGCTGACGGTGTCGTTCCCTTCACCATCACCGGAAACTCCAGTGTCTACGACGGTGTTGTTCTGCCTTACTTCACCGTGGCTTTGCAAGCTCTTAACCTGACTACCTCCCTGAATGTCACTGCGGCACTCGTCGAGGCTGGTCTCTAATTTTTTTGATGTCGGAATCTGGAGCGGTTATAGTGTTTATATAGTGTCTAATAACTTCAAATACCATTTGCAGTAGAATCTTTGCATTCTACTGATATGTACTCTACGAAGATACTCCCTCAATAATGACTTTGATTACACTTTCCTTCCCCTGTCGCACTAGCTCAAATGCCTCTTCGGCCTGCTCAAACTTGAACCGGTTGGTGATCAATCGCTTGACATCGATCTTGCCACTGGCGATTAGATCCACTGCGGTCGGGTAGCAGCCAACAGTGTAGCGAATGGAGCCTCGAATGTGGTGATCGCGTATACAAGCTGTTGTGATCGGAAAAACAACATCCTAGAAGTGATCAGTCATTTGATATGCTGGATAAGATCGAATACCAAGCTTACCTCGCGCCCCATTCCAGCCTGCACATAAGTCCCACCTTTCTTGGTCAGGTGAATACCTGTCTGAATACAGGCTTGAGCGCCAGTAGCTTCCAGAACCACATCAGGTCCTTCTCCAAGATTAAACCTTTCTTTCATGATTTTCGCCACCTCCTCATTCCAAAGACTATCATCCCTCCCCTCGGGTTTTGGCGGAGGTACAAAGACATCGTCAGCACCAAAAGTCAGTGCAAAGTCCGCGCGTGATCGACTTATATCAACGCCGATAACTTTCTTCGCAGAGTATGCTTTGCTGACGGCTTGACAAAGCAAACCGATTGGTCCACATCCAAAAACTACCACTGTTTGGTTCGGCTTGACTTTTCCGACTTTGGTGATCTGCACGGCTACTGCAACTGGCTCTACTAGGGCCCCCTCTTCCAGGTTCATATGGTCGGGAAGTGGGTAGCAGTAGTCCGCTTGAGTTGTGTAGTATTTCGAAAGAGTACCATCGTGTGGAGGGGTTGCAGCGAATACGGTATCGGGACAGAGGTTATATGAGCCGGCTCGACAATAGTCACAGCTAGATTTATTAGTTTGGGGTGTGTTGGTTGAACTTGATGTCGGTGTTGACTTACTGTCGGCATGGAACGCCGGGCTCGATGGCTACTCGGTCGCCAACTTTGAGGTTCTTGGCTGCTGATCCAACCCCAACTACAGTGCCTGAGCTTTCATGACCAAGAACGATTGGTGAATTCATAATGAAATCTGTGAAATATCTTAGTTGGGTAATTCCGACGATATCAAAGATCTCATACCTCCGATCCGTCCTCGCTGCCAGTAATGTACATCGCTCCCACAGATACCAGTCTGCGCGACGTGCACTCGGACGTCCCATGGGTCCTTCGAATTTGGGACAGGTCGGTCTTCAAGGACTACATCTTTCACAGCGCGTAGAACAAAGGATCGATTTGTTTCCTGGTTAAATTTAGTTTTCGAATCTTCATGGTATCCCGAGGTCCTTTCACGCGTATACTCACGGCCATACTTCCGAGTCTTTCAAGTTGAATTTGTTCAGAGTAACGACACTCCCAAAATACTCGACAAAGGTATGAAAATAGGATTAAAGCAAAACATCTTGAGATCTTTGATGCCTTTATATAACAATGTGCTCCGTACTGTTGGTTTCGAAAACAGACTACCCCGTGGAGACTGCCCAGGTGCGACTTTGTGTCTCACCTCGTACCCAAGTATACAGCTAGTCTGTATACGGAAAGTCGTAAATAATTCGTTGACCCACCTGGGCGGTATCAAAAAACCATAACGACGGGATAACGTAAATTACAGAAAGGTACATGTACTGCCCAGGTGCATGGATATGTACTGGGGGTACCTTGATGGTAGGCCTGGAGCTGAATGTAGTGAACAGACAATTGAAAATATTTAACTTCGCAAGGACTTCATCGCTAAGTCTCCAGGACTCTCTATTAGACATTCAAATGTTGTGGAAGCATGGATTGAACGCAAGTCTGTTTGAACTTTGCGTTGGAAAGTTCAAGTTTTCCCTTTTATGCTGTGCCTTCGAGATACTCTATACTAGTAGGTAGATTGAGTAACACAGTTCAAAAGTAAGGTCTTCTGTGAATCTTCGAGTCCTCAAGGGGCATCAGCTCGAAGACCGGAGCTCAACAATAAGACCCTCGATGTGCTGACGAATCTTCCGACAGATACTCCGCACAGCATCTAACCCTTCGCCGGCAGGGTCATCAAGTTTCCAGTCGAGATAGCGCTTTCCAGGGAAGAATGGACAGGCGTCACCACATCCCATAGTGATGACAACGTCGCTGGCTTGAACCGGTTCGGTAGTTATAATTTTTGGCTTTTGGTCGCCGATGTCAATGCCTTCTTCGAGCATGGCCTCGACGACGACGGGGTTGATGGAGTCGACCGGGGCTGATCCGGCGGAACAAACTTCAATTGAGTCGCCGGCAAGATGTCTGAGGTAGCCGGCTGCCATTTGGGAACGACCGGCATTATGGATGCAGACGAATAAGACGCTGGGCTTGTTGGCCATCGTATATGACTTTTGAGTGATCGTTGGAAAGGTCGTTGGAATAGGTTTTTGAACGTGTCAGTGACCTCGGGAGGGTTGGATTATCACGTTCGTAGTACTTGGCGGCTGTGAAGAGTGAAAGCTCTAGATACCATGTAGAGAAAATGGTGATGTCTTCCTAGTATCAGCAAGCTTCAAATTGGAAGAGAGACAAAAGGAGGCTTTTGTTGAGACTTATATAGCCTACGTGGGGCCACAACTTGAATAATTAGAAATGGCATTTCATGGTGACTTTTGATAAGCCATGTAGTGGATACAAAAACGAAATCAAATCTGAAATAGAGCGTACAATTCTATAGTCGAAATGATCGGCTCGTCGTCACAATAATGAGTTCAGCTTTTAGCACTTAGCCTCTCTGGGCTAGCGGCTGGTGGCCTGCTTTATTATAAGACCGACAGAACATTTGGATGTCGTCAAATGTTTGAAAATTGTTCTGATATTCACATATCCCTGCACCGATCTGTATGTCACTTGGACACTATGACTGGTCAAAATCTTGGTGGAGAATTCAATGTTGATTTTCAGCCTGACAAATCACAATTCTAGACATCCATGGATGGATGTCATGGCTTTGATATGATTAGTCAATTACAACAAGTCAACAACCTCCAGGGCTGTCACTCACCTGATGTGATTGGCTGTCATAAGAATTACCCAGGTGAGGAGTGGGAACTACATCTGAGAATATCAGGTACGCATGAGTCCGTTCATCTGTTGAGATTTGTGAGGGAATAAGTCACTTATCTTTCACTTTTAGTTTAACATTCCGTAGCTTCGATGTGTTGGTACTAGATATGGCCATCTCAGGGAATTTCAACCACATCTCAAAGTACGTTTTTTGGTCCAATAAAACTATTTGGATCGGCTCCAAAATGGGATGAAATATCATCTCCGAGTCTCGGACACTTTCTTTATTTCCTTAGTCCGTGCCCAAGTGGGTGACACGTCACATACCAGCTATCAACTACCTATTCAGGTAGCGTCCTGTAGTACTCAAGTGCTTACATTCAATCAAGAAATTATAACAGCCGATCGTTCCTTCGTGTATGAAGATAAAGCACGCGTACTTCCCGTCTGAACTCATAGAAAACTCATCATCTTTCAGCCACGAGACCCATTCAGTCTACATCAACGATATTCTCTTGAGGCATTATTGATAGTGCTACCGAGTTGGAAATATCTACAACATGTCCAGCGACACCTACAACCTTGTCCAGTCCCGTTATGGTGACATCGCTAGGCAGAGTTACACCATCCAGCAGGACGAGAAAGAAGAGCAGATCGCCAGGGCCTTTGGCTACAGTGCGGAGGATCTCAGTTCGCTGCCTGAGAAGACGGACCTCGGATTAAGCTGCGGAAACCCAGTGGGATTTGCCAATATGAAAGAGGTATGTTGTGCGTTACTGTTATCTTCGCGCGGCTAATGGAAATTCCTAACTTTTGAGTATATAGGGTGAGACGATTCTGGACCTTGGAAGTGGCAGTGGCATTGACGTCCTCCTGGCTGCCCGTAAAGTTGGTGTCAATGGACAGGCAATCGGCGTTGACATGACAAAGGTGAGTGATGCGAGTTCAGGATCTTCCCTCTGTAGAGATCAGGATTCATAGTAGAAACGGAGAATGATCGAACTCGCCGAGAAAAATATGCAGAAGGCGGGAGTCTCCAACGCCAAGTTTATTGAAGCAACTATCAATTCCATGCCACTACCAGACTCCAGCATCGACTGCATCATTAGTAACTGTGTCATCAACCTTGTCCCGGCGATCGACAAACCGGCCGTTTTTAAAGAGATTGCTCGGCTATTGAAGCCGGGCGGAAGGGTTGCTATCAGTGATATTCTGGCTCGAAAGCCGCTCCCGGATCATATAACTAAGAACAAGGCGCTGTATTTTGGCTGTGTTGCCGGTACAAGTGAGATTGTGCGGTATGAGGAGTATCTCGAGCAAGGCGGATTCGAGGGTACGTATACCGCTATCGATGGCATTTGAGAGTCTTTTGTACTAACTTGCCAGTAGGTTTGCTCGTTGTTGACGCGAAATCGGACCTGAATCTTTAGAAGCAGTCGTCGTATTTGCCTCAGAGCTCATGCTGCGGTATTGGGGATCCGAGTAAGAAGACTACGAGTGATGTTGTAGACTTGGATTTTAATGAGTGGGTCGGTCAGTTATTACCTTCCACCCCGGCTCAAGCTTGATCATGCTGTTGACAACTTTTCAGGCTCTTTTCAGATCTACGCTATCAAGTCATAGGCATTTTCGCTTAAAAACTGCTGTGGAGAGGCTAGGATCCAGTTTGATGAGAACACCCCTGTAGTGCATGGCTCAGATAAGCGCAGTCTCATAGGTTCATGATGAGTATGTACAAAGGGGCGACCGTCAGAATTAGCTCAATTCAATTTCAATTGAATATTTCATCGCATCATCATTCATTTAGCAGCTGGAAGATGTCCATGTTTTTTACCATGCAGCTGGAGCTGGACTGACATCCTAGTTCCGACCGCACATCTTGCATGTTGGGGTAGCTTCGCATAGATGAAATGATTCCGGCTGCAGTTTCACACGAGGTATATTGTCCTGATTGTCCTGATTCCTGGTGCCCGCTGGGTGGTAGTAACGTTGAAGTACCTGGAGTGGGAGAGTCTAACGGATCCCTGTCGGAAATTTGGGTGTCGGGTACAGCCAAACGTGGATGAGGAACTGGGCTCGAACTCGAGGTTGATAAAGAAGGCTCCGTAACTGTTCTCTCGGGCGACGAATCGTTGCGTCCATAGTTTGATGGTATCCGCTCCCCGGAATCCACTGTATTTGACCTGGGAGATTGCCCCAGGTGCGACCGTGCCAGTAGCACAGCTTCCGAGCGCGAGGTGGGAAGAGAAATGTCAGCTGTGTGTGCTCTTAAGTATTCTTGAACTGTCTGATCAGAAACATCGTTCAGTATGAGCAGTGAGCGGAGAAGACGATTCTCTACAGCCACCTTTCGCCCCGCTTCTTGAACCTCTCGCGTAGCCTGAATCCCTTCAGTCTCAAATTTCCTCAGGCGTTGCTCAAGATCTTGGATATATTCTTTGCGTCGTGCACGCGAACGCCGTTGATTATCGCGAATTCGTACTGATGACGACATTCGATCAGTCTGGGCGATTGTTAGTCCTTGAAAGGGCGCTAGACTGCACATATTGCCTGGTTTAAGGTGGCCAACCTTAAGTTTTCTTGACTGTTTATTTGGAATCTCGGTCATCACTGTTATGTGAAGATGGCTATGAAGTCACTGAAGTGTGTGGCGAACGAGGAAGCATGGAATACCGAAGCAAGCACTTGACAGTACCGAGAACCAAAACCTTGGGATCCACTTAACTCATTTAAGAATTTTCGATCTTAGCCAATCAGTACCTGCCAGTGACATCTACTCATCTATGTGGAATTTGTTCGAATCTATAGATAAAAGCATCTGTTCATTAGAAATGCTATTAGAATCAATTTTTTTAATAAAATCGCCTGATGATTGTTCCTTTTCGAGCTCCCTTAACACGCAAAATCCCCTTGCTCATCGGCTCAGCGGTTAGTCTATCGCCCTACAGATACACCATCATGGCCCATTCCACGATTGCCCAACCGGGGCCAACTGCTATTCCCGACTTCGTCAATGGGCTTGAAAGCATAAAATTACCTGAACACCCGTCTCTAGCTATATCTCAAAGCAAAGATGACGCTGCGATTCGCCAGAAATATCGCCCTTTTATTCTCGACGACGCCGCCGAGGACTGGGTCAGTGCCTTGGAGTTAACAACTGCCATGGACTTGGCAGCACAAGAACTGAAAAGATCAAACAACCGACTGAAGGTGTTGGTGTTATACGGTAGCCTACGCCGGAGATCTTACTCTCGTCTGGTGGCGCTGGAAGCCAGCAGGATTCTCTTCCGTCTGGGGTGTGACGTGCGTGTGTTTAATCCCGATGGGTTACCAGTGAAGAATGATACCGAGCACGACCATCCAAAGGTGCAGGAGCTCCGAGAACTTAGCAAGTGGAGTGACGGGCATGTTTGGGTATCCCCCGAACAACATGGAAATCTCGTGAGCATTTCTTCGCCACCTCCCCCAATACCTGTTACCTCATTACTAACTGTCCACAGACTGCCGTTTTCAAAAATCAAATCGACTGGATCCCGCTCAATACTGGAAGTGTACGTCCGACGCAGGGCCGGACCCTCGCCATTGCGCAAGTGTGCGGCGGCTCGCAATCTTTCAATGCTGTCAACTCTCTGCGTCTTCTTGGTCGGTGGATGCGCATGTTCACCATTCCGAATCAATATTCGATCCCGAAAGCGTATACACAGTTCCCTGATGAGGGTCAAGCGGGAGATCCGAGGCTTTTGCCTAGCGGTAACCGGGACCGACTGGTGGATTGCATGGAGGAGTTTGTAAAATACACCATCCTCATGAGGCCTCACTTGGACCTTTTTGGTGATCGGTTCAGTGAGAGGGAAGAGAAAAGGGCCAAGGATGAAAATATGAGGCTGGCTTCAAGTTGAGCGACGCAATTTGAGTTTGATAATGGGATGTGTCTGTTGTACTATATGTACTGTGCCCACTGGAGGTTGCATTGGAGAGGTCAGGCTTTACTACTAGTAGGCTAAGGACTTCAAGTTTACTGCATCATGTGAAGAGATTGGCTAGTGTAGTATATAATGTCACTCATATTTACACACAAACGAAGTTCTTTAGATCTACATCAGCAACAAATAGAAGTAAGTGGTAGTAGACCTAAGATGCTCTATACCTATTTACAGTATTTTACACCTGGGCAGCGGCCTTTAAATCCAATACAGTTCAATACGTAGTACGATCAAACTGCATTCATTACAGCTTAACCAAATACGGGTTAGTGTAGATCAGGTATTGAAAGTCGCAGTCAACGGGGTAATCTATTTTCGAAATCTACTGTACTGGAGCCTCCCCGCCCGGTCGCTACCATAGGTATGTGACAGCATGTATGTCCGGACAGCTCACTCCGTTGACGAATGCTCCACGCCGCTGAAGAGTCAAAGCTTCTATTACTGAGACGCGGAGAAAGGTCCGATCCTAGTATTATCGATTTGCATATTTCCCGATGAAAAGCCTACGGCATATGGTTGAACCTGATTTCAAGTTCGGTTGTTGATGGGTTCTCAGAAAGTTGAAACGGCATATGGGAACCTGAGTCTACAATGTTGATTTTCTAGTACATCCCTTTCGATTCTTGATCGCACGATGCATATGTACATGATTGTCTATGCCATGCTGAAAATACAGCATCTCTCAGATCCCCGGGTCGATGACAACCTGAGGTGGAAATCTCTTGGGGTGCTACTCAGCCTTGACAAAGCGCGCCATTGAAGCAACATGCTCCCCTGGATTACTATGATCCACAAACCCATGTTTCGCATATAAAGGCGCACCATCCTTGCTCGCATCAACATACGCACTGACCCCCCTCAGCGTCTGCCAAATCGCAGCCCCATTGAACAAGCCTCGAGCCACATCCCCGTCGTTGGTAATCGGGGTGTGTAGCAAGGGTATCCAGGTCTGTCCACACATCGTCAGTACATGGTTCCAGTGCATGTGCAGTAAAGGGGTATGCCAAGCCATACAGAAGTGTTTTTGATCACCCATAACCCGCGTTCGATTGCCCTCTAATATTTGGAAGAATTTCTCGGCGGTATCGCCTTTCATATCCTCGTGCCATGGTGGCCAACGTCGTCCTCTTTCCTCAGGCATTGCCAGGTCCCATTTAGCAAAAGCCGCTACACGAGGTCGACCTTGCGAATCCACCGCTTCCGTGTCCACGATTTTAACGTATTTTTGAAAAGGCTTATTGGCCAAGTCCTCGCGACTCGCATTTTCCAGCCATTCCCGTACACCTGGTGTGTTTGGGAAGACCTCGGTCATGGAGGGGTCGGTAAATGCAGCGAACCATAACTCCGAGAGGGCACCAACGTCCTCTAGAGTCAATGGTTCGAGTTTCAGAGTGGAACTTGTCATTTTACTGGAGATTATGGTGAAAATGACCCGTACTGTACCTCGGGCTTGAAGAGAGAAAGTCTGCATATGTGCCTGCATGGGAATTCCTGTTCTTATACGCATATACGCAGGCTTGGCCCCCAGCTATTCGGATTCCAACGCTATGCTCGTTTAGGTGGCCTACTACGAGTCTCTTTGATCCCATAATATGCTGTAAATTATTTATCACCTTGCGCTAATGGATATATACTGGTTGCCTAAAGTCTATGGCATGTGTCTAAGCCTGCTTGAAATCCTCCAACGTCATTGAAGGGGCTTCGGTTCATTGTTCGGCTGGACTGGTCGACGGGCTCTAATCTAGGCCTCTGGAGGCCTTATCTACTAGTAAGTACTCCGTAGTAGGTCTCAACCTTGAAGCTTACTAGCAGGTGCCTAGGTAACTACTCTACGTTTCATGTCTCGAGTATTAAAATTCAAATTTTGTTGAAATGCTTTCGCACTGGAATCCGAATGTGGCTATGTACAGTACTATGGAAAAGCGGAAAAGCCGTCGGGGACTCGGGGCCCTGTACGGAGTAGGCAACCTTCAAGTTTCCAAGGGAAGGGAATCCTGGGGCCCTGGCATCAAAAATGTAGATGCCAATTAACTATGTAGTATGGCCTGATGGGACTTCAAGAATCTAGCACAGCCTCCAATTACGTGTCTGCACTAAAGTCTCTACATACTACATGGCCCCTTGAGCCATTGAGGATTGGTGCATTGGAGCCATCGAATTCAGGCACCAATGTTTACATTCGCTTACGTGATGTAGACTTTAAGCCTGAGGCTCTAATAGTCACGTGCCAAATTGACCTCGTGATAACTACAATTCTTTCATTACTGGGCAAGTATGTTAGGAAATATTGCAGGAAAATCCAAAGGATTTATAAATTAGATTAAAAAGAAACCTTCAATCCGATATCAGTCTTGGACCTCGGAATTCCCGAGTCGGAATCTCACACCACCAACGAGCTTGTGTACTTCAACTATCCCGTATGCACATACGCATCGGCAGAGTCATCCTCTCCACAAACGCATATCAATCCCTTCCACTTCAACCCCCACACCAGAGATATCCCTTTTAACCGATCTCCAATCAACATCCTCCACTGGATCTGAATTTAACAACCATCGCTTTCCCCGGTGAAGCTCAGGGTTAAGGCTTTTGCCGTACAGCAAATCACACCACGCGATAAGATAATCCGGTGCTCCACATTGTTGCTCGCGGCCGTGCCTCATCCGGCATCCGGGGAAAGCAGCTTTTTGCCAGAATCACATATCGGCGTCTTTTTTTCCCTTCTTCCCAATTCCGCAACAAGTTATACCTCAATCGTGACTTCTCATTGATGTGACAGAGCTCGCTATACATGGTGTGTGCTTGACCATGGCCTGCGCATCCTTAGCCTAGCTACCGTCTTTCCCACTCACATTTTATTACCCGCGATCTTAGACCATTCGACCCCCGCGGCACCCACTAGCCCGCCATGCTCGACTGGCAATCCCGAATTCGTGACCCTGTAGAGCCTGACTCTCCTTCTACTCCCTCGGAATCGACCCGAGCATCCTCTGCCCTCCCTATGCAACCTCCCGAAACTACTGCACCCCGCACCTTCGACCCCGATGCTTCGTTGGTCCTCGTCGGAATCCGAGGTTGCGGGAAACGTTCGCTCGGCTTTGTCGCCGCGACTGCCCTCAAGCGACGCTTCATTACCGAAGACCACTACTTCAAGGAGGTGACTGGGGTTACGCGCCATGAATACCTCAAGACCAATGGCAGCCAAGAATTTCAACGCCGAGACATTGAGGTGTTGAAACAGATGCTGGATAAACACCGCACAGGATGTGTTATTGAGTGTGGACTGGGAAGTCTCACTCGGCCTGTTCAGGATCACCTGCGCCGCATCTCCCAAACCAATCCGGTTGTCCACATCCTGCGCGACATTGACCGTATTCAACAACTGCTCGGATTGGAAGATCAGTCCGTACGACTACTACAAGAAGGGGATCCACTGCATCGCACATGCTCAAATTTCGAGTTTTATAATCTGGAGGACCGAACACGCATTATTGCCGATGACGGAAGCCCCGACCCGAGATCCGCAGCTTATTCTTTCAAACTGCAAGAAGTCAAGGAAGATCTGACTCGATTTGTGCGTTTTGTCACAGGTGTCGATGTGAACCAAACTAGCTACGACTCGCCATTCGTCTTGTTGGAGACTCCACCAGAGCTTCGTTCTTATACACATGCCATACTTGTTCGCTCATCCGACCTGGTTGAAGATAATGTAAATCTCCCGGAGCTGGAGTCCGGAGGAGATGCCATTGAACTATGTGTAGACCGCTGGGGTCCCGATACAGCTGCTGTGATCAGCCAACAAGTCGCCGTTTTGCGCCGTAACGCTCGCACGCCAATTATACTCTCCGTCGACATGACAACTTCGGGACTCGGTCGACGAGATCAGTCGACTTCATCATATTTCGATATATTGGAACATGGTCTTCGCTTAGCAGTGGAATATCTAGTCGTAGATCTCGGACAAAACAGAGCTCAGCTTGCGCAAATCATTCGTGCGCGAGGCAATACCAAGATAATTGGTCAACATGTCTTTGAATCAACTTCTCGGGTGAAGTGGACTGATGAAGGCTGCGTGACCTTATACAACGAAGCTGAGAAGTTGGGTTGTCAGATTGTGCGTCTTCTGCGAGTTGCAACGAACCGAGATGAGAACGCCACTGTCCTTGAGTTTACCAACAAAATCCGAGCCTTGACTGGAGAACACGCTCCTTTAATTGCTTATAACATTGGACGTCTTGGGCGAACATCTCAAGTCTTCAACTCGATTTTGACCAGCGTTACCCACCCTGCTATCACACGAACAACAGAGTGTGAGCGTGATCCTCTGATTACATCCCGCGATGCTGTTCAAGCACTATTCCAAAGCTACGTGCTGGATCCATTGAAGTTCTGCATTCTTGGTTCCAGTGTAGCCTACAGTCTTTCCCCTCCTATGCACAACGGCGCTCACCAACACTCCGGCATGAGCCACACGTATAAAATCCCCGAATCTCCTTCATTAGCTATATTGGATGAATTGCGACGAGATCCAAACTTTGGCGGCTCGAGTGTTGTACAACCTTGGCGTGTGGAGCTGTACCACAAACTTGCAGCTAAAAGCCGACACGCTGAAGCAATTGGCGCTATTAATACCATTATGCCTCTGCGAGGTCCCTCCGAAGGCGGAATGTACTCGCTCCAAGAACAAGCCATTCGACGCAACCAGGCAGGTCCGGTGCTCGGATGGTACGGAGAAAACACAGATTGGGTCGGTATTGAGATTTGCTTCACTCGACACCTATCCCCTCGCAACGCCATCAGCGCTAAAACAACTGGCTTGGTGATTGGCGCTGGTGGTATGGCTCGCTCTGCTATCTATGCTATGCTTCGCATGGGTTGTCGGAAAATCTTCATCTACAATCGCACGCAATCGCGCGCGGAAGAAGTGGCTCGTCACTTTAATTCGTGGGCTTCGTCCCAGGTGGACTCGGTAGATGTGGTTCGAGTACTCAAGTCAACACAGGATGATTGGCCTGATGATTCAAATCCTCCCAGTCTTATTGCATCTTGTGTACCGGCTGATCCGGATCAGGCTGAACCCCCTGCCAATTTTGAGATGCCCTTGCAGTGGCTTGGGAGTACCACTGGGGGTGTTGTTCTTGAGGTTAGTTTACCCCCTTATGCATTCCCAGCATGTTAGATTACATACTAATTGTGATATAGCTTGCCTACAAGCCCTTAGACACACCTCTGTTGAAACAGATGCGCCGGATACGAAATGATACCGGTCGCTCCTGGGTATTATCCGATGGCTTGGAGAATGTTATCGAGCAGGGTATAGCTCAGTGGGAATTGATGACTGGCCGTAAGGCCCCTCGACGATTGATGACCCTGGAGGTCCTTCGCAATTACGAGGGCGACAATGGACGATTTGACGAGAAGACTATTCAGGCTCGACTGGACGGCGTTTGCTCGTAGACTGGAAGGGAAAATTGGACATTTATTCATGGTATATTTAGAGTCCTGGAGTTGTGGTTTTAGACAACCATTCATTTGATCTGTACTTAATAGCCGTTATTGACAATTTCTTTATGTCCTCAGAACGCATTCCAATGTAGTGCCAGTGTCAACTTGAGCTTTAGCACTTGATCTTGCCGTCCAGGTTATCCATCATGAGAAGTATACTGTTTGGGTTGGCAGTAATGCGATCAAAAGATTGATACAAAACAATTCTATTCTATAGTAAATTCGTTCAAAATCAGATATGTCCATAACAGGCATCAACACATGTGCAAGGGCTCTAAAATATGTATTCTATACAATAGGATGCAAATTCTCTCACTCGGCATTGCGCTTTCGGGTCGCAAGTCTGTCTTGAGTCTGCAGCGACTCAATAATACCAGGACCAGAAGTCTCAATGGCGGAGAGAAGAGACTCAACGGTCTCCTTGGAGGTCAAGATGTTCACCACGCAACGGAAGAACTTTCCACTTCCAACAGCATCTTCGTCTCCACTGGGAGGTGCAAAATCAACCATGAATCCCTTAGGAACAATAGCATGCGTGATCTGCTCCGTAACCTTGCTATTCTTCTTGCCTCGTTGCGTTTCGTCCGATGCAGTGTCGCGTGAGTACACCATCTGCTTGCCAGGTGCATAGTAGAAACAGACTTGCAGACAAGGGGGCGCATTCTCACTAACGAGAATAAAGTCCGGGTGCTTCTCAACAAGAGTAGCGAGGTGTGCGGCAACCTCAGAGGCTGTGTCAATCTGCTGTGCATAGCCTTCGCTACCGTAGTATGTCCATCCGAGGAATAGTTTCAGTGAATCGGCGCGTCGGCCGCATTGCAAAGTGAGGTCTGCAAGATCCCAGACCTCTGGTGAATCGACTTCGATCTCTGGCTCGGGGTGCGTACCGTTGGTAGCTGGTTGCGTGTCTTCATTATGGAACAGATATCCCGCTGGTAGAGTGTTGGCACGGTGGAATTGGCGCATATCAGAAGCTAACAGGAACGAGCAGGTAACGGGTGCACCGAGCATTTTGTGAGGGTTGATTGTAATGCTGTTTGCTTTCTCTGATCCTGATAACTTGTATTTCTGTTTCTCGGAGAAAACGAACGATCCACCCCATGAACCATCAACATGGAACCAAAGATTATATTTCTGACAGATGCCAGCGATTTCCTCGAATGGATCGAATGATCCCATAACGGTGGTTCCGGCTGTGGCATTCACGTAAAATGGCGTGCGACCTTCACTTTGAGCCTTTTGTACCAGTTTCTCCAGTTCAGATGGAATCATACGACCCTGCTTGTCAACCGGAACTTGCCAAACAGCACTGCTACCGAATCCTAGCATTTGAGCAGCCTTCTCAACACTGTAATGACCGTGTGCACTTGTGAATAACACAAACTTATAGTTCCCATTGCCCTCTTTCTTGGTATCAGGGTAAAGATTGTTGCGCGCAATCACGATAGAGGTAGTATTCGATGCAGATCCACCTTGAACTGAAATTCCTCCTGCTCGAGGTCCGTTCAATCCAAAGAGGTTCGCTAAGCGCTCCCCGGTGTATTTCTCGATGACGGTCAATGCGGGCGAGACTTGGTAAACGTGCACATTGGTATTCAGAGTAGCGAGAATTAACTCCGCTGCAACTCCTGGCGCATTGGTGGAGGCATATAGTTTATCCAGAAATCCTTGGTGCCATGTGTTCACGGAGTATCGGAGGACTTTTTGCAGAACTTCAATCAGTCCTTCTTGTTGTCTTCCTTGCTCGGGAATCTCCAATTGAAGGATATCTCGCAGTTCCTCGGGCTTCTTGTAGTCCACTAGTGATGATCCGGTCGGTGTTCCATTTCCATTGACTCCGTTTGCGCCGGTATGTGTTCCTGGGGCATCTGCAGCTCGAATGAATGGGATGAGAAGGTCTTCGACGGCTTTCAACAGCTATTATTTTAAGCAATGGTTAGTGTTCGATATGATATAGAATGATCATTGGTAGGAGAGATCGAAATGATCAAGTTGAAAGGTATAAGATAATATTCAGGTGCATTGCATCGGATCAAAGACTCACATTTTGTACCTCATCGGCACGCGAAGGTGGGATGGCCGACATCGCAATGGTATAGTATATGGCACAGTAATGGATATTTTCCAATCAATATAAATTAATGATACAATATGCGCAGGGGAGTATCTCAGATTATGATAAATTTCCCCAATCGGTGCTGTTAAGATCAAGTTCAATCCGGCGCAAAAAAGAAGAAAAAAAGTTGATGCGCCGCTTGCCGCGGGGACTCGGATGGCGACATCGCAAAACGCTGACATCATCCGATGCGATTTTACACTATATTCAATGTCGGTGGTGCATTTACCAGGATGGTTCAATGCCCAGGTGTTCAATGTTCTCCTGTTTATACATTTCAGATGAATCCATTGTTCGATGCCTGGCCCTTTGGACTAATTTTAGAAAATTAAAGAATTTACGAGATGATATGAGGTGAAATGAGGTGATATATTAATTCAAGTTTGGATTCATTCAGGTTCCATAACACAAATATCTAAGACTCCTAGTAAAACGCCACGCACAATCTTTCACTGGCGATAAACGTATTTTACACCAAGAAAAAGAGGAAAGGAGGAGAAATGCAAAGGGAGAAAATGCAAGAAAGACTTTCTAGGCGACCATCGCGAGTCCGAATGCCGCAGCAAGCATGGGGACCTTGATGGCCAAGTGATCGGCTGCTCCTGTGAACACTGCGCCAACAGGAGTGCTTGAAGATGGAGGCAAGTTGTGTCGCTCACTGCTATCAGCGGTGTCACCTGAAGGACGAGGAATCACAGGCTTGGATGTCTGAGGAGACTGCGGAGAGATGGGCCTGATGGGGGTTGAGTCCCCGCTAGGAGTAGGGAAGGGACTTTGGGGATGTTGAGGGTAAAGACCCGCAGTAGGGGTAGATACCTGAGGGTATGATGGCTGAGCTGGAATTGCATCAGCACCCGTCGGGATCGCGCTAGACGTATGGCGAGGAATTCGAGCAGAAGACGTAGATGGGGGAGCTTGAGTAACAGACGTGGTTTGCTCATCTTCTGCCTCTTCGTCGTCGCCTGAGATCTCCCAAGAAGTCGGGGGGTTCAATTTTCGGCGAGGCTCTAGTATGACTTGGCTGAGGTTGTTCGTGATTGTGTGAGCTTGAGGGCGAGATTTCAATCACATCGACTGGAGCCAAGGATTTAGATGACTCCTTAGACGAGGCGCAGACGGTCATAGTATCTGTGACAAACTTGGTCACGTATCGAGTGGTAGGAGCCTTCGCATGTTTAGTAACGACGGGTTGCTCAACTGGAGCCTCAGGCGCAGGCTCGGACGAATGTTTTTCGACCGCAGCAGACTGAGTAATTGTATGAACCTTAACCACACTTAGAGTCTTCTCCACTGCATCAGTAGCTTCCTCAGTTGAGTGAACATGTTGTTCAGCAGGATGAGTAGGCTTCGAGACCGGAAGTTCGACAAGTTGAGCAACATGAGTCTCAGTAGATTGAGGCTTAGGAGCATGTGTTTCAACGGTATAGGGCTCTGAAATCGTGGGCTCAGTAATCGGTAATTTGGAGACCTCATGGGTGGAAGAGTGTGGGTGGGATGGAACTGAAGGACCCTTCACACCAGCTTGGTACACCTTGACAGAATTGATCTCCCAGTAGGTATCCTTGAACTGATCAGGGTTTTGAGCAACGAAGTTGGTGCAGCTTGCAAAGGAGTCGGAGCTCGACATAGGGCAACCTGACTCTCCAAATACACCGCCAGCCCAATCACCGCAGAAGGTCACATCAAACACAAAGGACTGAGATTTGAAACTGTTGGCGACATCACATCCTTCCTCGACTAGGGCCATCGGGATGCCGAATTCGGAGGTATCTGGCTCGCCCTTGGTAATAGACTCGGGAATGGAGTTGCGTGGGAAGTGCCAGATCTTGACAAACTCTTCTGTCCATTCCATGGCATAGACGCCACCTCCGGCCTGGTTGAATAGAGTACCGTAACTGCCCTTGTCTCCTTCGATAACACATCCCACAGGACCCAGAGCCTCTCCGCAGCCAGTTGCATTCACATATCCCGACATGCCTTCATCCTTCAGTGCACAGGTGCCAGAAGTATGCATCACGATCTCGTTGTGGTCCTGCATATTCACGCCCTCGATGATATCGATCTCTCCATCTCCAGGCCATTCCTTGCCTACGGTCCAGAACGCAGGCCACGAGCCACAGGCATTTCCAGGCATGTGTGCAATGTCTGCAATGACTAGCGAGTGTTCGTAGTATTTGTTCGTACCAACTCGAACCGAGTTACGACCTTTGTCGCTGGGGCTTAGCTTTGTTGCGTGATCCACGCCGAGGTAAACAGTGCCTTCGTCGGTGATTTTTACCAACCCAGCCTTGGATGCGCTGTCTCCATCCATATAATTCACCCATCCATTTGTCGGATCCGGTCCGTCATAGAAATGAAAATAATTGAAGAACTCCTCTCCCTGCCATGTCTCCATCAACTCGTATTCAGTGGCGTGGGCTGGTGAAGAGAGCCATAGAAGGAACAGCGATCCAGCGCTGAGAGATAGCGATGAAGATAACATCTTCCTCGAATGATAGAGGAAGCAGTGTAGAGACCAGATACTCGTTCAAGTTGGATAAAGAACAGGATCGAGGTCTTAGCAGATGACAGAAGAAGAAATGCAAAAGAGAACAATGGAAGTAAGAATGGCGAATGAAATGCGCCCAATAGTGAAAATTGCGCTTCCAAGCAGATTGTAGAATTCCAAATCGAAATAGTAATAGTGAATAGCAGTCGAATAGCAACCGATGTCAACAAAAGGGAGAGGAATGTACACGCGTGGAAGGCGCGGAGTCAAGACTATCACAGACTCACAGTGAATGGTATAACATTTTTGGACTTGACCACTCATTATGTCCTGGAATCTTGATTCACTCATCTTACCCACCAGTCAGACTCATTCAATAATAGGATGATAAAACCCCTGGATAGTGGTGTATGGTGCCTGAGCTCCGGTCAAATTGTTCAGGGATCTGGTATGGAGGGGATAATCTAGTCCAGGGCAATTGACTGAAGTGGTAACGATCACCCATTCTTCAAGGGATATTTCAAAATTTCTCAATAAATCATTTCTATAGAGGCAACTGGTGTGCAATTGATCAATATGAGACGAGACATCTCCTCCCATAGTGATCAAGCACTGAGCTCCCACCACGCGCATCATCAATTGGTAGGATTTTGGAGAACAGAGCAATAGAGATTTCGAGACTCGCTACGCCTGGTAGATTTTTTTTGATTTCTCAGACCATAGCAAGTTGCTTGCTGTGCTCCATACCCTTTTGTCATCTCACATTCCTGTGTTGCGTGGCGCGACCGTGCCAACTCAGGCGATATTTTGGCGAGAGATAATCCGAAAAATAAGGTGCCCCGACCGGGATGAATCATGGCCATCGCGAATCTATGTAGTAACCTGGAGACTCTTTCAATGTTAGACATCTCTCTGGCTTGTGTAGTGACGACCCCTGTAGTACTAACCTTGGAAGTGGTGCCACTGGTTGGAAGGTGACATGGCGGGTAGACCTGGGGAAAAATCAACAATCTCAATCATCGGATATCAATTTGGATGCACATTTTCTTCATGTAGAAGCCGAAAGTGAAGTATTTAATTTCTTTAAGATTTCCAATTGCGTGGCATTAAGTCAAACTTGAAACATTGATCGTATTCATTATACATGTCGGGGAACCTTGGAAGAGTATATAGGTCGAGTAAGCACTGGCTGAGGGGTATATACTACAAAAAACGTTACAATAACATAGAAGCCTAACGACGTGAAAAGCAGTTGAGGACCCCCGATTTGACCAGAAACCAGATGGATCCAGCGAAACGGAAGAGGGAGATACCAACAGTTGCCCACATAACAGCCACAGCGTAGCTCCAAACACGCGTGCCTGGGTTGTTCTATTCATATAAGTTAGCTTCATCATTCACAACACCATTAAAAATAATCCACGTACTGTGAGACAGAATCTCTTGATACCGACACTGTTGATAATTAGAACCATGATCAGGTTACTAAACACCCAGAGCAGGAGAAGATTCGTTCGGAAAGACTTGTACGAATCGTCCATAGTCGTGCTCTTATCCTCTGGAGGCGCCTCAAATGGTGCCAAAGCTCGCTTGACTGTGGTCTGGAAGAGAGTATCAATATCAATCTGAGGCCTGTCCACTTCTTCGATAACCCTCGACTTTCCATCCTTCTTGATCTGAGCTTCGGGGAGGATTTGAGTTTTCTCAGCGATCGGAGTTCCAAACGAGACGTCGTGCCAATTGCAGAAAGCGTAGACCATCATGATGTTTGATGAGCAAGTCGTTGCTGCATAGTGGGCCCAGCCGGATGTGAGAACATGCCAGGGATCCATATAGAGTAAACTGGTAATAAGATGAACACCGTATGTGCAGACAATAGAGATTACAACCATGTTCGAGGCAGAGGCATTCCAGCTCTCTGACTGAATGGCTTCCTCGTCCATGTCGACTGTAAAGGAGCTACCGATGTTGTTGGCCACAACATAGAATGCCAGCACGGTGACGTAGAGCTGGATGAAAGAAAAATACATGAAGGCCAACACATAAAGCAGACGAGAACTGGAGAAGGGTCAATATTGCTAGATAAATGGCTGAGAAACATAGGTTCTGTAAACTTACCCTTTGGGTCGGTTTCCAAGGGACAAGATAAATTGAAGACCCAGGAAGACGCAATAAAAGTATTTGAAAAAGGTGTGTACGATCGGAGAAGCTTCATTACCAAAAGGCCATGCCAAATCGTCGTTAAAAGTGCCGGGGGTACCGACAAGGTCCATGATGCCCACGCTGATCAACCAGAATGAGGCTATTTGTGGTTAGATTAAGTTATATCAAGCATGGGGGAAATGAGCATACCGAGTGAAAACCAAGACAAGATTAACTTGGAGAAGTTGTACAGCATTTGGAGATAGAAAAGTGTGAGTCGCAAGACATTATGCCGACTCCTAAATATACGAGTGAAATGAATCAACGCATACAAGTTCGATGCAAATGAACCGTTAAAAGACTGTCGCTGTTCGATGATGAAGTCTGTGAAGTCTTTAGGAACTTGGGCTTCACAGTTGGCGGCTTTGACGAAGGACAAGTGCCATTTTGAACCAGCCTTTGCGACTAACTCAAATGACAAGATTCGATCTCCGGCAAGGAACATATTCTTCTTGAAGATACTCATTCCTTCAATACCCTTCTTGCCCAGTTTCTTCGAAAGTGTCAGATCACCGTTGAAATATTGTTCCAGTGGTCGTCCCATGATGGCTCGGTATCGGTAGGCTGAGAATGCGCCCAGAGAGACTTGTCCGAAGATACTTTCTAGAGGCTTGTCGAGAATGTTCGATTTCATGTGTTCAAAGTTCTGGATGGCGACGAAAGGGTTGATCAAGGATCTTTTATCGCGCATCGCATGAGTCTCACCGCAGGAGCCACCAAGGTTTTCATCGTTGTAAAACGCCTGCCATAAACCAAGTAAGGATCGTTTAGATGGCTTTGTTCCTGCGTCAAGTAATACAACCACTTCTGGGTTCAGCATACGGCAGAAACCGTTGAAAATCCAGCGGTGCGAGTTGATCTTATTACTTGGCTTTTGCTTCAAGCATAAAATCATCTGAACAGGTGGAAGGTTGGTCGACTCATCCCCCTGAGGTCGCACTAATTGTTGATCCGGGGTGACAGACAGTTGGGTAGTGTATTCAAACTGTGGTGTTGTTGATCTTAGTTGAAAGTCGTATACAGTAGTGCTGTGTCAGAAGGTGCAACTCACAATATGTGCCACTGTCTCTCTCCCATCAACAGACTTCTTCATGATACCCTCCTGATATAAACCAATGGTCGCCAATACATCAAGAGTATTCTTATCGCAAGGATCAATTCCATCAAAAACCAATGTGCATACGATCTTCTGCCAAGCCGGTCCACCTTTCTGCCAGAATTCGGATCGTCGAAGATTTGTGATATCGCGGATGTTCTGCATAACACCGTGGAGAGTATGCGCAGTGAGAACCTTATTCTCACTCTTGCATGTAATGGCGATCATCAACTCGGTATGTCGACTATACATGGCAGGACGGAGGTTGTAACCATTTCGCATAATAAATTCATCGGGATCGCAAGTGGCCGCGGTATCTGTTCAATCAGTTCCAAGTTCTCCATCGCTTCAAGATCTGGACAACACACATCTAATATGAGAGAACTCCTCGCCATATTCCTCCCCTTCTCGATATTCCTTCTGCATCGCATTTTGAATCGCGCTCGGTACGGGATAGTCGGCACTCAAGACGAAGCCTTGCACGAGCTTGATCTTTCGGGTCGCATATCGGCGAATGCCTCCTCCTTGGGGAAATGATTGCGCAAAAGATCGACGTTGCATTGCATTGCCGCCATGGTGACTGTAGACAGATCGTCGAACCTCGCTCTGGTCTTCTCTGCTTTCAGAGCCGAATTTTCGCTGTTATACCGGATAACCCGCGTTAGAACTTAGCTCGTTGCCCCCGCACCGAGGAAACCGGCCCCATCACCAACAAAGAACGAGAGAGAAACAACAGAAAAACAAACAGACTGAGATCACCTACATCGAATGAAAGAGCATCTGTACTAGCACTACTGTCTCTAGTATGCGACTGAAAATAGTCGGATATTTGAGATGGAGCGGGGGATGCCGACCCGGGAGTACCCATTGCGCCTGGTTTTTTTTTCTTCGCAATGGATTTGGGGATTGGAGATACTCGAAAGCTCAAATTCGAGACAGGGAAAAGAACAGGAACAGACAATCAATTTAGCGAGAACTTCCCTGTCATGCGCTAAATCATACGGGGGAAAATGCCGCGTGTTCTGCTCTGTCTCTGAATGAGTGACGGCGATCGGTCTACGTAGCTACGCAGGCCCACGAGACTAGATTGATCGTCTTGATGAGAAGGGTAAAATCTATTTCCAATGGGGAAGACCCATATTTTTTTTCTACAATGAAAAAAAGATCCAGATCTCAGGGCTTGGCCTGGCAAAACCTAGCGTATAAACTCGCGGCTTTTTTCCACTACTGACTCAAAGGTTCAACATCTGATTGGAAGCATATAGTCAGTGGCCCGTGGAAGACGCAAAGGATGATGGACTTGGAAGCAGAGCTGCGCAACGGTCGTACGTCAGCATAATGGCCCACTAATCATGGTCCGGATGGGCTAATTTCTCGTTGACATGGCAATCTTTCATATGAGAAAATCAACGGTGGAGTCTGATATTACATCCTTGAGATAGGGAACCGTTTCATCGACAATACTTCATCCGATTCATGCGCTTAAAACTCTTCAAGTTCTCCAACTGAAAAGCCACTGAATTGACTTCACCTAAGCCTTGGATCCGCCACTGCAATAAAGATTTGCCGGATGGTGGAGACTAGCAGGAACTGCTAAAAGTTCATTTTATTGGTTAATATTCAGCCATTTATTGCAAGATTATGGATCCACTTACTCCCGCTATAACAATCCAGATTCAGAAGACGACGTTGACATTTAAGATAATTTTCTATTTATGAGGATGAGCTAAATTGGAGAAATGCCGAATCGGCAAATTCCGAGTTTATTCGCATATCTCATGTGGCACGGAGAAATAGCCTCATTTTCATCAACCTCTTACGTGGTGATCATTACCTGCTTCGTCACCACTATCCGGTGGACGCGAATTATTAAGATCAGCCGCCCCTGGGGCTTTGTCCCCCTAGGAACCTTTTTTCCCCTAGATACGAGTCCGAGAGCCTTCAAATTCTCTTGTTAATGAGCTAGTGACGGCAAAATGTGCATAGTAGCGGAAGATGCCGAACGCACTTAAAATGGTTATGGTTGATTGAAGCGAGTACTGGCATGACCCCAGCGAAATCAAATAATAGCATCAAATAGTCATAAATGAATGGACATTGACATTCAAAAGAGAAAGAAAATGCACTAAAGAAATGCACTTCTAACTATATACTAGTCAGAGCTATAACTTAAAATGTGCCATAAGTACTCTCTCTTCCGAGCAAAACCTGCAAGTCACCACTAGCATCAAGATAATAGATAGCGCCGGTTTTCTTCATGCCCACCCAAGTATCAGTTCCAAAGAAGTCATTTGACCATTCAAACTCATCACCATTAACATAGTACTCATATAGTGTGTCGTAAACGCTAATGTCAGTAATCAGACCCTTACCCCATATAACAGCGTAAATCTGCATCGTGGCATCATCCGTCGGAGGAGCTGAAAGAATACTGGAGGTATCGATCGATAGACTCATAGCTCCAGGAACGATATTGAAGGCACCGTCATTCTTGTAGCTGACAAAAACACGTTGCTCACTATCACAGGTGAAAAGCATCGATACACTGGGAGTGACTCCATACCAAGAGTCAGTGGAAGGGTAGGGGTTGGTGAAAGGTCCGAAAAGGTCATTTGTGTCGATATCGATGTTACTTCCAGAATAGAAATTTGATTCGGCAGTTGTGGTCTGATCCGTGTCTGCGATGATAAATTTCTCGATCGTGAGCGCGGTACAGGTGTGAGTGGAGGTCACAACGGCCTCGGTTGTCACAGAGAGGACGATATCACTGATTGCAGTGGCAGTTTCTGTGACTGTTGCATCCACAGTAACATATGCAGTGAAGTCGAGAGTGGTTGAGCTAGACTCCACGTCTGTAAAGAATGAAGACTCGATTATGGTGGTAATAATAGTAGAGGTCTCAGTGTTGGTATTTGTAATATCGGTTGTAATGAAATTGGTGACGGATGCGCCGTCGGTCTCGGTGATTGTGACAGGAAGGGTCTCTGTAATCGTGATCTAAAAGGGTAAGAAATTGAATCATGACATACTTAAGCAATAAGGAGTACTTACAACAGGGGAAGGCTTCACCAGAGTCGTGGTGGTTGTCACAGTAGGTGTAGTTAGGTGCAAGCACTCGCAAACTTCAGTGATGAAGGCATCACTTTCAGCTTTTAGACAGGATGGAGTTGCAATTGCACGCTTCTGATTCAAATCTCGGCGGTCATAGATAATATCAGTTGAGGTGGCAGTGACAACTGTAGTGACAGTATAGGGCACTGTATCAGTGACTGTCACTGAAAGCACATCGGTAACAGTAGCTGTGTCGGTTTCGTCAACAGTCACTGTAGTCGACACAGTCTCAGTTATGTCAGTAGTCTGAGTGACTGGGACCGTAATAAGGTCAACTTCAGTCGCCGTGAAGAGGTCGCTAGCGATTAAAGTGAGAGTCTGCGTCGTTGTAGTTGTCTCGGTAGCGGTGGTAAATGCGGTGGCAGTTGCAGTGGTGGTTGGAGGAGTAGAGGTGACTGTGACAGTCTTTGTAGATGTTTGGATGTCCAGCACACTAGTACAGAAAGCATCGGCCTTTGAATCTAGCATGAGTAAATCCACAATAATGACCTCAAGCAAGCAAAAGTCGCGAGGCTGAAGCAAGGCTCCTGCATCATCAGCTACAGGCAGTGCAATAGCAGTTCCTGACAGGGCTACTGCAACCAAAGCCCAAAAATTTAACATTTGAAATGTTTGCGATGAGCAAGATTCAAATTGAGCAGAATATTGCTAATGTTGATTTTTATTTAGTTCGGATGAAGATACTAGCCTCTTTATATGCCCAGATGTAGTAGGTATATGACAACCGAGTTCGAGGAAACAGACCAAAGAACCCAGCTCATGGATCCAAACCTTATTCTTCGACATGGCTTATTCTGTTTTATGCTTGAAAAGACATTAATCAACAAAGCCGATATAAGCTGTGTTATTACTGGATGTCATGGTGTGGCGTGGCGGTGGCGTCGATTTCAGGTACGCTAGCAGCCCTAAAGAGTCTATCATCAGTGTTAAAATCCCCGACTTCAGGTGTTCAGAGGCGACCTATGCAGGAGTTTGCTTAAACTCTCGGCCTAAAGTGCAATCTCTGAAGGACCCGAGTGGCTGAAGTGCTCATAGTGGACTCTCTGGCGAGCGCTAAGCTCCACTGGCATTCAAATGTTGTTTAGCCTTGGGGAAATTTAGCCGATACTATTCACTCTTCACTCAATAGTTAGAGTGACGCGTATCAAAACATCCGAATAATCAATTCAATCTCACTTTCTGAATTTTCATCTAAATGTTCCAAGATTGTACGGAGTATCTGTCTGGCATTTACTTTGGTTCCAAACTCCAGAAAAATAAAGGGTTCAAATGTTGAAGAAGCTCAGTATAATTCAAGTCGTATCAATAAACATCAATATTACCAGAGCTCATCACACGCCTGAAGATGAACTTTACGGTGAAACTATTGTGGAACGCACAACATTAAACATCAATGAGCCTAGTGGGCATTATGCACGCTTCCACTTCGGGGTGGCCGAAGAGAGAATATTTTAGCTTGAAGTCGTTGCAAACTTCCAAGGAAATCATTTTGATCCTCGCCTCCAATTACCTACTTCACACATCATGATGAAGTCCCCACATATGTCCGTGGACTTGGATAGAATTTTATGACTTCTAGATCATCATGCACGCAAATGGTTCCCTTACCGGGTCATGATGATAAATTGAAGATAACCTTGGAAGACATCCAGCCTGAGTCGGACCTCCCGATGCCTAGATATAGGTGTGCATATTTCAGTCCGAATCGGAATCTTGAAATTCCACTTGTAGATGATCTTGAGCCAATCTCTACTTCTTGAAAGTAGTATCATTGAACCTATTAGCTTTAAAAGATACATATCTGACAGATTCAAAATGTTCGAGTCACCAGTATAATTATAATAAATTCAAAAATGATACTATATTGAATTAAATACTAGTATAATTGATACTATGATCTTAGTATAGATGATCAGTCTCACCACCACTTCCTAAACACAAAGTAAATTAAAGGGCTAGCCATTGACATCTGGACTAAAACATCACTGGAGTGATTACGGGGCACATATGGGTTGATAATCGTCCCTGCTTACACCAGGTATAAATTCAAACATTTTGAAACTACTCTTTCCGAACTTAACTTCTTACTCATCCTCTTCAATATTCAGCTATCTTCAACTTTCAGGTTGGATCACACTTTTCTCATTTTCCTCGCCCGCAAACCTTGATGCCAGTTAAATAAGAACATCCACATGAGGTCCAAGGCAGAGGACACACACTGGAACAAGGCTGAAGTCTCATGAGTCAAACTCTGGAATATATGAAACGACACCTATCCAGCATAAGAACCTTCTCGCTCCGGTCAGTCAGAACAGTAACCCTACTTTAAGTCCAAAATAACAGGAACTACTGGTAGAGGGTATCTCCTGATTAAACTCTATTCATCGTTCAGGCAGGATATGTCACCTTTTCAAGAGGCAGGTCAAGTTCTTTACGCGTGAAAAGACATTGAAGGGGATAATTACCGAATCTGAGTCTAAAAAATTCTTTCACCAAAGGTTCACGCACTTTTTCAGGCGACTTCCAACAATATCTGTATACCCGTATCGAGAATCCTTGCACGTCATAGTCATTGTTGGTATCCTGGAGTCATCGTTGGCATATCCAGCAATCCTAGGATTGAGCTATACAGGATCTTCCACACTCGGTGGACATATACAGCCTCGGTTTGGGAACCAACCAGACCTCGGAATGGAGACAATTCGCACTCACGTGTTTTCACTCTGTATATGCAGCAGATAAGCACAACAAATCAGCTAACTGTCCCAGCCTTCGTTAGTAATTGGAGATATCCAGGATTTTTAGATGATAACTGACAGCATATCAGATATCGCTATTGGAGTTACCATTGGTAACAATGGCCGCCTTACCGAAGTCAAGATACTGGGGGTATTTACGACCTACCGCCGCTGCCTCGGAGTGCCTCATAAGGGATATCATGAAGGGATCAGAGTCGAACATAGTTATCTTCAAGATCAAAAAGCCACGAGCCGAGTATTCCACAAAGCTCAGGTTCCATTCTGACTACTGGTTCGGCCTATGGAATACGGAGTGGGGTTCTCATGTGAAGAAGGGTACGGGTGCCCAGTCTATAAAGATTGTCAGAAGAAAGCGCACCGCAAGCATGAAGGTCTAGCTTCTAAAACACCTGATCCATCAAAGGTGACCGGGTTGGCCCGCCACTGCCCTCGTTGCGAAGCCACAGAAGATCTAGCTCTCACTAGAGCCAAAAGGTTTATATTTTTGGACAGAAACCCGTCTACCTCTAATAGAACCAGTCAAGACAGGTAAAAAAGGCACATTTTCCCGTCTGAGCTCAGTTCCTTTAGGGGAATATAGTTCGTTCCCCATACACCAATACCACTACGAAAGACATTCACGTTCTTGCGACAGAGAGTTGAGCCAAGCTAGGCGACTGATCTCCCTTGGACAAAGTCGCAGCCGCCAAAACCCCTATCTGTAGACCCACAGTTAGAATCATTTATCATAGAGGCTACAGGATACAGCGGGAAACGGCTCATTGACAAGGCTCGAAGCCTCCACCAAGACAGCACTGGGCCCCTTACCAGTTATTATCTTCACGGATCACAGCAATACTGTCAACGTTGCAGGAAGCATGAGCCTCACTCAGCAAGTTCACAGCAGGTATCTACCTAGGGATATTGAATTCAATCTGGAGGGGAGTCTAGATGAAGTTTTATCCTGTTAGTTTCCCTTCCTGTCATTTGAACTTATTCTTTGTTGACCATATTTATCCCCCTCTAAGGACAGAGCATTCTTTTTGTGCGACGGTGTCTATTCCCTGACAATGCGAACAATCCCAAGAAGCGTTCGTCCGTTATGAATACTAGCTTGTCAAAAGTCACAGTTTACCGCGAACAGCTGAAGTCCGATCTGTCGCAGGTTAAATGCGAGATTTTCGAGCATCTCTGCCGTTTGTCCGAGAGCGAGCGAGCGAGCTGGCGGGGTCGCCTACACCTCTAGTCGGATTGATTCTTTGATTCTAGGTTCTGAAACTGGCACTGATTTTCCGTGGTCATTCTTTGACCTTTCAAGAGTGGATCGAACTCAGTCCATTCGAGTCGACGAGAATCTTTCCAACTACTCACAATCCACTCTACAATGGTAGCATTTTCCGAATGGATTGCCTTCCCTCGTCATTAAGAAAGTCTCCCAAGTTGAGAGGGAAAATCACACATTTTACCCTCCTCTCACTTCTATTATTCAACCACTGTGAGCAAGATCAATATTCACACCAGATTGAATTTTCTTTTCGTTGGCTCGCTTCCCTAAGCCATGCCGGTGACATTCAGATTGGCCGCCAACCAGATGCACCTGTTGTTCTTGATCTAAACAAGATTCCATGGATACCTGTTTTCGCACACTAGTTTCGTCAATTCATGTCTTTTGACAGGAATTCCTAGGAAGAAAACAAGGATTACTCTTTCTAGTAATGTCTATCGATGCCCTTTAAGGCTATCATAGACTCGGTCGTTGACACCTAAATTTTGGGAAGCCCACCGTTTTTAAGGCCCTCCCTACGTCGGATACCCCTAAACCCTGGGTTGCAGCCCAGTCATATAGCACTGTGAACCCCGCCCCCGCGCTACAAGTGGTTGGACTGCTGTGAACGAACCTCTAGATCCAATGAAAAGTCGTTGAATATCACTTTTCCATTGGGGGCAATGGATTTTCTTTTTGTTTCCCGGCGTTGTTGGGGGGTTACCCCCTAACATGTGCAGCTGTGGTTATTGGCCGTGACCTTTTTTACAAGAATATAAATAGCACTTTTCGCACTACTCGTTCCAATGCAACAATGGTAGGTAGTGGCATGTCGACTTCAGGTTCATGAACATCCATCTACAAGATATTTCGAGTCCTTATATGCAACAGTCAGGGGCCACAGACAATATGATGACTCGCAAGATGTGTCTTAGGTGCATCATGTATGTCAAACCAGCTACATAGGCAAGCAGTTTATATCTATTTTTAGATTGTAGCAAGATTCAGGAGGTGTTTTATACACGTTAGGCTGGTCCATTCCATTAGTCTCACCCCCTGTTAAACCCACTAAAATGCGGGTAAATACCGGTAAATTACCACAGTAACTTTCATCGGTGAATGCTACAATAGAATATCATAGAGTACGGAAGAGACAACAGTTCAAATCTATTCTCTATATCCCTGAATGTACATGTCAAACGTAGTTTATGGGTCTATAGATTTAGATCCTGATTAATTACCATAAATATCAAGATAGATTATGATTTCTTTCATTATCATAACAACAACGAAGCTCGGATGGACCCACATCAAACCACATTGGGAAAAAAACTCTTTCCACCCCTGAACTGACCACCACGCGTTGTCCAATGAGTGTACCGCTAGGGGGGCTTTGTCTTTATCTGTCCTTAAGATCCATTCCATATACCATTATCATCATTCTTATTGTTTCAAGGTACTAGAAGGGGAAAGCATATAGGGATTCTCAACTGTGTTTGAGAGTAACCGTGAGTTTGGCTGAACCGATCGCTTCCGTGTACACTAAACCAACGTACTAAAACCTCATGTTTGTTTAGCCACCAGGCATGGATCCCACAACCTACACCAATCCTCAGTTGACGCTGCAGGATAAATTGGTGATCGAGGCTCTAGTTGATAAACCAACCTCGGATAGTATGTTTCAAGTTCCTCGCTATCGTATGATGAGCTCGGATTGCTCACTATTATTTAGTCAATTCTAAATCAAACCAGTCATCACAAAAGCTTAGCGATGCAGAGCTATCTCAAAAGCTCTATGATATGAATAATGCCTCGCATTCTAGCTTCGATCCTACTATCTTTCAATTCTGGGAAACTGAAGTATTACGGGCAAACCTGCCAGAGACAGTGCAGCGCTATTTACTGCAGCCTTATCTGAAATGGGCTCAAGGCGTTGTCCGATATCAAACTGATGTCGTGATGGTGACACATCTCATTCTTTACTTCACAACAATTGTCCCTAGTGCAATTTACCTCTACTACAACTTCTCATGGTGGCATGGTGTTTTACATTGGGTCATGCAGCTATGGTACTGTGGTGCTTTCACATTGATGAAGCATCAGCATATCCATATGAATGGCGTTCTCGCACCTCAATATTGGATTTTCGACACTCTATTTCCATATCTGCTTGATCCCATGCATGGTCATACATGGAACTCTTATTTCTATCATCATATCAAACATCATCATGTTGAAGGCAACGGTGCTGAAGATCTGAGTACCACGATGTTCTATGACAGGGACAGCCCCTTCGACTTCGCTTGTTATGTTGGTCGCTTCTTCTTCTTCATTTGGTTGGAGCTTCCCCTCTACTTCTGGAGAAAGGGCCAGATGAAGTACGCTTGCAAGGCTGCATTCTGGGAGCTGAGCAACTACTTGTCCATCTATCTTCTCTACAACTATGTGAACGCTCGCGCAACTCTTTTCGTCTTCATCCTTCCACTCACCGTTATGCGATTCGGCCTTATGGTGGGCAACTGGGGACAACATGCTTTTGTGGATCCAAGTGATCCTGACTCTGATTATCTTTCCAGTATTACCTTGATCGATGTGCCGGTAGGTTATCAGATATCTCATCATAATTTCAAGCAGAATTGACACATTCACAGAGTAACCGTTTCTCCTTCAACGATGGTTACCACACCTCTCATCACCTCAATCCCCGTCGTCACTGGAGAGATCACCCTGCCGCATTTATCAAGCAGAGAGATCGTTACGCTGAAGAGCGCGCGCTTGTGTTCCGCAATGTCGACTACATCTTCATTACTGTCAATCTTCTACAGAAGAACTATATTCACTTGGCCAAGTGTCTTATTCCGATCGGAAATCAAGTTGACATGACTCTTGAAGAACGGGCCGAGATGCTGCGGACTCGAACTCGTCGTTTTTCGAGTTCGAAGGCTAAAAAGAATTGCTGAAGCATTTTCCCAGTCTTTGGAGGACTCCTTCATGGGGGAATATCCAGATCTCCGGGAGTAAATTCCTGGATCAAACCGTCTGTCTATAGGATGTTGTATCGAAGATGGCAAGCTTGCCCAACACTCTAGTGCTTAGCGTTGCATTTATCACCTTTTAGAGGGATTTGATCTACAGATAATTTCAATTTAGGATGAATTTGGTCAAATCTTGGGGTTATTTTCTTTCTATTTAATTGGTCCGGTCAGCCTACAATACCTAGGTAATATGGCATTTACTGATATGCTTGTTTCGAAAATTCATGGGTATAATTGGTTACTAATGTCAGGTACAAAATGAATGCGCTGCTATGTTCAAAGACAGTACTTTAAATGATGTTGGGCATAGGAGATGAGCCCCGAAAGAGAACCAAAGAGATATCATATCCGAGACAGAATTGGCTAGAGTTCAGGGGGGCTTAGTTTGCGGTCTCAACCTCTGGAGCATCATGGACAGCGAGAGGATCTTCCTCATATGGTGGAGGAGCAATCTCTCCCTCGCTCGTCCAGACTTTACAAAGCTCCTGCTCGATCTCCTCACGACGCTGCTTCCATTCATCAACCTTATCAAGACGCTTCCGCAGTTCCTGCAGCTCCTTCTCAACGCCAAGCTTCTCTTTCTCGGTTCCAATCCTCTCGAACTCCCATTGATCTCCCTCCTCCCCCATACCAAGGCTGAGATTGAAAGTGTGATATTTCTTCAATGATGCGCGGGTGGAGATGGTGATAAGGGTGATACCACGCTCTTTCGCACGCTCATACAAAAGACCCTCGACGTCAGAAGAGACTGCCGAGGTTCCCTCATCGAGGAAGGCATATCGTGGTTCATGATAGAAGAGTCGGGCCATGCCCATACGTTGCTTCTCACCACCACTCAAGACATCCTTCCACTCCTTGCGAGCGTCCCAGCCACCTTCGCGTTTGGGAAGGTAGCCCAGATGTGCGGCATCAAGAATCTTCTGCAGATTTGAATCTGACTCGCCAGCTTCCCGCATGTCAATCTCGGTATGAGGATAGATCACCTGGTCTCGTAGAGTACCAACGCTCAGATATGGTCGTTGGGGGAGGAACATGATTCCATCCAGGCCAAACCCGCGTGGACGGCTGACCAGTCCCCTGTAAACGGGCCAGAGGCCTGCGACGATACGGGGAATGGCCGACTTGCCCACACCATTTGGCCCAGAGATAAGAAGGTGGTCACCGGAATGAACAATGAATGACAGAGATTCAATCAATTCATCACCACCCATGGGATAGAGAGAAGGAGTAACGATGGGCACCTGTTCCAAACGAACTCCATCAAATCCATTATGTATCGTGCCTTGAGAATCGGCGAGAGAGTAGAGCTCTGGGTGCGATCCACGAGATGGATAGTAAGCGCTAGCATGAACCCGATGCAAGGTGGAGATGAGTGTGTAGACGCGTGAGGTGTAACCGGCAAGCTCCGAGATATCCTTGATGCTGTACATCATACGACCACCGGCATCCGCCAGCGAGAGCATCAGGCGCTTATTGGTGATGAAATCTTTCATGCGACTTCGTTCACGGCCCATGCCTTCCGGAACATCGACCATCTCCATGGCACCGCCTGCGCCACCCCAAGCAGGAAGGAAGATTGGTAATGAGGTAATCAGGTACCCGAATGCTGACCATGAGTACTTCAAGATGATATCTTCCAGCATGTTATACCGAATTTTCAGGCTGTAAATCCCTTCCATCCAGCGCTGGAGATCTTTGAAACTTCTTACCAAGAAGACTCGCTCAGTATCGGCACCGCCATAGAATGAGATCTCTTCAGCATTAGCCAATAATCTAGAGTGAAGGCCACGGAAATCACCCTCTTTCTTGCCTTCGACTGCCTTGAGCTTGCCAAAAGGTGGTGACAGCTTGCGGAGTATTACCGCTGTGCTGAAATACCCGGCGAGAATTCCACTCAATGCAAGTGGTCCCAAAGAGCGATAAAGCTGGTAGTTGAACACAAAAAGATCAACCAAGGGCTTTCCCATAGATGAGTATAGTGACGCCGCAGCAGAGCAGAACAGCGTCAGGTCTTGTGTGATAAATTGATCGGAACCTTGTCCGATTCCTCCATCCAAATTCATCAATTTGTAATAGTTGTCATTATCAGTCAGGTACAGGTCGTGAATGTATCTCGTAAGGCGGGTTCGAAAGGCGATTGACACCTTGGACTGGAGGAACTTGATCATGGCATTCGTGTAGGAGGCAAGGGTTCCGATTCCACACCACTTCAGGATACCCCACATAAAAGCCCGTCCTTTGCCGGCCACCAGATCTCGAACAATCTCACCATCTAGCCGCGCGATCAGTAGAGATAGATATGTTCTCAGTAGGAGAAATAAGCCATGGCCCATGAGTAAACCAGTCTCTTTACTGCCCCATCGCGGGACCATGATACTACCCAGGCTGAGAAACTGGTGCAAAAATGCTAGATTCAAGCCGGGTTTCGTTGTAGGTGGTGGTATTTGATTTGTTGATCCCTCCTCAATACTCCTTGCGGATGCCGGAGGGTTCAAGAACAGTCGACGATGAGCATCAAAGGTGGTCGGCTTCGTGGGATGTATTATGACCTTGGATGTACGTGAATCTTTGTAAGGGACATATATGGTGCGAGAGCCATCTTTGCCTCGGATTCCAGAATTTCGACGCAGTAGCCGGCGACCCTGGGCGCGATCCTTTGCCCGCTGCCGAAGCCAGTTATATCCTCCATATCCCGAGCCGATGATAGATAGTAATAAGCTGATCGTGGCAATGAGACGGGTGGTCGGTGTGGTACGGCGAATTCGAGCGCGAATCAAGTCCGAATAATGTACGTAAAGCGCGAGGAGGGGGTCCTCCGGGCGACGAAGGGTTGACTGAGCGGCCATGTTGACAAGCTGGGTCTCGGTCGCAAGATGCCCCTACGGCTCATAGGATACAAGGGATGATGGCCATGGGCTGGATGGAGTAGTGGCTAGCGCATACAGGGACTTGTATTGGAATCTAAGAAATTAAATGATGGAGAAAAGAGTAGATAGTATGAGTATGAGAGTACAGTCAGTAGGAGAAGGGGAGAAGGTTGCATCATTTGCATGTGAACCTCGGGGGAACTGGAGAAGGCACGTGCGGGTGACGTGGGGAAGACTTGGCAATAAGCTGGGGTATTATACAATTTATACTAGATCTTATTATATTATATGGTTTTTGCTGCCATCTTTCAAATAGGACTCATAACTTGAATAAATCAATTAGAAATATGCGTAGTTTATTAATTCACGATACCTACATGATGTACTGCAAGCAATTGTGATCGCCATGGAACTCCCGTCATTATTCCTCCACACTGACACCTGCACCCTGAAGCACTCCCAAACTTGAATAACCTGGCTATCATCACTTTTTATTGCTACTTATTGAGGGACTCCAGATTTGGGTACTTGAAAATACTTGAGGAACCTGGGAGGTAATGAATCACCTGGATCAACTTGGACTCTATCTAAATTCCTGTAGTATGGCTGCCATGCCAGCCGCAGCCGTTGCAGCAGCATAATATTGCCAATCTTTGTTTTTATGACTGTCGGCGTAATCAGAGACACCTTTGATGACAAGGCATGGTAACTTATCCCATATTCCTGAAGCCTCCATCTCAAAAGCAATCAGATTATGCTGGGCTGCTGTTTTGTCGCGATGCTGCCCAGATTTCATGACTGTATCTCCAGAGCCAACCAGACCGAAATGGACTTTGGGTTTTGGCGAGTCACCATTCGGGAAAGCCTCCTGGAGTATTTTACGTTGGACTAGCCAATCTTTGTGGCATCCAACTTGCTGGCAAGTCAGTTTCCGTGCGTCTTTACATTGAATCGGTATCCACTTCGCAGGAACGACATATTTTGCACGGAGTTGGATCTTGGTGCTTGTGTCGATAGGTGGACTGGAAGAGCTCATCTCTTTCAGCGCCTGGGTAGCCAGCCCTCTTGGGGCCAAGTTTGCCTCGCAAGACATCAAGATATTGTGAGATTCTGCTCTCGATCCGCTCTCGTCCTCGTATCCCCTTCATTTTGGCTAAGACCCCACGCGACTTTGGGCCAGGCCGGGCAACGGCTTCCAGGTCCGGTTTGCTCAAAAATTAATCAGGAAATTGCCAGCCGAAATCATACTGTACAATGCCACTGATCCCTACATCCCCAAGTACGAGATCATCCATCTCCTTTCCCTGATATGACGGAACTCCTCCACAGATACCAACCAAAAGCGCGAGCTTGATTTCTGGGTAGCTACATCGTAGACTAGAAGCTGCCTGGGACGCAGCCCCCTTACCCATTCCAGCCATATGGACAAGAACAACATTCAGATGGAGGATTCTGCCGAGTGTATTTATATTATCATCTCCAACAGCGCTCTCATAGCTCTCGCACTTTTCATCCCAAATCTCGTTCGAAAACCTGACTGACAGCGTCGGTTTTCTAGGGTCAAGGCACAAAAAACAGCGATCGTAAATTTCGGACGATCAACTGGCATTGGAAAAGTGGTAGGACTCGGTGCTCTCTTCATTTCACGGGCCTTCGAAGCTGGAGGCAAAAGAGTCTCTGACTTGGGTACCTCCTGGATTTCCCAGTCATCTTTGTATGCGTGATATAGCTGTCGGAGAGGCAGCACAACCTTTTCGTAGAGAATCTATCGTCTGGTTTCAAGGTCTTTGTCAAGTTTTGAAGGATCAATGGGACCATCGCTGAAGAGCTCAGTGTTTAAATAACTTTCGACTGTCGCTTTATACATAGCTCCAACTGAGTTTCCAAAGTCGGCACTATTTGCCGTGGTCCATGCCCACTCGAAAGAATCATTGATCATGCTTTCGTCCCAAACATCATGGTTGCTTGTATGTATGAACGGCTGTTTGGCTCCAATTTTAACCAGAACAACTCCCAATGCAAGAATTTTGGGATACATATGAAATAGATCGTCCGCAATGTAGTGATCCAGTATTCGGTCGGCGGATCTTTGAAGCTTCGTGGTGAAATATGGATGCGGCTTGGTATGGTTCCCATGCTCAACTCCCTCCTTCACCATGAGAATCCCTTTATGCGTCCATGGTTGAACCATCCAGTAAGAACTGTAGTACTGCTAGACTGATCTTGCGACGGAGTATGCTAGCGTTATTTTGACCCTCTTTGAAAGGTGAACAGTCTGCTCTAGCCACTCTGCAAGGGGGATACCCGCTTGGGGACCAAGATTGCGCCATTGCATCTTTTGGATAGGATTGGCGAGCTTCATGACATTATTCTCAATGTGTAGGTGAGTTGCTTTGCCATCGTTGCTTCCTATTAGGCTACAGAATTCTCCGAGCTGAATTTTCTGGAGACTACAGGAAGGTGATTTTCTCAACGAGTTGCCAGATGGGCTGGGATTGTAGCCTGCAAAGGAGACTTTTTTCCTTTGACTTGCCTCTTTTCGTCTACAGATCCGTCACAAGTTAAATGATTAGTCTATTACTCCTTTCCACACAATTAAACAGGGGAATAAGTGTACCTAGCGACTGATATTTTTCCTTGTTTCCACCGTGCTTCAGAGTAAGCCACATTATATGAGGAGAGACTTGCTGTGAACAACACATCAAATATAATATCCGTCTTATCGCGTTCATTATCCTGAGGTTGAAGTCGTAACTGTGTGCATTCCAGGTGTTTTTTATTGCATGAGCAAGTTGAATGTAGTCGGAGTTGGGTGTAAAGGGCATCATTGATTTGCATAGGATATGTAATCTCCTCATTATGGAATTCCGCAGACTCATTGGCGTGCTGGTCTGATGGACTTGAAGCGTTTAGACAGTCTGCGATCGACCGTAGAAGTTAATGATACTTGGGGTTCTTCCTAACCACAAAATCTGAGAGGTTGCGTCGAGTTTCGCTAATTAGTGTTCTTTGCACGCGTATGTCCGATTCCTTGTACTCCAAAATTCTTCGAAGTGAATGAAGTGATCCAATATCTTCAATGTATTACTTTCCTCAGGCCTAGCAGTCAGAGTAATAAGCGTTCGTGCACTTTGGAGAAACCTGGTCAGCAAACAACTCACAGAACAGGCTTTGTTCACGAGTCTTGCCAGATTAAGCAGGGTAGAATCCATTCCACTGTGTTCTAAGAACGCAATTTGCTGGCTCAAAATGAATATTTCACCTCCCAGGTGAGCAAATTTATTATCCATCAGTTGCAAGCCAAGACATGCTGCTTGCTTGCCGATCCAGGGAAAGGTATCCGAGCAGAGTTCGATTATATCGTCCATTTTGAACATTTGAAAAAGGTCAGTCGTTCTAGTCCCAGATTGTAATAGACTTCATCTCCAATAGAGATAAACAGACAGGGTAAGGAAGCAAGACTGAAGTTCTTATCACGTGTGATGACTCCCCTCCATACGTGGTGCGGGGCACATGATGGTGTATATGAATAAACCTGGGCAGTGTACCTCAACCCGATATTTTTTTGAATGCGAGTAGCTTCCCTAGTACATGCCCACCAGCACTTAAATACGGCTGAAAGCATGACAATTCTTGAGGCGGCTGGAGAATGTCGGCAAATCCTTAGAGAAGCTATATCAGTTCCACGACTAATGATACAAGAATGGGCCGAGAATAGATTGGCGGACTGCAATATGTGGTCTGGTGGCGCAGGTGCCCATATTCAGGGTAAAGCGTCGTTAGATCATCGACTGACAGCAAATCCGGAAGCACACACTGTTATTGTGAATCTGTGTTGATGCTAAAGGTCCTCATACAGAGATGTATAGAAAGAGGTATACATCTATGTCATCTAGACAAGCTCTCTCACGCATTTGGAGGCTTTACCTTTTCATGTTTTGGATTTCTGATGTTTGTTCTTACTAGGGGCCGGAGTCTATGCAGGTGGCACTACGATAGAGCTATCTGATGGAGAGCTTATTGATAGAATGAAAGAAGTTGAGCACAGTCTGGACGAACTCACAAAGCTTACTCTTGCGATTCGAAAAGCTGGCACGCGCTCTCGACTTCAAAGGGTAGACAGCACATCGTTTAATATCAATGCGCCGGCATCTTGAATTACTTCTTCTAGTGCATCCTAATGAGTTTGGAACTTCAGAATCAAGTATCCGGCAAATTGGCTCCACGCAATTGACTTCAATCCAAGTACGTCTCCTCGATGCCAACTTGAGACGAAGAAATCGATTTATCTACGCCCAGAAACATGCTCAAAAGCTGGGCTCCTCTTCAAAACACAAACTAACAATATTGGATAAGACACCAACAATTGTGAATAGGTCCTTATCCCCAGATACTGGGGTAGAATCTCCGCCTTCTCGGGGGGAAGATGCATACAAGAACATGGAAACTCAAAGTACAACCACTGCCACAGTAGTGGATGAACAAATCGTGGTTCCACCTAATCCGGTAACTAGAGGTACAACAACATTGTTTCAGCCACAAGCTCGCGAATTTCATATCCCAAAGCTCCATTACTCAATGATTGGCAAATGCTCTTCACGTGCCCTTGTTGCTGTCAAAGCCTTCCTATTGCAGCAGCACGAGGGACCCTTTGGAAGGAAGGTTATCCACCTCATCGATGGTTTCCTTCCCTTATCCGTTCTTTCGCTCTACAGAAAGCACCTAATGGGAGATATCTGACCTTATACCTGTATATTAGAGGGCTGTCATAAGGCTGAGGCTTTTTTATATGACAAGGGAAGCATGGCTCGGTCAGATGGAGAAGGATCACGGCGGAAACGAGCAATGGGTATGCCAGGCATGTTCCCAGAAAGGCATCCAAGCTATATTCGAGAAGCCCACCAAGTTTGTCGCCCACCTTGAGCAACAACATGGCAAAAGAGTTGGGCCACGGCAAATACCTATACTTCTCTCAGCATGGCGGCGAACACTCCCTTTCACAATTTCCAACTGTCCTCTTTGTTTCTTTGAAAGCGAGGATCAAAAGGTTTTTCTTGATCATACCGCTGAGCATATTCACTCATTCTCGTTAAGATCACTGCCCTGGGCGCCGAGAGAAGGGTTTGATGAGGAAGACGATGATGAGGCATGCGGTGCTGATTTCAAGCTTAACTCATATTTCGAGATCGACAGCTCCCAGTCAGAGCCTTCATCGATGTTTTCTAGAATTCCATCGCCGGCCACAGATTCGGGAAGCATCACTGGGTCAGATTCTCAAGAAAAGTCCCCCCAACTTGATGAGCAGCAACAGCAATTGACAGAAGACATGACTGATCGACTTTCAGGTAGTATGAAAAAACCGAAATATATGGCTGATTAGTTTCAACTGATGGCTCGTGGCGAAGGGAACGAGAGTTCCACGGTAATGGCCAACAATCCACCAGGTAGCCAATAAGCCATGAAGCCTCGTCGGCTCGACTTTTTCATGCTTATCCTTCGACTTTCACCGATGCTCGAGCCAGAATTCATGACGAGGTGAAAAAGATTTCCAAAATACCGATGCCGGACAGTTCTTCAAGAACAATCTGAAGTTTATTGAAGAGCTGGCAGACAAAGCTGCACTTCTGGCCGATAGCCCGATTACGCCCCTTGGTAGCAAGGATATTTTATCAGAGACAGTTCAAATAACCATGCATCAACAGATCCTTTACTGTGGTGAGTTTACATGCAATGTGGTGCAAATTTAAATATCCCTTTCGTGCTGACATTTTTAATGTAAGATGATAGTGCCTCAATGAAACGTCACGACCGTTGGGAATGCCAAATAAGACTCATCGGTATAATTGCTCGAATTACCACTCAGATGCTACCTGAGGGTGATGGCGTTTATCTACGTTTCATCAATCAGGAGATATCAAATCCTGACAGCCTCCGATATGAGGAATTAGTCGAAGTAATTCGGCCTCTAACATGGGGCGATGACACTCCCATAGGTACAGGTTTGAAGAAAAGCTGCCTAATAACCTCAAGAGACCGGTAATTATTTTCATCATGACGGATGGAGTTCCTGAGCCGGAACCAAGGTCGACTCTTGCGGACACTATTGCTGAATGTGGCGATCGCTTAGAAAGTGTCGGACTTCCTCGGGAGAGTGAGTGTTACCTTACCCTTTGCTACATTGCTTGTTCTTTGCGAGTGTTAATCGATAAAAAATGCTGACCTTGTAGGTGACAAGTTCATCATCGGTCAAATCGGCTCATTATACCGGGCGACGGAGTTCCTGGAAGGTGTAAGTAAGGACGAAAGGATTTCCAACGTGACATTTGTCGCTCCAGGTAAGACTGGCAATCAATTTCCATGCATATCGCATTACGTGTCAGCGATGACGACTGCTAAGAATAAAATTAATTTCAGATCAATTGGACGCGGTGGCTTCACAGATTCAAACTGAGTGGCTAATGGATGAATGGGTAAGCATTACTTGATATCTGCCCCTATCCCCTTCACTCAAAGCACAACTGATAATCTCCATTATAGCTTATCGATCTCTTGTACTCGCCAATCAAGAAGAGCGAGAGCAAGAACACCTGGTCATCAGCTAGTTAGACAGTGTTGCTGTGAATGTAGAGAATATTAGGGACATAGTGACTTGAAACATAGTGATGAGTTCTAACTTCAATTTCAAGTCTGAAGACTTTGTTTTAGCCAAAGCAGACAGGCCTAGAGCTGTTAGGATCATCATATGAAGACGCTGCTAAGATTTTGAAGGGTTCAAACTTCGAAGTATTAATGTCTGCTAGTTCAGAATTGAACTTGTCTCAAGCCAACGTTAAGGTAGACAGCACGGCGAGAGCCGAAGCGATACCCGCCGTAGTGCCCGGCTGTGAAGCCGATATCCGTTCTATTTTCATCTTCAGATGAGAAATTTAAGTAACTCCAATCGTCGAACAAGGGGTTTCATGGAAAGTAAAATCAGAAACAGAAGCCAGTTATACTCACCCAGATTTGCAGTATGCCCAAACGAAACATTCTATTGATGATCGCCGATGATCTCGGTAAGCAACTGGGCTGTTACGGTAACACCAAGATCCAAACACCTCATCTTGATCAGCTAGCTGCCGATGGCACCATATTCGATCAAGCATTCACCAGCACCGCATCTTGTAGTGCTAGTCGCTCGGTCATCTATACCGGGCTACACACCCACCAAAATGGGCAGTATGGACTCCACAACGGAAGGCATCATTTCACCACATTTGATCATGTTCAAACTGCCCCTGCACTGTTTTCGCAACACGGCTATACTACTGGCCTTATTGGCAAGGTCCATGTCGGCCCATCTTCTGTCTATCCCTGGGATATGCGAGCCGAAAGTGATATTCGAGATGTCGCGTCCGTTGCTGATCAGGCTACCACGTTCTTTGAACAGTTCAAGTCAGGCAATCAACCATTCTTCTTGACAATTGGTTTCATTGATCCACATAGAGACCTGACTCGTGCTGGGTTTGGTAATGATGGCCAATATGACCCTCGCGTGAAGAGGATTGATTACTCCCCCGAGGACGTCGAGATTCCACCTTTTGTCAATGATCTGCCCAAGGTGCGTTATGAGTTTGCGGAATATTACAAGTCGATCTCTCGCCTTGATCAAGGCGTTGGAATGGTTTTGGAGGGACTTAAAAAGAGTGGTCTCGATGACGATACGCTTGTTCTCTTCGTGAGCGATAACGGACCGCCATTCATTAACTCAAAGACGACACTGTATGATGCGGGTGTCTGCCTTCCCATGATCATGAAGTGTCCAGGATCTCTAGCTGGCGTGGTCAACCCAAACATGATTTCATATGTTGATATTTTGCCAACTCTTCTCGACTGGGCTCAACATCCCAGTCCTGAGAGCCCGGCTCGTCTTGGTCGATCATTCCTTTCTATTATCTCTGAGCGGCGTCAAATAGATGGTTGGGATCGCGTTTTTGGCTCGCATACATTCCATGAAATCACCAACTATTGGCCTACTCGTTTCATGCGGGACCGTCAATTCAAGTATCATCGGAATATCGCTTGGAGACTGGACTTTCCATTCGCTGCAGATATTTATGGTTCCTTAACATGGGAGGAGATTCGTAATTCAGAGAATAGCCCCAAGATGATTGGGTCTCGCGCACTGAAAGACTACTTCTTCCGTCCTGCAGAAGAACTATACGATATCCAAGATGATCCGGATGAGATCCGCAATCTAGTCAAAGACCCAGTGTACAAATCCGTTCTTGAAAGAATGCGGGCGGCGATGGAGGAATGGCAGGGGCGCACTGAAGATGTCTGGCTCTATCGTGATGGTGTTTCCATGCTTTTGGTTCGACATCATCTCGATGCTGGGTTGGAGGTTCCAGATCGATGGAACTTTGATGCTGCTTTGCCTCAAAGTAAGGATCAGCCCAAGTTTGCCGCTAATTTCGCTTGGGGGATAGCTAGTCCCAGCTTGAAACCTGCGTGGTTATCGGAACCTCTTTGTATTTGAGTATTTCGATGCCAAATTTCGGGGTTCCTCTTTTGGGAACGAGTCATAAATCAATCGCCATGGATGCAAGAACCTTTGTGTCAAGTAAAGAGATGTCAAATTCTATTCGTTGTATCATAATGGATAAGTATTAATAGTAAATATTTCCACAGGCGAGCGAAGGTCATTTTATTCAGCTTGTAAATGTTTGCGCAGGCGTTCTCAAGTCAGCGAGATCAAGAGATAAACAAAAAAGCACGGATCTTTTGGCATGAGGTCGATGACCAATTCTCATCTATAGGCTTCATCATACTATACCAGTATTTATAGAAATCGAGGCTTACCTATGGCTTACTGCTACCATAGGGCTTGCTTTGGTCTTCACTGCGCTGAAAATCTCCCTTCATTGCGGTGTCGAACACCCGTTCGAGACGAGAAATTGCTTCGTCCGATACCTCTGTAAGAAGTTAACAATGTGTTCAAGCAAAGGCAGGGAAAATCGAAAGTGACTTACGGTAGTGGACTACTATACGTCCTCCAAGGAGCTTTAATCCTAACTCTTCGCCAATCGTGGCCATGTCATTGGGTCCTACTCCAGAGGCCTCCAGATCCAGCCAGACCATGTTAGTGTGAACTGGATACTGCAGTTTACCACCACGGCTGGTCCACATCTCTCCAATACGCTTAGCCTTTTCATGAGTCCCAAAAAGCTGACCAGTCTTGCCATGAGAATCGGTTCCGAACGTCTCATCTATGGCTACCCTGGCGGCGGAGGCAAAGACACCACTTTGGCGTGTACCACCGCCAATTGATTTGCGGAACCAACGTGCCTTTTTGATGAGCTCTTTGGAACCGACAAGGATGCTTCCAATGGGGGCTCCTAGCCCCTTGGAGAAGCATAGACTGACACTGTCAAACAGACTGGTATAGTCCGAGAGACTTCCAGCCCCAGACACCACAGCCTCCCACAGTCGTGCACCATCTAAATGCACCTTGATGTCATTTGCGTGAGCCCACTCAACGATCCTTCGAGCTTCTGCTAGCGGCATCACCATCCCATCTAGAGTATTTTCCAAGCTGATCAGCTTTGTCGGGCAATGGTGGATGTTGTCGTCGAGTACTGCATATTTCTTGACATCCTCCAAGGTCAGGTGAATGCCATTCTTCGGTACAACTGTCTGTACTGTAGCACCAGTCCACAGGCTGACGCCGCCGGCCTCGTAGCAGATGATATGAGCCCTGTGGTCGCAGAGCACAGCATAAGGCGGCTGGGTCAGATGGGAGCGAATGGCCACCTGGTTACCCATTGTGCCCGACAGCACTAACAGGGCATCCTCATGCTGGGTTCTTTGGGCGACATAGCTTTGTAACTCATTGGTTGTTGGGTCCTCATTGAAGACATCGTCCAGTAGCGTGGTCTGACAGATAGCGTTGAGCATTGAAGGAGTGGGTTTGGTCATTGTGTCACCTATTTGTACAAAACGCGTCAGTTATGATCAGTACTCTCATGTAAATCAGCCTGAAGGGTCAAATCTTACTTCTCAAGTCAAACTCTGCCGCGCCGGCTCCATGCCAGCTAGTCTGGCCGAGGGCTACCGAGGGGTTGGCCATTGTGTCGGTAGAATAGGTGGATAGGTGAACCTTCGCAGTCTTAGGACGGATGAAGGCAGGGTAGAATTGCAGAGTTGGTCTCAATGCCACCGATGAGCGTGCTAATCTGCGAAAGAGGTGAGTCATGTTCTTGTGGGCCTTCAAGATAAAGGACTCCGAGATAAAACGCGGGGAAGCAACCCCGTCACATGATGTTCAAGCGGGGATCTTATTTCCAGTAGAGCTCTTAGATCAGATAAAACAATTTAAAGAGATTGATGTGAGATGAATGAGTTGCCTTGAACTTGAATTCACTGCTACTGTTGGGATTAATGCCAACCCAGTACTAGTGAACTTAAACTTGAAGAAACCTCCTGCAGGTCACATGCAGGACTGCAGACTAGTATATATAGTAATGATGGAAGCCCTGGAGGCCGTCACCACCACCACCACTCCCTACAGAGGTAATAATAGTAGTACTACTAGTACTACTACTCACTGGCAAATTTATCAATTTCTACTAGCACTGTAACTCCGAGTCCGAGTCTGTCCACAGGTGCAGTTCGAAATACTACATAGGTAGTAGTACTACTATTGAAGCGTTGGGGTCTACTAGACAGACTGAGTGTAGGTATGAATTGATGAAATAGAGAATAAAACAAAGTATTGTACAGACATCGAGGGTTTATATTATACAGAGGTATCATAGATATGCGAACTTCATCACAAAATATAGTACAGTTGCTCACCACATCTTCTCCTTGACCTTCTTGAGGGGCTCAGATAGGACAAGAGGGGTGCGCAGGAACATTTCCATCAGGAGGGCGGCAGCCACACTGACGTTCAAGCTATCGATGCGTGCGGGATCGGATCGGACACCCAGATCAGCGCTGTGTCGAGCGCCGGGGATACTGACGATGGCATCCGCATGCGATTTGATATGCGTGCTGAGTCCGGAGCCTTCACTGCCCATCATGAGGACACTTGGAGATTGCGTGGCGAGAAGACCACCGCTGTTGCGAGCACCATCAGGCTCCACTCGGCTGATGTGTGTAGCATCTGGACCTGGGGCGTCGGCAGCATAGAATCGCCAGCCATTGGCCTGCGATCGCTGAATGAAATCAACTTCATTCTTGACATGAAGGAGCGTCATGTTTTCCGCCGCGCCGGCAGATGCTTTGAGTGTAACAGGCGAAAGGGGTGCCGAATTGCGACCCGCAAAAATGATCGCATCGACTCCAAGGTAATACGCGGATCTGATGATCGCACCCATGTTACCGGGATCGACGACTCCGTCAAGAAGCAATGCCACCGGGAATCGTGGAGTTTTATCTTCGCGTGTTGATGATTCAGGCTGAATAATTGGAATGCGATCATCCGTACCGTTGACCAGTGCTTCCTCTCGTGTTTGAGGTGCCAATTCCACTTGGAAATGACTCTCAGTCGCGCTGGGAATGGCAGCCAAAGCCCGCACAGGCAGTTTGGGCAAAGGAGATGCCTCCAGGATGCATCCATTATGCGGTCTTCCAGCACTCATTTTGTCCAAGAGTCGATCCCACCCTGCAAAGGCCATCTTGATAGCAATATTCTTTGACAAGGCCAGCTTGCGCAGAGCCATCTTCGCTGGGCTGAGATCCTCACCGGCAGCCTGGTATACGTAAAGCTTGTAAAGCTGTCGTCGACTGCATCGAAGGGCAGCCTCAACCGCACTCGTACCGTAGATGAACTCGGACGCCGGAGTGGTGTAGGGAATCGAGTCGGGGACTTTGACATTGTCCTTGACGCGTTCTGGCATGGTTTCTGTGATTCGGTGCGCTCGCGATTTGGTCGTGGGGGATCTCGGTCTTGGTGGCATCGAATCGGGGAAAGAGTTCTCTTGTTTCCATCTTGATTGCCCCCGAGCCTGGTGCTCTAGGGGCAGACCTCGGAAATTGCCGCTCCGAATGAATTCACCTTCATCAAAGGATTTTCTGTCCCTATGAGGTCTCTGATCCTTAGAATCTCGATCTTCAGGGAATGCCCTCTCTCTGTAAGGTCTCTGTTCTCTGGAATCTCGATTTTCAGAGAACCTCCTCTCCCGTTGAGGTCTGTCTTCATTGAAACCACGATTGTCCGAGAACCTCCTCTCCCGTTGAGGTCTGTCTTCATTGGAACCACGATTGTCCGAGAATCTTCTCTCCCTGAAAGGTCTTTGTTCTCGGGAATCTTGCCTTTCTGAGAATCTCCTGCTCGGAGTCCGTGTCTCGTCACGGCGCGATCTTTGACGATCATCTGTAGACTCTGAGTCCCTTGGCCGGTACTCAGACCTGCGAATTCCGCGGCCAATGGCAGAATTTAAGGAGGCTTGTCGGATCAAGGTGCATCGTGCCTGGGTGGTAACTTGACACACACGTGCACCAATTGCTGGCCGTAAAATCCAGCGATGCATGTTGAATATATCAGAGAGAAATGAACTTGCTTCTCTCCTGTGTAAATGTACTCTGTAAACAAAAAAATCACGAGATTCATGTTTTTCTTCTTATCGATAAGGATTGGAGTAACGTGACCGAAGTCTGGACCGCTGACTCAGCGGTTGCGAGTCCCGCTCCGTAGCGCGCATATTGCTCCATCATGAAATTGTGCAAGCTTCACCTGTGACAAGAGTCTGTCACTTAAGGTGTATCCCTTGCTCCTGGGTTAGCTATGGATCTCGCCGGCCTGACACGCCCCGCCATATTATGTCAGTGCTCTCGATGTTCAAGTTCTTTGGCGGTGCTAGAGAATGAGTGGGCAAAACTATCAAATGCCTACTCTCTTGCGACAGCATGGCTAAGTGTGAACTTCAACCGGATCTCCATTTCGCCAGACAAGAAACAAATTCCTCAGACGCCGGATATGCACTTATTACGAGGTCGAACTACTCAAGAGGTCACTTGTAAACTGTGCCAACAGAAGTTGGGCGCTCTATGCACTTTGGACAATGGGTAGGTGGAATGGCCCCCGGTGTGGCCCGCGACTGAACATGCTGACTGTATTTCCAGGCCCAACATATTTTGGAAGATGTCACGAGTAGCATTTAGGGAGGTTGTGACCATGCGAACCGCAGAACCCCTCTTCAAGGAGGGTGCCCTCGAACGATTCCTCTGTCCTCCGAAAGAACCCTCCCACCAAGATTTCGATTTCCCTACTGAAGGTGCGTTAGTACCTAGCGGCGCATCTGGCTCTCCGATGGCAACGGCGGATCCAGCCATGAAACAGCACATGCAGCATCAGGGACGCAGTATCGATCAAATCTCGAATTCGGTGAATCACTTGCAGGATACCATGACGGATTTAAAACACTCGTTCACCGAGCTCCGTATCGAACTTCATGGAAACACCAACCATGTGGGCGAAAATGGAAATCTCCATAGCCACGGATTCGACATGATCACAACTGTGCTAAAGGAGCTGAAGTCCAAATCCGACGAGATTGAGAAATTAAAGCTGGAGATCGAGGCCTTGAAGTTGAAGAATAGGTTCATGGAGACGCGGGAACCACAGAATCTCGATTACTTGCATACGGGTCACAGCACACTCCCGGAAGTCCAAAGCCCTGGGTTGCTTCAGGCTGGGAGAAAACGTACATGGCCCGATGCATTTCCTCATGGCGCTGCGCGTACGGTCGCTGACTCGTTTGGGGAAGAAGATATGATTGATGATCTGCCTTTGGCCAATGCACCAACATATCTGGTCCGTCTTCCAATCAAGAATTCGAATTTCCCAAGCAGCAGCCAAAATCAACAACAGCCGGCTCCCGTTGCTCCTAGTCTCCAGCTTGAGAACCACGACCCAAACATAAACCTGAGTGCGGCCGATGAACATACAGATACTGCACAGCCAAGTCCATCCAAACGCTTGAGAATCACACAGTCCGCCGTGGAGCCGCCCGAGTCAGCAACAAACGGGGAGAAAAAGCGCCGCCGAGCTGGCCGGCCACGGAAGTCTGAAGGCCAAGCCACCAAATCTGCCATTGATCAGTCACCCAGCGGTCCTCCAGCAGGCTCGGAGGAGGGCAATGAGTCTAGCTTTTCCGCTCAAGTTCCTACATCCAACCCAATTACAAGTCAACCCAGTCGCGGTAGTCGCGGTGGTCGTGTTCGACGAAGCACGCGTTCACGGTCTATTCTTCCCATAGAGCCCATTGACTCCGAATCAACGAAGATGGACTCTTCTGTCCAAGATGGCTCAGAGAATGGTGTCAGCGGCGAGCAGGAATCGCCGAAGAATGACTACGCATCAAATCGAATCCAGGATAATGATGGCACGACGGGAGAACCTACATTGACTGCAGAGGAAAAGCGCAAAGCCAAAGTCGCAGCGCGGGACGCTATGACTCGGAGAGCTATGCAGCGAGAGGAAGCAATGGAGACTGATGACGGTCGATAATTGCCAATATGTGGTGAAATGGAATGGAGAAAGCCTCCCTCATGACACTTGGGGGCATTGTACAATATACACAATTTCGGTGGCACATAGCCCTTATGATTCAACTCGGCGGTAGCCTGTCAGAATAACACATTGTATCCATACAATTCGCAACCCGACCAAGTCTGTCTCACATTTGGCAGTGGACAGAGTAGAATACAGACTTCAATCTGTGAGTAATGATTTGCATCTAAATTCTATTCATAAGAAACGATCTATACAGGACTTTTCAAACTGTCACTCCTTTTTCTCTACCTCATCTAAGGTTAGGAGGAGCGTACTGTCGATCTCGCAACTACACCCAGACCACCCAAAAGTGCAGAAACACCAGTGAAAACAATCAAAGGCCCGTAACCAGTACCATAGCCTTTTGAAGCCACTCCTTCCCAAGCCTTACTATCCAGAAGAGCTCCACTCAACGGACCACTGACGATATTGCCAATTCCTCTCCCGGTTGACAAAAGGCCAAAGATGATGCTAGGATCCGCATACACACTCTTCTTCTTAATCTCGTTGACAACTGCCGGCCAGGTAGAAGTGAATGAACCGGCAAATAGACCATAGAAGATACAGAAAATGTAGAGCGGAGCAAGGGTATCTGAGAGACCCCAGATCAAAAATACAGCAACAGTGCTGCCCACGGTCGAAGCCAGGATGCATGTTGTGGCGTGGTAACGATCTACCATTGTGCCCATAATCACACACCCAAACACAGATGCTAGATTGAATAACATGACAGTGAGAGTAGACTCGAAGGTATTAGCTCCCAGACTTTTGGCATAAGTGGGGAGATAGATGGTTGGAAGGAAGTAACCCATGGCTTCCAGGATGTTCCCGGATTCATAGATCAGGAAAGTAGAATTCATAAGGAATCGGAAGTCAAAGGGTCGAGTGTGCGATGCACGAGAGATTGGAAGACGAGGACGAAGATAGAACAGCAATGGACCTCCCATTACCAAGAGAATGATGGACCAGGCACGTAATGCGGTTTTATGTCCATAGGTATCCAGCATCCACTGCAAAAGGATGGGAAGAATGACGCCAGAAAGACCAGTACCAGCCTGTAAGCCACGTTAGTTTTGAACCGTGACAGAAATACTAACTGAGAACGAGATTTGAGATATAGAAGTATTACTTACCCACATAATTCCAAATGCTAACCCCTTTCTGCGAACAAACCAGTCTTCCATGAACACAATCGTGGGAGCATATGCTAGACTGGCGCCAATACCATATGCAATTCCCTGAGATAGAATGAGATCGGTAGTATTCTTTGCAAAAGAACTGAGTGAAAGTGCCAGGCACATGATTATGAAACCAATTGGTGCAGCCCATAGCTTGAGGCGAGGAATTGCCTGTAGAAGAATGAAAGCGACAGGCAGTAGCATGTATGAGACACCCTATCACAAAAGTTAGCTCTGCATAAAGTTGCAATTGAAAAGTCTTGACTAGCTTACCATGGCGCAGGTTCCAACAATAGCAATATCACCTGAGCTCTTGAAGGGCTCATGAGTACTGTAGTAGTCTTGGAAAATACCATAAGAAAATGTGAAACCTGTAGAGGATTGAAAAAAAATTGATATTAGATTTGTTTCTGAGAATGATCAATATGTGTTGAAATTAAAACGAACCCCATATCAAAGCCTCAATCATAAAACATGCGGCTAAGAACAGCCATGCTCCCTTGCCTGTATCAACTGGTGGCAAATTGACATCGTGCTGTTCGGCGAGATCCTCCTGGGAGGAGATTTCCATTGTCTCCATACTGGAAGAAATTTTGGTGCAGATTTATTCAATAGGAGACTCAACACAACCTCAATTTATTCTGGGCGCCCGAAAAAAAGCTTAGCAAATTGCAAGCTAACACTTAGTAGGACGATCTTTAGGGGTTTTTTTGCCTCTCCAATTTTTTCACGCCCTGTTGGTGACATGGTGGGTCTACCGGAATTGGAACAGAATCTGTACACCGGAACCAGTTGACTGGTAGCCCTCCTGAGTCACCATCATTTGAACATGGAAATTGAAGAGATTACAACTTGGAGTGAGTAAAATTTCAAAAGTCATGTGAGAGAGATGATTCAATAGTAGAATTCTTCATTCCAATGTGGGTATTCGATCTTGTCTATATCATGATACATAATCCTCATAACTCCGTTCAATATGCAGTATACAATGGTTCTGGATGCCAAATCACTTCTCAATCTCATTCAATGCCACTGATATGGCATCTAACTCCCCATTTAGTCCATCAAGACCAGAAAATCCCTCCTCAATGGCCCATTTTTGGCCGTTCGGGCTGTGTAGAACGTGACAGCTAGCTCCAACAACCAACAGTCCTGGTGGCCGTGATCCTGCTGCCTCAAATGCTTGGCAAATATGCTCCAAGGTAGACCGAACAACTCGTTGATCAGGGCATGATGCCCGCTCAACGATAGCACAAGGTGTCTCCTTAGGCCAAAGAGCCCGTGAATTTGTTACCTCCTCAGCGAATGGTGTAGTAAGGGACTCAATCAGGGCAGAAAGACGGTGAAGTGCCATCAGGAACACAACTGTCTGAGTGGGAACATAGGTAGGAGGGTTTGGTGCAGCACCCTTTCTGCCTGTTCCAGTACAGACGAGCACTTGATCGGAAACACCTCGGTGCGTTGCTGGGATATCGGCGAAGAGAGAGGCACTCATGGCACTAGTGATACCCGGAAGAACAATGGGAATGTATCCTTCACCTCGGAAGAATTCGAATTCCTCAGCTCCACGACCATAGAGATACGGGTCTCCTTGCTTGAGTCGGAGTACTTGGCGTCCCTTTCGCAGTGCGGCTAGACCCATTTGCAAGAATTCTTCTTGTGCCTGATCCGCATTTCCGGGGAACTTGCGAGCGATATGAACTTCAGTTCGACGAGGAATCAAGTCTAGAACCGGAGATGGCACAAGCTTATCTGCTAGGATGAGGTCCGCATTTTGGATGGCGTTATATGTGGCACGTGTGAGAAGATCTGGGTGACCTGGACCGGAGCCCGCGAGCACAATCTTGCCCTTTTTAGAGATACTGTTGGCGATATGTGTCTCCGAGTCCTGGCTTTGACCAGATGAATAGGCTTTGAGAATTTCATCCATGTCGGCATCCGTAATAGAGACGAGCTTTCGAAGAGGCCAATATTCGCAAATCTGGGAAAGCCAGCGCGTCCTCCTTGTCTTTGCTGCAGCTACATCATCCTCTGTGACCAATGTATTGAAGGTGTGCTTCTGGCCTATAATATCGTCGTCATCGCCTTCAAGGGCCGCATCTGTACGGCCAGCGGCGTGATCTTCTTCCCATAGTCGGCGGCGTACGGATCCAAGTCGATCAATAGCAGCGCCCAGGTTAGGCGGTAGGAAAGCAGCAATCTCTCTCCGGAGCCGAGATGCAATCTTGCAACCTCGCCCAGATGTGGTAATTCCGATATGCAGCGGACCATCTGAATAAGTGGAAAGCAAAGTGAACGAGCATAGATCCGGTGCATCTGTCACATTGACCGGGATTCTCAGCCGTCGGCACAGACTTGATATATGCGAACCTGGCATTACTGGTTAGTAATTGAGAAAGGCATTATTGTTGCCGCATCGTAACTTACTTGTTGGATGGTTTGCACCCAAGGTGACAAAAACTGCATCAACCACCCGATCTACTTCTTCCCGACCTAAATTCTTCAAATCATCGTCCTGAAAGTCACGGCGTACCCATTGGACTTTCTCACTAGCAATGTGTTCTGCTAGAGTGAAATGGACGTCAACGGTTTCCGGCGCAATGATGATAGGCTGAGCGCCCGCTTCAAGGCTCTTAGCACACCGTGCAGCGGCCAGAGAATTGGCACCGATGATCAGGTGAATCTGAGACTCGACATTCCATGCGGTCATCAATGGCACCGCAGCACCAGGGCTATCTGTGGTGCTCTTCATGTCTTTGGACGTTGACAGTGTAGTATGCGTCGCCACGAGTTCAATATAAGGCCTGATAGATCCGAATTTTGAGGATGCAGCCAGTCAATAGTATATACGAGGCAAAACTTTGAATACGGACAAGGCCAATGGTCCTATATCTTCAATCTGCAGGTCGAAGTGTTTCCGCGGAGAATGGACTGAAGAGTACCTCCGGAATGAGTAAAAGGCCTGTCACGATTGGTGATAAGGTGGACCGATAAGCAAAGGCTGGGGAATCAGTCAACGCCACTGTTGGACAAATCACCACGAATTTGAAGCAAATTGACTAGGAGATTATGAGTCAAATCGAAGATTTGAAAAAACGTGAATCTTCTCCCACATATTTTTTTATTATAATTACTATGACTCTATTTATTATTATGATTTTTTTTCGCTTCTTTTTTTTAAGCATACAATTGGATATGTCCTAATGCGGTTTAACGCGAGATGGCGTGATTGCTACATGATGATGTCAGCAGGGGTCTCATCCAGAAGTAGAAGGCGGTAGTACTATTGCCGCGGGGCAATTACCGGCAGTATAATGTATACCCCTCCATACTACTATTATACACCAGTTGACGGTGGAAGATCTATTGATATGGCATTGGCATAGTCTAAATTGATCACTCTATTCAGGATATGGCACCGATACCAGATTCATATCCAAGTATTTACCCATGGCTATTGATAGAAGCGAATCGAGTACGATGCATCATATGTATAGACCGATCTGGTTAGTTGAGGGACCATTGGAGCTTGAGGTACCAGGCAGGGAGATGTAAATGCCACCAGGGCTGCCACGAAGTAATCATTCTGCATGGCTAATATTACCGACTTGACCAAATTTCGAATTGGTCAAATTTACTCGCGCCGTCGTAATTTCCGCTCTTCTCTAGGTTCTTCTATGGGTTCTTCTCTAGGTTCTTCTCTAGGTTCTTCTCTAGGTTCCTCTCTAGGTTCCTCTCTAGGTTCCTCTGTAGGCTCATCTTCGCCATCCTCGTCATCATCCACTTCCTCGTCCTCGTCCTCGTCCTCGATGTCTTCCCACTCGGGATCAGGAATATCTGCTCCCTGCAAATCATCTATCAAGATTTCTCCAATTTCATCATCTTCGACATCATCCTGAAGCATGCTGATCAAAGCTAAGAGCCCTGCTTGAGAACGCCAGGCATCATCAGGAAGGGGACGAGTAGGATCTGTAGAATCGTCGCTTGTCACTCCTGGATGCTCTGGAGTCGTTGTGTTGGAGCGTGAGGTTAAGTTCCCGCCAAGGTTGGGAGCAAGGCTCACAATGCGGATGGCTTTAGTTGGGAAAATTCGTGCAGGGTTATCGTGCTGCTGTTGAGCAAGATCACCCGGAATGTCGCTCAGGGTTTGGCGCCAGCCAAGAGTCTGTGAAGCGATATCAGCCATATCGATTCAGATCAGAGTCATTTGAGTCAGGTGTCTTGGAACGTACCGTGTAGGTGGTCATGATAGCATCGTCGCACAAGGTCATGAAGCTAACAGGTACAGCAAGTTGAGGTGCGGAGCTAGTGAGTAGAGAGTATGAAGCACGCGCAGGGGAGCTCGTGGTTTGGATCTTGTTTTGATCATCTAGGGCCACGATATAAATTCGGTCTTGGATTTCAAACATCACACGATGATTGCGGACCGCCAACCAACCACCTAGATCAAAGCTAGCACCATCCGACTCGCACTCAATGATCGAGGTGTTGGCAGCAGAGCCGGCTTCATCTTGGATTGCTTTGCGCCAGTCAGAGCAGATGAAGACCCGCCCAGCACGAGAAAAACCAACAAATAGATCGCCATTCAACATCCCAGCACCCCATTCATCCTCTCCATGGGAAATTTGTTCCGTATTTGTGGGAGATGTCACAAGGGGGCCATCTAAAATGTCAATTGGAGTCAGGCAATCCTTGCGAGGTGGTCCAGGAGGGAAGATACGATGGGTGGGACCATGTCGCGCGGCGCCAGCCAGGGCTGCACTTGCGGAACGAGAAGGAGTAGCAGGTGGACGAATGTGATATCTATCCGTACAGCGGGATGGATGCAGGGCACCCAAGTAGGCACCGGACTCTTTATCATAGATATGATAGCCACGTTGACCTATAGAGTATATTACGGCATCCTTGCTTTGATCCAAGTGACCAACAGCATCATGTTCGATCTTTAGGCGTGTTTTCAGCCGAGGAGGACTTTGCTCCATATCATACACAAAGCCTTTCCCTTGGTTGGACACTACACATAGCGTGCCATGGGAGAGTTGGAAGCCTCTGGTCTGGCAATCATGGTTCAAAACTGCGATGCGCCGAAACTCTCCCCGCGTTGCACCATCTAAGTCTGCTTGCCATACTTCCACCGAATCACCTTCTCGATCAAACACCGCTATCCCATCTTGGTACTCCAGGTGAGCATATGGCCTGACTGAATCTTCGTCTCGATCAAGACTGGAAGGCAGACGCCATAAGATCCGACCACTTTCCATATCGGTCACATTCAATCCTCCAATATGAGAAGTGGATACGAAGAAACGCCGCTTGAAGTCAGGGCGGAATCGCCATACTGGATCATTACCGACTTGGAGCACTGACTCTTGGGTAATGGGACAGGCGTGGGCCCAGTTGCAGGCAAGAAGTGTCTGGCGTTTGCATAGCTCTTTCCATGAGGTGGTACCTTCGAATAGTTTGGAGATTGTACGGGTTTCTTTCAGAAATGAGAGATCACGGGCGACGTTCGGTGGGTGGGAGGTCTTGGAGTCCGAGCTGTAAATGGCTTCTTGATGGGTGACGTCGATAAACTCGTGCCATGCTCTCGATAGTGTAGTTAAGGAGGCAAGAGTAGAGATTGAGGCAAAGTCCAAAACACGCAGGACAATCTCAGGAGGAAGGATAGTCAGGGGATCGCCCACTGACATGATCACCGTGATATCTGAGGGTTACAAGTGGAGGAGGGGGTGAATGTGGACGAAATAGAACACAACGATTCTGATTAGTATCAACCTGTGACGACATTGCAGGGACCTCACCGCCTTTGGGGAGTAGTTATCTTATCAGAGATAAGCTTATCTATCACGTGGCGATAAAACAGTCAACTGGTCAAATCCACACACCATTACACAGTAGTGAACCAGTTGACTGTGTGCGTCGAAGTAGATAAAATCTCCGCGGAGATATGATATGCATTGTCCGTATCGTATTTCCCATGAAAGATAGTTTCATTTAATTATACTCTGATGATTTTAATTTCCTTCATGAATCGGACTGCATCGAATAGTTGCCTAGCTAGACTTACTACAGTACATAGCTGGATTTACGTCCATCATGATCAACTCCAACTTGATGAAATCGGACTCGGAGATAGCCTCCCTTTTGACTCTAGTACTGTTAATTATAAGTGTAGGTGAAAACCAACAATACTGTACATGTCATATAAAAATATGGGCCGATCTTACAAAATTGTTTCCATAAATTAAATTAACAAAATATCAGGAGATTCTACTATAATCTAATTAGGCTTGTCCAGCCGTAACTCATGTAAACTCATGTCATCAGTGCGGGGGATCGGAACCCACCGATCTTGATAAGCTTAGTTTACCCCCGAAATATTCCAAGGTTTGAATTCAAAGCTTGATTGTTTTTCTTCCTTGGTCCCCGACACTTGAGTGGTTTCCTCACACGCTCTCCGTGATCATGACAGCTCAGTCTCTTAAAGAAATTACAGCGCATAATTTACGCACTTTCAAGCATCATTATGTATCCGAAATCTCCGGTTCCCTCGGTGATCTGGGAACATTTTTGCCCATCGCCATTGCACTAGCTATGAATGGCACTGTCTCGCTGGCGAGTACTTTGATTTTCTCCGGTGTTTATAACATTTTGACCGGTTTATTCTTTGGCATTCCACTTCCTGTCCAACCGATGAAGGCTATTGCTGCCGTTGCTATCGCCCGCAGCTTCTCGAATGGATCGATCGCAGCCGCTGGAATCTTCGTCGGTGCCTGTATCCTCGTCTTTAGTCTTACAGGACTGCTTCACTGGTTTGCAAATGTCATCCCTATCCCTGTGATCAAAGGTATCCAGGTCGGCGCGGGATTGTCTTTGGTTATTTCTGCATGTGGCGGCATACTCGCCCCCTTGGGATGGATTAGCCCCTCCTGGGCTGACAATCGCATCTGGGCACTGGCGGCGTTCTTTGCTCTGATAATTACCAATATCTATCGTCAAGTTCCTTACGCCTTGGCCCTCTTCGCCCTTGGCCTTATCCTGGCAATTATTCGCACCGCTCTATCCGGCCATTTACCAGGATTTGAGATATGGCATCCCTTCGTTGTGATTCCAGGTCCCCATCAGTGGTGGGTTGGTGCTGTCGATGCCGGTATTGGCCAAATCCCGCTCACTACTCTCAACTCCGTTGTGGCAGTCGTGCACTTGTCCCATGATCTCTTACCTAACGTTCGCACCCCATCCGTCACTCATATCGGTCTCAGTGTCGCCGCGATGAACCTCCTGGGTTGCTGGTTTGGCGCGATGCCAGTTTGTCATGGTTCCGGAGGATTAGCGGCCCAATATCGCTTCGGTGCTCGCTCCGGAGCTAGTGTGATATTCCTTGGATTGCTGAAGCTTGTCATTGGCCTTCTCTTTGGCGAAACGCTGATTGATCTGCTGCAAAAATTCCCAGGCGCTTTTCTTGGAGTCATGGTCATCGCGGCTGGCCTTGAACTAGTTAGTGTCGGAGAGAGCCTGAACACTTCTGGCGCTCGTGATGTGAGCCATGCTGGCAGTGGCTTACTTGGAGACGTGGAACAACATCTTGGAACTGTCTTTACGGATGAAGAGCGTAAGCGCCGCTGGACGGTTATGCTGGTGACGGTCGGTCTGCTGGTTGGATTTAAGAATGATGCTATCGGTTTCATTGCTGGTATGCTATGCCACTGGGCTTATGATATCCCGAAGTGGTGGGAGAGTGCCCGCAGACGCTGGTCAGAAGGTCGTCTGCGTTTGCAATAGATTGTAAAGTGGTTTAATGGGCCAGTCTCGTTCACATGAAATTTTCCATGGCTTTAAGGTTCTACGATTGGGTCAAATCATGCCAGTGGCACCAGGAAACCTTCATTCCTTGGTTTTACAAAAGATTCAGTTATATATGTACTAGTAGTGCACAGCTCAACAATTTGAATCTAGAGTACATCGCACTTCCCATACCCTTTGAAGGACTCTTGATCATGTGCATGTGCAAGTGATATTATTACAAAGCCATTTTAGCCGACTCTTGGACATATGTACGAGCATTTGCATAGTACCTAGGAGCGTAACTTGAACACCTGAGGCTACTGACAGTAAATTGATCAATAAAGTTCTAGAAAATGTAATAGTACAAGGAATAACTTTTAGTAGGACCTGTTCAAATTGAATGCTGAACTTATCACAAGAGGCCCGCCATAACCCGGGTCAATGCTTCATCTTCAGTATGGAACGCTTCGGGGACATTTGGTAGTCGCCCATTTTCGCAATTCGCAACACCAACATCCATTCCTGCTGAAAGGTCAGAAGCCATTGCAGGATCAAAATAAAAGCCACCCGCAATCTCAAAGAAGCTGCTGAGATCCTGACAATCATTGGAATCTGTTCCGGTCGCTGTTCCGGGTGATAAAGGCCAGAACGTCGAAGATGATGGCTGTGGAGTTGCCATTCCAGGCGTTTGACCAATACTAGACGCGTTGTGAGTTGATGGAGATTCAACCTGAGCGGATATAGGAGTAGAAGTCCACCCAACGCGGGAATCTAGCTGTTTCGCCCCGACAGAAGTAGGGAAGTGTGGGGTTGCAGTCATGTTTGGGCGTGGTCTCTGAAGAAAAGCTTCATCACCTCGGTCTACCGATCGGCTGCCGGGCTTAGACTGCCATTGTAAGTTCAGTTGAATTCTCTTCAAGCTGTGGATAATCTTCTGAAGGCGTCTGGATGTGCGAGCGCGAGTGGCCGAGCGGCGCACCATGTCAACAGCGGTATAAAACTCCGGTCGGCAACTTTGGCTGAACCGAGCTGGGGCATGTAAAACAGCGAGGAAGAGAGTGGCCAGGGCAGATATCAGGAAGTAGTTGAACGGCTCAGGTCTTTGAAAGTACACATTTGAGACCCGACTAAAATAATCGAGCATATGAACTGTGCTTTTAGCGGTCTCCACTGCAGTCGACGCGCCCGTAAGATCCTCTGCAATTCGCTCACTACTCAGGAGATTTTGACGATAAACAAGAATTCGAAGCTGATTGGCCTGCAGTGCAAGAAGAACCTGTAACATCATTGCTCGGTCGGTTTGCTCTGATCCCGCTGGAGATCGCCAGGTAGGGTCAAATCGCAACTCACGCGGGATTGAGTGCACCCACTGCTGGACTTGCGCATCCAAGAATGCGCATCTTTCTGAAGTCGCCTCTCGCGACCTAGTCTGCCACCCGACGACGAGACCCCAGATCTTTGTACTGAGCCGGGCATATGAGATCATACAGGTGAGATATGGAGTGGAATGACCTGGTTCTGGTAGGTTGGTGTCCATATCCGAGTCCTGAAGAGCAAAGGGAAGCCCCGTTCCAAAAGACCACTTCCTGTCGAGGACATAGATGCACCAGAATAAGCGACTTGCCCACATCCATTCCAAGGCACCGGGAAATACACCTCCAGTCTTGTGCCACGTATCTTGACAGTGCAGGCCAAGCTCCATGCTACCGCGGGCGGCCATACCAGTCAAACGCCAAGCGATAACCTCATCATCTCTGTAGGAATGGAAAATGGACTAATTTTGTTAATAAAATGCTTTTTATCACCCAGAAGAAAACTAAATGGCGTACATACCAGTAAAGTCAAAATAAGAATTTCTTTCATGTCAACTTCTGCTATTTTCAGTCGACTAGCAAAACGGTCTTCGACGCTATCTGCCAATTGTGCAGCACGTTCACTCCGACCGTGGGATTCCACCAGAAGTGCTGTGGCCAACAGAATCCTGAGAACCTGTATGTCTCTCGCATGAAACCAATCTTGGTCTGACGCCGCCGGTGCGAGATCTAAGCCGCGGTCGATTGCAGGGTTATAGGTGTGATGAAACTCCACAACATAGGTGCGCAAGCTGGCCAGATCAACACAAGGGTACATAATTCCAACTGTATCCTCGTAAACCTGTACCAGGCGTAAGGTTTCCTCAAGTTCTAATCCCATCAGCGGGTCGCTGCCAGTGATAGGCCCCGACACATCTCGATCCGACGGCGCGGGACTCAGACCAGCGCTTGAAATTTCGTCGTCCTCTTCATCAATGCTCTCGCTGGGGTTGCTTTGTTGTGAGGAGGACCGGGGCTGCTGACCGAGTCCAAATTCGGCACTTGTTGGACCAACATACGTAGGGGACTTTGGGGCATTAAGGATACGACCTAAGCCGGTGGCTGCTGCGGTTCCACTGGCTGAAACTTTGGAGGACGCAATAGGGCTGGCACCAGATTCGAGTTCGCGCAGACGGGCGGACATTGTGCGCATCTCCCATTGCAGGGTTTGAAGTTGCTGGTCTAGCGCCTGAAACCGATTGTCCACCCTACATTAGGTTAGTCAATATAATCATATTTAGTCACAGAGAAATGACTGCAAGTTCGGCTTGTAAACTCCACCGCCACTTGTGGTTGGAAGAGACTCACCCATCATCCTTGATTTCTGTTTCTTGTGTAGGGACAACCGGCCTCTGTGCTGAATATACACAGGGAATCTCATCCCGAGCACATCGAGTGCATATATTACCTCCACTACATTTCAATTTGCGTCTTTTGCATTCATTGCTAGGTAAGTCAGCATCGATGATATCACCTAGACAGGCTCGGTATCTCGGAACCGCATCCCCCTGTCGGTCTAGTCGACCCAGTTGGCTGGGAGACTTACCACGCAACCTGTGTATATTTTGCCCTTTTCCTGGGTCTTTGATAAATTCCATCATCGCGCTTAGTAGAATCGGGGGTCATCGTGTTATATTGCGATGATGTTGAAGTGAAGAACTTCAAAAAGATAAAAAGATCGGAAAGGCGGAATTGATCAGCCTTATCCGCTTGATAGTGGATCACGAGAATGGTCGGCTCCCTCTAGGCTACATTATATTCTACTTTGTCTTCTTTTTAGGTGAAATTTGAATTTATGTATGTAGTAATAGTGAAATTTTATGCAGATGCCTGGAATATCGGTGGCCAGTTCAAATGTCGTCAATTGGTGGTTCCTGCCCAGGTAAGTATGTGGATAGTTACAGGTACTAGTACCGAGTACAATGACATGTAATCTTCACCGATCAGAGCCCTGGACTCTTTTGTTGCATGTGGTTTGAGATAGTCAAACTTGAATCATCAAGCTCTCAGATCTGATCAAACTATAGAGGGACTTTGTCTATCACCGATCTGTGTTCGCTTGTCTTCTATTCAAGCCCAACCATTTGAACATTAGACGTGTCGGAACTCACGGAACGGGAGAAATGGGAACTTTTCCATTGCTTCCAAGGTTTATATCGAGGATAGGTGAGCCAACTTTTCTTACGAAGGACTTTTAGATTGGTGGATACATTTTGACATTGTTCAGAAGAACATCCCTGCATTCCAAGTTTTTGCTGGGAATCTAGAAAAAGTCATTCGACGAATGGGCCCAAGGTTGGTAGAATTAATCATGCAAGTCGCATATCTCACACTTCGAATTTGTTCTATGAGGTGAATCAATACTATACAACGATGTTTCAGGCCAATGTAACCAACTTTCTTTAGTCTCAAAACCTATGTATTTGTAGTGTTATCATCTGAGACCGGGTGCCTCTTTACTTGTGGACACCACCCCTGAAGCAAGATGCAGAAGGCATTCGCAATATCCCAAAATACCTTTCAATTACCATGCGCCAAATGGATGCAAATACTTCTTCATATCAGCCGCTTGGTATGCGTGGTACCGAAGCCCGGGGTGATAGTTATTCCACCAGATACAAGTTGTCCCATCCGCATCAATACAAGTGTTATTAGGGTAGCCATATTGATGTGGATTGTCCAGAATGCCAGTCATGAATTTCCAGGAATCGTAGAGGACGTATTGGATCTATCATTTGTTAGTTTGAAAGGAGGAACATAAATTTCAAAAATGCTCTAGCTTCAAGTTGCGAACTCACATCTGGGTGTTCATCCCGAAATCCCATGACCATCAGCTTTAGATGCTCATTGAAAACGGATAGCCACGCTGCATGAGCTCGAGAAGCATCTAAACCCGTTGACAGAATGTATGGGCTTCGACTGGTGGGTGGCACATTCAAAAATAGAAAGTTGCGCCCTCCAAGGTCGTAGATTTGTTGAGCCAGTGACTTATACTCCGCCATGAGCATAGGCACAAGAATACTGGCATTTTCAGTGGAGTATGCCCAGCCAACACTGCAGTTCATCAGTGAGAAATAGTCAATATAAGCATTTTGGAGAGAAAATAACGCACTCATTGATTCCAATCCAGAACCCGAAGACTGTATCATCGGAAGACCATGGCGCAATACCGGGCTTATCACCATAAACTGAAACGAATGACGCGACTTGTGTCGCCATGTCCTCAACTCCGGCATTGATAATTTTATTATCGATTGTTGCACCACCCACGGCAAGATTGTAGCTCAAGATAAGAGAGTCGTTGTCCACAGTTGTCAAATCCCCTACCCAGTTGATACCTCCTCCTGTTGTTCCGGTTCCTGTAGTTGGTGTGTTGCATTAGAATCTTCCCATAATCTCAAAACTCAGTAGCTTACAGGGTTAGGAAAGTGATTCACATACCTAAAGCGGGATTTCCCATGGGATCTGCAGGTGTTGCTTGTTCACCAGTTATGTTGAAGCTAGTCATGGTGTATGAATCTCCACTAAAAATTTCAATGAGTTAGGTTTGTTTTCATTATAAGGATTCTTGGGCATAGTTATTGATCCGATGATCATGATCAAACATTTTCAATTAGGAGCTCAGAGTTCGCATACAAAGTGAAGAAATAGGTAGGTGATGATTTTGAGTCATGAGGAAACGCTTCAACGGTGGCCATGGCAAGAGCCAAACCCAGCAAGTGCAGCCTCATCGTCGCTACAACACAATATCCTTGGAAGTATTTTCGTAATTAATCCTTTCAGGATCTTCGAGTTTTGGAGTAGGCACTGATTTGAAATGTCACGGTGCAAGCTCAAGTGGAAATTTCCCAGGTTGAAAAGATATTTGAAAGTTGATATTATTACCAGGTGACTTTTGCCACGGATGATTTTCCGTATCTAGGTAATAATTCCAAGGGACTGTCTCCGAGTCTCTCTGTTATGCATGATTATCAAGGATAATTAGAGTCATGGATGCACGGCGAAGGCTCCGTTTTAATGCGGGGTCTTGCATCTATCTTATGTCGCGACCTCTCCACATAAGCTGATCGTCATCCATGGATGCCAATGCAACCCAATGTTGACGTATCTTAAGTTTGTCTCGAAGACTAAACTACTTCTAGCACGGCGTTTTGCTTTGACAATCTCCAATTTGAAGTTTACAGACGCCCAAATCAACCCAAGTTGTGGACATTTAATATCGGGCGCATTTCTATCAGCATCCTTGAGATGAAAATAGATGAAAATAGATGAATTCAAACCTGGAGGCAAACATTTGAAACTTGAAGAATTGAGGAATTGAGAATTTGAAAACGTCTCCATCATCATGATCATATTGAATCTATTTACTCAAGTTTCGGCTTCTTAGATATGCAGACCCTCCATCAAATCAACATGATTTATGTCCGAGTCACCAAACCGTCCAAAATTCAGTTTGAACAGCTCTATACCAACACCACATACCAGCAGTTTCATTTCGCGTGATTTAACCAATTGAAGGGAATCATCATGACTATGAGATGCATTCCCACGGACAAGACTGAATGAAGCTATATCAGCCACAGAGGAATATTTGTCCTCCAAGAGTTGGACTTGGATGATTGGCGAATCAGATTGAGACCGATCCAGGATTAATCTCCAAATCTTGACCTGATGATCATTTCCGGAAGAGGCAAAAGTCAAGTTGACACTATGAGAACCAGCCGGGTGGACACGCGCAGATGGTTGGTTCAGAACTTGAATCGCTGTGACAGAGGCGGTATGGGCATCTGGGATTGACTTGGTCGAGACTTCGATGTGTGGATCGGATGCAGATATTTGAGAATGGTTCAAGAGTGAGATGGATAACGAGTTATCATCGCCACCGGCCAGGACCAGAGTAACTCCTGGGGAGATTGTGACACATTCCATGGCTTTGATGCTGTTCGAATGAATTTGATAGCGATCCTCGCATGTGATTCCAAACGCAGGTGGCTGCTGTACAGAGTATTGCTTGGATTTCAACCTCGACGAGTCAATGGTGTAGAAAGGCTGAAGCGTTGCCGTCAAATCCCAAAAAGTCAGATATCCATCGGTAGCTGCAGTCAACAGAGTCACGCAAGACCCATGCGGCAAAAAGCGAACTTGAGTTAGGCAATTCTCCATATATCTCCATTCAGCCAGCAGAGAGAAGGAGTTGTCCTTATTTGGTGAATAATGGAAAACCTAGATGATATTAGTTTTTTGATCTTGAACAACGGGTAACTACAGAGATGGATTGTTTTACCTTCACAGTAGAGTTGGACAAAGTCAGTCCCAAAATAAACCCACATCCATGCCCAGACTCTTCTACTTCGATCATGTCGAAGCTGGTGATTCGAAGCTCGGAGTCTGGATCCCCTTTTGGGAGCAGAAGCCACTAAAAGCGTGGCTAGTCCAAACGAAGGGACCCATTGTACTCGCCAAACGAAGAATTCCTCTTCTGCACTACTGGTGAAAAGGAATTTCCCATTTTTTGACCAGGAAACGTGCTGCAATCCAGATCTGTGTGTGTTTAGAACACGGAGGGTCTTAAATGCGCCCCAGGGACTTGAGCTGGTCGAGTCTGATAATGAGAATATCCTCACTGCAGTGTCTTCCGCACCCGTAGCAAAAATAGGAGGCGAGCCTTGAATTGAGTCCAAATAAGCCGAGGATTTAATCTCTCTCCCATGAACTCCAGCCCGGAGGAGACAATTTTTATCCCCGAGAAGACGGCGGGAGTTGAGGCCCTGTCGATCTTTCCAAAATAACAGTCCGCCGGCTTCACCTGATGTGCAGGGGTGAAAGGCCCAGTTTCTGCGAGACCCACCAGAACTCACTGCTATAACATCCGAGTGTTTAGACTCGTTGTAAAGAACAAAGTCCTGAGATCTAAAGCCATAGACCATCAGGTCATCTGTCTCTTCATCTATGTAAGAACCTGTTATATTTCCACCAAGTCCAGACTCTGTTCTATGAATCGTGCGGAGGGAAATGGAATGATTGGAATGTCTTCCAAGATTTATCTCATGAATGCAAATCTTTCCGTCGCGCCCACATGTTTGAATATATTCGAGATCGGAACCATCCGCATCCTTCACGGAAGAGATTGCTCTAATATGGTTTGTGCCATCGCGGCCATGAACGCGTCGTTCGACGATGAGTGCCTCTGTAGGAATATTTGAGTTTCCCACTCGATGCACTGATAGTCCGCCAAGCCTGGAGCCTAACACCAAATAATTATCGCTATGGATCAGTGAGGCAGAGGAGAGACCAAATGGAGACTGCGGAAGAGTAATTGAAATGCTTTTCACTTGAGCCAGGTCAGAGTTCCAATCTGAGACCATCACCAATGTTGCAATTTCATCTTTGGCGTAGGAGGCGACGAAAGAAATGGTATGATGTGAGTTTGCACTGGGGCTGCTGACTATGAAGAAAGCCAAAGGGCGTTCATGCAGTTTGACCAGATCGGAGACCGATTTGGTCCTGTGGTTGTACAAGCGTACGTGGCCCTGGCCATTACTTATCAATGCTAGTCCCTCTGCAGGGATTCCAGCGATTCTTTGGATTGGACCAAAATCCGAGTCGTTATTGAGGGATTCCCATGTAACGATTGCGGTTTCTCCCGAGCTCACAGACCCGACCTGGAGTTTGTTTTCCTTGTCAGATGCAATGAGGCAATTTGGAGTTAAGAAGGCAAAATGCATAACCTCATTGAGTTTTGGTTGGGGTTCTCCTTTGATTTGTGCTAGGTCCGCAGTTGAAGTGTTAATTTCATTGATTTTGAAACGCTTCAGAGCCCCGTCTGCACCTCCAGTATAAACCCAAGTCTGATCCCCATGACACCGAAGATCCATAGACCAAAGATGCTTTCCAACATGTCCGCGCGAAGACTCCCGCTGGGATAACTTATATGTCTCAGGGCTAGAGGTCGACGACTGCCAACTCAAATCCCAAGCTATACAAGTAGCATCCTCACTTCGAGTGACAAGTCCAATCCCAGAAGAGCTCATCGATCTTGGTCGAAAAAGAATGTCCCAGATACGAGCAGCATGTCCAAATGCTTTTGCCACGCACCATTTAGACTCAGTTTCATTATTCTCGCCACTGGTGGATCCAAAACCTGTACTGCGGAGATCAAATCCATCTGTGGAGTAGGCAGATGGGTCAAGAGAAGACTTATTTTCGCAGTCCGAAATATCCCAGATTCGCAGCGTCCTGTCATCACTGCAGCTAGCTAAAAGTCGTCCGGGTTGGCCGCCACATAACGATGGCAGGGGAGGTGATATCCGTACACCGAAGACAGTTCCATCGTGTCCAGTGAAAAAATGATGAATGGATCCAATTGCATGAGCAGCTTCAGTATTCTGATTTGGGTCTGTGAAACAAGACCAGACAATGATCTCTCCAAATATAGTTCCCGCAGCGATAAGCACATGAGTGGCCGAAAATGCGATAAGGTCGGCTGCACAGAGAATCGACTTGACACTTGTTGCCAGCTGATGCACTTGGATTTGTGTCTGGTAGCGGGGCGATTCAATTTGTTTCAGACGGATGGTAAGAAGGGCGTTGTTGGCCGTAATCAAATATGCCTCTACTGATGCGTCTTTCACCGCGGCACACCCACTCATAATCCAGTCTGGGGCATGGAACTCCGCAGATGATAATGAAGAGATAACCCTGTCATTTTTATCCAATCTCAAGTCAACTTCTCGGAGGGATTGGCCTCCCCAGACTAAGATTCGGACACATGTATGTTCACCCTCATCCCACCTTGATGTCAATGGGATGAAGCCGTGGATGTTGTTACGTTTGAAGACGTTCAGTTGAGTCCTCACATTGCCAGACTCATCATCAATGACACGTAAAAATGGGCCTTGACCTTGAAGAATGAAGTGATGTTGACCCCACGGGAATGCTTTCAATGCCGTTACTGGCACACATGCATCAATATGCTACGAGGTTTTCGTTAGCAAAATTGTTCTCCTCGGGACATTACTTTTGTTGGATTTTGATCAAAATACATACCTCAAGTAAGTGAGACATTCTGCACTCGTTTATCCCCTAGAATACCCACGTTCTGGCCTTTCCTCATCAGGTTTCTCTTGTTTCTCCAAATCGCACTTTCTTTGCGCTATCTAATTCTTGCCCGCACTAGTCCTAAAACGTATCTTTATCACCACGTGACATGATTATCCAATTTCGTGCCTTGATGCCTTATATTTGGTGCCTCAAATGTCAGGCCACAAGACCTCTCCCTCGCTCAACCTTGGAACGTGCGAATGTTTTTCTCTCTGTGGGTCACATCCCAGAGCTGCAAGCTGTCATTGATATTCTGCAGCTGGTACGGAGTACATATCCTACCTAGGTTCCTCCCTTGGCACCCGAATGTTTACGTCTTTTTTTTCTCTCTTAACGGCTGGCTATGCAGGCTCAACTGCCATACCCCTGTCAAGTGTGGCGATTTTACGGAGTACCCCCGGTGTCTCGCTAATTTATTATATGGAGTTCATGGACCACAATTGACACATCCACACAAACACAGACATACACAAACATACACCGTTGAAACACAATGGAAAACCAGGGTCAAGACAACAGGTCCCAATGGGAATTTAAGGCCCGAAAGCTTGAGATCCAATATGCACATTGCCAGGTGGTCAACGAGGCCACGGCGCCAACATGAAACGCCGAATGGACTCCGGAACCCGGTCATTCCGTCTGGATCGTTTGAGATTAGACAAGTGGTCCACTCTTGCAGCTAGCAATTTTTTTGCTTTGTCGAATTCATTTCAACCAGTCCAAAACTGCAAAGCCACCGGTATTTCAATTTCAAGCTTTGTGCCTGACGTTGACATGTCCACGTAAGCCCTACACTGATTTAAAGTGACGCCCCACTTAACCCCATCGCCTAGTGTGTTTTCTCATAACAAGACCCAAATCCTCTTCATTTTCCCCCCTCAAATTTGGGTAAATTTGCTAATTGATTTGGGAATGGAATTAGGATGGAGTTTACTCCAATTGATTCATTTTCTTCATCAGAAAAGATGGGGCTTCACTTCAATGTTATATCCACTGTGTGACCCTCAGGCCCATGAATTTTGAGCATAACAAGGAACCACCTCCCTGCTCCCGATTTCAACTTCAAACTAGTGGCAGCCTACTCCGTAGCTCGATGCCAATGGCTGGGCCTAGTACGTTCCAGCCGGATATACGTATGCAATCTCCATACAGATGTGTGGCCACACCTCCTGGTCTCTATTTACCGCCCAATCAGCCACCCGTTCTATCGCCCACAGGATTTCCACTTTTCAAGTCTTCGTTAGCAAATTAGCCCCCCCAGTCATAAGGCAAACCGGCATTTCCAAATTTCGATATGGGGCACCTGGGCACCTGGGCAGATTCTAGTGTGTGGAAGCATTCGTGGCCTGTGAAATCGACTGTCTTGGCCAATAAGCCCATGTAATTATCCTTTCCCCCGCCAACCCCTAATCGGGTTGGTTTGCTCTTCCCTCTTGATGGGGTTTTTTCATTTCTTTAGAGATTATATCTCCTTTCCTTTCATCCATCACTTCAGTGCTGTGCATCGAAGTATACATTCTTTTTTCGACGACAAGCTCTCGTTCCTTGGCTTGCGTCCAGTCATTCTTTTCTGCGTTCGAGTAGACTCATTCTCTGTCGCTCGTTCGTGTCATTCATTTTCGTTTTCATCAAAAAACCCCCCCCTAGAATCGCGACAAGTTTAAATCAGAACGAATACATTGATTTTGGAGAATGGTGTCCTCAATTCTCAAGCTGGCCACCCTTGGCCTTTTGGCTGCGTCGGCCAATGCTGTCCCTGTGGTTTCGCGCCCGTCGATGCAGAAACGAGGTACAAGCACTAAGCGCGGTGCTGCATACAACGATGCAGACCTCGTCACTGCTCTGAGTGACAGTTCTAGTACTATGGCATGGGCATACAACTGGGGATCCTCTAAGGATGGTGATATCCCAGATGGAGTCGACTATGTGCCTATGCTCTGGGGTTCCTCCTCTTCCTTCGTTGACGGATGGGTTTCGGCTGTGGAAACCGCCCTTGACTCTGGCAGCTCATACATCTTGGGCTTCAACGAGCCGGATTCGTCCACCCAGGCTGATATGACCGCCTCCGAAGCTGCCACTTACTACAAGGAGTACATCACTCCCTACTCCGGCGATGCTAGTCTAGTTAGTCCTGCGGTCACCTCTTCCACAAGCTCTGGTGAAGGTCTTGACTGGCTTGAATCTTTCTTGGAGGATTGTTCTGATTGTGATATTTCTGCCATCGCTGTTCACTGGTACGGTAGTGATGTTTCGGACTTCAAGTCCTTCGTCGAGGAGGCTATTGATTTGGCTGATGATTATGACATCTCGTCTGTCTGGATCACCGAGTTCGGTCTCGACACTGATGAGAGTGGTATTTCCGACCTTACCACTGCGGCTGCTTTCGTGAAGGAAGCTAGTGAATGGCTTGAGGAGCAATCCGCGGTCACCCATTATGCTTTCTTCTACTGCGCCAATGACTACATGCTCACTGACTCTGTGGTAAACTCTGTCGGTGATGCCTACGTCGCTGTTGGTTCTTCCTCTTCCTCTTCCTCCACATCATCCTCCTCCTCTTCCACCACTACATCAAGCACCACTTCCGTTGCCGTCGAGGCAACAACCCTCGTCTGGACCGAGCCTGCATACACTACTACCGAGAGTGAAGTTACCTATACTACTTGGGCTGCTCTTGTCGGTGAGGCTGCGTCATCATCCACCTCCACTCCTGAGCCTGTTCCTACCTCGACCTCGACCCCGACCTCGGTTTCAACTTCCACCATCACCTTGACCTCCACCACTACCGTTGCTCCTGTGATTACCCCATCGCCGACCTCATCTTCCGTCCCTGTTCCCACAGTTACTGTGACCGTCACTCTTGATGCCAGCCTCAAGCCCGAAGGTGACGACTCATTCGTTTATGGAGCCTGTGGTGCCAGTTCCACCCCGCTGAAGGCACTCAGCAGCTTCACAACACTGGCCGCTCCTCAATCAACTCCCCTTTAAATCAAGTCATTCGTGCTGTGAATCAGTTTCCTGTGAATAGTTCAATCTTTTGACCCACTGGAAATACTCAAACCTTTCAATCACTTCCACTTCTTTTATTTGCTTCCAACGTTCTTTCCTCTTTTCTTCCTGCGCCTTTACGGAATTCTCTTCGTACTGGATACGGATTAGAGTAGATCAGCCCCACTGATCTACCTAACTCTTATTTAGTCTACTTTATACTATATTTATGTTGGTTGCGATATACAATTACTAGAAATCTGCTTGTTGGTCTCAGTTTTTTTTAGCGATACCAGTCCTTTTGAATTTGAGCCCCAAACTACGTACAGAAGCTCCATGTGCCCCCGGGTCTTATCTATTGGAACCTTTGAGAATTCCGTATCTATTCATCCGACTCGTAAATGGGCGGAGACTAAACACGCGAGCCTGGCATTCCTCTCAGTGTTAACATCATGGATGCGCATACCGAATTGTTTGTAATAGGAAAAGCACATGCAGTAGGTTGACAGCTGGAGCATGCCACTCCACATGTGCAGCTCTGACTCACACATGCACAGTGCGCACCACCACATGCTGGCAATTATTATTACTCAGGGCTCCACATACCGTGACATCACATGTGCATGATACTATGCATCATTTGAAGCCCTGCTAACAGATGAAGCTGCCCAATTGGGCTACAGCCACAAGGTATATACTAAATTGTAGTACCCGAAATTGAAGTACAGCCCTAGAGTTCTCCGGCTGCCAGCACACAAATTCTGCAGCCCAACTAAACGTCAGAGAATCAAGCTTTGAAGAGAACTGACATCTGGAAGACTCAAGACTATCCAACTCAACGTCCGAATCTGCACATTTGATTTGAACATTGAAATTGGAACGCCGGGTGGTCCTTCCGAGGGCGTACTCAAATGTTGCCAGTGGAGGTGAGGCGGCGAACCATCATCCATCATCTAGAGATGCTAACGTAATCCACGGCCGTCTCGGCCACTCTCCCCCACTAAAAAAATTCAACGCCAATTATTTCAATCAACAACGAATTAATTCGACTAAATATAACAATTTTTACATACATTGATCTTATGTCCAAACTCTCGACATCCACTACACCTAGGCTGAGCCCTAGGGGCTGGCTGATTCGGCTGAATAGGCAATTCAACCTGGGTGTGTGATTCGACCATAGGTTGTTCGACAGGCAAGTTCATCCGCGTAAGTAGCTGTAGGCCTTCTTCAACAGTCAACCCCTCTTCACATGGTATCTGCCTAGCTGATCGACTGCGTTTCTGCCTTTTCTTCTCATTTGCTGCGCGTAATTTGGCGTTTTCTTCTGCTAATAATGCAGTGTTATGTAGCGCTATGCAGTGGCCTTTGATAATCTGATCTAAGATCAATTTTGATGGGCTTGGAGGGCTATTTGATCGTTGTTTGAGAAGACCTTTAAGCAGTGAGGCTTGTTTTTGAAGCTGAACCACAGTTCTAGGTGTTTAAGGTGAAAATTGACTAGATCTGCTGCTTGGTCGGCTACCTGGTGGTGTAGGTGTCCATAGAGAAATATTCAATTTAGAAAGAACTCTCTCAGCATCAATTGGTACTAATCCAGTAGCTAAAAAGCTATTTTGGATAGTAGTTGGCCGAAAAGCCTCAACGCGTGCGCGTTGGAAATCAGCTAAGAAATCAAGCTTATTAATATGGTTATAGCCTGTACGTGCAAGATCACTTATAAAGCGACCATATGCAACCTTAAGTACTGCAAAACATCCAACATCAAGTGGTTGTAGTAGATGTGATGAATGGGCAGGCATACAGAGCGGGATAATATCATTTTCAGCACAAATTCGGTCAAACTGGGGTGTAAGATGGCTTCCATGACCATCAAGAATCAATAGCCGAAATCGACCATGGACACGTGAATTTGTTGATGGAATGAAGAGCTTTTGTAACCAACGCAGGCCAATTTCATCAATAGTCCAGCCATTAGGTGAGACCTCAAATCGCCAGTCTTTTGGTAGATTATCAAACCAGCTTGCTATAGCAACTTTGTCTTTGAAAATCACACATGGTGGTAATGAATAGCCATCTGCACAGATTGATTCAATTGCAATCACCCATTCACGGTTTCCAGGTTGTAAAATAGATCGCCGACCGTAGTATTCTTGTCGTGTAACAACTGTCTGTGCTGAAATAAGGCCCATTGCAAAGCCTGTCTCATCAAAGTTGTAAATATCTTCAGGTTGGATCCCATTCTCATCAATAACATGTTTCACGGTTATAAACCACTCTCGTATGGACTTTGGGTCTTCATTTAGTGCACGTTGGTAGTCATAGCGTCTTGATAAACGTGTACGAAGTTCATCGTGGCGTTTAACAAAGCTTGAGGCCCAATTAATACCAACAGTAGATGGAGGATGGCTACCACGCGCAGCTAATAGAATATCTGCCATTTCTCGTACAGTAGTAAGCCTAGGCGCTGCACCACGTGTATCCATAGAGATAATCCAGTCAACAAGCGAATCCTCTTCTAACTGGGTTAGCTTATGGCCAGTTGGACGACTTTCGACGCGTGAAGGTAGGCTGTTGGCGCGGTCGGTCAAGGTTGACCTAGGGATTCCGTATAGGCTAGCTGTACCGCGAAGAGACTTTATACGGCCATTTTTAATACCATCAAGGGCTAATAAGGTCCTGCCCTCTTGGTTGGCTTTTTTTCGGCCGAAATATTGCGTAATGGTCGCATGGTAGGTGTTTGAATTAGGTAGGGTGGTATAAAGACGCGATTTTTGGTGGGGTGGCCGAGACGGCCGTGTGACCGAGACGGCCGTGGATTACGTTAAGACTCGGACTTAGTACTACATAGGACCCATTGTTAGTAAACACTGGCATTTTTAAATCTGTTGGAATTATTGTTCAACACTTTAAATTGAACTTCCACTGGCACTGCTAATAGTAGTAGTAGCACCGCTGCTCATAACGGGTAAAAATCACGGATATATAGAACGGGTCCACGGGTGCAATCATGATGACGGTATGGCGACGTTTTCCAACGGAGGGACTTGAACCCTTTCGCGTAGTAGATTCGTATCTTTCACCTTGAGTTTGAACCGAATATCTCTGAAGAAAAATCAATTGAAGTTCTTCAAGTATTCATCAATTTGACTCGAAATCTGAACGCTACCGTGGTAGGATACTATCATAATTCAATCATGGCAGATGCAGTGGTCCAACTACGATGCGGAGTCAAGGTAAGCTAATGGATTTCGCTGAAAGCAGTGAGAAATATCAAGAATAGAAACTCACATAATATTCTCATAGAACGATGACTGGGGGAAGAAAGGAAAAGACTCCGTGGTTGCTCAGTTGTGGTCTAAAACTCCAGGAAGCCCGCCCATTGATAACAACCAGACCTATTCCGAGGTGAAGATTCAATATTCAGCAATCTGAATTGCTACAATAACTAACCTTGAGCCAGATGTGGATGGGCACTTATCCATCAAACCAGTCATACCTTATCACAACGGGTGAGCCATTGGGTGAGTATTTGAAGAAGAACCCACAACTGGTGGGTAAGTCAGTTTTGGATCGCTGGGGAGCCGAGATTCCTTTTCTCCCTAAGGTATGCAGTTATGAACAGTGTTCGATCTTCTGTTGCTTGTGACTGACTTTGGTGCTGTGAAACAAAACAGATATTGTCGTTCTCCAAGGCTCTGCCACTTCAGATCCATCCAGATCTGAAACTTGCAAAGCTGTTGCATCAACAAGATCCGAAGAAATATGGCGACACCATGCATAAGCCAGAGATTGCCATTGCATTATCCAAGTTCGAGCTCTTCGCAGGCTGGAAACCTCTGAAGGATATAGAGGCATTATGCAAGCTCAAACCGCTCGAGAAGTTTGTCCCTTCATCTCCGAGCTTTACAGATGAGTCTCTTCGAGAGACATGCAAGTTGATGCTAAAGGCCTCGCCGGAAACGGTTGCTACAACAATCAAAGAGTTGCAGAATATCCCTGAATCTCAATTTGGCTCAGATCAGTATATCCCTGGTCTGCTGGATCGTCTGAGCAAGCAGTACACGCCATGCGACAACGGCAATTTGGTTGCGGCTATTTTGATGAATTACCTCATCCTAGGACCTGGAGATTCCGTCTGGGTTCCAGCTGATAGTGTCCATGCATACTTGGAAGGGGATATTGTTGAATGCATGGCCAGATCTGACAATGTCATCAATACTGGCTTTTGTCCGGCTACGGAACGTGACAGCGTTGATCTGTTTGCGCAGGCGTTGTCTTTTATCCCACACAATGCTCAAGATGCGCTTCTGCCCCGTCAGAAAAGTGACAAAGGCATGCATGGGAAGACGGATGTATATGCACCTCCAACCAGCGAGTTCAATATGCTTCTGACCAGTCTTGGACCGGGTGAGAAGGAAACCCACAAGGCTATTCTTGGTCCTAGCTTGATGATTGTGACCAAGGGATGTGGCAACATGAAGATACCGGGAAACCAGACAATTGAGATGAAAGAAGGATATGTGTTCTTCGTGGGACAAGGTGTCGCGTTGGACTTCAATACCGCGAAAGGTATTGCGATTTATCGCGCATATGCAGAGTGATGATGGCATGGTAGCGAGTGAGAAAATTAGCAAGTGTGTCTTATTTGAGGTGGGGTTTACTCTAAAAAGTCAGGATAGAAAGGAGAGGCCATGCTATTGAGTTATTGAAACATAATTTCATCCATACTAGTACAATGTAAAGATACAGCGGTCAAGTCTAAACGACTCGCTGCACGACTGTGCCGACAGGACGCTCCACAACCGTGACCAGGCCATCCACGATGCTCTGTCGAGCACCTTCACTAGAAACGGACTTTCCAGCTAGATAGTTGAGCCACACAAGTCGACTGACACGTTCGTCAGCAACGCGACCCACCCAAGACATCGGTTCCGCCGCGCTGGGTTGGAGCAAGGCCTCGAGAGCACCCTGGCCGGTGCGGAGCAGGAAAAGGGTCTGACCCTTGGGAAGCGACTTGCGATGACTTCCACCGAAGATCGACTTGAATTCATTCATAGCTGTTCCAAATCCGGCATCATCGAACTCCCCAGGTGTGGTCGAACCGAGCGCAGGCTTCTTCTCCTGAGCGCGATTGGTGATAGAACGAACCCAGCCATCACGGAGATGCATGAAGTCAGTATTGCGGGTGGGAACAATGCGGAAGACAGTTCGGATTCCGTTTTCCTTAATAAGAGCGTTCCAGGCAGCATCGCCGTGCTCGGGGTCCAAAAGTAGCTCCTTCAGCTGCTGACGCTCGGGGGGGTACCAGTGATGTGGCTGCGTCAGCACCAATTCCAGAAATAGCGGCAGCCTCATCGGATGATGCGACAGGGGGGTGAATGGCTGTGCGAACGAGGCGTTGCTGGAGCTCCGTGATATCCGCCTTGGCAACATAGAGTCCAACAACATAGACCTGGACTCTAAGGAATGAGACTGTGCGAATTCCCAAACCTAGCAGTTGATATTCATCTCCGTCCGATGTTGTAATATCATCGTTTGTCTGTTTGTTCTCCATCTCGGCGATCGAAGGAAGACGAATCGTAGTAGGGAAGTATGGCACGGTGCTTGTGCCGGTCGGAACTTGGTCAACATTGTCTTGGCCTTGCAGAGGAATGACAGATGGTCCTCCATCACTTGGAAATCCGGCAGGTCCATCCATCTTCAGTGTACCATTTTGTTGGTCGGTGGTAATAGTATTGGGCTCGGAGGTATTCGTCGCGGGTTCGTTCTTCTTGTTGCTCTCGAGTGCATCAAGGCCGAAGATATCCATTTTAATCACGCCATACATAGCAGCAGCACTGGCCACAATTCCAACTGCAGACAGGATTATGGACTTCTGGTATTGAGCGACTGGGGCATTGTCCTTGCCTTGGCCGGCAGCGCCGGTTGAAGCCCGCGAGCGGAGGGGATTGGCGCCGGCATGGTTTGTAGCCCGGAGGGAGTTACTTGTGGAAATAGAGCGAGCATTGAAGCCATGAAGCTTCTGGCGCACCAGACCCTGGTATGCACGCCAGGGCGCGGTTCGAAGTAGAGGCGCCATTTTTGACACTTGGAGCAAGTGACAACGCGATCATCATGGTCACCTAGTGATGTCAATATAGAGGGCGGTCTGGAAGGCGGTGAAGCTGAAAGGGGGCATGACTCTAATCAACTCTTCGTGAACATCCTTGTTTACCGTGTTCAGGACATTAACACTTGAGAGCATTGAACATGATCATATTCCAGCTTAATTCTTTTGAAATTTCATCCAATAAAACTGCCATTTAATATCTCCTAGTGCACAGAATTACTGAATTATCAGCCCAAACCTTCCATCATGGGATCTCATTCATATCTCCTATACAACAAATCATTGCACAACAATCTTATGAGAACCTCCCCCAGTCAAACTGAATGATGCAACATCATTGGCATAACTCACCGCTCCCTTGACTGAAGCCCCATCGACCTTAATGGATGGCTTCTTCGATGATGTGATATATGGTAGTGTGATATCCCCAGTGGTTCCCTTAGGGACCGAGAATTCCACTACGTATTCATTTTTCAACTTTGTCCAAGATGCCGAGAACTTACCGAGATCAGTCACAAAGCCCGCCTCTGCGAATGTGAGATCACCGAACTGGGGAGAAAGATCCCACTTCGAACCCAGTTGAGATGTGATGGAAAGTCCAACAATATAGTTTGTCAGGGAGGATGTGGGACCAGATGCCCAGCCATGGGAGTGAGAGACATAAGACGGGTCATATCCATATCCACGACTTGATCGGTACCCGAAAGTTCCATTGATGAGATATCCTTCAATGACAGTGCTCTCTGTGCCATTCTCGTTGTTGATGTACCAGCCCCAGGTGCGACGAATCAGATCCAAGGCACGTTCGGGTCTCTTCACCAGGAAATGGCTTTGGATTTCGAAGGATGTGATAAAGGTAACAACGTTGTCTGGAAGTTCTGGCGAGTCGGGCCCAATGGGTGTCCAGTTTAGAGTCAATTTGTCAGAAATACTCTGTGCTCTCTCCGAGTCCACGACACCAAACATGACAGCCATGCTGTTAGCGTCTTGTGGGTGGAGTGTGGTATCGGTCGCATTATCCTTGAAGGCACCGTATGAATCATCCCAGCAGTAAGTGTTGATCGCTGTCTTAAGTTTCGCTGCTCGTGCATCATATGTGGTGGAAAGACCAGTCGTGTCTCCAACCCACGAAGCGAGATCAGCGCCGGTGTTCAATGTGTGGTATAGACTTTTCTCATATTAGCTTTGAAACAGCCCAGCAGAGGAATAGAATGAACAAACATCATCTGAGCCTCAGAGTTATTATATCCTTGCTGCCAGCGAGCCCAATCACGGATTCCTGTGACATTCAACAGTCCACTAGGATAGGTCACCTTGTCGTAGATGTATGTCATGGCAAGGGTGTAGCCATCCCAGTTCTCTGTCAGAAAGTCTGTATCGTTGGTGTATAGAACGTAGTTATATGTGCCAATCATTGTCCACATGTGGTAGGTATCCGATCCAGTCTGGCTGAGTGGAGGGCCCGATTCGTCAAAAGCACCAGTTGTTTTGTCCTGTTCACAAGAAGGTCAGAACTGGAAGCAAATCAAGCGAGGAAGACGGAGAGGGTTTACCTGGGTGTTGTACATCACTTGCAGCGCGTTCTTAACACTTTCCAAATCTCCTGAGACTCACTAACGTGGACGGAACCGCAATACCCATATCTCCTGGCCAGACAGCACGGTCTCGTTTCGCGCCATCCACAATGATCGTATTGCCAGGTCCCAAAGTTCCATTATTGAGCCATCCAGTTGTGACACCAGAGGTGATTCGTCCAGTATCTACTGGGACCTGGTTTGTCTGAAGAGTATAGGCCCCGGTATACCAGATGCGGTTGAGAAGCTCATCACTGGAGTGAAAATATCCTTGATATGCCCGCAGGTTTTCCCATGTTGGCTGGAATGCCAATTCAACACTGATGTCTTCCACCGTCACACTTGCTGAGTCACTGGTGATCAAGAAAAGAGTCAAGTATCGGAATCCACCACGAAGCCTTGGATCAGGCATACTATAGGAGTACGTGCCAGCGGACGTGAAATTCGCGTATAGAGCTCCATCGTGGTAATCAGCGTTGGAACTGTCAGACCATTCGCCGATCCAGTTCTTTGCTTCCGAGAAGGCTATCCCCAACGCACCGCTCCCAGTGGAGGTATAATCGAAATGAAGAATGCCGCCCACTTCTAGACCAAAGTCAAAGACCACGAGGGATCCATTGCCATGGAATGTTGCTCCAGTAGGTTTCTTCTCATTTGTCGTGGCATCGGTCTTCAAGTCCGAGAGGGTTGAGACTGGTTGAACTGTTCGTGAAGATGGTGCGTAGATATTGTCATTCCAAGTTCCCTCGAATGCAACTTCTGTGGGTCCAGAGCAAGTCGTATTTCGCCAACAATCCTGAGCTTGACTGAGAGGAAGGATTGAGCAGACCCCAGCCAGCACGCAAAGCCAATATGAGCGAGCCATTTTGTGTTGATCCACTGAAACCGACCAGCTTGCGACTAGATGATCTTCGAATGTCCGCACACATGCATGCCTATATAACAATTCAAAAGATTTGGACTCCGGAGCTACCAGCCGTGTGCTCTTTGATCCCTGTTAACTCCACTCGGCATTGAATAACACGAATCATCCCCCTTGATTGCTCGGGGAGTAAGTTATCCGCAAAGAGATGAAGGCATTGGCCCGTAAGGTCACAATATTGGTTTATTGGTGGGAAAACAGTTAAATTGAAATGTAACAATCGTTATAACATGCAGGTCGGACCTTTCAATAGCCCCGCCTTTTAGCCTAAAGCTCTCAAGTGCTTTTGTCTTTAAAAGCTACAAATATCATTTCCCCGCAATCTTATTCCCCGCAATATTTCTTCCGTTGTTTCGGCATAAGCTCCACCGAGGGACTATTCTGGTTGGAATGTCTTTGCAATTACCGAAAGGGGTCTATACTAACACTGAACTAGGAATGGAAAACGTTTGTGGATACTTTCAAGTTAATGATAAGCATTGGAACTTGAATCTTGGAAAATCAAGTTATCCATGGACCGAGTCTCTATTAGAGGTACTAGTAGAATACAAATATGAAACTCAGCTTGATCGCACAGCTCGATAATCTAACATCATGACGCGACTCGGAAGATCATGATGCCCGTCAGAGTGCGAAGGTCTATTTTCTCTCTCGCCGAGGTGGATCTAGAGTATTTCGCCTCCCCAGTCCACTTCCCACTCCACCTCGCACCATGGCATCTCCCTTCTTTCCCAGCACAACTTCCAGAGCCTGGATCAGCGCATTGGAGTCATACTGCATACCAACGACAACCTCCTGGCCATCGGCATTCATTGTGATCTTTCGTCCATAAAGCCGTAGTGTTTCGATTCCCATTTCCGTCAATCTTTCTCTATCCACATGTGGAGTGCCTGGTCCATCGAGATGAAGAATATGGGTCACGTAGGAGTTATAAGGAATTGAGTTATTAGACCGAGTCTTTTCGGTTGTCGATGTAGTTGTAGAGAAATCATTGTGTAGCTGAGACCTAGCAGACCTGCTCCCACGACTCTCCTCGCCAGCGCGTGCGATTGCCTCCACAAAGTCGGATGCCGAGAATGCTTGTGATGGTGGACCGGTCTCTCTATCCAATGAGCCGTTCAGTATGAGGATCTTGTGACGAGCAGGACTGGCGAGAATGCTCCTGCCTACACCGCGTAGGACGATGGCAGGAATAATGGATGTATAAAGAGACCCTATACTGTAGATAATCGCTTGGGCATCATCCAAAGCTTCAAGGACGCGCGGATTCGCTGGTGGGCGAATCTCCTGGCCGTATGGATTAATATACCAGATGCGACTGATTCGAGATGGCAAGTCTTCATTTTTAGCCTTGCTGAACGCGATATTCTTATTCCGCAGCGTAGCAAGGGAGCCAGGGAGGTGGTCCTCTTCATAAGAAACTGTGTCTGAAAGATCTGAAGGGTCAGTGTCCTCGAAATCATCTCCATCGGCAAGAAGCAGACTTGGCCGTCTAGCCTTATGGGTCTGACCGAGAGTGGTGGATTCACTAGGATGTGAGATGCTATTCTGGCCAACAATAATTGTACCATCGGCAAGAGTCGCAGAGATGTGGTGAGAGAAGTTGGAGTTGATTGCCGGTATCACTCGTACATTATCCGAGTCCACACCGCAGATACTCCCCAAAAGATAGATGGCACTTTCAAAACTGCCGCTGAACAGCCGTGCTCCCGTTAGAAACAAGTTTCCGACGCTGGCTGAGGTGAAATCGAAAGTTGAAGATGGTGGTCGCGCTCTCTTCAAAATCTCCAGGTTCAACATATTGAAGAATGAGCGAATCAGCTCTTTCTTTGCCGGCGTAATCGCTTTCCATAACACGGAAGTGCCATCAACAATAGATAGCCATTGCTGAGATGCCGCAACTGCCTCAGCAGGGAGACGATGGTTGAAAAGAGATTTGATTGCCTTTTTCTCCGGATTGACAGGTGAATCTGGAATCAAACGAACTAGTCTGCCTATTTATAGACATCAGAGAACGAACTGCGAATCTATTTGACGCGCCATGCCTTACTTCGCACATCACCAATTCCTGGTCCTCCAAAAATTCTAATCAACTCAGACGAAGAGCCGCCATTATCACTGATGGGAATGACATAGCTTAAGCTGCACTCCTTACTCTCACGGATCGCGTTGAAGACGTCCACGAGGTTGTTCGCCGCACTTCCTCCGGAGATAACCACAATCCCTCGGTTCGGGGTTGTCATGATAATGACGTGATCGCGGGAGAATCTGTGTTAACAAACTGCGTGTGTTCAGACTGATAGCAAGATATCAATGTTCAGGCCTTGTGAAAAGAAGGCTGAATGTGAAGGTTCAAGTTCTTCCAGGTGTTAAACTTGGTAGGGAGAGAATGTTCTTTGAGCGGTCCGAACTCGAACCCGGTTATCGTAGGCAATAACATAGACCAGTTGACATCAACCTCAATATCCTCAATATCTGAGACTGAGAATTCCATATTTTGTTTAACACTGCTACTTCAATCTTGTTTATTTAACAACTTAAATTTCAATCGCACGCTTTCGAAAAAGTAAGTTTTCATGAATTCTTTATACTAGGTTAAGCCGTATACTAGTATTTACATGTTTGCTTCCAGTGTTTCATATAGAGCAGGAAGATATTTGAAATTGAGCAAATTGAACATTCTGGATAACATGGAAGCAAAAACACATTATGAGCAAAAACCCAACCCAAAATCAAAACCAAAACCAAAACCAAAGCACCAGTTGACCAGTAACTGGAATGATACTCCTAGTTAGTATTCAACTTCCTTCTCAAGCATAAGTTTGAGAGTCCGAATATAAATCGACATCGAATATCAGAAAGCACCTGTAGTGAATTTGAGTATTATTATTCCATCAATTGAGCGACAATCCCAAAACCAAAAATTCCCAAAAAGGTCTAGGACATCCGGATCATGCCAGTGTGCTCATGATTCCAAGGGCATCTGCCTGAACGCAATGATCACTAGATAACATAGTGATTTGCATGGAGCACATTTCCCGGGACTCATCTAGCAAAACACTGCATACCAGGACTTTGAAGTATCATCTGTAGTATCTTCGTATGATCGTCAAGGGTCTTCTCCCATCGCTTCATACGATCCTCGCACTTGACAAGACGACTCCATATCTCGTCCTCTTCCAGCCGGTGAATACACACTTTCTTATCTGATGACCGAGTGTTTGGGAGATCAGAGGTTGAAGCTCGAGGTCGCTTAGCTGAGCAGCCGTTAGTAGCTGGAATAGCATCTGTTGAGCTCTCTGGTAATGCGTCGATATGCAAACTTCTAAGATCAACAGTGGTTGGCTGGGAGAGACTGGGATCTTGAAAGTGCGATCTTATGCCAGAATGGTCATTTTTCGAAGTCCCTTCGAATATAAAATGACCATTCCCTTTCTCGATACTGGATCCTTGCATTTCTGTATCTGTATTCAAGTTGCTGTCTGATGCAGTGCTGGTAGGCCTTGTGATGAGAAAGAATAAGAATAGACCCCTTCAATATGGTATACGACGAAATCTTTAGCTTACTTTCCAATATTTGCTTCGTTCCCTTGTTAGAATTCTGAAGTATCTCATTGTAAACGAGCTCATCTCTCTGAGCCTGCATAGTTCCATCCACTGTCATGGAACGGATTGGTCGATCCTGCACCCCTAGATCTGACGCTGGGAATTTGCTTGGTGGCCAAGTTTGACGCTTCTCCATCCACTGGTTTGGAGGCAGAGATTGATATCTCAGCGAGCTTATAAGTGGTGGCTCCATTGTTTGGGGTCCTGCTTGGATAAGAGAAGCATCAAACTCTCGCAAATCTACCAGTTCCCCCATTGGGGTCCTGGGATGTGTTCTCGTTTGCATCGGTCTTTGCATCAGGATCACCTTCATGGAGACAGTTTCATAGTCTTCACGATTGGCATTCCGAGCCTTTGAGGCTCTTTCCCGTTGCTTTGCATATACACAGCTCCAATCTCCCTGTGGGTGCATCTGTCGATGCTCATGGATTAGCTGATTGACATGGGCTTGTCTGATTTCAGATAAAGTCTGGTATTGATGTGCCGCAGATACTTTATCGGCTCGTTTCTGAACCTTCTTGCGTAGCTCACTTTGAGATAGATCCATATCCATTCGCTCAACCTTAGTCCACGAAGCCTTTTGGCCTGGGATTGGATCGGCTTTGAAGAATTTATAGCCTTTGTATGACACTGAGGGGATTTCAGGAGAGCTGCAAGGTCCTATGTTCAAGTTGGTCAGTTAAAGATATTTGCGGAAGTTTGTTATTTCACGAAAGGCACACCACGCTGCAAGGATTGAGTTTGAAAGTCCGAATTTGAATCCCTTTGACTGAGGTCTTCAAGGTTATCATGGGTCACCCAAGAAGTCATCGTTTGTGTAGGAAAAAGTGTAGAACAAGATATGTATACTGCGGTCTCTCTTCATAGAGAAAAGGCGGAATGAGGATGAAAATTTTGAGGCTCTTTGATGATTCAAACTTTGGAATTTGAGGGCACTTAGTCCTTCTTATACTCCCATTATAATGCAACCCTGGGTAATTGCGGCTCACATACCTCCGCAGCCTGTAAAATCCACTTTGAGCAAGACGAACCGAGGAGGCGATGTATTCTGTAATGAAAATTTCATCTAAATGCGCTTGACTGGGAGCTGAACGCTAGAGTGAAGTCTCAGCCTCACTGACGCATTAGGAGTATACATGTATGATGTATCACCCGGGTAATCGTGAATCGTGAATCGGGCGCAAGACCTGGAGACTGCCCCCACACTTAACGTGTCACGAGTGACATATGCATCATCGAAACTCTAGTCATCAACCACCATTGGAATATTAAAACACAAATATTATGAACTTGAACGAATTACCCTTGCTCGATTTGCAGCTCATATGGCCTGGCTAAAGCAATCATAAGACCAGACCAGACTGCGCTGTTGGCTGAATAAACCAATCAAAACATCTATTGCCACATATTGGCTGTGCTCCTGTGCTCAGGCCGCCTAGTATGCAATACGGTAAGCAAGCAGGCAAACTAATAGGCACAATGTGCACCAGAACCTTGGAAGCAATTCTCAAGGTTCAAAGCCTTGTACCAATTTACAGCCATGGTGGACCTTGTGCCTTTCAATTATTGGGGGCTAAAGTTTTTTTTTTTTTGGCAGCTTTGAACCCTGGCCCCTGAAGGATCTACAGAGCCGCCTGGTCCTTGAGCCTGCAGTTATAAGATTCAAAATTTCCAATCATCCAGGTTTTTAAGAATGAACTATGCACAACATGATACTGGACAATGTATCAGGAGTTGACGATTTTGGATACCTGCGTCTCCTCAATTCCAATCCAACAATCAGAGACAATTACGCAAGTCAGGCCGGCTCAGCCCCCGATCTGCAGTCGATAAATTTGGAATCATCGATGCCTATTGTTACAGAAAGGAATTTGCAGCGGCCCGTTTTAAAGGTGCACAAGGCTGATATACTATAGGCTTAAGAAGGGTAAACGTGGACAACCCCAGACCCTACCTACTCTGGCATCCACAATAAGCCGCATTTGCGTCACTGAAGCCCCGCAGTTCAGGAGAGAAGCCCAAGCCCAGCTTGGGCATATTTGAAACTTGAACCGATTGACAAGGTAGAAAACAACTCTTCAGGACGCCACGTTCAAATCACGCATTCCACGGTTCAAACGACATCCACGGATATCATCGTAAAGGTATATTGGAAGATTCCAAGGTTAATACAAAATCACTTGCTTGATGTCAATGGTACAGAGAGCTCCAAGGCTCAAGATTTGAAGTTAGTTGACTGCCGCTTTTGATGACTTCAGAAGCTCAAATGCTGAAAGCTTCAAATGTTCAATTTATTTAGACTTATTAGTCAACCTTGGAAGACGTCTACGTAATTGAAGAGAAGAGCCGACGAATACTCAAATTTTGAATTTAGAAAAAAGGCGATTCTGATTACAGTATTCAAGTCCCAATGCTGATTTTGGATGAAAGAACGTTAGATTTTCGCTTCCAAGGTTCAAATGTGCCACCGAACATAGATATAGCTAGACATTCTGCTCTTGTTCATACTAGTAGATATACAGTATCAATTCGAGCTCAGGCTTGAATGGACTGGAAATCAATTCCCTATGTTGACTGTTTCCACATTCGGACCCTTGTAGACTTTTCTTGCATACAATAAATAATACGCAATAATCATGATAACAAATCCGATAAAGTATTCCAGCGAGTAATGAGCTTGATTTGTTCTGATGTTGTATGGCCAACAAGTGATGAAGACTCGGAACATTGAAACGCTATAGATCACTGCGCAGCAGTTTATCAATATGCCCCAAACCCCGGGGATTTTAAAAGAACCCCAAACTAACTTTGCTCCATGAGCATTGATTTTTGAGTCGTCAAATTCAGCATGACGTGAAATTTGCCCTTTGCAGCGACGATACAGGAAGAGGACACCAACTAGCGCTTATGATGCACACTAACATTGATTTGGAACAGTGAAGGTCGAAAGAAAAATTGTGGAGGGCCGAGCCAAAGAAGCGACAGTGAAATCGATACCACGACCACTAGGTAGGTCGAGTTGTTAGGAAGATTGTGATGAGAAATCTGGGACTGTCATTGAAAGATCCATGCAAATGTTAATTTTGCAATGACGCGATCAAAATACCTATACATTTTGTTAAATTTGCGCCGCTCCCAAACATCCACTAGGTCTCACAGGTCAACCAAAAGTCCGTGTGGATAGTCAAACTGTCCTAATTTCATTTCGGCCTGCTGCCATGGTAGATGGATTTCTTTCCATTGCGGGTAAAGTATTTCCTCACCAGCCACCAGGCGATGGATATTTCGCTTTGTGCTGAAGACCATGTTCCATGACCTCTCCTCGTGAAAATGACCTGGATCATAGCTCTCGATGTCCGAATCTTGGGAGGATGGTCCTGCTCGTCTGTAGGTTCCAAACAAATTCGGAGAAGGGGCTAACGTGCAATTCTGTGTCGATCACCCACGCCTCCACATAAATCGCTCAAAGCGTTGTCCACTGGGATCTCGAGATGATCGACCGATAAAGCCGCAAGGATTTTCTTAGCTCCTTGACTGGTCACCGCATAACCATACAAACAGCATCCCTGTTCAGCCCGATATATGTATCTCGTGGAGTCTTCTGGAAAATGCTCTTTCCAGATCTCTGGGATACCCGCTGCACCAGCCCGCTGCTCAACACTGGCAACTGTCGGATCGTTTGGTATGGCGTAGAAATGAGTCTCATTTGACCTGGGTCCGGATATGCAGCCGCCAATCCAAAGAAAATCCCAGTCAAGCCCATAGGACGCCTCTGGGTGAACTTTCTTGTTGCCCTGTACCGCATGTAGGCCTCGAGCGAATTCGATGAGCTGAGTCTTGATGTTCACATCCCAGTCCACGTCGTCTTCCATGATCAAAGCAGTTGTAAAGGAATTTTCGACCACTCTAGAGTTTCCATTTATACCTGTAAGTAAATAATAGAGGCTGACGGGGATAGTAAGGGAGACGCATACCTGACTAATGCATTCATGTGAGCACGCCAGCATGCAACAATATTAGGCGCAACACTCGAAAGGTTCATTCCCTGTATTGGAATGAGTGCTTCATGTCATATCTCACTTTTAATCTCGGACAAATGAAAGCCTCGCTCACCTTGGGCATAGCTTTCTGCTTCAAGCTATCGGGTCGGACTCCGTTGAGCCAATCTATTTTGAACCCGGATAGAGAGGCTGCTAAGCTGAGAAAATCGCGTTTATCGGTTCGTTCTGACAAGCCTATGGCATATATGTGCTGGAACTAGATGTAAAAAATCAAATCAGTCAGGACATTAACTCAAGTCCAGATAGCAGAGCTTGAAACAGGGAAGTTTAACCTACCCCCAGAGTCTCATTTGGACCTGATGAAAGGTTCCATTGCTGATTGAACTATGCGAAATATAGGGAATTTCTTTCGGCCATCGAGTGTCTGCTAGCAAAGCGAGCAGTATATTAATGATAACATAGGTCGCCGCCGCTGCAAGTAGTATTTGAATGACCTTGTAACCTTTGGTTATCATGGTGAGGTGATCGGGTATTGGTTCAACGGATGAAGACTATGTGGACCGAGCAAATATTGAGTTTGAGACGTCAGGAAATAATAACCAAGCAAAAGGAATCCAATGAAGAAACAACCTGAGGTATATCCACCATTCATCATCCGACAAAATGCCGTTCGCCCTGGCATAAGTATGCCCGTGGGTCCATAAGTGTCACGCCTTAAATTTCACGACTAGATCGACGTCCGGATTCATACTCCAGGGCTGAAGATCCAACTGGGCACATTCCACGGCTAGAGATAGATTTTAAAGAACTCCCACAATATTTTATCTTCAATAATCATGATCTTCCCAGCATCAACTTTGACCTCACTGGGTTTCTGTTGTGCACCTTGAAAGAATCTCCCTACGTAACTTTGTTTTGCTTTCCAAGGTTGGCTCATCCTTCACAGCTTATCCTTAGATCCAGAATAGAAATTCATCTCGACAGATTCTCATTACTCGAGTCTACATTCCAGGTTTTGCAAGCTGTTGAGTGTTTGCCAAATGCGAATAGACGGACTCTGTACCTGTGACAAGATCTTCAAGACTATCGCTTGAATCAAAGGATATGTCCTAAATCGGGTTATGACTCATGAGGGGATATCAAGATATTAGGCGTCTTACTATCGATATTTCCATTTGCAGGTAGGTTCCTACTACACATCCGACTTTTTCCGTAGATTTACATTCCGACATTTCAATATAGGAAGATACATACCTCCTTATCGTCTCACCTCGCTAGCTTCGGCATGGAGTATCGCTTTCCGTCCTCTGGCACTACGTGCATAGGTAGGTCTGGAAATGATTTATACACGGGATACTAGTACCGGGGAAAGAATTATCTATTCAAATACGCTATGGTAGCCGATATAGAACCCTTTTTGACGGATCGCGAAGGAATATTCTCATTTAAACGTAGTCGCTAGTAGCTTCGGGGTAATCCCAAGACCTTCTCACTGACGTAGTTCAAGATCATCTCCCGACTGACGGGTGCAATTCTGGGAACAAAGCATTCACGTAGGTATCGCTCCACGTCATATTCCATCGCGTAGCCCATTCCTCCATGGGCCAGAACCGCTCGTTCACAGGCAGTGAAAGCAGCCTCAGCTGCAAGATATTTGGCGCTGTTGCAGGCTACACCGATCGCATGAAATGGAACGGATCCATCATTTGTATCGTAGAGTCGAGCTGCATGGTATGTTGCATGCTTTGCTGCCTCCAATTTCATATAAGCATCCGCCAATGGATGAGAAACACCCTGGTTTTGTCCGATTGGTCGACCAAAGACCACGCGGTCCTTTGCATACTGAGCGGCCTTCTCAAGTGCGGCGTAACCAAGACCCAGTGCTTCGCCTGCCAGCAGACAGCGCTCAGCATTCATTCCGTGCAAGATGATCTTGAATCCATCATTCTCTTGACCGATCAAAGTGTTTTGAGGAATCGGGTAGTTGTCAAAAAATACTTCATTTGCATCGACGGCGCGACCGCCCATCTTCTTGATCTTGGCAAGATCCAACCCGGGATGATCACGGTCAAGGTCGATGCAGAATATAGAGAGACCCTCCGTTGATTTTTTCACTTCCTCTAGGGGAGTTGTTCGGGCAAGTAAAAGCATCTTAGAGGCGACTTGCGCACAGGTAATCCAGATCTTTTGACCGGAGACAGAGTACCCGTCGGATGTTCGGGTAGCCAAAGTCTTCAGTTTCAGGGTCTCAAGACCTGTGTTAGGCTCGGTGACCCCAAAACAGGTTCTCCACGTGCCATTAATAATGTTTGGGATGATTTTTTCCAGTTGTTCTGGAGTGCCAAACTTGGCTAATGGCTGTGTGGCATACACGTTGGCGTGTATAGCCTGTGCTCCCGCCATTCCAGCACCGGACTGGGTAATAGTTTGCATCATCATGGTGGCCTCGGAGATTCCTAGTTATAATTTCCATTAGAACCTGAAATATTAAATGTTTCGCTCAATCTAAGCGATACACACGTACCTAATCCAGCTCCGCCGAGTGATTCTGGCAGTGCAATCCCGAGCCAGCCATCTTTAGCCAGTGCTGCATGGAATTCCTTGGGGTCCTTTTCTTGTTGATCGCGCTCCTGCCAATAGGTATTGGGAAACTTGGAACAGATATGAGAGATGGCATCTCGAACTGTGATTTGTTCCTCTGTAAAACCTGTCATCTCCATGAGCTTACATGGCGCCGAGGTCGCGAATGTTGCGCGTCCCAAATGTAAGGAAGTGGCCGGGCGGATTGACTGCAGCGTCAATCGTGAGCGCAGTAGGGGGTTCAAGCTTGACCGAATCATCATGATGTGTTATTTGAATGATTTCATTTCCTCCTCTTGAGCTCCAGATGTCTCTTCTTATTAACCAGACCCACGTCCAGTTGAATCATATAGCCGACTTGGGGAGTTGATCAACAGTGATCGACACCCAAGTAACCGAGTTGCCGAACTCACCGCACTCAGCCTAACAACATCATGATTTGAATGTTTGAACATGGGAATTTCAAGGTCCGACTTGGAGAATTTTGAAGCTTTGAGTGAATTTCTCCTCAAAAATGCCTAGCTAGTTTACATGTCAAATTTTAGAAGAAAGGTCCCGAGGTCTAGAGTTCTGAAGTCATGGAACTCGGGATTGATGCAAGTTCAAATGCTCACTTCATATGTGTTATATTATTTCGAGTCCAACTTGAACATTCTTGATGTCCGAGTCAATATTTCTTCAACTTATATATTATAACCTTCGATGTCAAACTTTGACTGACCCTGAATCTCTCACAAGATATCCATCATAGGCATGGCAGTCCACTCTGATGAGTTCTGCTCAACTTGCTCTGTCTGCTCCAATTTCTCTTCGGAAAGACATCTTTCACATCGACAGACAAAACGGAACGATCGCTGAAGGTGCTCACGGCGCGAGGTGAGATCAGTGTGCTGGGTCAAATCGAAATATGATATACAACATTCTTCGCCCGGATGAATGTCTCTAGAGGCGGTGAAAACCATACAACCTTGATCGTTGGGCTTATGAACAATCTTGTGCAAATTTCTCAGTATACTTCCATCGACAAAAGGGGTTGTGAGAACTTACATTCGGTGCACATGAATGATTAGCCATCGCTGCTGTGGAATAAACGGCGGCGGCGAATTGCTCCCCTCTAGGGGGCTGTGACTCTGGTACAGGGAAATGGCCAGTCTCCTTTGGATACAAGCCAAATGAATTGGCTTCTTCTTGACAGACAAGATGAAGCACTTGGTCTGTACTTAGTCCATGTGGCAAAATTGGACTGTTTTGAAGATACTTCTTGACCAAAACGGTCCATGATCGGACCCGCTCATGAGACCAAGTATCAGAGGATCCACATAACAAGCTTATACTATCCCAGCCAGATTTCCACCCTTTCAAAGCCAATTCGCTCTCTGAAACGCTCTTCGAGTGCCGGCTTTCACCTTGTCGAGTTGCAAGTAGGCGAACAATCACCCATAACATCCCAAAGTCATATTCCCCCCACTTGGCTCGTATGGACTTCGAGTAACGTTTCAACCAAGTGCATTCAAATTCATGGCGAATAGTGTCCGCTTCTCTGCATGAACTGCTGCACCACATGACATCCTGGACGCAAGAATTCTGACAGGTACATCGTTCTGTGTGGCGAGTGACTCGCTGATTACAGGCTGGGTTGCTGCAAATGAGATCTTCATTTTCCGCAGGGTTATCGACAACTGGAATAATTGCATATGGGCGATCGATAATAAGACAAGTGCCTTTCGGAATAAGGGCCGAGACCCGAAGTTGGCGGCCCTTTACCAAGTCGATATCTTGGGTCAAATGTGGATGAATCCAACTAGGATGTGTTTGAAATACTGTGTCTACACAACTTGATGGTTCAACCGTAAGAAATACGACTTGAGACATGGTGGATCACAATGGCGCGATGGGAGTATATGCAGTGGGCTTTACAGAGGAGGGTTTGGGATCAATTCGAATTGGCAATACAGTACCGGCAAAATTTTTTTCTCTTTTTTTTCCATCTGGGATTAAATGGATAATTCACGGAAGAAGGCTTTGGTTCCGGTGGATTAGTGGGGCAAATTATCGCCATCTTAACCATTTGACCAATATTAATGCTCTATGGATCCCCGAGGTGAGGTTATCTGAAGCGATCTCGATTGATTGGCGGCTGTATAATCGCGTAAAATACTCCACTTTAATTGGTCCAATTTTGAGCTGTAAGGGGTTCATTCAGCAGCTTCCATTCAACTACTAAATTGCATTTTTTATATGGCATTCCTTGAGTATACTAACATTGCTACCTAGCAATTATCTATGCCGTCGTAGAAATTGAAAAATTGAATATCTAGTCATACTACTACTCAAATGTCTTAAAGTGCCCTCTTGAAATCCTTCAATGCTTGGTCAAACTCGTACGAGTCTTATTTTGTTCAAGTCAAGTTTCTTATTCCATATGGGTGCACAGTGCATAAATATCTCATTTCCTTATGGCTGTCTCTTATGTAGCCTAAGTCGAACTACAGTATGCATGAAAGTCCAGATGTCATTGAGAAGCCATTAGTCTCACTTTTGAAACCCCTTGAAGTTAGGGGACTGCATCCGATTACTTGAATGCAGTGGAACTAAAAGATAAAAGATATTATAGATAGGATTGATAGCTAAGGAGATGAACTTTAATCTTATCAGATCAAAATCAATAGGACACATATCTTCCGTCAACTGGTAATCAAGATTCCTATGGTGCCCTGCACCCAGATGAGATTTCGTTGTGCGCCTGCATAGAACTTTGCCGATCCATATATGACTTCAAGTTGTTGGTTGTTATGTTCTAATTCAAGTCCTATAGGATTATGCTACATGGCTGTGCATATTGGCATACAACCTTGGAAGTTCAATCTACTAGACTTCTCAAATCCGAAAGCAGACTCTCTCCCCGATGTTCTAGCTTGAATTTCGTCTTTAGAGGATTATAATCTCATTTTCTTGTTAGCTCAGATGAATAATTTAGCTAATGCATGTGGTCAATTGATTTAAGCACCATTCAGTGACCACTCGCACTCAAGTGCTGTCATGCAGATAGATGCTTCAAGTTGAGTCAACAGGATGCTCAATCAAAAATCCCCTTCGTGATAATTGATGATGAAACTTGACATAAGTGAATAAGTAATTCACTGATAAGCATTATGCATCATCTATCTCTATTACACTTCTCTTTTTTTTCTTTTGAAGTATCATTCCATCCGGATGGTGCTAAAAGCCACGCTAGGTATGTTCAAGTGTTAATCGGCTGGAGGGGAAGAACCCTCATTAATTACATCGAACTCCAACCCCTCGAATAGCCCCTGAGCATTTTCTATCACCATCCTAATCATTTCTAGTCTACTTCAAGTCTGAAGTTTCATAATTTATGAAATTTGTGATAAGATCATCTTTGAGCGAGGCCATGGCGTGTCATGGCGTGTCATGGCGTGATTCCGACATATTTGATGCCATGGACAACCCCTCATTCCACGTTACAAGCTAACCGTGTAGTGACCGGCTTAGAAATCCTTCTATGTTGACATCGGAGTACTGTCCGGCCTATATCAATAGTTCCAAAGGTATCAAAGGTCTAGTGGGGAAGTGCCTTTTCCCACTCTTCGTAATAAGACGCCATTTTGTATCAGTTTGCGCCATAAGTAGTTCGGTGATTGATCAGCAAACTGAGAGCTTGGATTATTATAAGAGCTATTCCATGTACCACTATTATCGAGAATCTCACTTATTGATCTCAAGAGTATTTTATCAATTCAAGATGCCGACCGAATTCATTAGCTTAACCTTTCCAAATGCGTCCACAGAGCTGAAGCCCATCGCTGGAGCCAGCATTGATCCTGATTACCTTGAGCGATATGCCCGATCCTTGGATGACTATGAGTTCAATTATACTCTTGTGCCATATGATTCCTCGTACTTTGATCCTTTCACAGTCGGCGCGACAATTGCGTCGGTCACCAAAAACCTCAAGGTGATCATTGCCCTTCGACCCAACACGCTCTACCCTACCGTTGCAGCGAAGGCCTTGGCGACATTGGACCAGCTCAGCAATGGTCGCGCTGTGGTTCACTTCATTGCCGGTGGTAGCGATGCGGATCAGGCTAGGGAGGGAGATTTCCTCAACAAGGATGAACGTTATGCGCGCCTGGAAGAATACATTCGTATTTTGCGTCGCGCATGGAAATCCGCCGAGCCATTCGATTGGGATGGAAAATACTACCAGTTCAAGGATTTCAGCAACAGGGTTCGACCTGTGAATGGCACCATCCCCGTTTCCGTCGGTGGCTCATCAGATGAGGCTTATCGTATCGGCGGTTCCCTCGCTGATATTTTCGGTCTTTGGGGCGAGCCTCTTAAGGAGACCAAGGAGCAGATTGACCGAATCTATGCCGAGTCAGACAAGGCAGGTCGCGCCGAAAAAGATCGTCCGCGTATTTGGGTCACCTTCCGACCCATTACTGCAGAGACTGATGAACTCGCTTGGGCCAAAGCACACAATACACTGGATGCACTTACAACTAACCGAGCGAGCGGTCTGGGCAAAGCACCTGCCAATGCTCCCCCTCCTCAAAATGTGGGCTCTCAGCGACTTCTTGATATCGCCTCTCGTGGAGAAGTCCAGGACCGTGCTCTCTGGTACCCTACCGTCACTGCAACAAATGCCCGAGGCGCATCAACAGCCTTGGTTGGTTCCCACAAGACCATTATCGATTCGATCTTGGACTATGTTGACCTGGGTTGTGAGCTTATCTCCATTCGTGGTTATGATAACCTCAACGACGCGATTGATTATGGACGTTATATCTTGCCAGGTGTTCGTGAAGAATTGCAGGAGCGAGCAAATGGGTCTTCTGCCTGATAATTTTCATCATATATGTATATAGATTAACCGGGCCATCGCTCCATATTTGACCTCGGGATAGCTTCAAGTTCGGATTCGGAGTCGGAGATAATAACTCGGTTACTCGGATCTAGTAGAAGAAAAGGGTTAGCGATTTCAACCTTGAATTTTGGAATATTAGAACTTCATAAACATATAAGCGTCAATCCATTAGGTGTATCAGTACATATATTGATGAGTCGTAATCTCAGTAGGGCTTGAGTATAGAGGTAGTCTATAGCCCTGGCGGGACTGGTCAAGGCTTTCATGTTAAAAAACCAAATGAATGCATTTTCGAACTTACCAGTTGACGTTCCTGTGGAGTTTATTTCGCACGAGCCTCCAAACTTCAAACATTTTGCACAATCCACGGGTCGGAATGTGTCAAGGAATGTGTCAATCCATAGTATGGATCACGATATGACCGGGGATGTGGATAGTCGTGGCTCGGAGTACCGGCGGATGTTATTTCTAGCGCCGGGTATAAATATATCACCTCGCGATACCCCATGAGCTCCTCAAGTGTTTGTCTTCAACAAAATCCCCTATCAACTTGAAAGTCAGTGAGATCGCGAGTTTAGGACTAAGGAAGCAAAGTAACTCATATTTCCAAAGTTGAATCGCCAGCAAATTCCAACCTAGCAAAATGTCCGACCAAACACCAGATCAGAGACTTCCCACCTATTTCATTGGTCATGGTGAGTTTCAATCGTCCCCATGTGCATGGATTACCCTGGTCTTGAAGATCCACACGACAGATAATCAGTATGGAAAATACCGCTAACTGAGTGACTTTGTAGGAGGTGTCAGTATTCTCTTCAAACCTGAGCACGAGGCCGTGCGGCTAGGCCTTCGAGAGCTTGGGAAAGAAATCAAATCACTCAAGATAGATGCAATTGTCACTACCTGTGGAGAGTTCCAAAGCGAGACCGACGCTATTCAAGGTATCTAAAGTGCCATTATGATACCGGGTGACCTCTCACACTGGATCCACATATTAACACATTGTACTATAGTGAATCTCAAGGAACCCACCAAGGTATGGCACGATTTGGGCCCTTCTTGGCATAAGACATTTCCCCACGTTTTCGAATATGGTTACGCCCATAAATCATCCCGTGCCCTGGGTGAGAAAGTCTTGAAGCACCTCCAAACAGCAGGGATTAAAGCAGAGGGAGTCGAGAGAGACCTGGACCATGGAATGTAAGGAATCCAATTCCCCACTTATGCTTGCCTACCTTTCACCCCATCTTTGGTATGATTGAATCATTTTTGCTGATTCTGTATTTAGATGGGTTCCGTTCAAGCTGATGTTCCCTGAGGGAGAGGATGATCTGGATATTCCAATCCTGCAGATTTCAACATCTGCTAACGAAGATCTCAACGCCCATGTTGAGCTCGGACGAGCTCTTTCATCGCTGTAAGAATTCCCATTGCAAACGATCCCTGAATCTCCGAATTCTCACTGATGATCTGGACTAGTGGCGGCCGTATTCTTTTGATCGGTTCCGGTATGCTTTGCCATAACCTCCGCGCTACCCGGGAGGGAACAAGTGATACGACTGTCGCCAAGGCTTTCGAATCTTACGCTAGAAATGCCCTGGATGCACCTACCCCAGCTGAAAGAACTGAAAGATTCTTGGCTTTGCAAAAGCAAGAAGATTGGATCGCTGCTCACCCGACTGCTGAACATGTTCTCCCGTTGTATATGACCCTCGGAGCAGGGTTTGATAAGGAAGGATACGAGGTGTGGAATGAGAACAAGTGTATCATTGGACAGTCATACTACACTTTCCGACTTGGAGGACTTCCATAGAGTATTAATGAAGTGTGATCTTACTTTCTTATGCCCAGGTGTTGCTGGTAGTCTTAGGCGGGCCGACGATCTACAGGCGTTCGTGCAGGCTTATAGCCCAGATCCCAATCATGATTGCTTCTTCCGCAAGAATTTCCATCGGCTGATCTCCCTCCAGGCAATAGATACTCGTATCTAAAACGTGTCTCCTCATTCTCACAGCCTTGGAATCAGCATTATCCTGGCTTCAACTTGAAATTTTGAAAATTTTTCAAAGATCGGAGCATCGGAGCTGAGTTCTCGGCTCCGGATATTCGGATCCGAATTATAGTCATCAATACGGACTATTACGGAGTTACTAGTAGTATACACTCGGAGTATGAACACGGGCTATGATGATATCTACTCCGTAATTTTGGATCTTTGATGGATTTCAAGGTTTTCATTGGGGTCTTGATGCTGGGTTTTCATTTGGTGAGAAACTGAATCATGGTATAAAGAGGTGTGTTGTCCCTGGTCTCAGAGTGCCTCATCACAGAACATCAGCTTCAAGTCACACTGACATTATTTTGAAATTGGAAATCATCTATTTCACTTCTTTCCATCTCATCGTCCACATCGAAAACTCGAATCAATACAACATGTCATCCAACGAAGTTGCGATTATAGGAGCTGGCCTTTCAGGCCTTGCTTTGGCCCTCGCTCTCCACAAACAATCTATTCCTTGCACGATTTATGAGGCTCGACATGCCTCTCTCGACATTGGTGGTGCTATTATGCTTTCTCCAAATGCCCTCCGCGTTCTCGACTCCTTGGGTATATATCAGACAATTAAGCCACTTGGATTCGAATTCAAGAGTCTCTATTACTACGCAGACAAGCCACTTGACTCTTACGAGTTTGGAGACAACCAGAAGTACGGCTATGATGGCCTGCGTATCTACCGCTATGAAATGGTCGATGCTCTCGTCAGCGCTGTCAAGGACCGGGGTATCTCGATTGAATACGGCAAGAAATTCATCGAAGTGACATCAGAGACTGAGACAGAAGTCACCTGGAACTTCGAAGATGGTACCACAGGCCGCGCTTCCTGCCTAGTCGGAGCCGATGGTATTCACTCGCGAGTTCGAAAATATCTATATCCTGATCTCGAACCTTACTTCACCAATGCAGTGGGTGTAACAGCGGTTATTACAAGAGTTCAAGTGGACCAAGGCTCCTATCAAATGCCTGTCACCATAATGAACCCTAAGTACGGTGCTTTCGTCATGGCACCACAACTTCCTGATGGCTCTGAACTTTTGATCGGTAAACAGAAGCGTGCCGCGGAGCTGGATCGTCAGGGTTGGAATGAACTCTTGAGCAATAAACAATGGTGCATCGATTTCCTGAAGGAGGGTTCAGAAGACTACCCCGATATCGTCAAGTCAGCAGTCAACAATATTCCCTTGGGAAAAGTCAACTTGTGGCCATTCTACGTGGTTCCAAAGCTTGAGACTTGGGCTTCGAAACACTCTCGTGTCGTGATTCTTGGGGATGCGGCTCATGCTATCCCCCCTTCAGCCGGTCAAGGTATCAACCAGGCGTTCGAGGATATTTATACCTATGCCTTGGTGTTGGCGAAATGTCAGCAGGACAACCTAGCTCGTGGATTGAAGACCTGGCAGCAAGGACGACAGGAACGAGTTGATCGGGTCATGGAACTGAACAAGCAGATTGACGCGAGACGCATGCCAAACCATGCCGCGGATGAGTCGTCAGAGCTTGAAACTAAGCCATTCGATCTGGAGTGGCTATATAGCCCGGACTTTGACAAGATGGCTGCTGGATGGTTAGAGGCCATTGCCTGAGATTCTTCAGCTGGGTCAGAGTCCATTGGAATTGGAGTTAAATTTTGTATAATCAACCAAATATTTATTTTTCTTTCATCAATATACTGCATACAGACTGGCATATGTTCAGATTTCTTGCGTCAGCCTGAGGTGCTTTCAAGTTTTATTCTTTGGGTACTATTCACCTGGGCAGACATCTGGATGAGCATGATACATATTCCAACTCAGGCTGTTCCAAGGTTGATCTGACCAGTCTATGTACTAGTACTAGTAGGTAATTGGAGGCACACTATCGTACCTGCGATACATAGGTACTACTTAAGGTAATTGTTTAAACTGGTAGCTTCTAGGTCTTCAAGTTCAAATTAATGAGTATCTGTCGCGGAAGGTTCATCGTGATGTTGATGGTGGATGCATGAGACTATATACAATATCCATGGATGATCCTCAAATGTCTCTTCAAGTGCTCTGTCATGTCTAGTCTACTCTATGAGCTGGTACCTCCACACTGAAGTTCATGTCCCGACTCCTACTAGTAGTGAAAAATGAGTTTCAACAAATTCCGACCAGGAGAAACCGGTCTCACCTGAGCACAGGAAATGAATTTGTCTTGTTCTTTGCGATTTGGCGTACTAACTCTCCCTTTCTGCCTCCGGCTGACTTTGCTCTTTGGAAAGCTTCGGATCGCGCAATACAAATGCTAGGGCAATCATTGGTGCTGCAAGGCAAATTCCAGTGACACACAGCAGCCACTGAACGTGCCGATAGCTAAGAATGATAGCGCTTCTTTCGGGAGTGCCGATCGGATAGAAAGGAATAACTTCAAATGGCGAGTCGTAAACTGCATGGGCGAGAGTGGCATTGGACTGGAACTCTAGGTTCGCGACGAGTGATTTGTACAGCGTCTGAGTCCAAATAGCCCCCGAAAGACATGTTCCAAGGGCGCTGCCGATATTGAAAGATCCGAGATAGATTCCTGTGAGAACGGCCATGTGCTCGTGAGTCGTAGCGGCTTGCACAGAGGCTTGGGTTGGGTAGGCAAAAAATCCACCTGCAAGACCGAGTAGAATTTGAGCGAAAATAACGCCTGCTTTGGAGCCCTCGGATGTACCACCTCTAAAATAGATGACGAGGGTATATGCTAGCATGAAGAGACATGTACCACAGATGATCAGGTACTTCAACCTGCGTGTCTTGAAAATAATAGCCCCGGTGAGGAGCCCACTCAGTAGACCAAAGAACGAATAAAAGGATTGGATGCGGGTGGCCGTGGCCACTGAAAAGTCAAAAGCAACAATCAATACCGTGTAAAGATAGTCTGCCTGAAGGTACCAGGAGAAATTAAGGAGGCATCTAATTGCTAGAGCGCTCCAAATCCCACGGTCTTTCAGGAGGTGGAAAGGTGCTAAAGGAGATCTCGCTCCTCTAGTCTCCCAGAGAATGAAAATGGGTATGCATAACAGACCGACCGTGAGAGGTGCGATGATAGTGAGTGAGAGCCACTGGGACTGCGTTCCGCCGGCAATTGTGAGAGGCGCAAGAATGAAGCCAAACACAGCGATCATGAGAAGGATGCCAATGACATCGAGCTGGTGAAAAATGTCGACGATCAAGCGACGTACACCAAAATAGCGTACGACACTGGGGTGTTCTTTCAGCAACCCGGACTTTTGTGCACGCCGACTGGTGTAAAATAAAGTCCATAGAAGGGGCAAAGAGCAGATACTGTAGATGAAACACCACATGCCGATTCCCCATCTCCACCCAGTCTTGCTTATCACAGTCGATGTAATGTTCCCACTAATCCACGTGTTGATCAGGAATGGGGTCGCAGGGAGGTAGCTGAAGAAGACTCGAGAGCGCATAGAAGTAATGTCGGCGATGATGATCTCCACCAGCAGGACGATTCCCGTATAGCCAAGTTGGTAGAGAACTGTTCCCGCGGAGAACATTTGAATCGAAGTTGCGCAGCTTTCCACTGTAGTACCAATCAGATAAAATATCATCGATACTGCGACGAGCTCAAATCTTCCGAAGACGTCTGCAACCCTAGCAGCAGCGGGTTGCGCGGCCGCGGCGATCACGCTTCGAACAACATTTACGGTAGCCAGCAGCGAGTGCTCTCCGAAGCTGGATGTAGCGTATGATTGGTATGTCGATCGCACTTGACTATCGAGGCCATATGCATACCCAACTAGGAAAACGCCGACGAACATCATTATTCGGTCGTTTCGAGTTAGGGATGCATTGATAGCTTCGATTCGCGCAACTCCAGGGGACTTTGCCACTGGTGGCGCCGTGGAGGAGCGAAGAAGGGGCTGAACTTCGGCTTCTGTAGCATGATGATCGTGGTGAGAGGGCCTAGATCTTATCAGATGTTGACTCTCATCTCTGTTATTGTTTTCGTCTGCCAAGCCACGCTTGATAACTGTGGCCATTTGAAGATTCAAATCGCCCACATTGAATAAGGTGAGGCAGTTATTTTCGTAAAGAGTCGTAAAAAGTGAGTAGAATTTGATCAAAGAGTCAAAATAGGAATCCCACTTGAGTTCAACCCTAAATCATCAAGGGGAAGTAAGTTAAAGGGATAAAAAGTGGAAATCCAAGATCTCAATCAGATAAGATGGGGGGATGATCAATAACGACTTCCAAGGTTGAGAGTGTGGGATGTTACGGAGAACTGGATTTCCGACCTCGGCAGACTTAAAGTGCTTAGTTCAGACTCACATAAGCAGGCGAATTTCAGTCTCCACTATTTTATTAATTGAATCTTCAATAACAAATCGTATCATCGCATCCTAGTATTCAAGTTGGCGCATATGCAATTAGACACTTTCGTCTCAAGTGCTTTTACTTACAAAGCATCCATGGATGTCGGGTATCTTGTATGTATCCGGTATATAAATCCGACTCCGAGTCCGATTCGCCCGAGAGTCCGAGACTCTTTACTCCGTACTACGTATGCTCATGGCTAAAGATAGAGAATACATGATTATGTTAAGCAGAAGGAAGAGTCATTTGTGAACGACCGAAGGGTAATTTGAGATTCAAGTTCCTATGCTAAAACCAAACATGTGTGGGCTTTCAAGAACGCTAAATTACAACATGATGAAGACACTGCAGTTGGGAAGAAACATTGAATTCAAATATTCATATTCCATCATCCAGGCCAACGTAGTATATAAATAAACAATTTGAATGCTTGAAAATGTTCAACCGATTCGGGCGCAGGGGAAATGTCACCAAGGGGACACCGGTAACACGCACTTTCCTATGCAAGGGACCGAGCCACAGACAAGAGAAGAAGCGTTTGCTCACTACCAAGAAAAGCTCTCCTCCACAAAGTCCAGATTGGTATGGGATTGTCTCTTTCGGCACACACGACGAACATCATCGCTGAGACCACCATTGCCACAAACGAGAACTCCCATCGCTCCAACCTGATTCTCAACTTCCATAGCCACAAGCGTATCAATATTTGGTCGACCAGGGAACATCTGCACGGTGGCCGATGGACTCTGAATCTCCTTTGTATTGCGCGGGCGAGTGACGAACAGCATAATCCGAAGCACCTCGCGACGACGATCCATCGCTAGAATACGGGTCATCCATGGACGAATCCATTCAAGATGCTCCGGAGACTGGATAATCCACACCAGCGTAAGCCGACGTGTTGCGACCGTGCCTTCTGCAAAGCCAGCAACGAGGTGACGGACGAACGGTACATGATGTGTGATGCCAACACCGCCAGCGAATAGCATCACAGTACCATACGAATCCATCGAATGGATATTACCGTAAGGGCCCTCGACAAAAGCTCGAAGGGTGACACGAGATCCGATGGAGTTGACGGCTCGTTGGAAGAGTTTATCAGTCATACCAGTACGGCGACGAATCAACAGAGAGAGGGTTGTCTTTTCGGGGGTCCGAAGGAGGTCCTGCTGGGCAAGAGGCAATGCCTTCTCATCTGAAAGAACTTCTTCGGATTCACTCCAGCTGACCGAGAAAGGGTGTGAAGTCCACCATCCAATGGCAGGCATATACAAGTAAATGTGTTGACCGGGACGGATTGTCCAAGGACGCGCCAATCTGAGAGTAACACGCATTGCGTCACCTGGCATTGCCTCGACGGTGGCAGTGGTCGAGTTGTATCCAACATTTCGGTACACAATGATCAAGAGACGAGTAGCGCGCTATGATGTTGATCAGTTTAACTGTGGAAATTGCCGGATATGTAAGAATTTCCTACCTCAAGTGCCCAGAGTATAATAGCGACAAGCAAATAATTCTGAGCTACCATTCCGTTTAGGTGGACCCAAAGAAAGCCCATCGAGACAGCGGCCAGCGCGAAATGGAAATGAACAAAGGTCTCGTAAAAAGCATGTCGAATTGGCGACGGCGAGTGTACCAAGATTGCAGTTAAAACGCAGGTTGTCTGTAGATGTCATTCAGGATGGGTTGAATCTTTTAGGCCAGAAGGAATAACTTACCACCAATCCGGACAGCAGGAAGCTACTCCCTGCGAGGGCCTCCCCAACTACGCTCCAGCTTCCTATAATGCCGAGTTAGCATTTATTGATAGTTCGTCATGGTTGATTTCTCACCTTCTTGGACTTTCGGGACCATCCAGGCGAAGGTATGTGCGAGAGCTTCCAGTACCACAATGCGTCCAAGCCATCGGTGCAGGAGATTCCAGGTATCAAAGGGAACCTGCAATATGGCGATCAGAGGGTTATTTCTACCGGCCATCAAGACCAGAGGAATGAGGTTGACTGTGGCCATAGTTCCCGTGCGATTACGAACAATGCCAGCCACAGTATCTTCTTCCGTTCCATAGGGAACAGTAACCACACACAGCGCAACATTCATCGCCACAATACCGACAACCAAAACCGCGTGGAAGCGACTGGGCAAGGTTCCCATATTCAAGGCCTGAGAAAGTTGAAATTCACGGTTGTGGCGAGTTCGAAAAAGCGGAGCGTATATAACATGGTTCTTCACCCAGGAGAATCTTTCGTTTGCCTGGACATAGTACCGTTGGCTTTGATCACCAAATGTGGACAATCTTCGGAGATGACTTGAGAATCGAACTGCAAGCTGCCAGATATAATAAGCCGCAGCAGCACAGCCAAGTGCCAGGAGGGTGTAATGGGCCAATTTATCATCAAGGGATTCATAAAATGAAGACCCTCCTCGCTTTTCCATCTCGGCTGCCATTGTTGATTCGAATTTTGTTGATGATCGTAGAGGGGTGGCAGGTAGGGTTCAGTTGCTCTCAAGACCGGCTTGTTCGGAGGCGAATGGAAGACAGATTTGTTTCCTCTTGAACGACAAGAGATTCAATCTGTGGAAATATGAATTGCAGCACCTGGCCGCTGTATTGAACGAATTTTCGGGCGAATATGGTCAATATCAAGAAGAGAATGTGGTCGAGAAAACGAAGGGCGTATCTGATCAGGGCCTGCCTAGTATGAGTGATTAGGTCGGCTGGAAAAACGCAGAATCTGGCTGCCGTATAATGTTATTCTGTTGAAGTCACTCAATGACCCCGAGAGGGATAACAAGTTCAGATTTTTTGGTAAAAGCAATCTTGTTGATAGGCAACGAAAGGAATGCTGGCTACGTAGTCCATGCCCCGGAGAAGAAGAAGAAATCTAGAAAAGTCGCGATGGAACCAGTCCACCTAGAAAGTAGAATATCAAAAGAATGACTGTCAACAGCAAAGAATGAGAACAACGACAACAAAGAGAACAAAAAGGTAAGACAAGAAACCCTTCGTTGAAGAACAAAGTAGAAAAAAGACATAGAAGCCGTGATCCACTTTTCTTTTTCCCCCTAGAGTCAGGGTGGAGATAGATGAGACAGGCCAAGTCTGCACCAGGGACCACCAGGAGCAAGCAAATTACATCTGGAAGATATATGAAGGGCCTAACCGAGCTTGTAAAGTTTGTGCGAAACTTGATCGCTGCCTATCAGGGATGTTTCTTCAGTCCCTTAGTGTCACGTCGGTTCATCGATCCCTGGATATTCCATTTCAGGGTCTTCCGATGTCTCCTATTAGCGCCGGGCTTGAGACTTTGACTTTTTCTGGGTTGTTATATCTTAATTTCTGAACAGTCCATAGCAAAAAGTTAAGGTCAAGGTCAGCTTGGCAATCTCTGTGTCAATTCAAAGCTCCAATCAGGCTCTGTAGCGCCCGGATGACACCGAGCAGGATCAACAGGTCCTTGAACATGCGACAAGTTCTAGGCTTGGCAAGTGAATTTGTGGCGGAGGAGGGGGTCTAAACGACCAGTTAGCGATGGAACATTTGAACTTGAGGCAACTAGGCGCCAATACTAGCGCCGATCCTTGTCGGGGTGATCTTGGCAGACTGAGTGGTGGTTTGAGAAGTGGCCCTTGCGTTAGATGAACGGGCCAATCCGATCTGTCATTATAGATCCAGGAGACAAGGGGGGCTTGCATGACTCCAGTGACGTTGAACAGATATCGGGAAAGATACCCAGATCAGATGTGGCGGTGGTCAAATGTTGCATATAGAAAGAGTCCAGTGGGATGGTCGTTTCACGCTTATCTCTATCCACCTGTACTTCAAGTGCTGTTGACGTCAAGATCCATGTAAGTTCTGACATATGTACTAGCACTCAAGCTTGAGAGCTCTAAATTCACTAGACAGCTTCAAACATTAAATGTTTGCAAAATATTCATCCGGTGTTAAATACTGATAATAAATTAAATGGATGTTCCCAAGGTGCCCGTCAACTGGTTGATACACGGAAATGAGATGGAGACTGCAGACTTCAAGTTTTTCAATCCGGCGGTTTCATGTTGTGTCTCGTGCCATTTTTGTTTCAATTTCGCATTAGAGGTTTGATTCTTATTATTTAATCTATCTCGGATATGGACACTTCTTCTAGATGTCTGTTTTCAATATTCCAAGCCTAGATGAGTCAATACCTATCGGAAATGTCACAAATCCAGAAATGCACCGCGGATTCTTAAAATATTCACGCTACGGAGAATTTTTGACACTAATTCACTAATTCAAGTGTCATAGCTCAAGCCTGAGTGCTCGGATTGAGCTCCATCTCCGAGTCTGGACCAGAAAATAAACGGACTGTGGAGCGTAGACTGCAGCCTGGGCCTCTACGCCTCAAGTTTCACGGAATAATGAATATCCAACTTCAATGATGGTAAGACCTGTATAAGCGAAATTTGAGGAACTGCCCATCTGAGGATGGTCATCCGAGTCCAAAGGGTTGGAGGGTCACTGGGTATGGAGTGCCCAAGTGGGAAATGTCAAATTGGTCAAATCACCGATATATTCAAGTTCATGATCATGATGCTCCCGGGCATTGCCCCTGGCAGTAGTAAATCGTTAACAGGTTGAAATCAGACATGTATAGCCACCCCAAGATTCTAGCACAGAGCAAATTGACAATGAAATGACGCAGATCTATCAAAGCCGCTCCATCAAGCGCTTGCGAACTGTCCACATGCGAGCGCGTTTACCATACATATACATCGGAATCGTCATCAAAAGACAAAACAGTTGGATGCCACCAATAATTAGATAGACGGTTCGCGATCCATCGGTATCTAGCCAATCCACGATGAAGAGGGAGAAAATAAGGCCATGGAGAACGTCTAGAAGGGAAAGGTTAGTAAGACATTAGACATAGAGTGAGAACGATCACATACTTTTGCTGAAGTTCAACGTCACCAAGGCTTCTCCAGCATACTGGCGATAGCTGTCAACACAAAAGGTAATAGCAGTTGTACTACCCAAGCAACAGCCAAAAGATATCAGACCGAAGAAAATTGTCGGCACAATCCATGCATCCATAACTTGTGCACTCCAGCCAAATCCCATTAATCCAATCGTCGTCGACAGTGCGATCGGAATTGCCATCACCAATCGGAACTCGGGCTCGTAAATCCCGCCATTGCGACGAGTGAGGTAGCGAACGACAATATCCGATACCTTTCCTGCAACTGCAGTTCCAAGAAGCCCACCGATGAAAGGTGAGATATAGATCAAACCTGCCTGGAGGGGAGTAAAGCCATAAGTCTCTTTACTTTCAAAGATTTTGGAGATGGACTCGGAGATCACAATAAGCCATCCGACAGAGAGGGCGTACACCACCGCTGACCACAGGACTGATGGATAGGCGAATAGTACAAAAGGTCGAGCAGCGATCTTGATCCATTTATCCTGAGCGATTCGCCCATTCCACACGGAAAGCAAGCTCACGTAAGGGACCTTTGGGCGGTCGCGCAGTCGATTCGTATATTGCAAAGTTGATGTGAGAGAACCTCCAGGCTCGAGGGAGACACTGCGCGAAGGCGAGGTGCTCCCATGGTACGCAGCTTCTATGTCGCTTTGGCTACGTGCAGGATGGGCCGGTCGCGGCTCAGCTATCACGACGTCACTTGGTCGAATTTCTTCGTGGGGTGAGTTGGTAGAAGCCTGATCATTGGCGACATGATCGGCGACATGATCCTCGCTATCATGGGCTTGTTCTCCATGATGTTCCTGGGTTGACTTCTCATCTATCGGAACATCATTCGCGAAACCAACGTGGGCATTTTTATGTTTCCTTGAGATCGGTGATGCAGTACCATCCGCTGGTGGCAAGGGTGCTTCGGCATGAGGTCGACGTCCCCTAAGCCCCAGGGTCATCAAATCAGAAACTGTTCGATGCGCATGTGGACGCTTATGTGGCCGTCGAGGACGAGGAGTGCGATCCCAAAATGTTTCTGGGACGAAGAAAAATAACAAAACAAAACAACCACCAACGACCATGGAGATAATCCAAAATACCCATCGCCAACCAAGACTTCCAATCACAGCTGCGCTCACCAGAGGAATGAGATTCTTCCCTCCAAGCAATAATAGGGTATATATGCCGACACGATATGCTCGTTCGTGCAGGAAATAGATTTCTGCAATTGTAGCCGACGGGAGACATTCCACAGGGCTTACGGCGAACCCTTGGAAGATCCGAGCGACCACCAGACTCGGGTAATTGGGTGACAGAGCACACCATATTCCTGAGAGAACGAAGAGAGTCGCACCCAGGAGATAGACGGGGCGTTTCCCAAACAGAATTGCTGTTGGAGACATGACCACTGATCCGAGACCCAATCCCATCATGTACAGACCGGTAGTAAAAGCCACTTTCTGTTCAGAAACACCATATGTCGCCGCAATGTCATTGAATCCTGCTGCCAAGATGGTCGTCATTCCTCCTCCCATCAGACAATAAAATCCTAGGGAGAATAATGCGGCATCTCGTTGCCACACCGGCCAGTTCAGAGGATCGTTAACTGAGTCGTCCGGCTGTGGTTCCAATACAATCTCTCCATCAGCGGTACGCTTTATACGTGAAGCAACGTTCCGGGACGACGAGCGCGAGGGTGGATTACTGGTAGGCAGTGATGAAGTCGACATCCGTTGCGGCTGGTGCCTCATTCCCAGAGGTTCATTTCGGTTGGCAGACAAAAGAAGTACCGTTCCTGTTGTACCATCGGGTTCGCCCATTAGTGTCTGACTTCATTTGGGGTTTTCTTAGAACGATGTCAAGTCTTTGGAGGACAAAGTCAGATTTACTTACCTGGTACCTCGTCTGTTTGCTTATCGCTCAAGATTCCCAAGGTCGAAGTTGGACGATAATTTGGTGGCCGGTTGGTCTGCGCATCTTCCTTCGATTTGCCTCCAAATATTCTTTTCCATGGTGGCACATTCGACGATGAAGGTTTTTCAGTTTCTTCCATTACGGACGATGGGGAACCTCCGGAGGAATCCATCCTCAGCTCGGAGGGTTTGAGCTTGTGTATACTGGTAGACAGAACAAAGAGAGGAATGAGTCCCCAGGAATCCTCGTCAAGACCGGTTTAATGGCCTGTAGGATTCAGAATGAGGAAGACCCGACTCGGAGGACTGGGGATCTGTCTTTGTCTTTGGATCTTGGAGAAGTTGGACAATCACCGCTTTCGATAGAATCCAAGTAGCGGCTTGGGAGGAATATCCAAACCCATAGCTTGATTATGAAAAAAAAAGAAGAACAAAGAGATAGATATAAACAAGATCAAAGAAGTCACGAGGAAAATGTACCCAACAATGCGATTTCTCAGTTCAACAACGGAGAAGGCGGTGAAAGCTGATCTTCGATATAAATCCTAATCTCCACCTTTAACCACATGGTCGGATGATGGTCCTCGTACAGTGTACACATGCACATGTGGCAGAGATTTAGTGACATCAGACTGCATATCACTTCAGCCCGGTTATGATGATCTTATTACTCGGAAGATTCAACATGCAGTGCTTTTATGTATCTCTAGATCTGATCTGGAAGATATCAGTTAGATCAAGTTGGCCGTAGCATCCATACTAGAATTAGCATTACTATCCATGGATACTACCAGGTTTGAATGCGCCAAAAATTGATAAATTAACGCCACATTTCCCAAATTCCTAAGAATGTTTTCAACTTTGAATGTTTTCAGTTCAACCTGGTGGGACGCGATCAGCAGCGACCGCATCCGTGCATTCCCCGCAATAACCCCCTTGAGTCCATTTCATTCCTTGTATATTCAAATGTTCATAAGGTCTTTTCCTAAATACGAACACCTGGGTAGCTCACGGTTCCTTTTTTTATGAGTTGATCGCTCGTTTTCTTGTTTTCTAATTCAGAATACGGAGTAGAGGGGGAAAGGACTCAGATCACTGTGTTTCATATTCGTGTGGTTCAGATGATCGACCAAAATTTTCCAGCTGACACGGGGTACGTGGCCAAGGTTAAACCATTCTGGCAAATTCATGCTTTAAGTTTGTAGGCTTGAACTCGCCGACTAAGTTCTCGGGAAGCGGTACTTGCTACTAGTAACGGTCAAGTTCAGATGGTTCTATACTAGTACTCCGTAGTATAAACTTGAATCCAATTCGGATGAGCCACTACTATAAATCTTCCAGCATTCCAAGTTCGAGATTCTTAATAATTCTTCTCTTCAAGTCTAGATCTAGAAATTATAGTAATTATAGCTATATACATCTGAATTATGCTTGTGAAAGTGTCAAAAATGCATGTTTAGGCAACTTTATCAATCAGTCATCTTCGGACTTGGCATTATTCCCCAATTCAGTAACTCCGGATCAGTCACCTCCTAACTCCGCCACGTCGTCGAGTTATCAATCAACACCATCGCTGCCTGGCTTTTTTCTGAACATCATTGAATCTGAGTCATTATAGATGGTAAACCCATCTTGAAGAATTAGACCATTCATCTTTTACCTGGGAATCTCCTTGGTTGTAACCGCACTCACACATTGGATGTCATCCTGCAACCTGTGGAATTCTGCCTCTGGCCCCCGAAGCCTAGATATTAATTATTAGGCGGTGATCAAACCTAGAACTCGATATTCCCTTCAGCTGGGTACTGAGTACTCACACTTATACATCAAAATGACTGATGAGCAAGATTATCTATCAAACGGGGAGGGAGCAGACCAGACAAGAGTGGTGCAGCGCCGGAGGCGACCCCCGCTCTCTTGCACAGAATGTCGTCGCCGCAAATTGAAATGCGATCGCTCCCTCCCCTGCGGACAATGCGTTCGATCCAAAACCGCTGACTCTTGCGTCTTTGTGGGACCTCAACCTGGCGCATCGTCCGACCACTCTCAGCGCATGTCACCCCCCGTTTCTCGCATGCGCTTGCCCAATGGCTCGGCTGAGGATCCACCAACGGGCACGGGGAGCATGTTCGTATTCGACTCTAAACTGGGTCCCAAATCGAATACCAAAAATCGCGTCTCCAAGCGCAGTCAACCGGACGAGCTGAACGAGCTCCGGCACCGGTTACGCGTTCTGGAGAAGGCTTTGACCAAATCTCAACCAGTCCCGACCCCTGAGACATCAGTTGGGGAGGGATTCTCAGAGGTAGACACCTCGATTACGGACTCTACAGGTGTAGATGACCGCGTTCGCTATTTGCCCGACTGCTGTTTCCGGGGTAAAAAGGGCAAAACAAGATACTTTGGCCGAAGCCACTATAGCACGACCGTCTCATTTGTACGTATAGATCTGTCTTCTAGGGATTGGTTTCCCCGGGTTCTCGCTAACATAATCGGTATAGTTCCAAGACATTGGCTGTTTTCTTAGGGGTCGCGAGTCTATTAAAGACAAGGAATTTAGTGACATGAAACGGTTCAAGACGGAGCTCTGGACTCGCGATTCCCAAGACCACCAGCGCGCATTTCGCGAACAGGCATTCAAACTGGACGAGATGGTCCCTCCCCGCGCAATCGCCGATCAATTGGTTCAGTATTATCTCGATACATTCGAAACCACTTATCGAGTCTTGCATATCCCGACTTTCTTAGAACAATATGCAAACTACTGGAACAACCCCCAAGAAGCAGAACATGGATTCATAGCACAACTATTGGCCATTCTGGCCGCTGGAAGCTGCTTTTCAGCACAGGTTCTGCAGCAACTGGAAGGCCAAGACCCCCATCAGCAGCCTGCGATGCAGTGGATTATGGCGGTCCAGTCTTACATATCCTGTAATTTTGTCAGCCCAGATATCAATCTCAAGATGATCCAGACTCAATGTCTGCTCTTGGTCGCTCGTCTGGGGATTGCTAGTGATGGTGATGTGTCTTGGGCGTCTTCTGGCTCCCTCATACGTTCCGCGATAACGATGGGATTGCACCGAGACCCTACCCGATTTCGAAAGAAGTCGCGACCGTTTTGGTGCGAGTTGCGGCGCCGGGTATGGAATACTATCATTGAATTGGATCTCAAAATATCTCTTGACCGTGGGGTTCCACCTTCTGTGGACTTGGACGAATGCGACTGCGATGCGCCGTCCAACTGGGATGATAATGCGTTGACCGAATCGTTGGATACCAACCCTACCCATCTCAGCACCGCGACTTATACTCAAAACTTCTACCAGACCCTCCTCGCCAAAACCCTCCCGCTACGTTATCGCATTGCCAAAAAGGTCAACTCCCTGCGGTTTAACCTCCCATACGACGATGCATTGCGAATGGGTGAAGAAATAACCCGGTCCCTCCAATATGCCACCTCTCTGTTTGAAGACAATGCATCGGGCATCAATCCGGTTGATGCTGCGAAACATCGATTTGCGCAGTCGTTACATCTGTTCATCATGCGCAAGTTCTTACTTGCCCTACACCGTCCCTTCTCACTCAGCGTCTTGCGTTTACCAAAATGTTCATACTCGCGCAAAACATGCTTGGAGGCCTCGCTTGGCCTGCTCTCCCAGATGGAAATTCCGTCGCCTGTCGAATCTGTCCTCTATCCTCACATCACTCAACTCGGTCGGGGAATGTTCCGGGATGAGACCTTCCATGCTGCCATCACCGTGTGTGTAGAACTATCCTTGCAGGCTCAGGAAATGGGCCAGTCTTCAGGACCTGCAATGGAATCAGTCAATTCCAGCGTGTTGATGAGCATGGTTCAATCCCAACAAACTGTGATGCTGGAAGCAGTACAGCGTACCCTGGATGACTTCGGACGCCGAATCGGCCCTGGTGGCAAAGGATGCAAGCCGTACTTCTTTTTGAGTATGATCTTGGCTTCTGTTAAATCACGGATCAAGGGTGAAGATCCAATACAAAATGTTCAAGCTCTTTCTCGTCGGTCGGTCCGAGTCTGTCGAGCGGTATTGAACGGAGTGGCATATTCCGATGCCTTGGCTATCGCCGATCAACCATATGTTCCGGTGAGTCCCAGTCACAGTCGCTTTCCTTTCCTGTCCTCGTCTTTCCATATGACGTTTGGATATGATTTGAATGTTTTGACTGACGAATCACCGCAGAATAACCCACAGCAGAATAATGAAGCGCTGGCCGCTTTAGCAGGGCCTACCCCCATGTCGGCATCCTCGGCTGAAATTGACCCATCGTCTCTCTTCTCCGTTGATTTCGGGGACTTTACAGTAAGTGATCTCGTTCTAGTCTCTTTTAAAAAAAACTTATACTGACAGATGCAGCCTATCGATCTGGGAGGGTGGTTTGATGGACTCGATGCCGGGGGCAGTGACTTATGGAATAATGATTTTTTTGGAAGTTTACCATCGATTTGATGCAACTTGGAAATACAGGACGATACCCCGGGGATTAAGTGATATTATGTTGAATTGTTCATGTATATCTATAAGTTTATAGACTATCTCAACTTCAAAAGTTCAAAAGTTCATTTCAAGCACTGAGTTCTCGAGTCCCGCACCCACCTGGGCACCAGTTGACATCCATCTGTTGATGCAATCCAGTATGTGGATTGTGTAGCATACTACTATGTACTAGTATATTTCAGACTTGAAGATATTTCACAGTAAGTTCACAATTAGTATTTCCAATGCTTCTCAAGTCTAGAATACCCAGAAGAACGATGATGAGTTAATCCAGCCCCAAATCGTGCTCCAGTCCTGTTATTGCAAATCATTTGCATCCAGACCGAGTCGATGAGTAAGCGTTTCAACCGTGCACATGAACACATATGAATAATCGATGTGTTAACAACCTTGGAAGGGATGAAGTGGAGACTCAATTGACTTAATTGACCAAACAGCGTGTTGTTGTTAATAATTACAGACCCGCTCAAGTGGAGCAGAACGTCGAAACAATGTGAAATATGGGGGCATATGGATAAGTTCAATTAAGTGATCATTCTGAGCTTAAGGGGGATGAAGAGAAGAGATCTAATGGGATAGAATTGATTAGCATGCATAGATACAATAGGAGATTCAAGTATCAATATAGACAAAATATGAAGAATGAAGCAATAGAGTAACTTACTCTCAATACCTAGTTAGTGAAAAAGATAAGGAGAATGCGGAGTATCACTCCATACACTCCATACCACTCGTAACACTCTCCCATACAGGGGGAGAAGACCGAGGCAACTCCCGAGAGTTTCCAATTGATTCCCCGACTTATTCCCTCTTTTTTCTCCCCCTGGGGTTTTTCTCTTCTCTTTTACCACTCCCTTTCATACTATTCCTTTCCCTCTTTCCCTCTCCATATTCACAATGGCTGCTCGATCTGCCTCTCGCGCCTTCTTGCGCTCAACCCCGGCCACTTCCTTCCGGGTTTCCGCGCGTCCGGCTCGTCAGATTCCCCCCGCTCAGATTCGCGGTTCCATTCGTCGCGGATATGCATCGGAGGCTGGCCCTGGCAAGTCCTCATCAGGAGGTATCTGGGGTATTGGTCTGGCCGTTGCCGCTGGTGCAGGTGCCTACTTCTACCTGAACGGTGAAAAGACTCCCAAGGGCCCCTTTGTCCCCACCAAGGAGGACTACCAGAAGGTGTACGATGAGATTGCCACACTTCTCGCCAACGAGACCGATTATGATGATGGTAGCTATGGTCCGGTAAGCTTCATTTCCCTCTCCAACTCCCCGAGTCCCTTCGATGGTGGAACGATTATAGTTCTCTCTTATCAGGCCACTGTTTTTGTACTGACGATTTTAATATTTGGTAGGTTCTCGTTCGTCTCGCTTGGCACGCTAGCGGTACTTATGACAAGGAGACCAACACTGGTGGTAGCAACGGAGCTACCATGCGATTTGCTCCCGAGTCCGCCCACGGCGCCAACGCTGGTCTCAAGCACGCTCGCGACTTCCTCGAGCCTGTGAAGGCCAAGTTCCCTTGGATCACCTACTCCGATCTCTGGACCCTGGCTGGTTCCGTCGCCATTCAGGAGCTCAGTGGTCCTAAGATCCCCTGGAGACCCGGTCGTAAGGACAAGGAGGTTGTCGCCTGTACCCCCGATGGCCGTCTGCCCGATGCCTCCAAGGACCACCGCCACATTCGTGATGTCTTCGGCCGTATGGGATTCGATGACCGTGAGATGGTTGCCCTGATTGGTGCCCACGCTCTCGGCCGTGCTCACACCGACCGATCTGGCTTTGAGGGCCCCTGGGACTTCAGCCCCACTGTCTTCAGCAATGAGTTCTTCCGCCTGTTGGTTGAGGAGAAGTGGAACCAGCGCAAGTGGAATGGTCCTACCCAGTTCACTGATAAGAGCACCTCTACCCTCATGATGTTGCCCAGTGACATTGCTCTGATCAAGGACAAGGGCTTCAAGCAGCACGTTGAGCGTTATGCCAAGGACAGCGATGTCTTCTTCCAGGAGTTTGCTGATGTCTACGTCAAGCTGCTGGAGCTGGGTGTTCCTTTCCAGAGCAAGCCCGAGGACCGTTTTGTCTTCAAGACCTCCGAGTAAACATCTCGATGTATAGTCTCCTGTGGGCCATGGACACTGAAGTCTCTCTTCAGTTATAGACCTTGGTGCATTTGCTCTTTTTCCCTTTCGTTTTGATATCCATACTACTTAAACTCTCAGATAGAGGTTAGATTATCTTGCAATGACATATTCATAAGACATGTTTAAATAAATAGTAGCCCTAGGGATGACTGAGATCTCGGATAGACGTAGCCCGGTAGAGTGAGGAATGTAGAATTTGGAGAATTCCTGAGTACTCTTGAAGTTGATAATAGGAAAGGGATTTGGAGAGCGACAACTTGAATACTCAAATGGATATCAAATATTAAGCGGTCTCAGGGGACATTGATCTTCTTGAACACTTCATGTTACACCCCAGGTCTCAGACCCCGCAATTTCATCCTACCCCAGTTTCATCACATATGCAGCCAATGGCTCTCAGCAAACGGTTAAACCGCTTCGCATTCTCAATGCACGGTGCACCGGATGCAGAAGACCCGAAATATGGGGTAAGCATTGGTGACATTGGTCAACGTGGTCTCTGCCAGTTTGCGTGTGCGATGATTCAATCGTCAAGGTATGTGCTGTATGTGCTGTGTGTCTTCAAGTTGAATGAGTATGATTTCTACACCGCGACCCAGGCACACTGCATTCCAGGGCTTACATCGATGTGCGACCTAAGATTGGTGACCAAGACTGGAAAGTCGGGACATGTAAAGTCTCCGGAAAAAAAAGATGGGAGAGTTGAAGTATGTAATGATTTTCATGTCTATGAGGGTTCTTTTCATCTAAAATCGTCGCAGATGCAATATGTACAATATAAAACAATCAAGGCCACCGGCATAGCGTTCTTGTAGCGCATCACCTAGGTGTTTACCTTAAAAGTCGCTTTACAGGCGGTGCTGAACCGGAGAAGAAGGCTCCTTAAGAGCAGCAGGGATCTTCTCAGTTTGGCCCTCCCAGTTCAACAGACGACCCATCTTGTGGTATGAGTCGATTCCACGGCGGGCGTGGTCAGTGGGGGTGAAAGGATCGGGGTTGGCGAGAGTACGGCTAAAGAGCTCCAGAGAAACCCAGCCACGGAAACCAAGGTCATCGAAGAAGGTACGGGCAACATCCACGATAGGAAGGTAACCACCGCGGGACTCCTCGAAGGGGAAAAGACGGGCGTTGCGAGACCAGGACATGCGCACGGGCTGACCGTCGATGTGGAAGGGGTGCTTCTCATCCAGAGGAGCATCGAGGCGCTCACCGTCAACGAGCTGGACATAGAAGATCTTGGCGGGGTCGATCTTAGCGTTGCGGAGACGCTCGAGAGAGGCGGCCAGATCAGCCGCGGCGTTGGGGGTACGGCCGGTGGGAGAAGATGGGTCGGCGTAAACGCGACCAGCGATGTTGAAAGAGTCCAGACACAGACCGAAGTTGGGGCGATCAACACCACGAACAACGTCCCAGGATGCCTCCCATGTATCGACGTGGTCACCCCAGCAGAGAGCCTCATACACAAATCGGAATCCCTCCTTGGCACCCAAGTCGGCGATGCGCTGGAGATCGGCAACGATCACGGAGAGATCTCCGGTGGTACGGGGAGCACCGGTCTTAGGGTCAGGTCCAAGGAAGTTGGAAGGAACCTGGATCATGTCTGTGCCCAGCGCCCGCGCCAGGGTGAACCATCTAGGCAGCTTCTCTGTCACCAGCTTGTCTGACTCGGCGCGGTCTAGCAGTCCCTCGTACATGGAGAATGGCTGCAGACAGATGATAGTCATGCCGAGACGCTCGCAAAGGCGTCGAACTTGTACGGAAGCCTCGAGGTGATCACCGTTAAATGTGCGCTGAGCATAGCAGTCCAGATCGTCGAAGAAGAGCTCAATACCCTCAAAGCCATGTGCAGCGGCTTGCATGAGCTTGCCTGGAAGGTCGTGGATCCATGGTCGGCCCAGGGACATGGACGCAATTCCGGGGCGGTTGATAACCATTATAGCGGTGTTATTTGTATGTGTGGGAGGTGAATAAGGTGTTTGTTATTGAGATTCGCCGCGCTGATCTCAACAAGTTGAGGGTTAATGTGAGGCGAATATTGAGGGGTCTGAAGATTAGGAGAGAGGGTAAGTGGGCTGGATTTCAGTGAGACTGGGGTTATTTCATTATTATTATAATAATAGTTTTTTTTTTCTCTCTTTCCCATGATAACCGGAGAGGGGGGCGACAGAATCATTATCCCCACGCCCCATCATGATCATAGTCTTTTCTGGAAAGAGAAGGAGTTTACCACCGGGTAAGCGTTTTACTCAGGTTTCGGATTTGCTGGGATGAAAGGGTTTACCCGGTGTACAAGGTTAGTCTGGATTTGGAACGGAATATAGGTTAATCCGGGAATATTCGGGAGAGAGATATTATCCGAGCCGTCATCACCTGACAATCTTGCGGGGAAACAATGTTCCCCAGATCTTCGATGTTTGATAGAATGACAAACATTCAAATGTTGGACTTGAAAGGGGTTGCTATCTCTCAATATTGAACATCTACCAGTATGATTTCATAAAACTTTGATTTCAATCGATTTGCCCTATGTATCAAGTCATGTATGGGGTAGGAATTTGTCAGGCTGCTCTCATAACTTCGCACTATTTTCGATGCTAATTGCCAGAACAGAACGTAGATATGTCTCCACCTGGACAGTAGTATGCTCAATCAGTACCCTCAGGCCCAGTCTCGGATTTGAGATTCGCGGACACCACGCTTCGTTTACGGACCCCCTCATCTGTCTTATCCGTCTGTATGCGGTCAAAATGGTATAATGGCTCTACGTCTGGTACATCCATGCGCAGTATGTACCGCTTGGTCCACCATGGCAGGACTTTGAATACCTGGTAATGCATATGAACGCGGGTGGGTACTGCGAAAATGTAATCCAGCTCCTCGAGGGTGCGTTGTTTGGTCTCTGGGACCCACAAGAAGATCATCACGAGAGCAGTGATATTCAAGGCACTATTCATCGAAATTGGTTAGATCCATCACTGAATATCCAACCGGGGGAACTTACGCATAAAATCCAAAGGCACCTGTGGGAGTCATGGCAACAAGCATGCGAGGGAATGTGATAGATAAGACGGCAGCGAACCCAAGGCAGACAGCAACAGCCCAGGCCATTCCAACCTCTTTGTGCTGGTTAGCTTCAATCCAAGGGAATATGCGCCATTCAACTTACCTCGGTGTGATAGTGGGAAAACCTCCGCTGAGTACGTGAAGGGTACGGGTCCTTCGCCAGGTGAATAAAACGCCTCGAACAAGAAGACAAAGAACGCAATGAGTCCAAGATGGGCTTGCGATTTCTCTGGGATATAAAAGCAGAACCCAGCAGCAAGAAGTGTCCACGCCATTTGAGGGAAAGTGAAGAGAAGCAGTGTTCGACGTCCCCAAGTATCAATAGTCCACACTGCAGGGAATGCGAATAGGAAATTCACGAGACCTGTGCCCCACGAGGCGAATAACGCTTCCTCATTCGTTGCGCCTGCGTCGGAGAAGATTGTTGATGAGTAGAACGACACAATGTTAATCCCGCACATCTGCTGAGCAAGCATCACAATGGAAGCGGCAAGGGTAGCTCGGCGCACACGAGGAATCGTGAAGAGCTCAATGAAGCGGGTGAGATAATTGCTATCACCGATAATGTCTTGTTCGATCTTGATTTGTGCAGAAATGTAGTAAAGATCGCGAGCCGCTTGGAGAGGAGTGTTTCGCAGCTTAGCGAGAGACTGATATGCCTTACTATACTTCCCTTTCTTGATATACCAACGTGGGGACTCCGGGCAAAAGTAAACACCAATCAGCAATGGAACAGCAGGGATAAATGCAGATCCAAACTGCAGACGCCAGGCAATATTTCCAACTTTCATCACCGCAAGATTGGCGCTGTATCCCAGGAAAATACCAAATGCGGTCCAGAGTTGCCAGCACATCACCAAGCCACCACGAATATTAGCAGGCACATTTTCCGCGCAGAAGATCGGAATTGTCGATGCTTTTAATCCCATGCCGACTCCAAGAAGAATACGCGTGCCGAAGAGTTGTGGCCAATTCTGTGTACACGCTGAGCCAATGGGAGAAAGCACACAGAAGATGGCAGCAACAAAGATAGTACCGCGACGGCCGAAATAACGGTTAAAAGGATCGGAGATCCAGCAACTGAAGAACGCGCTGGAGATATATGGTCCTGCATTGATGAGACCCACAAGCCATTCGTCACGTATTTCGTTTTTACCAGTCTCGGGAATTCCAAAGGCATCAGGGAAGGAAAGATTAGCGCCGTTGGATCCTGTTTGATCCCATCCTCTGTTTATTTTGAAAAGGAAGATTAGTCGTAGTCCAGGAGCTGGCTAGGAGGCACATGTATCAACATAAATCCCGAATCTCACTTACTGGACAGCTGCGCCGATCGAGCAGAGAATAATGGTAAAGTAGAGAGCACGCGGTTGACGCCATCTATGAAGAACCTCATCTTGGAGAGCTGTGATCTCCGTTTCAGTCAGGCCAGGAACAGATTCAAAGTTGCCTGGGTCACGAGCAACTAATGCTCCTTTTCTGAGTTCAGGTAGAATGTCGAGGAGTTCATGCTTCTGCGAAAATTCCTCTACGTCACGGAGAACTTGCTCTTCAGTCAAGTCGGCGAGCGGGTTCTTGATCCTGGAGTTCGAGGTTAGAGAGGTCATTACTGAGCCTTTCAATAACCAGCTCATTTATTGAGAAATAACCTACTTTGCAGATAGGTTGTTTTGCAGGCTGACTTGTTCGATGTGTGCTTTTTCTGCACCGCTGTGATCTTCGAGTTCTGGAGAGCTACTAGTAATTATTGTGAGCTTATTATTTCTCCAAAGGTACCTAATCAGTCACAAATATATCTCACCTCTGTATGCCCTCCCTTTGGTCGACTGCCACTTTATCCATGGCGGGGGTTTTGGCTCTGGGCAGCGGTGCGGGATGGCGTTCGGTCAAGTACTTAAAACAAACAGCTGTGAGAAAGAATACGAGGCTATATGCATGAAATTTCAAGTAGAACCAACCAGAATGGAAGGGAATAATCAGCCAATTTAACAATCAGGCCCCCTGTAGAGAAAAATAAAAAAGCAGAAAGGGATTGTGTTTTATCCAAAGTAGAGACTGTAGAAATAACCTCCCATGAATATGGGTCCTAAAACATTTGAATTGTGGGAGGCGCCGCCATTTTAACGTTAAAAAACCTTGGAAAGTAAGCAGAATTTCGGGAATAGCATTTGATCTGCTCATCATATTGCGTTTGGTTCCTTCTAGCAAGCCTCCTACGCTGATGAGCATACACTTTCCTCCGCGAGTCATGGGGCTTGTAACTTATCAGAGTAAGACTACCATTACTAGACCGGAACTATATTAGCGTTCAAGCCACATTGATTCCTGGCTTCGGGGTTGTCGGTTTTCTTTTGCAGACCATTCCCTTTTTAAGGGGGGCAGGGAATCATGATGTTACAACATTTTGAAGAATTATTGTCAAAGCGCGGGGAAATTCATCTGCCCATGGGGTATTAGATGGTATTAGCGTATCAGCGGTGGAAACTAGTCCATAAAAGTGATTCTACAGGACTCTTAGTTTCACGCTTGGTCTGTGTTTTTGATTAGGATTGGTTCATTGTTTCCAATTAGTGTTATTAGTGCTATTAGTGTCAAGTTTACGTGAGCCTGATCCCGTCCATGCGTCTTTCTGCGTCTTTCTGCTTTGACTCTCGGATTATCCTGTTTGGCCCCCAAAATAGACTGATTTCTCTCGACATTGCATCCGTGGACCGTGAGCCAGGCGCCCCGTCATATCATGTGTGCCTCTATTCAGAAGAAAGTTCCGAATTCGAGTGTTATACCTTGAATATCCATGTAAGTGGCTGAATTATAAGATTCACAAAGTGTTGAATTCATCAGCCATCAGCGATCATTCCATCGATTGTGGCATGTGGGGTCAAAGGTTTAGTCTCATCAGCCCTTCCCTTAACTTTCCTCCCCGCCTTGTTTGGGCTGGTGCCACCGTGCCACCGTGCTACAATTTATCCACCTCCCCAGAGTAAGATCTTGGCTTAGGAATGTGATCTCGTGAGATTTTTCAATGGGGAAAATATGAGTTCCTATATCTTTTGAATACAGGGCTTCGAATATTCTCCCTGTAACCTTTCACTCACTTGGTCTCTGTCAGATTCCCTTCTAGGATCTACTAATATAGAATACATAACTTTGAGAGCACTGGCAGTACGACTTAGTGAGATCTGAGTCACTTCGTATTAATCACACGATATCCATCAGCTGAAGTTTTCAATGAGAGGAATATAGTGAGTGAGTGAGAGAAAGAATGTCTATGTTTGCGTTCAAAATGTTGTGTGTTTGTCTGTGTTATAATAAAATTCCATCTAATTTGATCCCCCACCTAGGCACTTCGATATCGTGCCCTCAACTGCTGTAGTCTATCGAGCTCTATCTCTTTCGATCACTCTTTTGTAATACTAAATAGAAGACGTCGCGAGTTCTCATCTTCGACTGCCGTCTTCTTCGCTGTATTGATCCCGACCTCATCCAGGCTTCCCTCTACCTTCCACGTCACTCCTGTCTCCTTTCCAACTTCAGTCCACATCTCAGTCCAGGTATGGACATTATGTCTGAAACTGGTGGTTCCGGGTTGAAAAGCTGGCAGTTCGCCTGGCTTTACACTTCCACTTTGTCTTCCGACTATCATCCCGCCTTTTCTAACCAATGCTCCGATAATCTTCGCAGCTTTCTTTTGGGCCTCGAGAGGAAAGAGATGGAAGAATGCCGAGCAATGTATGATGTCCACACCATCTGTTACCAGGCTTGTCCAAAGCTCACCTTGCGACTCGCCCTCAAAAATGTTGGCAACGAGGAACCTACTCGCCAGCGCTTCCTTGTCAAGTAATAACTCATATCTAAGATCCAGCAAGGGTCCCTCGATATCGAGGCCAATCAGTTGGGCGGAAGGCACTCCATCGTACACGAGCTGACGTAGGTCTTGCCCAAAACAGCATCCCAGATCCAGATAATGAGAGCTCGGGTTGGATTTCAGTCTTGTAAGAATCGACTCATAGAGTGAATGAATCCTCAATGTGAGATTCAGGAAACGATAATGTCCAATGCAAGGGTATGGGTTGGCAGCAAAGCCACGGGCACGCTGTGCTGAAAGTTAGTCTCCGTATACAGGTATTGCCCAAGTGATTCATTTGCATATTCGTCGGAGAAAGATATCAAATAGTTGCAACCAGGATATCTCAGTCTGTAAGCACAGATCAAACTTACAATCTCATTCACATGATCCACGACCTTAGCTGCTGGAATTTTGGAATATTCCTCCAGGAGGTATCGTATCTCTGGGTTCACAGCTTGAATATCGGGGTCGTACCATTCCTTGTGGCGAGATGTATTGCCATCGTTGTACGCAGCCATGTCGAGCACTGGGATTGTACGGCTATGGTTGGGAAAATGGACCTCTGGAAGTGAAAAAACAAAAAAGGGATTTCGACCTCTTTATACAACAGGATATCTACCCACAATTCTATCTTAAAAGTCGAAGCATAGAGTCCCTAGGTGTTCTACAACTGGTGTTGTGATAAAACCCTGGCCCTCCATTTGCCCCCCAGTGGACACTCTCCACCAATACCGAGTGATCTACCAGCCCCAATTTACCCCAATGTTTCCGCGAGAGTACAGGTCCCCTGAACACTTGGGAGTACCCACCTGTACATTTCGGATAATCTTGGCATTTTTTCGGGAAATCCAAAAGAGGAAATTTGAATGTACAGGTGAGGTCTAATTTGGTAATTTTACACAGCAGGAACATGAATAAAAAACAGAATTTACACACAATAAATTCTGCCACCCTAAATTGTAGATTAAAATAAATTTAATCAAATAAGCCTTGTCACTTCCCTAGCAGTGTCTAAGTACTTACGATGTCATCCGAAATCCAAGTAACATCTACCAAGCGGAACCCAATTACTGTGTACTATGTGGATTATATTCCAACCCTACCAGAATATCCGAAAACTGATCTGCAAGGGTATATGTATGTTGTTGACTGCAGAGATAGTGATTCAGCAGCAGCAGGGGAATCAATACAGAGTGTATATGATATTCTAAGTGCTTCCGAAGTACTTCTGAACTATTTACAGGGCTTAACTAATATTATAATATATTTTAGATCCAGTATAGCACAGAGCGAGCAACGCCAGAGCGGGTAACACGTTCGGTATCTTTTCTTCGAAATGTTCCATGTCGGATAAAGCGGATGAGGTGTACAGGTGTTATGTTATGTCCAAAGGGACATCAAAGGCTTCTTGGGATGGCACATACTGAGGTTACCCCAGCGATGTTTGAGACATTAGCTGGTATCCGTCAACGGCCCTTTGAGCATGGGGTTACTGCTCAGACTAAGGCAATTGAGTAAGATTATGGAAGTGTCTTATGTACTAGCTAAGTGCTTTCGTACTGCTTAGCTAGTGCTACGTTTATGATTAAAGCTTATATGTTTTATAGAAGATTTGAAGCCCTTCAATCATTCTTTCGACCTCCGCCCTGTGATGATGCTAGGAGGACTTGTAAGCCTATGCTCTATGAGTCACATCACCAGGTAAGATAGTCTGAGTTCTAATCTAACTATAGAAGGATATTCAGATTATTAATAATTTCTTTAGGATCCATGGGGTAAATCCTTCTGGCATGTAAAATGTGTTAATTTTGAAATTGATCCAGAAATGCATAGCCATACATGGTCTATCCCAGGGGATGGAACAATAGATCTTATCTATCTTCAGAGCCTTTTCTTTCAATGGGATGATCCAGGAAGGCCAGACAGGTGTGGTACAATTGAAAGAACCCGATCAAGGGTAAGATGTAGTAAGTTTCTAAGTGCTTTCGACCTACTTAGTAGGTACTTGATATTGATATTGCTATATAGACTATCCACATAAGATTGGATATCCCCAGGCACTTGAGCAGACTGGCTGTGAGGTTGAGATGTGGAGTATTATTCCAGTGGATTTATCTGAATGTCCATTTTTTCTTTTTATCTCAAAGGGCGAGCATACCCATGCACCCCCACCACCTGGTACACAGCCTGTTAAGGTCATTAATGATCTAACAAGGTTGATACAACAGATGCAGATACCCTCCCTAACACCTGGTAAGTACTTAGAGACTGCTTAGTAAAGAGCTTGATACTAAATACTAATTTGAAATACAGGGCGTTTCCTCTTTAGTCCAGAGCTAAGGGACCTCTGTAAGAAATATCAGGCAAAGAGCCTTACAGATATCCACAGGAGCTTTGCAAATGAGGGGCGACTAGGTCTGATTATTCAGAAACATCGCTTGATACATTACCCTGCTGGGCAGTCTCTTAATGGGGTAGTCTTTGCAAAGGCTAATAGTCCAACACTATCTGTAAGTAATATATCCTTTCTCCGTCCTTCCTAAGTGCTTTCGAAGTACTTCTGTGTTCTAATTTGAATAGACTTATATCCAGGATGTGGTTAAGGGCCAAGAGGGCCATTTATTTATTGTCTGTTTAACAAAGAACCAAGCAGACCACTTCCATCAGATTCAGTCCTTTGAGGTGGATATGTCTAGCAAGCGGCTTCATGATAAGGATTTACATGAACTTGTCTTTGCACGAAGGGTCCCTGAACAGTCAAAAGGTCTGATTCTTCTTATTAAGTACTCTCAAAGCACTTAGATAACCTATTACTAATATCTTCTAGTAACTACCCTCTGTCGAGTCTTTACGAACCAGGATAAACGTGTGGCCTATAAGGCAATGTTCCAGAGAGTGTTTGAGCGGATTGAGCAGCTCACTGGGCGGCCTTGCCAATTTGGACCAATTCATAACTGTGGCATATGGGCTGTTGTGGTTGATATGGATTGGAAGCAACGAGATGGTATGTGATTTGCTAATTACTCTCTAAGTGCTTCCGGAGTGCTTATGGTATGATATAGGGTTTGCAGATTACCTATCCTTAATTCCTCCAGCTACACTAGACAGTGGGACTATTGCCCTACAGATGACTGTGTTCTGCCATATCCACTTTCGCCGTGGGATTGATGAACTTCTCCAGCGCCAGCTACAATGTGGTACAACAGAGGATGAGCTTCAGGGGGTACGAACTGCTCTCTATAGGATTAAGGATGCAAAGACATTACAGCTTTTCTATGATATTATTGATACCTTCCTACATGAAGACTGTAAGTGGTTCCTCAGTACTGGCTAAGTGCTTATGCCCTAATTTCTATCTTCCTAGGCTACGGTTGCTTTACTGAGATTGCCAATTGGCTACGGCATAAGAAACAGGTAGCTGTTGCATATGGCCTTTGTCATAACCTTGCCTATTGCCCTCCATCCATCAAGGGCTCATTAGTCCTTAATACAAATGCAGTTGAGCAGACCCATAATAAGGCAAATCTAACAGGCAAATCACTACAGCTATTACCTGCAATTGAGAAGTAAGTATAGGCTCTTTACTAAGCACTAGGAAGGCACTTATCTGATCTTTATATAGTACATTCAAACTTGATTATCGTGATTCATCTGCACATAAAGCCTTCCAGGAATATGGAATTCGTCATCAGTATCGTCAAGGTGGTATGCTACCATCTGCCCAAAAATGGGTTCAGAGACGTATGCTACTTATAAAGATATCCTAATAAACACTATAATACTAATATTTTCTAGATCAATCCAGGGTCCCAATACGGCAAAGAGATTCAACTACCCAGGACGGGGATGGAAACACTGATGTTTCAACAACAGGTGTCCCTAAAAAGAAAAAACCCCGTAAGGGTCAGCAGTAAGTCCAGTACTTCGAAAGCACTTAGGGATTACTTATAAGGTTACTAAAATCCTATAGGAGATCAGCAACTGAACTTCTTGAAGATCAGATCAAAGAAGAAGAACTTCGGGCAAAATACCTAGAGTTAAGAGCAAAGAATCAGGCAAGGGCCTTAGAGTTAGGACTATAGTAAAATAGATTATGGTTTTATGGATAAAAGACTAAAGAATTAGGAAAAAAGTAAAACTTATAATCTTCAAAGATATATATTCTAAATAGCACAACATAACACAACATAACATAAGATGACAGAATCAAATATCAAATATCAAACTTCCTAATACCTACTAACCATTAATCCAATAAATAAAGGCAATTTCTGCTGCATCAGTCCAGTTGAGATTACGAGCATAGTCACAATTCTTAAGTGCAAGGGGGCATCCTGGATAGAATAATCAAGTCAGCACTCCAGAAGCACTTCGGAATCACTTGGAAAATACTTACGGTCTACACTATCAATTCCTGGATCAGCTGCATATGTGTCACAGGGGAACTGGGTAATTCCAATTTCACCTAGCTGTTGCTGGACCTCACTTTGCTTAACCTTTATCCTTGTTTAGTAATGGCCAATAGAGATTATACCACTTTTATCTCTTATAATTAATTCTATCTAACTAATAACTGTAGAAATAAATAAAAGACTTTTTTGATTTATGTACTAAGATAGCGCTTCTAGTCTATAAAAGATCTAGGCAACAATAATATCATCTTCTTCTCTTTGTAACCTTGCCTGTCTTTGATTCCCCTGGTTTACATGTTTCCAATCTACTGTCCCTGATAGATCAAAGAGATCTAGCCATTGACATATCCCATAATTAGCACCACATGCTAATAGGATTTTTAGTCATAAAGCCCTAGAATATAAAAGAGAATGAAGCACTTACAGCCACCCTTTCTCTTACTAGTACAAGCAGAACAAGGAAAAGTTGCCTCTGGGTCAATATTAAGAATTATATCCCGTGTCTTCTTCTTGGAGATCTAAAAAAGATATTAGCCAAAGGAGCACTAAAAAAGCACTTAGTATCCAGGGATAGTATACATTTCCATTCTTTGTCAAGGGGACTGGTGGCTTAGTAGCAGAAGAATGAATAGATTGGTTCTGATATAACACCTGATCATCGGATAATGACTGCTGTAGCTGGATATTGATAGTATCTCTTTCATCCTGGGATGGTCCTAGTGAATCAGGAGATACCTGGATAGAACCTACATCCCAAAGCTCCAAAGCCTCTCGATACCATGCTAAAAACCTGTAAGCACTGTGGAAGCACTTAGGGAGTACTGAAAAGACACCCCATACCTCTTATATTCCCTTTCTCAAAATTCGACATGCTCCCAGTGGGCCCATTTGCAATGGGGCTTTCTTGTCTAGGCGGGAAGTGTGATCGAAGATGGGTTCGTAGATTTCGTGTTTCCATGGCATGTGATGACATAGAGCAATCCTTCCAACGACAGAAGGCCTCTCCAGGCTGGACAATGATCTTGCCTTCATCATTCTAGACAGTGTTAGTATCTCTATAAGTACTTCGAAAGCACTTAGAGAAGTCTCCTTTACCTTTTCATAGCCTGTGTATTGTAATCCACCAAGTCTGCCCTTCTGGAGATAGTCCTGGTATGGTTCAAAGCTTTGTAGCCATCTTGGGCCTACTAGACGGTCCATCATGGATAATTGTGTGTAATCGAACGATATCGAGGGTAGGTGATGATAGGGGTGATCAACCTTGATGGTAAGTGCGGACCTAGCGCTTAGTGATAATAATAGCAAGATCTTTGATGATGATAATAAAAGCGGTAAGGATAGGAAAGAAAGCGGTAAAGAAAAGGCGATGGAGAAGGGGTGGAGCACGTGTAATTGAATAACAAAGAAAAATTTCGAGGGTGGGTCCGGAACATCCCGATTAGGTACGGATTTTCCCCAAGTGTACAGGTGAGGTCCCCCAAGTGTTCAGTTGACCTGATTCCTGTGTTTGGGCTTATTTGCGCCCTCAATACCCCACAATCAACCTTGGAAGTTCAAATTCCCCTATGTATGTAGCTTTTTCTAAGTGTGGAAAAATCAGGTTTCTGGAAGTGTGAGACCCCGAGGAGAAGTTCCGAGTCTAAAGGGCCGGAGAGCGATCATAAACAGCGCAAGTAGTCCGTGCCTACGCGTCAAAGCAGCGTATCAACATTGAAACTAGTACGTTTTCAGGATAAACGCGCGCTGACACCTGCAGATCCAAGTATCATGATGAAAACCTTGAATGCAGCCTGGCTAGAGTGTAATGCTACTACCCCAGGCCGGTCGCATCCATCTTGAAGCTGCATGTGGAGTACAAGCACTGGCACTTCAAATGTTCCATCAATAGACCGTGACTGGAAACCTGTTAAATATATATAATCTGTATGTATTGCTATTGATCTGAAACTTCAACCTGTTTCATCTGATATATCTGGTTGAAAGGCTCCCGACTCGGAAGTCGCACTTCAAGCCCTGGAGTTCAACTTGAAGTTGGCGCCTCCGAGTCAGATACAAGCATGTGCATGTACTATGTAGTAGTCCTAGAGCACTCCAGGGCTCAAGTGCTAGATTGAACCTTTTTTTACATCAATCATGCCAAGCTTGAAGCCTGAGGTTAGCAGAGTCCGGGCCAGATTTCAACAAGAAGTCCTTTTCAAACAATTGATGGAATTAAAATATTCCATGTTAGCTACGTAGTATGTATGTACTAGTAGTAGGACTTGACGTTAACTCGGATTCAAGTTTAGCACTCGAGTGGCACTAACATTTGAAAGCGACATCTGGAATATTTGAACCTTGGAATTCTCCCGACTCGATTCAAGTCCTACATAGAGAATGATGGTATACCATGCGCACATGCGCATGTGCCGGTGATCAATCTATACATATCACGACATCTGGATGTTCCAAATACCCTGACCACAACGGTGCGCAACTTGAACTTGTGTTAGAGGTAATGTCTACTAGTATTGCCAGTTGACAACTTAGGTTCTATAAATGATGAACCTCATTCAAATCTTCGTCAGGGGTCGTAAAAGTTCGTAATCTGATTTGAAGGGAAAAAGATAAGGATTAATCTCGGTTTGCTCCACACTTATTTCCAGAATATTGCTCAGCCACACCAAGCAAATTGTTCCAAGGAGAGATGGAAAAAGATGAAGTAAAGTGGAGTCTCTAGAGTGCTATGTGGAGATAAATGGAGATAAATGGCGTATGAGGGAGTAATAAGCTTAACTAGATCCGGAATTGTGGATATTGACACATTCCTGATTGGACTAATTATACGAGTACGCTAAGCGGAATTCGTCATTTTGTCGCGTGCACCTGGCATGGTTTAAATATTAGCCGGATTTCAAGCTTAAAGTACAGATTTTCACTAAACCGTGCAATAACCAGCGGATCATAATGAAAAGACGTGGGATTAAACCATCCCAACGCGCAAGCTTGTGGACCCCATGAGGAGACATACTTGTTCCAACCCATCAATTAAAATCTAAGAAATTTTCGAAGGTTTGGGACTCGTACTCCAAAATGTCCGTGAACTTTTGCGTCATCCAAGGTGCTGAGATGATCATTTCTATTCCAATATTATTAAATTCTAGCGGTACTCCTATTTGCTTTGCATCTACGGAGTGAACTAGACCTGCCGAGTATAGCATTCTTGATCTACACATGGCCTTCGAATTTCTCAAATCATCACAAAATGGCCAAGGCTTGTCATCTTCATCCTTCTTACAGCGTCGAGGGTCGGGTCAAATGAGTATTGGCTCTGATATCGGTGATCATGACCACGAACAGGGCATCCCGCCCCCTGCATATGCATATCATGGAAAACGACGATCATGTATGAGGAAATCCTTATGGGGTATCCCTATCATAGCCGCTTTTATTGTGGTCTATCATTTCCTACTGCCTCAACTTCACCGTTTTCGCTTTCGCGCCGACCTGACCTGGTATGACATCGGTCTCTATGGCTTCGCACCCTCCCAAAATTACCATAGCTTCGACTACGACGCCCCAATCCTCGGCTTTATTGAGAACGATGCCCGATGCAGTCGCGACTACCTCTTCTTTGCGCCAAATGGGGATTCCAATCCAGAGCCAGGACCTATAATCCTCGATGCCGATGGGGAATTAGTTTGGCGATTAGTTGAGGGCCTCGAGGGAGTGACGCAGGACTTCAGAGTGCAGCAATACAAGGGTGAAAGGTTCTTAACTTTTTGGGTTGGTGAGGAGATTGATGGACGGAAACAAGGTTACTGGTACATGGTACGTACTCATTGGGGTCTTTCACGATGATGATGATGTCGATTGTCTGATTCTATTGAGGAAGTGCAAAAAAAAGGGGACGAACCTGAACCTATGCTAACAAAATCGGCTTCATTATAGCTCGACTCCTCGTATAATGTTCGATATCGTCTCTCCCCTGGTGGAGACTTTACCACAGGCGATATGCATGAATTTCATCTTACCCCGGAAGGAACCGCCCTCGTTGTGATTTATGATCCGATCCCGGCCGATTTGACACCGATTGGAGGGCCATCCGAGGGCTGGCTCCTGGATGGAGTGATACAAGAGATCGAAATCGAGACAGGGGAAGTTCAATTCGAATGGCGCGCGTCAGAGCACTTTTCCGTGGAGGATACATTTCATGGATTGACCGGCTGTCAGGAAACGCATGCCGCCGCGTTCTCAGGATGTGGAAAGTCGCCAGACGCCGCCTTTGATTTCTTTCACCTCAATAGTGTGGAGAAGGACCCCGCTGGAAATTACCTGGTCTCGAGCCGATACACCCACACCATTAACGGAGTGAGTGGCACCGATGGGAGTGTTCTTTGGACATTAGGAGGAAAATCCAACGACTTCCAAGATATGTCAGAGGATGGATCTGCGACTGGAATCTCTTGGCAACATCACGCCCGTTGGTACGGCAACAGCAGTATCACATTGTTTGATAATGCAGTGGAGGATAATTCCGATCCTTCTATAGAGAGCCGAGGTCTTATCATCGACTTGGACATTCCTAACCGACAAGCTTCTCTACGAGCGGCATTTTCACATCCTCAAGGCATGGAAGTTGTGTCATTGGGGAGCGTGCAGGTACTTGAAGGAAGCGAAAATATTTTTGTTGGCTGGGGCCATAGTGCTGCTTTTACAGAATTTGCTCCGGATGGTAGCGTGCTCTGCGACATGCATTACGGTCCATCAGCCTGGAATACCTTCGGTCGCACAAAATCCTACCGAGTCTTTCGAGGTGACTGGATCGGACTTCCGACTCAACCTCCGGATGTGGCTATCGAGGATGAGATGTTGTATGTGAGCTGGAATGGAGCCACTGAGGTGGACCGCTGGCAACTTGAGGTGAAAGGAGATGATGATTCCTTTTTCATTTTTTCTCAAGTATTCACAACTGGCTTTGAAACCGAGATTGAACTTACATCACAGCTCCTACAGGGCTCCTCAATCCGTGTACTCGGGTTAGATATCGAGGGCAACACTCTGGGATCGTCTGACGTACTTCAATTAACGTCACAGGGAAGAAATGTTTCAGCATTCCTGGCCAGTTTTGGCGTCGTCGGGTTGCTCTTGGCGATTGCTGGGTGTATATTCTTGTTGGTGACCAAACGACGAGCTACAATATTGAAGCAAAGAGACCAGTACCAGTTACTCCAAATGCGGTCCTGATGAGTGCCCAGGTGGTATCATGTATATATTTTAAAGCATTTCAAATATTTGAACAATGCCCAAATCACCCGGTTCACTGTTTGAACCTTGGTGTTTGATACCCTCAATTTTCTATCTTCAGTGAATATTTGAACTCAGTATGAACATTTGAACGTTGATAGGCACAGAAAAACAACTGACAAGCCATTTATAACATTTGAAGGCGAGTGTTCAATCAATCCAAATGGAATCAATCATTTTGCCCATTTTGCCCATTTTGCCCCCTGTGTTTGCTTATCGCAGCCCATCTAGACCACTGCTTCATCCTAGCACATGTGCACGGATTTCTTCAAACTACTTGCCAGTGAGCCTTGCACGGCTTCAAGTTCAGGCTCCAGGGCTGGATGGATGAGGTGATGATGTTTGACATTAGTAAGCTGGCCCCAAGGATCTTCAACCCCGCTGCCTTGGAAGATTTCTGATCTGTATTGTTTTGATTGGAGTCATTGGATGTTTGATATCCTTCTAATATCATCGATAATTTCCATACATCGTAAACGCCGGCTAGTTCCGACCTTGGAAGGCTCCAGTTGTGGGAACCCTCTCACTATGGATCGGAACTTGAGTGACTACGTGGAAGATACTGATCCTCCCCTCATATCAGGCACTACAGATACTGAATTTCTATGTACCCTTTGTCAAAAGACATATAGTCGGCGTATGTTGTCTCAGATCCTGGGCCCTTTTTTTATCTCGATTCTGAATATGAATGACAAGTCTAATTGAGAAGAAATCGAAATAATTGACACTCCAAGTTGCAACAGGCGATCTACGGGATCGACATAGACGTCGATGCGCTAAGACTTTCGGCCAAAAGCGTGCCTCCAAGCGCAAGTCCTGTGAAAACTGCGCTCAGAAGAAGTTACGAGGCTCATTGACCCGCCCTGCCTGTAGTCGATGTATTCAAGTAGGTACATCCTGCCGCTATCCCGACACTTCGTCGACACCTGTCACATTGCCAGTACAGGGGAGTCAGGCCCGGGACCGAGAGTTCACAATACCTCTGGTCGAAGATTCAGAGCCTATGTCCGCTGATTTAAACATTGGAGATCATTTCATGTCCACGACATTGCGCGTGTACGGAATTCATAGCCATCATAACACAGCTGATATCTCTTGGAATCCAGTACTGAATAATATGGAAGTTATGCTGGGCTTATCTGAATATGCAACAGGTCCTTCCTGGCCTGACCTAGGATCGTTATTCTCGGTGGATGACCCGGACCATTTACATAACCAACAATCGTCCTCATTTATTTCACCGCAGCAAACATTCACTATACCGCACTCATCCGAAAGTTCTTCACAATCAGTCTTGGAAGATCCTCTGGGAAATCCGCTTCCCTTCCAACCTTCAACAACAGTAAAGGGACACATGATGGACCAAGTCACAGAAAGAGGTGACACAAGGATCCCTGAACCTGGCTTGTCATGGAATAATACTATAAGCACATTTGCCAGTCCTTTGCCACAGATATTTCTCATTTGGAAGGGGATAGAACCGATCTATCCCAAAAGCTTCTCTGGATTCTATGCGAATATCCACGATTGATGCTGCAGCATCAGTTCTGGTCCCCATTCATTCATCACAATCTCTACCGGTGCTCTCAGAATGGTATGGCCGAGCCCCTTGGTATCGCCCTCGCCTGCGTGTCAGCCTATGTTAGCTCCGTGGAATCTAGCTTCGAGTTTGTTGAAAGTCTGATAAAGAGTCAGCGAGAACAGCTGGTTCGCGATTTTCGTCTTTCCCTCGACCGCCCAGAAACATGCCTTGCAGCTCTACATGCCGTATGTATTTATCAGATATTGGGACTCTTCGAACAAAAGTCTGCAGATGGAGGAAATAAGCAGCACCAAGAAGACTCGAGAAAGGCAGCGGAACTTCACGGTTCTTTTCTACTAAAAGTGAGTATCCGTAGCTGCCCTTGCATAGTTTCCCGTCACTCATTTCCCGACTTTCACACAGATTACAAGATGCCTCTGCAAATTGCATAAAAGGGAGCTCGAGGGAAAGGAGACAGGATGGTCAGAGTGGAAGTTTATTGAGTCCCTCCGACGTAACATGTTCTTCGTTCATATCGTCAATATACTAGCAGCCGAAACCCGAAGACTACACTATGATTACTTTGAGCCACTGGACGATGACATGATACTTAACATGCCTCTCCCAGCACCGGAATGCATGTGGCGTGCCTGTAGCGAGGAGGAATGGAGAATCGCCTGTGACTATGACCGTTCAATCTCACCCACTCAATGCACCCTCCAGGACTTACTCAATTTGTCTCATCTGGGTACATTGGAAGTTCCATCACTACAGCCTTTAACGAGGATCATTTTGGAGTGTCAGAAGATCCGCCCTCATCACAGAGACGAGGTAAGCATATAGATGAACATACTAGAGAATAAAATCCATTTTTGCTTCTCTATTTCACTGTATTACTGAATTTATCTTGTCTCAAAGTTCGGAAGGCAGTTGATTTGAACGAGTGAGTATTTGCTTATGGTGGAAGTCTCGCTCAATAAGACATCAGAAAAGTAACACATTGATAAAGCCTCATGTTCTAATCCCAGAAATTGGTTTGACTTCAGCGAATAAAGGAACTTAAAAATGTCCCTTTAGACCACCCTGTTTCACACCACCCCAGATAACAAATTTAGGCTCGAAGTCTTTCCCAGATTTCTCAGTCTGGCCAAGAGCCCCACCCTCTGGTAGGAGAACGACATTCTCTGGATATATCTTCCCTAGAATTGCGAGTGCGACGATTGGCTGCATGGTCGGGATAACATGAAGACCTCCCTGTTTGGCGGTTATGAGACCACTGTCCGGTTGTAGGAGAATGTCAAGAGCCGGGTGGACGATGGCATTCTGGTTCAGAACGCCTGTACTTTCACCGGTGAGTGCCTGATAGGAGTAGCGATGTCCGCGAGCGATCTGACCGATATCAACACCGATGCACTTGCCATTATTCAAACCAAGCTGGAGCTTTAGCTGAAATATAGTGGAGCTGGCCGACGAGGTGATGGCCACATGAGCATTCTGAACAATAGGAGAGACGGAATCGGAGGGGAAGCTCAGCAGATCCTCAGCCCGAACCAAAGAGCCAACAGCAATCTCAGAACGCTGAGCAGTAAAGTAATCGGACAACTCATAATCAAATAGAACTTTCTCTTCCAATGGATCGATCTTCGTCGGCATATACTCTAGCAAGTGGAAGTGGGTATCGCCGCCGCTCAGAAAAGATGGCAAGATGCAACCATGCTCATACTGGAAACCATAACCACCGGTGTCAGTCTGCGGTAGATTTGGCTCTAGGAGTGCTTTAGCCAATTCAACTACAGATGACTGAGTCGCGCTCTTGGTAATTAGGGTTGTCAGGAATCGTTCGCGGGCAGGCTCTAGGTGGCGCATACCCCGTGCAGCTTTGCCATTGATGGGGATCAGGACCTTGTCGAAGTTCCGAAAGGGAAGGAGGGCATCACGAAGTAGAACCATTTGGTGCAGATATTCATTGCATAGCTGCATTAGGTGTGGCTGACTGCGCTTTCCAAACATGAGCTCGACATTGCCTGGCGTGAGCAAATGATTCTCACACGGGCTACGAAGATTGAGATTTGGTTCAAAGGGGCCATTGGGGGCATCACGCGCCCAGTTCACTAGTGTGCTATCAATTTGTTCTGCCTGCTCTTTTATCTCTCGGCGTGAGAGATCGGTGACATCGTCCTGGAATGGTAAGGTTGATTCCCGAGTGTTGGTGGACAAGTTGGAGGCAACGTTGTCGAGTAGCGATGCTCGGGCCGGTCTCGTGTTTGGAGAATCCTCGCCTAGATGGTAAAAAACAGTTTCCAAGAGGGGAGCGAAGCCTTCGACCAATTCACGCGGAGTATACACGCCAGAACGTAAGGACCAGGTGTGCGGCTGGGGTTCATCGCGAGCACTAACCCCTGGTTTAGGAGGAATAGCATGTCCGACCAGGATGCCCCCAAGTCCTGAAAGTTGGTAGGCAGGGATTTCAGTAGTTGGTATAGTCATTTTGCATGAGTGGAAGGGAAGTAACATCGACATGCCTCTCTTAAGTACTTCCATTTTTCCTTTCCTACAACATCACCTTGAGAATTGACCTGTGATTTATAATTATTCGGGAGATTATGGTAGGTTCGAGCCAACAACCTCCGGTAATGTGGAGCTCATGGTCGTATGCTTGGTCTCGTAATGTGAAGATGTCCCCAGGTGGTCGGAGTGTTGTGGTCAAGTTCGGAGATTTTTGGTCAATTGCGACCACCGACCAACGATCTCCGGTCTCCGGTCTCAACATCCAAATGTTTGATACCTAATTGTTTCAGAAATGTGTAAGATGGCAGTTCTTCCTATATTGATAAGTAGATAAAATAGTTTTGATCTCGTGAATATTGTAATACTCCACATCTATGCATTGGCCTTAGGTTCCTTCACAGTCCACCTAATACCGTGATACTAGTGCTTTGGAAAATTGCACCACAAATCTTCCCAAGATTGTATGCCATCTTGATATCCATGTTAATCCTGTTTGTGGTTTACGATCACTCGCGGGTGAGTTGAAGTCCACGCTCAATATGAGGCCTGTGCCAGATCCGAAAATGAGAACTTGAAGGCTATAATGAGATCATATGTATTCCCCTTCGCGGCCAATAATATTGGAATGAGAGGAAGTTTGTATAACACTAGTCTTGAAGAGTCACATAAAAAGCTCAGAATCATTCCAAGGTTCTACGTAGACTGGTGTTCCATCATGGTACTCAGTGCTAACATTTAGTACACATGTGAACTCCTCAACCCCCACTGGCAGGTACCGTGGTAGTGTTATATCTCTATCCATCCAGTCTCTTCATTCAAGTTATGTCTACTATGCCTTTCCACAAACACCGCTCCGGGCTATGTACTGCCTCATCCCCATTCTAGGTAGTCATTGAGCCTGGCGTAGTATAACCTACTAGTAGGTCATCGTTGCCTTTCCTCTATCACATATTCCTGTGAAAGTTTCAATTCCAAGCAAAGCTTGGCTAGTCATATGCCACCCCTCCCGAAGTCCTCATTCCCTTGAATCTGAGTTGCTTTGAGCGTGTTGCATCTGCATCGTCCTCATAATCTCCGCTGCCTCGAAAGAAAACTTACACTTCATGCGCACCTGCATACCATAGCAATACATGATAAGTGGAAATGGCATACAAATCACTGTCATGAAAGCTGGAACACTAGATGCCCAGTGGATGCCCAAGTTATTATACATCTGCGTCGTGAATAGGGGAAACACAGCACCCACTACAGACCGAAAGATAGCAGCTGCAGCTAGAACGGATGAAGCGTAGATTGTATAGGTATCGATCAAATAGTTCATGATGGGTAGGAGAACAAGCACACAACCGAATCCGAATGGGGCCGACAGAATGATGCATACAGACCAGTGGATGCTAGGGTAGTTGGTCCAAGCAAATGCAAACATTCCAATAGGTAGAGCGACTGCGCCGATAATAGCGGGTGGCAAGCGGGACTCTGGCGTTGTGGTTTTGGATATAACCAATCTGATATATCGGGTGTTGTTGTCCCAGATTGTATAAACCAAACCCAAGACGATGCCCATAGCAATACCGAGAAAGGAGAGGCCCCCAATGCCTTCACTCCAGCCACGATCTTCGTTGAATACAATTGGCATGGCACTCATAAACATATAAACTGTACCATAAATAATGGCCATATAAATGGATGCGACCAAGAGAATGGGCTCAAGGAAAAGAAAAATCCAAGGCCGGAACAGAGCCTTCTTGAAGACTTCGGATGGATTCTTCTTGCCCTGACGTTTCTCTAGGACGCTTATGTAGGTATTGAAGTCCGATCTTGAAAGTGAAAGAGCGTGCCGCTGTAGAATAACGGGCCCATATGTTTCAGGAATACAGATCCCACCCAGGATACCGAGAAGTCCAATAAAAATCGTACAGACGCCTTGTACCCATCTCCAACCAATATTCTCGGAGATAAAACCCCCAACTACTGGACCAAGTACGGGACCAAGGAATGGCGCGACAGAATAGACTGTTAAAGCAAGGCCGCGCTGGGCTGGTAAAAACAGATCGGCGATTGTGCCACCGGAATTCACGAGTGGAGATGCTCCAAAAGTGCCGGCGAAGAATCGTAAGACGAGAAGGGTGGCGATGTTTTGACTTCCAGCAGATCCACCGAGGAAAAAAACCATTGCGATATGACTGGTTATCCACAGCTTTCTTCTTCCGTATAGTTCGGATCTTAGAGATGGAGTCAATCAGTGAGTGAACACACAAAAGAGATTGAAAGGTGCGCGTGGTAAGCATGATCACTTATCACTTACAGAGGACCCCAGAGTCCAGGACCGACTGCAAATCCGAGAACGAAAAGGGAAAGACCCAGCGTGAAGACTTCTGGGCTAACATCGAATTCTGCAAGGATTTCATTGGAGGATGCGGAGTATGCGGACGAGGCTAAGGTGATAGCAAAAACGGAGGTAGTTGCAATGCAGGCAATGAACCATTTACGAGAAGAGCTCCAGTTCATCGGATTATCAGGGTCGTTCTTCTGAAATTGCACCACGAAGGGGTCTTCGTCAGTACCCATGCCGTCATAGATGGGTGCTTTCTCGACCTCGACTGTGTCAGTAGACATCGGAGTCTCGATTGGCATGATGAACAAATGATGAGATTTCAAGAGTAGATATTTCAAGGGATTCAAAGAGACTTCTAAGGGCTGATGTGATCATGATCTTTATACCAACTTGGGCACCTTTTGTACCTATGGTTAGAATGTGTTATAGATGCCGTCCGTGGTGGTGACAACCGGATTGAATCTCCATTGGCTGGAAATAGAAAGTGGATGTGAGTTAAAAGTGTTCCTATTGGGCAAAATCTGATTAAATCCATCTCATTATCCAATGAAATGGGGTGCCATAAAGGGGCCGTTGACCACGGATCCGACTCTGATTGGGCAATTGGCATGAATCCGTATCGGTCATGTATTCAAAGTGACCAAATACCGTATTAATACAAGAACATCGCGAGCCTCGTAATATTGATCACATGCACGCTTTGTCCATGCTCCGATGCTATTCATACCTTTCTTACGGGCTACTACTGCGTATAAATTCTGGAAATAAACAAGTTCAACTGGATCTGGTCTTGAACTCGCCTTGATATCTCCCCTGGAACTTGTGCCATGATATCGTTACAACCAGACCAACGTGACACACGGGTAATACGCAGGCCGCGATTAAAAGCTTCAAAGGCTTGTCAAGCATGCCGCTCCAGAAAGGCCAAATGCGATGGGAGTCGCCCTTGTATTCCACTCTTTCCTCCAAGACAAAATATGTCGTATGCCAAGCTGATATTGAAGAATGAATAGCTTGCGCCAAGCGTCAGGTCGACAGAAAGGCAGGCAACTACAAAACGCCTTCCACGGTCTGTGAGGACGCACACAAGCTTGCTTCAAAACAGTCCATTCAGACAGTTCCTCTCCTCGCTCGGCCTCTATCTCCAATACAAACTCCCCCCGACCCCCGCAACGCTTGAGTCTCGCTCTCGCCCAGAATCTTTGGGGGACGACAATTCGAACCAGGATCGCACATATTATACAGGCCATGGCCGTTTCGCGGGTCAGGTTGCTGCGGCTATAGATGAGAGAGCAGGCTTTGTTTCACCATGCACGCCCTATCAAGTCCCACTTATGGATGCGCCCCTGTTTGAAAACCTGGATCTATCCGTCAGATGCTCCACTTTCCCCATATCCACTGAATTGCCTTCCCAAACATGTGCGGATCAGCTTGTGGAAGTATATTGGGAATATGTCGATCCTGCAGAACCTATATTGGACCGCCAGCAGTTCTTGAAGTACTATGATTCCTTGTACTCTAACTCCAGCTTGCCTCTGTGTATAGAACCTTCCATCCAACTCAGCATTCTCAATTTAGTATTTGCACTCGCAGTGCAAAGACAAGAATATATCGCCCTTGCGAAGAGAAGTGAAGAGGGAAACAATTATTTTCGGCGCGGATGGGATCTTTTCCCTGCCGAATCTATCCTTTGGGATGCTGGGTCGGTCGAGCAGGTGCAGTGCATAATGCTTATGAACCGATACCTCCACTGCGCTGGCAATCAACAAAAGACTTGGATGACTGCGGGACTGGCAATGCGTATTGCACAAACAATATGCTGTCACCTCCCAGAGAGCTCCTCCGCGAAGGGTATGGGTGATGATGCACGGCTGAAACGTAAGGTCTGGGCAAGCTGTATTTCCCTAGATCGGTACGCCCAATAGTTCCTGAATTATAAGGACAGAAGAAATGTTAATTGACTGATACAGGTGTGTCTCCTGGTCACTTGGGCGGACATCGGTACTGGCTCTAATTCCGAGCCCCCACTTGAGAAACGCCTGTGAGCTGGAAGATAGACAAACAGAGACTTGTCGTTGGTATTCGGAGCTTCACGAAATTGGTAACCGGATACAACTAGCCCAGATTCAGACACGAAGCACGCTAGCTGCTAGATCAGTCATGCCGCCTCTCCATCAGCAGGAGGAATATCACACAGCAGTAGTTCATCTGGACAATTGTCTCAATGAATGGGAGGCTAATCTCCCAAGTAAACTCCAGTTAGGAAACTTGAAATTCCAGGAAGACAGAATACCTAGAATGACGCGATATCTACTCCACATTCGGTACGTCCTTGCTTCGATTTGTCGATCAAATGTCACCTCCGCTCACTCATCCTCGTCATAGTTTTCTTCATTTCCGACTCTACCTGTACAGACCAATACTTGCACGTTTCTACTCGATGAAATCCAATTCTCAATCCAATTCTATCAAAAATCCAAGTCTTAGTGAGCGCCTTCTCAAGGAGGGTGCCAGAATGTGTGTTGAGGCCGCGCAGAGTGTTACATCTCTAGTCGTCGAAACATTAGACCTCGGTCCGTCTATCGGTATTCTCCCTTGGTGGACCCGAATTTACTATCTCCACATTGCTGGTGTAATTTTCCTCGCAGCCATGGTCGAATCGGATCTATTTACCTGTTCAGTCCGTCGATCATGGCAGAACGTTATGGAAACTCTTTACGCACATATTCACCTGAGTACATACGTTCAGCAGTGCATCACAACCTTTGAGGCTCTGTATATGAAGGCCTCACATGCAAATTCTCTACATACGCTTGACGAAAGTGTAAAATTGACGAGCGATTGGGGCTTCAGTTCTGAAGATATCTTTCATGACATTAATTTTGATTTTGACGAGTTCTTATTCAGAACAGACGAGGTAAATTTGGGTGCGCTGGGTTAGCCACCAAATATCTTCATTTTGCCCAAACTTTATGCCTGTTCCTGCACCAAATCCTCTCAAGTACTATGTTTAACCTCAGTCTGCTCGGGCGTTGCCTTATCAGAAACTGATTTCATGTTGTTGTGACTCTGTACCATTTTGATTCATGTAAGAGTGAGCCACTATGATACGATCACAGATACCTAGGTCTGACCTATCTCAAGTGTTATCTCCAGCTTCAATCCCCCAAGCTTGGACATAGCTGTACATATGCGTAACCCGAACACCCGGCCTATTAATGCATATATCAGTATTATTTTCATGCGGATTGTCACCTGGGGCACTTTTGCACCGAGAGCACCAACTTCAATGTTGAAATGTTTCAAAAATCAATAATGCAGATTATCTTGTGTTTTAAAGGAAGCAAAAAAGACTTGAACCAACATTTGCATTTTGTGATTCTTCAGTTATGAACCAGGCGTTGAAGCAACCAGGATAATGCTTCAATTTACCCCGAATATGGCTTACGAGCGATCCCTTCCAGAATTGCCTTAATTCTCAAAGCCAGCTTCTTTGAGTGATACCGGCTGTGTTGCAATGCCCCAACCATTAGCCACATGTTCTGCACGCCGGTCTCTTTCCAGGCACAACGTAACTCGCCCTCATCAATACCCCAGATTGGCTTACACTTCCTAGCGACATCATCACCAAAGATCCGACGCACTGATTCAATCGCATTCTTGAACCTAGTAGCCAAAATTACAAGATCGTACTTCACCTCCCTATTGTTATTCAGAATGAGACTATTCTCAGTGAACTGAACCGGGTAACCCTGTTCAACCTTGATTCGACCGTCAATGATTGCCTGAAATGCACCGGCATCGAAGTAAAAGCCTCCGTTTCTGGTATAAGCCAAAGTCTGTTGTCCGGTATCACGTTGGCCTCTCCAGACCTGAAAACAGGCCTTCTCCATCTTCGCAATCATTTCAGCATCTGCGTCCCAGATATCCTTGGCCGTGCGGCGGAATGGCTCTTCAGCAGGACCAACTGGAAGGCCATTGGCAATACGATCAACAGTATCCATGTCCGGTGCCTTGTGGCCTTCTGGCCCGTAGACTGGCTGAATCATCTATGAAATAATTGATATTGGAACCTATGATGGTGTCGTGAGAAGCAGCTTACTCTGGGAACCGATTCATCCAAAGACATGACGTATGTTGGTGATCTTTGAAGAAGTGTGACATCAATTCCGCAACGAGCGAAATCGAATGCTGTATCAAAACCAGATGATGAAGTCGCTACCACCAGAACTTTCTTCCTCTCCCACTCCCGGGAAGAGTCATGTTGGGTAGAATGTCTTATCTCTCCCTTAAAGTCTTCCATACCAGGTATCTCTGGCATAAAAGGCACACCGGCAAATGAGGTAGCCAGGATGACGTGCTTTGGGTGGAAGGTTCGAGTGTACTTATTCTGGTTGGTTCCACGTTGAATCTTAATATCCCATTCTCCATTCTCTCTTTGCGCGGTAGACACAATGTTGGAATCTGTCCATGTCGGGAGTTCAAGAGCCTGCGCATACCAATCTAACCAGTCACCCATCTTGCCTGCTGGAGTATATGTGGGCCAATGCTCTCTGAAGAAGGCTGTTAGGATCCCCTTGCACCCAAATAAAACTTCACGCTGTTCACTCACGGGAAAGGGAAGTAAGAGAAGTGATCCCCCCCAATGCGGAAGATGCAGTGAGAGATATTCATATCGTTTGCGCCAGTTATCCCCAATCCGCTGGTTTCGCTCAACAATGAGGGGCGTGATTCCGAGAGCCTTTAGTCGTGCAGCAATATGTAGACCACTTTCAACAATGTCAGCATTTCAATCATCGGGTTTTCAGTATATTGAAAGACTCACCAGTGACCCCCACCAACAACCACCACATCAGGCTCCACCCCGTCCAGGTTATTATCCTCAGCTCGTCGATCGCACCATGACTTGTTTACGACCATATGGCCATCAGGGTTTGGGACTTCTGGGTATCATGAAGACCTTCCATAGCAGTATGCAGCGTCCACAATTTGAAGCCTTCTCCAGTTTTGACAATTTTCATCACTGCACTCGCACTGGCCACGTCTGTATCGAACGAATAAACAGCCTGCATCCAAGTAATATCGGTATAGGGCCTCTGTATCGATGGCGAAGGGTCAATGAGCTTTTCGTGTTGTACCGAAGTCTGAGAGAACAAATCGGAAGCAGCTTTCTCGATCTTGCTGCGGATATTGAAAGATCGATAATCCCAGGTGAAGACAAGCTTGTCTCCCCAGATGCCTAGAGAAGTTAGTACTGATAGTTTCGACATTCAGCGGTTCTCAAATATACCATTTCCAACAAATAAACCGGCGAATGCCTTTGAATCGCCTCTCTGAATCGAGCGGGCAATGGCGTTCACAAGCTGACCTGCGATTTCTTGCTTGTCCTTCTCATCCTCCACGGTGAAGTCCAAAAATTCTACATCATCTCCGTGAGTCGGGAGAGGAAAGTCATACTTGAACTCGTACATGAAGTCATCTTCGAGTGGCTTCTTAACATCATCCTTGATGTAGTGAAAAGGTGCTTGTTTAACATTCCAAATGTCGTTCTCAGTAACAGCACTGAAATCTGTACTCGGCATTTTGACGAAACTCTCGAATTGACTGACGATATCGGATTGATTGATAAAGGTCTGTGAAGCTGGTGATTTCTGACGAATTGGTGTGCTTTAATGCCCCGAGAGCAAAAGGTTTCCATGATGATCTAGCGGAAAAGCGGAAGGTAACTCATTCCAAGATTTATGGAATGACATAGGTACTGATACTTGGTGATGATTGTTCGGCTCTCCAATTTATACCCGCTTTTCCGCAACTTGAGCCAGATGATGCGGGGAAATCCATGCCAGTACCATATGGTCGAAGTCAAAGCTTTTCAGCACTCCACCCAAAATCCCACATGGAATCTTGGAAGATGCCACGTTAACTTTATCCGTTCTTTCACACTGTCTCATCGGGCGTGCGTGCTCCAGGCTCGGTACCTCATCTCATAATAGACCACAAAGCCTTGGATTGATTGAGCTGACAAGGCGCCTATACTAAACAGCTATTACCCCCTTAGTTGTTGAGTTCACTTGCCTTGTCAAGGAATTCCGAGATTCTCAGCTAGTACTATATAAAAACACATCAATTTCCACATGGACGGTTTTGGGAAATATGCACATGTGAAGAGGAGAACTTATCATGGACCAAAGAGTAACTAGTAAAAGTACATGTAAATAGTACAACCTCGGACGTGCTTTCAACTTACGCCTTAAATCTGTCTCAATAGTACATGCATTGATGTATCTTTAAGACCAAGCGGGGAAGAGGTAAGATGATTTCATACCCCAGTGAAAGAGTAGTAACAAATACCATGGAAAAGATTGATTTGACTGATTTGAATTGAATACTCAAATTTGAGAAACTAGTAGTAGCAGGTTCAAAATAAAAATTAAAAACCCAGATGCCTATGGCTTTGGTTGCGTCTTATCGACCCTAATGAGAATCTTGACATGCTCCTCCTTATTATTAATGAGCTCCATAATTCCTTTCTCTTCGAGCTCCTCCAACTCAATACGTGAAGTAATCATCCGCTCAAGATCTTTTCCAGTGATCTTGCCCTCATGGATGGCGGCAATAACCGACTTGAAGTCACCCTGGGAGAGCGAAAGGTCTGACTGGATAGTCTTACCGTAGTAGAGCAACTCATGCATATCAACGATAGCCTAAATCAGATATTAATGGAAATTGGTCCTTCATTGGAACGGGATATACGGACCGGTTTATTCCACAGGGCAATGTTGTAATACTTTCCGTATTTACGAATGGCCTTGATTCCGTCGGTAATGGTGGCTCGAACTCCGGAAGCGTCAAATGCCAAGTCTGGACCGACATTATACTTCAAAATAGAATATGCTGCTTTTCTATAGAATAATTTGAATATTTTTGATCGACATACCCGTCACATGCTTCCTCGGCAGCAGCAGCAACATCAGTGGTGATGGGATCAAAGGTGCGGACAGCACCAAACATTGCCGCTTGTTGGTGTCGTGTCTTGGATGGCTCCAAGGCCAGAATATGTTTGATACCCTTGGCCATAAGGCAAATAATCACAGCAAGACCAATTGGGCCTGCACCGAAGACTATTGCGGAGTGGTGTGCTTGAATTCCAGAATTTGTCACAGCATGCCAAGCAACAGAGAGGGGCTCAATCAAGGCACCAGCCTCTAGATACACCCCGGCTGGAAGTACATGGCAAAGAGACGCTGAAATAACAATGCTTTCACATAGACCTCCCGGGTTGGCAGAAATACCAAGGAATGCAGATTGGCCACAAACGTTACGCTTCCGAATTGAGCAAGCGTAGCACTTCTCATCTTTGAGCAGGCCTTCGACTGCGACTGTGCTTCCCACTTCGCAGCGCGTAACTGAGGGATGAACCTCAACGACAGTTCCTGAAAACTCGTGGCCCAAAATGATTGGCATGGTTTCACCGGTCAGTGGATGAGGGCTCTCTGTAGTCGGATTTCTCAGTGCTGTCAATGCCAGTGGTAGTGGTAAGGGTAGTGCATGTTTCTTTCACCGTGAATCAACCCAGGTGCCAACTATGAATTTCCATATCAGGCTCCAGCATTAGAAGGTCTCAAGACAGAAGCGCCATCTAAAGAATGAGGTTGTATCCACTTGAAAGGGTCGAAAGACTAATACTACCTGGGTACTAAAAGGCTCAAATTTGAAGGAACTCCACGCTCTGGAAGGTCTAGTAGGAGTCAATGTTCGAACTCATTCAATAGCATTAAGAGTTGAAGGTAAGACTGGAATTTACATGTTCTAGGCTCTCGGGCGCATATGCCAGGTGACAGACAACCTTCCAAGGTTAGGAATCACATTATACTTCGTTTTCATATGTTATTTAACAGCAAAACAGATATCCCTTTCTTCCCAACCCCGATAATTTCCATCCATTGTAAGGTAAAGACGCAGGGTCATTCAGATGTTTGAGTCAACAAAGTGAAAACCGTATACGGTCACTATAGTTCCCAATATTCTAGATATAAGCTCCAGGGTTTGGGCCCAACGGCTTTGTTCCATTCATTCGTCGTCGCCGAAGCTTATCATGCATCGCCGGTGGAAGAAAAGAGCTGTCGCAGACCTTGAATCTAGACGAGATGGCATCAATAATTGCAATCTCATCGTTTGTTAACTCCCAATCATTGATATCAAAGTTCTCTCGCACTCGTTGCGGATTGACAGACTTTGGAATAACCGACCACCCCTTCTGTAAGCCCCACTTGAGAAGAATCCGTTGCACAGACTGCCCCTTGCGTTGGGCGAGGTCGATCAGGGTTTGATTTTTGTAGAGGGGAGAATCAGTTGATCCAAGGCATGAATAAGCAGTGCTATGAATCCCGTTCCTGGTGTTGTAGGCTACCAACTTCGGCGATGGGTTGTTGGGATGGAGCTCAATCTGGTTTACGGCTGGAACAATCTGATCAAGAGTCAGCTGCAACCCTGGGCTCTTGGAGTATCTCTGGGATGAAAATTTCTCCTTACCCTTGTTGATGGGTGATTCAGTAGTCTCTCAAGATGAGTGATACCAAAGTTAGAAACCCCGATTGCCTTCACCTTCCCTGTGGCTGGAAGCTTTTGCATTTCAACCCATGTGTTGATGTAGTCCCAATCAGGAATGATCTTGGTTTGATCATTGGGATCGGTTGAACAAGGCCAATGAATCAGGTATAGATCAACATAGTCAGTCTGAAGTGCCCTTAGAGATGCTTCAATGGCTTCTGGGACCCGGGTGTGCCACTGATTATGAAGTTTTGTTGTGAGAAAGATCTCATCGCGAGGAACTCCGGATGCTTTAATCCCATCTCCGACTTCAGCTTCATTGCCGTAAGCTGCTGTTGCATTAATGTGGCGACCCCCAGCTCGTAAAGCAACTTCAACAGCAATGCTCACATCACCTGGCTGAGATTGCCAAGTTCCAAGTCCAACTGCTGGGATGCTATCTCCGGTGTTCAAAGAGTATGTTTTTCTACATCGAGATGATTATTTGTTAGTCACACATGCATATGAAGATGTATACGTCAGGCGTGTTCGTCATTCTTCAAATGTTGTAACGTACTCGGAAAAATTCAACTTGAAGTTGGCAGCCGACGACATGGTTGAAAATTCGAGTGATTCAAGTTCCAGTTAACAGGACGAGACCTTTGATTGTGTGTTGAAAGTATTATGCTGGAGCTGTTCATACATTGAAGATGCCGGATATTTTATGACCAGATCCCAACTTGAACGGATGCCACCATTGATGACAGCACATGTGCATTAAAATGGATATTGGAAGATCGGCCTGAGGCACTTCAAATGTTGGAACCTTGGAAGCACCTGAGCCGGCTGTGTGTATTTTGAGAATTTGCTATGACCTCAGTATTTACCGGTGATGCTACCCCTTGTCGTGAGCAGTAAGAAGACAATACTATGCCATTTCAACATGCGGAAGATGGTTTTCCGCAGACACAAATATATCCACTTCAAGGGGTGGGGCTTTGTAAGGAAAAGGGATCGTTCGGCAAAACCTCAGAAAACCTTTCAAATGTGTAGGAACACCCCGCCAGGAGAGCATAGATCTGAGCAAATGGGATTCAAATTTTAATATCTCACTGTTGTGATGCGGGGATAATATTTGAAATGTTGGAAACCCCGATCTCTGAGTCAACTAGTGTCTCCGAGTCGTGATGATCCACATGAAGACCAGAATTACCGAATTGAGATATACTCCTAGTTCAGTTCATGCATGCACAGGGGTGGTTAGGTTGTTGTCGAGATTTTATCCTTCGGCTAGGATAACCAATACGGAAAACGTACTTCCGAGAGAGCTCTAAGACAACATTGGAAGTCTCGTTTAGCCTCGGAGTTTCGTGCAAAGCTCAAATGTCCAGGCGAGCAGGAGAACGGAGCGCATCATCCACTATTCATGCAGAATGCCTCCAGTAAGCGAGTTCAAAAATCTATTCAGAAATCTGAAAGGAAAGGAAAATTGATTGGTTTAGATTATGAATAGATTGACGATCAGTTGAAATGTAGGGGTAATCCATTAGTAAAGGCTAGATGCAGCTCCGTAAAATGTATGGAATAAATCCCGATCCTCCATATGAAGCGCAAATGTGTCATTGATACCACTGGAAACAATATCTCCAAAATCGAAATCGCTAAAATCAGTTGCACCCTGGCAATACCAAGGAATTCCATTTGGGAGATCGTAAAGAGTCCCACCACTCTTGGCCTGGGGTTCTGAAAGTTACTCGGATTGTCCTTCATGATGCTGTTGATTTATAAGACCCTCCACATCCATGGGTTGTGGAATCTCAAGAGGAACTTCAAAGTCGAATGAAATGTCGGGACACATTTGCATTTTCCAAGTGAGCATGCCAGAAAGAGGCTGAGTAGAGGACACACCGAGCACTGCTGGGAATGGAGATTGATCAGAACCAAGCCCAGCTTGTTTGACCGCAGGATCATCTCTCTCCTTTCTTGCATGATTTTCCGCTTCTTAAATGGGATTTTCTGGAGTTTGTTCTTCCTGGCTCGATACCTCATCCAGCGGCCTGAAGCCTTCTATGAGGCTTTTCAATATCTTAACAGCCTTTTTTGCCATAGTGTAAAAGTCACCAAGCTCGGTTAAAGCTGCTAGGCACATGAAGAGAAGACGATAATGGGACTCGACATTGGTCAATCGATAGTTGATGAGGTGAATTTTAGCAGCAATAAAAGCCATATGCACACCATTTGGCGATATGTGTCTTATGTTATAACGCTGACAGTAAACGTGAATAAGCTTTGCGATATTGGCGGCGGCCATCATGCAGGTGGTTGTTGAATTGATATGTGACGCATCTTGCGACAATTCGTCTCTTGCCTTGGAAAATTCCAGTAGAGGCCGGTGAACTAGAATAAGATTGTAGTAGAATTGCATGCTTATTTGAAATCAGTATTCAGAACGCAATAGGTCAGCCATTTATGTGAATCACTCACTGAAGAGCTAAGACGGCAGGTGGCGAAGGCGATGACTGATCATCTGCTGGCCATGCCAAATCATCGGGAAGCTTCCGTTGCCACTCCCACAATTGGCCATGGATTTCGAATGCAATTCTTTTGAGATTTTCATTTACATCATTGAAATGTCGCTGTGCATAAAGAGCGAGGAGTTTTCTGCCGCATATCCGGGCTAGCGCGACAGTGTGAGGTAGAAGGTTCGGCGGCATATTCTCATCTGTCATGAGCCTCTCTTCTGGTGGACATATTGTGATATCCCAGTCCATTAAAATGGTTGGTCGCTGGCAATAAGCGCTGTAAAGCCTAGGGATTGAATTGTCAGAGGGGAACATCCTAGGGAGTTCGAAATCACTGACTTATCTTCAATGTAACAGCCCCAGAATGCTACTGATCGGTACATAGCCTCCTCATCCGTCATCTTTCCATTGATTGGAAAGCATTCGGGAACAGTCGAGATGAAGACCCAATTTGGTGGCCGTTCGGAATCCAATCCCTGGTCTTGTAGTTAGATGTAAATTTCCCTCTCGAAAATCATTATTTCTTGATGCTCACCACTAAATATCCACCCGAGAGAGTTGTCAACGAACGTGCCATACCAAGATCCAATTAGGATGGCTGCCTGTACTGTCGTCACAACTGGAGACTCCGTCTCCATATCAAATAGTACTCTTGCGCGACGATGAAATCTGTCACCCACGCTACCATGTTCTGTGGCATACCTTTTCACACCCTTCTCAGGGGTTATTAAGGAAGCCAATGCTAACATGAAGTAAAGAAGACAAGGTGTATAGAACTTGCGATCCCCATTGCCTCCATTTTCATGTGCACGTTGGCGGTGTCGCAAAAAGATGGTAGGATCTACAATCACAATGTGGGAGGCCTGAAACTTCCAACTAGAAGATGGTCCACATTTGGCTCTGGCTCTATAAAGTCTTGTAATGCAGAAGGCGATATTTCACGGTTTTTCAAAAGGTGAGCCGCGATACCACCTTCGGGTGACGGACGCTGCTGTCTTTCACCGTATGGAAACATACTGGATTCACCTAGGTAACGCGTATTTCCATAATCTTGATCTTTACAAGCACCCGCTGGTGGTTTAGCTTCATCCATTTCAATCGGGAATCTCCGTGTAGCTCTAGCGGCACTCAGGGTTGTTTTTCTGCTATCTCAGGAGCAGGCCGAGGCAGGAGATGCGACAAAAGAACGAGAAGGCGTACGAAGACCCAAGTATGACTGTGGGAGGGAGACTGCAGCGAAGGATTTGGTTGATGCTGTCAGGTTGGCGGTTGTGCTTTGCAATACAAATGGGCTGTTTGATGCAACCGGAATGAGATGATCAGGAGATTTGGACACAGATTGATTTTTCGAGATTTTTTGCGTGTTCAAAGGCGATTCGCCACGTTGGGTCAAGCTCTATTTATTGGGTCTTTCCAAGGTGTCAGGAGATCCATTTCGCTGAGAAGAAAGAGTCCTTAATTCACTCTCGAGTACTGCGACCCGAGTTTGTAGCGCCTTGATGCTTTGCCGTTGTTTTCGCCTGTCCTCGCCATACAAGCGCAAGTCACATTTTTTATTACGCAGACGACAAGTCGTGCATGATCCAGAGCTTTCGGCCTACTGTGAGATATCACAGCGTCTCTTTGCTTTCTTGCATCCAATGCAAGCAAAGCTAGCACGACTTGCATGGCGCGTATGTTTCGATATATTTGACTTGTCTGGCATCATAGGAAGATCGACGCTCGCGGATTTGAGAGTTCAAGTTCAAGTTTCCATAAACACCATTCAATTCAAGGAACCAGATCCTGAACTAGGTCAAGCATTCCCTGAAATATACTTCGCATTGGATTTTTGTGGTCAGTTTGTTCCAGTTTCCCTGCATGGCAGAGGTAAATTCTTACTAATGCGATCACAGCACTTGCGAATATCTATCATTATTTCTCCTTGCTGCTGATGACTATCCATGATCCAAGCCTGCCAAAGATTGGGCCCGCTGGTTATGAACAGCGAAGGAAGATAAATGTATTTGACGGTGCATTAATAACAGACGTAGCTACGTTGCTGATCAGTTGAAGGGACTTATCATATCATACCTGGGTCTCATTTGCGGACTCGCCATTTCCAACGATGTGCCACCTTTGAGAACAGTAGCGGGTCTCACTATTTCATAATGTAAGTTGAACCCGATTTCAGCAAATCCAGATGTCTTCGGTGTACTAATTCTTGTTAGGCGGTGTATTAATATACAAAACTGAACTACAAGTCGCATTGCTGGATGTACTAGAAATGATTGAACGGGAGACTTACTGGCCGACAAAGGAATTTCAGCAGTCGTTACGGGCGGAATGGACAGAAGAGTAAAGAGCTGGAGGAAATAGAGATATCCATGTTCAAAGCCTTCTCTTCGTCTCAACATTGAAGTCTTCCAAAGTTGCGTCAGGATCTGCTTTATTTACTCCACATATCTATCATCGATCTTTGCATAATTGAAGTTTGCTTACTGGATGAAGTCGTTTTTGGCAAACCCCTGCAATTGGTGCGTGATATAGTAGAGCGTGACCAAAGTGATTTTAGCCAGAGTAATGTCAGAAATTAAGGCAATAACTTTAGAAGATGAGGAATTTTGCAGCAGCCGTATGATTGAGGAGACTTCAAGTTCCACTGCCAAGTTGTTAGTTAAAATGCACTCAGCGTCAGTCTCTTTGCAAGAAGCACTTCACAGCGCTGCACATGAATGTGGAAGTCCATAAATAGCAGAAATATGAACCTCCTAGGTCGTGGGCACAAGACCTTCATTAGAACCACAACGGCAACAATCAAGAAATCTGTCATCAATGGAGCAAATCCCCCCAAAATTCTGAAATTTCCTCATTGAGACAGGTATATCCAAAATTTTCCGCATTGGGAACTCCACCTTCATCGCGGGGGAATATTATCTCAGTACCGGAGACGTCGAGCAAGATGGGAAATAAATCCCGGATGACGGGGTTCCCTATTAAAGCCCTGTCCAGATAGATGTGCATCACAACCTTGGAAATATACGATACCTATCTGAGCAGTAAGTGGGGTAATCAAGGGCTGTTCATAATTGCAGCCGCAGAGTGAAAAATCTTGTTGGCTCTCCATCTCTCGTCTGGTTAGGCAATTATGGCCACAGTTTTATGTAGACAGATTAGGAAACTTGCGATCTAATGCCTGATCATCTCACAGGCCCTGGTAATTCCTTGCAGTTCCACATTCAATGCTGACACAGACCGCAAGCCTTTAATATGCTATAAATGGTATGAAGTTCGCCGTTATAGACAATGGCAGTCTTGACATCTCTCCAGACAAGTCATCAGCCATACCGTTGAATTATCATTTTACCATGTTCTTCTTCGCATTTTTAATTTGCCTAGGGGTAATCCTCTCATTCCTTGTTATTACCAAACATCTCCTTGATTTCTTCCGCGATTCGAAAGCCTTGCGTCGGTTTCCTGGAATGACCACTTTCTACCCTCTGACAAATATTCCTTGCATGATTGAAGCGATCAAGGGATGAAGATTCAAAGCCTTCCACGACGCTCACCAACAACTCGGGCCCGTTCTGCGAGTCGGCCCTAATTCTATATCATTCAACGATGCAAAAGCTGTGAAAAATATCTACGGTCACAGTTCCCCCGTTAGGAAAGGGGATCTCTATGATTTACTTGCTGGCTCACATCGCCATCTCGCCCATGTTTCCAACCGTGAAGAGCATTCTCGAAAGGGACGTCGTGTGCTTGCCGGGGCGTACTCTCAAGCCAGCTTAGAGAACTGGGAATACATTGTCGCCGATCGCACCGCCGCCCTCCTCAAACAATATGATCGCCTCTGCAAGGCTCCTGAGTATATCCCAACAGTCCACGGAGGCTCTCGGTGGGACATTTCCGGTGAAAAGTTCGGGAAATTTATCAACCACCGATATTGGATGATCCTGTTCGCACAGGATGCAATCTTGCAGATAGGTTTGCCAGCGGATTTGAAGTTTCTAGAATCCGGAAGCGACGTCGTGACAACCCAGAGCATGGATGGCAAGTCGCATACCTTTAGCTATCGCGATGTACTGTGGCGATCCCATCTCATCCAAAATGCTCTAGTCTGGTCGCCTGGGCGGTTCAAATGGCTATCAATACTTACTGCATGGCACTCATACTGGAATGATGGAAAGCTCCATAACACTCTGTGTGTTGCCCTGGTCCACCGTCGCCTTACGCGCTACAAGGCTGGGGACAGGCTGGATGATTTCTTCACATACATCTTAGAAGACAAATATGGGAATCCCAACATGTACCCACTGGGTGAGATGATTGCGGAATGCAGCATTATGCTTAACGCGGGGAGTGATACCACTGGGATAGCCTTAACAAATGTTCTTTATTGGCTATTGAAAAATCCGATCTGTCTTGACAGATTAAGAGATGAAGTGGATGGAACATTCGACGAAGGAATGGTCGTTGCATCATATGATAAAGTGAAGAATCTGCCATACCTGCGAGCATACTTAGATGAAAGTATGCGACTGACGCCTCCAAACACTATGAGTGTCAACCGCCTGACACCATCTGAGGGCATGTCAATCATGGGTTACTGAATTCCAGGAAATACAACAGTACATTCCCCCCGTACAGCATGCATCGTGATCCTGAGGTTTTTGCTGATCCGGAGTCATTCAACCCTGATCGGTGGCTTGGAGAGAAGGGTAAAGATCTACAGCCACACTTTATTACTTTCAGTGTCGGCGCCAGAGGATGTATTGGGCGCAATATCACTTATTTGGAGCAAACAGTCGCCCTGGCAAGTATGGTGCATCGATATGAAATTGCATTGCCACATGATAACTGGGTTTTGGGGCAACAGGAAGCATTCACCTGCTCTCCAGGCGACATGCCGATACAAATCAAGAGACGTTACTTTCAATAAATGGGACTCATTAACACTGAATTGATTTGCTCTTTCTTTGAATTTATGATTTTACCTTTACGGATAGAAATTCCAGAGGCCTTTTGCTTATAGAACTCGGATAAGGTGAAACCGTGAAAGTGGGGGATCCGTACGCCCGAGCACTTGAGTCGGCCCGAGTTCATAAGTGGGGGAAGAAGATACAGATTTCCATATATATTGGTCTGAGTCATACTATTAATAGAAACAAAGGAGAAGTCACTGGCACTGTATACACCTTCAAATGTTAGAAGCAAGTTGCATTCATTTCCCCAACTTCAAATATTCGTTCGTGCCAGTGCATGTTCGCGGTTGTGGAGCTTGAGTGTCTATATATCGCCATTCTCAACTTGAACTTGAACTATCACCCATGCGAAACTTGCACATGTGAACTTGAAGGTTGCCTCCATCAAGGAAATCCATTCCATTTTAGGTAAATTCAATATTTCAAGTGTTACCCCGCTGATAACTACACCAACCTTGGAAGCAGCTTCCGCACGTGCCGGCTTATACTACTAGTATGAACTAGTAGTCACAAATGGATGCCTGCTGGGGTAGGTGGCGCAACCTTCAACTTGAATGTTGGAATATATAAACATTCGAACTTGAAGGAAGAACTTGACATCTGGAACATCCATTTGAAGAAACCTCAAAACTGCCAGTGGTATTACCTCTAGGGGGACCAGTTGACCCAGACTCTCCACTTTCTTAACATCCATTCCATATCCACCTTGGCAACATTTGAAATCACTTCATCCAGTTAACTCTTGCAAAGTCCCATGATGCCGCTCCAACGCTCACCAGAGGTGGTGGTTGTATCCCCCGAAGCGCTCTCAGCCACTCTACCTCAGTCGCCTGAAGACCCCAATTTCGGCAATGTTAGTTGGCACACTGTTTTCTCTCATCCAGATACCCCAACTAGCGATATGAGTGCTGGAATTGGCCACTGCTCTCCAGGAAATGGTCATTTGTGTCAACATCGCCACGCGCAAGCAGAGATATATCATATTTTGGAAGGGGATGGGGTGATGAAGATAGACGGTGTATCTTATGATGTTACTAGAGGATCAACAATATTCATCCCCGGGAACTCTGAACATGGTATTGTGAATGTTGGGGCAGCGGATTTACGTTGGTTCTATGTCTTTCCCACGAATGACTTTCGGAATGTGATTTACCAGTTTACGAAAGAGGCGGAACCAATCGTCTCAATCCCCACCGTCTGACCGTGTGTTACGGACCCACTATGGAGGGATCTCCCAGGAGCAGCTATGACCCAATCAGTTGGCGGTCGGACCAAATGTGGACGGCTGGCCATAATGGGCGCGAGACCGAAACGGGCCTTTGTACACAAAAGACCTGTCAGCCAAAATAACGTGATAAACTAGGCCCAAATGGGACGGTTTTAACAGGATTTAATCCTGGCTTCTGATTGGCCGAACCAGAATGGATCACATGATTAGCCACATGATCTACGGTCGCAGCAGACGCTTATTCGTGTAAAATTAGTGTTATGAGAGAATCAGACCTGTTGATCCGTCCCATTGCGACCGCCTACTGCATTAGACCTTGTAGTCTGACACGCAATTATCAGCCTAAGGCTTACAATTCCTACGGTCGCAACCTTAGAATAATCTAGGGCATATCTATGTATCATCTGGATGCGTAGAAGGAACCAGAATTTCGACGTGGCTTCTCTGTATCTCAATTTAGTTCCGATTTGATCTGTTGTTTTTAATATGTTGCAGTTGTGGTTTAACGAAAGCTGACACTTGGGCAAAGTTGATCTATCCAAAGCAAAATACTGCAACTAAAAGGCGGCAAGAGAACTAGTATGCATCTCAGATCCCACGATTGTAATAGATCAGATAATCTCATGCCCACTCTGTCTCTCACCCCCACTTTCCTCCTCCACTCTTCTACATCTTCTTCCTCCCTGTTCCATACAACCACCCGAAACCCCAGACCTCCAAAATTGATCCTCAACAGTACTTCAAGTCGCCAAAATGTTTGAATGTGGCACTTGTGGTGATAAATTCTGGTGGAGAGATGATTGCTATGAGCATATGAATTATGAAAGTCACTGGATTGAGTGTGAGACTTGCGACCAACTTTTCCTGAACCATCACGGCTGCAATCAACATATGGATTCCAAGAATCACTGGGCTCCCCAGTTTCCCTGTGAGACATGCAACTGTATTTTCTCATCAAACAAAGCTCTTCAGGCACACATGTCAGCCAAGCGCCACTGGAAAAACTACTGTAAATCCTGTGACCGGCAATTCCAGAACGAGAACAATCTTCGCGCGGTATGTATACCAAAATGCAAATCAATGAACCATGCAGCTGACTTGAATTCTATCCAGCATTTGAACTCCAAAGTCCATCGTGGAACAGACATGAAGTGCCCCTTTTGCCGAACAGGCTTTGTCACCGCCAGTGGTGTCTCGCATCACCTAGAAACTGGCTCATGTCCAAAGGCCCTCAATCTGAACCGCCAAATAATTGCCAAAATGATGCGCCGACTTGATACCCAGGGAAAGATTACCAATAAGCAAATTGAATGGCACGAGGAGGAGAACGTGGAATACACAGTGACGAATAGAGCATACAATGGCCACAATTGGGAATGCTATTTGTGTCACCGCGAGTTCGGCACTGCAAGAGCCCTGACTCAACATCTTAACTCGTCCACCCATGCTCAGAAGGCATATCACTGTCCTAATCGCCACGGCTGTCGAAAGCAGTTCGTTTCACTGGCTGCGCTGTTCAACCATTTGGAGAGTGAATCATGCAAGTACATGAGGTTTGAAAAGGTTCAATCGGTACACTCGCAGTTGACAGATTCGATCATGGGCAATAAGCGAATCGCCTTTTTCTGAGAGCCTTTTTCTGAGAGCCCGATATGCCATGGACCCCCAGGGCTCTAGATGGCCTTGTCGGCTTTTGAGCTCTTGATCGAGATGATCTCTTACCTCTCATACTGGAATTGTCGCAGCGATTAGGTGACTCTCGGGATTTTTCTCTCATCGAAATGGTCACATGCATTTATTTTGGCATAGTTTCTCAGCATTTTTGTTCTTTAATACCCAAGTGATCTATAAACTACAACTAATCGCTGGGTCCAGACTCGGCGCCACACAATGCATTTTGAACATGGCTCTAGCCAAGATCCTCATTATTCAAGCTAAAATGAAAGTGTTACACGTGGGTAACGGGTAACAAACATGGATTTGATGATTAGCTCTAATCCAAGTCCCGTAAGATAAACGTTCTAGAGAAATATCCCGGTCGCCCCAAATAACATTTTCTCATCCGACCTATCCCCGCCCCACAATTTCATAGCACTTCATAGACATCAATCTCCCCATACGCCGGTCGCTGTGGCGCTTCAAGTTGCCAAGAAACACAGAACGACCTAACCATCCATGCTTCTCATTGTTCGTGGATTGGTGCGTGTATACCAATCAGCCCACTCATTAGCCATCGAGGGTTTAATCAACTTACATATAATTAAATTTGAAATTAAATTCAATTCAATTCTAATATTTAAAGGTTATACACTAAATTTCTTATTCAATTTAATTAAAATACTACTAGTAGTAGCAGGTAGTAGATACTAATAATAGTAATCCAAAGCCCTACAGACTCGGACCTCCTAAAGTCAGGAGTAAAGATATATTCACACAGCCATCTATACACCAAAAATATTTCTAACTACAACAACAATTCCTTTTTGAGGTTTTACTAACAACCACCTTAAATTATTATAAAGAGGGATTTATATAATTCAGTAGAATAATCCAAAGACTCTAAATTCAGTTATCTTCGATCCGAACATGTCATGGTTACTTTTCAGCTGGTTCGACGCGTTGAGTAGCGCGTTCTGAGGTCGGTTCAGCGAGCCGGTGCGGACATTGTATCACCCCGTGGTAGTCAGCAACCGGCTGGCTGACCACCACATCACCCAGATGAACTTTCGGCGAAATTCCGCCCCCAATCCCTACCATAAGCCCGAATCCGATCGCTTGGAATGTGTGAATCATAGATACCGCGACGGTCGCGGTAGGATTGGTTCCCATGTTAGGAAGGCAGGCTACAACAACGTTATGGCCGCAAATCGAGCCAAGGGTATGTATATGCATTATAGTCATTACGAGGGGTTGTAAGAGGTTCGTGCTCTCCATCTAGCATGGCTCTGGCTACGGTCTGTTCCTTGGAAGGGCGCACACCCACCCGATCGTATAGGCATCGTGATGGAGTCGCTTTCGACATGGGGTGGTTCCAAGACTAGTGTTATTCTGTGCTGATGATGATTGCACTGGCTAAAATGGGGGATTTTCTTCCATTTTGGATTGAAAATGAATTGCCTAGGCAGTGTCCAGACGTGCAAGATGGTCCTTGATATGTCAATCAATCACTCCCTCTTCTAGTATAGCAAGAGCTCCTGGCCTATCTTATCAAGAACAGGATGACAAAGTGAGTATTTGATCGATAGGTGATGGAGTAGTTTCACAGAAAGGTAGTAGTGGGTATAATAGTAGCTGTTTTCGAAAATTCTTGAACGTGGGTCATGATAACAAATTGCTTGATTTACAGCAAGCTGAAGGAGGGGCACGCCCTTAGCCTCGTCATCATGTGACTCCAGCTCGTTATGGCTCTCAGCTCACCCATACCGCTTTCTGAATGATTTTCCATCGACGATGCTTCCAGGGTGGGGCTGGTGATGTTCCCAGAAACGGATCGATCCGACCCGAGAACAAGCACAGCCAGCAATAACCAGCCAAACCCATCCAGATAAAAGTATGACTTGACCTCATCATTTGGAGAAGCTACCAATGCTCAACATTCACCAATGCATACTGTAGGCAATAGTTTTCAATAACACATTAATATGATTGAACTCGTACTCCACGCGCCTCTTGTTTTCGTTCACCATTATCTTGAGGTCCGCAATTTTAAGAGGGCCATCAAGTTCCCAGGAGCTTCGAGATCGTCAAGTCACGTGCATGTCCTAATACTTAGCACACCCCAGACCTTCTCATTAAAATTTTTTCGCCTGCTCAGTGAAGGTGAGCATCGGTAAGCAACGGTGAAAAAAATGAAGTCTTACCATGCTATCCTCCTGTGGTCACCCATCCTTCCCTACTCTACATTCTCTCCATCATCCAAACGTCTCCCCGCAACATGGCACCAAGACTCCCCTCCCTAACTCTAAACTGACTATGATCCAAGATATGTTTTCAAGCAGATCACTAACTACCTCACAAATTGCCAAAGCTGCCGAATGCAGTAAGCGTTCGGTCATCAACATCAGCAGCAACCTGCGCCGGTTCGGAAATGTCAGGCCACCCCCAACTCGCGTCGGCCGCCGACCAAGCATAACCCCCTCGATGCTCCAAGCCTTGTGCGACCATCTTCTTGAAAAGACCGGAATGTATTTGGACGAAATGGCGATCTTCATATGGGATGAGTTTCGCATTAAGGTCTCGAATTCGAGCCTGAAGCGGGCTCTTGCTTGGCGGGCTGGTCGAAGAAGGCGACGAGACAGAGAGCAAAGGAGCAGAACACTGACCTCCGAGACTTGTATTTGCACAACCTCTCCGACTTTCAGTCGCATCACCTAGTCTATATTGATGAGTCTGGATGTGATAAGCGGATTGGCTTTCGACCGACGGGCTGGTCTCCATTAGGCGTGGCTCCATTGCAGGTAGCCAATTTCCATCGCGACCAGCGGTACCAGATTCTTCCTGCCTATTGCCAAGATGGTATTGTGCTCTCTCATGTATTCCAGGGCTCTACCGATGCCGCTCTCTTCGAGGACTTCATTGATCAGCTTCTTCGGCATTATGGAAGATGTCCTGAGCCAAAATCCATTCTGATTATGGACAGCGCATCCTTCCATCGTTCGCATCGCATAGAGGAGATATGCACCAATACAGAAGTAAAGCTGGTGTACCTTCCACTATATTCTCCCGACTTCAATCCCATTGATGAGTTTTTCTCTCAGTTGAAAGCATTCATCAAACGTAACTGGGTGCGATATGAGGAAGGCCAAGGACGAGGGTTTCACGCTTTCCTTGAGTGGTGTATTGCTGTGGTTGGGTCTCGAAAACAGAGTGCACTGGGCCATTTTCGGCATGCTGGTGTGGTCATTAGCACCGAGGATTGTTTGTATTAGACCAAGGATCAGTTTGACGGACATCGAAGTGTTGCATAAATATATCGTTTTCTATGGTGGTCGATTTCCAAATGGCTCTTCGTTTCTCAATATCGTTGGCTACAGCTTATTTTAGTGTATATGATATATACTGTATAGAGACGATATATAACAAATTTGAAATGAAAGCCCATCTAGTTCTCTAAAGCCAAACTCTTATGTTCATACGTCTTGATACGCCATTAACACCCCTAGCATACTCATGCTACGGCCAGCACAGCCTCTTCGGCTGCTATATCCTTCTTGATATTCCAAGCCCATGTACCAATATCCCTAATAAATTGTCATGCAATACCTACCATAATTCCTTGGTTAGTGAAGAATGATGGATCTTGGTCTTGATAGATCAGTTTGAGATCTAGACCATTGGCTAACGCCACATTACACGCTTGGCGGAATTGTTCTTTCAGATTCTTATCGCTAACGTTTGCCTCATGCCACGCAGTAAACTCCCTGACACTAGCATCCCATGGACCGACGATCTTAAGATCACTTTGGCCTTGGGTATTTGGTGGTAGAGGCCTTTCGGGAGCTGCAATTGAGTCAAACGCTTCTGATTGAGGGAAATTTTGCATCCCATTGATGTTGATGTTGATGGGTAGACAGCTTTCGGGGGTTGCAAGCATCTCGGTTTTCTTGGACTGTTGGCTCTCCAGTCTGTGTCGCTCTTCCATATATAGGTCTCCACGGAAAATATTTTAAACGTCATTATGGGATTCCGAAGTACCCCCCTTTTCCACAAGAGCGATCAAGCGTTTCAAATGATGACTCCTTAGCGTGTAGTGTTTTTTGCCATGCGGGTCTTGCTAGCAATGTGGGCTAAGATGGTAAGATGGAGACGGACAACGTATTAGGTTGTAAACTGCCCGGCAGATGGATTCTTGTCCAAATATATTCTCTTCGGCATCCATCTGGGCATCTCTCTCGTTTAGCATTCGTTTAGTGACGGATGATCTCCCTCGTTTCTCGACCCTCCCTGAAAGAGTTCCAGAGAGGCGGTCATCCTCAACATACTTGAAAGTGATACCTAGCCTTAAGTTTTTGCCCCGGTAAAATAGTCCTCCCCGAAGGAGCAGCTGTTTTTCAACAGTGGTCCAGTTGATATCGAGATGGTCAAATCGTTTTGTTAGGTCATGTTCAGACCGATCGTTCACAGATACGACGATGGAAGTGTCGTCCGACCTCACTTTCCCTCTCCGTGAAGTTTTTGCCTCTAATAGCTTATCCAACTTACTCTTCTAAGCCTTGGACCTTCTGGATCGTATCGGGACAGGTACATTGCTCTCCGAATAGCGTTCCCGAGAAGGGCTGAATCCATGACTTGCTGAAGGCATATGACCAAAGTATCCTGGAGTGGGGGCGTATTGCGAGTCTTGGTCCATGAGGTTGAGGTTATACAGCTGAGTATTTGTTAGATCACGTGGTCTGTATAGTTCAGACCAATGTGCCTAGGTAGATAGCTCTTGACGTGTTGGACCAGACTTCCCCTCCGCGCGCTTCCCCCATACGTGTTCTTTCCTGTAGCTGTTCCAAAGGCACACCTCCTAACAGATGTTCCCTTATGTCATAGCCCATGGCTATCCCCATATATGGATAGACTCGGGGAATTTTCTCTGCCTATATTTGACGGTACCTTTACCCCGATGGGAATCATGGAAGATTATGATAAACTTTGCATACATTGTACTGAATTATCCGGAATATGCACGCAAGGTATAAGTCTAGCCATGAATAAAGCCACAATTAAGGAGTCACGAAAAGCCATCAAGCAGTCTGGCCGGCTCAAAAGGTTAACTCTACTTGCTACCCTCTTCATTCCTATCAGTTTCAGCTCCAGCTTACTAGGTATGAACATTGATCTTGGGCAAAATATAATGAAGTTTTGGTGGTTTTTTGTCCTATATATTCTAATAATTCTTATAGCCTATGGCTTCTATCTTTGGGACTCTCAGTTCCTCAAGCGTTACTGGGAGAGTTTCTGGAAAGGATATAAAGGTACCACGCGAAATTTGAAATTTAGGAGGTACAAGAAAGATTCCGAATATATTGTATGATTGAATCCTGTTTTTCTGAACATCTAGTTATACCAATTTCGATAGTAAATAAGGCAACTTCTAAGAAGGATATTTAAGTTAAAGGGTCTTCCGAGACAGAATACCATAGCATTTAACCGATTTGTCCGCCTAGCAAAAGGGAACAAGGATGTGTTAATTCTGGATATAACTGCCTAGCCTTTCGTACCTAGTTTGATTTTTATTCCTCTCCAGTAATTTAAGGCCTCTTGTAGGGTCCAAAATCACACCACTGTGGGGAGTACTCTATAAAAAACAGCGTTCATCGGTATCTAGGAGGATGAAGTTTGTATATTTTTGTTGTATTTGTAAATACAGGAAGAGAGGAGGAGAGACTAAAAATAATCATATTTACATGATAAATAACCCTTTACTCCAGGAGTGAGCTGTTGACAGCTGTGCGGCATTTCCAGCAAGGAGCAAGACCCTAATTTAGCTCAGTTACAAATAATCATCACATAAGTCAATCTGAATAGGACCATTCTATACCAAGAAGAGGGGTCTTGTGGGGCTAATGTGGGCCAAGTTGACGTTCATAAATAAGCTATGATTATCTTTGACTTCACCCTATGTTGCTCCTGGTGACTTACTGAAGTCTTGGGTTTTTTCCAGTCCCTCATGGCGCGCCCCGAGGTAGTGTAAGTTGTTGACACAATGGTTAGCCTTCTAATATTAAATCTGACAAGCTTTTCTGCCAGCCTTCCGGCGATCCGTGCCTGCATTTTGATCTAGATGGGCTTCTTATCAATTCTGAAGACATGATTACTCTGGCCACAAACCAACTCCTTGAAAAGTACGGAAGGCCAGCTTTCACTCCGTCAATTCGAGCCTAGCTTATGGGTGTTCCGGACTCCACAAATAGCGACATATTCCATAACTGGGCGAAGTTGCCCATTCCCTGTGAGCAATTTGCCCATGAATTGGAGGACCTGATGCGAAGAAATTTCCAAAACTGTACACCACTACCTGGTGCGGAGGCTATTTTGTTAAACCTTAGCCGTGAAAGTAATGCTTCTAGGGACAGGATTCAGCTGACGCTGGCATCCAGCACCAAAAGCCAAAGCTACAAGATGAAAATGTTAAGATCAGAAATAAAACGGCTATTGAGCTTCTTTCAACCTGATAGACGGATCCTAGGTGATAACTCACGGGTCCGACAGGGTCGAGGTAAGCCGGAGCCTGATATTTTCATAATCGCACTATAGTCACTGAATTCATACTCAGATGGCGATCTCATTTTACCAAGCGAATGCTTGGTGTTCGAGGATAGTGTGGTTGGAGTAGTGGCTGGAAGACAGGCTGGGATGAGGGTTGTTTGGATACCCTATCTAGATATGGCAGCCGAGTATTGGGCTAGTCAGAAGGATGTCTTAGCCGGAAAGACCGGAAAGTTTGAAAGTGGAGATGACTGGCAAGTAGGAGAGGTTGATGACGGCTGGGCTGAAGCCATATCAAGTCTGGAAGATTTCAGCTATGAGAAGTACGGTATTGATGTGCAACCTTGAATGACACTACGGACCAGGCCTAGTCAATATTGGGCGTTGTCGACTATAAGTTCTTACAGCTCCATGAGCCTGCCTAAGGTATTTTAGGCTCGGCAATAAATCAGGTTTTAATACTCCACATACAAATTTATATACTCTGTTCCATAAACCAACCGTGTTCCTGTCGATTCGACTTCCGAGGACACAAATACGTATAGAACCACACTATTCCGAAATAGTAACTCTGAGCAGATATCATTCAGTTCTAAAAATCTTTAACTTGAAGCCAGTCGAATGTCTTCCAGGCTGGATTCAAAAGCCAATATTGGCAAAGATGGAAAATGCGAATTGCACTTATATCTCCTTTAGTTCGGAAATCTATTCACTTAGTCCTACGCAGTACTGCAAGCGGTGTTAGCAAGCATGGGCACTCCATATTACCCCAATGGATCATTTGTCAACCAAGTGAACTTTATGTTACAAGTTTTTGTCCACTTACCCAGAATCGTCAATATCATGTGAATGAAATACCCTATCTGTGACGAATGTAGCCAATCGGATGCCATAAGGACGACACAGGGAACTGGCAAGTGCGATTTTTGCCCGAAAAGAGGTTTACTGGGAGGTCCTAGACAAAGATATGGTGTAAAGGATTACCCCACCACGCGATAGTCTCTTCATCCCTTCCTCCTATGGACTCCATGCCTTCTTCAGATAGCACCGAATGCAAGCTTCAGTTTTAATTTCGGTTGGCACATATCACCATCCCAATTTCCAGTGCTCCATATCCCCACTGGTCTAACCCAGAAAACATACGAGCGGATCAGAAATGAAAATTGATTAAAACCTAGGCATTGAGGAAGATGATTGCGATGTCGGCACAGGAATAAAAAAAAGTACCATTTATACTCCAATGGCGGAGTGAATTAATTTAATGGCACAAAGAGAGGACACCATGATATGGATTCAAATGGCACAGCAAGAACGAGAGGCTATGCTTATTGCGATCCATCAGGCGGTGATAAGTGGTGGTGCACCAACGGCAATAATATAGATATTTTTGAAAGCTCAATGGATCTTCAGCAATAACAGGAATTTACGAGACTCGAAACCCATTGAGGGCGTCTTTTTGCAGAGCGGGGGTGGCCAGGCAACCACTAAGCCGGTTTACTGCCTAAAAAAAGTGGAAGTAGGAACCACGATTAAAATCCACATTTCCTGTAAAGGAAAGAAAAGATGGAAAGATGTGATCCTAGCTCTACGTTTTCTACCTTCTTTTGTGATAGGGAACAATAAATAGGGGGAAGCATAGATATGGGGTATGGGGGCTGTATAGAACTTTGAACTAGTTAAAAATTAACATGCTCTACCACATAGAATACAGCCATTCTCGAAATCGGCTTGACCAGTACACACTTACACTCTCTTTCATGGCCCCAGCGCCAAGGCATTAGCGTAGATCATTTATTTAGCGGGTCGCATTAAACCGAGGGCCTCAGTAAAATGCGCTTTGTATGATATGTGACATAGGATTACATTACGCGTATGAAATGAAAGCCCATGGAATCAAATCTACTCCGTACAATGGTGGAGCTCTGCAAATCATGTGGGTAAGATCATCTCGCGGCTTGTAAATGGATGATCTTCTAGGTGACTTTGATTTTCCCTCTCAGCCTATGCGGCATCCGATGGTCATCACTTTTGAGAGATGTCTCTTTGGCTCAGAAAATCTCATCACGAATGTCACCATCAGCAAACCAGCAAAGTACTGTTTGTTAGGATGTGCCTATGGAAAAGCTACAGGAAAGAACACGTATGGGGGGGAAGCGCGCGGAGGGGAAGTCTGCCCCGACACGTCGAGAGCTATCTACTGTAGTGGGGTACCCTGTCCCCTACTACACGTACCGTACGGGTATGATATTTCGGTATTGTTCATTCCTTACGTTATGTTATGTTGTGTTATTGTACGTACAAGATTGGCGTTCGATACTAGAAGACAATACACACTCCTACACATCTCTGATCTGACCCCTACGGGTAGTCCGGACACATTGTCTTTGTTGGTTGGTGTTGTTCTTTCAGTCTAGCTGGATCGACCCGTGTATCTCGAATACACTGCCTCACGGTTCCCCTCTTTACTACCTAGGCACGTTGGTCTGAACTAGACTTCGGCACAACCCATGCATGGGTCGAAAAGTTCGACCCATCGCCTGACCCATGTAATCCATGGGTTTTTTTAAAGTAGTCAACCCATCCCGATGCGGCCCCATGGGTTTTTGATGGGGCCCCATGGGTTGGGAAAAAACCCATATGCTGTATAAATCCAAGACTTGGCATGTATAATTCTGCTTACTTAGCATTATTTCAGACTGTAATTTTGACGTGTTTTCTCCTATTAGACAGCCTACAGCCTGTGAGAGAAAGTGCCAGATTAGGGTGGCACCTGGTGGTTAGGTGAATCAGGAAGATATCGGTGATAAGTCAGGTAGTATTTAGTACTTTCCAATACAATAAGAACTAATACTTGAAGAACTTGGAACCCCGGCTCACTGGGGTCCGATTAAGTACTGGATACCCCGCAGTTCGTTGCCTAAGGTGCTCCTGTGATTACAGGATCAACCTGACAAGTACCGTGACACTAATATCTTGATAGTGGTAAGTCTAAAAGTCTTTACTACTAGTATTTTATACTAATTGAATTCTAGACCTGGTAGAAATTGAGCCTCTCCAGTTCTGGTATAATAATTAATCCTATTTCCCTATAATTATACTCCTTGCCTAGGATATTCTATTAATTCCTACAAGTGGTACTGGTGTTGAACGGCTTTTTAAATACTACATGTGATATGTACCACTACCGATATAGGCGTTTAAAGTCTGAAACTATTAAAGAGATTATACTATTTCTCTACGCGTCGAGATTTGACCTCAAGGATGTAGAGATAAAGCAGCTTGAGAAGTATTTTACTTTGGATGAGATTGAGACCTTAAAGGAGCAGAGTCATGAGAATTTAGAAGGGACTGAGATTGATTTAATTAGCGAGAATGAGAGGGAGGAAGAAGAGGAGGTTACTGAGATAGCTACTTCTAACAAACTGATCGATCTTGGTGCTGACAGTGAGGATACTGCGGATATTCAGCTACTAGAGAATGCGACTCAGCTACGGACGTCTGGGAGGAAGCGTAAACATAGAGAAGACAATGACTTTGAGGAATATTAGAATAGATTCAATTCAAATCATTTACTGTGATAACGCTTCGGAGAATCTACCTGTATTAGCTATTCTACATGTAAGTAGAATACCGAAAATTACAGACCAATTTGCATTAATTATGCAGTCACGAGATTTTTCTCAGTTTGTCCTGTTTACACTAATATGGGGCCCCATGGGTCGGAGATTTCGACCCATTTCCCGACCCATCAATGGGTTGGGTCCGGGTCCCCATGGGTCCCCATGGGTTGTGCCGAAGTCTAGTCTGAACTATACAGACCACGTGATCTAACACGGTGCCAATAAAAGGGGAATCTATGTATCAATATTTCCAGAGCCCCTTCTTGATTGAACTCTGGTCAAACTATGTTGATAATAGGCCAAAATAGAATTATGTAAAATGGGGATATAAATTGTATCATATTTTATTTTAGAAAGATATATAAATCCTGAGACTCGGATATCTAAAATACTCCTTTTTCCCATCTTCAACCTCCCTTCTCCAGGCTCTTTCAAGTATTTAATCTTCACATATTCAAGCTCCATCTTGAGTCGCAGCATATTAGTAATATGTTGCTTCTCATTATCATCCTTTATCACTTATGGGCTATAGTAGTATCGGAAACCCTTTTCCATCGAGTATGGAGTTTTTCACTGTTCACTCTTCTATGGCTGACTAGTGACATCTTCTCACTTCCCAACTATTCAATCTCGAAACTGGTGTTGATCGTGGTAAACATTTCGATATGTGCTGCCCTGTCTCCTTTGCAAGTTCTTCTTTTCCAAGGTTCTGCACGTAAGAAGCGAGAGCGTATCACAACCTTTTTCCCCTCCGACAATACCTCCGGAGATACCTTTCATGCCGAGTTTGTGCCTATAAATTTTAGTCTCTTAATGACCTTATAATTAATTATCTTGTTAGTATTGTCTACGTTCACGGTCTTGCTTCGGATCCATGGATGACTACAGAATCACGCTCGTCTAAGAAAGTGTCATGGGTTTGTGACCTTTGCCGAAAGAAAAATTAAATTGTCGCATCATGGCCTTTAATCACGATTCAAGATGGAAGAGCAATGCCCTGAGCAAGTCGTTAAAGGATTTTGGATATGATTTATTTCTTGCTCTTTCTATTAAACGACAGAACCCTGAGGTTAGCGACTGAATCTTGATTTCAATTTAAGATTAGGGTACTAACTTCATCTAGGAGAAAAACCGACCTATTATCTTGATTGGTCATGGTTCCGGTGGTTTGATCATTAATCAGGTAAGGACGATTTGGAATTGGATTATTCTTAGTTGAACCTTAGTTGAACTAATTGGAAAACAGTGTGTGGTGGACATGGTACAGAGGGACAATTCAGACGACCGTGAAATTCTCGATAGTCTGCGGGGATTTGTTTTTTGGGCACATCGCATCGAGGCTTGAAACTTACTACTATTGGAGAGATGATCTCTCTTTTAGGATATTGGAGGGGCTCAGATATTTCTCTTTTGAAAGCTATGACAATAGGCTCAAAAGAAAACGATGAACTACATCATCATATGTTTTCTTTCATTAGGAAGAGAGAGATATTTGATTCCACTGTTTGCATTTTTGAAACCGAGAGTGAAAAACTTTGGAGCCTACCAATCTCCTATGTGAGCTTCTCCCCCTCCATATATATGATATCTAGATATAAAATTAATGATCCTTTAGGTGGTGGACCGGAAATCAGCGGTGATTCAAGGTTCAATAGCCATTTTAGCAGAGGTATCACATAAGGAGATACAGCGATATGATTCTAAAGTTGATGAAACCTATGAAGATATGGTGAGATATATAAAAAGATGGCTTAAAGCCGAAAGCGAAAAAATTGAAAAATGGTCAGCTCATAGTAATCTGTTGATAAAATTTTATCACTAGCACTTGAGCTAACAAATATCTCGATCAGCAATGAAAAGAAAACCAACGTGCATATATTCCGTCCCGCCAAAGACAGTACCGAGTTATGTCCAGCGAGACCAGCTGTGGAAAGACCTAGTAGAAAAACTAAAAGTCCGATACTAAGGGGCAGAGATTCCATATGCGGTAGTCCTGCATGGCTTAGGAGGTAGTGGAAAGTCACAATTAGCTCTCAAGTACGCGGAATGCAAAAGGGAGGAGCTCAACCCAGTTCTTTGGATTGACGCGACCAACCAGGAGCTATTTCGAGCCAGTTTCACAAGGTGCGCTATAGAGCTTGTGCTTTCAGACGACCAAAAGCCTCAAAAAAACGCACGGCTTTGCGATGACTCAACAATTCGACTAGTGCTTCGATGGCTCTATAATCGAACAGGAGAAGATCCTGAGTGGCTGGTTATCTTCGACAATATTAATGACCTCACATGGGATATCAAGGATATCATCCCTAAAGGCACCAGAGGTAGACTCATCATTAATAGTCAAGATATATCAAGTTGGAAACTACTTAGACAAGGTTGTGAGAAGGTTCATGTCGATGCTATGTTGCCACAGGAGGCAAAGATGGTTCTTCTTCAACACTTATCACGGGGCCCCGACTCTACCCTGGAAAAGGTGTATCAGTGTTGCGATGAAGTGGCGGAGAAGCTTGGATATTTGGCACTTGCAGTTGACCTTGCTAGTGCATATATGGGCAACCGTGATTTCGCACCTGAGCAAGTGCCTGAGCAAGCGGCTGAGCAATCGCTTATGCAGTACTTGAAAGATTTCCAAAAAACATAGTGATGAGCTGTTGCAGAAAGATGAGTTCCAAGGACTTTCAAAGGAACAAAAGACAATTTGGACCGTCTGGAACATCACTCTGGAAAGAATTAAGAAAGAATCATACGGAGTTACCTGGTGTACTATTGTCATTTTTGGCCCGTTTCCGAGGCTCGATTGTTCAGGATGAAGTATTTTGTCTTGCGAGTCTTGGTATATCTATTGTCGATGACGAGCTTGGCGAACAAAATTCCCCCGAGCTGCGAATGTTCATTCCGCAAGACGAAGAGAATTGGGAGAGGTTCAGGTACAATCAAAGTATAGATGTCCTGGCTCGCTACAGTCTAGTACAGCGAGTGCACGGAGACTGGCCCGGCACCACAATGCACAGCCTAGTTCAGTGAAGGGCAACTCGTGGCGACCAACTCCAAAAATGGCAGGGTTGGTATATCACGTTCATGCTTGCTGCATGTTCCCAACTTATCAAAGAAGGCTACCAACCACAGCTTCGTCGGCATCTCATGCTGCATCTTCCGGACGTGAACATGGATTTGAGAGGTATTAGTACCAAGGAAACAGGTGATGCTTTTATCTGGGAAACACTGGGAACTATTTATTCTTATGAAGGTTGGTGGGCGGATGCCGAGCGGCTCCAGGTGCAGGTGATGGAAACTTGCAAGACGAAGCTCGGCGAGGACCATCTCTCTACGCTGACCAGTATGGCCAACCTGGCATCAACATATAGGAACCAGGGCCAGTGGGAAGAGGCTGAGCAACTTGAGGTGCAGGTGATGGAGACTTATAAGATAAAGCTCGGCGAGGACCGTCCCTCTGAGCAGCTCCAGGTGCAGGTGATGAAGACTCGCAAGACAAAGCTCGGCGAGGACCATTCCTCTACACTGACCAGTATGGTCAACCTGGCATCGACATATAGGAACCAGGGCCGGTGAGAAGCGGCCAAGCAGCTATTTATGCAGGTGATGGAGACTTGCAGGACAAAACTGGGAGGTGACCATCCCGACACGCTAACAAGTATGGCCAATTTGGCATCGACGTACTGGAACCAGGGTCAGTGGGAGGAGGCCAAGAAGCTTGAGGTGCAGGTGATGGAGACTCGCAAGACAAAGCTAGGACTGCATTATTCTGACTATCTGGATTATGTCCATTCCGATTCAGCAAGTGAGAACGACTCAGTTTTCTCTGTTCCTGCGTCTATTCCTAGCACCAGATCGTTGGACTCTGGAAGAGGGGAGATGAATTTGCTCCTTATTCGGGAGTTTGCAAACTTGCTGCATGATGATGGAGATCCACTTTCGCTCATTTTAGTCGGATTATCAAAAGAGATGATTGGATTTGAGAGGATGCGAAATAACTTTCGGAGAATGCTGAAACACTTTGCGAGTAATCTCAAAGCAGATATCCTCAGCGAATCGCACCGAGATCTACGGAGCTTCGTGAGCTCGTACTCAGCCACGATCACCCATGAGCTCTTTATTATGGCACCTATCGACAAGGAGCGAAACATCAAACCTCACGTTCTGGAGGCAGGACATAGAATCGCATCTGCTCAAAAGCGCCTGACCCACGAGAGGAAAGTTAAATTTTATCTTCAAAATCTGCACAGAGGTGGCTCTGCTCCGCGGACGAGTGAAATATTGGGAGTTTTCAATTCTGACGATGAGGAAAGTGACCAAGACTCCGTGGAAGAGGAAGCTGGCGAAGATGAGCCGTATGAATGATCTTTGCAAAACTTGGATCAAATGAGATACTTCATTCTGGAAAGCGCCGCCTACCAAATCCTTCATCGTCGGATCGAAAGCTTTGTTCGGCCTTCACTAAAATCTCGTGTTCGAGACTTAGTGACAAGGTGGTCAGTTCCAGGACATAAGATCTATGGCGATATTGCTCGGTATAACCTTCGGAACCTTGTCTCGGAGTTGCAGCACGTGAACCCACACAAGATTCAATTCGAAAATGGTCGAAATACTTGTCAATTTTTCAGCTTCGTCGGCCACTATCAGCATATGGTTGAGCGCTGGACTGGAGAGCCCTGGGATTGGTGGCCACTGCCTCGTCGTCCAAGAGCACTGGCAGAATCTGAGGCACGATTACGGTGGAAATGTGTGAGTATTTAAATTATATATAACCTCAAACATATATTGCGACTCTAATCCGTGATGCAGGTATGTGGCGACGAACGATGGGCGGAGATACCAAATTATTTCGCCAGACGCCTTCAGTGTATAATCAAAAGTCTCCCCATAGACAACTTGACAAACCAGACTATGCAAAGTCCACCTGCAGCACATACTGCATCTGACCGAGCCCCTCTCAGCGTCCCAAACAATAGCCTGGCTTCCAACCGGGCTTCTCATCAAGATCATAGAGGGCAGGAGCCAGCTTGTTTGCCATCTAATCCTTCGATCCTTCGTTAAGCGTCAGGAGCCAAGGCCAATATCGTTGACACGACCATCACTCGGCACCGGGTTCTCTTCATTACAAAACAGGGTGGAGATTATAGACTCGCACAAATCAGCCTTAGCAACACAGATTCTCGTACCTTCTTCATTATGATGAGAAGGAGTATTTCCGACTGCGAGGTTTTGTACGAGGCCATTTCAGCGTTTGGAGATACCATCATTGTGATTTTTACAAGGTGAATGCCCCTGTCTGGAACTTGAGAGATGTTTATTAAGGACAAAGATCGCAGTTCGAGAAATTCGATGACCGTGAGTTCGCTCTCAAAGTCAAAGATTCATTTCTTGGGCATGCGAACACCGATCATGAGTATCAACCGAGACCAATGGAAGATATTCCGCCCATATCCGAGCACGAATTCAAGATACGTTTCTACGCTTGTCAGAAACCACGACCACTGCTTCACCTCCACCACAAGTGTAGAAGGCTGGGGGCCCATTCCTCGGAACTCTTGAAGTGCCTCCCTAAAAAAAGAACTGAACTTGAAGAAGCAGGTGACAAGCGAGAAGATTTCTGGGGGATCTATGCGCGCGAAAGCATCAGCCTGGGTTGGATCATTTTCTACAATTTTGCCTGCATTTCACCTTTGTTAGCATCCTTCTTTGCATGGATCGTACCACATGGGCTGGGCACAGATCTGCAGGATCCATCCATCCCGCTTTCCATAATGATTTCGATGCTTTCTTTGTTTTGGAGTGTCTTTCTCAGCAGTTTGCAGTTTGGAAGCCCACATTAAAATACCTTCATCTTATCTTCATTTTTGAGTGAATTTGACACCTAATACCGAGCTAAAACCGAACTACTGTAGGGGACGGTACTTCTGCGTAACTCTGTCTTTCTCCACGACACTAAGACTCTAATGATTGTTTTGGTTATGTTCATTTATTCTCCCCATTCATGTTAAGAGAGCATAGTAGTAATTATAAAATTAGATTCATACTATCTGTTTTATTGTAATTAGTTCAGCAATCATGAGTAATATATAGAGGTTTCAAAGACTATACATTGAAGAGTATACAGAACTCAGAAAAATTACTCAAACTAATGTTATAGTTTAGGCAGTTTAAAATTGAACAGGATTAATATAAAAACCCTCGTTCAGTTTTATATCATATATTAATAATCTTATATAAAATAGTTAACTAGTTAATAGCCAGTGATGTCTGTAACAACGCAAGGAACGTAACTCACTAGCACTGTACAGCCCGAGTATGTACAGTAACCATAACTTTACCGCTGTTGCAATTCTGACCATTTCAAAGCAAGAAGTTGTCCATTTTTTGGTCCCAATAGACGACTCCATACATGGATAGCTCGTTGAATGCTTTCTCAAGGTGGACTTTCAATGTTTCCTCTTCGATGATGAGCTCCCTGCTGCGAGCAATGTCATGTAAGGTCACCCCATTGACCTTTGAAAGTATGATCGCCGGAAGCCCATTGAAGATCCCTTCACCAAAGAACTATGGAATCACTTTGCCTTCGAGGATCTCCAACTTTTGGTAGACCCATAGAGTGATTTATTCTAGTTTGGAACTGTGCACTACTAGTGTAGGTGTAAAGCCTAGGAACCCGCCTAGGAAGGTCTTATACCGTTTATACAGATCAAGCCAACTGGTCGATCAGCGGGTAGCTATCTAGTGCGATACATACCGTTCCAGGCAAGGGTTGAACCATCAGGTTCAATCATTGGTAGCCTTTTGGCCATATTAGCTGACGTGCAGTCTCGTGTCTGCTGAATGTTTGTGGTGAGGTCTAAGTCTCATTTTCCCCCTGTAATCCACGGGGAGAGCCATGGAATTATTGGGGGTATCTAACCAATTAATAATTTGCCTTAACTAGTCAACTAGTTAAGCACCTCCTCGGCTGATCTAACCCGAATCACTAATCCGCAGATATATTCTTCCGTACCGGAGGCTGGGATCTAAAGCCCGTCAGGATAAGATCTGTCCAGCCTCCCCCCTGTGTATGCTGCAACCGCTTATGTCCTATTATCAATCATCAGGTTATTGCACGCTCAATTGCGAATCCAATAAATATCCAACGACTTGACTCTAAACAGTCCGACCCGTAATGTTTCGTCGCGCTTCTCCGCGATTCACTCCCTTGCGTGGCCTCAAAGGCCCTCGTTTCGCGCGATACTTCCATCTAATTACAACAAATTTCATCGACTTTGATTCAAGGGGGAATCTTGCTTCCAGAAAAGTATCTATGATTGTTGGAAATCCGGGAGAAACCTATGTTTTGATTGACCCAGAGGTTGGTACTACAATTCGTGCTGCCAGCCCTTTTGCATCACATTCGGCGGCTGGTGCTGAAAGGAGCTGTAAACTTACATTTTTTCACGATTCGCAACATTTTGGATTTGGTCAGTGATCAAGCTATCGGGTTGTCACCCAGCCGTTGTTAACACTTTGTTCTCACTTCTAGGGTCTTCGAGCTACCCCCGCCTCTATGTCCCAAGTCAAATGCCTCGTCAGACAGAGTCAAATTCAAGCCCTGCAACTTTGTTCCTGAGTGGAAAAATGTATGAAATAGTTTTGGATGGAACTCCTGATGGTATGCCTCACGATCAGCCCACCCCAGTGTCTCCGGGATACTGATACATCATGTCTACTTAGCAAAATTTGCCGAGGACGCAAGCGCTTCTGGACGGAACCTGGAAAGCGTTCTCCGTCAACTTGAGCATATGTGATATGAAACTTGCTTTTCTACGGGCATATCGAAAATATCTTTTAGAACGAGACAAGGAGACTGGGGATGAGGCGCCAACTTGCGACTTCAAGTTCAACCCAGACGAAGATTCAAATACTAAAGCAGCTAACATATCGCTTGGGCATCATAATTGAATGTAATAATTTTCAGATTTACCTATGAAACTACGCAGGTAGATAGTATGCGGAATTCCCACTATGCGTTAAGGAGTACTTGACTGACAAAAGATGGCCTCAACCTCAACCTTAAGCTAGATAAGATAATGAATACGCACTCATATGTATAACTTGAATTATGAAGAACACTCCGACATGTCCAACAACATTTGAAGGGCGAATACAAAATCATAATGTGGGTTTCAGAAGCCATTGACCTATGAATGTTGATGGAGTATGAAGCTAGTACTCAATAGCTGAGCTCCTATAACCCAGGACTTCTTCATCTACTGGTTCGAGCGGAGCTGCCACAGATTTGTAATAGTTTGCCAACTGCTCGGAAGTCCATTGATTGGTAACGACGGCGACGTGGGCATCTGCTAGCCCTCTATTGTTTATATCTTCTGCAAATGGTACTTTCTGAAGATAGTAGCCATTTATCTTCAAGAACATATCGGCGGCTAGAAGGGCAGTGCGTTTGTTTCCATCCTGAAAAGCATGGTTTTTCATTATTTTCTCCGCGGGATTTGCAGCTAGCTGGAAAATATCTTCCACCTTCGCGTAATGTTTCATGTTCATTGGCGAGTGAGCTGCAGATTCCAGCATGCTCAGCTGGACTGGAACACTATTCAGAGCGACGGATCGTGCATGCAGTCGTTGGATTTGGGAAACTGTCAGGAATCGGAGCATTTTGTCGTTTGACCGAAAGATTGATCTGGCAAGAAAGGGATTGGTATATTCAAGTGATACTTCTCTTCGGGTGTTAACTAGTATGTGGTACTAGTGACTTGAATTGTAGAAAAAAAAGACTTGAACAGAAAACACTAGCAGATTCGTAAGGAGGTGATGCTGTTTTTGTTTTTTTATCTTTGACTCGTTACTATTCTCAATGTAGGGAATAAGGCAGGCTCTCGAGCGGGGAACCCTGTCAAAGAGACGTGAATCTTAAGTATTAGAAAGCCGATCTTGGTATGGAGCAAGAGCTTCTGCAAAGGATTTGCGATAAGTATCACGCCACTTTTGATCCCAATCATCAGTCAGAAAGAATTGAAACTTATTAATAGGCGCAAGCATTGTATTGACTGCATAGATGTGCCCTCGAACATTATCAGTCTGAGAGTAATACTGATCCAGCTTTAATCGACCAGCTTCAAGTGCGTCAAGCATATGTTTTTTCCATGGGATGCGCTTTCGCTGGAGCTGCTGCATTGACTGTTCAAGATGTTCAATAAGTTTGTAGTAAATTTTGAACACATAATGCGCAGTGACATGTCGAGTCTTTGAAAGTTGAGTAGTATAGTCAAAAAATGGCTCAGTGATGCAAAGAAGATAGTCGACTTGGCGCCACTCTTTATTATTAAGTAATAAATCCTCACGATCATACTCAACACAAAAGGGTGTAAAGATAGCGCGGAGCCGCTTTGCACGACCAAGCATCAGGAATGTTGAATTCCACCGAGTCTTTACATCCTGGATCGGCATGAGCTTTGGCTCCTTAGTCTGGAGATTATAGAATGTCTCCCGACGCTGAGGACTTGCGCTCACGTAGATCGCAAGATAGCGGATCTTATTCAATATGTAGGAGATCTCTCGCTCCTGGTGCTGTGCGTTTGCCTGGGCCATTGAAGACTGTTGCTCTGTCCACTTTGTCTCAGCTGTGTCATTTAATGGGACTGCCTTAATATGACCAAGAAGCTGGTTCAGGCTAAGCTGGATAATATGTGCAAGGCACGGAATTCGGATAATAGGAATACCATCCGATAAAGCTTGCTGGAGCGAATCAACGAATATCTTGTTGTTTGATGCGTTATCTGTAGTCAAACCAAACACCCGGTCTTCAATCCCATGCTTCATAAGGGTTTCCACAAGTATGCTACTTAAGTTTGCCCAGTATGTGCCCCATAAACAGGTTTGAAATCAAGTAGCCCCTCCCGATAGACCCAATCAGCATCAATAAAATAGCCAGTGATCGCCATAAATGCCTGAGAAAATGGGGATGTCCAGCAGCCAAGAGCGATAGATAGCTTAGAACCAGCAGGAAGCATCCGAAGAATACGCTGTTGCCGGTCTTGGGATTGGGGTGGTTGGGGTGGTGTTGGGGTGTTGGGGTGTTGGGGTGGTGTTGGGGTGTTGGGGTGGTGTTGGGTGGTTGGGGTGGTGTTGGGTGGTTGGGGTGGTGGTTGGGGTGGTTGGGGTGGTTGGGGTGGTGGGTGGTT